CGGTTCTTCAGTTCGTGCCACCAAGGCCCAGGTCAGAATCATGCAGGCAATCAAAAGTGCGTGCATATTCGTATGGTTCGTGGTTTGAAGTGGCGAACTTCGGAATGAAGTTTTCCAATCAAATCCTCTCGCTTTTATACTTTTCAAAGCCCTATTCAGAGGGGCGGAGCCAACGCAAATCTCAACGAAATATCAGAATTGAGAGAAAAGGGGCGGGGCCAGATGACGTTAATCAGTAGACATTCTCAGAATGCTATTTCGAGTGCGCGACGCAAAGTGTGGTTTGTGTTCGTCACGCACGGAAGAGTCTAGTGGGAATACGGTAGCCTTTGAAATTACGATGGTTTGTGGAGGTCTGACCAGACAATGTGATCTTTCCGGTGCCGCTTGTTCGGAGCGTCAATCGTTGAAGTGGGACGGGCAAGAAGAAGCCGTCAAGCGGCTACTCCACGGCTCCAGTGACAACTATCTCTGGCATTTCGTTATTAATCTAACGGCGGCCTAATAAGATTGATATGACGCCTAATAAGATTAATAAATTGTCTAGCTAGATTAATAAATCTTCTAGCTAGATTAATAAGTGCTCAAATCAAGTTTCACGCCAACCGTCTGCTGGCTCAAATCTCGATTGCGCCAAGAAAAAACAGTCGAATCTAATTAGGTCGCGTTTAGATCAGTAACTTTCTAATTAGATTGATATCGAATTGCCAGAGTATTTTACTTAGTTACTTAGTCGATTCGTTCCTCGCTCACGTTGCGTGGGCGCGGATCACAGCACATCACGCCTTGCGATCTTTGGCAATGGTGCTCCATGGTACCACTCGGTTTCCTTGCCGGATGGTGACTTCTTTGTTGAGGGCGTCGATCCATCTCATCGGCGGTCTGCCCATTCTTGCGTCAGAGTGGTCCACCGGTTGTCTGTCCTTCGTGCCACGTGTCCGGCCCAGACTAACTTCCTCTTTTTGACGTGGAGTAGAGGGTCGCGGACGCCGGATAGGCGTCGGATGTCTTCTCGATGGATGTCTTCTCTCTCTCTTTGCTGGGAGAGCGACAGTCCGACGAGTCTCCTTTCCAATGACGCGTGGGTTACTCGCACTCTTTCAGCCAGTGCCTTCGTAAAGGTCCAAGTTTCTGAGCCGTAAGCGAGCGCCGGGAGGAGCCCTGGACGAGGGGGAAGATGGAGAAAGCGAACAATAGCCGCAAGTGGATGAAATCTGAAATAATCCTGCTCCGATTCCTGTTTCGTGACATTGTTTTTAACTTTCATCCTTTCTGTCGCAATTCCCAATTCGCGATGTCCTATTTTTATTACCTCATCACTTATGTTATAGGGGCACCGGACTCTGTTCGCAATCTCGCCGAATTTCTAGGCCGCAAAGTAATTTTCCACTGAAAACGTGACCTTGAATGAAACAGATCTGCGAAACCAAACCATCGTAATTTCAAAGGCTACCGTATTCCCACTAGACTCTTCCGTGCGTGACGAACACAAACCACACTTTGCGTCGCGCACTCGAAATAGCATTCTGAGAATGTCTACTGATTAACGTCATCTGGCACCGCCCCTTTTCTCTCAATTCTGATATTTCGTTGAGATTTGCGTTGGCTCCGCCCCTGTGAATAGGGCTTTGAAAAGTATAAAAGCGAGAGAATTCCATTGGAAAACTTCATTCCGAAGTTCGCCACTTCAAACCACGAACCATACGAATATGCACGCACTTTTCATTGCCTGCATGATTCTGACCTGGGCCTTGGTGGCACGAACTGAAGAACCGAATCGTCTCGTCAAACTGGATCCGGTCATTGACGATTTGCCGGAGTGGATGTTGCGGAGACGACGAGTTGCAGGCACACGCAAGTGCGGTCCAAGGATATTCGATACCATCAAGGCGGTGTGCGGAGGATTTTGCACCATATGTAAGTTATCACACTTGCCCCGTTTCAAATTCAAAATCTCTTTCGTTTTCAGTTAGCGGAGAAGCAATTGGAACGCACTGCTGCACGATTTCGTGTGACGAGGAGTACCTGAGAAAAGTGTGCTGTCCAAAGGATTGACGACCGATGGCCACGGATCGACATTCGAGTTCGCATCGGGTTCTGCAGCTGCTGCTATTCTTCTCAACGCTTGTGCCTTCGCTCTTATTCTGTTTTTCTGTTTCACCGCCTAATAAATAGTTTATAAATACGGAAAACTCGTGTTCTGATCAGACTTGTCCAAGTTCCCACAGATTCTGTCCTCGTGTGAATCTTGTGAAATGTATGAAACATTTCCGGGCCGCAACTTGGGCCTTTGCTTTCTTCCTCGCAAACAACACGTTTGTACACGTTGGTGGTACAAATTGTCGATCTGAGTGCTCGTGCCTTCGCTCTTATTTCTTTTGCTGTTTCACCGCCTAATAAATAGTTTATAAATACGGAAAACTCGTGTTCTGCTCAGTCCTGTGTCCAGAAGTACACTTAATTTCCCACGAACTCCGTCACGGGCCTAGACCCTGCGCTCGTGTGAATATTGTGAAACGTATGAAGCATTTCCGGGCCGTAACACGGGCCTTTGGATATCTTTCCTCGGAGCCAACGTTTTTGTACACGTTGGCCGTGCTGTAGATTGCAGAGAACGTGTAATGCCGCGTCCAAAGTCTCGGAAAAACCGGAAAACCCGCAGGTTTTTCTGTCCAAAGTCGGCCGAAATTTGCGTGAAAAACGGGCACAGCTGAACGAATGTAACCGTACCACGACGAGCAAAAGTGTAGAAAGGGGCGTGGCCTAATCTGAGACGCGTTTTCTGAAAATTGCCGCAATTCCAGCACTTTTTTGTGTTTGATATCGACGAAAGAAGAGACATTAAAGAGAGAAAACATCGAAATGTTCGTGAAAACGCCGCGTTTGAGAGGTTTTTGGCATATTTCGCAATACGCCCTCCGCGGCCAATCGCCGCCGCAATTTCTGAATTTTCATACCGGCCGATCTGGATAGTTTTGAGACGAAATGAGTGTCGAAAGTGATTAAGCACGTTAATACAAGTATTTTAAGCGTTCAAACTCAATTTCTCTGTGTGCGGACGTCCTCCAACCGACCAAAATGGACGCGACGGCTCGGATTTATACCAAACACTGTCGTTTGTGAGCACTTGACACCTGTCGACTTGGAAGTTCAACCTTTCTACCGCGTTTCAGAGTCATACTATGGAGTTGAGCGAGTTGAGCGGAAGAACTCAACGGAAGAAGAACACGGAAGAATTTTTATCTTTTTTAGAAAATTTTTTCATGAAATGTGATCAACTGACGAAATGTATAGCAAAGTGAACTCTGCTCGTAGAAAAATAATTGTAAATTTAGCTTTTCATACAAAAAAGTTATTCGAGTTGTTGCGTGAAAAAAGGGGGCTAACTCGAATAACTTTTTTGTATGAAAAGCTAAATTTACAATTATTTTTCTATGAGCAGAGTTCACTTTGCTCTACATTTCGTCAGTTGATCACAATTTATGAACAAATTTTCTAAAAAAGATAAAAATTCTTCCGTGTTCTTCCGTTGAGTTCTTCCGCTCAACTCTGGTGCGTACCCCTAAAACTACGGTATTTTTTGAATATTTGCGCAAGAATTTTGAATATTTTCAAATATCCTCAGGAAATTAGCAAATTTTCAAAAAATACATTCGCTCAGCTGTGCGCACCCCCGTTTTTCACGCAAACTTCGGCCGACTTTGGACAGAAAAACCTGCGGTTTTCCGGGTTTTTTCGAGACTTTGGACGCGGCATAAGGGCCCACGACAAATCTTCTAGCCTTGTTCTAGCCACAAGTTCCCACGAAACTCCGTCTGATCGAGGCGCTGGACGTGAGAAATGAATAATAATAGTTTGGGTGTTGAGAGCTGAAAAGATCAACTTGCAGGATCAGGACGTCCGTGTGCTTCTTCGAGGGGTAACCGTCCATGAAACGTCGTCCAGCATTGTCAATTTAGCTGCTCAAATTTCTACTTTGAACGAAACGGTTGATTTTTTGGAAAATCTGCAATTCCTACTTCCCGCCGACTTGTTGACTAATAATCACAACATTCGAGAATGGATTCAGGACTCCAAGTGATCAACAATCGTCTGCTCTTCGAGATTTGAAACCGTAGACATCATCATTTAAGAATGAATGTGAGAGAGCCCACGCACATAATTACACCTGAACTTTATTGACGAACACGAACAGAATTGCTTAGTTTTTGTGGCTTTATCCTGAATTGACGGTACCAAAACCAACGGTATTATTGACTGAACGAGTGGGAGCATGTCGGAATGAGCGGTACCTCAATGAAATACGAGCAATCAACGACTGAACGAGTCAGGATTAGCTGTTTATTCCAATCGGCGCCAAACTTTGCAGGATTGTTGCGTTCAGCTGTGCCCGTTTTTCACGCAAATTTCGGCCGACTTTGGACAGAAAAACCTGTGGTTTTTCCGGGTTTTCCGAGACTCTCTGCAATCTACAGCACGGCGAACGTGTACAAAAACGTTGGCTCCGAGGAAAGATATCCGAAGGCCCGTGTTACGGCCCGGAAATGCTTCATACGTTTCACAATATTCACACGAGCGCAGGGTCTAGGCCCGTGACGGAGTTCGTGGGAAATTAAGTGTACTTCTGGACACAGGACTGAGCAGAACACGAGTTTTCCATATTTATAAACTATTTATTAGGCGGTGAAACAGCAAAAGAAGTAAGAGCGAAGGCACGAGCACTCAGATCGACAATTTGTACCACCAACGTGTACAAACGTGTTGTTTGCGAGGAAGAAAGCAAAGAAATGTTTCATACATTTCTCAAGATTCACACGAGGACAGAATCAGCGGGAACTTGGACAAGTCTGATCAGAACACGAGTTTTCCGTATTTATAAACTATTTATTAGGCGGTGAAACAGAAAAACAGAATAAGAGCGAAGGCACAAGCGTTGAGAAGAATAGCAGCAGCTGCAGAACCCGATGCGAACTCGAATGTCGATCCGTGGCCATCGGTCGTCAATCCTTTGGACAGCACACTTTTCTCAGGTACTCCTCGTCACACGAAATCGTGCAGCAGTGCGTTCCAATTGCTTCTCCGCTAACTGAAAACGAAAGAGATTTTTGAATTTGAAACGGGGCAAGTGTGATAACTTACATATGGTGCAAAATCCTCCGCACACCGCCTTGATCGTATCGAATATCCTTGGACCGCACTTGCGTGTGCCTGCAACTCGTCGTCTCCGCAACATCCACTCCGGCAAATCGTCAATGACCGGATCCAGTTTGACGAGACGATTCGGTTCTTCAGTTCGTGCCACCAAGGCCCAGGTCAGAATCATGCAGGCAATGAAAAGTGCGTGCATATTCGTATGGTTCGTGGTTTGAAGTGGCGAACTTCGGAATGAAGTTTTCCAATGGAATCCTCTCGCTTTTATACTTTTCAAAGCCCTATTCAGAGGGGCGGAGCCAACGCAAATCTCAACGAAATATCAGAATTGAGAGAAAAGGGGCGGTGCCAGATGACGTTAATCAGTAGACATTCTCAGAATGCTATTTCGAGTGCGCGACCCAAAGTGTGGTTTGTGTTCGTCACGCACGGAAGAGTCTAGTGGGAATACGGTAGCATACACGTGGGCACCTGGAAGTTTGCATAACTCCGACCAAATCCATGAACCGGCCTTGAAAGACCAATCCTTGAAGTGGAACATGGGACGCTCGGGTACAAACCAGAGTTGAGCGGAAATGGAATTTTGAAATCCGGAAGACGGAACAAAAAAATCGTCAATGCAAAACCTTTTTCTCCGGTTTTTTTTTTGAAAAAAATAACTAAACAACAACAATTTTAGATCTGGGTCACTGCCCGTGGAAATTCGCGTTCTTCGGGGCTAGTAAATGGCTTCTGAAAAGCTATTACTCTTTAACGGTAAGAAGAAAAAATCCCGGAAGACGGAAGACGGAAGACGGAATTCCGCTCAACACTGGTACAAACAAAAGATTCTGAATCACATGATCATCGGTCAATTTCAGACAAACTTGAAGAGGTGTACGGTGACCGAACGCTCCGAGTTTGTTGTTCATTCCTCCTGGTTCGTGTCTGATAAAATACGGTATAGATATACGTTGTCCCACCTGATCTCACTCACAAACACTACAGAAATCTGAGCATCTAATCATTTTCCGCGAAATTATGTGCGTGGGCTCTCTCACATTCATTCTTAGATGATGATGTCTACGGTTTCAAATCTCGAAGAGCAGACGATTGTTGATCACTTGGATTCCTGAATCCACTCTCGAATGTTGTGATTATTGGTCAACAAGTCGGCGGGAAGTGGGAATTGCAGGTTTTCCAGGAAATCAACCGTTTCGTTCAAAGTAGAAGTTTGAGCAGCTAAATTGACAATGCTGGACGACGTTTCATGGACGGTTACCCCTCTCGAGGAAGCACACGGACGTCCTGATCCTGCAAGTTGATCTTTTCAGCTCTCAACACCCAAACTATTATTATTCATTTCTCACGTCCAGCGCCTCGATCAGACGGAGTTTCGTGGGAACTTGTGGCTAGAACAAGGCTAGAAGATTTGTCGTGGGCCCTTATGCCGCGTCCAAAGTCTCGGAAAACCCGGAAAACCCGCAGGTTTCTATGTCCAAAGTCGGCCGAAATTTTCGTGAAAAACGGGGGGTGCGCACAGCTGAACGAATGTAACCGTACCCCTAAAACTACGGTATTTTTTGAAAATTTGCTAATTTCCTGAGGATATTTGAAAATATTCAAATTTCTTGCGCAAATTTTCAAAAAATACCCTAGTTTTAGGGGGAAAAAAAAACGTAGAAAGGGGTGTGGCCTAGCGCGTGCACGGTTTTTTTTGGACCACTTGTGATGATCCGATCGGATCCAAACTCTGCAGACTTCTTGGGCTTGGATCGAAGAATCTTGGGGCCAAGTTTCAGACCGATCCGATCATCCGGTCCCGAGATATTTGGATCAGAGAAGGCCGAGTTTTAGCAATAATCAGAAAACCTTTTCGATTTCTCATCCACACAAGTCGGGACCAGATAGATCCAATCCATCTGAAACTTGGACCCAAAACACTTTAATCCAAGTTCAAAAAGGAGCCCAGACCGGTCTTGGGACGTCTGAAAGTGCATCATTCCGTCAATACGGTTTCTCTGAAAAAGCTGAAAACTTCCACAGATTGTGACGTGTTCTATCGTCGACCAATGAATGCTACCGTATTCCCACCGGAGACGAGCTCGCGCGCACTGCGCACCCGACGCATTCCATCATAATTTCGTATGACAACTCCAGACGCCGTCATCGAAATTAGCGGTTACCGCGTGAACAAGTACACAGACATCAGCGGAAAACACAAAAACATTCGTAGTGTCTGGAGCAGAGTCCACTTGGATTTTGCGTGGGAATTCGCAACAATGGTGACGGGGTGTACGTGTAAAAATTAAAAATAGAGCAAAAGTGGGTCGTGAGAAAGGAAATTATTCGTCAAAAAAGCATCATCCTTTGTAGATAACTCCATAATCGATTCTAAAATCCAACTTCTCGCCGACTGGGGCCAATTTTCGAAAGTTTTCAATCAGTTCCTGCATCGTCGAGTAGACGTCCGCCAAAAAGTTCGTTGGACGCACATTGTAGAAGGTCCTTTTCAGGAAAATGTACTCTGTGCAGGAGAACATGTTCTCGCACTCGTTATCCGCCTCCCAGAAGATGTCACGCATCTGAAAAAAGTTTATATTAGAGAAGAAACTGGGCAAAAATGATTTGCGAGCAGCCGACCTCGAACCGGGCTTTTTTGGGGTCCTGAATCAGAGATGTTGGGAATAAAAATTTTACTCTACGGAACACGGAACACGGAAGACGGAAAATTTTCTTTTTTACGGAACACGGAACACGGAAAATTTATTTTTTTACGGAACACGGAAAAAAGCGTTTTCAAGAGAATTCCAGTGATTTTTTTTAAAATAATGTTTTGTTTAATTCGATTATCTGACTGACAAGGCAGCTTTTTGACTCATGTGAAAGTTTTACTGAAAATTTCATAAAAATAACAAAACCAACAACACAACAGTAAACAACTACAGTAAAAAACGACTGAAAATGGAATCCACTTGTGATCGAATTTTTCCGCGGAAAATATAGTTTATACGGAACACGGAACACGGAAAACGGAGAAAAAATTATTTCTACGGAACACGGAACACGGAACACGGAAAAAATATTGAAAAAAACGCGGAACACGGAACACGGAACACGTAACACGGAATTCCCAACATCTCTGGTCCTGATCACGTTTTTAACACTTTCCGCTCACCGTTCTCGCCTCTTCCTCCGTAAACATGCCTTTTTCCTGTGTGCTCCGGAACATGTATCGAATAAATATCTTCACAATTGCTCGATGCTCCAGAAACATCAGCGCCTGTTCCCTCGCGTGCTCTTTGTCGCAAAGGGACCGAACTTTCCACTTCGGATCGCCGTTCCAGTACCAAATCGTCTGCCAATCGCTCAAATCGAACACCGACGGTTCCATTATCGGCTTTTCGGGCGATAAAGTAGACGCTTTCCAACTATTGTCCATCCACAAATTCAAAATTTCCTGCGCGTCTTCCGTCGAATTTTGATGGTTCACTTCGAAAGTGAGCTGAAAAAAAAAATTTGTTTGTCGAGATTTTTGCAATCCGGTCCCCACCTTCCAAACCTGGTCCCTATCGGAATAGGGAAAAATGCGGCGAAACGTGAGCGGTCGTATACGGTCCCAAGCGGTTGAAGGTCCGAAAACGTTGCAGAAACAAATTAGGAAGAGTGGGATTTTTCGCATTTCTTTTGGGACAAGTATATTTTAGTTACGAAAAAAAAGTGTGAATAAACATTTTTAATCTGTTGATGAGTAAAAGAGATCGAAAAATTGCGATCAAACTCTATTCAGGCCAAAAGTGAGTCATTTTACTATAATCCGTTCGAAATCGCTTTCGCAAGAATGCGTGCAATTCTACTATGTTTTCTGATATTTTTCAACTATTGTATGGCAATGGATCAACTAAAACCCAGAACTTTTTCAATGATTTTCCCGTTTGCACGTGAGGACGATGTGAAAAATGTTGGTGGGCTACTTTAAGCGGTCGCGGGAATTTTTAGCATTGTTACAGTTATGGGGTTATTCAGGCTGTGAAAAAAATGATTTTTTTCCTTTTTTTACGTCAAAAAACCCAATTCAGCGGTGTAAAAAAACGAAAAAAAAACGGAAAACAAACATACGCTGAATAGCCCCATTAGTGTTAAAATTTTTCAGCTAACCGCTACTCTAAATCTCCAAAATTGCACCGAGGAATCTCTGGCAGTCCTCAACGAGTGGGTCGACCGAAACTCGTTTCCATCTGGTGACATCCCCAAAAATTTGACCAAAATTCTGTGTCGACGTCCACATTCTGCGGGAGTTTTCATAAAAATCGAAAAGTCCGAGTGTTTGACCGATAAGGAGCACGCGAGAAATGAAGCGAAACTGTTCTTGGAACATCGCAAAGTTGTCAAGGAGTTGGTCGATTTTTTGGTGCAAAAAAGTCAGGAATTGCGAATTTTGCGGGAAGAACAAGCTGAGATGGTGAGAAAGTGTCAAAAACGATTTCAGGACCTCGAAAAACCCCCGGAAAACGATGTAATATTATGAAAAACTCAAAGATGATGGCCTAGTGGTTTTTGAAGCATCGTTTTGTGTCTTGTTGGATTTTGACAGTAAAAATCGATAAAAATTGCAAATTATTTCGTTCGTCGGACCGCATGCTCGTTGTTTCTCGGCAATTTTTGTGTACTCTTCAATCGTTACACTTGTTGCTGCTCGGTGAGGTCTCTGAAATGGGTCTCGGAGAGTAAACATAAAGTTTCAACGACAACTGACCGCAATTAGACTCCATTCTTTCGGTTTTTGAGTGTTCCTGCCGATCCGTGCAGCGATGGGCCGAACGGCCGACGTTTTCTGCGTTTCCAAGCTGAAAAAAGGACGAATAAACGAATCGACATAGGAAAAATCGAGGTTATCACGAGGAAATACGAGAATTCGGATTAGATCACTGAAATTTGTATCGATTTTTATTGTCAAAATCCAACAAATGCCGTTTTCTGCTATACAAGGCGCAGTGCTGGAAAATCATTTTTGCAGCCTTGAAACTTGATTTTCTAGTGGTTTTTATGTAAAAAAAATCATTTCAGATGCGCCGAATCTTCTGGCAAACCGATTTTGAGTGCTCCAATTTCTTCGGCTCCACTTCCATTTTCTTTATCGATCGGCTCGAGTCGATTTATCGAACGGAAGAAGTGAAACGGATCCACAATGATTTAATGCGACAATTTCGGTTTTTGCATGATTTCGACGTGCTCAACTTCAGTGTCAAAGATGTTTTCTCGCAGAGAATTCTTAAAGAAAATGGTCATCTTCTCAATGGTTATTTGTAACTTTTTTTCAAATAAATTCTTTGCAACGACCAAAGATTAAAGAAAAAACGTGCCAGGCGGATTTAATGGGATTTCGGTAGGCGTGGGGTGACAAGGATTAAACGGTCTGAACGGATAAAAAGAGCGAGAACGGATCGGGTATTAGTGCACTCATGGAGTGCGATTTAAAAACGAATTTAGTATAGACTTCCTGTTTCATGAGTTTCAGTTGTTTCAATTCAGGCTTCTTGGACTTTGGTTGAAGAATTCATAAATCCGATCCCTTCACGTATTCATTTATAATTCAAAAACAATCATTCCAGATGACACGTACCTCAACCCTCCTTCTCCTTTCCTGCCTCGTTTTCTACGTGTCTTCGGATCAAATTGTGGTCGGCGCGTTTCAGAAAATCTTCCCCTACGCCACTGCCGCCACTGTCAAGACTGTACGGCGGTTTTTGTTTTTCTCCAGCACCCTTCAACTTTTTTTTTGCAGCTAACCACCAACGTCAACAAACAAACGACCAAGCCGAAAGCGAAGACGGTCGTCACCAACTGGGTGCCCAAGAACTGGGTGAGTCCGTCAATGTTTTGTGTTGACTTTTTTTAAAAACTTATGATTATATTGGCGTAAGAATGATAGATTGAGGCTACAATAAAAATCGATGGGTAATCCAAGTCGTTCAAGTATTGTCTGGACCGTTTTTGTAGGATTCTGGAAGGTTCTGACCACTTCAGAGCTCAGGTTGAATTTTCGTTATTCCAAGAGAATTCGCAATAAATTCCTTCTATTTTCCCTTGAATACAAAGAAGAACAAGCATAGACACTTGAAACATTCCGACCCCAAAAATGTTCGCATTTTTGCAGAAAGCCGCCTCAGCGACAGTGGACTCGAGCAATCAGTTGTCCAAGCAGGCGTACGCTAAAAATAAGGCGCTGACCTTCATCGACATGAGATATTCGCTCACAAAATACATCAACTACCTGTACAATCAGGCGATCAGCACCAAGTATTTGACAAAGGCCGAGGCGACTAATGTGAGTTCGAGAAAACGGTTTTCGCTCGATGCACCACCATATTTTCTAATTTCCAGATGCGTACAATGTTCTGGGCGGCCGACACGTCCACCAGCAACAACTACACTGCCACGTGTCAGACTTTCATGGCTGAGGCTTCCACTAAGGTAGACTCAACACTTTGAAATATCATAACTTTTTTCAAGAAAATGCTAAAAATCCCCACGAGCGCTCAAAATGAGGGTAATCGTGTGCATATTTCAATTATTTTAGATCCAAAAGACGCCGACAATCGTGTCAAAAGTGCAAGAGTTGACGGGAACATTCGCATCGGCCAATCCGACGGATTACTCTAATCTCCAATGGTCGCTCTAAATGATCCATTTTTCGGCAATAAAATAGTGTTTGATCTGTCGCTTTTTTCCCGAATCTACAATATTTGGCGTAAGCTGGACGCAAGCAACATTGCGCGATTCTTCATTTGCAATTGAGATGACTAGTAAGCTAGTAAAGTACAGAAACGGTCAGCCTAATTGAAGTTCACGAGGAAGAATAATTGCTGTTTCAAACATGATGTGCGTTGGCGTGTTTAAAAAATTGATTGACTGCTGATTTCTATATTTGCCCAAAAAAAGTCGATAAAATGTGAGTTGATAAACAATAAAAATTTCCTTTATCAGTGTCACTATTTACTTTGCATACGCACTGATTGAGACTCAAGAATTCTATCCAAAACCATAAAAAATGTCAAATTTTCCCATCGGCAACGCAATTCTCTTGCTAAGGGTAAGTGTTTCTTTCGGATTTCCGGTTAAATATCAATGACATGTTTTTGTGTGTTTCAGATTTGCTTGATATTGTTGATTTTACAAACAGCGACCGCCCAGTTATTTGCGAAAAGTGAAGAATGTTATGATACGAATGGAGCGCCGTTGAATTGTGGGTTTCTGGAAAGCAATTACGTAATATCACGGCGACCAAAAGTGTAGAAAGGGGCGTGGCCTAATCTGAGACGCGTTTTCTGAAAATTGCCGCAATTCCAGCACTTTTCCGATATTTTTGTGTTTGATATCGACGAAAGAAGACATTAAAGAGAGAAAACATTGAAATTTTCGTGAAAACGCCGCCGCGTTTGAGACGTTTTTGGCAAATTTCGCAAAATAACAATTTCGGAATTGCCATACCGGCCGATGTGGATAATTTTGAGACGAAGTGAGTGTCGGAAGTGATTGAGCACGTTAATACAAGTATTTTAAGCGTTCAAACGACAAAAAGTATCGGCGAATGACTGAAATTCGCGCATTTTCAGCACAAAACTTAAAATCGATTGAATTGATTTATTGCTGAATGAAACCTGCTCGTTTTGAGCTCAAAAAGTGAGCGATGATTAGTTTAACAAAGTTATGCAATTACATCGTCGAAGTCGTGCAAAATTCGGGTAATTTTTGACGAAAAACATGAAAAATGGGGTTAAATTTCGAATTTCGCGCCAAAATGGTGATAAACCGTGCACGCTAGGCCACGCCCCTTTCTACGTTTTTGGTCGGCGTGATTACAGGATTTTTTTCCCGATAAAACAATTTTTTCAGGCCCCAGCAATATAATTTACTATTTCGAGTGTTGTGCAAATGAGTGTTGTTTAAGAACGCAGGTATTGCCTTTTTTTAGTTAATTTTTTAATGAAACAGTTTAAAATTTTCCAGATTCTTCCGGCCATTGTCATCGCCTGCGTCGCCACAGTCATGACCATTTTTTGTCTCGTTTCCTGTGTCGCATACTGTTGTTGTGGAGAATAAAATATTGCATTTTTTAGACGAACAAGATGTTCCCGCGGGTCTAGTGGAAAGTTGAAGTGATGATTATTCTCTACAAAAATTCCCCTTCGAGTTATGGGTCAATGAATTAGTTGCACTCAAATGCTGTCTCAAAAAAGATTCATGCAGTAATGAGGGACTTCAGTTGGTGGAAAAAGAAGGAGAAAACACGGCAACCAAAAGTGTAGAAAGGGGCGTGGCCTAATCTGAAACGCGTTTTCTGAAAATTGCCGCAATTTCAGCACTTTTCCGATATTTTTGTGTTTGATATCGACGAAAGAAGACATTAAAGAGAGAAAACATCGAAATTTTCGTGAAAACGCCGCCGCGTTTGAGACGTTTTTGGCATATTTCGCAATACGCTCTCCGCCGCAATTTCGGAATTTTCATACCGGCCGATGTGGATAGTTTTGAGACGAAGTGAGTGTCGGAAGTGATTAAGCACGTTAATACAAGTATTTTAAGCGTTCAAACGGCAAAAAGTATCGGCGAATGACTGAAATTCGCGCATTTTCAGCACAAAACTTAAAATCGATTCAATTGATTGAATTTCTGAATGAAACCTGCTCGTTTTAAGCTCAAAAAGTGCGCGATGATTAGTTTAACAAAGTTATGCAATTACATCGTCGAAATCGTCCAAAATTTGGGTAATTTTTGAACGAAAAACATGAAAAATGGGGTTAAATTTTGAATTTCGCGCCAAAACGGTGATAAACCGTGCACGCGCTAGGCCACGCCTTTTTCTACGTTTTTGGTCGCCGTGGAAAACAAAAAGCATGACGCTCTCTCAGACCTTACCAGATAAAATTACTTTTTCTCTGGGAACTCGATCGCAATCTAATTAGAAAACTTTGCAATCTAATACAAACTCGTTTGAAATAGAATTTGCTTCAATTAGATTGCAAAATCTTCTAATTCGATTACAATTTTTTCTTATTAGATTGCAATTCAGGAAAATATATTGTAATCTAATACGATTTTACTGGAACTTCAATTGAATCTGATTAGATTGCAAAATAGAGCTTTTTCTTATTAAATTGCAAACTCTTCTAATTAGATTGCAATCGAGTTTCCAGAGTTCAGGACACCCTTTTTCAGGGCTCTCTCAAGACCGTACGAGACGGTGCAAATGTTTCATGTTTCAGCGACCTTATATTACTTTCGTGCTTGTCAGAAGAACAATTTTAAGCGCAAAAAAAACGTTTTTCTGATGTTCTTCAACTTTTTTCCCCAATTCGAAACCGTTTGCGAACTGTCTGTTATAATTGATAACGTACAAATAATTCTGAATTTTTTCGAAAAGCATTCTCCGATTGCATCATATACAACTCTTTGCTACTCGTTCGTTGTATACGTTCTACACTTTTCCTTTCTATTTTCAAACTATGTTTCACAGATTCTCCAAGTTCGGAGAACAATGTTATTTTTTTGTTAAGTGTTTTTAAAATAAACTATTATTAAGCTCATACATCGTTTACTCGGCTACTATCGAATATTCGAGCAGAAAAAGCGCAAAGGCATAGATTCTGAAACTCCGTTTTTCGAAATCCCTCAAACTTTTCGTCTCAAGACCCTCTTCTTCCGCATTTTTTGTCCATTCCATCCCATTCTATCCTCTCTGCGTCTCTCAATTTTCCTCAACTATTTCCACCGGATCTCTGGCCTCGGGGCACGCACGAAAATCGCATTGGAAAGGCGAAAAAAAGGGGGAATTCGCCGAAACTTTTCCCCTTTTTTTCCTCATTCAAATCTCTCTCTCTCTCTCTCTTTCTTTCCATCAGTCACACTTCAAACTTTCTTTTTCGCTCATTTCGCTTCAATGCTTTTCTTTTTCCCCCCGTTTTTCGCAGAGCCGTAGTAGGCTCATGGTGCATGTTTTAGGTTGGATGATGTCATTTTCGTCCTCATCCTGTTTTGACTCATGACGTAAATGTTGACGTGTTTCTGTTTTGCACAGCGGAAATTGTAGGAACAATGCAGACCTATTTTTTCTGTTTCAGGAGCCAATTTTTCGTTCTTCAGATACAGGCAACTAATAAAAAAGGGTCGTATTACGAAAACAAGTGATCTTGCAAAGAAGTTGTCAACTGAGAAACTGTCCAAAATCTCTTTAGCAATATTTCTTTAGTTGACAACTTTTTAATATCTGCTCTAATTCGCGAGATACAACACGTTTTGACACTACTGTTTTCAACGTCTTGTATCTCACGAACGAAGAATCGCAGAAAGAAGTGATCAAGTGGAAAGTTGGAGTAAATTTAATGCTGATCAACTTTGTAGTTGATGATTATTCTCTACAAAAATTCCCCTTCGAGTTATGGGTCAATGAATACATTGCACTCAAACGCAGTTCTCGAAATATTGTACCCGCTGAGGATTGGCTCCAAGAGACGAAATAGTGTGTGTAAAAGTTATTTTCAAAAAGAACAATCCTGCAACTTGATCCTTTGGTCGAAAACAACTGCTCACCGAGCTGAGCCATCTTTTCTCTTTTTCTATTTGAAGCCCTGGGTGTTCTTTAGTGTCAAAAAACTTTTCATGTGCATTTGGAGTGAAAAACTCAATTCCATTGGGACCTTTGAACAAATTCAGACACTTTATTTCACTTCTCTCACTTTTCCCAGACGTTTTGCAACCGCAACGTGAATTCCAGAAAAATCCCCGTCTCTTCTCGTCAATAATCCATTTGTTGACCGCCTTTTCCGCGCATTTCTTTTCCGTCTCTTCTCGTTTTGAATGCCGAATCTTTTGATGTCTCCTCGTGCCCCGCTCCCCTCCAAAAGTGCATACATCAGAATGTGCCGAATATTCTAGAACCGGACACGATGGCTCTCACCATTTTCGCAACTGGACATTTCGCAACCGCTACATCCGCACGAAAATAGTAATAGATGTTGACTTGAGTTTGGAAGAGAACGCGTCAGAATACATGAAAACAAGGTGGGAGCGTTTCTCTGTCGGAAGAGTTGCGAAACGTATGCAAAAATGAATTACCAACGCAAAACGTGATGTTTTCATCCAAAATTGTCTAGTTTTTAGTCTGAAAAAGTGCATGATAAGCGGTGGCGGAGACTATAAATATGGGCGGCTCCGTGATCATTTGTTGATTAAAAATCAATTGTATTTATTTTTAGAACAAGACAGATTACTCGCCAACATTTTTCTAGCATTCTGACGTCCTCTTTCTCGTGTAGGTCTTCCCAACCTTTTTGCGAAAAATAACATACACAAGCACGGGTTTGACGTGTCGCCAAAATACGGCAGATTCGTACATGCTCCGTTGAGCATTTTTGGCTCGTAAACTACACGTTTCTCGAAGAGTTTCTAGTTATTTTGAAGGTTCGCCCTTCTGTCACATATTGAAAAAAAGTGAAAACTTGGGTCCGAAACAAGCATGCACTCTAAAAAGTTCTCTATTTTTCCTCCCAATCTACCTATTTTCGCATCCATTTTTTCCCTGAAATTGCGTGCATTTCCCGATAATGTTCTACGGATAAACAACCATAAATCGCGCCCATTCAAATGCTTTTCTCATTTCCTTGTCCTTCAGAAGTCGTGTTTTGCACCTTTGTGAAATGTCTATCGATCGTGGACGTCCGGGAACTGATCGTAGGAAGGTAGTTTCCTTTTCTGAAATTTTTCAAGAGTTAAAAAAAAACGTTAATTTTCAGCGTCTTCACGAGCTCGTGGATCTTCGTGAAGAGTTGAAGGATTTGCAGGCCAATTTGGTAAATTTGGTCTTTTCTTGAGCAGACTTCTGACATCTATGTCAAAAATAACACATAAAGGCCATTTTCTAGCTAAAGAACGTTACGTTCTCGTTGGTCTCTGAACTTTTCGTCGTGCGACATTGGTCCGCGTTCTGCTTCCTTCTCTTCAATCGCTTCATCTGTAGCTGCTCGGTGAGGTGTCTGAAACGTTTCTCGGAGAGTAAACATAAAGTTTCAACGACAACTGACCGCAATTAGACTTCATTCTTTCGGTTTTTGAGTGTTTTTGCCGATCCGTGCAGCGATGAGCCGAGAAGCCGGCGTTTTCTGCGTTTTCAAGATGAAAAGGAGGTGAATAAGCGAATTGACATAGAACAATTAAGGTTATCACGAGAAAATACGAAAATTCGACCAAGAACTCTGAAACAAAGGCTGAAAACTCGTGAAAATCGCGGGGTTTTGCTTAATATCCTGCAAAATTCAACAAACGCCACTTTCTGCTAAACAAGGCGCAGTACGATGCTTCAAAAACCGGCGAGCCTCCATAAACTCTAATTTTAAGCAAAACCCGCGATTTTCAAGGTTTTTCAGCTTTTTTTTTCAGTGTTCTAATCCGAATTCTCGTATTTCCTCGTAATAACCTTGATTTTTCTATGTCTATTTGTTTATTCTCCCCTTTTTCAGCTTGAAAACGCAGAAAAGGCCGGCCGCTCGGCCCATCGCTGCACGGATCAGCATGAACACTCGAAAACCGAAGGAACAGAGTCTAATTGCGGTCAGTTGTCGTTGAAACTTTATGTTTACTCTCCGAGAAACGTTTCAGACACCTCATCAAGCAGCAACAAATGTAACGATTGAAAAGAAGGAAGCAGAACACGACGAACGAAATGCATTGCAATTTTTATTGACGACTTGGTTTTTGGCGCTTATTTTCGCAAAAAACCTGAACTCGACTGTTAAAATTTGAATTGCGCGCTTGCGTCGAATTTCTAGTTGTTGATAGCGTGGTATCTTATACATATATATATATCGTATATATGAACTCTCAAAAAAAATGCAAAAATTTCCAGGCTCACGAGGAGCTCCGCTTCGCCGACGCCGTCCAAAAACGATCGACAGTTTTGAACCGAAACGAGCAGGAATCGGAGGATGAGGATCACTTTTTGGAGAGTTTGAGGCTATCCGAAGAGAGCATTGTTCGTTTCATTTCTTTTTTTCTTTTAGAATTGCCTTACAATCATCATTGAAACAGAAGTTTCGCCGCAAAGTTTAAGCAGAGTTTATATAAAGTTTGCCTGAAAGTTTGCGTAAACTCTGCTCAAGATTTGTTCGTTTAAAAGTTGCTCAAACTCAGTTTGAAGTCGGGCAAACTTTAAGCAACGTTGAAGCACAATTTGAATTTTGTTTTTCAGCACCACCACCGTCAGAGAATTCTCGACATCCAAGGACAAATAATCGACAAAAAAGAGAGCATTTCGAGTCTGGAGATTTTGGTGAAAATGGACGAGAGCCGCTGAGATTCTAGTGCATTTCATCGGGTGTTTGTGTATTTGAAAAATGTATGTTTTTTTTCTGTTTCACTGTTTTGTCTCTTCCAATAAATACATGTATATTTATTGTGATAATGGTTCATGTAAACTTTGAAAAGTTTATATACCATGGCCGTGGGAGAAGCGGATTTTACTCTGATTCTTGAACTAAAAACACAAATTTTGAAGAGGATTTTCTTCGAAAATCATCACGAACACCTGCAATTTTTTTCAGATTTTTCAGAACAAATTATTGTCCGCCCGCCCATCTCCCCCCTGACGATTACACATCGAGCACGGAAGACTGAATGAAAAAAATGCAGCCTATTAGTTTTGATGATTTCGAACTTTAAAAGATGTACTAAAGCCCTCTGATTTTTCCGACATCCCCATTATTTTTCCCTTGTAATTGTACTAATCAACGCGTCTTGACGTCTAGTTTCTTGAAAAGAAAAGCGAGGAGACGAAGTCGCTGGTTACAGTTTTGACCGATCTAGGGACCGTGATCCGACCTGGGACCAATCGGATCACTCTGAAATTTTTATGCGTCCGCGAAAACTCGTTTTAAAAAGACAATGTTTGGAAGTTCATAATTGATGACGTATCATTTAAAAATAGTTTGTAATAGCTTATGACTAATCTCTGAAAGTGAGTAATCTGAAATCGCGGAACAAATTGTATAAATTGAGCGAATTTTGAGAGCGCCGAAGCTTTTGTCACACTTTTTCTCAGAAGTACTGTTTTGAAAGGCTGCTCAAGTATTATCCTTTTCATTTTTGCAGTGACACATTTCTCTTTCTAACTCGGGTTTTTTTTGGAGCGGAAAACAGCAATTTCGAACGGCGACAATCATCACGAACACTTGTGATTTTCCCCATTTTTCCGTACCTTTTTTCCAACGTTCTCAGGTAATTTCGGGCAAGTTGCCGCCAAAATCGGCAAGTTGCCGTCGTAAACGGGATGGATGCTGTGCGACCGGGGCACCGCTGCCGTTTTTTGGGGCAACTTGCCGAAAAGGGCACGGCAACTTGCCGCAATCGGTACGGCAACTTGCCGCAAAGGGCACGGCAAGATGCCCCTTCCCCCGTGCTTCTACCCTTCTTCTTGTCGCTCCTTCTACCCTGCTTCTTTGCTTCTCAAAAGAAAACAATGTATTAATCAACGAAAACAACAAAGGGAACAATTGAATGGAAAAGGGGAAAAAATGGAGGATAAAAACAAACTTGCAAGATCTACTCAGATGTTTCGACGAGTTCGGCGAATGTTTGCTCTTTTCGCTGGAGCAGCTTGCCCGTCGGTCTCTTCCTCCTCCTTGTCCTTTTGCGAGTTGTGACGGCGGCGTCCGGAATTCTTTCCATTATTTTTCTTCGGCAAAGAGGCTTCTTTTGAAATGATCGTTTCGCCGAGTTTGTCCGAATCGTCGACACTCGTTGGAGCTTCAGTGAGAACGGCGACATTGGTGTCGTGAAACTCTTGTCTCTCGGTGTCCTCTGTTTCTTGAGCCGTCAATTGATACGGCATCAACTGATGCGAAAAAGATGTCGACGGAGTCGTCGTGTGGCGCTGCAAAAGGAGAAAACATAACAGTGTTAGAAAACAGTAATATTACCTTGCGATATACGAATCGACCGTACTTTTGACCAATGACAGGTGGCAGAAATGTGCCGTGGCGTAGTTCAACTCTGAAAAGAAATCATATTTTCAAAAAGAAATAGAAAGATTGACTCACAAAGCCTGCTTGAGAGCAGTTCTGAAAGTGGTTGTTAGGTAACTGTATCGTGTGTGAGCAAGAAATTTGAAATATTTTTTTCTTGCTGTTGTCGTCTCCGTATGACTGCAGGCATTTCAATGTGCTGAATTCGTCTCGGTAAGGAGCATCCAACTCCCCGTAGTCGAGTCCGAAAAAAATTGGAGGAAGAGGTCTAAAAAAAGAAACGTGGTGAAATCGATAAACTTATGAGAATCGGAAGATAACTAACCCCTAAGCGTGACATACAAGTCATCCGGGAAGTCGCGTCGGTTTGGCCCCTTCGAGTTTTTCTCATTCGGCAGAATCCACGTTACCGACTGAATGTCGCACTGCTGAGTGCAACTCTAAAAATAGATTCAATTTGATATTTGATAACACTTAAAATGTGACATACTCGTGAAAGTACGTGGAATAGCATCGACTTGAGACGAATGTGAGCAGACTGATTTGATGGGTTTATTCCGAGGAGGCTGATTTGCTCGCCCTAAAAACGATGTTCTGCATTCGTATAAATACGGATCCAGCTCACGGAGAATGGTGGCTCTCGTGGGTAATGGAAGATCCCGGTAACATTGTAGACAGCGCCACCTACGTCTCTGAACTCTTCACAGTTCTTCGCTGAGAGGTTGATCACCTTCTGATGTTGCGCACAGATGAAATGGTTCTGAAATTGTTATTTTATTTGGTTTAGATGGTTTAGTAACCAGAAGTTGTTGTCCACAGGTCATAATCTGATGCCAATCGGGGTTCATCAAATCGGGCTCGCCGATAATCATTGGACCAGTGAACTTGTAGGCATTCTTCGCGAGAAACGACTCGATTTCCTCTTTAACTTTTGGAGTTCTCGTTCGGTACGCTTCATGAACTATTCGGCCTGCCTTCTCCACGTTAAACAAGCCATTTTCCAAGCAGGAGGATAGCATTACTGCAAAGTAACCGTGTATTGTGTACAGTGGAATGATTATGGCTCACCAGAAATCGGTGTCTTCTCAGAATGGGACAGAATCGATGAATACTGGTCTCTTCGATCGAAATGGGGGTGAGGCCCGTATCCGTACACTCCACGTGGCATTTGTTCTCCAGGGTATTCGGCGGTAATCGCAGGGAACGAGTTGGGAGAGTCTCGGATGAGCTGGGAAGATGTTCCTAGTCTCGGTGCTTCGTCGCGATGCTCGATTTGGAAGCCTCTTCCACCACCGTCGAAGTATCTTGGCGTTTCGCGTGGCCCTGAAATAATTGCTACTCATTTCATGTTAATTTGAACAGAAATTAGTACCATCCAGAAGATGTACATTACGAAGTGGAGTGAGAGAAGTGAAGGATGATTCCATCTGAATTGTTCTGTGAGAAGACAGCGCCATAATTAGAAAAGAGATGTGCGGGATTGACCCGTGAACTAGTAAGAAAAGATTGCTATTATCGATACATTTTTACATATAAATCATTCTCAACCCTCACCAAATATGCGGGGGAAAGCAGAGAGTCGAACGGAACCACTGATAGTGAATAACCAACAACTTTCGCAAAAGTAGTGGGGAAATTAGTACAAAGGGTGAGAAGATTAGATGAAGCCGGGGAAAGAGCGGAATTGTACAGGGAGGATAGAGTTTCGCGATAGCTTTCGGTTTCAAATTCTCGAGCAATTAGAAAGGGAACGTTAACAGAATTTGTGAAGATAATTTCGCAGTTGCCAAATCTGATGCTGTTGTCTGTCGGGTCGGTCCAACAAATGGTTGATTGATCAGTACTTCCGCTGCTCCAGTAGGCGGGTGCCGCCACAATAAATCGACCGGATCTGCTCACATACGACCCCCTCTTCCTGTAATGCACTGTTAATTCGCGAGCAGCAATTTACGAGCATTACCTTAATGTGCAATTATCTGGAAGAAGAAGTTGTCGTAGCAGCGCTCGGTGATGCGCCGTCAACTGTTCCCTTTGAATGACATTGGAACTGTGACGCACTTCGGGGCAACTGCAAAAATCACGTCGGCATTAATATGTTAACGTTTAAATTCACCTTTCGCGAGTGGTTTTCCTTGAGTTGCAAAAGTCCTTTTTCTTCTCCGAAGACAACGCCCATTCCAGATTATCCATGAGAAGAGCACAGTCTCGTCGTGCCATGTACCTGCAACAAGAAATGCAGTGACAGAGGTGGCGACAAAGTTTTCCCTTGTTATCAATAACTTCTCGCTGTTCGTAGATTGGTGATGAACGCTGGTCATTATTGTCTTATGTTCTCGTTCGTAAGGTTCAGTAGTATACAGCGGGCCAAATTCTTGCTCATGCTCGAGAACATGCTTGTAAAAAGACTGAAAAATAGCACGTGCCGGACGTGTTAATGTTGTTTCTTTCTTACATGCCACTTAATAGTGAGAGTTTCGGGCTCCAATTGCACATGTAGCTCGTACAAAGCATCCATCAGCAGTTTTTAATGCTCCAGGAGCTGCCAAGAGGTTCCCCAAGAACATCAACGAATGATAAATGGACAAGTAGAACACCTGCCACTCCTTGTTCACGAAGACATCTGACCAACCGACAACAGCGCATAGGAAAATGCTCATTTTGTCCATTTCTCGCCCAGTAAATTTGCTGGTTTTCGTGATTGACTGAAGATGAACGGGATCGTAAGTGTAAGGAGTTACACTTGCAAGTGAATCAATGACTGCCTCTCGTTTACCCGGGATAAGAAGGCATGATTTCCATCTATTCGGCTTCAGAAATTCTAAAAACGCGTTCTGCACTTTTCGTTTTGCAATTACTTTTTCAGTTACCGGATACGACATCTTTGCAAATTCCCAATGAGCGAACATGGAAAGGATCTATGCAAATCCTAGTAGGTTCCACGAAGTTGAAGATTTTGGGTACTGAAAAAGACATTATATGTGAGAGTTTTTCATTTAAAAACATATACCTTTCGGCTCCGTAAACCCATTCGTTCCGTTTCGAGCAGAATACAAAAATTGAATCGCCATCTCTCAGCTGGTGATCGAAAAAAAGTCGTTGTAGGAAACAGTACCGTTTTGTTTCTTTTTCCCAGTAGTTAAACATTTGGAGCAACCTTGCAGCTGATGCCAATTCGGTAGCATGCAAAGAGAGTGTTGTTCCTGTAAGTCAAGACGTTTTAGTAACTGTTGAGTCGCATACATAACTACTTTCATATCGGCCATATAGCCCATGATGACTATTCTGAATTCGAAACGTCTAGCCGATAAAGTGACGGAGATAGTTGTAGTGGTAACAGAACTGCAGGCACTGAAACTATTGAATCAGGATGCGGGGACGATGTGGTCAGTCTCACAGTTCGACAAACTCATCAACAAGATGCTTCTTTACGCCTCCATCTGCGAAAACAAGACCTACTAGAGACATAGACATTCCGGAAGCTTTGTCGTCTAGGTTGAGTCCTTCCAAACGCAAGAGAACGGGTGTAGCTTCTCGTCTGGAAATCATGCACCGGTTTTCGAATCTAATCTGATTTGTGGGCTCATAACTTACTTCGAAAGACGACGAAAACGTGCTGCATCAGAGGAGAGCGTGCATATCAAATTGACAACCCCTCTCTGCGACTCTTCCTGCGTTTCAATCATCTGCTGGTAACCACGAAAACGTCGAATGTCGTGCGGCTGGAAATCATTCTAAGACTATGTGGTGTAAATGAACATATCGCACTAATTTCACATACCGCGCCAGCTCTAATCCTGTCATGAGCGTTCAAAATGTCCACGCCTCTGTTTTTCAACACAAGTTCCAGTTGATTTTCGAATCGTGTGTGCAGAAAGGTGGCCGTCCCCAACAGAACGGACTGGTGCCTAGTAATAATTTTGTTCCCATAACTGGCTACGTAAATAGGAGAAGGAACATTACTCAAATGTCAACTGATTACCTGCGACATTGAACGCAACGATCACGCTTTCCTGCTTTTTCAACACCACACATGTTGCAGTAATACCGGATCGCCTTCACAAATCTTTTCTCTCTTTCTTTAATCCACTTGAGAACGTGTTTATGCTGAAAAACCGTCGCAAGTTCCGGCGGTAATCGATTTGAGATACTCACCGTTACAGACGACTCATGTCCATATATTATGCACATTAACGAGTCCATTCTTTTCATTGTGCCAGCCGAAATTCCTTCGTCGAGGTAGAAATTGACGTAAGCAATCAAACGATAGTCAACGGAGACTGATCGATCATCTTGCTCGCCTTCATTCGACGAAATATCCATTTGGTCCCAAATAGTGCGCTCAACGGTTTCTGCAAGGAAAACAATGGATTTATTCATGCGAGTTCATATTCGAACCTGGAAACTCATCGGTGTTTTCGCCGTCCGAGCTTGATAAAATCGAAGAATCCGATCGGCAGTTCACATCAATGCCTATAATTTCCTCATGGCCACCTTCCGATTCAGAAGAATCGTCGGACTCAGTTTTTTCTCCCGACAGACGAAAAAATGTTGAAAAGTCTGAAAACAAAGGTTCTACAGAAGAAAAACGTTTAAACACTTACTGTCCCCACGTCTTCTTCTCTTACGTCCTTCCATTTTTTCGTATTTACACTCGAAAATAGGGAATTTTTGAGAATAAACGTTTGAAAATTCAAATGCACAATTAGTGCGCCAGCACATCATCAGGTGCCAGCAGAGAACGCTTGCTTCTTTCTGGATACCCCAATCCCGGCCCCACCCATGCCCCCACCCATGCCCCCACCCATGTCGCGTTGCCCCATCCCCGCCCCGCTTGCTGCTCTCGTTCGTCCCTTCCCCTTTCTGGCTGCTGATTTCTGTCGCACGCCGGAGGCATGCTGAATCCATGCCCTATTCGTGCGCCACACTTGCCGCACCCATGCCCCACGGCAAGCTTGCCGTTTTCGGCGGCAACGTGCCTCTTCCCAGCCCTATCCGTGCCCTATCCTTGCCGAAAATTTCCTGAGTTTTTTTCGTTTTTCTCTCAATATTTCTGCGATAAGTCACTTCTCACGGACACGTTTTTGTTTTATTACAACTTTCAAATATGTTAAGAAGAATTGTTTCTCGCCTAAATTTCTCCAAGTTTGGCTACTGGCGTTGCTGTGTAATGCAAAAAATGGTCGAAGGCTCGCTTGTTGCGCTGGTGGCCGAGTGTTAAAATGCTTGCCTGTGGCGCACAAGGTGCGGGTTCGGTTTTGCACGGTCCGTTTTTCTTTTTGCTGCTCTCATCGGACATACAAAAAGATAGACTGACGCGTCTAGAAAGATTTTTGAAACTGTTCTACATTCTAGTGCTCATTGACCTTCAAAATCATCCGAAAATGGCGTTCAAAATAAAAATGTTGATCCGGATGATTCCCGACTACGTATGCTTCATTAGCAAATGGCTCCAGACAGGAACTGACTCACTTTTCTCACTTTTCGAGTGCATTTGCTCCCCGGAGCCCCGGAATGAGCTCATTCGGCTCATGTGATACATTTAAAGTTTGATATTGTCGCTTTCATCGAATCTCTTTCAGATATTATCCGCTTCCACAAAAGTATGGCCTTTTTCACCTTCAAATTTTTTCTCTCACTGGCCTATTGCATTCCCTCGTTCGCACTCTACACACTATTGATAATTATGCTGATTCGCAACTGGAAAGACTTTAATTCGGGCTTTTTTCGCATTGTCATCGCCGATTATTGCTTTGTGAGTTTGCCACAATTCTGCAAAATTCGCTCGATTTCTCATATCGACAATTGCAGAATCTGTTCACGTACCTCAACTCGATGGTGACCCTTCGAGTGCCAAACGGCACGTGTAAATCGTGTGCTCTAGCCGATTTTTTCGAGGATCTGGGAAAAGAGAATCAGAATAAGACTGCCGACTTTTTGTACATTTTCTATTTTTTCCACTTTGGAAACGCCTATTTTCAATACTCGATGACTACATTGATGTCTCTCAACAGAGCCACCTCCATCTTTTTCTATTTTTCCAATGAAAAGGTAGGCTGGGACGACGCGGAAATTTGTTGCAGACTTCTTGGGCTTGGACTGTAGTATGTTGGGTTCAGGCTCGGGACCAGATGATCTCGTACCCAATATACTAAGCCTAAGAAGTCTGCAAAGTTTGGGTCCGAAGCCTGGGCCGGCCTATTTGAAACTGACAAGACCGTAAACTTGCGCGGAAATTTGCAGATCTGGAAAGTGGTATTCCCAACGACAATCGGTCTAATGATCGTCATCGCCGTTTGGTTCACAAGGACTATTTTGGCGTCAGTGCCTTATTATATGTACAACGAATCGCTGGATATCTATTCGATCACTGCCGATACGGTAGGCGCCAGAGTTGAGCGGAAGAATTTTTATCTTTTTTAGAAAATTTTTTCATGGAATGTGATCAACTGACGAAATGTAGAGCAAAGTGAACTGTGCTCATAGAAAAATAATTGTTAATTTAGCGTTTCATACAAAAAATTTATTCGAGATGTTCCGTGAAAAAAGGGGGCTAACGGAACAACTCGAATAACTTTTTTGTATGAAAAGTCAAATTCACAATTATTTTTCTATGAGCAGAGTTCACTTTGCTATACATTTCGTCAGTTGATCACATTCCATGAAAAAATTTTCTAAAAAAGATAAAAATTCTTCCGTTGAGTTCATCTGCTCAACTCTGGTAGGCGCACGTTTTTCGGGGGGCATTTACAAGGGAACCTTTTAAGTGATTAAAGGAACCAGCCTAAACTAACGACACAGTTCGAGAGAGGGACTTTCAAAACCTATATTCCAGTTTTCAAAAGCTGCTTTCGAGACCTCTGAAATGCTGAAATTCCAGTCCGAAGTTTGACATTTCTTAACCATAGATTTCGCATTTTGATGGCGCGGCGACCCACCCTCACACCCTTGCCACGCGCCACGATTGTCACCGCCCGCAACACACCACGAAAATGTGGTCGAGTGGCGCAGGAGTTAACGGTGGGGATGAGAGGAATGTGGTCACGGGCTCGACTCCCTGGTTTTGCTTTTTCTTTTTTCTTTCTTTTTTTCATATATTTTTGACGAAATTGTTTTGAAATGTTGATTTTTGAAGGGATTAAAGTTGCCAACTGAAGTTCCTCATCGTGTATGCGGAAATTCTTCATCAACACATGAATCTTTTTTGCGATGGTTTTTTTCAGAACAGCGTTTGAGTGCAGTTGATTCTTTGATCCATAACTCGAAGGGGAATTTTTGTAGAGAATAATGCTCAACTACAAAGTTGATCAGCATGACATTTACTACAACTTTTCAGTTGACCACTTCTTTCTACAATTTTTTGTTTTTGAGATACAGGCTGTTGATTAAAAGTGGGTCGTATCACAAAAATCAGCAAGTTTTCAAAAAAGTTGTCAACTAAAAAAGTATGGAAAGTGTCTTCAGTAATGTTTCTTTAGTTGACGACTTTTTGATATCTCATTCAATTCGCGAGATACAGCAAGATTTTGTACTACCATCTTTAACAGCCTGTATCTCAAAAACAAAAAATTGTAGAAGGAAGTGGTAAACTGGAAAGTTGTTGTAAATGTCATGCTGATCAACTTTGTAGTTGAGCATTATTCTCTACAAAAATTCCCCTTCGAGTTATGGATCAAAGAATCAACTGCACTCAAACGCTGTTCTGAAAAAAACCATCGCAAAAAAGATTCATGTGTTGATGAAGAATTTCCGCATACACGATGAGGAACTTCAGTTGGCAACTTTAATCCCTTCAAAAATCAACATTTCAAAACAATTTCGTCAAAAATATATGAAAAAAAGAAAGAAAAAAGAAAAAGCAAAACCAGGGAGTCGAGCCCGTGACCACATTCCTCTCATCCCCACCGTTAACTCCTGCGCCACTCGACCACATTTTCGTGGTGTGTTGCGGGCGGTGACAATCGTGGCGCGTGGCAAGGGTGTGAGGGTGGGTCGCCGCGCCATCAAAATGCGAAATCTATGGTTAAGAAATGTCAAACTTCGGACTGGAATTTCAGCATTTCAGAGGTCTCGAAAGCAGCTTTTGAAAACTGGAATATAGGTTTTGAAAGTCCCTCTCTCGAACTGTGTCGTTAGTTTAGGCTGGTTCCTTTAATCACTTAAAAGGTTCCCTTGTTAGGCTAGTAAAACTTTGCAAAATGAAAACTTTGTAATTCGGCGGCGAATAGCAAAATCCGCGTCATCGTTATTCAGTTCAAAAAGTCAGGGTAATGTGCCGCTTCATGGAGAATGGAATGGGAAAAAATCGAGGAAAACGGAAGTGCATGCAGTTTTGAATGTTCAGGACATTCTGTCGGCGTACTGGAACGTCATCCGCTACATGGCTTTCGCCGTGCTCTCCTCTGTGATTCTCAACACGAGTTCGGTGATGAAATTGAAATTGATGCAACAGAAGTTGTCGACGGTCGAGCGCAATTTGTTGTTCGCCACGATCACCTCGTCGTTTGTTCAGTGTGCCGCCGCTGCGAATACAGTGAACTTTCTAAAACAACCTTAACTTTTAAATTAAATTTTTTCAGTTTCTACTTCAATTGGACCTCAAGCGGACCACTTTATGGGGACAATTCGCGCAACTAATGCTGCCATTTTCCAGCGATTTTTTGACAATCAGTCAGCCGTATATATTGATTTTTTTGAGCTCAAAGGCAAGTTTACGAGGTTTCTCTTTAACTTTAAACATTTTTTCAGGTCCGTACCGCGATGGCTAACATGTATTTCTCGAAAAATTCCAAAGTCAATGTAATGTTCACTAAAACCAATGGTAATTTATTGATTTTTTTAGAAAGTCTTTGTTCTTCAAACATTTTCAGAATGAAACAAATTTTAGGACCACACTCGGCATCCAGATCTTCACAAATCCATCAAAATACTCGGCTCTAATTTTTTTTGGCTTATTGAATAAAAACATTGATGTTTTCCCGTTGTTTCTCACAAATCACCAGCTAAAAATACTCGTTTCTTTAATTTTGCACTTTACGCTTCATTTCGGCGATCTTTTTTTGCGAAAAGAAGACATTTCTCACCTTTTGCCCCACCGGCTTTTTTTTTCTGATCCAGACGAACGCGTTTCCCATGAACTTTTCCTAAAAAAAACCGAGAGAAAAACTTCCTGAGAATTCGAAGAGTTTTGAAATTTCTCACACTTTTTCGAGCCATTTCCCAGTATTTCGCCGCCACGCATTTCTCGTTCATTTTCAGCCGGATTTCTTCCAAATATCGTTCGTTTCCTCGAAACGATGGCGTTCTTCAATTTCAAAATGCTCTTCTCACTTTCCTATTGCGTTCCCTCGTTCGCACTCTACACGCTATTGATCATTATGCTGATTCGGAGCTGGAAAGACTTTAATTCGGGCTTTTTTCGCATTGTCATCGCCGATTATTGCTTTGTGAGTTTTCGAGGTTTCTCTTGGGACCGCGCCGAACAAAAGAAGTTTCCAGAACCTATTTACGTTCGTCAATTCGATGGTGACGCTTCGACTGCCAAACGGTACCTGCAAAGAGTGTCTCCTCGACAATTTGTTCTCGCAATTGGGCCCGAACAACCCGTACACCGTCTCGTTTTTGTGGATCAATTATTTTTTCCACTTTGGAAATGCGTATTTTCAATACTCAATGGTCACTTTGATGTCTCTCAACAGAGCCACCTCCATCTTTTTCTATTTTATCAATGAGAAGGTGAGCAGTTTGTTCATTCAAAAAATTGTGTTGTTTTCATTGCAGATCTGGGCGTTCGCATTGCCAATCTCATTGGGAATCGTCATTTTCATCACCGTTTTTTTCACTCGTGATGTTCTCGGATCGGTGCCCTATTTCGCTTATTATGAGTCTTTGGACATGTATTCGATCACATCCAACACGGTATTTTTTCAATAAAAGTCCCGCCGCGCTCTGTTCGAAACCTAATTTCTAGGCCGCGAAGTGATTTTCCACTGAAAATGTGGCCTAACTTTTCAAACTCGGCTCAACAGAGCGCAATTGCAGTCAAATAACGACATAATATTTTTTCCTCTCAAGTTTCCAGACCCCTTTTTTTTGCAGAACATATTGTCGGCCTACTACAACGTCATCTACTTCATGGCGTTCGCCGTGTCGGCCTCCGTCTTGCTCAACGTCATTTCGGTGATTCGTCTGAAAACAATTCAGAATAAAATATCGACAGTCGAGAGAAACCTACTAGTGGCCACCATTTTCTCGTCGATTATTCAATGCTTTGCCGCCATGAATACGGTAGATTGTTCTAACGTTTTTTTTTCAATTTAACCATTTTTAAGTTCATCCTTCAAATCGATCTGAAAAAGACGACAATTTGGGGTCAGGCCGCCCAAGTTTTACTCCCGTTTTCCAGCGATTTTCTGACAATCGCACAGCCGTACATTTTGATTTTTTTGAGCTCAAAGGTGAGTTTTTGAATATGGAAAAGTTATTAAACGTGTCGTGTCGTTTTCAAAGTCCCAAATTCTGATAAAATGTCTCCGAATTTTGCAAAAAAAAAAAAAGAGACTACGAGAAGCGCACACGGTTATCGATTTTTCGTGCGGCACTCGGACACGGCGTGCTGAAGCGTATGTGCGAGAATAAGAATCATGAGTGTTGCTCCGACGGCACGCATCAAAAAAAGGCTTGGGGGAGCGTGCCGCCGACCGGCGAAACGAGCAGCCGACAGTTCACGGGCCTAACTTTCTCCCTCTCCTCACCGCGTCCCTCGCGATACGCTTCAGCTCGCCGTGTCGGATTACGACATTTTCGTGTCGTTTTTCATCGAGGACGCCGTGTGAAAAATGTTGTAGACGTCTATAAAGTATCGTTTAGGTCCGTGAAAAATTTCTGCAAATGTACTGGAAAACCGGCACAAAAGTCAACCAAATGGGCTTCACAAAGACGAATGGTAGGAAGGAAACAGTTCAATTGTCTTTATTTTCAAATAATATTTTTGAGGTGCTGCCAACTCGACATCGAATTCTCAAGTTACTCGATTCTAAGATTATATTGTCTTTTCGAATAAAATGTTTTATTTGTCCATAAATTCTGAAAAAAAGAAAGAAAGAATTCGGAGCGGAATCGAAAGCGAATTTGGGAAGTCTTTACAAATTTATGCATTTTTTGTACAGTACATGGAAGAGGAACAGCTAGGCGCGGAGGGGGTGGGGGGAGGACTAATTTTTTTGGGTTTTTACGTCATATTGGACAATTAGTACAGTCTTTTTACACAATTTTACAAAGCAAAAACATTGTCTAACAATCTAGGCTTTATGGCGAAGTTGAGCACGAATTTCGCTGCGTTTCAGGAACCAATCATCGTACGGCTGCGACGGTTTTCGGGCCGGTTTCGGTGTGGTGGGTCCTGCAATGAAAAGGGTTACTGTGGAAATGTTTCACATAAAAAACAGTCGGCAACACGTCAGTGTCGTTGGTTGGAGCGCACTTTTGGGACCATGGTTCAGACCGATCCGACTATCCGGATCCACATATCTCGGGACAGGGCAATCGGATCGGTCTGAAACTCGGACCCAACATACATCAACTCAAGGGCAAGAAGCCTGCAAAGACTGGGTCCGATCGGAACATTGCAAGTGATAGGGATGCAGGACAGGCGCCTGACATCGTCTGTTCTGCATCCCTAGCAAGTGGGTCAAAAGTCAAGCCCTGAAAAATTCTGAAAACATTACTGTAGTTGGGCGCTTTGCACGGAAGCGGAGCCTTGTAGCCAATGTGTTTTCGGCGGGGAGTGAATTTCGAAAAATGGCGCGATTCGCATTGGTCCGTCGGTTTTGGCATGGTTCTCATCGACTCGCTGGCTTTCTGGAAATTGAAAATTTCTTTAAAGGCTAGTTCTTCGGTCCCCCAAATGCTTTCCAATCTTACCTTTCCACAAATTTCCGGCTTCTTCTCCTTCTTATTAAATTTCTCTCCACTCTTCCCGCGGCTCTTCGTTTTTCCCTTGTAAACGGCGGCGGGCGTGTAGGCCAGATGATTGCGAATCACCGACGGCACCATTTTCTTTCGCTGACAGCTCCAACGGCTCTCGTTGACGTGCACCAAACACGGCTGATGGCGTGGCACGAAACTATCGACTTTTTTGCGAGGCGTGAAGGGAGCCGGCGGGATTGGCGCCAGCGCGGCCGACGACGACGATTTCGGTGCGTTATAATCGGAAAATGTGGTCCAGCACGGATAGTACTTCGTGCGGTCCGTAATGTTTGGGAGGCCCGAATTCGCCCACGCACACAGCGTCAACGTTTCGGCCAATCTTGGGTCCGGAATCGCTGGTTTGTTATCGATTTTCGGCGGTTTGTATGGTTCATCGAAGATGTTGATGAGCGGCTGCAAAAATGTGTTTAATTTTTGGAGGAAATCTCGTTAAAATGCTCTTACCGCCGGTTCATCATCATCGATTTTCGGCGGTTTGTAGGGTTCATCGAAGACGTTCACGTACTCGTTGGTGACCGGCTGAGAAGAAAAAACGTTGATAGATTAGCGCCAACATTATTGCGATTTTTTTTACGACTTTTCTTTAAAACGGGAATAATTTTAGGATTTTTCGAAAATTTTATTGAACACATTTTTAAGGTAAAGTGGGGGATTTACGTGCCAAAAGTTCCAAATTTGACAAGAATAGTCGGTCTGTCGTGTGTGTACTTCACTCGATGTTTGAAAAATTCAGCGAAAATCGCGGAACGCCTTTGATTAAGAAAACACTTGAAAAATGTTTACCGGAAATGGCGGCGGTGTATTCTCAATGTTCGGCGGTTTGTACGGTCCTACACGTTCGTCCAGGCACTCAATGGTGAGTGGCTGCAAATATTTCTTTTCCTGACTCTTCTTTTTCGAGAAATTCACCTCTTCCTTGAACTGTTTCTCGAGACGTTCCAACGGCTCCCATCGGCTCAACAGCCTGAATCGACTCAGCCGGTCATAGCGCTGCGGGCTATGACCTTTGCAAACGTCAAAGGGCTCGGCAAGACGGGCCTGGTAGGTGAGCACCCAACTGGTGAACACGTCGGCCACCGGGAACAGCAGCACGAACAGCGAAATGCAGAGAGCGATGCGGCCGAACGGACGCGGGTGCAGCTCTGAAAACAAACAAGAAATGCCATGAACCAGTGACCGTTATGCCTCCAAAGTACATCCGTACTCACCATCGCATTCCTCCTCCTCTTGCTGTTCGATTTCGTGTTCCCAGTCCTCCTCCTTGCACTTTCTCGCCGCTTCCTTATCAGAATCCGTCATCTCCTCCTCTCCCTCCGACTCGGATTCTTCCTGAATCTCCAAATCCGAATCCTCGTCCGATTCGATTGATTCCTCGACCTCTTGCTCAGCCTCCAAATCCGACTCGTCACTCACATCCGATTCAGAATCTTCGGAATCCGGATCGGATTCAGAATCCGAGTGCTCCGAAGCGGTGTCGTCGTCCGAAGTGGGCGGCTCTTCGACTATCGGCTCCGCACTTTTTTCCTCATTCTCGTCCTCCTCCTCGGCTTCCGTCGAGTTCAGAGAGAAATCGTCATCTGGAAATTGAAAAAATTGGTTTTGTTCGAGACAAATTCTCTGTTCAGGATTGGAATTTGTGCTGAATCTAAAAGCAATATTTTGAACTTTTGAACCAGAGCTTACAATGCATAACTTTGAACCAGAGCTGCGCCAAGTGACGTTTTCATGAATTGAGCACTTTTTCTCTGATGCACCAATGATAAATTATCGAATTTTCGTCGCCAATTTCGCAAAAAACACCAAATTTGTTGTGGCTTTGGCGGGGCGCCCTTGTGCCCATTGTAAGCTTTGCAGACACGGTGATTTTTCTTGGGGGGATTCATTCTCTTCGTGAATGCGTTCATTATGATTGAAACCAGTGTGCCTTACCGAAATTTTTTTTACCGAAAGAAGTGAATTTCGGTAAATTTTCGGTAAAAACGTTTTTACCGAAAGAGTTTCGGTAAATTTACCGGTAAATTTACCGGTAAATTTATCGGTAAATTTTCGGTAAATTGTTTCGAAAATTTACCGAAACTCTTTCTGTAAAAAAAAGTTTTACCGAAAATTTACCGACAATTTACCGAAATTTTTACCGGTAAATTTACCGAAACCCTTTCGGTAAGGCACACTGATTGAAACCCAAAAAATCTAGTGAAATGAGTCAGTATTCGTCCGACGGCACGCACGGAAAAAGCGTGGAGAGCGTGCCGCCGACAGTTCACGGGACAATTTCTTCCTTGTCTCACTGCGGCCCCACAAAAAAAATCACCGTGAGAGACCGTTTCAAAAATGCTATAACTACTTATCGAAAGCTGCAAAGTTTGTTAAAAATAGTTCACCTTCCTCAACGAGAGACCACGAATCAGTGGAGGTCTCACTGTCTCGACGTTCGCGACGAAACATCGAAGCCACTTTGTTGCTTATCGACATTATTATGCAGTTGTCAAACTACCCAAGTTGGAATTTGTGAGACTGCAATAATATTGAACTTTGTTTTCGAAAAGCGAGCATGAATACAACTGAATGGAATTCAAATTGTTGAGTAGTGTTTTAAAAGTTTGCATTTTGACACACTTGGCCTAGAAAACTCCGTCGGAACCTAGGCCACGTTTGCAAATTTGCGACTCTCAGCGCTTTTTCCCCGCGTTTTTTGGAACAGATCAAGGTGTTGTTTGAATTAAAATCGCTTTAAAAATTGAGTCCGTCTCTAAGAAATACGTAGATTGTAAAAAATCTTTAAAAATGTGCGAAACGACCACAAAAATAAAGTCATTCTTCGCACAAAAACGGTTATATTTATATGAGCCGATTTTTCTCGTGAAAGCGACAGTGTAATATCGTCGGAAAGTTACTGCGCAGTACGCAGACGAGGAAAAAAAAGGAAAGAGAAAGAGTCATGTGACAGAACAGAGAAAGGTCACTTCTTTGTGTTTTATCGGCTGCCAGAGACTCGTTTGCCACAAGCTTTCTGTCCTTGTAGGGAAAAAAAGAGAGAGAGAGAGAAAATGAAACGGGCGGCGCGCAGGGTCACATGGACGACGAGTATGGAAAGGGAAAGAATCAGGTGATGTGGGATCACAATGGAACTGGAAACAATTGCATTTACCAACTAGCTAGCCTAATGTTGTTTGGTGAGAATTTCGGCGAGAAAAAGGAACAATAGAACGGTTACTGAACCCTAACTGGGCAAGTCTATGTATTTAGAAAGCACTGAGAAAATTTCGACCGGTTGCAATTGCGAAACACGATATTTGAGCAGCAGTATAGAAAATGTAGTAGTATAGAAAGTGTTGACGCTATTACACCTTTTTTGCCCAAACATTGCCCAACTTGATTTTCTTCAGTTTCCGATCATTTTTGAACATTTACAACTCCATTTTGTGTCTTAATTACCAGAAAATGAGTTATTTTCGAAAAAAGTCATTTTTAGGTCAAAATGCCTTTAGACCATTTTGCCCATTTTTCATTTTTCAACATTTTTCGAATATTTTTGGTGTTATAAATGAAGAATATTAATCTGCGAACAGATATGAAGCCATTGACAAATCTTGATCTCGAAGAGCTCGTGAAGGAGTTGAAAAATAAAACATTTCCGCGGTGTTTTTCATGAGAGACGCTCTCCCAGATAAAAATACATTCCCAGGAAGTTGAAATTGTGAATCTTGATTCTTCGAATAGTAAGGGCACTCATTGGGTTTGTTATTCAAAAATAAAAAATAAAAGTTATTACTTCGATTCCTTTGGATTAGATCCACCTCATGAAGTTGTCAATTATTTAAAAAATAATGGTAAAGAAAAAGAAGTAATTGAATGCTCCACATTTCAAATACAAAAATTTGGTACACACATTTCGCTCCTCGAACCCCAGTCTCTACTTTAAACTTTTCAACGTTTACGTCAGACCCATTCTCGAGTACGGCTGTGAACTTTTCCATCCCTCATCGACATCCCTCTCCAGCAAATTAGAGTCTCCCCTTAGATTTTTCAGTAGAAGAGTCTTCCAAAGATGTAACATGCGGTTCTCCTCCTATAGCGACCGTCTCAGTCAATCTAATTCAAAATCGATATTCCACAGAAGGGTTCTTCTTATTCTCAGAACATTCCACAACATAATCTCGCACAAGTACCATTTCCCCTCCCTAAGCATGTTCCTCAAACCCGGCGTCTCCCCCCGTCACCCGTACCTTCTATCCTCCGTTGGCCTACCCCATGACTCTTTCTTACATACCCATCTTGCCCTTTGGAACCGAGTGGCCAAGTTGTTTCCCGAAAGACTGTCCTCTGAGGCGTTCGCGGCGCGCATCGAGAAGATCCCCCCTAGCTTTTTGTATTCTAACTGACCTCTGGCTACTGCCGGCCAATGGTCATGTCAAGCCATTGTTCCTTCCCCCACCCACATTCCCCCTCTTTTTTCTCTTCTTTCTTTTTTGTTGTAATTTTACTCCTAGGTGGCTGAAGAGAATAAATGTGTTATTATTATTATATTTGTGGTTATTTCTGTCTTCTAGTTTTGAAAATGCTTGGAACATGTGATTTTCAAAAAGTCGTGTTATCTTTAATTTAAATTTAGTTGAGTATCAGTTTTAATCTCATATTCTTCATGAGCGATTAAAATAAATAAATAAATAATTTTTAAAGAGGATAATGTTCGATTGAAGTAGTCTAATTGTCTCTATCCAGGCGTGTTTAGAGTGTGAGAGAAGGAGACTTTCACTTTCCATCTAAAATTGGGTCGGCAGTGAGCGAAAAATAGGTCGATCGAATGTCGCCTTCTTTTTCCTTCCTTCCTTTAGTATTTATCTCCACACGTATTTCTCTCTCAATGCAATAAAATACACTACATATTTTCAAATGAAGAAGACTATGTTGATTACACTCATCGTCTGTCTCTGTCTTGGGACCAATGCACATTCAGGTATGACTTCCTTAATAGTTAGAATAGATGATTGTGCAGATGCATATGCCATGTTTTTGTCTGAACATGCATAGTATGTATAATAATAAACAACTTTAGACAACCTCGAAGTCGCCAACAGTTCTGCTTCAAGCTCAGCTCCGAATACACCGCAAAGAATAACGAAAGCATTTTGCGACAACGACGATGAGTTGGCCAAGATCTCGTGTATGAGCGATAGTGATCACGAACAGATTTGGGGTGGAATTGTTAAACATGGACTAGCCCGGGTTCTTAATGGTTTGGTGATAAGAGACGCGCTGGAGCTTATTGCGAAAGAGGAATTGCGCAAGGCTCTGAACTTACCACCGCCACGCCCTTGGGCACCCTATAACTCCACAAAACCTAGTGACGCAGAACTTGCGTCGGCACCGACTATCGAGGCTTACTTCAATTTAAAGGAACCGAGACCAAAAACTCACAGCCTTGATAGCTACTACTTCTATGAACACAATTTTCCTCCTGCTATTGAGTTTCTGAACAAGCGAGTCCCAGTAATTCGCACTGTTTTTAGGTGTAGATTTGAAAATAAGCACCCGCTTGATGCAGCAGGAGCGACAGATAGGCAAACAATTGATCGCATGATTGCTAAGTTTTCCGGGATAGATACTATAGTAGATCGTGTGAGTCAGCGAATGTTTTATGAATGCTATGAGGATTAGTTTTTAGAATATTTTGTATAATTATTCTTTTTAACGTTGTTATAAGACATTCGCATGATTAGTATTTTTTTTATAATAATTTTTTAAGTATCTCTTATATGTACCTTGTCACTAATTTTTCGCTCACTGCCGACCCAATTTTAGATGGAAAGTGAAAGTCTCCTTCTCTCACACTCTAAACACGCCTGGATAGAGACAATTAGACTACTTCAATCGAACATTATCCTCTTTAAAAATGATTTATTTATTTATTTTAATCGCTCATGAAGAATATGAGATTAAAACTGATACTCAACTAAATTTAAATTAAAGATAACACGACTTTTTGAAAATCACATGTTTCAAGCATTTTCAAAACTAGAAGACAGAAATAACCACAAATATGTGTACCAAATTTTTGTATTTGAAATGTGGAGCATTCAATTACTTCTTTTTCTTTACCATTATTTTTTAAATAATTGACAACTTCATGAGGTGGATCTAATCCAAAGGAATCGAAGTAATAACTTTTATTTTTTTATTTTTGAATAACAAACCCAATGAGTGCCCTTACTATTCGAAGAATCAAGATTCACAATTCCAACTTCCTGGGAATGTATTTTATCTGGGAGAGCGTCTCTCATGAAAACACCGCGGAAATGTTTTATTTTCAACTCCTTCACGAGCTCTTCGAGATCAAGATTTGTCAATGGCTTCATATCTGTTCGGAGATTAATATTCTTAATTTATAACACCAAAAATATTCGAAAAATGTTGAAAAATGAAAAATGGGCAAAATGGTCTAAAGGCATTTTGACCTAAAAATGACTTTTTTCGAAAATGACTCATTTTCTGGTAATTAAGACACAAAATGGAGTTGTAAATGTTAAAAAATGATCGAAAACTGAAGAAAATCAAGTTGGGCAATGTTTGGGCAAAAAAGGTGTCCTAGCGTCAACACTTTCTATACTACTCACTTGGCCTAGAAAACTCCGTCGGAACCTAGGCCACGTTTGCAAATTTGCGACTCTCAGCGCTTTTTCCCCGCGTTTTTTTGGAACAGATCAAGGTGTTGTTTGAATTAAAATCGCTTTAAAAATTGAGTCCGTCTCTAAGAAATACGTAGATTGTAAAAAATCTTTAAAAAAATGTGCGAAACGACCACAAAAAAATAAAGTCATTCTTCGCACAAAAAAACGGTTATATTTATATGAGCCGATTTTTCTCGTGAAAGCGACAGTGTAATATCGTCGGAAAGTTACTGCGCAGTACGCAGACGAGGAAAAAAAAAGAAAGAGAAAGAGTCATGTGACAGAACAGAGAAAGGTCACTTCTTTGTGTTTTATCGGCTGCCAGAGACTGGTTTGCCACAAGCTTTCTGCCCTTGGAGGGAAAAAAAGAGAGAGAGAGAGAGAAAATGAAACGGGCGGCGCGCAGGGTCACATGGACGACGAGTATGGAAAGGGAAAGAATCAGGTGATGTGGGATCACAATGGAACTGGAAACAATTGCATTTACCAACTAACTAGCCGAATGTTGTTTGGTGAGAATTTCGGCGAGAAAAAGGAACAATAGAACGGTTACTGAACCCTAACTGGGCAAGTCTATGTATTTAGAAAGCACTGAGAAAATTTCGACCGGTTGCAATTGCGAAACACGATATTTGAGCAGCAGTATAGAAAATGTAGTAGTATAGAAAGTGTTGACGCTATTACACCTTTTTTGCCCAAACATTGCCCAACTTGATTTTCTTCAGTTTCCGATCATTTTTGAACATTTACAACTCCATTTTGTGTCTTAATTACCAGAAAATGAGTTATTTTCGAAAAAAGTCATTTTTAGGTCAAAATGCCTTTAGACCATTTTGCCCATTTTTCATTTTTCAACATTTTTCGAATATTTTTGGTGTTATAAATGAAGAATATTAATCTGCGAACAGATATGAAGCCATTGACAAATCTTGATCTCGAAGAGCTCGTGAAGGAGTTGAAAATAAAACATTTCCGCGGTGTTTTCATGAGAGACGCTCTCCCAGATAAAATACATTCCCAGGAAGTTGGAATTGTGAATCTTGATTCTTCGAATAGTAAGGGCACTCATTGGGTTTGTTATTCAAAAATAAAAAATAAAAGTTATTACTTCGATTCCTTTGGATTAGATCCACCTCATGAAGTTGTCAATTATTTAAAAAATAATTGTAAAGAAAAAGAAGTAATTGAATGCTCCACATTTCAAATACAAAAATTTGGTACACATATTTCGCTCCTCGAACCCCAGTCTCTACTTTAAACTTTTCAACGTTTACGTCAGACCCATTCTCGAGTACGGCTGTGAACTTTTCCATCCCTCATCGACATCCCTCTCCAGCAAATTAGAGTCTCCCCTTAGATTTTTCAGTAGAAGAGTCTTCCAAAGGTGTAACATGCGGTTCTCCTCCTATAGCGACCGTCTCAGTCAATCTAATTCAAAATCGATATTCCACAGAAGGGTTCTTCTTATTCTCAGAACATTCCACAACATAATCTCGCACAAGTACCATTTCCCCTTCCTAAGCATGTTCCTCAAACCCGGCGTCTCCCCCCGTCACCCGTACCTTCTATCTTCTCTAGGCCTACCCCATGACTCTTTCTTACATACCCATCTTGCCCTTTGGAACCGAGTGGCCAAGTTGTTTCCCGAAAGACTGTCCTCTGAGGCGTTCGCGGCGCGCATCGAGAAGATCCCCCCCCCTAGCTTTTTGTATTCTAACTGACCTCTGGCTACTGCCGGCCAATGGTCATGTCAAGCCATTGTTCCTTCCCCCACCCACATTCCCCCTCTTTTTTCTCTTCTTTCTTTTTTGTTGTAATTTTACTTCTAGGTGGCTGAAGAGAATAAATGTGTTATTATTATTATATTTGTGGTTATTTCTGTCTTCTAGTTTTGAAAATGCTTGAAACATGTGATTTTCAAAAAGTCGTGTTATCTTTAATTTAAATTTAGTTGAGTATCAGTTTTAATCTCATATTCTTCATGAGCGATTAAAATAAATAAGTAAATAATTTTTAAAGAGGATAATGTTCGATTGAAGTAGTCTAATTGTCTCTATCCAGGCGTGTTTAGAGTGTGAGAGAAGGAGACTTTCACTTTCCATCTAAAATTGGGTCGGCAGTGAGCGAAAAATAGGTCGATCGAATGTCGCCTTCTTTTTCCTTCCTTCCTTTAGTATTTATCTCCACACGTATTTCTCTCTCAATGCAATAAAATACACTACATATTTTCAAATGAAGAAGACTATGTTGATTACACTCATCGTCTGTCTCTGTCTTGGGACCAAAGCACATTCAGGTATGACTTCCTTAATAGTTAGAATAGATGATTGTGCAGATGCATATGCCATGTTTTTGTCTGAACATGCATAGTATGTATAATAATAAACAACTTTAGACAACCTCGAAGTCGCCAACAGTTCTGCTTCAAGCTCAGCTCCGAATACACCGCAAAGAATAACCAAAGCATTTTGCGACAACGACGATGAGTTGGCCAAGATCTCGTGTATGAGCGATAGTGATCACGAACAGATTTGGGGTGGAATTGTTAAACATGGACTAGCCCGGGTTCTTAATGGTTTGGTGATAAGAGACGCGCTGGTGCTTATTGCGAAAGAGGAATTGCGCAAGGCTCTGAACTTACCACCGCCACGCCCTTGGGCACCCTATAACTCCACAAAACCTAGTGACGCAGAACTCGCGTCGGCACCGACTATCGAGGCTTACTTCAATTTAAAGGAACCGAGACCAAAAACTCACAGCCTTGATAGCTACTACTTCTATGAACACAATTTTCCTCCTGCTATTGAGTTTCTGAACAAGCGAGTCCCAGTAATTCGCACTGTTTTTAGGTGTAGATTTGAAAATAAGCACCCGCTTGATGCAGCAGGAGCGACAGATAGGCAAACAATTGATCGCATGATTGCTAAGTTTTCCGGGATTCATACTATAGTAGATCGTGTGAGACAGCGAATGATTTATGAATGCTATGAGGATTAGTTTTTAGAATATTTTGTATAATTATTCTTTTTAACGTTGTTATAAGACATTCGCATGATTAGTATTTTTTTTATAATAATTTTTTAAGTATCTCTTATATGTACCTTGTCACTAATTTTTCGCTCACTGCCGACCCAATTTTAGATGGAAAGTGAAAGTCTCCTTCTCTCACACTCTAAACACGCCTGGATAGAGACAATTAGACTTCTTCAATCGAACATTATCCTCTTTGAAAATTATTTATTTATTTATTTTAATCGCTCATGAAGAATGAGATTAAAACTGATACTCAACTAAATTTAAATTAAAGATAACACGACTTTTTGAAAATCACATGTTTCAAGCATTTTCAAAACTAGAAGACAGAAATAACCACAAATATGTGTACCAAATTTTTGTATTTGAAATGTGGAGCATTCAATTACTTCTTTTTCTTTACCATTATTTTTTAAATAATTGACAACTTCATGAGGTGGATCTAATCCAAAGGAATCGAAGTAATAACTTTTTATTTTTTTATTTTTTTGAATAACAAACCCAATGAGTGCCCTTACTATTCGAAAAAAATCAAGATTCACAATTCCAACTTCCTGGGAATGTATTTTTATCTGGGAGAGCGTCTCTCATGAAAAACACCGCGGAAATGTTTTATTTTTCAACTCCTTCACGAGCTCTTCGAGATCAAGATTTGTCAATGGCTTCATATCTGTTCGGAGATTAATATTCTTAATTTATAACACCAAAAAAATATTCGAAAAAAATGTTGAAAAAAATGAAAAAAATGGGCAAAAATGGTCTAAAAGGCATTTTGACCTAAAAAAATGACTTTTTTTCGAAAAATGACTCATTTTTCTGGTAATTAAGACACAAAAATGGAGTTGTAAATGTTAAAAAATGATCGAAAACTGAAGAAAATCAAGTTGGGCAATGTTTGGGCAAAAAAGGTGTCCTAGCGTCAACACTTTCTATACTACTCACTTGGCCTAGAAAACTCCGTCGGAACCTAGGCCACGTTTGCAAATTTGCGACTCTCAGCGCTTTTTCCCCGCGTTTTTTTGGAACAGATCAAGGTGTTGTTTGAATTAAAATCGCTTTAAAAATTGAGTCCGTCTCTAAGAAATACGTAGATTGTAAAAAATCTTTAAAAATGTGCGAAACGACCACAAAAATAAAGTCATTCTTCGCACAAAAACGGTTATATTTATATGAGCCGATTTTTCTCGTGAAAGCGACAGTGTAATATCGTCGGAAAGTTACTGCGCAGTACGCAGACGAGGAAAAAAAAAGAAAGAGAAAGAGTCATGTGACAGAACAGAGAAAGGTCACTTCTTTGTGTTTTATCGGCTGCCAGAGACTGGTTTGCCACAAGCTTTCTGCCCTTGGAGGGAAAAAAAGAGAGAGAGAGAGAGAAAATGAAACGGGCGGCGCGCAGGGTCACATGGACGACGAGTATGGAAAGGGAAAGAATCAGGTGATGTGGGATCACAATGGAACTGGAAACAATTGCATTTACCAACTAGCTAGCCGAATGTTGTTTGGTGAGAATTTCGGCGAGAAAAAGGAACAATAGAACGGTTACTGAACCCTAACTGGGCAAGTCTATGTATTTAGAAAGCACTGAGAAAATTTCGACCTGTTGCAATTGCGAAACACGATATTTGAGCAGATCTCTGGCCTAATTTCGGCCCTTTTTGACCCGCTTACAAATGATCAGAGGCCGAAAAGGCCGCAAAACTAATATATCTCGAGTCCAAAAAGTCGGCAAAAGTTTGGTCCCGATCGGATTATTGATTATTGCGCAGGCCTCAAAAAGCCTGGGCCTGCCTTTTGAGCTAAATGTGTGTGCGCAAAATACGTATTTTTAGCGACAACTGAAGATGACGAAAAATTGTTTGGAATGACTTTAAGAAAATCGGGAACACATTTGTTTCCCATCAAAAAACAGGCAACTAGTCGATGGCTACTTGCCCGTTTTCTGTCAAAATTTCAAAAACATAAACATTGACGAGCAAGTGTGCGAAAAGAAGAGAGTGGGGAAGAGAAAGAGAGAGAGAGAGAAAAAAGGAAAGTTCATGTGACCGGTCAGATGAGGGGAACTATGCCCACGCGTGAAACAGAAAAAAAAGCGAACAACATAATGTTCAAATCTTTATCACTGTTTCATCAAAAATTCAAAATGCATTCATTACGAATTCAATTTTTGGTACTGTACTGTGGAAAAGTTGCTCAAAACTATGATTACTAGGACTAGACAACAGACGTTTGTCAAAAACTATCCAAAATCTTAAGGAAACGCAACACGAAACCAACGGGCACAACTTTCAAGTAGACAAGAGAACTGCCATCCACCTACTCCACCGCAAAAAAGTTTTTTTTTCTCGTCATTCAGGAAGGCTCTGTGTGTGTGTGTGGAACCGGTCGTCTCACAAGTCAACAGAGAAAGTGAGCCGATTGGAGAGACGCAGACGGGACGTCGAAAGTCATGTGATTTCCAAGAGAGTGGGGCGCCACGCAATAACTATATGTCACATTGGCAAAAGGTTTTTTTGAGGGCAACGCAAGGAAACGGGGGTTTCGTTCGAGTGTGTGTGTGTGTTCTTTGACGCCTAACACACCATTTCTGGACAAATCGTACAAAAGTAATAAACTCGAGACGTTTTCTATTCCCACTAATGTTTACAGAATATTGCTAGAAAGTCAATCGATATTTCTCCTTTTATCTCTGTCTCTCTCTCTCTCTCTAGCTAGACTCTGTTTATGGGGCTATTCAGCGTATGTTTGTTTTCCGTTTTTTTCGTTTTTTTACATCGCTGAATTGGATTTTTTGACATAAAAAAACGAAAAAAACGGAAAACAATCATTTTTTTCACAGTCTGAATAGCCCCATTAGATTGCTTAAAAAAATCTCTAAAATTCAGTGGGAGAAAGAGAGGAGAGGAGCAACAAAGAGTCGAGCAGAAATTGTTTGAAATTGTGAACTTTTCATGCTTTGCTTATGAATTCATCACGGCGAACATTTGTGAACATGCACAGGAAGCTCGTTTTTATCGCTCCGTATTGCAAACCGTACCCTTTTAGCATTCAAATGAGGGCGAGAAGTTCAAATCATGCTCGCAAATGTTCGCCCCGTGTTCATGCAACAAACAGCAACGCTTTTTCCGAAAAAAAAGTGCGAACAGCAAAAAATCGACCCAAAACCTGGAGAAAGCGAAGAAAAGAGCAACAAAAAAGCGAGGCGAGGGATTGCGTGAGCGCGCATTTTCCGCGGCGGCGGTCCCCTTCAGTCAGCTGAGCGAGTTTCTCCCCCCTCTTTCTCTTTTTCTCCTCTTCTCGCGCGCTCTCTCTCTCTCTCTCTCGCCGTTTGCAGTGTGACAAACGGCGAGAGAGCGGGCGAGACGCGAGAGACGCACACGCAATTGTTTCAGGAGCCAGTGAGATCTTGCTCTCGGGCCCGTCGGCCAACAATGATGATCAAAGAGCGACATGTCGGAGCCGGGCGGCCAAACTTGAGATCAATCGATATTCATGCGAGTTACAGAAATCGAAGAAATGATTTGCAAGCTCGAATTTACAGAAAGTCACGATTAGGAAATCATGTTTTTTTTTAAACGAAAAGTCTGAAACACGATTCGACGATTGCTTATGATTCATTTTCAATACAGCGATTCACGGATTATTCGAATGACTTTTCGTTCAGGTGATTCATAAAACAGTGAGGAATGAGGAAAATTCTTGCTCATTCCTTAGATTTCATTACTTCTTATCGAAGAGCGAGCAAGAAGAAACGTACGAGAAAAAGTATAAATAGAGGGAGGTGTGGAGGCCGTATCATTCTCATAATTACCCTATTCCTGCTACACCGATTGCTTTTAGCTCGGAAATTACGCTTTTTTCAGGATGTCGTTTGAAGAAGAAGTGCGTAGAATCGCTCGTCGTTACTCGAATCCCACTCTACCAAGATTCTCCACTATGAGGTCGTTGGTGAGCGTTGTGCTCGCTTCGTGAACCGCGGCGTCTTTCTCAGCGAAATAGTCGTGGTGATCAACCATATTAATGGTCATATCGTGAGTTCATCCAACCTTTTCAAAGTACAAAAACTGTGAGAAATAACAGGCGAGCGAGGGAAATACCATTTAGAAGAGAGAGAGAGTTCCGGTTGAACCGCAATCTCGCCCAGACCTGAGAAATAATGACTTTGTTACAGGAGGTTCTGGAGAAAACCATTCTGACGATTCTCGAGCCTATTGTCAGCCTCGTCGAAGAACTGATGAATGGAAACGGCACTGTTTCGGAATTGCAAGCTTTGTTTTGAATCAGAGTTGAGCGGAATTCCGCCTTTCCTTAGCTCTGTTTCAAATGTTAACAAAAAAGCGTGAATAAAACACTTCTGTACGGAATTATCGATCGTTGAACATGTGCAAGATCTATCTTCTGACAATCCAGTTCCTTAAAGCTCAGGTCGAGACTTACTGTCAAACAAAAAAGTGAATTGTGACCGGGCCAGGGACCGTTCAAGTATTTCACAGAGATCAAATCAAGTTTACGAGTGTTTTGATTGACAGGTGCTCACGTAAACAGATCATCGGAACACGTTGCGGTCCTTCCTCCCCGACGGGACCGTCCGATCGGAGAGGACTCTCGGCAGAACCTTCCTCTTTTTTCCAGTCTTCTCGCAGGCGAGTACGGTCACTTTAAAGGCGCATACATAAATTTTGTCGTGGTGCTCGTTTTGACCTGCCGCGAAACAATCGAACAGTGTCTCATTGGTCAGCACCGCTCGTTTCTTTTTCGTTTTTTTTTTGCCCAGCCTTGCCGTCGTTGGAAACAAATGTAAATTGTCTATTTTGTTGAGATTTCGAAGAAACACAAAAAATTTGCTGAGAAAACAGAAGAAAAAAGAAGAAATGCTGATTTTTCAATCATTTTTAGCGGTTCTTCATCAAAAACCTAAAATCATTGCGAGACCCATCAGGAATCAACCTGCGATGCGCCTTTAAAGAGATTACTGTATTTTGAAGCTTGAAATGATTTGTCGCCCGAAAAATCTCCATTTTCTATGCAAATTTCCGCCGTAAAAGTACGTTTCGCTTCGAATTTTTTCGGTTGTTAATGGTTAATCAAAAATCTAGTATCCAACCCGTCAAATGACACTCAAAAATCGACCCTTGGTGATTTTTAGATTGAAACTATAAAATTTCAGTTTTCGGGGTAAATATTTGTTTTTTATGTCTATATCGTCGATATTTGGCTTTGTTTGAGTCGATTAAATCAATTTTTCGAAAATGCGTGTCAAAAACATTTTAGAACACGTTGACTTAGACAAATTTCGCAATTGTAGGCGGAGCAGGAGAATTTTCCCCTAGTATGCTTTGTCGTAGTATTAATTAGAAAACTGTGGCAATAAGCTTTAATAAAAATTTGAAACCGAAAAAATGGAAGTTAGTTTTTTCGTACAGTTTCTCGCGTAACCAACATGTGACCTCTAAAAATAACGTCAGCAAAAAAGTGTTTTCGATTTTTTTTGTCTGTTTGAACAAAAACACGCCTATCTTTCCTCTTTTTCACCCAGTTTCTCTGTCCCATTTCATGGTTTTAGTGTTTTTAGTTATGGAAAAGGAGTAATATCGATTGAAAAGGAGTCCTACAATTTGAAATGAGGCTTGAAATAACTCGGCGGCATTCCATTTCTAGCCTCTGTTTGAACACTTTTTATGCTGGGACCAAAATTTTAGGACCCCTTCTTGAATGCAAGTCGAAAATCTCCTCAAATCTCAATCACCACTGATTTTTACGTTTTTCTCTTTCTCTCCCATTCGATAATATCATCTGCCGGCCGAAATGAGTTCCAAGTGTCCCGTGTTTCCGTCTGTTTACCCCCCTTTCCCCAATTCCCCTTTTTCTCTCGCCGCCCTCCTCGTTTCGTGTCCTCTCTCGCCTCTTCCTCCCCCCCCCCAAACTGACCCGCTTATTCCATTCTTTCTCTTTTTCTTCTCACATTGACATTTACTATCGGAAATTGACATAAAGTCAATCGTTTTTATCATATTTTCCAAATTTGTTTGAAAAATAACAGAAAATCGCGCACTCTTAGAGCAAAAATTGAGTTTCCTGCGATTATTTTGAGTGTTCTTAAACTTTCCCGATAAATGTGTGACTTTCCAGAGAGAGATCAGGAAAAATGAATTTTCCATTGAATTTTGGAACTCTCGAGGCTTTTATCTGCAAAAATTGGAAGTTACTAGAGATTTATCGATTTTTCATTACATGCTCTTGATTTTAATTGGAGAAGCAGTTGAACATGCAATTTTTCCATAATTTTCACAGTACTTTACGCAATTTTTTTGCCTTTTTTTTCCGTTTGAATTGCACTAAAAACTCGGCTGAATCACTCCAAAAAGAGTCACAAAACAAACGAAGCGAAGCCGGAAAAAATGGCAAAATTCTCTTGTTTTTTTTTTTGTAAATAAAAGAAGAGAAAAGTTTGGAACAGTTGTGCACCGCCCGGCAAATTTCTATCTTCTCGCGCCGGATGTGTTGCGATGATCTTTTTTCCGCAAAATTTTCACTGTTTCACACGAAAGTTTTCGCAATTTTCTCAAAAGTTGAGCTTATTCATGCGTGTTTTCGCTGTGAAAAGTCGGCAGAGATTTGTTTGAAAAACGGGGTGCGCACAGCTGAACGAGTGTCACCGTATACCATAAAACTACGGTATTTTTTGAACATTTACCCAAGAAATTTAATTGTTTTCAAATATTCTCACTAAATTTAAACTTTTTCAAAAAATACCGTATTTTTATGGTATACGGCGACATTCGTTCAGCTGTGCGCACCCCTTTTTTCTTCAGAATTGCGACACGCTTTGGACTGTAAAACACTACAGATTTCACCGATTTTTTTGACTTTGGACACGGCATGACGTTACTAAGATAAAAGTAGATTGGGCTCGACTTTCAGACATCCGATTATCCGGTCCCGAGATCGCCGGGTATATCTCGGGACCGGATGATCCGATAGGTCTGAAGCTCGGGCCCAATATACTTCAATCATAGTCCTAGAAGCCTGCAAAGTTTGATCCCGATTGGATCATTGCAAGTGGGTCAAAAGCCTGGGCCGAAACTTGCCGAGCCCTGATTAAAAAGTACTTTAAAAGTAGTTCAGAGAAATTTGTTGGAAAAGTCGCATAATTTATTTTGTTCGTTTTTGCTGTCATATTGTACTCTCCTAAACTTTCAGCCGTGAAATGGAAGTTGGCCAACGGCACGAGGATGACGTCACGAACCACGCGGGACTGGTCGAAGAGGTGCTCGACGCGAGCCCGCAGGCGGTCCGAATCGTCGAAGTCGTCGAGGAATCGGATCATTCGTTCGAGCTGAACATTCTCGAATTGGAGAAAATATTGTTGAATCCGAAAATCGCCGACAAAAAGGTTTCCTCGCTTTTTTCTCTTTTTTCTATTCGAACGCTCAAAATTACGAAAAATACTACTTTTTAGAGTTTTTACTATGTGAAATTAATAAATTGTTATGAAAAATTGCAGGTGGCAGTGATTGGAGTTGCGGGCGCGTACCGCAAAGGAAAATCGTTCCTTCTCAACTTTTTCCTCCGTTATTTGACGTGGAGATCGAAAGCCGAAAAGGTTATGGGAGGTAATTTTGCTAGGTTTTCTAATAAAAAATGTGTTTCACGATTACTTGTTCATACGCGTATTGAGACTTGCGTCATTCTAATGGTTTGGCGTTTTGGGCCACTTGCAATGATGCGATGCGGACCAAACTTTGCCGGTTTCTTGGACTTGGATTGAAGTATATTGAGTCCAAGTTACAGAACGATCGGATCATCATCTGGACCCGAGATATACCGATTTGAGGCCTAAAATACCGGGTTTTTCGAAAATTGCGGCCTTTTCGGCCTTTGATCCACATATCTCGGAACCGGATCGATCTGAAACTTGGACCCAATATACTTCAATCTAAGTTCAAGGAGCCTGCAAAGCTTGGACCCGATGGGATCATTCATTGCATGTTGGTCAAAAAGCAATGCCTTTTGCCCAGCCCAGATTTTTTCCATTTTTTGTTGTTGCAGAAATCGATTTGGAAGACGAGCAATGGATGTCTCCGAACAGTCCGTTGTCGGGATTCTCGTGGAGAGGCGGCAGCGAGCGCGACACGAACGGAATTCTCATCTGGAGCGAGCCGTTCCTGATGAAGGACAAAAATGGCGAAGAGGTGATTGATTTTGCGCAGTTGCTTTCAAGGTCGAAATTCTGAAAAATTTGCAGTTTCAGAAACTGTTTCCAGCAGATTTTCGTATTTTCCACTCTATGTTTGCACAACAACATCTTTTTTTGCAGGTCGCCGTTCTTTTGATGGACACTCAGGGCGCTTTCGATTCGCAATCGACCGTCAAGGACTGCGCCACTATTTTCGCCCTCTCCACTATGATTTCGAGCGTTCAGGTACGTAGAATTGCATTCCTGAATTTTTTGCACTAAAATAGCGAAGATATCATGGAATTTGATGAGAAAAACGTTTTTTTTCACTCTACCCCTCATAAAATATCCTTTTTGTCACGACTGGACAGTTGGCCGGTTCTTGACATAGACTTTTGACCCACTTGCAATAATCTTTGACTTGGACGGAAGTATATTGAGTCGAATCGAAGCTGTCGACTCTCGACGAACAAAATGTCAAGAAACTCCGAGCCGCTAGATTATTTTAACATATAAATGCGGAAATAAACAACGATTTTGCTTATAACTGAAGCGCAAAAAACTGAAAAAAAAACTGTTTTGCGAAACGATTGACACTGTAATTATTTTGCAGATCTTCAATTTGTCGCAAAACATTCAAGAGGACGACCTGCAACACTTGCAACTGTTCACCGAGTACGGACGGCTCGCACTCGAGGACTCGGCCGCCAAACCCTTCCAATCGCTGCTCTTCCTCGTCCGCGACTGGTCGTTTCCCTACGAGGCCGAATTCGGATTTCAGGGCGGACAGCGCATTCTCGACAAGCGCCTCGAGGTCTGCCATTTTTTATGTGAATAATGAAACATTGTGTGCATGTTCATATTTTTGTTCTTTGCAGGCTTCTTGAACTCGCATCGAAATATATTGGGTCCGAGTTTCAGACCGAGCCGATCATCTGGTCTCGAGATTTGTGGATCGGGTGTTGAATAGGCCGCGTTTTGCGATCCACATATCTCGGGACCGGATGATCCGATCGGTCTGAAACTTGGACCCAATATACTTTAATCCAAGTGCAATAAGCCTGCAAAGTTTGGGACCGAGCAGATTACTGCAAGTGAATCAAAAGTCCAGGCTACAAAAAGCATGGGCCGAAACATTGAAAAAATTTGCAAATTGCAGGTATCGGAGAAGCAACACGCTGAACTGCAACAACTCCGTCAGCACATTCGCTCGTGCTTCGAGAATATTGGCTGCTTTTTGATGCCGCATCCGGGACTAAAAGTGGCCACGAACCGAGAATTCGACGGAAAACTTGTCGGTCAGCGATTGCTTTTTATGAGATGACCAAAGAAGGTGTAAACATTTTTAATTGCATCAATTTTCAGACATTGAACGGGAATTCCAGCAGCAGCTGGGCGTGATGGTACCGCGATTGCTCGACTCGCACGCCCTCGTACACAAGGAAATCAACGGACAAAAGATTTCGTGCCGCGAACTGCTCGAGTACTTTAAGGCCTACATTCGCATCTTCCAAGGTGCGTTCATTTTTAGCGACTTTGCCGCACCCGTTAAGGCCCCGGCCATCCATCCGGCTTTCAAATTGCATACATTATCAAACATTTTCCAATTTTGTCAGGCCAAGACCTTCCGGAGCCGAAATCGATGTTGATGGCGACGGCGGAGGCGAACAACCTGGCGGCGGTGGCGTCGGCGCGTGCCGTTTACGTGCGGATGATGGAGGAAGTGTGCGGCGGCGACACGCCGTACATGTCGACGAAGGAACTGCAGGAGGAGCACGCGCGGTGCCAGACGGAGGCGATCCGCGAGTTCCGCAACGCGCGCAAGATGGGCGGCGTCGAGTTCTCGCTCACTTTTCTGAATCGACTTGAGGAGGATCTGCAGGTTCGCGCCTTTTTTTTTATTGAATTGTATTAGAATGTCAATGTGAAACAGAAAAAAATCCCATTAAAACATAGGCGTATGATATGCCTATGATATCACGGTCTCCAGAGCTGACAATATGGGCGTGGCCTCGACCAAATGGCGTTTTCATGAATTGAGCAGGTTTTCTCTGATTTTTGTGGTCAAAGGCGATGAAAAATGATTGTTCGACGTGAAAACACACTAATTCTAAGAATTAATGACGTTTTGGCGCATTTTTCGCGGACTTTGCTTTTTCGCCTTCGCCGCCGATCGCCGCATTTTGAGCGCTCAAACCGCGAAAACTACCGAAAAGCAACTGAAATTCACGCAGTTTTAGCCAAAAACCTTCAAACGGATAAATGTGATTTGCGACTTGACAAAATTTAACGCTCTTGCGCTTAAAAAATTCGTAATAGTCTATACAATCGGTCTATCGAGAGACAAATCAGAAATTATCGGTTTTTCGTGGCTAATCTGGCAAAAAACACTAATTTTGCTGTTAAAATTTGAATTTCGCGCCAATGTATCGCTCTATTGGGCGGAGCGCACTTGCGCCCATTGTAAGCTCTGGAGACCGTGGATATGCCTATGACATTAAACATGAAATTATATAGAAAAGCAGAAAAAACAAGTAGTATTTCCAGCAATCCTACGACGCGTACGAGAAGGTGAACAACGGCAAGAACCTGTTCAAATCGATGCGGACGCCGACAGTGCTCGTAACTCTCATGATCATCGACTACATCTTTCAGGAGTTCTTCCAGTTGCTCGGAATGGACGGCATTGCTGGTAGGTGTTTTTTATTCGCAGAAGACATCCGAAACTCACGCCTGGCGAGTCTATGTGTCTGAATTGCCACATTCCGTGTCCGAGTCCCAACACTCAGAAAAGCCTGGAAACGGAACGGCGTGGCCTAGAAAACTCTTAGGCCATGTGATCTTTTTTTGCATTCGGCACAATCCTCAGACGTTGATTCACACAAATTAGCAGATTGTAAAAGTGCAAGGGAAGTGTTTTCTAGGCCACGGCCACAACTTTAACTGCGCGCTGTTCCGTTTTTAGAAGCTTTGGACTGTTATCAATATTTTAGCAATGCGGCCTTGAAAATATAGAAAATTTTCCGGACAGCAGCTGCAGCACAATATATGTAGAAACGTTTAATAGTTAATCGCCGCCACTTTGTACACTGTGATTTTTGAATAAAAATGTATTATTTTGTTCAGGAATCTTCTCCTCAATTCTGGTGCTCGTGATCGGCGCCCTGAGCGTTTGGGCCTATTCTCGCTACTCGGGACACTTGAGAGAAGCCGGCGGATACGTGAGTTTTTGAAAATTGCAGTATTCTCATTATAAACTCTGGCGCATTAGAGAAACAATTACCGTTCGCAAAATGTTAACGCGACTCTTTGTTCGGCATATAGAGTAGTGAATGAAAATTTGAAACGAAAAAAGTGTGTAATTTGAAACTGTAAAAAGTAGTTGTGACATCCTCGATAATCATCAATTTAACTGACTGGCGAAAAATTTCAAAGAAACAATACGTTCATAAGTTGAAACTGAGAAAAAACATATCATGCAAGTGAGTTTTATCGAAAAATTCAGAAAACGGCTCGGAAAAATAACACCCAATTTTTTGTGTTTGCAGGTCGATGAGGCGGTCTCGTACGTGTGGACCAATTTCATCTCGCCAAACGCCGGTCACCTGGGACCGTTGGGCGGTGCGATTCAGCTCGGAGACGCCGTTTCGGCCGCAAACGACCGAAACTCGACGAGGACTTTGACGACGGACTCGAAAAAGCGGCTCTAAATTGTTTGCAAATAATTTCGCCCGATTTTTCTCCCAATTTTTTGTATAACTCTCTTTAAAACCTGTTCATTTTTCCGTGGTTTTCTCGCGTTAATTTCATCCCCAATGTTTCTAGAAAATTCAGATTTGTGTATTCATTGAGCCGGCCTGGTCAAAAGCTTTTTGAAGGCCTGGACTTTTGACCCACTTGCCATTATCCGTTTGGGCCCGATCGGACCCTTGCAAGTAGGTCAAAACTCCATGCCTCACAAAGCCTGAGCCGCAATTAGCCCAGACCTGATTCAGAGTGACAAAGCCCATAGATTACCGTTTTGTAACGGCAAAAAAAATCCCAATAATTCATCGTATTTCATGTGAGATTTTTGTCCCCTCCCCCTCTTTTTTTTTGCTGATAAGATGAGATGCGAGCTAGAGTATTTTTGTTGGAAAAATTTATTTATCACAAATTGTACAATATCCGATCAATATTCGCTTTTCATGTACATTCCCTGCGGTGCCACGTCACAACTCCACGCGCGCACGTGAAAATCGTAGACTAGCACATCGTTCATATCACACGTATTCGAGGCGTAAAACATTGTCAGCCACGTGTCCAGGTATGTGGCAGTGTTCTGAAATTTCTTGCGATTTTTTTGCGATTTTTTTCTGAAATTCTACCTTCACGGCTTCGACAATCTTCAAAAGCTCTCCGATTCGAGCAATCCGTTTGTCCGGGTCCGCAATTTGTGCTTTTATATATTTTTGCAATAATTCACAATACTTGAGGCGGTAGCAGCGGATTCGGCGTGAATCGTACGAGCTTCGAGCCGCCGGTTCTGGAATTTTCGGTCAAAAATGGCGAAAAATTCCTGGGAACTCTATTAAGGGGAGTTCTATTAAGAAGAACTTCCTTAAAAATTAAAAATACAATTTTTGGGCCCTAAAAGCTCTCAAAAAATACCATTAAAAAGAAGAATGAATTTGAGAAGAATGAGCTCTTCGAAACTCATGTCCAATGAGTCCATTGGCTCCATTATTTCGGCGATCGCTTTTTGAATTGCAATTTTGGCCTCGTGTGATAGTCTGGAATATTTTCAGGCTCGAGAAGTGTGAAAGAAAAAGCGAACAACTCACTGAACAATTTCTGAGAACCACTCGACGGCGCACGGCGGCGGAACGGTCTCTTCCGTCAAAGTTTCGAATTTTTCTCGTTGATTTTTCAAAAATCCGTAAAAAGTTGTCAAACAAGACACGGACAGGAAGTTCTCGGCGATTAGATGAATCTGAAAATGGTTTACAATATGGGCGTCGCGCATTTTTCGCGGATTTCGCTCTTTCGCCGTCATTTTGCGCATTGTTGACCGTTTTCCGAAAAAATTGGTTCTGAGAATTATCAACTGCGTAAATATTTAAATACAATCATTTTGAGCGCTCGAACACCACGAATTACCGAAAAATCAACTAAAATTAACACTGGTTCAGCCAAAAAACTTTAAACCTTGCGAATAAACTTGCGACAACGCTTTTTCGCCTCGAATTTTCGCGCCGGATACCGTGTTACCTTTTCGCTCATCGAAAATCGATTGAAATCGTCGTTGGCTTGAGTCCACTCTAAAAAATGGAGCACATTTCGGCACCAGTACAATTTCAATGTATTTTTGGGCTCTTTCAGTATTAGTTCTCGCAAATAATCCATCTGAAATTCGCTTTTTGTGAATTTAGAAGAACACTTTAGACTTACAGGAATTTTTTCACAAATTGGCACCGGGAAAGTGATGGCATTTATCATATCGATTGCGGCGTTAAACTTTTTTGGAAAAAATTCAGCGTGCTTGATTGCTCCGTTATTTTCACAAGATCTGCAATTTGTTTAGTAAGTAAAACCATAAAAAAATTTGCCAACTCACCTCTCCAAATTGACAAAAATGCTCAAAATTGCAGTTTCACTCGTGCAAAAGCGGTAGGTTTCGGTGAAAGACGGAATGCGGCTCACACAATACTCCATGCTGGTCTGCAAATCGCAAAAAAATTTGCATACTTTCCCACTAATTTATCATCGAAAAATGCTTACCGATGGCTGCGAATTCTCATCGAAATAGCCCACCACCGATCCTTCATTCTTGATAATCGGCGCAAATTCGCCCATTCTCATGTCGCGTAGACGTCCCACTTCTGAATAAAGAACAATTCCAATTCACTGTTTCAAGAGATTTGTGAAACAGTTACAAAAGTCAACGGATCACTGATATGTGCAGAAAACACTTATTCGGTTTTTGAATCATTGACATAAATCGTACAATTTTTCTGATGGTCGTTTTGGTGGACATTCAGACAACAAAAAAAGTAAGAAAACTCAGTACTAAACGGTCAACAATTTTTTCAGAGTCTCTCGCTAATGACATGTTTTTCAAGTCTCTAAAAAAAACCTTTACCTTCAGGACTCATGTGCGCCCTCAAACACAACTGGAACCGGCACGCGCGACACTTTGCCCGTTTGCCCGCGTTCATCGGACACTGTCCCTCGCGTTCGCACACGAATCCCTTCCGACTTTGGACGGTTCGCGAGAAGAATATCTTGCAGCCGCCGCACACGGTCCCTCCGTAATGGGAAGTGGCGCCCGCGTTGCCGCACACTTCGCACAGCCTCGGCTTCGGTTGACATGGCTGCAAATTTCGTGTTTTCTCGCAATAGTAGCAGCGAAAAATCGATAAATTCTCGATTGTGCGTTGTCTAGGTAAAAACGATGTTTTCAAGCGCAAGAGCGTCAAATTTGATCGCAATTAATGTGTTCATGCAACAAACTGCGCCGCCTCGTCAGAAAACCGGGCAACTTTGAAGCGGTGTAACTCGAGATGTACCGAACATTTTTGAGAAAAACATTAATGGGGCTATTCAGCGTATGTTTGTTTCCCGTTTTTTTCGTTTTTTACACCGCTGAATTGGGTTTTTTGACGTAAAAAAGGAAAAAAAAGGAAAAAAAAATCATTTTTTGACAGCCTGAATAACCCCATAAGGGGGTACTCCCATAGAGTAGGGGAACACATTTTCCAACACTAAACTGACCATCTGAAGCCGTCCGACGACGTGTTTCGCACTGGCGCTGGTGCTCGTCTGCTCGTCAGCACTCGCTCGAAGCATGTTCGAAAAAGTGACGGTATGCAAGTCGTTTTGTGCGAAATTTGTCGGAATTTCCGTCGGAACCGTCAACGATCGATCCCAGAATGCGCCAGAAGTCGGCAGAATGTTGGTCAACATTTTTACCCTAAAAAAATCGGTTTCATTAGTCTCCTTTATTCTCCCTTCCGGCTCCGCCCACTCTTCGCTGCTCTTTTTGTTGCTCATTTTCGACGCGGAGACCAAAGCGAAAACAATCTCGAAAAAGGTTGAAAATCCGGTGATTTCCATCAATTTTCACCTGATTTTCTGGTGTTTTTCCAGATTTTTCCGGCCGAAATCCACGCCGATCTTGGACTAATTATTTTTTTGATCTCACCGAGGAAAAAAAGAAAACAATTTTCAGACTTGCTCTTTCGATTTTCGGATCGCCAAAAACAAACAAACGGAGCACATTTTCTGATTTTTGAGAAGAAAAACTGCCAAATGGAAAGATGTTCTCACAAAAAAAGACAGCCGAATCCGCAAGTATAGAATATTGGGCGGAAACCTTTCAATTCACCAACGAACATTATAAATTTATATTTTTTTCAATTTTCACTCAGTATTAATAATACGTATTACGGAGTGTTTGAAACTGAAAATTTTCATCGAGAAAAAATGCGGTTTCAAAAATTTGATAAACTTTTTTTTTAAATTTGGAAGTGTTGGCATGCACTCGATCTCCTATACACTTTGGTGATAAGAGATCGATTTCATGTCCAGCAAATTCTGACAACGTGGCATAGAACTGAGAAAAGAAAGCGTCTAGTTTTACTCCTCTTTCAAACAGATATACTCGAAGTTTCTGGCGGAAAAAGTGATGTTTTGTCGGCAAACGTCCAACAAAAAATGTGATCGCTCGGTTCCGGGCGGATCCGAGCGGCGGTAATCCGAAATTTCGAAAGTCAAACATCAATATTCACGCAGCTTTTTGCGCGCCAAAAACACCGAACAACTAAAAAACCAAACGTGCGAAACATCGCTAACATTTTATGTTGTGTTCACTCATCAACAAATTAGCGTATTTTTTCTATTCAATTTGTATATACAGATTTTGCAATGAGGAAATTGATGTCTGGACCAGAGATCACATGCACCATACGGAAATGTCTATGACTCAAAGTTGTCTTCTTTAATCCAAAAATTCACAGGAAATACGATCAAACTAGACAGAAATCAGTCAAATATAAATGGAAAAGATGATGACGAGAATATAAAATGTGGGTGAAAAGACGTATTAGTCGGGCGGCAAATGTAAAGAGGATATTCGCAGAAATCGTGACTAATTCGGACGGCTCAAACAAAAAGGAGCAGAAATCAGAAAATTGGCGGCAAGTGGGGGAAAAAAATTGAATTATCTTATACATTTTCGAGCTTTGATGAATCCTTCCTGAATTCAATTATCCCTAAATCCACACGGCGCCCCCGTCTTTCAAAGCACACATTCTCAATAGAGCGCGTTTGCATCATCCACAGACTCGGAATTCGTTTCATTCTCAAGTTTCTCTTCTCAAACTTTGACATTTTGTTTGTCGACAGTTGAGAGCTTCGATTTTCGTTCAGAATTGACAAAAATAATTGCACTTTCAAAATTAGCACTCTCCCCATCAAATTTCACTGTATTTTCGCTATTTTAGTGCAAAAATTCAGGAATTTGCAAAGTTAGTACGTCATTTTAGAGACTCACAAGTTTGAAGATTACGGTAACTGTTTAAAGACGCAGCACGAAATTGTTTCGCGGATTGGAAGGCGGCGGTCCAACATAATAGAACTACGCACGGAACCCCAGCCTTCCAATAAAACATTCCCTTGGCGCAATTCAAGTGCGCTAAACAAGGCGCGTAACGCGTAATTCCGGAGCGTCGTTGTAGAGTTCCTCATTTCAATTTTCCCTTTTTTTTGCATTATCCCCATCTTTTCAGAACCAATCAGTGTCAAAACTTGTAATAATGATTAGAAATGAATAAAAAATGAAATGTTAACTGCTTCGTTATCAATTTCGAAACGTTTTATGCGAAAATTACATAATTTTTTTCCTTTTGAAATCGAAAATTTGCCTCAATTATCTCAATTCTGTATATTTTTCGACGGTTGAGCGCTTAAAAGATGCGCAATAAACTCCTTGTCGACTGGACGGTTCGAATGCCAGTGTCCGAACTCGATTCGGTTCGATTCGTTTTTTTTTCAGTAGTTTTCAACAAAATCCCTAAATTTGGTCAATTCTGAACGAATCTGCTCAGTTTCGCGCTTAAATCGATGCTCTTAACTCAGACAATCGCCCTACGGTTCGCAAAGAACAAAATTTGAGTGCGTATTAAGAGAAAAACGAAAGAATTCTGGTTTTCAATTGAAAAAAAGAAACTCAGAGTCGACGGTGGATGCAAGCGCGCCCCATTGACAACTCGCTTGCGCATTGGAATGCTGGGGTTCCGTGGCTGTTTGGAGCGTCTTTTAAACCTTTCAGTAGAATAATTGTTTCGTAAACAAAAGATAATTTTTAAATCTCGTGATCGATTTATTGCATTCATTAATTTCACTTCCGTCGTGATCCCTCTTCTCTACGGTAACGAAAACCCACAGAAAATAATTTTATTGTACTATCAAAAACGAAAGGAAACCAATTTTCTAGGTTTAAACTGTGGTCTTCTGCTTAAATGTTCAAGAGACGACAAAATTTTGCGAAAGTTAATTAAAAGGAACGGACAAAATGCTCATATAAATTCACAAAAACAGTTCTATTCTATTATGTTGGACAGCCTGGAAGGCTGGGGAGCCATGCAATTATTTGGTCGAAAGTTGCAAAATGGGCAGAAAACAATCTAATTTTCTCGGTGAATAATTGAATTTTTACGGGGCTGTAATTGAGGTGTATTCGATGCAATTGATGACGTGGCGACAAGCCTAGACGTACTAATAAAACCAAAAAAAATGGGGAGAAAAAGGGAAGACGTCAGAAGAAAAAAGTGCACTTTTCCGGTGCTCTGACTCTGAATATAATAGGCTCATTCCTCTTTTGTTCTTCTTCTTCTCCTCCTCCTAATCTCATACTACTTGTCACAAATCAGAAAAGTTTCCGAAAAGACAAAAAAACCATTTTTCAAGTAAAGATGTTTTCTTTGCAAATTGCTCACTATACTATTTTTCTTATATTAATAGGTGTCATAGTAACCGGAAAGAAGAGACGTCAGACAGATAGTATTGTTGTTGTTATTGCACATTCACGAGAAAAAAAATAGTTTTCAGCCCGGAAATTTAAATTTTGCTTGTATTTCATGTTCACCTGATGCTTTTTCTAATTCTCCATTTATTATTCACACTTTCAAAGCACGTTTTGCTATGGTCGGGCTCGAAATGCTCAGCACCGAAAACAGGCCAGTGAACACTGCTGGCGCATTTTCGGTGCTCGTCCTGACGCGTTTCTCGACACGCGACTCGGTTTTTTGTCATCAATTTCCAAACGTTACCCACGTCATTTCCCGCAGTTTTTCATCGAATTTATTGCAGAAAACTCCAATTTCCGTCGAAAATGAGCAGAAAGTAAGCGATGCTCCTCGATTTTTGTGTAATTTTCATTGATTTTTCAGCATTCGCACCTTCCGCGACTTGGGCGACGATGACGGTCCGGATAGCGACGATTCGGGCGCCGATGCGGGACCGCCGCAAGAGTTCTACGCTGGAAGGTACCCGGGAGCGGGCGAAAAACTAGGAATCTTGTCGATTTTTCCTGAGAAAATCGTGTTTCACTGTTTTCCCACTTGTTTTAGAGTTTTAAGCTTTGAAAGCTATAAAAGCGCTAAAGATTTGATCGAATCCAGGGAGCTTTTACAGTATTTTATCGATTTTCAACAAATTTCCATTCTATAAGCGAAAACTCCACATTTCGACAGAAAACAATCAAAAAAGTTCCAGTGGTCAAGCGGTGCAGGGACCACGTGGCGCCCGAAACCCCGAGGACGCCCAACGTGCCGCCCAGGAAAATCATATTCGTCAAATTCTGCAGGCCGTCCAGGCGAACCCGGTAGAGGCCGCGCAGGGACCGAACGGACCGCGCAACGATGAGAATACCCTGGTAAATAATTTAGAAAATTTAGAGGACAATTTTGAGCGTATAGGAATTTATTCTAAATTTTTTTGAATTTTCCAGAAGCTCGTCCTGCACCTGTGGAACGACGGACTGTCCATCGAAGACGGACCGCTCATGAGCCGCCAGGACCGCGCCACAATCGAGTTTTTGGATCAGGTCGGACGAGGGTAAGCGCACGATTGAAAAAAAATATTTACCACAATCTTACAGAGAAATTCCGGCGGAAGTGGCGCGTCAGTACCCGGGAAAAACGATTGATTTCCAAATAAATCGCCGCCGTGAAGATTATGTTGCGCCGAAAATGAGGCCGTTCGCTGGAAGCGGAGTTCGTCTCGGAGCCGTCGTTCCGAATATTGTCGGAGAATCTTCGGCTTCTGCTCCGGCAGCTTCTTCTTCTTCTGCTGCTCCGACCACCGCCTCTGGCGCGTCGGCCGCCGAGGAAGCCGCCCGTCTTTTGGAGGACGCCAAGAAGGAGCTGAACACGGACACCGCGCAGCCCACCACTAATGTACGCGGTTTTTGTTAAAATAGCGACAGATTTAAAAGAGGCATACGGGGTGAAAATTTTATAGTAATTTGACACTGCAGAAATGTACCTTTCGTATCAACCCCAAAAGCACATATTTTCTCGATTTATTCGGCAACAATTTTTTTATGCCGGGTTTTTCTTGATTTTTCGATGCGCCCGGCCTGTTGCAAGTCTGTTTTAAACTATTTTTTGCAGATCCAAGTCCGCCTTCCGAACAATCAGCGTCTCGTCGCCACGTTCAACCAGTCGCACACTCTGGAGGCCGTCCGTCTCTTCATTTGCACGTACGTTTCCTAAAAATTGAATTTTTATGCATAGGTGTTTTGAGTTGAGCGCCTGTAGTTCGGGCTTTACCCAGACTGTTATCCTTTTCCACTTATGGTTGCCGCTGGTTCGGAAATTTCAATCCGATCGCCAGATCGGAAAAATGTTTTGGCGTTTCTCAAACCTATGGTTTAATGTGAATTCCTCTAGTAAATTGAATTTTGTATTTTAGATTGAGTTTTAAAAGTTTTAGCGACTAAAAATAATCTGGAATTTTGCAGTGCCCGCCCGGAAATCGCCTACGCGCCGTTCCAACTGATGAACGCCTATCCGCCGAAGATTCTGGAGGACGAGACGGTCTCGCTGAAGGACGCCAACCTGCTCAACTCTGTGATCGCCGTCAAATCGACGCCCAACGCATAAATCTTTTTTTCGTTGAATAACTCGAAACAAGTCCATAAAAACTCGTCGCCCACCGATTAAAATCGATCTTTTGGCCCTCCTGTAATTTATTCGATTATTTTTTGTGAATCCCCCAAAACATTAATGTAATGTTCTCCCTTCTCCCCCACACCGCTAAAATGTTTATCAATGAATTGTCTGTGAAAGTATGCTAATTTTGAACTTTTTTGAGAGTCTTACAAGCTCTGTGATTATTTTGACACCTTGAAACTTTTTGCATTTTTTCCGCGCTTTAGATGTCATTGAAAGCGTGGCTGGGAATCGATAAAATCCAAAAGCTCGGACAAATTGTCAAAGAGATTGGAGGAGTGAAGGCGGCGCTCAAAAAGCGATACTTGTGAGTTTTTTTGAGGCTGAAAATTGGGAAAATCAAGCTGTTCGTTCAATAACACAGAGTTTTTGGATTATATAGTAAAGTGTTCTTTTTTTGGCTCCATTGAAATTGTTTTTCGATAAATTTCAATTTTTCAGATTAAAAATGAATACAGTCGTTTTTTCACTGTACGATAAGTTTGCAGAAGTGTGAAGAGGAGACGATTGTTTTTAGAAATAAGAGAAACGTTCATTTGACAGTAATTTAACAGAATTATTTGGCCTCTTCTTCAATCGAGGTCGTCCTCGTCGTCGTCGTTGCCGATGATTTCGAAGCTGGAAGTGTCGGAAAAGTCCTCCTCCTCCTCCTCGTCCGCTTCTTTTCCGTTTTTGACGATGAAGTCGGTGACTGGATCGTGCAGATGATCGTAGTCGTCGGATTCTTCGACCAATTGGGCGACCGGGACCACTGGGACCACGGAAGAAGTTGCGAGGGCTTCCGATTCCTTGTCCGAACTCGGAGCACAACTGTCAAATGAGCTCAGACAGCTGTGGAATGAGTCTTCGGCCTGCGCGGTCTCATCCAGTTTGGCAATCTTTGCCGTCCACTTCTCACTCAGCTCCATTCCTTCGGCCTTCATAATCTCATAAGCCTGACGGACGAGGTTGTCGAGTTCTCCGAGAATCTTGGTCTCGTTGGCGACGGCGGCCTTTAGACGATCTTCCACGGAAAGACTCATTCTCGATAGATTTCTGGAAAAATAGAGAATTCGGATGTTGTAGGCTCTTTTTAGGGTAATAACGAAGGTTTTTTATTCGATTAAAGGGTAGAAAGGTCAAAAAAATCAATTGGATATTTGGATACCATTGATTTTTTGGAGGGGGAGGGGGTCGCTACAACAGTTTTATTTTGTAACTCAAGAGAAGATTCGTGCACTTTTCGGGCTTATTTTTGTTGCAAATATTAGAAAAAAGGCATTAAGAATAAGAAAATGGCTATCCAATGAACGGTATTGCTGGATCTTTTTATACTCGCCAACTAGGCTCCGCCCCATTGCTCTCTCTCTCTCTCTCTCTCTCTCTCTCTCTCTCTCTTTGTCCTTTTTCCTTCCCAGTGGTCCCTTTTCTACCTCACCAACGTCTTGTCATAACATCGTTTCCTCACGTCTCGTTCTTTTTCTACAATAATTGGCGACGAACAATTAGTGTGAAAAACGGGAAACCTGAATAGACGAAAAAAGTGGGACTGGGATGTAATAATCGCACAATAGAACATTAGAATGTTTTGAAACAGAATGAAACGATTATTTGGATGCTTGCAGGATGGATGTGACTCGTGTGGGACGCCACGTCGGCACCGACAACTTTGGCAACCGCTACTACGAGAACAACGAGTACTTTGTGCCGCGCAACCGTTGGGTCGAGTTTCCCGACAAAGTGTGGCTCGACTACGACGCCACTCAGGTGCCCCCGGAGTGGTGAGCTGTTTCTTCCCCGATTTTTTTCGGGAATTCTTCGCTATTTCCAGGCACTCGTGGCTGCATCACATCACCGACGACGCGCCGACTGTGAAGCCGCCGCCGACGCAAAAATGGGTGCTCGAGCACCGAGAGAACACCTCCATCATCCCGTATGTTTCGATTTCTTACAGGCCTGGGGCGAGCGATTCGGTTCGCGAAACTGTCGCCCCCTGTTTTTGTCCCGGTTGATCCGCAAACTCGCACAGCCCTGTTACTTTGACTGTCCGTTCGAAAAGATATATGTTATCACTGTCTCCCCTACGGCGAAAAAAGTTTTCGCGCGCCCCATTGAGCATTCAACGGGAAACGCTGTTTTTTCGAGTTTTTGGGATTGTGCACAGTTTTTCCTTAAATCTTTTGCCTCGAGTTTGTTCAACTGACCGATAGCTACGAAATGAGCACAGAGTGCGCGTGTAAAAGTGAAAACTTGGCTTGAAAAACAGAACTTTTGGAAATGTTAAGCATTCACCCTAGTGTTCAGCAGACAGAGACTGCCCATAAAGTGCAGAAATGAAACAGAAATTTCAGTTTTTGAGGTTCCGGCCTGAAATACACAGAAAAGGGCAAAAAAAGTGCGCTTTCTTGTGGGCACAGCTGTCGTCAACTGATAATTCGGATCATCCCCGTTTCACCTAATTTTCCTCATTTTCGTAGAACATCCAGAAGTTTCAGACCTACTTGTTTCAACGACACTCCGCTTTAACGACGCGTTGGGGGGAGACAGTGTGTTAATTGAAAATCAAAATGTATGCTTGGAAATTGTGATGTTTCAGTGACCAAAAGTACATTCCGTACTCGACGACCCGCACCAAAGTACAGGGATGGCAGCCGGGACAGAAGCCGCAAGACAACTGAAAATTCGACGGAATTTGGCTGAAATTTCCACAAAAATTTGCCCTTTTCCCCCCGCTCGATTTTTCACCTCGTCGCACCCATAGAACCGCCCGAAATTCATTTATTGGTTTTTCCCTCTTCTCAAACAATTTTCGAGAGAACCGTAGATTTTGTAAAATGGAATAAACATGATTTGAACTTCTTTTCCCTATGTTCCTTGTTTTCCTAGCGGAATTTGACACCCCTAGTCATTTCTTAACAATTGTTTTTCCTTGTGCTTTCGAAATAATGCTGTTTTAGATGAGCGGCGAAAAGAAGAGTGTGCTGATGGTTTGTCTTGGTAAGTATCAGTTATCTTCAAGAATTTTTACGCAAAAAATTCCTGCTGTTTTTTGTGTCTGTCTGAATTGTCTTTCATTGGCACGTACACTGTCCGAGTCCCAACTCTCAGAAATGTGGCCTAGAAAACTCTTCCCTTGCACTTTGACAATCTGTTAATTCGGGTGAACGCTTCGCAACGTCTGAAGATTCTGCCGAATGCCAAAAAAAGATCCCATGGCTTATGAGTTTTCTAGGCCACGCCGTTCCGTTTCTAGGCATTTCTGCGAGTTGGGACTCGGACACGGAATGTGGCAATAAGAGGCGATTCAGACGAGGGTTCCCCCTGCTCCCTTGTTAGTTGTACTGAACAACCTATAATTGAAATTTTTCTTTACTACAGGTAATATTTGTCGATCGCCAATTGCCGAGGCGGTTTTTATCGATTGTTTGAAGAAGAGAGGAAAGGAAAATGAGTGCGTTTTTATTTGAGAAAATGTTTTGTACAGGGCCGGCCCAGGCTTTCTTGCAATAATCCGATCGTGCCCAAACTTTTCGGGCTTCTTGGACGAGGATTGAAGCATATTGGCCCTGAGTTTCAGACCGATCCGATCGTCTGGTCCCTGTGGATCAGAGGCCGAGAAGGCTGAGTTTTCGCGAAAACCTCGGGCCTCCGATCCACATATCTCGGGACCAGATAATCCGATCAGTCTGAAACTTGCATCCAATGTACTTCAATCAAAGTCCACGAAGCCTGCAAAGTTTGGGTCCGATCGGATCCTGGCAAGTGGGTCAAAAGTCAAAAAGCCTGGGCCTGTCAATCAATTGCTCATTTATCTAATTTTGAGATGGCACGTGGAAAGCAGCGCGATCATCGGATTTCACACGGGAAAACCGCCAGACAGCCGGGCGATGGGCGCCCTCCTAAAATATGGAATCCGCGGCTATAAGCACAAAGCGAGAATTGTACGTTGTTTTAAAATGTTTGAACAATTTCCATAGGTCAACTGGAAATGGGTCGTTGCCAATAAAAAGTGAATTTCAGACGACTCCCAACGACATTCGAACATTCGATTACATTTTCGGAATGGACGACGAGAACATGACGGATTTGGCGGAAATTGCGGAAAAGGTGCCGGAAACGGAGCGGAAATCGAGGATTCTGATGCTCGGCGAGCAGGATCCGAACGGCGAACGAGAGGTTCCCGATCCGTACTACGAGTCCGGCAGCGCCCAATTCGACGAGGTCCTGCAGCAGTGCGTCAAGTGTTGCGAAGCATTTCTGGACAAATATTATAAGTGATCGCTTGGCAAATGTTATCGATTTTTTGTGCGATTTTTCTGACCTCTCCTGATTTTGTGCTGAATTTGCGATTGTTCTCCTATCCTTGCCCATCTCGCTGTAAACATTTATTTCAAACGCTTTTCTTTGAAATGTTCAGAGTTTTTGAACTTTATAATAGTATCTTATTCGGCTCTAGTCGGTCATAGTGGACTCTGAGGAAAATGCTTCCAAAAAGTGTCTATGCTTTTTTTAGCCTGAATGTCAGGCAGTTTTGAGCTTCTAACTGCCTTAAAAGTGATTTTGAGAGCGTGCTGAACAAATTGTAGTGAAAATCATCGTTTTTGAATCAGATTTTTCTGTTTCTAACAAAAGCCATATTATCACGGTCTCCCAGGGTGCTAATGCTAAACACCGTGCGAACGTAAATTGCGGAGTGTCGTTGTAACTTTTGAAAATTTGCAGGTCTAAAAATGCAGTTCAATTCGAGTTTACGACCGTTATTTCTTTCTTTTTGACTTGAAAAACGTCTAGAAAACAATATTTTACTGATTGGAAATCGTTCTTTACAGAATTTAGAGTTTTTCATGTTTTTAGCGTCTTTTTCGCATTTCGTCAAAACTTCAAACCTTTATATTTCAGCTCATTTTGCATTTCATGACCCCAACGAACGATAAAAATGTTCGCTGAATGTTTCTTCACAAAATTCAGGTTCCGGCAGTTAGTTTTCTTGGGCAGTTTTAAAAAACTATTCGAAAAACATCAAAATCCAGGCCAAAACCTTTAAATTGAAATAACTCGGCTAATTCTCAACGATATGTGAGATTTCTGTTACCAAAACGTAGCTAGTGCTCTAATTATTCGAATTCAGGTTCCAGGCGTACAAAAAAATAGGTGTATTGTACAGAAAACATGGAAAGAACGCGAACTCCCGTTGAAAATTAATTAATCGGCCGCCGCGTAATCATTCGCGCCGTGGGAGACCGTGTATTGAACGAAAAGGCATTATCTCAACTTTATGATGGCGACGACATTTTCAATCTACTTTTTTCTTCAGAAAATGTCGAGTACGGCGGCGAATGCCACGTCGTACGTAATGTACATAATTCTGCGTCGGGACCTCCAGTCGAAGCTCGGCTGGCCGCTCGGAGCCATTTGTACGCAGGCGGCGCACGCAGCCTCAGCCGCTATGTGGATTTTTAGGTAAACAACGTGCGAATCATTACATTTCCACAATTTTTTTAAATTTATTCCAGAAACGATGCGAACACTGAAATCTACGCGAGCAATCTGGACGCCATGCACAAAGTAACACTTGGGGTAATCTTTAAACACAGTTTATTTCAAGGCGCCGTCTCTGAGAGGGAAATAGATCTCGAAATCAATGTCGTTGCGGATTTCGGAAAGCCGGGCTCGTTTTCCCGCGAAATTGGTTTTGGGAATGATGAATTGCACGCAGTTTTAGCCAAAAACTTGAAACGGATAAATTTGAATTGCGCTTTGACCAATTGTTACGCCCTTGCGCTTAAAACGATCGTTTTGACCTATTCAATTGTTTTAGTGATGTACAAATGAGAAATTATCGATTTCTCGTGTTTCGCTGTTAAAATTTGAATTTCGCGCCAAGCTGCTAAATTGATGCAAAAAATCCGAGAAAAAAAAACACAATTTTGCAGGTGGATTCGGAGGAGGAAATCAAAAAAGTGGCCGAAAAGCTGGAGGCGCGCAAAATCGAGCACAAAGTGTGGATCGAGGACGGTTTTCCGGTGTGCATCGCCCTAAAACCCTACCCGAAAGAGGAGGTCAAAAACGCCGTGAGGGGCCTGAAATTATTCTGAAATTTTACATTTTTTGGGGTACAAATAAATTGATTTGAAGAGCTCTTGTTTTATCCGATACTCTGTTTCACTCCGCTAACTTTTATTCAACACAAAACATTCATTCATTAATTCAATTTTTTTTCGTTTTCCCAAAAAAAAGTAAAACAATAATAGGTAGTAGGGTGCTCGTTCCGACACGTTCCGATCGTTCTGAAAAAGTTTTTGTAAGTGATGGCTTCAAATTGACGTATTACTCACCACTCCACAAACGTCAAGTTCAGGAACTCTGACGACGTCGAACGGGTTTTGACGGCACTTCAGGACTGGACAATTGGCCGGCCCGGACTTTTCGTTGGCGTGGACTTTTGAACCAATTGCAATATTCAGACCCAAACGTCCATGATCAAGCCTAATCATATGGAAATCTTCATATCATCGATTGCGGACACATCCGTAACCGAGCCTACTGATATGAAGTTACAGGTCTCTCACATCCTCGGAGGAGCACATTTGACGTCTGTGCCATGGAAAACTGCAATAAAAACACGACTCTCCGTTCAACGTTTGCGCAAAAACATACGGCGAACGTCCGGACATTGATGCTTGCGCCTAAAATCATTCCAAACTATGCCGGTTTCTGAAAAATGTCATCTTTTTGGCAGAATTAACAGCATTTTTTTGATATTTTCAAAAAAATTCGTAAAAATCAGTGCTCGTGTAAAAGTGAAAATTGGACATTCCGTTTCACTTCGCGGAACGGTCAGAGAGAGAGAGAGAGACGCAGAGAACACCAAGTTTATCGTGGTAATGCAAGTGCGCTCTAGCGAGCAATTTGATCGAGAATGGACGATGCACCATGTTGAGAGCATTTCTTAATAGAAACGTCCTTTTAGGAAGCACTTGAGCACTTTCGATGAGGGTACAACGAATTGTGAGAACGTTTTTGACGTCGTCGGAATCTGCTGAAAAAATCGCGTTTTTTAGTTCCATTATTCAGCAGTGTTAGCGGAATTCCGTCTTCCGTCTTCCGTCTTCGAGATTTCAAAATTCTATTTCCACTCAACTCTGCTAGTTAGAAACTGCCACTTTGTACGTCACATCATAATATATTTCATGTCATCTTCGTGTCGAGACCCAGAGAAAAAGCAAAAAAAAAGTCGATAGGCCAGAGCCGCCCTTTCCATGCTTTTCTGGGCCCGTTTCTTTTTTTTTTTTGCTATTCATTTATTTAAACGACACCATCACGTGAATACAAACATTTTGAGAGCGCTCGAACAACTGAATTGCACACAATTTTAGGCAAAAAAATTTGAAACGGACAAATCTGAATTGCGACTCGACAAATTGTTACGCTCTTGCGCTTAAGACATTCGCTTTGACCTACACAATCGTTTTATCGAGGCACAAATGAGCAATTATCGGTTTTTCGTGCCTAATTTGGCAATGAACACAAAATTTGAGGTTAAAATTTGAATTTCGCGCCCATTGTAAGCTCTGCAGACAGTGGCTCATTTATTTATTCACTTTTTAAAACATCCCCTCTATTTCCCTCTCCTTTTCCCATTTCTACCGCTAAACTTGCCCATTTCGCTGCGTCTCCGGCCCGTCCGCACTCTCTCCCATTTCTCTGTCGTCTCCGCGTTTCGCCCACTCTCTCGCCCGTCCGTCCCGTGTTTTCGCGCTCTCTCGCCTCTCTCGCACCCTCTCGATTTCGCGTGCTCTCTCGGCCGGCCGTCGTCATTCGGCCTCCTCCGAATCGGCCGCTCTTCGGCTGCCTCGTGCCCCGTGATCATATGTTTTCTCGCCGATTTTCGCCCCATTTTTACCCGAAATTTGACGGTTTTCGAGGGTCCCTAGGGGTACGGTACGAGTACTGTAGGTGTGGGAATACGGTAGCAACGTTTTGAAAAAGTTTGGGAAAAAACGGACCAATTTGAGCCGGTTTTTGAGCTGTTTTCGGTTGAATTAATATGGAAAAAAAGGTTTGAGAGAGAAAAAAGTTTAGTTGCGAATTGGAAATACATTTTTTCGGTTTCAGAATTTTTTTTTTAGAAATTTTGGGAATTTTGAGAATAAGACGGTCAGTTAATATTATTATCTATTTACGTTCTTGTGTGTTGTGAATTGATTTGAAGAAAAATTATCGTAATTTTCAATAAGACATTTTTTTACGTCGCAAATTCACTTTTTTCTCATCCCAAACAAGTTGCCTTCTTCTTTTCAGATTATCTCGGTGAACGTCGTCTACCTCAATTGCAATTAAACAAAAAATAGTTTTTCAATTTCCGCATCAAGACCCGAAAATTGTCATGTCGAACATTGGAAAGCGTCGAATGGACACTGACATTGTCAAATTGTAAGCATTTTTCGCGCCTATTTTTATCGATTTTTTAGAGAAATTTTAACGAAAATTGGCTCAAACTATTCTACAATTCTACAATACTTTTACGTATTTTCCGTCTATTTTCAGCCTTTCCCCACTCAGTTTTCTCCCCTTTTTGCCTCGTAAACACGCGACAATCATGTGACACAGACACACACACACAAGCGGCGGCGGCCAACACACATCAATTTTCGTGCGCGCCAAAAGAAAAAAAAGAAGAAGTTTTCGGGTTTTCGGCCTCGGAAATGGATGATATCGGAAGCGCGCCACGCTGAAAATCGAAAATGACGAGGGCCAAAGAAATGCGTCAGCAAATTGAGCATTTTTGGAGTTTTTATGCATGTCTAGATCAATTTCTTTAAATTTTTTGAGTTTTTCTCACCTAAAATCGAGCCTCCAACACAAAGAAAACGCCTTCCACTGGAAATGCGCCAGCAAAATTTGTTGGCGCTTTTCTGGATAAAGTCAGTCAAAACACTAGTTTTTTTGGTTTTGTTTGTTTATTTGCTCCTCTTTTATTGACTTGGCGCCGCCAAGTTGGCAAACATTGAAATCGAATAGGGCGAAAACAGAAAAGCACGAAAAGTGCGCCAACAACCAGAGTTGAGCGGAAGAACACGGAAAAATTTTTATCTTTTTTAGAAAATTTTTTCATGGAATGTGATCAACTGACGAAATGTCTAGCAAAGTGAACTCAGCTCGTAGAAAAATAATTGTAAATTTAGCCTTACATACAAAAAAGTTATTCGAGTTGTTCCGTGAAAAAAGGGCTAACGGAAGACGGAAGGACATTTTCACGGACCAACTCGAACAACTTTTTTGTATGAAAAGTTAAATTTACAATTATTTTTCTATGAGCAGAGTTCACTTTGCTATACATTTCGTCAGTTGATCGCATCCCATGAAAAAATTTTCTAAAAAATATAAAAATTCTTCCGTGTTCTTCCGTTGAGTTCTTCCGCTCAACTCTGCCAACAACATTTGTTGGGGTGTTTTTCTTGTTGAAAATATTCCGATTTAGCGCTTTTTGAACAAGGGGGATCCGAGTTGCTGGCGCTTTACTCCATACCTTATCAACCCTTGTTTTCGTCGTAAAGTGCGTCAACAAAATCGCTAACGCACTTTGCGCTCCACTTGTTTTCGTCGGCGGCGCCGAACTTTGCACTTTTTCTGACCAATGAAGACGAGCGGTCCGGAGAAGAAAGAGAAAAGGAAACGTTTCTTTTTTTTCAGGGTCAACAACAATCACCACGTGCAACTAGTCAACAATTTGAATGAGTTCATCGTCAAATTTCATGGACCCAAAAATAGTACGTTTGATGCTCGGCCGAGACATTTTCCAGACAAATACCCGAAAAATTGCAGCTCACTACGAGGGCGGAGTGTGGAAGATTCGCGTCGAGCTGCCCGACAAGTACCCGTTCAAATCGCCGTCGATCGGATTCATAAACAAAATCTACCATCCGAACATTGACGAGGCGAGCGGAACCGTCTGTTTGGACGTCATCAATCAGGTACGGGCAGTTTTTCGGAGAAAAATTCCCTCAAAAAATGCAATGTTCAGGCGTGGACCGCCCTGTACGACCTGGCCAACATTTTCGAGTCGTTCCTGCCCCAATTGCTCACTTATCCGAACGCGCAGGATCCGTTGAACGGAGAGGCGGCCAGTCTGTACATTCACAAGCCGCAAGAGTACGAACGAAAGTGCAAAGGTACGGCGGGCGGTTTCAATTCCGACGTTTCGGCTTTCGGCGTGGCGACAATCAGTTGTTCTCTGAGCCCTGAGTGTCCTTTGAACTTCAGTGGTCGTCCATTGTGATCCGGCCATTTCTCGTGTTATCACACCTTTTAGGCGTCCGCTGTCACGCTTTTTTTCCCAAAAACAATGCCAATTCTTGCAGACTATGTGCAGCGCTTCGCCAGCGAGGCGGTCCTGTTCCCGCCGCCGGCCGCCGAATCGTCGGGAGCGAACGGAAGCGGAAAGGAGGCGGAAGAGGCGGACGAGGACGCGGAAAGCGTGAGTTCGCTGTCCGAGTACGAGTCGGACGGCACTTTCGAGGAGGAGTACGCCAATTTCAAGGGGCTCGACGAGGACGACGACAAGATTACTGTGAATCGCATGCAAATGTAGATAATTTCATATTTTTTTTTTTCGAATCGATATTATTCCCGCCCCGAAATACCGATATTTGACCTCAAAATTCACACACACACACACACACATTTTCGTTCAGGAACCCCGCTTTTCCCCAGTTTTTCGCATATCCCTCCCAATTATTTCATTCACCTCTTATGAGCCGCAATCGTTTGTAGAATTGTAGTTTTTTGTCCGCGTTTTCCACTTGTAAATACTGAAAATCTCCGTCTTTTTGTCTTTTCTCGCAGTCGACTGCCTTTTGTTTTCTCCCGTTTTCACACCGATTTTCGCCTCGATCCGCCCCCGTTTTCATCGCTTTTTCTGTCCTAGAATTGTACAATAAACGTTTTTTCACTTTTTTATAGGAAAAATGCAGTTTTTTGAAGAGAAATTAGGTCAAACACGAAGCGAGATACGGTCGACAATGTGGCTGCGTGTCGAGTACGCATGCACCACTCCGATGCGAACAATGCACCAGACTCGACGCGCATTGACCTTTTTTCGTTGACAATTCTTTGAAATGCGATTTTCAGCTGATTTCGAAGGATTTCCGCTGAATTTTCATAATTTTCGATTAGAGAATTATTCAATTTATCAATTTCCACGCCTGAATTCGAATTTATCGTCAATTTTCCGCGAAAATATCGATTTTCTCGGAAGCAATCGTTTAACTTTGTTTTTGAGGGTAAAAATGGCTTCCGACGAAGAGGAAGACTTCACTCAGATGCAAATTGAACAGAATCGAAAGCACAAAAAGGCGGGAGGATGGCAGACGCTCGGGTTGGACCACACCATCTTCAAAGCCATCGAAAAGAAGGGATTCAGTCAGCCGACGCCGATTCAGGTCGGTTTTTCGCTTAATTGGTAAAAATTGCGTTAAAAACAAAATAACGGTTTCTTCAACGTTGTAGACACCAAAATCCAGCTAAAATCACCCGAAAAACCTATAGAGAGAGCGATTTTCCACAAACAACTCGATTTCAGCGCAAAACGATTCCGTGCATCATGGACGGAAAGGACGTGGTGGCCATGTCACGTACCGGATCCGGAAAAACGGCCGCCTTCGTGATTCCGATGCTCCAAAAGCTGAAAGGACGCGATCCGAAAGGAATTCGAGCGCTTATGGTCTCGCCGACCCGCGAATTGGCCCTCCAGACGTTCAAAGTGGTCAAAGAGGTGAGGATTTTGTGAAATTAGAAAAAAATTGTCGAAAATCCGGCATTTTCGCAAAACGCTCACAAATTTTCAGCTGGGCCGCTTCACGGGACTCCGTTGTGCGTGTTTGGTCGGTGGAGATCAAATCGAGGAGCAATTTTCGACAATTCACGAAAATCCGGACATGTAAGGCAATTGGAGCCTATATTCTCTCGAAAATGGCACTATTTGCAGTCTCCTTGCCACTCCCGGACGCCTTCTGCACGTGATCGTCGAAATGGACCTGCGTCTTTCATTCGTCCAGTACGTTGTGTTCGACGAAGCGGACCGCCTTTTCGAAATGGGATTTCAGGACCAATTGACGGTCAGTTTACACTAATTTTTCACAATTTTTCGAAAAGATGCGAGTCGCTTACGGCTGCCTAATTTTTTTCCGAACCATGCCTTTCCCACTCGCTTGTCAAAAATGAAGCATTCTGAAATTTTGTAATTTCTTAAAATACTGTAAACAGTTTCCAGTTGCGTTTCTTTTTTTTTAAATCAAAAACTGTCGAAGTCTCTCAATAAATGCTTCAAAAATCATTCATATTACAGGAGACGCTGAAACGTATTCCGGAAAGTCGTCAAACGCTGCTCTTCTCGGCCACTTTGCCAAGAATGTTGGTGGATTTTGCAAAAGCCGGATTGACGGATCCAATGCTCGGTGCGTCGTCGTTTTTTTAGGCAAAAATCGATCCAAACATTGAATTTTTGCAGTCCGTCTCGATGTCGACGAAAAAGTGAGCGAAAAACTGTCAATGGTATTTTGTATGTGTCGTCCGGACGAGAAACTCTTTGCTCTGCTCCATTTGTGCAGGTAATTTTACGGATTTTATGCTTTGTGAAGCATGCTCTTTTGACCCACTTGCAATGTTCCGATCGGAGGCCGAAAAAGCCGCAATTTTCGCTAAAACCCTGATAATTGTTTGTGTTGCAGACGAATGAACCGCGAATCGAAGCAGACGGTCGTGTTCTGCGCAACAATGAAACACGTGGAATACGTGGTCGGCATCCTGCACCGCGCCGGCATCGACTGCTCGTTCGTCTATTCGCAGCTGGACGCGACTGCCCGCAAGCAGAATATCCAGAAGTTTCACGAGAAACAGAACAATATTCTTGTGGTGACGGACGTCGCCGCGCGAGGAGTCGACATCCCGCTCCTCGATACGGTTCGCTCGCTTTTTCGAGGCCTGGACTTTTGGCCCACTTGTAATGATCCGATGGGGACCAAACTTTGCAGGCTTCTTGGACTTGGATTGAAATATGTGGGATCCCAGTTTTAGCCCGATCGGATCATCTGGTCCCGAGATATAGAAATTTTTGCTAATCCCGGCTTTTCCGGCATCAAACCAGTATATCTCGGGACCGGATGGTCCGATCGGTCTGAAACTAGGTCCCAAGATAACTCAATCCAAGTCCAAGAAGCCTGCAAAGTTTGGGTCCGATCGGATTATTGATTATTGCAAGTGGGCCGGCCAATTGCCCAGCCCTGTATAAAAACTTGTGTTGCAGGTGATCAATTTGCACTTTCCCTCGAAAGCCAAACTTTTTGTGCATCGTGTGGGTCGTGTCGCCCGTGCCGGTCGGTCCGGAACCGCCGTCTCTCTGATCGCCAACGACGAACTGCCCTATTTGACAGATTTGTTCATGTTTTTGGGAAAACCGATGAAATTCGCACAGGACGGAAGCGGTTATAAAGGTTTGGCGAGTTTTATAGCACTTTTTTCCGCGAAAAACTAATGGCTTTTTGAATTTCAGAAGACGAAACTCTGATCGGACGTGTTCCGGATAGCATCGTCAGTCTGGAGACGGAATTTTTCAATTCGATTCATGATAATAATGAGGAAATGGTCCGTGTTTTTCTCGAATACCATTTTTTTATTCTATTGTCGTTAGTAATTAGAAATTGCAATTTCCAGATTGATTTGCGTCAAAAAGCGTCGAATGCGATGCAGAAATATATTAGAACACGTCCGCCGCCGTCCGCCGAATCGGCCAGACGCGTCAAACAGGACATTCGGTAAGTCTTAGGCGTTTTCCAAGGCTTCCTCTGTCTCCGGGAAAAGAACGGACCCAAATAATGCTGGTAATACAGACCAAATTCCAAAACTGTTCAGCTTCCCTCCTTTTTCACTTTGATGACTCCCAATCGGCAGTCTGTTAAACCATAACGGATCCTGATAGGTCTTTCTTGAGACAGGTATCCGAAGAGTTTGGACGCGGGCGAATGGGAATCATGAGCCAGGAAGAATAAATTATTCCCGTTTCAAGCCGCTTGGATACCTGTTCTTGAAAAGTCTTTGGTTATGTTTGAGATTGTCGATACCGTTAAGCTATTTCTGGGATGAAAACTGCAGTTAGGCTACATTGACAAGGAAACAATATGGGATCACAGTTATCCAAACGGCTTGGGAATCGGGCGGTCCCGTCTCGTGGTACAGAAGGAAGTGTTGCATGGAATGGGGACCATTTATTTCTCCTGGCTCATGTACCCAGCATCTCGCCCCGTCTCGTGGTTCCCTTCGCCCGCGTCCCAACTCTTTTTCATTCATTTGAACTCACTAGACTACCTGATACAGGCACTAGAATCACTAATGTTCAGATTGCAGGAGTGTCCTTATGGCGCCGCAATATAGAAATTTCTGACTTTGACCCCTTCTATTTTTAAATGTTTTTTTGCTTTTTGCAGAATGGACTCTGTCGAATGTGCTCCGCATCCGTTTTTGAAAGCCGACGGCGACAAGCAGAGCTACGATATTCTGAATCGAATTTCGAATTATAAAAGTCGCAATGTGAGCTCTTGACCTGAATTTGTTAATCATTTCGGAAAGTCCGCCTAATCCGCCGGTGAATTTACAGACAATTTTCGAGATGAACAAATCGCAAAAATCGCAAGCGTTGGCGGTGATGCAGGCGAAACGTAAAGCGCACGAGCCACGCATCGCGACAGTTTCGGACGAGAAAAAGAAGGCGAAAACGGAAAAGTTGGCCGAATTGGCGAGCAAAGAGGCGGAAGAGACGGAGACGGCGAGAGAAGCGGATGTGGAGGAGACGGAGCTCGAGAAGGTGTTCGGGACGGTGATCGGAGCGACGAAGCACAAGGAGACGTCGGAGGAGACGCCGAAAAGAGGCAAGAAGATGAGGAGAATCGGCGGCGACGGCAAGAAGATCGACAGGGCCGAGCAGATGCGCAACGAAAGGGTTCGCTTCTTTCTTCTCCTATTTTCAGCATGTTTTCCGCTATTCATCACTTTTGAAACAGCTGCCGGTTACGCTGTACGGGTCGAATCACTAAAAACGGAATTTTTTCAGATTAGGAGTTTTCGAAACCGAACATTTTTGCTTGAAAAAGCTCAAAAATCCTACTCGCTGACAACAAAAAAAAAATCAAAGTTGTGCGTAGAAGAACGTATCCGATTGTAAATCTCGCTGACTTTTGCAAATGGGACAACATGCGGGCCGGTAAAACGTGGCAAAAAAAAACTCTCATTTGTAGAACTCATCGAGATGTGTCGTTTTACTCACAATCTTAATTCTAAAGCGAGCAGTATGTTCAGAATTGATGAACACCGCTAATGTGCTGAAAAAGGATGTCCAAATACATATTTCAGGAGAAGCACTACATCCCGTACGCATCGGCGGACCACGTCTCCGAGCGTCAACTAGCCCTGGACAAGGTGGATTTTGCGCGACAAGCGGAAGGCGCCTCCGTCGACATTATTATGGACGACGATCGCGGAATGTACAAGCAGCAGCACGGCAAACGGTGGGACCGCCGTCTGAAAAAGTACGTGGGCACGGGCGACGAGCCGGCGAACAAAAAGATTCGAACGGAAGACGGAACGTGGCTGCCCGCCAGTTATAAGACGGGAAAGTATGAGGAGTGGAAGCAGAAGCAGAAGATTGGTTTCAAAAATACGGAGGGAGAGGGAGACGAAGCGGAGCCGGAGGGACGGAAGAGAAAGTGGAAGGTCGAGAAGCCGAAGGGAGGACCGAAGCACTCGGAACTCAAGAACAAGGACCAGATTTTGAAGGTACGCATTTCACAACTGGGCAAGAGGATAACACTTTTGACCCGCGTGCAATAATCAAATATCCGATCGGACCCAAACTTTGCAGGCTTTTTGGACTTGGATTGAAGTATATTGGGTCCAAGTTTCACACCTATCGGATCATCCGGTCCCGAGATATACTGGTTTGAGGCCGAAAGGGCCGGGTTTTGCGAAAATGTATATATCTCGGGACCAGATGATCGGATCCGTCTGAAACTTGAACGCAACATACTTCAATTCAAGTCCAAAAATCCTGCAAAGTTTGAGCCCGATCGGATCATGGAAAGTGGGTCAAAAGTGCGGAAAACAGCTATTATTTCCATAGTTACAACAAAGTCATCAAATTTTACCCTCTATAATTTTTTCAGAGTCGTCGCAAGCAGGACAAGCTGCAGAACTACATGGAGCATCGACGTCAGTCGAATATGAAGAAAAAATCGGCGAACTTGACGGGAAAATCGGGCCGAGGAGGCGGAAAAACTGGCGGAAAGTTCAAGAAACGCTGAAAATTTCCCGCATTTTTGTTGATTTTTTACACGATTTTTTAACGAGTTGTTACTTGTTTTTTGTTATTGATTTTTTGCCCTTAATTGTTGTTGAAGAAGACGTTTGATTTTGTCCGTAATTGTTTTGAGAATTCACTGCATTCGACCAGTATTCCATACCTTCTGAGAACTTGAAATCAATAACGAACGTTTTTTTTGCAGATTTTTTCGACGGGCTATGAATCGGATGATTCACACCCAATCGGAGCCACAAACCTCTTTTGGCGGGGTACGGAAAGTTTTTACTAGAAAAAATGCGAAAAATAAAATTAAAAGGCCGGTGTGGCCTAGAAAACGCAACTTTCGCCTTGTTTGCAAACACTCATACCGTAATCCTCTAAAAATTATTGCGAAATCAGAGCTTTTCGAGGTCTGGACTTTTGATCTACTTGTGATGATCCGATCGAACCCGAGCTTTACACGACGTGAAAAACTGAATGTTCAACTGATTTTCTCCAAATTTTGACAGCAAACTTCTAGAAAAACGTTGTTTTGTTGAGGGTTTTCGGAATCCTTCGACTAAAGATTCAGCATTCTAAAAATGTGACACAGGGTCGTCTGATTCTTTGAGAATAGTTGACTATCAGAATGATCTTTCATTTTAACTTGTTTCGGGACAGCTGTAAGGTTTCTGTAACTCGTTTGCGTTTTCTCGAAAATACGTTCACATTTATGTCTAATTTGTCGATATAAGTATGCTTGCAAAAGGGTCGATTTAACTCGCTTCAAAATGAAAGTTGTGTTGTCAGATTGTAGATCTCGATGAGTTCTACATGAGTGACAACATGCGGGCCGCCGACTTTAGAGGTATTGTGGAGCGGACCGACTAGACCCACTTTTTGCCACGTTTTGCCGGCCCGCGCTACAATACCGGCTCTAAAGTCGGTCTGTATGTTACTGCATTTGTAGAACTCATCTAGATCTACAATCTGATATGCCGTTCTACGCACAACTTTCATTTTGAAACGAGTTATCAGCCGGCCCGTTTGCAAGTATGCATATAAGTTGAAATTCAGTCTAGTCTAAGTTTGAAGTGAGTGTAACGTGTCACAAACGTGTGGCCGAAGTGTTGCGACGGCTGCAATTTCTAGGCCACACGTCGCTTTCGCCGAATGGATCAAACATCGGGGAACAATTATTTCACTGATAAATGCATTCTGAAAAAGCGTTTTCAGACGTCATCACAACACATGCAGCAGCAGCAGTCCGGACAACATCCGAGCCAAAACGGACACACTGCCCAAATTCTGAATCGCCTTTTTTCGTGTACGCGTTTTTACAGAAAATTCGGACTTGAAATCTCTGTTGAAAATACGTTATTTCTTGGAAAAATTGAAACTTTCTGAAATTTCGAAAAATTACAGCATATCACCAGGACAACGGCTCATTCGACTCGAATTTGTTGCTAAATGGAGGACAGCAAAAAGTCGGTTTCCACAAACTATTTTTCAAAAAACAAAATCAATCGTTTTCCATTGAAGGATGTTAAAAACCCGAAAAAAATGGCAATTTTTTGCAGTTCGACTTCAATTTGCCCAATTTGCCGACGCATCCGAACCACTTGATGGCGAATGGCTCACTGTTGGGCGGAAATCAGCAGCCGGCGCCACGTGGCACCAACGGAACGACGAAGAAAAAGAAGGGGGCGGGGCCTGGCAGGAGGCCCGCTCTCGATGCAAATGTGAGCGAAAACAGAGAATTTGAGGAATTTTGCCAGATGTGTTCTCAATTTTGGACGCCGGGACCAAAACAAAAGAAGACATCGAAAATCTGTGAATGTCAATTGATTTGGCAGAGTTAAAGTTGTGGCCGTGGCCTAGAAAACTCTTCCCTTACACCTTGACAATCTGTTAACGTGTGTGTGTGTGTGTGTGTGTGAATGCTTGGCAACGTTTCCGGAAAAGATCCCGCGGCCTAGGAGTTTTCTAGGCCGGCTACTGCGCGTTGGAACTCTGGCTGTGAATGCGGCAATAAAAGGCTGTTCGTACAGAATTTTTAGGCTCTTCCTTTGTTTAACATCTCTTTTTATGCGCTCTCGACTTCATTTACACTGTAGCGCGCACAACAAGTCTGACCAATTTTCAATGTTTTTCTGGTCTTGCAGGGCCTGCCGAAAGACCGTCCGTTCGTGTGTCCACGTCAAGATTGTCTGAAGCGATTTTGTCGAAATGATCACCTACAAAGGCACATGCGAATTCACACGGGACAGCGACTTTTTCAGGTGATTTTGCAGGCTTTTCGAAAAGATATTCATACCCAACGAGTGCTGAAAGAAATTTGAAAAAAACTTTGTGTTGCTTCACGTCCAGAATCAACCAAAATGTATTGTAAAACAATTTGTGAAACAGAAGTCAATATTTTTGCAGTGTCGAACGTGTCTGCGCTCGTTCTCGCGCTCCGATCATCTCGCAAAACACGAACGGACGCACTCATCCGACAAACCGTACAGTTGTGTGTCGTGCGCACGTGGATTTCACAAACATGAGGAAAAGAAAAAGCACGAGGAGGTGAGACGCGTCTCGACGTCTGAAATTTTGATTAATCGCTCCGTTTTTGTTCATTCGTGAGGAGTACTTGCAAAAAATCTCGATTGATTGTGCGTGCTTCTCGATTTTTGAATGATTCTATTCTTAAATGGATGAATACAGTTTCTAAATCTAAAGGGCAACGAAAAATAGTAACTTTTTGCAGAAATGTCAGCAGAAACAAGAGGATCGGACGTCGGGCCGGCCACAAATCAATTTGATGGGCGGACAGCCGCAACCGATTTGGACCAATCAGAATCCGGTCAGTATTCTCTGAGATTTTCCGGATTTTAAAGTGCGGAAAATCGGACGAATCGTGTTGAGAAACAATAATGATTATTGTGATGATGGTGGTGTCTGTGTGAGGTCTTGATTGTTGTGTAATTGTGATAGTTTTAGGACCTGGGCCTTTGCCCTGAACTTTTGCCCCACTTGGAATGATCCGATCGGGACCAGACGTTGCAGGCATCTTGGACACGGATTGAAGTATACTGGGACCAAGTTTCAGACCGATTGGATCATCCGGTCCCGAGATATGTCGACCTGAGTCCAACATCGGGCCTCATGCACTGTATCTTGACGGTAAATAATCGGCACGGTCTGAAACTTGGTCCCAGTATACTTCAATCCAAGTCCAAGAATTCAGAAAAGTTTGGCCCCGATCGGATCATTAAAAGTGAGCCAAAAGTCCAGGTCCAGGTGCTTTTCTATGCCCGACATTCATTTTGCCGCAAAACTGCCCAATTCGGCCCGTATGAAAATTCCGAATTTGCGGCGTCGAAGGGCTGCAGAGAGCCAAATATATCTTCCGAATATACCCGTCCATCATCATCATTGCAATAATATTATCGTGTTCTCTCTGCAGAATTCGTCCTCCGCCTCCGCCTCGGCCGCCGCCGCCGTCACATTCGGCCACCATTTGTACCGTCTTGTAGATGATCTTGGGCGGTTCAATGCAGGCGTCGAACTTGAGCTCGATGATGATTCCCTCGGTGGCTAGCCCGTTCAAAACGACTGCGCTGCCGGGCGGTGCCAACGGAAATCCGGCGGCCGTGCACGCGCCAAATCCGCTTGAAATTCGCTCACTCATCTCGCAAAATAATCGCTAATTTTTTATTGCATTACTGTATTATTGCCCCCTACAGTAACCCCCCTCTATATTTGCACGATATTAACCAAATATTTATGTACATTAGAGATTTTCAATTTATTTACGCGTTTATAATAATACTCGCTCGAAACTCAAAGCTCCGCCCCTTTTTCTTCATGTGTTGTGTGTTTTTTCCCGAATTTTTTTCTGTCAAAACTCTATCTAAAATCTCCGCTCGCCGCCACGTGTACTCCCATTTTTTTTCGCAAAAAACAATCCACTGTAATCTGTTTTTTTTCCGTTTCAAACAATTTAGTGCCTTTTCTAAGCCCCGCCTACTCGTGAAATTGCATAATAATAATAAAATGCCTTAGCGCCCCCTCTCACTCACTCACTCACTCACCAGGCCTTATTGTTTCGCATTTACTCACTTTTCACTTACTTCGATGGCATTTTCGAAAAACAAATTCGAGTATTTCTCATGTAATCCACACGCTAAACGCCTTATGTCACTTATTGATTGACTGAAATAAATTATGAAATTTTTTGTGGTTTTTTAAAAATTATTTTATTGCTCGGTTCTGTGTACTCTTCTTTTATTTCTGACGTTTTTTTCAGGGCTGGGCGAGCGCAGATTGAAAAATTGGTTCCATCAAAAAAAAAATCAGAGAAGGCAAACTGTCTCTCAGGTAATCTTCGGCAGTTTTCCGTTCAAAACAGGACATACGCGCCTTGAATCCGCCGGAAAATTTGCAAAATGCCATGCCGTCTCACTTACCGAACAGAAAAGTACATGTCTGTCGCCAGTTAACATCACCCGCGAACTCCTAAATGCGGCAAGAGTTATTGTAAAATTAACAGACGCCTAGCCATTGCTCCATCCTTGCCGCGCACTCCTGCTCACGGTCTCCCACGGCGTGAATGATTTCAATGGGGCGCACTTGCAACAGGCAGGATGTGTCGATTTACGGGAGACCGTGCTGCTCTTATTGCCCTGATTCAATGCGACACGGATGCGTACTCCTTGCGGCTCCTTGACGCGGAGCCTGTAGCATGTAATATGCAGTTTCTAGGAGCAATGTGCTGCTTTCTGACCACATCTTTGCCGAAAATTACCTGACAGCTCGTGTCTGCGTCTCTGCCCTCTCACACGCTAATCGCTTCTCTCTCGCCCAGCCCAGACACAAAGCCATTTGTTTTGCAATCTTGTCTGGAGACGTGAGAGAAGTCTGGAGAACGGAATCTTCGTAACGAATAAAAATCAAGGCTGGGCCATTTGCGGGCCCTTATTCCGCGCGAACCCAAACGGATGGGAGTATCATGTGTCCCGAGATATACTGGTTTGAGGTCCTAATCGGCCCCTCCCCCCAAGCACTATATCTCGACAGATCGGTCTGAAACTTGGACCCATGATACTTCTATCCATGTCCAAGAAGTCTGCAAGTTTGCGCCAATTGCTCAGCCCTGACAACAATTAATAATTAACGAGAACTTTGCTTTTGCTTACAAACGTTTCCATACTTATGGACCACCCTGTTTCACAGTTTCACAAATACAGTGCGTTTCAAAAGTATAGGGCCACCCTGAAAATCACCGACACGTCATCCCCAGGTAGTATCATGCTTCCGCACCTTGAAAATCGGATTCAGCATGAAAAGTTACCCCAGGAAAACAATTTTGGGGCCAGTACATTGGGTGCTGAGGCCATGCTGCTGGAAAATCTGAAAAAGTGGCTTCTGCAGGCGTTTCATAAGTATAGGGCCAGCCCTTAAATGTGTGGCAGGAGCCTGTATCGGGTCGTACAAGAAGGTGAGGTGGTCAGAAATGAACTCAGCATCAAAAATAACCCCGGGTGACCAGGTCTGGCCTCATGGCAAGAGGTTCTGGGTCAGTTATGCTGAAAAGTGCGGCTAAGTCTGAAAATCAGCATTCTAAAAGGTAGATTGGCTGAAATCGAGAATTAAATTTTATTCGTGACCTCCACAAGTTGCCAGCATCACGCTTGGAATGAGGAAAACCATTATCTTAACCATGCCTCGTGGCAAGCACCTCTCGGATGCGGAGCAAGTCGAAATCAGCGCTTTCAAAACTGCCGGATGGTCCAATCGAGCAATCGCCAAGCATCTCAAGAGATCGAAGAACTGTGCGGATCAGTTCGTCAACAATCCTCTCCACTATCTGGAATCCCGTAAGGTTGGTGCTCCATCGAAGCTCAGCGTTCGGGATAAAAGGAACATCAGTCGTCAAGCTTCCAATACCATGAAAACGTGCAATGCGATCAAACGGGGTTTGAACCTCAACGTCTCGAAGACGACAGTCCGGAGAGTCATTGATCAGGATCCGAACATCAAAAGACAAGTCATGAGGCCGTGGAGAGCCACCACAAGACTCGACGGCTGGATTTTGCTCGAAGCAGCATGGCTTCCGATTGGAAGACGGTGAATTGGAGACACTGCGTATGAGAACTGGCTATCCTTTTTTCAGTTGATCTTTTCGGACAAGAAGAAGTTTAACCTCGATGGGCCGGACGGTTACAAACATTACTGGCACGATCTGCGGAAAGACCGGCTTCGTTTCTCCAAACGAAACTACGGCGGCGGAAGTGTCCGTCGGTTTCTTGGAAATCTTCTTCGTCGATGGTCTTCTGGATTCGGCCCGTTATTAAGATCTTCTCCGGACCCAACTGCTTCCGTTCAAACGTCGTTTCAACCGCCGTCGCTTTGTCTTCCAGCAGGACAACGCGCCTTGCCATGCGAGTCGGTCGACCATGGATTGGCTCCAGTCTAAGAACATCGACACTCTTCCTTGGCCGGCTTGCAGCCCAGACCTGAATCCGATGGAAAATGTGTGGGGAGCGCTCGTGCGTCGTGTGTATTGCCCTCTCGAATTTACGATGTGATCACCCGGAGAGGTTCTGCTGTTGATTATTAACTTATGTTCTTCATGTGTACCCATAAATTTTTGTGGTCCTTGCTGATTTTCAGACTTAGCCGCACTTTTCAGCATAACTGACCCAGAACCTCTTGCCATGAGGCCAGACCTGGTCACCCGGGGTTATTTTTGATGCTGAGTTCATTTCTGACCACCTCACCTTCTTGCACGACCCGATACAAGCTCCTGCCACACATTTAAGGGATGGCCCTATACTTATGACACGCCTGCAGAAGCCACTTTCAGATTTTCCAGCAGCATGGCTTCAGCACCCAATGTACTGGCCCCAAAATTGTTTTCCAGGGGTAACTTTTCATGCTGAATCCGATTTTGAAGGTGCGGAGGCATGATACTACCTGGGGAAGACGTGTCGGTGATTTTCAGGGGTGGCCCTATACTTCTCACAATAGCCGAGTGCTTCGCGTCCGGGAAATCGCTGCGAGACCCGCCGGAAAAAAACGCTGCGAGTGATGCATTTCTTTCCGTTTTTTTTCCATTTTTTGACATCGCTGAATAGGGAAAAAAAAACGGAAAACAATCATTTTTTCATCCCCTGAATCCCCTGAGCCCCATAACTGGAGTGATAAATTTTCTAATTAGATTGGCGAAGCTAATTAGATTGCAAAAACACTGATACTATATTCAAAATTTATCTAATTAGATTAAAATTTCGGGCAAACCTAGCTAGATTATGTTTAGATTGCAAAAAAAAAGGGGCCGGCCAATTGCCCAGCTCTGACAATTAATAATTGACGAGAACTTTGCTTTTGCTTACAAACGTTTTCATACTTATGGGCCATCCTGTTTCACAGTTTCACAAATACACTCACTGTAAATGACGATATTCGGACGCGAAGAAAAAGAAATTTGAAAAAAAGATGTATTAAAAAATTTAAACAAATAGTGGTTATTATTATTTTATTATCCGCGTTGCTCACTCGTCCAACACGAATTTCACGATCGCCTCCATCATACGGTCGAAATCGTCCCCGTCCACAATCATTTTATCGCACGTCTCCTCCGCGTACTTCTCAACTTGTTTTTCCATCCGAATCACGGCTTCCGGCGAATCGTAGAGCAGCAGGCTGCAAATTTTGAACTTTCTAGTCGTGTCCGACTTTTCCAAAATTAAAATGGCAAAAAGAAACGTACGCATTGAGGGCGGCGGCGACGGGAGAATCGCAGAGAAGATGATCGACGACAGAATCCATGAGGTGCTCCTGAGTGTACGAAACGTCGAAAGAGTCGTTGAGAACATCCTCGCCGACCTCCGAAGACACATCGGGAATGTCGATTTCTTCAGCGAGTTCCTCGTCGCTCACATCGTAGACGACGTCCTCGTAGAGATCTTCGTAACCGAAGGCTTCGAGAGTTCTTTGAGAACAGCCCAGGAACGAGTCGTAGTCATAGGGCCACATAGTTGACGGGAATGTATTTGGAATGAAGGAATGCATAGGTTGGGCGTACCCACATCTTCACCTCGACCGACGCGTCGCGTCGCATTCGGACCATAGAGAGAGGCAGAAAATCAATGGTAACCGAACACTGTTGTGAACAAGGATTTGAATCTCCCGCCACTGCGTGGTGGAGCGGTAGAAAAGAAGTTTCTGGAAGGGTGACACTCTTTTCGGACGCATACTTTGCAGGCTCGAGGTTTCAGACCGATTTTGTGAACCTTTCTCGGCAGCTGATCCGATCGGTTGGGCCTAAGCCTGAAAAGTTTGGGCCGAATCGGAATACAGGATCAAAAAGAGCATCTGAAATGCACATTTCCACACACACACACATCACTTTTAAACGGAACATGCAAAGTTTCTCGAATTCTAGAAGCGTTTTGCAAAAATTTATCAACGGAACATTTGATCCTCCGTCTGCCCTCTTCCGTCTTCCGTCTTCCGTGGTTTTTTTTCTTCCGTCTTCCGTCTGCCGTCTTCCGGGATTTTTTCTTCTTACCGTAAAAGAGTAATAGCTTTTCAGAAGCCATTTACTAGCCCCGAAGAACGCGAATTTCCACGGGCAGTGACCCAGATCCAAAATTTTTGTTGCTTTAGTTATTTTTTCAAAAAAAAACCGGAGAAACAGGCTCTGCATTGACGATTTTTTTGTTCCGTCTTCCGTCTGCCGTCTTCCGGATTTCAAAATTCCATTTCCGCTCAACTCTGCTGCGTAGCGGTGATACAGAGTTCCAAGCGGTTTATTTTTCGAGAATGGAGCAATTCCAGATCGCCTGCAAACACGCCCTTTTCCTCCGTTACATTCTCATCTTTTCACTTCTAACACTACCGAATTTCCATAAATTTCCCTCGTTTCTCTTCTTCTTGTTCTTCTTCTTTTCCCGCCACCGAAAGAGTGTACATGTTTAGTGACCTTCCCTTTGTCCCTCAAAACAGAAGAGGGACAAAAATGGGCGCGGATTTTTGTGTGTTTGGAATGTGAGATTACTCTTGCCCTAAATTATGTTCTTCACGAACGAAAGCGTCTTAGAAACAGAGTAGCGGTGTCGATTTTAATGGGAAATACTATTCTAACTCGAAACTTATTTGTGTGTGTGTGTGTGTGTGCGTACAAACACCCGCACAAATACAATAGTAAGTTATCGGAGGGGAAAAAGTGGCGACTCTTTTTCTCGGCGTCTCTCCGATTTCAGCGCTCTCTCGTCAATTCAAATACCCCATCCACCCGCCATTCTCTTTTTGTTCCATTCGGTTTTGAATCGGGTATTGGCCGAAAAATTGCAAACTTTTTCATTTATTCTGGTCCCTAGTTGGGTCTGCTATTTCTTATCATTCCCCCGCCATTTTTCACAACGTTTCCCGTCTATTTCTCTTCATTTTCCCAACGCCTTTTTTGCATTCCACTTGACCGCGTTCGACTAATTTCATGACTAATTCCGTCCATAATGTGTGTCTTCTGATCTACATTCCTATCGAGCAATTTCACACTTGTTCTCTTGTTTTGTACAATTGCGAAACTTGGAGAAACAGAAAAGTGCAAAGGAAGCGGATTTTCCTATACGTTGCGTCTGTTACTAGTAGTATTAGCATGCAAATGTACTACCAAGTTATTCATAAGATGATTTGGGTCAACTATTCAGTTGACCACTTTTCAAACAGATCCCTGGCTTTAAAGATACAGGCAACAGACGAATGGACTCACTTTTGACGCACTTGTAATTATCCGATTGGGCCCAAACTTTGCATACTTCTTGGGATTGGATTGAAGTATATTGGGTCCAAGTTTCAGACCGATCCGATCATCTGGTCCCGAGATACGTGGAATGAAGGCTGAAGGGCCACAATTCTCGCAAAAACCGCTATATCTCGGGACCAGATGATCGGATCGTTATGAAACTCGGACCCAATATACTTCAATCTAAGCCCGAGAAGCCTCGCACAAAAACTCAATTAATTTCTCTCCTAATCTCTTTTCCGTATGGTTTCCATGGAAACCAGATTATTATTTCCCTCACCTTACTCGAAAAATACATACACTTTTTTTCCAGGGAAAAATGACAATTTCCTACAGCGGCAACGTCATTCAACTACTTTTACGATGGAAAGGATCCATTTGGAGGTTAGACTATTGTTGGTTTCTCGAAAATTATATGCACAGGATAATATGAAAACCAACATTCGATGATTGGAAACAATGTATGATTTTTGAAACTGACAGCAAATTTCCAGAACCGCTTGGAAGGAGCTCTTCATTTATTTGATACTCTTCTACTCGATCCGCACTTTTTACCTTCGAGGCATCGATTTTCTGGATGACGACGACGATGATCGAGAGAAATTGAGAAGTGAGCAATGGATTTTACCAGGGCTCGGCAAATTTCGGCCCAGGCTTTTTGACGACCTGCCGAGGCCTAGACTTTTGACCCACTTGCAATATTCCGATCAGGTCCAGACTTTCCAGGCTTCTTGCACTTGGATTGAAGTATATTGGGTCCGAGTTTCAGACCCATCGGATCATCTGGTCCCGAGATATACAAATTTTCGCAAAAACCCGGTCTTTCCGGTCTCTGATTCAGATATCTCGGGACCGGATGATCCGATCGGTCTGAAACTCGGACCCAATATACTTCAATCCAAGTCCAAAAAGTCGGCAAAGTTTGAGCCCATAGGAACAATTGCAAGTGCATCAAAAGTCCAGGCCTTTTCCCCAGCCCTGGATTTTACTGAATTGTTCGAATTATTGTATGCCCATCATACTGTTTTTCCAAGTTTTTAAATAGTTTTATTGCAGGAAAGTTCGAGACGTTCTGCCGTCAATGCGACGCGTACACTCGCCTCATCCCGCTCACGTTCCTCCTCGGTTTCTACGTGTCGAACGTGGTCGCCCGTTGGTGGCGCCAATTCGAGACGCTTTATTGGCCGGAAGACATCCTTTCGGTCCTTTGTACGGTTCTGCATCAGCACGACGAGAAGAATCGCCGCAGAAGGCACACTATCGCCAGATATCTGAATTTGGCCAACGCGTTGGCTTGGTTCGTTTTTGGATAAACTTTTAGCAATTTGTGTACGGCTAGGATGTTGTATTGAGTCCGTGACAAAAGGTCGGAAAGCCAAAAGGTCGGAAAAAGTGACAAAAGATCGGTAAAAAGTGACAAAAGATCGGTAAAAAGTGACAAAAGGTCGGAAAAAAGTGACAAAAGGTCGGAAAAAAGTGTCTAAAGGTCGGAAAAACTGCTAAAATACCTGTTTTCTGGCTTTTTGTAATTTTTTCCGACCTTTTGGCATTTTTCCGACATTTTGTCACTTGTTTCCGACCTTTTGTCACAGACTCGTTGTATTGCTCTCCGAAAATTGTTTGCAATTGTTGTAATTCAACTGAAACACGATTAAAAACGTTTGTAAGGATCACAAATGAAATCGCGGTCAAAGAAACCCGACCGGCAGCGATTTTGCACCTTAAAAAAATACTTTCAGGCGCGACATTTCCTCGAAAATTCGTCTCCGCTTCCCGACGGTTCACAGTTTGATCGACGGCGGTCTACTGACCGAAAAAGAGTATGAAATCTTGGAAAATATGCATGTAAGTGCCTAATTCAACTGTGGAATTCTAGAAAATCAAGAAAATCGGTTAATCAGTACAATGATAGCCATCAAAAGACATGAAAACGTACGAAAAAGGGTCATGACTACGAAGCAATGTTGACTTACACTCACGATCTCCCACGACGCGAATGATTTCAATGGGGCGCACTTGCAACAGGCGGGCTGTGTCGATTTACGCGGCGGCCGATTAATTAATTTTCAACGGGAGGCCGCGTTCTTTCTATGTTCTCTATACAATACACCTACTTTTTGTACGCCTGGAACCTGGATTCGAATAATTAGAGCACTAGCTACGTTTTGGTAACAGAAATCTCGCATATCGTTGAGAATTAGCCGAGTTATTTCGATTTGAAGGTTTTCGCCTGGATTTTGATGTTTTTCGAATAGTTTTCGAAAACTGCTCAAGAAAACTAACCGCCAGAACCTGAATTTTGTGAAGAAAGATTCAGCGAACATTTTTATCGTTCGTTGCGCTCTTGGAATGCAAAATGAGCTGAAATATAAAGGTTTGAATTTTTGACGAAATACGAAAAAGATGCTAAAAACATGAAAAACTCTAAATTCTGCAAAGAACGGTTTCCAATCAGTAAAATATTGTTTTCTAGACGTTTTTCAAGTCAAAAAGAAAAAAATAAAGGTCGAAAACTCGAAATGAAATGCATTTTGAGACCTGCAGATTTTCAAAAGTTACAACGACACTCCGCAATTTACGAGCGCACTGTGTTTAGCATTAGCGCCCCCTGGGAGACCGTGACACTCCCGAACTCAAAAATCAATAGTTTCAAATGTTCAGACCGAAAACGAGTCAATCCGATGGCTGACTCCGCTTCATTGGGTTCAACAAATTATGCGACAAGTGGAAGAGGTACGATTATTACAAAAATGCTTTCTTTAAACCATAAACTTTCTTTTGAAACATGAAAAAAAAGTGGAGTTCAAACATGAAAGTGATTGAAAGTTTTAGGGGTTTTTACCGCCTAATCGATACTGTTTTTCTCTAATTAAACAATGATTGCAGGAGACGAAACCGACGGCCTCCCTTCTGAATCAGTTCATCGGCGAGCTCCGCATTTTCCGTCAATCTCTGCGCAAACTCTACTGCCACGACTGGGTGTGTGTTCCCCTCGTGTACACGCAAGTCGCCGCACTCGCCACCTACGCATTCTTCTTTTTCACGCTCTTCGGACGGCAAACACTCATTCCGGACGTCGAGTCCGGCAAGGAAATCGATCTCATCGTTCCCGTATTCACCATTGTCCAGTTTTTGTTTTTTGTCGGATGGTTCAAGGTTTGTTGGCGAGATTTTGACAGAAATACCAAAATGTCTCGTTCAGGTCGGTCAAGACTTGATGAGACCGTTCGGTTTGGACGACGACGATATCGAGCTGAACTACATTCTGGACAGAAATGTCCGCGTTTCATTTGCAATCGTCAACCGACTTCAGCAGACCGTCACACGTTCGTTTTTCGTATGCACAGAACAAAAAACACTGCATTTTACGCTGAAAAACGAGGCTACGCCGAGAACCCGTCTGATCCGGGACAATTCTGGCTCGGCGTAGCCTCAAAAAAACACATAAAAGTCGCACGGTCTCCAGAGCTGACAATATCAGTGTTGAGCGGAATTCCGTCTGCCGTCTTCCGTCTTCCGTCTTCCGTGGTTTTTTTTGTTCCGTCTTCCGTCTGCCATTTTCCGTGAGAAAAGTTTTCTTCCGTCTTCCGTCTGCCGTTTTCCGTAAAAGAATGTTTCTTCCGTCTGCCGTCTGCCGTCTTCCGGGATTTTTTTTTCTTACCGTAAAAGAGTAATAGCTTTTCAAGAGCCATTTACTAGTCCCGAAGAACGCGAATTTCCACGGGCAGTACCCAGATCCAAAAGTTTTGTTGCATTAGTTATTTTTTTCAAAAAAAAAACCGGAAAAAAGGCTCTGAATTGACGATTTTTTGTTCCGTATTCCGTCTGCCGTCTTCCGGGAAAAAAGTTTTCTTCCGTCTTCCGTCTGCCATCTTCCGTGAGAAAAATTTTCTTCCGTCTTCCGTTTTCCGTGTTCCGTAAGAAAAATTTTCTTCCGTCTGCCGTCTGCCGTCTTCCGTATTTCAAAATTCCACTTCCGCTCAACTCTGGACAATATGGGCGTGGCGGCCTCGGCCAAATGGCGTTTTCATGAATTGAGCACGTTTTCTCTGATTTTTGTGGTCAAAGGCGATGAAAAAAGATTGTTCGACATGAAAACACACTAATTCTTAGAATTAATGACGTTTTAGTGCATTTTTCGCGGACTTTGCTTTTTCGCCTTCGCCGCCAAAAACCGCACTTCTCATTTTGCGCGCTTTCTTGACCGTTTTCAGACAGAATTGGTTTTGAGAATGATAAATCACGTAAATACAAGCATTTTGAGCGCTCGAACCGCGAAAATTACCGAAAAGCAACTGAAATTCACGCAGTTTTAGCCAAAAACCTTCAAACGGATAAATACGATTTGCGACCTGACCAAATTTGACGCTCTTGCGCTTAAAAAATTTGTAATAGCCTATACAATCGGTCTATCGAGAGACAAATGAGAAATTATCGGTTTTTCGTGGAAAATCTGGCAAAAACCCCAAATTTCGCTGTTAAAATTTGAATTTCGCGCCAGTGTATCGCTCTATTGGGCGGGGCGCACTTGCACCCATTGTCAGCTCTGGAGACCGTGATTCGCCATTTTCAAGTGAAGAAATCGCACTTTTAATCTTAAAAAAACGCGGCAAAAACACGGGATCGTCATGGGTACATCGAAAACTAAAATTTGAACTTCCGCCGACGGTCGATTGCGTAGCGCCCCTATCTTAAAGCATTAGGCCAAAGCAAAATGTTTGAAAATTTCAGTAGAGCGCACTTGCGCCAGTGTACCCCGCCACGACTCTGTGCAAAAATGGGCATTTTGCAGCGGATTTCGAGAACGACGACGACAAAATGTGGAAGGAGATGCACTCGGAGGAGGGCGACGAAAAGACGATGGCCCTGAGACTTCCCCAACTGCCGCACTCGAAATTGTCGCGCCAACTATCGGAACACCCGCCACGACTGCACGCCTACGTTCCGATTGACGACGATCGAAACAGCATTAAGGATGTGGAGAGTTATAAAGGATGTCGCGGACTCAAAAAGGAGAAAAGGCACTTGAATTGGTAGAAAAATCGTTCGCTTTTATGTGGTTAATGGCTTTACTGGAATTTCGAATTGCATATCAAAACACTCGTTCATTTTGTTGTATAATAATACTTGTTGTCATAATAAACGTTTCAGAGGCACGGATTGACGGACGGACGAGGGGTGGCCAGCGGAAGATTGTCTGGAAAAGTGAAAAAATGTTGAATTCAGCACACAATTCTCTTTTGACTGACTCAAATCCTCTGGAATCGGCGGATACTGAAAGTCGTCCGGACGGTCATTGATCGGAACGGCTCCAGAGAAGACGATGAAAGTGAACAGCAGAAAAATTGCTTTGAAAAATGAGCCGAACATGTTTGGAGCTGAAAATACTGATAAATTGATTAAAGAAATGGGTGAGAAGGAAAACGGAAAAAAAAGAGTGTTGTGGAAGACGACTCAAAAACAAGAACAACTGTTGTGTGCTCGTGGAGTCAGAGGGGAAACAATAGTGATTCATCCGGTGGTTTATTTTTACACTTTTCACATTGCATCACAAAATCAGTCTGAACAATGCATTCGAAGGGAGTGCCCTTCTTTGTTTCACTTCGTGAAACTACTCTTTGCTTCTTGGTCGAGTCTTACAGAAAACTGTTGAAAATCGTCAAACTGTTCAAAGAATCAGACGGATTTGTGGGAACGGGACGGGTATGGTGTTCCATTAAAACAAGCAAACTATTTTAGACGAGCGCATTTGTTTCTCCGTCCACAGTGCCAGCGCTTTTCAGATTTCTCGGAGACTCCCCGGTGGCCATAAGTGACTTTTGCTCCCCATTATCCGTCATGCCGTTTCTGTCCCACCGTAACCTTGATATTTGGGACCACATCTAGCAGGACCACAAGGAACCCAGTCCACAAGGACCGCTCTGTTCCCAGGCCCTCAGGAATCACCTCAAACGATCACCACAACTTCGGCAAATGGACCTCTTGAAGACAGGGATCTAGGACCAACTCTCAGGGGGTCCGTGGTCAGTAAGTCCCATGGTCTGAAGCACCTGCTGGTCAGTGAGCGAGGTCCGGCTGGTCAGCAAGTGCCTCTCTAAGCAGGGTCTTTTTTTAAATGAATTTTGACCTAGCTTTTAGTAATTTAGCTTTTTTCGAAATATGGCTGTTTCGTGCGTGCTTATTTGTGTCATTTTGTTAGTTTTAGGGTTAGCAACGGGGCGCCCCGCGCCCCACACACCCTCGTTCGCCCCCCGGCCCCTTAAAGTGTAATTAAAATTCTGAAAAAAATTTAGTAGATAATGAGTTTATTCACTATCAACGTGCGTTGAGAAAAACTTTTTCAAAAATTCCTACTCGATTTTGGAAAAAAACCGGTCGGGGGCGAGGGGCGCCCCGCTGCCAACCCTAGTTAGTTTACATTATAATGAACTCGTTTCCAAAAAAGCAAGTGAAATACTGATTGTATTCGTCCGACGGCACGCATCTTAAGTCTGAGAACAGCCAAGAAGCGCGGCCGCAAGAATCTTCATGGGTGCCGACTGGAAGCGGCATGCATGCCGTTTTCTGCGGCAAAATGCTGTAAGGGTGCCGATTCCGTGCATGCTACGCGCTGAACCCTGCTACCGTGGCTGCTTCTATGCCGCTCAAAAACCTTGCTTCCTTCCCATCCCACTTTTTCCTGCTGACATGCTCATCCTATGCTACCGTAGCAACTTGCTGTCCACTTGCCGCTCGCGTGCCCCACCCTTGCTAAAAATTATCTGAGTTCAGATGCGTGCCGTCGGATGAATACTGATTAATTTCACTTGCTTTTTTGGGAACGTGTTCATCGACCCAAAAAATCCTTAGCGCGCACAATTCTGGATGTTTCTGAAAACACTGGAAAAGTTGATTTTCCAACTTTGGCTCCGCGAGCAGCACTCTGGATGTTGAAAATATTCTAGCAGCAGCAAGTGCGCTGGATAGAGCAATCCAAGAGGATCATTTTGATACCCTTATTTGAATGATTTCATCTATTTTTCGCTGAGTTAGACTTGCTGACTTTACATCAATTCGTTCACATTTTAGTACGAAAAGCAGCAAGTCTAGCGCCGTAGCCATGACATATACATGCCCAGCAGCAAGTGCGCTGTGTAGAACAATCCTAGAGGATCATTTTGATACCCTTACTTGCCCACTTTTGACTATTTTTCGCTGAGTTAGACTTCCTGACTAAATCTACCAGTTGCAACTGGTCGTTCCAAAAAATTACCAGTTGCAACTGGTAGATTTAGTCAGCAAGTCTAACTCAGCGGAGAATAGATGAAATCATTCAAGTAAGGGTATCAAAATGATCCTCTAGGATTGTTCTACACAGCGCACTTGCTGCTGGGTATGTATATGTCATGGCTACGGCGCTAGACTTGCTGCTTTTCGTACTAAAATGTGAACGAATTGATGTAAAGTCAGCAAGTCCAGCTAAGCGAAAAAAAGTGAAAAAGGGGCAAGTTATGGTATAAAAATGATCCTCTTGGATTGCTCTATCCAGCGCACTTGCTGCTGATGAGGTACATATCACGGCTGCCCTGACACGGCTGCAAACGTTTATGCACTGTCAATAGTACTTCAGTGAGTCTAGTTCACTGACGAATCGACAAAACTTGGCAAGTTATAATATCAAAATGATTGCCAAAACATGCTCAATTCATTCCACTTGATGCTATGAGTGAATTCATTACCCCAAGAGACGGTCCCACTTGTACGATGAAACCTTTGACGTCACTAAATTAGAGGTAGCATTCCGCAAAAAGTTTAATACGAAATAAACAGATTATACACCTTTCAAAAGAAAGAAAAAATATCACGGCGACAACAATTTCTTTTGGTCAGTTACTTGAAAAAAATTTTTTTCCCAACTTTTGGTCAGTAAGCCATGGCTTGATAGCCTAGATCCCTGTCTTGAAGAGAAGGGAAGCACGTCCTCGTCTTCGGTGTAGGCGGATCCTGACGATCCCTCGACTCCAAAGTTTCAAGAAGATTGCTCTCTTCGTCTTCTGTGGCTCCTCCTCCTCTTCCTGCTCCTCACGCTTCTTGACGACGCTCAATTCGTGTTTGTAGAATTTGGCTTGGGGGCAGTGCGAGAAGATTGGTCGAAACCGTGGAGTCTTTGGACAAAAAGAATCGCCCATGTATTATGGAACAGCTCGTTTGAACGTTTTCTCAGGGATCTTTGCCTTTTTTAATGGAATTTTTGAGGGACCGCTCAAAGACGGTGCGAGGCTCTCGTTAACCAGGGTGTGATGTCTTCATTGCACGTTTTTTTTGTACATTTCGTGCCGGATTGCGAGTCGGGAATGGAGTAAAAATCATACATAATCATACTCTGTTTTCTCATCGACACTTACCATCTTGTCGCACTTTCAGAGATCCTAAAAGACGTGTTTCGCTCATCTCTCCGAAGGGTCCATTTGCCGAGGTTGCCTTTTTTCAATCCCTGTGCTCCTTGTGGTCCCTGTTGGATGTGTTCCCTAAGGCAAAGGTTAGGGTGGGACAAAAACGTTGAATAGCGTGGCCAGATAAACCTGACCGTCCCAATGGTTTACAAATTACAGGAATATTAGAAAATCGATGAGTATCACAAAAATGGCGAATTCGACGGTCTCTGAAACTAGTACAATTTCTAATGTTATGTAAGTTCGGAGAAACATGTAAAATTCAAAGAAATACAAAAAATCCAATTCATTGTCCAGAACTGTCAAACGGATTTCCACCGTGCTCACAAGCACCTCAGCCTATTCAACGACGTGTACACAAAAGAACAATATAATTCTGGGAGTGATCGTCGGAATCCTCCTCTTTTCGGCGGTTCTTCTGGCGTGTTGCTGTCTGTGCCGTCCGAATAAACCGACCGGCAAACGAGGAAAAATGTGAAAAACCGAGAGCTTTGTGAACTTTTCGTTTTCCTACTTTTCCCTAATACACAAAAGTTTGTGCGAAATTTATTAGTTCTCATTTTCCTCCTTCAAAAAACTGGCACAAAAACTAGTTGAATTTTCAACAAGTTTTGAGGGGAAACGGACAGTGTGGGGCGAAAAAGAACAGGACAGTAACATTGAGAATCGATAGGGAACATTCCAAAGAACGGAATTTTGCGATAAAATTTGATTATTAGCACACACACACACAGAAAAGAAAAGTTTCCATCGAAAAACGGGGAGAAAAATGAGCGAAAAAGATCAGAAATGGGGGGAGGGGGGGGGGAGGGACGTTCGTAGTTTTAGAAGGGAAAAAAACAGAGAAAAAAAGGGAGAAAAGTGGTTGGATTGAAGAATAAGGACAGAAAAGTGGGCGTGACCTAATAGTATCCTCCGTACGGCGCTGGCGGTGCTCCTGGCGGAATTCCGTACACGAAGCCCTGCAAAAATAGTCAAATTAAAATTTTCATTTGGAAAACTGGAAAATATTGTGAATCGATTCTTTAATGCAAATTTGTTCTATTTGAAAAGAACAAATTGCTCCCTCCTTTCCTCCTTCCTTATAAGCCTCATTATTCCCAATTTTTCTTCAAGATACACAAAGAAAAGCACTCACATTAGGAGGCATCGCATGCGGCGGCATAGTGGGCGGGGCGACGACGACGACTGGCGGCGGCACCCTGGTCGAGAGGACCGCTCGCGAGAGCATCGCATCGGGGAACAGGTCGTGGTACGAGTTGACGGGCACATAGTTCGCCGTGATCACTTTGCCAGAGAACCAGCGTCCGTGCAGGGCGCTCACCGCCTGATGCGCGATCGCAATCGACGGACACTTCACGTACACGTTGCCTTGCTCGGAGCCCTTGTCGACAAAGACGTGGAGGGCGCCGCCGTGCTGCAGACACTGCTCGATGACGTCTTCGCGGATGTCGTGGTCCCAGTTCGGTTCAGTCTCCTTCGTCGGATCGAACATGTTCGAGAGCAGGAAACATTGTGTGGCGATCGAGGGAATCTGCGAGTTGCCGGCATGCTGGGCCGCCTGCTGCGCCACCGCCGTCAGTTCCATGCCCGATCCGGTGCCTTGCGCGAGCTTCGCCATCAGCTGCTGACGTCCGCCTGCTCCGAGCGAGAAGCCCTGTCGGTTGCCGACGTCGTCCAGCGATCTCTGATGAATCGATGCCTCTTCCTTCTTCGACGACGACTCGTGTTTGATCGAGAGACGGATTTGACGGCCGGCAAGCTCAAAGTTGTTCAGCTGCTCGCACGCCTTTTGCGCGTCTTCCGCGTTTCGGAACTGCAAAAATTTTGTTTTGATTAAAAAATATATTTTAGAAACAAGCCTGCCACCTGGCTACGCCTGGTTTCAGTACTGCGCAATGCAGAAAAGGCTCGCGTACCTCAATGAATCCGGTTCCCTTGCAATCACCACTCGGGTCCGTGTCCAACTGCAACTTCTCGATGCGTCCGAACGATTCGAAAACGTCTCTGAGCATGGAGTCGGTGATCTTCGGGTGGATGTTCTCCATCACCAGTTTCGCCGGTCCCTTCTGTCCGGCAGCCACAAATCCCAGCGAGGAGGCCATCGTCGCATTGGCCGCGCGGTTCCGTTCGGCGCACGTTCTCTGGATCTGCAACGGCGCCTTCATCAGTTTCTGTCCGTTCAGGGCCAATCCGAGCGGGACCGACTCTTCGTCCCAGAATTCCACGTAACAGATGCCCTTGGAGCGGCCCGTTCGCGAGTCCGTAATGATTCGCACGTCCCGCACGGCACCGACCGCCGAAAAGAACTCTTCAAGGTCGCGCGGGCGGGTCTCGCGAGCAATTTGCATGATCAGCAGGGTCCTCTGGTCCCTCTCTTCGGCCGTCAACTCCAATTTCGCGTTTTTCGGGGGCGAATGGCGCGGGTTGAATGGCATCACGTCACGACGTTCCGGACCTGGCAGACGGCCTGAAAATCGAAGAATTACCACGGTGATTTTTATCACAAATAACACTTTTTGACTCAGAGGGTTTGACTCTAAACGTACTTCTTGGCGGCGGACTTCTGCGCGGCGAACGACGATCTCGATGGTCGACTATGCGTGGGCGGCGTGGTGGAGAACGACGACGGATTGGAGAACGGGTTCTGCAAAAATTAGTTTGAACATTTTGACTCTTTTAAAACAATGGATCTTTAGGCTATTTCCTTACCTGGAACGTCGTCGATATCCGCCTCGATCGCGACTGCGACTTCTTCTGCGATCCTTACTCGGCGAGCGGCGACGTCGTCGATCCCGGCTTCTGGAGCGTTGACGACGGTCGCGCGAGCGACTTCTGGAAGAACGACGGCGCGGCGAACGCTTTCGGTCACGGCTGTTCGATCTGCAATTCCATTTTGAGCAAAACAGCTTTTTTTTAATCAAAAAATTTTTCTGTGCAGTCTGGGACGTCGTGGGTGGGCGGTGTTTGTTTCGTGTCTGAAAAGGGCTTGGGGGGAGAAAATTCGGGAAAAAATCGATAGTAATTCCGGGAATTTGCCAAATTGTACGATGCGCCTGGAAGTTGTGCAAATCGGAACGAACCCGACGTGTTTGGTATGTGTGTGTGTTTCAGCTGCTTTTTCAGCTTTTTCTCTCCACTTTTTCGGCTTTCTTCACAGGGCAGACACAACGACTCTCGGACGGTCTCTAAATCGGCACTCGTCATAGTTTTGGCACAGATTTTTCGGGGGAAAATGTGTAAATTTTCGAGAAATTTCGCATTTCTATGTGGATTTTGCGCCATTTTCGCCTTACCTCGAACGATCCGATGATTTGACGGCGGAAGAGTCTCCGTTGTTTACATTCTCCTGAAAAAATACGGATTTTTAGGAGGCTTTCTGTGTATCCTACTGTTTTTGATGCATTTTCTCTGGATTTTGCTGTTGTCTAGGCGATTTTAGCGCTAATTGTTGGATTTACAAGGAATTTTTGCAGTCTTACAATAAATTTTCGAATAACTCGTGCCCACGAAATGTCCGAATTTTCGCATGAATTCGATGCTCTACGCTACTATTTCAGCCTATTAGTCGCTCAATAGAGCGAGTTGGCCAGAAAAATGATATTTCGAGTCAGACATTGAAAAAATCGGATTATCCGATAACTTCCGCCAAAATCGCTTGTTGCGCTGATTCCAACAGCGCCTTTGCATTGAAAATCAATAGAAAACAGCGTGATCGACAAAAATCCTACAAAATACAAGAAAAATAGGATTTTCTCCAATTCTCTGCAAAAACATTTTCATCAGAAAATTGCGAAAATCAACATTTTCCGGGCGCTAAAATCGATGCCAAACGGCGAAAATCCAGGAAATCACGAGAAAATTGGGGTAAAACCTGCAAAAACTGTATTTCTTACACTGTTCGCGTGGGCGGCCGCCGCTTCCATCGCTCCGTCGAGCATCGCGTCGATGTCCATCGTGGCGTCTCCCGACATTTTTTTGCTCGAAATTCTGGAATTCTTCTCCGAAACGTGCGCGATTCCTCCTCGTTTTCTTTGCGAATGAATGCGTGTGACCGCGACGCACGCGTTTCGAAACGACCGCAGCGCGTCCGACGGCACTCATCTGTTCGATTCGTTGCGAGACCCGGAGCCAATCGGTGGTACGTGCGCCTTTAAGTGTCGATTTACGGTGGTGGAAAAATAGCTTTGCAACTGCTTTCACTCATTTCTTTCGGCTAAAAAATGGTATAGAAGCGTCAAAATAGCCAAAAGTCACTCAGGAAAATTTATTTCAATCAAAAATTCTAGCGAAAACTGAGAAATCGAAGGCAATTATGGATTTTGACAATTTTTACAACATTTGACACAGAAAAAACATGGAAAACGTGTACTCAGAGTTTAATCGAACGCGTATAATCGTATTCGATTGTCGGAATGACGGCCTGAACGAATTTGAGGAACAGGAAGAGGTATTCGTGCACGCCGAGCTCTTTTCCCGACTCTGCGTACTGATTTATGAGCCGCTTCATCATTTCCGCGTGTTTGCACGGGTGCACCGTCGGCATGTCCATCTCGACGGCCGGATGCGCCTCCACAGTAATCGTCTTGTTCGAGTGATCCGCCGAAAAGTCCTCGTACGTCTGCTCGACCGTCAGCGGCCGCCGATTCTCGTCGTAGCCCATCAGGAACAGCCGAGGAACCTGCAAAAACTCGTTTTTCTGAAATTTCTGTTTTTTTGTGAATTTTGGCGAAGTTTTTCATGCCAAAACCGTACCTGATAGTACTTGTCATAGCAGATGTGGAGGTCGTACGTTCGCACCTTCTCCACCTCGCCGCTCAGAGATTCCGCGACTTCCGGACGGGCGGCCACGAACCGATTCGGGTCCTCCTCGTCCTCCAGACCACCCGATTCCAGCAGATCGTCCAGATCCAGCGCCTCTTCCTCGTCCTCCTCTTCTTGCGGCGTCGGATTGGCTGTTGGGGCGTTTGTGGCCTGAAAAAAAAGAGAAATAGGCGGAATATCGATAAGAATTGTGCAAAAACACCTAAATTAAACAATAAAATTGAGACGAACCGTCTGGCCGCCGAGCTCGACCGCCTGATTCGTGTGCTCTTTCTCTTTTTCGTAGTGGTGCGTGTCCACCCATCCGTCCTCTTCTCCCGTCTGATAGTCTCCGTCGTCTTCGTTGATTATCTGCAAAAGTTATCGGAATTGTATGCATGAAAAGCGAAAAATGACTCACTTTTTCGAGTTTCTCATCGTACTCCATCTGTTTGCACCGTTTGTGGCAGGGCACGTTCCGAGTGATCAGATACTGTTTGTCCGCCGGCAAGTACGGTCTGACACGTGTCGGATCGGCGGCGGACGCCCATTTCCACGTGGGACAGTGGTGCACAAGATGGTCCCCCGCGACCACGTACTCCTCCGGCGTCAGCACGCCCGTCTCCCGGAACTTTGACTCTTTCAGCACCGGCGTCAACTTTTCGCCAATGTTTAGAGCCACCGACTTTACGTTGTTCACCAGATTCTGCAGATCCATTCTGCAACTAGAATCGGGTTTTTTTTTTGGAAAAATAGCGGTTTTTTGATAGGAATTTGAAGGAGAATTAGAAAAAATGTTAACAAAAGGAGCCAAATTAACGATTTTCTGTCGATGAATTGATTTTTAAATCAATTTTTTCGAGCAAAAATTGCAACATTGCGAAATGGGCCGAAACGACAGGTATGTACTGAAAAATGATGCTGAAAACGCCAAAACCATTAAAAAATCGAAAAAATTATTACACATTTCTGCTGTAAAATGTCACTTTTCGACAGGTCTTCACCGTTTTGCACGTGCCTCCGGCGTTCACGTGCTGACTGTCCGCATCTGCATTTATGCGTCAAGTGTGGTGTTTGCGTACGCCTCAATGTGTGAGATTTGACGCGCAAACAGTTCAGGCAGGTGACTGGAAATTTTCAGCCGAAAATGGGCGATTCTGAAGCGGCGGAAACGTCGAAAAATACTGAAAATGCTGAAAATGTAAGTGAATTGATGGAATTCAGCGAAAAAGTGGAAATTTCAGGTAGAGCCTCAAAAAATTGAGAAAATCGAAAAGGAAGCTGAAAATGTTGAAAATCCGAAAAAACCAGACGTTCCGGAGGAAAAAGTCAAATTTTTCAAAGTAAAGAACCTCGTTTTCAATCAAACATTGAAAAAACAAATTGCAGACCAAAAAAATTCGTTTCGGTCCGCTCGAATATCAAATTGTCACACAAAATTTGAACGGACCTTGCCCACTAATTGCTATCGTTAATGCGCTTGTTTTGAAAGGTAAAAAGAGCGAAACCCCTCAAAAAACCTCCAAAAATTCCAGGAAAAATCGAAATTCCGTCGAAACCGTTGGTGACGTCAAAAGAGCTCCTAACCCACCTGACCAACATTATTCTCTCGCGTACACCCTCTTCGAATGCTCCAGAAATTGTGGAAATTTTCGAGAATAATTTGAGAGACGTCCTGAATATTATCGATACGATTGTCAATGGTCTCGACGTCAATGTCAAGTGAGCTTCGATTCTCTTTGACCGAAAACTTTTTTTTTTTGATTTTTAGATTCTCCGGAGTGGATCAATTCGAGTTTACACCGGCTCTTTCACTTTTCGACCTTGTCGTCGTCAATTTGTACCACGTTTGGCTGCCGGATCCACAATTTCGAGTCGTCTACGATCTCGTCAAGAATTTGAACTATAATGAGGTTTTCTAAAGCTGAAAATAGGGGGAAAACTTAATTTTCCAATTTTTCTTTCAGCTCGTCTTGAAAATGTGCGGCGACGAGACGGACGAAGCGCAATTATTGCGAAATTTCCACGAGGAGTCCATTTCGCAGATCACCTTCCACGGATTGGCGTCGCTTTTGGCGAAAATGGCCGACGCCGAAATTGCCGTCGTTTTCCAGAATAATCATTTTTCGACAATACTTAAACGACGCGTTAGTCGCTCGCGATTTTTGTGCATAAAATGCAATTTACTTTTGCAGGACGAAATTTTCAAATTGGTATCCGATGAGGGTCTGGCCGACGAGAAAAACGTCGTTTGGGAGACATTTAACAGTGTCGACGGCGACTCGATCTTTGTGAACGGCGACTTTGGCAATTTTAGGTGGGAATTTGAATTTATGAAGGCTCGGTCGGCCTTGGCGGCCAAGCCGCTTCCGAGCGTCAGCTCAGCCCAGGCTCCATGAGTCTTGTTAGATGATAGCTATTTTACCTTATTTTCGACAGTTTTTCCCCGAAAAGTAATCCGAAAAGTGTTCAGACCGACGCCACAGACCACGCCGCCGCCAATCGATAATTCTCCGATCGAAGAAGCCGTCGAGGCAGTCGAAATGGACCGCCCGAGTTCGGTTCCGATCCCGATGACGTCGCCGAACATGCAAAGAAGCCGGACTTCCGATGAAATAATCCGTCCTCACCCGTCCAGACCGTTGGCCTCGAAACCGCCCACAAAATGTGCAATCATGTAGATTTTTTAGCCTAAAATGCGCTGAAAATGACTAAGATTAGACTGACATTCCGCGTATTCAATTCCTGGAAGTTTTAGAATTTTTCTGAAAAATGTTCATTTTTGTAACTTGTGGAACCTCTAGAATTTTTCCTACCTTTTACTTACAAAATAACCCGGTTTTCCGCTCACTTACACCTTATCTCGATGTATTTCTCCCCTCGCTTTTCGCTTCCGTTATCCGGTTTTCCCCTGCTATTCCTCTTCTCTTGTACATTTTGCAAATCATTAAATAAAAATACTAGAGGTAGAAGTTATCTGATTCTTTTTTCGTGATTTTTGCCCGATTTTTCGTGTGTAAATACCTCTTTTTCTGTTATTAAAATAATCTAATTTTTGTTAGAATGCTTCGAAAATTGACAAAAATCACAGTCGGAACATGCGCCGTTTTCACATTTTTTGACATTTTTGGACATCCGGCACAAGTTGTGGGTGAGTGGATATTTTTGAATTTTTTTTTTGAGAGAGCAGGGAACCGTTTTCTAGGCCACGGCCACAACTACTAAGCATTTCTGAGAGTTGGGACTTGTGGGCTTATTCAAGCTGTGAAAAAAATGATTTTTTCCGTTCTTTTCGTTTTTTACGTCAAAAAACCCAATTCAGCGGCGTAAAAAAACACAAAAAACGGAAAACAAACATACGCTGAATAGCCCCATTGGAAAAACTATGTGGCAATAAGAGGAAAAAATTTGAGAGTTCTTTAGACCTTCAAAATGCTCATTCTCTGGAAATAAATATGAATGTTCAAGCAGAATTATTTCAAAAAGTTGCATAGTTTGCAGGAAATTCAATGTACCCGACCCTTCGCGGCGAAGACTCCCGCTGGTACAAACGGGATTTCGTGTGGCTCTCGACGTGGTCCCTTCATAAGTGCTCTCCCGGAACCATTCTCACTTTTACGTACGTTTTTCTTACAATAAAAACTAATTATATTCATTTAATACAAATCTATAGTGAGCAATTCCAAAAATGAGCGAGCAATTTGCTAAATTACACTCAAGAAACAGTGAATTTTCTCGTCAACAACATTCTGTCATCATTACAGATCGCCGCGAGACCCGTCGGCGACGTACATCAAACGGATCACGGCGGTCGAGGGACAGATTGTGCGTCCGGAGCACCGAAGGGAACTGATCACGGAGATTCCGAAGGGACACTACTGGATGGAGGGCGACAATCCCGTCAATCGCAACGACAGCAACGTTTTCGGACCGGTACGTTCTTTCAGCGAAAATATTGATTTTTGGCCCTCACCATTTTCGCAACTGGGCATTTCGCAACCGCTAACTCTCAAAATCGACCGTGTCAAAAGCATACATTTGCAATTCTTCAGGTGAGCGCCGCACTCGTAAAAGGACGAGCCACGCACGTCATCTGGCCGCCAAATCATTGGCAAAGATTATAGAATAATGTTAAAGTCAAAATAAAACCTTTTTTATTTGTCATCTCCAAAACGTTCAACTTTTCGCACGATATTTGTCGCAATTTTTTCGCAAAAACGAGGCCGCCTTCGACATGGACACTCGATCGTCGGCGCCCTCGTTCACACATTTCAGCACCTTTTCCAGCTCGCCCGACGTCATTTCGCCCCGATTTTTGAGCATCATCATCGTTTGAATCAGTAGGGATCTGGAACAATAACTATTGTAGTGGTCACAACATTTAAAAAAAAACCGCTCACTTGGTGACGCCAATATCCGCGAGCGCCACGGACATATTCGCCGAGAAGAGCTTCTCTTCTTCGTGAATATTGTGACGATTGTAGGCGATCCAATCGAAAGCTTGCTGAACATTTTATCGATTCTTTCAGACGATTCAACTTATTCTGAAGCGCAGTGGACTTTTGACGCACTTGCAATGATCCGATCGGGACCAAACTTTGCAGACTTCTTGGGCTTGAATATAAGTACATTGGGTCCAAGTTTCAGAACGATTGGATCATCTGGTCCCGACGTGTTTTGCAAAATTGTAGCCCGAGCATCTCGGGACCAAAAGATCCGATCGTTCTGAAACTTGGACCCAATATACATCAATTCAAGGCCAAGAAGTCTGCAAAGTTTGGTCCCGGTCGGATCATTGCAAGTGGTCCAAAAGTCCAGGCCTTTTTCCCAGGTCTGACGCTTCTCTCCAAGTTGTCTTCAAGTTTCGCCGCTCACCTTTTTCTGTTCGCTCATTCCGAACCGTTCCAGATACATTCCCGTCCGTGCGATCATATCGAAATCCACTTTTTGAAGGGCGAAATGGTGCTCCTCTTGAGCGAAAATCGGAACAATTGGATTCGAATGGAGCGGCAGCGCAGTTCTTGTCGGTTTGGCTGCAAGAAAATTCTATTTTTTTTTTACAAAATCAACCGTCTCCCCCCAATGGCTAATGCTAAATTCAGCGCGTAAATCGACACTGAGAGCCGCAAGCCAAGCAGAAAACGTTTCCTCACATTTGGCAGATTTTGTCGGCGATTCGGCGGTCGGAATTTTGGCGGCTTCAACCGTGTCCACCGAGTCGTCCTTCTTCTTCATCTTCTTCTTCTTCTTCTCCATCATTTCTATCGATTTTTTCTTCGCATCGGGCTGGGCGACGGCTTTTTGGAGTGGATCCGGCGGAGCGGCGGTTACCTGGAATTTTATACATTTTTTCAAAAAATTAGAAAAATAATAGAATTTGTTTGCCACAAACCGAACGAACCTCTTGCCTATCAGAAGACTGTGTCTTTTCCAGTTCCGGACTTTTCACCCACATTGGCGGTCCCACAGTTTCGGGCGTTTTCGCTTCCGGCGTCGACGGAGCAGCCTCTTTTGGCGGAGAATCCTCTTTTGGCGGAGTACTGTGTGTCTGGAACATTTTTTGCGTTTTTTTTTCGATGTGAACAACCTCAAAGGCTTGGATATTATAGGGGCACCGCACAGAAATGGCGCTCTGTTGAGAAACTCTTTTTGCAGTGCAAATTTAGCGACCTCGTGGCCGAGTTTGAAAAGTTAGGCCACGTTTTCAGTGGAAAATTACTTCGCGGCCTAGAAATTCGGCCAGATTGCGAACAGCGCGTTGTTTTTTGATCTTAACTTGAAAACGGACAACTTTGAAAAATAGCGATCAACTACAAAGATGGTTGCAAGACGATTTGCAACAAGTGTTCAGTTGATCATTTGTTGAAATACTGGTTAGTTATTTATATACATGCTACAGAAGATGACTCAAATTCTGTGGCTTGTATCTCAAGAACCATCGCTATTGCTCAGAAATGGTCAACTGAAAAGTTGTTGCAAATTTCATTGCGACCAACTTTGCAGTTGAGTGCTATCTTTCAAAATCTTTGGTTTTCAAGTTATGGACTGTTTTCAAGGCGGTATCCATTAGCAAGCAAAAAAAAAAAGTAAACATACATTTGAAACTTCTTCGAGTATTTTATACAAATTCTTGACTCGGTCATTCGGCGTCGTCGACGTCGGATTTTGTTTGGCGCCAGGCGGTTGCCTGGAAGAATTTCCTTTTTTGACAATCCTTTTTTTATTATTATTTTTTTTCTGTTACTGTTTTTTTAACTGAAATATTGAATTACTGAATTTGAATTTGAATTTTTTAAAACTGATTTTTCTGAATTTTTGAATTTCTTTTTTTGAATTACTGAATTATTGAATTTGTTACTGATGTTTTTTAATTACTGAATTTGGAGATCTCTGATTTTTTTGTCTGTAATTTTTTATTAATTAGATTTTTTTTATTACTGATTTTAGATTAGTTTGCTTTGGATTTTTAGACTGAATTAGAATAAGAACTAGAATTGCTGAATTACTGAAAACTAATATAGTTTTTCAGAAACCGAAAAAAATTGCAAAAAAACCCACGGCTCAATATTGGGCTGCCGGCCGCCGCCGGCCGCCTTCTCCTCCTCGCTCTTTTGTGTTTTTTCCACTTTCAAACTGCCCGATTTCTGCTTTTTTATCGAATTTTCCGACGGAATTTCCGTCACCAACGCACTTTCGGCCGTTTTCATTTCCGGCTCCGGCGGCGTCCATTTTTTCTCGATTTTCTCGTCTTTTTCCGCTTTTTTCGCGATGAAAACGGTGGGCGCAATGTCCGGATTCGCGCTTGACGGACGCTAAAACAGAAAAAACTGAAGTAGGTAAGAAAGTTTATGTGTACCTTTTGTTCCCGAATTTTCTTCTTCTCCGCTCCCAATTTCTCCTCTTTTTTCTCCTTTTTCTCCCGTTTCTTCGCCTCTCTCTCCTGGATTCGCGGCTTTTTCTCCTTGTCCCTTTTCACTTTTCCGTCTTGAGTTTTGTGCTGGAAAACTAATGTTTCGAATAATTTTAAAATTTTAAACACGAACCTTTCTATCCTTTTTGTGATCTTTGGATTTCGCCTTTTTTGGCTTCACCTTCTCCACTTTTGTGCCTTTTTCTTTCTTTGCCGTTTTTCTGAAAGTGTTAGACTTCTGTTCACAATTGCCTAAGAAATGTACACATCGATTCTTGGCTAAAATGAAGGTCTCATGGTTATCTTATTTCATGGTTATCTGAAGATTACTTGAAGAAGTCCAATAGAAGCGGGAATCTTTTTTGAGCAGAAACTTTCAGTGCAATGGGTTCTTTGGCTGATAACTCGCCGGAGAATTTTTCTAGGAAATAATCATCAACTGGGACGTTGACCATTTCTTTCTTTAATTCTCTCCTTCGAGTTGAGGAAACCATTGAACTCTCAAAAAAAGATTCACGCTTTTACACGACGCGTTTGCAAAAACGGCGGGAAAATTCGAATGAGTTCGTCCGCGGCCAAAACATACTTATGAACGGTCATAATCACGAGAAATGAGTAGACTTTTCGGCGCCGCAGAAATAATGTTCGCAAGTGATTTTTTTTGCTAGATAAACTTTGATCGAACTGAACTTTTAAACCTTTTCACACAAGAAAACACGCAAAAATAGACATTTGATTAAAATTATTACACAGGAATGCAAAGAGAGTCACAACTGAAGCAAATTTCAAATTTCATGGCACATGTACGGACTAGAAAAATTAAGCAAAAATCTGGAGAAAACTTAGAAGCACAATATCAATTGGAGTCGTCGAAATTGGCCAGCGCGTCTTCGATCAGCTCATCCGATTTCACACTTTTTTGGTCTAAAAGTGAACGGAGACACTTTAGGCATAGTTGACGGACCTGTAAACATAAAAGATTGACATTGTCGTTAGCGAATACGCGAATAATATTCATTTTCGATCGGATTATTGCAAGTAGGTCTTGGAAAAGACTGGGACGGCTTTTTTGACATTTTCTGTTAATTTCAGGCCTGAACCTCGAAAACTGAAGTTTCTGTTTCATTTCTGCACTTTATGGGCAGTCTCTGTCTGCTGAACACTCTAAGCGGAATATGCTTTTCGTAGCTATCGGTCATATGAACAAACGTGAGGCAAAAGATTTGAGGGAAAACTGGGCACAATCCCAAAAACTCGAAAAAACAGCGTTTCCTGTTGAATGCTCAATGGGGCGCACTTGCAGCATGCGTTTTGTGTCGATTTACGGGAATTCGTTTTGCTGTTTTTCAGCAAAAAATGGGACGTTTTTGTGTTAAATTGCATTTTTCAAACCTGCAAATGTTCAAATGTTTTTTCGCCAAAGGGGAGACGTTGATTTTGAAGAAAATAAATGCTCCGTTTCAAAAAATATATATTCTAATGTTATAAATTTCAATTTTCCTCAAATGTTCACCTCTTTGGAATCGTGATTGATGAGCTCCCTGCCGAGCACGTGGGCCAGCACTTGCACATCGTTTTCGTAGAACATTTTGGCCAGAGTCTGCTCGCCGAGCATAATTATTTTGTGCAAAAACATCAGACGACGCACTGAAAATTCAAATGTTTTCGGGGAAGGGCGGAATTTTGTTTCGAAATCACCTGTACAATTGCGATTCGTTTCGCGAATCAACACGATTCCGAAATAGGCGCAACTGTAGGGATCGTCGCGAATCGGCTCGAAAAGTGCGTCCGCGTCCAGTTGCTGATTGTCCAAAAGTCCGCAAAAGTTGGTGCACAATTCGAGCACGTCTTCGTCGTGATACGTGACAATTCGGTGGTAGATGTGACGGAAAAATTCCGAGTTTAGGTGGTCTGCAAGAAGAAGAAGTTTTGCTTACACACTTTTCAAAACAATCCCTCACCAAGTTGTTCTAACGGAATCGACGCTTCGGTGGAGTACAAAATCGCCAAAATTTTGAGGGCCGGAATTTGAATTCCGTTCGATTTTTGCGTCAACGGCACCAGCGAAATGACCAGTTGCGTCTCGATGAGCATTTTTTTGACGGGCTCGCCGCACTGCTCCATGAGCACTTGCAGGATGCTCAGCAGCTGCTCACGCACTCCGTCGTTCTGGTCCTGCAACGAAAAGCTGGTTTCAGAAACGTTCTAGAAAATTGACAGTTTGTAGCACAATGAGCAATTGTGAGAGCCATTCCCAATTGTTCTTCGAAATTACTGCCAGCGGGATTCGGGGGTCGGTTTTTACCTGAAAATCGATTTTCTTTAGTCTTCCCGAAGTTTACAAGCATTTATTTTACCACAATTTCAGAAAATGCCTTCAGATTTTTGCAAATTCCCTCATCGTCTTGTTCCGCCGAGTAGCTGAGCTGCAGAAAAATTATTATGTTTTTTTCAGCGCTTTTCCAGCAAAAACTGATTAATCTTTGAGAAAAGTGCAATTTCAGCCTATTTAAAATATTGATTTTTCACCTCTTGTTTTTCGAGAAAAATGTCGAAAAGAGCACTGGCGGACTGCTCCAAAACCACTCGATCGTGACACGTCTCAACGTTCACTTTGTACGTTTCTGCCGCGTTTTCCAGTGAGCCAAACTGTTCGCATCTGAAAATGAATCACAATTTCAACATTTTTGCTGTTTTACGAGTTTTTGGAATTGTGCACAGTTTTCCCTCTGGACTTTTGCCTCACTTTTGTTTTTATATGACCGAGTGTAAAAGGGAAAAATGGCTCGAAAATTATAACTTTGGAAATTATGAGTAAACATTCAGCCAAGAGTGTTCAGCAGACAGAGACTGCCCATAAAGTGCAGAAATGAAACAGAAACTTCAGTTTTCGAGGTTCAGGCCTGAAATTCACAGAAGAAGACAAAAAAAGTTCCTGTTTCACTGCAATATGTCTTTCGTCTCTTATAGACTTTTCCAGAACCTAATGAAAACTGCAATTCATCGAATGACTTCTTTCACACTAATTTGTCCTAATGGAAAAAAGTTTCTAAACCGAGTGCGATTTCAGTGAAATGCATTCATAATATGTACTTACTATCTATGACACAATTCAAAAGCAGAAGCGCTCACTTGAAATGAGGCCTCAATATTTGAAGGACGGCCTGAAGTGCAAAGTGGCAGTTGGAGAGTGGGGCATCGGTGACTGCGCGCATCGAATCGACGCACTCGGCCACCAGTTTGTCGGCGTCGAAATCCACGTCGTACATCTGGAATACTGTTGTTTCTATTCAAATTTTTGTGCCCATTTCGCTGAATGCTCGCGCTCGAGTTTAATGAATTTTTTTCGAAAATTAATATCGTCAACGCCGTTATATCGTTTTTTTCAATGCATAACGCGTTGGCGTTCACAAACGTTTTTCCTTAGGCTGGCACTTTGCCACGCTTTTTCGCGTCGTGCTGGTCAACCCGTACACAAGTCGTGTTTTCAGTCAACTGTTTCAAAAAATCTTTAAACAATCAAAATACTAGTATGTTTTTCGCATTTTTGTATCTCTTTCTATTCAAGCTGTCCGAGACATACGCACTTTTTCATAATTTCCCAAAGATCAGAAAAGCCGATAGACGCTCTCGCTACAACGATTCTACACAACTTTTTAGCATTTTTCCAACCTGCCCAAATAATTTATACACTTTTTCACGCGGTTGGTTGATAAACTAGTAGTAGAAGTGGGGAAAATCGGGATAAAAAATGGAGAAAGCGCACACAAAAAAAAAAGGCAAACGACGGAAAGGACAGAAAAACCGATAATCACTAGACTTGTTTTTAAGAAGGGGAAAGAAAATTGGGGCCGAAAATGACTACTTTTCGAGCGAGTATTTGGAGAAAAATTGCAATTTTTTTGGGATGAGTACACATAGCAATTGATAGAATTATTACATCATTATTATAGGAATGGGAAAATTGGAAAATTGTAGCGTTTTTAGGGCGATGGTGGTGGTTGTTGGTTCTCTGGCTCGGCCGGAGCATCAGCAGGCTCGGCTGGCACCGCCGGAGCGCGCGAGAAGCTCATCGGTCCGAATCCCTGGAATCCACGGATCAGCTCGGTCACCGATCGCAGCAGATTTCCGGCCTCCGTGCCCAGCATCATTTCGCGCATCATTGCCTGCAAAAAATTTAGAATTTTTATAGGAAATTACAAGAATCCAACCTGAAACTCGGGATCTCTCTCGTCCGGATGGCCGACTCGATCGTCGTCGCTCTCGTCGAAATAGCTGATATCGTCGTCGTCGTCGTCGTCGTTGTCGAAAATGAAGTCGACGAGACGGTTGCGGCGGCGGGACACGTGCGGATCCTCGCCCGGATCAATGGATCCGTCCGGCAACTGATGTTTGTAGAAGCACTTGTTGCCGAATGGACAGTTCCCGCGCGACGACGGCTTCTGCAAGCAAAACGGACTATTTTCCGCGCTTTTTCAGCATAACTTTTGACTCATTCGCACTGATCCGATCGGACCCAATCGTTGCAGGCTTATTGGACTTGAATTGAAGTATCTTGGGTCCAAGTTTCAGACCGATCGGATCATCCGGCTTCGAGAAATGTAGATCAGAGGCCGAAAAGACCGGGTGTTCGCAAAAAGCCGGCACTTTCTCTGATCCACTGTATCTCGGGACCGGATGATCGGATCGGTCTGAAACTGGGACTCGAGATACTTAAACCCAAGTCCAAGAAGCCTGCAAAGTTGGGTCCCGATCGGATCATTGCATTGCAAAAGTATAAGCACTGAACAATTTTTGATAAAGATTACAGTTTCACTACAAGTTGAAACATTTTTTGTTAAATGATTGATATCAGGGCTGGGCAATTGGATGATCTGATCGGGCTGAAACGTGGTCCCAATAGCCCTCAATCCAAGTCCAACAATCCTGCAAAGTTTGGGTCCGATCGTAATATTTCAAGTGGTTCAAAAGTTAAGGGTCGGCCAACGAAAAGCCCGGGCCGGCCAATTGCCCAGCTCTGATAGACACCATAAATCGGAATTTTCGCAGAAAAAAAAAACCGTACCACGTAGTACTTGCACACTTTTCCCTTCGTGTTCTCCTTGTACATCTCGATGAGCAGATTCTTCTCGACGCCCGTCTCGACCCAGAAAACCGAGGGTATCACGTAGTCCGAGTGCTGGCGGCACTCCGGACACGAGCGCACCGTTTTCGTGGCCAGATCGGCCGTGTGCTGGTCGCGCGAGCGCCATTCGCGGATGCACGACAGACAGAAACAGTGCTGGCAGCCGTTGAGTATGCCGAAGCGAAGATTCTTCTCGAAAATGTTCTCCATACAAATGCCGCACGTCTTGGTCTCCGTCTTTTGTACCATGAACGCGCGCTCCATCTCTTGCGTGTGCGCGTTTAGGCATTCCTGCAAAAAAAAAACGGCGATTTTTACTGCATTTTTCTAGTACCCTAACTAAATTGAAAAAAGCGTATTGATGGTCTCTGTTTGTCAGGACGTACTAGATCTTCGGGCCTGAGTCGCTAAGATTTTTTTAAAATTTTTAAAGTTCCGACCAGGGACTACGAAGCCGGGCCTAATGTCCTTTTTGAGTAATGGGTAAAATATGGAAGTATTCTGGAATAATCGTGACCGCTGATTGTCGAGTTGTTCGGACCCTTTAAAAAGCGTACAGTCTGATGGAGTTTCCGCTTTTCCTCATTGTGCGGATGGAGACTCCACTCGCCGCACATGTCGCAATGATCTCCGTGTGCGAACGCGCAGTCCGTCTCCCGACGGTAGCATTCTCCGCTTTTTTCGTAGTACGGACACAGCGACTGATTCGCCAGTTTTCGCAATTGATCCGCTTCCGAAAGTGAGGAAGAGGAAGCGGAAGAAGAAGATGCTCCGGCGGCTGCTGCCGAGGCGTACGACAGGGGCGCTGCTGAAAAACATGAAAAATCTGGTTAGGATTTGAAAAAATCGCTGACTTTCTGTATCATGACGCTGGAAAATTCAAAAAACCAACCTCGTTCTGGTTTCTTCCAGCTGGGCACAAATTCGACGGCGTTCGCATTGAACGTGGGCGTTTTCAGTTGAATCGGACGAACTCGCGTCGCATTTTGAGCCGGAGCCGGTGGTTGTGGTTCCGATGACGTGGAGGCCGTCGATTGCTGCGGTTTTGCGTGGATGAAACGGCAGGATTGTCCGTACGAGCATCTGAAAACAATCTTGACGTGTTTTTCAAAATATTTTCAACATGGAAATACACACTTTTGGTCCGATATTTAAATAATTTATTCTTGCGAAATTTTCAGATTTCTCCCCAAAAAATTCACTTTTTTGAAATTTTCAGCGATTTACTCACTTGCCGACAAGATAAAACTGACAAATCTCCTCGCTTCGCCGTTCTTCATCGTGCGCGAATCTGAAAATCAATTTTTCAGCTAGGAAAATGAAATTTCGCTGAAAAACAGCAATTTTCGGGTAAACGTACTGGCAAGCGGCGCCTTTCGAGCAGATTCCGTTGGCAAAATATCGACACAACGTCTGGTTGCGTGGCATCGATTCGCGAGCGGAAAAGCGACTAAAAAGCGGCGTTTTCGGAGGCAGAATCGCTTTTTTCGACGATGATTAGCCGTGGAGCGCGTTTGCATCACATGCGTGCTTTTCTGCGAGAAAAAGCGGGAAAAGATGGATTTTGAGTGGGAAAATGAGTTTTTCAAGTAAGTAGCAATAGTCTTCACGAAATAGTGCAATTTTTATCAAAAAAGTACAAAAATACATAGTTTACAACGTTTTGATATCTATTCAGACAGCTGAGATATTCCGTTTTGTAATTGGATCTCCTTCAATTAAAGTTTTTACGGTAATTGTCGAATAACGGTTATCAATGTTCAACTTTTCTGATAATCCAAATGCTAACTTTATTTTTGCTACTAGAAATTTCAAGACAAGACACTTTTGTTGCGCAGTTTCCTAACTTCTGTAGACGTTGGCATGACAAGCAGTGACAAATATTTGTCTCAAAAAATTTACCTAAAAGACGCACTAATGACAAGACAGGACTGGGCAACGAAGAAAGAAATCGGTTGATCTAGTAGTTCTCGGAAAAGAATGGACTGCCGAGTGGACAGACTGTTGGGGTGTCGCGGAAACCGTAGATCAAAAATTTGTGTTCAAACAAACGACACTCCGTTCGAATATTAGCCTCTGGGAAGGCAGTGCGGACGAGGAGAAAAAAGCGGATGGTCTCGGCGAACGAATGGCCAGAAGAGTGGGTTGGACGGCCGGCGGTGCGGCTTTCGCGCAAGCATTTGTGACCGGGGCAGAGACCGTTCAAGTATTTCACAGTGATCAAATCAAGTTTACAAGTGCTTTGATTGACATGTGCTCACGTAAACAGATCATCGGAACACGTTGCGGTCCTTCCTCCCCGACGGGACCGTCCGATCGGAGAGGACTCTCGGCAGAACCTTCTTCTTTTTTCCTGTCTTCCCGCAGGCGAGTACGGTCACTTTAAAGGCGCATACATAAATTTTGTCGTGTTGCTCGTTTTGACCTGCCGCGAAACAATCGAACATTGTCTCATTGGTCAGCACCGCTCGTTTCTTTTCCGTTTTCTCCTTACCTTGCTCTGTCTTTTCGCGTTCCAAATCGATTTTTAAAAAAAGTATGTGACAAAGTACCGAAAATTGTCAAAAGTTTCACGTTTTGAAGGAAATGATATTTTCAATGTTTTGACCATCAAAAATTGCTGTCGGCTCGACGTTATTTTTACCTTTATTACATTGCCAATCTTCCACATTGAGCAATCAGAAATTCTTTGAAAAAGAGCAATATTCACAACAATTTTACACTAGAGAAAAACGGCACTTTCGTAAATGACCATCAGCGAGTTGCTATTCTTATTAATGTCGTTAATATTATTATAATTGTCCATTTTCTCGAAATCACTAGAATTTTCTTTCGTTTCGTTCTTCGATAGCAACCAGACAATGTACAAAAAGTAGGAGAAGAAGATGAGCGAAGTCATTAAGATGGTTAGAAGATCCCAGATCTGAAAAAACTGTATTTTTGGCGCGGAATTCAAATTTTAACGCCATTTCTCATGGTTTTCGTGAAAAATTACGCAAATTCTGTTGATTTCCGCTGTCGTGCTTCGTCGCTTTTGGCCACAAAAATCAGAGAAAAACGGCTCAATTTATGATTGTAATGGGGTTATTCAGGCTGTGAAAAAATGATTGTTTTCCGTTTTTTTTTTCGTTTTTTTACGTCAAAAAATCCAATTCAGCGATGTAAAAAAACGAAAAACAAACGGAAAACAGACATACACTGAATAGCCCCATAAGCTCCGGTTCAAAAGTTCAAAATAGTCAATGCTTTTGGATTCAGCACAAATTTCGCTCATAAACAGAGAATTTGTCTTGAAACTCTTTACCAAAGCACGGAATTTTTTGGAAATTGGCGTGGACCCGTGACGGCCAAGACCTCCTTTTCTCATCGATTTTCAATGCATAAATCTCACCAGTTTCTTGAAATTGTAACGAATTCGCCGAGTTCGCTCGATTCTCTCCCTCTCCACAGCCTTTTCGTGTTTCAGCTCGTCGACGGCCCTCGGATCAAAGTGTGCGTGCGCGCAAAGGAGACTTCCGTCCGGCAGCTCCAGCTTTTCCGAGCATTTGACGAAACCGCAACGGGCGGTACGACGGTCCTGCATAGTTTTTGTCTGTTTTTTACAGCCTCAAAAAATGTTGTGCACGTTTGAAAAGTCACTCTTATTTACCATGTCACAACTGTTTCAAAAATAGGCAAACCTTGTACGTGTATCCGTCGGAAATGGCATTCCAATGCTCATCCGAATATTTCAGAGCATTGACGCGTTCCTCTTCGGTTTTCAAAAAAATGCCGGACGGATAATAGTCTTCGATGACGTTTGTGCATTCTTTACATTTCAGCAACTCTGCCGGTCGGCCCAATTTTCGATTTTTTCGATTTTTCAGATTGACTCTCTTCTCCTGCTTCACGAGACATCCGTAACACGCCACGTGTCCGCAGACCGTAATCCCGAACCAGAGATTCTGGAAAAAGTTGAACGATGGGCTTGCTGGACTTGGATGTAAGTGTATTGGGTTCGAGTTTCAGGCCCATCGGATCATCCGGTCCCGAGATATGTAGATCAGAGGCCGGAAAAATTTTTCACAAATTTTTTTTCGCAAACAATTTTCGCAAAAACCAGTATATCTCGGGACCGAATGATCCGATGGGCCTGAAACTTGGTCCCATTATACTTCAGTCCAAGTACAAAAAGCCTGCAAAGTTTGGTCCCGATTCGATCATTGCAAGAGGCCTTCAAAAAGTCTGGCAGAGAAACGAAAAAATTCCGTTTCAAAGGCAACTTTTAAATTCATTGAAACTGTTTTTGAACCAATATTTGAACCAATACGACTCACATTTTCGACGATTCCCAGTCCGCACAAGATACAAATTAGGCTCAATTGAAAGCGAACCTCTCGATTTTTCCGAATAGTTTTTGGGCTCTAAAAAAATGTATGCTTGAACAATTGCTTTTTTTTTGGTTGTCAAACTCACATCTTGCTCTTTGTGAGAAAATTGGCATCTGACGCCGTACTTGCACCGTCCTTTGGCGTAATACGGACAGTACGAGCTGCTTTTCGGCATCTGCAAAGATTTTTGTTGAGAAATTGGAAAAACTGGATGAATCTCGAATTCATTTCGAGACAACTGCAAGAAAATGAGTCAGCATCGGATTTCGTAAGCATTTCGTAGGCGGAAAAACAATAAATTGACTGCAATTTCTCAACCGAACACACACTCTATCCAATTTTCGAATGAAAAACATTAATTGTAGAGTGTGCAGCAAATTTTACCATTTTTCACCGAAAAGTCAGCCGAAAAAGCACGCGATTTCGTTTGCCGACGACAGATGTTCGGTAAAAAGAAAAGAGCGCAAAAGTGAGGCGAATGGAATGGCAAATGGATAGTATTTCCTAATAGCCAAACTCTAATGTACGCGCGCACACATGTGAGAGAAACAGAAATGAAAAGCGTGCTGAAATGACCTTGGGTGCAAAAAATGCATATCTCGAGAGTTGACACACTTTTTTTCGCATAGATTTCAATGAGATCGATTTAAAATGTCGAAAAGATGCGAGCGAACTCACACACATTCTTTAATCGAGAGCATTCCACTCGCGACGTTCCCTTCAAAAATATTTCCACTTGAATCACGGGCAGCAGTTGGTCTGAAACACTTTTTGGAAAACATTTGCAAAAAGAAACCTTCTCTGGCGGTCTGATGCCATTGTTTCGCCGTCATAATCGTCTCATGATAGTGTTCTCCGTGCATTGGGCTCATGGAGCAGTTGGCGAAGCTTCCAGAGAATCGTCCCAGATCTGGAAAATGTTTACATTTTCAACAATTCGTATTGTATTTGTCCAAGAATGTTACCAGATTACTGCTTTCAAAAATACTAACCCATGTGAGTGCGTATCGGCCGATTAATTGTTTGTTCCGATGCCCGGTTCGTCGCCGCCCTAAAAATACTTTTTTTTTTCTGAAATTCGTCCATCGAAATTCGTGTAAGTGGCCGGGGCCACGGAAGTTGCATTCGAAGGAACTCGCAGCGATTCTTGGAAAAAAAGGTTCACTTTTTGAAAATGAATTGCTGCTTACCAATGACTAAATCGAGCACAAAAATAAGACACAGCATTTCCATTTGTTTTGATTCTGAGAGCCACGGTCCGTCTGTCGTCTTCCGTCTTCCGTCTTCGGTGGTTTTTTTGTTCCGTCTTCCGTAAAAAAATTTTCTTCCGTCTTCCGTCTTCCGGGATTTTTTCCTCTTACCGTAAAAGAGTAATAGATTTTCAAAGGCCATTTACTCGCCCCGAAGAACGGGGCAGTGACCCAGATCCAAAATTTTTGTTGTTTAGTTATTTTTTTCAAAAAAAAAACCGGAGAAAAAGGTCCGTCTGCCGTCTTCCGGGAAAAAATTTTTCTTCCGTCTTCCGTGTTCCGTAAAAAAATTTTTTTTCCGTCTGCCGTCTTCCGGATTTCAAAATTCCATTTCCGCTCAACTCTGGTCTCCAGAGCTGACAATATGGGCGTGGCGGCCTCGGTTTTCTCTGATTTTTGTGGTCAACGGCGATGAAAAATGATTGTTCGACATGAAAACACACTAATTCGCAGAATTAATGACGTTTTGGCCCATTTTTCGCGGACTTTGCTTTTTCGCCTTCGCCGCCTCGAAGCCGCACTTCTCATTTTGCGCGCTTTCTTGACCGTTTTCAGACAGAACTGATTTTGAGAATGATAAATCACGTAAATACAAGTAATACAATTTTTGTACTTGTTGTTTGTAGACGCTGTGTCAAGAGAAATGATAGTTTCATGCAGACGGCTCAACATTTATTCTCTTCGTTACTAAATTCTCTAACCTTTTTTTTTCAACTGTCACTTTTATGCAGTATGTCAGGGGAAAAGCCGGGGAAAATCTATAATTAACAAGTTTTCATAAACTTTGTCCAGGATTTTTGATTGCTGACCCCCAAAAGCAACATGTCTTTGGCTATTCGGATAATAATCGCTCACTTTGCTTCCTCCCCCTCCGCGTATAATTTATATATTGTGAGAGCAAATAATAGCGATACTTTTGACATCTCCTTCTTTTTCTTATTCTTCTGCGTCTCCTCGGAGTAAATACTAGAAAGAACGGCACTTTCGCGACGGGATGACTGTAGTGTTTGACATGGAATTAGTAGTGTCATTTGATAGCCATGTTTTAGCGAAAAAAAAAATTTTCCGGTTTCATAAAAAGTTTGACAATTGGTTGACAACTTAAAATGTAGTTGAGGTCTTGTAAAAAGGCAACTTTTCACGATAAAATCCAACGTTCACTTTTGTCAATTCTCCTATCTCCTTTGTCGAATCTCTCTCTCTCTCTCGATTCTGTTAAACGAACGGGAATACGACGACCGTCATAAATTATGAAAGAGGTCCTCCGATGTGGGGGCCCATTCCTCCCATTTTTATCTTTATTCCTCATCATCATCACCAGTTTTCTTTCATTTCTCGACTGGAATTGATTGAAGAAGAATTCGAGAACAATTTTTGTTTATTTTCTTTAATTTTTCTCTTTAATGGCGTTATTCAGGCTGTGAAAAAATGATTGTTTTCCGTTTTTTTACGTCAAAAAATCCAATTCAGCGATGTAAAAAAACGAAAAACAAACATACGCTGAATAGCCCCATAAAACAGCAGAAAATAACCGATTTCCATAATTTTTTATTATTTAGGAAGCAACGAAATACCGTATACCTTAAAGGCGCACAACAAAATTTTGTGCGGGTCTCGTAGCGATCTGCGTTTTTGTGGAAAAAAATCATTTGCGCTCGCCACAAAGCATATTCTCGCAATTTGACGAATAATTATTGTAAAATCCGGTAAATGAACCACATGTTCCCATTTGCGGTGTAAACGGCGTAATTGGAGTCCTAAAATTATCGAAAATATGTCACTAACCTGTCGTCACAAACCGATTTCCTTCGCGAAATTAATTAGGCCCTGACTGCTTCACATTTGTTTCATTTTCGGATTTTTAGAACCCTTACAAGGCAAAAATTAACTATTTTTAGGCCTGCGCTCTTTTTTGAAAAAAACCTGGCCACAGCGGCCCTAGATGATATATATATATAACAGGCCGGCAAATGGTCAGCTCTGCTAAAATTACATAAAAATTTCAGTTTCAAAAAAGTCAGATCAACGAAATTTTACTAACTCTCTATTGATGCCGCCAAAATCTTGTGCTGTTCTGTCTGTACAGTCCTTGACCTCGCAGTAAGTATTTTGTACTTTTTCGTCCGATTTCTATCTTTTTCTAGTCGTTTTTTACAACGCTTTGTTCTGTTGCGACGTCGAATTAAGTTCAACATTTTACTCCGAGAAATCCCCAGGAAAAAGTTGCCAAAAAGCGTCTCTTCGTCGCCGGAAGCCCGAAATTTCTAATTCAGCCCTAATTCGATGCTTTTTCGTGTCGGCCGACACGAAAAAGTCTTCCGGAGCTCTCGGAGCCGGAGCACACACATACACAAATCCAATCCGATTCGTTAGCCGTCTTCTTCTTCTTCTGGAGCACACAAAAATACGATTGGCCCGCAGTTTCCGCCGACGCAATGAAGAAAAAGAGAAGCTCATCTTTTTTTCGGCTTCACTGATTTCGTAACTTTTTGCCCTTCTCCCACATTTTATTCGCAGTTTCCATTACATGCAGATACTTTGACATGTAAACTCTATAATTACCGCAATTTCGAATATCGCTTTTTCGCCTTTGTCGCCGAAAAACCGCGCTTGTCATTTTGCGCATTTCTGACCATTGGTACGTGAATACAAGCATTTTTAGAGCTAGAACAACAAAAATTACCGAAAAACAACTGAAATTCACACAGTTTTAGGCAAAAAACTTCAAAAATTGCGACTTGACCAAATTTGACGCTCTTGCGCCTAAAACATTCGTTTTAGCATATAGATTTGTTCTATCGAGGGACAAATGTGCAATTATCGACTTTTCGTGGCTAACCTGGCAAAAACACAAAATTTGCTGTTAACATTTGAACTTCGCGCCAACTTGCGCCCGGTGTAAGCTCTGGAGACCGTCTGTTCCTTTTTTTTGTATACTCTGGCGCAGCTGCCGTGCACCTGTGCCTACGCTATAGAATTTCGTTTCATTTCGAAAATTTGTTATGAATTGTCGCATTCACATTTTATGTTGTTTCTATTGAATGCACATTGGATTTTTGAAAACATTTTTTCAAACTTTCGTCCCCTCCCCCCACTTACCCATAACTTTTTCCCGTTCACCGAACAAAAAGGTCTCCTCTTTCTCTTTCTTTCATTCTTTCTTTCGCATTTCGTATACAATCCATCACATATCCATTTCGTTCGGGACGAACGTATCGAAAAGTCAGTTTCCACGTGACTGAACATGACATACAACCCTCGCGATGACGCCCACGCATTGTCCCTTTTATACTAAAACCCCGATGCAAACTTTGGTTCTTTATCAAAAAGAAATACGAAACATGGCGAGCAAAAGTCGAAAAAGGGGCGTGGCCTAGCTGCCCATCATCGAATTTCTACGATGTTTTGTCGGTTTTTTGCGAATCAAAAAGCATGTCAACTGTATTGATGCAGTAACCACCAATTATCATTCAACTTTTACCTCTACTTGTCCCACTTTTCCCTTTTTCGCCGCCGCCGACGACGCCTTCAGATAACCACTATTGACAATATGTTCGTCTTACATCCACTTGAACGGTAACAGTAACAGTAACGAAAACTTGCAGGGCTGAAGGCCTGCCGAGGCCTGTACTTTTAACCCACTTGCAAGGATCTGATCGGACCCAAATTTTGCAGGATTCTTGGACTTGGATTGAAGTATATTGCGTCCAAGTTGCAGATCGATCCGATCATCTGGGCCCGAGATATGTGGATCAGAGGCCGATTGGCCGAGAACCCGAGCTTTTCGGCTCCGATTCACATATCTCGCGACCGGATGATCGGATTGATCTGAAACTTGGACCCAATATACTTCAATCCAAGTCCAAGAAGCCTGCAAGGTTTGGTCCTGATCGGATCATTGCAAGTGGGTCAAAAGTCCTGCGCCGAAATTTGCCTGATAAAACTTGACAATTTTTTTACACCCGGCTTAACTGTATTCCAGATTATGTCTTTCCCCATTTTTTTTAGGTAAAAAAAAACCAATTCACGTTCGCCGAGTAAAAATCGTTTAAAAAATTTCAAAAATGTTTCCCTCGGTCAATAAAAACCGTCTCGTTTATCCGGCCCTCATCCTCGACCACTTTTGAGAGGCGAACTAAGACAAACGAAATGTCAAAAGCGACAAGTTGTCTCTCTCTCTCTCTCTCTTTTTTTTGCGGCCGACATTAGCGACAGAAAGACCATTTCCGCCCCCTCCGATTATCCACATTCTCTCTTTTTTCTCGTTCGCTTTATGTCTATGTCTGGGTGGTCTGGCAATTGTTTGCAACGCTGCTAACAATTTTTTGAGGCGAATTACCGAGAAATCTCGTTTTTTTTAAAATTTACTGTTTCAGAAAAAACACATCTTTCTCACATGTTAGAAATCTGATGCGAAGTTGTATTCACGTGTTTTATTGTGTCCGACACTAATTTTGTCGGAAAACTGTTCAGTCTCGGCCATACGGGTCTCGACGCGAAGAGCCCCGTAAATCGACATGCGTTTTCTGGAAAATAGCACGATTTCAATGATTTTTTGTGATGTTTGTGTTTCGCGACGAATTCAATTCGTAAACCTGTAATTTTTTTCGCTTCTCTATCTCTTGGCTATCGATTACCTTCGCAAAAGTCAATTTTTATTCGTTTTTTGAAGAAAATGAAGAAAATTCACTGAAATCGCAGCGGTTTTCCGGAAAATCATCAAAATAATTCATCCCGTCGAGATGCGCGTGGCCGAGTAGCCTAGGATCCGGTGGCCGAGCGGCCATAGCAAAACTTCAACTTTAAGACGAATGTTTCTCGAAATGGCTCGAAAATGTTTGTGCTCCTCCTCCAATAGTATCTGTGTTGTCTCGTTGCGCACCGCCGGCCGTGCACCCGTGTTGGTCAGTGACAAAAGAGAAAACAAACGATTATTCTCCGGCTCTGAAGAGCCTCCGATCGCCTCTGTTTATTTTTTGCTCCTTTTGCCCCCATACTCTCTCCGCTCGCGCGTCGGCTTAAACCGAAAAGCGAACGGTAGCGGCTTGTCAAAACATTTATTACATGTACGCGTCTTGAAATTCTTTGCAAACTTACCTTCTAGCGTGCTGAATCCCTGAGAAAAATGTGAAAAATTGGAAAAACTCGGCCGCCGCCGCCGCCGATTTTGTTCATTTCTCCGCGCGATTCCCCCGGGAGCGGCTCCCCGTCGTTTCTGTCCCATGTCTGAGAATGAAAAATGAAAAATTGATGAAAGTTTCTTTTTTTGCTCGTCGCTCTGTTCAGTAGACCTCAATTTAGTGAGCGATCTTTGTGAATTATTGTTTTTGAGAATGTTTTGCGTATGCATTCTCCTACTTTTCAAGCTGGAGTTGAGCCCCGTTAAATTTGAAGAGGTATATGGTACATTACAATTTTCTGATGAAAGTGCCGGTTTCAGACGCCTTTCTATTACAAATATTAACAAAATGACTCTTTGCTTACCAGTTTTTTTTGTAGTCTACCATATCCCTCTCCAAATTCAAAGCTTGAAAAGTTTCGCGCCATCAATCGGCGAATGTATAATAGGAAAATGCGAAAAACGTTTTGTTTCCCCACCAACACCTGGAACCACTCGATTTCTCGGCGCCCTTCGAATTTCCGCAATTAATCACGGTTTATCGGTGTTTCGGAGCTCCGGCGAGTGCTCCGAAACACATAAACCCATCAGTGATTCGGAAAACGAGAGAAGAAGAAGGAGAAGAAGAAAGATTTCTTCCCGTCCACTCATTATTCTTCAAAAGTTTTTCAGTGCCAACTTGGCCGTAAAAAATGTATCACCGGTCTGATAGCCGATGTGACACATCATCACAAATGACCAGCCACCACATTAAATTTACACCATCAACTACATCGGTCCCGGCTGCAGCCGCCGCCGCCTACTTCTACTACTACAATTCCATTCATCCTTTCAACTTTACACCCCTTCCCATTCGCTCTTTTTCTCTCGTTTCTCTCCGCGCACACTCCTCCACTCCACCAATCGGTTCGACGATAAAATCACTCGTCGTGTGTGCGTCTCTTCCATTTCGCAACTGTTCTGTCGGCCGATCGGTTGCCGCGACCCCCTGAAGAATCGGAAGAATCGGAAGAAGAAGACCCCCTTGACTTTCCGAAGACGTCCTTGCATTCTCTCTCTCTCTCTCTCTCTTTCTTTCTTTTCATCTCTACCATCTCTTTCTCGGCGATACTTGTAGAAATTTAGCGACTTTATGAAGTTTTGCTAGTAGCAGAGCTGTCGGCAATTCCGTTTTCCGTTTTCCGCAAAACAACAGTGGTAATCTGTGTCTTTTTTGAGTCTAGATAAGTTTTTCGCTTTCAATGTTCTCACAAATGCTGTAAATTCGCTCCACCGCACTCTCAACCTATTTTGTTTGTCTTCCGGCCGTTCCACCAAAAACTGATAAGCAAATGTACAAAGTGACACATTTTATCGATGAAAACTGGAATGTAGGTTGGAAAGCGCGAAAATTGTCCTTTTCTCGATTTTTCCTCTCACCTTGCCGAATTTTTGTCTCCAATTTTCAAAATCATTTTTGTTTTGCAGAAAATAGTGGTCCGGAACGCAAACGTGGTAGTATATGGATGAAAAATAGGCATGAAATGCCCACATTTTTCCAATTGCTCATTTTAACTTTGGCGTTGGCGTCGGCAACACCAAAAACCACCGCCAATGTCTACTCGATCGACGACAATTTGGTGTTCGAAAATCCGAGTAATAATGGACAAGAGGTTTTCGAGAAAATGGTGAGATTTTTGCGATTTTTCGGGGGTAAAACCAGAGACTTTTGGACCACTTGCAATGATCCGATCGGGACCAAACTTTGCAGACTTCTTGAACTTGGATGGGAGTATGTTGGCTCCAAGTTTCCGACCGATCGGACCATCCGGTCCCGAGATATATGGAATCAAAGGCCAATCTCGGCCGTGAAACGGTTTGAAACTTGGACCCAATGCACTTCAACATGTTTCTAGGAAAATACCATTCCGAATCATTACAATCATAAAAAAAAATACAACACAAAAAGCATACAAACCGAACATTTTGCAGGCCATCGATCCGTCGACGACACGGGTTTTCGTGGGTGCCGTCAACAATATCTACGATTTGACGAGCGCCGATTTGACGGTTCGGCGACACGTTCAGACGGGTCCCGCCGACGATTCGCCGCTTTGTCGCGGTACGACGTTTTTAAATGATTGACTAAAGAAATGGCTGAAAAACGGTCTTGCGACACAAATTCCCACGGGAAAAGGAAAGTGCGCATTTCTTTTTGGGGGTGCTTAAAATGAATGTGTCGCCGCGATTTTGTTTCCGATTTTCTAAAGACCAGCTCAATTTTGAGGGACTTTGCCTCAAAAACATGTTTTTTTTCAATCTACGACCTAAAATTCCGATGCAACAGCTAGGCCATCTGGAGCACCCGGAAAATGACAAATTAGTGGTCCTGCGGGGACGGCGCATGAGTGCCTTCCCCGTCCCGCTTGTGGACGGATAACCCTAATTACCATAATCCGTCCTCCTCTTCTCGCGCATCGTTTAATTCACTTCATCTTATTTTGACGTCGACGACGACGAAGACGACGACGACGTCTTCTGCCTCCGAATCAGAAGAAATTGTTGAGGGGATTTAGTTGGATTTGCGCGTCGACAAAGATGTGTGAAGTGGCGCCACCGCCCATTGTTCTTTCCAATTTTCGATGACGTTTTTGAGAGGGATTCTTCAGATTAGCGCCTTTTTTTGGTTGGAGATCGATGCGGAAGAGGAAGGATCTGAAAAAAAATGGGGATCTCTAAGGTTTTACCTGAAAAAGTACTTTTGGAAGGGAACGGTATAGGGAATTGAAATTTTGGTACTACTATACCAAAATATAGAATTTTGGGGCCTAGGTCAGTAGTAAATCCAAGCCTGGGCGAGCGGCAGAAAAGCGATTAGTGTGCGAAACAGTTTCGCGTCTTTCATAAAGAATAAAACCAAGATTAAAAAAATTTCAATTGTTTGCAGACGCCCGCAACCGCGAAGAATGCCGTCATCAGCTGTCCCGGACGAATTCGCACACGAAAGCTATGGCGGTGTACGATAAATCGTCGAAACTGATCGAGTGTAGCAATCTTTATCAGGTACACTTTTTCTTGTTGCAATTTTTCAAAATATGTACAAAGTTTGACTGTTCTCCTCGAATTTCTGCGCTATAAAGTAACAATTAATTTTGTGCAATTTCCAGGGTCGTTGCCGTCTCCGGAATCTGCACAACATCTCGGAAGTGCTGTCGGAGGCGATCGAACCGCGCGTCTCCAACGATTCCACCTCGTCCGTCGTCCTTTTCGTCGGTCAGGGACCCGCGAATCTCACCAATGAGCCGGTTTTGTACGTCGGAGCGACTATCGGCAGTGGGGTACGTGTATTTCTGACAAAGATTTGTGAAAAAAGAAAAAAGAAGAAAAAAAGCGCACTGTAGTGATAATTTTTAAAAAAAATTTACTGTTTCAAACATTTATTGCACCGGATGAGGACTAAATTTTAGTTGCTTACATTTCTAATAAATTCTTGCAGGACCATGACCGAATGTCGGTCTCCTCGCTATTTTTGCGCTCGCCAAAAGCGTTCGAAGTCGTGTTTCCGGGACTTTACGGTGGAACGCACGTCTCGTTGGACTACAGAAGTCGCGGATATTACAAATATCAGTGGGTTACTTTTTAAAAAGGATTTTCAAAACGATATTTTCGTTGTTTGCGTTTGCAGAATCGACTACGTGAACGGCTTCGAATCGGGCGAGTATGCGTATTTCGTGACGCGCCAACGCAAAAATATCCACGACGACGGTGCGGTTCAGTCGAGACTGACACGTGTTTGCACCGGCGACAAGAACTTTCACAGCTACACCGAGGTACGCTTTTTTAAAGAGAATTTCTAGAGTGCCACACTAAAAATCGATAACCGCGTGTACTACCTCTCTAAAACACACAAAAAATAATAGAGAAAAATGTTGAGGTACCCATGGAATGCACTGCGAACGGAGTGGACTTCAATCTGGTTCAGGATGTGTACGTGACACGTGCCGGTTACGAATTGGCAAAATCTCTGGACATTAGGTAACTTTTTCTGGAAAATTCTACACTGTTTAACGGACTTTTTTTGCTGCAGCATAAGCGACCCGGTATTGTACGGAGTGTTCTGGGAGGGCGACAAAAATTCGTATCGATCGCAGGAGCCGACCGGAAAATCGGCGATTTGTATGTTCACGATGAAAGAGGTGGAGACGGCGTTCAAGCAGAACATTATGAAGTGCTATAAGGGCACTTCCGGACTCAAAAAGGTAATTTCTGTCTATTTAATTCTAACATAAAAAAATTTGCTTCAAAACAAAGACGATTGATACTATGAACAGCTAGTTTTAAAATTCATTTTTTGAGGAGTGCTGTTAGGAGAACTTAAAATAATTATTGATTAGACCTAGACCGGTATAAAGAAAATTAAATAGTTAGTTACTTTTTGGATCTCATTTTTCGTACAGTAATTAAAGCATCCGGCTAAACAAAGTTTTGAAGCAAATCGCTTTATGGAATTGAATTTATGAAACTGCAAAAAATTGGTATTCTTCCAGAACCTTCCCTGGTTCTCCTCCAACGACGATTGCCGCTTCACCACACTACCGTGGGAGGGAATAAAGTGCGGAAAAGATGTGAACTCGAAAATCGGTCAGTTTCGAGTGTGAAAAAAGTGAAATGTTATTTGTTCCAGGCGGTGACATGCCCATCTCGACGTTTGCCACGTTTGTGCTCGACGACGACTCGCTTCTCACCTCAATCGCCATCAATACGACGCGTTCGAGTACGGTCGCATTTGTGGGAACGCAAGGAGGCAAATTGCACAAGGTTAGTGAATTTTCTTGATTTTTCGACATTTTCCTCTTGCAGATTCTCATTGAGAACAAGCGGAGCGCGGAAAAGTACGCGACAGAGCTGTTGACGGAAAACGAGCCGATTCTGGCGGATATGGAGTTTAGCGGCGACGGAAAACACATTTTTGTGCTCACGCCGAGCAAGGTGAGCGCGTTTTTCGAGTGATAACCCTGGGCTTTTTGACACCCACTCGCAATAATCAATGATCCGATCGGGCGAAAAATGCAACATACTTTTGCAGGTAATCAAAATGCCGACGTCTCGTTGCGAAGCCCTCTCCACCCAGTGCGACGGGTGTCTTTCGTCGCGAGACCCCTATTGTGGCTGGTGTGTGAGCAACAATCACTGTACGCAGGAGGAATCTTGCGAGAGGGAAGTGCCGCACACCGCCCGCGGATGGCTCGATTTTCAGAATTCGAAATGTCCGAGGTTGGCGATTTGCTGGGGAAAATTACGTGTGGTTTTTTTGTTATTGTTGCAGAATCCGAAGCGTGAAACCGGATCAGATCCAGATCAACACGGCCGACTACCTAAACGTGACGATCGAGAACCTGCAGGCGCCGAAAGGCCGTCGCATGCAGTGTCTCTTCCAGTTTCCGACCGGAGACGCCGTCGTCTCCGAGCCGATGCCGTTCGACGGAAGTCTGAAGTGCGCGACGCCGCCGATGGACACACTCCCGCGCATTCCCAACAACGAGTTCCATTTGGCCGCCAAACTCGTCGTCGTTTCGGATGGTACAACGCTTCTTTTTAATTAAAAGTCTATCATTTTTCTCCGCTTCCAGGCAGTAAACTCCCACTGGCCACCACCAATTTTTCGTTCTACGACTGCAGCCGCTACTCGTCGTGCTCCACGTGCTCTGCCAGCCAATTTCCCTGCGATTGGTGCCTCGAATCGAACGAGTGTGTGGCCGGAAAACTGACAGAGGACAAGTGTCGCAAGCAGCACATTGTCAACGGGCTCAACGTCAGTTTTAAAAGTTTGAAAGGAACTCTAAAAAACGCCCAAAAAAAACGCCCTGAAAACTCTTCCCCCTTGCACTTTGACAATCTGTTCTGACGTTAAAATCCGGAAAAGATCATATGGCCTTGGATTTTTCGAGTAAGACGCAATTCAAACAGACACACATAAACTCGTAGAGCTCCCTGGTTCTTTGTAAATTGCAAGAAAGTGAGAACGCAACATTTCAATTTCAGCGCGACGGCTCTTCGATCCGAAAAGGGCCGAGCAAGTGTCCGCACATTGTGGCGCCCGTCTCGAAAATGTCGGTGGCGGCCGGTGAACGACGGAATATCAGTGTCAAAGTGGGTTTTCTTAAGAAAAATAGGGAGTGCCTACAATGATCGCCGGCACTTTTTCAGATCGAAAACGCGGATCCGTCGTTTATGGGCGATTTTAAGTGCGAATTCAAGTACGCGACGGTGACGCACGAGAAAATTGCGATGAGAACGACGGACGACACTATTACGTACGATTTTCTTTTTCGAGAGAAATTTGTCTGAAAAATCATCATTTGTGCTTCAGATGCGACGAGATGCTCTTCGAACCCTACGGCTCCGCGCTTCTGGGCTCCGGCTCGACGGCCTTTGGTTTCAACGTCATCTGGTCGCCCGTCGGCTCGTCTTCCTCAATTTCCGCCCGAAAATCGTCGAATCCACCGCGATACCTCGACAACGTCGATAATCTGACGATCGACGTGTATTCGTGCGAGAATTTGGCGGCAAACTGCGGAAAATGTCTGACTTTGGACGCGGACAAGTACGATTGCGGATGGTGTGGCGGCGTGGCGTCGGGCAAGTGCGCTCGACCGCACTCGTGCCCGAAAACGCCGGGAAACTGGCTGAACGCGTCGCAATTGTGCCCGAATCCGCAAATTGAGGAGTTCAAACCGAAAAAGGGATCGATTTTCGGCGGAACCCGTGTGATCATCACCGGAATCAACCTCGGACGCCACGTGTCCGATGTGGAAAAGGCGGTGCAGATTGCGAATGTACCGTGCGAAGTGGTCCCGGAAGAGTACGTTCCGTCGCAGCGCATCGTGTGCATCACCGGCAAGAGCACGATTAAGGGAAGCAACGAGCGCGGTGTTGTGGCGGTGCGTTTTTAGGGATTTTTATACAAAATTTTCAAAATTTTCACAAAAACCCATCATTTTTCTCTCCTTCTTTGCAGGTGACGCTTCGCCACGATTCTCTGCAATTTTTCGCGCACTCGACGGAGCACTTTTCCTATGTGGAGCCCGTCGTTTCGTCGATGAAACCGGTGAAGGGACCGCGATCCGGAGGCACCGATGTCACGCTGACCGGCGTCGATTTGGACACGGGCTCCGAGGTGACGGTCCGATTCGGACAAGTCGCCTGCAAGGTTTTGGGTACGTTTAGGTTACTGTAGGTAGAGTACTTCTATCAAAAAGTTATTCATGCGAAAAGTTTGTACACACACACACACACACACAGAACCTGCATTATAAATTGAAGCATTTACTTCTTTGAGAACCCATTCTGAGGACTTTTGGTACAATTCACTTTGTTTTCTTTTTCCGACGTTTCGGTCGCTCGACCATCATCAGGGAACGGCAATAAGAAGTGGAAGAAAGGGCTCCGCGACATTTCGGCACCAGTCATTTCGACACCAAAAAAAGCGAGAATTTTTCATCAAAACTCTTTCGAATTTTACTGCGCGTCATATTAACGTGAACAAATTATACAGAACAACAAAGTTTTGAAGAAAAGAAAAACAAAAATTGGAAGAAAAATCAGAACGCGTATCATAAAAACTTAAAACGTAAAAAAAATAACGATTTTTTTAAAAAAAATTTAAGATGAGCAATATCCCGTAAGATGTCGGTACACGAATTTGTGCATATGACGCGCAGTGAAATTCGAAAGAGTTTTGATGAAAACCTTTGACTAGTACTGCGAAAATTACAAGTGAAATTAGACTAAAAAATTCTCGCTTTTTTTGGTGTCGAAATGGCTGGTGCCGAAATGGCCCGGTGCCGAAATGGCTGGTAACGAAATGTCGCGGAGCCGCCGTTCCGAAGCGTCGTGGGTCCTCAAAGAAGCAAAATCGCTCTCGAAAATGCAACAAAACGATAACTTAACATAGGGAAATTTCCAGGGCAAAAATCAATAAATTGCAGCTCGATCGTCCGGATGGCTGACTTGCCGAATGGGACCGTCGGCCGAAGGCGGCCAACTTCCGTTGCACATTGCGTTCGACGATCAACTCCAAAATCTGCCCATCCCCATTTATTTCGAATTTACGTATGTAGAGCAAAAACGTAGTGAAAAAGTGTCTTTGAACACTTTTTGCAACGGAAAACAAAAAATGATTTTCAGATCGGACCCGTCTGTCCAATCGATTGCTCCGAACAAGACGATTCCGTCGGGCGGGATTACGGTAGATGTGTACGGGCAGGGATTCACGCTCCTCCAACGCCCACGCATGGTCTTCGTCGGATTGGGGTCGGTTTTTGTCAAGTTTTTCCTGGAAAATAATCTGAAAATCCGGGTTTTAGCGACGAAAAATCGTTGGGACCGTTGTGCCAAGTGGTCGACGATCAACTGATGAAGTGCGCGACGCCGGCGGTTCCGGGAAGATCGGATTCGGAAAAGTTCACGATTGAAAGGATCACCGAGTACGTGTTCGATTTCGACGGAGCCGAACTTTAGTGAGTTTACGAGAGAGGCGAATTCAATAAAAACGTCGATGTTTCAGTCGTTCGCGGATAAAAGTGATGCCGGCGCCGTCGTTCGAAACGCTTGCGGAGCCGCGTTTCGTGCGTCCCGGCGAGGATTTTCTGACGCTCAACGGAAACCATTTGAATTTGGCGGCGTCGGAACGGGACATTACCGTGTCGGTGGGCGGCGAACCGTGTCCGCTGACCGCGTTGGCTAACAAAGTGCTCACGTGTCAGCCGCCCGTCCGCAAACCGCCGGCCGTCGGCAAATTGAACCCCGAAATAGTGGTGGCGGTGGGAAACGCGACGTTTTCGGTGGGCGAAGTCTCGTACGACTCGCCCGGACTCTCCTCCTCGCTCTTTTTCATCATCTCCATTTTCATCCTCTTCATGATCGGACTCATCATTTGTCTGATTGTTTTGTACCGCCGCAAGTCGAACACGCATCAGAGACAGATGAAGTACTTGAAGACGCAAATGGACACGATCGAGATGAAGGTTTGTCGGCCTTTGTGCACGTATTTTTAAAGACATTATGGGTTGTCTGACATGCTGAATCGAATGGCATTCGCGGTTTTTTAGACAACGTTCCAGTAAAGGATGTCTTAATTTTCTATTTTTTCAGGTGGCCACAGAATGCAAGGAAGCATTTGCCGAACTGCAAACGTCTCTGAATCAGTACACGGCCGATTTGCCGCTCGGAACGCCGACGGCGCCGTTTTTGGAGTACAAGGACTACTGTGCGAGGGTCAGTAACGTAAAAAAGATAAGGGAAGATGATTTATGAAATTGCAGGTTCTGTTCCCAACTGGCGGCAAAAATCATCCGGTTCTGAAGAATTTGGAAGTGGATACGCACAAAGCGGAAGCCATCGAAGCGGGACTTCGAGAGTTCCACAAGCTGCTCATGAATAAGGTATCCGTTTCTTGAAAAAAAGAAACATGCAATTTTATTCGAAAAAATCGTTCGAATTTGCAGACGTTCTTCCTGACAATGGTGCGAACGATGGAGGCGAACAAGTACTTTGTCGGCAAGGATCGCGTCTACGTGGGCAGTCTGCTGATGGTCGTGCTGCAGGAGAAGATGGGCTACTGCACAGAGATGCTCAAGCAGTTGCTGCGCGAGCTCATCGAAAAGACGGTCGAGAAGAAGTTTCAGCCGAAAATACTGTTCCGTCGGAGTGAGAGCATTGCCGAACGCATGCTCGCCGCCTGGTTCACGTTTTTGTTGCACGACCATTTGAAGGTGGGCTTTTTTTTTTGAAAATTATTCACAAAAACGAATTGCCAGACATTTGACGCCGGGAAAAAGCTGTACGAGCTGTTCTGGGGCATCAAGCAACAAATGGAAAAAGGGCCGCAGGACGCGCTCACCCTCGAAGCGCGTTATTCGCTTTCCGAGGAGAAACTGTTGCGCGCGACGTTCGAGTACAAAGAATTGACGGTGTTCGTGTCGTCGGCCGACTCGATCTACACCCAATCGGACATTCCGGTACGGGTGCTCGACTGCGACACGATCACGCAGGTGAAGGAGAAGTGTCTGGACGTGAAGTACCGCGGATTCCGCTACTCGGACCGCCCGGCCGCCGCCGACCTCGAGTTGGAGTGGAAAACCGGACTCAACGGGAAGATGACACTACAGGTTTGCACGTTTTCAGTGAAACGTCATACACTACACTGAATTTTTCGAAATAATCATGATTTATTGCAGGACGTAGACTCGTCGTCGCGAACGGAAGGCGGAAACTGGAAGCGCTTGAACACTCTGGCCCACTATAACGTGCCGAATAATGCGATACTGACGCTCGCTTCGAAATCCAACTCGTTGTATAATCTGGTGAATTTTTCGTCGTGCTCCGTCAAGACGACAGCGGTGCATCTTTTTTGCATTTTTTTTTAAATGTTTAAACTTTTTTTTGGCCAGAAAGTTGAGACCTCTCACGTTTTACAACCATGACGAATGTCAACCACGTGTTTCGCAACCAGTACGCGAGTAACTGGGTGCCCGATCAGAAGTATCTCACCATACTTTTTGAAAACGGAGGGCGCCCCGCACCACATCTGTTTAAAGTCGATTCGTTAAAATAGTATCACCGAAGAGCACCCGGCAACTTCTTTAAAATACGCTTGGCTGCGAAACATTGCGGTTGTGGAAACGAAGAGGTCTCACTAGGGAATGGTCCCTCAACTTTCAACATTTCTTCCTTAAATTCTTCTATAATCCGCCACTTTTCCGACTAATTTTCGCCCCACGTTTGCAGAGCATTCTATCGGATCGCTCGGAAAAGTCGTCGCTGTCGATGAAGACGGCGGGCGTCGGATCGCCGAAGCCGTGGGGCGGCGCGCCTCCGTCCGTAGTGGCCGATCATGCGTCTTCGTCGGCCGACACGGACAACGGCTTCAAACTGTACCACCTGGTGCGGCCGACCGAGCACGGACCCACGGATTCGCAGGAGAAAATGGTGACGGAGATCTATCTGACGCGGCTGTTAATGATGAAGGGCACGCTGGCCAAGTTCATCACCGCCCTCCTCGAGAGCATTTTTTCGGCGCGGAACGTGCCGCCGTGCATCAAGTACATGTTCGATTTTATGGACGAACAAGCCAGGGAACATGGCATTAATGATCCGGAAGTGGTGCACGCGTGGAAGAGCAACGCACTGCCGCTCAGGTTCTGGGTCAACCTCATCAAGAATCCGTAAGTTTGCCTTCTTCTGGCTTTTTCCGTTCTTTGCTAAAGCGAATTTTTGCAGTCAATTTCTGTTCGACATCCAGAAGCCGACGAAGATCGAGGGGTGTCTTTCGGTGGTCGCGCAGACCCTCATGGACGCCTGCTCGACGCAGGACCACCAGCTGACGAAGGACTCGCCGAGCAGCAAACTGCTGTTCGCGAAGGACATGTACCAGTACCGCGACCTCGTCGACGGCTACTACACGGAGATCGCGCAGGCGCCGCGCATCGACGACGCGACAATGGGCGCGAATCTGACGGCCGAGTCGCGGCAGCACAACGGAGAGTTCCACGTGTTCTCGGCGCTCAACGAATTGTACAAGTACTTGGATCAGTACAAGGAGAGCATTATCGACGCGTTGGAGAGCAACGAGCACGCGCAGGCGAGCAGGCTACCCGGCAGGCTACAGGTTGGTTATTTGTACAAAAACACTGTGCAATGATTCGTTGCAGGACCTGCTGGCCCTAATGGAATCCGATTACTATCGGGCGACGGACTACGAATCGTCGACGCTGGGCCTCGGCTACAACTCGAACAGCCGTCTGATGCCACGTGATCGCATCTGATTATTTATTGATTTCTGTTTTGTTTCTGCTATTATGTGTATCATAGTCACCTCTTTCTCTCTCTCTCTCTCTCTCTCTGCCAATTTTACGTGTATTCCTGTTACAGTGTGCTCCAAAAACCCCGCTCTTTCGAAGCTTTTTAGGCACCATTCTCTGGCCATACGTTGATTCTTCTTGAGTGATACGGGTGAAAAATAGCCGCCCGTCCATCGACCCCACCCGCCTCAATCATTTTCTAATTTGAATATAGTCCCGGAAACACGGTTGTGATCTTGTAATTTCTTGTGCGATCTTAATAAAATGTAATGTATTTAAAATGGATGAAATATATCGCAAACAATTAAGCAGAAGACCACAGTTTAAACCTAGAAAATTGGTTTCCTTTCGTTTTTGATAGTACAATACAATTATTTTCTGTGGGTTTTCGCTACCGTAGAGAAGAGGGATCACGACGGAAGTGAAATTAATGAATGCAATAAATCGATCACGAGATTCAAAAATTATCTTTTTCTACGAAACAATTATTCTACAGAAAGGTTTAAAAGGCGCTCCAAACAGTTCTATTCTGCCCGGTTCTATTATGTTGGACCGCCACAAAAAAAAAAAAGAGAAAAGCTTTTATTAATTGCGAAATTATAGTGAATTTTTGAACATTTCCTTTTCTTTGCGTGCCTCTTCCCGCCGCTTGTTCGCTTTTTCCTCTTTCGCGTGTTGCAGCCTCTGGAATTTAAAAAATGTTTAATTTACATGGCATTTAGCCAATTTTTTAGGTAAAATTGTGTTTTCCTCACTTTAAGCTGCTCCTCGTAGCAATTTTCTCCGTTTATTCGTCGATCGAGCACGAATTTCATGCGTTCGAACGCGATTTCAATGTTTTTCGGCAGCAGACGTGATTCGTGCACCTGCAAATACATTCTTTACACACTTTTTGAAAAAAAGAGTACCTTGAGCACAGTTCCCGTCGGCAAATGCGTCAATTGAACGGCATTTTGGGCGGTGTTCACCTTCTGGCCGCCCGGTCCCCAACCGGAAATGTACTTCTGCAAGAGAAACCGTTTTTCGGCGTTAAATGTTCAATTCGTCTGGCAAATTTTTTCGAATTCGCCGGAGAAGGAGTTCACGAAATCGGGCCTCAAATGTACCGGCGTAGTCTGTACGTACCTGTTCACAATCCTCTTTTTTCACCTCCGGAAACTTGTAGCCTTTCAATTTTTGTTTCGGCGTTGCGAGACCTCGCCGTGCAATCATTGTCCATCGTAAAACCATTTCTGACCCAAAAACGTGTGTTTTTTAAAGCAAAACTTTTTCGAAAAATATTGGATTTTTCACAACTAGTTTAGCGTCAATTCCATTAAAAGCATGCTAAAATAAATTACAACTTTATTCGATGAAAACTGAAAGCAAGAGGCTGAAAACGTGCCTAACTGGATGCAAATAAATTATGTGAAACTGGATCGGAAACCCGAAAACGAATATGCATAAGAGTGGGCAAACAAAAAGCAATAAGTTAATAAGGAATTTCAGGGGCGGGGCGTATTAAAGCAGTATTTACAAATGTTTTCAAATTCAGCAAGATTGTTGTAGTCGCAGGAAACATTTTCGGCAGACTCGGACCGGACGCGAAATGTTCATTCGGGTGATGTGCGACTCGAAACGGGAGCATCTGAAAATTATCGTTTTTTTTTAAATGTTTTTTGTTTCAGGCAAATCGTTTCTAATCTAATTCGCGTTCTCCAGTTTGATTTCTTCTTGCTGAAAAACGCACGTGGAGCAGAAAATTTGTCCGCAATTGCGGCAGTGGTGCTTGCGGTCGGCCAGTGTGAATTTGTGCTCGCAGTCGTCGCACCGCTGCCGCATCACGTCCTGCACCCAGTGATCCGCCCGTCCGCCGCCCTCGCCGCTCTGCCAATTCCACACTCGGCCAATGCCGTCGCCAATGTACAGCGAACGGTGGTCTCTGCAAAACATATATATATGATAAACGAGTTCGGGGAGAGAAAATGTTGAGGATAACTCGTAAATGACGGCTATATGCCAGAGTTGAGCGGAAGAACTCAACGGAAGAACACGGAAGAATTTTTATCTTTTTTTGAAAATTTTTTCATGGAATGTGATCAACTGACGAAATGTATAGCAAAGTGAACTCTGCTCATAAAAAAATAATTGTAAATTTAACTTTTCATACAAAAAAAGTTATTCGAGTTGTTCCGTTAGCCCCTTTTTTTCACGGAACAACTCGAATAACTTTTTTGTATGAAAAGCTAAATTTACAATTATTTTTCTATGAGCAGAGTTCACTTTGCTCTACATTTCGTCAGTTGATCACATTCCATGAAAAAATTTTCTAAAAAAGATAAAAATTCTTCCGTGTTCTTCCGTTGAGTTCATCCGCTCAACTCTGCTATACGCTGTGAAACGAAACAACGAACTGTCAAACATTGCAAAATAGTCGGAAAAGATCGGAAACGTGTATACTGTATTAGAAGGGATCGCTTTATTTAAAAGCGCTTTAACAAACTGCAAAATGAGCTAGAGCACTTTGAAGTCGACACTCAATAAATTCGTATAAAATCAGGTGACACTACGTTTCCTTGTTTGACTATTCGTCTCGATTCAGCAAAGCCTGCTAAGTACAACAAATAATTTTCTAACAAACTTAATCAAGCACATGTTTTTTTGAAACAGAAAATATATATAGAGAGACTATGCCATTTCGACATGCTCGGGAAAAGTATACACCGACAAAGATATATTGGGAAAAATTCAAGTTTAAGCAAACCGCCTCACCTGCTGGGCGCGATAGCCGTGATGGGTGCCGGATGAACGTTGTCGGGCCGGTTGAAGGCCGTGTGCATAGTCAGGGCGGTCCGTTGCACCAGAACTCGCACAAACTTTTCCGTGTTCCCCTCCTGCTCGTCGGCTCGGATCGTCTTCGGATTGGCGCACGGACTCGCCGGGCCCGATGACGTCACCGATTGAGATCCGCTCGACGAGGTCGCCGTCGCCGAGCTTTTCAGCCGTTTCCGTTGCTTTTCGAGACGAGCCGCGATTGTCGACGAGCTTTTGTCGGCGGAAAACGAGCAGTCCGGGTTCTCGAGATGTGGTCCCTCTTGGACCGAGCCGTCGTTCTCGAAAACGACGCACGAGTAGATTTTGACGACTCCGTCCGAAGTGCCGCACATGATCACGTTGTCGTTGTCCCATTCGTTCATCTGCAAACATTTCGAAGACATTTCCAAAGAACATTCCCCCCACATACCGTAGAAAACGCCAACGAGATGATCATCTGCTGCGGATCGATAGCGGGCGCCGAATCGCTCGTGTTCAGCACGGCCAACAACGATCCGTTGAGGGTCCAGACGTGTAAAAGCGTGGCGCAGGCGGTCGCAATGTCGCCCGTCGCGTCGTTTACGGCCACGGCGAGCACCGCGTGCGGGTGCTTCGGCAGTTGTCGGATGAGGAACATTTCCGAGAGGTGCCACACGAGGACGGTCAGGTCCCGCGAGGCGGAGACCAGGACTGCGTGCGATTGAGAGGAGACGAGACAGGTGATCGAGTCCGAGTGACCGTTCAGCACCGAGAGCTTCTTCATCGAAAGCGGCTTCGAGTTGAGCTTCCAGACACTGAAAATGTTGAAATTTTCCGCTTAAAGCACTAAAGGTTCAGTGTTTTTTTTTAGAAACAGGGCCTAGAAATATAGGCTCTCTTCCTTTTCGCAATTCGCCGTTTCGCAACCGCCTGTATAGTACCTAGATTTCACGTTATAGGCATGAAAGCATCTATGGGGTTATTCAGTGTATCAGTTTTTGTGTTCCACACCGACGTACGTGATGCAGCCGGAGGTGTTTCCGCAGAAGAGCGTCGTCTCGTCGCCGGCCGCCGCGCACGTCATCTCGTCCACTTCGCACATCTCGTGAATGCACGCCGATTTGTCCGTGTCGATCTGTCCCATTCGGACACTCCGATCGGGCAGTCCCCACGTGATGTAGCGATTCGTTCCGATGAACACCTAGGATTTTCGAAGAGTTTTTTATCTGAGCCATCACAAATCTGCACACACTTCGACGAATGCGTTCAAAAAAATGGCAACATGATTTGTCCGAAACTATTACAAATTTGCCCTCCTTCAAACCTTGTTCTGTTCCAACGCGACCACGCCGATCTTCTCGTTCTGATGTATGCTGCCGACCGCCGATCGGAGCTCCTTGAACGGCGTCTGCGGCGGCGTCATATTGTGGATGGCGTGGTAGAAGAGGCGCGTCGTCGTGACGCCCGAAGTGTTCGAGAAGCCCTCGAGAATGTTGACCTTCTTCTGCGGATGCGGCTTCTTGAACAATTGCGTCGGAATTTGACCGAAGTTGTTCACGAATCCGATTGTCGCATTTCGGGTGAGCGGATCGTCGATTCGCTCGAAATCCACCGATCCTTCGTAGAATAGGTGGTGGAAGAGATTGTTGTTCTGCAAAGAGCACCAAACGTTGTTGTAGCCGGCCATTTTTCTCAAAATCAGTTCGAATCATTGAAACGCTCACCTTAACCGCCTCCTCGCCATTCTGCTTGTACCCAAATATCAGATCGATCCATTCGTGCAGGTGCGACGACACATAGTCACTTTCCAGCGCTTGCCGATGAAGTCGCACAAACTCTCGCGGATCCCCGTGACACCACGCCGGCAAAACCACATTGTCGACAGCGATTCCGTTCTGTTTTACGCCCAAATCGAATCGATTCGTGTTCTCGAACATTTCGGGCAGTGTGAAGAACTCGGGAATGAGCTCCTTGACGTCGGCCATGTTGTTCCGCGAGGCCGACGTCCACGCGTCGCCCACACTGTGAAACATGCGGTCGGCGAGGTCGAAATGACCGCCTTGCAGCGACAAAAACTGCTGGGTGAACGGTTCGAGTCGGACCAAATACGAAACTACGATCATGGCCGACGAGTAGTGTGTTCCGTACATGTACGGCGGCGTTTCTCCGGACGGATCGTCCCACTCTCTGAATCGCTTCAGAAACTGCTCCAATCGATCGGGATTCTGTGCGCCCATAGGTTTCGAAAAGTCGCGGAACGTTTGAATGTTGGTGAAGTCCAATTGTGGCGAGGTGTAGTCGGCGAGCACCCACGGAAATATCGGGTATTGCGAAAGATCGTTGTAGCAGCGGCCGGCCAGCGTGTTCAGGTGCATCAGGTACTGGAAGTTCGAGATGGAGCCGTTGAGCCAGCGTTGAGTGACCGATTGCTGGCCGATGAGTGAGGAGAGAAGCGACGCGCCGCGGCCCGTCGTCTCGATCGCCACGTTCGCTTTTTGACCGCCGAGCGAGTCGGAGCCGCCCGACGAAAGGTTGATCGCCATCGAGGTCAGTCTGCAAATTGTTCAGGTTATGTCGATCCAAGTCGTAGAACTAAGCAAGTCTGCAGTTGACGAAAAGAACAGAAAAAACAAACTCACTTATCGAAGACGCGATCGCGAATCTTTTTGGGAAACGCTAGCAAATAGTTGCGGCCGTCCGAACTGAACACTTCCAGAGCGATCGGTTGGAGTAGATATCTGAAATTAAATTAAAAAATGTTTTCAGTTTCAGCGAAAAAACACTGATTTAGTGCTGGCATTTTTCTCGAGTGCCGTCAATAGGTTATGCTTATTCTTTGTTAGTTAATCAAAAAAAGTGAAACGCGCGTACCTCCTTTTATGAACCTCGCGTATCATGTTATAGCTGAATTTCGAGCACAGTCTCGACGATTTGGGCGGTTGCGTGGCGCCGGTGGCCGGATACGGTACAATCGGATCGTGCATTTCCTGACTCAAAAAGTCCAAATCGCGAATCTCTTTCGTCTTGAGCAACGTGAATCCGTCGACCACATAGAAATGGTCTCTGCCGAAGAGGAGCAGTCCTTCGGCCGTCTCGAGACCCTGAATGCGGGCGCAGCGGAACATCGAGTGCAGTTGTTCGCCCTGCTCGAGAAGCCGCAAAAGCGTTTGATTGTCCGGTCCCGCCTTTTTCTCCTCCTTCTTCTCCTCTTTCCGCGCCGATGTCGTTGTCGTTGTTGCTGCAGTGCTAGTGGCTTCTGAAACAAAGTATTTTCAACCTTTTAAGATACCGAGGGGCCAGAAATCAATTTTCTCAATCAAAAAAAGTTAGTTACCGGAAGAAGAGGCGGGCGACGGTTCCTTCTGCACCCCATTCTCGGTCGTTTTCTCGGAAATGGAAGAGGACTCGTCGTCGTCCTTCCGTTCTTCCAATTCCTCCTCGTTCAGCTCGATGCTCGTTTTGTCGTGTGACGAGGAAGAAAGGGGCGGCGCCGACGAGGTGGTCGACAATCGGCGAATCAGCGACGAGTTGATCTCTGCAACTTTTACACCAACAATTTATTGTTTTGCAATTGAGATTGATCTATTTCGTCGATAATCGGCAGCGAGAAATCCCCAAACGAAAATCAAAACCTACGCGACAAATCGGTGAACGAGTATCCGAGTAGATTCGAGCTGGAAGCGTCGTCCGACGGCGACGTAATCGATACGGACGAGTCGATGATCCGGGTGTCGAGGGTCCGTTTCCGATGCCGCAGACATGCTTCGTAGTACGGTTTCGAGTCCAGCGAGACGGCGACTTTGGCGCGTTGAGCCTTCGCCGCGGGCGCGTCCAAATGCGGGCGGTACGGATAAATGTGGTAGAAATCGCGATTCGGAATCAATTTGCGGCGCATTCGGCTCGTCGGTCCCTCCGTCAGATCCAACTTGAACTTTTCCAGTTTCGACGCGCGCTCCGGTCCCCAAATGCCACGTTCTCGCGTCAGTTCGGCCTCCCATTGGTGCCAATCGTGCAGACACCATTTTCGGACGTGCGCGTGCCATTCCGTGTATCTGGGATGGTACAATGGTAGCATTTAAGAAACGGACGCAAGGAATACCTGGTGCTCTGCGCCCTGACGAGTTCCTTAATGAGGCTGACGTGCACGCGGAGCCACACGAAAATGACCTGTTTGTCGGTCGAGCTGTTCTTCCACGGCGACACACTGCCCGGCCCGCCGCTGCCGCTGCCGCCCGCCGCGCTCGTCGTGCTCATCGAGCGTTTCGCCGCGAAACGAGTGATTCCCGACGCGACGCGGTTGATTTTCTGAAAAATAATCAATACGGGTAAATGTTCATTCACCGCGCCGTATTAGTATTGAGATGCTCGAATTTTAACCGAAAAAAGCGTACCGAGCTGATCTGCTGCTGAATGATGTCCTTGGCGGTGGCGGCGCCGGCGGTGATGCTCGTCGCCATTCCGCCCGTCTGTCCGGTCCGCAGCTGAGAGTCGACAAATTGCTGCCAGTAGACGCCGGCGGCGTGCGCCAGCAGTGCGCGCGCCGCGTTGATCTCCGTCACCGTCACCGCTTTTTTGAGCGTCTCCTCGACGAGCGCCTGTTTCGCACAAATCACATCCGACCAGACACGGCACGCGCACATCGCCACCTGTGCCGAAGTACGGTCCAGGTCCGACGAGGTGTCCTGCAAGAGAAAAAAACGTTGGTTTTCAATTGAACCCCTAACGTGTGTAATTGTGGAACGTCGTATGCGAGAGAACAATAAGCTATGTTTTCGTGAAACCGTAAAACGTGTAGTTTTGGAACAAACAACGCTCTTTCAATCGTTTTCACAGCTCGAGCAACGAAAGCTGTACGTTTTCTCCAGTTTTCCACCGAAACTCGAACCTGATAAAGAATGTCGGGCGTGACGGACAGCATGAATATCAAATGTGTGAGCGAGGCGAAGAACCACGCTTCGTTGCTCGCCAAAAACAGATAGCGTTTCGAGACCAACGAGCTGAGCGCGTCGAGCACCGACAACTGCACCGGCACCGAATCGATGGGTCGGCTGAGAATGAAGAGCGTCATTCGCATGATGCACGCGGTGATCGGCTCGCCGTTCGCCACGCGTTTCTTCGCCGAAATCACTTGTAAATGGTACAAGGTGGAGAGCATTCGCATCGATTCGCCGCCCGCCACGAGGCCATTCCAGAACGCGTCGACCGATCGCGAAGCGAGAAGTGTGATGTTGGCGACGGTTTGGGGCAGAGACTGCGCCGGCGTGTTCGGCGGAAGGGCCGACGAGGCGAGCAGGTCCGTTCCGACCACGTGTTCGAGTACCGAATGGAGAAGGGCACTGAGGCACGCGACCTGGGTTTTACGCGTCATTCCGCTCTCCGACATGTTCTGCAAAATCAGACTGAATTAGTGCTTTCAGGGAAATTGGGCGATTTTTTCAAGTGCATTTTTGACAGCGGCAAGAAAAATCATACTTGCAAACGGGCCGGCTGAGAGCTCGCTTCAAAATCAAAGTTGTGAGTAGAACGACATGTCAGATTGCAGATCTCGATGAGTTCTACAAACGTGACAACATGCGGGCCGAACTAGAATGCGTTCTTTGCCAATTTTTGGGCCCGCCTGGTGTCGCATTTGTAGACCTTATCGAGATCTACAATCTGACATGCCGTTCTATTCACAACTTTGACTTTGAAGCGAACAATCAGCCGGCCCGTTTGCAACTGAGCATTTAAACAAGGCTTCGTTAAAATTGTATGCTCTTCAAAAGCTCACATCCAGAATCACATCGACAATTGTGTCGTTCTTCGACGTGTTCACTTGCAAATTGTCGCACAATATCTTTTTGAGCAAATCCATCACCATACGCACGTTTTGTTGTGCCAAGACTGCAACAATTTTAGGTTGAAAAAAAAATGGAATAAATGTGTATACGTACAAGCCTGAAAATAGTCTGCATCGGGTGATCCGCCCTCCTGACTCCTCCGTCCGGCCACTTCGGACCGCGCGCCCATCGCGTTCGTCTCTTCGATCAACGACGAGAACAGGGCGAGCACAAACTCGTCCGAGTGCGCGATGTTGAAGAAGAGCGGCGAGTTCTGGTACATAAAAGTGATCATTTGGACGACGGTCGACGGATTCGAGATTGTCCATCCGCCGGGCGGCGCCTGATGGTAAATCGAGGTGCGGATCATTGAGAACAACGGAATTAGGGCGTCGAAACAGAAGTTGGCCGAGTTGATCGCGTCGAAGACGGAGCTCGTCGAGCTGAGGCCGAAGACGTGCGTCCACACGAGCTCCATGTTGAATTGGTCGCAGAAACGCAGGTTTGCGACGGGTTGGCCTAAAAATTGTAGAGATTTCTTCAAAAAAAGGGGGAGAAAAAGAACGCACCAACGAGAATGGACAGCATGGCATAGTAGGGGTACGGTTTGTCGGCGTGTGCGGCCATGAGATGTTCGAGTGCGGCGAACCCGCCACAATTGGACATTTCCGGGTTGATGTCGATCTTCGAGCCGACCGCTCCGCCGTGCGCCGACACCGAAAAGCCCAAGACGACGGCGGCGCGGTTGCGGACGACCGAATCCGCCTCGGAGAGCCATCCGCCGTTCGAGCTGCCTTCTTTGAACTTTTGAAGGAGCGTCGAATGGTTTAGGATCAGGAGAAGGATCCGTAGCGCTAAATAAATGGTGCCCGCATGGACCCCGGGGCTCATTAGGGCGAAAAGCCAGTCGAAACCGAGCACTCGGACGAGTTGCTCGCACATTTGCTGCTGCAGCGGCGGCGAGGAATTCGAGAGGAAATTGGCGATTATATTCAGAAGACGGTTGCGGATGTAGACGTGGTGAAGGCATTCCGACGAGGAAAAGTCCTCCGGAGCATCCGAGAACAGCTTCTGGATCTCGGAAATGTGGAACGGCAGGCGAGAGTCTTCGAAACATTCGCCTTCGCTCGTCGGCAACGTCGCCGCAATGATCTGTCCAATTTTGAGAATACTGCGGCTGTCGCATTGCGGTTGGATGATCGCGGAGATGAGATTGAACACGATTTCGTCGGTGTTCCGCACCATTGACGGCTCATCGAAGACGGTCAGAAGGAGGCGCGAGAGCAGAGACGAACGACGGACCACTTGCAAATTCGACAGTTGGTGGTCGGTGATGAGCTCGTAGAAGTGCTCCAAGAGCATGCGATGCAGCTCGCTCGGCGCCGCCCTCCACACTTTCAGATCGCAGAGTAGATCCTCGAACGCCGACGGATTCGCGATGGTCGGCGGGTGTTCGCGCGAAGTGTCGGCGGTGCCGGTCACGTTGAACACCATGTGCATTATGTGCGAATTCAGCATTTTCGCCTTGTCCTCCAGCAAAACCGCGAGGATCTGGTAGGACCGGTTGTTGTTCCACGTGGCGAGCAGTCGCGGATTCGAGCGGATCGCCGAGACGAGCGATTTCAGCGACGCGTACAGGCCCTCCGAGTCGACCGCCATCGCGATCAGGCCTAAACGTTGAATCGTTGGTAGGCGCTTTCTGCACACAGTTTGAAGCAGACTTGCCAGATTTCGGGCCGGCCATGCGGGCCGGCCCGGGTCGGCCCGGGCCGGGCCGGGCCGGGCCGGTAAAGTGCCGGCCCGGGCCGGGCCAGGGTCGGTGAAGTGCCGGCCCGGCCCGGCCCGGTCGGCCCGGTTCAAAAGGCGGGAATTCAAATTTTCGCGGAAATTTTTTTTTCGTTATTACAAAAAAAATTTTCGAACTAAAGTTTTAGTGTTTCTTCTTTGTTTTTTTGCTATTATGAATTTTTTATGAGAAATACATTTGTTTTTCAATGTTCGATGCTTGCAAAAAACCCCTAATTCTACAAAAAATGGCTTCATGCGATCAATAATTCAAATTTTGAATTCCCGCTTTTTGAACCGGGCCGACCGGGCCGGGCCGGGTCGGGCCGGGCCGGGCCGGGCCGACAGGGCCGGGCCGGGCCGGAGTTTTGAAATTTCGGCCCGGCCCGGCCCGGCCCGGCCCGGCCCGTGGCAACTATGGTTTGAAGTATTGGGGGGCCAAGTTTCAGATCGTTCCGATTATCTGTCCGCGTGGTGAGCGTGAGAAATCAACGGAAGCATCTCTAGGTCTGAAACTCGAACCCCCAATACTTAAATCCAAGGCCAAAAAGCCTGCAAAGTGTGGACCCGATGACCGACCGTAAACAGAGGCGAATCCGCCGATCGAGTCCAACAGCGAGGGCACCGGACGGGGCGTGAACGTCCGCATTCCCAAATAGCCGACGACGACGCCGCCAAAAGTGCGTCCGGCGCCCGGCGCGTGCGATATCGTGTTGCAGAGCACTCGCAGCGGCGTACTGTGGTCGTTGGCCGAGATTCCCAGCTGCAAAAAAGCGTTCAAAATTGGGGTTTTTGCATCTCGCGTAAAAACGCACGTGTTGCGACAATATTTCCGAGTCCATTTTTCCGTACATTGCACGGATTTTCGCCAGCGTCAGTTCTTGTGTCGCGGCGGCGGACAACGAGAAGACAATCTGAAAATTGGTCATTGTCAGTGTGTGTTCTTCGAATCTTCGCATCGATGATTCAATAGTCGAATAAAACGTGCAGTTTTGGAAATGTTTTGAAACCGAAATTCACATGTTGAGAATCGCCATTTTTTCGCCTAAAATCGCTTACTTTCTCCTCGTGAACCAGGGCGGTCCGTTCGGGACTGGCCGTCTGGAAGTTGCCAATATAATGCGGTTGCAGCTGGACCACCGCCCGCACCGTTTCCACTGTCATCGGCTCTTCCGCCAAGAATATCGAGGCGAGACGGAAGCTGAAATGTTCAACAATTGGGCAATAAAGCTAGTCTTTTTTCACATTTTTAGGCAGACTTTAATTTCAAAATAGGTTTTTGGTTTTTCCCGGTCCCGAATAGTTCTCCTACGCCCGCGATCGTCCAAAACGGACTGATTTTGTGGGCAGCGTGTGAAACATTACGTTTTCCAAAACGCCTACCGTAATCTGCTGGGTCTTCTCAGTGCGGGAAGGGTTCCGACGGCCGCGTTCACCGAATACGTCTGTGCGAGTTGCGTGGCCGCGCCGCCCGCGTTCTGCGCCACGTACATCAGTTTTTGGCTTGAAATGTGACGGCCGTTCAGGTAGACAGACACCTGAAAATGCGAGGTTTTCTACGATAATGTTTAGGACAATGTCTAGGACTCTTTTTTGTCTTTTTGGGAATACTTTGAAACATCGAAAAAAGTTTAAATTACCTGCGACGATTTTAGAACGGATCGATTGAAAATGATGGCCAAATGGAACCATTCTCCGCAACGGATCTGATCGGCCAACGTGATGCGAATAAGCTGAAAAATTGAAACAATAAATTTATTTTTTCTAAACCACCCACCTTATCCGTTTGAAAATTGGCAATTTTCTCGAGATCCGCGCCCGGCTGATCGCTTTCCTCGGTGGAAATTAGTAGACTGCGATCAAAGGCCGAAAATTGCACTTGAAAACACGCCAAATGAAGCGTCTTTTTGTGGTGGTGGTCGCCGCCGATCGGCGCGACCGCGCGGGTTACGGTAAGCAGCCGAATCGGATGCGCGTCCGCTTTTTTATCCGACAGCGCGTCGAGGTAGATCCACGTGCAGAACGAGAAGCCGTTCAGCGGCGGAAATATTCGTTCTGTAAGCATTTTCCTGAGGCCTGCACTTTTGACCCATTTGCAACAATCAATAATCCGATCGGGTGTAGACTTTGCAGACTTCTTGGACTTGGATTGAAGTATATTGGGCCCGAGTTTCAGTCCGATCGGATCACCTGGTCCCGAGAGAAGCCAGTACATCTCGGGACCGGATGATCCGATCGGTCTGAAACTTGGTCCCATTCTACTTTAAGCCAAGTGCAAGAAGTCTGCAAAGTCTGGACCTGATCGGATGATAGCAAGCAGGCCTGCAAACGCACCAGTCTTGGTGGTGGAGAACATGGGCGCCAACGAGGGAAGATAGAGCGCGGCGAATCCCTCGGCGGACATGTCGAATTCGACGAAACTCGGCGCCGTGCCAATGTACTGATCGCGTGGAGTCATCATCGAGACGAGCGCTTTTACTCTGCAAATTTTGTTCTTGAAATCATGCATTTTTTGTTAAAAAAGGACCTCTGAAGTGGTACTGGTCCTCCTTCGCTGCTCAACGAGTTCGTCGTCACTTCCGGCTCGTCATCATCGTCGTCCAGACTTCGGCAACACAACGGACTGTCCAGACGCAGAAAACTTCTGCAAATACGGACAAAATATGGTTTTTAGACAATTGAGAATTTCTTTTTTTGGATGGATAATCGACGGAAAACCGCTGAAAAGACTAGAGGACATCGAGAAGAGAAAATCAGCGGAGCATGTAAGCGAAATCCAATTTTTCTCAGGACAATGACAACTCGAACAAACATCGAACCTCAGCTGGTTGGGCGTCAGCGATTGATAGCTGAGACGTTCCAGCAAATAGTAGAACGGCTGGAGGAGCACGTGGCTTTCGGCCAAAAACAATTTTCCGGCGATTCGGAGCAAATGTTTCGGCATGTCCACTTGGCACATGATCTGCTGGTTCCGCTCCGATTTTAGGATCGCTTTCAGCAATTGGGACACGTAAAATTGGGCCGACACTGTCCATTTCATTGCTGAAATTTAAAGTACGATTACAAAAAAAAAATAACACAATTTGGTGCATGTTTCAAATATTTTTCAAATTGTCGATTCAAAAAAGTTCTTTTGCTTTTGGTGTGCATTGGAAATCGTCACTGAAAAAAATCGGCAAAAAAGTCGAGCTCACCTTCAGGGCTCTCGCTTCCGGCCGAAATGCTCGGCAGCAGGCAGAGCATCGAAATAATGGCTCCGGGATGGACGAGAAGTGAGCAGGTCCACGAGACGATCGACTCTTCCAACGATGCTCCGTCGTTCCATCTGCACAAAATTCGTGTGTCAACAGCCTTTTTTGTAGTCCGTGGAGAACATTGAAAACTAATCTGACACTGCAGACATGTACCTTCCGAATCAACCCCAAACGCACGCATTTTTCACGATGTTTTCAGCAGCGAATTGCATTTTATCGACTTTTCAATATTCCGAAACAAATCATATTTTCTCCAGATTCACACGCTTAAAAATTTCTTCCCTCCGGACACACTTGAAAAAATCGATAAATGGCAATTTTCTGCTGAAAAAATCGAGAAAAATCTGTGCGTTTGTGTCAAATTATTCTTCAATCTTCTCCACGTGCACCTCCTTTAACCATGAAAAATTTCTGGAAAAAGTCCAAAACGAACCGAATATCGGTGGTCATTTTCTCGTAATTGTCGAGTGCCATGTTGAAAATGAGGCGGATGACGTAGCAGCCAAAGTAGACGTTGAACGGCATGCCACGTGGCACATTTCCCGCCTCGATGTTGTCGTCCAAGCGGAAAACTTCGTGGCACGCAGCCAGCTCGCCGCATATTTCCGCCGAATTTAGACTCTTCCATTCGGGCTCTTCGATCGATATTTGCGTGTTTTCCGTGAAGATCGAGGTGAGCCGGAGCAGGGAGGTGATGCTGTTCCACGTGATCTGAAAAATTAATTTTTTTTAGGCGCTGGTGGCCGAAAGAGTTCGAGTGAGTCCGAACGGGTCGGGTCGTACCTCACTGCTAAAATACTTGGCGTTGGAGGGTTCGAATCGCATGCTCAGCGTGAAAACTTTGAAGATGATATGGATAAATTCGAGCATTTCGCACTGTTCTCTCGGTATTTTCCCGTCCGCCGCCGCAACGTCTTGAAATCGCTTCTCGAGGCCCAGCAAAAGCGCCGAAAGGGCGACGAATCCGCCGGATTTTCGAAACTGAATCCGTACTTTGTGCGACTCACGCACCACTCCGAGAAGCGCCTGAAAATAGAGGCATGCTATGAACGAAATTTTTTCAAAATGAAGCCAAGAAGCTGATAATACTATTCTTATAAGACTATAGCTGCAGTGATTGCTTACTGTCCTTCATGTTTTTTTCTGAAGCATAAAAAAAAAGTGTGAAACAGAAAAAGTGTGTAAAAATTCAAAAATTAACCTTGAGCAAACTGAACATCACTTCCAAATTTTCAATCGGTATCCGATCGTTGAGCGTCTAAAAAATGGCTTTTTACAGGTTTTTACTGGAAAAAGTGGAAAAGGAGGGCTGAAACTCACGTTGACAACGTGCAAAATGTACTGATCGGTGGGCGCCACAATCAGAAGCTGTTTGACGAGTTGTAGCAAGGAACTGCGCCATTCTTCGCTCACTTCTGCAATCTCCAACTTTTAGACAAATTTCTCGACTTTTAGTACTCACCACAAATAATATCAATCAATAGTTTGGCTCCAAAACAGTCGGTGAACAATTTCCCGTTTTCCGTATTGTTTTTGATAATGATCGTGAGTAGATCCGTCGTCAAAAGCGACAATTTGAGTTGGTCCTGACCGCGGGAGCACGTCGAAATGGCCGTGAACGAGTGGGAACTCTGCGCCGAGTGCTGCATCTCGTACATTCGACGAATTATAAAGCAGAGCGCGTCCAGGAGGCCCACTTCTCGGAAAGCGTCCTGAAATTGGGAGAAATTGGAAAACGTTGAAGAGAAGTTTCAGTGAGAGCCCGGACTTTTGACCCACTCGCAAACCCAAACTTTGCAGGCTTTTTGGTCTTGGATTGAAGAATCTTGGGACTGAGTTTCAGACGCAGAAGAAAATTGAAACAAACCTTGATGATCGGATCGACCGTAATCAGTTTGAAGCACATTTGCACAATAATCGTGCACATTGCCGTTTTTCCCGCCGATATTTCCGTTTTCAAAAGGACGCATAGACTAAAATTGAGAGAACATTTGTAAAAATCGCCAAAAAATGGTGTACCTGATGAGTTCGCGACACGGAATGTGTGACAGTTGAAAAACGGCGAATTCGATCAATTCGAGCAGTTTCACGCGCACCGAGTGCGGTTTTCTCTCCAGTTGATCGATGAAAATCGAAAGCGGATATTCTCGGTCCAAAATGAAATAGTTGGCCGGATCGCAAGTGTAGATCGAGTGCAGAATATCGATTACCGTGCACGACGTCGCTTCCGAGGAGCTCTGCAATTGTAATGCAATAAAAATTCGATAGCTTTTCTGATAAATCAAACCTCCAGAAAAACGTGATAAAGAAGTGAGAAAGCGTTGAGATTTCGCACGCTGAGACCGTTTCCGGCCGGAATTGGCAAGTGGAATGAGGGCAGTTGGACGAGACCAGACGTGTACTGCAATTTCCGAACGTTTTTCGGACGCAATTTTTGACCCACCTGTGGAGTAATTTCAAATTTTCCGCTATTCACCAACGAGATGGCCATCAGAAGAATGTTTCGTACAATTTCGTTGTCCGCCTCGTTTCTGAAACTGATTTTTGTGTTAGACACATCGAAAATTAACGGATCAGTGAGGGAGGTATTTAAAATGGATTCTACGAAGTCAACGAGCCCCACCCTCAAAAAAGTGCAAACCTTAACAAGAAATCCTTGACGACCGTATAGCCTTCAGCTTCGTAGAACTCGTCGAGCAAAGTGTCAGCTAAATAGGCGGAATTCTGGAAAATAAATTGAAAACATTGCTGAAAATACGAAGAAAAACACCTTTAAGAAACAGGAGAGACAAATGATGGCTTCTGCCGTTTTTTGAGCGTCCGATTGCGAATTTGCGGCCGCCGACGCGATGTTTTTCACAAAAATTCGAACGCATTTTTTGATCGTCACATATTTGATGACGGCGTTCGTGAGGGACTGTAAATTAATTTTTTTTTTGAAGAACGCCTTTTCCTAGTCGTACTTTATCGGCAATGACTTCCAAAAGTCGGGCACACGTTTTCCGCCAGCAATTATTCGTTTCGGACACTTGAGAAGTGGTGCCCACGAAAAGGAGCAGCAGATCGTCTTTTCGCACCAATTCTTCGCTTACACATCTGAAAAACAACGTTTTTTTTTTGACAATTCAGGGATGGACAAATTTCGGCCCTGCAAATTTCGATTTTTGACGCACTTGCTACTATCCGATCGGGCCCAAACTTTGCAGACTTTTTGGACTTGGATAGCAGAATATTTGGTTCGAGTTTCAGACCGATCGGATCATCCGGTCCCAAGATATACCGGTTCTAGGCCGAAGAGTCCGTGTTTTTGCGAGAATTGCGGTCTTTTCGGCTTCTGATCTACATATCTCGGGACCAGATAATCCGTTCGGTCTGAAACTCGGACCCAAAATACTTCAATTCAATTGCAACAAGCCTGCAAAGCGTGGACCCGATCGGTTCATTGCAAATGGGTCAAAAGCACAGGCCTCAAAAAGCATGGGCCGGCGTTTTGCCCAGCCCTGAAAAAATGCCAGAAACAAGGCTGACTTGAATTTGCAAAGTCCCTCCATAATCTGTGCGATCATCTCGTGCAATCGCTCGTTGTTCGTCCGCATCTCGTCCTCGTTTTCATGAACTGGTAGATCGAAAAATAGGTAGATCGTTTTGACGAGCGTCGACGGAAGCGACACTTTGCACGCCGCGTCTATCATCACTTCGTCGTCGCTGCAAATTATTTGAAATTTTTTACTGTTTTCACGGCGATAGAAAGTCTAGAAACGGGCGCGTTTCTGAAAAGTGTGAAGCCGTATTTTTATACTCACGAGGAGAGCAAAAATCGGATGGCCTCCAAAATGGGCCATCCTTTGAGTTCTGTGCCGGGCCGCAGGAATTCGGCGATCGATTGCGCCGCCTCGATTGTTCCTGTACTTGCTGCTCTGAAAAATTGAAGAATTGCACTTTTTCAGTGGTTGTGAAATAGCATAAAAACTTTCACTTCGGCTTTGAAAAATCATAACTTTTTTCAGAAAAATGCTAAAAATGCCAACTTTGACTCTAAATGACGGAAATCATCTTCAGAATACGGTAAAAATATAAAAATCACCTCTGCCGGACTTCTTTGACTAGAACACTGCACAGAAATGTGGCGAAGTGGACGACTTCTTTGAATTCGGCCGACAATTGTTGGGGAGTGTACATAGACATGACCTGCAAATTTTTAAAGTTTCACTGTTATAGTATTACAAGTGGACGTGAATAACTTTGACATTTTCGAGGAAAAATGTCAAAGTTATAGACATTTCGAGTAAATTGTCTTCTATGACTATTTTTCCGCAAACCTTGTGAAAAAGCGGCAACAAGCGTGAGGGATCATTGCTCCGCGAGCCCGAAATTGGTATTTTCAGGTATTCGGAGAACGTTTTGCGCAAATGAAGCAGCGAAAGTGTGCGTTCGTCGGCCATTTCCCAAGAATCCGGGCTAGAATTACGATTCTCCACCACTCATTCGCATAGATCTTCCGCCGATTATCGATTGTTTTATCTGTAAATTATCCATTTTAGCGGAAAAATCTCTAAAAACAGGGAAAAGTAAGGGATTTCAATGCGGAAGTGTCAATTTTCGAGTGGCGGCCGCCAAAAATCGATATGGCCGAGGTTTGTCGGATTCTAGGCCACGTCGCGGAAAAGCCGGAAATTGGTGTCAATTGCGGCGCCGAACAATTGGAGTCGTACGAAAATACGAGGAATGACGTGGCGAATACCGAGAAATTGTGTCAAAATTGAGAAAGAGTCGGAAAAAAGAGGTTTTTCTTAAGGGTAGCCTTGAATGTTTTTTGTTTTGGGTCAAGGAAATGTGCAAATAAAATAGATACTTGAAAATTTTCCACTCTTTTCTTGAGATTTCGTCTCAGCGGAGGCCACGCCCCTTTTTTAACTTCTGGTTGCCGCCGAGAAGCGTAAAAAGTGTATTTTTCAGCTATATCTCATTGAATTGGAAAAACGAAGACATTCGACGGGAAAAAGCGGTTGGCAAGAAGACGTGCACGCTTTCTGTCTCTCTTTTGCCAAAAGAAGAAGCGCGCGAAAAACAAGAGAAGAGAGAAAGAGAAAAACAATTTTGCTCTCTCTTTCTCGTTCTCTTTTGCGCCTAAAAAGAGAGGGAAACCCGAATTGAGGCAATTGGCGAGAGAGTGGAAGCAATGCGGAGGCGGCAGAGAAAAAGGACACTTTTTTGGGTGGGGGAGCGACGAATTTGAGGATGAGAAGATTGATGGGCACATTTTTCGAAGGTTGGGGAAGTGTTTCATTGAGAAAAAAAGCGGCATCCGATCTTTTGTACAGGCCAAAAAACATACAGAACCGTGAGAAACGAAATATGCGCGGTGCCGGTGGAGATATCGAAAAGTTGTCAACTAAAAAAATGCTTATTGAAAAAGCAGGTACATGTTATCAGTTGACCACTTTAAAAAATCTCCACCGGCAGCTGACATACATTGTTTTGAACGGATGGTAAATTTGATCTACGCGCGAAACCGCGCGACGCAAGGCATCGAATCGCCTCTCCGCTCATTCCACAACCCTTATTTGTTTACTATTCGACGTTCTCCGAGCATCGCCGCCAGCCGAAATGGACAACTTTGGAGTTCCGATTGGAGAAGAGCAACGGCAGCCGCCGCCACCACCATTGGCATCAACTTCTCAAAACATCACGCCTTCCGGCAGCATTGTGGTCCGTTTGCGCTATTTGAACATTTGGAATGGCTTGAATGCCGTCGGACATGAGATGGTTGTCGACAACACTGGCCGAGAGCTGCTTCCAAAGTTGCAGTACAAGGTGGAAGGACTGGATCCGAACAAGATGTACACGATGCACGTGCACTTTGACCGAACGAACCGCGGCCTTATGAGGTTCGAAAACGGTGTCTGGAATCAGATGGTTGAACCTGTGAAGGACGTTCCTGAGCAGACCAATGTCATTGCGCTGGGAACAGAGTCCGGTGCGGACTGGTTGCGAAACGGCGTCAACGTGAACAAACTCAGGATCTTCAACGCGCCGTACCGGGGAGTCAAAGTGTCGAAGGAAGTGCTGGAACAAGATGCAGTCAAAGTTGCAGAGAAGAAGGTGGACAAGGTGAGCTTTGTTTCGGTTTTTTGCAGAGTTGCTACGGGCCGGGCCGGGCCGAAATTTTCAAAACTCCGGCCCGGCCCGGCCCGGTTCAAAAGCGGGAATCCAAATTTCGAACTATTGATTAAATAAAATGTTTGTTTTTCGTAGAACTAACGAATTTTGCAAGTATCGAGCATAAAAAAGAAATGTAGTTCTCAAAAATAGTTTTTATTAGCATCAAAGCAAAAGTAACAATTAAAAAAGAAGAAAATAATAACTTTTCCCAATAAATTTTTTACAGTTCGAAACGCTTTTTCAACGAGTTCCGTTTTTTTATTTTGATCCCCGCAAAAAAAAACGAAAAAATAGATTTCTCCCAAAAATTTGAATTCGCGCCTTTTGAGCCGGCCGGGCCGGGCCGGCCCGTAATTTGACAAGTCTGAAATGTTTCAGATAAATGTGACACCCCGTTGCCGATATGTTCCGGTCCTGAAGATCTTCGAGTTGGTCGGTGCGCACAACATCTTTCGCCACACTGCCAAATTCGACGAGGCCACTTTTGTGGCTGTGAAGGAGTATAAGGTATTTTTCACGTTTGAACGAAACGGATCTTGCAAATAAACGACATTTTTTCAGAACGATAAGATGAAAACAATGAAATTATCTCGCGACATTTATCGTGCAATGGCCGACGAACTGGCCAAAGAAAGAAGGCAAGCAGTTCGACAAAGTGCGAGGGAACGGGGACACAGATAGTTCCCGTACAACACTATGAATTATACTATCGACTATTAATTGGATTATTTGAATTTATTATGATGATAATTGAATTAATTTTGAGGAAAGTAACTCGATAAACTTGGCATTTGATTGAATACTCTGAATAAAAGGTTCTGTGTTTCACAAACATCGTTGAGAATGTGTTGTTCACGGCAACCGGTTGAACGTCTTCGGATGGGTTGTCAGAACCAACCGATGCACTATGATTTCTCAGATCGGCTCGGTTTTGAACGTCCAAGCGGTCGAAAATATCGATGCAGTTTGTCGAGCGAATAGCCGATCACGAGACCACGATAATTTTGATTTCCTGCAAAATTATCGATTTTTTTCTAGATTTTTCAAAAAATGCTCACATTTTTGGCGGAAAGAAGGCAATTCGCGGCTGCGACGACACGATTGATGCAGTTTTGGCGCTCCAGGAACGACAGTCTGCTGGCCGCTTTGCAAATGAATCGCAACTTTTCGATTTCGCTCACTTTTCCCAAAAATTTGAATGCTATCAGTATGTTTCGATTGCCGAGATTTGTGGATCAGAGGCCGAAAAGGCCGCAATTTTCGCAGAAACACGGTCTCTTCGGTCTTTAACCAGTCTGTCTCGGGACCAGATAATCCGTTCGGTCTGAAACTCGAACCCAAAATACTTTAATCCAAGCACAACAAGCCTGCAAAGTTTGGGCCCGATCGGATTATTGATTATTGCGAGTGGGTCAAAAGTGCAGGCCTCAAAAAGCCTTCGAAAAGCCTGGACCGGCTTCTTGCCCAGCCTTGGAAAAATTCAAGAAACAAGGCTGACTTGAATTTGCAGAGCCCTTCCACAATCTGTGCGGTCATCTCGTGCAATCGCTGGCTCAAATGAAGCAGCGAAAGTGTGCGTTCGTCTGCCATTTCCCAAAAAACCGGGAAAAATTGCGATTTTCCACCACTCATTTGCATCGACTTTCCGCCGATTATCGATTGTTTTATCTGTAAATTATTCATTTTGACGGAAAAATAATTAAAAACAAGAAAAAATGAGGGATTTCAATCGAGTGGCGGCCGCCAAAAATCGTTATGACCGAGGTTTGTCGGATTCTAGGCCACGTCGCGCTTCTCGACGGATATTGGCCCGGGAAAGCCGGAAATTGGTGTCAATTGCGGCGCCGAGCAATTGGTTTGTAGTACGAAAATACGAGAAAAAATACGAGGAACCGCAAAAACAAAATTCCAAGAGAGCGAGTGCGAGAAACGGAGAGACGCCTGAGTTTCCGTCAGCTGAAATACATTTTTTTGAATATTACAGGTTTCGCGGAATTTTGATCGACACTCACTAGCGCGTGTAACGCAGAATGTGAATCGATTGTAGATTTTCTACATTTGTCTAGAAAACATCCAAGTTTATCGAGTTACTTTCCTCAAAATCAATTCAAAATCAATTCACAATAAATCCAAATAATCCAATGACCAGTTGATAGTATAAAACAATACAATTCACATCAATTGTACGGATAATACTCGTTCTCCTGCCCCTGATTCGAACTTCCTCTGGCTTCCGAAGCCCTCTCCTTCTTGATGTCGGGCTCCGAAGACACTGGATTTGTGGTCGCCGTCCGTTTGAGAATTTCATCGGTTTTCATCTTGATCAGATCCTTGTTCTGCAAAAATGCTGTTAAGATCCTCTTCTTCTTTCAAATGCGATAAATACCTTATAATTCGTCACAACCACAAACTTGGTCTCATCGAATTTGGCAGTGTGGCAAAGGAAATTGTGTGCGCCGGCCAACTCGTAGATCTCCAAGACCGGAACGTATCGGCACAAGGTTCTTACGTTTATCTGAAACATTTCATGCTCCTCACTTTTAACTCTCGCAAACAAAGCTCACCATGGTTTGTTCGTTCCTCAAAATCCGGGCAGCATCTTGTTCGCGTACTTCCCTCGACACGTTCGGTCCCCGTCTCCGCGGCTTGAAAATCTTGAGTCTGCTCGCGTCGATACCGTACAGCAACCAGTCCGCACCGGTCTCTGTTCCCACGAAAAACGCATTGGTCTTCGCAGGAACGTCTTTCAGCTCGTCAAACTCCTCGTTCCACACACCGTCTTCGTACATCAGGAGGGAGCGATTCATTCGCTCAAAGTGCACGTGCATCGAGTATATCTTGTTCGGATCCAGTCCTTCGACCACGTACTCCAGCCGTGGCCTCAGGCTTCGGCCAATGGTCTCCACTTGCATCTCATTTCCGACGGCGTTCAATTTGTTCCAAATTTCCGGGGGGTTCAAACGGACCACAATTCTGCCGGAACGCGTGATGTTTTGGGAAGTTGATGTCATTGGTGGACCTCCAAAGTTGTTCATTTCGGCTAGCGGCGATGCTCGGAGACTATCGAATAAAAAGGGTTTAGGAATGAGAGCAAACAATCGATTCAACGACCCGGTCCGCCTTGCGTCTGCGTTACGCGCGGCAGTGAGTGTAGATCAAATCTGGTGCGAATGGATGGTAAGTTTGATCTACACTCACTACCGTGCGTAACGCAGACGCAAGGTGGACCGGGTCATCGAATTATCGATTAATGGACGACAGAGCTTCTCCGAAGGGTTACCAACTAATAAAAAACAGTTCGTAGAAGACACTAGGACCATTGGCTGCCATTCGGAAGCTCCAGTTCGCGCAGAAACTCCGACAGAGACACTCATTTTGCTCACAACAACCGAAACAAAGCTCGGCGACCAAAAACGTAGAAAGGGGCGTGGCCTCCTAGCGCGTGCACGGTTTTGACACCATTTTGGCGCGAAATTCGAAATTTAACCCTATTTTTCATGTTTTTCGTCAAAAATTACCCAAGTTTTGGACGATTTCGACGATGTAATTGCGTAACTTTGTTAATAAACTAATCATCGCGCACTTTTTGAGCTTAAAACGAGCAGGTTTCATTCAGAAATTCAATAAATTGAATCGATTTTCAAGTTTAGTGCTGAAAATGCGCGAATTTCAGTCATTCGCCGATACTTTTTGCCGTTTGAACGCTTAAAATACTTGTATTAACGTGCTTAATCACTTCCGACACTCATTTCGTCTCGAAACCAATCCACATCGGCCGGTATGGCAATTCCGAAATTGCGGCGGAGAGCGTATTGCGAAATATACCGAAAACGTCTCAAACGCGGCGTTTTCACGAAAATTTCAATGTTTTCTCTCTTTAATGTCTCTTTTTTCGTCGATATCAAACACAAAAATATCGGAAAAGTGTGCTGGAATTGCGGCAATTTTCAGAAAACGCGTCTGAGATTAAGCCACGCCCCTTTCTACACTTTTGGTCGCCGTGCACCATGGTTTGTTCGTTCCTCCATCGGGCAGCAGAGATGCATTGTTTTGAATATTACAGGTTTCATGGAAGTTTGATCTACACTCACTGCCGCGCGTAACGCAGACGCAAGGCGGACCGGGGTCGTTGAATCGATTTTTCGCTCTCATTCCTCAACTCTTTCTATTCGACCTTCGCCAACTCCGCTATGTACAACTATGGAGATCCGTTTGAAGAAGAGCAATGGCAGCCGCCACTATGGGCACCACCTCCCCAAAACTTCGCGCCTTTTGCCGTCGATGAACTCCCTGCCGTCGATGAACTGAACAATCCGGCCGTTCAGCAGCAGCAGCCTTTGCACCACGGCATTGTGGTCAGTTTGCGCACTCCGGATACTTGGAACAACTTGAACGCCGTCGGAAATGAGATGGAAGTGGCGACGAATGGCCGATTGATGGATCCAAAGTTGGAGTACGATCTCGCCGGACTGGATCCGACCAAGACGTACTCGATCCACGTGTACTTTGAGCGAATGAACCGCAACTTCATGACCTACGAAGATGGTGTCTGGAACGAGGAATTTGTTGATGTGAACGGTGTTGATCCAATGAGGAACGTTCCTGAGAGGACCAATGCCATTTCGCTGGGAATAGCGTCCGGTTCGTACTGGTCGTTTCGCGGTATCCACTCGAAATACCTCAAGATTTTCAACCCGCCCAGACGGTGTTTGGGCGCGTCGAGCCAAGTACGCGAACAAGATGCTGCCCGCATTTTGAGGAACGAACAAACCATGGTGAGCTTTGTTTGCGAGAGTTAACTTAAAGGACCAGGGAACCCAAAAATTTTTTGATTTTTTTGTGAAATTTTTTTGTGACTGTTTGAATTGTCTCTTATTGCCTCATACACTGGTGAAATGCTGCCCCTCAAAAATGCCAATGAACGAAACGGCATGCAGTTGAAGTTGTGGCCGTGGCCTAGCGCCAATGGCCGAAAAATATATAAAAATATATGCGCTTCTCGGCCATTTTATTTTTTCCGCTTTTTTACCGGTTTTTTTCCAAAAATTCACGGTTTCTCCCATTTTTCAGTTGATTGACATTTGTTCGGCACTTACTTATTTTTTCACTGCTAAAAAATTGTTTTCATTCCGTCGATACGAAGTGCCAGATGAGTGGTTTCCGTGGAACAAGGGCGATTTTATCGCGAAAAAACCGGAAAAAAGCGGAAAAAATAAAATGGCCGAGAAGCGCATATTTCTAGGCCATTGGCGCTAGGCCACGGCCACAACTTCAACTGCACGCCGTTTCGTTCATTGGCATTTTTGAGAGGCAGCATTTCACCAGTGTATGAGGCAATAAGAGACAATTCAAACAGTCACAAAAACATTTCACAAAAAAATCAAAAAATTTTTGGGTTCCCTGGTCCTTTAAAAGTGAGGAGCATGAAATGTTTCAGATAAACGTAAGAACCATGTGCCGATACGTTCCGGTCATCGAGATCTACGAGTTTGTCGGCGCACACAATTTCCTTTGCCACACTGCCATATTCGACGAGACCAAGTTTGTGGCTGTATCGAGTTATAGGGTCATTTTGCACATTTGAAAGAAGCAGCACATCTTAACAGCATTTTTGCAGAACAAGAATCTGAAGGAACTGAAAAAGAATGGCTTCTTCTACATTTCAGCGAACACAAACGGAACGCGCCCGACACAAAGAAGGAGAAGGTATCGGATTCGGCGTCGGGAGCAAGTTCCATGGAGGATGTGATTTGAATTGTCGTGTACTATCATTGGATTATTATCGATTTATATTATGATGATACTTGTATTGATTTTGAAGAAAGCGACTCAATAAACTTTGGATTGATTGAATACTTTGACCTAATCGTTTTGCAAAGGGATTCTCACTTTTCAGCAATTCATCAAACGTGGCCGGATTTGACAATAATGCGGAAGAGACGGACGGCTGCAAATTGCTGTAAGGGTGCCGATTCCGTGCCACTTCCTTGCCACAACCCTGCTACCGTTGCCGCTCAAAAACCTTGCTTCCCTCCCATCCCACTCTTTTCTGTTGCACGCCCTATCCATGCTGATGCCATGCCGGATCCGTGCGTGATACATGCTACCGTAGCAACTTGCTGTTCGCTTGCCGCTCGCACGCCCCACCCTTGCCGAAAATTACCCGAGTGGGGAAGAGATTGCGGACGACGACGACGACGAGATCGTCGACGTGGATTCATGAACTCGATCTCGCGTTCCTGACCGTTTTCAGACAGAATTGGTTTTGAGAATGATAAATCACGTAAATACAAGCATTTTGAGCGCTCGAACCGCGAAAACTACCGAAAAGCAACTGAAATTCACGCAGTTTTAGCCAAAAACCTTCAAACGTATAAATGTGATTTGCGACTTGACCAAATTTAACGCTCTTGCGCTTAAAAAATTCGTAACACCCTTTACAATCGGTCTATCGAGAGACAAATGAGAAATTATCGATTTTTCGTGGCTAATCTGGCAAAAAACACAAATTTCGCCAAAATTTTTGTTGCTTTAGTTATTTTTTCAAAAAAAATAAAAAACCGGAGAAAAAGGTTCTGCATTGACGATTTTTTTGTTCCGACTTCCGTCTTCCGGATTTCAAAATTCCATTTCCGCTCTCAACTCTGCACCTGATGCCGATGGGACCGCTCTGTCACCTTTCAGGGTGAAAAAGAACCGTTTCAAATTAATCGAACATCTTAGTCATTCATTCATACGCCAGTTCTATTATTAATCTAACATATTAGTTATGATTAACGGGCACTGACTGACACCTATTATGTACAACCACTATATATACACCGCTATCTTGTATGCAGTTTTCGTTTTTTCTTATTCAAGTAATTCTACTACAGTTAATAAATATTCGAAGTGAAAAGTACATTTTTTACTTTTTCCTTATATGATGACCCAGCTGTAAAAGAACCCCTGTTTTGAAAGTGCAAGATGAGCGGAAAAATACGAACCCGGATCGGATGGACGACGAAGAAATCATCTCGGAAGATGAAATCAAAAACTCTCCAAAGGACGAGCTGGTTCATGTCATTGGAGTGACAACGTACCTCGCGGAAAAAATCTCGTCAAGGAGATCGAGAGATTGGATACTCTCACCAAAGAATGCGATGGTCTCATTCAGAAGGACTCTTCGGAAGAAGAAGAAGTCAAACGGAAAGAATACTGCGAAAAGTACGGAGACTTTTCAAAGGTTCGCGAAGATGGGCAGAAATTCGTGATCAAGCTGCAACAACTGCACAACGTTGCAAGAGAGCGAATTGTCCAGTGACACTTGGGGGCAATTCCTCAATCAGAACAAAAGTGAGACTTATCCGTCATCTGTTAGTATTGCGTCATCAACTAATACTACGTCATCTCTTACTGCTATTCCCTCTATCATCAATTCTTCTCCTATAACCGTTCCTACAACTCCACATCAAATTCCTATCACTCAAGATGTTTCTTTTGCCTCGGTACAATCGTCGATGTCGTCTGATCGTGTCTATGGTTTCTTTTTCACCCTGAAGGGTGACACTCCCCGTGAACGGCTAATTAACTTGTGGACAATAATAGAGATTGGCACGATGAAGATAATAGTCCTCAACGACAGGCTCACGATCCAATTCATGATTCCTCCAATCAATGTCTCCAGGAATCCTTCGTAGAAGTGTCGTCCTTCACGAGCAGTACCATACTCCTCGAGCTCGAATCTCGCTTTGTCCTCCAAGTCTCCTTCCAACCATACCAACGAAGAGTTGCATCCGCACGCGACTGAACAGTTTCAACGAATTGCCGGTGTTGAACTGTAGAGTGAAATCATGTTCATTGTCCCCGACGGGCTGCAAGTCAGAAATGAGACTGATGAGGGACAAGACAACTGAGCGACTGCGGTTCCAGAATCCGTGAAACACCTGATTTCGGCCGTAGCTCCTTCCTGACATGAGTCGCATCCACTGCAGGGGTGTGCGGAAAATATTTCGATTTTCCAAAATTTTCCGATTTTCCGAGAAATTTTCGGCAAAATTTTCGGAAAATTAGTGTGGATTCAAGGTCAAATTTTCCGAAAAAAAAAATTCGGAAAACCCGATTTTCCGAAATTTTCCGAAAAAAAATTCGGAAAAACCGATTTTCCGAAATTTTCCGAAAAAAATTTTCCGCACACCCCTGATCCACTGACTTCCTGCGATGTTGCTGTACAAGCACCCTCCCGAGCCAAACGAACGATTGTCTGATTCTTGAAGTTCATGTGAATACTGACCAATGCCGTGGTAGCAGGCCTGGTGTTCACATGTCCTTTCCTCTCGAACACGATCGTATCGATTGCTTTCCTCGGCAATGAAGTCCTTAAAATGATTTTTTCAAGAGAAATTCGGTTGCATAGACAGTCCGTGTACGCTCCTTGACCAATGCAGGTGCAGAGACTCTTATCGAACACGCAATTGAAAGAGTTGGCATCCGACAGTGTGGAACACTGTAGGTGAATCGGAAACGGCACTCCATGATGTATCTCTTCTTTCCACGTTGCGACGTCAAGAAACGAAATATCCACCGGGCAGCAGAGACACAATGTTTTGAATGGATGTTAAGTTTGATCTACACTCACTGCCGCGCGTAACGCAGACGCACGGCGGACCGGGTCGTTGAATCGATTGTTCGCTCTCATTCCTCAACCCTTTCTATTCGACAGTCTCCGAGAATCGCCGTCAGCCGAAATGTACAATTTTGGAGGTCCACCAATGGCATCAACTTCCGAAAACGTCACGCCTTTTGCCATCGATGGGCTTTTGGACGTGAGCAATCCCGCCGTTCAGCAGCCTTCCGGCCCCATTGTGGTCCGTTTGCGCGTTCCGGAAGTTTGGAACAACTTAGGATCCGTCGTAATCGAGATGAAAGTGACTAACGGTGGCCGAGAGTTGAATCCAAAGTTGGAGTACACGGTCGAAGGACTGGATCCGAACAAGATATACTCGATGCACGTGCACTTTGAGCGAATGAACCGCGCCCGGCTGTCCTACTGGGAGGGTGTCTGGAACGAGAGTTATCGTGATCTGATGACCGTTCCGGAGAGGACCAATGTCATTTCGCTGGGAACAGAGCCCGGTGCGTACTGGTTGCTGTACGGTATCAACGGGATCGAGCTCAAAATGTTCAACCCGCCGAAACGGAGCGAGCCGTCAAGGCAAGTACTAGAAGAAGATGCTGCCAGGGTTTTGAGGAACGAACAATCCATGGTGAGCTTTGTTTCGGTTAATTTAAAGGTGGTGTCCAACGTGACATACAACATATTTTTAAAATTAGCTTCGAAGTAGGGCATTCACTTTCCCAAAGTCCCGAATTACGAAAAAAAAATTCCTCGATTTTAAAGATTTTTTTCGAAAAAGTTAATGGTACCGAGAGAAGTACACGGCGAAATGGAAGAGCTGGCCTAGATTTTTCCAGTCCCCGGATGGAATTCCCCTTTCTTCCGATTTTTTCCGTTTTCGTGCAAATTTCTTAAATTTTCAATCGTTTTCTCACTGAACACACTCATTTGCAATATTTTTTAAAAAATTTATGTTTTTTCCTGTGCCGTGACGCCAAAAAATCGATAATCTGAAACTTTTTTTTTGTTGTTTTTCGGGGTTTTTCTCGCTCAATCTTCGGTTTGCGCGTTGAAAAGTGAATAGAAAGAGATCGCTCAATCATTTCCTGAGTCTTAATTAAAGTTTGCGAGTTACAGAAAGTTCTATATTTCAAAGTAATGCGAAAAATCCAAAACTTCCTATTTTCGGTTTTACAAAAAATGGCTGATTTTTTCTGAATTTCTGAATTTTGCTGAATTTTGAAAGTTTCAGATTATCGATTTTTTTGGCGTCACGGCACAGAAAAAAACATAAATTTTTTTAAATATTGCAAATAAGTGTGTTCAGTGCAAAAACAATTGAAAATTTAAGAAATTTGCACGAAAACTGAAAAAAATCGGAAGAAAGAGGAATTCCATCCGGGGACTAGAAAAATCTAGGCCAGCTCTTCCATTTCGCCGTGTACTTCTCTCGGTAACATTAACTTTTTTGAAAAAATCTTTAAAATCGAGGCATTTTTTTTTCGTAATTCGGGACTTTGGGAAAGTGAATGCCCCCCACTTCGAAGTTTATTTTAAAAATATGTTGTATGTCTGTCACGTTGGACACGACTTTTAAAGAGTTAGAAGTGAGCATAAAATGTTTCAGATAAATGTGACAACCAGGTGTCGATACGTTCCGGTCCTCGAGATCTACGAGTTTGTTGGCGCACACAATTTCCTTTGCCACACTGCCATATTCGACGAGACCAAGTTTGTGGCCGTGTCGGAATATAAGGTATTTATCACATTCGAAAGAAGAAGAAGAGGATCTTAACAGCATTTTTGCAGAACAGGAATATGAGCAGGATGATAAGAGACCTGTACGATTCAACGGACACAAGCGGATGGCGCCCGGCGCCAAGAAGGAGAAGGCCTCGGAATCGGGAGGAAGTTCCCCGGAGGATGTGAATTAAATTGTCATGTACTATCATTCGATTATTATCGATTTATATTATGATGATTATTGAATTGATTTTGAGGAAAGCGACTCAATAAACTTGGCTTTAAACTGATTACTTTGACCTAATCATTTTGCAAAGGGATTCTCACTTTTCAGCAAAATCAGAGCGAATTTTCTGCTAATCTCGCTGATTTTCAACCCGCATTTTGAGCAGATTTCATGAAAAAATGAGAAAGTTGAATGCATTTCTGAGCTTCTGCTAAAAATGGTCGAATTTTAGTCATTTCTCGAAAACTTATTGGAAACTATCAAAAGTCGCGAACGGGTAGAGATATCAAAAAGCGTTCAACTGAAGTTTTATAGCCCAGACTTGTATCTTTATTTTTGCAGTTGACAATCTCTGCTGGCTAAAGAGATACAGGCCTGGAAACAAACAGAACCTCAAGAAACAGCATCGTTCATTCAAGACGAAATATCTGAGGTGCCGGTGGAGGTATCAAAAAGTTGTCAACTAACAAATTGCTTGTTGAGAAAGTGTGTACATTTTATCAGTTGGCCACTTTTTGAAATCTCCACCGGCAGCAGAGATACATTGTTTTGAATGGATGGCAAGTTTGATCTACACTCACTGCCGCGCGAAACGCAGACGCAAGGTGGACCGGGTCGTTGAATCGATTTTTCGCTCTCATTCCTCAAACCTTTTTATTCTACCTTCTCCGAGTACGTTATGCACAACTATGGAGGTCCGTTTGAAGAATATCAACAGCAGCCGCCACCAATGGAATCAACTTCACAAAACTTCGCGCCTTTTGCCGTCAATGGACTCCCGGGCGTGAGCAATTTCGCGGATCAGCAGCCTTCCGGCAACATTGTCGTCAGTTTGCGCTTTCCGGAAATTTGGAACACCTTACGACCCGTCGGAATCACGATGCATGCGCATAAAGCAGGCCGAGTGATGGATCCAAAGTTGGAGTACGAGGTCGTCGGACTGGATCCGAACAAGATGTACGCGATGCACGTGCACTTTGTCCGAACGAACCGCAACTTTCTGACGTACGAAAATGGTGTGTGGAACGAGAACATTAATGTTGTGAAGAACGTTGCTGCGAAGACCAATGTCATTTGCCTGGGAATAATGTCCGGCGATCACTGGATGCGGCACGGCATCGAATCGGTCGATCTGAAGATTTTCAACCCGCCCAAATATAATGTAAGAGGAGAAGATGTTTCGAGGGTTTTGAGGAACGAACAAACCATGGTGAGCTTAAGTTGTTTGAGAGTGAGAGAGAGAGTTAAAAGTGAGCATGTAATGTTTCAGATAAATGTGACACACCGTTGCCGATACGTTCCGGTCCTCGAGATCTACGAGTGTGGTGAGGCACACAATCTCCTTTGCCACACTGCCAAATTCGATGAGACCGAGTTTGTGGTTGCGTCGGATCTTCGGGTATTTTTCCACATTTGCTAGACGATTTTCTGAACAGCATTTTTGCAGAAGAGGGAGGTGATCACGATGAGAAACGATGCGAACCTCGACACTTCAGCGGACAACGAACGGACGGCGCCCGCAAGTTCGAATCAGGAGCAGCAGCACGAATGGTTTCCGTACAATTGACAAATCGGAAGAAAGGGGAATTCCATCCGGGGACTAGAAAAATCTAGGCCAGCTCTTCCATTTCGCTATCACTATCACTATCAACTGTTGAATTGAATTATAATCGATTTATATTATGATAATTGAATTGATTTTGAGGAAAGTGACTCAATAAACTTGGCTTTGAATTGACTTTGACTTAATCATTTTGCAAAGGGACTTTTCAGCAAAAAAAGAGCTATTCTGTAAATAGGGGGCGTGGCCTGACGAATTTTCTCCCGATTTTCCCCTTTCAACGCGCAAACCGAAGATTGAGCGAGAAAAACCCGAAAAAACAACAACAAAAAAAAATTTCAGATTATCGATTTTTTTGGCGTCACGGCACAGAAGAAAAAACATAAATTTTTTTAAATATTGTAAATAAGTGTGTTCAGTGAAAAAACGATTGAAAATTTAAGAAAATTGCACGAAAACGGAAAAAATCGGAAGAAAGGGGAATTCCATCCGGGGACTAGAAAAATCTAGGCCAGCTCTTCCATTTCGCCGTGTACTTCTCTCGGTACTAGAAAAATCAAGCATGTTTGAGGACCTGTACCGAGGCTCCCAAATGAAGTACCATACCCAAAAATTTTTATTTTATGTAATCGACGATGCTGAATCCAATGAACAACTCCATTTCACGTGAAAACGTGCCGTTCTCTTGAAAAAACGCGAAAACGAAAATGAAAATCAGTCTGAGAGCCGGTGTGGTCAAGTTTATGGCTACACGCGCCTATTTTCAAGTGATTCCGACAGTTTAAACGATGGGGAATCCGTTTTTGAAGTCAGATTTTGATTCCCGAGTCGCCGAAATTTTCTACAGATCCTCAAACTGCCGGAAAAGTTTGCGGAAAATTTTCAGCGATGACCCCTCTTTTTTTTTAATTTTCGTAATCTATAGATACACTCTCTGAGAACCCAAATATAAATTTTCAGAGCTCTAGACATCCTAGGAGCATTTTTGTGTTCGATTGAGTAAAGCCTATTCAGCCGAAATTCTAGTTTTTCGAGGATTTGAGCGTCACAGGTACCGTACACGCGGCTAATTTTTACGGAATTCATTTAGCATGACAACGTTCCGGTCCCAATTGACATGAATTGAATGGTTTTATACTATCAACTTTTCATTGGATTATTATCGATTTATATTATGATGATAATTGAATTGATTTTGAGGAAAGCGACTCAATAAACTTGGATACTTTAACCGAAAAGTTGCATGATTTGTTCTTCGTTTACAAGTTGAAAATGAAAATGACAACAGTTTAAAGTAAGGTACTACATTTGTGACATCCTCTTTAAAATAATTTGCACTGATATTGTATTCTTCCAGAACTCGCTCTTGATCTTCAACCTTTGGGAACCCTATTCTAATCGACTTTGGTTATATTTATGAGATGACAAGAGCAATTTTTTATGGGGACAAAATCAGAGAATTAGTTTTGCAATTTATTAGCCACATTTTTTCAGGCTTCATTTCGCTGCGACATGGCATTTCCAATGTTTCGAATTTGAGGTATACTATGTGTTAATTTGATCCCTCCACACCCGATTCAGAAGAGTCAGAGCGACCAATTATAATCGGATTAGCGGGGCGGCCGGCCGGCTAACCTGTTGGCGTAATTAACTCCCACCGGGATTGTAGAAGCCTCGGTTTGTGTCACCCGTTTCGCTCGCTCTTCTATTTTCGACATTGGCATTCGTGAAAATGAGCAGCATCAACAAAGTGGAATCGATGTGGATCAAACGGAAAGCGACGACGGCGCCGGTAAGTCTACGTACTTGTTTTAGGTGTTCTAACGCTTGAGCTTAGATCCTTAGGTCCATCTTTACATCCCTAGATCTTTAGAGCCTCAGATCGTTACGTGTTTTAGGCGTTATGACTATTGCATGACCGTGTTAATACTTATCTGTCTGCTACATACCAGAAGAATTTTTTTATCTTTTTTAGAAAATTTTTTCATGAAATGTGATCAACTGACGAAATGTATAGCAAAAATAAACTCTGCTCGTAGAAAAAAATAATTGTAAATTTAACTTTTCACACGAAAAAGTTATTCGAGTTGTTCCGTTAGCCCCCTTTTTTTCACGCAACAACTCGAATAACTTTTTTGTATGAAAAGCTAAATTTACAATTATTTTTCTACGAGCACAGTTCATTTTGCTCTACATTTCGTCAGTTGATCACATCTCATGAAAAAATTTTCTAAAAAAGATAAAAATTATTTTGGGCGAGTTGTAAACGTTCGCGCTTTTGCAGACGAGTCCGCAAATAAAAATTCCGCCGAGACAATTGTCGCCGGAGCCACACTTCGAGCAGGGTCTTCCCAACTACATTCCGCCGGAGCGACCGCTCGGGTACGTCTACAAAATTAATTTCCCGCCGCCGATTTACACAACTTTTTTTGTGCAGACTTCCAAAATCAGAAAATGGCAACGAGATGATCGACTTGCTGCTCAAAGCCTCAACACTTTTGCCGGCGGTAAAATGCGAAGGCGTTCAGCTGAGAGTTCGTCAATTGGAACGGGAAATTGGCGAGAAAAATGTGGCACTCAGCGGCCAAATGACACTTTTGAAAATTGCAAAAGGTACGTTTTTAAAGGTATATTTAAAATCAACATATTTAAAAAAAAACTTCGAAGTGGGGCATTCACTTTCCCAAAGTCCCGAATTACGAAAAAAAAATCCCCGATTTTAAAGATTTTTTTTTCAAAAAAGTTAATGGTACCGAGAGAAGTACACGGCGAAATGGAAGAGCTGGCCTAGATTTTTCTAGTCCCCGGATGGAATTCCCCTTTCTTCCGATTTTTTTCCGTTTTCGTGCAAATTTCTTAAATTTTCAATCGTTTTTTCACTGAACACACTTATTTGCAATATTTAAAAAAACATTTATGTTTTTTTTCTGTGCCGTGACGCCAAAAAAATCGATAATCTGAAACTTTCAAAATTTAGCAAAATTCAGAAATTCAGAAAAAATCAGCCATTTTTTGTAAAACCGAAAATAGAAAGTTTTTGATTTTTCGCATTACTTTGAAAAATAGAACTTTCTGTAACTGGCAAACTTTAATTAAGACTCAGGAAATGATTGAGCGATCTCTTTCTATTTACTTTTCAACGCGCAAGCCGAAGATTGAGCGAGAAAAACCCGGAAAAACAACAAAAAAAAGTTTCAGATTATCGATTTTTTTGGCGTCACGACACAGGAAAAAACATAAATTTTTAAAAAAATATTGCAAATAAGTGTGTTCAGTGAAAAAACGATTGAAAATTTGAGAAATTTGCACGAAAACGGAAAAAATCGGAAGAAAAGGGAATTCCATCCGGGGACTAGAAAAATCTAGGCCAGCTCTTCCATTTCGCCGTGTACTTCTCTCGGTACCATTAACTTTTTTGAAAAAAAAATCTTAAAAATCGGGGATTTTTTTCGTAATTCGGGACTTTGGGAAAGTGAATGTTTATTTTAAAAATATGTTGTATGTGACACCACCTTGTAAGCTAGAAGACGAAATTTCAATGTTCGTTTTCAGAAATCGACAAGTTCAATTGTCAGGAAGCTTGGAAGCTCTATCAAAATGCGTTTGAAAAACATGAGGTAATTGAATGATATTATAAATTATTGAAAAAAACACAAAAACACTTCAGACAACAATGTTCTGGACGCGAGGAATTCGTCTGCTCATCCTCGAACTTCGAGACAACCAAAAACTAAGAATCGGACAATAATTGTATTAAAAATGCCTCTAATCTCATCATTTTTTCGGCCAATTCTCATTTTCAATGATGGTCCCCAAGATCGCGTTTTTCATGATGATCGCTCGAGGACCACAGTAAAAAGTATCAAATTCCCAATAAAACGCCGTAAATCATGTGACTTTTGGGTGTCGGCGACTCCAAAAGCGTGGTCCCCCATCTGACCGGTACCGTATGTTCGTCGGAGTCGCCCAAGAAATTTATGATGACTTTTTGTTTCCACCACCGTGGCACACATCATAAAAGACCGAAAGCGGGAGGGGGAAACGACGAGCACACATGTTGATGTGGCTCCAAATGAGTTATGCGATTGGTTGAAACGTCTATTGAAGCGGTGCCAACTTGCCGACACAAGACATGGTGCATCGACCAGCCGACACGCCGCACAAGACATGGTGCATCGACCATTCCGACGCCCGAATGGGCTCTGTCCGCGCGCGCGGCAACGCTTTGATTTATGCATGTGAAAAGGGCATGTTGATTGGTTATTTAATGAAGTTCGCACTGGCGTCTACTTTGCCGAGTGTCCAGTTGGGTTACTGTAGAGGAAGACGTGGTCTTGGGACCGACAACATGAACCTTATGGGATCCACTTTGATTTCCATTAAGCACTTTTCGTTAATAGTCAATGGTCCCACCGAAACCGCAACAATATCTTTATTGTTCCCCTTCCGCCCACACACATCTTATTAATAATTGATGATGTCCGACGCGACGACGACTTGTTGCCATTTCCATTTCGCATCTTGGTCCCTAATGGATTACCGTAATCCTTGGGTTACTGTACGTCCCGTTTGAATTGAAAACTGTTCAAATTCGGCGAATTTTTCGCCTTGAAACCGCCCGTAAAACCCCTTTTTTATGATGAATTTTTCGGCGTCGAAACCCGTTGAAAGTTTGCTAATAAAAAGAGGTGTCGGTAGATTTCTCGACTAGATAATACGTTTGAATTCGAATATCGTGGATCAGATTGGTCCCTGTGCTGACCGAGGATACGTGGTCCCGTTAGCCCGTTCCCATCAGATGGCCGCTCATTTTCGTTATATTCACTCGTTTTGTCTACTTTTTACTGCTTCTTCCATTGGTTTTCTGGGCTCCTGGAGCACTTTTTTGTGTGCGCGCGCACCCCGACCGGGACACAAATGTGTAATATAATTGGCATATGGAAATGCGAATAGTGGGCGAACTGGGGGAGAGCGGCGAGAGAGAAAAAAAAACGCAAAGTGCAGGATTTCAGACGTGCCCCCCCGCCCCAGGTAATCCTACAGTAATCCGGCTCCTCCTCCTTTACGTCTGGCGCCATAACAAATGGTCCTTTGTCCGTGGATCCCCAAGGATGCTTCTCCGAAGAAAGCAAAAAAAAAAAAAAAAACAGCTGGGAAAGTAAAGTATGTCAATGTGACCCAGTACAATCCAAGAACAAAGCTCATTTATCGTCGATCCACCGGGTCCACAAGTGAAAACGGGACGGTGCTAACCGGTTCGCGCCGTCCTTTGTCTCTTCTCTTTTCCGAGTAGTTGTAGTAGTAGCCATATAACTGTGAATGTTGGTGTAACCTAGTTCCGCGCGCGCCGGACGATCAGGACCGTTCATGCTTGAAGGCTAACCAAAACAAAGGCATTTTGGTGCGGCCGATCTTTTGGGTCCAGCAGAGAGAGAGAGACAGGTGTTCGCCTCTTGAAACGGCAAATGAGATGAAAGTAATGAGTTTGGAGAAAATGTGCCGAAAAACTGGGTCAATTTTCATGATCCTACAGGTGTTCCGGTGTTTGAATTAGTGTTGCGAGCGGTCCCAGCCGATCGGGGTAGTTTCAGAAAGTACCACACCATGGACGAGCGTTGGAAACGGTCCCCGACGGTTCGTGTAGCGTTACGCCAACAAAACCGGTCGCAATTCGAGGAACGGCGAGTGGAAAGAAAAAAGCGAAGGTCAGTTGGAGTCCGGAAACCGGTCCCTCTTGATCGGTGCACCAACCCGATCGATGATGACCTCAACTCGGTCCCCAACCGACCAACCAAGCCAACCAACTTCTGTGATTAATATCCACCCGGTCCCAGTCGGATGGGGGGCTTCACAACAGGGCGCTCGCCGCCAATGACGTAACCCCATCGCCCGGCGGCGGCACCCTTTTCGTTGCGCCACGTCGGGAGTTGCGTCGGCGGTCTATCAGGGACCGTGTGTCATGGTCATAACTTCTTTTTTTCGTTTCAACTCCACCGACACGCTCTGTGTCATGTTTTTTCCGCTTTTTAGGCCCAACTTATGGGACCGTCGAGTAGAAAAGTTCAAATTTAGGTAATTTACGAGGTTGGTCGACTGGGGACCATGTGTATTTCCCCTGTTTGCCCTACTTTTTCGAATCTGTGACGCATCCGATTCGGATTCGGAACAATCATGTGTTTGGGGGCTAACTAGTCCCCCTGCGAAAGGTAACCGTTGAATGACCGGTCCCACCGATCAGCCACCGCCCGGCTTTCAAAGAATCTCGACTTTTTTCGCTTCCCAGACATGCCCCATGGCTACGGACCAGTAGGGACCACGAAAACACGGTTGAGGGTCAAGAAAAAGCCAAAGCCATTGAAATAACCGCTCCAACTTTAAGGGACCACTAGTAAAAAAGCGGTCCCCGAAAGTCCAAGCTCGAAAAAACGGTTCCGGAAGCTTGAGACAGCGTGGTCCCCCAAAGTCGACAAAAGCTGAACCGTTTAGTAGGAAAACGGGAGAGAGAGAGAGAGAGAGAGAGAGAGTTGACCTACTTTCAAATCCGCTCTCGATTTTCATTTCCCCGTTTGTGTATTTAACCAACTACCGGATCCAACGTGTTTCCGTTTTTCCCGTTTTCAATCGTCGGCGTAAAAACGGTGGTCCCCGCCGGACCACGACTCGGTTTTCCACGATTTTCCACTTTTGTTCGGGTTCCACACTCGCGTTCCTTGCTTGACCGACTCGGACCGAGTCACTTACCGCCCATTTCTGCAACATTTCGTCCCGCCGCCGCCGCGTCCAATTAGACGCCCAATATACACACAGTTTGACGAGAAAAGTGACCGGTACGTGATGGATACGCGTGGGCGGTGGGCGTAAATGCACACCGCCAATTATCGTGTTCATCATCCCGTGTTCCCAGTCGTCCGGCAGCGAGGGACTGTCCGAGAATCATCATTATCGTTGTTATTGTTACCTTTTCTATTACCAACCGTCTTCCATTAGGACATTCATATGTTGTGCGTACCTTTGAACCGTGTGTACACCGTTTCAGACCGCTTTTTGCTTTTTGTGCGGTGCTGAAACACTTAAAAGCTCGAAAACAAGTTTCCAATACAGTAACCCCCGCCCCCCGTTTCCTTATTCAAATCCCGACTTCCGAGAAAGATTAACTGACTGTGTATCGCTCTCATAATTGTCGGATCTTCTCCTCGTTGCGCGAATGGATACACACGGATTGAGGACATGGAAGCGAAAAAGAAGAAGAAGAAGAGGAAGTGGGATTAGAGTGGACCCATCGGTTCAATCGAGAGTTTTCGCTTTCTCGGGCAACTCGATTTTTCGTCGTCGTTCCCGTTGTGTTATTCTTGAATCTCTCCGTAAATGTGCGGCGATCCGTTTCCGGCCGACCGTAATTACCTACATGTGCTGTGTACCGTATCAACAACACTTCCCGCCTTAAGAACCATTCGCCTCCTTCGACGACTCGTCTTCTCGAAGTGTTGCAAGACGGCTGTGATCCAGTGGGGTCCAAGAATAGACACACAGCTGCTACTGCTGCTGTCCTTGTTCCTGCCTGATGTCACCTGTTTGTACCATTCATCACTTTGACACCTCCCCCCCCCAATGTCCCGACCACTACTCAACTGGTACCCACTAATTTACAAGTCGAATCGTGTGTACTTCTTTGACGGACAAGGTAACCATGTTTTTGATGTCTCTTTCTCGCGTTGGTCCCATTAGTTCGCGCCTTTTTTCAAAGCGGTCCCGCCGGTCCCTTCCAGATGTCTCTTCTGTTTAGTCGCTCCCCCCTCGTCATCTTCGAGGAGCGGCCACTACTGGCTGATTTCTCGTAGACACATTCAGAACTGGATATTCCTCTTTTCCTCGCTCGCTTCTTCTTCTTCTTCTTCTTCTTCTTTTGCTTCTTCTTCTTCTTCTTGCCAACCGTGAGCGACTCGATTGCGCAATCGCCCTCTTGTGTTGAGAGATGGACGATATCGGACGGAGGAGGAGGAGAAGCAATACCAATGCAAAAAATACGAGTGGCGGAGAAGAAGCGGACGGGCGGCGCAGCGTCGGCCAGAAGCAGCGAACATCACAACATGACATAATCGAAGAACACATCCGCCCCCCCCCCCCGGTCCCCGATAGTTGGACGAAAAAACGAGGGATGCAACTGGTGGAACCCAGGGATCATCGGTTTTTTTGGAGGCTTCTAACGCTCCTACAGAAGTTGGTTTTCATCTCGAGACCGTTTTTTGGGCTTGATCCACCGGGGACCACATTTTTTTTTAAACTCCGCACTCCCCCCCCGGTCCCCAATAGTTTAACGAAAAAACGAGGATACCTAGGGATCAACGGTTTTTTGAGGCTTCTAACAGTCCTACAGTAGTTGGTTTTCATCTCGAGACCGTTTTTTGCGCTTGATCCGCCGGGGACCACATATTGAGAAGCGATTTTTCACTCATTTTGGGCCGTTTTTACAGGCTTAGACCGGTAGGGACCACATTTTTGGAAGCGGTCCCACTAGACCAAGTTGATTTTTTATTCAATTTCAAGCATCGGGAGTCCAGTGGAAGTACAGTCGGTCCCCAATAGTTGGACGAAAAAACGAGGGATGCAACTGGTGGAACCCAGGGATCATCGGTTTTTTGGAGGCTTCTAACACTCCTATAATAGTTGGTTTTCATCTCTAGACCGTTTTTTGGGCTTGATCCGCCGGGGACCACATCCTAAGAATCGATTTCCATTATCCTACTGTGATTGTTCACTCATTTTGGGCCGTTTTTACAGGCGTGGACCGGTAGGGATTTTTTTTTTGGAAGATTTTTGGAAGCGGTCCCACTAGACCAAGTTGATTTTTTTTTCAATTTCAAGCATCGGGAGTCCAGGGGAAGTACAGTAGACCATTGCCAACCGCCGAGATCCCGTCTGTACCTTCGTCTCTCTCTCTCTCTTTCTCTCTTTCTAGTTCCTCACAGCTTCTTCTCACTCTTTCGTATTACGATTGCGCAATTTTAGCGTTTTTCGGCTTTTCGTCGTCTTCGTCCACATAGATCGCATCGGCTCCGCCCACTTTTGCCCCTCCCGGAGAAGAAGAACACTTCTTCTTCTTCAACTTCTTAGGACCGGGTGTTGTAAACCGATCGGAACGCTTCTTGAAGGGATCTGTAGACTTTGGAATGATCCAGAAGGGACCAGGTTGCTGAAACGGTCCCAGTAGATATCTGAAGCTTGAGAGTGCTTCAAAATGATTCTAGAACACTCCTAGACAAGTTCAGACGGTCCCTGACAGTTAGAGATCGGTATGGGATCGCTTTGGAACCATTGAAAAGGTGTCTGGCATCTAAAACACAATCTGAAATGGTCCCGGAAAGTTGGAGAGCCTCTAGATGATCCCAAGTAGCTGAAGAGGCGGATTCAAAGGGTTCCAAGACGGTCCCTAAAAGTTTAATAGTTTCCAGGCGGTCCCAACTAGTTGCCAGCAACGTTCAGACGATCCAGGACGGTTTTGGACCCTCTAGACGGTCCCAAAAAGTCCCAGACACGTCCAGAAATCGTGAAAATGCCCTCAGAAGCGTCACGAAGGGCATTTAATCGCCTCCTCCACTTTAACGCCGCCCGAAAATCTCGTTTTTGTCTTGCGTCGAGCGGTCCGCACCGTCCGCACGAGACAAGAGTGCGTGCGGATGGGCGGCGGACAAAAAACGAGATATCCGCACCTGGGGGACGGGAAGCGAGACACTTTTTTAATGGATCTTCTTGTCCGGACGGAAAGCGAAGAGGGACAATTCTGAATGAGAACAAAAGTTGGTCGCCCGGGACCGTGCTTTTGGCCCGTTTCTTTTACGCTAAAACTCGCAAAAAAGTGTCACCAGAATTTTTGGCAATTTTTTTCCAGACAATTCCACATTCACTTTTTTTTTATAAAAAAGTTATGTTCCCGTTGCCCCACCAGATATATTGTCGATCTCTGCAAAACCAATCCGAAACCAGTAGCCTCAAATCACAAGGTTTCCCACTTCTTCTTGCTTCTTATTATTATTATTATTATGTATGCTTCTTCTTCTTCTTCTTCTTCTTCTTCTTCTTGATGATGGCATGGTCATTCGGAGGGAGAAGGCTACAATAACAACATAAGGAGAAGATGTTCCACACCGCCCACCCACAGCTTTTGTATACTTTTACGTTGTTTCTTGTCTGCCTCCCAAAAGACACGAACGGGACGATTCGGACGAAGAAGAAGAGGAAGAAGACGGCAGCGAATCCGGTTTGGTCCCATTCGGATGGCCTGCCAAAAGCCGATGGTCAGAGAGAATTGATGATGCGTGGGCGGAGTCGGGAAGGGGAGGCTTTGGAGAGACGACGACGATGCCAACCACCGAGACGACTTCTTTTCCGCGCGCGCGCGCACGCCGCCGCCGCCGCCCGTCGTCGCGTCACACCTTGTCTAGCGCTGACGCAACCGGTGAGGCAATCCGCGCGCGCGAATTTGTTGCAGAATCAGCGTCGAATTTGGAGGGACCACGCTTTCTCAAGCTTCCGGAACCGTTTTTTTGAACTTGGACTTTCGGGGACCGCTTTTTTACTAATGGTCCCTTAAAGTTGGAGCGGTTATTTCAATGGCGTTGGCCTTTTCTTAACCCTCAACCGTGTTTTTGTGGTCCCTCGAAGTTGAAATGAGGGTTTTTGCCGCTTTTAGATGTGCTTGATCCGGCTGGGACCGTCTTTTTATTCATGGTCCCAAAAATTTGGAGATCCTCTTTGGCATCCCAAACCGTTATTTTGTGCTTGATCCGGCTGGGACCGCATTTTTATTTAAGGTCCCTAGAAGTTGGAGATCCTCTTTGGCTTCCCAAACCGTTATTTTGTGCTTGATCCGGCTGGGACCGCATTTTTATTCCTGGTCCCTAGAAGTTGGAGATCCTCTTTGGCTTCCCAAACCGTTATTTTGTGCTTGATCCGGCGGGGACCGCATTTTTATTCATGGTCCCTAGAAGTTGGAGCATGTTTTCTTGATCCTCACACTTGTCTAAACCATTATCCTACCGTTATTCTATGCAAGATCTCTCAGGGACCACATTCCTGTGCACTTCTTTCCCCAAACTTTCTCCCATTTGACCCATTGGTCCCGCTTGGCTCTTCACTTTGCGTCCAACTCTCATTAACCTCCTCCTCCTCCTCCTTCTTCTTCTTCCTCTTCTTCTTCTTCTCTTTGTCCATTCATTCGGCGGCCGCCATTCCCTCTCTCTCTCTCTTGGCTCCGCCCCTTTCGGCCGATCACTCTTGGCTCCCCCGCCCGCACCCGCACCAATCGTTTCGCCCGCCGAGACCACGCCCCTTTTCCTCCGCCACCCCCCCGCTCGCGCCGACTTTACAATCACACCACCGATCGTCCGGTCAAGCAGGACCGGACACGACGCCACCGCCTTTTTTGAACTTTACAGAATGCTCTACAGTAATCCTGGTCAACTGGGACCACTTGTTTGTGTTGTGTGGAACCTGACAGATCGTAGAAATACAGTAATCCTTCCGGAAGAATCGAGACAAAAGTGCACCGATTCGGTCCCGTCAGTCCACCTCCACCCACCCCCCAAAAAAAGATCGTAATCAATTCGCTTCCCGTGCTGCGGTCCCCTTTGTTTGCAAGAATCGGCGCGTGCCGAGACTCATCTCATTTGTTCCGGGCGCTCATCGTTCCGATTCCCCTCTTCTTCTCCTTTTTTTCGAATCTTTTCGTCACCGTTTTGAAACGCCTAGACGGTCCCCGTTGGATATATGTCCCACACTTTACATTTCTCCCCATTTTCTCGTATTCCGATGCTTCCAGACACTGCACGATCCAAGGACCATTTGAGCCGTCACGGATCCAGATGCAGACTCAATCGCCGTTCGGTCCGCTGCTCGGCCTGCCGCAAATGATGCCGTCGCCGGCGGGCGGACATCTCGCAACCGCCACCTCGCAACCCGTCTCCCTCGCCACGTTCCCGTCCGCTTTTGCGGCGTTCGCCTCGCAGATCCGCAACACACAACTACAATCGCTGCTCCAGTCACAGATCCAGGCGCTGAACGGATCGGGCGGTCCCGGCGGTGGGACCCCGCTGGCTCGGCACTACGGCGGACCGGGACCACAAGGACATGGCGGCAAAGTGAGAGGGGTAAGTACTTGTAAATAGCCTTCTTGCCTAGTTTTAGGTCTAAACTCGGACAAAAAAGACATTGAGAAGCGGCTGAGCATCTTGGGACCACCATGATCCGGTCCCTGACAGTTTTCGTTGCAGACCACCGAGTATCCGCTGCGAAAACGCGTGGGCGGATCCACAGTGAAGACCGCCAAAGTTTGGCGCTATTTTGACGAGCTGCCCACCATCGAACAGGCGGCCGAGTGCCGCATTTGTCGCAAAAAGATCAAGGCCACCAATTCGAGGTACCGTAATCCGCTTCCAGTACCTTAACAACAAATGTTCATAGTGGAGACAACTTCCACGTCATGCGGCTACCGTAATCCCACCACTTCCTCCCTTAACGTTTTTTTGTTTTCGACGCGAGAAAAACACTAATTAGCGATTCGTTTTCTCCAAGTTTTTCATTGAAAATCAGTCGAGCGCATCGAAAATCCGTATTTTTCGGCGCGCCGGAACACTGGAATTTTTGATAGTTTTCCGAGGACCACCTAAGGGGGAGCCGAACCGATATTGTACACTTTTGAGACTTTTAGCACGACCGGAATGATCCGTCACTTGCGAAGTTGCCACGTTCAAGAGTATCAGCTCGTGCAGGAGGCCCGTCAGAACAGCATGATCGTCAAAATGGGTGAGTTTCAGAGTGCCACGTCATCCTTCCCTAGTACCTAGTCATACTGTAGTGATAGTTTTTAAAGTGGTCCGTGTTGCCACGTCACGAGAGTACAGTAATCCTTCCCGAGAACCTCCGAAAAGCGCAAAAGTTGAGGCTGGTTAAAGGTTGACGTGGAAGGATTACTGTACTCGCGTGACGTGGCAACACGGTTTTCCCGAAGTTGATGAAACCACTAGGAAAACTTTTAATTTCTATGGGGCATCAGATCACAGATCCATTTGCCATTGATTCCCCCCAAAAAAAAAAGTCGTTGCGCAACCGTCGCCCTCTCTCTCTCATTTTGCTTTTTGCTGTGTTTCCTCCGAACCGGTCCCCCCATTCTTAACGTCCAGATATTGTCCAGTTATTTCTTAAAGGGAGGGGAGAGAGAGAGAGAGAGATGGTCAGCAAATGCATAGGAAGAAGAAGAAGAAGAAGAAGAAGCTGGTTGCGCAACGATTGCGTCGGCGCGCATCTTCGGAGACTTACCTGATCGTTTAGGGGACCAAATTGCAAAAAAAAAAAAACCCGTCGCCACCACGTCAAGCAATCGTGTTCGAGGCGGCGCGAGATTACTGTAGTTTTTAGTTTTAATGCAAAAATGCGCGATTTTTGAAAAATTCCCCCCGCACATCTGTTCCAGAAGCCTTGGCAACGAGGTAATTGGGTGGGGATGCGTTCGGAAGATAAGAAGATCGCATCGGGAAGGTTCTCTGGCGCCAGGTGTTCCGAGACATGCCCGAAACCTTGAAATGAAACTTGTTTTTGGGGGGGAGGAAATCCGAATTGGAAGGTGTTTGAAAGCGGTAATTGTCAGGTTTCGTAGTGGTATTGGTCAACTTGAGCGAAAACCTTGTTGCCACGTCATGAAGATAAAATAGTGTTGCGCCTAAACGTAGCTAGGATGAATAGGAGCTTAAACCGGGAGGTTTTCATAGTGGGTGCACTGGGAAACCGTTCTAGAAATTGTGTGTATTCAAGACAATGTATCTCGGTTGCCAGTTGAGATATCAAAAAGTTGTCAACTACTAAAATGCTCAAAAAGACATTCTGCACACTTTACTAGTTGACCACTTTTTGATATCTCCACCCGCCGCTGAGATATCTCCATTCTTTCAATGCAAACGTTATCGAAACCTACAATACTCGAACCAAAGCCTCCAGAAACCTCTAGGGACCAAAAAAAACGTCCAGTTCTCCTTATTTTTCAATATAATTCTCTAGAAATCGCCTCTAGACCATCAATTTTATCAAATTTGCAGAGGAAAAAGCTCGTGCGAAGTTGCTGCGTGAGATGAACGAGAAGGTGATATCCAACGGGATCGAGAACCATCCGATCGTGGTCAAGAAGGATCCGCCGTCGTCCGAATCCCAGAAATCGCCGTCCGCCTCGTCGTCCGCGTCGGACACCGCCTCTTCCGCCTCCTCTTCTCACTTCTCCGGTCTTCACGGACTGCCGGCGCCGGTGCCAATCAAATCGAGCATTTTGAACATTCAACCAAAGTGCGAGGCGACCGAGATGGAGGAGGAGGAACCCGAAAAACCGACGGACCTGACGACGGTCCGCACGGGACCAACGCTCACGTCGTCGCCCGCTCAGAAGAGTGCGTCGGCGTTCTGCGCTTTGCCCGTCGACGAGAAGATGAGCGAGTATCAGAAGAAAATCGAGGAGGACCACAAGATTCATATGCAGGTGCGTTCCTCAAGCGATTCTCTAAAAAATGCCCTAAAAATGCCAAAAAATCCAAAAAACCCCAATGTTTCAGATAGCTTTGATGCTTCTGCTCGATCAGCAGCCGTCGCACGTGATAGACCGTCCCGGATTTCGGTCGCTCTTCAAATTTCTGCTTCCCGACTATCATTTGCCGAGCGGCGAGATCTTTCAGGCGACGATTGTGCCGCAGTTGCTGAACCACATGAAACAACAGATTGGCGCGATTTTTAACGGAAATTCTGGCAATTCGCTGAGGTTTGTGCACGTGTTTTCGCAGTCTATGGACACTTTGCAACTGAAAACCGAGTCTATGGACACTTTGCAACTGGGCTTCTAGGCTCTAGCAGTTGCCAAGTGTCCGTGGGTTCCCGTTGGACACTTTGCAACCACTTTTTCTGGTTCCGGTGGCTGCGAAACGTCCCCTCCCTAAAAAATTCCTTCAACTAAACCTAGGACACTTTGCAACCGAATTTCATATAGTTGCAAAGTGCCCTATGGTTGCAAAACGTCCGGAAGTTGCGAAATGGCGTTTCGGTTGCGAAATGTCTCTACCCCAACTGTTCTAATACCTCTAATACCTTTAAACCAAGTGCGCTTGCTCCAAACTTGTCCCGAATTGCTCTAAGACATTTTGCAACCAAAACGGTTTTGTGTTGTGGTTGCAAAGTGTCCTTGGGTTGCGAACTGGCTTCTAACTCCTCCAAACTATCGCAAGACGTTTCGCAACCGAGATTTCCGACTTTTTGTTGAGTTGCAAAGTGTCCACCCGGTTTTGCCGCTTTCGAAATGTCCAATTAGTGGGGGGGTGCAAATGTGCCGGGTGTTGACCCACAAACAGTGATAAATGGCTCGTCTCTCAAAATTTCTGGGCGCCATCGCCACCTCACACAGTGGGGGGGGACCGTCCTCGTCTTTTCCATGTCAAATTGATGGGTTTCGGGAGAGAAAGAGCGAGAATTTGAACAGAAAGAGAGAGAGAGAGAGAGAGAGAGTGGGAGATGCCGACCGAATTGAATTGAAACAAAGGGAATGCGATAGTAGTTGGGGGGAGACAAATTCGAGAAACTAAGGGGGGGGGACCTAGACGGTCTTTTGGGAACACTAGACGCCCGACGCGCAGCCTATTGTGATCTGGTGCCTGAAAGATCGGTCTGAGTCCTGGTCAAGCCGGCTCCAACGCAAATTCTTCCGTACTGACGCACGCTAATCCCGGCAAAGAGCGCTTCGAGTGAGTTTGCAACTGCTCCGACGCACCATGTAATGTACCGTACCCCGCTCGATCAATCTTTCCGTCGCCGCCGCCGCCACCGCCGCCGACGCACTCTCTTTTTCGCGTTTGTGTCCCCTCCCGGCCCCCCGCCCCCGCCCAATTTACTGCCTTTGTTCTCGTGTTCCTCCGATACACTTTTGCGTGTTTGCAGTGTGCCGTGTTCGGAAGTGATGACGTCACACGTCACCTCGACCACCTCATCTGCCACGTCATCATACGAGGAGGTGTCGGTGAACGAGACGAACGCCGGCGCCGAAGAGATCGAGACGATGGAGGAGACTGAGGAGACCGAGGAGACCGAGGAGACCGAGGAGAACGTCGAGGTGCGTCGAGTTGCGAAACGTCCTCAAGTCGGACACTTTACAACCGACTTTTTCGAGTTGTAAAGTGTCTTGAAACAGTTGAAACGGTATACGGAGAGCTTGGGACACTTTGCAACTAAATATCGTGGGTGTCAGAGTTGCAAAGTGTCCATATGACTGTAAGACACTTGGCAACCGACTTTTTCGAGTTGTAAAGTGTCTCGAGCCAGTTTCTGGATCTATTGAGGCTTCTTGACATGGTCAAACGACTCTAGAACCAAATTTTTATGTTTCCGCAGTTGCAAAGCGTCCTCAGTAGCCAAAAGACGCTTTGCAACTGACTTTTTCGAGTTGCAAAGTGTCCAAAACTAAATTGCAGATCGAGGACGACACCTCGTCGGCCTCTTCTTCAATAGACACGGAGGCGTGCGACGCGATGTCCTCTTTCATTCATTTCATCGGAAATGACGCCTTTCCGCACGTAAGTACACTTTGGGGACACTTTGCAACCGTCGTTTTTTTGGTTGCAAAGTGTCCAAAACAACTACCGTAACCCGAAAGCGTTCAGGACGAACTAATCTCGCTGCTCTCCGTCGTCACCAACATTTTCGCCTATTTCTCGACACGACCGCACGTCCAAACCCATCTGCAGATGACCGTTTCGCAACCGACGACGCCCCAACTGATCCAGCAGCTCCGCTTCGTCGCCTCGAATCTGTCGCGCATCTCCGACTACATCCGCCACACGCCCGACATGCAACTGTTGCCGTTGGCCGCCAATCAGGAGGGTCTTTTGGAGAAATTAGTCGATCATATTGATCGAATTTGCTAAAAACCCCGTTCTAGAACGATTTTGGCACGTGGTCCCCGGTGGACCACCCGATGGTCCCAAAAGTTGAACTCAGTTTTTCGAGAAATTAGTTGATCGTACGGATCTAACCTGCTAAAAAACCATCTTAGAATGATTTTGGCACTTGGTCCCCGGTGGACCGCCCAATGGTCCCAAAAGTTGAACTCAGTTTTTCGAGAAATTAGTTGATTGTACGGATCTAACTTCCTAAAAATCCATCTTAGAATGATTTTGGCACTTGGTCCCCGGTGGACCGCCCGATGGTCCCAAAAGTTGAAGCCAGTTTTTCGAGAAATTTGTTGATTGTACGGATCTAACTTGCCGAAAATCAATCTTGAGACCATTTTGGCACATGGTCCCCGTGGACCACCTAAAATAACCGTTCCCCAGATGATCCTCCTTCCGTGCTTGATACGTTCCCAGTGCACCTACCGTAATCCCCGACCCCCCGCCCCCCTACAGTAATCATTTTCGAGGCTTTACTCCGTTTTTCGAAAACCGATATTATCCACGCATCAATTCCAGTTCTTTCCTTCTAATTTTTTCAGAAAAGTCTCGTTTTTTCTCGAAAAAATCCTCCGATGGTCTCGTCGCTTTATTTAGATCTACTATCCCCACTAACTTATCGATTTATTGCAGTTGTTCGTAAATTATTTCGTTTTCCGCCCAAACTACCGTAATCTTTCTGTCGAAAAACGCCCCCCGATTTGTTTGCCATTCTTTGCACAAATAAAGAGTTGAATGAATATTGTCGAACTCTAAATTTATGTACACAACTTTAAGCAAATGGATAATACAATATTCATTCCGAAGCTTTGACCGTCTCGCCGGCAGATTTGATAGCGCCGCCTGAAAAATTGAAACGTGAGCCGAGAAATTTATATATATATCCATAAATTTATCGATAAAAGTTTTATCACTCACCGACGGCGTCGCGTCCCGAATTGAACGAGTCTTTCAGAAATCCGCCGACCGCCGAAGCTCCGTCGGCCACTGCTCCGCCCGCCGCTTCTGGAAACCGGACATTTCGCAATTTGCAACGGGTTGCAAAACGTCGCAGTGGTGAAATGTCCCGCAAAAACTCACTGGCTCCGTCCACAACTGCTTCGCCGGCTCCTTCGATCTTTCCGGCGGTCCAGTTGGCTCCGTCGGCCACAGCGCCACCGGCCGCTTCTGAATCATCACTTGGACGTTTCGCAACCAGACACTCGGTTGCAAAACGTCCCAAAAACTTACTGGCTCCGTCGACAGCGGCGTCTCCGACCGCAGATGCACCATCGACCACTGCTCCGCCGGCCGCTTCTGAAATTGTTGTGCTGGACACTTTGCAACCAGAGGACATTTTGTCCTAGTTGCAAAATGTCCATCGAAAACTCACTGGCTCCGCCCACAACTGCTCCTCCGGCTTCTCCGATCTTTCCGGCGGTCCAGTTGGCTCCATCGGCCACAGCGCCACCGGCCGCTTCTGAAATTGGTTTTTTGGACACTTCGCAACCGGACACTCGGTTGCAAAACGTCCTAACAACTCACTGGCTCCGTCGACGGCAGCATTTCCGACCGCAGATGCACCATCAACCACAGCTCCACCGGCGGCTTCTGAACATTTATTAGTTGGACATTTTGCGACCGATATGTATATCATTTTGAACTAAATTCTTAGAAAGACTTGATGAAATTCAAAGTGTTCTTTTAAAACTCACTGGCTCCGCCCACAACTGCTCCGCCAGCTTCTCCGATCTTTCCGGCGGTCCAGTTGGCTCCATCGGCCACAGCTCCACCGGCCGCTTCTGAAATATCACTTGGACATTTCGCAACCGACTAGTCGATTGCGAAACGTCCCAACAAACTCACTGGCTCCGTCGACTGCGGCGTTTCCGACGGCAGATGCACCATCGACCACGGCGCCACCGGCGGCTTCTGAAAAGCGAATATTGCAGTTTAAAAATGTTTTAATCAACCAAATTATACTTTTCCTCTATTCTACCGATGTTTTGCGTTATTTTGAGAGGTTGTAGAGGTCTTTAGAATTATTTTGAACTTAGTTATGACTTTTCAAAGTTGAGGAAGAGCAAAATATTGAAAAATATTGTGGATTCACTTATTTTCAGATTACTGTACTTACTGGCTCCGTCGGCCAACACTCCGGCTCCATGAGCAACATTTTCACCCACAAATCGCATTCCTTCTTCTACAAAAAACCATTTGTCTCGGAGCATTTCACAAAAACTTCACAACTTACGAGTCTTATCCACCGCCGCCTTTCCAGTGTCCACAATCGCTTCTCCGACTGATTCTGAATGCATAAACTTGCCAAAAATGTGCCGCATATGCATTTTCAGACATGCAAAAGACCAAAAATGGCGTGCGGATTCGAACCCGCGGCCGTTCGGGTGACCGCCAAAACAGCAAACCACTGCGCCACACGGAACACGCCTCTAAATTTCAGGAAGAGCGGTGATAAGAGCGCACCACAGCTCTTATCGTTGGCGTCGGTGATGTTTGTCAAAAACTTTGTTTGACCAAAATTCCAGCAATTTCAGCAGAAAAAGTTCATTTTCTAGAAGTTTCGGTCGATTTTCATGCAGTTAGTATCAGTTTTGAAGAGATGCAAACGTTTATTTGAAAAACACAGAAAAATCATACGAGACAACGAATTTCATGCAATTTTCGTTTACGAACCGGCTCCCTCCTTCACGACTCCGGCTCCGTGAGCCACTTTGTCGCCGACCCATCTGTAGCTGTCCTTGGCGCCTTCGCCGACCTTCTCACCGGCCGATTCTGAAAAATTTTGAGGTTGACTGCATTTCAGAGCGAATATTGTCGCTTCAAAAATTTTTAATCAACGATATTATATTTTCCCTATATTCTAGACATGTTTTCCGTTATTTTAAGCGGTCGTGGCGGTCTGTAGCATTTTTTTGGAAAAAGTTATGATTTTTCAAAACATTTCAACTTACTGGCTCCGTCAACCAACACTCCGGCTCCGTGAGCAACATTGTCGCCGACAAATCGCATTCCATCTTCTGGAATCATACAATATTCATTCAATTCCTAATAATTTCCGCCTAAAACTCACGAGTTTTGTTGACCGCCACGCCGGCTCCGTGAGCCACCTTGTCGCCGACAACCCGAGCACCGTCGACGGCTCCCTGACCGACAGCCGCTGAAATTTTCCGACATTTTATACGTTTTCTGTATTCTAGAGACGATTTGCGTTGTTTTAAGCGCAAACAGGAGATTGTACGATTCGTTTGAAATTAGTTATGATTTTTTAAAGTTGGGGCTAGCACTAATTGTTGACTCACTGGCTCCATCGGCAATCTTTCCGGCTCCATGAGCGACATTGTCGCCGACATAACGCATACCGCTCTCTGAAGACATTATTGTAGATCCACAATACTTGTTCTCCTTTTCGGACGCCTTTTATATCGGACAATTTGCGGTCCAAAGTCAACGTTTGTTATTTTTTTAATCGCTTGTTTTTTTGGTTCTGTTTTTTTGTGAAAAACAAGTTATCAGTGTTTGTCGGTGTGCGTCAGCAAAACAAATATTTCACATTTTTCGAACGACTTGACCAAAAACCCAAAAAATATGAAATCACTTACCCGTCTTGTCCACAGCCGCCTTTCCGGTGTCCACAACGGCGTCTCCGGCGGATTCTGAACGTTAAAATTGTTGAGAATGGGCTGAATACGCATTTTCAGACAGGCAAAAGAGAAAAAAATAGGGGTGGATTCGAACTGGCGACCTTTCGGGCGACGGCAAAACTGTAAGCCACTGCGCTACACGGACCAGGCTGAATATCGCTGGAAGGGCGATAATAAGGGCGCGCCTCGAGCAACTTTTTGGATGCTTTAGGGAGAAAATCTTTAGAGTTTCAAAGATATTCCAGAGAACTGTATGGAAATACGGTCCGAGAAACGATTTCAAAGTTTGCGCTATTGTCGGCTTCAACTTACTGGCTCCGTCGACGAGCACTCCGGCTCCGTGAGCAACTTTATCGCCGACCCAACGAACACCATCGCCAACAGCTTCTCCAGCGGTTTCTGAAACGTTGTATTGCAAAAAAAGGATTTTCCAACTAAAAAGTGCTTCAAAGCGACTGAAAATTAAGCAAAATCAAGCTCACTAGCGCCGTCAGCGGTCGCTTTTCCGGCGTCATGCATAGAATTGGCCATGTTGTCTAAAAAAAGTTCAGCAAATTCCTAAAAATGCGCCAAAAAGGTACGGTACTTGCTCCCTGAGCGGCAACGTCATAAACCACTCCGGCTCCGTGCTTTGTGTGCTCAATTACGGTATCTGTAACGTTTTCGAAACCTACAATATCTGTTGCGCCTTCGAACCGATATTGTCGGCTTACGAGTGGTGCTATTGAGCCCAAAATTTTTTTGGGAAAACTTGAGATCTAGTGGAACATTTTTGTAGTTGATCACTTCTTTCTAGGACCATTCCCTGGATTACTGTAGCGCTTGGAAGTGACGTCAATGCTTTTGGGTGGTCCCAACTTCCAAGCGCTACAGTAATCCAGCAAGTGGTCCTAGAGAAAAGTGATCAACTACAAAAATGTTCAACTAGGTCTCCAGTTTCTAGAAAATAAATTTTAAGGCTCCTACAACTACTCGGAAACCGACAATACTCGTTCAAAGTTGGCTAATTTTCGACTTCAACTCACTAGCTCCGTCTTTTGCGGCTTCTGCTGCGTTGCCTGAGAAATGTTCATTTTCTACTATAATAAGCGTCTAGAAAACGTTCACGCACACACACGCACTACCATAAGCTACCGTACTCCTACAGTAACTCACTGGCTCCTTCCTTGACACTTTTCACCGCTTCTTGACCGTTTTCTGTAGAAAAATCGCATTCGTTTTCCCAATTTTTCGAATTCACTAAGTCTACAGAAGGAAAAACCAAAAAAAGCTTCATTCGTGCATACAGAAAAGTGTGAAAACTAGTACTACTACGACTACAAAGTCATGCAAATGGTGCGTATAAAACAAAAACAAGTGGGTATATAAATAGGAGATAATTCGGGTCAATTTCAAAGAAAAACTAACTGGATCCTTCGAGTGCGGCCTCTGAAATTCAACAAAATCGATTGTGAGAATGGAGTTTTTTGGGGGATTTAGACACCCGCGCACGGTCTCCCAGGGGGCGCTAATGCTAAACACAGTGCGCTCGTAAATTGCGGAGTGTCGTTGTAACTTTTTGAAAATTTGCAGGTCTAAAAATGCCGTTCAATTCGAGTTTACCACCTTTATTTCTTTCTTTTTGACTTGAAAAACGTCTAGAAAACAATATTTTACTGATTGGAAACCGTTCTTTACAGAATTTAGAGTTTTCGCATTTCGTCAAAACTTCAAACCTTTATATTTCAGCTCATTTTGCATTTCATGAGCGCAACAAACGATAAAAATGTTCGCTGAATCTTTCTTCACAAAATTCAGGTTCCGGCGGTTAGTTTTCTTGAGCAGTTTTCGAAAACTATGCGAAAAACATCAAAATCCAGGCCAAAACCTTCAAATCGAAATAACTCGGCTAATTCTCAACGATATGCGAGATTTCTGTTACCAAAACGTAGCTAGTGCTCTAATTATTCGAATGCGTACAAAAAAATAGGTGTATTGTAGAGAAAACATGGAAAGAACGCGGCCTCTCGTTGAAATTTAATTAGCCGCGTAAATCGACACAGCCCGCCTGTTGCAAGTGCGCCCCATTGAAATCATTCGCCTCCGTGGAAGACCATGACCCGTATTAAGCATATTTAGAGATAAAAGTGTCAAAAAAAGGCTGTTCAGGCTTTTCGGCCCCAAAATAAGCCGCCAATACCTTCGACACTCTCGCCAGCCTCTCCGATTCGCTCCCTCAAATCGGCAACTCCTTCGCGAGCATTCTCGTAGACGTCATCTGCAAATTGTTTGACCGTTTCGCAAAAGCTCTACCGATTCGCGGCCTACTCGCTTTGTCGCCGGCCCAATGAAGTCCGTGTTCGGCGGCCTGTTGAGCGTCGTTCGCCGCTGCACCTAAACGAAACGATCGTGGCGGCGGCGGCGGTGGCGTGACAATTGCGGAAAACACGCAAACGATTCGGACGTGGACATGGACATGGACTATTGTAGAACTGGCGTGTACTCACTCAATTTTCGTCTCGCCGCCTCGAATTGCTCTTTTATCGCCGTCGACACGGTGGCTTTAATTTTGAAAGTTGTTGCGATTTTTCAACGTTCTAGACTACCACCCAACAGCAGTGTTCTAGGCGCTAAAAAGACGCGAACTAGTTCTAGCACACTTCAAAATGCGCACGGGACTCCAAACACACACACACAAAATCATTCGACGTCACAAGACACGCACTCTCTCACCAATCACATCGCCCGCCTGCTTTTTCGTCTCGTACAAATAGTGATCGACTTTTCCCGAAGCGTCAACTGAAACGATATTCACTTTGCCGACGCACGGATCCTCGTCGGTCTGCTGGATGTTGGGCGGGCAGGCTCCGGGTCCGGCGCACTCGACCACCGGCGCCCGGAACTCGTTTGTCCGCGGGTATTGGGTCTGCTGGGTCTGCTGCTGACGTGGACGACATCCGCCGCGACGGTAATCCTGTTGTGGCGGTGGCGGCGGTGGCGGCGGCGCCATCGTGTTCGGCGGGTAATATGGTCCCGGCAGGCAACCGCCGCCGGTCTGCTGGCGCTGCTGCGTCTGCTGTGGCGGTTGGTTCTCGTAGCCACGTGGCGACGGAAGACACCCGCCGGCGCTGACCGGTTGCGGTTGCTGGCACGGTGGCGGCGGCGGCGGCGGCGGATACTGTTGACATGGCGGAGGGGGTCCGGGCGGCGGCAGACAGTTGTTGTTGTATCTTGGCGGCGGCGGCGGCGGCGGTCCCTGAGTCGGCGGCACCGGACGACGGTTGCGACAACGCTCGCGGCGCTGCTGCTCCTGCTGCTGTTGCTGCTGCTGCTGCTGCTGCCGCTTGAGTCTATCAGTTTGGGTTTCTAGTCTAGCTGCTACTCGGAAACGTTTCTCTGCTGAAACTAGAAAACTATAGAGGCTACAAGTTAGGGCGTTCCGACGCGGTTGGCGCTGAGTTTCACGGCCTAAATCGGCACCGCCCAGCAGCGCCGGAACTCGCGCGACAAAACATTCAAAAACGTGTCTCAACTCCACATCCGAACCTTGTGTGTGATTTCCACCGTTCAATAAGAGAAATCGCACAGCAAACCTAGTTGAGTGACAAATTCGCCGGTGGCCGTGTACACGTACGTTTTGACCGGTTCGAGCATGTGTACTGTGGACATGAAAATCGGGGGGTTAAAAAAAACAATAAGGACACTCTTTGCAGAAAAATTAGTCGCTTTTCAGTGTGTGTGTATGTGTGTGTGTGTGTGTGATAAATGTGAGAATGGAAAGGAAATGGGCTCACCGACTGCCTCGGCTCCACTGCTCGCCACGTCTTCGACGTTGCGTTTCGCTCGCACTTGGTAAGTCTGAAATTAGAAAAATTTTTGAGCTGAAAAATCGTATTACCTGATCCACGGGCGCACTGAAGCTGAGCGCAGCGCACAATGAAACGAGTAAGATAGTGGTTCGCATCCTGGAATTTTTTTTTTTTGGTTTTTGAGGTCTAAACCGGTTTTCCCGTCGTTTTATAAGCGTCCGAGTGTCATTTTCAGATTCTCCAGGCCATGGGGAAAGTTTTGACACCCATCATGACCAACTTTTGGGGTATCCGAAAAATAGGTACTAGAGGGGGCGATATATGAAATTTTTGAAATTAGGTCAATATGGGTGTTAAAACTCTGGAAATTGACTGGAGAATTCGAAAATCATGACGAGAACCCGAGAAAACGACTCGAAGTTTCAAGGATTAAAGTTCTAAAAAAAAAATTTCCGAAAACTGTCAAAATTGACGTTAAATCAGTTTCCAGAACGTTCTAAACATCAAAAAAACACGATTAGAGCTCTGAAAACCTGGAAAAATCGGGTATTTTTCGCGAAAAAAAAGTGAGAAGAACTCTGATTGTTGTTGTCACATTTCGCTGACACTCTTTCGTAGTGAAAAACGGAAAAGTGATTGGGGGCTGCGGGACCGATTAGATAGAAGAAGAAGAGGAAAAGAGACAACTGTCTCTGAATCTCTCTGCCGTCGTCGGCAAAAACACCGGCGAGAAATGTCTTTTTCTCACTATTGTGTTGATCATCAAAGCGCTCCGCAGGCCCGACACAATTGAGGCGCACAAAACAATCGGAAAAGTAATTTGTGATGAGAGCATGTGATTTGGGACGCAAAAACAAGAAAAAACGGCGATTTTCGTACTGGAATCGTTGTTTTCGTCGTCTCGACAAGTTCAGACAACTTCTTTTTGTAATGCAAACAGGTGCTAGGCCTCGATTTTTGAGTTTTCAGAATTTCAGTTTTTCGACTTTTCACAAAATCCTTTCTAAACCAGTTTTCCAGCAGTTTTTGAGGTGTACAAGTATGATTTTCAGATTCTCCAGGTCGTGGGGAAAGTTTTGACACCCATCATGGACAACTTTTGGGGTATCCGAAAAATAGGTACTAGAGGGGGCAAAAAATGGAAAATTTCAAAAACAGGTCAATATGGGTATTGAAACTTTGGAAATCACTTGGAGATGCCAAAAATCACAACGAGAACCTCGAAATATGACTAGACACTTCAGGAGTCGTGACTTCAATTTTGAGTCAAAAAATTTTTTCCTGAAAACTGCTACAATATCGGTCACAAATCGTTTCGCTCATCGTAAGGATGTTAAAAATGCTAAAATTAGCAGGGAAACTAGGTAAAAGGTGGGCGGCACAAAATTGTTTGATCAAAAGTTGTAACACGGCGGTCACTCATTCGTCGCTTCACTGCCTGGTACCGAATGGCTCCGCGGAGCCCGTGCCATGAGAGCTCCCCGGAGCCAACTGAGCACCGCAACTTGGGCTTTCTCGAAAAGTGCAAGTTTCACACTGGGCACCACTTCACATGAAAAAGTGTGTTACACTGCTGATCGGGGGAAAAGAAAAGAGCGAAATGAGGGATATTGTATGTGTAATTTCCGGCATTGAGCCACTGATTTTTCTGCACATCCGAAATATCAAGTGTAGTGCACACGTTTTGTCTGGGCCTAAAGATTACTCACTTTCCAGGCCAAAAAGCCTAAAAAACTGAAAAATCTTCAGGGCATGACTCTCGAAACTAACAGGGCAACAATTTTCGCTTCAAAACCATTGGAACGGAACATGAAATTGGATATGAAGTGAAAAAGAGGGGGCAAAATCCGGATTTCGATGCCACAATTGGCGGATAATTGTTGGGGCGGCGGGATGATGCAAGAGTAGAAACAATCAATTTTAGTCATAACAATTGGGGAAAAAAGACAAAAATTATGCGCTTTCCGCAGATCTCTTCGCGTCCGGCGTGTCTTCGACGTCTTCCGACGCCGCTCGTTTCTCCGTCGAGTCCTCTTTGGTCTGCGCGTTTTTTCGCTCCGGAATAATCGATAAAAGAGCCGCTTTCCAGTCCGAGTGAATCGAGAAATGAACGAGAATCTCGTAGACTTGGTTGATGGTGAGCACCTGCAAAAAACGGGGGTTATTGAGCATTTTTAGGACAAAAGACCGGCCGAGTCCTGGGCTTTTGGACCACTTGCAATGATCCGATCGGGGCCAAACTTTGCAGACTTTTTGGACTTGGAATGAAGTATGTTGGGTTTAAGTTTCAGATCGATTGAACTATCCGGTCCCGAGATATACCCGGGTTTTGCGACAATTGAGGCCTTCTCGGCCTCCGATCCACATATCTCGGGCCCAGATGGTACGATCGGGCTGAAACTTGGATCCAATGCACTTTAACCCAAGTCCAAGAAGCCTGTAAAGTTTGGTCCCGATCAGATCATTGCAAGTGGTCCAAAAGTTCGTGGTCCTTACCCGTCGGGACTTCATGAGCACGTGCTCATCCAATGGTAACCGCGCGTGCCCGAATCCTTTTTCCTGCGCAATCCGATGACAAAGTCCTTTTTGCGAATTGTGGTCCACGATTCCGCCAATCACATAAATTTTCGAATCGTCGAGCTCCATGAGCACATTTTCCGATTCGGAAGTCAGATAAACGACGTCTTCGGGCGGAAAGACGGTCTCCAGCTTCTCGCGGTGCAAATTGATGTCTTGGTTGAGATTGTGCTCGTTTCCCTCGTAAATCTGAACGAAAATGAGTGTTTTTATAGGATTTTAAGTTGTTTTTAAGTTTCTAGGCTCACTTTTCTGGAAGGCCCATCGAAACCGACGACGTGGAACTGAAATGGGTTGGGCGCGTGCCGATTGGCCGTGTAACACCATCCGATCTGTTGGACCGTCCGTTTTTGATCTTTTTCGATCATGAGATCGTCGAATGACATGTCCAAAGCGATTCTTTGCTGAAAAATCGATTTTTGTTGTGAATGTTCAGCACTTGCACCTTGCTATTACTCTGGGCCATCGTTCGAAAATCTTTCCGCTTCCTCAATTTATCCAATTCGCCGGACTCCTTCAACGCCGCCCGTTTCTCTTTTTTTCGAATGCGTTCGGCCGCCCGTTTCACCAATTTCTTCTCCTCCCACTTTGTTTTGTACTTCAGACGTCTCAGTTGCTTTTTCGACATTCCCTCCGTCGGATTATCACCATTTTCTGCAATTTTTAAATTTTCGCGATTTTTCGGGTGAAAACTCACTGATTTCGGTGTCAATCAATTCCTCAATTTGTTCTACATCCGTTTCTGACATTTTCCCGCTGAAAATCGGTAGTTTTAGACGTTCTTAGCATGAAAATAGAGTAAGATCGAGTGGAAATGTGTAGGATGGAAGAGAACACGTCGTGGCCGAGGAATTGGGTTTTTCTAGTCCCCACTCAATTTTTGGGATATCCAACCCATTTTCAGTCAATTTCAGCCGATTTTCGACAGAAAAATGAGCGGAAATGTTGAAATCAAAGAAGAGACAGTGGAAAATGACGATTTTGTGGTAAGTTTTTAAAATTTTACTGCAAAAAAAAAGGATGATTTTAGAATTTGTTCTAAAAAATTGAAATTGTGCGTTTAAACCGTTTAAAATAGTGTTCAGAGGTGAATTCTGCTTTAAAAACGTTGAAGAATAGGTTAAGCAACTTTTTGTGACTGAAAAATGCTCAAAAATTGCAGATCGACCGTAATCCGGTGCCGCTGGCGTTTTGTGCCCACCCGACTTCAAAATCCGCGAAGAATCAGCTGCAAGCGGGCGATTCGGACGTATTGGAGGCGTTTTTGGACGGAATCGTTCCAATAAAAATCGATAATCCGTCGGAAATTCGTCGCGCCGAATCGCTGAAATCGTACGGCGGCGATACGGAATCCGAATTCGAATTCAGCGGCGACGACGAGGATTTAGAGCAGGAACTGAGAGATTTACGGGCGGGAAATGGCGATTCCGACGAGGAATTCGATCGATTCGTCCGCGTGTCCGCGAAAATCATTCAGAAAACGCACCGAGCCGAGTGGGACCACGGAGATGACGGAAATGCGAGGAAGACGAACAAGAAATCGTACAAAACGGTTGGTTTCCTTTTCGAAAAGCTCTATAATGAAGCGGGGTATCTTTGCAGACAAACGTGCACGAATACGACGATTTGCCGCCAATCGAAAGTCTGAGCATCGAGTGCAAGAGCAGTTTGATCGAATTCGGACTCGTCACCAAAAGAGTCGATTGTGTCGGTTCGTTTTTGAGTTTTTTTGTCATTTTACACTGATGTTCACCAATTTTTTGCAGTCGTCATCGAATCCACGTCGACCGAGGTGCTCGATTTCGATTCGTTCCTTTTCCGCCAAAACGGAACGGCAATCGGACAAATCTACGATATTTTCGGGCAGGTCAAGAATCCGCAGTACGCGATTCGCTTCAATTCGCCCACAGAAGTACGGTTTTCGGCCTAAAATTTAGGGAAAATTTGAGTTTTGCAGGCGGCGGAGCTGGAAATCGGCACAAAAGTGTACTATGCGCCGAACGAGGAGCAATTCTCGAAAACGCCGTTCAAAGGGTTGGTTTTTTAGACATTTTGGGGGTTTTCTGATAAAAATCAAATTTTCAGACTAAATTTGGCGGCGGCCAACCGGGAAGCTCTCAGTACCCTAAATCGCCGTCTGGATCATCAGGAAGCGGTGGCAAAAGCGATTGCAAATGGGCAGAATGCGGAATGCGTGGGCGGAGGCGACAGCGACATCGAATTCAGTGATGATGAGGTCGAAAAAGAGTACAAACGCATCAAAGGTAACTGAAAGCCAAAAACCACTAAAAACCCGAATTCTCTCTCGCATTTTCAGGCTCAAATCCGACTCGTCACGGTGCGGGCGGTCCGAATTTTGGCGGAAATCGTGGCGGGCGGAAGCGCGATCTCCGTGGACGCCAACAAGTTCGATTTGCCGATGCACCACGTGGAATGACTCAACATTTTGCGCCGCCGAAGCCGTATCGTCGCGATTTTGACGTGGAAATGGCGCCGGCGGCACCGGCACCGGTCCCAGTGGCTCAAAGTGGTCCGGAAGCGCCGCCCGCGCAATTCGACAACCCGTACGCCGAATTCGGATGCTACAGCGGATTCAACGGACGTTTTGGCATCTGAACATTTGAAAACCTCCATTGTTTTGTTATTTTGTTGATATTTTGTTGAATTTCCCCACATAAACCCCATTTTTCAACTAATTGGGCGCTCGCGCGACACACAATATCTCAACAAACTCGAAGTGTTGCGGCGGAAATTAATGGTAAGAACTTCTAGGATCTTTATAGGAACTTTTAGGAACGAAAATGCAGAAGAACAAAAGAAAGCGGCCGACGAGGTGGAACCGTTGAGATGTTCGCTGATTGTGCTCGAATGACTCTCCCCCCTTATCCACATGATTGGATCATCTTATCTGGTAAGGCCTGGGAGAGCCCTGAAAAAGGCTCGGAAGGTTGTCCTGAAAAGGATAATCTTAATTCTTAATATATCTTATCTTAATCTTAAAAAATTATCTTAATATATCTGCTTCTAGGACGCTAAGCTGAACAGTAGGTGCTTTTTCGCTCGTCTCGAATTGCCTCTATCTTTTCGCTGTCTCTCATTTCTAACGGAAAAATCCAAGTAGATTTATGTTTGCACAATTTCCACAATTATTTCCCGAAAAATGACAGACGTGTACAAGTACAAAGGAAGCGGCCGCATTTGGCTGTAATTTTTTGCATTTTTTCGTTGAATTTCTCCAATTTTTTCAGCATGTGCTCGTGGGAATACGGACCTGTCTGCTATGGAATGGCTTTGTAAGCATTTTTTGCGGAATAATTGCACTTTTTTGAGCCAAATTTCGTGAACAAGTGACAAAGCCGAACGATACTCCGAGATAACGCCCCGGCGCCTTGTTTAGCCGAGCCGATCTGTCGGCGGGAATTCAAAGTTTGAAGTTCAGAGACCTCATCGGCGGCGTTTCGCTCATCATTTTCCTCGTTTTGGCCATCGGAATTTTCTTTTTCGGATTGTTTGGCATCAAACCGAAAAATATTCGGGTACGTATGCATGGCCTAACCTTTTTCTGCAAAAGTTCAGCCATGCGGTGAATTGTCGAAGCGTTGCCTTTTTCCAGGTGTACAAATGGTTTCTTTTACGATTTTTCAATTGTGGCCTAACTTTTTCTTCTTTTTTTTCTAGGCCACCCCAATAAGTTCGCCAATTTTCAGCGCAAACTGCACGATTGAACGGAGAATCAATTTATTTCGAATATTGTCATCTTTTTCGATTCATCAGCACTACTAATCTACACACAAAAATTGAACAAGAGGCGGGCAAAAAAAATCGATAATCTAACTTTAAAAGTCGGGCGGAAAAAAATCAATAAATATTATGCGTTTCTCTGAAAAACTTTTGGGTAATTGGAAAGCGAATAAAACGTGTGTGTGTGTGGGCAGGAAAAGCGTGGACGGAAATTTTTAAAATAAAACAATTTTGGCAGGAAAACTTGCAATTTCGGCAAAAATGTGTCGATTTTTCGGGAGAATAATTCAACAATAGAAAACAAGGGAAAAACAATTAAAGCTGACATTAATTTCAGAAAAAAAAAGAAGTTTTTTTGGGACCGGAGGAATGACAGAAATGCAGAGCTACAATATAGAGAGAGAGAGAGAGAGACCAGAGAAGGGAGAGCAAAACAAAAAGTGCAGAAAGAAACGGGCTCAACGAATTTTTTTCTCAACAAGACCGCTGCCAAAGTCGTCGGCGAGACGGTGTCCGTCCAGATCGTCGTCCATCGATCCGCCGGCTTTCAGATGGTTCAAAAGTTTCGTGTTCACCTCGAAAATCAGGCCTTTGAAGCGTTCCGGCGAACATTTTCCACAATAACCGCCACACCGACCCTCGATCACTGCGTTGTTCTGGAAAATTTGCATTCCCGACCGGTCCCTTTGAACTTTGAAAGGGCACAACACAACTCACAAAAGTGCGATCGATGCGCGACGTCGTCCGATGTCCCTGATCTTCCCAGTTCAAGTCGTCGACAATCTTGAGGCCGACCGACTTTAAATCGATCGAAAACTCGCCCTGCGGACAATCCTTCATACTGTAGCAGTCGCCGGCCGTGGCGAACGGCACGTACACCCCGTACATACTCTTCGCGAACGTGTAATCGGTCACTGTAATCGAGAATGCGGTTGTCACCTTTAAAACCCACTGCTTACAGTGTATTTTTCGATTCTGCAAGTCGATGCGCACTTTGTTGAAGCGGGTAAGGCCGGCGTTCGCGTCTCCCGCATCCGAGCACAGGCACGAGTCGTTGCGTTCGCCGTTGAACGGACACGTGTGCGGGTAGATCAGCCTGTAATGCATTTTCGGAGTTTCCAGAACGTTTTTGTCACGAAAAATAGTCCGATAGTCTCTAAGAAAGAAAAAAACCCAGCACATCAATTGCTACCGAAAATGTTGTTTAAAGAAGCGGCAAACACTCACTTTTTCCCGTACACCTCCGCGAAATTGGTCTGTGGATTCAGGTTCAAATAGGCTTTCGGAATGGTGGTGTTCATCTGATGACAATAGATTTCAATTGTGAAGCCGTCGAGAAGGATCGTGTAGTTTCCGTCCTTGGCGCTCGCGTTCAGCGATTTGATCTCCTGACACGTGGCTGGAAGGCCTGAAAGTCGGGCGGTCGAATCAATGAGGGCGCCGTATATATGTAGGCCTACAATTTCTCTCGAAACAATACTGCGTCCTTCTCGGCTTCTTCGTCGTGCACTTGGCCCGCTCGACACGATGACCGTCCGAAGCGACGCATTTGACGCGACGACGACGCACACCTTGACCGCACGTTTTGGAACACTACAATGTATCATCGATCAATTTCTTTACAAAATTTGTCAGCTGCCAATACCTCTCCCCACGGTCCGAAGCTCCATTTGAACTCGGAATCGCACGGATTCAGCTCGCAACTCTGACTCTCTGGCGGTCTTGGGAACAGTTCGCACTTTTCCTTCGGCACCGCCGGCTCCTCTTCGAGCATGAAGAAGATTGGGATGGACGAGTTGTAGTCGAGCTTGCGACGGCATTGAACTTCGCGTGTTTGCACTCCTTCTCCGCACGATTTGGAGCACTGAAAACCCGGAAGAACATACATTTGTGCTTTTCTCAAAACATGGTCCTGATTGGACCGGCACTAATCTTGTCATACTAGAGAAGCGTAGAAAATGGGCAACTGACCGTCTGCCAATCGCCGGGCACCCACTCGTACGGGCAACTCTTCGTGTCGCACTCCTTGACGGAAATGGGCGCGAGAGCGGGCTCGCACATGCGCGGCGCCGCTCGTTTACCCGAATTGCTCATGCAGTAGACGCGACGAGTCTGCTTTTGTCCCCGAGCGCACTCATCTTTGCACTGAAAATTCGACGGCTTTTGGTACGCACAACGATATGCAACAACAACAGAAAAAAAAACAACGGGTGGAGAGTCTCAAAACGAGCACGTGACGGTTTGTGGAGAAGAAGTTTCTAGAGGCTTCTAGTCAACCTTACCATATCCATTCGAACGCGAACGACGGAGCCTAGACTTGTTTGGCGAACGATTTTCGCAAAAGTACCTACCTTGCTCCACGGAGTGGTGTTCCACTGATAATCGGGGCAAGCCACCGGGAAACAGTTGGCCTCGGTGTTGAGGCGAGTGTCCGCGTTGCACTCGGTGTCGTTGACCATGTTTTTGCGTCCACGATAACAGTGCACCTCACGACGACGGACGCCTTTGCCGCACGTCACAGAGCACTGAAAACGCTCGATTTTAGGGGAGTTCAGACGGTACTTTGAGTGAGAAGCCGCTAATGCTCCAATTAGTTGGGCGAACAAAACCATAGTTGCGATTTTTGGGCCCGCATTTCAAAAATTATCAACTTTTTAAGCGCCGTTTTCAAATAGTGCAAAGTCTGCATTTGCGCGTCGCGGTGGTTGCACAGACGCATTTCCACACTTGTTTTTTTCTCTGATTTTCCAGAAATTTTCAGCGTTTTCAACTGAATTCCAACTGTTTCACGAAAGTGGCTTTCGCCAATTTTCAGCTGCTAAACTTTGTTCTTTCGGCATTAGTCCGGTTTTTTTTTAAAGTGTCAACCGCGAGACGAATTATTTGTCAACGAATTTGAATCGTACTCTGGAAACTCGATTGCAATCTAATAAGAAGAAGCTCAATTTTGCAATCTAATCAGATTTAATTGAAGTTCCAGTAAAATCGTATTAGTTTACAATATATTTTTCCTGAATTGCAATCTAATAAGAAAAAATTGCAGTCTAATTAGAAGATTTTGCAATCGAATTGAAGCAAATTCTATTTCAGACGAGTTCGTATTAGATTGCAAAGTTTTCTAACAAGATTGCGATCGAGTTCCTAGAGGTACCCGGAGAGAAAACATTGAAATTTTCGTGAAAACGCCGCGTTTCAGACGTTTTTGGCATATTTCGCAATACGCTCTCCGCCGCAATTTCGGAATTTTCATACCGGCCGATCTGGATAGTTTTGAGACAAAGTGAGTGTCGGAAGTGATTAAGCACGTTAATACAAGTATTTTAAGCGTTCAAACGGCAAAAAGTATCGGCGAATGACTGAAATTCGCGCATTTTCAGCACTAAACTTGAAAATCGATTCAATTGATTGAATTTCTGAATGAAATCTGCTCGTTTTAAGCTCAAAAAGTGCGCGATGATTAGTTTATTAACAAAGTTATGCAATTACATCGTCGTCGAAATCGTCCAAAATTTGGGTAATTTTTGAACGAAAAACATGAAAAATGGGGTTAAATGTCGAATTTTGCGCCAAAATGGTGTCAAAACCGTGCACGCGTTAGGCCACGCCCCTTTCTACGTTTTTGGTCGCCGTGGGAGAAAGAAATGAAACGACGGTTCAGTTTTGTCAATTTTATCAACTCCCCTGCAACAACACGTGCTGTTTATTTCTGTCATTACAAAACGTACCGCGCTCCATCCGCTCGACTTCCATCGCGGACAATGCGACGTTCTGCATCGGATCTCGTCGACCGGCTTCGCCGCCTGATCGCATCTCGTGCTCGCCACCGTCACATTGAGCGCAGTGTTGACGCACTCGACGACTCGCCGCTTCATTCCTCGACCGCATTTTGCGGAACACTGAAACTTTTTGTTAACGGAGGGGATTACTCGGACAGCACATTTTTAAAAGTGGTGAAGGGAGTGAGGGAGGGGGGTCTGGGGGTCTTCTTGTAGTACCGTAATCCCAACGACAAGTGCTCACCTAGACAACAAAAAGTAGCGTGCGTGCGCTTCTCCTCTAGCAACAACGGTGTTGGTGGTGGTGTTGGCATGCAAACAGGACACAACACAAACAAAAGCAGCAGCCATATAACATACATTTATTGATTGATTTTCAGTGTTGGTGTGTGTGTGACTTGTGTGAAGAGCAGAGCGAGAGACATTGGCAAAGATCAGAAAAGTAGAGAGAGAGAGAGAGAGAAAAAAAGAGAGGAGACAACTGAAATCTGGCATTCTTTTGAGAAAGAAAACTGGGGTTGATGAGTGCGACGACGACGACGACAAAAAAGTGAAAAAAAGAATTGCGAAATTTTTGTTTGTTCGCGGGATCGATTGGATCGGATCCCACGACCCGTTTGGCGTTTTTTAAAGGTACATGAAGGGTACAAAGAGGGACACACACAATTTTTGAACCTATAATAGTGGACATAAACGGACATGGACAAAACGGTGGCACAACAATAACTATAAGCGGGGGGGGGGGGCGAGAGCCTAAACCTTATTAACTTGATAGTGATAATATTGGTTACGGTAGTAGGCCCGCGGACGTTTCGGACGTCGACCCCGACGACGTCCGGAAGACGTGACAGGAGGAAGAGTGGATCGGGGCTCATGATACTGATGATGGTTGTTATTACGTACCGCGCTCCACGCCGACGTTTGCCAGGAGACGACAGGAAGGACAGAAGGAAGCGAAGAAGCGGAAGAAGAGGCGGAAGAAGAAGAAGAAGAGGAAGAGGAAGAAGAAGCGCCGCTCGTCGACGAATTGCGCGTGAAGGTGACGCGTGGACGGCACGGCGGCATTTCGCAGTCGCGTTGCTCGCGCGGCTTGCTCTCCGCGCACTCGGTGTCCTCCTGTTTGCGGCCGGACAACACGTCTTCGCACCAGATCCGACGACGTTGGACACCGCCGCCGCACGTGACGGAGCACTGAAGAAGGAGCGTGTTCGCTGTAGAATAATTCAAAACTTACATGAGTCCACGGCGAGATCTGCCACGAGTTGTTGGTGAGCGGCGGGCACGGCTCTTCGTTGCACTTGTCGAACATTTTGGGTTTGCGCGTCTCGTCACACGAGGCCGACGTGCACGACACACTTCGACGTCGCCAGCCGCCGCCGCACGACGCAGAGCACTGAAATTCGAGCAGTTTTCTAGGCGACGACACGTGGCGCGCCAACCGACCTTGGACCAATCGCCAATAATCCACGATCCGAGATGCTCTTCTCCTTTCGGACACGGCTCGAGCCGACAGTTTCTCGTGCTCGTCGGTCGCCTCTGCACATCACAATCCGTGTCACGAAGCGTCGTCGCTCCACCGTCTTCCGCGCTGACACACGCCACGTTGCGGCTCTGCTGGACGTGGGTTCCGCACGTCGCCGGGCACTCCTCCCACTCGCCGCTCTTCCAGTACGAACAGTCGCGCAGACGACAGCTCCGGCTCGACGCCTCCTTCTCGACGTGTTTGCAGTACTCGTCGGGCAGATCGCGAACGTGATCGCGGCATTTGAGCAGTCGGCGTTGCGTTCCGTTGCCGCAAGTAGCCGAGCAAGCGGTCCAGGGTCCGGTGGCCCAGCGGATGGGCGGCACGTCCGCCTGCAGCTTGCTGAGAACTCGTCGCTCACCGCACGCATCTTTCTCGCATGTTTTCTTCTCGCGCGGCCGGGTATTCTGAAGAATTGCGGCGAATTAGAAGGAATTCATGACGCTTACCCGATCACAGAAATAGTCGTCGACGACGGCCGCCTCGGCTCCCCGAATACACGACACACTTCTCGTCTGCGCGCCCGATCCACACGTGACCGAGCACGGACTCCAGTGCGTCGATTTCCACGAGGTGCACGGCAGGAGATGGCACGCCTGACGCGTCTCCGGCATTTTCGTGTCACCGCAGAAACTCGCGTCGACCGACTGGTCCCGGTAGATGCACTCGATGGAGCGCTCGCGATGACCGTTTCCGCACGAGACCGAACACTGAAAAACGCGCGCGGATTAGAGAAAAGTTGCCGAAAACCCTATACCGCTCCCCAATCGCTGGTCCTCCAGAATGGACAAGTTCCGAGGTTGCACGTCTGATGCGAAGCGGGCCGATCTGTGACCGGTCCACACAATGCCATCTCGACCTCTGAGCCATTTCCAGAAACACACGACACTCGACGCGAACTCCAGCCGTCCTCACACGACACTGAGCATTGGGACCACTCGCCGAGCTTGTACTTGGGACACGCGTCGCGATGGCACGGCTTCGTGACGATCCGCTCCGACTTGTGGCATCGGTGGTCGCCGAGATGATGGTTTCCGTGACGATCCGTACAATTCGCGTCTCTGTACTGAATGCCGTCGCCGCACTTGGCCGAACAATCGGACCAGGGTCCGAACGTCCACCACGTACACACATTCTCGTTGCACGCTTCGTGAGTGTGCGCCTGACCGCATCGCGTCGAGTGCGTTTCGCGGTCGGCAGCGTCGAGACACTGTGCGTGACGCATCCGAACTCCGCCGTCACAGCTTCTCGAGCACTCGGACCAGTGACCGTACACCCAGCGCGGGCACGGGATCCGATTGCACTCGCGCTCCGTCGCCTCTTTCATCTCGCGACCGCACAACGACTCTTCGACGCGTCGATTCGATCCGTCCGTACAGAACGCGTTTCTGTGCATCTTTCCGCTCGAGCCACACGTCTCGGAGCACGCGGTCCAGTCGCTGTAGCTCCAGCGTCGGCCCGAGCAGTCGATGTAGCAGGAGGTGAGCTCGGCGGGCTTCGTGTTCCGATCGCAGAGGTGTTCGGAGACGGGCGTCTGACGCTCGCCCTCCATCTTCACACAGCTCGCGCGTTGACGCTTCTGCCCGGCTCCACACTTGGCGCTGCAGCTCGACGTGTCTTCGGTCATCCATCTCGTCGAGCAATCGATGTTACACATCCGCGTCGGTTGTTTCGGCTTCACCACGTGCTGACAGTTCCTCTCGTGCCCTTGCCGCTGATTGTTCACGTCCATACACACCAACTTTTGCGTCTGAGCGCCACGACACGCGCGATCACACTCGGACCAGCCGTCCGTCAATCGCCAAAGGTAGAGCACACTGGTGATGGGCCGGATGACGGCGTTGGGCACTGCTGCAGTCATGTACTCGTACGAGATGTCGGGCGGATGACTGCCGACCGACAAGACGTGCACGTAAATGTCGCTGCGGATCGGGCCGGTGCCATTGATGCGCTCGACGATCGCGTCGGAGCCCGAGTACTCGAGCACCACGTCCTGGAAGGCGATCTGTTGACGGGCGAGCGAGACTTGGAAGTGTCCGTTGAGCAGGAATTCTCCGTTCGCGGCGCGGAGGGCTGGAAAAGATAGCGACTTTGCGCTAGGACCAATTTTCTAAAAAACTCACATAAATAGTTGTCGTCCTCCTTCATATTGTTATAGCCCTTTTGGCGGATGTCAATGTTCGCCGAGCCGGCCGGAATCTTCATAACCTCGTTGTAGCCGAACGTGCCCTGCTCGTTGAAGTGTCCCTTCACCACCTGACACGACGAATCGTCGCCGCCGCACACGCCGCACTTGTCGCGTCGGAGCGACGAGTGAAGTTGGTGATCGCAGCCGGCCGGCATGCACGCGCCCGCCACACAAATGTCGTCGCCGTTGCGATCGCACGGCGTTCCGTCGACGACCTTATCGCGGAGCAGGTAGAACGCCGCCGAACCGGACAGGCGGCAGTAGAGTTTGCAGCGCTCGTTCGCCGCCACATTCGCGTACTTTGGCACCCACTGCGTGTTGGTCGACGCGACGCCCTGAATCCCAATGTCCTTGTTGTTGAACTCGGTGCATTGGAGCTCGCGGTACGGCTGTGTGTCCCACGCGCATTCCTGCGTGTTGCACGAACGGTAGCGCTCGCGTTGCCCCACACAGTACTTGCCTCCGTTGCGTGGTCTGCAAATTTTGAGGCGGTCAGTGAGTGGGTTTTGATGAGTTTGATACGGTCCCCTTACACTCAGTACCGTACAAACCAGTTTGAAGCTAGCTAGACTACTTCTAACTCAAATAACTGTCAAGACATTTTGCACGCCAAACTTGCGTAAAATGTCGATTTTGAAAAAAAAATTTCACGCAGTTTCAAATGTTTGAGACTCTCTAGAAACGGAAAAGCATCATAGACGCTCGACACGCCGACCAAAAACGTAGAAAGGGGCGTGGCCTAGCGCGTGCACGGTTTTGACACCATTTTGGCGCGAAATTCGAAATTTAACCCCATTTTTCATGTTTTTCGTCAAAAATTACACAAATCTTGGACGATTTCGACGATTTAATTGCATAACTTTGTTAATAAACTTATCATCGCGCACTTTTTGAGCTTAAAACGAGCAGGTTTCATTCAGAAATGAATCAATTCAATCGATTTTAAGTTTTGTGCTGAAAATGCGCGAATTTCAGTCATTCGCCGATATTTTTTGCCGTTTGAACGCTTAAAATACTTGTATTAACGTGCTTAATCACTTCCGACACTCATTTCGTCTCAAAACTATCCAGATCGGCCGGTATGAAAATTCCGAAACTGCGGCGCCGAGGGCGTATTGCGAAATATGCCAATAACGTCTCAAACGCGGCATTTTCACGAAAATTTCAATGTTTTCTCTCTTTAATGTCTCTTCTTTCGTCGATATCAAACACAAAATCATCGGGAAAGTGTGCTGGAATTGCGGCAATTTTCAGGAAACGCGCCTCAGACCCTTTCTAGACTTTTGGTCGCCGTGGCGCGCGCGCGCGTAGAGTTGAAGCGGCAAAAGACGCGTGGCTAAGAAGGAAAACGGAAAAAAACTCACTTGGGATTGTCGCAATCGCGCAACGCCTTCTGAACTCCTCCGCCGCACGTTCGACTGCATTCGCCCCACGTGCGCCACTCGCCCCACTGACCGTCGATTTTGGTGAGCGATTCGGGCGCGAGCCGTACGCATGCTCCGTGATGGCAAAACTGAAAGATCGGGGGCGTTTTTCTCCACAATGACTAAACGTCTACACTGCTCACCATGCTCCTCGACTCGTCGCACGGCGTTCCGTCGGCCCACGGCATATGCTGAGTTCGACAGCCCATCTGGCTTCCGTAGAATGTTGCACACCAAAGACGGCGACATGTCGGCTACAAACAACGTTTATTTTAAAGAAAAAGTGGGGCGTGTCCTGCTGACCATATAAGGGCACAACTCGGAAGCGGGTCCGAAAACGAATTTGCACTGCTGATGAGCGTCGTACTTTTTGCCGGGCTCATCGCGCACAAACACATCCTCATAGTAGCGACGTTCGACCGGCTGATCGAACAGACATTGAATTTGTCCTCGATTGTTTCTGCAAAGACAACAAAGATCGAGTTTAGACGATGTCTGCTGATGCTATACTCGAGGAATCGTTCGAGCATTCCGGCGGAGCACGGCGACCAACTCCACGGATGCGTGTTGTACTCGAGCGTCGGCGCCATGATGTGGAAATTGTTCTGGAACGTGTTGAATCGTACACGTCGCCCGCCCGCGCACACTATATACGCCTACCTTATTGACGGGCATGTAGCTCGAGCACTTTCGTTCGTCGTCGTGCGGAATCGAGAAGACGTGCCCGAGCTCGTGGGCGATCGTGAACGCCGCCGACAGACCGTTGTCCTCGATGATCGCGCAACTCTTCTGCATGTCGCACATGGTGCCGAGCTCGGCGAGCCCCAAAGTGTCACACTTGCCCTGCGATCTGCAAATGTCCTTGCGCGTGAGCAGAATCGCCACGTCGTGATGCTGCACACTCGAATCGTCCGGATCGTTGTAGTATTGTTGCCATCGGCAAAAGTCCTGAAGCGTTTGTTGGGCGTTTTGGGTGATGCGTGGGCCCGCGTTCTCCGTCTTCAGCACGATCAACTTGACGACGACGACGTTGATCGAGGCGCGCAACGACTGATGCCGGTAGATGGAGGCGACCGTCGAGAACAGCGTGAGCACGTAGTCCTCCAGCGAGTGGCCGTGGTACTCGTACATTTTCGTGTCCGCCACGACGAGCACCTCCACGTAGTGGTCCCAAGAGTTGGCCGCTCGACGCGAACGCGCTTTTCTAGCTGCAAAAAACAAACAAAACGTTTAGATCATGTTTTGGCCATGATTTTCGGATTCTCCAGAAGTTTACGAACGTTTTGACACCCATCATGCCCCTATTTCTTCGCACACCGTTTTTTGACTCAATGTGCTCGCGGAGCAAGTACCCCCGATGTACGGAAATATAAAGTTCCGCCAAACTAGCGCATTATGTATATCAAATCCATCGCCATCACCTCCTCAACACACTGCCACCCTCGAAATACCGCTCAGACGTCTCAGACCCCGATGCCAGCCGAAACGTGTCAGTGTAATAGCCCATTATACGGCACTAACACACACAAACTATAGGTTTTTCGGGCGCCTTCAGGAAATCGGCAATAGCTCGCTAAACGATGCGGGAAATGTGGAAGAGCAAGCTGGATTGAAAACCAACGTTCCTATGCCGATTTCAGTGTGAAAATCGCGTTCAGACATAGTTTTAGTAGCTTTTTTCAGTAAATTATGTCATGATTGGTGTCTGCGCCGCCGAAATCTCATGCAAAACTCGATTTTCGTCACAAAAACTTGCACAAACTAGTGTAATTGCAAATTGCCGGAACAAAGATCAATTTGATTGTCTACCTCCAGAGTTTATCATCATTTTTTCATCGACCCACTCAAAAAGTTGCGTCGTCTCTCGGTCTCGGCGCCCGCGCGCGTAGGCAAACAACTGCGCGGCGGCGGCGCGCCACCACACTCTCAAACAGTTCCCTGACCTTTACACGTACATTCATTCCTGGCCCCCTCAAACGAGACACTCGAGCGCCAGAGACGTACCATTAACGTCCTCCCACTTGTCTTGCCACGTGGCAACCGTCGGCGACGAGGCGTTGAGGACCGCCGTCGAGTTGATGTCGTCGAAGGCTTTGAAGTGCATCGGATCGAACTTTCGGACGAGGTGCTGACGATGTCGGTCGGCGCCGTCGTCTAAAAACGAGATTATCGGTTGAACCAGTAGGGACCGCCCGTCGTCACGCACCCGTCCCGCTTCCGCTGACAATCGGCTCGACGGTGTGAATGCCCGACGGCAGGGCGAGCATTCCGTAGAGTCCGTCGTCCGAGTCGCACAGATTGACGATCGAGTGCTGCTCGACGCCCTTGACGTGCGCGCGGTAGATGCAGTCCGGCTCCGCGCGCGCCATTCCGCCACGCACCTCCGCCTCCGAGTCCAGATAGAGGACCATCGGCGAGTAGTTCGAGTTGGCAAAGTGGGCAACGCTTCTGGAATTGACACCCATCAATGACATTTTGCTATTAATTTAACGGCGGCCTGATAAGATTAATAAATTGTCTAGCTAGATTAATAAGTTCTCAAATCAAGTTTCACGCCAACCGTCTGCTGGCTCAAATCTCGATTGCGCCAAGAAAAAAACAGTCGTTTGAGACTCTCTAAAAACGGAAAAGCATCATAGACGCTCGACACGCCGACCAAAAACGTAGAAAGGGGCGTGGCCTAGCGCGTGCACGGTTTTGACACCATTTTGGCGCGAAATTCGAAACTTTACCCCATTTTTCATGGTTTTTCGTCAAAGATTACCCAAATTTTGGACGATTTCGACGATGTAATTGCAAAACTTTGTTAACCTAATCATCGCGTGCACTTTTTGAGCTTAAAACGAGCAGGTTTCATTCAGAAATTCAATCAATTGAATCGATTTCTAGTTTTGTGCTGAAAATGCGCGAATTTCAGTCATTCGCCGATACGTTTTGCCGTTTCAACGCTTAAAATACATGTATTAACGTGCTTAATCACTTCCGACACTCATTTCGTCTCAAAACCGATCCAGATCGGCCGGTATTACAATTCCGAAATTGCGGCGGAGAGCGTATTGCGAAATATGCCAAAAACGTGTCAAACGCGGCGTTTTCACGAAAATTTCAATGTTTTCTCTCTTTAATATCTTTTCTTTCGTCGATATCAAACACAAAATCATCGGAAAAGTGCTGGATAACGCGTCTCAGATTAGGCCACGCCCCTTTCTAGACTTTTGGTCGCCGTGCGCGCGCAATGCTTTTCTTTTTGGCGCGAACATAACGTTTCTCTTAGAGTCTAGCGTGATGTACCTGTGGAATTCGAAAATTTAAGAAGCCTAAAAAGCCCTACTTGTTGTGCGAGTCGGCAATCTGGTTCCATCGACGCAAATGGACGACGTAGACGGCGTCGTCGGATCGCAGCCGCAAGTGGCACGCGTGTCCACAATCACGCGCCACTCCGCGCAGCAACCGTCGGCCGCCGTCGTCACGTTTGCCACGTGGCGTCGTGTCGCCACAGTGTGGCGCCTCGACAGTGTGCACGCCGGCGTCGCGTCGCCATCGAGAATGACGCACTGGCACGCCCGAGTACTTGGCCCTGGAGAAGAGCACATCGCGTGAAGTGTCATCCGCACGTCGTCCAACTGCAAACCGAACAAAAAAAAATCGGCGGAAATCAAGATGCACTCACACTGCTCGGCGGCGAAGAAGAGGCAGACGGAGAGCACGAGCACGAGGAGCAGGAGCGGTGCGGCGACGATGGGCTGCAGCAGATGGAACGAGCCGCCGACGGAGCGCATACCAGCAGCTCCGTGATGCGAAACCACGGGGACCGAGCGGGAAGAGGGCAAACGGCGCCGGGGCTCCGATAACGTTCTTCTCGACTACCGTCTGCTGCTATTGTGCGCTTCGGCGACCGGGCTACTGCCGCTCAACAAGTGTTCCTTTTCTGCCGCGTGTTGCGTGTTCTTCTCTTCGAGTCGGACGTGAATGAGCGCTTCGCAAGGCGACCAGAGCATCACAGACTGCAAAAAAAAAAAATAAAACGTTTTTGTTTATTCAATTCGATGAGAATGATGAGTTACCTCATAAAAATCAGCGTCGAATCGTCGTTCTAGTGTGCTCTTGTTGCCTGCAAAAAGTGCACACACTTTGACATAATCGTGAGAGAAGAAGAAGAGGAAGAAGAAGAAGAAGAAGAACGTATAGAGAGAGAGAGACCAGTGGATCCGGCCGGGCAGTCGATGGGACCACGGGAAACATAAACGTGTGTAGTAGTGGTGGTGGTAAACACTTGAGAGCCGATGGAACTTCCCACCCCACCCCCTCCTGAATTGATGATAGAAAAATGAGTGGGGGAGCGACACGTCCAACTCGAAAACGGTCCGTTTTATATCATTTTCGATAGGAGAATCGAGGCGTTCTGGGTCGCGATTAGTATCAAAAGTCTCCAAAACACTTGGAGATTTCAGTTTAACCTATCGGGATTGGCAGAAATGCAACAAAAAAAAAACAGGCTGGACCGCCGCCACACAACAAAAACACAAAACTTTGGAGCAGCAAACACGATGGTGAGGGACGCTCTTCGCCCGAAGGACGGCGGAAATTAGGAGCACATGTCTTTGGCGGTTTTTTTTTTCTAGCGAAACCGACCGACGACGGCGGAGTTGACGGATAGAGCATGAACAACGGGAAGAACAAGCGGGGCGATACTAGGCGTCCCGAGATTGGGCCCACTTCTTCTAGAAACTATACAGGCGCTTCCTCCTTCCGTTCGGCGTCAAAAGTGTTCCGAGGCGCGGCGCAAGAGCAAGACGAAGCGAGAAAGGACAAGAGTCAACAGAAAAAAGAAGTGTGTCACTGCTGGTCGTGGGGGGACCGGGCCAGTAGGACCGGCCGGCCGGCCGGTCCTGCTCGCCCAACAACAACAAAACATTCATACCATTGTGGGAGAGGCGAGGCGCGGCGCGGCGGCGATATGATGTTTTTGTTGGCGCCGCGCCAACTTTTTGCCCTTCTACATTCTTCAACTTTTCGGGTCAAAAGGGGCGGAGCTGGGGCGTGCGAGAGCGCGAGCGCGCGGCGGCACGCAGACAACTTGATAGTATTCGTAGGTAAAAGGAAGTGATAAGAGAGAGAGAGAGAGAGAGAGAGAGAGTGCTCCCTCTCTCTCTCTCTCTCTCTCCTCCTCCTCAAAACTTCGGGGGGCCACCACCAACTGACGCAATTGAAACATGGCCGAGAGAGCGCGGTCGGAGAGCACAGACAAAAAGTGAAGAAGCCAATGGCACCACCACCACCACCGACGTCAAATCCGAGCGGGAATGACAAGCGAGAGAGAGAGAGAGAGAGAGAGAGAGACGGATTGGAACATGATCGAGACAAGGACACTGTGATGCACTAAATTTAGACGTTTCCTCCGAGCATTCCATCCATGCTCCAAAAACGACCTAGTCTGGGGTGTAATACTGCCAGGACATGGTGCGCATTGACCCAAAATTCGAGACAAATTTGCGACAACTTTGAAAAATCGTGCCAATTTTCAAAAAAATGCTACACACCCCCGACGGCGCTTGAAAAAAAACGCAAATCGACCGTGTAGAATGGCACAAAAATACAAGAAATCTGATGCACCCCTACGAGCGACTATTTGTTGGGATTAAGATTAACCTACTCGGCCTAACACTGAACAAATATCTCCTGTATAAGTACCCTCAACCCCCGGTGGGGGGGGACCCGGCCTAATGAGCCGAAACGAACGTACTAGTCGTCACAATGCATCATTCACATCAAACTTTCACTTTTTCCCGAAAAAAACATGGGTGATGGTAATGGAAAATGTCATCATAACTTACTCGAATGGATAATAGTTGTTGTTGTTGTTGTTGCTGTGGTTGTGGTGGTTGTTGAACAATTTGAGAAGTTGAATCGAGTCTGAAAAGTTCTCAATTTTTTTTTTTTGAAAAAAAAATAGAAAAAGAGCACAGATTATTGTGGGTTTGTTGCGATGAGTAGGAGCACTGTGATTTCTCTCTCTCTCTTCTGTGTTTACTGTCCAGAAAAGTGCGCGGGAAGCCCTCTCTCTCTCTCTGCAACTTTTTCGGCCAATAATCCGAGTACTACGCAGTGGGCGCACACACAAACACACACACAGAAATTTTTTTGGGAATTTTCTTCGTTTCGACACAAAAAACCGGGAAAGGGATGATGATTCGTCTAGAAATTGACGTGGCACTACAGTAATCTAACAACTTTTAAGGGCACGCCAATACTGACTATTCAAGACACTGTATTGCGTCATTTTAAGCGCCGGCGGCGGTTTGTATCATTTTTTTGGAATTAGTTATGGATTTTCAAACAATTTACCCTAAATACTGTAATAGAGGTCATTCAAGGCAATGTATCTGAGTTGGCGTTTTAGATGGCAAAAAGTTGTCAACTAATAAAATGTTCATTGAAAAATATTCTACATTTTATCAGTTGACACATTTTTGATATCTTTCCCCACAACTGAGATACATTGCCTTGAATGACCTCTATTACAGTATTTAGGGTAAATTGTTTGAAAAATCACAACTAATTCCAAAAAAATACTACAAACCCCCGCCGGCGCTTGAAATGACGCAAATCATCAGGACAATCAAAGGAGAGCATAATACAGTTCAGAAAAAAATTCGAAACAGACAATATTCTCATATTCTCTACACTTATGATTTTCCGTTAGTTCCATCAAATGTGCGCGCAGCAAAATTTTAATGATCTTGACACAAGTACATTAGTGACCTCGGCGACGAACACAAAACTACCAGGTGAAAAAGAAGGAAAAAAGCGTTTTTTTTTGGACGGCGCCGATGCGGATTCCGAACGACCTCGTCTCTCGTATTTTCGGGAATTAATTATGCGTAAGAGTGTGAATGGGAACAAGAATCAGAAAAAAGAAAAGGGGGGGGGAGGGGAAGGAGGAGGAGAGAAACCGATAATATCCATTTGCAACAAAAAGGCCAAGGCGCGCTTTTCTGCGAGAAAAAGTGCACACACGAGGCGAACAGGAAGCGCGCCGGTGAAAGTGCTTGATTTCTGTGCTTTTCCATGTCCCCCTCCCCCGATGGAATTTTTGAAGACACACACACACACACACATGGTGCATCGACCACCGTTTTCGAACGAAAAATCCCTTTCAGAATTGGAAACTCACAAACGTTTGTGGCGGGTACGGTACTACAGTAATCCTGGAAAAAGGGGCGGAGCCAGCTCACACTATTTTCAGAAATTTTAGAACAGTCCAGGTACTCACTCTACCTAATATCAACGAAATCGGAGCATACCGTAAACAGCGTAAAAGAAAAGCGCCCCAATACTGACCATTCAAAACGCTGTATCTCAGTTGGCGGTGGAGATATAAAAAAATTTTCAACTAATAAAATGTTCATTAGAAAATACTCTACATTTTGTCAGTTGACAACTTTTTGCCATCTCCACCCATAACTGAGATACACGGTCCTGAATCAGCGGTGGTTCAGTGCAAAAAAAAATCTGATCTGTATACGTGAGAATCGGCGAGAAACGTCTTGGCATTTCGCTAAATTACCCGGAAAACCGGCCGACTCCTCTTGATTTCTGTGCTCTCACTCCTTGTTCGGATGAGCTCATTGTGGGGGGGGAGCAACATTTGCGCGGCGGCGCGCAGAGTGTGTGTGGACGGATGATTTTGAAAAGAGCAAAAGTGAGTACGGCGGTAGGTGACGTAGGCCGTCAAAAAGGGAACGTGATTTTGAAAAACAGTTCCACCAATAGCGAAAAAGTGAGCAAAAATGGGCGAAAAGAGCAACGGAGAGCAATTATTCATTTAGATACTCCTGCCAAATGGCACCTAATCAACGTATTCGAAACGCGACACACATTTGTACATTTATGTACTTTTTGTGAAAAACGAGAAAAAGAGAGATTGAGAAAGACCCGTCACAGCTGGGTAGAAAGAAAGAACAAGCACGGACGGTCCGTTTCGTTGAGAGACTAGTACGAACATTTCGGCGACGAGGCGACTCAGCTGTCGTCGTGACGAAATGAGAAGGAAAAGTATTGGGTAAGAAGTGGAAATGGAATGGAAATGGGTCAGATGGCAGGTGTTCCCCGACGACTCACGAAAAAGTACGCGTGGCCTCGTAGCGTAGTGAGGGGAAAATCGATTCGATCTGCGTTACGCGCGATTAGTGTAGATCAAACGTATACTATCCATTCGGAACGCTGTATCTCTGCTGCCTTTAGAGATATCAAAAAGTTGTCAACTGATAAAATGTACGCCATGTTTCAGTGAACAATTTATCAGTTGACAACTTTTTGATATCTCAACCGGCAGCTGAGATATAGTGTCTTGAATAAATAATGGTATGTTTTGTTTGGGACGAAAGTGCACAAGCAAAAAATCGTCTACAATACTTGCAAAAAAATAGTTTGAACCGCTAGGGACCGTGATCAGATCACTCGAAGAGAAGAGTACTAATCGTACTAATCGAGGCACCTGGTCATTTTCACAAAGTGTGTGTGTGTGTGTCTGTCAAAAATCGTATAGATTTTCTCTCTCTCTCTTCTTCTTCATCTTCTTCTTGATGAAGGAGAGAGAGAGAGAGAGAGAGAGAGAGAGAGAGAGAACTCAAGGGCAGGGGTTGAGAGTGCTCTCCCGGGAGAAGAAAAAGAAAAGAAACATCGAAGCGGTCCCCGACGGTTGGACATCATTCTATTGATGATCCGCCGGGATCACACACACACACACACACACATACACATATCATCTTCTCTCCCTCTCTTCTTCTCTCAATATTTTTTGCGTTTAATGATGGATTGGCAACACGTGAGGGTGGAGGGTGTACGGAGCCGAAAAAACTGGGTTCAAAATTTTTTTTGTGCCAAGCTCCTAATTTTTCCGAGTTCTTGCAAACATTTCGGTTATTTTAAGCGCCGGCGGGAGTCTGTCGCATTTTTTAGCAAAAAGTTATGATTTTTCAAAGTTTTGCCTCGTTTTTTGCACTGCGCCGCGAGCCCTGGGACCACGCAATTTTTTTCGCTGGAATACGATCATGATTAGTGTCAAAACTTTTAAAATCACGTGGAGAAGCCATTTTGAGCGACGAGAGCTCACAAAAATTGACATGAGCTCGGCGAGCCATGAGCCCGAAGCAGCTCAAAAACTTTTTTCGGCGAAATATGGTCATGATTAGTGTCAAAACTTGTCAAATCGTCCGGAGAACCGATTTTGAAGCCAGAAAAACTCACTTTCAATTCGGAATTTTCCGTGCAATCGTGTTTTGAAGAAGACAAAGTTGAGGGACCGTTTGGAGTGTAGATCTGTTCCTGAAAATCATAGTTTTAGTGAATTGTTCGACAAAAACGCAAAAATACGACGAAAAACGAGACATTGAGGTCATGAGCCGGCAAGGACCATGGTGGTCCCACATAGATTGAAGGAACAAAGGTGCAGAAGGTTTTCCAGACAAAATGGAGCCGGTCGGATCGGATAGATACGAAATGAGTGTGCACTTTGTCTCGCCCGTCCGCCTGGTCACTTGTGTGTGTGCAAAATGACGACGCGGTCCTGCTGGTCGGCGGGCGGGCGTTGGGGAACGAGAGAAAAAGCTGTGAAAATGATACATCTCCTCGAGCGGCCGGCGCCACACGGCCAGCCGGTCATTTTTCAGGTACCCCGAAAGTTCGGCGTGGATTTTAAGGTCGGCCCTTGCTCGGCAGCGCTCGGAGCCTTGAGGATCGCCGCACCCGCATTTTACCCACTGATTTTAGTGTCGTTTCAACGCTTTTCAGAGTGAAAATTGACGGAAACTATTGTGAATTCACTTTGAAGAACGCAACTTTGATCTAAAAGTCAAGCTCAACGATTTTTGTGGCGTTTTCTGCCCGAAACGTCCCTACTTGCCACATCTTTTCATCCGTTCCTCAATAAAGTGTAAACGAGGCGGTGATGGTGGTGGTGGAAACGCAAAAAAGAGTGTTACAAAATGAGGAGAAGAAGAACGGAAGCGTCCGACGGCCAGATTATTACACCCCGCCCTCCCCCCCTATCCGCGACGGACACCATTCAACGCATAGAATTGCGTTTTTCATCGGTCTTTGACATCTTGGGAGTGGTTTTTGTGAAAATAAAGATGACAAAAATGTTTTGACACGTGGCCGGGTTCGAACCCGGACCTCTAGATTGACGGCTACGAATTTGACCACTGGGCCATATGGGTCGTGTTTCCGAAATCGCTCAAAACACTCGTTTTTGATGTATTTTCAGCCAGGAAACTCGATTTTCGCGTCAAAAACATGAATTTGTTAAAGTTTAGAACAATTTTTTGCCAAAATTCACATGGTTTTTGGGGGCGAAAAACGAATGGAATATGCTTGGGAATCGACAATATTCTACGAGTGCCCCAATGACATGCAAAAGAATTCAAAGTGTGGGCGTTGAAAAATTGCTGGAAAACGCTTTCAGACAAATAAATAAAAATACAGGAAAACGGGAGCTTTTTAGATAACAGACTTCTGGAGATGATAATGAAAAAAGCGGAAGACGTAGGCGGGGATTAACTGGCAAAGAGAGAGAGAGAGAGAGAGAGAGAGAGAGACTGTGAACAATTTCAGCCAAAAACCACCTAAAAACCGCTGAAAAATGACAAGTTTCAATAAAATTTTAACGATGGGAAGTGCCCACCCGAAACGACATTTTCCTCGCAAAAAATAACGTCTGAACACGTCATTTTTTTCGCCGTTTCCACCTAAAAATTCCCGTAAAAACGGCGGTTATGAGCAAATGGCCTAGTGGTAACGTGTTCGGCTATCAATCGAGCGGTCCGGGTTCGAGTCCGCCACGTGGCAAAATTTTTTTGTCAGCTCTATTTCGACTAGCGTGGTCGGTCACTACTTTTCTAAATATTGACAATCAACACAGTGCGTGGACCCAAGAGATATCATCTGCTCACTTTTCTGAGCAATCTCTTGTTTATTTGCACAGTCTTGGCTCGTTTTTTTGTTGTTGTTGTTGTTGAGAATCGGGTAAATACAGAAGCGCGACGAGATTTGGATATTGTACAAGTATCATCAAGGGTAATCGACAATATCGAGAGGCAAAAAGAGAGAGAGAGAGAGAGAGAGAGAGAGAGAGAGAGAGAGAGAGGAACGGAAACAAAAGTGCTATCTTTATCGCCATCTTATTACAATTATGCGAGCGAGTAACGGACAAGGTCTTGTATGTTTTTGGTACTTTATGCACTTTTTACTACCGTTTTAGGCCCAACAACCCCATTTTCTAGCATCGAATCAAAAGGGCACTGATCCATGTGGACTGGAATTTTCAAATGTTCCATTTCAGGCCCGGAAATGCGTTTTTTCAACAACCCCCCCAAAAAAACCCATAAAACAGTCGATCAGACCGGGTACGGGCGGCCAGGTGCCCGTCGAAAAGTGACACGTAGAATGTGGTCGGAAAGAGAGAGAGAGAGAGAGGGGAACGACGGAAATTTGCATAGATATTGGCGGCGTGTGTGTGTGCAATAAAAATTGCAAAAATAGATATATTTGTGTAAATAGGGAGATTTGAGAGCTCCGAGTGCACAATAGAAAGGTTTATGATGTGAAAATTCCGATTTCAGGCATCGCTCAGTGGGGCGGTTTTCTTGGGGGGACTTTGGGACCGGCTTGCAATGATCCGATCGGGACCACACTTTGCATACTTCTAGGACTAGGATTGAAGTACGTTGGGTCCAAATTTCATACCGATCGGATCATCCGGTCCCGAGATATGCGGATCGAAGGCCGCCCGCAATTTTCGCAGTATATCTCGGGACCGAATGATGGGATCGGGCTGAAACTTTGACCCAATGTATTTCAATCCAAGTCCTAGAAGTCTACAAAGTTTGGTCCCGATAGGATCACTGCAAGCGGCTCAAAAGTCCCCTGCCCATTGGCTTGAACAAAAAGTGGTCAGGTTCGAAACCAAGCCATTTTTGTCGGTGTGAGCTCTAAAAAAAGCTAGCCGGTGCCAAAATGATCGAAAAGCGCGTGAGCGTGAGCCTGTCGGATCCGTTAAAAGTGACGTGCGTCCTTGTACTAAACGGGCGCGCAGCTGGTCTCATTCGAGAAAGAGACAGGAAATTCGGGGCACCTGCCAACGGGCCGGGTGTCAATTCGGATTTATTGGTCCGCCGCCAGCAGACAGCTCGCCTTTTTTCGTCGAAATTTGGATCTATGTGAGTGGAGTTGGGTTTTGGTTCGAGTCGAAATCTTTTTGATATAAATTTGGCCAGTTTCTCGGCAGTTGAGACACCACAATTGACGCGCAAACTCGAAATGAAGCTACCGTTGCCCTAAGCCGAGTGAAACAGAAAGCAGAAAACGGCAAAAAACGGCAGAAAATCCGAGGCGAATTGAGCGAAATTGAAATTGACACGCTAACTAGCTAGCTGATTGAGTAAAGTGGAAAAAGTGAAAGCGAAACGAAGAGTGCAACATTTGCGGTCCCCGCCCGATTTTCGATTGGTCAACGAAGCAGAAGGGCGCCGAAATTGATGGGTTTTCGGGAAGAACCAACAAAAAAAAGGACGGACGGACGGAACGAACATGTGGTCGGGTGGGAAAAGGTTGAGACAACACTTGTGGCAACGTAGATTTATATCCGATTGCACTCCCCTCACTTTTTTCAAAAAATGCACAACTTTTTCCAAAAAAATGCTACACACCCCCACAAGCGCTTAAAACGACGGAAAACAGCTGGAGAATGAGGGAAAAATTTGAGAAAAATGTTATACGGTCATAATTCGCATCTACCGTAACGTTTTCTTCAAAAATCAGTGATGAGAGACGCAGAGAGAGAGAGAGAGAGAGAGAGAGAGAGAGAGAGAGAGAGAGAGAGAGAGAGAGAGAGAGAGAGAGAGAGAGAGAGAGAGAGAGGTGTGTGTACGTATGTGTTATCACTTATCAAACCGTTATTATTAAAACAAAAAAGCGAGCGAGAGAGAGAGAGAGAGGAGAAGAAGAAAAAGAAAATAAAGGGCGCGAAAAACTGTACAGGTAGCTATTGTCTTTTCACTTTTTTTGTTGTTATTACAACAATACCGATTATTATTGTAGTAGCATCAGACAGTACGCTTCCCAATCATTATTAGATTTGATCTCGTTGTTGGGTACGGTAGTGGCTTTTAGCTTTTTGAACGAAAAAAAAAAGCGTGTGAAGGGGGTTTCAATTCGATTCGAGGACAGTAGTTGTACGGCGGCGCCGTTTCGCCATTTTACTACTATTCCCCCCTTATTTTCCGCTGATTATTTGCGAATTGCCGATAAAATTTTCGATTTTCCGTGCTCACTCGCTTTTCGGTGATCATTACGACTTTTTTTTCTAGAAAATTGCAGGACTGCGCAAAACGCCTGGACTTTTGGACCACTTGCAATGATCCGATCGGGACCAAACTTTGCGGGCCGCTTGAACTTGGATTGAAGTACGTTGGGTCCGAGATTCAGATCGATCCGATCATCCGGTCCCGAGATGTATGGTTTTTGCGCAAAGTGCGGTCTTCTCGACCTCTGGTCCACATATCTCGGGACCAGATGATCCGATAGGTTTGAAATTTAGGCCCAATATACTTCAATCCAAGTCCTAGAAGTCTGCAAAATTTGGTCCCAATCGGATCATTGCAAGTGGTTCCAAAGTCCGAAAAAATTGGAGAAAAGTAGAGGATGGCGCCGTTTTTCCGGGATTTTCAACAAGAAACCGCAAAATAAAGCGCGTGGCCTAGAAAACGCGGTAGTCCAAATTCTAGGCCACTCGCCTATGTTCGCGGGTAGTAAAAGATCAAAGCACACTACGCATTCGGCCTGAAATTCGTGATAAACGGGAGGCGCCACCTTGCTTATCAACCAACACGACCATTTTGAATGGGAAAAGGGACAGAGAGAGAGAGAGAGAGAGAGAGAGAGAGAGCAATCTTCAATTGGTGCTTTTCCATGCCATTTTTCCCATCACTTTCAAAGGGCTTTTCCGTGTCCAAAAACGAGGCATTCAACTAATCCTTGCCGCCGCCAAAACGTCGAACATGGATTACTTTCCGGCAACGACTTTTTTGGTCCCGAAATCTCAGGCGAATCGACGTTTTTTGTGTGGGAAACTGCGAGAAAAATGGGCTCTTGTCGTTTCGCAACTTGCAAGTATATCAGAGAAAATCGGTTTTGTTTTGCTTCTGAAAGTTTACTTTGTTTGCGGGGGTCCATTAGGGTCCAAACGACCCAAGGGAGCGCGCCTAATTGGTGGTCAAAAAACGAGAGACAAAATTAGAAGCAAAGCCATAGAAATCGCGAAAGGGAACAAGCACGAAATTGTGTTAAAAGCGTTTTAAAAAAAAGCTGTTTTTTTCAAAAACTATTCCTTTTCTATAAAAAGTGCTGATAAGAAGCGGAAAAACGGCTTTTCTTGGCGGGGTTAGGGTGCAAACGTGTTGCGAAAAAGTGATAAGGAATCGAGGACAATACTTTCGGTTACGGTCACAAATGCACATTAGATAGCTCTCTCCCAAGGGTATCCTATGGGTCAGCAGCAGCAAAATAAGATTCTCTACACAATCCGCTTGATACAATCGAAGAATGTCTACGGCCCACGGGCCGGCAAAGCATACGGAGAAGTGGAAATTGTGAAGCTGTAACTTCTCTCAGAAACCTTACATTTACCTCTGACCTGGCGCATTTTGAAGAACCCAGTGTAAAATTGAACTCTTATCAAATAATCAGAGTTGAGCGGAAGAACTCAACGGAAGAATTTTTATATTTTTTAGAAAATTTTTTCATGAAATGTGATCAACTGACGAAATGTAGAGCAAAGTGAACTCTGCTAATGGAAAAATAATTGTAAATTTAGCGTTTCATACAAAAAAGTTATTCGAGTTGTTCCGTTAGCCCCCTTTTTTCACGCAACAACTCGAATAACTTTTTTGTATGAAAAGCTAAATTTACAATTATTTGTTTATGAGCACAGTTCATTTTGCTATACACTTCGTCAGTTGGTCACATTCCATAAAAAAATGTTCTAAAAAGATTAAAAAAAATAACACAAACTTTAGATTTATCAACCAGCGCCGTTGGATCCGAAGATCGTCTGACTGTCACTTTTACCTACACTTTTTGGGAATCATGAAGAGTGAAAATCGAAGGAAAGCTTTGCGAATTCTCTTGGAACAACGATGGGTCACACAAAATCTGTACACCGGGGCTCTCAGAAAGCCGTGTACGGGAATGAGAGAGAAGAAGAGAAAAAGACGAAAACAGAGCGTTCGGTTGTGTTGGGCCTTTTGTGTGTTTAGGTGTTGTTTGAACAAATAACTTCTGGTCCCCAACCTTTCTCTCTCCCTCTCTCTCTCTCTCTCTCTCTCTCTCTTTTTCTAAGAGCTCCGAGAGCACAGACAACACGGCGACACTTGTGAACCGTATTTGGAATCCGACATCGAATTGGGCGGTGTGGAAGAGAAATTGACGAAACTGCACATTTTTGTGACATGAAAATGGCTGCACATTTTCGTGTCATTGTCACTTTCAAAAATGGCGTAGGTAATGCGATTATAATGTGCCGCCATGATTATTTTTGTTAGAGAAACAAACCCGGAAGCGAGTCTGTAGCAAAAAAAGTGCACAAATGAGAATGATTCATGTGGGGCAGGCGAAACAATGAATGTTTAGAGAAAAGGGCAAACGGTTCAAGTTTCTCATGGCCTAACTTTTGCATTTGGTACTTCTGAATTATTGGAACAAAAAATGAGAGAAATAATACCCTAACTACCGTAGTTTCAGGTTACTGTAGGTACAGTACTCCTAAGACTCTTCATTGCAACTACCGTAACACACTTTTCACAGTGAGCTTACAGTACTCGAAAGATGAGAGAGTCTGGAGTACTGCAACTACAGTAATCCTACAGTAATCCGAGGCATTACGATCCGAGCCTAAACAACCGGAAATCTCTTTTTTTTTTTTTAGAACAAAAGACCCAAAAAATGGCTCATTTCTAAAGTGGCCCTTTTTTCTTGCAGAAAAAAAGTGGAAATTGAGTGAGACTCGATTAAATCGGCGCTTTTTCTCGTCTTCTTCGAATTCGCCTGTTGCAAACTTTGGTTTTTTCCGACTCTTTTGGACAAACAAACAAAAAACGAGGAGACTGGGCGGCCGAAACGGGAATCATCGGGAGCAATGCACAAAAAGCGAGGAGCCTACTCGTAAATGGGCCGATGCCGGGCCGCCTCGGGCCGCATGCGTAGAGCAAGAGACGAAATTGACGAAAAGCCCGAACTTTTTGGGACCGGATGATCGGATCGGGCTGAAACTTGGACACAAGATACGCCCATCCAAGTTCATGCGGCCTACAAAGTTTGGTGCCGATCGGATCATTGCAATTCGTCCAAAAGGAACAAGCACGTCATGCTCGAAAAGCCTAACCGATCAAAAACCGCTGAACAGACGGTCGGACAGACGGTTCGGATGAAAAGAAACATGATCCATCCGGCCGTCCGATTGATATTGTCCTCTTCCACAATGCTCATCCCCCACCCACCCCACCCTTGACTCATCCGCCCCCCTTCTTCGTAAGATCGGCATGAACGAGTGACGATAGATAGGGGCGGCCATCAAATAAATAAATAGGTAAATAGAGAACGATTTGAGGAGACGCCGAACAATTGAGAGGGCGGCGAAAATTTGAGGAATTTTGTGGAAGCGTTCGCGCGAGAGAAAAAATGAAAAATTCAAATTGCCGCAAGAAACGGTTGTTGGCGGGCGAGGTCATTCGAACACACAAAGAAAACGGGAACGAATTCGAATTTTTATTGCAACTTTTCGCATTAGTTTGAACATAAATCGCCCAGAAATCTCAACACTACTTCAAGTTGCAGTTTCAGTGAAACCGAGCACAATTATTGATTTTCTTCCCTTTTCAAATAGTCCTAAAAGCGCTCCGATACCCGATTCACTTTTCCGTTAAATTGTTATCTCAACCCCCAACCGATTCTATATCTATTTTCACCATCTTTTTCCGTTCCGTACACTTCCAATTTCGCCCGTCGGCCCACGAAAAATGAAAATCACCTCCTCCTCCTCGGCCGCCATGTGGATTTTCACTAATGTCTCTGAAATTTCGACGTGGAACTCGCTGAAAGTCTTGAATTATTTCCAATCGCTCATCGCCTTCTACTTTTTCATTTTTTCGCTGTTCTATTTCAAAAAATACGAAAAAATCGAGAATGTCTACATTTCGTCGGCGGTCTGGGACCACTCGACCCTCGAGTTTTCCGTCGTATTCTGTTTTGACAACGAGAAACAAACAAACGATTTATTTTTTATTCAAAACGGAAATGAGACGAAAATGGAGCTCCGCGAGCCACCATTCACAGGAAATAAACAGATTTTGGTGAGTTTTTGCGTTCGATACCGTCGCTTTCTCACTCGCACGGCGACCAAAAGTGTAGAAAGAGGCGTGGCCTAATCTGTGGCGCGTTTTCTGAAAATTACCGCAATTCCAGCACTTTTCCGATATTTTTGTGTTTGATATCGACGAAAGAAGAGACATTAAAGAGAGAAAACAGGCATTTAATTCGGAGGGTACAAAAATTAGGGGGTACAACAGGGCACAAATGGTTTTGGGGTACAACTTTCATGGTTTTGGGGTACAAAAAGTCGAGGGTACAAAATTTTCGATTCTGGGGTACAAAAATTTACCGATTCAGTAGGCATTGATTAAGGGGTACAACTTTTATGATTTAAGGGTACAAATTTCACGATTTTGGGGTACAAAAATTGCACGAAGCACATTTTCGAAGTTTTCATTTCAGTTTTGAATTTTTGAGAGCTCACGAGACACAGTCGTGTGTAGCCATGCTTTGTTTTATGCAGTATTTTGTGTCATTTCGAGAAAAAAACTTTACTTGGGTAAATTTCACACACAACATCAGATGCTGAAATTCTGCTGTGAAATTGCAGAATTTAAAAGGGCCAAAACAGCAAAACAACTTGTAAGTAATATTATAGGGGCACCGAATAGAAAGGACGCTCTGTTCGCAATCTGGCCAAATTTCTAGTCCGCGAAGTAATTTTCCACTGAGAACGTGGCCTAACTTTTCAAACTCGGCCCCGAGCTCAATCAATTTGCACTGCAAAAAAGTTTATCAATAGAGCGCCCTTTCTGTTCGGTGCCCCTATAATAACAAAAGGGTCGCCGTTTGAACCACTGTCTATCGGAAGCAAAATGCTTCGAGGGGTCATGAAATCTCATTTAAAAAACATCTCTGGAACTGATCAAGCGGTTCGGAGTACAAAACATTCACGGAGTAAAAAAATTTTGTAAAACAACTAAAAACATTCACTGAATTGATGAAACCCATAAATCCCATGAAAAAATGGGAAAAAAATTGTTGTACCCCAAAATCGTGAAATTTTGTACCCTTAAATCATAAAAGTTGTACCCCTTAATCAATGCCTACTGAATCGGTAAATTTTTGTACCCCAGAATCGAAAATTTTGTACCCTCGACTTTTTGTACCCCAAAACAACTTGTACCCTGTTGTACCCCCTAATTTTTGTACCCTCCGAATTAAATGCCGAGAAAACATCGAAATTTTCGTGAAAACGCCGCGTTTGACACGTTTTTGGCTTATTTCGCAATACGCCCTCCGCGGCCAATCGCCGCCGCAATTTCGGAATTGTAATACCGGCCGATCTGGATCGGTTTTGAGACGAAGTGAGTGTCGGAAGTGATTAAGCACGTTAATACAAGTATTTTGAGCGTTCAAACGGCAAAAAGTATTGGCGAATGACTGAAATTCGCGCATTTTCAGCACAAAACTTAAAATCGATTCAATTGATTGAATTTCTGAATGAAACCTGCTCGTTTTAAGCTCAAAAAGTGCGCGATGATTAGTTTAACAAAGTTATGCAATTACATCGTCGAAATCGTACAAAATTTGGGTAATTTTTGACGAAAAACATGCAAAATGGGGTTAAATTACGAATTTCGCGCCAAAATGGTGATAAACCGTGCACGCGCTAGGCCACGCCCCTTTCTACGTTTTTGGTCGCCGTGACTCGTCGATAAAATGTGTCGGAAACCCAATTGCAGATATGGTCCTCAACGCTCGAAAGTGCCGATGGAATTGCAATTACAGCCGAGCATCCGAAATCGAAATTGCTGCAAGAACACACGGGAAGACCCGTTTTAGAGGTTTTCTTTTTTCATTTACAGGCCTGCGCAGAGTCTTGTACTAAAAAAGAATGATATTTACAGATTTTTCCACAAAAACCTTATGAAGACTCTCACGAAATCGTCACCTGTATGAGCCCGATTTCCAATGATTTTGAGCTTGTTCTGAGCGGTAAATGTTTGAAATTCTGCGATGCATTTATCGATTCATTCTCTTTCAGCGCTGACCGCCTCCATCTCGATGGGATCGTTCGTCGTGGTCCCGTTCGAAGAGCTGAACGGCGAATTTTACAAATTTCTAAAAATGTTCGAACACTCGGGAAATGTCCGTCTCCACGCGCATCCGATTCTTCGACATTCGCCGCGAATGACAAAAACCAACGCGCACGCAAAAATGCTCAAATTGAAATCGGATTTGGCGCAACTTTTCTGCTTTCAAATGTACAACGCACGCTCGAAATTTTTGATTTTCCAAAACGCCGACAACATTGTGCTGCCGATTTTGTCGTCGTCGGGCGATTTTTCAAATTATTCGCGTGAATTCCACGCGCTTTTCGAATTGCCACGTGTTGCCGGGCACGGCATTCTCGAGTACAACGCCCGAATTTCGATAGAAAAACGGTTCGGCGATTTTGAAGATTTTTCCGTTCAAAACGCGATCGAGACGGCAAAAATCGAGGTGCTGAGCGGAAATTCGAAGGTGCTCGTCATGAAAGCGGTGAGCGATGCACAGACACGGCGTTTTTACACTACGCTTTTTTTTTTGCAGAACCAGGGCGACGTCAAATCGCACGCGAAAATGTACAATTTACGCAATTCGGATCGCCGCAAAATCAGCCCGAAAATAATGGAGAAAATCGAGGAGACGATGGAGAAGGCGGAAGAATCGGACGCGTTCTGGACGTTGATCAAAAATTGTTCGATGGGAAACAAGAGACGCAAAAATTGGAGATGCTCGTCGCAAAAGTGTGTTCGGCCGGCGAGCAGACACCGGTCCCTGCACGGATGGTACTCTTATCACCTACATTTCTCACAATTTTTGAGAGTTGACAGTTTTGATTGCAAGGATGACTGATTATCGATTTTTTTTTTGTAAATAGATTTTTTTTACGAGGCGACTTCTCGTCTCTTTCTTAATTCAAAAAATCAAATACCCCCTCAAAACACACCTCCTTCATGGCCGCCACTTGCGAATTCTTCGACGGCGTCGTCATCGCATCTGAAAGATCGTTCCCGTTTTCACTGTGCTTCGAGCAGACTTACTCTCTCCGGCTCGTCGTGCCCGACACATTTTTGCGCCTTTTTTCATTCAAAAAAAAAAGTCGAAATGCAAGTGCGCCTTTTTGACCGATTTGTGCGTCGCCGGCAAAAATTAACAACCAACAAAAATCGACGTTCATCGTGATTGTAACAAATTGGTTTCAAAAATTGAGGAGAATAATCGTCAAGTGATAAAAATTTTACAAAAATTTGAAAAATTCCGAGTAAGTGGGTGAAGTGTTCAGACAAATTGGAGATTTAGCAGAGATTTGTGCGGCCGGAGGATTTAAGAACAATTGAAACATTTCATCGCGACCAAAACTTGAAAACGGGGCGTGGCCGGCTGCAATTCGATTCAATTTTTGAGAAACCCAGGCCACGCGCTTTTTTCAACTTTCGGTCGCCGTGAATAGTGTGAAAATAAGTGAAAAAAATGGGAAACGAAGAAGAATCAGATGATCGACGACGTCTCCTTTAGACTGATCAACATTTCGCCAATGTGCATGTCGAATGTGAGTGTCACCTGCAAAATTTGGAATTTTACCTCATTTCAAAAAAATAATGAAACTGTACCTCGCCATCGAGATTGATCCTTTCCGGAAAGAGAAAAGCGGCGGCCGGGCGGAGCTTCGTGTTGCGCGTGCCGAGAATTTCAAATTCGTAGAAGATTCCGTCGGCTGCCGATCGGCTTGTGGGCACCTCAAAAATTACGTTTTTGTGGCCCCTTTCAATGACCCGATCAAACTTTGCAGACTTCTTCGACTTGGACTAAAGTATATTGGGACCAAGTTTCAGACCGATCCGATTATCTGGTCCCGAGATATACTGGAAACCGAAAAAACCGCTATATCTCGGGACCAGATAATCGGATCGGTCTGAAACATGTTCCCAATATACTACAATCCGAGTTCAAAAAGCCTGCAAAGTGTGGTCCCGATCGGATCATTGCAAGTGGCTCAAAATACTCTAGCCGATCCAAAACTGTCAAAAAAAAAAAAGATTTGTGGCGCACCTTTGTGCGTACCTTCACGTCGTGCGTGATCGTCGTGTAGAGGTCCTCACGGAAGCCCTCGGCGGTGAACGGAAAGTCGTAGAGTTCAAATTCCGCGGAGACCCACTCAATGTCCTCTCGTTCATGCAGCCGAATGTCCCGACACTCGCGCAAATTGAAACTGCGCAGCGGCGTCAGATCGACTCCGCAGTGGGCGTTCGGATTGGGCCGCGAGTCGAAGTGGATAATGTCCGAGTAGAAGATCTTTCCGATGATGCGCACCCGGGACGGATGCACCGATTTGATAAAGTCCTTGTAGCCGACCATCTCCTCCAGACGGAAGAACGTCTCCTGATCGAGCGTGCCCTCGTGCGTCGAGAAACTGCCTGCAAATATTTGGATTTTTATCGAAAAGTCTGGAGAAAAAGAAAACGTACAGAAAACCGATCTCGGGGGCTTCTTGCGCGTGACGGTGTCGAGCACGCATTGCACGGCAATCTGTCCGGAGATGTCGGTCGCGTAGGCCAGTTCCTTCTGATCGATCTCGCCGATCAATTGCTTGAAATAACTGTCGTCGCGTACCTTGGCCAGTTGGTCCAACGAGGCCACCTCGTACCGGATGCCCAGTCGTTCGAACTCGCTCGCATTCGTCAGCTCTTCCGGGTACTGAAACAGGGAATCGATAACAACAAAAACAAAACACTAATGCTATTCTTTTTTTACACAGACATGGGCCGAAAGCATCTGTAAGCTTTGCGGATGTGCTCAGGCCATAATTTGAGAAACTCTGTGTTCAACCTAATCGCATTTTTTCTGCAGAACTCGCTCACTCACAAAGTCATTGTAGAGGTCCAGTCGGCTGTTGACCAACTTGTACGAAACGTCCAGTTCGTCGCCGGCCGTCACGACGCACGGCTCCTTGAACGGCACGATTCCAATGTCCCACGCGCGAGTGGCCGAGGAGTTCAGTACGATTTCGCCCGTCAGGTCCGCTCTGCAGAGGAAAAAATTCTCATTTGGGAACAATTTGGGCGGGAGAATAGGATTTTGAGGTGAACGTTGAGCGATGGAAGCTCAAAAATCTGTTTCCGTGAGTCAAGTTGTGAAAAATTCGGCGATTTTACGTTAGAAAACTTTAGAAACACGCTCCACACTTTTCAAATGCGCAAAAACGAACGTGAAGAAGATGGCGAATCCGTGTGCGACGCCCGACGTGTCGGCGGTGATTTTGAGTGCCTCGCTGAGGAGCATGCACCTCTTCAGATCGTCCACACTCGTCAAATCGCACGTGATGATCGGCTCCGGTGCCGTCAGGTACTCGATTTGCTTGAATTCTGCCTTTTTGCAGCACCAATACGGCTGATCCGGGTCCGCGTCGCCCGTCTTCACAAACTCGGAGCGGTAGCGCACGCCGCCGTAGTCCTGCGCGTGCGTGTCGAAGATCTCGCGGCACGAGAACAAGCGGATGTACACGGACACCTGAAATAATCACATTTTTAAAGACGAATTTTTTTTGCGCTCGCTCACTTTGCTCGGGATGAAAACGGTGTCGGCGTGCGCGAATCGCTCGTGCGCGTCCAGAAACGTCTCGATGATTCGCTCGCCGAACGCCGAGCAATCCAACGTCTCCGAGACGATGACGTCGGCCTTCTGGGTGGTTCGGAACTGCGTCGAGTGGATGTTGTGCACCTGAACGCGTTGTTCCACTCCGTTTCGCTTCAGTATCTCTTTTGACAACTTCGCGAGAACCGTGTTGTGCTCCAGAGCCACCACCGCGTTTGTTTGTCTGCAAATTGAAGAAATTTGAATTTGTAGAGTGGCTTTAACGTTTTTTCGGTCCAAAAATGTATTTAAAATGTAAATGTAGTAAAACATTCAGTCTCTCTTTTAAAATACTAACTTGGCGGCAAGCACAGAGAGCAGTCCGCATCCGGATCCGATGTCGAAAACGACAGTGTTACGGTTCTTGATGTGCAAAGTGATCGCTCGGTTGAACGCGTCGTTGCGAGTCTGCAAAGAGAAAAAATGAGATAGTCTGAAGGAAAACTACGCGTACCTGGCAGTTCATCATGCGCATGTGCCACTGCGGGAATGAATGGCTCACGAGGTTGACGCGTGCTATGCGCAGAGCTACCCTGTCCTGCCACCGCGTCGCCAGCTCCTCGGCGTCTTTGCAAATCGGCAGGCAGTGGAGCAGCCATTTCTGCGTTTCCGTCCCTTGAACGGCGCGGACCAACGCCATTTTCGTGCGGATCGACGTTGGAAAAAGGTGTCGGATTTGCGGGTAGAGCGCCAGCGCTCGCGACGCATTGTCCGGGTTCAACGCGATCCAGCCTGCAAAAATTTTGAAGATTTTTGCGTTTTTTTAGATTACTTTTCCATGAAAAATATTTTCGAGCAACACCCGCTGGAAACCCTCTAATTTCCGCCGCTTTCGGCATTTGCTCCGCGCGAACCCCCTAATTTCGTCAATTTTCGGCTCCAAATCAATACCATGGAGGGCGGCGGCGAACTGATCCTCGTAAGTGGTGCGTCTCGCCTCCGGCAACATGATAATGCAGACGAAAAAGTGTTTGAGCGCGTCCTCAAAGTTGCCAGTCATGAATGCCTGCTCGGCGGCGGTCATCGAGAAGCACACGTTGTCCGAAGGCGGTTCCGTCATCTGAAATCCGAATTTTAGGCGGAGAATTCAAGAAAAGAGGGCGAAAATAGCCGAAATTGGTGAAAAATAGGCGCAGACCGAGTCGTAAAATCGCCGAGACATTCCATTGGCCTAACTTTTGCACGTCGCGTTTCTAGGCCATTTTGACATTTTGGCGGCCATCGACCGGTTTATTTCAATTTTTACATTTTCCGAACCATTTTTGAGCGGTTTTTCGGCGTTCGGAACGTTTCGGCGACATCAAAGCAACGAAAAACACCGGTTTCTTATCGGTTTATGCACTTTTTTGCGCGAAAAATTCCGGTTTTGGCGTGTAAGGCGGAAGGGCGGCTAAAGAAAACATTTGTCCACGCGGGGGGTGTCGGTGCATTTTTGATTTGATGTGATCTGATTTAGCGCATTCATTTTTAAGTGAGTTTGACATTCGTTAAGGGAAAATTCTGGAAAACAATTATTATTATTGTTATCCGTTCACACACACACACACACACATTCCTCTCGATCACTTTGTCCATTTATTCCATTTCCATTCGATTCCGTTCCGTTTTCATTGCGTTTTCCCAGCGGGATCTCCTTCTTCTTCTTCTTCTTTCCCCTTTTCTGCCCATTTCGGTCGCCGTTTTCATTCATCTGTCACTCAGTTTTCGTCGGTTTGACGATACCCGCGAAAACTGTCTTCGCAACTAAGAATTACACCGATTTTAGTGGTTTATCGTGCCAAAAACCGTGAAATTCACTGTCTTTCGCTGTTTTCATTCAAAAATCATCGTCTTTTCGAGGAAAATGCAAGAACTTTTTCTTTCTGTTTCAAAAATTATCCTTTTGACCCACTTACGATGATCCGATCCGGACCAAACTTTGCAGGCTTCTAGGACTTGGATTGAAGTATATTGGGTTCAAGTTTCAGACCGATCCGATCATCTGGTCCCGAGATATGTAGATCAGAGGTCGGTAAAAATTTTCGCAAAAACCTTATATCCCGGGACCGGATCGGATCGGTTTGAAACTCGTACCCAACATACTTCAATCCAATTCCACGAAGCCTGCAAAGTGTGGTCCCGATTGGATTATTGCAAATAGATCAAAAGTCCAAGCCATGCATGAAAGTTGTAGTTTCAAAATGTTCTCAAAGAAAACTTGAATTAGGTTTACTGTTCAACTGTTCGACGATAGATACGACTAGCCAATATTCCCTCAATTTGTCCATTTTCGCATAAAATCGCGGTCCGTTCCGTCCCGATTTGAGCTCGTCTGGTTCATTGAGCAACATCTGGTCGCCTTTTTATAATACATCGGAGACACTCATTTGCCAAACACAACCCCAACCACCTGCTCTTCCTCGTTTCCCCTCCTCATTCTCTCTGCTTTTCTACCAGTTTTCCCTTCAATTTTTTGTGTCATTAACACTAATAGCGCCTTTTTTGGTTTTCTTTCAGTTGACCGCATTTCCAAGACAGTTTTGGGCCCAGCTCTGCTTTTTTCTCGAAAAATTGCATTCGAGTCCTAAAAGCGCAATTTTCCCACAAGAAATTGGAAATTAGCCGCCTCTTTCTCTGCGTTTCCACTCTTTTTTGTACATATGCAAAGTGAAGTGAAGGCCCGAAAAAAAATGGGTAAACAAAATTGACACTTTTTTTTGCATAAATACGGAAAAGAAATATATATGTATGTAGATGCAGTGTTTGTTTTTGTTCTATGATTGTTTGAGCATACAATAGCCGAGAGGGTGCGCATTTAAAAAAAGGCCATCTGCTATTATACATTGCCAACTTTTTCCCCCCGAAAATTGTTGTTCCGAAAAGTTTGAAGAGTCAATGCATAAATGCTCGAGAGATATTTCTATTTGCTCTATTGTAGGCCTACAAGATATTCCTCATCTTGACGCGGAGATCGCAAAGATGACGGAAAAGATAAGCGAGATGATAGTAGCCCGCCATCCTACTATTGTACTATTACGTTTTTGAGACTTTTGCAAGAATCCGATCGGGCCCAAACTTTGCAGGCTTTTTGGACTTGGATGGAAGTATATTAGGTCCAAGTTTCAGACGGATCCGATCATCTGGTCCCGAGAATTGCGGCCTTTTCTGCCTCTGATCCACTCGGGACCGGATAATCCGATCGGTCCGAAATTCGGACCCAAGACGTTTTAGTCCAAGTCCAAAAAGTCTGCAAATTGTGGTCCCGAGCGGATCCTTGCAAGTGCGTCAAAAGCCCAAATCCTCTTGCCCAGCGCTGCCAAAGTCTCCAATTCTTCACATTTTTCGCGAGAGAAACCGTTTTTTCTTCCGAATACAATTGGCGAAAGTGTAAAGTAACCGCATAAATTTGTGTCTTTGGGCAATTTATGCAAATCTCTTCCCATTTTCACTGGCGCAGACGATGACAATGCGTATAATTTTATTATACCCTCCTTCTTCTCTCTCTCTCTCTCTTTCTTCGTTTCTCTTCCGTTCCTCACCAATATTACTGTTACTATTTGACTACTTCAATTTGTACCCGAAACTATCACCAGTTTAAGCAAAAAAAATTCAGGAAAACAGTATTTTTTGTTCGAATGTTCTAACCAAAAATTTCCGTTTCTGACAATGAGGAGACCAACTACACAATTTTGAAGTTTTTGTCCTTATCGCCGATCTGACTTTAAAAGTTTATATAAATTTGTTGGAAAATACTGTTTCTCGGAAACTTTTTGTACAAACGTAAGAAAAACGGTCGTAAGAAATTTTTTATCGAATTCTTTTACAATTCGAAAGCAATTTTTGAAAATCGTAATAATTTTTTAAAAATCGATCGCTTACTTGTTGATTTTTCGGTTTTCCAAGCGTTTTCCAAGAAGGGATCGCTGGGAAAAAGACGCAAACAACTAGAAAAACAACCGCAAACCGAAAATCAGTAGTTTCGCTGGGGCGCCATACACGGTCTCCCAGGGCACGGCGACCAAAAGTGTAGAAAGGGGCGTGGCCTAATCTGTGGCGCGTTTTCTGAAAATTACCGCAATTCCAGCACTTTTCCGATATTTTTGTGTTTGATATCGACGAAAGAAGACATTAAAGAGAGAAAACATCGAAATTTTCGTGAAAACGCCGCGTTTGACACGTTTTTGGCTTATTTCGCAATACGCCCTCCGCGGCCAATCGCCGCCGCAATTTCGGAATTTTCATACCGGCCGATCTGGATAGTTTTGAGACGAAGTGAGTGTCGGAAGTGATTAAGCACGTTAATAATTGTATTTTAAGCGTTCAAGCGGCAAAAAGTATCGGCGAATGTCGGAAATTCGCGCATTTTCAGCACGAAAAAACTTAAAATCGATTCAATTGATTCATTTCTGTATGAAACCTGCTCGCTTTAAGCTCAAAAAGTGCGCGATGATTAATTTAACAAAGTTATGCAATTACATCGTCGAAATCGTGCAAAATTCGGGTAATTTTTGACGAAAAACATGAAAAATGGGGTTAAATTTCGATTTTGCGCCAAAATGGTGACAAATTTTGCGCCAAAATGGTGATAAACCGTGCACGCTAGGCCACGCCCCTTTCTACGTTTTTGGTCGCCGTGCAGGGCGCTAATTAGCTTTATTCATTAATGCTAAACACAGTGCGCTCGTAAATTGCGGAGTGTCGTTGTAACTTTTTGAAAATTTGCAGGTCTAAAAATGCAGTTAAATTCGAGTTTACGACATTTATTTATTTCTTTTTAACTTGAAAAACGTCTAGAAAACAATATTTTACTGATTGGAAACCGTTCTTTACAGAATTTAGAGTTTTTCATGTTTTTGCCGATGGTGAACAGGCAATGTTGAACACATTTGCTAACGTAAGATAGGCTTTTTTACTTGCTTATGCTTATTTTAGCGAATTTTGTCGTCAGATATCGATTGAAACTTACTTTAGCGTTTATTTTCGTAAAAAACTAGAAATTTGGGTTTTCAGGTCAATTTCCCGTACTAATTAGTGGAATTCCGTCTCCGTCCCAAAACGAGACTAATTCGGTGCATGTCACATTTCGAATTCATTTCCAACGCCGAAATGTGTCACTCGCCGTCTTTTTACGATTTCTGTGACTCATTTTGTACACCTTGCGAGTACGCGTACCCAAAAAACAACCCCAAAAAACGAATTTGCGCAGAGAGTTCGAGAAGTCCCACTTTCACAAAAAGCTCAAATTTCGGTTCGAATTTTCCGAAGGAATTTTAAAGGAGTCGATGTCTGAATACATTTTCACCCAAAAAATTGTCTATTTACCTCCCCCCCCCCCCTATCAATTTTCCGTTTTTACGCCTCCGCCATCACACCGTTTGCTCTTTCGTCTTATCTTTTTCCGCCGCTTTTTTAAAGCAAAACAACTATTGTCTATAATTTTCTCTGTTACTGAGAATGAACACAAATTATTGCAGCAGTCATCCCGAATGATTCGCCGTGAAAGTTCGGAATTTTTGCGACAAAAACAAAAGCAGTGGGAGAGGGAAAAAGGTGAATTTTTTAAAATAATTATTTTCGGTTTCAAACAAAGTTTTTGAGCTGATGGCCCTTTTTTTGCAGCCGACTCTGAAAATCGATCGGAATGGTTTCCGTTCGGCGAAAATACGACTCCCGGCGGAGGATCACCGCTCAGAAAACATGCTCCGAAGGGGAAAGAGCTCCACGAGCACTCGGTAAGCTTTTTCGAAATTTCGATGTTTCAGCCACTCGTATAGTGCGTGTAGGCGTTTTTAAAAAAGTTCGAACATAGAAAAGTACCTGGCAAAATTACAAAAAAAGATTAGGAAAGCCTCTGCATGACTCTTTCTTGACTCAATAGCCCAAAGGGATAAAATGTTCTCATGCTAGCAAAACGCTTCTAGAATGTGAGCGGATCGCAACTGAAATCCACATTTCAACACAAAAATGAGACACAGTTTCAGGCAGTCTCCGTAAATCATCGCTGACATTCTTTGAAATGTTCTTGTAAAATTCTTGAAACCGAAATTGTTTTGTCCACATTTTCGATGTCTCTTCCAGCCCATTGAACACAGAATTGTAGCATTGTGTTCCTATACAATGCCGTCATTTTTTTTTGCCATACACATAGCTTCTCCGACGATTTTCCGATCAATTTGGCCTACTTTTCTGGCCAAATGAAGCCCCATTCAATTTTCACGTCATTCCGAGTCAAAGAGCATGTGATCGGGCTCTTATCAAACATTTTTCTGTTGTTATCACATTTTCGGGGTTGAAACCCCGAAAATGTTGCCATTTAGCCAAACATTTTCGCTAGTTTTTATGACCTCCCCAATTGCTTTTGGCGATTAAAACCGGAAAAAAAATTGGCTCCACAAAGCTCCAGAATATTTTGTAATCCCTTTTTTTTCTTCATTTTAAATTAAGACACCTAAAGTATATAGATATTATCGTTTCCATCCTTTCCGATTTTCTTTGTGGTCACACACACACACACTGCGCAAAGCGTCGAAAAGGGGCGGAGCCTCCTTGTTCGTTCAGACCGTAATCCGATTAAGTTTTCGCCGACGATTTTCTCGCTTCGATTCCAATCGAAACGCTCGCTCGCGATTTTCGTTTTCTTGTGAGAAACCGAAAAACCATGCATCTAATGAGCGTTTGATTTCTAAAATGCTCACCAAATTATCGATCGTTCACCGTTTTCTCGAAAAAAAAAGACGTTGTAGCCCGGTACCCCCAAATTTTATCCGAAAATAGTTTATAAATGTGGCTTTTTTGCAGGAAGAATCAGAAGTGAAAACCCAGGAATCGAGCAGTGGGACCATGTTGCCCAGCAATAATTCTACACAAAAATGTTCGCCCGAAAAAATGGTAATTTTTCAATTTTTTTAAAACTCGATGCCTGGAAGTACATTTGAGAAAGTTGTGAAACTGTGAATTTTTGAAAAATGAATGCTAATAAGCTGAAATTCACAGAAAAAGGCAAAAAAGTGCGCTTTCTTGTGGGCACTGATAATTCTGATAATCCCCCGTTTCACCTCATTTTCCTCATTTTCGGAACAAATCTCCAACTTTTGTTTTACTTTTGTTTCCAACGACACTCTCCTTATTAACGAGGGCCAAATCTCTGTCAAAGGCGTTCCGAGAACAGCCGTTTCTCTCTTCGTCTTCCGAAAAGTACCTTAAAACATTTTGTGATTAAAAAAACAGTTAAAAAAAAACTTTTTTCGATCTACAAACAAGTGTTTGATCTTGATACGAACGGGAGGTTTTAAGACCGCGGTCATGCGCTCGACGAGAGTTTCTTGTTGTTGTTGTGGAGGTTTAAGAAGATGTACTCGCCATTTTTTGAACAAAACGTCAAACTCCGATCCTCGCAATTCGACACGACACGTCTATTCACATCATTAGACACATAAAGTGATCTTTAAAAACATTCCAGGCACCTGCACCGCCCGAATCATCCACGTACTCGTTTCCCGTGTTTCCCGCCTACGCGTTTCCCTATCAACTGGCTCCGTTTCAACAACAACAACAACAACATGCTCCGGCGTCGGACGGAAAAGAGCCGTCCGATACGAGACTCCGAAATTACGCCCAAACGACGACGACGATGCCGTTTTTTGCGCCACACTATCAAGTGATTCCGGCCGGCGCAATTCCGGTCAGCACTATTGTGAGTTGACCACTTTTTTTTGTATTTAATAAGAAAAATTAGCCCTAGGATAATTTGTTCAAATGTGAACTTCAACTGAAAATGAATTGTATTTGTTTCAGAACATTGATCCATCACAACTATGTCCGGTTGACCAAATGGGAATGTGGACGATGCCGCCGCCGCCGCCGCCGCCGCCGAACGCTCCCAATGGAAGTAAGGGTTTTCGAAAACCGCATTTATTGCTTCTATAATTTTCGCTTTTCAGTGCGGTACGGCATCCCGATCCCCGCCCCGTTTGTGCCTCAAATCACGGCCGCAATGAGCTCGTCGACGTGCTCGGCCGCCGTTTTGAATGCGATCATGAGCTCGTCCGCCACCGACTCCTCTTCCTCGTCGGAATCCGGCGTTTCGGGAGTCAAAGACGGCGAGGATGCGACGGAGAAAATGAAGAATTCGAAGGCGAGCGCACAGCATGAGGAACGACAGAGCACTTCGGATTACACGGGTGAGCACATTCTACGGCCACAAAACTAATGAATACCTTGAGAAGAAGTGTCGTCGACGGGTTCTTCCTAGGCTTGATAGGCTTGATTTGATAGCTTTCTGATGTCCTCCAATGATGCAAAAATGCATGAATCTCTATGTATTATCGATATAATAACCGGGCCGCTTTTAAAGATCAGAAGACATCTCTATGTTTGATTTCTGTTTCTAGGCGACGGCCACAACTTTAACTGCGCGCTGTTCAGGCATTTCTGAGAGTTGGGACTCGCTCGGACAGTGAATGTGGCAATAGAAGAAACATGCAGGATTCCGCCCTAGCCCTTTAAATTTTATTGCTATACATACATACACTTGCTTTACTCTCATTTTGCAGACGACGATCCGATTCCGCTGACACGTCGAAGCACGGCCCATTCGAGCGGCGGATCCAACGCCACGCACGCGTTTTGCGATTACGAGCAACAAATCGCCGAGCGGCGACGGTGCGAACAGGAGCGGGAGGATCGCGAACGGGCCGAAATGCTGGAAGTGGAACGGCAGAGACGCGTTCTCGAAGACCGGCGGCAGACGGAAGAGGAGAAGCGGAAGGAAGCGGAGAGGGAGCGGCTGGAGGTAGTTTTTTAAAACTCCTTTTTCTACTTTTGATGACTCTCAATCTTTGTCGAGACAAGTTATCGCTTTCTAGAGAATCCTCTAACCAATGATTCCCAATACTGTTTTGCAGGAAGACCGCCGCCGCGCCGACCAATTCGCCGCCGCGATGGAGAAGGCGAGAAAAGAGGCGGAACTTCTGAAACGGACGAAACTCTACAAACACGTGCTGCGCGGCGCCGAAGAAGAGGGCGGCGCCGACCAACTGGGCGAAATGGAGCAGAAGTTGTTGGGAGTCGACTGGGAGACGGGCCGACGCCTTCTGAAGGAGGTGTCCGAGGTGGAGTGGCACAAGAAGCAGGACGAGAAGGAGATTTCGAAGAAGGCGCCGACGGCGGCAACCAATGCGGAGACGAGGAACAACACGATGGCAGCGAATAGGGCGAGGAGCACTTCTATTGTGAGCCATTTTGAACACGTTTTGGGGGATTTCTTCTTTCTTTTTTTTTTGGGAATTGTTGTGATTTCTAGTTTGTGCTCGTTATTTGTAGCTTTTGTGTGCATTTTCAGAGCTCGCCGAGCAGCCCGTTCCTTCGAAATGGAGTCGGCCGCCGATCGGTGCGGACGACGAGCCGCGAGAAGCAGGAGATTACGGTAGTCGAGCCGGAGCACTCGATAAATGAGCAATGGAGTGGAGCCAGAAGGTTGGAGAGCAGCTTTTTGTGGTTTTTTGGTTAACAAATGTTTCATGTTTCAAAACAAATTGAAAGAAAATAACGTTCGTTTTTTATGTTGCTTACTCGGAGAAGTATGCGGTTGATAATGTTGACAAGGTTTGATACCGATTAATAATCGATGTTCAAATTTTTTAAAGCTGTTAAAATTTTATTAGTAGCATAGAATAAGCAAGTTCTCGTCTAGTTTACTAGTCCTATCAAATTTCTTGGTCAAACGAATTTTTACCAATGTCTACCTATATCCCCGACCTATTTTGTCTGCCAATTGGAATAGTGGACGAATGCGTGCAAATGTATGCAGATATATGCATTCTCGAGAGAGAAAGAGCGAGAGAGGAAATCCCATAAAGAAGAAGGAGAAGAAGAAGAAGGTGGTCACTCTCTCTCTTTTCCCGCATTTCCTCCCTTCGACCATTTCGGCCTTTTTTATTCGTTTCCCAAGACTACATAAGATTTAGAAGAATAAAGTCGCCTGGGAACTCTTATTATAGCTCAAGTTTTATTTAAAATTTTCTTTTGACATTGAAAAGTAAAACTACGAAATTTTCCTACTTAAACTAGAACTATGCTCAAAACGTGTTCAAAATTGGTCACTAGTCCGAAATTTATGAAAATTGTACTAGTTACACACACGCATTTCCATACATTTTAATTCAAAGTGTGGTAGTGGCGGGCGCGGGGGCTAATGAGAGCATCTCTGCGCGTCTCGACAATTTAATGGGCAAACGGAGGCACATGCTAATTCCCTTTTGCGTTCATTACACTTCAATGATGTATGGCTCGGATTTCACAAGAATTTCATTCGAAAAGCAAATGGCAAAATGCCGGCTCAGGCTTTTTGTGGCCTGGACTTTTGGACCACTTGCAATGATCCGATCGGGGCGAAACTTTGCAGGGTTCTTGGATTTAAATTGATGGATATTGGATCCGAGTTTCAAACTAATCGGATCATCTGGTCCCGAGATAACTGGATGAGAGGCCGAGGTCGGTCTTTCCGGCCTCAAACTAGTATATCTCGGGACCAGATGATCCGATCGGTTTGAAACTCGGATCCAATATACTTCAATCCAAGTCCAAGAACCTTGCAAAGTTTGGTCCCGATCGGATCATTGCAAGTGGCTCAAAAGTCCAGGCCATCTTTGTGTACAATTTATTTTTGCATGGATACGCAGCGAGAAGTGATGTGTCACACACACACACACACACTCGCACAGTTATTTATTCATACATGCGTAGTGGAATGGAATGGCAATATGGTATATAGTGTGTACATATGAATGTACACGTACTATTATCGGTTTGCATAATCCACGAACCCACCCCGAACAGCACTAGAACACTTTTTAATACATTTTTTAAACAAACAAATTTTCCGTATTTTCAGACCGGATCCCAGTCCTCGACCGCAATCAGCAGCTCAAAATCGAAATTGCGAAGGCCTACGCCGCCTCGGACCGTCAGGAGCCCTTCAGCAGGCGAACAATAGCGAAATGCTCAAATCGGCCAACTTCTACTGCCCGATCAACCGGGAACCGATTTCCTATCGCGAAAAAGTAGGAGAATCAGCGGAATTGACTCGAGAATGAGAATCCTGGCTTCGAAATATGTTTATAGAAATTTTCCGCGCTATTTCGGTACTATCCGGCTCTTGGCACGTGTTCTCGATGTTGTTAGTCCCTTTCTCGCCCTCTCTTACACTAATCGGTCGAAAAGTACGTCAAGAACACGGATTATAGCGTTATCGGTGCGAATTTGACGCATTCTCAACTTTTTGTCTGCAAAACCAGACTTGCAACGGGCCGGGCCGGCCCAGCCCGGCCCGGGAGGATGCACCTAAAAATTCAAAGCGAACTAGAACTTCGAAACGAACATAATTTTATAGACTTAAAATTTTATAGACTTAAAAAGGCAATGTTATAGCATAAAAACCTGTTAAAAAATAGAAATTGCTGTTTAAAGTCGCAACATTTTCACAAAAATTACGAAAATTTTCTCAAGAGTGGGCGGAGCCGGGCCGACCGGGCCGGGCCGGGCCGACGATTTGCTGGCCCGGGATTTGGCAAGTCTGTGCAAAACTGATAAAATTTGGGGCAAAACACGCTAATCTTTGGATTATTGACACTTCGCCTCAATTTTCAGCCGACAACAACAACAACGGCCGTCGGCGGGCGACACAATGAGATTACGGTGAGAATTTGAATATTTTGCGCGTTTTTCCCCAAAATGAGCGGAAATTGAGCTTTTTGAGTGGAATTTGCACATTTCTCTGCAAATGTCGTCAGGTAAAATGTGGGGTACGCAAACACCGCGACGAGCATCTCTGCGGACTTGGCATTTGAATTTATGGCGTTTTTGTTGAGAAAATTCGAAATTACTCAAGTTTCCGCCTTTTCTTTCGAACCCTTCGATACTTTCGCACATTTAGGCACATGCGGAAGCTATTATCACCCTAAATTTCAAAAAATTCTCAGTTTCCCAGAGGCATTCCAAAAAACACCGTTTTCCCAGATTTACAGGTTTGTGCTTCAAAAAACGTGTTTTTTCTGCCAGGATTAGGTTGAAACACGTAGAGGAACTTTAGAAAGCGAAAAATCCCTCAAATTTTACCATCTCTATCTGAAACACTTTTTGTCTGCAATTTTACGACGACGCGAACACTTGGAGGGTGTAAAACGGCCGACAAAGCTATCATCGCGTTTATAATGATGATATCGGACACTGCGACAGTCGGTGCCTTCCTGTTTTCTTCACTTTTTCCCCTCATTTCCGATCATTTTTCGGTGGTGCGCCCACACACTCACACTCACTCGAATGTTTGTACAAGCTGGCCGAGCGGCTGGAGCAACCCAGGAAATGCTGAGAAAAGAACACTTTTTGCCATTTTCCAGTGATCAGATCGCCACTTTTACACGTTTTCAAGTTTTTCCATCTCGTGCCCAAAATGCTCATTGAGCACCGTCATTCTTCGCGATAACGCGGTCATGTCGCCGCTTTGAACTGATAAAAAACGGCAACACTCTCTCACTCTTCTCATTTTTCACATTTTTACGCAAATTGCGACGTCAGCACGCGCCGACCCCACCCAGTTCCTCTTTTCACTGATTTTGATATAGGATTATGAGACCGGAAAAATATTGATGTAATTTTTGAGAAGTTTCATTCCAGTTTAGGAACTTGTGTTTCAAAAAAAAAAAAAACGTTTTTTTCCCACCTTTTTTTTTGTTTGGATAGCCAGGCAAACTCTTTTATTCCAATCGGAATAAACGAGAAACGATCGGTGTCGGGTTACACCGTTTTTCCCAATCTTTTCACCAGTTTTTTGTACCTGGCAGCATCGTTTTTTCGGTTTTTGGCTAAAATACTGTTTCAAACATTTCTCGAATAGTTTTGGACATGTTTCAATTCTCCGTGCTGCTCTTGTTCTATGCCCAGAAAACGAATAATTAATTGACTTGCAAGTCAAAAAAAAGTGGGGGTTTTCGCCGTTTGTTTGTCCACGTTTCATGGTCTATTCAACACGACAACACATACGAAAGCGGTGTTCAAGGCGGCTTTTGCCACACCTTTTTGCTGGGAAGTGGTTTTCGGAAAATACCCGCTGAAAATTGACAAAATCCCACATTTTCCCCGCCTACACACTATTTTTGTCCGTTTTCTTCGGCTTTTTATCAATTGGCGCCAGTATCATCACATTCACACAATATTTCCGTTTTCCGTCTTTTCGGCGGCGCCGATTTTATCGGTTGTGTTCTGAACGACCAAACTTTTGCTGATTCTAGTGGAAAAGGAGTGGTTTTGATAAAAATGGGGAAATTTGCAAAGAACTATCCAAAATGCCCTTAGCATCTTTTCTTTTCAGTTGACAATTTGTGAGCTGTAGCATGTTTTTGTACAAATTAATCTTGAGTGATCCGAATAGAATAGAATGAATAGATTGTGATGATGGTCGTAAATTATGAGAAGCATCGATTTATACGAAGAACTAGGCGCCGGAAGAAAAATGGATGGATGATATCTGCCGCTGACGCTTTTCTCTCCTTCTCTCTCTCTCTCTCTCTCTCTCTCTCTCTCTCTCTCTCTCTCTCTTTGTCGCACCAATCTGTTGAGGTGTGTAATACTACACAAAACACTGATATTGGCACGCAAAGAGAGAGAGAGGGAAAAATGACCATTGGCTACTTGGGTTCACCTCTCTCTTTTTTTTTGTTGATACTGCATTGCCGATTTTCGATATGATTTTTTTAAAATTGATTTGCAATTTGCCACTATAACAATTCGTTTGTCACCGCCATTTTTCGAAAGCATTCCCAATGACGCAACTAGCTGTCCGGCGCGATGACTCATAGACAATGTCATTTTCGTGTTTCGCAAGTTTTTCCTGAAACGTTTTCGTTTTTTTCGTCTCGTATTCGATTGGGAAACCATGATTTTCCGGCGAACATGTGCAATTCAATGCGATTTTATAGTCTCCCGCTTCTTCTCTCTTTTTCATTTTTCGCCGAATCGCTCCTAAAATCGTAATAATTTGCGCGGTGCGGGACATGTGTTGCGCAGATGTGCGCGCAATTCGGAAACTTTACCAGTGTGCACACGTCGACACACACAATTTCATTGATTTCATCGAAAAACTGAGCTTTTCAGGCCGAAAATCTGAAATTTGTCGTCAGATTCCGTGTGTGGTACGCGGTTAGAATTACTGTAGTAGGCTTGCGGACCTTGCATCTTAGTTGGCGACAATATGGGGAAATTTGAGGTTTTTGAAGGGGTTTTGTGGTTTTCGCTGGTTTGTAGTTTGTGATTGAGCATTTCCCACTTGAAATTCAGCTCAATATTACCGTTTTCACTATATTTTCACGAGTTTTCCTCTAAAAGGTGTCATTTTTGCAGCAATCCGCACTTTTCGGACCGATCGCCACGCGAATCAGTGTGAGGCGTGGACAAATGCGCGGAATCGGAATGCAGTCGCCGACGAGCGTCAGATTGGCGCAAAAATCGACGCGCAACGAGAGGACGTCGAGTTTCGAGGAGAGCAGCAGTGGCGGCGAGGACGGCGGCAGCATTTCGCCCGAGTTGAGCCACAAGTGAGCATTATTGAGCGAATTCTGGCCTAAGTCTGTTTTTTTGCAGAAATTTCGAATCGCCGCTTCCCTCGTCGACGGAAAACGTGCACCCGACGCGAAACTCGCCGCCGCTCGGAAAAAATGACCGAAATGCGGAGATTGGAGGATTTGAGTACCCGAAAGTGAGCATTATTGTTTCGATATGGACGTAGCGAAGTATTGCTACTCGAAACAATGTTTTCTACCAATTTCACAATTTTTTGCAGACTCCACGCACACGCAGCGCCCTCGGCACCCCGATGAGCCTTCTGAACGGCGGCGACTCGCCAATGGGTCCCCACTCGTCCACCCATGCACTCGGCCGCACGTCTCCGTCTGTTTCCCGTCTCATGCAGCGTCTCGAGCAGAAAGGGACCGTTCGCCGGGACGCGGAACCGAATTTGAGCGAGGAAGTGCGCCGGCTGGCCGAGACGAACCTCTCGCGATCGCCCTCGATGGCCTCGTTGCGCGGATCCATCCAGAATCTGTCGATCCGTGGAAGCCACCTCAATCTGGCCGGAGATCCGTCGCCCAATTTGAGCAAATTCGCCAGTGTTGTACGTTTCTTTTTTTCCGTTTCAAATAATGTTTTTTATGTTCTACCTACCAACGGTAAAAATCGATTGATAACTATTGTCGTCAGGCAAGATCCGGGCTCTAAATAGACACCACTTATATAGGGTTAAAATACACTTTAAATACAAATTCTGCAGTCTTCGCCCGCTCGCCAATCGCTGACTTCGCTCAAAAAGACGACGGACCGTCAGACGGCCGTTCTGGAGCGTCTCAGTCGTCTACGAGAATCGCTACACGCCGGAAAGAACTATACGCCGCCGCGTGGCATCTCGTCGCGACTTCCGACGCCTTCCGGCACACCGCCCGTCTCTCCGCGTGCCGTTTTGTGATGATAAATGAGAAAATCGTGTGCCTTTTCCTAGCCATTCCCCGCCCCCAGTTTTTTGATGTGCTTTACTGGACCCACTTGGATGTTTTATGTGTGTGTTTTTTTTTTGGTAAAAACATTTCACTTTCCTCCTCCCCCGCCTGCCTTTTCTATGAAATAGACCCCCAATCAATCATTATTCTGAAAATTACGGATTTTTCGCCTCATTATTTTATTCTATTTAACCCACACACACACATGGCTGGACAATTGGCCGGCTCTCTTCCGATCGGACAAAAACTTGGCAGGATTATCGGGCTTGGATTGAGGGCCATTGGGGCCAAGCTTCAGCCCGATCGGATCATTTGGTGCCGAGGTTCCGATCGGATGGGGACCGGCCAATTACCCAGCACTGCACACACACAGAATATTATTATTATTATTATTATTATTAAAAATGACAATGTTTCCCCCTCTCGCCTCGCCCCAATATTGATGATAATTGAGCACAAATGATGTGAATAAGACATTCCAATTTGGGAACACTATTTTTTGTCCGATGTATTGTGTGCAAGTCTGTGGAAATATTGGATTTTAACGGAGAGAAATGACAAGCCTCGATAACGTTTTTGCAGACGAATGGCCTGGAAAGGACGTTTTTATGGGGTGAGTTGGATGTTTTGCTCGATTTGTAAAAACGATTTTTCCAGTTCTCGCCGCTCATTTACTCGGATTTTCTGCTCGAATGGCTCATTTTTGTGCACATTTACGTGCTCGCCGCCTGGTTGGCCGTCAAAGAGGCCGTTTTCGACAGTGGACATCGATTGACGGTGTGGAACATTTTTTCGTTGCGGCGTACATCCACATCGCACCGCCCATCTCTGTTTTACAGAAAATAAAAACCGAACTGACCCAGGCGCGCTTATGGACGTGGAAAACGACGAAACGACGGAAAATTCTGGTGGTCGGAGGCGATGGAACCATCGGAAATGAGGTTGGAATGGACAATTCTTCGAAGCAGATGTTGGACCATCTTTTTTTTTTGACCGCTCAGAGTCCGAAATTCGTCACCACAGTTCCTCTTTCACTAGAGCCGCAGGATTTGATAATTTCAGGACCTAAATGGACGTCTTTATCTCCGGTTTGTCTTGCTCGTTGTACCGTTCCGCCAGTGGTCTTCCGGGCACTTTCTGCAGTTCAGAATTGAGCGGGAGAGCTCAACGGAAGAACACGGAAGAATTTGTATCTTTTTTGGAAAATTTTTTCATGGAATGTGATCAACTGACAAAATGTATAGCAAACTGAACTCTGCTAATAAAACAATAATTGTAAATTTAAATTTTCATGCAAAAATGTTATTCGAGTTGTTCCGTGAAAATGTCCTTCCGTCTTCCGTTAGCCCCCTTTTTTCACGCAACAACTCGAATAACTTTTTTGTATGAAAAGCTAAATTTACAATTATTTTTCTATGGGCACAGTTCACTTTGCTATACATTTCGTCAGTTGATCACATTCCATGAAAAAATCTTCTAAAAAAGATAAAAATTCTTCCGTGTTCTTCCGTTGAGCACTTCCGCTCAACTCTGCTGCAGTTCCTCCTTTCGCATCGGATGGCAAAAGTTCGGCTCCGCATCAATGTGTCCACTGGAAATGCTCGATTTGCCCGGCACGATCATAGGGACCGCGAGGAGCGCAGGGAGAACGAGGACTTTCGGGCGGACAAGGCAAGAAGGGACGGTCCGGCAAACCAGGACAGCCGGGAGGAATCGGAGCGAGCGGGAAGTGAATGGACGGAAGGGATCGCCCGGAGAGAATGTTATTGCGGGAGAGGGAATCAAGGGACCAAGACCTCTTTGTGAAGGGTGAAAAGAGAATCCTGATGTTTCTTTTGTCCTTTCGCACCCCTTCCGATACTCCCTCGTGGCTTTTTGGTTCTCGTACTTGATTGCCACATTCATTCAGAAAAGGACCGGTGAGGCGAAATGTCGAAAGTGCAAAGGTTCAATAAAAGCGGTCGAAAAAGATGGTCCAAAATCTCGTTCCCAAACAGAAACACACTGAAATTCTGAAATGTTGTTTGCAGATTGTGAATCTGCTCCAATTACACGGCGATTTCGAGTGCCACGTCGTCGTTCATCACACATTTTCATCGCAAAATTCGCGATGGAATAATGACAAAAATGTGCACGTCTACAGTGTGGATTTGGTCGAAAAAGAGCAGGTAACTTTGGAATGTTCCTTTATTTCCCCCCACATTTTTTCGAGTTCTTGCAGATCCTCCTCCTTGCGGACCGTCTTAAATCGCACGACTTTGAAGTTGGCGTCTTCGCTGCCGGAATAATGCTGTGCCCCGAGTACCGTACCCCGGACGGCGTCGAAATGCACAATGCGGTCAATGTGGTCGGCCAATTGATGCTCTTCGAAGTGCTCCAAACGAACATCCACCGATCCGTGTTCCTTTCGTCGGCCACCGCGAAAACCGCGTGGATTCCCGCCGCCAATGCGAATTTTCTGGGCGCTTATGCGGGGCCGTACCAGGCGTACGCCTCCTCGAAACTGAATTTGGCCGTTTATGTGAAAGAAATGGCCAAGGAGAGGTACTCGCGATTTTTGTTTCGAAAGAACGTAAAACTTGCAGACTGATATCGTCGGTGTCCGTGCATCCGGGTACCGTACCCGGCCGTCTCTACCGTAACGCCAATCCGCTCGTCCGTTACCTGACCGCCACGTGGCTTCCGTTTTGGATGCGGAAGCCCGAAATGGCGGCCGCACTCGTCCTGCACACCGTATTCCGCGACGATTTGACACCCGGCGCCTACTACGAGGACACTGATGAAATTGACATTTTCCGATGGATTCCCCACGAGGTATACTGTAGTTTTTAGCGAATTCAAGTTAGAAATCGCCTTTTTCTTCTGAAGGACCGTCATCGAATCTACAACACAATTCATCGGAGGATCGAAATGTGGATGGAACATTGAGAGTTCGGACAATATTTATCCACTTTCTGAAAATGAAATATTATGAGAATGGTGCTGAAGAAAAACCAGAAAATGTATGTTTCAACAACAACGAATGCGGGCAAAAAAAAACAATCGAGATCGTTGGAGCAAAAAGGAGGAAAAGGGTATTTTGGCCAGCAAAATTGGGAGGGGGGATAAAAAAGCATCTACTAAACGCGTAGAAAATGGTTAGAATTGGTGAAATCGAGTGAGAGAAAGTCGGCGCTGAGCGGATTGTTGAGGTCCTCGAGCAGGTCCTCGAAACTCGCTTCCGGAAGTGGGGCGAGCGTTGGCGAACGGATTGCGGGCGGTGCGGCCATGGGTCTCGACGCGAACGACATCAGTTCGACGACCTGAAGTGTAACAGTTGAAGCTAGGAAAAATGTTCAATTAGAAGCGAAAAATCTGGGTCATTCTAGACAGTATATCTCGGCTGTCGATGGACATATCGAAAATTTGTCAACTGATACATTGTTCGTGAAAACATGGCGCACATTTTATCAGTTGACCACTTTTTGATATCTCCACCGACGGCCGAGATACAGTGTCCAGAAGAAAGAACTACCTCGTGCGGTGTCTTTCCGTACGCCTTCATGAGCGCCTCCAACTGCGCTTCAAAACTGTGATCCGTGATCGGCGAGGGCGGTGTCAACGAGGACGAACTCGAGTTCATGAGCATCAGAAGCGTCGGATCGTGGTCGTTCGGGTTCGGATGGTGTGCGTGTGCGTCCATGTCGTGCAGAAATCGGCGTGGAAGTGCCGGCGTCGCGAACATCATTTCCGGTGAATCCATCGAATTTTCGACGACTTCTGGTGGCCGGGGTGATGGGCGGGGCGTCTGTTCGCGGCACGCGACGACGGCCACTCGTAGCGGTGTGAATCTGGAAAAAAAAGCTCGAAAACGTCCGAGATATATTGGGGTTTGTTCTCACTTCACATGCGTCACATGATTCAGCGGTCCTTTATCGGTGATATTCGACGCGACGCCCCTCACTCGCTTCACGTCGTCCACCGGAAAATATTTTTCGATAATACTCGACACGGGCATGTATTCGAGGTGATAGGTGAGCACGTACTCGATCTGGAAATGGTCTTAGAATCAAAAGATCCCAACAACAAAAAAAACGAGTACCTTCGCCGTCTCGGCAATATCGGAAATGTACTCCAAAATGCTTTTGGCCTGCAATTTCTTCAGCTCCAACGGCTCCAAATGAATGATTTCGCCGCACGGATTACGGTAGCTGACGCACACGGAACCGCCGAGAATGTACGTGAGACGGATGACCATGCAGTTGTGACGGGAGCCTGGAAGAAGATTCTATTTGGAAGGTTCAACGATATGATATGGTTCTCAAATTGTTTTCAATGAAATCTTCACGTTTTGTACAACATTTTTCCAATTGACAACTTTTTTCTAGGACCACTGTCTGGGGTAGTGTGGCTCTTGGAAGTTTGGCGTTAGTTGAGTGCTCTGAAAAGTGGTCCCAACTTTCGAGAGCTACAGTAACCCAGGAAAACGTGGTATCGAAAAGCTATCAATTACAAAAGTGTTTGACTAGCTGTGCACTTTGATTTTGTAGTTGACGACTTTTTGATACGACCTCTTCCTGGGGTACTGTAGCTTTGGAAAGTTGGGGGACACTTTCTAGAGCTCCGAGCTATCCCCAACTTTCAAGTGCTACAGTAGCCCAGGGAGAGGTTGTATCAAGAAGTTGTCAACTACAAAAATGTTCTACTAGACATGAACAATCTCAATAAAAAAGTTTAGAACAATACAATATCGCCGAACCGAGTTCTACACTTTTCAAGATGACTTAAAAACCAACCTAACAAATCGATGACGGCCTGAGTATCCAAGAATCCGTGCATCAGATAGTGCTCCCAGAGCACTTTTACAGCGGCTTTTGGATCTTGAAAGATTTGGAGCACTTCAAGAAAACCTCGCCAAACGGAAAAACGCATTTGGACGGTGTCCGTGTCGAATCGAAGATGGGAGCAGAGCATGTTTTTGAACGAGATGCCTTCAAAAAGATTACTAAGCTACAGTAGCCTTGGAAATGGTTTTACACAAAAGTTGTTAGTTACAAAAATGTAGATCACAATCAGTACTATGTTTTTGTAGTTGACACCTTTTTGATACGACCTCTCCCTGGGGTACTGTAGCCCTTGGAAGTTAGGGTTAGTTTAGAAAAGTGGCCTCAACTTTCAAAAGCTACAGTAGTCTTGGGACAAGATTTACAAAAAAGATGTCAATTACAAAAATGTACCTCATATTTAGTACAACATTTTTGTAGTTGACAATTTTTTGATACGACTACGCCCAAGAGTACTGTAGCTCCTGAAAATTGGAACCACTTTTTAGAGCTCTAGACTATCCATAACTTCCAAGAGCTACAGTACTCCAGAAAGTGGCCGTAGAAAAAAGTTGTCAACTACAAAAACGTTCTATCAGACATAAAGATTTCAGTGAAAACCGCAGTTTCACAAACCGATATTGTCGGTTTCCGATTCGTCGGTGCATTGTTCGCAGTGCATTTTATCCTCCAAAAGCGCGTAGTCGGACTCTTCCATCGAACGCGTCACCTCTCCGTTCACCATGAAATATTGTCGAGTTAGCGTCTTGAATTGGTGCCATGTCAGCGCTGAAATATCGACAAATCGTATCGCAAAAAGCGTCGGGATACTTGAGTTTATCCAAAAAAACTCACACTCATCGCACCAGTTCAACAATAGTCCGTTGATGGTACAAGTACCGTACATCCAAAAACACGTGGCCGTGTACGAGGAGTTCATTCGCTGCACCTGACAATCCTGATTCCGACGTGTACTGATCGTGAACGGAAGGGACAGAGTGCGCACGTGAAAGTTGTCGCCCGACGGCGAAAACGTCCGCGCACGAATGTAGAAATAGAAGAGCGGCCGTTTGCCGACGGTGCCCGCGCGAGAATCCAGCAAGACAGCGTCCTGAAACCCGAAAATTCGGAATCTACGTCAAAAACTACCCCCCGCGGGGCGCCCGGATTTTTCAACATGGTGCATCGACCGGGAACAGTGGCGCGGTCGGAAATTTCTCTAAAAACCAACTTTTTGACGGTCTACGTCAAAAAATACCCCGGGGGCGCGCGGATTTTCGCGAAAAAACGCTTAGGGGAGGCTCCACATGGTGCATCGACCGGCAGGTCGGAAATTGCTCGGAAAAACCCACTTTTTGACGAGTCGTGCACAATAAATGCGGATACGTCGTCTGCCAGGCGTTGGCGTTCTCGCTGAACGTCGGCGGGATCGTCACAAACTCCTGACTGTTCACATCCGACTTTTTGTGCGCCGTATTGCCGCCGGTGCCCTTCGAGTTGGCCGTCGCGTTGTTCCTCTTCACGCCCGTCGTCGGTTTCATCGCGATGAGAGCGGCCGACGCAAAACATTTGGGCTCTCGCGGTGTGCTCGCGCCCGACCGGCACTGCATCATCTCGGTTTGGATGGCGTTCGCCGTTTCCTCGCTGACAATTTGGATGTCGAACGAGCGGTAGATCAACGTCTGCAATTTTGAGTGATATTGTGTGACAAATGATCGCCCCAAAAAAACGCACCCTACAAAGTGTGTGACAAGTGAATGTGAACAGATTGTTGGTGACCATAATCGGCGAGTTGCTCGGCTCGTTGCACATGAGCGCATCGTTCAGAACGTGCTCGTAGGTGACGAAGACCGCGTTGAGCAGCTGCCAAAGCGTCTCGGGCGTCGCGTACGAATTCACCGTCGACGTTTGGCACTCGTAGCGGAATCCTTGAATTCGGACCGCCAAAAGGCCCAACGTGTAGGCGAGCGACGCGTAATATCGCTTGATTTCGTGGCAATCTTGCTCCAAAAGCTTTTCCTGTTTCGCCAGACGATCCACTTGGGAACGCCGAAGATTGGAGTGGAAGCCGGGCGTGTTCTCGGCGCTCATTTGACGAAATGCAGTGAGACACGGCTCCAACTGAATATTATAACTTTTTGGAAACCTCGGCTCATCTGATCCGATCGGTCTGCAATTTGGACCCCGAATACCTCAATCCAAGTGTGCGGCGCCGATCGGATCATCGCTCACCTGTCTCGTAAAAAACGCGCGCATTTTGATTTCGATATTGCAATTCGGGTTGTCCAATTGCGAGTAGAGTCCGTGCAAATAGTGCAACGAGCTGTTGTAGAGCTCGTGAAATCGGTTCCAGTAGAGTTTGGCGGCCGCGCAGACACGTGGCACCCGCATCGGCCGCGCCACGTTCACCAAACGCACGAGCAGGTGGTTGAACGTCTGGCTGATCTCGCGGTCCGTCTCCGGCGGCAAACGCGTCAGCGAGGTGAGGAGTCCCCACGAGAGCACGACCCATTCGTCCTCGAACTCGTCCTCCGAGATGCTCTCCGACGGCAGCGCTGAAAAAAGTAATGCAACGTCCCTTGCACGCATATTATATTATCTATCCAAATTATATATATATTGTCCTCCATCATCACTGATAATATCGCATCCTATCGCCTACAAACATGTCTTGGAATCGAGACGATGGTGGTCATACAATAATAAATCAAATGCGTATCATCATCCGCCGCTATTGTACGTCTCCATAAACACGACACTCCCACGTGGAGAGATCAAAACTCACCGCCTGACACATGCTGAAATTCCAGTCCCAAGTTTGACCATTCGTACTGTTAACCATAGATTTCTGATGCGACGACTCGCACCACGCTTGTCACCGCCCGCTACACCCCAGCAGAATTGTGGTCGAGTGGCGCAGCCGTTAACCGCTGTGCTCACGGGTTCGACTGCCTCGTTACGCGTTTTGCTAGTTCAACTACTCACCCTCAATCCGTTTTTCCAGTATTTGTTCAATGTGATTTTTGAGAATATGCACGTTGCTTCGAACGTTCGCCGCGTCCAGCGCCGTTTGTGGCTCTTTTGTGAGTTGAGCCAGCTGAGAGGGTGACATAAAATTGGGTGTAAAAGTCCGGAAAACTTGTCCTACCAGTTCATATATGATTTTCTGAAAGTGTTCCAGCGTCGAAAACGGAGAAATCGTCTTGTAGAGGCTCGTCATTTTAGCATGCCTGAAGCGGAAAACGAAATTTGTGAAAGCGAGAACAAAAAAAGCGATTCCAGAAAATTAGCAATGTAGACAGTCGATTATGGGGGAGACGAGACCGTGAGAAAAAGGAAATGATCTTCTTCTTCTTCTTCTTCTTCTTCTTCTTCTTCTTCTTCTTCTTCTTCTTCTTCTTCTTCTCGTTTACACCCCCCAAATATGCGAAGAGAGAGAGAGAGAGAGAAAGAGAGAGAGAAAGATAAGAAAAGAGAGACGACGAGAGAAATTACATACATTTTTGTGAGCGGAGACATGCCTAATTGACGCCACGTGACTTGAGGTCGGCAAGTAAAAAGATTGTGAGACAGAGAGAGAGAGAGAGACCAAAAAAAGTGATCAGATGATATTTCGATTGTAGCGGGACTCAGTGCATTTGATAGGGAGACTGGACGGACATTTTTTCGATAAGTAGAAGACGGAAACCGTTAAATCGACAAAAAACTTGAATAAGCAAAGTAACAAGGCTATAACTCAAAAATTTTGGGTTTTCGAATAAAGCGATCAACTACAAAGTTGTAGAGCTTGAAATTTGCAACAACTTTTCAGTTGACCAGTTTTTGAAATAATCATTGAATCTCGAGATACAAGTGTCTAAACATGAGGCTTATCATAAAAACAAGTTGAGTGAATGAATGTGACGTGGCACGACCATTTACTATTAATCTAGTCGGTGGGGTGATGTATCAATTTCTCAATTTGTTTATTTGAAAAAGCGAAACGTTGTATAAACAAATAGACTTGAGTTTCAAAGTTAACTCAAAAGTTTTTGAATGGCAAACCGTCTAAAGCCTCTCTTTTTGTCTGTTTTCTCCAAACTGACACTGAGAGACGGAAGGCAATAAAAAATGGTCAAACACCGAAAAAATCGTTAAAAAAAATCGAGACCACGACTAATTTTATTCTACATAAAGGCCTTGAAAGCGAGGGGGGGGGGATAAGTGATTGCGGAAATGGGAAATGTTTCGTCAGATTCTCATCACTTTTAGCCTACTTGTCTCGAAGGATCCCGCCAGATCGTGCCCCAGCAATCGTTGCCACTTTTTATATTGTATATCGATTATTGACTGCAAAGATGGCGGCGTTGTTAGCAGAGTTGAGCGGAAGAACTCACGGAAGAATTTTTATCTTTTTTAGAAAATTTTTTCATGGAATGTGATCAACTGACGAAATGTAGAAGAGCAAAGTGAACTCTACTCATAGAAAAATAATTGTAAATTTAACTTTTCACACAAAAAAGTTATTCGAGTTGTTCCGTTAGCCCCCTTTTTTCACGCAACAACTCGAATAACTTTTTTGTATGAAACGCTAAATTTACAATTATTTTTCTACGAGCACAATTCACCTTGCTCTACATTTTGTCAGTTGATCACATTTCATGAAAAAATTTTCTAAAAAAGATAAAAATTCTTCCGTGTTCTTTTCGTTGAGTTCTTCCGCTCAACTCTGCCGCCTGGAGAATGGAGTGGACAATAAACTGGAAGAGTCTAGAAAGACTGGGGGGAAAAGCCGAAGAAGCTTGTGAGATGTCTGATGACGAAGAGCAAGTGGAAAGAGAAGCGATGCAAAATTGTTATCAAATGCATATTCATTCAAATGACGGTCACCGACGATGAACCGAGTGGGAAAACTGATAAGAAAAGAGACCGATTGAGCGGGCGGTTTTCGTTGAAATTATTCGAACGAACCGACAATAACAATGAGAGTGACACAAACTCACGTAAACAGATAGATCTACTGTCTTTTCCCGCCTTTCCAAACGCGAGTACGGTCGCTTTAAAGGCGCATAGCAGATATGTGTATGTAAATTCGACCGTCTTCCCAATCGGATATTCGGCTCAATCCTGCCTGAATTCCAGAGTTGAGCGGAAATGGAATTTTGAAATCCGGAAGACGGAAGGCAATTTTTTCCCGGAAGACGGAAGTCGGAACAAAAAAATCGTCAATGCAGAACCTTTTTCTCCGGTTTTTTTTAAAACTAACAAAAACTAACTGTAAAGCAACAAAAAAAAGATTGGATCTGGGTCACTTCCCGTCGAATCGTGACAATTTAAACGTTTTTTTTTTGCCAACGAGAAAAAAGTGCATGCGCCCATCTCCAGAAAACGCTCTTAGAGACCTCTGCTTCGATGATAAAAATAAAATTGAATCAAAATGTTTTGAATAGCGTTTGTGAAGTTTTTGAAGCAGTGTTCAAACGAAACTGCCAGAGAACGTCTAGAAATTTGTTTCGGAAAGTGCACGAGTGAACGGCGCTGCTGAATTTGTTACTTTTCAAGCGGCGCTACCAGACAGAGTTGAGCGGAAATGGAATTTTGAAATCCGGAAGACGGCAGACGGCAGACGGAAGAAAACTTTTTTTTACGGAACACGGAAGACGGAAGACGGAAGACGGAACAAAAAAATCGTCAAAAAATCGATAACTAAAGCAACAAAAATTTTGGATCTGGGTCAGTGCCCGTGGAAATTCGCGTTCTTCGGGACTAGTAAATCGCTTCTAAAAATGTTATCTTTTACGGTAAGGAGAATTTTTCGCGGAAGACGGAAGTCCGCTCAACACTGCTGAATTCATGATAATTTATTTTCCAGAAGATCAGTCTACAAAATCCATAATAAATACGATTATGATATCGATTGATTGATTAATTGATTGACTCTCACACCATCACATCGTCTCTCTTGCTCATTTCGGCGCTGGCGATCGCGAGAAGCGAGCGTCTTTTTCGCGAACAACCGCCACGAGTGCATCCGCAACTGCATCCTCCGCCCTGAAAAAAGGAGCGTCTCTCATGACACGTTCAGATTATTTCGACGTTGCACAGCTTACACCGCCTAAAAGTTGTGGCGATTGCCTAGAAAACTGTTCCCCTAGAGCCTCGCTTCGTTTTTTGTCAGCAACTCACATTGGTGCACGCGTTGGTGCACACCGGCTGGCAGCATTTGCAACACGTGGTCGTCGTCACCGGAACGAGGACGGTCTGTTGGACACACTGCACGCATCCGGGCGTTCCGCACGAGCACGGTGGCGGCGCCGACGGACAGCACGTCTGCAAATTGATCGTGTTCTCATAGTTGGAACTCTATTTATTAAAAAAGGGTACAAACCTGTCCACACATGCCCATAGATCCACATCCGCATCCGCTCATCCCGCCGCAACATCCGCCCATCCCGCCGCACTGTCTTTTCGCGCGAATCGCCAGCGCAGTAGTAGTGGTGTTGCTCGTCGCATTCTCGTCGAAACCACTAGCAAACGAGACGGCGACGAACACAAAAACGAGTTGGAATTGAACGAGGCGTGCCATGATGTGATGAGAATCGGATAATATCGGTCACTTTTATAGGGGGGGCTCGCCGCGCCGGAATGTTTGCTCGCCAAGCAAATTAATCGCAGCGAGGCGGTGGGTGGCAGGCGAGAAGTGCACACACACACACCGAACAACCCGTTTCCGGCAGTTTTATCAACGAAAAATGGTTTCGGGTGGGGATTTTTGTGCATTTTCCACATTGATCACTCCCAATCTTCATGGTCACAAGCTATGGCAAACTTGAGACAGGACGATTTGAGGCGGCGGTGTCGAATGAAGTTAATGGAGTTGCGGGAAGGAGGATTGATTATATCGTGTTCAAAGTTTCGCGAAGGATTGGTGAGCCTTCAGACGCGTCCAAAGTCTCGGAAAAACCGGAAAAACCGCGGGTTTTTCTGTCCAAAGTCGGCCGAAATTTGCGTGAAAAACTACCCGTAAAACTACGGTAGTTTTTGAAAATTTGTTAATTTCCTGAAGATATTTGAAAATATTCAAATTTCTCGCGCAAATTTTCAAAAAATACCGTAGTTTTACGGGTAGTTTTTTACGCAAATTTCGAGCGACTTTGAACAGAAAAACCAGCGGTTTTTCCGAGACTTTGGACGCGGCATTACACGGATAGTGGGTTCGGTGCTCTATTCAAATTTTTCAAGCAGATCACATCGATTTTTGAGCGATCAACAACAATATTTGAACCCAAAGTTCGCTGCCCGCTATTGTCCACTTCTTTTCACTTGATCCGATCGTCCACCCGACGTCTCCTGCTGATCGCATCCCGTCGATCTTCTCAACAAAACCCGTTGTCGGATCTGAACTTTTTGAAATGTGTGGAAGAAGCGTGACAGGATTACTGTAGCAAACAGAGTGGATGAGAATCGAGAAAGCGAGGGCGGAGGGGGGACGCATTTTTAAAAAGCACGTTTTTGTTCGTGTCCGCCTGGACCCACTGATCTTCGTCGCAAAACCGGAAATTATTGTTTTGGACAGGTGATAAGAAAAGTGACCCGTCGAGATTGGAGAAGCCGAAAACGACGACGAAGATTATTCGCATTTTGTGACACAACACTACACTCGAATTCATTTATCGATATGGTTCTGAACACACGTTTACCCGTCGTGCTGCTGCTCGCTGTGCTCGTTTTCAAACAACACGTTTATGCATATAAAGGTGAGTTTCACACACACACTTTTACGCACTTTTACGCACTTGGCACGTCATTTGTAGCGCCGTACTTGCGTGATCGTCCCCGCGGCCTGGGCCTCCTGCAACTGCCGACCGGAATGTCCGACGAGCGTTCGGGACCCATTTTCCCGGGCCTTTACATTGCCGGAAATAAGGTGAACGAGAAGCCGCAGACGGTGCCCGACGTCCATTTGCCCGGACAACCCGCCGTTTTCACCGGAAGGTACTGTAGACGGTAGACGGCTAACGTGGCCTAGAAAACCTAAGCCTAAGCCTAACCAAGTAGCAAAAACCGTCCGCATTCTCAGATCGGCGTTCAATCCGTTCACGCACATGGTTTCGGCAGTGTACGCCGAGGATTTGTCCGATGGTTGGGGAGCCGGAATGGCCGTTAATGTGAGGTTTCAAACGTTTTCTGTCTCAACAGCAGGGAGCGTGGGATTTTTGAGAAACACAAATGCAATAAATTCAGGGAGTCAACGGTCACGGACTGAACGTTCGCAAGAACTTTGACGCGTACGCCGACGTGCCGCTCAACCTCAACGACGGAATGTACCAGCCGTTCATCTCGGCGTTCACCGTCGGCGGCGAGTACGATCCGTCGAAGATCCGCGAAGTGTCGGGCAGTCTCAACTTGCCCGTGCCCGGCGTCAACGAACTGTTCGACTTGGACGGACGTCTCATGGCCAAGAACACGCTGATCGTGAACAGCGCCATCGAATTCCCGCTCACCCTTTCGGATCCGAACGAACGAGCGCCCTACACGTTCAAGGTACGCTCTCTTTCGAAACTTTATGACGATATTATGGTAGAAAAGAAGGCTAGAAGACTGAAGAAAAGAGTAAAATGTGGAATTAAATTGGCAAAAAATTTACAGTTTCATCAGAATTCTTTACAAACTGATTCGACATTGAAAAATGTTAAAACCCACATTCCCCCTCTTTTTTTTCTCTTCTTTCTTTCTTGTTGTAATTTTATTCCTAGGTGGCTGAAGAGAATAAATGAGTTATTATTAAAAGTTGTACAAAGATGACGTTCTAAAAAATGTATTTCAGTACGCTGTGTGGGCTCCGGATCGTCACATGGCCTACGGACACGTGTTGCCGAACGTCAACGTCCATGTCATCGGAAAAGACAAAATTATGGAGCGACTCATGCAGAACAGACTCAATCCGACCATGATCGGATAGATAATGCTTATTAACACAATAATAATAATAATAATAATATATGTACTATTAATAATTTGAATTATGAGTATTTATTCTGGTGTTCAGCTTTATTTATTCCCCCTCCAAAAAAGACAATTGTAATTCGATATCCTAAAAACAATAAATTCTGTAATAAATTCCGAAAAAGCAATTTTGACTATAAGTTAGTGTCAAAAAATTGCAAATTGTTCAATTGACATGTCAGAATTTTTTCCGAATTTTTCAACGCCGTTACGCCTATTTTTCAGGATTTTTTCCGAGAAATAGAATTGTCAGTCGTCCAACGACACTCCGAAATTCCGTAAGGCGCCCGGTTTATCGTAAATCCACCCGAATTTTTTGCGCCGAAAAAATTCGTTTTCACCCATTTCTCGTCTATATTTCACCATTTTCTATGCTTCTTTTTGCATTTTGCGTTGAAAAATCACAAAATCGATATTCCAGACACATGACAACGCGATTGATCGTCAAAAACTTGCCGAGCAACTGCACGGAAGCGCAATTGCGAAAACATTTTGAAAAGTACGGAAAACTGTCCGACGCGTCGTTGAAATACACAAAAGAGGGAAAGTTTCGAGGATTCGCGTTCGTCGGATTTCTGGAAGACGGCTCCGCGGCCACCGCGCTCGCCAAAACCAATCAGACGTTTTTTAACTCGAAAAAATTGACGGTTAGTGGGAAAAAATACGGAAAAACAAGAGGGAAATCTTTAGGTGGAAGAATGTCGTCCGTTCGGCGACGCGAATAAGCCGCGAGCCTGGAGCAAGTACGCGAAAGACTCGAGTGCCTACAAACGTGCTCACGGAGCCGAAGAGGATCAATTGACTGAAAAATCTGGACATTTCGAAGAGCCGACCGCGAAAAAACCGAAAAATGACGAGAAATTCGATCAATTTATGGAGGCGAAGCGCGTTCCCAATGAAAAAGAGGTCAAATTGAGCCAGGATAAATCGGCGGAGGCGAAAAAGTTGATGGCCGAGTTGATGGACGGAATTGAGGGTGAGCAATTGACAATTTATGTTATTTCGATAATTAAAGTGAAAAACCTGACATTTGTTCGGCAAGCACTTTTTCAAATGTAAAAAATTGCAGGAGACACCTCTCTTTCTCTAATTTTCTCGGGATTGCCGAGTTCGGCAAAGGGAAAGAATCTGAAAGAGTGGCTGAATCCGATTAGAGTGAAAGCGATGAAAATCGCGCGAAACGATGACGTGGCAGCCGCATTCGTGTCGTTTAATCGGCCGCCCGATGTGCGGAGAGCCCTGCTCAAAGATGGACAATATCTCGGCGGATTCAAAGTTGGAATCGAGAAGGTTCGCCTTTTTTCGGAAGAGAAGCGTGCGAAAAAGCACAGACGCAGGCGCAAAACTGTTTCCTTGTTGTAAACTGCGCATTTTTCCAGATCGAAACGCCCGAACCGCAAAAAGAAGGCGTCGAAGAAGAGCACGGCGCGGAGCTGGAATCGCGTCAGAAAGAGGAAGAATCGATTCGGGAGAAGATTCTCGAGACCGGACGCCTTTTCCTTCGGAATTTGCCCTACGCGACGAAAGAGGACGATCTACAGTATCTGTTCAAAAAATATGGAGAGGTTTCCGAGGTTCAGGTACGGCAAATTTATAATTAAAATGAAGAACAAGCAATATGAAAATTATTTGTTGTTGCAATTTTCAATGTCAGTTGAAACAGCCCATTTTTGCAGGTGGTAATCGATAAAAAGACGGGATTGTGCAAAGGATTCGCCATCGTCGAATTCGTGTTTCCCGAGGCCGCTGTGGCCGCCTATTCGGCCACGGACGGACTCGTTTTCAAGGTGAGAATAGCAATTCATTTTCGTTCCTGAGAAAAGAACGTAATGGTGATAGTACAACCTGTCTATTTTCACTCTGATTCAATGTTGTGTCATCCCTATTCTCAAGTCTTTTAGACCATTACGCATCCTGATAACTTTTGAAGAGTCTCTTTTCTGAGCAATCTTTTTTATGTTGTCCGAGTTTAAAAAGACTTCCAGGTCTGATCTGTACTATCACCATTACTTGGGACCGTTCTTCCCGGACAAATCGCAAAAAGTTTATGTATAATTTGCAGGGCCGAATGATGCACATTTTGCCAGGCGACGAAAAACGCGACAAACCGGAAGAAGAAGCGGACGCGGAAACGGAAGCGGACGATCCGGACAATCCGATGAAGAAGCAGGAGAAGAAGAAGAAGTCGTACAAGGAGGAGAAGGCGTCGAATCAGAAGGCGTCGGCCGAAAAGAGCGCCCACTCGTGGAACGCCCTCTTTTTGGGCGCCAACGCCATCGCCGACACACTCGCGCAGAGGCTCAACGTCAAAAAATCGGATTTGCTGACCAGCGATCAAGGTTGTTGATATGAAAATGGCTTCAAAAATATGTGTTCTGAAGATCATTCGCTAGTAAAACAGATATACTTTGGGAAAGAAATGTCTTGCTCCTCGAAGTATATCTGTTTTAGAAAAAAACAGTGTAAAAATGTCGAAATTTCAGGTGAATCAGCGGGAGTCCGTCTGGCCCTCGCGGAAACCCGTCTCGTCCGTGAAACCCGTGATTTTTTCCTCGAAAACGGCGTCAAGTTGGACGCATTTTCAAAGGCGGCGACGAAAAGATCGGATACGGTGCTGCTGGCCAAGAATTTGCCGGCGGGCGTGGAGACTGACGAGCTGCGGAGAATGTTCGACAAGTTTGGAGACTGCCAGAAAGTGCTCATGCCTCCTGGTACGTTCTTTCTCGAGGGAACACTTGAACTAGTAGTACTAGTCTAGTACAGAAGCAGAGTAACAACAATCCAACAATTTTTATCGCAAAAAGATTGTTGTTGTTAGCTTTGCCAGTATTCGGTATTATGGCAGTATTTGACTGCAATCGCGCTCTGTTTAGAAACTCTTTTTGCAGTGCAAATTGCAATGACCTCGGGGCCGAGTTTGAAAAGCTGGGCCACATTTTCAGTGGAAAATTAGTTCGCGGCCTAGAAGTTCGGCCAGATTGCGAACAGAGCGCGAATGCAGAGAAATACTGGTATGGAGATTTCAGAATACTGGCAAAGCTAACAAAAAACGGCTCCCCGACGTTTCGCAATAAACGTGAACGATTTAGCGATAAATTGCACTGTCAAAGTTGCGAAACGTCTTCCCCCATGCACTTTGACAAACTGCTGATTTGTGTGAATGCTTGGCAACAAAAATCCGGAAGAAATCCCATGGCCTAGGATTTCTCTAGGCCACGTTAAAATCTGTTTCTTTTTTGCAGAGGGCGGTGTGAGCGCGCTGATCCTGATGGGCAATCCGGTGGACGCGAAAAAGGCGTTCCGTGCGCTCGCGTACTCGCGATTCCGCAGTCAGCCGCTCTACCTCGAATGGGCGCCGTTCGACGTGCTCGGCGAATCGGAAAAACCGCAAAAATCGGCGAAAAATGCGGAGGAGGCGCCGAGAAAATCGAAGCGCGAAATGACGTATGAGGAGCGCAAAAAAGAGCGAAGCACACGTCAAAACGGCGAGGAGGAAAATGACGGAGAAACGGAAAAAGAGGAGGCTCCAGAAGAGGCGACGTCTTCCGAAGAGCCCGTCGTCAGAAAGGAGATCGAGTCGGGAAGTGCGATTTTTGTGAAAAATTTGGCATTCGAAACGACCGATCACGGATTGGAGCATTTGTTCAAGTGAGAGAGCTCTCTTTTTTTTTGACAGAAATTTTGAATAATTCTCAATTTTGCAGAAAACGCTACGGCCCACGTGTCAAATCGGCGCAAATTTCGAAAAAACTGAACCCGGCCGAACCGACGAAACCGCTTTCGATGGGCTTCGGTTTCGTGCAATTCTACACGGCTCTGGACGCGAAAACGGCGCTGAAAGAGATGCAGGGAGAGCTGCTGGACGGACATTCGATCGAATTGAAAATCTCGCATCGAGAGGTACCCGAAAAAATAGTGTTTAGACCTTGAAATTTGGAAATTGAAAGTTAGACGATGCTGTCATTTTTTCTAACAAACTTAATGTATTTCGAATAGTAATAATGTCTGAAATTGGTTTATTAAAATATGGTGAAACTGTAAAATGTATGCTTTTTTGACACGGTCCATTAGATCAAGGCTATTCTTTAAAATATTCACTTTACACAAATCTTCTTGCTTGCAGAACGTGGAGAAGGGCGCGCTGAAACGAAAGTCGGTGGATCAGAAGGAGCAGGGCGAGTGCACGAAGCTGCTCGTCCGAAATTTGCCGTTCGAGGCGGCAGTCAAAGAGGTCGAATCGCTGTTCGAGACTTTTGGAGCCGTCAAATCGATTCGAATCCCCCGGAAACCGGGCCAGAAGGCACAGCACCGCGGCTTCGGCTTCGTCGATTTCATTTCGGTGGACGAGGCACGCCGAGCCTTCGACGCACTCGTCCATTCGACCCATTTGTACGGAAGACGGCTGGTGCTCGAGTGGGCGAAGGAGGACGAAACAGTGGAGGAGTTGAGGGAGAAAACGGCCGAAAAGTACGGAAATGCGGAGAAGAGGCAGAAGAAGAAGAGCAAGACGGAGCAGTTCCAGCAGCAGTTGCAGATTGCCGACGACGAGAAGGATTAGCGGCGATTTTTTGAGAGTATTTTCCCCACACAATCCCCAATTTGTCCCATCGATTGTTCCCATTCCGAATGTAAATTTGCGTGGGCGTCCTTCGATTTTTAGTTATTTTGTTCGCCAAAATTGTTACTTTTTGTTGTTATCCTTTTTGTTTCCAGAGATGGGCGCCGATTGGCGGGCACGATCAGAGAGAGAGAGAGGCGCCGAAAATGACGCGAAATTGCGTACGTGTTTCGAGCAAAAATCCTCCATACGTTTGTCCCCGCATCGCGCCCATCTCTGTTTGTTTCTCATGAATTTAACGGAAAATTATTGAATACGTTGGGCGAAAAATCAACAAAAAAATTGGTAGTTTCAAGACAAGGGAAAAAGTTTGTTGACAAACATATCTCTTGTACAAAATGAAATTTTCAAAGAAACATAGGGTCAGTTGAAGTGTTCCATTGTAAAGGGCAACCACTGATGATAGTCCCCAACTGGTGTGAAGCCAAACTCTCGAATTTCACAATCACATCATAATTGCTCCTCCTCTTGTTCAGCCACAACCGAGTACACGAACACGCATTGTGGCAAGTTTGACGATACTCGGACCACTGCACTTTGAGGCACTTGATGAGCTGACAAATGGTCCGTGCACTTCCATCCGTCACCGTCTTTTTAAAGTATTGAGACGTGAGAGATTTCAAGTACTTTTGCGTGCTCATCATCCTCAAATACCGCAGGGTGCATCCATTCGAATCGCCCGCTCTTTTGATCGTTCTCTGCAACAAACCGTTGGCAATGTTCGCCAAAGTCCGTCGGATCTCCTCGTTTGCATTTCTCACATCCCTCAACTTTAGAGTCTGGTGCCCCGAGTGTGCCATGAGCACACAATCCGAACAGTAGACGCGGAGGGCAAAGTACAAAAGGCGGTGCTCGTTTAGTATGGTGAACTCGGACGGATTTTTCCACAAACATCGTTTCCACGCGACCTCACATAGTTCACACGTTTCACAGATTCGCAGATGATTGGTGTAAGCGGAGCACGAAGAGCACGAGCCTTTTCCAACATTCTGAAAAACAACAAAACTGCTGGACACTTTGCAACCTCTCTTGGAAGTTTTTATCGGTTGCAAAGTGTCTCATCAACTCAACTCACATCTCCATTCCACCATTCCTCATAAATGTGCACAACCTCGTCCGCCGCCCACTCGACAATCAAAACCTCCGCGCTATTGTTGATTTGACCATCGACGAACGCATCGTTGCGCTCGCAAATCGGGCATTGCAGGTACGGATCCTTGCTGACACACTCCGCGCACACCGAATGACCGCACACACCGACGCACGGACGCCGACGCTTCAGATCTTCAAACTTTGTGGGTGTAAAGTTGGAAAAGCGTGAAAACGGGTACCGAAAAACAGTTGTGACGATCCATTCGCTTCACAATTGTAACAAATCAAAGCGGTTAGGGATAGCATTGGAATAAAAAGTCAGTATGGAATGGAATGGAAAACAGAAATGATGTTGGCAGTGATAAGATGATAAGAGCGATGACGGGACAGATAAGGAGGAGCGGCAATTTAAAACTGAGCAATGAGGCAAACCAAAAATTGCAGTTTTTGAGGGCATAACTTGATAAGAACAAAATACAGATAAAATAAGAGACAGATTGGGGTAGATCTTGGATTCATTTCATCACGAAAAATAGGTTGGTCGGCTCTCGAACGCTTGGTGCATCATAATTTCTGCAGTTCAGAAGCGATGTAGTCTAAAATTGTGTATCTTTTTGACAGAAAAGAGTAAAATTGACTCACTCAACGGATCGTCTCGACAGATCACAGCAAAACAAGCCTGTTTGCAAGAGTCCAGCACACAGGAAGAGCCTGGACCGCTCGGCTGTTGCACCGTTGGCCGCGGCGAACCGGAATCAATAAGAGGAACACAATAACTATGCAGTCCTCGCGGTTACCGCCATCCCGAAAAAACAACTCCTTGGAACGGCGAACACAACGTAGAACAGAGAATTGAACAATATCTGTTTCTCTAAAAAAAATTGTGTACGTTCGTGACGCGTGAAGAAGTTTCGCCATTTCCCTTGTAATGTCCTCTGATGACGGTCTTCTGTTTCCTCCCGTCGAAGAAAGCCAGAAAAAAATTGATAAATTCCGTCAGAAAACGACGCAATACTTTAGGGATTTCCGTCACAAATCGCTTTTTCTTCTCACTGTTTCCGACAATGTGTCTAAGTGAAAAGCAGCGGACAAAACAAGCGCCAATTCCCAAAAGAACACTTTGCGTGATTTCTGGGCTCATGACGTGGAAGGTTTGAGAGAAAAGTTGTGTGGAATGAATCTTCTGGCAGACCTACAATATCATTGTCTATTTCTATCAGACTTGCCAAATTACGGGCCGGCCCGGCTCAAAAGGCGCGAATTCAAATTTTTGTGGGAAATCTATTTTTTCGTTTTTTTGCGGGGATCAAAATTTAAAAAAAAACGGGCTGAAGAGGATAATTCAACGTTGAAGCAAAAAAAGATCACTCAGCTCAACGAGAAAAAGCTCTCCAGCAATCAAATTTCGGCCCGGCCCGGCCCGTGGCAACTCTGATTTCTGTCTATATAGGCTTCTTTTTTTAGGCACTTTTATGGGGCTATTGCCCTCGAAATGTAGTTTTCAAGGCCGAAATCTTTCAATTTCTGCATCATTCTCAACCCAGATTAACAATTGCCAACAAAAAAAATGCCCCAAGGCGCCCCCGTTTTTCCCATGTCAAATCGCTGATTATGTGACGTTTTCGGTCGCGCGGACCCCCGAAAAATCATGTAAATATTATCAAAGATTTTTCTAGAAATTCATAAATAATTTGGGTAAATGACGAGATCAGCGAGTGTGCTGAAAACACGTTTTTTTTCCCTGAAAATCGGCCGGAACTCGATTCTCTGCAAAAAAAAAGGCTTCCACGAGAATCCGCCACCACCAGCCGCACAAAAGTGTGACACACGGGCACTTGGATCGACAATAGCTCGAGCTATTTTCCCACAATAATGCAGCACACGGGTCTAGCCACATTCGGACATTAATGAAATATTCATCCACAAAAATCCGTCTCCTTTTCGGTCAGACTTTATCGTCGAAAATCCGAATGCCAAAGTTTTTCGGTGCTCATTCGAAAGCCAATCGTAAATAATTCCGATTTCCGTGGAAACATCCACACTTACTCATTTGCCTTTTCGCAATAATCTTTGTGTTTTTCGCGCGCGCGCGCGCGCTTTTCAATGCGAAACGGCGGATAATCCGTGGGTTGGCCGATGCACCATGTGCGGAGAATGCAATTTTGATGTTTCTGGTTAGCAGGTTGTTGTGACTCATGTGAAGTCAAACTTACGATCGATCGATTCCTTGAGGTACATTGGATGCACCGCACGTGTACGTGTACTTCCCAGAGTTGAGCGCAAATGGAATTTTGAAATCCGGAAGACGGAAGAAAATTTTTTTTGCGGAACACGGAAAACGGAAGACGGAAGACAATTGTTCTCACGGAAAACGGCAGACGGAAGACGGAATTAAATTTTTTTTATGGAACACGGAAAACGGAAGACGGAAGAAAATTGTTCTCACGGAAGACGGAATTAAATTTTTTTACGGAACACGGAAAACGGAAGACGGAAGACGGAATTAAATTTTTTTACGGAACACGGAAGGCGGAAGACGGAATTAAATTTTTTTACGGAACGCGGAAAACGGAAGACGGAAGAAAAAAATCCACGGAAGACGGAAGACGGAAGACGGCAGACGGAATTCCGCTCAACTCTGCTACTTCCGTTCATCGATGCACCATAAGGACAAAGATTTTCGCCAAAGTGTGGCCGATGCACCATGTAGCTTAGCTCACAAGTAACACATTTATTGCACATATCAACATGAAAACGTCGTGTTCGAATGTTGTTCAGGGTCGGGGGGGTCTGTCAAGTGGAATTCTCAGAAAAATTTCGTATCTTGGGGGCAGAGAGAGAGAACATCTAATCATTGAAAAATGAGCAGAAAAAGGGGAGGGGGGGAGAAAAAGAAGAAGAAGAAGAAGAAGAAGATCCAAAAAAGTCATTTATGAAGATGATCTACTTGCGTCCGAATCGCACGAACGACGGCTTTCTCTTGTCCATTTGCATTTCGTCCTGCTCGATGACGAGCGGATATCCGCCGGCCGATCGTTTTCCGAAACGCACGAACGACGGCTTCCGCTTCTCCATTCGCACTTGTTCCTGCTGCAACGATAGGTACTCGAAATGGGCTTTCGGAACACAAGAAATTTGGGTCAAAACGTTTCCGAAGCGCCATAAGTCCCTGTGACGCGAGATTTTTGCATTTTTGAAGTGTTTGGCGCCGTGAAGAGCCGTCGGACCGGGCTAGCGGCAAAGTTTTGCGTCAAAATGAGGCAGACACATACAGGGTGGGGAATAAATATAGCGCCCAAACTTCGCGTCAGCGCTGGCGCCTACAGAACCAATGGGATGGCCGCTCATGTTATTTTTTCCATTCATCACTTCATTTTTGACCATTTGTCTAAGTTGCAGACAATTCTGTTAATATTGAGAGAAATGGTGGCTCCGTCATCGCCTAGGTCCGTAATTATGGGGTTCACAAGGATAGGAATGCGATCGTCTAAAATAGTTAGGAAGCTCGGCGTAGGAAGATTGTTTGTTAATATGACTTCCCGATGTTTCTGACACCTCGGAACATTGGAAGACAAGTAGAGAAGTGGTCCCCCGATCCCAGTGACAACTCCCAAGATGGTCATATCGGTTAGAGCAAAAATCGTAGAAACCCGGAGAGAAGCACGTAGAAAATGTCGTCAGAGTTCCGTATGAGCTTAAAATCTATGTAAGCTATTGCCAGACAGGAACTAAATATGATTCCTTATCGTATTCAAAAGAATCGTTCCATAACAAGGACTTTCGCTTCAAGAAAGCCGGAAGTCCCGTTGGCGGCACGCGGCAAGGCACGCGCCTGCAGACTCTGATCGGAGATGAGTGGCTACACGCTGCTGGTATCGAAAATGATAATCACAACAACAAGGTCATCTCAGGGGACATTGAGACTGTCCGTCGAAATGGAAAAATAATTTTTAAAATTTTTTATCCGGCTTCAGTAATGGTTCTTTGGAAAATTTCCGCCAATGGCAAAACAGCACTGATATTGGAGCGAAAATCAACCGTAAATGCTACTCTAGTAAGATTCTCGGGTCGAAGGAACTGTCTTGGATCTAGTAGATTACGGAAAACAAGATAGGGTCTTCCAGCAAGACGGTACACCTGCTCATCGAGCCAAAACCACCTAACAGTGGCGCAAAGCCAATTTCGCAAGTTTTATCACTTAAGAAGAACGAGTAGATTTCAAGTCGGATATGATTTCTATGGACTTCTCCGAGTTTGGGTGGTTTGCCTAGTATGTATCCATTCACAATTAACCAAAATAGGGAGTCCGGAAAGTTGAACTACGGAAGCCATGACACGATCTTTACGTCAACTACCCCCGTGCCGCCGCTGACTCGTATCCGAGGAGACTGACGGCTGCCAACGAAGAGAAAGGTGCAATCGGCAAAAACTGCTAATGCCATTCTTTTTGTTATTGTTTAATAGAGCTTTTAGTAGATTTACAGAAAAAAAATCTTGCGATTTGAACTTTTTACGGCATTTTGAATTGGGCGCTATATTTATTCCCCACCCTGTAATTCAGCGCTCGAGAAGGTTGTATTTTGAAATTTTGGTAGCAAGACAACAACTTCAAGTCCCCGTCTGACGCAGATTTTTGCGAAGAGCTCTCTAGACACTGGAAACAAGCTGGGAACGCGAATTTCGGCGCTTCAAGAGCTTCGGAAAGTTGCATTTTTGTGTTGAAGTGACGTTCCCTCGTCCGGACACTTTTCGCCCTTTCAAGTGTGCCGTGCTCTTTTCGAATCGAACAAAAGAGGCACGCAAAGCGCGCGTTTGGACCCCGAAAGTTCAAAAACGAGAGCGTACCTGATTGATTTCGATGGCGTGTTGAGTGGCGAGTTGAGCGATTTGCTCGCAGTACTTTTTGTTGGATTCTTTTCCGCAAAACTCGGCCAACGCGTCGAGATCCGGCTCCTGGAAGTGGATAATATCAGCTTTGATAGGGCTGCATCACACTTTATTTTTGCAGTTGACCACTTTTTGGTACAACCACTTCGAAGAGTACTGTAGCTCTTGGTAGTTCCGAAAAAGTAGTATCCATTTCCAAGAGCTACAGTAGTCTTCGGAGTGGTCGTATCATAAAGTTGTCAACTACAAAAATAATGCACACATCTGGAACTTCATTTTTGTAGTTGACAACTTTTCGATACAACTACTTCGAAGAGTACTGTAGCTCTTGAAAGTTGGGCCACCTAAAGTCGTCGAAATTTCATCGAGCTACCGTACCCCAGGGAGTGGTCATCGAAAAAAACGCTCAACTACAAAAATGTTCTACTAGACTTCAACTTTTCCCAAGACAATTTTCAGAACCAAAACTCGTCTCCCAAAGCTACAGTAGCCGTTCAACGATGAGCAATGAAAAGGTGATCCCTGATCTGCTGGGTTGTATTTGTAATAAATAATCCGGATTTCAGAGAGAGCAATTCCAACTAGAATTTTGCTCCAACATCATCAAAATAACTATTGTCGTGCGTCTATTGTTCGTCTTGTACATAATATTTCAAAAAAATCCTGACATGCCCGCGCGCGTTTTTTGGAGACAAAAACATTCGAGGCGATGAAGCCAATTTGACTTGCTATTTTCCTTAAATTTTCGCTCACTCTAGGATGTTTTGGTCAACGAAACTTTCAGAAAGACACTTTTACTTTTGGCTTTTAATCAAATTCTCGTTGCCCAATAATAGCCGAAAGCAATCAGTGCCACGCATCTAAATGAGCTTTTTCTCGCCGCCTTTTCCGATTTCTCCAACGAATATTGTCGGTTCGGCAGCGTGGTTGGACACATCAAAACCACTCCTAAAACCACTGAGCCATGCGATCCAATTCAATTTCGATCAGTAGAGTGAGCATTTGTAGGCGAAATGGAAAAACAGGAGGCGAAGTGACGTAATCCGTGCTCATTAGAGGCCTTTAGACAGGGATTAGAGACACAAAAAGTGCAACTAGACATTCGTGAGATGTTGAACGTTTTTCTCGGAAACTGTGGTTTCATTGTAATCTCAAATGCCGCCAATTTTTGTAATTTGAGGGCGTTAAAATGCACGGAAAGTTTCAAAAACGTTTTTGAACTTTCACCTCGAACCAATCGTCACGGAATGCGGAATGCGGAATGCGGAAATTGGGGAGAAATCCGAGTTTGAACGCGTTTTGTCAAAAATCAATCAAATCATCGCTCAAGTTCATGGTCGCCGGGTCGAAATACGATTGCGGACAAGCTTGAGGGTCTAAAAATGCGGCTAGACCCTTCGAAACACCAATTTTCGCCGAAAAACCAACCTCGTAGGCTCGGACGGTGGTGACGGCGACGCAGGCGACGGCGAGAAGCAAAGCGAGCAATTGGTGGCTCATCATGTTCGCAAATAAGTGTGTTTTCCGAAGAGAATACGAGTCTGAGGAGCTCAGAAAATGAAGTGAGATCGACTCGCTCGCGGGGCGGGGCCCATCGAGCCGAGAAAAAGAGGCGAAAAGAAAGAGGGGCGGAGCTTCGGGAAAAGGAATGACGTGGGTTTATGGCGGCGGCGGCGGCAGCAGAGGTGTTAATGATGACTCGGAGAAAAAGTCGACCAGATTGATCCATTCCGAAGACGGACAGCGTCAAAATGCGACAAAAATGGATCGGAACACATGGGGCATCGAACTTGCGGCAAACTGGCTCAATGGACCCTTTTTAGATCATTTTAGGGGGTATTTAACCCAAAGAAACTGAATTTCCAGCAGAAAATGGCGATATTCAGCGATTCTCTATTCCCAAATATTGTCCATTTCTATTTTCGGGTGTCACGCACACACACACACAAAAGTACTAGTCGTCGCTGGGAGGGAAAAGGCGAAAAGTTTCGCCACTTTGTCATATGTTTTATGGGTGTTTTACGGGGGCCTAAAATTCACTTTTTGTGCAACGTTTGCAACGAAAAATCTTCTAGTTTTGGCCTGATGTTCAGTAGGCTCGGTGGGGGGAAATCCATTAAAAGTTTAGGACGCAAGTTCGATGCCCCATGGGTGCCAACGCATTTTTGTCACTTTTCTACGCATTTTGACACAATCGATTGCTGGGAAATGTGAATTTGAAGTTGGTCCACCAGTCAATTGATATTATCCAATCCCTTTTTTCGGGGGCAAAAAACAGCATTTTCTCGGGTCATTTCCCGTAATTCTTCACGTGACCCACTTAGCGTGTCACTCAATCAAGCCGACAATATCCCCCTAATTTTGAATAAACTTGTGGCCAACTATACGGAAAATGCGCAACTCTGCACATTACAGCTTGAAAATCATTGGAAACGCAAGAAAAAGTGATGAGAAATGCGAAAAATCGGGGGGCGAATGTGATGAGAAAAGGGGATGAAGAATGAGGAGCCCGAAAAAATTGATGATTTTCGATTATTCACTCGCCCACTGACTGGATGGCCTAGGAAACCGACGATTCTTCCGGTGGCCGAAGATTTTCAAAACTTGTGGCCTAGGAAACAAGTAAGTGCAGATGGCCTAACTTTTTCACCTGCTGGCCTAGAAAATCCCTGTCCTTAAGTCCAATGTATGACCTAGAAAACTCAAGAGTTTAGAAGCAAGAGATGGCCTAACGTTTCCTGTGACCTAGAAACTCTATGGCCTAACTTTTCCCACTCGTGGCCTAGAAGGCCCAAAACATTCGGTTAGATTGCCCCCCAACTCTTCGAGTGCCGACTACCGTAATCCTTCACGGCTCACGTCATTTCGGGTGCCCTAAAACCGCGGGTAAATTTAATTTCGAGGTGAAACTTTTTCAAATCTCTTCTCTTCTTTTCTTTTCTTTTCTTTTCGCTTCTCGCAACACGACGCCCCTCCCCCATTAAGGCCATCGACACTCGGCGGGAAAGTTGGCGCGAAAAGTGGAGGGGACGGACAATATTTGAAAGAAAAAGAGGGAGAGAGAGAGAGAGAGAGAAGAAGGTCCCAAATCAAATTGGGCGACGAAAAGCGAGAAGAAACCAGAGATTTATGCGATGTTCCATGATGATTTCGTCAACGGGAACGAAAAAAAAAAGATTCTGGTGCACTGAAAAAGTCATGTATACACTGGATTCGCAGATTTAGGGCTGGAGCACCGGGGTGTGCTTTTTGTTAAGGATTCTGGCACGTTGGGGCGGTGGCCTAGGTGTCAAACGTTGGGAAAAGTTAGGCCATAGGAGTTGAGCGAAGAGGATGATGGCCTAGGATCGGACTAGAGAATAGTTAGGTCATGGACGCGTTGGACAAGTTCACAATGGCCTAGGAAGGTAAAAGTAAGGCCTAGAATCCGACAAGCATTTTCTAGTCCCTCTTCTTCTTGCACACAAAAAGAGGCCCCTCTCAATTGATTCGATTTGATCCATCACAAACTCAATTGCTCACCCGTTTTTCGACTCTCTCGAACACTTTTTCTATTGTCTTTCGAGATGACGTCTCAAAAAAAGTTGTAGGCTCCAAAAATATATGAAAAAGTGAATGAGCGAGTGAGTTTCGGATTACGTACTGATAAGGGCAGCTAATGGGCACATTTTCGGGGCTAAAAAGGATCAGAAAGTGAAGAGTCTCCGATTGTCGGATCCTAGGCCACCATTGAACACTTTTCGGTCTTGCCGGATTCTAGGCCATTGATGATAATGAGTTTTGCTGTCTAAAATGGGATTGTCGGATTCTAGGCCACAAAGACTTCATTTTTGGTTGCGAAAATGGTTGCAAAACGTCATGGACAGTTGCGAAATGGCTTCCCCGAATGAATTACGAGAGATTTCCCGTGAACGAACTTTTTCCGCCCACAAAAAGTGTCCCAAATGAATATATAGTTAGTGTCTATCAAAACAAATCCACGCTCTTTTTTTTGGTCTGAAAAAAGCACGAAAACGGGGTCTGAATACCTGCAATTAAGACGCTGTTCCAAGAAAAATGCCTAGGAAAACAACAATTTTTGAAAAACCGCAACTTTATTCAAAAAAGTGCTACAGACCCCCACGAGCGCTTAAAATGACGGAAATCATCTGGAGAACATGACGAAATTAGGGAGAAGTTTGCATAAAATTTCAGAAAAATTTAATTTCAGGCTTTAGTGACTTATTTGAAATTTTTCGAAAAGGCACGAAAACCAGACATTTCTCGTTGGCTTTTCATTAAAAAATGATGAGAAATTGGGTGTTTAGAGCGCCTGAGAGGGTGGGAATTGGTAATTTGATGGAATGAAAAAATAAATTCTTCGGGTGACCAGGAAGCAAATTTTGATGAAAATTCGAAAAAGAGCGCGATTCGTCGACATTTTACACGTTCCTCGGTTCGCAAATGACGTATTCATAGTTCCGGCTGAAAAATGGCTCAAAACCCCGATAAAAACTATACGAAAGCGCATAAAATTGGCCCATTTTCTTTATGAGCTGCCAGACGGCCCATTTCCTCACCCAGGTAGAGCTTTTATGCCATAAAATGGCTGAAAATCTGGAGAAAATGAAAAGGGACAGACGAACAATGTTAATTTTCGCATTTAAACCGAAGATTCGGACGGTTTCGAGACCAGCAGAAGCTCGTTTAGGCGGTTTTTGAAGAAGAGTTCCAGCGAATCGGCGATTAGCGTGTCGGCGAGTGTCCAGCGGTCTTTCGAAGGCGGCAGGGCGATTCGGAAGGCCTGGAACGCTTTTTGAGTGATTTTTTGGGAATTCCAGCACTGTACCTACCGTGTCGGGTGCCTCTTTGTTCATAAATCGATGCAGGCGCACCAAGTAATCCCATTGGCTTTCGGCTTCTTCCGCTGTAAAAGCTTCAAAACATTACACGCATTTTTTTTTCAATTTCCTACCAGTAATATCGAAAGTGTGTCCGAAATGCGCCCAAATTTCGTCCATGTGCGCTTTTTCGATACCGTAATCCCGATTTTTCCATATCGCCGGCGTCAGACGCACTTGTTCGATGAATTCGGGCAATCGCGAGTGATCGAGCATCTGAAAGTGGCTGGATTTCTGGAAAATCGATAAGACCAGCTGAATACGCAGTGGAGTGCACCGGCAACATTGAAATTGAAAATTTATTGAATTTCTGAGTTTTTCAGTGAATTTGAACAAAATTTAGCGGAAATAAAACGCGGTAAAAACGTTCAAAATTGGTTTTTTCATTAGAGCGCACTTGCACTATTGTTTTTTTTCTCAGGGATAAGTGCATCGAAAAACCAAACAACCGGACAGTTTTCCACGCAAAAAGTAAAAACACGTTAAAATTGTGAGAATTTTGGCGCGTCTTCGCCGAAAAAGCGTACTTCTAAAGTGCCAATTCATATTGGATGAGTGGGCGAAAAAGGAGTGCCGACGCTTCGGAAAAAGCGAGAAAAGTAGGGGAAAAAAAAGTTTTGCCCGAAAAAAGCAAACATATCGTAAGTTTGTGTGTGTGCGCGAGAAAAGCTTGAACTTGTGTCTGGAGACCATGTTTGTTCACTGGAGGAGAAGCATATCGCATTACTTTTATACTTTTGGGTGCAGGAAAATACACAATTTTCAGCTAGATTATCAAGAAAACTGTTAAATAACTCTTTTTCTATCGCTTTTCGTTGTTTTCAGCTCGATTTGCACTGCAGATGTGCTACTACGAATTTTCAATCCTTTAAAATTTAAACTACCGCGTTTTTTCTCGTGGCCGTGGACTAGATACCTCTTGTTGTGTACTTCTCGTGGACAAGGTGACAAACTTTCTTTACGGGTTTTTTCAAGAAGTTTCAGCGTGTTCAGTGTTATTTCTCTGATTTTAGTAGAATTTTTTGTTTTTACTGTATTTTTCTGATTGGAATTGTAATTTGCAAGTGGCTTCCGTAAAGTTTCAGTGAAAAATTGATGAAAGTTTACTTTTTCAGGTCAAACTCGTTATTCTCCATTTTTCCGTTGCAAATAAAGATGTTATCCGATTCACGGCCTTGTTTTACACTTTTCCTCTTGAAATTATTGTAAACATCCGGAGAAACTCCTATTTCTGCCCAGTTTTCCCCGAAACGCCGCAATTTATAACCGCCGGCCAGTATGGGCCGCCCACTTTTGCAGACATGTCCCGTTCGGCGACCATTGTCGAGACGATTGATACGCGGGAACTCGTGGGCGTCGGCGCGATCGGCCGCGTCAAATTTCCGTACTTTCACATGCTCGACACGGATTGGAAGCTGGAATTGTCGGGGGTCTGGTCGGAGGCCGCCGGCGGACACCTCGTTTCGATGCGATTTCGGCCCGAAAAACGGGCGGACGACGATTTGTGGGAGCTGGAAGGCAACGCGCATTTCCAGATCGGCGGCCCCTTCATGGAAACCGCCAATTTCGAATTCGGATTTCAGTTTTCGAATGCGAAAACTAAAATTCCGGCGGAGAATGTGGGCGTTTGGACCGAGAAGGCCGACACGATCCCCGTGCGGATTTGGGTGAACGTTACCGTGCAGGTAAAAATCGGAAATGCATTGTTATGAAATGTTTATGTGAAAAAATCTCAAAAATGTATAAAAGTGTCCCAAAGTGTTCCAGGCGGTGCGTTCGATGGGCATTCAACTGCGCAGTTTCGTCGATTTCGACCGGCCACTTCCCATTTTTTCCGACGCGATTATCCGTGTGGGCGGACAGAAATTCCACGTCAATCGCATGGTAATTTCAATTAAAAACTGAGATATAAGGCTCTCGAATTTGCAGGTGGTCTCAATGGCGTCGCCCGTACTTTTCCGCGCATTTATACGAAAAGAAGAGCACGGAATGACGGAAATAGACGGAAACGAGCTCGCCGAGCTGGCCGCCATTCAGGATCCCAGAGATTTCCGGCGCATTCTCAACTTTATCTATCCGCCGCACATTCCGCCGAAACAGTGGATCAAAGGTCCTCGAAAATTGGTGAAAAAGTAGGCAAACGTCCCGAAAATTGCAGAAGAAAACGCGGAAAAACAGTTGTCGGACATTTATCGCATTCTCGAGTACGCACGTCTTCTGGAGATCAACGTGGCGATGGAGGTGGCCGACGAATGGATCGTCAAGTTTACGCGCTTCAAACGAGGAGCCGCCCTTCTTCTCGCTCAGCGATTCGGCCTCCGAAAGCTTCTGGTCACCTCACTTAGGATTTTTTATCACAAAAATCGAAATATATTTGCAGGGCGCGAAAATCAGCGAAATCGGAGCGATCAAGCACGTGACCGCGTGCAAAGAGTACGCGGAATTCAGCACGAAAACGAAGGCGCTCATTTTCGACCATCTCATGACACTTTGAATCTAAATATCTGTAATATTCGCATTACCCTAACCAATTTTGTTCAATTTTACCATTTTTCCATCCATTGTTTTCCACGTTTTATTCAAGCTCCCGCTCACAAATCTGTTCAATTTTACCCATTCCCCTTGCCCCCCCCCCTTGAAAATCTGTTCCAAAATGATTATTGCCAACAATAGCCAACTCCGGTGAATTTTTGTTTGTAATTTTTCCATTACACATTTTCCCCAATTTCATAATGTTGCAATTAATTTAACATTGACAACTGACGCCCCCGCACAACTTGTGTGCGGGGGATTTAGTTTACAATTAACATTGAAAATGTCATTCAACGCAAAGCAAAAGTGTGGTGTAATTTTCGAATACTCTCGAGATTTGTGAACCGACGCTGGCTGTGGCCTAGAAAACTGTCAGGTGTGAAAGTTCTTCCCCTTGCCCTTTGACAATCTAGAATGCTTGGCACAAAAAGATCCTATGGCCTAGGATTTTTCTAGGCCACGGCCACGTTATTTAATTTGAGGAGTCCTTTTGAAATGTGTGATTTTCACGTGAAAAATTGCTCGAAAATGTCATTGAATTTTAGGCGAATTGAGAAAAACGCCATAAAAAGAACGCTAGTGATAGATATTCATTGAAATGAGTGATAAACTCTCTCTCTCTCTCTCTCTCGAGTACCTTTCCGCTATTACACAAACAGATCGACAATATCCGTTCCCGCCCGCCCGCGCGAGAGCTCATCTACCTTCTTGTCCCTCTTTCTCTTCAATGAGAACAAACATTCTCCCATCATCGCCGCAAATCTCTTTAGAAGAGTCAAAAGTAAGCTATTAGTAGTATTGATACCCCCCTTTTCAACGTTCCGACCTCTCAAATCCATGTCAAATGGTGTCTTGCGGGTGACAAAAAACTTTCCATACAACAAAATCGAATCAGAAATGTGTCTATTCATGTTGGAGAGGTGTCTCTTCACTTTTTGCTCGAAACTTCTTCCTTTTTCCGTCTAAAACTCTTGCGCGTTCACGAATTTGTCTACTTTACGCACATAAGAGCAAAGTAATACAATTAAACCGCCCGTCTCCTCTCCAACCGGCACCCGGCTTTCGTCCTTTTCGCGACGAGCGCGATGGATCGGTAAGATTTCCGCAAATTCGTCGGAAAACATGCACATTTTGACCCATCCATCTTACTTAATCTCCTCTCCGCTTTTTTCTAGGTAGAGCAACGTCAGTTTTTGCATTTTCCGCAAGAATTTTAGCGGAAAAACGAAAAGTTTTGCGAAAAGTAGGTCAAACTCATAAACTGGGTCAGTAGGTCACGTGAAAGTAGGTCACGGGGTCACGAAGTCAAAAATCATGGTGTTTTCCTTTTTTTTTTTACATAAAATTCAAGTACATCTTCCCCCGTTTCTTTTATAATTTATAAACTCCTTGCAAATTTTAATTGACTTCATCTGCTGCTCGTCTATAGTGTTCGCCGCTAATTTCATATTCCCATCTATGACACGCAATTCTCTTATTATTATTATTCTTCTTCTTCTTTCTTCTTCTTCTTCTTCATCTTGCGCTCAAAAGTATCTTTTAATTAATCTTTTGCACAAACTTCTCTCAAATTTGCATTCATTTCATTTCAGACGAGGCCCCAACACTAGAACTACTTATGATGTGAGCGCGGCCGAAAAATGAGACAAATTCTCGCGGTTTTCACACTTTTCCAATGGGTTTCGACAATATCCGCGCAAAAATTGGCGGTCGTGATCACGGACGGACTCGCCGCCAACACGTTTTACAAGTTTTCGCATCTTCCCGTTTTTCGCACTTTTGAGGAGGAGGGCGTGTGGTCCACCAAGGTGTTCCCCGTCTTTCCCACGTTTTCGCTGTCGAATCGACATTCGCTGATGACTGGTGAGTGGGTTTTCATTGAAAAATTCGATAAAATTGATCTGGTGACCTACTTTTGGATGACCTACTTCGACTTGACCCCGTGGCCTAGTTTCCGGTGACCTAGTGGCCTTATTTCTAGTTTGGCCTACCATTTTCTAAGTTTACTTGACCGTGTGTCCTAGTTTTCCGCTTGTCTGACTCCGTTCTCTAGTTTTACACGACCCAGTGGCCTAGTTTTTAGCTTGACCTACACCGTGACCTAGATTTTTTCAAAAATCGATTGAAAAAGTGTTCAGGAGCCCTACCGCGAAGGCACGGACTCATCGGCGATCACATCTACAACTGGAAAGAAGACTTGAAATTTCAAAATTTCACCGCCGACTCGGATTTCTCAAGGTTAGAAGACACTGTTTCTTTTTTTGAGGCACGTAACCTTTTATTTTTCCAATTTCTAGACAGTTTTCGTGAAAACGACTTAAAATAGAGACCCATGTAGAACTAGTTTTATCGAAAGTAGATCACTAGCTCAGATTTTCCAATTCTTGCAGAGACTGGTGGAAAATCGATCCGATCTACACTTTGGCGCTGCGATCCGCCGCCACTGTCGCCATGTTCTTCTTTCCCGAGTGCGACGTGGATTGGGATGTGGTCCCGCAGATCTGTGTGCCTCCGCGAACCGACGGCCGCACATTTGCCGACGAATCGCAGGCGAAACGGGTCGTCCAAGCGACCAAGTAAGCATTTTTTGTTTGCCCTGCAATTTCAAACCGTCCAACTTTCAGGGACCACGACCTGGTGCTCGTCTATCATCCGTGGATCGGCGAGGAGATTCGGCGGCGCGGAGTACATCATACGGGCGAGAAACAGTCGAAAGAGGTGCCGAGATTTGCGGCGAGTCTGGAGCGGCTCACCGCGCAGGCACGCGAACGGGTCGATCTGAATGTGATCGTCGTGTCGACGCACGGGTTTATCGACGTGCCGAGGAAGAATATCAGGTGATCCCGACTTGAATAGTAATAAAGATTTGACACAGTGGCCTAGCTTTCAACTTGGCCCACTTTTTTAAAGGTGGTGTCCAACGTGACATACAACATATTTTTAAAATAAACTTCGAAGTGGGGGGCATTCACTTTCTCAAAGTCCCGAATTACGAAAAAAAATTCCCCGATTTTAAAGATTTTTTTCAAAAAAGTTAATGGTACCGAGAGAAGTACACGGCGAAATGGAAGAGCCGGCCTAGATTTTTCTAGTCCCCGGATGGAATTCCCCTTTTTTCTGATTTTTTTTCTGTTTTCGTGCAATTTTCTTAAATTTTCAATCGTTTTTTCACTGAGCACACATATTTGCAATATTTAAAAAAAATTTAAGATTTTTTCTGTGCCGTGACGCCAAAAAAATCGATAATCTGAAACTTTCAAAATTCAGAAATTCAGCCACTTTTTGTAAAACTGAAAATAGAAAGTTTTGGATTTTTCGCATTACTTTGAAAAATATAACTTTCTGAAACTCGCAAACTTTAATTTAGACTCAGGAAATGATTGAGCGATCTCTTTCTATTTATTTTTCAGCGCGCAAACCGAAGATTGAGCGAAAAACCCGGAAAAACAACAAAAAAAAGTTTCAGATTATCGATTTTTTTGGCGTCACGGCACAGATAAAATTACAATTTTTTTTAAATATTGCAAATAAGTGTGTTCAGTGAAAAAACGATTGAAAATTTAATAAAATTGCGCGAAAACGGAAAAAATTCGGAGGAATGGGAATTCCATCCGGGGACTTGAAAAATCTAGGCCGGCTCTTCCATTTCGCCGTGTACTTCTCTCGGTACCATTAACTTTTTTGAAAAAAAAATCTTAAAAATCGGGGAATTTTTTTTCGTAATTCGGGACTTCTTGAAAGTGAATGCCCCGCTTCGAAGTTTATTTTAAAAATATGTTGTATGTCACGTTGGACACCACCTTTAATGGAGGCTTAATGTTTAGCAATCAAATTTTGCAGGGTATTAGACGAGTACATCCCTATGGAGCTGATCGAAACGACGATCGGAAGTGGAGCCATCAAGCAGTTGATGGTGAAAAAAGGCAAAACGCATCAAGTGTACAGCCAGCTGCACCATCACAACCCGATCCCGAACGTCCGAGTCTACTACACGAACCCGAAATCGGGCGACCTGCCCGAGCACTTTCATCTAAAGAAGAGCGATACGGTCGCGGACCTGGTCCTGCTCGCCGATCCCGGATTCGCGGTGGTTACGGTAGGTGCCGTGTGTGTGAGGAAATGGATAATATCGGTGTTTTTCTTGAAGAAGGACGAAACGAAACAGTTTCCAAAGCCGAAACTTCACGAGATTCCGGCCGCCATCGATGGGTACAACAACGAGTTGCCCGACGTGTTGGGCGTCTTTTTGGGATATGGTCCTGGTGAGTTTTCGGTGGCCTAACTTTTCAAACTGGCCGCCTAGGCTACGATAATCTCAATTTTCTGCCAATTTGGAGATTTAGTGAACGGCGGACTAACTTTTCAACTGGTGGCCTAGAATTCTCCACGAGGCCCCTAGGTTCCTACTCTTTAAATACCGTCGTCTCTTAAGATCCAGCTAAACTCCATCACCACCGGTCTAGGCTAAAGTGATGCCAATAATCGCAATCAGTTTGGACGTCTTGTTCAGCTCGACCTTCCATGACCGGTGGCCTAACTTTTGTTGCTCTTGCAGCGTTCCGCGTCGGCTACCGCAAAGGACCCGTCCAACTGTTCGACGTCTACTCGCTCATGTGCTCGCTGCTCTCGATCGAGTGCAATCCGACGCCCGGCCGAATTCTGCGAATCGACGACGTGCTCACGTCGGACACGCGCGTGTCCATTCGAAATTCCGCCAGTTTCGCTGGCTCTCCCGCCGCCGCCGCCCTCGTTTTCACACTTTTTTGCTCGTTTTGTGCGCAATAAAAGAGAAAAATGGATCAATTTTCAGGTCACCGCAGTTAAGATGCATTTATCGCCACGTGGAAATGGGTGATAAAACACTCTAAACTACGGAGATCCGACGAAAAGATCGGACTTACCACTGCGGCCGGCCTAGAAAGGCCGAAAGACTGTAGAATAGTCCGAAGGCCTGTAGGCCCAGAAGAAGTGATGAATAACGCCGATCCGCCGCATTTTTATACTCACCAAAAACCAGGCGGAGCCTCGTACAGTACCACACACACACACGAGATTTGCATAATCTGACACACACACTTTGCGAAAAATATATGCAATTTTTATGCAAATCCCAAAGGTGTCAACTCGATTCACTCGACAATATCGACAATACTCGAGCACAGAGACACACACACACACACACGTTGAATGCGAGCAGCAAAAGTGGGCGGAGCCGAAATGGAGAGCAACACGACGACGAAAAGTTCGGTGAGCCGGAGAGAAGAAGGAGAAGAAGAAGAAGGAGCAGGTGGTATAATTAAAAACGCGGAGGCGTGGGCCGAGAAGAAGAAGGAGGAGGCGTGGGGGAAATTTTGGAATTTTTTGCCCACGGACGGAACGTCGAAATGAATGAGGATTTTCGATGAAGAATCCCCCTTTTAGCCTACTGTAGTTTTGGTGGTGGACGTAAGCAGATTCTTACGTAAAACCTCTAATCAACGTTATGGACGAAAAGAGAGAGAGAGAGAGTTTGATGCTCCGTCGAGCACATCATCATCCGCTTTTTTTTGATGACGTCGAAACACGGGCGCGCGGCTCATCGAATCGTGTAGATTCATGATAATATTTCGACGGCCAGCTTTTGGGATGAGAAATGCCGACGAATAGGTGGAATTTATGTGGAGAAAACCGAAAAACGAGGTACGTTGCCATGGGCGACCATTTTTCGATTGAAAAGATGGATTAGTATGGACGGAAATGGAGGTGTGTGTGTGGAGGGGATATACGAATTTTAGGTGACAACAATAACAATCGGGTTCAAGGCCATAACTCGAGAATGAGCGATTCTGGAGCGAAATGATGAATTACAAAGTTGTAGAGTGCAAAATTTGCTGCAATTTTTCAGTTGACAACTTTTTGAACGAGTGATTGGTTCACGAGATATGGGCGCTCAAAGACAACAAACAAAAGCAAAAAGTGTGTGCAACTTTGAGGGACCAAATCAAGTCCTAAATGTGATTGTTTGGAAAAATGATCAACTACAAAGTTGTAAAGCACAAAATTGTCTACAACTCTTCAGTTGATCTTTTTTTGAAATAGTTATTGGATCCCGAGATATAAGGGTTCAAAAATGAGGGGTCTCCAAGATGTATGGACCTATTTTGCTCTCAATTTTTCTCTATTTCTGCCCGCTTCTCTAAGACAGTTATTTCTATAGTTTTCCACTCATTTTCTTGTTTTTGTGGACAATTTCCACGTTCCCAACATCATAATCTTCCGAAATTTCGCTCGGACATCTGTCTTGACGCCCACGCAACGGATGAAATGAAATAAAGTGGCAGATGGTTGAGAGGTGTGAAAAACCGAAAGAAAATGCGAAAATTAAGGGTGTGAGAGTTGAAGAATTCCATGGAAACCAACGGAAAATCAATGTTTTCTCAATTTTCGTTCACTTACATATTAGTCAACTTTAGGCGGATATTGTACAAATTTGAGATGACCTAGTGGCCTAAAATTTTTTTAGGGAATACTTCACGTCTGGTACTATATTTTTGTAGTTGACAACTTTCTTCCAAGACCACTCCCTGGGGTACTGTAGCTCTTGAAACTTAGGGTTAGTTGATTGCCCCTCAAAAAGTAGTTCCAACTTTCAAGAGCTACAGTAGTCTAGGGAGTGATTGTACAAACAAGTTGTCAACTAGAAAAATGTAGTACTAGACATGTGCTTTTGCTTTGTAATTCACAACTTTTTGATACAATCACTCCCCGGGATACTGTAGCTGTCGGAAGTTGGATCACTGATTCCACTGACCAACAATATTTGCCACAACATCAAAAACCAGACACCTTATTTTTCCGCTATTATCGGACTGGTATCCAGCTGTGGGGGAACAGAATTTACGCTATCTTTCTCAAGAAATTCCATTATAACTGGAAAAAAGATCACTTTTTGTTCTCGACCCATCCAAAACCGATTTCCGCTCTTCTTTCAGTTGTTCTCCAAACTTTTTCCGTGTTTCCAGCTCAATTCTATGCCATTTTTCACTGAATATTGTCCGTTTTCCACCCAAATGCGCCAAGAATGACCGAAAGATTGAGGGTTGAGTGACGGGCGGTCGCCGCGTGGATATACAAAGTGACAGATGTTACGGAAGGGGTCTGGGGGGCACCAGCTGCGCCCTTTTTAAGGATTTTCGGGGAAGGAAAACGGCACCTGTCCCTCTGTTTTCTGGGTCGGCTCTCCTCTTTTCTCCACGTTGAAAAAAGACGTAAATAAATAAATAAATTCAAATTTCCGCAATTGGTACTACTAGCCGATCTCGACACTTTAAACTAATAGTAAATCTTGAAACCGTGAAGAGTTGCAAAACGGCCGATCGCTGTCCTGGACAAGTCCCGAGATATGCGGATGATTGGCCGAAAGCCCGAGAGAAAAGTCATTTCCTTCGGCCCATTTTCCTCCTTTTTTTTCGAAAGCTCCGGTGACCTATATAGCATTATAAATATATTACAAGTGTACTTGTTTCTGTCACTTCGATGATGCGGATTAGTGTAGCACGTTCTAGGCGAGTGCATTAATGCACTAATGTACTTGAGATTATGGTGCGGATTTGTACTTTCTCATTTCGAAGAACACATTGCCAGGGACTAGAAAAGCTAGGAAATAGTTACGTTTTGAGTCACCTTATCACACTCGCGTGTCTAATAATGAGTGGCTACTCGGTCATGCGCACCGGCTTTGATTTATCACTCCTTCTCCTCGCTTCTCGCTTCAAATTACCGCCTTCTTGCCATTTTCGCCAAACTTTTGCTCTGAAAACAGCACGAATTTGTTTGCCGGCTCAACTTTATCACACACACACACAAGAGCACGTCGACCGACGGCGGCGTCGTTTCCATAGAAATCCCGGCCGTCTTTTTCTCGCTCTCCCTCTTTTTGGCTCGAAAAAGAGCCCCGGGCAAAAGGGGGGACAAAGAAGTCAGGCGGTCTTTTGTCTATTAGCCGCTCTCACTTTTCTCTCTTTTTCTCTCCGTAGCCTTGCTTTTTCGCTGTGAGAAAGTTAGGCCATCGTCTAGATTTTCTGGAAAATATGCTAGGCTGTGGCCGTGGCCTAGAAAAAGTTAGGCCACTCATCCAAATCTGATTGAAATCTTTGGAGAAACTAGGTAATTCGGCCGTGGCCGAACTTTTTCGGTGCGAAAGTTAGGCCACCGCTCCAGGAAAGCCGCGCGCGATCCATTTGAAAAATTACTATTTTTTAACTCTTTGCAAATCCGCTTCTCCTGATTTCAGAGCTCTCCTCGTCGCTCTGCGTCTCGCCACGCAGACGCGCTCTCTCCGACGCCGTCATTATTATCCCGGTGATGATCCACTTTCATCCGACGACGACACCGACGAGCTCTTCTCCATTCTACTACCCAACAACTCAACACCATTGATGGAGCTCTCGCAAGAGGTTTGTTTTGGACGGCTTACAGAAAAATGTCGGCAAAAAACTGCTTCGTCGAACGTGTTCAGCGCGAAAAAGTTTAAAATTCAAACATTTTGATTGTGAGAACTTTCGCTGAAAACTAGACGGCCGCTTTGTTATCACCGCCGCCGCTACAGCCGCTGAAAGTATCCCGTTTGTCGCAGCTGTTTTCGTTTTTGTCCGCCGCCCGCAACGCCGCGGGTTCGAATCCCACCGCCTCAAATTCATTTTTGCGTGCTTTCAGCTCATCTCCATCGCCGTCATCTTCGCCGTCTGCGCCGTTCTCTCGATCGTCTGCACGTGCATTTGGTTGTGTCGGTGTCGGAAGGATCAGATTCGCGCCAGCGAGGAGAAACACGATCGGGCGGTGCAGTTGCAGAATTTCGAGCAGGAGTGAGTCAAAAATGGTTTCTATTCGGATATTATTGTATTTTGTTTGAAGACAAGCCAAGAATGGAAGTGTACAAGCATCCCTAAAGGCCGGAAAACGTTTGGATATAATCGATATCGAAAGATCCACTGAAAATGTTCGCATTTCGAGCCGCGAGGATTCATCGGCCAGGGAAACAATCGGACAGGTCAGTTAGCCCACACCCGCTTCCTTTTATAATATTTTTCAGTACGAAGAACGAGTTACGGGCGGAAAAACGGTGAAATCCGTCGCGCAACGCTTCAAAGACAAAGAACAAGCTGAAAATGTATGATTTTCGAAGCGAGTTTCAAACAAATTGTTGAAATCTTTTCAGAAACGCCTAGACACCATATCCGAAATGGCCGTCTCGAATGATTCGCTACAGAGAAACGATTCGAAGACGAACGTCTTCAACAACAACGAATCTCGACACGGCTCATCGACAGACGTCGATTTGAATCCGGGCCTGAGCAGTACGATCAATTTGGAGAAGATTTGAGAACGACGACGTGAATAAACATATTTTATTATACGTTTTCTTTTTTACAACAACAAAAATTGATTGATCAGTTTTCCGCTAGTTGGTTGAGAAGATTTTGAGCGAATATGCTCAAAGTTACGAGATGGATCCATTCGGAAACTGGCAGCGAACACATTTTTTCCAGAGTACTACTAAAATCAGCGTATCAACAAGTGCTCATCGATCTTCTTCCTCATCTCCGCCGCGTCGACTGGCGGAACTTCGAGCAAAGAGCCATCGTCGACAGCCAGCTGCAAATGTGTTTTTGCCACGGTCTCCCACGGCGCGAATGATTTCAATGGGGCGCACTTGCAACAGGCGGGCTGTGTCGATTTACGCGGCGACCGATTAATTAATATTCAACGGGAGGCCGCGTTCTTTCCATGTTTTCTGTACAATGCACCTATTTTTTGTACGCCTGGAACCTGGATTCGAATAATTAGAGCACTAGCTACGTTTTGGTAACAAAAATCTCGCATATCGTTGAGAATTAGCCGAGTTATTTCGATTTGAAGGTTTTGGCCTGGATTTTGATGTTTTTCGAATACTTTTCGAAAACTGCTTAAGAAAACTAACCGCCGGAACCTGAATTTTGTGAAGAAAGATTCAGCGAACATTTTTATCGTTCGTTGGGCTCATGAAATGCAAAATGAGCTGAAATATAGGGGTTTGAAGTTTTGACGAAATGCGAAAAAGACGCTAAAAACATGAAAAACTCTAAATGATGTAAAGAACGGTTTCCAATCAGTAAAATAATGTTTTCTAGACGTTTTTCAAGTCAAAAAGATAGAAATAAAGGTCGTAAACTCGAAATGAAATGCATTTTGAGACCTGCAAATTTTCAAAAGTTACAACGACACTCCGCAATTTACGAGCACACTGTGTTTAGCATTAGCGCCACCTGGGAGACCGTGATTTTGTTCGAAATCAGCGGAACACTTGACGTCAACAAATTACCGAAAACGTCTTTCGAGCCCGCGCCTGCCGCATGAAATGCACATAGAAACAATTTTCGCAGTAGTCGAACATTGTCAATTTCCAAACGAAAACGCCGACGCCGCACCACCACAAACAGTACATGGCGAGGCAGCCGAAGTGGGACACTTTTCGCTGGACTCTCTGAGAATTTTGTGTCTTTTTTTAAACAGAAATTCCCGCAAATTTCTGCTCTCCACGGTCTCCAGAGCTGACAATGGGCGCAAGTGATACAGTGGGGCGAAATTCAAATTTTAACAGCAAAATTTGTGTTTTTCGCCAGATTAGCCACGAAAAACCGATAATTTCTGATTTATCTCTCGATAGACCGATTGTATAGGCTATTACGAATTTTTTAAGCGCAAGAACGTTAAATTTGGTCAAGTCGCAAATCACATTTATCCGTTTGAAGGTTTTTTGGCTGAAACTGCGTGAATTTCAGTTGCTTTTCGGCAATTTTCGCGGTTCGAGCGCTCAAAATGCTTGTATTTACGTGATTTATCATTCTCAAAACCAATTCTGTCTGAAAACGGCCAAGAAAGCGCGCAAAATGAGAAGTGCGGTTTTCGGCGGCAAAGGCGAAAAAGCAAAGTCCGCGAAAAATGCGCGAAAACGTCATTAATTCTGAGAATTAGTGTATTTTCATGTCGCACAATCGTTTTTCATCGCCTTTGACCACAAAAATCAGAGAAAACCTGCTCAATGCATGAAAACGCCATTTGGCCGAGGCCGCCACGCCCATATTGTCAGCTCTGGAGACCGTGGCTCTCCTACATCGGCTTTGCAGTGTTCACAGTTTGGATTCGAGTCCCATTCGATATCGGAGATCATTTTTGTCTGGAAATGAGGAAATGTTTTAAACGTTTTTGTCGGTTGTTCATTAGAACACGTTCGCACGCAAATCAGAACAGGGACACTTCGCAACTTCATCTTCTCCTTAACCGCTTCTTTTTTGTCAATGTTCGCTTACAAATTGGAAAAATCAAAGCTTTCGCAAGTCGTTCTCTTCTCCTTCTCTCCCGTGTCGCATTTGAATTTCTGACCCCCTGTCTCTCTTTCTCTCTTTCTCTCCCTCTCCCACTTTCACCATTCTCCCTCTCTTTCCGCCCTTCTCTCACTCTCTCTTCTTCTTCTCCTTTTCATAACAATTTATGAATTTCGTATCAAATGTGTGGCCTAAAACTTTGTGTTTCCGGCAGAAAATATGAATTTTCGATTTTTCTTCATTTCAGAGTACAAACCATGTCTTCTGACCCGTCTTCAAAATGGTACATACCACGAAAACCGAATCTCACTCTCGCGGGTAATTTTTTTTTCGGAGAAAAGCTATCGGGAAAGAGCATAGAAAATTCCAGAACAAATCGAGAAACTGCGTGTGAGTATGGAGCAATTGGCGAAAGCGGAAGAGGCGACGAGGGAGATAAGAGAGCGAATGGAGGCCGACTATCGGAGGCATCTGGAGAATGAGCGGAAAAAGAGAGAGGCGAGCAGCAAGGAGATGTTGCGTTAGTATCGATATTACTTATTCCCGCGAAGAGCTATCGGAAAAAGATCAACTACAAAGTTGGAGACATACTTCTGCCCGTCAACTTTGTCGTTGACCTTTTTTTTTATATCTCTAGCGTCAATCCAATGTTCTTGAACGTTTTCACTCCATTAAGGAAAGCTCTTTTTTAAGCTTAACTTTTTCAGAATACATCGCCGACGCCGAAGAGAGACTCAAAATAGCGTTCAACGAAATTGGTACATTTTTAAAGACATTTCATGTAAACCATGTTCTTGTTGCAGACGAAAATATCGAAACGAGACGTCGCAACATGGATCCGAAAGCGCTGGAGGATTTCGGTGAGTGGAAGTTCTGACATTTTTGAAAATCGCAAAAGACCAGGGCTCGACAAATTTCGGCGCAGGCCTTTTGATTGTTTTTTTTTTGCAGATAAAGAGCTGGAACGGCGCAAACTGGAGTTCGAGGATATTCGCATCGAATTCGACGAAATCTCCAAGAAACAAATCATTTAAAGCCTGAAATCTCTCATTTTGTCCCCCCCCCCCTCAATTTCCCCCTCAATTTCCGACCCAAAACCCAATGAATTCCATTTCTCTGTTTCATTGTATCGATTTTTCGACAAATCCATTTTTCGCCCTCAAAAAGTATTCAAATTTTTCTTCTGTCAAAGTATTTGGTTTTCAAGTTATCGACTGCTCTCCAGACGCCATTTTGTGACTTTGAGAGCCTGAATCAGTCCCTAAAAACCTATCACGCAAAATACGTTTCGATGTAACTTTTGACGCTCTATCCGATGATGTGACGTTTGTCAGACAAACGTTTGTACGGCCTCAGAACCTTCGTAATAGAAAAACCGCGTGCAGATAGGCTTTGATTCGCGACAGTTTCGGTTCGGCGTAGCCTTTTCAGATATAGCAATAATCCTATGAAAACAAAGCAGAATAGAGCTAAAAGTCCACATTTTCACAAACTTTTTGTTCAGCTAAAAAATCTAACACAAAAATGGAAAAAAAGTGGTGTTGGAGGCAAAATATATAGTACAAAACATCGCTACTACGTTTTTGGGCGGTGGGGGAATGGCATTTTACACGAAAAAAAACGGAGTGGGAAAATCAATACAAAAAAACATTAATGGATTCCTAAGGCAGGCACATAGATCGTCAGATCACAGAAAAATTGATGGAAAAAAGGTTAGTGATTTGATGGGGTAAGTAGCAACAAAAAAAAAAGAAGTTAATTTCCTCTGGAAATGTCGGCCATCCGATCGGTTTCCTCGGTCACCAATTGCGCATTTTCGAGGTTCTCTTTGAGATAGAACGCGTGGAACGGGTGGCCGGTGCCCAAATAAAACTTGGATTGGAACTCGACCCAGTGAAGACGGAGCGCGTGCAGGAACGCCGACAATCCCTCCATCATGATCAGAATCGAGAGGGAGAGTAGGGCGAAGACGAAGAACGACTGCAAACAAATTATGCACATTTTTGCAAATAATCAACCACAATAGCACAGATTTTTCTCGATTTTTCCATCAGCAAATTGCTATTTATCGACTTTTTCAATTTTCCCAAGCAAATCATATTTTCTCCAGTTTCACACGACCTGAAATAATTTCCTTTTGTGCACATTACCTATTCTAACGATCTTTTCCGCCCGTCACTGAAAATGCGACAGAAAACATATTTTCAGTTTCTAATGTTTTTTGTATTTTGTCGGGTTGAAGCATATCCAGTGACGGGTAGAACGATCCGTTAGAATAAGTAATGTGCCGAGCTAGAAAACATTTCTGACCGTGTGAATCTGGAAAAAAACAAAATCGAAAGACAGAAATTTGCTGCTGGAAAAATCGAGAAAAATCGGGGTGCTTTTGGGGTTGATACGGAAGGTACATTCCAGCAGTGTCCACTTATTGCCTCAGAAATTCTCCGGCTGAAAAGAAATTCTCCGTCTGAAACTCACAAACGCGGCCACTGCCGGCTTCAAAATCATCGCCAAATGCTCGTCTTTGACAAAATCGGCGGCGTGGAGGCCTTGAATGAGTACCATGTGCCACATCACTTCCGACAATTCTGCAATACTCAAAAATGTCCCAGAAAATGCCCGCAAAAAATCATACGCGCGTGCGCCAACGAGAGGGCCCACAAACGGAGGTAGGAGGCGGTGTGCGAGACGCATCCGAGCACGAATTCGATCGTGTGAATCGCCTGGTGCACGAAAATGTCCGACAGCGAGTGATGCACTTCTTCGGCCAGGTCCAGCTCGTCCGCCAGCAGCAATTCCGCGTCTTCCGGCTGATCGCTCTGAAGAGAATGGTGATTTTGTCGAAAATTGTCAGAAAATTTGTGATTCGCATGCAGGCTTTCTGAACTTGGATCAGGGTACATTGGGTCAAAGTTTTAGAGCGATCGGATCATCTGGTCCCGAGAAATAGTGACTTGGGGCAGCCCGACGGGATCATTACAAGCGTCAGCATCTTTTTCAGACTTACAAAAGTGGGCGGTCCCATTTCGACGGTGGGACTGGTCGGAGCGGTTCCGTTCCCGTTCCGCCGCACACTTTTCAAACTTTTCGTCTCCTGCTGCAGACGGCGTCGTTTCGCCGTCCGAAAATGGACCCAAAGCGGTTTTCCGACCAACATCACCGGCACGCACGCCACCGAAATCGCGATCAGGAGGGTTTCGATGAGACGCTGCAAAAAATAGAGGGAAAATTGGTGAAAAGCAAACATTTCAAATATAAAACAATACCTGATTCGGGTACCAATAGACGAGGTGACAATTGCGGACCACCTCTCCATTTCCATTATAAAATCCCTCGTTTCTCGATTTGAACATGAACATGTTGATGAGTCCGATGAGCAGCGACGGCGCACAGTGAGAGCCTAGAAAACGGAAAATCGAAATCGCTGCAAAACGAGTCGCTCGACAGAGCGCGATTGCGGTAATAACAAAATGCGCGGTGACTGACCTGGATACTCGAATCCGAGCACAGTTGCGGAGGAGACCGAGAAGAAGAGCCATTTTAGGATGATTTGGACGCATAAATAGACGAAAATGCACGTGAGGAAGATGATTTGGGGAACGAAGTTGACCAGAATGTCAATGTACGATTTGAAGTGCCTGAAATCGGTCACACGTTGACCGTCAAAACAATAATGAAGTCGTTGAGGAGCGCAGAAAAATTAGCGGGAAAACGCGTCTGAAACAGAGATGGGCGAGGCCGGGGAGAAACAGAAATGTCATCGGAAAAAAGCCCACACGTGGACTTTCCGGCTGACATTTCTCGAGGAGACGTAAAATTGCGACGGCGCCCATCGCTGATCTAAAATTCACATTTTTCTCAACTCACACATGATTCAAAAGTGACAAAAAGACGCCAAAAGTCATTTGGGCGATGCCGATAACGACGGACGCCTTCATTTTCAGCGAATTCAGAAACGAGAGCCGATTGTCGGCGATATTCCAGACCGGATCCACTCCGAACGGATACGTGTTCTAAAGTAAACAATTAATGGGGTTATAAACAAGTATTGGGGCTCTCCACAGTACCTCCATATCAAACGCCTTTTCGGGCACCAATTCCAACGAGAACTGCCGCCGTTTTCGCGCCGAACGGGCTATCCACCAGTCGAGTTGCGTTTCGCTGCAAAAAAAAAATTTGCAGTTTCAACACATTTACATATAAGTAATGTGCCCGGAGTGAAAACATTACCCTCATCACCCCCCTAATAATGTAAAACTGGACAAGTTTCGGAAAACTGAAAAAGTCGATAAACACAGCACTTTGCTACTGAAAAAATCATCGAGAAAAATGTGTGCGTTGTCTACTTATTTTCCAATTTTCTCCACAGATGCGCCTCCTTTAAACCGCACTTGTACGAGTTGCTCCACGCCGATCCGAACACATTCACCGATTTGGCGAACGCGTCGTTGTAGAGCATTCCCGTGTAGATCGAGAACAATCCCATCAGCATCATGATGTACCGGCCGCCGAAAAATGTGTTGAAAATCTGAACAGCAAAAACCATTTCAGCAAAACAAAAAGAGAAATACTTACCATAAATACTGTAATTGAAGGGCACCCCCCTATGTCGTTAATCTCTATGAAGCTGACAGCCGAAATACGCTGCATTAAATGGACACAATATTGAGGGTGCCCTTCTATTACAGTATTTACGGTAGCAAGAAAAGAAAAGAAACCTCATCGCGAATCTTCTTCTTCTCAATCCGCTTCTCGTTTTTAATGAAATACAACGAGGCGAGGAGCAGAATGAGTCCATGCGCGGCGTCGCCGAACATCACGGCGAACAAGAACGGAAATGTGATTATTGTGTACGGCGCTGAAAAAAGCATCAATAAAGGTGTTGTGCACGAAGAAAGTGACATTTTTTTTTCTTAAAGTGCACTTCAAAATGGGGGATTAATGTTCTCAAAGTCCCGAATTTTGATTAATTTTTCAGAAAATGCTATGGAGACCACGAGAAGTACACAGACCTCGCAAAATTATTGCCACTCTGAATTTTCATGAATTTCTTCGGGAAGAAAACGTGAAGAAATTAATGTTTCAACGTTTACTCAATTTACCGCTCTTGCACAATTTACCACTCTTGGTTTTACCGCCTTCTCTCGAAAATATGATCACAAATGTGTCTAATCTTTTGATATAAGTTAAAATGCAGTCTATTCTCCAATTTAGTCTAGGTTTGAAGTTCACGGGCTACAAAAATGTGGCCGAAGATTGGCAACTGCTCAGCACAATCTGTTCAGTAGAATGAGAATGCTCAAAAATCGCAAAAACCGAACCGGGATTGACTTCCCGATATTGTGCGACTCCGTACGAATCGACAATACTCTGAAAGACGCTCGTGAATTTGTTCGTTTTGTGCCACGTCGGCGGCGCCGCGTTCGTCCAGAGCTCGTTGAGAATCGGCTCCACTTCGGTGCCGCTCGCTTTCTGCAAAAAATGCGCATAAAATTAGGGAGAAAGCGGGGGAGAAATTCGAGAAAATTCGTACAAATCCGTCGTGAAGCGCCTCGCGAACGTCCTCTTCCTCCTGGGCCGGAATCCAGCACTCGCCGGCCAAAAATCCGTTGGTATCCACCTGAAAATGTTTCACGTTTCAAAGGGTTTTCAAATTAATTTCGAGAAAAAAGGAAACTGACCGTAAACATGTTCATGATCGCAAAAACCGATTTTTGAATTTGAATATTTTTCAGCCACACCGGAATCTCGAACGACAAATCTTTGAGAATCTGCAAACCATTTTGCTTGAAAAAAGATTTTTGTGAGAAAAAAAAACAAAGAGAGAAAATGCCTACCGTATACCGATGCGTTTGTGTGGTGTCAATGACCACAGTCAGGTCGTTTATGCGTCCTTCCGTCTCTGACAACTTCATTTTCCGGTCTTTCGACGCTTTCGGACACGGATATTGTGTGGCGTTGAAGCTGCAAACATTTTGGCATTTTTTTCCCGCAAATTTCCATGAAAGATAGCTTACCCATCACAAACTTTTTCCACAATCAGACGCAGCGATTCTCCTTTGAAGAAGACGATAAAAACGCATTTTTGAAGCGGTTCTAGCTGAAATTTTGATTCATAAAAGGTATGTCTCCCGGTCCGCGGATATGATCGTCGGATGTTTAATTGCTGGTATATCAGTTCGATCGGTTCCTTGGTTCTCCGTGATTTCCGAAGCACCATTCAAGCCACGTGCTAAAAAGTGTACGAGCAAAACAAATTTGAAACGAGTACAGTGGTTTCAAAGTAATCAACTCGATCAAGATGAACACTCGCTGCCCAGGTTCGAGGAAAAACTGCTCGCCGACATGATTCGATGCAAGAAAAAGGAAGAAGCTCCCGTTAAGAACTCTCCATCGATGGTAAAAACAACAAGTGCATTTTCACAAAAGACATTAACCAGAAACAGTAATCTTTTCCAGATTTTCGCCCTTTCGGACTTTCCAGGGTCCAAATCCACGTCGAGCCGTCCTCGCCTGACATTCCCATCAGACCATCTTGCCGATCGGCCAGGACAATCCGAGGCCACGTCCGAACCGACTCTCAGCCGTACTCCAATGACCATAGGCCGTCGGAAGAGCATCCATGACCTTTCAAGACTCCCAATTAACTGTGCGCATTCTCTCTCCTCAATGTCTGTCTCATTCCACCACAAAAACTATACTAGCAAAACCAGATAAAGCCTTCTATTCTTTGTTTCTTCGTTGCTCAATTTCCGTCGAACGTTTTACCCTATGCTTTTCAGTTTTTCTAGACCTACCGTAACCGGATCGTTGATGGTGAACGAGGATTCGGAAGTGCGCACAAAGGCCGTTCGACGGCACGCACGCCACAGAATCCGTTCGAACGAGTTTCGCTTTTCGAGTGGAAGCACTCCCGCCACGAACCTAAACAAAAATCCAAGAAAAAAAAAACGCCATCATACACAGTCTCCAGAGCTTATAATGGACGACATTTCGGAGCGAGATTCAAAATTTAGCCGCGAAAAACTGACAACTTCTCATTTGTGCCTCGATGCAACGATTGACGAGTTTTTTAAGCGCAAGTGCGTAACAATCCGTCAAGTCGCAATTCACATTTATCCGTTTGAAGTTTCTCGGCTAAAACGGCGTGAATTTGATAATTTTTGTTTTTCGAGCGCTCAAAATGTTTGTATTTACAAACCGTTATTTGACGGAGGCCCGCTCATATTGTAAGTTCTGGAGACCGTGTGCAGTACAAAAACGGCAAACATTTCAGGAAAATATTTCTAAAATCCCGGAAAAACGCTGAAGTTCTAGAACTCTTGCCACAAACTTAGAAAACTGATTAGAGGAGGACTGCCACTAAAAAATTAATGTGTGAGATATTTTACCATCGGATAGAGCGCTTCATGGATCCATGACTACTGGCACGATTCCTGACATGCGGGCCCCAAAAGTTTGAGTGCGAACAGCGAAAAAGCGAAGCAAAGTACGTTGAGGCCTCAAATGTGGCTCTAAAACTAATTTTTGGGAGAAATGATGTTCTGGACTCATGTGTAACTTTTTACGCTCTATCCGATGGTAAAAATATCTCACACACACACTAATATTTTAGCGACAGGCCTCCTTCAGAATGTCAGAGACATTATGTCTCACCAAGCGTTATCGTCGCTGTTCAGCAGCGGCGTCAACGGCACTTCGGTGGCCGTAGGCATCGATTTCGAAAATGATTTCGAGAAAATTTCCTGAAAAAATGTGCAACTTGTCGAGATGAAGCAATTTTTAAAAAACGGACAACGTCGTCGGTGGTGGCCGATCTTTCGAGTCGCGCCTTCGCATCCTCCTCTTTGTGCTGTAAGACAATAATTATAAAAAATTACTATTCAGTGCTCAAAAATGTGATTTTGACATTTTGTGAAACACGAATAAAAACGAGAATTTGGGCATTTAATTTAAACACAACTTACGACTTGAAAAAATTCGTCGACGAGCTTCATGACCTGAAAGAACTCTCTGGCCGAGTTGAGATTGCGTCGCAGCTGATAGTCGTTCTTGTTCAAATCTACAAATTCGCGCTCGAGCTGGTCGAGCCGGTGCTCCAATTGGATCATTTCCGCTTGCGTCGGCGCCGTCAAATCCTCGAAATCGATGGCTTTCGGGTCGAGGCCCGGTTTGCACGTGATCACTTGCCGCTCGAGAAACCGCAATTTACGCTCCATCTCCTCGCACCGACGCATCTGTTTGACGAACGTTCGCGAGTACAGCGACAGCTTCGAGTTTAGCTGCAATTTTTGCAATGTGAAACACGATTTGATACTGCAGAAATTCACCGTTGTTCCGTATCAACCCCAAAACCACCGATTTGTTCAAAAGCCAATTACCGTTCGTCGATTTTTTGCAATTTTTCAAAACAAATAAAAAAATCGATGAGCAGCAAACTGCTGCTGGAAAATTCGCGGACAAATTGTGAAAATCTGTACTTTTGGGGTTGATTCCAGAGCAGGGAATTTGACCGATCGGATCCAAAAAAGGTTTGGACATTGCCCTTGGTGTCAACCATCTCATCTCCAGGACAATTTTCAGCTAGATAGAATAATCGACGGCCTATGCGGCCCCGAAATTGTCCTGAAGATGCTCCATACTAGGCCTAGCTAGGGGTAATGTCAAAACATTTTTTGGGTCCGATCGGTCAACTGCAAGTGGGCCAAAAACACCACAGGCCGCAATAAGGCCATTGTGACATTCATGAAACCAGAAAATTGCATTTAAAATTCAAGCAACGTTCCAAAAGCGTACATCGACAAACTGCACATTTCCGTGTTTTCCAATCTCGGCGACGCACTCGAACGCCGCCTCTTTGACGAGAATCATCTGGTAGAGCTTCATAGTTTCCGAGCGATAAATCGAAGTCTCCTTCCGTCGTTTGCCCATTTTCTTCGCCTTTTCTGCTGCTTCCGACGCTTTGCGATCGTTCGCCTCGCTTTCCGACGACGAAATTGTCATCTTCGCGAAATTCGGAGACGTCGGCGAGTGCACTGTCTCCACCGATGACGACTCGTCCGTTTTGTCGTAGTTCAGGCTGAATAATGCTTTGTTAAAACACGGCGACCAAAAGTGTGGAAGGGGGGGGGGGCCTAGCCTGCTCAAAAAGTTAACGCTTCAAAAGAATTATCTGAAACATGAATGAATATGTTTGTAAATTTTATAGCACAAATGTTTTGTTTACTTGAAAACGCCGCCGCCGTTGACGGTCTCGTTGGGAATTTCCCGAAAAATCTCCGACAAATTAATGTGTTCCCGCTGATCGCCGTCTCGGACGCCCTCGATGCTCAGATCGTCCTCTTCCTCGTCGTACTCCTCGGATTCGGACGCTCCGAAACGAGGCAGAGAGTCACGGACGACGTCTGCAACCGAATTTTATTTATTTTGGTTGCATTCTGAAGACGACGTCTGCAAATGTTTGGGCAAAAAGCCGGCCGAGGCCCGGACTTTCCACCCACATGCAATAATAAATATTTCGATTGGGCCCAAACTTTGCAGGCTTGTTCGGCTTGGATTAAAGTATATTGGGTCTTACTTCCACTCAAGTCCAAGAAGTCTGCAAAGTTTGGGCCCACCAATCTGATTATTGATTATTGCAAGTGGTTCAAAAGTCCAGGCCCAGCAATTTTTCAAGCCAATGTATTTCTCAAAAAACTAATAACCAACCTATGAACCGCTTGGAAAAGTTGAAGACTTTCGGAAAAATCTCAAAATTGAGACGCGGAAGACGATGAGAATGGGAAGAGGTGTGAAGAGGGAACGGAGCCTGTAATTATAGCCTATTTATAGGGAGCGTATTGAAAAAAGTGTTTGTTGCGAAAGAAACAGTAAACATTTTTGAGAAAATTCCATAAATTTTCATAACCCAACTAGAAGCGTAACAGTAAGAAGAGGTACAAAAAGCACGAAGCGCGTGTGAATGAGCGTTCAAATAAACAACAACAATAGCCCGCATTTTCTGTATATTTATAGCACAAAAACCGTCTGCTTTTTATGCGCACACACACACAAAAAAAATCGGAAAAAGATCAGATTTACGTCAGTCGAACAAAAATTAAATGTCCGTTTTTTGAACATTGTTCCGAACATGATCTACACGGTTCGAAAAATCATGTCTAGACGGTCCTGAACGTTTTCTTCAAACAATTTTTCATAAATTTTTCAACGGTCAGCTAGCAAAACTATAACAGCTAAAAAAATGCTTAAAGACAATTTTTGAAACCGAACAAAAGCGCAATGCTTCGATTGGAAGTCATGGGAAGAAGAGAACAGCAGTGATAAAATGAAATTGGAAACGAGAAAAAGAAGGAGAAGAGGAAAAAGATAAAAGCGCTACGGGAATGGAACAAAAACCAATTCTCATTAGGTTTGTGGTGCAGACAAAATCAATGGTTCAAGGCGGCTGCCTTCGAACAATTAGTGGTCAAACTGAAAACTTACATAAGGTTGTAGTAGTACATCATTTCTCACAAAAGTAAACCAAAATAAGGACCATGTTTAGACACCTATTGCTCTAGATCCAATGATTATTTCAAAAGTGATCAACAGAAATGGTTGTGGCAAATTATGCTCTTAACAACTTTGTAACTGATCATTTCATTCCAAAATCCGTCATTCTCAAGTTACGCCCTGTTTGAAAAAGTATCCACTAGGTCAACTTTATTAGTGAAAACACGACGACGAAAAGTACTTTGAGGTCCTGATTCATGAAAAATTATGTACTGCAACTGTTCAATGCCCTACGTTTATTAACCTTGAGCATACATTTTTAGTAACAGGCCCCCACAATACTTGTTAGGTCTGTCGCTGAAACATTAGTTCTCAGTTGGTCAACTAAACTATTGGATAGAAAAAAAGCTTCGAAAGTTATATTGAAATGCGTTCGACCGAGAGAATAGTCGAAATATTCAACTATTCAAATCTTATTAAATACTTTTTCTTAAAATTCTAGACAATTGGAACTCTGTAAAAGTCCTCCTAATCATAAAAATGACATATTGTCGCATTCGAAAATCGGAATGAATTGTGGGGCGGAAAAGAGAGAAACAGGGAGAGAGAATACGTCGTCGAAGAATACGAAAAGAAGAAGAAGAAGAAGAAGATAGATGATACGCTATCATCGGGCCCCCAAAAATCTGCGTTTCTCCATTCCCTCCCCAATTTTTTGTCGATCGTCACTGGCGTCGTCGTCGATGTCGTCGATGATGATGATGATGATGAAGAAAAAAAGTGATTGACTGATATCTTCTTCTTCTTTTTTCTCTGCGCGTCTCACAAAATCGGTGACTAATTTCCGTTTCAGGTCATTTGTCATTGTCGAGAGATACGGCGAGAGAATGGAGAAAATCGGGCAAAAAACGGGGGACACTTGTACATATTTTATTACTTTTCCGCCCGTCCAGACCGTTATGATTTACGAATGACGACCCGCACAGTTGTTCTGATAATATCCGTTCCGACACAACGCAAAAAATGAAGAACGTTCGGGGTTACACTATCCGCTTTTTGAGGTTTGTACTTTTGACCCGCGCCAAACTTTGCAAGCGTATTTAGGCTTGGCTTAAAGTTTTTTAAGGCCAAGTTTCAGATCGATTCGATTATCTGATCCGGAGATATAGTGTAAAGCCGAAAGGATCGGATCCACATATTTCCAGACCAGATAGATAGTCCGATCAGCCTGAAACTTGGCCCAAAAAAGCCTGTAAACTTTAGATCCGATCGGAAAGTTACAACTGGGCCAAAAGTACAGAAGTCAATAATCATAACTTATTTTCTAGAACTCTCTTGTTCTCTTATGCTCCACCGCCGAAAAGCGCCGAATATTCACATTTCTCATTCGGGCCGATCTACAAGCAATATCTCCCGTGAAACTGGGTTTTGTCGTGGAAAATGGGTTCGCTGTCCTCTACCAATCATTTTTACGACTAAAAGTCGCAAAAAAACGTATCTTATCACTGAAAAAGAAGAAATTTGGGGGTGATGTGATGATCCATCTATTTTCAAACACGGAGTCGTGGAGAGGTACACGCCGCAGCGTGTGAATCCACACTCAGCTAGATCAAACGGACACCACGGAACCAGTCAAGTAAATCCACATACCTTTGTATCGAAAAATCGATATCCCTGACTGTTTTCGCTGTAAAAATCAGTATTTCGATGTAAATTAGAAACACAAAAGGACACTAACGACACATCGTGAATATCATGGGACATTTCGATAAATTCGGGAATCGGCTGGAATGTGGGCTCGCGAGTGAAGTACGGCAGGACACTGCAAAATACACGAATGGGCGGAAATTTGAACATTTATATTTCACGGCAAACGGTCTCCAGAAAAGTTGCGATTTCTGCTTACCTATTCGATCGCTGAAATCGACAAATGACACGTGGCGTCGAGGCGAGCAGCGGAGCTCGATTTCGCAATTTTTTCCTGAAAATAATCAGAATACAGTTCCAAAAAGGGTCCGGACAAACCCAAAAGTGGCTCTGTGATGACGTGGCGATTCGTCGCTCATCGGCTCCTCGACCGAAAACGTTTCCGCCCGTCCGTCTTCATTTTCGTGCTCCTCTTCGGTCGACGGCACGAATCCAATGTTCGAGAACGACGTCATCCGTCTGAAACGAACATTTGGCTTTTTCTTATTGGCAAATAGGGAACATTCACTAGAAATTTCAAAAAATGATGAAAATCGATAGAAAATTGTTCATTTTATGAAGAGGGTCGAAATTTCTGCTCTTTTATTGAATTGTAGTCAAAAATGTGAAAATGTTTTGAAAAACATGAATTTACAATATTCCTCTCTTGAAATCAAATAAAAATCGACTGAAAAATGTATTCCATGAGAACGAATGAGAATTGCTCGAAGAAAACACGAAACATCGATTTGGCGTGAAAAATTGCGATAAAACACAAAGTTTTTGGGTAACACAACAGGAAAGCATCAATATTTCGACAAATGTCACAAACAACATCTGAAATGAGCAAGAAAACTCGAAAAAGCGGTCTAAAATGATGAATTATGGGAGCTCTCCGCTAAAAATCAGGCGGCGCCGCATGGCAGCTCAAAAGAGTTACGGTAGTAGGTCAAAAAGTTTTTTTGTTTAAAAAAATAGACTTTTGATGGTTTCTCGCGTGAAAAATGGGAATTTGAAGAGTTGAACGTTGTAATAATGCGCACCGAAAAGAACACATTATTTTTCAGTAAAAATGAAACATGTCCGAAGACACGTTCGACCGTTTCGAATTGTTACAAACAAAGGCACAGGCTCCTCAAGACTTTTATTCATTACGAAAAATAGGCGACAAATAAGCGTAATGCTGATCGAATTCGTGAGCAAATCGCACAAAACCTACCGTAATCGCCTCATTTCTCATTGAAAGAAGGCGAAAACAGTGGGCGGAGCGTAGAGAAAGCGCGCAAAGAAACCATACATATCCGTACACTTTTTTGGTAGGCGCCATTTTTGTGATATTATGGTCTTTGCCAAAATTAGGTCAGCCATAAATTTGTTGTCTTTTTTGTTGTTTTTCTGCATTGTTCGTTTGCAGGAGAATCGCCAAATTCTTTTGAATTTTTTTTCCAGAAAAATGACGTCAACCGGCAGCTCGAAAGTCGAAAAATTGTCTGAAAAACGAATAAAAAGGAGGAAAAATGTGAAGAAATCGTCAGATTGGAAGTCGAAAATCAAAGAAGTGATGCGAATGATTTCGTCGTGTTTGAGCATTAGCCAACTCATCGATTTGTCTGTGAGCCTAAAATATTTGAATTTAAAAAACAACAACACATTCAGGTTCTGTCCGAAGTCGTTACCAGTGCGGCTCAAAAACGGATTCGTTCACACTTTGCACATTTAGAATTGGATTATATAAATCCGATCGAAATAATGCTAAATGGGCAGCGAATGAACGTTTTCGATGTGATGCCCACTTTGGAGTGAGCGCTCAATTTATTTCAACCAATTTCGGCCCACGCCACTTACAATAATCACTTTGCAGACGTCTTGGGCATGGATTGAAGTGTGCTGGGTCCGAGTTTCAGACCGATCCGATCATCCGGTCCCCGAGATATAAGGTTTTTGCGAGAACCGGGATATCTCGGGACCAAATGATCGGATCGGTCTGAAACTTGGATCCTATATACTTCAATCCAAGTCCAAGACGTCTGCAAAGTGAATATTGCAAGCGTTGGTTCATCTTTTCAGATGGCTCTCTGAAAATCAAGGCGTCGGCTTTCAAAGTGTGGAGTTTAACGAGTTTCCCAATAATGATGAACTTTTGGGAAACATTTTGAAAAGCGTGGAAACTATTTCCACAAAACCCATTTACTTTACAATTGTCGATGATGTCATGACCATTTCTCACAGGTAAATTGCCGTGACAGTCCAAATGGTCTCAAATTCGCAAAATGGCTTCCGCCTGGAGAACAGTGCATAACTTGAAAACCAAAGAGTTTGGCAAATAGCTGTCAACTGCAAAGTTGGCCGCAAGAAGATTTGCAACAACTTTTCAGTTGACCATTTTCGAACAACACTGATGGTTCTTGAGATAAACGCCACAGAATTTCAGTCATCTTCTGTAGCGAGTTGTTGCAAACCTTTTCCAATCTTTCAAAATCTTTGGTTTTCAAGTTAAAATCCAAAAACGCTCGATTCTTAAGAGTAGCCTTGCTTTTCAGCAATCTTCTCATGATTTGTCAAGAAGTTGAAGCGGAAAATCATCAGAAACTCTATGAGCTCTTCGGAAAATGCTCCCGACCAAAAAGCCTCAAGCTGGACCTTTTCTCAATGGCAACATCGGAATTTCCGCAGAAACTTTTGAAAAACATTCTGAACATTGTCAAGTGAGTTTTAAAAGAAACCCGTACCCCTCTTCGATGTGACCTTTTTCTTGTCAAAGCGGCGCGACGACTAGCGCGAGTTTGATTGATTGCGCGCAAACGGTGTCCATCACGAGTGCATTTATAACTTTGGAGACACATTTTCATGTTGTCATATCCAGTTTTATCGACTTTTTGAAAAATTCGGGGCTAGTTTTCTGCAGGGGAAATGAACTTTTCCACTAGATTATCGCCCGCCCAGATTAGAATCTCTGCCCGAACTTCTTCTCAACTGTCATTTTCAATTAATTCATTGGGAAATTCTGCGAACAATGTTTGCTGATTTGTTTGATTGATCGGCTAAAGGACACTGGCATTCAGTTTTGTTGAACTATTGTACCTAGCACATTCAGCGTCCGAGACGAGATTCTCGGAAATGCCTAAAAGTTGTGGCTGTGGCCTAGAAAACTCACTCACAAGGCGTAAAAACTCTTCCCCCTTTCACCTTGACAATCGTTTGAGGATTGTACCGAATGCAAAAAAGATCCCGTAGCCTAGGAGTTTTCTAGGCCACCGCCACAACCTTAAAACGAGAGCAGATTACATTGGGAAAACAAAGAATTTCAATCGATTTTTGAATTTGTGCTGAAAATGCTCGAATTTCAGTCCGACACTGATTTTGTCGGGGAAAAACGTCTCGAACGACGCGTTTTCACAAAGTAAACGATAAAAATGCATTGCAAAAATTTTACAGCCCAACCCAACTGGACGTCGTGTTCGCCAATTCGGAAGCACCAAATAGTCCAAGTGTATTTCCGAATTATTCCGAATTTTCGCCAAAATTCTCATTTTCCTCGGATCCAATTAGTGCCATTTCCAATGAGAAACTGCGAGCCTTCAATATTTTCATGGAAACAACCGAAAATAGTATTCCAATGTATTCTATAAATATCTTAGAAGTTCTCATCACTTTTCACTATCCTTCCAGATATTTGCAATATTTTATGTTACCCAACAATATCAGTTTGTAGAAACATTCGAATACTATTAAAATAAATTATACATATACATTTGACAGGAAATAATTGTGTGTGAGTGAATAAATTATTGATTTTTCTTTCACAATCATTTGTTGTTTTGGTGAATGAGAAAAATGGTGAGTTTACATAAATTTTAGATTTTAAAAAAGTCTGGTTAGCATTGTTGGTACGGTGGCGGCTGCCGAAAGACGGGCGTTTTCATTATGATCGGCATCGGAATACGGTACTGCGGAAGGGGCTCAATGTGCTGACGGAGCAGGGCGAACAGGACCAGGTCCACGTTGTAGATGGCTGCAAAGACAATCAGTTATTCACTTTTTTTTTCAAATTAAAGGGAAGTGGCGCACTTTGAAAAAAACATATTTTCACAATGACACTAATGGTGGCAAATTTCTGCTCAGGCTTTTTGAGGCCTGCACTTGCGGCCCACTTGCAATGATCCGATCGGCACCAAACTTTGCAGGCTTCTTGGACTTGGATTGAAGTCTGTTGGGTCCAAGTTTCAGACCGATCCGGTCATCCAGTCCCGAGAGACTGAGAAAGCCGCAATGTTCATAACAACTCGGTCTCTTCGCCCTCTGGTCTACACATCTCGGGACCAGATTATCGAATCGGTCTGAAACGTGGTCCCAGCATACTTCAATCCAAGTCTTAGAAGTCTGCAAAGTTTGGGTCCGATCGGATCATTGCAAGTGAATCAAAAGTCCAGGCCTCGAAAAGTCGGGGCCGAAATTTGCCCGGCCTTGAAAAAACTTTAAAATCGTGGGATTTTTTTTGAATGATTTCACTTTCGCATTACACATCCCCCACAGTTATCGTGCACTACTCCTTTAGGAAAAAAAAATCGATAACTCACGAAGTCTCGATTCGGCCAAATAACTGAGGAATCGGGCGTCGACTTCGCACGAGACAATGATGAACGGCTGCTCGGATTCGATGCATTTGGCTGAAAAACGCTCAAATTTACAACTCAACTTCTCTTTTTGTTTTCCAGTCCGTACCCAAATAACTGGGCTCCGGCTTCTCCTGATGCACAATTCCGCCGGCGAGTTCGATGAGCCGCACAATTTCCTGTTGGCTCGGCTCCACAAATCGAGTCACGTAGAATTCAATGTCCTGGAGAATGGAAATGTTTCAAAAAATCGCATTTTTTATGCCAGAAAAAGTACCTCAAAAACGCGTCTGTGCCGGGCGCGCAGCACACTTCGACGGCAACTGTAGCTGAGCTCAGCCTCCAATTTTTCGTCGTTCAGAAAATGTTGGAGCGTGTCTGAAAATGGCGGTTTTATTCGACACTTTCTTTCTGAACACTGGGTCGTGACGGGTACATCGAAAACTAAAATTTGAACTTCCGCCGACGGTCGATTGCGTAGCGCCCCCATCTTAAAGCAGTAGGCCACAGCAAAATGTTTGAAAATTTCATTAGAGCGCAGTTGCGCCAGTGTACCCCGCCACGACTCCGTGATGAAAAGTTATGCAAAAAGGTTACACAAGTTGACGAGACAATCGAAAAAAAAACGAACCCAGCCAGCGTTTGTACCGATAACTGTACAAAATCCATTCGGGCTGCACAATGTTCTTTCCCCGTATGATGCACTCCAAAAGCACTGTGCTGCGGCGGCCGGAACTCAGAATGACGTGGGTGGCCTTCTGGATGGAATCGACGACGACGCCGCCCAAAAAGACCATCTTCCTGCGGAGGCCCTCGAGCGTCGGCTCGTCGAATCCGTCGCCGAACCAGCCGAACACCTTCTCCTGCGGCCTCGCGAGTCCGTGCTTCTCCGGATCGTTCGCCTGCTTCGTCATTCCGCAACCCGTCAATTCGCGCGGAACGATCACCTTCGCCTTCTCCTCATTCTCCGCCTTCTCTTTCGCGTAAGCGATCTCGTGCTCGATCATCGCGATGCGGTTCGCTTCGATTTGATCGTCCGTCGGCGGAAAGTCTTCGCAGACTGGCGCTCTGCAAACATTTTTCGTGTTTCGCCAGTTAGAAAACAGAGGACATTCTTCCAGAATTCAATCGATAAACAATAGACGGCGGTCCAACATAATAGAACTGCGCAGAATAGAACTGCGACACAATAGAACCGCGACACAATAGAACCGGCCACAATATAACTGTTTGGAGAATGATTGTTTCGTGGAAAAAGATAATTTTTGAATCTCGTGATCGATTTATTGCATTCATTAATTTCACTTCCGTCGTGATCCCTCTTCTCTACGGTAACGAAAACCCACAAAAAATAATTTTATCAAAAACGAAAGGAAACCAATTTTCTAGGCTTAAACTGTGGTCTTCTGCTTATTATAGGGGCACCGGACAGAAAGGGTGCGCTGTTCGCAATCTGGCCGAATTTCTAGGCCGCGAAGTAATTTTCCACTGAAAACGTGGCCTAACTTTTCAAACTCGGCCCCGAGGTGGCTCAATTTGCACTGCAAAAAGAGTTTCTCAACAGAGCGCCATTTCTGTTCGGTGCCCCTATAATAATTGTTCGAGAGACGACAAAATTTTGCGAAAGTTAACTGAAAGGAACGGACAAAATGCTCATATAAATACACAAAAACAGTTCTATTCTGCGCAGTTCTATTATGTTGGACCGCCCAACAGACAACTTTTGTTTTTTGTCGGTTTCATAAAAACCGAAACTCTTTTGATTGATACCTTTTTTTTAATAAGAAATTTCGCAAGAATTTTCGACTATTTTACGAAGAAAATCAATTGAAAAATGTAGCGTACCCATTCTCGTCGAGTAAAACGAGCCGTTTCGCCGGATAGTGATACTTGTCCTGGAGCACTGATTCGCGTGTCTGACGCGCTTTTTCGTACATTTGCTCGCTGATGATCATCGCTTGTTTCCAGCAGCCTGAACATTTCAGTCCATTGACTAAAGTTGTTTACAAGTTTTGCTTCTTTTTGTTGAATAACTTTTGAAACTGCTAAATTTTTCGTAGAAACACGAAGAGTTTACTGTTGGGCGTTCTCATTTTTGAAGCAAGCAAAATTGAATAAAATCTCTTTTTAAAAAAAGCAAATGTTTAGAACGTACGCATCATGTTGGCAAAGTCTCCGCCGGCCATCTCGATGATCGCCGGGTTCGTGTTGACTTCGGAGCACGGCTGTCCCAGCTGATACCTCGGATTCTCGACGTTCGGCCGTTCCTGCGCGTGCGGCGTCGGACACACGTACGTGTCGGCCATCCATTGATAGTTGACGACCGGAACGCGCCACTCACGCGCTTTTTGCACCTTTTCCGAGTCACTGCAAAGATAACATGGTTTTTCCAATCACAGAGTCGTCGCGGGGTACACTGGCGCAAGTGCGCTCTACTGAAATTTTCAAAAATTTTTCTTTGGCCTAATGCTTTAATATAGGGGCGCTACGCAATCGACCGTCGGCGGAAGTTCAAATTTTAGTTTTCGATGTACCCACGACGACCCCGTGCCCAAGTTTTACCGAAAACATCGCGGGTTTTTCCTGGTTTTTCGGTGTAAAATTTCGCTGTTTCAACGTTGTTTTTTGTGCAGTTTTAACAGAAATTCGCAAATGTTATAAATTTTCCTCAAAACCAACCATTTGGCAATCAATAAATCGCTCATTTTCGACAGGAACGGCGATATTTTCGCTCCCATCGCGTCGGCCATGAATCCGATTGTTTGGCGTTCCGATTCGTCGAATCCGGACAGCGAAAAGAGCTGAAATATTCATTTCAAATGTTGAACTAGCCCAAACAAACCTTGCACATGTACGGTCGAAATCCGTCGAAAGGACCGGGTAAATGGGCCAATTTCCACGGCAAATCCACTTTTTGCCGTTCGAGCACGTCGGTCAGCCAATGCATAGAAATGAAGCGTTTTGCCATTTGATGCGCGTTTCGGGCGTTCGGATTGCGGTACGAATCGACGAGCACGTGAGTCGTTTGTGCCGCGTTCGCCGCCGTGTACTTGTTCATGTCGAACTCGATCTCGCCGCCGTGGTACTGCACAAAAATTTGCGATTTTTTTGGATGGCAAATGGAGATTAGATCTTTTTAATACAGGCGCATACTCGAGATCTCTTCGGTTCGCCACGTGATGTTCAACAACTCTCCCGTTTTACAACCACGCGTTTCGCAACTAGGCCGATTTCAAAGTGTTACTGGGGTGCTCCTCAATTTTAATTTACCGAGTCGCTACGCAGCCAATTGCAAAAACGGCGATCTTTGGAACCCGGCTTCGTGAAGATGCGGCGTTGGAAAGCCTAGAAAAATGCACAAGTTGCGAACTGTACTGGTTGCGAAACACGTGGTTGACATTTGTCATGGTGCTAAAACGTGAGTTGCCGAATTTGTTTTAGTGGCGAAACGTACCGGTTGCGAAACAAAACGGTCGCGCATACTCAATGCCTACTTTCTCACTCACTAAAGTGATCTTTTCCGACAAAACAAAAAATGTTCCGGACATGGCACAACTCGCGCTAACCAACCTTGACCATAAACTCCAAATTGTCCTTATCCAACCGATCGTCGATCAGTTTTTCGACGTCGAACACCTGAATGTGGAATCCGGCGAGAAAGAGTTCGGGATCCGGGTTCATGGCCGGCATCGGGAACGTGTTCGGGTCGTGGTGCATTTGTGGAGGCGGTCCTAGAAATGCTTCGCAACGTTTAGTAATTGGTCTTCTGGCTCTCACCATTTTCGCAACTCGTACAGTTCGCAACCGCTTTTCAAAATGAACCAAAATCTTCACAGGCAATAGTGTAATAGACGCGTGAGCATTTCAGAGTTGCGAATCGTTCGGTTGCAAAACGTGAGAGCGGATTTTCGCAAAAATTCAAAAAAAATGTACCGTTTCAAAATTGTTTAATGTTTCGAACTTGCATGATTACTTCAATCAATACACCCTTTTTTTTAATAAAATTCTTAGTAGCTTCAGAAAAATGTGTGCAACAAAAAATTACCGGGCCGCGGGAAGAACTGTGGTCCACCGGCGGAGAGCGGCGGTTGCGGAGTGCCTTGCGGCGGCTGCGTTGACGGTTGTTGCGGCGGCGGAAGCGTGAGCGGACGCATTCCGTGTGGCGCCACACCCATTTCGTCTGCAAATTAAACAAAATTGCAAAGTTCAAAGGATAGCAAGCCGAAGCGTACTGTGGAGAACTCTGGGGAGTACGGGAGTGTGTTGTTGGGAGACTGCTTGCGCCTGCTGCATCACTTGCTGCTGCGTCGGAGACATTAGAGTCGGCGAGCGGAGATCCGGTCCCAGTTGTCCGGGCGCCGGCGCAAAGTGCGGAGAGGCGGTGGCTGCGGACGGCGTTTGAGGCGCGAATCGGTCTGGAATCGTTTTTTGGGTTGTTGATTGATAGACTATTTCTGATGAACATCATCGAATTTGCATAATTTTCTTGAAACCGCGAATAATTGATTCAGGTTTTTTTCCGAACATTTCGTGGAAAATGCGTGATTTTATAAATTGTTTTAAATAAAATGACGAACGAGGTGTTCCGGGCGTCGGTTGCTGTTGCGGCGAAATGTATTGTGGGCGCATTCCGGGCGGTCCCTGAAAAATTCATGTTTCGTGTTGTATTAGGGTTTATGCGATAATTTAAAGTTACTGTAGGCACAGTTCCTCTAAGACCCTTCATATACATCCACTCAATTACCGTAATACTACATTTTCAAGAAAATGCTCACCGTGGGCGGTCCGGGCCGATAAATCTGATGTGGCGCCGGCGAGTTGAAGGCTGGCGTGCCGGGGAATCCGGGGACCGGGGCGCCCGCGGTCGGAGTGATCTGTTGCGGCGGCGGATAGGCAAACTGCGCCTGCGGATTGGCGCCCGGCGGGTACTGGGGCCGTTGCGGAGTTCCAGGCGGTCCAGTCGGCGGACCACCGGATCCTGGAGTGGTCCGAGTGGCCGGCGACGGCTGCGGCGGGTAGACGGGCGTCATCGGGCCGGGGGCCATCCCTGCCGGGTACGCTGCAAAAAGTGAGCTTTTCTGGAAATATCCCTCCGTTTATCTCTCTAACGGTTATGCGAATCAAGGTTCTGAAATTCTTGTGTGCCTCTATCGATACTCGGACAATTTTTTTTTTTACATGTTTCCTGTGAAACAGAAACAAAAACACTTTTTCGCTGAAAAACTTGTGCTCCGATTTGATTGATATTGGGCACAGTGAGAGCATTTTTCTGCATGAAGGAGGGGAGCTAGAATTTTGATGTCAACATGAAAAATGCTCAAAAAGATGCGAGGAATCGAATGGCGTCGAGTTTGAGTTGATCGGATTTTTTTTTTTTTGAAATTTCAGAAAGGTACCTCCTTGCGGATACGGGACCGGAACTCTCTGCACGACCCTCTGCTGGTGCTGTGCCTGCTGCTGGCGGGCGTAAATTTGCCACTGCGCGGGCGGGTATCCGGGCGGATAGACGGGCGGTCCTGGATGGATATGTTGTTGCGGCGGCGGCGGGTGCATGCCCATCATTTGCGGGTGACCGCGGTACGGAGAGTCTCTGCAACAAAATCAAGTTAAAAATTGTTCGCACATTCTATGTTGCCGAAAAGAAAAGCTCACACTTATGAATTCCAGCTTTTTTAGGCCAATAGATTTTTTAAAATAGTTTTTCCCATTCGCTCACCTAATTTCGTGCATTTGCTGTGTGCCCGCTGCGAACTGCTGCGCCTGTGCCATCGCCTGCGCCTGCTGCTGTTGTTGCATTTGCACCGCCTGATAATCGTACTGTAGTTGTCCGGAAGGCGGCGGAGCCTGACTTCCGCCGCTTTGCGGAGTCCCTTGCGCCGATCCGGGCAGTCCGCCGGCGCTTTGAGGCGTTCGCGGAGTGCTTTGCGAGTGCGCCGGGCTTTCTGGAAGCGAAACATTTTGATTACGGTCTTCTTCAGGGTGTTCTCTTTGTTCCGCGATGTAAGAAGACATAGTAAAAGTTTCACTGAAATTCCAGTGTTTACCATGAAAAAAGGGTTGTTGCTGCTGTTGCTGCGGACCGCCCATCTGCTGATTCGGCGTTCCGGTGGAGCTCCGCTGACTTCCCGGTGTTCCAGATCCTGAATCTATTGGGCGGTGAATTTTAATAAACTTTTAGGTTTTTTCGCAATTTTTAGAGCCTCAAATGACCCGAGATTTTGAAAAAATACAAGGGTTGGGCGCATTGTGGCCCAGGCTTTTTGAGGCCTAGACTTTTGACCCACTTGCAATGATCCGATCGGATCAAAACTTTGCAGGCTTTTTGAATTTGGATTGAAGTATATTGGGACCAAGTTTCAGACTGATCGGATCATCTGATCCCGAGTTATGTGGATTAGAGGCCGGAAAATCTGCAATTTTCGTAAACGCCAAGCTTGTTCGGCTTCTGATCCACATATCTCGGAACCGGATAATCGGATCGGTCTGAAACTTGGACCCAAGTTACTTCAATTCAAGCCCCAGAACTCTAGAAAGCTTAGGCCCCATCGGATCCTTACAAGTGGGTCAAAAGTCCACGGCAGGCCTGCAAAAAGCCCCCGGGCCGGCCGTTTGCCCAGCCATAAAAAGAGCCCAAAAGTCGCTGACAAATCGTGAAAAAAGATTTACCTGCCGGAAAAACGTTCGCCGGACTCATCGTCGGCGTTCTTTGCCACATCGCAGGTGGTTGAGGCTGAAAACTTGGGGCAAAATTGGCATTTGCTTAAGATTCGATTATTGTTCAAATTTTTGGCGCCAAAAAAATCACGTTTTCCAAATTGTAGGTCTAATTCACAAAAAGTCCAAATTTACCGGCATTCTGGGCTGTTCGGGCATCACAAAGGCCGTCTGCTGGCTGGCCGGAGGGGTCTGGAGGTGCGGCACGTCGCCGAGCGGATTCTGAATCCGCGACGGATCGAGAAGCGTCAGCGGCGGCGACTCGCGCGGGTCCTCCTCTTTTATTTGCCGATCCATGGCCTAAAATTGGGCGAAAGGCGGTTTTTGCACGAAAAATGCAAAGAAAAATGAGGAATCACAAAGCATGAGTTACTTATTCTACAAAAATTAGAGTAAAATCGTAAGAGAAACTGTATTTGTAGTGGAATTGGGAAAAACAGGGGACAACAACATATTTCAACAATAATACAACCAGAAATTAGGCGAGTTTCTTGTCGATCTCCGGGATCAAATCCTTAAGATTGGCCCATTGGCCTTTGGTAATCGAGATTCCTTTGCGTGACGGCATCACTTTTCCGGAATTCTGCAAACAATCGATTATTTTTCGAGATTTTCGGGTCAAACCTTGTCCACATAGTACTCTCTGATGTTCAGGTACTCTTTTCCTTTGTAGTTGGTCACCGACGCGTATCTGAGGTTTCCAAACTCGAACATCTGCAAAAAATTGAGAATATTGTTTTCGGGAAAAGGTCAATAAAGAATAAAAATACCTCGTTTCCATCGTTGTCTTTCAGTCTTCCGGTCACTTCTTCTTTCTTGACCTTCTTCTTCTGTGGCTCAGCAACCTCGGCGTCCGCTTCAGATTGTCTTTTCTGCAATGAGCATCGATTGTTCGCAACTTGCGAAAATTGCTCAAACCTTTGACTTTTTCTCCTTCTTTTGCTTCTCCTTCTTCTGCGTCTCCTCCTTCACTTGCTTCGTCTGCTCGTCTTCAGACGATGGCTCGGACGACGACGACATTTCTGCAGGAAAATCGATTTTCAGTGAGAGGTCTTTGCGAAAAGTGACTAAATTACGTCGAAAAATCGATATTCGGCCGGTTTTCAACAAATTTTCGGTGAAAAATCGCAAATTTCTAGTTAAAATCATCTGAAAATCCATAAAAGTGGAACATGCAGTTTGAAAATGAAGACAATTCTGGTGGTGGCCTAGGTTTCGCACGCATGCCAAATCTCGGCCACTTCTCCCATTTCTAGGCCACCCTTCCATTTTGGGGCCTAATTTTTATTTTCAGTCATTTTCACCTGAAAGATGACATTTTCCTTTTATTTTTCTATATTTTTGTCAGAAAGCAACTCTTGTTCCATGATAATATGCGAACTTCCATGTATTCTGTGTGTTTTTGTCATTAATGTTCACTGTTTTGGGTAAACATCACAAAGTGCCCGAATACTTTGTGTTCTCCGGCTCACACCACCTTTTTATCAGCTGATATGATCCGATTAGAAGAGAGCGGTCACGTTTCTTGCGAATTATGCAAAAATTTGAGGGAAACTGGGAGTTTTTGAAGTTTTTGTGTATTTCTTGCTAGGATCTGATTGAAAATTCTTGATTTTCTGGCGTTGTCGAGCTAGAATAGTTTATTGCATAACCCCAAAAAACAGAATAATATCAGTAAAGTTGAAAACAGTCGAAATATCTAAACCTAACGGAAAAATCCATAGTCCTCTTTGATGTCTTCATGTTTTCCAAAAAGGGATCGCAGAAAGGAGACACGAACAACTAGGAAAACAACCGAAAATCAATAGTTCCGCGGAAGCGCCATAGGTCAAAACTAGCGATTCGACAAAATATATGTATGCGCCTTTAAAGTGACCGTACTTGCCTTGGGGAAGACAGGAAAAAAGGAGGAAGGTTCTGCCGAGTCGTTTCCGATCGGACGGTCCCGTCGGGGAGGAAGGACCGCAACGTGTTCCGATGATCTGTTTACGTGAGCACCTGTCAATCAAAACAGTCGTTTACTTGATTTGATCTCTGTAAAATACTTGAACAGTCCCAGGCCCGGTCACAAATGTTCGCGCGAGAGCCGCACCGCCGGCCGTCCAACCCACTCTTCTGGCCATTCGTTCGCCGAGACCATCCGCTTTTTTTTCGCCTTTTCCGGACTCTCTTCCCAGAGGCCAATGTTCGAACGGAGTGTCGTTCGAGCACAAACCTCGTGTACATTTTGGCGCATCGCGGAGACACGGCTATTATTTATATTCTCAATTGATTTTGCTATCGACTTTAAAAAAAGTGTCGAAAAAATTCGGCGTCTTTTCACTTTTCAGCTGCACTTTTGTGAGTTAGGTTTTTTGAGAATGAATGAAAAGTAGAGAAAAATGGCTCCCCTCGTTTTTGCAACTCGATGCTTCGCAACCTGACGCTTTGCAACTAAGAGTTGCGAAAACGAGGGGAGCCAGAAAAATACTTTGTTTCACAAAGCAAAATGTGATCATCGAAAAATGCAAAGAACGAAAAATTGTGTTCCGTCCTCACCCCCATCGTTTTCATCATTTCTCCTTTTTCTCCCATCCGTCCTCTTGATAAAAATCTCTCTTTTTCGCCTCTTTGCAAAATCCGCCTAGTCGATTTTCGAATGCGTTTGACCTTCATTTCTCACACGTTTTTGTGCGTTGTCACACATTCGAACCACAAATAATGTTTGTTTTTCAAGCAAAAATGCTGACATTTTTAGTTTAAAGGACCGGGGGGAAGCCAGCGAATTTATGTGTATTGTCAAAGTGCAATGAGGGAAGAGTTTTCACACCTGAGAATTCTCTAGGCCACGGCCGCAACTTTTAGGCATTTCTGAGAGTTGCGAGTCGGACACAGAATGTGGCAATAAATGAAAATTCAAACAGACACATAAACTCGCTGGGTTCTTTCCAAGTTTTTCCAAATTTCCTTACACACTTTCGCACTCAAGCACTTTTTCCGCTTTTTATCATCAATTTTTACCGACAGACGGCGAAATGAGCGCTAAAATGGCGCGATTTTCGTGTCAAAATGATAGGGAAACAATTTTTTTTTGTTGGTGCGAAGTGTAAAACGATCATATAAAATAAATTGTGTAGTTCTTTTCACCGTTTCAAACATTTTACCTCGTTTCGAAAATTCGCTTATTTTCACCCATTTTTCTTTTAATCTTCTCCCTATTTTTCAGGTGTTTTTTCCTCCTTGGGTCCCCGCGCCCGGTTCGACAGACAGAAATGGTGTTACGCGACATTGAAAAAGAGTCGTTTTTCATCAAAATCGACGGAAAATGGTGTCAAATTGACGATAATGTGCTGCGAGCACATCCAGGAGGCTCCGCGATCACCACCTACAAAAATATGGATGTGAGTGGGATTTTGAACCGATTACAATAATCAGTAACTTTGCAGGCTTCTTGAACTTGGATTGAAGTCTGTTGGGTCCAAGTTTCAGGCCGATCGGATCGTCCGATCCCGAGATATGTAGGCCGGGTTTTTGCGAAAATTGCGGTCTTTTCGGCCTCTTATCCACATATCTCGGGAGCAGATGATCGGATCGGTCTGCAACTTGGACCCAATATACTTGAATCCAAGTCCAAGAAGCCCGCAAAGTTTGGTCCCGATCGGATCAAAAGTACACGCCTCAAAAAGCATTCGAACAGCCTGGACCGCCCTGCCCGGAAAATTTGCGCGTTTGCAGTAATTTTGCCAACCCCTCATCTAAATAATTTGTCAATTTTAGCGGCGCTGATTTTGTGTACGTGCCCGCTTTCTGATTTGCGTGCGAGAACCGATAATATGGGCAAAAAAACTGAAAAAAGTGTCGATTGGGTAGCAAAGTACAGAGAACACATACCGTCCTACGTCCACGTGAAACGGCACGTGATCTTTGCAAAATGCGAGAGAATTGAGTTTTTCTTGAAAAAAATGATTGAAGAAGGATGTTTTCGCGTTATCGAATTGAAAGAAAAAGAGTTTGTGTGGCTGTCTGAATTTTGCCACATTCAGTGTCCGAGTCCCAGAATAAAGTTGTGACCGTGGCCTAGAACAATCCTAGGCCATGGGATCTTTTTTTTTGCATTCGGCACAAGCATTCACACAAATTAACAGAGAATTTTCTAGGCCACGGCCACAACGTTTATGCATTTCTGAGAGTTGGGACTCGGAAAGTGTATGTGGCAATGAGAGGCAACATTACCAAAACATTTGAGGGTTCCCTGATCAAATTTAAATGCAATTTCAGGCCACAACCGTCTTCCACACATTCCACTCGGGCTCGAAAGAGGCGTACCGATGGCTGACAGAGCTGAAAAACACGTGTCCGACACAGGAGCCCGAAATTAAAGAGATCAAGGTGGGCGGCACGTTTTAGCAGACTGTAAAATTGAATTGAAAGACAATTTGTTCGCAAAAAAAAGTATATTTTCCTCTTAAAAAATGCGATATTTTCCAGGAAGACCCGATAAAAGGGATCGACGATGTGAACATGGGCACGTTCAAAATGTCGGAGGAGCGATCGAAGCGGATAAACGCGAATTTCGAGCGGTTGCGAGCCCGCGTGCGCGCCGACGGCCTCTTCAACGGACGGCCCTCGTTCTACGTGCGGAAAGTGGCCGAGGCGGTGTTGACGATTCTTCTCGCGTTCCTCCTCCAATATTATGCATTCTATTTGCCGGCCGCCGTTTTGATGGGCGTCGCGTGGCAACAATTGGGATGGCTCATTCACGAATTCGCCCACCATCAACTGTTCAAAAATCGATTCTATAACGATTTGGCCAGCTATTTTGTCGGCAACTTTTTGCAGGTAGACGGATGCGCATTTTTTGCGATTTTTTCGTTGGAAAAGCTGCAAATCCCATAACATATTGAAAGTATTTTAAAACTGTGTTGTCACATGAGCGGGGTGTACTCAGAATTGCAGAATCTCCGAGTCTGAAATTCATTCCTGGATTAACGAGATTCGCCCAAAGAGAGTGCATTGAGTAAACCGGGAATCAACTCGGTAAACCTCTGCAACGTTTGCCCGACTTCTCAGTCTGCTCAAAAGTTGCAGAGGGTTACCGAGACGATCGATCCAACGAGAACGAAAATTGCTGATCAACTTTAAAAAAACATTTATTTGTCTGCAGGGCTTCTCGTCGGGCGGCTGGAAAGAGCAGCACAACGTGCACCACGCGGCGACGAACGTGGTCGGCCGCGACGGCGATCTGGACCTGGTGCCGTTCTACGCGACAGTGGCCGAGCACCTGAACGACTACGCCGAAGACTCGTGGGTCATGATGCTGTTCCGGTGGCAGCACGTGCACTGGACCTTCATGCTGCCGTTCCTTCGCCTCTCGTGGCTCGTCCAGTCGGTCATTTTCGTCAGTCAAATGCCGACGCACTACTACGATTTCTACAGGAAGACGGCGATTTATGAACAGGTTTCAGAGTGGATATTGTGATTGATTGAAAAGATGTAATTGCAGGTCGGTCTCACACTCCACTGGACCTACTCGCTCGCACAACTCTATTTCCTGCCCGACTGGTCTACCAGGTCCGCTTTTTTTTCCAACAAAAAATTGAAAATTGAAATGTTTCATTGCAGAATAATGTTCTTCCTCGTCTCGCACATGGTCGGAGGATTCCTTCTGGCGCACGTCGTCACGTTCAACCATTATTCCGTCGAAAAATTCGCTGGTAAGAATGATTACAGAGTGGCGATTTAAAGTATGAAACGTTTGTATTCGAGTAAGAACCGATGACAGGAAACTATAGAAATAACTAGGTCTCTTTTCATATGCCACCACGGAAACACGCTGAAACTCTGCTTCGCCGCAACGCAGAGAATACGGTATAACGTGCGTATTTGACGGCGTTGGCGGTAGCCGTCGCGACAATTTTAGACCACCAGCACCGCTATGAACGAAGGTTTTCTTTCTTGAAAGAATTTGCTCCACTAATTTTCTGTTTCCGACAAACGTGAAACCTTTTTAGGTTGCTGAGTCGATTGAAAACTCAACTCTTAAACTGTTGTCAATATTTTGACACAGTGCGCTTGATTAGGCATTTAAAATGTTTGCGCAATATATAGAAACGTTTCATACTTTATCGCCACCTATATAATACTGTGAAAGATTTGTGTTTTTTTTTTCTAAAAAACGTACAATTTTCCATAAATTCAGTATCGTCGAACATCATGTCCAACTACGCGTGTCTCCAGATGATGACCACCAGGAACATGCGGCCCGGAACTTTTATCGATTGGCTCTGGGGTGGACTTAACTATCAGGTTGGTTTGTGTCAAAAGAGAATTTTGAAATGATTCATCTTCCCATTTTTCTTGATAAACGGGTTCATCACACCCATTAGTTGCAATAAAATATTGGAGTCACTACGAAATCTGCAATATTCGAGTGATTATGCGCGTGTTACGAGTTTTGGCCCACTTCCAGTTGACCGATCGGACCCAGAGAATGTTTGGACGTTGTCTTTGTTGTGAAGTGTCTTCAGAACAATTTTGCGCCCATATGGATTTGTTTGGGTTCGATCCTTCAACTGGAAGTAGACCTAAAACACAGGCCGGCAAATGCCCAGCTCTTCTATTTTTCATTGCCCTACACAGGTGAAATGCGGTTTAGCAATTATACAATTGCGCCAATTCTAGACAAATCGCGAATAAATATTTGGGAATTTTTGTTTAGATTTGCCGAGAATTTGTCTAGAATTAGCGCAATTGTATAATTGCTAAACCGCATTTCGCCTGTGTATAGTTTTAGAAAGTTTATTGATCTCTTGAAAATTAAAATCATTCAAAAATCGGTCTTATGTCTCCGGCGGCACGCATCTGAAGTCTCGAACGACATGCGTTGATTCACCTCTATGTTAGATGGGCATTTCGGTGAAAATTTGAAGATGTGAGAATGAGAAACCCTTTGCCAACATTTTCATCATAAAATAATGTAAAATGAACTCGATTCTCACTCGTAACGCGCGCATACTCAATCGCCACTCGAATATTGCAGATTTTGTAGTGACCCCGAGATTTTCTTGCAAGTAATGGTCAAGAAGAAGACGTTCATGAATCGCTAATTTTCCCACTTTTCCCTAAAATTTCGCTCAATCCCCCCTCACAATTTCCGTGATTTCCCGTTCGAAATGCCCGTTTGATTGCACGCTGATTGTTCGATGGAGCGCACTTGCATCATCATCATCCTCGTCGAAAAACGATGGACTTTGAAACCGTTCTCCTCCTCATCGGCCGTCGGCACACGCGCCTGACGCACACGGGTTCATCCGCCTATTCCGTGACATTTTTCACGTTTGATAAGCGGAAAATGGGGTGATTATGATGATAACGAATCGGAAGACGTGTGTGCTGAACCGGAACCTTTTTTGGAGAGGAGAAAGGTCGATTTGGACGGAAAATCGGAAATTGCGGGGATCGGATTACGGTGGATTTTTAAAATTGATTGTTCTTCAGTTTGTCGCAAAATCCGGTGCCGCAGGCGGAGTTTGCACACTTTCCGCGCCACCGTAGCCCGTCTAGACTCGGAAAAAACACTGTTCCAACGCGAATGCTTTTGCAGATTGAGCACCACTTGTTCCCGACGATGCCACGTCACAACCTGAACACGGTGATGCCGATGGTGAAGGAGTTTGCGGCGGAGAACGGACTGCCGTACATGGTCGACGACTACTTCACCGGCTACCGCCTCGAACTGGAGCAATTCCGAAACATTGCCGATGTGGCGGCCAAGCTGACCAAAAAAGTCGCCTAAATTTGATTATTTCTCCGCTCGTTTTATTCAATTCTTTCTCACTGGTTTTCCGTCGCGCGCGCGCTCTCCCCCTCCTCACTCCCGGTTCTATTGTGATGATATTTTGTGCCCGTTCCGTTCCTTTTCCAATGCGTGTGTGTGTTTGTGAAAAATCCAGATATAAAAGTGTGATACTATTTTGTGAGAATTTCGTTACATATCGTGAACTCTTAACGTTTGCCCATACCATTTGTTCGCCGATTTTTTTTTAATTCCATAATCAGCAATTTTTGTTCGCCGCTTTAAAATTGGCGAGAGAGTGGGCAAAAAGAGGAGGGTGGGCGAGAGAAAAGAGAAAAAATTAGAAAGAGAGAGAGAGAGAGAGAGAGAGAGAGAGATAGGGCGGTTTCGATTCCATTTCTACCGCCGCCTTTCCACCGACATGGTCGTCGACAGGGATGCCTCCGGGCTTCGCATGAAGGTACCCCACTCTTTTCTTGGGTCTCGACACGAACACTCAATTTTTAGGGATTTTTAGGCCAATTTCTGAGCACTTTGTCTATTTTCTTTTACAGTTTCACTGCCTTATAGATTTTCAGTGTCTAGGCACAAATAATTTCGCTGTTTTCCACTTTTTCAATTCAAAAAATGCTACCTTCCCCGAGGTACGGTACGTTTTAGCTACAACTAACAAGTAGACCGAGTTCAGTGCGTTCTATGAAAAAAATTGGAATGATAGTGTCGGAATACAGATAGGAGTACGACTAGAGAATAAGGAAAAGTCAACTGACGTACTTATACAACGGAAAAAAATCAACAGCGAACAACTGCTGAAAGTGTATTATCGGTGAAACTGTAAAAGAATGTTTTTAGCACGAGAGAGCAACTTTAACGATTAATATGGTACATCCAAGTGATGATATAGTGACTTTTCTGTGATGCTACCACACACTCACAGATGGCATTGAAAAGAACAAAGCAAAAACAATCTGGGTCCGTCCCGATCCACGTCTTGTGTGTCGTGGAGGAAAGAAAACATTCAGTGTCCGAGTCCCAACTCTCAGAAATGCCTAAACGTTGTGGCCGTTCGACAATCTGTTCATTTGTGTGAATGCTTGTGTCGAATGCAAAGCCTAGGAGTTTGCTAGGCCACGGCCACAGCTTTAACTGCGCACTGGCGCTCGGATAGTGAATGTTGTGGCAATGAGAGGCGATTTAGACCGACTTTCACATGAATGGTGCAAAGAATGGCACAGAAAAGAAATTTGGTATCCCGAATCTACCATGTGCCAAATTTTACAGAAAAATTCAGAGCTGATCGAATTTCGGCCTGGACTTTTGGCCCACTTGCAAGGATCCGATCGGACCCAAACTTTGCAGACTTCTTAGACTTGGATTGAAGTCTGTTGGGTCCAAGTTTCACATCGATCCGATCATCTGGTCCCTTCTCAGGCCCGGATAATCGGATCGGTCTGAAACTCGGACTCAATATACTTCAATCCAAGTCCAAGAGTCCTGCAAAGCTTGGGTCCGATCGGATTACTGCAAGTGGATCGAAAGCCCGGACCGGCTGTTTTGTCTCCACTTTTTTCCCATTTTTCGCTCCGATCTCTCGTGCGAATCACTCGTTTTTTCGACAAAAATCACCCCACCAAAAAGTCGGTGTCTCTCGGTCCGACACACTCTCTCTCTCTCTCGCCGCTCCCGTTTCTTCGGTTTATCGGTCATTTCTCTGTGCGCTCTCTTCGAATTTTACAATATTTCTTCTTTTTCGTCTTTTTTTTTGATAAATGAGAGAAAGAGAGAGTGCAAATAATACTTTGGTCAAACGGAAAAGTGGCAGGGAAATTTATTGGAAAGGGGGGCGAAAATTGAAGAAGAAAGAAAAGTTTTTCAGTTTCATAGAAATACAAGGCTGTATGCTCATTTTAAAACGTTTTTTTTCTCTTGTGCCGTCGATGAAATCGAAAAAACAATCGATCGATTACTTGCGTAACAAATATTCTCGCAGGTTGATGGCAAATGGCTGTACATCAGCGAGGATTTGATGAAGAAGCATCCGGGCGGAGCTGTTATCGAGCAATACAGGTAATTTCGGGTTCTCCACACGATTTCCGTTGTCTTGAGCGCTCGCGAGGGTGTGTAGCATTTTTTTGAAAATAGTCATGATTTTTCAAAGTTTGCTCCTCCCAACTAGATATTGTAAACTTGGTTTTTTGCAGAAACGCCGATGCCACACACATTTTCCACGCTTTCCACGAGGGATCCTCCACTGCCTACAAACAATTGGATGTAAAAATGATGTATTTTGTGAATTATGAACCAATTCTCAATTTTAGCTTCTGAAAAGGCACGCAGTACACGATGAGACGACTAAAAAACTGGAAGAGCAACTCGAAAAACGATTGGATCAAGCGGACATCAACGTGTCGGCCTACGATATTACTGTAGAACAGGTAAAACTGACAGTTTCTGCATTTTGTCGTAAGATCTGGTGTTTTCACACTTTTCGCGCTAACAGTAAGCAAAAACAGCCATTCGACGTCAACTAATTTTCAGGAGAAGAAAATGGTGGAATCGTTCGAAAAACTGCGTCAAAAATTGCACGAAGAGGGTCTGATGGCGGCCAAAGAGCAGTATTTCGTGCTCAAATCCGTCTCGACACTCGCCATCATGGGATTCGCGTTTTATCTTCAATCCTTGGAATTCTACATGCTCTCGGCGTGTTTTTTGGCCCTCGCGTGGCAACAATTCGGCTGGCTGACCCACGAGTTTTGCCACCAACAGCCGACCAAAAACAGGCCGTTGAACGACACGATTTCGCTCTTTTTCGGCAACTTTTTGCAAGGATTCTCGAGAGACTGGTGGAAGGATAAGGTTCGTTGGGTTCCCACAGATAACTGCACACTTTGTCGTACACTTTTCGAGCTATCACTGATTTGTTGCAGCACAACACTCACCACGCGGCGACGAATATGATCGATCACGACGGAGACATCGATCTGGCGCCGCTTTTCGCCTTCATTCCCGGCGATTTGTGCAAGTACAAGGCGAATTTCGAAAAGACTCTTTTGCGGGTACGGTAGGACTACTGTCGACTTTTTGGAATTTGTTCAAACGCTCAACTTTCAGATAATCCCATACCAACACCTGTACTTCACCCTCACACTGCCAATGCTCCGTTTTTCGTGGACCTCGCAGTCGGTCCAATGGGTTTTCCGCGAGAATCAGATGGAGTACAAGGTGTACCAGCGGAACGCATTCTGGGAACAACTGACTATTGTCGGCCACTGGACCTGGGTCATCTACCAGTTGTATTTGTTGCCCACGTGGTGGATCCGCGTCGCTTATTTCGTCATTTCGCAAATGGGCGGAGGTCTTTTGATCGGACACGTCGTCACTTTCAATCACAATTCCGTCGACAAGTATCCCGGTGAGCTTTTCGGCACTTTTATGCTATTCGTCTCAGTAATTGTTCGTAAATTTTGAAATTTCAGCCAACTCCCGCATCCTGAACAACTTTGCCGCCCTTCAAATTCTCACCACACGCAACATGACTCCATCGCATTTTATCGATTGGCTCTGGGGTGGACTCAACTATCAGGTAGCCGCTTTTTCTGCGTTTTGTCGTAAGAGCACACTTTTCGCCTCAATAAAGTCGTAGAATCTCGCGGAAAAACGGCGATCTGACTCGAATGTGTTTGCAGATCGAGCACCACTTGTTCCCGACGATGCCACGTTGCAATCTGAGCGAGTGCATGAAGCACGTGAAGGCGTTCTGCGCGGAGAACGGACTGCCGTACCTCGTCGACGACTACTTCGACGGATACAGGATGAACTTGCAGCAGTTGAAGAATATGGCGGAGCACGTGCAGGCCCGCGCCGCCTAAATTCCGAACAAATCTGTTTTTTGTTTCGAGACCACCACGCCGACTTTCTCTGAACTGTGCCTTTTCTTTGTGCTTTTCTGCCCGATTTGAATAACATTTTCGCATTTGTCAGGGGGTGGGCGATCAGAATTCATCCATTTCTCCATCCTTCGACCACCTTCCTCTCTCCGGGGAGTCGATGTGGGTTTTGAGCATTGCTTTTACGTCGTCCGACCAACGCTTTCGTCTGTCGTTGTCGAATCCTTGAACTTCTGTGGCGTCTGACGTCTTGCGCGGTGGTGGTCGAGGTTTTACAAAGCGACGTGGATCCACGTGCCTGTTTATTGTCAAAAATATACCAAGTTTTACATTGTAAAAATGCGAAGAGATCAGCTCAAATCAAACCCTAGTGGGAATGAGCATTGTGCCGTTTCCGTTTCCGCTCCCATTTTTGTGCTCATTGAGCCGGCTGAGCTCGTCCGGCGCCACGGAAACTTGGGTCGCGTGAGGGACCGCCGGCGACGGGCTGCGCGGAGTGTTCAGGCCGCGTCGATTGGCGAACCGACGGTAGCTGTTGGGACGGAGCCGGGAAATGAGGGGTCGGATCGAACGGGTCCGCTTCAGGAGCGACTCGCCCGACAGAAAACGGGACACGAACAGGTTCAGACCCGATTGGGACGCTGCAAATTCTTGTTGTAAATTGCTATTGTTCGCGAACTCTTTAAGTACCCTGCATTCGTTCGATCTGAGCGTGAAGGCTCAAAATCGAGACGAGAATAATGACCAAAATGACGATGGCGACGAAATTGAAGGCGATGAAGAGACGGGATTCGGAGGAGGTGGTCAGGGTGAGCAGAAGCGGGAAAACGAGGTGTCCGGAGCAGTGACCCGACAATAGTGTGAACGTGTTGTTGGCTGAAAGTCAATGGTGTTTAGAAACGGCGATGTGATCAATCTACATGATGCACTCTGATGATTTTTTGGCATTTCCGTCCATTTTCACACCTAATTCACGATTTTCGCGATGCTTTCGTCGTTCTTCCAATTACCGGAGAAAATGGACAGAAACGCCTTGAAAAACATCTAAACAGAGACAAAAAATCAATAAAATGCATTGTTTCCGGAAAATCATCGGAAAAAAGATCCGGCGGCTGGCCGATATAGATTTGTGTGTTTGAGGAAGAGAAAAATACTACTATTGGCACGTTTTTTCTTCTAAAACTATTGCTGTCCAATTTTGCAAGCGAAAGAAAACACGTACACTTCAACGACAAACTGTGATTGATATAAATGACGAGAGCGGGAAGGAGCGGCGACAGGAAGAAGCCGAATATTATCGATCCGACGAGCAGAAACTGTTCCGAGGCGATGCAGCAGCAGCCGATTCCGCAGCCGAACTGCAATTACGATTGAATTTCTGCTGAACATAATAGATCTAGGAAAGCGCTTTGAAACAACAATAATAAGACTATGGGGAAGCGCAGTCTCAATCAGGGTTTGACAAACTGAAAAAAAGAAGCCGGAGCGGGCCCAGGCTGAAATTATTGCATATAAGCATTATTAAACCTCAATACTGCCTAATAAAAGCTCACAATAGAAACGCCGACGAGAAAGTATGGAGCCATGTAATCCGAGAAGAATAGTGCAACAATACGGCCCCACATGAAGAAAATCTGAAACAAAATGCTCAAATTAAAGAGTTCTTTTTGAAAAATCACCGCAAAAAGTTGATAATAGAAGATGGAGGCGGAGGGTTGGGCGAGAATGAGGAACGGAAAAAGAGTGTACATGATGTTGGCAATGCAGGCGACGACGGAGCACAGGAGCACCAGTTTCAGACTGCTCACGTCGCTTTGTTGCGTTAGACCTGAAACGCATTTTTGAGAGGCTTTTGAAGAGACCACGAGAAGTACACGGCGGGTGGAGTTTGCCGTTTTTGATTTCGTTTCGGAGGCCATCGATAAAGCGCTTCGGACAGAACGAAAAATCAATAACCGTGTGTACTTTTCGTGGTCTCCAAAAATTATTTGCAAATGAAAGGCTCACTCTGACAATTCTCCTGATTATTATTATTGGTCTCAATCTCGTCGTATTCGGTTCTTCGGATCGAAATCGACGTCTTCACGGCCACACCGAATTCGGCGTTCAAAATTGTCAACAAAATGGGAATTTGCAGAAAAGCGATGGAATAATAGATGAAATCCTGACGGAGACTCGGATTCAGATGGAATTTCTCGAGGCTCGGAATGTGAGGACCCGTCGAAATGTCTGCAAAAAGTTGAATAAAAAACGACGCATCTAGAAACGCAAAAAGATGAACCCGTCGAATTTCGGTTGGATTTGCAGTCGTCCTGGTGCTGCGCCGGCGCGGATTGGTAGAATGTGACAGCGAGCACGGCGCCGACGGCTCCCAGCACGTGCAGAAGCTGCAAAGACTTTTTAGAATTTGGCGGGCGCTTTCATTGAGCTTTAGAAAAAAAATTTGAGCTTTAGAATATTCAAACAAACTGTTCGATGCAAAACAGTTCTAGTTCTAGAAGCGCAAATAAAAAACCTACCTGAACCAAAAGAAAGTTTTGTTGTTTGAAGATGACGGTGAAACTCGAGGTGACGGCCGACAATCCGACGCCCAAAACGGATCCGAAAATGATGAAAACGAGAAAAAGGGCGGGAATCCAGTGCGCGGCGTGCGGAAGCGCACAAAAAGCGGCGCAAATCGAGAAGAGACACACGAAAAACAGCGATTTTAAGGGGAGGCGTCGCGATAAATTCGAGTGGATGATGGCGCCCAAAAAGATGGATCCGTGGAAGGAGAAGTGCAGATTGAAGAGGTGCGCCGACGAAATCAAAGCGGAGCAGGCCGAGTGCGAGTAGCTCAGCGACACCAACGATATCTGCAATGGTTTTGGGGCGAAATTTGAATTTTCTTGACACCAGGCGATGTGGCCACGTGGGTCTCGACACGAAGAGCCACGTAAATTAATCTACATGGATTTTTGTCGTATTTCAATGAATTTTGATAATGTTTTGGCATTTCTGTCTATTTTCTCTTCGCTTTCTTCATTCTTCCGCTTTTCTAACTATTGGCGATCGATTACTGGAGAAAATGGACAGAAAAGCCTCGAAAAACGTCTATACAGACAAAAAAGCAATAAAATGCATTGAAATCGCGTAGTTTTCCGGAAAATCATCGAAATCTTTGTGTCGAGACCCGCGTGGCCTAGGACCCGGCAGCCGAGCGGCCATTGGGCTGAAAACGAGCAAATTTGGTTTGGAAATGAAGAAGTTCGTTCGAATGCGAGCTTTATAACGTCATTTTCGTTAGCGGTCAGATAAATTTCGTACCGAAAATCCGATGAGAGCGTACAACCACAAGTGAATAAAAAAAAGGGCCGGATGTTTGGAGGCCGTCTCTTTTGCCTCGACAATCCGATCGAATATCGGCTTCTGCAAAACAATTGATTCGAAGGTGTCGTGCACTACAAAAGTAACACGAAAAGTACACGGCGGGCGGAGTTTTCTAGTCCCCCGGCCGCCATCCATAAAGACACAAAACTGTCGAATCTCGTGCCGCACGAAAAGGCGATAACCGCCGTGTACTTCGTGATCTCCTTATATTTTTTCACTCACCATAGCAGTTGCCAACTTGGACGCCATTCACATGGAAAAACGCTGAAAAATTGAAAAATGTCCTTTCCTCTTCAGCAATGGTAATGAACTCGTTTCGACGACAAAAAATCGCGAGAGCGTAATGGAAAAAGAGCATGTTTACGGCTGATTCCAAAGGGATTTAGTTTCTGATGAATGTTGTGAGTCATTCGGCGGATTAGACGGTCAATAGGCGCGCAGTCAAAGTTGTAGCCGTGGCCTAGAAAGCCGCTAGGCCGCCATAGCCACGCCAATCGTTCACACAAATCAACAGATTGTCAACGTGCAACGGGGGGAAGAGTTTTCTAGGCGCACGGTGATTGTTTGCGAGGGTGACGAGCAAAATTCTAGTCCGTTTGGTCCAGAAAAAAAGGAGCACGCACGAGCAGCCAAACAGTTTGGCTGCTCGTGCGCCCAAACTTTGAAAAATAGCGGTTTTGCCGAACTTTCCGACCCCGCTCTGTGTTTTCTATGCGAACGAAACACAAACTCCTACGAGTTCAACCCAATTAACACTCTATATTTCCTGAAACCGAAAAAAAAATCCACTCAACAACCAATTGATCAGCTGTTTCTCGTGCTCACAAATAAATGGAATCAGAGTCAAAGAGCACTTTTGCGCCGTGTTTCGTTTCAGAGCGAAAAAAGCAATTACCGAGCGGTAATCCCTCGATTCGTTGCGTGTTTCCACTCAATTCTCCTGGATGTTTCAGCGAAACTTTCTGTCCTATCGAGACGCGACTTTCATGGTAACACTTGGCGCGGATTACTGTAGGAGTACGGTAGGCACCGTAACCGAAAGCTAGGCCACGGAAATCAAAACACAAAACGTGTATATTTATTCGCAAGAAAGCAGCAAAATTGTAGAATGAATTCCAGAAAAAAAAAACGGGGGGAAGCCAAAGAGGAAAAAATCGAGCGGAAAACAGAGGGTCATATGAGGGATTATAGTTGAGATATTAGAGCAAGAAAAAAAACGGAGCCGAGCCTATTGGGCTGATAATGAAATCGACGGCCGATAATCCCGGCCGGATAAACAATTTTGCTGACGTGGAAGAAGAAATCGCGGCCGGAGAGGGGAAACCCGTGGTTGAGGACGACAAATCGGATATTATTTGAGGGGGCGTGGGATTGGGCAATCAGAATTCTTTCATGGTTTTTCTTGTCAAGAGGTTTTGGTACTAGTGTGAAACGAGGGTTCGGTTGAGTTGAATCGTCTAAAGTTTCCATTTTCTTACCACATTGGTCTCGAAATCAGTTTTCATCTATTCTTCACACTAGCACCAATAAAGTACCAATAAAAATGAAAAATGCGGGTTCTTGCGGAAAACAAAATGACGATGAAGAGCGGAAGTCGGTGTGTGCATCCATTGGCGTCTGAAAATGAGAATCAGAAAAACAACAAGTTCGGACTTCCCGTTCGCACCACTTGCACAGCTGATTCGTGGTGGGTCTTCACTTATAGCGAGCACTTTTTAGAGGCCTATCATATCTTTGCAAACTTTGCACAAGGTTTGCGCAAAAGTTGCGGCGTTTTACCGAGGTTGGCAATGTTTCTGTGCAATTGGTTCATGATACGAGTATCATGGACCTGTTTACCCTAAAAAGTGCTCGCAATAGGTCAATTTTTCTATTGAAAAACCCGCTCCGACCTGTGTGGGTGGTCGAAGTGTGAATAATAATGTTCGCAGTTTTGTGAACACTTACTCTTTGTTTTAGAAAAAGTCGTTTTTCATTTGCACGTGTGCACAGCGACTTCCTCAGTGCACGTTTTGCATTTGACCTCACAGCACCACACAAATTTGCATTCGCACTGCGTTTGACGGATCTACAATAACAGAATATTATATTTTTTTGCTGCCGAACTTATCGAGAGTTTACTAGATCGTGGCGCCATTATTAAAACTCCTCAACCAGAAGAGATATCAGAAAATAGTCAACTACAAAATTAAAGGCATTCTTGTGCTCGCCAAGAAATGATTATTCTCTACAGAAATTCGAATTCGAGTTGGCTTTGTAGTTCTGATTTGAGTGACGTTGCCGCGCCACTCAAATCAGAAATCTATGGGCTAAAAATGGTCAAACTTCGGACTGGAATTTCAGCGTCTCACAGCATTTAAAAACTGGAATATATTCAAGGAAATTACCTCCAATCTCGTGTTGTACCCTCTTCCACAACACAAAAGGTCGCAGCTCTCGGAGCTGTACGAATTATGGATACATTCACGACCGGCGGTGCCGAGAATTCCTGCAAAACGGTTTTTTTTTTTTTTGAAAAATCATAACTTTGTTCAAAAAAATCCTACAGACGCCCGTTTTGGCTTAAAATCACGGAAATTGTCTTGAAATTTCAATACAAAATATTGTAGATGCGCCAAAAAATTACCGGCAGTCATATTCCTCTCACAATAGGAGGGCGAGCGGTGAACGTAGGCCATCTCGTTGCCTCTCAACGGAATTTTCCGCTCCGTTCTCTCTTTTCGACGCAATCGTTTGTTCGCTTTTCGGGTCACCTAAAACGTTTGCGTAATTTGTAAACTACATGTGGAAAGCGGGAAGAGCAAATTGGGAGTTTTTTTTTTTTTGGGAAAAACATGCCCAATTCATTCTTCCACTCGCAACCATGAACAAAATCGTTAAAATCCTAAGAGTTAGCGGCTAAAAACGGATGGAAAAAGGCCTAAAAGTCGGATTACATCTTCGAGCTCAACCTGAACTGCGAAGTGATCGTATCGCTTTTTGAGCAAATCCGACACTTGCGAGAATTTTTGCATTTGCAGCCAGCACGTCTTGAACTCGCAGGATCCCGAGACTCCGTGGCAACGACACTGACGACGGATGTTCTGCGCGATCGCCTGCAAATTTTAAATTCCAGCTTTTTCCCGGTGGAATGAGGCATCTCATCAATCAGCACCGTACTCGGCTAGAACTATTTTCTATTTAGGACTCGTGTGTCTATGATCCTGTCTTCTCACTTTTTAGGAGTTTGCAGCCACCCGTGTTAGTACACCGGCTGTCAATTGTACCGCTCTCAGTACTTACATTGAAGAGTTATTTTGTTCCTATTTGTAAACGAGTGAAAATTGAAGGAAATCAGTGTGAATTCTCTTGGAAAAACGCAACTTCAAGCAGTTTGTAATCGGGTTTTTAGGGCTACTCATTCCATTAATGAGCTAACGAAGCAGTCAGTTCGTTTGACTTCAAACCTAGCATGTTCTGCTTTTTCCTATTTCCAAGAGTTGCACTGTATCATGTCATTCAGTGATTTAAACTAAGACGGATAGTTATTAAAGTCTAGAGTGTCATTTGACCAAGAAATGCACGATTTTCGTCGCAATTTTTCACTGCAAGGCTCTTAACAACAATTACCTCTCTTCCCACAAAGTTATTGTGTCTCCGGACGAGATGTGCCACGTTTTTGGTCTCCTCGAACTGCTGCTGTTCCCAGTCGTCGAGGAAGCGTCTCGCGTACCTGATCCCATAGGGAACGTTATCCGAACACCCGCCCCACGAGAATTGATCACGGCTCATCGCGGACTCCTGCAAATCATACACACTGTTTTGAGCATTTGACATAAACACGACAATATCTCGCAAATGGGTAGAGATATCAAAAAGCGTTCAACTGACGTTTTATTGCTTAGAAATGTGTTTTCATTTTTGTAGTAGACAACTTTTCGATATCTCTACCGCTTGAGGAGATATGCGCGAAATCATGGACAAAGCAAAGTCTTACTACTTTTTGCGCATGCGGCTCTTATTTTGGGCGCTGAATTTAAAGGACCAGGGAACCCAACAATTTTTTTTTTGTGAAATTTTTTTGTGACTGTTTGAATTGTATTTTTTAGCCGTGAAAAAATAAGTAAGTGCCGAACAAATGTCAATCAACTGAAAAATGGGAGAAACCGTGAATTTTTGGACAAAAAACCGGTAAAAAAGCGGAAAAAATAAAATGGCCGAGAAGCGCATATTTTTAGGCCATTGGCGCTAGGCCACGGCCACAACTTCAACTGCATGCCGTTTCGTTCATTGGCATTTTTGAGAGGCAGCATTTCACCAGTGTATGAGGCAATAAGAGACAATTCAAACAGTCACAAAAAAATTTCACAAAAAAATCAAAACATTTTTGGGTTTCCTGGTCCTTTAATGGTGACAGTTCGACTGTTTCGTCAGAATCCCCGAAAAAAAGTGTCTCACCGATTCGGCCTGATATCTCTGCATTCCCGGTTTGCTGTCGCATCCACAATCGGTCAAATTGCCAGTATTACAGCCTTTTGTGATTGAGTGCACAATGCTCGCCGACATTATCGCATTCAAAAACGCCGCTTCTTTGTTGGCTGAAACGAATCGAGGTATTGCATTTTGGCCCCTCACCACAAAAGTACTGTAGAACTACTGTAGATAGTACAGTACTTTTGGTAGGATTGAGACCAGACTCACATGGTAAAACTGTGAAAGTTTGGCGCGGATTACGGTAGATACCGTAACCAAAACACTCTGTTTCATAACTAACTTACAAGATCTCAAAGTCTTTCCCAAAATGTCCTGAAACTTTCCGTGTCTCGTTTCGGTCACTTCGTCTCGTGAAGAGCAATTCCATCTGCAACAAAGAAAAGAGAAGAGTTTTTCGTGTCGAGACCCAAAACTGTTGAAAAAACCGTACCGCTCAAATTTGAATTTGCTTTCGCACTCTCGGATTGCCTCCCGAACTCCGCGAGCCACGAATGGAATCGAAAATGGGTTCTGAAATGGTTACCCATCGATAGTTTATCGATAAAAGTGTGTACCTCGGCGCAAAGCGCCTGTTGAGTGGGATTTAGTCCGTCGAGCCGACGACACAACTCTTTGAAGTGCTCTTTGTCGGAAGAATGATAGTGTGGCCGTGGCTGGTAATCGTTTGAGCCCACAAATGCCAAAGTTCTGGAACATTCCACATGAGATTGGAGCATTAGGCCTAAATTTGAAGAATGCTCAAACTCACAGCCAATTATAAGGAATTTGAGGGTGATTGAGTGCGATACTCGTCGACGGAGGCGTCTGTTGAGCATAAACCAAAAGAACGAGCAGCACACTTGTTATGAGCAAAATGTGCATTTTCTGGAAACCTCTCGAACTGTACTCTGGCCTACAGTAACCCTGGAAAATGGTGGGCGCAACGAAAAATGCGGGGGGGCGAAATGGAATCGTCGGGACGGAGATGGAATTCGAAGGTCGCAACCGACGCGGCCAATTTCAATGCTTTATGGCGCGCACGAACCATTCAGAGAGGAAGACGACAATATAATACCCGATTCGGTATGCAAATATCGACAAATGTTAGGCTGATTTCGAATCGGAAAATGAGAAAATTATTGGATGGAGGGGGGGGGGAGCTTGGAATCTGTGTTGAAAAAAGCGGTATAACTTGAAAATGAGAAGAGTTGGAATGAAAGAGGCAATTACAAAAGTGTAAAGCACAAAATTTTCTACAATTTTTCAGTTGACAACTTTTTGAAACAATCATTGGCTCCCGAGATATAGCTCCCCAAAGACAGAGGTAAAAAAAAGAGCAAGCAAAGGAGCTTTAAGGGACCAAGTCGGGTTCTAAATGTGATTTTTATGAAAAACAATCAATTACAAAGTTGTAAAGCACAAAATTTGCTACAACTTTAGAGTTGACAAATTTTTGAAACAATCATTGACTCCCGAGATATAGCTCCCCAAACATAGAATTGAAAAAAAAACAATTGAGGGACCAAATCGGTTCGCTTTCGACTAGAATCCGTGCAAAATCCGGTGGCTCTTCAGCCGCGGAAAAGACATTTTACGATCCGACCGTGGGCCCGTCCATCTGTCATTTCATTTTATTACCGGAGGGGGAATTAATCCGAGAAGACACCCGTTTTTATGAGGCACACGATACAGATGTTACACACTTTTTCACGATCGGAGCACCCGGAAAAGCGCGGATTTTCGGGCAATACACACACGGTCAAGAAAAAAAAGAGCACAAAAAGAATGCTCGACTTGTGCTCCGAAAATCTCTTCGTCCAGAACTACTTTTTATGTGATTTCGCGGGTCCGAAGGTCTCTCTTTCTGCCGCTCTTTCGTTCCAGAATCTTGGTTCCATCTGGTTCCAATTTCAAATCACACATTTCTTGTGTTTTCCGTTTCGTTTTCCGGTGCGTCATTGGAAGCGAAAACATTTCGGCCAGAAAAAAACGTGAAGTCCTTTAAAAATGCACGGAAAAATCGTTTCCGACAACGCATCGAGAAAACATGGGCAATCAAATACTGAAGAAAAACTCCCTGAATATCGATTTTTGGGCGGTACTCGAAACAAAATTAAAAATCTTAATTAAACCTTTGTTCAAATTTGGCGGCCTTGGCGTGAGCAATTCGATATTAATCAATTCTCTCTTCGTTTTTTGTGTTACAGAATGCGATCGCTGAACGCCCTACTCGCAACTGGAATTGGAAACGCGTGCCGCGAGACGACGTTCATTAATCCTCAACATTCGATATTTCATTTTCGGCGTTCCATTCATCTCGTTTGTCCTTCAATAAAACATTTATTAAAGTTTCAAATTTCCCGAGATCATTTGACGATTTCTGGCGCCGGCGGAATCGATCGTTTTTTGTCGTTTCTCTGCAAAAAAATAATAATAAAGATGGCGAGAATTTCAGCAAAAGAAAATCATTGAGTGTGTACCGTATATTCGCAAAAGTACACATTCATATCGTTTCGTTTTCGGGGCGTAATCAGCAGAACGAGCATCGAAATGACCGAGATCAGAATGAGCATCGCCGAGCCGCCGACACTGTTCGTCGAGTAGAGCTACAACATTTATAAAGGGGCTATTCAGCGTATGTTTGTTTTCCGTTTTTTTTTCGTTTTTTTACACCGCTGAATTGGGTTTTTTGACGTAAAAAAACGAAAAAAAACGGAAAAAAATCATTTTTTTCACAGCCTGAATAACCCCATGAATGCGTTTTGTTTTCAATGAAAAAGAACAAACTTCTCGAACATTTCCATCGAACGAATATTGTAGAAAATAGAGAACGGCCAAAATTGCGGTCCTGATGAGCACCGGCATCACTTCTAACTGCAAATATTCGCCAATTTCCCAGAAAAAGCTAAGCGGTTATCGATCGATAACTTTTTTCAAATTTGCCGGCGCGGGACTGGAGAACCTCACTTGTTTGCTTTTTTGTGAAATTCTGCTTCAACTCACCAAGTGAACTCGCACAAAAAACGTAATGACATCGGTCAGCGCCGAGGTGAACACTCCGACGACCAGGTAGTACGGAAAGACTGCGTCTGCAAGTAGTCGGCACATTTTTTTCATTCAAATCAAAAATCAAATGCTCACCTTGCACAACCCAATGTTTCGAGCATTTGTCATACGTCTTGTACACCGTCGGTATCACAAACATGACGGAGGCGGCGAAAAAGAGGAGAGGTACGATGATAATGACGGGCAAAATGCGATGTCTGGGCAGAAGCACGGCGAACACAGAGATGAGGACGGTGGCGGCGGTGAACGAGACGGGCGCCACGAGCGCATTTTCGAAAAAGAACACCTCCGCGTGCTTGTCGATTTCCGCCTCCATGAAGGCGTTCACGGCGAGGCAGGCACCCGAGAGCAGGCCGCACACGAGCACTTCCTGAATACACTTTTTTAAAAAGATTTTTCTGATAAGTTAAAGGACGAACCGTGCGAGTTTATGTGTCTGTCTGAAACGCCTCTTATTGCCACATTCAGTGTCCGAGTCCCCGCGCGCAGTTAAAATTTTGACCGGCCGTGGCCTAGAAAAATACTAGGCTTTGCAGACGTTTCCAAATATTCACACAAATTAACAGATTGTCAAAGTGAAAGGGTGCAAGAGTTTTCACAACTGAAAGTTTTCTAGGTCACGGCCACAACTCGGACAGACAGACACAAAAATAGTTCGTACATTTTGAGGGTTCGCTGGTTTTTTAGGCCTACCTGAATCAGTTTGAACGTCTTCAGCGTGCGCGTCAGAATCTCGATCGCATTCTCGTTGTTCTCGAAATTCTCGAATGCGATCTGATCGATGACGGCGTCGGGCGCCAGACGGATCGCCGAATGACGGAACACCTCGGTGACTCGCGATTGCATTTCGGCCGTCTTCGAACGGGCGAGCAGGCTGTAGAGCGAATCGTTGAACGTGCTGAAAGTTAGGCCATCACATTGTCGACAATTTTGACCCGCGAGATTTTCCGTTCATAAAAATTTGAGTGAACACGGTCTCCCAGCGCGCTAATGCTAAACACAGTGCGCTCGTAAATTGCGGAGTGTCGTTGTAACTTTTGAAAATTTGCAGGTCTAAAAAAAAAGCAGTTCAATTCGAGTTCACGACCTTTATTTCTTTCATTTTGACTTGAAAAACGTCTAGAAAACAATATTTTACTGATTGGAAACCGTTCTTTACAGAATTTAGAGTTTTTCATGTTTTTAGCGTCTTTTTCGCATTTCGTCAAAACTTCAAACCTTTATATTTCAGCTCATTTTGCATTTCATGAGCCCAACGAACGATAAAAATGTTCGCTGAATCTTTCTTCACAAAATTCAGGTTCCGGCGGTTAGTTTTCTTGAGCAGTTTTCGAAAACTATTCGAAAAACATCAAAATCCAGGCGAAAACCTTCAAATCGAAATAACTCGGCTAATTCTCAACGATATTTGAAATTTCTGTTACCAAAACGTAGTTAGGGCTCTAACTATTCGAATCCAGGTTCCAGGCGTACAAAAAATAGGTGTATTGTACAGAAAATATGGAAAGAACGCGTACTCCCGTTGAAAATTAATTAATCGGCCACCGCGTAAATCGACACAGCCCGCCTGTTGCAAGTGCGCCCCACTGAAAGCCGTGGGAGACCGTGGTGAATGTGACAAAAATACGTTGAAGGAGAATATGCATTTTTCTAGTATTCTCTTTTAGGTCACTGTTTCGAATCGGCAAAAGTTTGACAGGAGCAATTTACGCACTAAAAAGTGAAAAACGCGAGGACGAGTGTGAGAAATCCGAAAATTTCGAAACAATACGACAAATCGAGTGAGATGTCGGCCGGAAGTCGAACAAATGTGACGGCGACGAGACGGGCGATTGTCGCCGCTGAAAAATTGGCATTTTTTGATAACATGACTCTTTTCTACAGAAAAATCACCCATTTCCAAAAGGACCAGGGCCGGCATTCGATGGTATTTCGGCACCGATTCGGCGATCGTCACCAGAGCAGTCATACGGTAAATCTAGAAAAAGTATTTTGTGAAAAGTCAATCAATATTTTGTAAAACACAGGGCAGACCCTTGTCCTTCGACTTTTGACCCACTTTTTCGGGTCCGATCGGATCATTGCTAGTCGGTCAAAAGTCACAGGCCAATAGCCCAGCCCCAGTGAAAAATTGAAAAAAAAACGAAACCTCGGTGAGAATTTGCGACAAAAAAGTGCTCATTTGCATTTGAGCCGGAAAATGAGCCATTACAAAGTAACAGCAACTGATGATCGCCAGCGAGCAAAGGACCAATTTTCGGGGGCTCACTCTGCAAAAACCTTGATTAAAATTTCAGAAAAACTGCTTTTGAAAGCATAAGAAATCGAGAGGCTCACGTGGTGAATGCGAACATGAGAAATGCGTTGATGACGATGGACAGTTCCCAACTGGGCACCCGATGTACCATAAAATCCGCACTTTCGACGACTTTGAGCGAGTCGTCCGACGTCTGCGCCAGACATTTCGAGTAGAAGTACTCGTCGTTCTTCGCCGCTCTCAACGCTTTCATTTGTTCGAGAATCGACAGAAATCGCGAGAAGAAGTAGAGAAACGTGTAGACGAGCACGATCGGCAACACGGTTTTTCGAAAGTGCGGGTAGCGCGAGCCTGAAAAAAAAATGCGTTTTGTGTCATTATTGCGTGTCTGTCTGTGGTGAATCGCCTCTTATTGCCACATTCACTGTCTTGTTTGTCTGTTCATCTGTGTGAATTTTTGGCAACGTCTGCAAAGCCTAGGATTTTTTTTTGACCACGGACAATTCATGGGGCAATAAGACAGACACAAACAAAACTCAAAAAAATTTGAGGGTTCCCTCAGAGTCCTTTAAAATTTTTGTATTTCTTTGAAAGTGCTAATCAGAGGTCCATCCGCGGAATCCGCATTCCGCTTTTCACTTCGGCGGTTCTCTCTGGTGGTAATACGACAAAAAAAAATCGGCGGTCCAACATAATAGAACCGGGCAGAATAGAACCGCGACACAATAGAACCGGCCGCAATATAACTTTCTGTTGAATAATTGTTTCGTAGAAAAAGATAATTTTTGAATCTCGTGATCGATTTATTGCATTCATTAATTTCACTTCCGTCGTGATCCCTCTTCTCTACGGTAACGAAAACCCACAGAAAATAATTTTATTGTACTATCAAAAACGAAAGGAAACCAATTTTCTAGGCTTAAACTGTGCTCTTCTGCTTAATTGTTCGAAAGACAAAAAATTTTTGCGAAAGTTAATTGAAAGGAACGGACAAAATGCTCATATAAATACACAAAAACAGTTCTATTATTTCGCGGTTCTATTCTGCGCAGTTCTATTATGTTGGACCGCCAAAAAATCCGTAAAACTCACCGATATAAGTCATTAGCTCTTCCAAGCTCGCAAACATGCGCTCGTTGTTGATCGACGCGTCGGAAGTGCACTTTTTGAGTTCAATTCCGTCCGCCTCCTCATTACTCCTGGTTTTAGTGTTTGAATTACTCAAATTACTCGACGACGACAAAGATTTAGACATTTTTTTTAAAGGAAATACTTTTTTCGACGTTTTTTTTCGGTGAGTTTAGGGTTACACGTTTTTTCCAAAAATGTGCTTGCTCAGGCAAATCGTTTGTAATCTAGCTAGGAGATTTCGTAATCTAAACCGAGTTCCGAATCTAGCTAGGTGAAAACGGAATCTAAAGTAAACCTAGCTAGCACGGTGATTCTTTGCGAGGGTGTAGTGAGAAACGCGCCGCGAACTCGGCCACCATTCAAAGAAGGGGCGTGGTCTTGCGCAATTGCCGCACGCAATTTTGCAAGTTTGGCGCGCGCGCTTTCTGTTTAGCCGCAATTGCACGAGCGTTCGAACTGTTACGCGCATGCAAGCGCGCCCTACCGAACATTGTCGGCGTCTCTTCAATCTCGCACTCTCTAATTTGAATAAATAAACAGCTGGCCTAAACCTAATCATGGCGAAAAATATGTTCAACGTTCATTTTATTGCTCAAAGTGCAGAGAAACAATGCATGAACATTTTAAAAACGTTGGACAACTTATTGCGCGTAGTATCTGGTGCCAAGTACGCAAAATATCTAGAACGGTGTTTGCACAGGGGCGACACGCAGCCAATGGGCGTACGCCGGCGTAAAGGCGGCAAACGAAAATTTTGAATCGGTGCGTAGCGCCCTTCGAAAATAAATTCAAATTTTTATGGCGGGAGTTCTGAATGAACACACGTGCAATTGTTTCCGACAGCGTTTTGAAGACGTTCTTACTGCTCTTTAGGAATATTACACAGCGCTGTTATTGGTTTTTGCTGTTGGCAATTTTTCTCTGTTGATAACAATTACTAAAAAATAATAAAGCTTCTATAAACTGCGTTCTTTCATTTTTGAGATAAAAAAATACAAAACTCAGCCGAAAACAAGCATTAATTGACAGAGAACAAGCGCTAAAATATGAAACAAGCGCGAAATTCGTGAAAAATTCCCCATGGCCGAGTTTCTTCGGTTCGGCCTCCTGGCCTAACTTCTGGCGTGGCCTAATAATTTCTTGTTCAGCCGGGGGACTCGGCGGAAACCGTGGCCTAGTACCACGGCCTGCGACCCCGGGCCAAATGGACTAGAATTTTCCTCGTCACCCTCGCAAAGAATCACCGTGGCTAGATTTGACTGCAAAAACGAAGGCGCGATCTCGGATCGCGCCAGCAGACATAATTGCTAATCTAATTAGAAAAAATCCGAATCTAAAGTCAACCTAATTAGATTGACGGAAATTTGAACATAACGTGGGAAACCACACCGTTTTCGGTCGATTTCGAACGTTTCTTTGAGCTGTTATACTGTTATTTTTACATTTTTGTGCAGAAATGTGTCTGTTTCAGGAACGCCAAGAAATTCATTACGTCATGACGCTCAATTCTCTGGCGCTTTTCTTTTTCTTTTTTCACTCTCACATTTTTTTTAAAGTATTTTTTGCCTTGCAGGATTAAGAAATGATCAACTTTCGGAGCAGCGCATGACACAAAAGAACAAGCGAGAATACCGGGAAAGGTAACGAATGCAGTGCGTTTCATAAGTATAGGGCCACCCCTAAAATTGAATATATCGTCTTTCCCGAACAAAATACAAAGACAGGACCTTAAAAATTGAAATCAGCATCACAAATAACCACCGGGAAACAATTTTGAGAGCAGTCTATAGGATAGTTGGGGAATGGTGCTGAAATATCTGAAAATGCGTTTTATATTATAGGGGCACCGAACAGAAAGGGCGCTCTATTGAGAAACTTTTTTGCAGTGTAAATTGAGTGAGCTCGGGGCCGAGTTTGAAAAGTTAGGCCACGTTTTCAGTGGAAAATTACTTCGCGGACTAGAAATTCGGCCAGATTGCGAACAGAGCGCCCTTTCTATTCGGTGCCCCTATAATAAGTATAGGGCCACCCCTGAAAACACTCTGGAATCGTTTGAGTTTGGTGTCAATCGGATCAGTTTCAACCGAGTTATGAGCTCCCGATTGTTGAAGTGAAGAAAACGAACAGAAATGTACTGAAAAATGTTGGTTTTCTTCACTTCAACAATCGGGAGCTCATAACTCGGTTGAAACTGATCCGATTGACACCAAACTTAAACATGCCATGTTTCAAACCTCCCTTATGAAGTCCCAAAAGTGGGCAATGCCAGCCTGGAGTTTGACGCTCAAGCCAGTCTGATCCTTGTTGGGTCTGGTTTCATTTTGGTCAAAAATCTGATATCAGGCTCTAGCGAATCGAGAGGCTTGAACGAATCTGACTTGAAAATGCTCGAAAAACTTGTTTCAAACAAGATTTGACTCATTTGAGATCATCGGAGTCCCCCGGCTCCTCTCCCGAGCTCCACACAGAACATTAGGCTAAACCCGGGAGAGTGGCCCTAGGTGGCGTCGGCGTCAGTGCACATGATTTCAAAAAGGCTTTTTGGACATCCTAAATGTGCAAAAAACCCCATTCAGGATCATGTTTATCAGTTTAAGAGGCTTCCAGAGTGTTTTCAGGGGTGGCCCTATACTTATGAAACGCATTTTCAGATATTTCAGCACCATTCCCCAACTATCCTATAGACTGCTCTCAAAATTGTTTCCCGGTGGTTATTTGTGATGCTGATTTCGATTTTCAAGATCTTGGAGTGGTATTTTGTTTGGGAAAGACGATATATTCAATTTTAGGGGTGGCCCTATACTTATGAAACGGACTGTAGATCTAATCCGTGCTTTCATTTAATTTTTTTCTATTTTCAGAACTGAAAAACAGCAAAAAATGCAAGAAGACGTCGTTCATCGGCGCCAGTGAAGACGTTAATTTTACGTAAACGAGACACCTTCGTTTTAATGTAAATTTTCGACGTTTAAACCGATGATGTGATGTCTTACTGACTGTGAATAGTATTCTATTTATTGATACTCTTGTTGAGCGAAGTTCTTCTGTAATAAAGCAAAGTTCTTTAAAAAACTGTTTCTTTTGCAATTTTTACAAACAAGCATCGATTTTTGACCCCGGTTTCCCTGCAGGAGGGCGTCAAATCGGCGTTGGCACCGCAAAACGGCGTCGGCGCCTTTGTTTCCTGAGTCATTAAAAAATTATCGATCGCGACGATGATGATGAAAATTGATAGAAATTTCTAGAAAAATGTGTGTGCGTGTGTATGAATACCCAAACGATAAAGCACATAAAAACTGGATGAAAAGATAAAGTCATGGGGGGAATGTGCGGGGGGATTCGAAGAAAAAAAACAACAACAATAAACTCAAACAAATTAGAAAGAATGCCAAAAATGTTTAGAAGCTTCTGCCCAACGGCTCTGTTTCCGTGTCCTCTTCATGGGAATTCGCATAAAATTGACGGGGAGTCGAGTGGATCCACGCCGGTTCGCCGCCAATTCGAGATATTATCCGTTCGAAGAGCGCGCTCGATTCTTCGCTGCAAAATCAAGAGACATTAGGTTTGACTAGAATTATTTCGGAAAATGGACCTCCATGATCGGGAGGACTGCAATGCATTCTATATCATTCTAAACTCGTTTTCTGAACATTTCCCAATCAATTCCATTCAAGTTTACTGGATCGCTAGCGAGTTTCAGATTGGCTTGAGCGCCTAACGTTATTGGAGAGGATTTAGACTGTGCTGCTGGTCTCAATCGGATCAGTTTCAACCACGTTACAGCCTTTCTATCTTAGAACATTCGACATTTCAGGTAGCGTGTAACTCGGTTGATTCGTTAAACATGAATGAAATTGATTCGGGAAACGTTGGAATGATATTCGACCCATTTAAAATAATTGGAGTCCTCCCGATTCCTGCCGAGCTCCTCACAAAGGTTCAGGTTGAACCTGCACATGTTGTCAGTATAGCGTGCACTTATAATGTTCTGTAAACTCAAATAATTCGGGGAACGTGTAGCTCAACATCAACACGTTCAAAAACCGTAAAAACACAAACTTTTCGCTATTCTTCCCATTTTTTCCGCCGTTTTTCGTGCTCATGTGCAATTCGTCGGAGAGCAACGTGGTTTCGGTGCGCGAGGAGCTCATTCCGTTTGCCCCAGACGGGCGGCGGATGAGCTCCGACGAGGGCGCCGGCACAAAGTCCACGATCGTCTCGATGCTCCGCTTTTTCTTGTAACTGCAAAAAATAGTATTCACTCTCTTTTTGAAACGTGAACGTTGTAATGTCTGAATTAACGGCGTACCGTTGCCAATATCCGAGCAAGAACAGGTCGACGAAACACTTTTCGAAGGCGAACGAAACGGCCGAGTTGACGGCGGCGACGAGGACGATGAAGAGACGGAACTCGAGGTCGACCAGGTGTTTGTTGCCCAGAAATGCGAGCATCCAATCCCACGGAACGAGCACGATGAACAGGCACAACTGGAAATCAATGATTTGGACGAACTGTTTGGTTTTTTTGAAAATTTTGGCTACACCTTTTTTGTACAGGTTTTTTGAAGGAGGCTTACCAAGGTGGCGAGAATGCTGAGCGCGCACATGGGCTTGTTGGCGAGCAGCGAACCGCGGTACGGCGGTCCCTTCGAGTAGACGAGTGCGAGAGTGATGTACTGGAACATGGAGACACAGAAGACGGCCGTGCCCTGCATGCTCCGCTTGTCCTCTTCCTCGTCACCGACGGGCGGCCGGTACGGTTCGAACCACGGTTGCAGAGTGACCGAGTAGAACACCACGAACTGCAAACGCATTTTAATGAGATTCGGCCGGAAGGAGTACGTTGAGTATGCGCCTCTAGTTTCATTAAAACCTGGATTCGAGATTGCTTCAACGAAACTACATTTAAAAAAAAGGGGGGGGGGGGTACAAACCTGTGCGACGCCCATAATGATCAACTGCCCGACGACAGAAGTCATCGAGGCGACGGAAAGAAGGCGCGTGGGCGGTGGCGAATGGGCGAGACGGTGGTGTGCGGGCGTGTTGCCGAACAGAAGGGCGAACAGCGTGATCAGGAACATGTCGATGTACATGAACTGCAATATTGAAATTGAGAGTCGTTCAGAACCATTTTCTTTTTGAAAATTGTCACTTGAGTGGGGTGCATTCAAAAATTTATATTATTTGAAGTAGCTCCCCTGAGATTCCATCAAATTCCAACATTTTCCATCCGTTTTACCTGTCCATCGGTGAGAATGTTGGAGATCCAGTACAACTGCATGACCGTCACAAATTGGGTGAGCGAGTATCCGGCCATATACTTGAAGATGCCGAACGAGGTGACCAGAGCGGCGCGCCCTTCGCTGATCACCAGCGGAACGCATCGAATGTCCGGCACTTTCGACGTGAACGGCGCCGCGATCGACGCTTCCGCATCCGAGAGCGAGATTCCTGCAAGAAATTTGGTTTCGAAAATGATAATCCATTGCCCATAAAAAGCGAGTACCTGCGTGGGCGGCTTTGAGTGCGGCACAATCGTTGGCGCCGTCTCCACACATGGCCACCGTATAGTCGACTTTCTGGAGCTGCTCGACGAGCAACTGCTTCTGATCGGGCGCCATTCGGGCGAAAACGTCACAAACGCACACCAATTGGTCCAAAAGTTCCGGATATTCGTGGTGGATCACGGCGAAAGTGGGTCCCGAGATGGCCAAATGGTAGCTGGAGGCGATCAAATGGCCGAGGTCTTCCATCGTCGAGAAGTCCATTTGGAGGGAATTATTGTTGTTGTTGTTGTTATTGTGAATGACAGTGTCCGTCGGCACCGCCTCCGAAGATCCTTTCCACGTCGACGAGCACATCGACACCGACACGGAGCCGTCGTCTTCGATCACCTCATCCGACGACGAGACCGACTGCAAAAAGGTTCCGCAATTGTCTGTTATGTCCGTGTTATTAGTTAACAAAAGATTGGGTGAACAGTGCTACTGCCTCTCGAGCTTCAATCAAACACACTCAATTCAAGCCTTTTTAACTCTAAGGAACTAGAAATGATGGCAAATAGGAAGCTTACCCCCATGAAGATCAAATACGACTGTAGGTCAAAATTGTTTGCAAATTTGTTGAAACATTTTTGTAGGAAATCGTGTTTTGTTGACAAAATTCCAGCCCAGGCCTTTTGAAGGCCTAGACTTTCAGGGCATTACGCGTAATAGAAAAGTTGGAGCTTCGCAGGCTTTTTGGATTGAAGTATATTGGGTCCGAGTTTCCGGTCCCGAGATATACTGGTTTGAGGCCTCAAAAACCCTGTCTTCTCGGCCTCTGATCCACATATCTCGGAACCGAATGATCGGATCCCAGGCAATTGGGCCAAAGTTTGAGGCCACAAAAATCCCAATTCAAAATCGGCGGTACCTGTTTGACGGCGAGTTTCGTGCGGCCGTGCTCATCGTGCTCTCCGACCACGTGCTCCACCAGAAACGCTCTTTTCGACGGCCGTATTATTCCGCACTCGCGCGCCACGGAAAGACCCGTCAGCAGATTGTCTCCCGTCACCATCACTGTCCGAATGTTGGCTCTGCAAAAAAAAAAAGCAATCCAAAAAGAATAGTAGTTTGAAGTGCCAGATAATTATTTTTCCTTGAAACAGTAAATATGAAATATCAGAACTTTCTGAAACGTTGAGACAGTTGCTCAAAAAACTAGGATACCCACCGATTCAACTGATTAATGACGCCAAGAGTGACCGGTTTCACGCGGTTCTCCATGACGATGAGGCCGAGCATTTGGAGATGGCACTCGACGGCGTCCCGTTTCACCTTCGACGCCTTATTGAAGTTCATGTCGAGCGGGCGGCGCGCGACGGCGATCAGACGGAATCCGTGCTGTGCGTACGCGTTCACTTGCGTCTGCAAAACAAAACAACACTTGAATCAGGTGCGCCCACGGAACCGCAGCCCGCGTTTCGCGTGCAAAATTGTGAGTCTAAAACGGCGTCACAAATCTTATGAATTTGTGGATTTCTGCGCTAAAACAGCTAGATAACAGTTGAAAGGCTGCATAAGTATTGAACACATAGAACATTTCGCAAAACAGTGTACCAAATAATCGTGGGGAACGGTGGCCGGATCACAAAGTGAGTGGATCATTTCGGGCGATCCCTTCGAGTAGAGCATCATGTTGTCGGGACGGTCCTCGGACGGATCGAACACGATCACAGACATCCGCTGGAGCGACGAGGAGAAGGTGAACTGGCGGACCACCGAGTACTCCGCACTCGTGTCGTCTGAAACGTTTCTTTGGTTTTTTGAGGTTCACTGAGAATGGAATACTAGAGAAGTCGACTAGAACATCTCAAAATGCTCCAAAACGCATTGAACAGTGTATAACAAATCTCAAAAATTCCGTAAAAATTCAAACTTTCAGCAGCAAAATGCGTATTTTACTGTAAAACCGGAAAATGTACCGCTCGGCTTGATAATCGACGGCTGAACACTGTCGAATCTCTGCGTCTCCTCCTCAATGTCGCCCTCGCCCTCTTCCATCGTCCAGCCCGTTTTTTGGAATAAAATCAGGTCGAGCGGGTCGCCGTGGAGCACTCCGTTGATTCTAAAGTGAGGAATGCATAAAAAGTTGTCGGTTTCTCGCATTTCCCAACCTGGTGAGCGAGTGACACGTGGCAATCGCCTTGACAATGTCTCCGTCGAACGGAAGCCGCGCGCGGCTCTTCAATTCGGTCATTTCTTCCATAAACTCAATTTTCTCCGCATTTTCCGCACTCTCCTCGGCGACTCTCGTCGTCTTCACCGGTCGCACCACATGAAAATCGAGCCCGTCTTCGGTCAGCGTACCCGTTTTGTCGAAGCAGACCTACAATAGTCGAAGTGGGAGTGTTAGTGCAAATGTGCTCCAAAATTTGTGAATAATAGTCTAGAAATGTGGGAAACCCCGGGAAAATTCTGGCGAATCGTAAAATGGTCTCCAAACGCGTACCACATTTATAGCACCACAAGTGTTGATAACGGACGGTGAAATGCAAAAAATTCCCTTTCGTTTCAGTCGCAATTGAGCATTTATGATGCCCACAGACATGGCAGCTGCAAGAAACAGTAATTTTTCGACAAAAAATACCATTTAAAAAAAGTACCCGGAAGTGCTGGCGGAACCGTAATCGTTATAATGTCCAACGATCGAACAATGAGCCGTCGGAGTGTGCTTCCCCTTTGTATCATCACAATTATTGTGTAGATGAAGCCGAGACCCGAAATGCATGCCAGAAACAGAATGAACTGCAAAACATAGTTTGGGAATTCATCTAAAAATAGCTATTGTAGACTCACTTTGAAGAGGTCTTTCGTAAAACGAAAATCCACCGGTTTCGGGTACATGATCGAGCGGACCAACTGGCCTTTCAGCGTCGAGTAGGCGGTACGCAGGACGATCGCCTAAAAATGTACAAACGTGTTTCGAGACTGGAAATGAGTGAGCAAGAATCATAGTTTCCACTCGTTTTTCTATCAAAATCACCAAACCTCCGTCGGATTTCATTTCAGTACCCTTAAACTCAATTTCTTACAGCGGGACCAGGACGACGGATTCAATCCAACGCCCGGCGCGTGTCAGCTCTAAAAGCTCTAACAATAAACATTTTTCCGTTTCTAGTTTTTCAAAAATCGGTTTATTTCTCATTTTTTGATGCCATGATTGACGCCAATACAACTTCTCACTTGAAACGCAATTTTACAATCTAAAATGGTTTTCACTTCTGAAATCAGTTTTTAAGTGAAAGTTAGCCTTAAAGGCGTCTATTTTCCATTTCCATAAAAACATTGCGCGCCCGCATTCCCCATCGTCCAAATGTCGAATAACATCATTTCTCCGACAACTTGTAATTCTTTTATGTGTGTTCCGTTCCCATTAGACCACCAACCTATTTTCCATTTCCATTCCGAATGATAAGAGGAAACCGGTAAAACTTGTCAGTAATCAGGTCATTACGCGGTATATAAAACGAAATGAACGGCTTGAGTATTCACTTTTTTCTCAAGCCTTTGCATTTAGCCTATTTTCAATATTCCAATGGGACCAAAACGTTGGGGGCTTTTTGAATTTAGATTGAATTATCTTGGGACCAAATGTGGAACCTATCAGATCATCCTGTCCCGAGATATATTGGTCTGAATCCGAAGAAACCACTATATCTCGGGACCGGATAATCGGATTGGTCTGAAACTTGGACTCGAAATACTTCAATCCATGACCTAAAAGCCTGTAAAGTCTGAGTCCGATCGGATAATTGCAGTAGGGTCTAAAGTCGAGTCCAATCTTTCTGAACAATTTTTTTCGAGCCAAATGCACGTCTCCTCAGCCACTTTTGTGGCCAGCAGCCTTTCCGGCGTCGCCCTCATCTCCTGTCTCTTGATTTTGTCGTCCGTCTACCGTAACGTCCAAGATTATTGGACCGAATTGGACGATGAGATGATAAGTGTGCGGGTGAGTTCCAATTTTTATATACTTTCTGTTGCAAATTTATTTGAAACTTTAAAATTTCGAAAATGCGACACTACAAAATGCCACTGCAGAGAAATCCGAAAATGTGAATTTTCCACTGAAATTCTACTGAAGCGACCAAAATCGACGTATTTCCAGCATCTAAAAATTACATTTTTTTCAGCGGGACCTGGACGACATGTGGCGCGAGATCATCCACATTCAATCCAACGCCCTGGGCGCGGTGTTCCGTGCCCGGCGTCCGGCTCGCGAGGCCTACTCGGACTACAAAGAGCCTCCGACGGCCGGCGGATACGACGAATCGGCGCCGCCCGCGCACGACGTCGCCCCACAGGCGCCGGGTGGTCCCGTTCCGATTTCACCCGATTCGTGTCAGTGTCAGGCCGAGAATAAGTGCCATCCGGGACCACCGGGCGCCAAGGGAACGCCCGGATTGCCCGGTCCCAACGGATTGCCGGGGGTCGACGGAAAGCCCGGACACGATTCGCAGGACGTCGAGCCTCAATCCGGGCTCCACGGCATCTGTTTCTACTGTGCACAGGGACCGCCCGGTTCTCCGGGACCTATGGGCCATCCGGGACCGCGCGGAATGCGTGGAGCTGATGGACAGCCCGGACAGACCGGAAAAGACGGAGATCCTGGAAAACCGGGCGAAATGGGACCGGCAGGATTGCAGGGCAAGCAGGGACCGGAGGGAACGCCCGGCGAGAAGGGCGCCGACGGTCGGAAGCCGATCGGACGACCGGGACCGAGAGGACAACGCGGCGAGCAGGGCCATCCGGGCGCGCAGGGAACGCCCGGCGCCAATGGTCCCGTCGGGGATGCGGGCGCGCAGGGACCGGCTGGCGGGCCCGGAGGACAAGGCGAGCAGGGACCCGATGGCGGTCCCGGCGAGGAGGGAAAGACTGGACGGCCCGGACAGGATGCGTGAGTTTTTAGAGCACTTTTTAGCAGTTCCATTTTGTCAACAATTATTGAAAATCATTCTATTCCTTTCAAATTTCGGATTTCAGTCCAAAATTTCCAGCGAATACTGCAAATGTCCGGCTCGCGGCTCTCACGGCGGCTCATCCGGAGGCGGAACGGGCGGAGCATCGTACACGGCCGTCGGCGGCGACTCTTACCGTCAAAACAAGCAAAAAGCCGTCTGAATTCGACTCACTTTCACTTTTCTTCCACGATAAAATCGAGTTTGAAGCACTTGAGTTCCGCAAAACAGCACATTTTTCGAGTTTTTCTCAATGTTGAACACGGCGTCGTGCGTTTCGTCGGTCAGCGCCACCTGAACAATATATCAATTAAAACGATCCAGAAATTTTAAAAAATTCGAGTCAAACCTTGGTGATAGGTACGGATTCTCCGGTGAGCACACTTTCGTTGACAATGACCGTTCCGTTCATGAGAACACTGTCGCATTGCATTAGGCATCCGTGCGGCGGAATCAACAGAATGTCTCCGGGCACCAACTGCAAAAAGTTCAATTTACTAAAGGACCAGGCAACCCTCAGTGTCCGACTCGCAACTCTCTGAAATACCTAAAGTTGTAGTCGTGGCCTAGAAAACTCACTCAGGTGTGAAAACTCTTCCCCCTTGCATTTTGACAATCTGTGTGAATGCTTGTGCCGAACAGACTTGCCAGATTTCGGGCCGGCCCGGGCCGGGCCGGGCCGGTAAAGTGCCGGCCCGGTCGGCCCGGTTCAAAAGGCGGGAATTCAAATTTTCGCGGAAATTTTTTTTTTCGTTATTACAAAAAAAATTTTCGAACTAAAGTTTTAGTGTTTTTTTTTGTTTTTATTCACTCAGATCTCACTGAGTTTTTTCAAAAAGTTTTTCTTTTTATTCAAATTTTGTAAAACTACGTGTATGTGAAACATCAGCACTGCCGGATACCTACTTGACAAAAGAAGAACACGACTTCGTTGCGAAAAAGCGGAACTTGTAGTGCTCGGAGCACAAATCGCTTCGAAATATCCAAACTGGATTGAGGGAAACTCTGCGAGTGTTGCATAAATATCCCATTTGTTACTTTTCGTTGTTTTTTGTTAATTGTTATTTTTCTAATTGTTTCTTCTTTGTTTTTTGCTATTATGAATTTTTTATGAGAAATACATTTGTTTTTCAATGTTCGATGCTTGCAAAAAACCCCTAATTCTACAAAAAATGGCTTCATACAATCAATAATTCAAATTTTGAATTCCCGCTTTTTGAACCGGGCCGGGCCGGAGTTTTGGAAATTTCGGCCCGGCCCGGCCCGGCCCGTGGCAACTATGGTGCCGAATACAAAAAAGATCCCATGGCCTAGGAGTTTTCTAGGCCACAACTTTATTTGTGGCATTTCTGAGAGTTGGGACTCGGACAGTGCATGTGGAAATAAGACAACAATAAGAGGGTTCGCTGATCCTATAAGGACGGGATGTCCCGGATATTGACAAGTCTTCAAAACTGTACCTGTTCCGAGCCGATGGTCACTTCTTTTCCGTCCCGTATCACTTCGACCTCTTCCGTCGAATGAACCATACTTCGAAGGCTGCAAAACATTGCAGTTTCCGAATTATTACTTTTTATAATTAGGAAAAATAAAAAAACGATACTCGTTTCTTATTCTTCGAGAATAAAAAATGCTCGTACCGCATTTCTTGAGTCCTAATCTGATAAACGTCCATCACGATCGAGCAGACGGACAAAACGACGATCAGCGAAGCGTAGTAGGCGTATTCGTCGTTGTACCACACTGTTACACTGCAATTGTTGGTCTTCTACACATTTTTAATGAAAACGACGACAAAAATTACCTAAAAATTTGAAAGACATAAAAGGGCGTGATGACTTCCATAAAAAGGAGGTGTCCGATGGATCTCAGCTGCACAACAATCTCGTTGCGGCCGTAAAACGCCAATCTTCTCATCACTTCGTCCAAACTGAGTCCGTGGTTCGATTCGGAGGCGCGCAAGAGCGAGCGGCAAGGAATACGGTAGGCAATGTCGGAGGACGTCTTCCAGAAGCCGCCTTAATAATCAAAATTCACTTATTCCGCCGCCAACACCAAGGAATATTGCCTTCCGACGCGTTTTCGTCCGACTCCAGCCACACGTACTCGAGTTTTCGGTAGACGAACCACCGCAGTTCGTCCACGCTACGCATTTCGCCGTTTTCCGTCGGGATTGTCTGCAAAACATGTTTTTTGACATTTTCTGCACAATTTTCAAAACAGAAACACTTACCGCATTCCGTTTCCTTTGCACCGGCTGAAGTTCGGTCACGTTGTGATTGTCACTGAAAATTTTGAGAATACAGTTTCAAAAAAGTTTCATCATGATAATAAACAGTCTCGGAGGAAAAGAAGAGAACGCACACAATATAAATGTATTCGGCGGCCTCAAAAGTGCACGGAACCATCCGAAATTTCACATTCCACTTTTGTTTCCAGTGCAAAATGAGACGAAATATTCCAAGAGTGAGTATTGTGAGCACATAGAACAGCACCTGCAAAACAAATCAATTCAATCCAAATCCAAGAGGCCTGTAAAGTTTGGGCCCGATCGGATTATCAGAAGTGGGTCAAAAATGCAGAGTTGCCACGGGCCGGGCCAAAATTTTCAAAACTCCGGCCCTGCCCGGTTCAAAAAGCGGGAATCCAAATTTTGAACTATTGATTAAATAAAATGTTTGTTTTTCGTAGAACTAACGAATTTTGCAAGTATCGAGCATAAAAAAGAAATGTACATAGTTCTCAAAAATAGTTTTTATTGGCATCAAAGCAAAAGTTTTAATTTTGATCTCCGCAAAAAAAACGAAAAAATAGATTTCCCCCAAAAATTTGAATTCGCGCCTTTTGAGCCGGGCCGACCGGGCCGGCCCGTAATTTGGAAAGTCTGCAAAAATGTGTGGTTCTTTGCAATTCCCAAAGTAACCTAAAGCGCGCCAATCCAAGGCGACTGGCGCACAAACCAAGTTTTGTTCTAACTTTTTCAAGGCCAGACGCTTGTGTTCTGGAGCTTTCCAGTTATATTTGTTAGTTGACTATCAGTGTTGTGATTGTTGACCATCTCATCTTTAGTGTAATTACCCGGCGATTACCGTTTTGTGAACCTCCTTTCGAGGTGAAATAGACTGTTGACAAACCCAGAGTAAGTGGGCCAAAAAGGCCTTCGAAAAGCAAAGTCCTCTACCGTTCTGAGTGGTCCGGTCCTAAAAGCGAGGAGAGTGAGTGTGTGGTCTCCGGATTCGAGAGTGATTCGGTGGCGTCGTGCGCCACCCGCCTCCACCATGCCAACCAAGCTCTCCGGGTCTCGCGACGAGAAAAAGAAGCGAGACGCTGCAAACCAAACATTTTTTTCGAACAACTAAAGCAGCAGAGTTGAGATGAACAATGGGGGAAAACCAGAGATTTTAGTCTCGTAGCAAAGAAACGAAGCACCTTTTCTCAATTTTTTACTTTTCAAACTAAAACAAGAGCAATTCTATGTATGATGTTATAAAAATTCAATTTGCGATTGTGACGATTGTGAGTTTACACGAAAGTTTTCGATTTTTCTCACGCAAAATCAATTTGCGATGGGAAGCATTTTTGTTGGCCGGCCCTTGTCCTGGACTTTTGACCCACTTGCAATGATCTGATCGAACCCAAACTTTGAAGGATTGTTGGGCTTGGATTGAAGTATATTGAGTCCAAGTTTCAGCGCGATCGGATCATCCGGTCCCGAGTTATGTGGATCGGAGGCCGAAAAGACCGGGTCTTCGAATCACTGATCCACATATCTCGGGGCCGGATCATCCGATCGGTCTGTAACTTGACTCCAGTATACTCCAATCCAATACCAATAATTCTGCAAAGTTTGGGTTCCAACGAAATATTGCAAGTGGGTAAAAAGTACAGCACAAAGGCCGGCCAAAGTTTTGTTAAATAAGTGTAGAAAAATATGTGTTTACCAGTACATTTTAGAACAAATTTTCAAAAAAGCGAGAAGAGAGAGGGTATTAGGAGAAAAAGAGAAGAAAATCATAAGGTCGAAGGTGTCAGCGGGAATGATGAATGAGGCGCCGAAACAGGAATACGGCCTAAGATAACTATCATCTTTTCTTGAGAAAATCTTTTTTCTACTGATAATTGGTCTAGATCTTTGGATAATTTGTGATAAAAATTGATGGATTTCTAGAGAAAAACAACGAAAAATAATATTTGTGCGCAGAGAAATCTCCTTGTTTTCCATATTTCTTCGTCGCCAATAACGACAAGAACACCTGACAAAGATCGGGAAAAATTTAAAAAGGTTAACTCGAGAAAGTGCGAAATTTTGCGATAAAATGAGGCCGATAACGGTCGTCTCGGCGGCAAAAACGACAATTTGGACGGTGGGGGCAAAAGGCTTTTTGCAAATATGAAATGGCACACGGCGACGAAAAGCGGGCAGGAAGGAGAAGAAGCGGGCCGGGAGAGGGGTAGAAGCGCGGTGAGAGACGCAGACGGTCAGACACAAGCTCGGCGGACCGAAATTCCGCCGCGTAATTCGAAAAAAGAGCCGGAGAATGCTCGAAAAATCGGCTAAAACATGCAAAATTTCGCGGAAAATGTGTCGTTAGGTTACTGTAGACTTAAAGGCGCATTGCTACAAAGTAGAATTTGGGTTCCGCGACGTTTACAGTAAGGTGAATGCAAACGCGCTCTAGTGAGAATTCGTTTGGGTGCGATTTTTCGGAACAAGAAAAATATATTGTGCATTTTTCGGGCTTTGCAGGGTCAATTTTCAAGTTTCCGGCTGATTTTGTGCACTTTTTCACTGGAAGTTCAATATTAAATCAAATTTTTATCAATTTTTTGTGGAAATCGTTCTGACTTTCAATAATCGCATTTTTTGCGGAAAATAAACTAGTGTTTGATTTTAGATGAATCTTCCACGCTTAGGCCTCTGTTTTTGTACACATTTTGTTGTAAAACTCAAATTTTCCAAGGTTCAGAACTCAAAATGGACGATTTTTTCGATATTGTCGAAGACGAGGAGGTGCAAGAGGAGGATCCAATGTCGAAAGTGAGTTTTTTCTATAAAATAGTTGGAAAATTCAGATTTTCCATGAAAATCAATGAAAACATGGTATTTTCCGATTTCGTGAGCAGAATTCACCGATTTTCCCCAAGACCCCCGAATTTTTGCAGTTGGACAACGAGAAGAAGCGTCAGGCGCGCTCGGACATGGACAATCTGCTGCAGGAGATGCACAACGACCAGGGCGGCGGCGGATTCGAGGAGCCGACAGTGAAACGGAGCCGATTGGATGGCGAAAAAGAGGCGAACGAGCAGGAGATAGCCGAGCGGATGGAGAACATTGTCGTGCACACGATTCGGACCGACAGTCAGAACTGCACGCACGAGGTGGCGGTCCCGCCCGCTCAGGAATTCACGCAGTTGAGACAGAGCGAACGCGAACCCGCAAAGCTGTATCCGTTTCAGCTCGACGCTTTCCAGGTAACGGATTTGCGAAAAAACCTGACATTTCTAGTGACGATGGCATTTTTGTACTTAAAAATGTAAATTTCTAGCCAAATTTCCTTTCCTAAAATTGAAGAATAACGTTAAAGGTAAACATGCCGTAAATCTAGTATTTCCTGGTTCAAACTCTACGCTCTTTGTTTCCAGAAACAAGCCATTCTGTGCATCGACAACAACCAATCGGTGCTGGTTTCGGCGCACACTTCTGCTGGAAAGACTGTCGTTGCCACGTACGTTTCATTTTTCAAGCAAATCGAAATTTTTGGTTGTTTATTACACTAAAAGATGATTTTCAGATACGCGATCGCACAATGCCTTCGCGACAAACAACGCGTCATTTACACGTCGCCGATCAAGGCGCTCTCGAATCAAAAGTACCGGGAGCTGGAGGAGGAGTTCAAGGACGTCGGCCTGATGACCGGTGACGTCACCCTGAATCCGGACGCCTCCTGTCTCGTCATGACCACCGAGATCCTGAGGTCCATGCTGTACAGGGGCTCCGAAATTATCAAGGAGGTCGGATGGGTCGTTTATGACGAGATTCACTACATGAGGGATAAAGGTAAGCAAGTAATTTAAAGGACGAGGGTCGATCCATTTTGGATGATCTCGGGCATAGGAGGACCGTAGGAGGATTATTCGGGACCAGATTTGCTCCTCTTCGCTTCCCTGGGATCACTTTTGCCTACTCATCGCGTACGTCGTCCGATCATCTTTGGCCGCGATTCGGTTGCGACTTGAGACCCGCTTATTTGAGAATGAGAATACCGGAATTAGATCAGAAACGCTATAACAGGAGTTTGCAAATGAACATAAAAATTAAGGAAGCCGCCAAAAGATCGGCGTGAAACACAAATTGTTTGCAACAACAATTTTCGATTTACAGAACGCGGAGTGGTTTGGGAAGAGACGATTATTCTGCTGAACAAGAAGGTGAAACAGGCGTTCCTTTCGGCCACAATTCCGAATGCCCGACAATTTGCCCGTGAGTCTTTAAACGAATTTCCGCAGTTTTTGTTTCAAATTGGCAAAAAAAGAGCACTTGCAGAATGGGTGGCGCACATCAAGCAGCATCCGGTGAACGTGGTCTACACGGACTACCGCCCGACGCCCCTTCAACACTTTATGTACCCGGTGGGCGGCGAGGGAATGTACGAGGTGGTGAATGTGAAGGGCGAGTTCCGCGAGGACAAGTTCCGCGATGCGATGAGCGGACTCGCCACGGCCGGAGACGCCGCCGGAGGCTTTCAGAAGAGAAAGACCGGTGGTGGCACCCAGGGTGAGCCTTTTATGGGACAAAATTCGGAGGAAAATGAGCGTTCTTGGCAGGGCTGGGCAAAAGGCCGGCCCAGGCTTGGACAAATTTCCTGGACTTTTGACCCACTTGAAATGATCCGATCGGGCCCAAACTTCGCAGGCTTTTTGAGCTTGGATTGAAGTATTTTGGGTCCAAGTTTCAGACCGATCGGACCATCTGATCCCGAGATATGTGAATCAGAGGCCAAAAAGACTCCCCTGATCCACATATCTCGGAACCGGATAATCCGATCAATCTGAATCTTGGACCCAATATACTTCAATCCAAGTCCAAGTAGTCTGCAAAGTTTGGGCCCGATCGGATCATTGCAAGTGGGGCAAAAGTCCAGGAAATTTAACGAGCCTGGTGTAGATAAAAACTGAATTTTTTGTAGTTTAAAACATTTTGTGATTAAAAAAAACCATGTGGAACTGTTTTTGACCTACAAAGCAATTTTTGATGTGGAAGGGAGGTCTCAAGAGCGCGGCAATGTCGACGTTTATCGACTTTTTCGACAGACTTCCAATTCGACACGTCACTCTACTTGTGTAATAGCTAATCTCGAAAAAAGCAATATTTGCAGGCGACGCGAACGTGCTAAAAATCATCCGATCGGTGGCGTCGAACGACGGACTCAACTGCATCGTTTTCTCGTTTTCGCGCAAAGAATGCGAATCGTATGCCGTCAGTTTGAAAGATTTGGATTTCAATACCGGTAGGCTTGGATTTTTGGCTGAAAAATCTGAAGCTTCTCTAATTTTTGCAATGAAATTACAACATTTTTTGCAGACAAGGAAAAAGGAATGGTGAAGACGGTCTACGAGAGTGCCATTTCGCAACTGTCGACAGAAGATCAGCAATTGCCGCAGATTGTCAATGTGAGCAATTTTTTTCAGATATTGGGCACTCCATTTGTATATTTATCAAGCATTTACTTGCAAATTTCGCAAATTTTCCTCAATTTGAAGACAAAAAATCTGAGAAATTCTTCTTCAGATTCTGCCCCTTCTGCGCCGCGGAATCGGCGTCCACCACTCGGGACTGATGCCGATTCTGAAGGAGACGATCGAGATTCTGTTCGGAGAGGGCCTCGTCAAAGTGCTATTCGCGACGGAGACCTTTTCGATGGGACTCAACATGCCCGCGCGCACCGTCGTTTTTACGTCGGCCCGCAAATTCGACGGAACCGACAACCGCTACATCACGTCGGGAGAGTACATTCAAATGGCCGGACGGGCGGGAAGACGCGGAAAAGACGATCGCGGCATCGTCATTCTCATGGTCGACTCGGCGTTGTCGCCGGAAGACGCCAAACAGATTATCAACGTACAGTACTTGCAAACGGGCCGATTTCAGGCGCGGGCTGATAACTCGCTCCAAAATTAAAGTCGTTCTACTCACAACTTTGATTTTGAAGCGAGTTATTAGCCGGCCTGAAATCGGCCCATTTGCAAGTATGGCTGTTATGAAAACAGAGAAATCCTGATTGGAAATATCGAAATTTGATGGGAAAAATCGCAGAAAACGCCGACTTTGGAAGAATGTGCGAAAAATAATTTTGCAGGGCGCGACGGATCCGCTGAACTCGCAGTTCCGGCTCACCTACAACATGGTTCTGAATTTGATGCGCGTCGAGGGAATGGCCGTCTCGTGGATCATTCAGAACAGTTTCCATCAATTCCAGAGCTACGATAAACTGCCCGAAATTGAGAAAAGTACGTTTTAGAAGCTACCTGGGCATATTTAGACACAAAAAATTGGAACATAAAATTGGTTTTCTCATTCCAGAATGCGAACAAGCGCTCAAAAAAGTGTCCTCGTTCAATTTTACGTGGGAAAACGAGATGCGAACGTACGTGGAGCTGAAAGAGCAACTCGAGGCGACCCAAAAAAAGATTCTGACGATTATGCGCGAGCCGAAAAATCTCGTCGGATTTCTGCACGCCGGACGCCTTTTTAAAGTCAAATCGGGCGATCGTGACTTCCATTGGGCAATTCTGAATCAGTTCAAGCGCGAAATCAATCCGGACGACAAGAACGAGCATATGTACGTGTGCGACATGATTGTGGCGGTCGATCCGAACACCAAAATGGACTATAGCAATCCGGCGACGCTCGAGCCAGGATTCCATCTAAAAAAGGTTGTTAAAGAAAATGCGTAAAGCGTCAGAAAGATTAAAGGACCATTGAACGCTGCGAGTTCACTGTCCGAATCCGAACTCTCAGAAATGCCTATGAACGGAACAGCGTGGCCTAGAAAACTCCTAGGCCATGGCATCTTTTCCAAATTGCTTACAATCCTCGGACGTTGTCAAAGTGCAAAGGAAGAGCTTTCACGTCTGAGAGTTTTCTAGGCCACAGCCACAACTTCTAGGCATTTCTGACGAGAGTTGGGACTCGGACACTGAATGTGGCAATAAGAGGAGATTCAGAGGGTCTCCTGGTCCTTTAACGGAAAAATTTTTGCAGCGTCGATGGCTGCGTGTTCCGATGTCTACGGACCGAATCACGGCGATCGCGGCGGTCCGTCTGAAGATTCCGTCGGAAATCGACAAGCCGGACCAACATTTGCGCCTCGACAACACTGTCACCTCGGCGTTCGCCCGAATCAACAACAACGTGCCTCTCTTGGATCCGATCACCGATATGGGCGTGAGTTTCATTTATTCTGTTATTGATTTAAAAGTTTTCACATTTTCCCCATGACATCATCGCCCGAATGTTGCAGATCAAAACGGCGGAAATGCGTGAATTGGTGGAACGCGAGGCGAATCTGAAGAGCCGCATTTCGGAGCATTCGATGAACCGACGCGAGAATTTCGACGAGCTGAAACAGCAATTCGAGCTCAAATTGGAGGCGATCAAAGTATTTGAGGCGCTGAAAGCGGAGAAGCAGAAAATGAGATCCACATTGCATTTGGAGGAGCTCGACAGCCGAAAACGCGTGCTCCGACGGCTCGGATACTTGAGGAGCGACGATTCGCTCGAGCTCAAGGTGCGAGCGATTGTTTTAGGGAAAATATCGACGTTTTTCCAGTTTTTACACAATTCTTCAACAAAAACCGCCCCCATTTTTGCAGGGCCGCGTCGCGTGCGAACTGTCCGCGTCGGACGAGCTGATTCTGACGGAGATGCTACTGAAAGGATTGTTCAACTCGCTGGACGTGGCACAAACCGGCGCTCTCCTCTCCTGTTTCGTATTCCAGGACAACTGCTCGGCGCCGAAACTCGCCGCCGAGCTCCAGAAGTGTCTCAGCGATCTTCATGTACGTTTCTTTAGTTTTTTTTCCAGGAATAAAGACTATTAAGTCTAGAAACTTTAAAGATAAATGTCATTTTTTGTGCAGGAACAAGCGCGCCACGTGGCAAAAGTGTCGAACGAGTGCCGAATCGAGGTGATCGAGGACAAGTACGTGAGCAGCTTCAATCCGGGACTCATGGACGTCGTGTTCCAGTGGATCAACGGTGCCTCGTTCAGCGAAATCGTCAAAACGACCGACGTCTTCGAAGGTTTGTCTGAAATATATCCACATTTTCTCTCTATTTTTCCATTCTTAATCCATTATTTTCCAGGCTCGATCATCCGCTGCTTACGTCGTCTGGAAGAGGTGCTCCGCGAGATGATCAACGCGGCGAAAGCGTGCTCGAACAAGGAATTGGAGCTGAAATTCGAGGAGGCTCGCAAAAATCTTAAAAGGGACATTGTCTTCGCCGCCTCGCTTTACCTCTAATTTTATTTCTTTATTTGTTATTTTGTCTCTCCCCGAATCTCCTCAATTTTTGTTGATTTTTCGCCCAACGTATTCAATTATTTTTCGTAAAATTCATGAGAAACAAACTGAGATGGGCGCCGAAACATGTTCGAAAGGCGTCGGTCATGCCCGCCAACCGGCAAATCGCTGCTAATCCTTCTCGTCTTCGTGCACTCGCTCTTCTCCTTCCGATCCACCGACTCTGGGGCTGGGTACAGGAATTCTAGTGGGTGCTGATTGAGTTAAAACTGGAGGGCAAGGACAAACGGAAGATATTCAGACGGCGAGAAGGACCTGACAACCTGTTACAGTCGCGGTGAAGTCGAACCTTAACAAAGAAAAAACGTACACTTGGCAGCAACAGCATCAGCGTGAAATCTCCCGAAAAAATGTGGAGAGAATAACTTTTGAACCTTTGAAAAAGTTGTACGACTTGACTGAAGTGTGTACAACTTATACCAAGCGTCGAAAAATGTTTCCACTTCCATGTGGAGTTTATATAGACCATACCACAACCTTCCGAGCCGTTTTCAGGGCTCTCTCAAGACCGTACGAGACGGTGCAAATGTTTCATGTTTCGGCGACCTTATATTCATCATCCGCATGTAGCGTAACTTGCAATCGATCGGTCCTTTTGTCATTTCGATCAGTCTCCACAAAAATCTTGCGGCGATCAGTTTCGTCGTGTATTTCACGTCTTGCTCCGCGTTTCTCATGTCCAAAATTGACTGTTTTGGGAATGAACGAATTTTCCTTTTTGCAAATGAAACAATTTGCACGTCTTTCTGCACATTCTTCACAAATCAAACGTGCACAAGTTCCTAGACACGGTCTTTTCGATTCGGATCCTAAAAGTATCGGAGAATCACCGGAAAATCGAGCTCTTGTGACTTTTAAGTATTAGCAATCATTCTCATAAACAACTTTTACTGTGTCTCCTACTAGCAACAATAGCAACGAATGAAAACAGGCGGTAATTATTATCATTATTCGGGATAGTCGCGTGTCGAGTATCCGGACGCAATCAGATTGTGCACTTTTGCGTGTCCGTGCAATCCCGAGAGGTCCGACTTGGAAAGAGTGAACTTTTGCGTGGGCGGAGGAGCGGTCGGCGGGGTGTCGAGCACGCGGACCGGCGGAAGTGCACGCACTTTTCGGCCAAAGTATCCGTCCTTTTTGTGGAACAGACCCGACGACATTTTGTAGCCGAATCTGCAAAAATCACACGAATTTCAGGCGATTTCGCGCAGAAAACTGGTACCGTCTGTGCATTTGCGCGGATCCGAAAATCTTCGAGTCGATGTCGGCGTGCGAGAGCCGTCCCACAGTGGCCATGCACGTGCGGTGCAGCGAGAATTCGTGTTTGTGCGGCAGTTTGACCACTGTGAACTCGCCCTGATGTCGGACGATCGTCGCCGCGGTTCCGGCGGCCTTCACGAACGTCTCCGAGTCGGCGGTCGGGTAGCGTTCGATGCTGAAATGATGGAGTTGGATGGCATCTAGCTAAAGACTGGTAAAATCGGACATTTTTCATGAGCTTACCTGTTAATCAGAGTTCCAGCGGCCAGCGATCCGATCGGATACGCGTTTCCTTCGACTCCAATCACTGGATTTTCGGCCAAGTGTCCGCTCGTCGAGATGATGTCTCCAGCTCTGAAATTCTTTAGTTTTCTCGCTTTTTCTAGGAATTCTACTATATTCGGGCAATTTGAGCGAAAATTAGCTAAAATTGTATAGAAATCGCATTGTGCGTCCCTTGCAAGGTTAAAACGCTCAAAACAACCTAATTTTTCAGTTCTTTTCAGCAGAATTTAGAAACTCCGCGCAAACCCTTTGAATTTCAAAATTCTGGCCGTACTTCATCTTCTCCGTCGCCAAAATCCATCGTTTTCCGTTGATTCCGGCCACGAGAGCGATATGACACGTGCGGTTCGGATCTCGACGCACTTCCAGTACTCTTTCATCGTACGTCACGCCTTGCTCTGTCGGTCCTCTGCAAAAAACAAGGATTCTCTTTTTTTTTTCAGATTTTTAGTGGCTTTTTGTCATTTTTTGGTCAATTCGTGTTCGCGAGTACCTTCTGTGAAAGTCGATCATGAAATAGTCGAATTTGACGCCGCCGCCAATGTGCTGGTTGACTTTCCGCCCGGTTTCCGGGTCGCGACCTCCCAATCGATTGATTTGCAGCGGTTTGTGCGTGTACCGACCGCCCGACTTCTCCTCCAAATCGGCCATGTCCCAGAGATGACGTGGCAGCGGTTTTGTGCCTCGAGCCGGCAGATTTCGAGTTGCCACGAGGACCTGCATGAATTTTCAGTTTATGGGGTGATTATTGCTTTTTTGACGGTACCTGTGAAGAGCAGGCTAGCCTCAAGGCTCCCAGTTCTATTGCCAATGAGCTGATCATCTGGAAACTCTGAAAATGTGAAAAAATTCAGTGAAAAAGCTGAAAAACGAGCAAAAATAAAATAGTGGCCTAGAAAATCGGCTACTGATTTTTCTAGGCCACCTCACCGCGGCCATCGAACCGACGTTGAATTTTAACGGAAAAAAATCACAAATCTTTATCGAAATCACTTGGAGACATGATAACCGTACCAGAAAATGCAGAAACATGAGGTTCATATACTTCTGGAAACGGCGTAATTATTGATTCTCGGAAAAATTCGTTGATCCGCCCGTTTTGCGCGCTCAACTTGGAGAGCTCCCAGTCGACGCCGCCGTAATTGTTGCCAATCACTATCAAATTGTTCAAATTCTGCCAATTGTGCTCCAAAATACCGTTCAGAATCTCGTGTTCACCTGTAAATTGCAAAAATTCTGGTTTTCTGGGGAAAATCGAAAAAACCATGAATAATGGCGAGAATTGTGATCGCTTGCGGATTTTTGTCAATTTCAATGTCCGTATTCATTTCTGTGCGAATTTTTAAACGATTTTTCGCTTCAAGCCATCGATTTTCCGCTTCAGAACAGGCGGGCTCTTGAAAAATGAGTTCGGCTTCGAACTTTTCAGAAATTTCCAGAAACAGAGCCAATTGATGAGCCCCCGGCTGGTCCGAATAGTCGAAATGTCCATTTCCGAGGAGAAAAATCGTTTGAATTTTTCCATTTTCCGCCAAAATTTCCTCCAATTTCCGTTCGAGCCATTGTCCCAATTTTGACGTCGAAATTGCGTTTTTCGCGCGGCTCATCGCTTTTTCCACGTCCTTTTCGGTTCCGTCCACTCGAACATGCGTTCCGTTTTGTGTCTTTTTCTGAAAAAGTTGAAAAGAAATGTAATTTTCAAAACAATTATGCTTACAAATTTCGCCGCTTTTTTGCCAGTGACCAGTGTGAATCCGTCGTCTTCCATGTACACCCTTACAGTATTTTATAGAAAGGGAAACAGAAATGAATAAAGGTACTAAAAGTCCATCGGGAAACATTAAAATTAACAAACAAATAAAAGAGTATTAAAATAATATAGTTCATCAACAAAAATCTGAAAATACAAGCTATAGAGGGGCCTAGAAAAATGAGATTTTAAGGTCTCGCAACGAAAACAAAAAGACGATTTATCGGTTATCAATGAGAACGTGGGTGGTTTTCGGCCGTCGCTTGTTCTCCACGTACAGGAATCGCCACTGCCACTCGCCGTCGCGCTGCTCCATTTCCGCCTGGGCAATGCCCTCGTCGCGCTCGCCCTTCACGTGGAACAGCACGCGGATCCGTTGCATTCCGTCCTTTTCGTACTTGTGGTGGGCCACGTGGCGCCGACGCCCACGCGCAGTCTCCTCGCCGAATCCGGCGATTGACGCGCCGAACATGTCCTGGCAGCGGCCGTCGTCGCGCACTAAATCCAGCGCTCTGTAAGAAAAAACAATTTTTAGAGGGAAATCGACAAAAAACGGAGAAAATTACTTGTTAAAGATGGTTTGCGGCGAATCCTGGGCGAAAAACTCTCCGGCGAGCACGTAGATGAACGCGCCGATGAGCCCGACTCCGGCGATCACCGCCGTGTACATAAACGTATTTGACGCTTTCTCGGCCACTTTTCCGCCGAAAGTCGTCGGTTTGTGCTTCTGAACCGTGTAAACTTCCTCCAAAACCGATCTTTGCAGGGCGTGCTCTTGTTTTTTCGGCTCTGACGCTTTGGCGGGCGTCTTTTCGAGTGCGGCAACGGTCCAAGAGAATTGACGGAACTGGACCGGTGTTAGAACCCAGCTGAAAACGGAAAATTGAAGGAAACCACGGGGAAATTTAATTTCTACCATTTCAGCACATGTTTTCTTCCTGAAAGCTTGCAAAGCTCGCGCAACGCTGACATTACCTAGAAATTCACTTAAATTAATTAAAATAAACTGAAAGCTATTGACATCTCGATAACATCAAGAGAAAACTGATAAAGAAAATTGGAGAGAACAATTCGCGTCCCCAGAAAAATGATGCAAACGTGCTCTACCGCACACCTGTGTACTTCTCTCGGACAAAATGCGAATATTTTGTTCTCCGACGATTTTCTTCAATTTGCGGAAAGCTCGCTGATTTTTCAGATTGTAAGCTTAAATCTTGCAGGATGATTGCCCACAAAGTGCTCTTAAATTTTCGCCAACTCGCCGTCCGCCCACTAGCCTACAGCACCACCACAAACCAGTCAAACGAGGTGTTCCTAGAGAGATTGACCGGAAAAGATGAAGGTTTTTGCTATTTTTGCTCTAGTTTTTGAGAAAATTCGCATTCCAGGCATCACGTTGGTCACAATGAATCGTCCAGCGAAAAAGAACTCATTGGGTGTTGTGTTTATGGATCAAGTGAGTCGAAATTTATCAAATCCCTCATAAAGACGAGTTTTCAGTTCCGAAAAGTGCTAGACGAGATCAAGTACGATCCGAAGACTCGTGTGGTGATTCTGAAGTCGTCGTGCGACAACGTCTTCTGCAGTGGCGCCGATTTGAAGGAGAGAAAAACGATGACGCAGCAGGAGGCCACCCGATTCGTGAATGGGCTCCGGGATTCGTTCACTGATGTAAAAAATGCTTCAATTTTCCACAAAAATCTCAAGTTTTAGGTAGAAAAGCTTCCGCAGCCAGTAATCGCCGCAATCGACGGATTTGCATTGGGAGGCGGTTTGGAATTGGCGTTGGCTTGTGATATTCGAGTCGCTTGTACCTAAAATTTTAACAAAACCCCTAAAAATTTCAAGTTCTTCAGCGGAAAAGGCGAAACTGGGGCTTGTCGAGACGAAATGGGCGCTGATTCCGGGCGCGGGCGGCTCGCAGCGTCTCTACCGCATAATCGGCATCTCCAAAGCGAAAGAGCTCATTTTCACGGCCGAAGTGCTCGACGGAAAGGAGGCGGAGCGTTTGGGAGTGGTCAACCACGTCGTCAACACGGATCCGGTCGACAAATCCCTGGAAATCGCGCGGAAAATCATCCCGCGCGGTCCGATCGCCGTGAAATTGGCCAAATTGGCCATCAACTTGGGCTCACAGACCGACATTTCGAGCGCGTTGACTGTGGAGCAACAGTGCTACGCTCAGGTACGAATTTCCATAATTTTTTCCAAAATTTCATTAATTGCAGATCATTCCAACAAAAGATCGTCTGGAAGGCTTGAAGGCGTTCGCCGAGAAGAGAGATCCAGTGTACAAGGGCGAATAATCAATTTTTCTCAATTTTAGACAAAAAGGAGCTTTTATCGTTTAAAAAAACCTGTGATTAGCTAGTGAAAATGAAAAGGTGCAATTTTCTATTACTTGTCTGCTTTTTTCCGGTTTTTCACCGATTCTTATCTCTTCTCCAACATCTTCCTTATTTCCGCTCATTTCCCCGTTCAGATGCATCTATCGGCACGTCTTCTCAGCTCGACGGCTCCAAAATGGGACATTTTCGCGTCGGTGGTGCTCGCGAGGCCGCCCGTCGTCGCGCCGCCCATGTCCGACGTCGAACAGCGATTCCACCGACTTCAGAAGGCCGAAGAGCAAGAAAAGAGTCTCATGTGCAATTACGAGCTCAAAACTAAACAGGACCAAAAGTAATTTTGATTGCCCCTCTAAAATGCGAGAACAATCGTACAATTTTCACAAGTCGCTAACAGTAAGACTGTGAAAAGGTGGAAACGGAAAAACTTTTGTTTTCACAAAAAAAGGATCGGAGAGAGCAGAAAAATGACACGCGAGAGCGCCGTTTGTCAAACGAGCCATTTGACAAAATGCATGCATGCGCCAAACAAAATTTCGGCAATTTCAGAATGCTGGCGCGACGTGAGCAACTGCTGAGCGAAGGAAAAGAGCTCTCGGAGCTCGACGAGGAGATCGGAGTGACGAATGCGGTGCGGGAGGACGAGTGGAAGCGGAAGGCGGCGGAGCTCGAGCAAAAGTACAAATTCTCGAGCAACTCGACGACGTCGGACCCGAAAAGCGCCGAACGGCTGCTCGACCGCAAGATTGTGCTCATTGTGAAACAGAAATTGGGCGAGAAGAAGTACGCGTCGCCGTGGATTCTGCCGCAGATGAAACATCGCCAAGGCGAGACCCTCAGACAGGTAAGAAATAATGCGCCTCTCTTAAAAAATCATCTACTTTTTTGCAGACAGCCGAACGATGCATCGGCGAAATTTCGGCGGGAAATTTGGGAGCGTCGATCAGCGGAAACGCCCCGTTCGCAGTGTTCACGCACAAATATCCGTCGCCGATCGCCCAGAAAACGGGCGCCTCGGGAGCGAAAATCTTCTTTTATACTGCCAATTTATCGTCGACGTCGTCGAAAGAGGAATTCCGAGCGAACGAGGACGACGTCGCCGATTTCCAGTGGGTGTGCCGCGAGGAATTCTGGAGGACCGTGCCCGGAACCGACTACAAAAAGGCCGCTCGTTTCGCGTTTTTGGAATAATTGATTTTTGTCGATTTTTAGTTGTAGATCTTTGTGTTTTCATTAAATTTTATTGTTTAATGACATTGATTTAAAAATCGGTTTCAAACCGTATACTTCACGTTCTTGCAACAATTGTTATGCAATATCATCCCGGAAACATTTTATCCCCGAAACGTTCAGAAAAATGTCGGAATTTCTGAAACGTCCGACCGACGTCGAAACGGACGACGATCTGCTCCAGATGCAGCGAGATTGGGAGGAATCGCAAAAGAAGACGTCCGCCCAGATTCACCGAATGAAAAAACGATCGAAACTCGAAGAAGAGCCCCCGAAAGAGCAAAAATTGGCTCCGAAACGAGAGGCGGGTCGTTTCCAAATCGATTTGGACGATATTCGCGAAGAGTCGAACGTGCAGGACGTGCTTTTTTCGGTGCGCGAACGCAACGTCGACTGGCTTCACGAGGACAAAAACGACGAGATTCTGAAGGTCGCCACGTCGTCGCTATCGATTTTTTCAAAGGACGACGGCTTTCCGGAACCCCTGGATCTTTCCGCCTACTATTCGGGTCAACGAGCGGCTCCACCGGCTGGCATCAGCTTTTTCGCCGCCGAGTTTGATCGAATTCACGGAAATTTGGCGGAAAACCTCGATGAAATGGCTGAAAAAGAAGAAGAAGAAGCCGACGGAAATTCGGATTTCCAGACCGAGAATGAAAAATATCTGAAAAGACTGGACGCGGACAAAATCCAGGAGCTCCGCGCCGAAATTCAGGAGAGATTCGACCCGAAATTGCTCGAATTTTTGGCCAATCGCAATAAGAATAAGGCGGAAAAAGCGGAGAAGGAGCCGAAAAAAGTGAGCAAATTCAAGGAGCGACGGCTGAGGGAAAAGAGGGAGGAGCCCATGGAAATTGAGGAGAAACAGGAGGAGAAGGAGCCGGAAAAAGTGAAAAAAGAGGTGGAGGAGATGATGAACGAGCTGGAAGTTCTGGAAGAGTTCAAGAATCGAGACGATCAGGAGAAGTATAATCGGCTGGCTACGGTAGGAATTTTTAGACATTTTTTAGTCAGCTTCTGGTCAAAATTCATTTGTAAAAGAGTTGAAACAGCGAAAAATTTGTCTTAATTCCCATATTTCAGGACGCGATTCAACTGGACCTCACCGCTAAATTCAGTCGAAATTTGGCGGCGCGTCAGCAGAAAAACGCCGTCAAACTGTTCGACAACTGCAAATTCCGTCCTGCTCCAGAATCTTCTAGTGCTCCAAGCGCTCCAGACGCTCTTCTGGAGCTCGCCCGTTCCTCAATCGATCAAATCAAGACGCTGTACCTGGAAGAAGTCTCGCTAGACGGTCAGATATCGTACGAGTTTGGCCGCGGTGTGAATCCGATCCTCGACAACTGCTGGACCCTCGTGCCTGTCCGTCGAGTCCTCGACGCCGTCGAAAAACGGCAAGGACGCGTGCTGCCGGACGATGTCGAAATCGTCCGTTTGGCTCTTCTCTGGACACTGTTGCTCTTCGAAGAGCGAAAATCCGCGTTTTTCGCGTTCGCTCAGCCCAACGACTTTTACGTACACCTCGCCGAGACGTATTTGATCGGAGCAGAAGCCCTCGCGGATGACGTCATCTCAGAATGCGCGCGTCGGATCATGGACGGATATGTGTTGCGGTCAGCCGACGAGGGCAAGATCTTGCTGCGAATGAGCGGAAAAGTGGCCGGATTGGACGCGTTTATGCCGTTCTACGAGAATTTGCTCAAAAACTACGAACAGTACTCGATGGGCGACCCACATTTCGCAACCGCCATTCTCATTGGAGCGTATTTGAATGCGCCAATTGGAGATAGGTGAGGGAATGGCGAATTACAAGATCGGGCCCAAACTTTACAAGCCCTGTTGGACTTGGCTTTAAGCATCTTGGGTCTAAGTTTCAGACCTATCCGATTATGAAACTTAGACTCAAGATACTCCAATCCAAGGCCAAGAAGCCTGCGAAGTTTGGGCTCGACTGAATTGTTACAAGTGGTACAAAAGTCTAGGCCAGTAAAATTGTTCAACTTTTTGCAGTATCGAGTACCGTTTCGCACTGTGGTCCCCAAAACGGAACACGATCCGCCAGATGACGGCACCGTCGCGACGAGACCTTCTGGAGCCGATTAAACGACAGATTTCGGAGCGGGAAAATGTGATTTTCGAGCAACATTACGTACAACATTGCTCACTTCTCGGCGCCTACGTTTCCGCAATTCGCGACAATGTGGTACGCGTTTCTGGAGTTTTCTCTAACAAAAAAGTGTAATTTCAGGTTACCCGTGACCGTAACCCGTTGATGTTCGAAATTGCCGCCTTTGAAATCGGAATGTTTTTGAAGAACCCACACGGAAACGATGCAGAGAAGCGGCGGGAATTCCAGCTCCTCGTCGAGATTATCAGAAAATCGATTGGCGATAAATTGATGATCTCTTAAATTTACGATACATTGTTTCTCCTCAGACAACAGTTTTTTATTTTCGGCGATGTAAAAAAAATTTCGGCGATGTAATTTAAAAATTACCGCGTACCCGTGACCGTCAAGGGTTCATGCCAATTTTCAAAAATTGCCGTGTAAAAATGTAGGGCCAAACCGCCGACACATCGCAAACCGTTGACTGAGTCGTCTTCATTGTTTGTGTTATTGTAACAATTTTTATGGGCATTTATTGAATCTTCATCTTCAGTTCCACTTTTCGCGTGGAAACCCGTCTCGAAATGAGCACAACTCCGCGGAAAAGTGCAAAAAGTGAAAGGAGAATGGAGAAGAGGCAAATGGCGATGACATCGATGCAATAATAGCGGAAAACGTCCAATTTCTGGCCCGCCAAGTTGAGATTCCGATGCAAAAGTGGATTGCGGGCGGCGAATTCGAGCCACTCGACGAACAGCTTCTTCGGTGAATTCGGACGTTCTTGCAGCATTTTTGAGATTCGTTTCGCGTTCAAATTGTAGCTGAAAAGTGAGGCGTTTTTTTCAGATTTTTCACTCTGAAAAACGTAATTTGCAAACACGAAATGTCAAGAAAATCATTTTTTGAAACTATTTAGTACTAAAACCCAACCTTGAATCGTGAAGGACCGCCTCCAGTCCCCTGACGACCGTCTGAGTCGTAATTTTGGTTTTGTCGAGCACAAAAGTGGTGCCGAGTGAGTGTCCGGCCAACGCATTCTGCGGTTGATCGGCGAAAAGCGGGACGGCGAGAATGGGAACTCCCGCGTACGACGCCTCGACGTACGAATTGAGGCCGACGTGCGAGATGAACGCACGAGTACGCGGGTCGTCTGAAAAAAAGAAGAGTTGCGAGTGGGAGCGCTGTATTTTATCGCAGACGACTCACTGAGAAGATCGGTTTGAGGCAACCACTTCAAAAAGTGCACGTTGGTAGTGTTGGCGAAAATTTGACGATCGCCCTCTTGAGGCTCGTACTTCCACACAAAAGTGTACTGGGGAAAGTGGCGGAATGCGCTGGCAAACGCTCTGCGCACCTCGATCGGGAATACTGACGAGGGCACCTGAAAAGCTGTGGATAGGGCTTATTCGGGTCTCCAGAGCTCTTTTCATGGCGTTTTCATGAATTGAGCACGTTTTCTCTGATTTTTGTGGTCAACGGCGATGAAAAATGATTGTTGGACATGAAAACACACTAATTCTCAGAATTAATGACGTTTTCGCGCATTTTTCGCGGACTTTGCTTTTTCGCCTTCGCCGCCAAAAACCGCACTTCTCATTTTGCGCTTTCTTGACCGTTTTTAGACAGAATTGGTTTTGAGAATGATAAATCACGTAAATACAAGCATTTTGAGCGCTCGAACCGCGAAAATTACCGAAAAGCAACTGAAATTGACGCAGTTTTAGCCAAAAACATTCAAACGGATAAATGTGATTTGCGACTTGACCAAATTTAACGCTCTTGCGCTTAAAAAATTCGTAACAGCCTATAAAATCGGTCTATCGAGAGACTAATGAGAAATTATCGGTTTTTCGTGGCTAATCTGGCAAAAAACACAAATTTTGCTGTTAAAATTTGAATTTCGCGCCAATGCATCGCTCTATTGGGCGGCCATTGTCAGCTCTGCAGACTGTGCGAAATGTGAAATCCATGAGAACATTTTCAGGTTGTTGATGTCATAAAAATTCCATAGACATCATCATTTTTTTTTGTGAAACACTCGTGATCAGATTGTACGTTGCTCCGACTCCTACTCCTAATCCCCGACCTTTCTGTCAATCTCACATACTATCATTCGGAAATTTTAGGTGATCATTGTTCACCGCACATCTCGATTCCAACCAGGAACTAGTCATCACTGACACTGAACAAACATTCCCTTATCATGTCTAGCCGTGAAGCACAGAAATTAAAAACTAATTTAGCGAGCGACGCGTACCTGAGTGCCAAAACAGAAGACGACGATGCCGGAAGAGGGCGTCGCGGAGACGGCGCGTTCAGTTTCCGCGTCCAATTTTCGGGAAGACTTCCGCAAGTTGATTCCTCCAATGTACTTTATTTTGTGGCTGACCGCTCGCGGAATGTCGATCAGCTCGTTCGAGTTGACAAACGCGAGATCTAGCGAATGGGCGAGCTCCGCCGGCTCCAAATGATCGCCCAAATGTTTGCGGATCAGGTCGCCTTGAAGTTTCTGGCAGTACGGGTAGATCACAAAGTTGATGTGCGCCCAGTTGACGAGATTTTTGAGCCGACCCCAGAGCGTCGTGAGATCCTCGGTTTCGAAGATTGCTGAAAAAGCAGCGGGCTCTACGAACATCGTACAGTAACCTACAGTACCTTGGGTCACAGCCGCCGAATTCGGAATGCCGGCCGAAATGCTCTGCTGATCGAGCAACGGTAGTGAGCTGGCGGAGACGATCGACGCGATATTGTAGTGTTTCATCAGCGCGAATCCACAATACTCATATTCCGTCGCCACTCCAATGTCATACTTTTGCGACGAAATGAACTGATGGAGGCCCGGATCCGTGAGACCGACTGGAAAAGTGAACAGGTTTTTCGAGAATGTGGGCAAACGCCGACTGACTTTCACAAATCTCATTGACAATTGTGACGTAGTGCACGTGCTCCTGCCAAGTTCTTTGTCTCGGCTCGAACGGATTCAGCAAATGCGGCGTTTTGCTCCACGGACTGTCCTCCTGAACGTGTCTACCGTAATACTCGGACCACAGTCAGCCGCATACCGTAAACCCATACACATATTTTCTGGCCGCCCGTCGAGTTCCATTCGTTTTCACGTGACTATTCATTCGGGCGATTATCAGGTCCTATAAAGAGATTGGTACAATATAGACTGGCAGTAGTATTGTAGGCGGCCACAAACACGTACAACTGTATGCCCGTTCTCGACGAGAGTATCGATTAGCGAGTCCGTAAAGTCAATGTGTGATTTTCCGAGAAGGAGAATGTAAAACAAGACGTGGAGCGTTGAGATGACACGTGGCAGTGTGAAGAAGAGGAAAAGACAACGAAGTGGCGAAGAAGGCATGACGGCAATTGCTGCAAGTGTATTATAGTTGTTAAACTGGGGGCCTGAAAGTTGGACGGCGATAAGGAACGAGTAATTGGTCGGGTAAACACGGTTTTTATGGCAATTTGTTTCAAAACTGTCCAGAATTTGGCTCCAACTAGTTAGTGTTCGTTGCCCGAAAGCGTCAAACTAAGAGTACGAGCACGTCTAGACCAATGCTCTCGTTTATCAAAAAACCGTGTCATTCGTTCTTTCTGGTTCAGGCTCCGCCCTCTCCGTCTCCGTCAATGATTGTGCCTTTTTTTTTGAAGTATACTGTACTTTTTTAATCAGCTAAAAAAGTGCAAGAATGTTTGCTCATTCAGCCAGACCACAATTCTAATTTAGCCGTGTGATTGTAATTGGAAGAAGGAAGCTGCGATTGATAAGAGAGAGAGAGAGAGAAGTCAGTACGAGTAGGCGAATGATGATAAGCAACGCGGAAGAAGAAAACGGTTCGAGGAGTGTCTGCCGTGCGTGCTCGGTTTGCAAAAGTAACGACTGTATCAGTGACAGACACGGGGGGTGCATTGTTCGCAGACTTTAATAGTAAGTGCGGAGATCAATGCACGTTTTATAGGTACAACTTGTCCAAGTGAACGTTTTGTCGTCGGACAGGGTTGGAGATTTACAGTTTTTTTTAGACTTTTAGTTAACCGGGCTACTGTATCACTTCAAGTTCGTTGTTTGTTTTTGAGAGATTTTTGCAAGACTGATATTGTAGAAAACTAGACAAAACAGTTCAAGCGCCGAGCCGAAAACGTGTCAATTGGAATAATATGTTGCTCTCGGGGTGATAAGATGTGTTGTCCAACACGGAAGTTTCGAATACACGTACAAACAAAAGACCATATGATTATCGCTACGAGGGGGTCTTTATTTATAGTTTGTGTGCCAACTACACTGCAATTGTACAATATCTGTTTATTTGAATGACTGGCACAAAATCAGCGATCGGCAAAGTGTTCGTCAGCAGAGATTACAGTTGTGATAAGGATTTTGTGCATGGTTTTTTGCATTTTTGTTTGCTTATCATTAAATAAAACATTGTTGATCTGAAAATAGACAAAATCTCCTTTTAATCGGTATTTTTTTGCAATTTCCGCCGAAATAAGCATGGCCGCGGACTAGTTTTCCCATCGGTCTATGCAAGTGCGCCCCAATGCACAGTAACACCTTTTCGTATTTTCGACTCGATTCTATTGGTTTTCAAAGCTTTGTGGACGGCTTTTCTCGTTTTTTCTGCTGAATTTTTGTTAGAAACTGCAAATTTACACTATTTTCTTGCAGAAAATGACCGAAGTCAAGCCGAACAGCACGTTGTACATCAACAATTTGAACGAGAAGATCAAAATCGACGAGCTGCGTAAATCGCTCGTCGCCGTCTTCAAACAATTCGGCGAAATCGTCAGTGTGATGTGCTTTCGAACGCTGAAAATGCGCGGACAAGCTCATGTCATTTTTAGAGAGGTTCGTGTTCGAATTTTCAATAAAAAGCTGACAAATTCATAGTTAATTTCTAGGTCTCCTCCGCGATCGCCGCCAAAGAAGCGCTCACAGGATTCCCGTTCTACGAAAAGCCGATGGTAAATCTCCAAATTCAATCGATTTTTACCTGATATTTTGATATTTAGAAAATCCAATTCGCTCGCGAGGATTCTGATGTGATTGCCAAAGAAAAAGGCACTTACATCGACCGAGAGCCCAAGTATTTGTCGCAAAAAGTGCAAAAGAAGCCAAAGAGCAAGAAAAGGGACAACGGAGGCGACGGACCGGCCCCGCCCAACAAGATTCTCTTCTGCACGAACCTTCCGGAAACGGCGACCGCCGAAATGCTCGAAATCATGTTCAACCAGTCAGTTTCCGCCTGTTTTTGTGAAAAAATGCAATAATTGTCAATTTTCAGATTCTCCGGCCTCAAGGACATCCGTATGGTTCCGAACCGTCCGGGAATCGCGTTCGTCGAGTTCGACACCGATTCGCTGGCTATTCCGGCGCGAACGACCCTCAACAACTTCAGAATCTCGGCGGAGCACGTCATGCGAGTGGATTACGCCAAAAAATAAGCTCGAAGCTGTATTATTTATTGACTTTCACCGTCGCAGAGTATCTCATTCAAACTCCTTCCAAATTTGTGTAATAAAAAAGGTTTTTTCAGTTAGTTTTTCATTTTACATGTGCATTTCGGGGTTTTATCCGATTCTTCTATCTTTCCTCTTTTCTTACACGTCATTCGCATTTTTGCAATTTCTTACAGAAAGATGGCTGATATCAATCCAAACCACACGATCTACGTGAACAATCTCAATGAGAAGATCAAGAAAGACGGTAAGCACTGAAAGTAATTTTACAAAACCGAAAATGTTTATTTTTAGAGCTGAAACGATCGCTCCACATGATCTTCACCCAATTCGGCGAGATCATTCAACTTCTGGCGTTCCGGAAGGAGAAAATGCGCGGGCAGGCGCACGTCGTCTTCAAAGAGGTCTCCTCGGCCTCTAATGCTCTCCGAGCCCTCCAAGGCTTTGCGTTCTACGGAAAGCCGATGCGTATTCAGTACGCTCGCGAGGATTCCGACGTGATCGCCCGCGCAAAGGGCACTTTTGTGGAGAAGCGCACGAAGACGGTGACGAAGAGTTCGCAGAAGAAGCCGTACGATCGACCGGCGAACGGAACGAACGGAAAAACGGCGAATCCGGCCGAGAATGGAGCAGAAAAGAAGGGAACGGAGGCGGAGGAGGGTCCGGGAGCACCGAACAACATTCTGTTCTGCTCGAATATTCCGGAAGGAACCGATCCAGAACAGATTCAGACCATTTTCAGCCAGTAAGTGAGGGAAAAATCGATTAGAAAAAACAGTTATTGAGTCCTCATCATCTACTTCTTCAATTTTTCAGATTCCCTGGCCTCCGTGAAGTTCGTTGGATGCCGAACAGCAAGGAATTTGCGTTCATCGAGTACGAGTCGGAAGACCTCTCCGAGCCGGCGCGTCAAGCTCTCGACAACTTCCGCATCACCCCGACCCATCAGATCAAGGTGAAATTCGCCAACAAATAAATCCCTCCCCGGTGTTGATAATTTATTTTTCTTTAACGAATTCGTTTCTGTTTGCATCTCATTTCCTCCCCTTTCCTTCTCATTGTTGTTATCAATTTATATCGCACCTTTTTCTTCCGTTTTCTGGAATTTGGCAGATAAAATTATATAATTTACAACGATTGTTTGGTGTCCTCGGGGTTGGCATCCTGTCTATCTTTTTCCAAGACTCTCCCTCAAAAATAAGTTACGACGTGGCAACAGATGGCTTCACGTGAAAAATTTGCCACGCGGCTCGCACAAATTCGCTGCAAGACCCAAGACGCGAAGAAGCATCCGAGCTGTTGGAATTGCAAAAAAGACGTCAGCGACCCGATTATTTGTCAAAAATGTAGGGAAAATTCTCGAATTTTCGACCAACTCTTATTCTGCAGGCAATGTTATTCAACCGGTCGCCAGTGGACAGGATTTTTTCAATTACATGGGCGTCAAATTCGATTTCAGACTCAATCAGGAAGATTTGAAACAGAGGTGAATGGTTCGGATTATTTCGGAAATAAATACGACCATCCTTCAGATTCCGTCAGTTGCAATCGAAATTGCATCCGGACAAGTTCATGATGGCCACTCCGGAAGAGAAAAAGCTATCGGAGGAGCATTCGCGGCGGCTGAACGAAGCGTACAAAGAGCTGGCGGATCCGTTCCGGCGGGCCAAGTACGTGATGAAAGAAGAGTACGGAGAGAGCGAAACGGCGACGGAAAAACAGCAAAGCGCCGAATATCTGATGGAAATGCTCGAGAGGAACGAGGAAATCGACGGAATGAGCACGGAGAAGGAGCTGAAAGAGGAGAGGCAGCGGATCGAGGTAATTATTTAACGAATAACAATATTTCATACCTATTCTCCATTTTCAGCTGGAAATCGACACTCAACTAGAGCAACTCGCCGTCTTTTTTGAAGCCAAACGGATTCCGGAGGCTCGTGACGTCATCGGCCGACTCACATACCTTTATTCGCTCAAAAATACCGTTAACACTAAATTAGGACTTAATTAAACTGGTTTTTATTCAGATCTGTTGTGATTTCTAGTCTAAATTAAAGTCATTAGAATTTGTTTGCATCAAATGAATGAGATGTTCTTGTTTGTATAAATTTCAAAGAAAAGTGAACAGTTTTGCAAAAAGCATTCTTTGGGATACTTTTTTTCCAGTGACGAAAATGAGCATTTCCTGTTTAGTGCAATATGGAAGAAGAGCACGAAAAGCTGGAAATTCCGGTGCAAACTCGACGAAAAATCGATATTTGCCACGTGAACGACCACTTTTTCGCGTCGAAATCCGACGCCGACTACCTGGAATCCGAGGCGCGAATCTGCGTGAATCGCACGAATTCCGACGCTCAAAACTGGCAATTCAACTCGAATTTGTGCCCGATTCTCGACGAACTCGTCGCCGTTTTGGCCGAGTTTGGATTTGCGGACGTCTTCAAAATGGAGACGGGCGGCGACGGAAATACTCGGAAAACGAGGGTCGAGTTTGCGGAAATTCCGCTCAGCGATTCGTCGGAATTTCGGACGAAACGATTAGTGGTCAGGGATTTTTGGAAGAGAGGGTTCGTTTTGTATTTTAATTTTTCCCACTGAAAATCTAATTCAATAATGTTAATTTTCGAATTTCTCTTCCAGATTCTTCATCGCCGACGGCACCCGCTTCGGCGGTCACTTCCTCGTCTACACGTCTTCTCCGAACGAATGCCACGCCGAATTCGTCCTTCTGTGCGCTCCGATCGCCGAAAACGCGCGAATCGCGGCCATGCGCTGCTGTAATCAGGTGAAAAAGACGTTGTTGTTGGCGTCGACGTCTTCTGGATCTCTCCGTCCGCACTACACCAAATGCACCTGGTTTCGGCCGGAATTACACTGAAAACTCGCGAAAAAAGGCAGGTGATGATGTAATTGGATTTTTTCTCTTATTTTTCACGCTTTCCCCGGTTGTTCTTGTGCTCAGTCGTCTGTTTTCAGCTCTCAAATGTGCACGATTATCGAGATTATCTTTGCTTTTCTCTTCCCGGTTAGTTGTTTTCAAAAAAATTATCTAGCAGAAGCTTGTCGTTACTGAAGCCCCTTTTTATTTTTTCCAATTCTCAGCCAATCTCGGTGCTGCTCTCGAACGGTTGCAGTTGGCACATTCTGATCAGCGTTCTCCTCACCTGCCTCTTCTACATTCCCGGAATAATTCACGCTCTTTTTCTAATCTGTCGACACAAAAAATAAACGTTACGTGGTTTCATTATCATTTGATAACATCAATTTGTGATTACGGGGGAGCGGTTATATAATGGTCACGGGCGGAACAGATCGTTTAACATGGATGTGATGAACGCGGGAAAAAAGAGATTCTAAGCTCTAACAGTTACGGGAAACACTTTTTGAAATTTTGAATTTCAAGGCGATAAGGTATCCGTGAGGGGTTACGGGGAGACAAATGATAAACATAAAAAACTTGAACTCCGGGTGAAAAATGTAAAAACAAAACAACACAAAAACTTTGACATTTTAACTCGAAATCCTTCCTATTATGAATTGATGATTCGGAATTGTTGTGGGGGGAACTTTAATATAAAGTGAAATCATGGCTCAAATTTGATGCTTTCTCCGTATTTCGCCATCACAAACATCAGAGAGAGTCCGGAGAAAAGGCCGGCGGATTGGAGGAACAGAACATAGAGACCGTGACGGAGCGACACGTTCAGCGCTTCTTCCATCGCTTTCTTCATTTCCGGCATCTGAAATTGATTCGTAACAAGAAGCATCAAGAAGCCTGGGTCAGCATTTGCCCAGCCCTGAATTTGTTTTCACAAAAAATCCTTACCATGCAAGCCAACGAGATGTAGAGGAACATTCCACCGGCGAGTCCGAATGCGTACTTGGTCGTCTCCGGTCCGAGCTCTCCGATCACAACTCCAATGCAGAATCCGACGTAGCAAGTGATCGCAGAGAGCAGATTGTAGACCAGCGCCTGTTTGAGGGTCATTCCGGAGGCGACAAGTATGGCGACGTCGCCCAATTCGTGCGGGAATTCCTCGCAGAGCACGGCCAGCGAGATCGAGAGTCCTTCGTGGAAAGAGTTAGAAAACGCGGCTCCAATCGAGATGCCGTCGATGAAATTGTGCAGTCCGTCGCCGAAAACGATCATCCACGCGACGGCGGCTATCGCAGAGTCTCCGGCGCGAAAATCGATCGAATGGTCGTGAACGCAGATTCCGTGGGCCTGAAGTATTTAAAATTATGGATGATTTGCTACGATTCCGGGTGAATTTCACTAGAAAATGTTAGAGAAGAACGGAAAAAGACCGCCACCACCATAATTTGTTTGGGAAATTACCTCTCCGGGACTCCCTTTGAAGGTGCAAATCACTTTGGAAAGGCATTTTCTGGCGGAAAGCATGTGTGTCGATGTGCTCATTTTCTACAATTCTGTCCGACTACTAACTGTGTGACACAGAAAATGCACAGAAATGAACGAATTGTTCTACACAAAAACTGTCACATCAAGCGTTGAACTACATTAGTACAGAAAGCAACCGAACGTTTTTCGCTCTTTTTAGTGGGTACTTGGTAGTCGATCCGTTAGCTTTCAACCAAGACTTTTTAAGTGGATATTATCACATTTCACAAGAAAACGCACTTGATCTCCCATCGATTTGCGAGATTTATCCTCCAGAGCCAACATTTCGGTTTCGTCAACGTCGGCGCGACTCATGATACCCTAAAATGTTGGTTTTCAGTCTACTTTCCGCAAATTCCTATAAAATACCTTCTTGAGCACACTTCTGAGCTTCTCCTCGGCTTCTTTGTCCTCGTCGGTCGCCACAAGAGCCGTATCACTTCTCTCCGAGTTCGTTCCGTTCTCGACGGACAAACGACGATGGTGGATGTGCAGTTGGCGCTTCTAAATAAGCATTTCTGTGAAAAACTTGGATTTAGAACTCACTTTTCTAATCTCCAGAATTATTTTGATGATTTTATCGCAGAAAAAGAAGGCGTACACTCCGACGAGCGAGAAATGAGCCATGTTGAGGTAGGAATGCGTTTTTTCGCCCCGACTGTCCACTTCATCCAGTAATGACGGATGAGCACTGGGAAGTAGATGGTAGAAACTGGAGCCGGACAGCGAGCCGACGCCCAGACCCACGAACAGTGTGATTATCTGGAATTTCGTCCATGTTTCGTGAATTTTTGTTAAAAATTACCTGATTATAGGTATTCTTCGAAAGATATCGCATAACTCCGATGCCGACCACTGCGCACATGTTGATGATCGTCACGAAGACGAGACCGAAGGTCCAAACTGTAAAAATACAATTTTAATTTGGTAAAATCGAAAAACAGAACTCACTGATTATACCGCTACTGCCCTTTGTTTCTATTTCTGTACTATTCGTTGCTGCGGTCGCCAACACGGCTTCCGTGAAGTTTTTGCACAGATCCGGCAGTTCTCCCCACGTATGACCGGCCAGTGAGGTCGACGGCGAGAAGGACGAGACGTCCGTCATGGGCGTCATGTTTGCACTGAAAAAAAAAGGATTTTTAAGCGTTTCAAAAGAAAAAGAGGGATATCATGGATGGGCGGAAATTTGAATAAAAAATAACGATACTAGCGGAAGAGGTGTTGACTTGCATAATTTTAATCGCTACATTTTACAATTTAGGCGCTGTTATGCCATAGTTTCAATTCGAAAAAATTGTTTGCTACATTTCGCTACGAGACCCGTCGAACCGCCTGGAATGAATGAAGCGCGCGAAAAATTTCCAGTAATCTCAACATAAAATAAAAGCGGCAGAGCAAACATTCGGGGACAAATACATCTGTTCCTCAAAGGACAAAAGGAAAAATGCACTTTGAAAGTAACCTAGCCTTTGTGTCAAAAAGAAAGTGCGAGAAACGAGAAGATGAGTGACCAGTTGAGAGAAAGAGACACTTGCCCCATAAATCGGGGCGCAGGCAGTGGGCGAGGAGAAGAGAAAACGTGCAAAAACTGAGATTTTTTCCACAAACGCAACGCTTAACGCATTTTAGGCCAGTTGCCCAACATGATCGTGCTGTTCCGCGAAAGAACGAGGAAATGAGGAATCACTTGATTCGCTATGGTTTCTATTGATCCTAACAAAGCAGACGACGTTATAATCGCAAAAAAACGTGGACTGAAGAAAAAGGATATTTCGAGATGGCGTTTCTTATCAAAACTCGATAAAATCGCTGAGTGGGGATGAGAGAAACGGAAGAAGAAGAAGAAGAGAAAACGGACGGATCTTTCTATGACCTCCCCGTTTTTCTCTGCTACATCTCGTCAAACGATGCTCTCTATACGTAAAGCGGGGACGGACGGCCGTCTCTGAGCGGACGGGGCGACGTGCAAAACGCGAGATATGAGCCCCGCCGCCCGGGCTCCCCTTTACCGTTGAGCAGAAGCTTCGGCGGAGCGCGATTGCATCATAGCGGTGAGATTAGGACATTTAGCAAGGATTTCTGATGGGATTAACGGCCGGAAATTGTATAGAGACGAGTGAGAGAAGGAGAAGCGAGGACTTTGTGGACTCGAGAGATGTTATGGGTTTTTATTACGTTTTTTAATTTCTAGATGATGCAATTTTCTACCTTTTTGCCCTAAAAACTGGTAGCGAAAAAACCGAGAATTGCAGCTTTCGGGGAAAAATCGAACTACACTGAAAAAATTCGGCAGAATTATACGGAAAATTGACGAAAAATTGTCTAATACTTAGTAAGTTCTCGAAAGCTTCGCAGTTTGTCAACAAGACCGGGTAAAATCTATTTTTAGACTCATAAACAACTGGAATTCTAGAATTTTCCGCAGAGAACGCAAAAATTGCATCATGATTCGATGGATTGGCTCGCCGAGCTCTGGCCACTTATAAACGCGTGCCTTTGTTTGGTCTACGTGAATTATGGATACTCGTGGTCGGAGATTTGTGCCGATTCTCACGTTCCTGATTGTTTTTCACTTTTCATCTGAAATTCTTCGCGGTTTTTTGACGTTTGTTCGCAAGTTTTCTCCAGTTTAACGTGCAAATCGAAAAAACACAGTCTGGAATTTAATTTTCTGCAAAATTGATAGAAAAACTTCAATGAAAGCCGCTTTCAATAGAAGAATGGCTCGGAAAATAGGCGGTCGGAACGCAAACAACAGTCAGATGTCGGATCGTCGCGGGGCCTCGGAAGGATCGGGAGCTCTGCGCCTTTAAATTTATACCGTAATCGATAGTGCTTTCTCTTTTTTCGTTTAATAAATCTGTAAAAGTGGTGAAAATCGAGCAATTTCTCAGGGGTTCTGCGATTTCAACATAAACAGTATTTATTATTTTCAAAGACAATTATTCAACGTGAAGAGTCTCCAAAAAACGGACAATCTGACATTTGTACTCCAAGTGTTTCTCTCGCGGAATTTTATCGAAGAACGAAATCAGATGATCGATGAGGTCGGAGTGCTTCGGATGGCCAGACCGCTCGTCGGATGATCGATCAATGACACCGATCAGACGGTTAATCGAATCGGTGAGATGTTCCATGGGACCGGAGAGTGATGACGTCAAGGGCGCTGAAAAGATTTGAAAAATATTGTATCTCGTAGCGAAATTTAAACGTTTTTGTCAATTTAAAATAAGCCAAGCAGCGACTAAATTGTAAAAGCAGCAACTAAGAACATTAGCAGCCTAAGCACTGCTAATCCCGTTTCTCGAATCGATTGATTTTTCCAAAGAGTTATACGACTTTTTTTACCTTCAACAATACTCGATTTCTTGTTTACAAAACCGCAAATCGTCTCTTCCAAACTGTTCGAATCGGCCTCTTTCAACTCGGAATTCTTAACATCAATTTCCAAAAACCACATTTGTTGCATGAACGGAAATCGAATTTCAAACTCTTCCGAATAAATTCCACTTGGCAAATTCTCGATTCGAACTTTTTCGCGCTTGTATTCACTCGCCAATTCTGTCCAGAGTCGGGCAGCGTTTTCGCCTAAAATCATCATTTTTTGTTACCTTAAAGAACGTCTAAATCTAACCATTTTTCCGGGATAAAAATTGACAGCAAGTTTCGATTTTATCGAAAGTGGCGTGAATGAAATTTCCGTCAAAGTTCAGCGAGTTTTTGCGATCCCAAATGTGATCGTTGTCCGAAACTTGATGGATGAAAAATTCAATGTCTCGTTCTTCGTACTGAATGTTTTTTTGAGCTATCATGGTTTATCTATAGTTATAAACGTACACATCGGAAACTGGAAAAAGCGGGCGTCTTTTTGGGTCTTCCGTATTTTGGTTTTTTGGGTGGAACTGACAGAATCGGCGGTGATGTGGACTCTTCTTTTGACTGAAAACTTTTTGATACGATTTTTTTAAACTGGAATTTTACCTGTCGAGAATCCATTGATTTTAGCATTTTTCAGTGAACAGATCTGAAAGTCTGAACGATTCCAGTCAACAACAAGTATAGGCTGAAATATGTTTTTAAAAGTGGTCAAAAATTCCGAAAACACAACTATTTATCCGCGGATTTTGGCGGCCGACGGATTTCGGGGCGGTGAAAAACACGCAACGACTACTTTTATTTTCGCGTTTTTCGAAGCGAAAATAAATGTTTTCGCTGTGGAAAATTGCCGAAATTTCGCACAAATTCGCTGGCCACTTTTCATTTTTATTCTCGTTCAAAATTCGTTTTTATAACACAATGTAATAACATAGCAAAAATAAAAGTTATAATTATGCACAATCGAGCAGAAGTCAAAAGGATTTTGGAAAAATATAAATGGGGTTATTCAGGCTGCGAAAAAAAAAAAGATTTTTTCCGTTTTTTTTTCGTTTTTTTTACCTCAAAAAATCCAATTCAGCGATGTAAAAAAACGAAAAAAAAACGGAAAACATACGCTGAATAGCCCCATGAAACGCGTAAAGCGTTCACTGTTTCAAAAAAATTATTAAGTCATATGCGTGTTTTCTCTCAATTACTTTATTGACTTCGATTCAATGTAGGCGTTCCTCGCGAAATCGTTGAAATTTCGCCTCCAACTCCTGGTTGCGACTTGGGAAACGATCGCGCAGAAATACAACGAAGAACTCCATCAATTCTAAATAAATGTTATCAGAAATTGGCTTCGCCACTTGTTTTTTGAAAGTTCGCGACCCGTTCATCTCTGATACAATTCCGTTTTTTTTTCTATAATTGCTCAACATTTGTTTTGCTTCCTTCCTCTAGACGTTGAATGAAGGAAAACCTGTCGAAACAACCCACCAACATACATGAGTTTCTACTCGCGCGAATTTATTATTTGGTCATACGGTTTAGGTGGTCGGGGATGATGATTGATTTCAGTTATTAATATGCAACAAAAAAGACGAAATAAGTATAAAGAGACAGGGCAGGAAATGGGGAATGAAACCAGTAGAAAAGCGACTAAAATTTCAGGAAACAGTCAGATATAGAAAGGTGAACGATTGGGTTGACATACAAACAGTTCAAGGGGGGATTTTACAAAAAGAGCGGCGAGTTTCCAATTATTTCTGCTGCTCGGCAGTGTTGATGACCTTGATCTGGATCGGACGAGCTCCCTCCTGCTTCGGCTCCGGAGCCTTCGCGTCGATCGTGAGCAGTCCGTCGGCGGTCAGCTGGCTCTGCACCGATTCGGCCGGCACCGCCTTCGGAAGCGGGAAACGACGCTTGAAAGAGGCCTCGATGGTTCCGTAGGTGTCTTCCTTCTCGCCATGCGATCCCTCCACGATGATGTTCGAGTCGACGACGGTCACCTGAAACACTGAAATTGAAAATGTCGATAGCGACAAAAAACATGAAGAGCAGCGACTAAATGATCAAATGCCCCACATTTCTCCCCACATTTCCATCAAAAATCGAACCTTGAGCGAGTCGGCGTCAAACTTGGAGACGTCCAAAGTGGCGTGGAAACTTGTGTTGGTCACACGGATCGCAGTAATGTTTCCGGCTGAAAATCTGACAATTTTTAGCAAACAATGTTCACAAATTGCTCACTGAGAGTGGAGGATCCGACGACCGACGGGCTCGAGATGGCCAGATTCGGAAAGTTGGACAGCATCGACGAGTGGATGTTGCCGATGTCCTGAAACTCAAAAAATTAGAAAAAAAATGTCCAAATTTTTTACCGGAATTCCTGGCAGAGCAGTATGAGTTTGGGTGGTCACACGGATGTTCGGCGATCCTTCCTCGATGACCTAGAAAAACAAAACGTTGAGAAAAGAACGGGAAGAGTGAGTTTTGGTGACAAATTTGATGTCTCTGGGGAGTCAAAAATGTCACAGAAGCTTCGAAATCTCTGGAACTTTCCGACAACTTATTTTTTTTTTTACATATTTCTCACCTTCTTCTCGTAGGTTCTGTTGTAGGACGAAGTGGTATTGTAGGTGGCCATGTTGTTGCTGGTGCTACGAGCTCTTAATTTCTCAAATCGTTCCGAGATTTCGGCCAAATCTCTCGGAGTATTTTGAGCCGAAGCATCATGAGCATTAGTAGTAGCCATAGTATTATTAGTTAGCGGACAATATCAGCGAACTGATTGCTCGCCCCCTCGGAGAACTTTTTCTTTTGTGTGCTCTTCTCGCGCTCCTCCCATTTCTTTAAATACGGCGCCGCAATCAGTACACGCCCAAGGTGATTTTGCGGGGGAAAAATGTGTGTGTGTGTGTGTGTGCATATAAAACACATCTGGCTCATTTTTATGAGAAACGAGAACACATTGTTTTTGCTCGTAAAGAATATGCTAGAATCACATCCGAAATGCGATTGTTTCTCGAAAATCAAAGGGAGTTTGTTTGTGCTTTGTGTACTCAGACAAACGGATAAATATCTTCTTTCTTTCCGAGAGATCCGATCACTTTTCGACACACAGACTCGGAGGGTTGGGAAGGATGCGAGCAGTGATTTTTTAGGAGGAGGATGAGTCATTAGTCTTATCAGTGATGAAACTGTTCCTCAGTCAGCATGGGAATATGAATTTTGTCGGAGTTTGTTTAAGAGCTAGCAATTCCTCAGAAATCACACTATTTATTATAGGGGCACCGCACAGAAATGGCGCTCTGTTGAGAAACTCCTTTTGCAGTGCAAATTGAGCGACCTCGGGGCCGAGTTTGAAAAGTTAAGCCACGTTTTCAGTGGAAAATTACTTCGCGGCCTAGAAATTCGGCCAGATTGCTAACAGCGCGCCCTTTCTGTCCGGTGCCCCTATAATAAATGACAAAAGCACAATTTAGGCTACAAAGAGCAAGAAAAACTCATAAAATCATCAAAAGAAGCGCGCGCCGATTTGGCAACATTCTCCAACTTTTATCAGCTCAAAAATTCTTATCACTTTTTGCCTATTCTGGAATTTACGCATTTCCCAACGCTTTTGGCGGCGAAAACTGAGCGAACTGAAACATCGAAACTGAAACTATCGAAACGATGACTCGATTGATGACGATAATACGATTATGGGCGAGTGGAAAATGTAAATTTGTTGCGGAAAGTCGTTTGAAAACTGTGAGGAAAAAAGGGGTTTTCCGAACATAACAAGTGAAGAATGTGGTCCATTCGACAGCTTTTATATATATTTTTGCTTCTTCTTCTCCTCCTTCGCTTCCGACACACCGCCCGTTGCGAGCTCACAGCAGGTGGTGGGCTCCCACCGAAAACGAAGAAAAAGAGCAAAAGAAGTAGGTGTTGTGCGGGGGAGGATCAGCTGGCACCCGGAAAAAGTTAGAACACTTGATTGTGAATCACGATCACAGAAATCAAAGTTCGGATTTCGAAATTCTACCAGACATTATTTTCAAGAACTCGGTTCAAATACAGAATTCACGATGATAAAACCTTAATTTTCTCTGAAAATTTCAAAGAAAATAAGGCTTTTCAATTTCCGCAACGTTTTTCAGTGCTTACCGGACGCCTTTGGGCCTAAATTTCAGCCTGAAACAGTCGAAATTAGCAAGGAAACCGTTTTTTATCGAATATTTGAAAAACGCGCAAAATAACCTTTCATCGCCGCCGCCGAGCACCGATCCGCCGGCGCCCGGGATTCTGGAGCTCGTCGAGCTGGCCGTGTTGATGGTGGAGCTGGAGCCGCGGAGCGGAGTGCGGAAGACGGAAGAATAGATGGGCGAATAGACGGGCGGCTCCTCGACCGGCGGGCTTTTCGGCGGAACTCCGTTCGAATGGGTTGTCACGCGGGTGTACGAGTACGTCTTGCTCATCTTGCGACCTGAAAACTACACAAATTCTGTGAAATTAGCTCGAAAATCTCGAAGATTCACTGGAAAATGTGTTGTTTTTCACGCAAACATATCAATTGTCGTAGGCTTCGGTGTCGCGTGTGCGATTGCCGCCACGCAAAAGTGCAGTGATTCGGTGATTTAAAAACAGACAGCTTTTACCAATGTTTCAGGAAAAATAACTGGATTCCAGCCGAAAAACGGTAAAAACAGAAAAGTGGTAAATGTACATAATATCCCCCCCCCCATTCATTATTCGCTTTTTCGAATTTCGCTTCTAATTCCTGTCTTACGTCAAATGTTGTCGGTAATTGGCTGAAAAGAAACAACAACTTCTATATACTTGACCACTTACGAAAAATAGTGTGTGGGAGGAGGAGACGCCGACAAAAGTCATGTTTTCGCACCTCTTCTCCGTCATTTCGATCAAAAAGATTGTCTACGCTATTGATAAAGTGCTTATTTTTTGATTTGTCCGGTCTTTCCTTTTTAAAATTTTTCTCGTTCCGATTGTGGTTCTTCACGTTTTTCAGAGATGCCTGAAATTATCCTTTCACTTTTCTCGTTTTTTTTGCATCCGACAAAATCTCCACCGAAATCCGTGCGGAAACGTACAAATCGCTTCCACGTCAGTGCTCTCTTGACATAATTGGGTACGGAAGAATCGAAATAAATCATCGTGCCCCGGTGATGTCCTTTTTGTAGAAATATTATTATTATTTATTATGCGATGACACACACACACACACACACACAGAAAACGAAAATGAATTGTGGTCTTCGTATGAGTGTGTCCTTTCGCCGATTCCGATCGTCACTGCTAAACTTTTTTGCATTAAAAAGAGATTTAGGCCGGTTTCAGGCGTTTTTAGCTTCGGATTTTGTTTGAACACGTTCAAAACCTCTTTTTGCACTCATTTTCCACTTTTGTCCTCTTTTTGTCGCGAAAAATTCAGAGAAGCGCCTTTAAATTAGAGTTACTCTCGTTTTGTTTTGTATTTTCTGGTTTCACTGTTTGTTTGCCGTGGAAAACGAATTGGCTCTTACCGCGACACAAGCCTAGTAAAATCTTCAGTCAAAATCCGTAATGCGCCTTTAAATTGTAGGTTACGGTAGCGGGATCTCGAATGCTTCAATTGCCAGCTGATTTTTCAATTGAGAATCACGAAAATAGCCATAAAAATGCAAATTGGGTTTCGCCGCGCGAAAAAATTTCATTAGAATCCTCGATTTTTTCGTTGTTTACGCACAAAAACGCCAAAATTTCCAAGCCCAATTCAAAGACGCATCACCACCGTTTGACCGTTTGCGGTGACTCATCAGACACTTCACTTTTCACTTGTAACAAATGACGTCATGCGAACATCTGAATCACCGCAAAAATTAGCGAATTTCGAATTCAGGCCGAACAAACACGGTTTTCGCTTGCAACAAAGCGTCGTATTTGCTCAAATCTCAAGTACCGCCCCTTTTTGAAAAAAAAGAAAAGTTTTGCCTCCTTTCCTGGTGGCAAACGTCATCGTTTTCCCTCCGAGTATCCGGTTTCTCAAAAAAAAGAGAAGAAAAGTTTCCCACCACAGTTTCACCGCATTCTCTTCGCCGACAAACCTCCTAATTAAAAGTTCGACGACGTTTTGTCGTGGGCGTCTCCGAAACCTATTGTACTTTTACAGTTGTGGTCTGACTCACGCACCTAATCACTTTTTCATTTTTCCAGATTTCTTTGGGACTTTCGCAATCTTCCCCTCCAAAATTCGGCCACTCTGAGGAGGTATCCGATTGCATTCCCACGATTTTCAACAAAATTTCCATTTCCAGATACCTTCACAATGCGCTCAAACTATCCGTCGACTTGGTCGCATCGAAAAAAGTTGGAATGTTAATTTCGAGTCATTTCCGATTAGTCCTCTGTCTTCTAGGCCTCATTTCTAGTGTTCAAAGGTACAGAAAACGCCCATTTTTGTCGCACAAAATTTAAAAAAATTTACAGTATAAATCAAAACGAACTCAACGAGCTTTCGCGAAAATTCAAATATTATCATTCGGCGGTGAGACCCGCGGCGCCGGACAATTTTGTGTCCGATCGGAACGGAACCTTTTTCAATATTCCCGTTGAGATGCACCTATTGGCCACCCGGACCATTAATGTGAGTCAAAAATGAAGCCATAACTCGAGAATTGATAATTTTCACAATAAGTGGTCAACTACAAAGTTGTAGAGCACAAAATTTGCGACAACTTTTCAGTTGATCACTTGTTGTAAAAACTATTGGTTCGCGAGATATGATTGTGTTTTCTCACGACACTTGCTCGAAGATGAATCCAAAATTTCCAGAGAAGCGTGTACATTGAAATAATTCTGGTGATGACGTGGATCGACGAGCGGCTGCGGCTCCGCGAGCTCAAAGACCGCTTCTCGATGCCCGTCGAGTACGCTGCGTGGCAACCGTCGCTCGTCTTCTCGCCCGCGATCACATCGAAATACACGACGTTGGCGCCGACGAGTGGCACCCTCAACACCTACAACACGATCAAAACGAGCATCGAATGCCAGACGAGCGCGTGGAAACATCCGTTCGAGAGCTTCACGTGCAGTCTGTCCGTGGTCCCCGAGGGCGATGAGACGCTTACCGTCACCGCGTTTCACGATTTGAGAACGCCCACGCAAAAGCTGCTGACCAACGTGTTTCTAGGTACGCTCCTTGCTCCAAACAGAGTTTCCGGGCCTAGAATCTATCGCTCTTTGCAGGAGACTATCCCACGTGCAGTCTGGAGTTCATGTTCCGGTCCGAATGGCCGCGGGCCCTACTCTCCTCCTTCCTTCCCAGCATTCTCATTCTTTCCGCCGTCTTTTTTGCGCAATGGAAACGGCGCAAAATTCAAATTCTCGTTTCACTTTCGGCCATGTTGGGCATTCTTATAATGGTAAGAACAAAGTTTAAGACGAATTTAAAATGCTTTTTCAAATGAATTGTAGCTGTGTTCGCAACGCCCGTACACCGCCACAACTCTGATGGATCTCTGGCTGTGCGCCAACTTTGTCCATTCTGTGTTTCTGGTCCTAGTCGATCTGACCCTGCCGGCCCGAAGAGTACGGTACACACTTATGGTGCATGTGGACGAGGAGAGGAAGACGGCGAATCCCGTCAAGATTATGACCACTTGTGAGCGCCTTCAACTTGTGTAATTTCGCAGAAACGCCGTTTTTTTTTTGCAGCTGAAACCGAGCACACTGGCCCGTTGCGATTCGTCAATCATGTCATCGATTATTTGATGAAGAAAGAGTACAAGCCACGGACTACGGTAGTCACCGCGTGTCCCGGACCCGTAAGTGACCCAGTACGATGCTCCGGAGGCGCCTTGTTTAGCGCTTCACGGCGACCAAAAGTGTAGAAAGGGGCGTAGCCTAATCTGAGACGCGTTTTCTGAAAATTGCCGCAATTCCAGCACTTTTTTGTGTTTGATATCGACGAAAGAAGACATTAAAAAGAGAAAAAATCAAAGTATTCGTGAAAACGCCGCGTTTGAGACGTTTTTGGCATATTTTGCAATACGCTCTCCGCCGAAATTTCGGAATTTTCATACCGGCCGATGTGGATAGTTTTGAGACGAAGTGAGTGTCGGAAGTGATTAAGCCCGTTAATACAAGTATTTTGAGCGTTCAAACGGCAAAAAGTATCGGCGAATGACTGAAATTCGCGCATTTTCAGCACAAAACTTGAAAATCGATTCAATTGATTGAATTTCTGAATGAAACCTGCTCGTTTTAAGCTCAAAAAGTGCGCGCCATGATTAGTTTAACAAAGTTATGCAATTACATCGTCGAAATCGAACAAAATTTGGGTAATTTTTAACGAAAAACATGAAAAATGGGGTTAAATTTCGAATTTCGCGCCAAAACGGTGTCAAAAACCGTGCACGCGCTTTTTGGTCGCCGTGCGCGTTTGCGTTTGTCGTTTCTCTTCAAACTTTTTGCGAAAACTATGTGAAAACCTGCGCTAAACAACGCATCGTCTATCGTTTCAGACGCCAATCCAACGTCAAATCACGACGGCGATGCTCGGCAACCGCAAACGGGCGGCTCTTTTCTGCATTCTCCTCTCCTATCTCACTTTTCTGCTGATTTATGCGACTATTGTAATAGTTATTGATTAAAATTTTTTTTTCGCAAACTGGTAAACATGACTAGAAACTATCACAGAGTGAAAACGTCGAGACAGGCGACGAGGAGGGCGGCGGCGGCGGCGGCGGCGGAAAATATGAAGAGAAAAAAGTCTAGGTGACAATAGTGATTATGGAAGATCAAACGTCACCCGCTGAATGCAGAAATTAGTAGTAAAACGAGAATTAATACCACAACTCGGGATACAAGAACATTAGCACATTGATGGTGATGAGGAGCAGGTAGAAGCTCAGCGACACTTTCTCGCATCTCGATATTATCCGTTCCCAGTACGGCGCCAATTGTCCCGATGCTCCGAGCCGCTCCTTTACGCTGATTATCTCGCGGAGCAGCGAGACGATCAGATCCACTTTTTGGCGGTTTTCAGTGTCCGGGCCTGAATCTTGTGGATCTTTCAAATTGTGAAACGCGTCTTTACCTTCCAGAACATCGTGTAATGGTGCATCTTGATTGACTTCGGTGAAGTTTATCTGGAAATTCGAAATATTGAACGTTTTTAAAGAATCGTCTGAAACTACCTCCTTGGGAATCAGATTTTTGACGACATTTCGGTCCGGCGTCGAATGTAGAGAAATCGCCTGCACATTGTTGTTCTGGCTGTACGCGTCCTTGTCGTAACGGAACGATTTGGGCACGTAACAGCAGAAGAGCTTCTTGGCGGCCAGCCAACGCACGTACCACGGAACGCTCTGGAAAAGTAACGTCAGAACAAGTTCTATTCGTCTAAAAATTTTTGCGCTTGTTCTTCATGTCTAGTACGTCATTTTTGCAGTTGACAACTTTTGTCTAGGACCACTCCCTGGAGTACTGTAGCGCTGGGAAGTTGAGGCTACTTTTTAGACCCTTTAACTCTAGTCTTAACTTTCAAGAGCTACAGAACCCCAGGGAGTGGTTTTACAAAAAAAGTGTCAATTGACAAAGTGAAGCGCAGGTCTAGCGCTATATTTTTGTAATTAACATTATTTCACTAAAGTCATTCCTAAGAGTAGTGTAGCTCTTGAAAGTAGTTTAAACTTCCAGGCTTTGAGGCTCAAAGTTCGACTCCTGAAACTTGAGTCAAAACGAACCTGCCAACTGGGATTTCGCAACGCAAACTTCTCCACGTGTACAAAAATGGTGGAAGTACACGTGGCAATAGAGACGATACAAATCAGAGTCATATAATAGATGCCCATCAGCGGAACGTCCGAGAAGGATCCACGTTGGCCCGGCACACTTTCCATCGCGAATTTCATCTCGCCGACGAGCATCAGCAACATCACGGACATCGAGAGAAGCGTCATTATGCCTGAACAAGTGTAATCATGGATAATAGCACAAGGAAACTGAAAAAAAGTGCGACTCACCGAGCCGAAACTTGCTCTCCCGTCTTCCGGTCGCGTTGATCGGAGCGTGAAATCCGATGACGGCCACGAGAGAGACCTGCAATCATTTACGAATATTATACATCCTTCTCTCGCCAAAAAATACCAAAGTAGTGGGGAAGACGAGGTTGAAGACGTAGTAGAAACTCTGTCGTTTCAGGTCCAATTGCATGTAGACCATCGAAAACGACTCATTCGCAGCGGACACATTTCTGGTGGTGCCGTTGAAGAGACGAGCGTCGGTTAGGAGCCATTCCTGCAAAAAACGGGGTCGAAAAATGGAAATCGCCGCCAAAAACTGACTTGGTTATCGTAAAAATCTTCAAGGGCGATTTCCTCCTTTGCCGCCACCAAATTCACAATATTCGATTGATACGCCCATGAACCGCACTGAAAAACGGGGTGTTTAAGATGTGGCAACTTTGCAAAAGACAGTTTCGGGCAGTCGGAATTGAACCTGGGACCTTGTGCATGGGCGATGGGCAAAAGCACAAGCACTGCGCCGAACCGCAACACGCGCTGATCGGCTGCGGACGGTTGTGATAAAGTCGTCACTTCTCACCGCATCCCCTCAAATGCCATCTCTCCATCGATCGGCACCCCAAAAATTGTCATCATAATTACCCAGGAAAAGTTGCAGGAAAACGGAGGACTGAAGCGAAAATAGCGGGAAATGGGCGGAGAAGAATGCGACACAAAAAAGGTGAATGAGCGTCTTCCGGTCGTGCTCCGAGGCGGACCCGCTTGGTCCCCAATTGTATACATTCTCTGAGATATTTCTCTCGAAACGTTTTCGCCGCGAAACGTGCGGATTATGACTGTCATTTCATCGCCGAAATGACCACGAACGCTTGCTATTTCCTTCTGTTTTTCACGGCTTTTTCGGGTGCCGACGTGGCGCCACGTCATCAGGACGTCGATCACATTGTGGACATTGAAGTGGATCAGACTCAGGTCATTATTAGCACTTCCAAAGAAGGTACGGCACTTTTTATGCGATTATTCCACTTGAAATCATGTCTTACAGGTTCCGTGGAGCATCTGAAAATCCATATAGAGTTGGTGGATATTGAGGCGAACAAAAAAGTGAATCCGGTGGATTTGGCCGGACTTTGGCTCACGATTACCAGAGGTTTTTTCAAAGTTTTTCGGGGGAAACAATTCAAAGAATTGCATCTTTCAGGCCGTTATACGATTCCATTTCTGCGTCCGGACACGTGGTACGGCGTGAGGTTCCGAAGTGAAAATGTGATAAACGGACGTACAATATCGCACGAGGACGAGCGTCTCATCAAGACGAAACCGAGAGAAGAGGGCCACAATAGTCTGGGAACGGCCATCGGCGGCCTAATTGGCACTTTTCCTGGGGTCGCGCCAGTTCAGGAACACTATGCGACGGCGCCACACGGTGCACCGGCCGCCCCTCACTCGGCAAGCCATGTGGAGCACAAAAAAGAGGAGGCGCACCTCGACGCGATCGACGTCAAAATGCACAGAAGTTTGGACGGCGTCGAGAACTTCGAAAGTCTGTACGTCACCGTGGCGTGGAAGAATCGTCTGGAGGCGCGCAGCAATTCGACGACGGGACTCGTCAAGTTGCGCGTCATTTGTGACGCGTCCGAGACGAACGAGGAGATTCGGCTGAGGGGCGACGAGGACGCGGCGACCGTCGAGATTACGGCACTTTTCACACGATGACCTGGCATTTCCAACTGTTTTCCGTTTCAGATGGATCAAAAGTACGACATCGAGAGTGTGGATGCGCAGAGACATCAAATCAAAGCCCACATCACGCCTTTGAAGTGTCACAAGTACGTCGTAAGCCCCCGCGCCTGCCCGAAACACACAAATTATCGATTCGCTCAGAATTTGCTGGACGTCCGATCTGGTGCTCTCCTCGCGATTCGGCGACTTCACGAAACATTTGGGCGAAGAGTGCAAACCGATTTCCGGCACCACAACTACCACTTTTTTGCGAAACGTCAAAAAAGTGTCGGTCGTCGAGAATGGCGTGTCGGGCAATCAGTTGGTCGTCGATACCGAGGTCGCCGAGTCCGAGTACGGCGTTGTGACGCTTTTGTTGCAAAAATTGGGCGGAAATGAGACGGAGGAGCCGATTAGGTGAGTTTTGCGCAAGCGTCGTAAGGTCTGGCGCATTGCACACACCGTGTTCACGGATTGTGCACCATGTCCGACGACAATTGCAACGACGCCGAGTTTCGGACAAATTTTTAGAAAAACCTTCGACACCGCCACGTCAAACGGACGGTTCGTGGTGCCGCTGGACGAGGATGCGATCTTCGCAGTCAGCTACCGCTACGTCAAGACAAAACCGTTCCACTACACGTCAAAAGCGCATTTTCTGGTCGAGTCGCCGGCGGCCAACTCGTCAAAACCTAGCGTGCGCCTTGTGGACGTATCCGTCATTCCCACGACTTTCGATTACAAGCACGACAAACCGGACACGGTCTTAGTGAGTTCATAGACGCGAAAAACCGGCTTTTAATAGTGTTTCCATTGCAGAAACCCGAGCCGCCGTTCTTGATGATCGCGAAAAGTCGGCATTTTGCGCACACCGATTTGCTCGTCACAATTGAGCCGTTTTGCAACGAGAGTGCGGTGAAATTTCGGCTCGACGACCGCACTCCACAATATCAGATCGATGCGGTGCCGTTTTTGTGCGGCCTCGAACCCAAAATGTACTTTTGCGACCGGAATGCCACGTATCACTCGTGCGATTCGACACTGTGCTTCTCGACGTCCGCTCTCATCGGACTCGACTCTTATGCGTCGGATGTGAGTCGAAAACGGTCTCCAGAGCTGTCAATATGGGCGTGGCGGCCTCGGCCAAATGGCGTTTTCATGGATTGAGCACGTTTTCTCTGATTTTTGTGGTCAAAGGCGATGAAAAATGATTGTTCGACATGAAAACACACTAATTCTCAGAATTAATGACGTTTTGACGTTTTTTTTTCGCGGACTTTGCTTTTTCGCACTCGCCGCCAAAAACCGCACTTCTCATTTTGCGCGCTTTCTTGACCGTTTTCAGACAGAATTGGTTTTGAGAATGATAAATCACGTAAATACACGCATTTTGAGCGTTCGAACCGCGAAAACTACCGAAAAGCAACTGAAATTCACGCAGTTTTAGCCAAAAACCCTCAAACGGATAAATGTGATTTGCGACTTGACCAAATTTAACGCTCTTGCGCTTAATAAATTCGTAATAGCCTATACAATCGGTCTATCGAGAGATAAATCAGAAATTATCGGTTTTTCGTGGCTAATCTGGCAAAAAACCACAAATTTTGCTGTTAAAATTTGAATTTCGCGCCAATGTATCGCTCTATTGGGCGGGGCGCGGCGCACTTGCGCCCATTGTCAGCTCTGGAGACCGTGCTATAGGAAGACATCAAAATTCGCAAATTTTCCACAATTTCCGATATATTGTCCCGTTTCCAGACACGATGCCTGAACGTGACGCAACACTTTCCGCCACTCCGCTCCACTTCTTCTTCTTCTTCCACTTCTTTCACTTCTTCTTCTTCGTCCCTTCTGCTCACTCTCCTCGTCTGCGTCTCTCCTCTTCTTCTCTCACCCTCTCTCTAATTTATGCAACAACTATGTGTTGTTGTTCCCTTTTCGCCTCGAAAACGCTATAAATTTTAAAGAAAAAGTAACCGAGAACGAGCATGTTTGCGAGTCGAACGGGAAACGTTTAAAGTTGATCGGACAGAAACTTTTCGACGAAATCGACACGAACATTCGGACGCGACCTGCAAAAAAAGCCGGAATTAGCGAAAACTTGATGTGTAGTCGATCATTTATGTAGTTGTAGCGCTTGGAAGTTGGGCTTACCTCGAAGACTTAAAAATGAGCCCAAACTTCAAAGAGCTACAGTAGTTTTGAGAGTGGTCGTAGAGAAAAATTGTCAATTACAAAAGTACATTACCAGACGTGATCTTTATTTTTCTAGTTGACACTTTTCTTCTAAAACCAACTCCTGGAGTACTACAGCTATTAGCAGTTGGCATTGAAACGCGATATCGCTTCCAGACATCTACAACTTCAAGCGGCTACAGTAGTCTTAGGAGCGACTTTACAGGAAACTTGTAAACTACAAAAATAAAGTGCTAAATGTGCGCAATATTTTCACAGTTGACAACGTTTTTGTACAACCACTCCTCCGCAGCCTACTCTAGCCGCTTGAAGTTGACGTCATTTGTGTGGCGCCAGTTTCCAGCGCCACACTCCTCCAATACTCGTACCATTGAAATGGAGCTCTGCGGAGGCGTCGGGCGCGTAATCCGGAACGCGTCCGTACACACTGTGGTACATGTAGAATTCGGGTTTCCAAATCCACTTGATCGGCACGAAAATGCGCTCGATTCCGCCGAAAACGTCGGGCTTCCACTTGACGAAATCGTCGTTCCAGTGCACGTCAAAGTAGGCGGAGACGGTCGCCAAATTGTTGCGTTGGTCCTAAAAAAAACGCGGATATTGTCGGCATGTGTCAAGAAAACCTAAAAATAGTCCCCAGGGGCCGTGTTTCGGAAGAATGTTCCCTGATTTTGGGGGGCGGTCGACTCCACTGTATTATTATACTTTTCCATGTTTGGCTCGACGACGCTAACAGACCAGCAGCCTACCTACCAGGGGTGTGCGGAAAATATTTCGATTTTCCGAAATTTTCCGATTTTCCGAGAAATTTTCCGAAAATTTTCGGCAAAATTTTCGGAAAATTAGTGTGGATTCAAGGTCAATTTGTCCGAAACCACCGTATGCTTTTTAAAGGCGCATCACAAAATTTTTGGAAGGGTCTAGCAGCGAGCGTCTTTTTTCCGAAAATTTCTCGGAAAATCGGAAAATCTCGGAAAATCGAAATATTTTCCGCACACCCCTGATTCTCACTGACAATCGGAAAACACTGGACCCGGAGAGCTTCTCTCGGCTAATTTTTTTGCAAAAAAATATTCCATTGCTTGGCTTCCGCCCACTCAAGTGATTTCAAATCATAATAAGCATTTTTTTGTATTAGAACGTTGTTTAAACACTTTATTGAACCAATGAACAAGTGAGTTTTCCGATTTTTCCGATTTTTCCGAAATTTTCCGAAAAAAAAAATTCGGAAAACCCGATTTTCCGAAATTTTCCGAAAAAAAAAATTCGGAAAAACCGATTTTCCGAAATTTTCCGAAAAAAATTTTCCGCACACCCCTGCTACCTACCAAGTCGACAATTTGATAGAGCCCGGCCGAAATGAAGACGTCGATTTGCGTGTGCGGATGTTTGAGCGGAATGTGATGACGTGCGTGCGAGCGGATCCACGTGGCAAGTCTGGAAATGAGTATTGTAGGCTTCGGACAAATGGCGCCGACTTTAAAACGTTTTTTGTGAGCACTTCAAGTCTAGTACGTCATCCTTGTAGTTGATCATTTTTTGATACGATCACTTTCTGGTGTACTGTAGCTCTCAGAAGTTGGGGTTAGTTTCGAGCCTTCAAAAGCACACCTAACTTTGAAAAGCTACACAGTACTCTAGGAAGTGGTTGTAGAAAAAAGTTGTCAACTACAAAATGACAGTACTAGACTTGAACTTTATTTTTCCAGTTGACACCTTTTCTGTACAACCATTCCCGAGAGTACTGTAGCCGTCGGAAGTTGACTCTTCTCAAAAGTCCACAATACTCGTTGAAAATTGACCAACTCTTTCGGTTTTTTCTCCGCCAAACCGTACCTTCCGTGCGGATCTCCATCAGCATCCGGATCCGCGACCACCTGACCGCCGTCCTCGGATCCCAAAGCCCGCCGTCTCAAAAATGTGTTCTCGTCGATCGCCGGCGGCCTTTTGATCACTTTTTTCGGCAGGAACCCTGAAAAAATTGAGTGTGCGAAGAAAAACAATCAAATTGCCGCAGAAATTCGATATTGTATGCTTGCACTCCGACTGATTCAATTTCATGGATAAAAGCATTGGTCAGACACTCTCCAAATGTATTTATACGTGTCACATGTGCGTTTTTTTTGGCTAAACAAGGCGCCGTCAGCAGCGGAGCATCGTACTGACTTTTTCAAAACCCCAGATCCGTCTTGTTGGATGTCAATAAATCAAAAAAATGATTCTCTCTCTCTCTCCCTCTCTTTCTTCTCAATATTATCCGTCCCGACAAAGTTTATCCGTGAGATGACGACTAGCAGCTGACGTGGGCGGCGGTAAGAGGAAGAAGAAGAAGAAGAAGAAGAGAAATCGAAAATAAATGTTTTTTTTTGAGGAGGGGGGCCCGGAAAGAAGATTTTTCAACTTTGATGTGCTTCTTTGATGACGCAGTTTTCGAGGAGAAATTTAGAGTGATTTATGAGTACGACACTCCGTTTTTGACACTTTTGACGGCTTAGACAGCGGTTTTGGAAGACCTAATCAATTGCAAAGTTGTAGAAAATGACATTTGCAACAACTTTTCTGGCGACCACTTTTTGAACGAATCATTGGTTCTCAAGATACAGCTCTTTCAAAACCAGTGAAAACTCGTAAATGTTCAAGAAGTGATATCTCGAGAACCAATGATTATTCCAAAAAGTGATCAACAAAAAAGTTGTTGCAAATTTAGTGCTCTCCAACTTTGTAGTTTATCATTTTGCCCCAAACCCCTGTCTAAACCGTCTAAAACGTCAAAAACGGAGCATCGTACTCCGACGAGCGCCAGCTGATAGCGAGCTCAACGAAGCGTGAAAAAGTTCAATTCCCTCTTCTTCTTCTTCTTCTTCTTCTTCTTCTCCTTTTGCTCCCCTTCATCGGCGCTCACATGGCTAAACTTAATTAAACTCGTAAAATGTAAAGTGTGTGAGCATTTTCTTTTTATTTCTCCACGAGCTCTTCGCTCGCCTACCTCATGAATTATTCGAGAAGAGAGAGAGAAAGAAAGAGAAACACGAGTCTACAGTAATCCTTTGTGCACTTTTCTTGCTCTGAAAAAGTCTAGAAACTCAGTCGGGGACTAAAAATATCGAAATCCCGTCTGATTATACGTCTTGCTCGTCATGTTCACCTGCTCTCACGCCCCCTCTCTTCTTCTGTTGTCTTGGAGACGCGAAAAGTGACACACGGACCGGATTATGCACACATTTTTCGTATTTCCCCTTGAAAAAAGCGCCCCGCTTTTTTCGGCGCCGAAAATTCAAAACAGCAGCGGCGAAAACAAGCGATTGACCGAAAAATTGGAAAAGCGCTCGCAAACCTTCGGATTCTTGAGCCCAACTGGTGATGGCGATGAGGAAAACGGATGATATTAAGCGCATGTGGCCAGAAGCTGATATGCTGCAAATATTTTCAGATGTACACACGAAAATCCGCTCTGTTTACGAGGTAAAAGGACTAGAAACGAGAAGATCCGGTCACAAGGCTGAAGAAGAGCAAAAAAGACGGATTATGGACTAGAAAATGGAAGGGGGGGGGGGATTATGCAGACGGATAATAGACGCATACCTCGAGGATTTTCCGGATTTTCTACGTCAGAGAATGTTTTTAAAAAAAGTGTGGTGGTGTTTTTGGGTTTTATGGGCGAGAGAACAAGCCTTAAATTGATATTGTCCAACTCAAAAGACTGAAAAAAAAGAGTAAAAGTTCAAAAGTTCATTGTCAAAAAACGCGCTCGTTTTCCTGTTGAGCCGTCTAGAAAAAGGGACATTTAGAAGCTGAGGGGGGTGTACATATTCGTGTAGTCGCACAATATTTGGGAAGAAAAGGGGGTCAAAAAGTGCGAGAAAGAGAGAGAGAGAGAGAGAGGAAATCACGAAGAGAAAAGCTGACCCGAGGGACTTCAGAATGCATTTTCTTCTTCGTCTTCTTCTCGCTCCAAAAGAGAGAGAGAGAGAGAGAGGGAGAGAGGGAGCAGTAAGACAAAAGGGGCGGGGCTTAAGAATGAAAGAGCAGAAGAGGGAGCTCACACACCTGGGCCGAAGAAGAAGAAGAAGAAGAAGAGAGAAAGAGAGAGAGAGAGAGAGAGAGAGAGAGAGAGAGAGAGAGAGAGAGTCACTGGCGGCGGCTTGATGATATATTGTGAGAAAATGAAAATGAAAAGAGAAAGGGTTGAGCGGGGGGAATTGAATTGAATAATATTCGACAAAAACCAATTCGATGTTTGTGGACCCCAAACACAGTTTCGCGGTTTTCGCGAATTCCCCCGTTTTGGCACGGCCTCGAAATGTTTAGTTCAATCCCAGAAATATATTGGAAATTGTCGTAAAATCAAATGCCTGCAGAGCGCACAGTTTATTTTCTACCGTAGTTTCGATGCGACGCGAGAAATACATTTTTCGATATTGCTCCTTGTTTTCTAGAAAAGATCGCTCAAAAAGCACAGAATTTCCACATTTTTTTGACTGAAAATCGAGAAAAACCAATTGCGCTAGCAATGCAGCTCATAAAAAAGAGGAAATGGGTAATAAAGACGAGGTTTGAGAGCCAGAAAAATCTCTGAAATTTTTATTCCATTCGTTCGCCCGTTTCCTTCCGTTTTTCCATCGCCATTTCCGTTCTTTGCTGTGTGAGGCAACAAAAAAAAAATCAATTTATTTTTCTTCGCGGTGATTATCGTATCTACTTAATACTATGGAAATTCGGACGGAATTTGCTTTTCGGAAAATGAAATACAAAGAAGAAGTGCGTGGTCGACAAAAAGACAAAAACTGAGCATCTGACCGGTGCGTAATCGAAATGTAACAAATATCAATTTGATTTTCGAGATTTTTGACAAAGTATTTTTGAATTGAAAGAAATTGACGGAAAAAAAACAATCACATTTTAGTGGAGCCAGGCTTATTTTTTGATAAAATTGAAAATTAGAGTAGAATTCAAGTGAGCATGCGTTCCTCCTCGTCCTTTTCCTCTTTGATATCGTGCATTTGTTCGTCTTTCTGAAATTCTTTTGTTGAAATGTTGCAGAGCGAGCCTAGACGCTGCAATGTTTCTCTAAAAATTCGAACCCACCGGACTCGCGCCGCCCTTCCTCCGTTTCGCCAACAACTTGTTGTTCGAGTCGGTCAGACTCTTGATTTGAATATTTTCCGGCCCGACCCTCATCGATGCCAACGTGGCTTCCATCTCATCCTGCATGTCCACCCATTGCTCGCGTTGATCGGCGAGAATGTGACTCGTGAATAGGGGCGTGTCGGGCACCTAAAAAAAACGTACTTTTCTTTGCTTTTTTCGCTGTTCGCACTTAAACTTATGTGACCCGCATCTCAAAAACCGTTTGTTAGTTAATGTAAAGTTTTTGTAAAGAACCACTTTGCCCCCATTTATGGGCGCGAAAACATTACAACAACTCTTGCTTGTAATTCTAATTTTAGTAAAAATTCGAAAAGCTCACCTTTTTGTAGTGACAAATCCACTTGTGTTCCATAGTCTGCTCGATTGTGTAGCGCTCGGTTGGCTCGGTGCGCAACAACTTCCGGATGAGATCTTTGGCTGAACAAGAAACACATTTTATGTTATTCAATTTATTTCTCTAATATAAATTTCCGCTCCACATAACTCGGTCTAATCTCTGATTTCTGAGCTCTTACTCACCCGCCTCGGAGACACAATCCCATTCGGGACTCGGAAAAGTATATTGTCCCGATTTGATTTTCGCCTTCATTCCCGGTGACATTGGTTGGCCGTGTTGCGAGTAGAACGGAGGGTATCCGCACAATCTGAAACTGTTTTTTTTTATTTTGAAAGGCTCGCTAAGAAATTAGTTTGTGAAAAAACTCACAAAATGTACATAATGACTCCGATGGACCATAAATCGCACGATTTATCGTATTTTTCGGTGCCGAGCACTTCGGGCGCACAATAATACGGCGTGAAACAGGCGGTTTTCAGTCCTTGCGGCTCCGATTCGTCCGTCTTTTTCGCAAAACCGAAATCGGTCAATTTGAGGGCGGCGCTCGTGGCGGACGTGCTGAAATTGCAGAATTAAGCACATCTTTCCGCTGTCTTTAGAAAACTCACGCGTAAAGTAGATTTTCGGGTTTCAAATCCCGGTGCGCAATGCTCATTCGATGCAAATGAGCGACGGCGGAGCATATTTCGTTGACGATGCCAGCGGCTTCTCTCTCGGTGAACGCCTTCTGCCCGCGCTCCTGAATGCGCGCGAACAACTCGCCGCCCTTCATATTCTCCATGACGACGAGCAGACAGTCGACGCCGTTGTACGAGTTTTTGTAGACGTCGTGGATGGCGACGACGTGCGGGTGTCCGGAGGCCATCGCGTGCAATTCGACCTCGCGCCGCGCCTTCTCCGTGTCGCGCAACACTTTCAACGCGTACTTCTCGGCCGTCTGACGGTTCTCGCACTCGACCACTTTTCCGTTGATTCCCACACCGAGCACCTGAAAACGATTGGTTTGCTCGGAAACCGGCCACGGTTCTTGTAATCGATTTTTCAGCATAAAAACGATTTGCCTCTAATTTTACTTCAGGACAAGCTGCGACGAAAGGAAAACATGCGATTTTTAGCGTTTTCCTCGGTCCACGCCCCCACCTTTCGACTGATCCGATAGTCCTGTGTGACGGGGTACTCGTGAAAAGCCATAATCTCGCCGGGCGGTTTGATTTTGTTCAATTCCGCCTGACTTTCGGAAGACAGACAGCACCCAATTCTGCTGGAAATTTTCCGATTCTTGGAGATGAGTTGTTAGTCTGCAAAACGGTTAGTCCGAGCGGTTAGCTTTGAGGGGTGTGAGCACTGCAAAACGCTGTTGCAAACATTTAAAAACGTACTTTGCGTCTGGTGCCCGTTGTTTCGAGATTTTTCTACGCAAAAATCTGTAAATTTTGAACTTTTTCAGATGATTCAAATTGGAAAATGTTTTCGTCGCAAACGTTATCAGCAAATAATCGATATGCCAATCGGCGCATCATTACGAAACTCAGCCTTAAAGGAGGAGAGACGGGGAAAAGAAAGCGACGTGTTTCTGTGGAGCGCGTTTGCATTATTCTCGCATGGCAACACAAATACATTAACAATAGTCGGAAGGGCATGAAAACAATGACGAAAAAGAAAAATAACAGGTTTTTGGGTGGGGGGAAATTTGATTAGATTGTTTTTAATTTGGGTTAGCAATGTTTTTGGGTATATTTTACTCATAAAATGTGTTTTGGACTTTTTTTCGGGGAATGACAATATTTCTGACGTAGGAAACTGTCTGAAATTGCATCAAATAAGAAGTTTTTTACATTTCGCCAAGATTTTCGAGATTTTAGGGAAAAATGTCTTGTCTTGCTGTTTTTTATCATTTCTCCTTGTTTCTATGCAGCCATACCATTCTCCAACTGAAAAACAGACTGAAAACCGCCTTTCTCGACATTTTTTCCGAAAACCAAATTCAAATTTGCGCCAATTTCATCGGCGCTCAATGGAGCGCACTTGCATCATTTTCATGCAAAGTGCAATATTTCTATTTTCCGCTGAAAAAAAGCTGAAAAATGACGGCTTTCGAAGAATTTGGCATCATTCCAGAGCTCTCTGAGGCTCTTTCCACGTTGAATTGGACGTAAGTTCCCTATTCTTTGCACGCAGACGCTTAAAATCACCAAAAATTGCAGATTGCCGACGGCGGTCCAATCGGAAGCGATTCCAGCGATTCTGGGAGGTGCAGACGCTCTAATTGTAAGTAAAAACTTTGAAAAAGCGTAGAAAAATGGATATATAGGCTGCAGAAACGGGATCCGGAAAAACGGGCGCATTTTGCCTGCCAATCGCGCAAATTGTGTGGGAACGGCGCAAAAATTTCGGCAAAAGTGCCGCCGAAACGGGCGGCGCACACGAATTCGTTCTGAACCGAGAGGACCGCAATCCGAGCCTGCAAATCGACCGAACGGGCCTGAATTGCGAGAGCCGCGTGGCGAAAGAATGGCACGGCGCGAGAGGAATGGCCGGATTGCACACGGCCGGAAAGTACTATTACGAGGTGACGGTCACCCGGGACGGACTGTGCAGAGTCGGCTGGGCCACCCTTCAGGGATCACTCGCTATCGGTGCGTTTTTTGAGGGCCTTCTGAAAATAATTACTAAATAATTCCAGGAACCGATTACGAAAGCTACGGATACGGCGGAACGGGCAAGAAGAGTTTCGGCAAGAAATTCGACGATTACGGTAAATCGTTCACGACGAACGACGTGCTCGGCTGCTTCCTTGACGTGGATTCCCAACAGATTTGGTGGTCGAAAAACGGAGAGCAATTCCGGCCCGGCTACTCGATCGATCGCAAATTTCGCGCCCCGGCCACGTGTCTCTTTCCGGCCGTCCTCCTTCAGAACTCGGCGCTCGCCGTCAATTTCGGCGCCGAACCGTTCAAATTCCCGCCCGGCAACGGATTCGTCGGCGTCAGCAAGGCCCCGGACGGAAATGTAAAGTGGTGGACGGCCGACGAGAAGGAGAGAGTCGACGCGAACACTCCGTTGTGTGTTATTCTGGAGCCCACGCGAGAATTGGTTCAGCAGACGTTTCAGAACCTTCAGACATTTGCTTCGGTGCTCAAGGACCCCGAAATTAGGTGGGAATAGACTGAATTTACCGCGGAAATGCAAAATTTCGTGTGTTTCACTTTGAAAATGATCCAATTGTCTTCAGTATTCTCCAATTTCAGCCCCGCAGTTATAGAACCATCTTACGCGTCGTCAAAATCTTTTTTTGGTATCTAGTCTGGAAGACGTTCCGGATAGTATTCTGAAGGAGAATCTGAAAGTCTCGAAGGGTTTCTTCTTTCTCAAAAAGTCTAGATTAAGAAAGGCTAATAATAGTTATCATACTAGAATCCTATCTTTCTTTAATTTTCCATTTTCCTATCCCATATCCCAGTCCTTCCTTTTTCAGATGTGTAACCCTGGCGGCCGGCGAGAACATGAACCACATTCTGCGAACCCTGGAGACTGGCTGCGACGTGATCGTGGGCACCCCATCTCGCATCGTGGATCTCATTCAGACGGGCAAGCTCGCCACTAAATCTCTCCAGTTCATTGTGATCGACGAGGTCGATCAGTTCCTGGCGGATCGGAACGGTGGCGCCCGTCAGATCGACTCTCTCTTCCGAGCACTCCCGTTGGTGGCCGCGGACGGCTCGCGACGTCAGGTAATCGCCTGCTCGGCCACCCTCCACAACCACGAGGTGAACCGATTCGCCGACCGACACATGACGTTCCCCCAGTGGATCGATCTGAAGGGCGCCGATTGCGTGTCGGCCGACGTGCACCACGTCGTCTGCCACGTCGACGCCGCCGAAGACAAGCAGTGGATCCGGGTGAAACATCAGCCGATTCATCTGGAGGACGACCACGTGCACGACACTGATCAGATCCGACCGGGCACCAACGATCAGGCCACTCTGTCGCTCGGCACCAAGATTTTGAAGGGAATCTATGTGGTGAAGGCGATTCAGGCACTGCGCATGGACAAGGCAATCATTTTCTGCAGGACCAAACAGCAATGCGACCATATGGAACACTTTTTGCATCAGAATAGTACGATTTTTCAGAAAATTCCCAGTCTTTTTGTGTTCTAATGAAGAATAGACCAGAAAACATCCAAACTCGAGATGTTTGAGTGGATTTCATTGGAAATTGACTACGATTGGGGCATTTCAAAATGAATGCGCTCTGTTGCCACGAAACGGACTGCAGTTGTTTTTATTTGACTTCTGGAACACATTTCGCTGCTTTTTAATTGGCGCCACAATTGCAAGAGAACGCATTCACTTTGAAACGCCCCGATAGTGGTTTTGGTCAATTTTTGCAAAAAAACTTTTATTTTCTCTGAATTTAACTAAAGATCAGCAAAATTGTGTTCAGACTTGACGGCGGCGTGCCTCCACGGCGACAGATCGGCGGAGGAACGACAAAACTCGCTGGAGGGATTCAAAAAGGGCGAAATGCGGTTTCTCGTGTGCACGGACGTCGTCGCCAGAGGACTGGACGTGCAAGGAGTGCCTTTCGGTACGGGGATGCATTTTTGAACAAAGTTTCCAACTCAAATATTGCGATTTCAGTAATCAACGTGACTCTGCCGGACGACAAATCGATGTACGTGCACCGAATCGGTCGAGTGGGACGGGCGGAACGAATGGGACTCTCGATCAGTCTCGTCTCGGAGCACTCGGAGAAAATGTGGTTCCACAAGTGTCGGAGTCGCGGAGTGGGCTGCACGAACACGCGGGACGTCGAGAAGGGCGGATGCACCATTTGGTTTGACGAGAAAAAGGTTCTCCGAGAATTTTTCCCCAATTCTACCGTTTCAGTCTCAGAAATCGAGCCTAGTCACATTTTTGTACATTTCAGATGCTCGGAGAGATCGAAGAACACCTCGGAGCCACAATCGCCACGGTAGACAGCGATTTTTCGGTGCCCGTCGACGAATTCGACGGAAAAGTGGTGTACGGAGAGCGCAGAAGTGGAGGTGATCTCGGAATATCCGTAAAATGAAAACATTTCCATTTAGGCACGAATTTCGCAACTCACGTCCTCGCGCTGGCCTCCTCCGCATCACAATTGGCCGATTTGGAGACGAAAATGCAATTGGAGTACCTGCGGAATAATCGTCACGTGTTCGGGATCGTCTAGACAATTTTTTCTGTTAAGAATATTGATTTATTGATAAAAATTTGACAGAGAATGCGCTTTATTCAAAAAGTCTCGAAATTGAGAGCGCATTCGATGAGAAAAGAAGTGAGTAGAAATTGTTAAATGTTCAGGAGAAGAAACGACTGGGTAGATCAGCATAACTCTTCCCCAGAAGCCATTTCTGCTCGAACTCTTCGCATTTGGCGACGAGCTCGGCGTCGCGACTCGGGAATCGGTCCTTCCACACGCAAAACACCGCATGATTGCCGAGCGCGACGATTGTGCTCAGGCAAATCGTTTGTAATCTAGCTAGGAGATTTCGTAATCTAAACCGAGTCGAGAGTATTTCTAACCGGACCTAATTAGATTGCACTATCACCTAATTAGATTTGCAAATCGGCTAATTAGATTAACAAGTTTCCTAACTAGATTCGGATATCTCCTAATTAGATTTGGCCATATTTTCAAAATTCTCGTTAAAAATCGACAAATTTATTGGGAAAACAACAACAAATAAGAGTTTAACAGAATAAAATGTAAAAAAATTAACAAATTCGACGAAAATTTCGACTTTGACGGTTAAACTGCGCTCGCGTCAGCCTCTCGCTCCTTTACACTCCTCTCGCTCTCTTCAATTCTTTCTTGCTCGTCGAACGGCTGTGGTTGCTGAAAGCAGAAAAGTCCGTGTTATACGGGCTCCGGGAAACATACAAAATGTTTGCGAGATGCAGTTTGAAGAGAATCGCAATATTTTGGCCGATCGTCTGTTCATCGGCGTTTTTCACCTTCAGAACTTTGGCGAGCAGGCCTGAAAACAATAAAGTATAACGGTCTCTGATTTTGTACAACTGACCGGCTGGAGCGTTTAGCATTTCCGCCGGAATTGTCTTGTTCGGTTCCTGCGGTTTCAGTGAGACTGACCACTTAGATCGTTCGTGGTCCTGCATAATCTGAACAATATGGAATTTGAAAACGTTGCATGGATTGCACACAAACCTCATTAATCCAATGGTTTCCAACCAGATGAACGACGTTACGCAGGGTACCGCGTTGTACGGAAAGCTTCGCCAGAGTTTCGTTGACATCAATTTCTCCTGCAATGAACCATTGTTCTCGATATGCGGAGAAAAATCTACCGGATTTGTCAAGAGTTTGGACCACGACACGCTGAATAGAGAGAAATTTCGTCGGATCGAGAGTGGTGATCAGTTCGGACGACGGTAGACTCGGTTTTTTCGGAGTTTGCCGCTCTCTCTCAATCATCATCTGTAAGAAAAGATTTAGTTGCATGCTTCTAACAGAACATGCTATTTGCATCAGTCCTCGCATTCCAAGAGCAATCGCTTTCACTTCCGAACTTCCTTTATCAATCATTTTGTCGACGTTCGTGAAATCGAAGTCGAGCCGGGCGATGGACGCATCGCTAACATACTTCTGTAGTGTGGCGAGAGTTTTAATTGTTAATTCACCGAACAAGCTTACCTTAAAAGAGCCCATTTGCTCCGGAGGCGTTCGCAACGATTCCTCACCAATAATAAACGGGCAGAGCGAGAGCTGAACGTCGACATATTCACGTACCGGAACGCCGACATGTTCACGTACCGGAGCGAAAGTTTTTTCCGTTTCGTTGTTTACCACATCGAGAACTTCATCCTCGTCCTCCCCATCCTCCTTTCCATACGTTTCCTCAACCAAATTGAATTGGTCAGCGTTAGGCTGATGTATTTCGTCGTGCATCGGCTCTTCATGAATTTCTTCTCCATCTTCCATGCGAAACTGGAAAAAAAGATGATCGCTTATGAAAACTAAGATCAGAATAGTCACTTTTTTGAGAGGGTCTCTTCTGAATGTCAGGGGAGTTAGGGGACTGCCCCTTTTCTTTACACGCTTCGATTCCGCGAAGTCCATCTGTTTCATGACATTCGACAGGATTGACATCTGAATGAGCATTAGGAACAGAGGAAGCAAATACCTCAGAGATATGCACATGCGATAGTAACTCAATGATAACAGGATGCAACACAATACAAAGCGACAAACATTAGTTCAGGAAAGGAAAATACGGAATGCAAAGGGTAGAACAACGGCACATGGCTTGTTATTAAGGTACAAAGCATGCCCAATTAAAGCTTTCAATGGGATGCAGAGAGTCTTTCCGTATCCAGAGCACACAGCACCGTAGGAAGTTGAAGCTAAAGCATTCACAATGTTCTGAACTTCCGGTTTGGAAACACCAGCATCAACCAGTCCTTGCGCCAATATTTCGAAGTGTCCGTCCGAAAGAAGGAAAGGAACGACGATTATTCGAGTTGATCTCGATGTATTCAAGAGGAATCCTTTGACGGTTCCATACTGTACCGTACCTCTCAGGTTGAACATGATTCGTGTGTCATCGGCTCTTCCTCTTCTCTCTGAGCTGTAACGTATTCCGTTGTGGAATACCGTTGGAGCGTAGAAGTCGCCCCGGCGAGAAAAAATTTCAAACTGCACGGGAATCACGTTCGTGCGAACCGAACGTGGTCCTGGACTGTCCAGAGATAGCAAACCGCTCAGTTTTCGGGCGTGAACGCTACTTTCTGTAAGATCGGGATTCTCGGTGAGTCTTCGGCACAATTCAGAGGCCAGTTCTTGCAAAAGTGATACGCTGAAAACGTCAATGGCACGGTTTTTGAATAGAAAATCACGTTGTCTTACTTTCTCAGAATTGTCGACGAAACTCCATTTGTAATTTCCGGAGCTAAATTCCTCTTGATGACATGGTACGCGTGTTCATGCATTTGAGTTCCCACCATCTGAAGACTGCCGTAAATTCGGCACGAGTCGGCCATATGGTATAGAATTTGCTGTAATTATCCATCAGAGACATTTGAAAAAGACTTATATTTAACTTACGTGCACTTTTGAACCGTGCAAGAGTTGCGGAGCAAACTTCTCAACAAGCGGCCTGATGGCAGTGGCGACTTTCTCCACCTTCAATACTGTATTTCAAGGAGAAAGCGTTTCGCAGGCAAACCTTTTCTGGAAGATCCCATTGAAGAGATGAGATTGGGTCAACATTTAGGCGATAAAGACCGTGAAAAGCAATGATGATCGCTGCTGCAATTGGCGGTAACTTGCCGGTGAACGCAGAATACAATAAAACCGACTCGAATAGCTGAAATGTAATGAGTAATATAGATATATAGACTATCGTAGAAACTGTGGTACATGAGTTCTTTCGGATCCAGTAATTTCTTTGTGCCGGCCGGAAAGCTGTCTAAATCGAGACGGAAGATTTGCAGCAACAGTTCTGTCGATATCACAATTTTTGAAAATTTCGTACTTCGAATGCCCGAAGATTTCTGAAAATCAGTCATATTACCTAGATTGCAACATATCTCAGTTACCACTGGTAATTTTTTCAAAGACACCTTCGGAAAATACGTGGAAGAAGTCCAGTGGACACTCGTACATTGGGCAGATTTCGTGGAAATACGTGTTTTTACCCCTCTCGCGAAGTCCATCTTCCAAGTGTCTCGGAATCGTTGCCTCTGATCGCACTGCAAATAAGGAGTGATTAGCAGCTATTCATTAACAAAAAAATCGCATACTCAATACATTTCCATCATTTCTTTTGCATCTGGTACTTTGGTTCAGGCAAAAGGCACAAGATCCTTTGGACGAGTGACCTTTGAGGCCAAAAACCTTTCGTCGAGCCTGCAAATTCGCTAATATGAGGAGGAAATTTGGGTTTTCAAACTGACTGGGTCGTCAAACGCGCCTGTCACAATATTCCCTCTGACTATGAACCCGTTCCAGACAGTGCACAGTTCTAATTCATTGTGCAGCCAACGCATTACTCTGTCATGTACGGCGGATGATGGCTCAGAAGCACTCATGAACATGGCAACAGTCAGTACCGCCTTTGTGGAAGCTCTATCGCGATCCTCCATATCAAGTGATGCAATTGTTGACGGCCAGCACTTCATTCTGTAAAATTAGCAGTTGGACACAGTACACATTTGCAAGAAACCCTACCGTGATTTGTTTTGCAATCTAATTCCATCGAATCCGACAATGAAATTCAATTTAATTTCGGATGCATTAAAACAATCGAGAAATCGTTCGTTTAATTTGCCGTGGCTCAGAGGCGAACTTGTCGGAATTTTTTCTTTTATCTTTGCATGCGTATTCATGATTTTTTGGCCGAATACGTCCATGAACTGCGAAATCAACGATGTAATATCGCAGAATACCAGCTCGCATGGAGTGACACCGTTCGAACAGCCGCATTTCATGACGTCGTTCGCACACACCACACACGCATCGACTCGCGTCAGTCTAGTGTTTTCGAACAACAGTTTCTTCATGTTCATCTCATTAGCTACTTCTGTACAGTCGAAATATCTCGAAATCGCTGAAAAAAAATAGTCCGGTCATTCCGAAATCGAAGTAAAAACCTCTTTTTGATTGGGTAGTCGACAGCAGAAAGTACATTCGACTCAAGTCTTCATCACTCAGTTTTGCCCACGATGCCACTGAAAAACACGCAGTTTCATTTCGTTAATAAAAAACTTTCAAAAAACTACAAACTTCTCTCGTCGTATTTCATCGTATCCTCCAAAATCGCCTTATTTTTTCCTTCCGTGTAGCAGTCTTCTTCGAATTCTGCTTGGTAATCTTCTTCTGCATCAGTGCCCGAATCGGAACGTTGGGACGAAGTGTCGGATGAACATGAGGAATCAATCGGAGAATTAATGTTTTCGTGCGATGTTTCTGCACGAGATTCTGTCGGTTGACTCATGCACGTGCGGAGAACCGATCGAGTTGTTATTTTCACACGTGGCATGATTGCCGTCTGAAACAGACACATTTCTGCACAAAAATGTAAAAATAACAGTATAACAGCTCAAAGAAACGTTCGAAATCGACCGAAAACGGTGTGGTTTCCCACATTATGTTCAAATTTCCGTCAATCTAATTAGGTTGACTTTAGATTCGGATTTTTTCTAATTAGATTAGCAATTATGTCTGCTGGCGCGATCCGAGATCGCGCCTTCGTTTTTGCAGTCAAATCTAGCTAGGTTTACTTTAGATTCCGTTTTCACCTAGCTAGATTCGGAACTCGGTTTAGATTACGAAATCTCCTAGCTAGATTACAAACGATTTGCCTGAGTGGCCAGAAGACCGTCGGAGGCGCGCACAAAATCGACGCCCGCCGAGCAGTCGATGCTCCACATCTCTCCCGTGTACTCTCTGCAAACGTACGTTTTGCCGGTTTTCGAGCAAAGTTTGCGAGAAATTGAGTGGTAGTGATTGCAGCACGTGCTCATATAAAAGCCCGCGAAGTTCAAATGGGGCTCCGCCCCTTCAGCGTTCAATTCTTGCAAGTAGCGCGCGCAGTTTTCGCAACGGTGCCGCACGCATTTTGCTCTTCAGTTCGACAGTGAAAAAACAAGCAAAAAAACGTTCGTTGTCGGTTTTTAGTGTTTTTTTTTCTGAAAAGAAGATGCAACACGTCAACAGAATAGGTTTTGACAACAAAAAAATAATTTTCTGCTTTAATTTTCAAGAATTCGGTATTCAGAACAATGTGTGCGGCAGCGTTGCGAAAACTGCGCGCGCTACTTGCAAGAATTGAGCGCTGAACGGACGGGGCCCCATTTGAACTTCGCGGGCTATTCTCAGGGGGGCAGCAGCGGTGAAATGATGATACCTCCAATCCACAATGAAATCGCGGTCCCTCCTTTTCGGATTCCACTTTTCGGGCCCCGTCGTGTGCCATCCGCCCTCCCTCAATTGCAGCGAAACGTCGTCGACATCGTAGAACATTGCGCTTTTCGGAATGAGCGAGGCGATGTTGAAAACGAACATTTCAAAGTGGGTGTTGCGGCTCTTGATCCAGCCCTTCACCATATTCACGACGTCCGCGGTCGTCATGCACGGATCGAGGCATCGAATGAATTTCGCGTCGATCCGCCACAAATCCTCTTTCTTTTCGGTCAACGCGTTCGCGTTGAAAGCGACGAAATCGCAGTGAAGACGCTTCAAAATGTGGGCATTTTTGGAGAGTTTGTCGGCGAGTCTCGCGTGAGCTTACATTAAACATCTTAATTTCCTTCACCTCGGCCACGATGAGAAGCGACTTGTTGGCGTGGAAATTGCGCAGAAAGAAGCGCACGTCGTCGGAATTCACCGACTCTTCGCGAATGATGAGATGGTCGGCCGCGCGGAACGGAAAATTCTCAAAGAACCTGATGACGGGCGTGTTTTTGAAGACGCCCTCCTCGATTTGCAACGTGTGAAAGAGTGGCGAACGGAACAGTTGGAGCAAGTACGCAGTGAGACCGTTTACGGCCAAGTGCGCGTTCGGATGATAGCACAGGAAACTCGAGTTGTTGTCCCTCCTAAAGGTGTCAATTACGCTGCACATGGATTGAGGGCCATTGGTCCCAATGGCGCTCAATCCAAGTCCAACAATTCTGGAAAGTTCGGCGCCGATCAGAATGTTGCAAGTGGTTCCCAAAGTCCAGGCAAACTGACCAGACGAGCAACTCGATGTCATTGCTGCACTTGAGCTTAGAAACCAAAGCGCCGTCCTTCTTTCTGTCGCTCGACAACACGCTCCACGTGGCCATCTCTCGCTCGTGTCCCTCCATTTCGATCGTGACCGTCTCTTTCACAAACTTCATTTTCATAAGCGGCGGCTCCAACTCGAGCGTCCTGTAGCATTTGGTCAATTTGTTGGAGACCAACGAGAGCACAAAGCTGAAAAAGAGAGAGAGGATATTGTCGAGTCGAAAAAGAGAACGTACACAGAATCGAGTGAAAGCGAGGCGAGCACTAATCTCTGCACGTTGGGGTCGAGCGTTTCCAGCGGAATTGCGGGACGATTGTGAGTGGTGTCAGTAGCGATGTCGTCGAACACGTCGACGGTGGACGATTTCAGCGGACAGAACATGAGTTTGAAAAAGTCCATTTTCAGAGTTTTCGAAGAGAGAGAGAGAGCTCACGGGCAGACGATGTTGATTAAGCGCATGACACCAATTAGACCTAACCGCTGGCCGGAGCAATTCCCTCGGGTGGCCGAGAGTCACGTTATCAGTTTCTTCGAGAACATTTCGATGAATCATCACGATTCGTGGAGAGTTCAAACATTGAATTGCCAGAAAAAAACATCGGGCGCACCACGGTCTCCAGAGCTGACAATATGGGCGTGGCCTCGGCGTTTTCATGAATTGAGCACGTTTTCTCTGATTTTTGTGGTCAAAGGCGATGAAAAATGATTGTTGGACATGAAAATACACTAATTCTCAGATTTAATGACGTTTTGGCGCATTTTTCGCCGACTTCGCTTCTCATTTTGCGCGTTCTCGACCGTTTTCCGACAGAATTGGTTTTGAGAATGATAAATCACGTAAATACAAGCATTTTGAGCGCTCGAACCGCGAAAATTACCGAAAAGCAACTGAAATTCAGGCAGTTTTAGCCAAAAACATTCAAACGGATAAATGTGATTTGCGACTTGACCAAATTTAACGCTCTTGCGCTTAATAAATTCGTAATAGCCTATACAATCGGTCTATCGAGAGATAAATCAGAAATTATCGGTTTTTCGTGGCTAATCTGGCAAAAAACACAAATTTTGCTGTTAAAATTTGAATTTCGCGCCAATCTATCGCTCTATTGGGCGGGGCGCCGCACTTGCGCTCATTGTAAGCTCCATAGTTGCCACGGGCCGGGCCGGGCCGGGCCGGGCCAGGCCGAAATTTCCAAAACTCCGGCCCGGTTCAAAAAGCGGGAATTCAAAATTTGAATTATTGATCGCATGAAGTCATTTTTTGTAGAATTAGGGGTTTTTTGCAAGCATCGAACATTGAAAAACAAATGTATTTCTCACAAAAAATTCATAATAGCAAAAAAACAAAGAAGAAACACTAAAACTTTAGTTCGAAAATTTTTTTTGTAATAACGAAAAAAAAATTTCCGCGAAAATTTGAATCCCCGCCTTTTGAACCGGGCCGGCACTTCACCGACCCGGCCCGGCCCGGGTCGGCCCGGGCCGGCCCGCATGGCCGGCCCGAAATCTGGCAAGTCTGGTAAGCTCTGGAGCAGTGTTGAGCGGAATTCCGTCTGCCGTCTTCCGTCTTCCGTCTTCCGTGATTTTTTTGTTCCGTCTTCCGTCTGCCGTCTTCCGTAAAAAAAGTTGTCTTCCGTCTGCCGTCTGCCGTCTTCCGGATTTCAAAATTCCATTTCCGCTCTCAACTCTGCTCTGGAGACCGTGGCGGGTTGAAAGCGGAAACATCTGAAAATAGAGGAAATGTAGTGGGTTTCCGTCATCCACTTTGCAACTAGAAAACCCCGGCAAAACATCCCTGTTCTCTTTCGATTCGCAAAACGAAAAGTGTTGCGTTGCGTCAAAGAAGTGACGAGAGGAGGAACTAAAACTGGCAAAATAGAGCCATAAACTAGCGATTATGCAAATCTGAGAACGAGCGAAATCTAATTAGAATAAGTGTGAGTGTACGACGAGCGGAAAGTTGCGAAACTGGTACCAAAAACACTACAGTATACTCTCAATTGGTACCCCTATTCTTGAAGGCGTGCAGAATGCAAAGCTTCACAAAAACTTGCTCTTTGTACAGTATCCTCGTTTCCATAATGATCTCAGTCTTGGCAACAAATATAAATAGTTGGAAAGCGAGAAACGAAGAAATCGAGAGGCGCAATTAATTAATTGATTGCCTCAGATAGCGATCGTCGTAGAGTTGTTTGTCCCCCCCCCCGGCGCCTCCTCAATTTTCGACACTTCCTCATCTTCAACTTTTCAATTCAATTTCTTCATCCGTCATTTAGTTTTGAATTGAATTAGAATAAGTGCCGTGCGTGCGCGCGGGCATTTGAAACTTTTTCGTTTTTTTTTGTTGTTGTCGAGTGCTTGTCGACCGACCTTCCCCCCATTCGATTTTCGCCGACAAAGACCACTTCTAATACACTTTTTATTGTTTCCAACTCGATGAAATTGTGGTCCGCGCGGTGCAATCGGAACAGTTGTTCACACACTCTTCACGATTCGATTCGATTCGATTCGATTCGATTCGTTGAGGAGATTGCGCAAACTCACGTCACGTCTCCTGCCTGACTCGATTAGAATAGGTGGGTAATAACCAAATTACGGTACGGTTCGGTTCGTTTTCTAGGTAGTAGTAGCGTCGAAATTTCTCAAACTGAACAAATAACGACCGACTTCTCATCCCCCCCGTTTCCTTTTTATTTTTGCATTTCGGAGCGGCAGTGAGCGACGGCGGTAAAATGAAAAAGAAACGAAAGCGATGGCATGTGTTCTTTTCGCTTTTTTATAATGAAATTAGTTAGCCAAAGGAATTTATGAGTTGTTGGGACACGAAGTAATGCAAATTTATAGGTCTCTGTGCACTTAGGTGCACAGTACCCCGGAGAGTGGTTGTACAAGCTAGGTGTCAATTGCAAAAATAAAGTACACGTCTAGTGCTATATTTTTCTAGTTGACAGTGTTCGTGTACAATCACTCCTAAGAGTACTGTAGCTCTTGGAAGTTAGGCCACCTAAACGCGCAACAGTTTTCAATGCCAACACTTCTAGGCGCTACAGTACTCTCTAATGAGGTGGTATAAAAAAGTTGTCAACTGCAAAAATGATGTACTAGACGTGGAGAGTATGCACAAAAAATTTTGGAATCATCAGACGTCTTCTGACCCCACAGTACCCCTTCAAAGTTGCCGATTTTTCAGACTCTTTTCTGCTCGTCTTTGCACGGGCTCCCCCCGCCGTTTTGTTGCCTTCTTCTCAATTTCATTTCAAATTTTGCATAAATTAGTGGTGTGCGTACATTCTCGTACAAAGGAATTTGTAATTCGGTAATTGTTGACTCACAATCCATCACCCGCTCATTCGAATATTACCCCCCCTTTTGATTATTTATTCATTGATTACTAACCGACCTTCTTCTTCTTCTTCTTCTTCTTCTTCTTCTTCTCTCTCTCTTTCTCTCTCTCTCTTTTTATGCCTTTCATCATTAAACACCCCTCTTTTCTGTGTTTCTGCGCCGCAAATGGCAATGAGACATTTCGGCGCCGTCTGGGAACCGTCTTCGGGTTCCCATAACCGAATGAATCATGAATCATGGTCAGCTTGGGCTTTAGACGTCTTTATTTAGCCGATTTTGACGGCTCTCCTGCAATTTATATCAAAATTGGGCATTCTGGAGGACATACTGGGTCTGGCAACTTTGCGAGTTTCTCTAGAACCCTGCGCAGATGTTTTTAGGCGTTTACAGACTTTTTTGAACTTTTAAACAGTTCCTAGAAAGTCATAAAAGTCATCATAAAGTGACAACCCAAAACAAGACCCTTCTCTCTCTCTCTCTAATTGCGCCCGCCCTCAATTAGTTGTGACACGCGACAAATGAACCGCTTTTTTTTGTTGATACTTTGCCGCCAAAAAAGGTGGTCAGTCTCGTCGAGAAGTACGGTATTTATCAGATGTCCCAGAGGAGTTGGTCCCTCATAAATCTGAAATTATTCGAGAGAGCGCCGCGGGGAAGAAAAGTGAAATACGGGGGGGTTATGACCTTTCCAACGATATTGTAGGACAATTTTAGTCCAGCAGGGGGAAGAAGCGTAATATTGTAGGACAACTAAACGAGTCATGTGGTCATGTAATTCGATTAGACTTTGCATATTGCTGACAGCCACAGACCTCCTTTTCCCCTCATTTGATATTATGTGACTCGCAATTGGTGTTTCAACCCATATCTAGTCATTTTACACGATTCTATAGACCGCCCGGACCTCCCAGTGGGCCAACCGCCTCCTCCAAACAAACAAACAAAGAAAAAGCGGCTAGGCGGCCGACATTTGACGTGTGAACCCGAAATGTTTGCGGTTCTCTGCAAGACACGTCAATCGGTGAGCACATGAACGTGAAAAGGAGAGCCGCCCTGTTTGAGAACACCCCCCCCCCCCCGCTGAGGACGTTTAGGTCATTCGGTTTCGAACGAGCAAGCTCGTTCTAGAAGTCTCACTGTCTCCCCGACGGCTAATGCTAAATTGAGCGCCGCGTTATAACGGAGTGTCGTTGTTTTTCTCGATGTTTTCTCCGAAAACCCGAAATTTCATCGGAAAACGAGAAAAATGAAGGAAAACCGCGAATTTGCGAATTGTTAATGACAGCTGTGACCTTAAATTAGCGTTTTGCCCGCACTTTTCCGTGAATTTCAGTCCAAATTCTCAAAAACTGAAATTTCTCGGTGATTTTTGCATTTTATGGGCCGTCTCTGTGCTCAAAATGACCGCCTTTGTCTGCTGAACAATCGTGAGGCAACGGTTTTCTCAAAACTTCCAAAAGTTCGCGTTTTTTCAAGCCAAATTGAAAAAAAAAACGAAATTACTCTTCGAATTTTCACTTTTACACGCGCACTCTGTGATCGTTTTGTAGCTATCGGTCCTGTGAACAAACGTGAGGCAAAAGTTTTGAAGGAAACCCGTGCATGATCCCAAAAACTCGGGGGAAAACAACGTTTTCAGTTGAAAAACCGTCTGCCGTAAATCGACACTGAGAGAGCCGCAGCCGAAGGGGAGACAGTGAATCTGTGTAGATTTTTGTGGTCTAGTCGAGTGCGCCTTCACTTCCGCCCACGCAAATCAGTGTATTTCTGTTTTATGACTCTCCTTTCTCCTCGATTTGATTCGGTTTGATGAGCGACGAGGTATGTTCGTTCTCAACAAAACCGCCGCCGCCCGTTTTATGTTTTATGTACTTCATTCCTCGATTTTATTCGTTTTGCGCATTGAGGAGAGACGACGGGCGGCTCCGTCTTTAAATCAAACGAATGATCGTATCTTTTTGCCCATTTTGTCATACACAGCCAACATGTACATCATCGTTACGTGACACGGTCGGAAACCACTGTAAAATGATGGATTAGCAGTTTTTCGGAGCACTCCCTCGCTTTTTTGAGGTACAGTAGGCTTGTGAGTGGTTTTTATGGAAAAATGTCAAGGAGAAAATTAAAGTTCAAAAGTTGGGCTACAATTTGTCTCTTTACAAGTTTTTGACAAGATCACTCCCAAGAGTACTGTAGCTCTTGGAACTTGACAATATATTTAGTTCGTTGTGTTTATTGGGCCTAACTTGCAAGAACTACAGTAACCTTAGGAGAGGTTGTATGAACATTTTGTCAAGAGACAAATTGAAGTACTAGACATGTATGTCAATTTTGTCGTTGACAAATTTTCCGTACCAGCACTCCTAAGCGTACTGTAGCTCGTGGAAAACAGGAATAGGAGTAGGCAAACGCGTAATTGACAGCCGCTCGAGATAGACGATCCCGTTCCCATCCAAAGTGCTCGAAACCGTCGAAAAAGTTCCCCAATCCCGATCCGTTTTCCCATATTATCCTCAAGAAGCACTCGACGTGAGCACGCGAACGTCGTCTAATCCAGTGGCGGTTCACTTCGGTGACGCAACCCAGTTTGCCGACAATAAGTGCGGTTCTTAATGGATTATCCGGCTGGCGCAATACATTTTTGTTATGATACTGACCTATACACCGCCTTGATGACATGATTTATGTGTGTACCCATGGGTATGACGCCGGTTAGTTGGGGGAGGGGCAAGAGAACCGAATCCTTGAACGTGTCGGCCAATTAGAATATAATTTCTTCGAAAAAATGCACCTAAATACCGTTCAGTGTGGCCACAGATGTTTTTGTATTCAATCCCGTTTTTGTGGTTTCCCCGTTTAATTGCTTCGTGACCGCTCACAATCCATCATGTCGGGAGACGGCTTTGATCGGGGTGTCGCCTGACCTGATATCATATCACTTCTCGCTTTGGTTTCACTAGGAACACACGTCTTGGTGGCCTAAAAAACGTTTCGAGTGAAATCTCGACGTCTTGTAGTCTATTTTTGTAGTTGACCACTTTTTTCTACGACCAATCTCTGGGCTACTGTAGCGCTTGGAAGTTGGCAAGACAACTAAGCTAGCCCCCCAACTTCCAGGGACTGTAGTAACCTTAGAAGTGGTTTTATGAAAAAATTGTCAATTGCAAAAATAAAGAACACGTCTAGTACTATAATTTGCCTCTTGACAATATTTTCATGCAATCACTCCCTGGACTACCGTAGTCCCTGAAAGTTAGGGGTACCGTACAGTTCAGTGTTAACTTCCAAGAGCTACAGTAGCCCGGAGAGTAGTCATAGATAAAGGTGATCAACTACAAAAATACCCTACTAGACGGCAAGATTTAGACTAAAAAGTTTAAAAATCCATGAAACATTTTCGAAAGCTACAATACTCGTTCAAAGTTCGACGACACTTTGATCACTTCATGACGTGGCAATCACCCCCCCGAAAAGGGTTTGGTCGTGTTTGCGCGGGTGATGCCAGCGGGAGGCCCTTCTTCTTCTTCTTCTTCTTCTTCTTCTTCTTCTTCTTCTTCTTCTTCTTCTTCTTCTTCTCGCTCTGTTTCACACGAAGGCGGCGGCGGTGGCGGTGGCGGCAACACCGCCGTTTTGATGTGTTTTCAAACAATTCCACCAGCTGTGTGTGCCATCCATAATCCGCTCCATTTTTCCGGAGAAGAAGAAGAAGAGAGAGAGAGAGAAGAAGCCCTAGTTGGCTGTAGATGTTATCTGCACCTAATCCAGTTAGTTCCGTTCCGTTTCGTGCCTCGCAACAGATGTTCGCCAAGAGGTTCTCAAGGGCTTCCTCCACGTTTTTTGTCTCAAATTTCATGGTTTTTCGAGTCTCCAAGCCTATTTATCACGCTTTTTAGGCTTTTCAGGCTTTTCAGGCCCATACACCCCGCTGTTAGCCCCAAGTCAGGTCGTTTTAGGCTTTCTAGACCCTTTCTAGACCCCAAGTAAATATTGTTGCATTCAAAAAATGTTTTGCTACCTCAAAACTTGGCCCTCGCGCCAGACGGCAGGTGTCCTCTACCCACAAAACTCTCCAAAAACATTCTCGTCTCGTCGAAAGTCAACAAAAACCGCGAGAAAGTTGGCCTTGATTTTGAATTGACTCGATTCGCCCTCAAAAAACAAAAAAATGTGCAATTGAATATGATTTTGAAGGGGGGAAAAAAAGAGGCGTCAATTAGAGAGGATCATCTGATGATCAAGGCGGGCAAGCAGATGGCAGGCAATTCGGGGCGACGGTGGTAAACAACGAAACGGCGAAGCGTTTAGGCGATGCGGTAGCACCGTCTCGGATAATTATATTAGCAACGGACACTTTGCAACCAACTGTGACCAACTTTACTAGAACATCTTTGAGTCTTTGCAACTGTGTGTACTGTTTCAAATCCTAGCAACTGCTTCCTTTTCTTCTATCAAGTCGTTTTGCAACTAGGACACTTTGCAACCGGACATTTCGCACCCAATTTCACTCCTCAATATCACACCCCGTCGCACCTTTTTCCGCATATCCGCTTGCGGCTCGCCGACAAAAGAGCTTCCGTTCGCACTCCTTGCCAAAGTGAAGATTCTCTCTCTCTCTCTCTCTCTCTCTCTCTCTCTCTCTCTCTCTCTCTTTCTCTCTGTCCTTCCCACGTCATCAGAGGGTCTCCCTCTCCCTAGCCCCGCCCCTTTCTGTCCGCCCCTCCCCTTACCCTACCAACCCAACCGATTCAGTCGAATGTCTTCGAGATTTTCGCTCGTTTCCCCCCTCTTCGTTTCCCTCTTCGTTTCCCTCTATTATCCGCTTGCAGAAATGGCACAGCCCGACCAGACGAGCTCGTCGGTCTTCGTCGACTCCTCATTCCTCATCGACGACAGTCTCATCACGTGTGAAGTCTGCTTCGAGCCGTTCCATCACCTCGTCCGCGCGCCCAAACTCCTTCCGTGCGGCCACAACTTTTGCGAAACGTGCATCTTCAGTCTTTGTCTGCATCAGGAGGCGAGTTTTCGCGATAGGATGTTTTTTAGAGACGCGAACATTCATTTTACAGTACTACCTCTTGGACTCGATCAAATGTCCCACGTGCCGACGAGAATTCGCGACGAACACGGCGAGAAAAGCGCCGACCAACTATGATCTTTGCAGTGAGTCTCACTGGTGCACTTGTCTTGTCATCCAGCAATTTGTAACCCGCACAGAAATGCTCGAGAACATTTGGAGGCAAAAAGAGCAGAATGTGACGGTGATCGAGGTTCCGCTCGTCGAACTTCCGCCCGTCATTCAGGAGATTTCGGTCACCAAAAAGCCACGTCATCATTCGCATTCGCATTCGCATCCGCATCCGAACCACGTCGGCAAAAAGATGAGGGCGTTGGCGAAGAAGAGCGAGGAGAGCAAGCGCTTCAAGTGCGTCGATTGTCAGCGGAACATTTCACAGAAGAACGTGTTCCGCGTCTCTAGATATTGTGTGGATTGCACGAGCACCAGTCGAATGGTGAGTTTAAACGTGTCAACAACCCGAAACAAGACGCCAAAAAAAAAATTAGTTGTGACACGTCACTTTGCCGCCAAAAAAGGTGGTCAGTCTCGTCAAGAAGTACGGTATTTATCAGATGTCTCAGAGAAGTTGGTCCCTCATAAATCTGATATTATTCGAGAGCCCCCGCGGGGAAGAAAACAGAGTTGAGCGGACGAACACGGAAGAATTTTTATCTTTTTTGGGAAATTTTTTCATGAAATGTGATCAACTGACGAAATGTAGAGCAAAGTGAACTGTGCTCATAGAAAAATAATTGTAAATTTAACTTTTCACACAAAAAAGTTATTCGAGTTGTTCCGTTAGCCCTCTTTTTTCACGGAACAACTCGAATAACTTTTTTTTAGTTCTACGAAAAACAAATATTTTATTTAATCAATAGTTCAAAATTTGGATTCCCGCTTTGAACCGGGCCGACCGGGCCGGGCCGGGCCGGAGTTTTGAAAATTTTGGCCCGGCCCGGCCCGTGGCAACTCTGTATATCATATTTGAGTCCTAAAAAGAGCGGGCTTCACTGTTTGTTGAAGATATTGTAGAACTTTGCTCATTTTCCAGACGATCGCGTGTCTCGAGTGCTGCGTGAACCATCACAACGGCCACGAGCTGCTCACCGAAGACGCTCTCCACCACAACCAACTCAAAACGCTCTCGGAGCTCCGTTCGATCCGCCGCAAAGTCGTCGACTCCTCCGACACGTTCGACCGTCGGACCGCAGAGGTCCGCGAGTCTGGGATGGATGTGTGCAAGACGCTGACCGCCGAGAAACAGAACCTTCTCACGTTCACACTCGCCTCTATTGATGACGTGATGCGGAGAATCGAGTGTGCTCCGATCGTGTTTCCGCCGGTGCTGCGCACGATTCGCGACGAGCAACTGCACAATTTCACGCGTCTCCACAAGCTGTCGAGTGTGCTCGAGAAGAGTCTGATGTGCCGCAAAAACACAAAGCCCACCTCGCTGACGTTCATTGAAAACATGAATCAGAGCAGCGGATCGTCGCCGAGAAGCGCCTCGAAAGTGCTGAATCGTTCGCTGTCGATGTCGGTGCGTCAGTCGAAAGTCTCCCTTCGCGGAGACGATTCGCTCTTCCACGAGTCGATCGCCTCGCTGCTCCGTCTGATGCACAAGCATCCAATGTGTCTCCAACTCGACTTTCACCACTCGACCGTCTCTCCGAAGGATACGGTCGAAGAGCGCAAGCGGAAGATCATGTCGTGCGCGCACGCGACGACGTGTATGCTCGAGCCGGACTCGACGCAAGTGTCGATGATACCGCTGTTCGCCGACGTGCTCCTCAACTGCTTCTTCCAATTGAATCGGCTGTCGAAGAACAAGTTTGTGAGCGACAAGAAGGCGTACCGACGCGTCGATGTGTGGAAACAGGCACAGATCAGCTACACCGAGCTGCTCTCGATCACCGCCAAACACTTTCCGTCGCATCATCCGGAAAGAGTGGACATCCTCGACGATCTCGCCTACCTTTGCCACTTGTACAGTGATGTCGCCGATCAGGTATTCTAGTCAAACACTTGAAATTCCCCAAAAAAACCCCCCACTTTCCAGGCGACCGTGACCATCTGTCTGATCGAAGCGGCGCGTGCGCGTGCCTCCGACGCCTCCGGACTCACCGAGCTCGAGCAGAGAAGAACGGAAGAGCGTTTGGAGCTGATCGACGAGCATCTCATGGAATGTCGCCGTCAGCAGAAGCTTTTCGAGCTGCGAAAGAGCTCGAAAACTAAGCGGAACGGAGGATTCAAACGTCTTTTTGGCGGATGTTTCACGGCGCAGGAGAAGGACCTCAACGACACGACGCTCATTTGCTGAGACGCTGTTCTAGAAGATTCTCTATCGATTGATTTGTTACGTGGTTAGAGCCGAGTGATGACTCTCGTATTCCATTCAATTATTCATTTTGTTATATAGTACAGTATAAAATAAATTGCTCAACAAAAACATCGTGAACTTTGAAAGTTTCAGTATCTAATTATTTCAGATTCCGCCTCTCTTTTTTCTGATTCGCAAAAGTCCGTATTGGCGGCGATTTGCGGACAAAAAACTTTGGATCATTCGAAATGGTCTTCTTGAAGACGGGCCTCGAAGTTAAGGAGAGTACTCAAACGGCCGAATTAATCAAGAACAACAACAATCAGGAGCTGCGTCTCGAGCCAACCGAAACTGGCCTATTGATCGACGCGAACAAGGACATACCTTCTGAGGGCTACGATACGACTGGTCCGATGCCCGAAATAGTGTGCACTTCCGAGCGGGAACGGACTGACGACGTGCGTTTTTGTTCTCCGACGCAATTGTGAAATGGCTCTAGCGGCGCGGATTTTCGAAATTTACTCGCTGCCCCCGCTAAGTTTTGGCGCCGAATCTGATTTTTCGGAAGTTTTCAAATATCACAGAATTCCACGGTCTCCAGAGCTGACAATGGGCGCAAGTGCGCCGCGCCCCGCCCAATAGAGCGATACATTGGCGCGAAATTCAAATTTTGACAGCAAAATTTGTGTTTTTTGCCAGATTAGCCACGAAAAACCGATAATTTCTCATTAGTCTCTCGATAGACCGATTGTATAGGCTATTACGAATTTATTAAGCGCAAGAGCGTCAAATTTGGTCAAGTCGCAAATCACATTTATCCGTTTGAGGGTTTTTGGCTAAAACTGCGTGAATTTCAGTTGCTTTTCGGTAGTTTTCGCGGTTCGAGCGCTCAAAATGCTTGTATTTACGTGATTTATCATTCTCAAAACCAATCTGTCTGAAAACGGCCAAGAAAGCGCGCAAAATGAGAAGTGCGGTTTTCGGCGGCGAAGGCGAAAAAGCAAAGTCCGCGAAAAATGCGCCAAAACGTCATTAATTCTGAGAATTAGTGTGTTTTCATGTCGAACAATCATTTTTCAACGACGTTGACCATAAAAATCAGAGAAAACGTGCTCAATTCATGAAAACGCCATGAAAACAGCTCTGGAGACTGTGGCGCGTAAAAGTGAGAATTGTTCTTCATCATTATTTTCAGGAAATCATACGGACGTCGCTTCAATTCTGTCCTTGGTACCATGGGATGATGTTCAGCAATGTGACCAAAAGTATTCTCAAGTGGGACAATTCGTACCTGGTGCGTCGAGCCATCATCAAGCAAACCAACAAAATGTTGTGTCTATCGTTGAAAGTCGACGAAAAATACTTTCACTATCAATTGATTTGCGATGGAGACGGATGGACTTGTCCGAAGGTTTCTTTTTCAGTGAAACTGACTGATGAATCTATTCAGCCGAGTATTTTACTGGTTTTTAACGCAAAAAAACCCTTTTCAAATGAGGAAAAACCGGGACAATTTAAATAGCCGCCCGGTTGTGTTTAAAGGCTCATGCCTTTATTATCACGGGTCTCGCAACGAACGGGGTTTGCACACAGGAAAAAAGCTCTTCCCCGCGGTTTTTTCCTCATTTGAATAGGGTTTTTTGCGTAAAATACCAGTATTTTACTGGACTGAGCAATTCAAAGACGTCAATGTGTTTAGCTTTACGAAAAGTTTCCTCAAATGGAATCGAAGAAATACGCGCACCTCATCCAATTGCTCGATGCGTGGTCTCTCATCACCAACCACATTGTGCCCGTGCCTCGCTCCAAAATTGTGCTCTATCATGAGAGCATCAATCTGATACACAAACTCGGCTCCGGTGCTTTTGGCGAAGTTTTCAAAGCCTCGTTTTTGCCGAAAGACGCGACGGAAGTGGTCGAAGTGGCGGTGAAAAGGACGCTGGGAGAAGCGAAAAGGGAGCACATTCAGGAGATGTGCCACGTGAGCAGGATTACTGTCGCTCCGATTTGATTAGTGTACTTTAGGAGGCTCGAGTGATGGGCATCCTCAATCATCTCAACGTGGTCGCCTTGTACGGAATCGCCTCGCTTCAACTGCCGATGATGTTGGTGATGGAGCTGGTGACGGGAGGAGATCTCAAGGTTACTCTACTTCGCGTCGCTACCGTAACCCTTTTGCATGCTTCAGAAGTACCTGCAGACGACTGCGAACATTCCGAACAAGCAAATCTTCTCGTTCGCCCTCGACATTGCGCGTGGAATGAGTCATTTGGCGAAACAAAAGGTGATCCATCGAGATTTGGCCGCCCGAAACTGTCTGATCACTCCCACGCTCTTGTGCAAAATCTCGGATTTCGGACTCTCGGTCATCGGCACAGAAATGGTTGTGAAGAGTTTGAAAAAGGCGCCGAAGCGGTGGCTTGCCCCCGAAACGTTCAACAAAGGCATCTTCAACGAGAAGACGGACGTGTGGAGCTACGGAGTTGTGCTCACGGAGCTCATGACTCGATGCGCCCATGATCCATTGCATCCGCTGGGTTTGAAGGAGGCCGAGAAGAGGATCAAAGACGAAGAGAACCCGCATCGAATCGATCACGGAGAGCCCCGCGAACTGGCCATGTTGGTGGATTGTTGCTGTGCAAAGGTGTGCCTTCTTTTCTGCAAACCCCGAGGAGAATTTGTGTAATTTTCAGGCTCCGGAGAAGAGATTTACGTTTTCGTCGGTGAAACGACGCGTCGCTCAAATGTACGAGAGGAGCCAGAGTCCGAACGCCGTCACGACGCCCGTGAAAATGCAAACGGCGCGAAGAGTAGGAGAATCGAAGCGTCCACAAACTCTTCATTCTTTTTCAGGGAAAAACGCTGGAAGAGAAGCGGAGCCAAGGATTTGTGAACGGCCGAAAACCGTCGAAAACGACGTTGACGCGCAAAAAGTCAAAGGATCGGAAGCAGTGTACGAAGGGAGTCGGATCGTTTCGAAGAGAAAAGTCGAGGGGCAAGCTGCCGGCGGGAATGATGCTCAATTCGCCGCACAAGTGAGCACCGAACAAGCAACGAGCATTTGCACACTATTTTTCTCGAAAGAATCATTAATGAAGGTGCAAGACTACTAACGAGTAGGAGCGATGGAAAAAAATTGGAAAAAATAATAAAAGGAGAAGGAAAATGAGTGGAAAGCCCTCTAAATATGAAAAATTGAACAGTTCCCGAGAAAAATGTATTGAACAGAATTATTTATCAACATTTTGCAAAAATCCGATATCGTTTTCAGTAAAAAGCAATAGCTGCTGGTGGCGGAGTGTGGCTGCAAATATTTTCAATTTGTCTGAGCAACCTTTAGCTTCAAGACATTAAATCTCAGTGGCCTGTGAAGATATCAAAAACTGGTCAACTAACAAATTGTTCATGTTGAAATTGTGCACATTTTACTAGTTGACAAGTTTTTGATACGTCTACCCGCAACTGAGATACACTGCTTTGAATCGACTCACATGTATCCGGGCGGTGGTGGCGGTATCAAATTCGGGCTTTTATAATAGGTTCCGGCCGACGAATTAGCCCTCATTCGCTCGCTTTTCACTGCCAAATAGCGTTGATATCTGGAGAGACAGCACACGAAAACGAGTAGGGCGACGAGGGCAACGATGAGAAGTCCGACGACTCCGATCAAGATCAGCGTGTTGAGGGGCATATCAGAAGGGCTTCCAGAAGAAGAAGAAGACGAAGAAGAAGACGAAGAAGAAGAAGAAGAAGAAGAAGGAGCACACGAATCGATATTGACCACTTTGAAAATGTGATGAAGTTTCGCGATATGGCCATTGGAACTCGAGATTAGTGACGTCATCTGCTTGGCGTCGAGGATCGCATTGTCGCGAGTCAGGTAGAAGCACACCGACGTCCTGCAAATTGGCGATATTGTTGTATGATGAAAACGGTTAAAAACTAGTGCACTTTAAAGTCAAATAGATGCCTACCACGTGGAATTCCTCTCGTCCATCATCGGCTCGTCGAAGAAGACGTCCAAATGATCGGACTCTGCGACCGCCTCCACGATTTGACGACGGAGTTTGTCGGAATTGGCGCCGAATTCGTTGCGAGACATTGCGAGCACGTAGCGCAGTTTTCGCTCGTTTCGAATGTGATGCAACTGGAAAAATGAGGAGAGGTCTTGGTTGCGAAGTGTCCTACAATGACAGTTTGCAACTATGTATAGGTTTATGAACAAAGTGGTTGAGGACACTTCGCAACGCAAAAATCACAGTTTTGCAACTGTTTGCAACCAGAATTTGACGGAAAAGTTGCACTAGAACACTTTGTGAGGTTGCAACGTGTTTCGAAGCCGTGCCAACCCGTTTTTACCTGTTTCACAGCGGAATTGGCTCGGCCACGCTCGATTCGGGCGGTGTACACGCCCTGCGGGGTGTCCAAAATGTTGGAATTGGCCACGAGTTCGCCAGTCCTTCTGTTCAACTCCACCGATCCTTGCGGCGAGAGAATGTCGCGGCCGAGCTCGTAGTTCGCTCTGAAAATGCACCATTTTCTAGAGAGAGCGTCTCGAAAAGCGCCGCTTACGGTACGAATTTCAGGTCTTGCAGCGTGTACTCGACCGTCGGCGCTTCATTCAGAGATATCGGAATCTCGAGCCGATCGAGCACGTCGCCCACCCGAGTTATCGATTGATTTCCGAAAATGTGCGCGCGCGTCATCATCGGATTTTCACCAGATTCGGCGACAAAATGCACGCCGACCTTGCGCATATTTCGTGCGGTCGCATCGAAAAACACCTCCGTCAAATCGGGCTCTTTTTGTGATGACGTGGCAACGACGCACAGTTCGAGGAGTGCCACGTCATCACGCACCGTACTCGTCGACGGACGATACACAATCTCTCCGAATTCGGCGTCGATCGTAAAGTTTTGCGGCGAGCCGCACGTCGGCAGAAGATGATAGTAGACGGGTGTGGCGTCCGAATCGAAGGCGCTCAGACGGCCGATCGCTGTCGCTTTCGAGGTGTTGCGCGCGATTTGGAAGAGTGGCGACGAGCCCTGCGAGTAGTTGAGAAATGAGAGCAAAAATGTGTGCAACTGTATTGTTGTATACCTCCAAAAACGTCGGCTCATTATCGTCCAAATTCTCCACGAGCACCTTCAAAAGTGTCGACGTCGTCAGCGCCTCGTCTTCGGAACTTGTAGCCGTCACGAGCAGCTGTAAACGCTTTTTTTTGTTGCTCAAAATGTTCTAGTGCTTGCACACAAAACAGAGAAGAGAAGTAGAAACGCTTTATTACACAATATATTTACACAAAAAGACCCGGTTCAATGCTTCAATTTTAGTCCTTCAAAAAGAGCGATCCACAGGATTTTCGGGAATTGCCCAAAATGCTCAGACCGATGATATTCAGAGAAATGAACGAGTTGGCGGAGAGCACTTCGGACGGCTCGGAGCCGAAGAAAAAGTTGTGTTGGGTTGGGGACGGATCCGACGATCGATTCGTGGCACCGTCGTTTTCTTGTTGAAGATCCTGGAGGGTCCAGTACTGCGAGTGCCACTCGGGCGTCTCTTTGTGAAGATACGGTAGAAGACGTGTGTAGCTGCGTTGGTAGACGCCTGCAAAACGGATTGCTAGGCCACGAGGCCACGGCCACGACGGCAAACCTCTGAGCGAATCGGTGTGGCGGTCCCGGCAAATGTTCTCCACTGTTTTCGATTCGGCCAACTTGATCGGCGTCTTGCCGGTGCCCATTCCGCGAAGATACAGCAGTCGTTTGTTGTTCTCGCGGAGCGCATTCAACAGTTTCTCCTTGAGTCTACAATATCCGTTCAGAGTTCCGAACAAGAGGAGCGGGGGGCACGTTACCGGCACTCCAACCGACGGGACCGCTTCTCTCGCGGCACCGACCAGTGCATCTCGCACGCCACCGCCATCATGTTCTTCGCGTCGAACCAACGATCGATCTCGTGCATCACGTCGCCGCAAATTTCCTGAGCATGTCAGCTGTAGCGCACCACAACTTCTGAGCGCTACACTACTTTTATGTGTGCTCGTACGAGAAAGTTGTCAACTAGAAAATCAAAGTTCACATCTTTTAGTGTATTTTTGTAGTTGACACCGTTTTTGTACGATCACTAATAAAAGTATTGTAGCGCTTGGAAGTATGGACTGCCATCTGAACTCGGAAAATACCTCAAAACCGCGATCCTTTGCCTCGAAAACCGTCGTGATCATCTTGGTCTTGTAGATGCTGTTCTTCAAAAACCGCTCAACCGGATCGTCGGGCTCCACCGACAGATTCGACAACGTCGCCGATCTGCCCGAGAACCTCGGAACCTCCGAACTCTCGCGGTCCTTCGCAAAAGCCAACGCCTGACTGCTCTTGAACATGGGCTCGTCTTTCTTCAACATCATCAAATTCGGTTTCACATTCACTCTCGGGTATTCCGTCGCCGCCGCCTTTTTGACGTACAACGGAGTGCGAGAAGGCTCGGAATCTTCCAGAACAATCCTCGGGATCGGCGAGAGTTCGGCCGTCGAGTAGTAGCCCTGCGATTCCGAATAATCGACGCTCGTCCGCTTCACATCCAACGGACTCAGCGAGCTGAGCGCCGTATCATCGGTTGCGTATCCGGCGGATCCTTCGTCACTGGCCGCCGCCGGCGATCCCACCCGGACCGGATGCTCGAGCTCCTCCACCTCGTCCGGCGGCGGCACCACTTGAAATGTGTGAATGTACGTCGTGTCCGGCGGAGGCGTCAACGTCACCGAATCCTCGTCGGAGCTCGATGTGGACGATGTGGACGATGTGGCGTCGGCGCGACGATGGCGACCTCCTCCGAACCGTTTGAGAATGCTCCGCCCGATTTTCTCGAGTTTGCCCATGTTTCTAGCGAATCTGCAATCGTTTTCAGTGAAATGAGTGGGTTCGAGTGAAGAAAAAGTGATCAGTTTGCATTCAAAAATCTTGCGTCGACACCAGAGTTGAGAGCGGAAATTGAATTTTGAAATCCGGAAGACGGAAGACGGAAGACGGAACAAAAAAATTGTCAATGCAGAACCTTTTTCTCTGGTCTTTTTTTTTTTGAAAAAAAAATAACTAAACGCGTTCTTCGGGGCTAGTAAATGGCTTCTGAAAACCGGAAAAAATTCCGGAAGACGGAAGACGGAAGGCGGAACAAAAAATCGTCAGTGCAGAACCTTTTTTTCTCTGGTTTTTTTGAAAAAAAAATAACTAAAGCAACAAAAATTTTGTTCTTCGTGGCTAGTAAATGGTTTCTGAAAAGCGGAAAAAATTCCGGAAGACGGAAGACGGAAGACGGAATTGCGCTCAACACTGGTCGACGACACGAGCGAAGTGTGTTAGGTGGTAGAAGGTGTGCGAAGAAGTGAAAAGCGCTAGCGACGTCTAGTATGATCGAATTGGCGCGCGCAGTATTGGAATGGCAAGTAGTCACAATTGTCACACAGTACAATCCGGAATGGCCGGCCGGACGAAATCTCTGCTTCTTTTCCGTTTTTTTTTTTGTTTAGTTTTTTAGTTGCAACAACTAATTGCGGGGGGGGGAAGAGAAGAAACGGTGATAATTGGTGTGTTTACACGCACACAATCGACGGAGGCGTCTCGGACGCAAAAAGTGTGAAAAGAACAGGAACAACCCATTAATTGGTTCGTTCTCATCGCATTCTTCGCAATCAAAGTCGGGGAAAAAGAAAGCAGAGACGGAAAGATTTCGTCTCCTAGTGTTTGTGCTCAAAAACATACCGCAAATCAGTGGAGTAGAACCCAAAAGTGATGCAGAGTGCAATAAAGGCTTCAAAAGCTCACAGAATCGGACAATATCGGTTCCGGACACGACTCCACGCGAAAACAGAGTCTTTCGGCAATAATATTGTAGTACAAGAAGTTTTGCGCTCACAATCGCAAAGTTGGCTATCGGAAATCAACGAATTTCGAGTGGATTAATGGCAAATCGAGGCGGTGGGGGGGAACGCGACGAAGAATGGCAAACAAACGATCTCACATGATTTGGAGCCAAAAAAATCGGGTCAAAATCGATGAGTTTCTCATCATTTACGAGTCGATCAACTTTCGGAAAAATGCCAATAGTTGGCGGGGGGCAGTGACGTGGAAGAAAGTTGGAAAAGGCAAAGAGAGAGAGAGAGAGAGAGAGAGAGAGGTAATAATTATAATAATTGTGTCGGGGGTTTCACGGTTTTTTCACTTTGCCCAACAAATTTTGCCAGTTTTCATAGTGGGTAGCTCTCAACTTGCGAACGAAAAACGCGCGTTCGATGACGTGGCACGCTTTTTTGCTTTGAATCAACGAAAAAGCGGATGGAATTTGGCTCAAGCTTCTCCTTTTTTTTCTTCTTTTCGTTTTTGTCGAGTGGGTGATAAGCGAGGCGGGGCGGGCGCCTTCGGAAACAAGGAGAGCAAGAGAAAGAGAGAGAGAGAGAGAGAGAGAGAGAAAGAGATCACTTGAGAATATCCACTATTGTTTGAGTTTGCACGCGCTTGTGATCACCCCAGCAAGAGCCTGGTCAGACAACTGACTGTAGTGCCACGTCATCCGGACAATATATCTCAGTTGTGGGTGGAGCTATCAAAAAGTTGTCAACTAACGCATTGTTCGCCAGGAAATTATGTACATTTTGTCAGTTGACAACTTTTTGATAGCTCTCCCGGCAGCCGAGATACGGCGGGTTATTGCGGCGGATTGTGCCACGTCACGAAACTAACAAAAAACGCGCAAAAAAACAGTGTGAAAAAGGGCGAAATGAGGCGGAAGAAAACGGGCGGGAGGGGGATAATTGCGGGGGTGTTCTAGTACCTTTTCACCCCTTTCTGATCAATGTTCAACCGAAATGAACCCGCGTTCCAGTTGTCCTCAACAAAATTGAAGTTTGAAGGGCGTTTCGATCAATAGTTTCACAAAATCTATGCAAATTCTTCTCTTCTCATCGCCATTGTTGCCGACCGAAACTCGGAAAGGGATGGCGAGAACATATGACGTGGCACAGTAATCCTACAGTAATCCCTGGAACCTGGAAGCGAGTAGAAGGCGCGAAACTTTGATAACTAATTACAAAAGAATGTTCAAAACCGTATATCTCAGCTGACAGTGGAGATATCAAAAAGTTGTCAACAGATAAAATGTTCATTAGGAAATTTTACACATTTTCACAGTTGACATCTTTTTGATATCTCTACTCACAACTGCGATACATCGCTTTGAATAGGCACCATTGTAAGAACTGAACCTGAACACAACTTTAACACATTTTATGAGTCATAAAGTGGAAGAAACAGGAAAAACTTTAGTTTTTGGATTAAGAACAACTGAAGATGTTCGGTTCAAACAGGCGGAACATTTCCTCAGAAGGATTAGAAAACGCGCGGTTTGGAAGGGGGGGGAGAGAGAGAGAGAGAGAGAGAGAGAGAGAGAGAGAGAGAGGTACTTGAGGAGGACTAATGTATTCAATTTGAACTTTTGAAAGAGAAACGTACAGGATTACTGTGGAAAGTGGTACTGTACACAAAGTTGGGCTCGAAAAGGGCGACTGTAGGACGAATACTCACGGATTACGGTAGGCATACTCAAAGCGATGTATCTCAGCTGTTTGTAGAGATATCAAAAAGTTGCCAACTGATAAAATGTTCAAAATTTCTTGCTCAACATTTCAACAGTTGACAACTTTTTTATATCTTCACACACAGCCCAGATATCCAATCTTGAATAGAAAACTATCGCCGTTTGTTTACGGTAGCCACTTTTTTTGGGCAAAGTTTCAAAAAGTTTTGTGCTGCCGTTTTCCTCTTCGCAAGTGTTCAAGTGTTTGATTTAATGCAGCTAGGCCGCCTTCAAGTGTGCATCAAGAACGAAACATTTTCGTGTATTATATATTTTGGAAAGTGTCCGGGCAAGTGTGCCAGTGTGTGTGTTTGTCGATCGAACAAGGCAACTTTTTCGCTGCGGACTTGCGAAAATGGGCAAAAAGTGACAATATGGATTAGATTGACGGCCGTCAAAGTGATCGGCATCGAAAAAGGTACTGTTTCGCCAATTTTTGAGAGCACAACGTGAAAATCATGTAAAAAAACGCGTTGGCAGCCTTGAAATCAGCGGGGAACACCTCTTTCTCGCTCAAAAGCGCTCAAGTGTTTGTTTAGACGTCGGATCAGTGTTATTTCACACTTTTCCCGTCCGCCGAAACCTGCCTGACTTCGAGTATGTGTGTGTATGACGTGGCAACAAAGTTTTTGCACAAAATGTGAGTCCGTCTCACTTTTATAGCCTAACGCTTCGTCCTTTACCCCCTCCCTAACGGCCATCTTCAATATTTGCATTGGCAGGGTGGTGTGGAGAGTGAGCAAAAAATGATGATGCTGTAAACACGTGCCGCATGGACAATATCGAGGAGGAGATTGCAAAAAACGCGTGGGTAGAGGGAACGGAGTACGGTAGCGTTAGGAGATGTCCTAAAGGGTCGGAAACGTTTTGGATGAAAAGTCCACATCGAGTACTGTATTTTTCTAGTTGATCACTTTTTTCTATGACCACTTCCTGGGGTACTGTAGCTCATGGAAGTTGGCACTGAAACTGCGTCGGCTTAGCCTGATTTCCAAGAGCTACAGTACGCTTAGAAGTAGAGTTACAAAAAAATTGTCAACTACAAAAATGAAGTACATGTCTAGTACTGTACCTTTGTAGTTGAGCACTTTTTTCTACAACCACTCCTTGGGGTACTGTAGCTCTTGGAAGTTGCCACTACATCAAGGCTGCAACTTTTCAGCGCCAACTTCCAGGAGCTACAGTACGCCAAGGAGTGGTTGTATGAAAAAGTTGTCAACTACAAAAATAAAGTACTAGACATGAAGAATTTTAAAAACAATTTCTAGACGTCTAAAACATCTCCTAACGCTACAGTACTCCTTCAAAGTTGGTCGTTTACTGCTCAGTGAAACTTTGCGAAAACCTATCATCTCTGCCGCTATTGTCGGATTTTCTGGTTCCATCAACGCAAAATTCTGCGTCAAGACCCTATTAACCTACTTTAAACCTTTTAAACACACAAATGCTTCAACACTTATCACTAATTGAAGTGAAAGACGGACAAAAACAAAAAAAGTGACGGCGGCAAATGATAAAATGATGGGAATGTTTGCGTTTTTCCATCGAAAACTGGCCTCCGATCGTTTGTTTTTATATCGGAAACGTTGCCGATTGCCGCCTTGGTCAGTCTGTTGCACAAAAGGTGAAATGGTGTGGAAACGCTAGCCGACGACCTTAGGAATTGACGAAAACGAGGAAAAGAGAGAGAGAGAGAGAGAGAGAGAAACGAAGAGGAACACAGACGTATTTGTGCGTGGGCGGACACAATAGGATTAGGAGAACGTATGTATTTGACAACTCATTTTTAAGCCTTCTTTTTCACAACGTCTCGGTAAGTCAACTTTGAACGAATATTGTAGGTTCTCGAAACGTCAAGCGCGTCTGAAATGTTTTTGGAGGAAAAGTTCACATCAGGTACTGTATTTTTGTACTCCCTGGGCCTACTGTAGCTCTTGAAAGTTGGCGCTGAAACTTGAACGCGTTTAGGGTGACCTAACTTCCAAACGCTACCGTACCTCTAGGAATGATTGTACAAAAAAGGTGTCGCTCACAAAAAAACCTACCAGTTTCTTTCGTCACAAGTTTGTGTTTAGGGTAAAACCCTCTGTGGGACACAATAATCGGGATAATCGAAACGGCAAATAGAACGGTATAGGGGGGCGAAAAAAATGTGCAAAAAGTTTGTCAAAAATGGAAAAAAACGGGGAAAAAACGGGAAAAAAAGTGTGGAAAAACGTATACCGTATACTCGTTCGTCTTCTCATAATCGACAGGTTTGACAGCGAACACGTCACCGGATTTTCGGTCAATCGCGAAACTCGGCTCTTTTTCGTCGTTGAGCAAATCTTTTAGCGAATAGAGAAGAGTCGCGCGCGTTTGCGACGGAATTCCACGAAGCTCGGCCTTTGCGGTGAGAATTTTGGAGTCGAGCGGCACGTTCTGTAACGATCCGACTATTGTCCACTTCGAGCCGCTACAGTATCGCAGGGAGAGGTGCTAGCGAAAAGTGGTCAACTACAAAAGTCGAGTTCCCATTTTAAACTTTACTTTTGTAGTTGACCACTTTTCGCTAGCACCACTTCCTGCGGTACTGTAGCCTCTCGAAGTTACTTGCCTCTTTCACAACGACTTGTGCTCCGCTCTTCGGCTCCAAAAACGCGACAAAAGTGTCCGTGATCAGCTCCTCCTTCGCTCGAACTCTCACACTCAACATCGTCGTCGAGTTGAGCGGCGGCGCTCCAGAATCCTCGGCGATCAATCGATACTTGTACGGCACGTGGCTCGCCAATCCCCAAAGCTCTGCGGCCACCGTCAGCACTCCAGACGTCGAGTTGACCGCGACGAAGACGCCGTCATCATCATCGTCTCCCTCGATTCTGTATCTGACGTCGGACGCCGTGCCCAAATCCGCGTCTTTCGCGAGAATCCTTCCGAGAATGATTCCTCTCGGCCAGTCCTCGACCACTTCCACGTCGTACACCTTCTTCTTGAACTCTGGCGCATTGTCGTTGACGTCGAGAATCACGATGGGCACAAGGATCCGGTCCGAGTTGCCGGACACGTCGGACACTTGGACGAGAAGTGCGTGCGCGTCTTCGAGCTCACGATCGATGCGAGCGTCGTCGGACACGTAAATTGAGAGCGTTCCGTTGGCGGTCTGAAGCAAGAAGCAAGGGGGCGATGTGACTCAACTAAAACTGTTAGCCTACAATATTAGCTCGATAATTTTCGGCGCCGTTTCCAGACAGATTCACTCGATAACTGGCACTTCCGTCCGGATCCCTCACATTCAATTCTACGATCTTCGACCCGGCCGCCAGATTCTCGGGAACAGAAACGATGCCGACGTCGGCGATGATCGGAGAATTGTCGTCGACATCGACCACCGTCACCCTCAGCACGGCTTGGCTCTCAAATCCCGGCTCTCCGGACGTCAACGTCAAATCGAACGTCTTCTGGGCATCGGACAGCGACTCGAAGTCGATTCTCTGCCGGATCTTGAGCTCTCCGCTCGTCTCGTCGAAATCGAACGCCTCCCTCATGTCTCCAGACAGTTTCGACGGCTCGGTGACTCCAGAATCGAGAGGAGACGTGGCCGGAAAGACGCCGACGACCTGTCCTTGCGCCAACTCCTCGTTCATCTCCACGTGGATCACATTTTGCGCGCGGCTCCACGGCTCCGGATAAACCGGGCGCGCCGCATTCTTTCTCATCGTTTCCAGGTATTGTGGCGAGGAAATCAGACGGACAACGACGGACACTTTCAGATCGGGCTCTTGGGATTTGAGGCTGAAACCCAAGATTCGGAGCGATTTCAGGGAATCTTTGTTGATGTTGAGATGAGATTTGGACATGGTTATCGACGTCTGAAAAAGTACTCTTGGTTTAACAAACTACAGTAATTTGGGAAGTCGTTTTAGAGAAAAGTTGTCAACTACAAAAGTAAAGTTCACATCTTGCACTTTATTTTTGTAGTTGACAACTTTTTTGTACGACTACTCCCTGGGGTACTGTAGCTCTTGAAAGCTGGGTCACGCTGAGGTCGCGCGTGCATTTCAGCACCAACTTCCAGCAGTTACAGTACTCTAGGGAGTGGTCGTACAGAAAAAATGTCAACTACAAAAATAGAGCACATAACTAGGTCTGCATTTTTGTAGTTGACAACATTTCTGTCAGACCACTCTTAGAGGTACTGTCGCGCTTGGAACCCTACAGCCAACTCACCGGTTCGACTTGCACTCTCCGTCCCTTCTCGTCGATTCCGAACAACGAGTTGGGGTCCAACTTGAGATTCTCCTCCTCCACCTCGATTCCAAACATTTCCTCGTTCTCCCTGTCGAACGTCTCCTCAATAACGCGGCTCTCCGTCTTCTTCTTCTTCTTCTTCTTCTTCTCCTCCTCCGCCTTCTCCTCCCCGTTCTCCACACTCAACTCCAAAACAGTTTCCGTCAAAATCGTCCACGTCTTCCGATCGACGGCTCCAATCCGAATCGCGTACTTTCCATTGAGCACCGGCCCGTCGTACTTGCCCACTTTCACGTGTCCACCGTAATCCTCTACCGTAACCCATCCGGGATTCGCGTCCAGAATCATAATCTTCGCCGCGTCGATGGGCACTCCTTCCAGTTCCACTTGCGTCAATTTCAAATCTTTTGTGACGTGGCGCGCATCTACTCTCATTTCGTACTTGGATTTGCGGAAGTGAGCGTGCGCGAGCGAGTTCTCGACGAACACGTCGACTGATCGCGTGGGCGTATCCTCCGGATCTTCGACGCCAATTTGAAGGGTGTAGCGACCGGAAGCGGCGGAATTGACGACGATCAGCTGAAATATTGATTGATTTAAGTGTGTGCCGGAAGTTCGGAGCATCGTACTGACCTGATACAGGCCATCCGCCGCCTTGACGAACCCCAAAAACTTGGCCCCGTCACCGGTCAACGTGATGCTCTTCGACGTTCTCTCCGTGATCACCGCAAACGGGCTGATGATGCGATTGTCGGAGATTCGGATGACGTTGTCGGAAGTGCGTACATTCGCATGCTGTTGCACTCGAATCGTGACCTGAAGTGGTGCCAACGTACCGTTTCTGGGCATCAGCATCAGCGTGAACGTCTTCCGATCGTCGTGTTGAAGGCATTTGTCGGTGTCGAAGTGTCCGCACGACACGATGATATCATTGCCGACGAGCGAGAATCGGTCCTCATTTCCGCCCAGAATCTTCATGTCTCCGTCGACGGATCCGACGGTTCGGCCCGATTCGGCCGACTCGACGACCGTCAATTCGATTTCTCGAAGAGAAGACATTTCGGACCCCGCCGACTCTTCAGAATCTTGGGCAATCCGAAGACGGAGAGGTTGACGGATTGTCACCGTCGAGTCCGAGTACTTGGCGATGATCTCGACCGTCTGAAGGCGTTTCAGAAGCTCCAGAGAGCCCAAAAACAGAGAAGCAGGCTCTCCGGGCAAGACGAGAGACGGGCGGATCTGAAGAGCGCCCGCTGGTTCGACGGACAGCTCCGCCAGCTCGGAGCGGTTCGTTTTTGAAGTTTGGAGCACAATTTGAAGGTTTCTGATGACGTCACCGGGTCTAGAAGCTCTCGCGATGGAGATGACACCTTCTGGAGCGCCGATAATCTCCAGATGAGCATCCAGAGCTTCCATTTTGCCTTCTTGACTCGCTTTTAGTGGTAGAATGGTCACAGGCCCTTCGATCGGGCTTTCCGGGTCTTCAGAAGTCAAAAGTTCTGAAGATGTTGGAGTTTTAAGATCTTCTGGCTCTCCAGAAGATTCGGGAACTTCAGCGGAGCCGTGGAGATCTTCAGAAGTGTCACCAGATGAATCAACGTCTTCAAAACTCGTCAACGGTTCCTCAGACGGCGTAACAGCTCCCAACGTCAAAAGATCCTCAGGCGACGTCGGATCTTCAGAAGTTGGCAACTCCAAAGTGGTCGGCGCTTCTTCAGATGAACTCTCAGAAGATTCTGGAGTAGTAGACGCTTCAGAAGTCGTCAAAGCCACCGTAACCCCCGCTTCCGTCTCGAGAATCGTCGGCTCCGACGGCACCGTAACCACCCTGCTCCTTTTTGTAGTCGGCGCCAAGCTCAGCACGTCGACGGCAATGTTCGTTGACGCGAGCACAGCCTCTCCCTGCTGCGCCTCGACCACAAACTTGTACACACCGCCGTCGGTCTTCAGAATCGCGACGTCGGCGCCCTCCCTGAGAATGACCGTCGCCTTGTAGACGTCCGCGTTGTCCGCCGTCGTCTTCTCCACACTTCCAACGTCGAACCACTGATTCTCGTCGAAATTCACCGCGAACGTCGGCGGCGCGTTGTGCTTTTTCGTGATAAAGTCCACGACGGCCAGGATTGTCGACTTCTGGAAGGGCGCAAAAGATGAGAGTGGATGAAGTTGAAGGGAGAGGCAAGGGTTACGGTCGGACGAACACGGAAGAATTTTTATCTTTTTTTGGAAATTTTTTCACGGAATGTGATCAACTGACGAAATGTAGAGCAAAGTGAACTGTGCTCATAGAAAAATAATTGTAAATTTAGCTTTGCATACAAAAAAGTTATTCGAGTTGTTGCGTGAAAAAAGGGGGCTAACGCCACAACTCGAATAACTTTTTTGTATGAAAAGCTAAATTTACAATTATTTTTCTATGCGCAGAGTTCACTTTGCTCTACATTTCGTCAGTTGATCACATTTCATGAAAAAATTTCCAAAAAAAGATAAAAATTGTTCCGTTGAGTTCTTCCGCTCAACTCTGGTTACGGTACCTCTGCTCGACCCTCTGGCAGCATAAAATCGTAGGAAGGCTGGTCGAATTTGTCGGGCACCGGCTCCGAATCGCCAGTAACTTCTGTTGAATCGAACGCCTTGCTTCCCGGCTCGTCACGACGGACCACAAACTGAAAAATGAACAATCACACACACACACACACACACACACCGTAATCCTAGAGTGTCCCCGTGACTACAGTAATCCTACGTATCGCAGACTTCTACTCTCATGGAGACAGAAAACTACATAGTTCTTCTACAGTAACCCACTTTATCCGAGGCCATCCGCTGCACCGAAATGTCCTTTTCGAGGCGAACGGATCGGCGAATGTCCGAGTGTTCGTGCGAGTTCATGATGAACTCCAACGGAATGTCGTGCCTCTTTTGTACGTGTTTCAACTGGAAAAAGTGCAAAACGTACATCCGATAAACCCCCCAAAAAACCGTACCGAATGGTCATGATCGTTGGCGAGTGCGAGATTGACGGAAACGGAAAGAAAGAGAAGGAGCGAGAGCTCTCTCATGCTTCTCTGAAAACTGTTCGACTATTGTAGGATCGATCACAAAAACAAGAGGTGATAGGGAGAAGAGAAGACGAAAAAACCGTGTTATGTCCTTGAAATCGGGCGCCGCCACCGGTCGCCTGACCTAATTTTCTTATCTGCTGGCGCAATCGCCTTCTTTTCCGTGTTTTTCGTGTCAAAGGGGGGGGGGTTGAGAATCTTTATATTATCAATCTCATGACACGTGCAAAGCGAATAGCAGCGGGGCACTGCTTCAATTAGTCAGTCGGCGGCGCCAACGTCGTCAGATGCTTCAGAAGCGGATCGCCCTGATAGTAGGGGCATTTTCGAGCGTACGTCGGGTACGGGTACTTGGCGAGACAGTCGATGAATTGCTCGTCGCACTCGCAAACCGACTGCCGACACTTGTTCTCGTCTGGAAATTGAGCGTTAGAGTGGGTGGCTTCTCGAGTCGAGGCACTTACTACTACACGCGGGCTCCTGATCCATGCACTGCCACTTGTAGAGACAGAAGAACGGAGCATTCGAGTTTTGGCACTTTCCCGAATTGGTCACGTCGGTGTAGCAATCAATGTGCACTTGACAACACCTGAAACGGCCATATTCGGAAGGCTGTTGTAAATGGATATTGTAGAGTTAAGCGATAACTTATGATTCTGAAAATTGTTCCGTCGATTCTTCATATCTAGTACTCTAGTTTTGTAGTTGATCACTTTGTTCAACGACCACCTCCCGGAGTACTGTAGTTACTTGAAGTTGGCCCACGCTTTTAGGGGTTGGCTCAACTTTGAAGAGCTACAGTACACTTGGAAATTGCGGTGGAGAAAAGTTGTCAACTACAAAATTATAGTGCCAGACATGCACTTTATCTTTGTAATTGACAACTTCTTTCTACAACCACATCCTGGTGTACTGTAGCTCTTGGAAGTTCGAACTGCCAAACAAGTGTAGACGTTTTAGTGCCAACTTCCAAGAGCTACAGTACCCCAGAAAGTGGCTGTAGAAAAAGTGCTCAACTACAAAAGTATAGTACTAAATGTGAACAGTTCACCAAAAAACTTTTCATAATCATGGATCATCTCTGAAATCTACAATATCCATTCAAAGATGGCAACTCACTTATCGATGCCATCCAGCGGTTTGTCCGGACAAACTCCCGAACAAGAGCACCCATAGTATCGGTAGGCGTCAAAAGGCTGACCGATTCTACAGTAGGACATGTCGTCCAACTGATACAGTACATTACACGAGCTCGACTCGGCCGGAGCACCGAGAACGGCGAAAAGGAGCAGAGATGAGAGCATTCTGAAACAAAAAAACGAGAGTATTGTGGGTCAAAACGAAAAGACATGTGGTTGGTTTTGGAGCGGAAACGCGTCCATTTTATGTGTCCACAAACGAAGAAAGATAACGTTCCGAAGGCAGTCGCAAGCCATTTTTAGGCGAGTCGAGTTGTGCTCGTCGTGCTCGTAAAAGTTTCAGCGGCGAAAACTGACACTTATAGTTGGATGACGCACGTGCGATTCGAGACAACCATTTTATGAGTTCGATCGGTTCGCACTCGCACTCCAAACCGATCGGGGCGACCGCATTTCAAAACTTGAGGAGTTTGTGATGGTGTGGTGGCCTAGAAAGCGCGTCGAACGAAAGTTAGGCCACAAAGCATGCGGCTTTGGAAGTTTTTGAGGGGATTGTGAAGTTTAAGATCTAGAAGCGGTGGCCTAGAAAATGCGTGATGGAAAACTTGGGTTACGGTTGAAAGACGGCACGACGGATCGAGACTCCCTGTGAGCAGCTTCTGGAGCTCATCCCCAAGTTGGTGATCCAGGCGGCGCCGATCATGGAGCCTGGAAGAAGAATCATTGCCCGGACTCTAAGAGTATTCAATCTACTTTGACAAAACATAGAAAAGTGCCATAGTTTTTAATGATGGCTTCCTGTTCTTCTATCTCCTTCATTGCCCCCCAAAAAAAGAGCGGCGACGGCGACGGGGCGCGAGACTTATCAGTGTCATTATTTTAGAGTTCACCAAAAAGCGAGGGCGCCAAATTTGACACATTTCGCTGCGTCTCCACCTCGCGCACACTATTTGCACGTGTCCGACGGTCAAGAAATGTTCGCAACTGTTTGTTTTAGTCGAAGAAGCGGTGATCCGATACTGTTTGAGCACGTAATCGAGCACACCTCTTTTCGGTCAGAGAGCACGGGATATGAGGAGTGTGGAGCCGACGCAAAGAGCTATTCACACACACACACACAGCGGATCGTGTATTTCAGAAGTGGGTGGAGAGTCTGTGGAGGAAGCCGCGCCGCTATCCAACTCAAACCGACAATAGCTTGTGTTGGTGTGCAAAGTGACTACTGTAGGTTTCCTCAAAGGTCCACTTTTCGTTCTAGGCTACAGTAGTTCGGCCGCCGCCGCACCACTTCCTCTCGAAACCCAAACTATAGCATTGGGCCGTCGTTCCGTCAAGAGGTCATTTCGAGTGTTTTGTGCGAAACTCGAGAGATTTTTCACGCCTCGCTCCTTTCCGCTCTTCTCTTTGGTCACTTATCATCCACTTCTTTCCGTAATCTTGATAATATCGGCCATTTTTGAGGTATGATACCGTACCAACTACTCGTCGCGTGGGCGATATGTGTTGGAACGACACGAGCACTGCCCGAATGTCACATCGACAATATCTGTTCGGCATGTACCCTTAAAGCGGAGCTCTCGACAAAGTGCCTCAAAACGGAGGGCGTCGTCGAGAAAGAGGCATTCCTTTTCTGCAATCCCCGCACAAAGTGAGTTGAAGCTAGCTGATGCTAGACACCTCACGGTATCTGTTCTTCCAGAAAAGTCGACATCGAGCACAGTTCGTACCTGACGTGCACGAACGGAACGTGGCGTCAAGAAGTGTGCTCCGAAGACGGACGCGTCCATTTCAGCGTTTCGAATCGGCAGTGCACGGATCCGGCGATGCAGTTGTTCCACTCTCAGGGCACTTCCGGTAGGCCGCACACAGGCGTCTCATCCACCGTCGTTTTGCAGGATCCGGGCGCGTCGGCGACGTTTGCTCATTCAACACCGACTGCCTCGGCGGAATGTACTGTGCAATTGGGCAGTGTCGGTGTCTCTCCACCTACGTGGCAGTCGACGCGTATTGCTATGAAAGTGAGTCGGGTGGCAAAGTGTGTCGGTCGGTTGCAAAACGTCTCTATTCCAGAGATCTCTCCCTCCGACTCGGGCTGCTTCTACGACATTCAGTGCTCGTCGGTTTGGCCGGATTCCTACTGTAAGAACGGCGGATGTTTGTGCCCGTCCGAAGAGATGATCGCCGTCAAAACCAAGTCAGTTTTTTTTCGTCCACCGTTTCGCAGGCGACGAACAACATTGGCTATCGTTCAGAGACGGCACGCTGTGCGTGTGGTCGACCGGTTCGGAGCCGTCGTGTCCACTGCCGTCGCTTCCGCCGCCCGACTCGCCCTCCAGCCTCGTCGTCCTTCCGGCCGCCGCCGGTGAGTTTGGCGCATAGATTTGTTGCGCGCCGGTAGCAAGAGAATTTGAAGGTTTAGGCAAGACGAGCGTCACGATTGCACCGTGCAATCCGCACAGTTCGGACACTCCGAAACGAGAGGAGGACCTGCTCAATAAGCAGCACGATTTCAAGTGTTCGGTTCGGGGATTTGTAAGTTTTCAGCTTTTATTGTCGCCTTTATTACTTTTCATAGTCAGCATCGATTAGGAAACCAGCCACTGTCGCCCCAATAGCTAATGCTAAATTGAGCGCCGCGTTAAAACGGAGTGTCGTTGTTTTTCTGGATTTTTCCTCCGAAAACGAGAAAAATGAAGTAAAACCGCGAATTTGCGAATTGTTAATGACAGCTGTGACCTTAAATTATCGTTCTGCCCGCACTTTTCTGTGAATTTCAGTCCGGCGCCTCAAAAACTGAAATTTCTCAGTGATTTTAGCATTTTATGGGCCGTCTCTGTGCTCAAAATGACCGCCTTTGTCTGCTGAACAATCGTGAGGCAACTGTTTTCTCAAAACTTCCGAAAGTTTGCGTTTTTTCAAGCCAAATTTAAAAAAAAACGAAATTACTCTTCGAAATTTCACTTTTACACGCGCACTCTGTGATCGTTTTGAAGCTATCGGTCCTGTGAACATAGTTTTGAAGGAAACTCGTGCATGATCCCAAAAACTCGGGGGAAAACAACGTTTTCAGTTGAAAAACCGTCTGCCGTAAATCGACACTGAGAGCCGCACGCAAAAAAGCGCTCCGAAAATTTTTTTTTCGCCGAAACGGAGACATTTTCAGCTCGGCGAAGAACCCGAACCTCAGGACGTTTCGGACCTTTACGACTGCATCGACAACTCGAAATTCTGGAAGGAACAGGGCGTCGACACCAGTTCGCATCCGATCGGCGTGTGCTGCATGAACCGCGCGTTCACGTGCATGCAGCCGAAGAAGGGCGAGTCGGACGCGCTCGGCTCCGTGCCAAGATGGTACTTCAACTCGGTCATGGGCTCGTGCCAGCAGTTCCTCTTCGATCCGACCGGCTCCGAAGTGTCGCCGAACAATTTCGAGACCCTCGATCACTGTGAGAGCTACTGCAAAGATAGTGAGTTTGATCGGAAAACGTGCGTCCGGATAATCGTTTTTTTTTTTTTGCGATTTTCAGCGTGTCCACGTGGAAACCCGGCGTACCTGACGAGTAAGGGCTCGCCGAGCAACGCCCGTCTCCCGCAAACCGGATGCTCGACGGCCAATCCGTGCACAGACCCGTTCGTTTGTACAGAAGTCGCCAGTCAGTCCATGTGTTGTGCCAGTCGGAGTACGTTTTCGACTGAAAATTGAGCATGTTAGAATGTCCTCAAAACTTGGTACAATACCATTCAATTTCAATTATACTTTGCGCTATGCGCCTTTATGTATATGCTTTGAAGGGCGAGCGAAAAAATGGCGCGCGTGGCGCAGTGGTAGACATCTTGCCCGTCGTTTTGGTTCAATCCCGAATTTATCAAAATTTCTTTTGCTTCTTTAATCTTGCAGATCAAGATCTTTAAACGTATACAAAAAACACGTTTAGAGTCGATATGCAGTGAAGCGGGAGCTCGTCTGAAGGAACCATTGAGAAGTACGCCGTACGACGCGGGCCATCGATTCGATCAGCTAACCGGTGAGACTGCAAACTACGCGGTCGGAATCAGCACCCGATACTACTACAATCCGACCGACGGACAATGCCATCCGTTCACTTTCAATGGATTCCTCGGAAACTTTAACAACTTCCAGAACCAGGCCGATTGTCAGCTCTTCTGTGCTCGACGTGAGCTACCGTAATCCTACCGTAATCGCATCTCGATTTTTCTTCAGTACAATGTCCTCACGGAAGCCCCCTGACCAACGGAAACGGGTCGCCGCAACGGTGCGCCAGAGACACGGACTGTCCGTCGACTCACACTTGCGCCATGGAGCATCAAGTTTGCTGTCCGACACCACGTGAGTTACTGTAGTTGATGGTCTCAAAATTGTCATGTGAAAAGTTCATGTCTAGTACGTCATTTTTGTAGTTGACCACATGTTTCTAGAACCACTCCCAAGAGTATTGTGGCGCTTTGAAGTTGGGCTAGATGAACTTACTTCCAAGCGCTACGCTACTGCGGGGAGTAGACGTACAAAAAAGTTGTCAAGTACAAAAATAAAGATTATGTTTAGAACTCCAATTTTGCAGTTGACAACGTTTCTGTACAACAACTCCTAAGCGTACTGTAGCGCTCGCAAATTGAGACTAGTTACGGTCGTCAGTGCAAACTTCAATGACGCACAGTACTCTTAGAAATGGGTGTAGGAAAAAGTTGTCAACTAGAAAAATAAGGTAAAAGACATCAAGATTGTACAAAACAATTTTGAAAGCATCAAACCTACTCGAGACCCGGTAATACTCGCCGAAAGTTGACTCAAACCAATCGATTTGCAGAAACGCTCTGCACAGAGCCGTTGCGAGTCGGTGATTGCAAGCAAAGTGTGCGTCAGTTCTGGTACAATGCCGAGACGAAAACGTGCGAATCGTTCCTCTACACGGGCTGTCAGGGCAACAACAATCGCTTCAATTCGCTGAACGAGTGCCAGAGTTATTGCAAAAACATAAATGGTCGGTGATGGGCGCGCACGACGAATCGCGTGCCGCCTTCAAAACATTTTGTTTCAGCCGAGCCAAAGTGCCCTCAAGGCCGTGCGTACGTCGATTTCGCCGGAAAGTTCATGCAATGCGGCGAAGGTCTCGGCGGCACCGCGTGCCCCGCCAACTATGAGTGCACTTTCGACGGCCTCGTCTATGGATGTTGTCCGAGCAAAGCGTACACGTGTTCTCTGCAAGTTAACAAAGGCATCGGGTGCGGATCCGGCTCCTCTTATCGCTACTATTACAACAATCAGGCAAAGGTTCGTTTTTAGCTAAAAAACGAATCGATCGGCGATTTTGTGCTCTACAACAATATTTGCGTACACAGACGTGCCATCGAAAAATTGTCAACTACAAAGTTAGAGAGCATAAAATTATCGATCGATTCGCGTCTTAACACTCAAAAAATGTTCAAAACTGACCGAGATACACGCGCTCAAAATTGACCACATGTGTTCGGTTTTCTCCACTTTTTCTCTCCAAATGCTCAACTTCCTATTGTAAACAATCATTGCAGGAGTGTCAATCGTTCCTTTTCCTCGGTTGTGACGGCAACTCCAACAACTTCCCGTCCATTGAAAAGTGCCAAAATTACTGTGAAATTGCGAGTACGTAATTTTTGGGAATTTTTCCTGGAAAAAATGACCAACAATTGTTGCAGTCTGTCCGAACGGTGGAAGTCCGCTCCGAGCCAACTCGAAAGTCCGTTCGTGCTCCAGCCAGGATCCCTGTCCGTCCGGCTACGATTGTAGTATTGTCGAGGCGAACGGGGTCATGCAAAGACGTTGTTGTCCGTCCAAAGGTACCCCCTCCCCTACCCACCAGAAACCGTCAAAATCGCCTAAAAACCATAAAAATCTACAGTGTCGATATGCTCGAAGCCTCCGCAAATGGGAATGCTGCCGAAATGCAGCAGTGGAAGCGGTCAGATTAGGTGAGGAAAAGTGGGCGGAGCGTCGGCGCGTGCATTCGATAGCGGCGCACGGAACCCGCGAGACGTCGGCTGCTGTGGGGAGTCAAGTGCGCGTGGGCTGACGGCAGCGGCGGCTGTGATGATTTCCTTATTGCCGTTTACCCGTCTGAGGAAAACCGTGCTTGAGACGTCTGGAATAGGCTGAGCCGAACGGATTTTTGGGAACGAATAAACTTTGCAGATACTACTTCAACATGGCGCTGCAAACGTGCTCCTCGTACACGTCAAACGGCTGTGACACCTCGCTGAACTCGTTCAACTCGATCACCGAATGCGAGGACTTTTGCATGTCGGCGGGCTGTTCGCTCGGCGACACCGTCTACAAGGATCCGAACACGAACAGGCCGTTCGTGTGCAACACGGCGCTCCAGAACAACTGCCCGGCGAACTACGAGTGCACGCTGAACGCGCTGACTCAGGAGCACACGTGCTGCGGCTCGGACGCGATGGGCGTGTGTCCGACCGGCGAGAAGGCGTTCATGGACCCGCGCACGAACACGCCGCGTCAGTGCGCGATGGCCGCCGACGGAAAGTGTCCGGGCGGCTACCTGTGCCGATTCTCGCAGTCGAACCACAAGTACTACTGCTGCGGCAACATCCAGGGCGCGTTCTGCCCGTCCGGTCGCTCTCTCTACCGCTACGCGTCCACTCAACTGCCCGTCCAGTGCCACATCTCGCCGCTGCAATCGAGTTGTCCCAACGGGTTCGCGTGCATGTCGGACGTCTCCGGCGCGTTCCAGGGATATTGTTGCTCTCAGAATCGTGAGTTTATCTCTCATTTTTTTCTCCTAAAATAGTGTTGGAACGTCACGGTCTCTAGAGCTTATAATCCCATACATTGGCGCGAAATTCAAATTTTAACAGCAAAATTTGTGTTTTCTGCCAGATTAGCCACAAAAAATCGATAATTTCTCATTAGTCTCTCGATAGACCGATTGTATAGGCTATTACGAATTTCTTAAGCGCAAGAGCGTTAAATTTGGTCAAGTCGCAAATCGCATTTATCCGTTTGAATGTTTTTGGCTAAAACTGCCTGAATTTCAGTTGCTTTTCGGTAATTTTCGCGGTTCGAGCGCTCAAAATGCTTGTATTTACGTGATTTATCATTCTTAAAACCAATTCTGTCGGAAAACGGTCGAGAACGCGCAAAATGAGATGTGCGGTTTTTGGCGGCGAAGGCGAAAAAGCAAAGTCCGCGAAAAATGCGCCAAAACGTCTATAATTCTGAGAATTAGTGTGTTTTCATGTCGAACAATCATTTTTCAACGACGTTGACCATAAAAATCAGAGAAAACGTGCTCAATTCATGAATTGGGCCGAGGCCACGCCCATATTGTCAGCTCTGGAGACCGTGTAACGTGTCGATGCAATGATTTTAAATTGAGTTTACGAAAAAGAAACAAATGTTCAGCAATCTGTCCCGGAGAAGTGCCGTTCCATGAGGACGAAAAGACGCTGCTGCCGACGACGTGCACAAACGAGGGATTCTCGTTCTGCGCCATCGGCTACACGTGCCAACAACAGCCGGAAACGCTCAACTTCTACTGCTGTCAGGGCGAGGAAAAGCACGGCATCAACGACGGATGTCCGCCGGGACAGTACGCGTACGTGCAGGACGAGGGCGTCGTCAGGTCGTGCGATCCGTTCAACGTCGACGATTCGACGTGTCCGGCGGAGTTCACGTGCCAGTGGTCGTTGACGAATCAAAAGTATCAGTGCTGCGGAACACGACCGACGCGCGCCATCAAACCGACGATCTTCGATGACGGGTGTCCGACGAAACAATTCGCGCTGATCGACAAGAGGACCAACCAGACGAGGGCCTGCACGGCCGGCGAGGCAAAGTCCTGTCCGACCGGCTTCTTCTGCCAGTTCTCCGCCAAAAAAGGACAGTTCCAGTGTTGCGGACAGAGCGGAGGTTTGCAAACGTTTTCGGAGTGAAATCCGCTCATTTTGCTCTTTGTTTTTCCTCTTGACAACTTGTTTGTACGACGCCATTCAAGAGTACTATAGCTCATGCAAGTTGGCACGGACACCCAACTTCCAAGCACTACAGTACTCTTTTGAGTGATTTTACAGAAAAACTGTCAATTACAAAAATAAGGTTCATGTCTAGTACGGTATTTTTGCAATTGATAACTTTTTTGTAAACTCACTCCCTGGAGTACTGTAGCTCTTGGAAGTTGGCGCTGAAACTGCCCAACTTCCAGGAACTACAGTACTTCCGGGAGTGGTCGTAGAGAAAACGTGTCAACTGAAAAGTTGAAGTAGTAAATGTAAAGATTGTGCTCAAAGCATTTGAGACTAGTTGCACATCTCTCAAACCTACAATATCCATTCAAAGTTTGTCACTCCTAGGCTGCCCAATCGGTCGTGCCGCTTTCATCGCAATCGACGGAAATGCTCAAGAATGCCTGCCGGGGCCAGATATGTGCTCCGACGGATTCGAGTGTGTCAAGAGCACAACTCACAAGAACAAGAACATTTGTTGTAGCAGAGAAGAAGGAGGTGGGCGGCACTTTTTTGTAAACTGACAATATTCGAGTGTGTCTAGATACCGGTTATTCAAAACAATATATCTCAACTGCCGGTTGAGATATCGAAAAGTTTTCAACTAATAAAATGTACAAAAAGTCTTAACGAACAATGTGTCAGTTGACAACTTTTCGATATCTGCACAGACAGCAGAGATATACCTATCACACTCGCAGGTTGCGCCGACAACGAGATCCTGGTCGACGGAAACTGTGTGGTTCGAGTCAAAGTCGGCGGAGGATGCCATACAAACGAAGAGTGTGTGGAAGGTGCGGATTGTGTCAAAAACGTTTGTTTGTAAGTTGATCCGACGCGCTGCCCGTCGAATATTGTCGACTTTCAGGTGCGGCGAGAAGAAGACCGAGTTGAAGGGCGAGTGCGTCGACGGCGAGTGCTCCGACGAGCAAATCCGTCTGGACGGAAAGTGCGAGAAGCGTGCTTCGATGGGCGACGCGTGCAAATCCTCGCTCCAGTGCATCTCCAACTCGCGCTGCATCTCCGGCATCTGTGGATGTGCGCGAGGCGAGGCGCCCGACGGCAATGCTTGCGTCAAAAACCAAGTGCCAGTGAAGGCGAAGCCGCCCGTCGAAAAGTCGGTGTGCGTCTCCAAAACCGAACGGCCCTTCTACTCGAACGACGACACGTTGATGGCGTGTATTCTGACGAACGACGACTGCCCGACCGGCTACAAGTGTCAGTTCAGTGACGTCGCCGCGCAGAACGTGTGCTGTGGCGCCAGAATCAACGTGAACGGCACGACGAGCACGAGCACGACGACTCCGGAGCCGAGCACAACCGTCGGAAGCACAACAATCGCGGCGACGAAAAAGACGAAAGTGATCAAAGTGGCGGCGCAACACTGTCCGCCCGCCATGAGTCCGTATCTCGTGAACGGAAGGGCCAAATCGTGCGCGACAACCTCGTGTCCGTACGGATATCAGTGCAAGTTCTCGAACACGGCCAAAGACTACTTTTGCTGCTCGAAACAGACGAAAAAGAGCAATTCGAATCGGCTACTACGAGGTGAGATAGATAGATTGACTGTGAACACGTGCTCGGCTTGTAGGCGGAGGATGTGAACGAGGAAGCGCACTCTTATACCCGAGCACTCAGGAAGCGGTACAATGCGATCCGCTGGCGAGGGGATGTCCGCAGGGATATCTATGTCTGCCGCACGTCATCACAAAGGTAGGGACGACGATTCGCAACTGCCTCACAAACACTATCTCATTGCCGGTTTTTCTCCTCCTGTTTCGTGTTTTAATGCGTTGCAAAACGTCAATAACCAGCCGAATTGATTCCAGAAATACCAGTGCTGCTCCGTGGCGGCGAGCCGTGACGCTTCAGAAGACGCGGACATCGAATGCCCCTCGTACATGGTCAAAATGGTGCAGGAAAGCGACGGAAAGCTGAAATGCGTCAAAAGTTGTCCGAGCGGACAGAAAGCCGTCGACGGACTCTGCACACTCGCCTAATATTACTATTCTATTTTCTCATAATAACTTCGTCCTTTTGCTCTCTCGGGGGATGTTTCAACTATTATTTGTCTGAAAGTTTTGCGACAAATCACTCGGTAGATCACAATTGATCATCATCATCATCATCATCGAAACCAATCAATAAATATATATAGATATATAAACGAATAAATCAATTGTCAATCTTCATAATCACCACGTACAGATTGAAGTTGACGTCGTTGACGGCGCAGAAGGTGTCCATGTCGCTGGCGCGATCGTCCACGTATCCGTTCACCCGGTGGTACGACGTGGCCGTCACCAGCCACACGCCTCCCGACGATTTGAACGTCGGCATCAGCGCGATCTGCGCGATTTTGTGTTCAAATGTTTTGAGGTCGCTTACTTGAAAATGTTCGTCGAGTTATATGAATTTGAACAAATTCGCGTAATTTCTCGAACAAATGTCAGTTTACTTCGACAAAACGCGTCGATTTTTGGAGTGTTTAGCGTTTTTAAATGAGCATGAAACTGGAATGTAAAAGAGCACACTCGCTATCGAAATGTTGGCTTTTTGCCGAACTTTAACATTTTTGGGACAAAATTGAGATTTGGGCCCTTCCTCACCTCAATGGCCGATTGAACCTGATCGACGGCGATTTTCGACGGATCCGTAATGTTTTGAAGCGCCGAAAAAACGACTCTTCTCAATTTTTCGTTTGTGCAGAACAATGCGTCGACTGAATAGGAAATTCACCATTTTTTCGCTAATTATCAGCAAGAGGCGACCTACTATTGGGTAAAACTCGACGATCTTTGGCCGGCAAACCGCTGCTAATTTCAGTTTTTAGGAGGAGAAAAATCGAGAACAGAAGGAGACAGCGCAAAAAACGGCGCATTACTTCGTCGCCGTTTTCGGGAGTGAGTCAGGTGGTATTCATTGGTATTCATTCGCAATACCGAAACATCACTCGCTTTCGATAAGCAACAAATGTCTTAATTGATTTTGTCATCGGCAGCGCACGATAAGAAATGCGTTTTTCGCTTCATTTGGGTGCAAAATAGCGGAATCTCGAGGACGGGGACTAGAAAATGCTCGCGTTGCGGAAAACATCTCAAATTTTTTCGCTTGATGGGAAGAAAAATTGCAATTTTTGTCGTTCTTTTTGCAATATTTTTATTCAACAATTCGTACAGGTAATTTTCAATTTTTTTGCTCCGATTTTAAGCCGTTTTCTGTCAATTTGTAGTCATTTTGAGTAAAGTTCTGATGAGAGAGTGTCAAAACGAGAGAGACGCAGACACAAAAGGCGCGCTACGAAGCTCCGATATTCCGCTCGGAGGTGGAATTTAAGGGGAAAGTTCAAATTTTAGCGCGTTGAAATTTTGCAATTACGATTGGTTTCACTCAATTTCTCCGGTGTTTTTTGCAGAAAAATGGCAGAAGAACCAGTGGCAGATGATCAGGGACCCGTATACGTGGCATATTCGATGGAGGACATGCTAAAATCGCCCAGAGACCTGTACAAGTCCGTTTTTTCGCACGAAAAAATCAATTTAATCCAAAATCAATTTTCAGAAGCGTGAAAGACGTTGCCAAGTTTGTCAATTCGGCGGAAGGAAAGAGTATGTCAGCGAGATTCAAAAAATTCGGAACTCCGCGCGAAGCTCGCGACTTTTTGGCGTTCGGCGACATTCCGACGACCCCACAGAGTGCGGTACAGGCCCCCGCCGAACCAAATTCCCCGTTTTCGGGTGTAAATCGAATTCAGATGAACGAGTTCAAGAAGTACGTGGATAAAGGCGATATGGACAATTTTTTGTAAGTTTTTACCCAACACTTTCCAAATTTTACGATTTTTCTTGCAGACGCCTAATCGATACGAATCCGAGGTATCTGGTGAACACGGGCGGTGACGTGGCGGCCATCGTAATGGAGGGATTCCGATATAACGCTCTGCACATTGCCGCAAAAGCGGGACAAGCGGAAATTGTGCGGAAAGTCCTGGAATTCCTGGGCGACATCGATTTTCTGACGCGTTTGTACGGAACCAGCCTCGAAGACGTCGCCAATCGCCAGAAGAACATTCTCGATTCGTACTTGAACACGCCCGACAAGGGAAACTCGGACACGCCGCTGCACTTTGCCGCGAAATTCGGAAAACTAGCGGTTGTGCGCGTGCTCGCCGAGCAGCCGCTTCTTGACAAATCGGCGAGGAACAAGATGGGCAGGACGGCGATCGAATGCGCGTGCGAACGGTATTCCGAGCCGGACAAGTCGGAAATTGTCAGAGGAATGGAGCTGGCCATCGAGGTGGGTGGAAAAACGCCAAAATTCGGATAATTTTTGTCTATTCTGTTCATGCAGACACAATTATTCCATTCTTCCAGGGTTTCTTCGTGTTTCTGACGCGAAACGAGAACGGCGTGTGCCAGCTGTCAGTCTCCCAATCGGCTCGCGGCACCTCCGCCGTCGCCGGTCCGTTTGCCACCGAATCCGACGCCCACGCATTCCGCGCCCGCTGGCAGACGGTCGGAAAAGAGCTGAAGCGATCGGACTACGACAAGGGATACGAACGGGTGGGCCGAGTGCTCGCCGAGCAGCAGAATCCACGTGTCGCGTGGGCGGAGACGTGGCGATTCCTCGGCGAAGCGTCCGCGCCAATAGACGTGGCATCGGAAGACGGGCTGCGCACTCTGGAGACGTTTTTGAAGCGGCGGAGAAGGGATGAAGCCGTGGAGAGCGAGGGGACACGGATTCAGACGCCCGAAAACTCGATAAGACGACTGGATTTCAATATTTTGGACGATGAAGACGAAAAAGAGGAATTCTACGATGCCCTAGATGATCAGCAGGATTTGGATGACACATTGGGGAGTCTGGCCGACCGATTCGCGGCAATGTCCGTGCTTTCGCCGAAAAGAGCCACGGATCCGGAGGTTCCGGAAGATTCCGAGCAAGATTCGTTCATCACCCCACCCTCCACACCACCGCCCATCTTTGTGATTGACGAGAATCCGTGCAAGGTTGGAGCTTGCTCAATTTCTTTATAATTTTGCCGATTTTCAGATCGACAACGACCTGCTGGAAGTGCTTTCGCAGGTGCCGTCGGAAAGACTCGCCGACTTTCCGCTGGTGCTCCAATACGTGCGGAAGCTCTCTGGATTGGCCCCGTCCGAGCGGCTCGGCTGGCCTTCCATGGATTCTCCGTTACGATCGAGAAGCCGCTGTCGAAAATAATATTTTCCTGAATTGTTTGTAATTTCTGACATTTTCATGTAAAATTCCACCGAATTAACCACTTTCCCACCTTGTTCTCGTTTTCCTCTTTGTTTTCCGTTGAAACTGGTGATCGATTCATGAACAGCATAACATTTTGTGATTTTCACCCCCAAATCTTTATGACCAATCAATTTTTTTTCGTCCATTTTTATGTACACTTTTGTGACGTCTTCCTTATCAAGAATTGATAAGAAACGAGCGATTCGCGGCACTTTTTTGGACCGTTTTTGCCGTTTCGAATCGATTTCGCCGTTATCACCGCCCCAAATTGAACCCCTTTAAGTAGCGGCAACCGATTTGGGAAAATGCAGAAATAATTTCAGCGTTCTTGGGCCAAAATGTGGTGGCTCTACGTGGCAATTGTGGTGCTAATTGTGGTGCTAATGTATTGTGCGCCCAAAATTATCGACGATTTTGTGAGTTTTTCGAAAATAAACATTTTTTACAACATTCTTTCAGAATCGTCGTCAAAAGCTGAAAACGCTGATCAAGGGAAGAGCGGCGGAGCGAAAAGTGAACTTCGATTGGGCTCAGAACGTAAAATTGTGAATTTTTGTTCAAAATTTATGAAAACGTTCAGAATTTCTCGAAGCTCGACGAGCAAAGAGCCGCCGAAATCGTGTCGAAACCGTTCGAGGAGCTCAAAAATGCGCTCCGAAAGGGCGAATTCCGGCCGGTCGAAGTGCTGCGTGCTTTTCAGCGAAAAGCGTTCGAGGCCAACGAAAAAACGAATTGTGTGTGTCTTTTTATTCAGGTTTGTGCATTTTACACTATTTGCACTTTACAAATGCTGAAATTTGCGGCAATTTGAAAAATTCTTCCATTTCGACAGATTTCTAGGCCAGCAGGCCCACGAAATTGTTTGCGCTTTTAAACAATTTGCTGTCTGAAAATGCAACAAAAGGTTAAAAAAAGGCGTGTGGTGGCCTAGAAATACGCAGAAATGGAGGAGTTTTTTGTCAGGACGCGATGGAATACGCGGAGAAGCTGGAATCGGACGTCTCCGCGGATCCTTCCTACCAGAAACCGCCGTTGTTCGGAATTCCGGTGAGCATCAAAGAGTCGATTCACGTGAAGCACATGGACTCGACGCTCGGCTACGCGCAGAACCTGAACCGCCCGTCGGAGACCAACTCGACTTCTGTGGACCAGCTGATTCGTCTCGGAGCGGTTCCCTTCGTCCACACAAACATTCCCATTGCTCTGTTGAGCTTCGGATGCACCAATCCCGTCTATGGATCCACGAACAATCCGATGGATGCGAGCAGGTCGGTTGCAAAGTGTCCATCCACGTAAAATACCATTTCAGAGTGCCCGGCGGATCATCAGGTGGAGAAGCGGCGCTCGTTTCGCTGGGCGGATCTGTCCTCGGAATAGGCACCGACGTCGGCGGCTCCATCCGAACTCCGGCTTCTTTCTGCGGCATCGCCGGCTTCAAAAGCTCATCGGACCGGTCCCCGCAGCTCGGCAAGACCGCCTCGATCCCCGGCCGCCAGCTCCTGCTCTCCGTGGAAGGTCCGTTGGCCCAAAACATCGATGTCTGTGTGGAGTACCTCAAGTTGAAGTGGAACGATGCGAAGATCTACGAGAAGGACGTCTACATGCCGCCCGTCAAGTTCCAGCAGAATCAATACGAATCGAAGGAGAGACTGAGGATCGGATATTACACATTCGACGGATACCAACAAGCATCGCCTGCGTATCAGAGAGCAGTCCTCGAGACGGTCAAAGTGCTCCGGGAGGCGGGGCATGAACTCGTCGAGTTTGAAGTGCCCCGCGCCGACCACATGTACAGTATCTTCTGTGCTGGCGCCACGTCCGACGGTGGTCTCTATCTGATCAACAGTCTCTACAATGTAGGAACTACCGCAATCCCCCCCAACTCTAACAATTTCTACTTTAGGACATTGTCCCTCCGGAGTGTAATATCGGATTCCCGGTCGCCAGACTGCCGCATTTCATCCAAAGACTCCTCAGAAAACACTGGCCAAACCGACGCGAACGGCAGATTATTCAGCAACTTCCACATGACACCGAAGGTAAACGTCGTCTAATTGGCCTAGGATTTGTCTTGCACAATCTCCGAGTCTAGTACAACATTTTTGTAGATGATCACTTTTTTCTACGAGCACTTGCAAGAGCTACAGTACTCCAGAAAGTGGTCCTAGAAAAAAGTAGTCAGCTACAAAAGTATAGTATGCTCAAAAAAATTTGGAGTTACTCGACCACCCATATTGTAGAAATGCGAGAAATGCACGAGAAGATCGAGGACTACCGCCACGAATTCGTGCTGGCAATGCGGGCGAAACGCCTGGACGCGATGGTGTGCCCAGCCTTCGGATGTCCGCCTCCGCACCACGGAGCTCCCAATAAAATGATGTCGGCGACGAGCTACACGGCCCTCTACAACCTCGTCGATTTCGCCGCCGGCACGGTTCCGGTGACAGTTCAGAAGTCGGAAGACGACGTCGAATTGCGGAAGATGCGGGCGGAAGACGCGTGGGACCGTCGGATGATCAGCGAATCCAAGAACTGCCTGGACCTGCCGGTTTCTGTGCAGATCGCCGCCCCGCCCTACCGAGAAGAGCTCTGTTTGAGACTTTTGAAGGAGGTCGAGACCACTATCGGATTGTACGCAACGAAATAAACTATTATCGAACTTTTGCATTGTGATGCTGATCAGTTTCAAATAAATTTCATTCAGAAATGAGAAAGTTGAATAGATTTTGAGTTGAAATCAACGGACTTCCCGCCAAGCCATTTCTCATAGACGCGCTGATTTTCCTAGGCCAAGTTTGTCAAAAAAAAAACGGAAAAGAAAATGCTTTTTTCGAATTTTCTGACACGTTTCACGGGAGTGATCTCTCGCCTTCCAACGATTTTTCGCGTCTCTACCGTTTTTAATGTTGCCGAGGACAGCGAGTTCGACGTCGCGACTCTATTCGAGCCAAGAAAACTAACCGCCGGAACCTGAATTTTGTGAAGAAAGATTCAGCGAACATTTATATCGTTCGTTGGGCTCATGAAATGCAAAATGAGCTGAAATATTATAGGGGCACCGGACAGAAAGGGCGCGCTGTTCGCAATCTGGCCGAATTTCTAGGCCGCGAAGTAATTTTCCCCTGAAAACGTGGCCTAACTTTTCAAACTCGGCCCCGAGGTCGCAAAATTTGCATTGCAAAAAGAGTTTCTCAACAGAGCGCCATTTCTGTGCGGTGCCCCTATAATATAAAGGTTTGAAGTTTTGACGAAATGCGAAAAAGACGCTAAGAACATGAAAAACTCTAAATTCTGTAAATAACGATTTCCAATCAGTAAAATATTGTTTTCTAGACGTTTTTCAAGTCAAAAAGAAAGAAATAAAGGTCGTGAACTCGAATGTAACTGCATTTTCAGACCTGCAAATTTTCAAAAGTTACAACGACACTCCGCAATTTACGAGCGCACTGTGTTTAGCATTTGCGCCCTGGGAGACCGTGTGCAAGCTCGAACTTCTAGACGAGCACGGGGAACACGAGTCGGCGAAGGAAGGTCCCGAAAATGCCGATGCAATGCTCGTCACATTCTTCGTCCTCAAATTCTGTTCATTGTGACCTGTGTTCAAAGCGATTTCGCTTGCTGTTTGAGTGTGTTGTGCTTCAAAAAAACGAGAGGCGTTTTCGTCATATTTGAACTTTATTCATTTTAAAATCAAGATTAGACGGGCAGGAAGGGAGAGAAGAGAAAAAGACCTTTTAGACATTTCGCTTAAAATCGTCGATCATTTTGGCAATCTGTTTCCTCTCGTCATGTTTGTACACCCTTTCGAACATCTTCAAATCAGCGACGATCCACATGTTCCATACCATAAATACGGTGACAATATCCTCCTTCCGCTCAAACAGTACATTTTGCTCCTTGCTGACCGACTTGAGAATATCCGTCATCTGAAAAATGGTTGATTTTTAAATTGTTGACATTCGTATATTGTTGGCTCACAATTGGCACCGTATTGAGGTATAGACGGTTTAGGCCGATCAGACTGACAAGCCAAACCCAGTTGTCAGTGTGGTTGTTGCCGAGGATCGCGATAGCTCCAGAAGATGGATCGAAGGTTTGAAGGGAAGAAATGTGGGTCTTCACGATCAACCACAGTACTCCTGGATCCGAAGGACGGAACATCGTTACGAAGACGTTTATGGTCGGAATGTGAGAAACGGTAGCACGGTTTCCGTCCGTTGGCTGAATTTCAACCCGGAAACGGTCGATTCGGTACTCCCCGAGCTCTTTGTTAAATTCACCGGCCATTATATCATATTTCGCCGTGATTGTCCCGATGGTGAAGTTTTTGAATTCCAGAGATCCACCCTGATTCAGGTGGAAGGTGTGCGCCACTTCGGAAGCGGTCGAGGCGCTGATGAACAACGTCTTGATACAATCCTCTTGCACGTGTCGCCAGAAGAGTTCGACGCCTGACGGAGGCGGCACTCGACCGACGTACGCAGTTGGAAACTGAAAAAAAAACAATTGTTTTTTGTTCAAGTATAAGTTATACTGTATAACGTCTCCAGAGCTTACGGCCGTGGCCTTCGCCACAACGACTTTTCATGATTTCAGCCAGTGTGCCTTACCGAAAGGGTTTCGGTAAATTTACCGGTAAAAATTTCGGTAAATTGTCGGTAGATTTTCGGTAAAACTTTTTTTTACCGAAAGAGTTTCGGTAAATTTTCGAAACAATTTACCGAAAATTTACCGAAAATTTACCGATAAATTTACCGGTAAATTTACCGAAACTATTTCGGTAAAAGTTTCGGTAAATTTTATCGGTAAATGGGTACTTTTTCGAAACAATTTTCAATTTTGAGAACGGACTGTTCAGCGTGTTCCTGATGTTTGGGATGTTGTTCAGAATGTTCTAAATTGGTCACATCAGTCACTTCCCTTGTCAAAAAAAGAACGCCGGTGCCGCGCCTTTTCGGTATCGACGGCACCGCTCGGCGCCTCAATTTTTCTGTTTTCTTTTAACGAACAGTTTATTTTCGAATGAGGAACTTTGCGGACACATTAAATGCGAAACTCGTTGCATAGCATTATAAAAAAAATTTAAAAAAATTAAAAAAATTAAAAAAAAAAAAAAAATTATTTAAAAAAAAAAAAAAAAAAAACATGTTTTAACATTTTTTTCTTTGCTCTCAAAAATTGTTCTTTTCGGTAATTGTCGAAAGGAACGATTTACCGGTAAATTTACCGAAACTCTTTCGGTAAAAACGTTTTTACCGAAAATTTACCGAAAATTTACCGAAATTCACTTCTTTCGGTAAAAAAAATTTCGGTGTATAAGTTATACTGTATAACGTCTCCAGAGCTTACGGCTTTTCTTTTCTGATTTTTGTGGTTAAATTCGATCAAAAGCGATGGAAAAATGATGATTTTGCACGAAAACACAAAAATTCTCTAATTTTCTGGCATTTTGGTCAAAGATGCTCACTTTCTCGACGCTCACTTTCGCCGGATTCGGCGCTTCCTTCATCGTGCCGATCGAACGCATCGAATTCGTGAAGTCTTGCGGCATTTGGGACAGGTAGGCGCGGGCGTTCGCGTGTCCAGCCGGATTCGGCAACACTTGCTCCTCGCGCTGCTTTCCACGTTCGATGGCCACCTTGTTCTTCTCGTTCTTGCTTTGGCTCTTGCCCATCTGAAATTGTGGTTGTTGCGTTGAAAAAGAGGCGGGGTTTTACCGCTAGTTGTGCGCTTTTGCTTTCCGATCGTAATCAGTAATGGCCGAAAGTTTCGAGAGAATGCACTTGGATGTCGAGCATTCCGAGGCCACGTGGAAGTACACGTGCTAAGAGATTTGCTAAGAGATTTGAAGAAGAGATGAGGAGATGGATCATCCGAAAAGTTGAAGAACTCAAGAGAAACTTGGATCAAATGCCATCTGACTCTGCAAATTCTGCGAATCTCTATCAGCAAGTGCTAAAGTCGATGAGACAGTTCGAAGTGAGTGCAACAATTTCGGAAGAAGTTCACTCCACTATGATTTGGTTTTAAAGGTGGTGTCCAACGTGACATACAACATATTTTAAAAATAAACTTCGAAGTGGGGCATTCACTTTCCCAAAGTCCCGAGTTACGAAAAAAAATTCCCCGATTTTTAAGATTTTTTTCAAAAAAATTAATGGTACCGAGAGAAGTACAAGTCGAAATGGAAGAGCTGGCCTAGATTTTTCTAATCCCTGGATGGAACTTCCGATTTTTTTCCGTTTTCGTGCAATTTTCTAAAATTTTCAATATTTTTTCACTGAACACACTGATTTGCAATATTAAAAAAAATTTATAAATTTTTCTGTGCCGTGACGCCAAAAAATCGATAATCTGAAACTTTCAAAATTCAGCCACTTTTTGTAAAACTGAAAATATAGTTTGGATTTTTCGCATTACTTTGAAAAATGCAACTTTCTGTAACTCGCAAACTTTAATTAAGACTCAGGAAATGATTGAGCGATCTCTTTCTATTTATTTTTCAGCGCGCAAACTGAAGATTGAGCGAAAAACCCGGAAAAACAACAAAAAAAAGACGTTGACGTAAATATCAGACACTAATTGAGAGTGAGTGCAAGCGCGCTCCATCGGACGCGGCAATTTGAACTGCGTCCGATCGCATTTCGACAATCTCCTCTGTTTTCTTGATATCTGTTCTATTTTAGTAATTTTTGTTTAACAAACATTTATCTTTAAAATTCCTTTTTATTGTATGAAAAATTGAAAAAAAGCAAATTTTTCAACGTAAATATAAAAAATGCAAACAAAAAATTCGTGAAAACCGCTCATTCGTCGGAAAGAGCTTCACTTTCGTCCGAATCGCGCTCATCCTCAAAATTCTGCGGGTAAAGCTCGAATTGAGCATTTTTCGAGCAAGGGCACATCGTTTCTCTTCCTACTCACGAAGAATGAGCCGGCTGTTTGCACAGAGCGCATCGCTTCCAATCCGTGACTCGACTTTCGTATTCTCTGGTAAATCGTTCTTTGTCTGACCAGAAGATTTCCGAATCTGATCCGAGTTCCGCGTCTGACCAGGTGAATTCGGAATCTGTTCCGAATCTGATCAGATTTGGAAATTTGCACTGCTGGCGCGTTTCGCGGGCTGGCGCATTTCTTGTGCATCTTCAAATTCTTTATTCTCCAGGTAATAAAGTCTACGTGTTGTTCCGGACACGCTCGCCGTTGGTTTAAAAAAAAAGAACTGTTTCAGGTGATTCGACGCTCGTTTGCTTCCTCTTGTGACAGGGAGACAGGAGAGACACATACTCTTGTTCCCTGTCTACCAGAATGGCGAATCACCGGCGATCTCGTCAGTCGGGCTGGGAAGAGCATCACGTCTGTCTATCAACTCCTTCATCCTGTTTCCTTTTCTTTAAGCAGAAAATAAGTCCGCAGTTGTCCACTTTGGAAAGAAAAATCCTAAAACTAAATATTCCCTGAATGGCATCGTAATCGAGCCGAAAGATTCCGTTAAAGACCTCGGCATCTGGATAGATAACAAGCTCAAATTCTCGAGAAACAAATTACTATAGTTAGCAACACTGCCCTTTTGAAATGCAAAACAAATTCTGAAAGCCTTTCGCTCCACGAACGCTTGTCTCTATTTTAAACTCTTCAGCGTTTACGTCAGACCCATCCTCGAATACGGATGCGAGCTTTTCCATCCCTCAACAACATCCCTCGCTAACAAACTAGAGTCTCCCCTCAGATTTTTCAGCAGAAGAGTCTTCCAGAGATGCAATATGCGATTCTCCTCATATAGCGACCGCCTAAGCCAATCTAATCTGAAATCGATACTCCATAGACGGGTACTCCTTATCCTCAGAACTTTCCACAATATAATCACGCACCAATACCACTTCCCCTCCCTAAATTTATTCCTCAAACCCGGCGTCTCCCCCCGTTACCCTTCTCTCCTCTCTAGGCCTACCCCATGACTCTTTCCTGCATACCAGAGTTGAGCGGAATTCCGTCTGCCGTCTTCCGTCTTCAGTCTTCCGTGGATTTTTTTGTTCCGTCTTCCGTCTGCCGTCTTCCGGGAAAACAATTTTCTTCCGCCTTCCGTAAAAAAATTTTTTTCGTCTGCCGTCTGCCGTCTTCCGGAATTTTTTCTTCTTACCGTAAAAGAGTAATCGCTTTTCAGAAGCCATTTACTAGCCCCGAAGAAAGTGAATTTCCACGGGCAGTGACCTTTTCAGAAGCGTTTCAGTTTTCGGCGTTTTTTATAAGGTAAACGCGCATTTTGGTAAAATTTGGGGTGAATTTGATCCGATGCCCGGAAAAGATCAGATGTTAGAATTTGCGAGATTTCTAGCTTATATGACCAATTTTCTCAATTTATTCGACACAATTTCCCAATTTTTCAGGCCGCCGTAATCGGAGTCCGTCTCCACTCGTTCGTCGCCCTCTCGTGCCTGACTGCCGCCGTCTACGTGCTGTGCATTCGCTGAAAAAAGAATGGTGCAAGGAAAAGTGAAGCAGAAGACGTCGCTGCCGAAAGGAGTGAAGCAGAAGGTCAAAAAAGTAAAGAAGGAGGGACCGAAGAAGGGAAAATTCCTGCATATCGCACCCAAGAAACAGCACGTCATCGAGGCGGTTAGTCGCCTTTTCTTAAGCAAAATTTGAGCCTGTATTTGTGAATTTCAGGAAAAAATCTCGGCCCATGTGACGAAAATCATCAACGACAAAAACGAGGAGATGGTGAAAGGACGCGCCGATACGGCCGTCGGAAAGAACAAAAAACATTGAACGCAAATTCTTAACGACGCAAATAAACTGACGTCCTTGTTAATTTCATGAAAATTATTACAACAGTCCTCAAAATCCGTAAAACGCTATGGGTAATTGAACCGGAACCGTTCTAGTAGGAAAATTCGCATGAATCGATAACTTGCCAAAAAAGGGATCCGCCCGAGACACTCCGGATGGTCCTGGACGGTCCGACAGAACGTCTCCAAAGAGTTCAGCACTTGCTGATAGAGATTCGCTTTTTAATAAAAGGTACTGTTCAAAGTTAGTCCTAGCTTCCAAGAGCTCTAGTAGGTTTGGAACAAGTTGTAGCAAAAAGGTCAGCGCTACACGTTTATATTTGACGCCTTCTTTACATATACATCAAACTCCCAAAGTATTATAGCTTTTGGAGGATAGAACTGTGAAAAGAAACTTCATTTGGTGTTCGACGAATTAGCCGAGCTGGAGGCAGCCTTCGTCGCTTTCTTCTCCGGTCCGAACGAAGTTTTGCGCGCCATCATGAAAACGAAAATTTCGGAAACGTAGATTTCGTTCGTCTCCCGTCCTCCATAAAGCTTTAAAAAATGCGTGTAACGCGGTGCCGTAGACCGTTTCGACTAACGCTAGAGTATATAGAATCGGAGATGATCCAGTGTGATGTGAGGTTTTGATGAAAGTGGGGACGGCCAAATTCTGCTGCGGATTGTTTTAGATGCTGCAACGCGTTGCATTGAGCTCCATGTGCCGCCAGAAAGTCATCAATGTGTCTGCCGTCCGGTGAGCTTGTTGGCACACTTGCGCCTTGATTATTAAGAACATAGGTGGGTTTCATCGCATAGTGTAGTCCATAGAGAAAATTCACTTCCTAAAGCTAAGTGTGTGTGTGTGTGCGTGCAATTTTGATTCAGCTCACTTTCATATGCCAACTTTGATGCCACGCCAACACTGTCGCATAGACAACATCAATGTACCGAACCTCCTTGACACGATACTTGTAATCGTCACGCATTGCTTTTTTACTCTTAATGCACGCAGTCAGCCAAGTGTCCTTCATGAGCATTGCGCGTCTGAAAATCACATGTGCTTCCACCGGAAACCCCAGGGCTGGGCAATTGGCCGGCCCTTTGAAACACTTGCAATATTCCGATCGGACCCAAACTTTGCCGGCTTCTTGCCCGGGCTTTTTGGAAACAATCGGCCAATGTTCCACATATCTCGGGGGCACCGACGATCCGATCGGGCTGAAACTTGGTCCCAATGGAACTCAATCCAAGTCCAACAATCGTGCAAAGTTTGGCGCCGATTGGAACGTTGCAAGTGGTTCCCAAAGTCCAGATCAAGGGTCGGCCAACGCAAAGCCCGGGCCGGTCAATTGGCCAGCCCTGGGCAACCCCGTTCAATTTTCTGATACAAACCCGAAAACGACAATCGTATTGATGGCTTGTTCACCGTCCGGACTGTAGACACCATCATCCTCCGTTCTCACAACGACATGTGTCGCCTCGCTGAGATCGCCTGTGATCAAGTTTCCAAACTTTTGCGCAAACTCGCTGTCTCTCGCATCTTCCATTATAAAAATCTTGAAGTGTTCGATTGGCAAAAGATCCGGCACTTTTCTTTTGAACTTTTTGCCGTTCAACGACTTAAACAACGATTTGATCTGCTTCAATTGTTCCTTTTTCGTACTGTCTTGCTCTTGAGCGATCAAATTTGACACCAGTTGCTCGGGAGTCTTGTAGTCCTCGTTGAGAGCACCTCTGTTCGCTCCGTTCTTGATCAACAGCTCCACCATTTCTGGATTCGCGTTTTCGACGGCAATGTGTAGACACGTGGAAACTTTATCTAAACTCAATTCTCAGTGAAATGATTTATTCGAACTCAACTAACGTGGCGCATCGATCCAGGCACCGTGATTCACAAAGTAGGCGGCGGATTCGAAGTCGTTTCTGTCGACAGCTTCAAGAAGAGACTTGACGTTGCCCACTTCTAGCATCTTCTCTTGAAATGCCTAAAGTTGCTGTTTTGCGAAGAACACGATATAATGGATCGACTGACCAGATAGCGAGACTGTAATATATAGGCTTCTTGAAGCTTTTTCTGGCTCAAAAAAAGTTGCTTCCAGAAGAACGGATGCTTCTTCTCGACCACTCGATACGTTACGTAACCAAGCGATGCAACACCAGCTACGCCACACAACGGTATTACTATCATTCCGGCTGTCAGCCAATCGAATGAGGAAGAACTGAAAATTGAACATTGTGACACAAACGCCCTTTTGTGCGCTTTTCAAACTCAGCTGAACTTTTGTCATCGTCGGTCGCAGTGGTCAGCCTTTTGATGCCGAATAACTCATCGAAGAATGTGCGAAGTGGTTTTAGTGTCGATCTGGCAGACGTCAGATCGACTTGAAGATTCGAGTAGTCGAGTTGGAGTGCTCCGACCGTCTTGAAGTCATCGGCAGCACTTTTGACAGTTTGGTCGGCGGAATTGGCGAGAGCAGTCGAGATGGGATCGATGAGCAATCGGGAATCGATGGGAACTCCGCGGATCGTGGCGGCCTCGTCGAACACTTCTCCGAGCGTGAGCAGATCTTTCGAACGGAACCGGCCGGCTCTCTCGTTCAGAGCACTCAACTTCTTCACCAACTCCTCCAGTCCCTTCTTGTTCTCCTCCGTCCACACCGTCACATTGGTCTGATCAATCGCTGAACTCACACGTGCACCACTTTTCAAAATCTTCATCACAACAACTTGCGTCTTTCGCACGCTCTCCAACTTTCTCAGCACTTCGACGCCTTTTCCAAAGTCTTGAGCGACAAGTTGTGGACGAGCCAAATTCGTTGGCACATTCCCGTTTGCAGCACTTTTTCGTCTCGACCCTCTCCTCATACTCTTCACGACGTTCGCAACCGAAATCAGACGACTCTTGAGCTCTTCCACTTTCAAAGTGTGCTGCTTGATTGCTCCAATCTCCGAACTCATTCGTTTTATCGCCTGAAGTTTAGTTCTGAAGCTGAGCATTTTGTTCACGCTGTTTGCTTTAAACGTTTCGTTCCCAATACACTTCAACACATCCAGCAGACCGGTTCCATCCAAACTTTTCCGCATTTTCTCTATTGCATCCCAGTTCGGAGACGTCTCGATGAGCCTACCGACGTTGGGAAACAGTTTCAGAGACTTGACAATCTTTTGCAGATTATTTGAACTTATTCGCACATTTTCAATGTTTTTTATTTTGCTACAGGTCACATCGACATTGTCTATTTCTACTGAATCACTGGCGATCACTGCGATGACTTGTGCAAGTGATCCATTCGTGCCTGCTTTCAGTTCGTCCATGCCGGCCATTTCCGCCAGCGCGTTTTTGAGCTCCGATACCGCTTCATCGATCGAAAACAGCGAATTTCGAGTTGTTTCAAACTCTTGAAACAGATTGGCATCCACTGTGATCGTTTTAAAATCGACAAGACACTTTACGAGCAGGTCGATGGATTCCGATGGATCTCCGCTGCTCGCCACTTCTCCGTCGTTTGCCGCGTCGATAAGCAGTTGAGAAAGTTGTGGAAAGAGCGCGAGCGTCTTCGGATCATTCACATTCTTCCAACTAACCGCCAATGGTTTCATTTCGGCGATAAAATCAGAAATTGGGCGCAACAGTGCTCGCAACGGTTCGATATCATTTCCGTCGCCGATTGCGTCACGCAACCAGGTGCCGTTCAGATCGGCGAGCATCGCTTCCAAGTCGACGATTCCGTTTGGCAATCCCGCGGTCGCTTCTTTTGTTTGTCTCGGTTTACCGGTACTACCGACAGTCTTCTCGATATTCTTCAAAACCGCACCCAACTCGTTGATCGTTGAGTGGTTCTTTGCGATTGGTGAAAGTCGTGAAACCTCTGATCCCAGTTTGCCGCCAAGAATAGATTTTAATGTTTGAAAACTGGTAAAGTTTGCCTTGTAGTATTGGGCAAATTGAGACACTTTGATCACATTCTCAAGCGTGTCTTTGCATCCAGACAGTTTCAGTAAGGCAGCGAGTTCGGTCTCGTAGGCGCTCAACTGTCCGAGTTTCGATTTCAAACTGCCAATATCTTTTTTGAATGCCTGGATAGCGTTGAACACTTTAGTCAAATCGCCGAAATGTGTCGAACGCAGGTCGAGAATTTGGGCGAGGTATCCGGACGCCGTCTCGATTGTGCTAACGTTGAAAAAGTCGACAAATGAGTTTACCGTCTTTATTTTCACCTCGTTTATCCTATTTTTGAATTCTTCCGACGGATCGGCACTCACAACACTGCTGATCACCTCCAGTTTGTCGCTCATCGATCCGAACATTTCCACGACCGAAGTGACTGCCGCCACGTCAACTTGAACCGCTTGAACGTTCGCAACGGATCTGGCAAACTGTGCGAGACTGTCGGCAAGGAATCGAGTCTTCAAAATGTCCACTTTTCCGAGTGAACTGCCGGAATAGGCGCCGATAAGCTCGCTGACCACATTCAGGTACTTTGAGCTGGAGTTAGCGTTGACGAGTTCCGCCTGGATTGAAATGCCATTGATGGTTCGAGCAAGAATGGAGAGATCGCGTGTGACGAGTTCCAAATTATTGTCTGAAATTGTTTCGACATTATTCTGAAAAATCTGGTGCTCACCAATGACTTTGTTGCCATGAACTAAGACGGTTATGAACGAGAGCCATTGTAACAAAACCCAGAACCTCATTTCTACATTCGCTGCTCTGAACAATTCGGAAAATTTGTGAAATTCAGTCCGTCTTACCGATTTTCTCGTTTTGTAAAATTTCTGCTTCTAACCAATGAAAAGTTGTTGTTTTCGTGAATAAATTGATTATGCTTATGCCACAAAACTCGAAAGTTGACCGGGTTAAGTCTGAATCGTGACAACCTTTTCTGGATTTCAGACCATCCGTCCGGTTTCTTTCATTTCCGCATAATCCCTTTTTGGTGCACACTCTTCAGTGATTTCACTTTCGTCGACGATGAAAACGCTCATCTTTTTCTCACACATTCTACTCGTAGCAACAACTGCCAAAGGGGCTAACACAACAAGTGGTATGTCGGTTTTTATTACGGTCACCTTCAAAACTTGTTCAATTTCTAAACACAATGTAGCTTGCACCTTTTAAGAGGCGCTCTCCCACAAAATCGACATAGTCACTACTGGTCAAGGCACAAAAAATTCAGATTGATCCTATTTGTCCCGTATTATAACCATGAGGTTCTCCCATGACACTGGCACCCAAGAATAATATTTGGTTCGGCTCCGCGAGCCCTCGTCGGAGCACTGGCTCTAAGTTCCTCTAAACTGTAAATTTTTTCAAAAAAATCCTATCGACTCAGGCTCAACGCCATTCGATTTCTCGCATCTTTTTGAGCATATTTCATGTTGAGACCAAAAATTTAGCACCCCTCATTCATAGCGAAAAAATTGATTTGTGGTCGTTTTCAATTTTTTTTTGAAAAAACTCGATTTTCTGGAAAATATTTGTACTTTTTTCCAAAAAATGAACGTTGAATTCGGATTCTACAGACAATTTTACACCAAATTCTGAAAAATCTGGGATTTTTTGCTTATAAGACCGTTTTGAGACATCTAACCGTTGTTTTCATGCATTTCCAATTTATAAAGACTTTTTGGCAGACTTGCCAGATTTCGGGCCGGGCCGGGCCGGGTCGGTGAAGTGCCGGCCCGGCCCGGCCCGGTCGGCCCGGTTCAAAAGGCGGGAATTCAAATTTTTCGCGGAAATTTTTTTCGTTATTACAAAAAAAATTTTCGAACTAAAGATTTTCGTGTTTTTTTTTTTTTTATTCACTCAGATCTCACTGAGTTTTTCAAAAAGACGTTATATGAAGTTGCTGCTCAAGTTTTTTTCAGTAATTCCAAGCGAAAGTGTATGTGAAACATCGTTCAGCACTGCCGGATACCTACTTGACAAAAGAAGAACACGACTTCGTTGCGAAAAAGCGGAGCTTGTAGTGCTCGGAGCACAAATCGCTTCGAAATATCCAAACTGGATTGAGGGAAACTCTGCGAGTGTTGCATAAATATCCCATTTGTTACTTTTCGTTGTTTTTTGTTAATTGTTATTTTTCTAATTGTTTCTTCTTTGTTTTTTTGCTATTATGAATTTTTTATGAGAAATACATTTGTTTTTCAATGTTCGATGCTTGCAAAAAACCCCTAATTCTACAAAAAATGGCTTCATGCGATCAATAATTCAAATTTTGAATTCCCGCTTTTTGAACCGGGCCGACCGGGCCGGGCCGGGCCGGAGTTTTGGAAATTTCGGCCCGGCCCGTGGCAACTATGCTTTTTGGGACAGTTTGGAATTTTTTTTTAAAATTCGAAAAAAAATCGGGGTCAAAAACCTCGACAAAATTGAAAAAATGCATTTTAACCTAACCTAAAAAATATTTGAAAACGACCACAAATCAATTTTTTTGCTATGAATAAGGGGTGCTAAATTGTTGGTCTCAACGTGAAATATGCTCAAAAAGATGCGAGAAATCGAATGGCGTTGAGCCTGAGTCGATAGGATTTTTTTGAAAAAATTTACAGTTTAGAGGAACTTAGAGCCAGTGCTCCGACGAGGGCTCGCGGAGCCGGACCAAAACTTGTCTGATGTATCACTGTTATGTAAGTACCCATTGGGTATAATATGGGACAAATTGAAGCATTCTGAATTTTTAGTGACCTGCAGTTTTTGAACTTCTTAGACATTGCCTCTTAAAAGGTGCAGGCGATGGAAGTCGTATACGTTTGCAGGCAATCATTTCAAACCGATCGTCAAAGATTTGTCCATTTTGGCACGTCTCACCAACGGATTATCAATTCTGGCCGACTTTCACAGCCAGTCTGCTAACCGTACACTGATTGTTGCCGAATTGCTCGGAGTGCGATCGGCGGACATTCTGTCGAAACTAGAAGCAGTTGCGGTCAAGTCGATTTCAACTCAATTCGCAAACTTCACAAAGGATCTCGAGTCGATGTCGAACATTGAAAACTGGTCAAATATGACAAGAGCGGTGCAACAACTTGGCAACATGTCCAAGATTCGGATGGAGACAGTGGACGCGGCAAAAATAACAGAAGTGGAGCAGCTTGTCAAAAATGTTCGCATTTCGCTTCAAGGGACTAAAATGTTTGAAGACGCGTCCTGTGACAACCTGACCCAAGGGTTTCGCTACTTTTTCGACCACAAGGATATCAAAAATCCGAAAATGTCTGATATCTATGTGAATCTGAAACTTGTGAAGGAGAGTGTGGGCAAATGCGATACCAGATTGATCAAGATTAAAGATTACAAAAACAGGATGAGAAGTTTGTTCGCGTTGGCTGGCAAAAGTGTTGAAATCAACAAGTTGAAGGGTGTGTCCGATGTTGCGAGAATGTACGAATCGAATTTTGCAAACTTTGAAAACCTGAAGCCAGCTCTTCAAAACATGAAAAACGAACTTTCCAAGCTTTCCAATGTGGCAAGTCGGCACGAGATGATTAGCGAGTTGGGGACCGATTTGAACAATATCAAAGACGCTCTGAACGCGACACTGACGCCAATAACGCCCAGAGAAATGACTGCAGGACTTCCGGACGGAGTTCAAGATTTGGAGACCATATTCAAAGACTTGAAGCGAAAATGGCTCCGCGAAGTGATCGCGAACGGAACGGACATGAAACCGTTGGAAACACTCCTGACGCCACTTTCCGACTTCAATTCCAAACTGAAGCCGTTAATTGCGAGCTGGAGGAGTGTCAACGATACCAACGCGCTTTCCGTCATTCCGTCATTCGCCGCACTGCTCGCCAGCGCGGCTGCCTCTGGAAAAACGTCGTCGTCGAGTGAATCCATCACGACGTTTTTCACTTTGTTGGATTCATGTGATGTCGGTTTAAAGAAGATGTCGGTTTCGCCAGAGTTCGGCGATTTCGATAAAGTCAACAACGGTTTGGTGGAAGTAGACGCGAAAGTACCGGATCTTGAAAAAGTTCTACAGACGCTCGAATCGTTGGACTCAATCAAAAATTATCCGGATCAATTGATCAAGCAAATTAAAGAGATTATATATCGTGTCAATGAGACAGACATGGAGAGAGACGCCATTTACGCGTCTGCTAACAAATTGAAAAAGTTGACCGGTGTGGAGACGTTTCAAAATGACCTTATGACGATTATTGAAAAGATGAAGCCGTTTGTTGGCATGGATGCTCAACTGACGGCAACTGAAACATACAATTGGCTAGCCGTGAGCGATGTTCATAAAAGTTTGAGTGGAACGAATCTAGAGCAAGTCCTCGAATGTCTTCAAAAGAAAACCATCAATACCGACGGAATTGAGGAGATGGTGAAGTTTCAGGCCGAATTGACCAGGATCAGAAGCAGTAACGCTGACATTAACGCGCTGGCAGCTTACATTTCCGCGGTTGAGACAATGGGAAAGGACCTGAAAAACGTGTACGGAGCCATTAAAAGCAGACGCCGACGAGCTGCAAGTGAGCTTCAAAAGCTTCAAAAGTCTCAGGAGCACTTTCAACAACTAGGAAAAGGAGTGAGCGTGTTGAAAGCTCTAGAAAAAGTGTGGAAAAATCTGGATATAGTGAGAAAAGTTGCGAAGAGTGATAAAGTGGTCGATCAAGCGATCGGAGGAACAAATGTGACGGTGTGGACGGAGGAGAACAAGAAGGGACTGGAGGAGTTGGTGAAGAAGTTGAGTGCTCTGAACGAGAGAGCCGGCCGGTTCCGTTCGAAAGATCTGCTCACGCTCGGAGAAGTGTTCGACGAGGCCGCCACGATCCGCGGAGTTCCCATCGATTCCCGATTGCTCATCGATCCCATCTCGACTGCTCTCGCCAATTCCGCCGACCAAACTGTCAAAAGTGCTGCCGATGACTTCAAGACGGTCGGAGCACTCCAACTCGACTACTCCAAACATTATACTCATCTGAAATCAGCCAGGCTCACTCTCGAACCGCTGCGAACGTTTTTCGATGAACTTTTCGGAGTCAAAAGAGGTGGAGCGGGTTCGGCTTCAACCGGAAACGATTCTCGAAGCCAGAGGCAAGTAGTATGACTTCTGCCTAACTAATAATAATCTGTTTGCAGTGGCAAACAGTTTCCATGGGAGGCATTAATATTTTTTGTCGGCGTTCCATTCGTTGTGGTCGCTTTGATTTTTGTTGCGTTATGTTGCATCTATCGATGCATGAAGCGAAAAGATGCACTTTACTGGCAGCGACGTTTTAAAAGCAAAAAATCTTTCGAACAACTTATTATTCATCGTTCTCGTTATCTGGTCTGTTCTCTTTTTTCGTATATATTCAGGGCTGGGCAATTAGCCGGCACGGGCTTTCTGGACCCCTGAACCACTTGCAATATTCCGATCGGCGCCGCCAAACTTTGCCGGCTTCTTGGACATGGGTTGAAGCATACGGGGTCCAAGTTTCAGCCCGATCGGATCATCTGGTCCCGAGATACGGGCTTTTTGGAAACAATCGGCCAATGATCCACATATCTCGGGAGCCGACGATCCGATCGGGCTGAAACTTGGTCCCAATGGCGCTCAATCCAAGTCCAACAATCCTGAAAAGTTTAGCGCCGATCGGAATGTTGCAAGTGGTTCCCAAAGTCCAGATCAAGGGTCGGCCAATTGTCAATCTCTGATGTATATTCAATCAGTCTTTACGTTTTCAGGCATTCCAAGAACAAGAGTTCGCGATTATGAAAACGAGAAATGCGCCGAAGAACCTTTACGAGGCCGTTGAAAAGGATGACATAGAAGCGACCAAGTCTTTCCTTAAACAAGGCGCTTGGGTCAATGCCGAACGTTGGTCGACCCAATTTGCCGTCGCCGCCGACTTTTCATCGTTTCAGACAGAGCCGAGACTTGCCTTCACGTCGCCGTCAAGCAGCTCAACGTGCCAATGGTGGAACTTCTCATTCGAAACGGCGCGAATCGATCTTCTCTGGGCGGCGACGGCCGCACACCAGAAGAAGCGTTGATAGCCGAAATCAACGGCTTGACGAACGTTGAAAAAGGTTTGGATGTGTACGGAAACGAAATCGAGTGCCGTGGCAATGCGGACGCCGAGGCCAAGAAAGAGGCGGACAAAGAGGATGCCCGCAAGAAGTTGAAGAAAGTAGAAGCTATTCGGGCGCTCTTCAAATCTCTGAAAAATCAAACATTCGAGCGAAAAGTTCCGGCCGTACTTCTTCCACCGGAACGCTTCCGCGTTTACATTTCATCGGATTGTGACAAAACAAAGTTCGAGAAAAAGTTCGGCTCCAAAATCACCACGGATTTGGCGGTGGCCACGCATGTCGTAGTGAAAACCAACGAAGAAGGAGTGTATGAGCCAGGCAATAAACACATCATCCAGAGCATGCGAATGCTGTTCGGGTTTGTTGTTCTTCGGGTTGCCGAGCACACGTGTCGTTTTATTTTCAGTCAAGCCATGGTTGTGAAGGAATCGTGGATGGATGCGAGTGTGAAAAGCAAGAAGGCAATGCAGAAGGACTACGAGCATCAAGTGGAGAAGGTTCGGTACAAGGGAAAAGTGTACGACACAATGATCGCGTGGCATCAAAGTTTCCATATGAAGGTGAGCTGGAATTGACAGTGATTGACCAACTCGCCAGACTCTTTTCAGCAAGTTCCTTACTTCTTTGGAGTGACAGTGACATATCTCGGACCAGCAGGTTTGTAGTTTGAACGAAGCTTTCTCCAAACTGTCGGATTGTTCATTTCTTCAGACCCAACTCTGATCACTTTTCTAATAAGTCTGGGGGCGAAATATTCGGAAAGTCCGGGAGAAGGTTTCGGTTTCTCTTATCACTTTCCCAAGGAGCACACCTCATTTTTGGTGTACCCCACATCAGACACGGTGAGCTCGAAGTCGAATTTCAAATTCAAAGTAAGATTTGTTCAGAAACCCCAACAACATATGAGCGGATTCCGCAAATTCTCACTCGAACAACTTTTCATCTTTCTGCTCGAAAGATACAGTGCGCCGAAGAATAATGCGGCGGAGAGCGCGAATGCAGCAACTGCTGGAACGTCGGCCTCGAAAGCGGGAAGTTCGCAAACACAATTCGTATTCTCGCCACCAAGACCAATTTGAAACGTGTCGAATAAAAGTTTATATAATATAAAAAAAAAACCTCGCTTGCTGTTCGAGTGTGTTGTGCTCCAAAACAACGAGAGAAGTTTTCGTCATATTTGAACTTTATTCATTTTAAAATCAAGATTAGACGGGCAGGAAGGGAGAGAAGAGAAAAAGACCTTTTAGACATTTCGCTTAAAATCGTCAATCATTTTGGCAATCTGTTTCCTCTCGTCATGTTTGTACACCCTTTCGAACATCTTCAAATCAGCGACGATCCACATGTTCCATACCATAAATACGGTGACAATATCCTCCTTCCGCTCAAACAGTACATTTTGCTCCTTGCTGACCGACTTGAGAATATCCGTCATCTGAAAATGGTTGATTTTAAATTGTTGACATTCGTATATTGTTGGCTCACAATTGGCACCGTATTGAGGTATAGACGGTTTAGGCCGATCAGACTGACAAGCCAAACCCAGTTGTCAGTGTGGTTGTTGCCGAGGATCGCGATAGCTCCAGAAGATGGATCGAAGGTTTGAAGGGAAGAAATGTGGGTCTTCACGATCAACCACAGTACTCCTGGATCCGAAGGACGGAACATCGTTACGAAGACGTTTATGGTCGGAATGTGAGAAACGGTAGCACGGTTTCCGTCCGTTGGCTGAATTTCAACCCGGAAACGGTCGATTCGGTACTCCCCGAGCTCTTTGTTAAATTCACCGGCCATTATATCATATTTCGCCGTGATTGTCCCGATGGTGAAGTTTTTGAATTCCAGAGATCCACCCTGATTCAGGTGGAAGGTGTGCGCCACTTCGGAAGCGGTCGAGGCGCTGATGAGCAACATCTTGACGCAATCCTCTTGCACGTGTCGCCAGAAGTGTTCGACGCCTGACGGAGGCGGCACTCGACCGACGTACGCAGTTGGAAACTGAAAAAGAAAACAATTGTTTTTTGTTCAAGTATAAGTTATACTGTATAACGTCTACAGAGCTTACGGCCGTGGTCTTCGCCACAACGACTTTTCATGGTTTCAACACTTTTCTTTTCTGATTTTTGTGGTTAAATTCGATCAAAAGCGATGGAAAAATGATGATTTTGCACGAAAACACAAAAATTCTCTAATTTTCTGGCATTTTGGTCAAAGATGCTCACTTTCTCGACGCTCACTTTCGCCGGATTCGGCGCTTCCTTCATCGTGCCGATCGAACGCATCGAATTCGTGAAGTCTTGCGGCATTTGGGACAGGTAGGCGCGGGCGTTCGCGTGTCCAGCCGGATTCGGCAACACTTGCTCCTCGCGCTGCTTTCCACGTTCGATGGCCACCTTGTTCTTCTCGTTCTTGCTTTGGCTCTTGCCCATCTGAAATTGTGGTTGTTGCGTTGAAAAAGAGGCGGGGTTTTACCGCTAGTTGTGCGCTTTTGCTTTCCGATCGTAATCAGTAATGGCCGAAAGTTTCGAGAGAATGCACTTGGATGTCGAGCATTCCGAGGCCACGTGGAAGTTCACGTGGAAGGTCACAACTAGTGGAGGTGCTTCCGAAGGTCACGAGGGACGTGAACTCAACTCAAACATGAGCCATCTTTTTGTAGTTGACAACTTTTTTGTACAATTTCTTGAGGCTTTGGAATTGGATTTGGTGTTGGCCATGTGTGGTGCTGCTTGGTTGGAGTACTCAAAACCATTCGGAGCTAAGAGATTTGAAGAAGAGATGAGATGGATCATCCGAAAAGTTGAAGAACTCAAGAGAAACTTGGATCAAATGCCATCTGACTCTGCAAATTCTGCGAATCTCTATCAGCAAGTGCTGAACTCTTTGGAGACGTTCTGTCGGACCGTCCAGGACCATCCGGAGTGTCTCGGGCGGATCCCTTTTTTGGCAAGTTATCGATTCATGCGAATTTTCCTACTAGAACGGTTCCGGTTCAATTAGCCATAGTGTTTTACGGATTTTGAGGACTGTTGTAGTAATTTTCATGAAATTAACAAGGACGTCAGTTTATTTGCGTCGTTAAGAATTTGCGTTCAATGTTTTTTGTTCTTTCCGACGGCCGTATCGGCGCGTCCCTTCACCATCTCCTCGTTTTTGTCGTTGATGATTTTCGTCACATGGGCCGAGATTTTTTCCTCAAATTTACAAATATAGGCTCAAATTTTGCTTAAGAAAAGGCGACTAACCGCCTCGATGACGTGCTGTTTCTTGGGTGCGATATGCAGGAATTTTCCCTTCTTCGGTCCCTCCTTCTTTACTTTTTTGACCTTCTGCTTCACTCCTTTCGGCAGCGACGTCTTCTGCTTCACTTTTCCTTGCACCATTCTTTTTTCAGCGAATGCACAGCACGTAGACGGCGGCAGTCAGGCACGAGAGGGCGACGAACGAGTGGAGACGGACTCCGATTACGGCGGCCTGAAAAATTGGGAAATTTTGTCGAATAAATTGAGAAAATTGGTCATATAAGCTAGAAATCTCGCAAATTCTAACATCTGACCTTTTCCGGGCATCGGATCAAATTTACCCAAAATTTCACCAAAATGCGCGTTTACCTTATAAAAAACGCCGAAAAATCCCTTTTTCTCCGAGAGTAGCCAACTACTGACACGTGGCACACGTTTCAGATAGGCACACGTGCAAATGAAGAGAAGAGCAGCAACTACGAGACCGTCGAACGAGTAGGCTGCAAAAATGGAAGATTCTCAACATTTCGGGGTCGAACCATTGATTTTTAGGCCAGAAAATTATCAAAAGCTCGGATATTAACTTACCGTTCATACAAACGAGTGTAGACCGCCTGCGAGTTGAAAGTCTGGCATTTTTTCGATTTTCGTTGGAAAATCTTGTAAAAATAGAGATCGAACCGCTGAGAAACGGGTAGGAAACAAATTCGGTGAAAAACAACGAGAAAATTATATTTCAAGCTTTATTTGTACAAGAATACATGGAAAAGTGAATTTTTCACAATTATCAACCTAAAAAGCAGTTGGATTATCCGATTTTTACGTTTTTTACAGTTTATAATTTCTGAAAGCCGAAGCGATCGACGATTGATATCGATCGCCCTCTGCCCATCGGGATTCCAATTTTTCTTGGGAATTCTCAGAGATTTTCATATTTTCATGTGGCATTGCAATCGAGGGCTGGCTTTTTGGGACCGCCCAGTGGGTTGACTGCAATTTATGCATTTTATAATTTTTTTGGGTGCAAAAACCAAGGAAAACATCACAAAAACCAAGGAAATTGCCAATTTTTCGGGTGACAAACCACCAAAACTACGAAATTGTCGTCGGGTAAAATGCCAAGTGTGCAAACACCGACTGCGTACCCGACACCACATTAAACGACATTCAGGCTAAAATGAGTCTAAAACATGGAAAAATCAGAAAAAAAGCGGTGCACACGTGCCAGTTCGGACAATTACCATTTGAAACGTGTCCAGACTTTTCGAAAATTCGTCAAAAGTCACCGGAAATGGCGAATGGAGCCACGAATCGTAGGCCCGACGACGGGATTTGTCCGTCAAAATTGTGTAGGCGTTCTGAACGTTTTGGGGGTGTAATTGCACTTTTTGGGTTTCTTTTTCAAAAGATATTTACAGTATAACATGTTTTTTTCACTGAAAACCTGCAGTTCATGGAACTTTTCGGTGGCCTCTCGGCTCCGTTCGGCCGTCGTTTTGTCCGGATGCGCTTCCCGGACACGTGCTCGATATTCCGCTATTATTTGGTCCGTCTGAACAAATTCACTCTTTACTCTTTAGGAAATTAATTCAAAAATCTACCGACGATTTTTCGTCACATCCGAGCACTCGGTAGAGCTCCGGCTCTTTCGGTTTCGCTGCCAAAACGTCCACAAAGGACATCTGAATTCAATTTTTTTTTCACAAACTGTTTCAAACAAAAAATCGACAAAATCAGATACTTCTCGGAAAAATGACCGAAAAAATAGAAATCCAACGTTAATCTCTTTAAAATTCCTCAAAATCGGAAACAAACAAGTAGTAATCAACAATAACAAAAAATAACATTGTTTAGGTGAAAAATCCCAAAATTCTAGCACTTTCACGCCGTTTCCGCGTTCTCCTCCACTTTTCGTTTTCGTTTTCCGTTCGTGAATATGGCGTCCTTTTGTTTTTTGACCGCATCACGTCGCTGCTTTTTCCAGAGCTGAAAACGCGCGAAAATTAGGTTCATGTCGACAATAAATTGAACATTTCGATAGAACTCCGTACTTTTCGTTAACATTTCCAATTTGCGTACGAAAATGTGAGACATTCGTGTGATAGACATAAAATCGATAAAATATCGGGCCGATTGCGCCACGAACGTTTTCGATCGGAATGGATAAGAAGAGGAAGAGCGAAAAGAGACGCAGACGGTCAAAATTTTCATTTTTTGCAGGACTGGACAGAAGTCCGGCCCAGGCTTTTTGAGGCCTGGACTTTTGGCCCACTTGCAATGATCCGGCCCGTTGAAAAAACAGGCGCCTGAAAAACAGGCGCCTGAAAAAACAGGCGCCTGTTCGACCAGCCTATTTGAGCCCAATCGCATCCTTGCAAGTGGGTCAAAAGTCCAACGCCTTGGCCGAAATTTGCCCAGTCCTGAATTCCTCAAATTTCGCAAGCTCACCTTGAAAATGGCGTCTCTATGGGGCGCCCACGTGTCGATGACCTTCTCGACGGTCTGAGTCCGTCGAAAATTCGCCGCCAAACTTTTAATTTTCTCATCTGAAAATGGATCGACGAAAAATGCGGAACTCGTCGGCTTCGCCTTCAAAAGCGACGCCTTTTCCGCCGTTCCTTCCCCATTTTTGCCATTTTTCTCCAACTTTTTCGTCGGTTTTTCCTCTGGCTCCGGCTCGTAATTTCGGCCAATCGACGAGAGAAACGAGAAGCCGTTCGACGCCGAATCGCCCGCTTCTTTTTGCTTTTTCAGCTGGAAACTCAAGACTTGAGAGAAAATGGTCTAGAGGATCACAAACCTCATTGGAAAACTGTTCGTCCATTTTAAAGAAAATCTCCGTTTTCTCGAATTCCTCATCGCTTTTCTCGTCCTCTTCTTCCTCTTTCTCCCCGTCCGATTCGTTCTTCTCCCCTTCAGAATGCGCCGATTTTTCCAGTTTTTTCGGATTTTTGGAGGCTTCGAATGCCCGCATCCACTCCAAATGTTCCGGATTCTCGGGATCGAATCTCGTGAACGGGCGGGCCTTCAGAAGTGCTCCGGATGCGTCTGAAGTCGTCGTCAACTTCGGCTTCTTCTCCTCCACCGTTTTGCCGAGAATTCGAGACAATAGCTCGCGGTTTTTGTCTTTTTCTTTCTTCATTTCCTGCAAAAGTAAAGTTTTAGTCATTATCTGGTGGAAAAATAAAGAAAAATCGTACTTTTCTCTCCTCGTCCATTTCTTGGTCATCTGAATCCGATTCGGCGAATTTGTCGTCGAGTTTGAAGCGAGGATCGCTGTTGAACCGCGATTCCAGCTTCATCAGCTTTTCTCCTTAAAAATTGATGATTTTACCTCAATTCCCTAAGAAATTTCATGTTTTACACACCAAACAGGACTGGGAAAATTTCCTGGACTTTTGGACTCCTTGCAATGATCCGGTCGGGACCAAACTTTGCAGGCCGCTTGGACTTGGGTTGAAGTATATTGTGCTCAAGTTTCAGACCGATCCGATCATCCGGTCCCGAGATATGTGGATCAGAGGGTTTCCGACCTCAAACCAGTATATCTCGGGACCTATTGATCGGATCGGTCTGAAACTTGAAACCAATATACTTCAATCCAAGTCCGCGAAGCCTGCAAAGTTTGGACCCGATCGGATCATTGCAAGTGGGTCAAACGGTCAGCCCTGATTCCTAGCCCACCTTTGGGTCCAGAGTGCCGATTGACGAGGGTTTCCTCGTCGATGACGTCATCCTTCTCATTTTCCATTTCATCTTCCGAATCGAACAATTTCGGGCGTTTCGAAGAGGATTTCGATGTGGAAATTGGCTGAAAATTTTTCAATTTCTATTGACCTTGTCCTAAACATTCGCGTACTTTCTCGCCAGAATCCGTTTTTTCGACGTCCTCGTCGTCAGAATCCTCGAATACGATGCGTTTCGTCGCCTTTTTGTCCACATTCGCAATATCCTCGGCGATTTGTCGTTCCCGCGCCTTTTGCTGCTCAATTCTTTGTCGGAGGGCCGCTCGGCGAGCCTCCTCCGATCGTTGACGTCGTTTTTCTTCCGGATCCGCCTCTTGTGACATTCTGGCGAATTTTTTCGTAGGCAAATGCTGATGATTTTCAGAAATTGCTTTCTAGTCGAAAATATTGATATCAAGGTCTGGCAACCATTAAAAAGATAGTCAAAACGTTTCAGAGATCAAAAGTTTATTCGAAATAGGATTGGCCCACTCGCAGTTGACCGATCGGACCCGGCCAGTGCAAAAAAACCTGGCCACGTTTCAGTTTATCGCTAGATGAGATGATCCATTTGGGCCCAAAAATGTCCTGATGATACTTCACACCAAGGGCAACGTCCAAAACAATTTTGGGTGCGATCGGTCAACTGAAAATGAGCCAAACTTTGCCAGGAGTCAACGCGATACAGGCATGGGCGAACGGTTTGCTTCTCGTTGCCTGAGAAATTGTTTTTAAAGGCGCACAGCATAAAATTTATTTCTATGCGCCGGCTTTTTCTCTTCTTCCAGAACAAATCCGCCCAAGCCTGAAGCGAGAGGAGAAGAGGGTCGAATAAATGTTCGAAAATTGGAATTTTCACACACACACACACGCAAAAAACGTGAAAGAGACCTGTCAGAGAGAATAAGAGGAGAAAGGGGCAGAGGCGAGTGTGGTACAGAGAAAAATTGGGTAAAAGACACGTTAAGCTTGAAAATATCGCAAAATTATCCCTCGAGCGTCCTGCGGCACTGCTCGAGCTCCTCCACTTGCAGATTCGACGTGGCGATGAGCTCTTCGGCAATATAGACGAATTCGGTGAGGAACTTGCGCGCGTACTGCTCGTCCTCAATGTGCATGTCGAATTGGGTGTACATCGACTCGCGCAGCTTGTCCGCCTTCGTCTCCAGAATCTCGTAGAATTTTTCGACGAAGAACTAAACGGATATTCTTTGTTTTTCCAATATCCACCAGCAATGCTGCCTACCTTAATCTGGTGCTGTCGGTTGAGTTGCGCGAGAAGCGTGTCGCACTTGGCCTCAATCTGATCCTCGTCCGTGTCGATTTGACGCGAGAAACGAGCGGAAATCCATTGGGCGAGCAACACTCGAATCAATCGATAAGAGAGCTGCTTGTGCGCGTTCCGCACCTGCTCCATTTGCACATTTGCGCGCGCGTGATCCGTCTGCAAAAATCGTAAAAATTATGGTGGAAATTGCGAAAATGTCTCCAACGAACCCCGGCTTTTTCGATGCGGTCGGCGAGCGTGTGCATCGCCTCGTGGTAGAGCTTCGCCTCGGCGAGTTGTGCCCTCTGCCGGTCCCTCAGCGCTTCCCATCCACGCACCGCCACCGGCAACATCTTTGTCGGCGCCGGATTCTCCGCAATCGCTTGGCGCCAGATGCGCTCGTCGATTCCTGCAAAATGAAGGGTGGACCACGAAGAACCGCAAAACGAACCGTCGGGGACCGTCTCGAGGTAGCGGTCTCTCTGCGCCTTGGACATTCCTACTTTCGGCAGTACTTTCGTCTTGTCCACCCGCAATTGGGCCTCCAGTTGATTCAGTTTCGCCGTTTCGTTGAGTGCGTGGGCGACTCGAGTGGCCAGAGCCAGTTGACCGCCTTCTTTCACCACTATGCAGATCTGGAAATTGAAAATCAAAATTCACTTTTTCGACATGTTTCCCTTTTTTAAGTTGAGCGCCGGCAGTTTGGGACAAGCGATTGGAAGGGGAATGGTTCGGAAAAAAATTTGGCAGTCATAAGGCTGCCCAATTTACCCGGACTGTAACAGGTTGTCAATTTGTTCTAACTGTCTGAATTACTTCTATGGGTCATATATATTTGGCGTTTCTCAAACATCCCGCATCTATGAGTCACCTCTGTATTTCCGTCGGGAAGGGAGCGGAGAGTGGTTCCGGGTGCGTATTGCACTTGAACATTTGGCGGATTTCCGAAAATCGCCAAAATCGCGTCGAGAATCTTTTGGCGCCGTTCGTCAGTGTTCAAATCGGCAATCGGGTGGCGGAGCACCATCGAAACGATGCCTTCGTCGTCCGTTCGCTCCGAAATCTTGTTGTAGCCGATTCCCTGTCAAAATTCACATTTTAGTGGGGGAGAATTAGAAAATTCTCATGAAATCTTCAACTAAAAATGGCATTTATAACAGGGTTGGGCAAACTTCGAGTCTTTTTGAGGCCTGGTCTCTTGACCCACTTGCAATTATCCGATCGGGACCAAACTTTGCAGGCTTCTTGGACTTGGGTTAAAGTATATTGAGTCCACGGTTCAGACCGATCCGATCATCTGGTCCCGAGATATACTGGTTTGAGGCCGGACAGGCCGCAAATTTGGGTTTTTTTTCAGCCTACGATCCACATATCTCGGGACCAGATGGTCCGATCGGTTTGAAACTTGGGCCCAATATACTTCAACCCAAGTCCAAGCGGCCTGCAGAGTTTGGTCCCGACCGGATCATTGCAAGTGGTCCAAAAGAAGGGCGAAACTCACGACAAACTTTTCGAAAACATTTCCCTCCATATTGAACGTCTGAATCTGATTTCCCTCTTTGTACGGCGCTTTTCCGGTTCCCAGAGCGGCGGCGACCTGAAAAATTGGCAAAATTGCTGAGAAACTACTTTAAAACCCTTAAAAAGTACAAACCTGATTCAGCATGGCAATCTGCTTGTCAAAATCGTTTCCAGTGATTTGTGGATGGCCGCACGCCTTCACAAACGGATGATATTGCTGAAAAATTCAATTTCCATGCTTCTTCTGCCTTAAAACGGGTACCTGAATGATTTGCTCCTGCTGAACGACCGTCTGCTGCTGCTGATTGGCTGCTCCGAGCCCTCCTAGGCCTCCGAGGCCTCCGCCGCTCGAAGATCCGAAGAGACCGCCCGTCGTGGCGGGTCTGGCGGCCGTCGAGCCGAAAAGTCCGCCTCCGGATGTCGAAGTTCCTGACGGGGCGCCGAATGTCGTCGAGGCTACAAATTTGCGTTTCTCAATTCTAATTTTGCAACTTTTCTTAATTTCTAGCTCAACAATTGTAATTTCAGCCGGAAAATCGCATTTTCCAAATTTCTCTTCTACATTTCGATGACGATGATGATGGCAGTTTGGATGGGATCCCGACTTTGTCGAGACCTCTTCGTTTCGCCACGAAAACAAATTTGGCAACTTTAACGTTTACCAGCCATGCGTTTGGCAACAATTACGTTTCGCAATTGTAACGGAATGCAACCAAATGTTTCGCTGCTAGGTCGGTTTTAAGGTAGTTACTACGAATGTGTGCACCCAATTTTCCCGCAAAACTGGAAAATCTCTCTCACAAATGTGTCGTGCGGTGGCGATCGGCGCCTTCAAAAAGTAACCTTCGAAAAATTGGGATCTAGCGTTGCCAGGCCTAGCAAAACGCACAAGGTTCGAATTGTGTGCTGGTTGCGAAACGTACTGTTTGCGAAACAAATGGTTGTAAAACGTGACAGCAGCCAAACGAAACGTAGCGCAACTTGTGAAACGAAGAGGTCTCAATTTTCTAACAAAACTAGGTCTACATAATCCATTCGAACCTGTCGAAGTGGTTGCGTTGGCACCGAAAAAGAGTCCCGCCGGGCGGGAAGTGTTGTCGGTCGTCTGGAAGGCGCTGGCGACACTCGCGTTGGCTCCGAACGCACCCGAACGAAACACTTGCAGTTTCTGCTGCACATTCGTCGGCTGCTGCGAAACTGCAAAAACGGGCGGCGGTGCGCGTTTTTCGGGTACTCCACACGCCGGTTTTCCGGCATCTTCTGCCGGAATTGGGGACGAAGGCGGCGGTGCGGGTGCGCCGACGGCTCCAGAAGCTCCAGAAGCTCCAGAAGCTCCAGAATCGTCGAGCGGAGCAAAAAGGCGGCGGCTCGCGGATCTTCCGCTCAACCGACGCTGGAGAATCGGCTGCTCTTCGGCCGATTCGGCGGGCATCATAAATGAAAACATGCCGACGAACGAAGACAAAAAAGATTGTGTGAAATGACGACGACGACGAGCACAAAAGAGAGAGAGAGAGAGTCAGAAGGCGGAAAGGAGCGAAAACCGCGAGGAAATACGGTCGAAAAGTGCGAATTGGCAAATTTCGGTCCGGAGTAGGTCAAATAAAACTTTTTGAAGATCTTAGGCAATTGTTTAGCTTGAAATACGATTTTTGCATTAAAAAACAGGTAGTCAATGTAGAAAACAGCTGGAAGGCTCAGAAATATCCCAACCCAACCATCATCATCTCTCGAAAAGTGGTGGAAATACTGCACAACACTCACAAAACTTTCGACTAATCGATATTAATCAACTCAGAATCCATTCCGATCGCATAATAATGCACTTACACGTGGTGGAAGAGCCGAAAAGGCTCGGTTGGGCCGTCGAAGCGGTCGGGGCGGCTCCGAAGAGCGTTCCGGCCGAAGACGTCGTCGTTGTCGTCGATGTTTCTGGAAATCAGGTTCTTTACAATTTAGCGTCAATTGATGTGGATTTTCTACAAGAATTATGTAGTTTTTAGTGAACTAACTTCCAAACAAGCCTCCAGAAGGCGTCGACGTCGTCGTCGTTCCAAAAAGCGACGGAGTGGACGAGGCTTGCGTTGTGGAGCCGAACAGCGGCTTTGCCGGCGTTCTGAAACCAGTTTTTTGGCATTTTCAGCATAAAGTCGATACTTACGTGCTTCCGAAGAGTCCTCCGGTGGAAGTTGCGGGGGCGGCGGGCGTCGGGAACGTGAACGCCGGCTTCTGCGGAGTGCTAGACCCGAAAAGAGACATATTTCTGTAAAATTATAGACTTTTTTGTCAAATGGATAAAATATAATGCGCAAAACAATTTTTGAGCAGAAAATGAGCGGATCTCGACGGGAAATGAATGAAAAATCAATGTTTTGGGGTGTAGACGCACAATCATTCGAAAATGCGTTAGGTGTGCGGTGGAGCGCACTTGCATACCACGTCAGCGGGAAATCCCTAAATTAAAACTGTCAGGTAAGTAGTGTTTGCGTGGAAAACCCGACATTGAACGCAAAAAATGAGAAAACAGCAACAAATATTGATTTATCCACAGAAAATACATATAAAATACAGTTTTTCAACGAGATCTCTCTGTAAAATAACACAACAACCGAACATTTTGTCAAAGTTGATTGGAAAGTGCAATCATTGTTACTGAAACGACACCAATTATGGAGGAAATTGCCAAAATTAGATAGGATTGACGGCCCTGTAAAGAATGGTTGGCAACAATTCGAATTCCCGCCCGACCTGAATGCTTTTGAACACAAAAACGTCGAGTGCGCCGCTGATTAGCGGCGGAAGACGGGCGGTGCACGGATAGGCGACCACTTGGGACAATTTATCGGATGAGACGAACCATAACGTCATTCCTGAAAAATTTTGCAATTTTTTGCGATGCTTTGAGCCCATGGCCTAGAAACTCACCGGCCGTCCACAAAAGGCCGTATCCGATCGCCGGAATCACCAAATTACGCTCCACATACGCTTTTCGTCGCAAAATCAGACAATAGGCGAGAAAATAGAGGGTTGAGAAGAGGAAAACCGAAGTGTAGAAGGGAAAAATGTAGTCGAACACTGAAATCCGGTTGTTACGCATTTTTTCGGGCTTTTGAACTCTTATAGCGAATTTTTGAGAATGTTTTGAAAATGAACCTTGAAAAGCGTCGGTCGGCGGGTTTTTCTGCTTCAAATACTCGATCGGCGACATCATTAGACCGTGTAGACATGCCAAAATGATGGCCATCAAAATGTAGCTGAAAAAGAATTTCTATACATTTTTCCAGACTTGTTTCACAAAATTCATCGCTTTTCCCTCAACTCACGGCACTTTTCTGGTCAATGCGGGCAGGTCAAAAGCGGAATTCTCGTCCCGATCGCTATCGATTTGCTCGCGATGCGCCGTTTCTTTGCCCGTCACGTCGTACTCGTTTTCGGGCTCCGGCTCCACGTGTTTCACAAAAATCAATAAAATGCCACTGGAAAAATGTCGCGTTTTTTTTGTGTCAGCCCAAAAAGTGCACCTGACGATGGTCAAAACGATGCCGACATAATTCAAAATGTCGTTTTTCACGTTTTGTGGAGCAATCCATTGGAAAAGACCGAATCGAGCCACTCCCCAGCCGACTATTATCTGCAAACATGTTCTTTTTTTTAAGTTTTGGATTCTTATATGAGAATATATCAAAAATGGCTACAGACGTGGCCTAGAAAACTCCTAGGTCATGAGATCTTTTTCGAACAATCCTCAGACGTTGCCAAGCATTCACACAATCGAACAGAAGATTGTCAAAGTTCAATGGGGGAAGAGTTTTCACACCTGAGCGTTTTCTAGGCCACGGCCACAACTTTTAGGCATTTCTGATTTACAGGAGGAAGAACAAATTCCGGAAAACGTGGCATGATCATGAACATTTGTCCGCCGGGAGTTCAGTTTCAAATTCAAAAATACCTGTAAACTGGTCCAAATCAAGAATCCGACGCCCATTCCGATGCCTTCAACAATCGGCACACTGAACACGTTTCCTGCGCATCAACAGCGTTTACTTTAAAAAGTAAACACATTTTTTGTGCTCACCAGTGGCATACAGTAATCCTCCGATACAGGCGATCGGTTCAAAGTCGGGAAATCCGCGGGCCGCGTAAAAAACGCATCCGACTGTGAAGACCACCGAACATTCGATCCATTGCACGAAAAATCCTGGAGAAGAGTTGCCGAGACCTACAGTACGCCTACAGTACCCCTTTTCGCTTACCATCTTTACAATTTCGACGTCTCAACGGCACAAACATGGTGCCGAACGCGCAGCACGACAATAACAGGGCCGGATAGCCGACGGCCTGGAGGGACGTGTCTACCGTAATCCCCGGGGTTACGGTAGTCGTCATTCGGTGTCTGCAGATTCGTTTTTTGAAAGTTTCGTTTAAATAGGCTACGGTGGTGGTTCACGAATTATTGGAAGTGTACAAGACAATAGTGCAAAACTGTTGGGAGACCCAATTCCCACATAATAACTAGTAGTACAAGAGGAAATTGGAATGCGAGTGCGAGTGCGAGAATTCGAGAATCGGACAATACAATTGTGTGGAAAGCATGCTTTTACGACGTTTTTATAGGCGAAACGTGAGGGGAATCGGAGAATCGGAACACCCGAAACGTTTGACGGGCAAAACATGTGAACTCTTTCGATGAGGTTGTGAGATTTGAATAAGAAACGTGATTCTCTGTGATAATACTATCGGTTTAGTTTTGCGCGACAAAGAGATGATGAAAAGTTGACCAAAGTGATAAGAAAAGAGGGTGTGTAAACTAAAAAAGCGGCCGACAAAGACACTGGTCACTTCCTTCTTTGTCTTGCAACCAGTGCGACCGCGTTTCGATGAGTCTGAAAAGGTCTGCTTTGGGAATGCGCCTCGAACGGCGCGAGTTCAAAAACAGCAGCAAAACGGAACCGATCGAACCGAACCCATGGCCATTCTTTGATCTCTGGCGATTCGGACAATCGGTGGAATCGTATCACCGTCAGCGCGGGGCGTAAAATTTTATTTTTACGGATCTGTAAAAAACGTAAATTTACGGTTTCAAGAAGACGTAAAATCCATAAATTCCGCCGTAAGATTTGTATAATCCATGAAGGCGTACTGGTTTTGTCAGTAAATGAAAACTAGCATACAATTCAATGTAATTCTAACTTTTCTATAGTCCTTATCGTTTTTTGAACGTTTCGGTGTCTTTTGATGCCTAATGGGGCTATTCAGACTGTGAAAAAAATGATTGTTTTCCGTTTTTTTCGTTTGTTTAACGTCAAAAAATCCAATTCAGCGATGTAAAAAAAACGGAAAACAAGCATACGCTGAATAGCCCCATAATCTTGTTTTTCTCCTGATCAAATCAGGCATTTCTGATTTTAGACAAATAGCGCAAAAGTAATAGATTCGAGAAAAATCACTTCTATCACCAAAAAAAGTAAAAATGTCGCGGTTTCGAAATGTCCCGGAGCCAATTCTTCAGATGTTTGCTGTGAAATTCCGCAAAAGTCGCATCGAAAATGAACGGCGGACACCGTGGTTTTCAACGCGATTGGCGGTGTCGGAAGCATCCGTCCGCGCAGATTGCAACGGACGAAATATGGGCCAAAAATGGATGTGGGTCAAAAATGGCCCATCGATGAGCCATCGTTCGCCCATCGCTTCATCCATCGGAAAAAATGGGCGTAAAATGGGCCAAAGGGTGATGAGCGAAGCTTGGCCCATCGATGTCCGAACCGATGGGTCATCGATGGATCATTTGTCATCCTTTGGAATAAGCGCATGGCACATTAATTAATCAAAAATTCTTACAGTTGTCTTGTTTTATTTTTAATCTCTCTAATTAATTTTCCATGTTTTCAGGAATACATTTTTTCTCAAATTTATATACTTCGGAAAGTGATGCCGAGACGTCGACAGACTCCTGGTCGACAACGTTGACGTCGTTGAAGAAGAAGTGCGGGTGGAGCAGCAGCTACCGATTTCGTCCGGAGGGAGTTGTTGCCCAGTCGAATTCATGAAGAAGACTTGCATCGATCCGAATTCCGGAGAACTTCTCACGCGAGAAGAATGCGACGTAGGTGTCTCATTGTAAATTCTCTTAGGAAACTTGAAATAAATTTCAGAGCAAAATAAAGCAGGAGTTGAGAAACAAGAAAAAGATCGACTATTATCACATAATGGCGAAATCGCAGGAAGAGCACTTGGTCGACACGGAAAGCCAGTGTACGGAAAGCAACCAAGAGGCTGACGTTGTCGGAATCAACATTAGACTGGCGTTTTCTGCAGACGATGGCTCCACTCTTCCAGGAGGACGGAAAATCAGAATTTCTTCATTCATCACACACAATATGGCGTCGTTCTGGCGGAAGACTGACATGGAGGATGCAGTGGCGAAATGCATTCTGCAGACCGCCAAAAAGGTATTTTCCAATACCCTGAAGTGAAATGCTGAGTGTCCTTTCAGATCGCCAAGAAGGACAATCTGTTCTTTCTGTACGCGGCTCCGAAAAGCAAAAGGGCTACGACATATGTATCCCTTCCCGATGACTTTTTTGTTTCGTTCGGAGGTAAATAGTGCTTCGTTCTCAGAAAATTTCATTAATCAATTTTAAATTTTAATGGGAAAAAAGACTCACTCGAAAAATTAAGAAAAATGAATATTTTCTTCAAAGGCGCTTTGCTTTTTGTTTCAAAACTCAGCGGGTCCCGCCACGACACGACAGTGACCGTATTTTCAGATTTTGAGCCTTTCGTGAGAAATTATCGGGTTTTCGTGGGATTTCGCCGTATAATTTCAACAATTTGACTTCTTTTCGCCCTTTCGTGAGAAATTATCGGGTTTTCGTGGGATTTCGCCGTATAATTTCAACAATTTGACTTTTTATTCGCCCGTCCGTTTCGAATGAACCGTTTATTTTCAAATACGAAAGGCATATCACCGGAAGAAATGACGAAGACGATCGCGCTGACACGAGATGTGCTGACAAATTTTTTGTAAGAGATTCAAACGTAATTGCGGAGCAAAATTTTCTATTTTTTCAGAGATCGCCCAATTACAAAGAGATTCATGGCAAAGATTCCGTCAAATCAGCGCTTCTGTCTTTCCGAAGTGTGCTCGAGAAAGATTCCAGCTTCCGCGCCGAGGAAGACACACTATTGGGCTCAGAAGAACTGTCTTCCGAATAATTCAACCCAAAGTCGCCCATTTGTTATTGATTATTAATTCCTTTTTTGTAGTTTACCTGTGTTTTCTATTGTAATAAACATTTCTGCTTTCTAAACGGAAAAGGCATAGTAAAAGTAAAACTAATGGGCCATGAAGGGAGCGGACGAGCGATGGCTAAAGCCGGATGGGCGTACGATGGGTCATCGATGGGCCATTCTAGAGGTCTTTGGTTGTTCCTTGTCAGTCGCCCATCGGTTCGCACATCGGTGGCCCATATTTCGCCCGTTGCAATCTGCCTGTGATCTACGGTTGGCGCAGTGGTAGTGCTCGCTCCACTGTTTTATAGGGCCGGGTTCAAAACTTTTGACCTTGAAACTTGTTTTTCTATCTTCGAACATCATCATTTCTGTTCATTTAAAATTTTGCAATCTTAGAGTTTTGTGAGACCCGTTTCGCTGCTGTCTTTCGAAACCAAAGTACGAAAACATCTTATCATTGAACAAAACTTGAGCATAAATAGAGTAAAATCGTCAAAACAACGGCGGAGATAGGCGGCTTATAATCACTCAAAAACACACTCTCACTCTCATTTTTTTTTCTCACTCTTCTTCAACTTTGAAAATGACAATTGGCATACTTGTGAGCTCAATTCCCTTTTTTCTACTAATTTCTCATCGAGCTAATGGATTTTCGGTGAAGGAGGAGGAGGAGGCGGAAATTCCGGAAAATTACATTTCCGCCAAGTGCATCAAGGATATTGCCGCGTGGAAAACGAGTTTCAAAGAGCTCTCGGCGGAGCTCCTCGCCTGCTCAAAACTGCAAAATCCGTCGACATGTGACACGTTCAAAAAACAAATGTTCCACGACAATATTTGGGCCATTTATCGTGAGTTTAGCCCGAAAACCACAACAAAAAAAAAGCGTTAGTTAGTTGCGTCGTTCAGAATTCGATTCGTTCGGCAAGATTCCGCCAAATTTGCTGGGATTCAATAAAGTCTGGATGGGCGAGTACGACGAGTGTCTCGAGGTGGACAATCCGACCGACAGCGCCTATCGGTGAGCGAGCGCTTTTTGGCTGAAAACTCTGCAAATTTACGGGGTTGTTTTGCAGAACACAATTCTGTTGGGCTCATCTGAACCTTCCAATCGGCCGCCTCATGTCCAAGTCTGACGCAGTGGTGAGAAAAAGTGACGTATCTTGACGGGCAGTGGAGATATCGAAAAACTGTCAACTGATGAAATGTTTAGCAGGAAATTGTGTACATTTTGTTAGTTGACAACTTTTTGGCATCTCTACCGACAACTGAGATATAGCGTTTCGAAAGGGGGTCATCTCTAAAACATTGCAGAAGACAATGTCGACGACGTGCGGTCCGGGCAGTATGACAGACGTGAAAATGAGCATTTGTATGCCGGCGTCGTGCTCCGAAAACGACCTCAAACTGGCGTTAAACCGTTTTTCGATCTTGCCCATCCCGAGAATTCAAAATGAATCAATGTCGCACGAATTGGTGTGCGACGTCACGTGCCGGCCGCTGCGATTCGAGCCCGACACGCTGTTTTGGGTGGCCACCGTACTCCTCGGCACTATTGTCCTCTTCTGCGTCTTCGCCACCATCGCCGACTATTATCACGAGGGATATCGCGACGAAAAGCACAATAATCCCGGCAACAAGTTGAAGTACTTCCTCGCGTTCTCAATGTTGGCCAACGGACGATCGTTGATGAGAGTGTCGAAGAATGCGAACAATTTAAAGGGCGTCGAGTGTATCAGGTGGAAAAAAGACCAAAAAAGCACAAAAACCGACATTCTAGACGCTTGCAGATTCCTGAGTTTCACGTGGGTAGTGTCCGGACACATTTGGGGCGACTGGGAGGACGCCGACAATCCGCTGAAGGTGATCGACATTCTGAAGACCCGCGACTACGAGATCTGGATCAACGCGTTCTTCTCCGTCGACACGTTCTTCTTCCTCTCCGGCCTCATGCTCTCCTACTCGTTTCTGCCCAAATTGAGCATTCGGAAGGCGTTGAGTCCGGCCACGTGGCTCGTTTTCTATCTGCATCGCGTCCTCCGTCTCACGCCCGTTTATTTCACCTATCTGCTTTTCTACACCACTTACGGACCTATGGTAGACACGTTTTTCGGGCAAACCATGACCCCCTTTCCATTTTTTCAGACAGATTTCGGTCCGAACGAGATTGTAAAGCGTCAGGATATGGAGAATTGTCGATATTATGGCTGGAAAAACTTGTTGTACATTAACAATATCTACGAGCCGCGCAAAAATGTGAGTTTACAATATCAAAAGCGCACGGAACCCCAGCCTTGGCGCAATTCACGTGCGCTAAACAAGGCGCGTAACGCGTAATTCCGGAGCCTCGTTGTCGAGTTTCTCATTTCAATTTTCCCCTTTTTTTTGCATTATCCCCATCTTTTCAGAAGCAATCAGTGTCAAAACTTATGATAATGATTAGAAATGAATTTAAAAAAATGAAATTTTAACTGCTTCGTCATCAATTTCGAAACGTTTTTTGTGAAAATTACACAATTTTTTCCGTTTGAAATCGAAAATTTGCCTCAATTATCTCAATTCTGTATATTTTTCGACGGTTGAGCGCTTAAAAGATGCGCAATAAACTCCTTGTTGACTGGACGGTTCGAATGCCAGTGTCCGAACTCGATTTCGGTTTTTTTCAGTAGTTTTCGACAAAATCCCTCAATTTGGTGTCAATTCTGAACGAATCTGCTCCGTTTCGCGCTTAAATCGATGCTTTTAACTCAGACAATCGCCCTACGGTTCGGAAAAAACAAAATTTGAGTGTGTATTAAGAGAAAAACCAAAGAATTCTGGTTTTCAATTGAAAAAAGAAAATGCGAGTCGACGGTGGATGCAAGCGCGCCCCATTGACAACTCGCTTGCGCATTGGAATGCTGGGGTTCCTCCGTGACGCGCGTTTTCATGGAACATCGCTTCCAGTGCCTCTCAATCTCGTGGTACATGGCCTCGGACACCCAAATGTACCTCGTTTCCCCGTTCTTCCTCGTCGCTTTTCTGTTGGGACCGATTCCCGGAGTGATTGCGGCTGTTGGAGTGATTATCGTTTCGACTATCATCAATTACTGGCTATTCTTCCACTACGACCTCCCTTTGACGCTTATTCAGGCCTAGTGAGTGTCAAAACCAATAAACGTCGGGGAAAAAAAAATGGCTTCAGCATGACCGGCGACGAGAAAATCATTCATATTGTGCAAGATTTGGTCTACGCCGCCGCCTACATCCGAATTCCTCCGTTCATCTTCGGAATTGTGATGGGATACGTGTTGTGGAAGACTAGAAATGTCAACATTAACATGAATATTGTGAGTTTCCCGCTTCTTCTTTTCGTCAAAAGTGCACAGTGTGAATCTTGGAATTTTCGTTCTCGCGCGCTCTTATCATCGCCCTCGCGCCCCCCGAGCTAAAAGTGGGTGTATGGCGCAGTGACGTCGCTTTTGCCCATCACACAGAGGCCGCCTCAGGTTCGATCCCCGCGCTGGTCTAATCGCTTTTGCAAGCGTTTTTTCAATCATGAAACCGTTGCAGGGAGTCGTGTTCGCCCTCTGGATCAGCTCTGCCCTGCTGGCGTTGGGCTCAATCTTCATAATCCACAATTACAACAAGGGCGACTACTGGACGGTCATGGAACGCGCCTCCTATTATGCGTTCAGCCGCATCGCCTGGTCTTTCGCGCTTTCGTGGCTCATTTTCGCAATAAATCGCGGTCAATCGGGTCGGTGGCCTAGCTTTCTCCGGCGGTGGCCTAGCTTTCTCCGGCGGTGGCCTAGCTTTCTCCGGCGGTGGCCTAGAAACCCCCCAACTCGCTCGTTTTCAGGTCTAATCGGCAGGTTTATGTCGTTAAAGTTTTGGACGCCGCTGGGAAAACTCACGTTTTGCGCCTATCTCTGTCACATTCTAGTGGTTCACTCGATTTTCAATCTGGAACGTTCGCCGCCGCACTTTGTCGGCGCTTTTCATACGGTACGTCGAAAAAGTGGAAAAAATATCTCAAAAAATCGTGATTGTACAGTATCTGACAAAAGTGGTGCCGTCCGTGTTCGCCTCGTGCATTTTCGCCGCTTTTTGGACGCTCTGGTTCGAGTTGCCGTTCGCCAAATTGGAAGCATTTCTGATGACGTCACTGACGGGCGGCGGCGGCGGTGCGCGCCGAGACACGGAGAAGGAGAAGGAGTGCACGAAAATTTGACGCGTTTATTCACACATTTCAATAAAATATTAGTGATTCTCAAGAATTTATTTCAATTCATTTCCCGTTTTCCGTTTGAGATTTCTTCGTATTCTTCATAGGAGGAGCACCTGTGTGTGTGTGGATTTTCAGAGGCCTGTCACGTATTTCGGGCCTAAAAAGGCCTAAATGCAAGCGCCGTTCTTCACGAGAATATTGTCGATCGCGATGGATTTGGTCTCGGTGGCGTTGTTGTAGAAAAGGACGAAAATCTGAAATTAAAGATAGGGTCAATTTTTATCTTTTTTAGAAAATTTTTTCATGGAATGTGATCAACTGACGAAATGTAGAGCAAAGTGAACTGTGCTCATAGAAAAATAATTGTAAATTTAGCGTTTCATACAAAAAAGTTATTCGAGTTGTTCCGTTAGCCCCCTTTTTTCACGGAACAACTCGAATAACTTTTTTGTATGAAAAGCTAAATTTCCAATTATTTTTCTATGCGCAGAGTTCACTTTGCTGTACATTTTGTCAGTTGATCACATTTCATGAAAAAATTTCCAAAAAAAGATAAAAATTCTTCCGTTGAGTTCTTCTGCCAGCCACTTGTTTAGTTCACACTTTACGGGGTGCTGGCCAGAGAAATAATCAAAAGATATTGTAGAACAAGACAAAATCACGTGAAAAAAAAAGGCCACCGACCTTTTCGGTGCTCTGCACCTTGATCCGTGCCGAAATACGATTCCAGGAGCGCGGCGCGATCGTCTGCGTCTGACATTTTCGCAAATTCTGCACACAAATCCGCACGTCGATCTCGTGCGACGGAAAAACGTCGATCGACATCGAAATCGGACCGATCAGCGGCGCCTTGTACAACAATCCCGAGTAGGATTTGGGCTCGAGCCGCGAGATTCCGTACCGGTTTTCTGCAACGCAATTCAATTCAAGGGATGTTGTGTAGACGCGCGTGCGCTTACCGTCTCCCTTCTTCATCGCCACACTGATATTGTTAAAGTGTCGGCTGAGCATGCGAAGATCCGCCCATCCGCACTTTGTGTCCTTCTCGAAATTGCAATTCGTCTCCTCGCACTTTAATTTCGGATGGCGACGCTCCAAAATGAGCAGATTTTGTGCGGGTGTAGACGTTATTTCGTGCACATCTTCGTCCATATTCATCAGAATCGTTGTCGCGGCGCTCGGAGTGGTCGCCGTGATTTCTTGTTGCATCAGAGTGGTCAGCGAGGGCGCATTCGTCTGCAACACTTTTGTTTTGGAGCACGGACCATTTAATGTTCAACGAACCATAGCGGTGACGTCATCCGCGAGCACCCGATTCATCTCGACTTCTCTGGACACGGTATTCGCGGCGCCTTCGGTCACTCCTCCGTCAATCCGCCGAACCGGGGACCGTCTCACGTGGCAAACACACTTTTTGCTCGACGGACTCTCTTTTTGCCTCAAACACCGCGCCGACGATCTGAAAACGGTAGGGTAAGCGGAGGCGGGTACGGTGATTCGCCAAAATACTCGGAAGCGTCGAGAGCTTTGCACTTTTGTCGACAGTATGCCATGCCGGGCCGTCCGACGCACATTTTCGCGGTCGACGAGTGGAATGCGGCGGCCGAGCACTCGCCTGGAAGAGTTTCGATGGCCGAGAATGCCGAAATCCCAAAAAAAGAGCCTCACCATTCTGGCACATTCGATGCCGGACCATCGCCGGATCGCCCTTATTGATCGGATTGATCGGCAGTGGAGTGCTATTGTTTGTCTGCAATTTTTTTTGTTTTTTGAAACTTGATAAAACGCGCGCCTACCGAATGCAAATGCATTCTCAATTTTTTGTGACACGGCTCATAGTCGAGCGTCAGATCGTCGAGAAGGATCATCTCGCCGGCGGTGACGTTCGAGAAACGGAGCATCATCTGAAGAGAAGGGCTCAAAGTGCAAAAATACTTAAAATTACCTGAAAGTAGGCGGTTTCCGGTATGATTTCGCGGATCAAATGACCGTTCGACGCGTGCACCGGCGCGCACATTGTCGTCTCTTTTTCTCTGCAAAACGGCGAAGAGAGTTCTAGGCACCAAAAGCGTGTGGCCTAGAAATCCACACACGCGAAAAGTTAGGCCACCCGCCACGGAGCGGCTTTCGCAACATACGCAGCCAAATGGTATGAATTTTTGCGCGTCGGTGTTGCTCTGCGTACAGTGCATTTTTTTAGTTGTTGATGAAAATTAAAGCGTTTTTCTTTGCTTTCTACCTCAATTAGACCTTTTTACAGATTCCAGATGAAGTAATACGCGAAAAGAAGTCGATGCGATGAAAAGAAACGCGTAAGTAAATGGAAGTAATGTTTTATTCAGAAAATGCACAATTTTTCGAAAAACGTCTCTAGATCTTCTAATCTTTTGATTTAAAAAGTTCACTAACATGACTGTGAATGTCTTCGAATCAAAAAAAAGTAGAGTGGCAGCTCGCTTTCGCGTAAAAATTGGTCTTTTGCCGGAAAACAGTGACATTTCGTTGAAAAAAAATTTTTTCGCAAAAACCGTCTCTAGATTTTCCAATTTTTTTGTTTAAATAGTTTACTTACATGACTGTGAATGTTTTCGAACCAAAAAAAAGTAAGGTGACAGTTCGTAGAAGCAAAAAAAAAGTTTTTCAACGAAATTTCACTGTCTTCCGGCAAACTATCGATTTTTCCGCGAAAGCGAGCCGTCACTCTACTTCTTTTTGGTTCGAAAACATTCTCAGAAATGGAATTAAAGTTTTTTAACCAAAAGATTAGAAAATCTAGTCACGTTTTTCGAGAAATCGTGCATTTTCTGAATAAAATCTGACTTTCATTTACTTACGCGTTTCTTTTCATCGCATCGACTTCTCTTCGCGTATTACTTCACCTGTAATCTGTAAAAAGGTTGAATTGAGGTAGAAAGTGGAGAAAAACGCTTAAAAGAGATGAATATTTGGAGAAAATTCATCAACAACTAAAAAAATGCACTTTGCGCGTAACATAAAATGCACTGTACGCAGAGCAACACCGACGCGCAAAAATGCACACAGTGACCCGTTTTACCAACTTGAAGCACAACTCGACAATGACCGTCGGCGGTCTCCACACTCGCGCGCTCAGATTGACGGAGCTCGTCGAGCAAATCGCGTCGCACGTGGAAATTGTGGCCCACGTCGCGCCGTGCTGACTCGTTCCCGCCACAAAATCGCCGTCTGCAATGGTGCATCGTCACGGGCGACGTCACGGGGAGGGGGGACTGACCGGGGGATTCGCGCGGACGGGCCGCCAGACCGTTCGGCCGGCCCGTGTACCATTCGAACTCGCGCGAAAACTGCCAACCGCACGTCGACGAGTCGCGGCACGAAAGCGAAGGAGGCTGAAAAGTTGAAGGTACAGTAGCGCGTTGGGGGATTACTGTACCTACCGTAGGACTATCACACGGGACAACCGTCGGCGGAATCACAGCGAGAAGCGAGTGTTGCTGAACGACAAGAGTGTGGTAGGGATGCACGGCGAACTGAGGATTTGCGCACGCGATCGGAGCCAAATGACACGTGCAGACGAACGAACGAATGCCGAAAAACGACAATAGTTGGCCTGAAAGGGGTACGGTAGGGGTACGGTAGGGGTACGGTAGTCTGGAAACCGACTGACCGGTCTGTCGGGTCCTGCATCCACTGCCGATCCGCATCGGGTACAACTGACCGCAACGCGCGTCGCATTCCGCATCGTAGCCCTCTCGTTGCGGACAAATGTCCTCCTCGATGTCTGAATATTCGAGAAGTCTACAATAGCGGATTAATAACCGTACTTTGAATGAGTACTGTACCCCCAGAAAATTTTATACTGTCATGATATTTGTCGAGTGAAATCTTCACGTCTAGTACTGTATTTTTGTAATTGACAACTTTTTTGCACCATTATTTCCTGGCGTACTGTAGCGCTAAAACGTCCACTGTTTCAATTAGCCTCAACTTGCATGAGTTACAGTACCCCAGGGAGGAGTTGTAGAAAAAAGTTGTCAACTACAAAATAAAAGTGCACGTCGAGTACTACATTTTTGTAGTTGACAACTTTTTTGTACACTTGCTCCCTGGAGTACTGTAGCTGTTGGAACATAGCACTACCACAAAAGTGTAGACGTTTCAGGGCCAACTGCGCAGCGCTACAGTACTCCTAGAAGTGATTGTACAGAAAAAGTGTCAATTACAAAATGAAAGTACTAGATGTAAAGTTGTCGCTCAAAAATTTTCAGAACGTCAAGACATCTCCACTTTGTGTGATACTCGCTAGAGTTGAGCGGAAGAGCTCAACGGAAGAACACGGAAGAATTTTTATCTTTTTTAGAAAATTTTTTCCTGAAATGTGATCAACTGACGAAATGTAGAGCAAAGTGAACTGTGCTCATAGAAAAATAATTGTAAATTTAGCTTTTCATACAAAAAAGTTATATTCGAGTTGTTCCGTTTGCCCCCTTTTTTTCACGGAACAACTCGAATAACTTTTTTCTGTAAGACGCTAAATTTACAATTATTTTTCTATGCGCACAATTCACTTTGCTCTACATTTCGTCAGTTGATCACATTCCATGAAAAAATTTCCAAAAAAAGATAAAAATTCTTCCGTGAGTTCTTCCGCTCAACTCTGACTTTCAAGCGACAAAAACTTGAGGTGGTCCCAATTTTCGAAAGTTCATTGCCAAATCTGCTGGCGCGTAAACTGGCGAAAGTATTCGTTTGGCCGGGCGGCACAGCAGGAAGTCCTTACAATCGAAATGAAATGGATGCTAATCCGCGATTAGCCGCCCTCCTCACTTCTTCCTGTTTCATTCCGAATTCCAAAAGTGTTGGGCAGCCAGCAGCAGCCAGCAGCAGAAAAACAACACGAGCATTATGCGTAAAAGCCAGCGAATCTTGATTGCAACACCCGCCCGCCCCGAATCCCGTTTCTTGTGGCATCATAATAATAATCGGACAATGTGTGGGGGCGATAAGCAAAAAGTGGCGGTCGGATAATAGCGGGCGCTTTGTGATTGATGCGAATTCGTTTGAATGGAACGCAGATATTGGCTAGTTAGCGGGGTTAGCCGAACGCTTGTCAAGATTCACGATAATCGGGTTCACGTTTGTGTGGGCCGGTTTTCCAGGACCACAGTGGTCCAAGGAGTTGTTGTACCAAAAAGTTGTCAACTACAAAGTAAAAGTTCAAGTTTAGCACTACATTTTTCTAGTTGACAACTTTGTTGTACACCCACTCCTAGGAGTACTGTAGTTCATGCAAGTTGAGGCCGATTAACGCAATGTTCATTTCAACGCCTACTTCCAAGCGCTACAGTAGCCCAGGGAGTGGCTATAGAAAAAAGGTGTCAAATACAAAAATGTAGTGCAAGACATGTTCTTTCATTTTGCAGTTGACAACTTTTTTGTACAGCCACGTCTAGAAGTACTGTAGCTCTTGGAATTTGACGTTCAGCCACTGCCCCACTTCTATCATTATCACCCTTTTCCCTCACTTGTTCGCTCCTTCTTATAGCCTCGCTGACCCGATTCTCGCCCCCGCGGAATACCAAGCAAGCCGACCATCAAGTTTATAATAAAACGGACGAAACCCTCGCGCCGCTACCACAAAATTAGCGAAAAGTGAAAGTGATCGGTGACCGACCGTCCGTCCTGTACTTACTTGTTATTATTATGCACGGCTGTTCACGACCCGCCGTTTTTGGGGCTAAGGACATGGATAATATACAAATATTTGTCCAGTAGCTGTTTCGTTTAAACATGAAACAACATTCTGGAGTTTGGTTCAAACAAAAAACGGACAATATTCGAAAGCAGTCAAGGAACGATGGTCAGGATTACTGTAACCGACCTCTCAGACAAACTTGCAATTGTTGTGGTTGTTGTGCAGCAGCCTGACCGTCAACGTTTTCGAGTAAAACGATGCAAACAAGCGCGCACCACGACCGAAATGTCATGGTTTTTGTGATGGAAATCTGAAAGTTGTGGAGAACAACAATAACAACAAAAAAAAACGCGTTGGCGAAGAAGAAGAACAATAATATCTTGGTGGTGGTGGGGGGAAACGAGAGGATGATCGTTTCGGGATGGCTTCTCCCCCCCTTTTCTCCGACTCCGCCCACTTTTTTGCATTTCCCGGGATGACCTCGAAGGCGTCGGCGGACGGGGAGAAAGAAAGAGAAAGAGAGAGAAAGAGAGAGAGAGAAAGAGAGAGAAAGAGAGAAAGAGAGAGAAAGTGACACAGTCTCGAGGAGGAAAAAGTGACAAAAAGTGCTGGAAAAGGTGAAATGGACGGTGCACTAATCGGACCGGCTTATCGGATTTGATACGCATCGAGAAGACGGACGGATGAGTTTTTGAGTGTGTGGCCGAAAAGTAAAAATCAAGATGAGTGAAAATTGACAGGATTACGGGGAGATGGTGGTGGAACGGTCACGAACGCGTTTCACTCGACACTTTGAGCGGCTACTGTAGCTTCTCGCGATGTGCTATGGGCCTGGAAACGTTTTGAGGTGAATCTTGACGTCTAGTAGGACACTTTTGTAGTTGACCACTTTTTTGTGCCGCCACTCCCTGGAGTACTGTAGCGCTGGGAAGTTGGCATTGAAACGCGAACGCAAAAGCGTAGCCGCAACTTTCAAGAGCTATAGTACTTTTAGAATTGGTTGTACAAAAATCATGTCAACTACAAATTAAAATTACATGTCTAGTACAACATTTTTGTAGTTGACAACTTTTCGATCCCACCACTTCTAGGACTACTGTAGCTCTTCAAAGTTTGAACTACATAAAAGCGTAGACGGTTTAGCGTCAAACTTCCAAGAGCTACAGTTCTTTTGCAAGTGGTCCTAGAAAAAAGTGGTCAACTACAAAAATGTACTACAAGACGTGCCCATCACAGTGAAATACTTTTCAAGACGCACCTGCAGCTCTATGCCCCCACAAAACGTTGCTGAAAGTTGGGGAAGGGGCGCAGTGTTTCGAAACCGAAACTGATCAGCTTCGCGCCAATTTGACCCAGAAAAACGAGTGAAAATCGTGGCCAGTTTGTCACGGCTCATTATTCCTTTTCTTGCGTCATCGTTCCTTCCTTCCTCTCTCATTTTATGAGATTTCGCAAACAAAAGTGTACACGAGAACGGGTGAAACTTTATGAACAAGTAGGTTTTGGTTTTGATGAAGGATCAATTACTTCCAGACGCCTTCCTCATCTTTTTTCGGCGCCAAACCAAAATCGCGACGACGATCAAGAAGAGAAGAGTCAAAAGGATGGGGCCGGCGATGTAGGCGTACGGCATGTACACGGCCACCGGACACATCTTCTTTCCTGTGCAACATTCGTCGAATTTTGCCGGTAGAGTGCAGTTTGCTGAACAAATCAAAGCATTAATTGTTGAAATATTGGGCGGAAAACTCACGCTTGCTTTTGCAAAATGTATCCGGATCGTAGGCGTCTGGAAGAAAAGTATGAAGGTACAGTGTCTTTGGGCGCATATATCTTGAGACTGAATGATTTTTTCGAAAAGTGGTCAACATGAAAATTGTTGCAAATTTTGTGCTCTACAACTTTCTAGTTGACAATTTTATTCTAAAGTTTGTCGTTCTTGAGTTATGGCCTTGTATCTGACCAGTATTCACTAGGGCGACGAGAAACAAAAATTCATAGCATTTATCAGTGAAAATAAGAAGAACGATAGTGCTTTGAGGCTCTAGATGAAATCATTAATAGAATTTTAGAAATAATTTGTAACTTTTGACGCTAAAAACTACAAGTACCACCGGCAATCGAACGGCATCGCAATACCATATATTCAAGCAAGTATATCTCAGCAACGAGTAGAGATAGCAAAAAGTTGTCAACTAATAAATTGTTCATCAAAACATTTTGTACATTTTATCACTTGACGACTTTTTGATATCTCTACATACAGTTGAGATACATTGACAATATTGAAAAATGCTCACAAGATCGACAATTTCCCTCACTAATCAACGCCTGCTCTTCGGAAGTGGGTTGAAGAAATTTGGTTCTGTTTAAAAGATTATTCAAGAACGCTTTTTTTTTCAAAGCTCAAACTCACAGCGCATTATTTGGATCGACCAGCATTTCGCCTACTTTTCTGCAACGCTTCAACTATTATCTTTTTCGTGAACAAGTGTCACTCACTGTAGCGAACCCATAAAACTTGCCATTGTTTCGTTGCGCGCTTTCTTCAAATACGACTGTCCGTTTCCACATTTCGTGCGCAAAGGTCGAAAAGTTCTCGACCGGGTGACCGTGTGACTCCACAACCTGACACTTGGCTTCCAGAGCACAGAGCACATTCTTTTTTCGCATTGCCCACACAAAGTATGACTCAAAAGCAACAAACCGAACTCGTCAAGGCGTTCCTGGACGGCCAGAAAACGCTAGCGTCGTACGGGTTTTCAACCGCAATGACTGGCCTCGATGTGGACATTTGTAGAAGTTGTGAGTGTCGGAAAGGCTAGCCGAAAAATCGGACAATATCCGCATTTGCAGACGCGTTCGATTCTGTCAAGCATTGTGCGTCGTTCAAGAGTGGTACGTCGATTTTCGATTCGACGTTGTGCCCATCTTGTCTCATTTTTCAGAAAAAGTCTGCAAAGAGACGCACAAATCGTGCTGTGCCGAGCGGAAAATCTGCGCAAAGCCCGCGTTGTACTGGCTGTCCGTTTATTCGGCCGCCGGCTGTCTCGCTCTCCTCCTCCTCCTCGTTTTGCTATTGGTGATTCGCAAAAAGTGTCTGGGGAAGAAGAGCGCGGTGCCACGTGGCAGTGCGACTACTGGAACGAGCGCCACGAGCGGAACGAGCGGAACGACTGGCACCGAAACGCGCGACACGAAGAGGGCCAGGGACTACTATTTTGGACAGAAGTGACGCACTTTTTCGCGATCATCTACGTGCTATAAACTTGTTTTTTTTGTTGGAAATCTGCATGTATCGCATATAGAAGCGAAATAGTATCAAAAAACCCCGGCGAAACATGTTCGTATTCATCGAAAATCGTACGGTAGACGAACAACGCAGAATTTTTATCTTTTTTAGAAAATTTTTTCATAAAATGTGATCAACTGACGAAATGTTGAGCAAAGTGAACTCTGCGCATAGAAAAATAATTGTAAATTTAGCGTTTCATACAAAAAAGCTATTCGAGTTGTTCCGTTAGCCCCCTTTTTTCACGGAACAACTCGAATAACTTTTTTGTATGAAAAGCTAAATTTACAATTATTTTTCTATGAGCACAGTTCACTTTGCTCTACATTTCGTCAGTTGATCACATTTCATGAAAAAATTTTCTAAAAAAGATAAAAATTCTTCCGCGTTCTTTTCGTTGAGTTCTTCCGCTCAACTCTGGTGAGCAAGCTGCTGCACAGGGAAGCATGGGTGCAGCATGGATGCAGCTACCCAGGAAGGAGCAAGGAGCTCTGTTGGTGCAATTGAAGCGCGTTTTCAGACAGAATTGGTTTTGAGAATGATAAATCACGTAAATACAAGCATTTTGAGCGCTCGAACCGCGAAAATTACCGAAAAGCAACTGAAATTCACGCAGTTTTAGCCAAAAATCTTCAAACGGATAAATGTGATTTGCGACTTGACCAAATTTAACGCTCTTGCGCTTAAAAAATTCGTAATAACCTATACAATCGGTCTATCGAGAGACAAACGAGAAATTATCGATTTTTCGTGGCTAATCTGGCAAAAAACACCAATTTTGCTGTTAAAATTTGAATTTCGCGCCAGCGGGGCGCACTTGCGTGCCCATTGTCAGCTCTGGAGACCGTGAAACGATGACTGCTTCAAGTGTAAGATGCAGACGATGTGTGCGACGAAAAGAATAGGAAAAGTATCGTGACAACAGTTCACTATTGAGCACGTTCCCCATGATTTCAGAATTTCAGCGTCGTGTCCGATTCCGCTTCCTCCTCGTCGTCTTCTTTTTGTGAAAACTGAAAAAGAGCCAGATGGAACTTGTTTCCCTCACTTTTCCGCATAAAGCGATTCGTTTCTGAGCGCGTGTATCCAGATTGTTCTCTAAAATGATAAATTGTGAGTCGGTGAGTGTCCTAGAACCGCTAACAGTCTGAAAAAGTACAAACTGCTCGTTTTCCCTTCCACAACCACCACTACGCCGTTTCCATTCGGAACGTAATCCCTTTCTTGATGTTTGTCCTCGCAAAAGGCACCCGATAAAAGAGTCTCTCTCTCTCTCTCTCTCTCTCTCTCTCTCTCTCTCTCTCTGTTTCTCTCTCTTTCGCATCAGTGGCAAAGAGAACAATAATCTGTCGCGTGTAATACAAAAAATACACACACACACACACAGAGAATGAAGGGAAAGGAAAGGAAGCGAAAGAAGCGGCACTCTAATAAATCGAGTTATAATTGAGGTGAATTAGATCAAAAAGGACCTCCCGCGACTTTTTTTTCTCACTTTTGTTTAGCCTTTTCAGATTTGCCGAAACGTTTTCCTGAATCGTTTAGCATTCCAAACAACTATTTATGGCGAGGGGGGTTGAGTGAAAAAAGTACAGCTCATTTCGTTTGACGAGCTTTGCCAGTGCCATCCATTTCATTTTTGTAAGCGTTTTTGCCTTTTTCTGAGAGTTTTGAGCCGATTTTGACTGTTTTAGAGCTTCACGGGCTGTTTTTAGCTAATTTTTGGCACAAGAAGACGAAAAGTTATAGACGTTACAATAATAGACGCCGTATCTCAGTAGCGGGCAAAGATATCGAAAAGGTGTCAACTAATAAAATGTTTATCAAGAAATTATGTACATTTTATCTGTTGACCATTTTTTGATATCTCTAAAGACAACTGAGATAGCATGTTGTTTACACTGTAATAGATATTGTTTATTGAAATCTTTATTTATCTCAGTAACGGTTAAAGCTATCAAAAACTTGTCAACTAATAAATTGCACAAAATTTGCTAATAAACAATTTATCAGTTGACCACTTTTTGATATCTCCGCACACAGCTGAGATATTCCGGCATTCTGTCTACAGTTTCCTCATAGTACAGTGCCCGCCGCGTAGAATCAAAAAATCTCGGGTTACGCGTGCGTTGCTTCGTCTCAATATTGAAAAGTCGAGTCTTCTTGTCCGTCGGAGGGAGCATCCTTCCGAACTCAAACACACATTGCACTGCTCACTCGCTGCTTCATTTTGCCCCTTGTTCGCACACACACAAGTACATACATAAATACAGGGGTCTTCTCGCCACTTGCACTTGACTATCCCCCCCCTATTGTTTCTTTTCTCATTTTTCTCAACCACACTCTTCTCAACAGTTTTGTCGAGCCTTCAGCTGAACTTTAGAGCCCATTTTTATCAATATTATCAATTTGAGCACATCAAAAACGTCGAGTGAGCGCTCCAGCGATGGCGTCGCAAGTTGGAGCCATCAACTCGGTGAATGCGCTCATCTCGAGGGTATTCGTGCAGCCGAAGGGTGATTTGGTGAGACTGGCCGAGTTTTTGATTTGATATTATGCTTGTCACAGGCGGACCGTCTCAACTCTCGCATCACCGTCGTCATCCTGGCCGTCTCGTCGGCGCTCTTGCTCTCGAGCCACTTTATCGGCGACCCGATCACGTGTTGGACACCCGCACAATTCACGAAACCTTGGTAAGAAAAAGAAGAAGAAGAGCTGAAAAAATTGGCTATTTGTTGTAACCGACAGGGTGGACTTTGTGAATCAGTACTGTTTTGTGCACGGCACCTACTTTGTTCCACTCGACGAGCAGCTCTCTTTTGACGAAGAGGAACGGTAAGACCGCCTTTTTTTTTGAAGTTTTTAAGAACTATTATTCATATTCAGAAAAAAAGTGACAATACAGTACTATCAGTGGGTTCCGTACGTCTTGGCGCTTCAGGCCTTTCTCTTCTACATTCCGAGATTTGTGTGGAAGTCTTTGATTGCTTACAGTGGTAGGTTAGAGTTGCGAATATCCAATTAAAAGACGTTATATTCTACTTGAAAAGTATTTAATTGAAATTTGCACATTTTGCAGTACGTTTTTCTACGGTTTTAGGTAGCTCAAACTTCCAAGAGCTACAGTACTCGTAAGAGTGGTCGTAGAAATAAGTGTTCAACTACGAAAATATAGTACAAGACGTGTACTTTCATTTTGTAATTGACACTTTTTTTGTACCATCACTCCTAGGACTACTGTAGCTGTTTGAAGTTGTGGCTATCTGCTCTACGACAAGTTCTCCACCCAATTTCCAGGCTACGATCTCGCTGGAGCCGTCAAGTACGTCGACCGTTTCTGGGGATCCGTGAAGGACCGCGACGACACGTTCAAGTGCCGGCTCGCCGCTTTCGAAGGCCGTCCGTCGGTGTACGTGTGGGACGGAATCCGATTGGCGCGGAAGAAGCGCAGCAAGGACATGGCCCTCTTCTACACACTTTCGACGGTCTGGCAGTTTCTGAACGCGTGGCTCCAGTTTTATATTCTCAACGAGCTGCTCGATTCTCCGTTGTACTCGTTGTGGGGCCCGTCGTTGTTGACCGACTTGGTCAGCGGACGCGATTGGCAGACTACCGGACACTTTCCGAGAGTTGTGCACTGTGATTTTAACAGAAGACGTCCAGCAAGTGTTCAGGTAGGGTCGCGGAATTGCTAAACTACTACACTAGCACTGGCGCTTTTGAGAGCTACAGTAATCCAGAGAGTTGTTGTAGAGGAAAGTGATCAACTACAAAAATACAGTACTAGATGTGATTCCAATTTTTGTAGTTGACAATTTTCCTCTACGACCACTGCCTGGAGTAGTATAGGCTCTAGAAAGTTGGGTTTGAAAAGCCGAACGTCCAAGAGCTACAGTACACCAGGGAGTAGATCTGGAAAAAAGTGATCAACTGCAAAAATGTTCAAATAGATGTGTAGATTGAGCTCAAAAAATTTTAGAGCCGTGCAACTTCTCCTAACTCTACAATACTCGTTTAAAGTTAGTTGGCAGTTTCCGCTATTGTAGATCTTCAAACGCGACAAACGTTAATTTCCAGATGGACACGGTCCTTTGCGTGCTCACCCTGAACATCTACTACGAGAAGCTCTTCATTTTCCTCTGGTTCTGGCTTCTTTTCGTCGCCATCTACTCGACAATCAACTCGTTCACGTGGATCTGGTCGCTGTGCTCTTCTGGAAAGGTACGGGTTGGATTACTGTAGCCTCAACTTTCACTAATCGATATTGTAGGCCCAGAAAACGATTCGCAACTACCTGTCAACTGCGCCGATGAAGTCGCAAATCAGCGACGAGGACTTTTTCCAGGCGCTCGGTCCCGACGGCATTTTCATAGTGCAACAGATGGCGCTGAACTTGGGAGACATTCCGGCAAGGTATGCAAGTGCGCTCCATCGGACTGAGCGTTGGAAAAAATCGATAAAGCCGCCCAAAATTTGCTTGCAGCTATCTGACAATTTCGATGCGAAACATTGCTCAAAACTTTCTCGAAACGGACGACTACGACGACAACGAACGGACGCCGCTGACTCAAATCAAAACGATTAAACACACCTGAAAACCGCCCTAAATTTCTCGAATCTTCTTCCGAATATCCATCCTTTTTTACCTCAACTTTTCTCGTATACCCGATGCGAATTGTGTGCCTTTCAGTGAAGTTTTAGAATTTTCTTGAATTTTTCTAGTAACATTTTTGTATATTGACGGTGTGAAATGCGTGGAAGTGGAAATCCACTGATTTGCTACGAGATGTTAATCTTCAAAGAGCAGTCTTGGCGCCACAACGTACAAAGTTTAGCACAAACAATTGGGAATGGATATCTGAACAATGTTGAACATCAAGTTTTTTTTTGGGTTCATGATAGCGCGTCAAGTGATCTATAAATTCGGTCCGACTATTATACATTTTCCGGTTTATGATCGCACGGTCTCCAGAACTGACAATGGGAGCAAGTGCGCTCCGCCGCACACGGCAGCATTTTGGAGGGAAAGTCAAATTTTAATTGCAAAATGTGGCTTTTGTGCGAAATAAACCGTGAAAATGTGTTTTTTTTTTCAATTGTCTCTCGATAGCGCGATTGTGCGCGTCAATAATAATTTTTTAAGCGCAAGAGCGTGAAAGACAGAAAAATCGAGTTTTACAATAAGAAAAACGAAAATGCGGCGAGAAAAATCACGGATCGCATATTGCGCCAGCAAAGGCGAAAAACGCGCCAACCACTCAAAAAGCGCGTCACCAGTCCCGCGGCTCCGTCCATATTGTCAGTTCTGGAGACCGTGGATCGGTATCGATTCGACGAACAATGAGCCGTTTCGAAAACCATTCAAAAACAGGCAAGAAGCTGATCGAGGCGGCCAAGTCAGCGACGAATTTCAACTACTGTAGGACAGAGAAGAACACGGAAGAATTTTTATCTTTTTTAGAAAATGTTTTCATGGAATGTGGTCAACTAACGAAATGTATAGCAAAATGAACTGTGCTCATAGAAAAATAATTGTAAATTTAGCGTTTCATACAAAAAAGTTATTCGAGTTGTTCCGTTAGCCCCCTTTTTTCACGCAACAACTCGAATAACTTTTTTGTATGAAACGCTAAATTTACAATTATTTTTCTATGAGCACAGTTCACTTTGCTCTACATTTCGTCAGTTGATCACATTCCATGAAAAAATTTTCTAAAAAAGATAAAAATTCTGCGCGTGTTCTTTTCGTTGAGTTCTTCCGCTCAAAATCATTCACGCCGACGGGACCATCGGTTCGGTTCGAATTATCATGAAGACGCCATTTATTCACTTGTTTTTGAAAATGCTCCAATTTTTTGCAGACAACCATGAATGTGACTTCCGACTCTTACGCGGCTACTGTATTGTTTTTCCGCCGGACACTCTTCTCCGAATCGTCTCCGCCAGACGATGGTGGTTGTTTTTGCGCACTGTACGATTTCTCACAAATTAAATTATCGAGTCGGCTCCTAGCCACTCCACTCTTCCATTTTCTCATTCTTTCATTCTTCCCCGTCACCCCAACCGTCTGAAAAATACGACTGACAGTGAGTTTTGTCTCTGAAATTCAAAAAGCTAAACGTGTTGTTCAGTGAAAGTTCTGCTCATCGCTCTCCTCGTCGTCTGCCACTTGAGTGGTGTCGAATCGCAATCGAAGGTGAGCGCTGAACATTTAAAAACCACAAAAAAAAGCACTGAAAAAGTTGTGCTTTCAGTCGGTGTTGCGTAGCCACAACCTGGCCGCTCTGGAAATCTCGAAGAGCTCGGACGAACAGTTCAGAAGGTACATGACGAGTTTGTGCGTGTACAGTTTCGCCTCCGTCGAAGACTATACGAGAAAGTACCTTCTGTGGGAGAATGCAAACTTTCTGAATGGAATTGAGCAATTGTGAGTCTCGATTAAAGCGCTCTTTTTGCCGCACCTCCGCCGCCGTCTTTTTTTTCAGCTTGTCGGAAGACGGAGAAGACGATTTTCCACACCAATACGTCGCGCAGGGACTCGTGAGCCAGTGCAAAGTGAACAAAGCCAAGGACGCGCACCATCAGAAGATCATCGACGACGGAGAGGAGGAGAACGAGTTGTACAATCAAATGACGAAGCCCGCGTGGTCTCCGCTTGAATTGTAATCGATATTTTCGCTGTTTTGAACTCTCTTTTCCTGTTATTATACGTCTGAACTTATTGTACAAGCCGCGTCTTACAATATTGTACAATGAATAAAAGGAAATGTTCTCGAATTGTTTGTTGAAGGGGGGAAATTAGGGTCCGGCCGATCTTGTGGGTTGTCGTAAGAAAACGGCAAATAATCGTCTGTGCGCCAGGGGAAACAGAAGTCTAAACGAAAAGTGATTAAAAACTTTACGGTCCTGACGAAAACTTTTTTTCAACGCGACCGAATCGAAGCAAGTACAAGAAAGCTTTGTTCCGGTTGTTCCCAGTGAGCTGTGAGCATAAAACGTTTCAGATAAACGTGGCACCCAGTTGCCAATACGTTCCTGTCTTGGAGCTCTATCCAAGGATGTGATTGTGCCGAAATATTGGGTATTTTGCTTTACATTTGAAAGAAGAGGCTCTGAACAGCGTTTTTTTCAGAACACGCTTATGAGAAATGCGACTTTGTCATTCATTATTGGAAAGTGAGTCAAGCTCGCTTTTTCTCCAGTTTCCCGGCCAATATCTCGTCGATTTTCAGCAATGTACATGCGAAATTAGCGACCGTCCGTCCGCCGAACCGAGCGGGTCCGTCGAAAGGTAAAAAGTCGAAAGAAAACTGAGCGAAAGTGCAGGGACTCTGCGCAGCGCTCGGCAGACCGACGCACACCGAGCAACTGTGTTCCTTGCCTAGTGTCCGGGTCATCTCTAAAGTGTCTAAATGGACGCGTTTAGGTACCCTTTAAGAAGCCCCCCATTCTCAGCAAGAGCTCCTTCATTTCCGTATTCACTCGCACAATAATGCACACAGACGCGCCGTTTTTCGTCGTTTCAAAAATGTCAATAATTCACGACCCACCACTGACACTTTTTCGGGCCATTTGGCCACGTGTGGAAGTGTCGAAGAAAATTGAAAATTGAGCGCCTCGACTTTTGCGTCGTCGCGTCTTCATGATGCCAGTTTTGAACTCGATCTCGCATCGCATGATTCCACCTCGTCATTGACATTTCCGGACCCGCTAAAAGGTTAACGAAACGCAATTATTGTGTCGTGTGCATGAATTTCGAATGATCGCCAATTTTCAATTTGTGCCACAGATGATGACGTGGCACTTCTTGTCTTCATTTCTCGAAAAATTTCAAATTTCCGCTCGCCAATGAGGTGGATGGATCTCATTAAAATCCGCGTGGGCCTACAATATTCACGAGATTTCCGGTGAATCACCGCGCGCGCGCGCGCGCACGCGCCCCAATTAGACGAATATAGGAGAGGCGAATGGAAAATTTGAAAAATTCCCACGATCACCTGAGCACTTTTTGCGTCACAAATATTATTATTCGCTCGCTTTTCTATTTGTGATCGCCTCCTCGTCATTCGATCTGTTGACGAACCTTTCAAAAAAGCGCGCCGATCAATTGGCTCTGTTTGTTTTTTCGAAACGATATTGTAGAGATCCGCGCAAGTTTCCGCTCACTTTTCACACTTTTTTCCAGGTTTTGCGGCCGAAATCGGGTTACTGTAGCTCGAAAAGTACGCAAACACCGCGACAGCCGACTTTGCGCCACATTTGACGACAATTCCGCAAAAAGTGCACAAATCGTTCTCGCAATGACCGTATTAATACGGGGAACGCTGAAAAACTAGTGAAGAGAACCCGAATAATTCAGTGATGTCGACGAAGAAAAACATGCTGAAAAATGTGCATTTCTCGCATCTTTTGGCCTAAAATTGCACACATTTCGATGATTTTCATCGGCCCGCCAAAACACCAAAAACCATGTCGGGGCTAATTGGAATTTGTGCGAGCAAATTCGCCAAGCGCCGCCCCTTTTCGGACACCCTCCCGGCGTTTCAGCGCGCGAGTCTTTCAAACGCGGCCCCGTATCGGGTTTCTCTGGTGGTTTCAGACAATTTATCTTTATTTTGGGCCGAAAAAAGTTTCAAGTTTCCAAAGGGCATTTTGCGGGCGGCGCGCGCTGACACGGAGAAATTTTCAAATAAGCAGACAAGTGGCCCCCCTCATTTCGACTGAAAATGAGCGAAAATGAGCTTTGCCGCCGCTTCTGCAGTGTATTTAGTGCAACTCGCTGCAAAAAAAAAAATGAAAAAAAAAAATGAAAACGACGGGAAAACAAGTCATTTTTCTTCCAAGAAACGCACTCTTTCGCACCCTATTTTTGTGCGGAACGCACGAAAATTCATCATTCTCATGACCGAGTCGAGTCGCTTGTGATCTTTCGCTTTTCGTACACAAATTATTCAAAAAAAAATGGGCGAAAGGGAACGAATATTCGGGACGGATTCCTCCCTCTCCTTCTTTCCACTTTTGCCCGATTAAACGCCATTTTTTCGACGATTTCTGCAATATTGCGTCGCGGTGTACCGCTGCAGACAATCCGACCTACAGTAAGCCGACGACGCTCAATTTTCGCTCAACCACCTACCGTAATCGTGTCGCCGACTACATATTATTATCTTTTTCCCTCTCGCGTGTCATGTGTTCGTCGCGCCACATAATTATAGCGCTCATCACCTATAATCTTCGAGCAATTTCACCTCACACAATTGTTTCCGTTCGGATTACTGTAGGGCGCCATTTGTGTGCAGTACACGCGTGATTACTGTGTGCGCTCGAAGAGTACCCCACCGCAAAAGTGCAGCCGCATTCGTAATGTTTAATGGGAAAAAGGGCATGGGCCCGTTGGTGTTGTATATATTTTCGCATTCTTTTCAATGCGAATGTTGTTGACGGATAATATTAGCACAAGCCATCCCAGAACATGCTCAAAAAACACTTCTTCTTCTTCTTCTTCTTCTTCCTCTCCCCCCATTTATATATTATCTGTTGTTGTCATCGGCGCTCGCTCGTCTGGCGCCAAATCGCCGTGGGAAAACCCGACGAGGTTCCGGGATCGTTTACTCGTTTTTCGAGAGCGCCCAACAATAGTTTGCACACAAATTTGTGCGCAAAATTGCGTCACTTTTGCACATTTTGTGCTCTTTTTGTGGGCAACCTGCAAATTGCGCGTGTTTTTGTGGGCTACAGTAATCCCCACCAATTAAAACATTTGATCGCAAAAAAAAAAAGAGAAACGGCCGTTCATCGTCATTTTTTCCATCAAAAACCACAGACGGATTAACTTTTTTTTTTCTTTTTTTGTCTTGTCTGAAATTATAGAGAAAAAGAGAGTCATAATTTGTGTGTTTGTGTCTCGCTCAGGCGTGTTATTAGTCGGCGCGAAGAAGAGCCCGAAGAGCTCGAAGAGCTCGTCACTTTCCTTGCCAGTTAACTCACCTCACCTCGCCAATTGTGACCTCATAATATTTTTCGGCGAATCTTTTCTGACCTTTTTTATTATTCTATCCTTACCCACCCAATTTCCGTTGTTTTGCGCTCGCGCGCGCGCGCGCGCGCTCTTTGTAGCAATTCTCTGAAAAAAGTTGTGCGCCCGTCGCGGTGTACTGTAGCCTTGCTACAGTAGTACGCTTTGCCCCATCACTTTACCGGCGGGAATTTGAATTTTCTCGACGACGTTGGAAGCTGTCTTTTGCTCAGGCCTACAGTAATTTAAGTGAAAAAAATTAGGCGCCGTTTTTTCGGCGCCTAAATGCCAAAATTAGACCCCTTCCCTCGAAAGCTCTGTTTTTTTGCTCTCTCTCTCTCTCTCTCTCTCTCTCTCTCTCTCTCTCTCTCTCTCTCTCTCTCTCTCTCTCTCTCTCTCTCTCTCTCTCTCTCTCTCTCTCTCTCTCTCTCTCTCTCTCTCTCTCTCTCTCTCTCTCTCTCTCTCTCTCTGTCCACCTAATATAGATCCGAGTGTCCTTTGTGTTGACCATCTGAAAATAAGAGGGTCTCTTCTTTTTTTTCTCTTTTTTTTTGCGCTGCCCAACTGATGAGCACCGCCCGTGTAATTATTGTGTTTGTGTGGAACACAGATCATTTTGAGAGGCGAAAAGTGCGAGCATTTGCGACGAGCAAAACATTGAAAATGCACATTCCCACACTTTTGGCGCGAAAACGACGTTTCGCGTTGTTTGCACCACTCGTCGTGTGCTCCCACTTTTTGAATTCTCGGAAAAAAAAAAAACAATTGGGGTTATAGTTGACCTATTCGCTTCCAAAAACCGCGACAATCGCGAGGGAGCCAATTTTCTACAGAAATCGGGTGTGTGCAAACGTGCACTTTTTTTGGGCACATGCACCATAGGGAAATCTCTCTCTCGAGGCGGAGCCTGTGAGCGGATTAGGAGGAAGCGCCACAAGTACTGTGTGACGTCGTCGGACAAATCTGCACGTCTAGTAGACCATTTTTGTAGTTGATCACTTTTTTGCACACGCACTTGCTGGAGTACTGTGGCGCTTGGAAGTGGGCGCTGAAATTCCCGACGCTTTTGGGGTGGCCAACTTTAAAGCGCTACAGTAGTCTTCGGAGTGATGGTAGGACCATGGTGTAATTTACAAAAATTTAGAACAAGTCTTGTAGTACAATTTTTCAATTGACACTTTTGCTCTACAATCACTCCTAGGGCTACTGTAGCACGTGGAAGTTGGTGTCATTTTTGAGCGATCTATCAATAGTTCTAACTTCCAAGCGTTACAGTAATCCAGGAAGTGATTGTATAAAAAAGGTGTCAACTGCAAAATTGTAGTTCTAGACATGTTTTAAATGTTTGTAGTTGATCGCATTTTTCTACCATCACTTCTAAAAGTACTGTAGCGCTTTGAAGTTTACCCACCCCAAAAACGTTGCATTTTCAGCGCCAACTTCCAAGAGCTACAGTACTCCAGGCGTTGGTTGTACAAAAAAGTTGTCAACTGACAAAACACTCTTCTAGACATGGACAATAGGCATACAATTTTCTAGAACAACATCTTGCGCCCGAGTAGTGTAATCCATTGTTTACATACACTTTCAGACGTTTCGTACCCAACGTGATGAATGTGTTTTTTAAGGCGATTAGGCTTCGGATCTATCCGATTTTTCACACACACATCCCAAAATGCAAATGTTGTCGTCGTGGCTAAGCGCATTTCTCGCATTTCTCGCCCCGCCATTCGCTTTTCGCCTCTATTTTGTGAATAGGAAAAGGAGCATTTATTTAGGACCCCCCCCCCCGCTCAGGTTCACCTCGTTTTCTTTTCCTTTTCCGTCTTTTTGTGCCACGAAAGCGAAAAGTACAAATAGCCGAACAAAACTGGCCGTTTTAGGGGGAACTTTTAGGGCGTCCGAAAAAACCGCTGAAAGTAGGTCGTCTGGAATGTCTGTGTCTGTGTCTATTTGTCGGTCTGTGAGCATTTTTTTTTGTTCAAATTGTCACGTTTTCGCTTGAAAACGACCACACTTGGTAGTCGTACTTTTTCTTGTTTTTCGCCGACTAGAATTCGTCTCGGCCCCCGCGAGCAGATCACCACTTTCAAAAAAATATGTTTTTTGAGCCTAGTTAGTGGAAAAGAGGAGAATTGCCGATACGCACACACGAGTTTTCTGAGAAACGCTAAAAATTTTAAGAAATATCATTGTTCCAAGTGGAGTTTTGTCGAGTTTTGATCGTTCCGCGACGATATCGTCGCGTTATAAGTTTGCAAAAATGATTTGACCAGTGCCCGGCCTCGAACCCCGGTCTTTAGATTACTAGCCGTCTAAATCCCCACTAACCCATCCGGACACCTATTTTTTTTGAAATTGTCCGTTTTCTTTTGTGCACTAGATCAATTTTTCGTCCTCTTTCCGTTTCTAACATTTTCATAAAGCCTAACTCTCGATTTTACAGCAAAAAAGCCGAAAGTGTTCGATGGCGGCGGTGAGCTCGAACATCAGCGACTTTACCGATGATTCGACGGACCAACAACCATCGTCTCGTATGTTTTTCTTGTCATATATACAAATATATCGTGAAAACAATAATAAACGTGAGTAGGCCGACAATACTGTCGGAAGTTTTTCACCACTTTTATTCCATTCGATGCTCGCTTAAAAATGGACCGTCATCATCTCATTTCCCCTATTGTGCACACGTACATTTTTGTTTTTCGATGGGCCCAGACGAAAAGACGAAAAAACCACATCATCATGCTCGGATTCGCCGTCTGATTCTATGAAAAAAAATTTTTTTTTTTTTTAACCAGACCTCCTCCCTCCTTTTCCGTGTTTTCGTTGATTTTCGATGGGGAGCAATGAAAATAGAGGAGCCCGGAATTTCGAGAAAAATCCCAAGTTCCTCTTCCTCGTCGCGCACTCTAATTGGCACGCACCGCTCACTATTTTTGCGTTCGCTTAGCGCAAAACGATTCAAAAACACACGTGTTCTTTTGCTCTTTCGGGAGTCGTGACTTTAAGCGAGTGTAGTGGATTTTGCCAAAATCTTGAGGACCTAGACTCGACGGAATTGAATTCGAGGCACATTTTTGAGTATTTTTCCAGTTGAGACTGAAATTCTAGCACCACTCGTTCGTGGAGCAATCCTGCCTCAAACTTACAATATCGCTCGGCTTTGAAGCGTAGAGTTTAACGCACCGTAGTAAATTGAAAGCATTTTCTAGAAACCTGGGCTTGACGTCACTAAATTCTAGACACCTTTCTGAACATTTTTCGTGTTGAGACCAAAATTCTAGCACGCCTTCTTCGCGTAGAAAAATTGCTTCAAATTTCCTAGACACCCACACTTAACGGCTCTTCTTCGTGCTGGCAAAATAATCGTTTTGCAGACGTGGACATGTCGTTCGCGAAGGGCTTCATGACGGTCGTCTACATTGTCGTGTGCCTCGTCGGCACTCCCGGCAACCTCTGGATCGTCTATAAACTGTTCCGCGCCAAGTGAGTACCGTAATCGCCACCCCTACCGTATGCACTTGTTTGCAGGCTTTGGAGCGGCGCGTCTGTGCAGCTGACCGTCTCGCAACGCTCCCGCATCTACATTTTCGCGCTCGCCTGCTCCGACATGATCCTTTTGCTCACGCTTCCCGCCTCGGCTAGCTACAATTATCATGGCACGTGGATTTTCGGATCCGCCGCCTGCTACATCATCCGTTCCATCGAAATATTCGCGAAACTCTTCTCCGTCGTCCTGCTCACCGTCATGAGTTTGGAGCGCTACATTATTGTGTGCACCCGGTGAGCGCTTTGAGCTGAACACTTGGCAAAAGTGTGCAGATTTGCGTGACGGTGTACGGCGCAGAACACGAGTCAACTAAAACGTAGAAAGGGGCGTGGCCGTGCGCGTGCACGGTTTTGACACCATTTTGGCGCGAAATTCGAGAAATTTAACCCCATTTTTCATGTTTTTCCGTCAAAATTTACCCGAATTTTGTAATTGCATAAATTTGTTAATAAACTAATCATCGCGCGCACGTTTTGAGCTTAAAACGAGCAGGTTTCATTCAGAAATTCAATCAATTGAATCGATTTTCAAGTTTTGTGCTGAAAATGCGCGAATTTCAGTCATTCGCCGATACTTTTTGCAGTTTGAACGCTTAAAATACTTGTATTAACGTGCTTAATCACTTCCGACACTCACTTCGGCCGGTACACGGTCTCCCGCGGCGCGAATGATTTCAATGGGGCGCACTTGCAACAGGCGGGCTGTGTCGATTTACGCGGCGGCCGATTAATTAATTTTCAACGGGAGTTCGCGTTCTTTCCATGTTTTCTGTACAATACACCTATTTTTTGTACGCCTGGAACCTGGCGTCGAATAATTAGATCACTAGCTACGTTTTGGTAACAGAAATCTTGCATATCGTTGAGAATGAGCCGAGTTATTTCGATTTGAAGGTTTTGGCCTGAATTTTGATGTTTTTCGAATAGTTTTCGAAAACTGCTCAAGAAAACTAACCGCCGGAACCTGAATTTTGCGAAGAAAGATTCAGCGAACATTTTTATCGTTCGTTGGGCTCATAAAATGCAAAATGAGCTGAAATATAAAGGTTTGAAGTTTTGACGAAATGAAAAACTCTAAATTCGGTAAAGAACGGTTTCCAATCAGTAAAATATTGTTTTCTAGACGTTTTTCAAGTGAAAATGAAAGAAATAAATGTCGTAAACTCGAATTGAACTACATTTTTAGACCTGCAAATTTTCAAAAGCTACAACGACACTCCGCAATTTACGAGCGCACTGTGTTTAGCATTAGCGCCCCCTGGGAGACCATGCGGTATGAAAATTCCGAAATTGCGAGCGTATTGCAAAATATGCCAAAAATGGGTCAAACGCGGCGTTTTCACGAAAATTTCAATGTTTTCTCTCTTTAATGTCTCTTCTTTCGTCGATATCAAACACAAAATTATCGAAAAAGTGCTGGAATTGCGGCAATTTTTCAGAAAACGCGTCTCAGATTAGGCCACGCCCCCTTTTCTAGACTTTTGGTCGCCGTGTAGCCGCCAATTAAAAAAAAATTTGAACAGAACGCTTTCAGACTGCGTCAAGTGTACCGTGCGTGGATGTCGCTGGTGCCGCTGGCGGTGGGCACCGTGTTCGGCGTGCTCGTGCCGACAATCTTCCATTTCCTCTACCTCCAACACTTTGCCGTGCCGTTTCCCGACTCTGACGTCACGTGGGTCTGTCTGCCGTTGATGTCGAACGACGTGTTCAACACGTTCGCCCAGTACACGTTCGTCGTCGGCTTCATCATTCCGTTCGCCATAATGACCGCCTGCTACATCATGCTCGTTCGTCACGTCAAGGCGAAATACAAGATTCGTCGCGCGCAGACGGCCACGTCGGCGAAGCCCGGAAAAGAGCCAAAGTATATGAGCGAGGTGCGGAAAAGTATTTGGCGCATCGCCGTCTTCCATTTCGTCTGCTGGGCGCCATTCTGGGGATTCACAATGCTGCCGAACTACATCGATCAGATTGACAAGTTTTTGCACGGAGACGGCGAGGAGAGCTGCGAAGAGAGCATTCTGCTCGTCTATTGTCGCCTTGTCTCCAATTGTTTGCCGTATATCAATGCAGCAGGTAATTTTGAGCGGATATCTCCGTCATGGTTAGAGATTTCAAAAAGTTGTCAACTGAGTTATTGTTTAGAATGAAATTTTGTACATTTTGTCTGTTGACAACTTTTTTATATCTCTGCGGACAGCTGAGATATAGCGTCTTGAAAAGACCCACCGTTAAGTGTAGTGAAAGTGTACTCTACTCTTGTACTGTTCATTCAAGACTATATATCTGAGCTGTGGGAAGAGGTATCAAAAATTTGTCAACTTAGAAGTTATTAATCTAAAAATTAGGTACATTTTAATAGTTGAAAAGTTTTTGATATCTCTACCCACAGCTGAGATACATCGCTTCCAATTTCTAGTATTTTTGTGCTTCAAGTCCCTTAACTTTGCGACTCTATATCTCGAAAACCAATAGTTATCCAAAATAATGGTCAACTACAAAATTGTTGCAAATTTTATGTTCTACAACTTGTTAGTTGATCATTTTAACGTAAAATGTATTGTTCTCAAGTTATGACACGTTTTCTAATCACCCCCAATTTTCAGGCAACTGGGTGCTGTACGCTCTGCTGAATGTGGACGTTCGTAAGCATATTTACAATCAGCCGAAGAAGAAGCGTGGTTTCAGCCTCACCTTCAAACCGATCAATACTTCGTCGAATTGCTAGGCGTTCACTGTTTTTTTTTTGCTGTTCTTCTCTTGATCTGCGAGCTCTCGGGTGCTATTGTGCTACAATTGGTGTAGTCAAAAGTTATAATAACATAATAAAATTTATCAAAGAATTAGAGCATGACCATGTCATCTGAATCCCGCCGGAACGTCGTCGAATCCTCGGCCTGAAGCTGTCGAACTCGGTCCGCCGCCGACGCTTCTCTGCCACGTGGCGGCTGGCTCGACGCGCACAAAAGACGACGGATCAGGAAGGTGGAGGCGGGCAGGACGAGACAAATCGGAAGCACTATTATCATTATTACCACCTGCAACCAAGTTAAAATTTTAAACACTTTAAAAAATAGCCTATTTACTAGCTGGGTCTAGACTTTTCGGGTGGGCAAACTTCAAAGCGCTACAGTACACGAGGGAGCGATGGTAGAGAAAATATGTCAACGACAAAAATTTGAAGCATGTCTAGCACGCCAATTTTGCAGTTGACATCTTTGTTGTACAATCACTCTCACGGGTACTGTGGCTTTTGAAAGAGAGGCTGCCAAAAAGCGTGGGAATTTCAGCGCCAACTACCACGGGCGGTACAGTACTCTTGGGAGTGATTGTACAAAAAAGTTGTCAACTACAAAAATAGTCTACTAGACATCACAGATTCACTTGGAACGTTTTAGGTCAGCACGACCTCTCCGAACGCTACAGTACCCGCTCAAAGTTGATCAACCAGAAATCGAGGTATTTCTTCACATCTTACTTTCAAAGCGCTATAAAACGCCGGGGAATGGTCGTAGAAAAAAGTGGTCAACTACAAAAATAGAGTACAAGACATGTACTTTCTACTCTAAAATTTTCAGACCCCAAGGCATTGCCTAACTCGGTTCAAACTCACCCAAACTCTCATGTGAAAGCAGCACTCTTTGTTCAAATGTCCACAACATTTGTAGAACGAGAGGAGGGTCTCTTCCGGACACTGATTGCCCACTTGATTAGTCGGACACCAAATCGCATCGGATTCGAGTGGCTCACCCGTCTGAAATTGTAAAAATCATCAAAACATTCGATTTCGTCGCAATAATAAGTCACCGTAGTAGTACCGTAGTCTTCAACGTGCTCGGCGCCAACTTCTTGAGCTCGTGCTCCTCCAAATCGGAGCAATAAAGTGAGAAATCCGATGGAAAGACTGGTGAGCACAGAGTTGAGGAGCATCAAGAGTTAAAAACGAAAGACGCGCCGAATCGATGGAGCCGCTCAGTTTTGCGGTCAACGCGCAAATTTGAGCCAATTTGGTGCATCGACGACCAATTTTATATGATGTACTAGCGAAAATTTCGAAATGTGTGACGGGGAAAGTGTTGAAACAAAAGAAAAAAACGCGCGAAACATTATTTTCTGATACACGAGATCATCGGTTCATTTTTGTCTCTTGTACAATAGAAAGTAGTAGCAAGGCAACAATTAGAGAAAGGAAAAGTGAAGGTCACAAGTATGTACAACACTGAAACCGGAATGCAATTCTCGACACGAAGAATATTATAATAATTACTACGAATTCTTCGAAACGATGAAGAAGAAGAAGAAGAAGAAGCCGTTTTTGCAGAGATTACATGGGTCTGAATGCGTAGCAGGTGACGTCATCGTTGGCCACTTGACAGTACGTCTCCGTGTACGCCACGTACGAAAAATCGCCCTTCGCGCAAATCACGTTGAATTTTCCGAACATTTTCTCTTCGGCCGCCTTCTGGATGGCACGTTTCGAGATGGTCGGGTCGGCGTTCATGTTCTGAAGTTCGTTTAGGAGCGAATTCAAATTTTAAACGCAAAATCAGCCAATTTTCGATTCGAAACCATTTTTGATCAGTGGAAAGTGCGAGAGCAAAATCATCCGCGAATTATGGTGTTTTCATTGTTTTTGACCGCAAATTGTACTCACATTCACCATCACTCTTTTGAGTTTCTTGCTGTTGCACGTCGGGTCTTCCTCTAGCTCTTCGGTGGTGAACAACTGCAAAAAAAAGAGATGCGGCAGTGGCCTAGAAACCTGCTTTGATGGCCTAAAATTACCTTGGATCCATGAGTCCGATGTCTGGCCATGAATCTGCACGGACTGCCGCACCGACAACAGCAATCGTTGGCCGGCTGCATCGCGTACTGCTGGAAAACCGGCGCCGGCGCGTACGATTGGCACGGCGAGTACATCGGCGGCGGCGGTGGCGGGCACATTGGCGGTGGCGGCGGCGGTGGAGGTGGTGGGCACGGCGGCGGTGGCGGACAGAATTGCGGCGGACAGATTGGCGGAGGCGGACACGGCAGCGGCGGAGGAGCACACATTGGCGGCGGCGGAAGAGGACACGGAGGCGGTCCCATCGAGCAACAGCCTCCGAACGTGCCGGAAGTCATCGGGATGATGGAGAGGAGCGAGAGGAGGAGAAGCATCTGGAAGTGGCCGAGAATTAGGATTTGACTCGTGTCGAAATGTAAAAAAGTAATCTCCTGAAATAGGGGATTGCAGCGTCTTAAATAAAGCCTAGCAGCGATTTAAAAAACGAAAACTGCGACCAAATTACTAGAGGCAGAGAAAATCAAATTAACGCGTTTTTTTTGTTTTCGATTCAAAATTCTGTTTAAAATTTTTGCGAAACGAGTACGAAAACAGTTCAAATCGGTGGTTTCTGATCTTGCGACGTTACCTGCCGCGAGAAGATTTTGAATTGAAACAAAGAGAAGACGAAGATGAAGATGGCATTCTCGTACTCCTTTTATACCAAACCGTCTCTTTTTGGCCCTGACTTCTTCTTCTTCTTCTTCTCGGCGCCCCGCCCTCTTCATTTTTGCCATTGACATCTCTTCGAGAATTTGACCCTCTAGAACTGGTTTCTTCACAGCTTCTGCTTCCTCAATTGGATGAGTAATCGGACTACGTCACCGCGTCGCCGCTTCTCGATATTAATTACTCGGCTTCTGAGGTGAATCCAATTCCTTTCTTCTCTCCTTTGTTTCCAGGGTTTCCAACCTTTCAATTCTGAAAATTAATTCTATTCGTTGCTGTTCGACTGCTTCTCACCTCGTTTCAGTTTTTCAAATTATGCAAATCAGATGCTGAACTCCCGCATTGTCATTCTCCTCTTCGGCGTCATCGCCGTCAAGGCCATCTTGTGTCTCGGTGACACCGTCCTCAAAACATGAAAGCCCAAGGTGAGAATCAGAATACCGTCGCACATCGTTACTCAAATCGAATCTCCGAAACGCCTCAAAATTCAGTGCGATGAACGATGGCTAAACAGTACGCGCCACGATACTCCGCCCGTAGGCTTGACATCGCATCTGAACAGCCGATACATCGGAAACCGTTGTCTGAGTCTGAATCTGATGAATAAACTCTGAAACTAGTTTCGAGGAGGGATGAGTAAGCGTCCCAATCCCACATTGATTGTGCTGATTTGGTTGGTTCATAACATGTTGATGATTCAGTAACAATTTGTTTATGTTTTATGTAACAAAAACAAGAACAAGATGAACATTTACTTGGCCTTCTTGGCGCGGATCTTGCGAAGGTAGAAATCAAGTTCCTTTCCTTCGAGAATGTATCCGTTGGCCTGTCCGACTTGTCCTGGGGAAGAAGAGAGGCGGGCTGAAAATGAGCAAGTTTTTATCAGTTAACTATTTTTGCAAAAGTCTTACCGAGGAGACGTCCAGTGTTGAACTGCTCGACAAGGAGAGCGTCAACAGCGGCGGTCTTCTGGCGCTCGGTGTACTTTCTTTGGGTATGGTTGGATCTCTTCTTGTTAAGGATAGCGTTATCCTCCTCGGAGAGCTTGGCGTTCTTCTTTCTGGCCAGCGGAAGAGCGTAGTGAGCCTCATACCATTGACGGAACGGAGCGGCGTCAACGCTGACGATGGCTCCCTTCACGAGGGTCTTGGTACGGACCAACTCGTTGTTGGTAGCGTTGTACATGGTATCAACGATACGGGTCTTGCGAGTGGTCTCTGAAATAAATTTTGTTAAATCCTGAATTTAATATGAAATGAACTTACGCTCCGAAGCCCAGGAGAAGTTTCCGGCATCAAGACGGAGGGCTCTGCGCTTGACGTTTCCTCCACGAGTGCGCACGAGACGAACGCGTTCGCCTCCGATCTGAAACCCAGACAAACTATGAAATCGTTGGAAAAACTATTTATTGTACCTTGGTGTTGGCGGCCGGGCGTCCGAGCTCGAACTTCCTCTTCTTGTGTGGGACCGGACGAGTAGCTCCGGTCTTGTAGCGCTTATGCCAGGAATCGCGCGAGATACCCATGCTGCAAAATACAGAAATTGCCTTTGAAAATTCAAAAAACAACAAGCGGAACGGGGAAATACACGGAAAAGAGCATATTTACACTGAAAATTAATTATTCTACTCTGGCTGCCTAAAAATTACGGAAAACCTGCCGGAAAGTGATATTCCACCGATAAATCGATGAAAAAACGTATAAACGTTTGAATTCTGAATATTCTGAGAAGTTTTCGCCTGAAAAGTGTGGAAAAACGGGCAAAAATAAGAAAAAAGAAACTCGGGCCTAAAATTCTGAGTTGCACAGTGGAGCGCACTGGCCGCCTCGGGGGAAGATCGCGGCGAGACCCGCCACCCGCGAAATGCCATGCGCCTTTAACTTGTTTGTTTATTTCGCATCTCGTCGGCCAATTTTTGCCGTTTTTCTACGGAATTTCACGAACTCATCAAGTTTTCGGATGAAAATGCTATAAAATTGATTTTTGACACACATTTTGACTACAAAACGCCACTTGTCCGTCAAAAAACCGCATTTTTCGATTTTTGTGCGATAAAATGTATAAATAATGGTTTATTGGTTTATTGTGCGGAAAGATGTCTAGCTAAAATTGCTAGCCGACTCAACTTTGAACGAAAGTAACTGCGGGAAACGATGGAATTATCACAAATTATGTAAAGAAGAGCTCTTGGACAAGATTAAACGAGTAACTAGTGTACAAAAGCGCGGCGAAAGTACAATAAATTCAACAAAAAGCGGGGCGTAAAAGAGAGCCTCTAATTGCGGAATTTTCATTAAAAACGGAGAAAAGCGGGGATTTTCAGGTTGGTCATCGAAGAAGTGTAGAGTGTCGCGAAGAAAAAGATCATTTAGAATGAGGACGCCTGAAGTTGTGCCAGGAATTTCGGAAGTTGCTGGAGCGTGATGCACTGATCTTCGAACGTTGAGGCGGATGCGACGATCTGGAAGTAAATTTTGGCCTACATTTCAAGAAAAAAAGAGCAAAACCTGTGCTCCAAGATAGGCGGCATTGTATCGCCACGGACTGATGTTGACCTGCGTGTGAATTGTATTCGGAACCACCGTCGACAGCTCTTGCTCCAGTTTTTCAGCCAATCCGGGCATTAGTGACGCTCCGCCGGCCAGGTAAATGTTTCTGAAAACAATTTCAAAAATTTACGTCTCGCCACGAATGTCTCGCCAAATTACCGATAAAGCGTGCGCCGGCTGTCGATGGGGCTCTGCAGAATGGACTCGTGGATCAGCTGGTGCAGTCCTTTCGTGTCGAGACCCCACTTTTTCGGCTTGAACAGTCCCTCGGTGCACAAAAACCGCGAGTTGTCAATGTCGAAGCGTGTCTGCATTCCGGCCACCGGCGCGAACGCGTCCAACGAAATTCGCGTCTCCTTGTTCTCGGTTTTCTCCTCTTTTTGATAGTCTTCCGGCACGTAGGTCGTCTGGAAAAGAAAAAGTTCAATTAGACTAGTAAAAAAAAGAAATTTACCTGCTCCAAAGCATATCTCAAAATCAGTTTCTCCACTGGGGACTGGAACGCGTAGAGTCCCTTGTTTCTTGCACTCAACGACGCTCTCAGCGAATCGCCCATCTGCTGGGATCCGTACGGAATCGAGCAGATCGCCGACTCGACGACGTATCCGTCGATGACCGGCACGATGTTCACACGCTCTCCGATGTCCACGACGACTCCGGTCGTCACGTCGTACGCGTACAGAATCAGCGACGGTTGGCGAGTTATTGCGGCCGCCTAAAAGTAGAAGCAATGAGGAACTATTTTAGAATTCTATAAATTACCTGGAACTTGACGTCTTCTAGACAAATGTGAAGAAGTTCGCCGATTAGGGCGCTCGGAATGTTTTGCGGAATGCTCAACAGCAATTTGTACTTGAACGGCTCCACTTTCAGCTCGCGCACCACTTTGTCAATGGCCGCTCGCAGAACTTGTCGATCGATCGAATACCGTTCCACGGACGGGTCTTGTGCGGAAATCGGCCTTACGAAATCGCCGTTATGTCGGATGTCAGGCTGGTACGCTTCTTCGCCGACGAACACTTTTCCGTCGTAGGTGCGCACTCCGATGGCCGGGAAAAAGGACTGCGGAAGCGAGGGCTCGGTGGTGAGCACTCCGGCGCGGATGGAGCACGAACCGAGCTCGAGGATCAGAACCCGTTCGGTGAGGTGCTGAAAAGCACGCGGGATAGGCTTGACGTAGGCGTCGATGAGCGCGGAGGCGCAGTGCGAGAGAAACGAATGGCGCCACTTGTCGAAGACCGCGGAGGGAACCCGGCAGTAGTACTTGACGTGTTCCCTTCCGCCGTGGATCGTCAACGTCCGCTCGTCCTTGTTCGCGTCGACGTCGGCGCCGGAGAGCACGAGCTCCTGGGCGGCCGCCTCGCCTGCGTAGTGAGTGGCGAATATTTGAAGGCGGCCCTCTTTCATCCGAATGTACTGCTTCATCCATCCCTCGTTGTCGAGACCGTCCGCTTTTGTCGTTTCGTCGGCCGGAACCTGGAGAAAATTTGAATTATTTAATGACTTTCTATAGCGAGGCGCGGAACCCGCGCGAAATCGGCCGCTGCGATTACAACCAATTTTTGGAGTCCCCTCGAAAAGAGCGGGACAGAAAATAATAGTTTTAAAAAGAAAGAACCTCGACATGTCCTTCCATTGTCACAAATCGATTGCGTTTCGTCTCGACACGTGGCTCGTAGGAAATTTCGTAAAGCGCCGACAGCAACACTTTCGGATCCCACTCACGCAGCGCGCTCGCCTCCTCGGCCTTCAGACTGTCCGAACGTCCGCCATTCTGCTCGAAGACATCACCGTTCACTTCCAAATCGGGCATTTTCAGACGGAAATGCTGAAAGTGGCAAAATGTGGGGCTTTTGTGCAAACAATTCCCATGAAAAGCAATGTTTGTTCGACTGAAAACGGCTCGGCAATAAAATGATGGCGAGGCAAGAATAAACAGAGATTTTTCAGTGTAAATGGATACTTTTTGGAGAAAAGCCAAAAATAAGTGCGTTCGAAATGTGCGAAAGCGAAAGTTTCCGATTGCAAATTTTACTTTTTTGGTGAAAAATTCGGGAAAATCCAGTCGTATCGATTTCTTTTTTCTTTTCCCTTCCTTCTTTGTTCCGTAATAAGATTATGTGCAAATAGGCAAGAAAAAGGGACGACGAGTAAACATTTCTCTCTTTTTTGGGCGGAAATGAGGAATTCAGTGAAAATCCTGATAAATCTTGCCTAATCGTGACGGGTAATCTCTCGAAATTTTCAATTTTCAACAATCGGAAATCGGAAACGGATCAGCGGAGATTAAACTTCGATTCCACGTGGAAAAAATGTTCGGAGACGCAGACAACGAGTGACAAAAATAGATAAATGAATGAGAAGTGCAAGAATGTTTATGTGTTGGCAATAGAAAAGTTTGGCAAATTTCGGAACAGGCTTTTCGAAGGCGTGGACTTTTGACCCACTTACAATGATCCGATCGGGCCCAAACTTTGCAGGATTCGTGAACTTGGATTGAAGCGGATTGGGTCCGAGTTTCAGACCGATCGGATCATCCGGTACCGAGATATGCCGGCTGAACGAAAAATACTAGGCCAGGGCGCCGAGCTTTTTTTACGAACTTTAGGCGCGTGCCGCCGAAGAAATACTGATTCATCTTACTCGTTCTCTTTGTGAATGCGTTTTTTATGATCAAAACTGACAAGGAGCAGCAAAAAACTGGCAAGAATTTCTGGGATTCTGCATAAAAACGTTTTGGCGCCGTCCGCGCGCTCTTGTGCTGTTCCGAGCCTACAGATGCGTGCTGTCGGAAGAAAACTGATTCATTTCACTTGATTTCTTGGGAATGAGTTCATTATGATCTAAACTAACAAAGAGACACAAAAAGACGGCATGGAGAGCGCGCCGCCGGCCGGCGAATCAAGCAGTCGACAGTTTACGGGACCTCGAAACCAATCGATTTTTAAAACCTCCAATTTGCATGTCAAAAACTGCAATTTTTGACAAAGGAGCAAAGAAAATATGTTCAGTTCCGATCGTTGAGCGCCGAGAATAGTGGAGGAGGAGGAAGAGAAAGAGAAAAAGAGAGAAAAACGGCGGGGAATAAGTGACGGCCTAATTGCGTGGCGATTTAGAGGAAAAGGCAAGAGAGAAAAGACATAAAAAAAGAAGTAAAAGAGGAAGAGCCAGCATTTTTTTGAGATTATCGTTGAAAAGTGCGGAAAATCCGCGAACTTTTTCCATTTCTCTCTCCGGGGAATCTTCCGTTACGCATAAATCAGTCACCGAATCAATCTTCTGCCCGATAAAAAAAAATTCTGGCATTCCAAAGCCGGCCGCAAAAGTTTGTGTTTGTTTTTTTTTTCGTTTCGCTCCGGCACATCCTTTTTGGAGACACGAAAAACGGGGAGAAGAAGCTCATTATTAATAGATGAGATTGGCCTAAAAAATTTTTTTTTCCGTTTGTATCTTTTCTCTTTTTCCCAAGTGAATTTTGGTGGGCGTCGTCGAAACAAAATATTCTCGTTTGTTTTTTGTTTGAAAATCCGAAATCCCTCTGGGGAAATTTCGATTCGTCTAGAATCTAGATTACAAAAAAAAAAACGGAAGAGTTTTGTTTAAAAAAAAACAGCAATAAAATAAAAGTGTGTCACATGCTTTTTGTGTGTTTTTTGTGCAATCCCTCAATATCTCATTGCGGATGAATGCGTTTTCGACGGAAATGCTAGCAATTTCCGGCGAAAACGTTCAAAAGTCAAGTGCTTTAGATTTTCGTGACGAGGCCCAATTGACCTTGGTTTCTCGAACATTTGCGCATCAAATCGTCACACAATTTACGGTTTCTAGCGATTTTTTTGAGGACCACCGAGAGCATAAAAAGTCTGTGAAAAAGTGTGGGTGGGTGGGTGGGTGGAGGGTGCGAGGATTATGTCCTTTTCGTAATGAAGAAGAAGAGGAAGAGAGAGAGAGACGGAGGAATGCACTCAATTCATCAGGCTTCTCCTTCTCTTTCTCGTTCTTTCGCTCCGGAGCGCGCGAGTAACGAAAGAGAGAGAGCGAGAGAGTTGGAGGGTAAAAGAGACGTAGACGCGGGCGCTCTCTTTCACAATTTTCAGGCCCTCTATGTTTCTGTTTCTCTGGAGCGAAACAGAGAGAGAAAGAGAGAGAGAGAGAGAGAAACTAACAATGTATTTATATAAACATTTCTCTCGCTCCCTTCTTCCTCTTCTGCTTCTCTCCACTCTCTCTCTCTCTCTCGCTCGCCCTTTGCGCATTCGGCATTCCCATCCCGTCAACAAGAAGAGAAAGAGAGAGAGAGAGAGAGAGAGTACTTCTCTTTCTCTCGTCGGCGGCTGTTGTTGGTGTCGTTTCGCTGAGATCTCTGGGATCTCGTCCACAAGAGACCGAAAGAGTGGCATTTTTGTAATGAACCCCTCTAAAACAAAAGAGTTACAGAGGAGCGTTTGCATGGAAAACGTTTGATGATATCATGGAACAAGAAGTATGAAAAACAGAAATGGGATTAGGAAAAGATTAGACATATTGGAGAGATTATCCGAATCAAAAAGCACGCGCATCACTCGGCACATCGTACATATTCTCGTCGGCGGGCAACGAGATTGGCGAGAGCATCGAAGTGTCCTCGAGCGCCTTGTACACCCGTCGCACACGGATCGTCGGCTCGTCCGAATCGCGACGCTGATGGTAGTGAGTGTTGTGATGAGGCCCCGAAGACGTGCTGTTCGTCACATGGATCGTCGAACCGACCGTCACTCCGTGCCCAACGACTCCGCCGCCAATCTCATGGTGCCGACGGCTCAGATGATCTTGTTCGCCGTGCTCGTGCAGCTCCACCTCGTCCATCGGGATGCGTGGCAGAGAGCGTGGCCGCGGCTTCACTTCTGAAAGTATCCGAGGGTGTGGCCGAAGTGCCCCACCCACTAACCTTGCTGGAAATGATGGCCCGGTGGCGCCGGCCGAACTCGATAGATCACTTGCTCTGTGGTGATCGGCTTCTCGTCGTGCTTACTGAAAACCACACGTTTTCCAAAGAAAGACACCAATAAATGGTACTTGAAAAGCTTCGCCAAACTTTTGACATGTCCGACGCTGACCGGCGAATAATCTAACGAGGTCATCGATTTCGAGGTGCGCATCTGCTCGTTCTGGTTCTCAAAGTCCTCGTCTTCGTAGTGAACGTGTTGGTGAGTGTCTGTGAAAAAAGTGCGTGTGATGGGGGTTACGGTATGCGCTACAGTACTGCTATTGTGAATGTTCAACGGCGGCGGAATGTTCTGGCGATTCAGCGAGTTCGAGTGATGAAGGACAGTCGTGGAGGTGGCCTGGAAGAGGAGAAGTTAGGCCACGAATTGGAAAAACTAGTCTTCGACCTTGACAAACGTCTTATTTTCGTCATGCTCGGCCCATTTATTGCTCTTGCTCATGTGCCGAATCGCCTGATTCGTTTGAGCCAACTGATATTGGAGCTCTTGCTCCGTCTGATTTGTGTGCGCAGAGTCGTGATTCAGATGAACGACTTCATCGTCATGATGGTAATGATGATGATGGTGATGGATGTGGTGTTCTGGAAGAGAAACTGTTGTTCCAAGTTCTCAGAGAATTTTTAGCAAGGGTGCGGCACGTAGCGAGCAAGTTGCTGCACAGAACAGCATGGGTGCCGACTGGAGTCGGCACCCATGCTATTCTTTGCAATTTTCGAGATCGCATTTCGAGATTGCTTCCTCACTTTCCCGTTATATCGTTTGCTTGCCGCATCCATGCTCAACCCATGCTGACTGTGTGCTGCTACTGTGCTGCTCACGTGCTCGATACAGGCTCGCATTCAAATTGCTGCGCGCGTGCTGTTCTGTGCAGCAACTTGCTCGCTACGTGCCGCACCCTTGCTTAAAATTCTCTGAGTTGTTTATAGGGAAAGTTAGGCCACCCAATGAACCATAGGAAAACCTAGGCCACCTAGAAACATGTACCGACAAAGTTAGGCCAGCCTAGGAAATCACAACTCACCCTGATCCTGCGGAACATCATACACAATCTCTCTGCTCGGCTCATCATACACCACACTTGCGCGATGCACCATATGGGCCTCGTCGTGAGCGTGTCCATGAGCAACGACGGTATTCGAATGCTTCTCGACGTGATGCTGAGAATCGTGGGCGGCGTTCGCTGAAAAATCGTCAGTTTTCAGGTCCACATCGCCAAAAAAAAAACTGACCCCCGTAGGCATTGTACCGTTCGATTCGCTCGTGCACATAATCGACGTTTCCGGCCGAATCGGTGTGCTCGCGCGGGCTTCCCACGTGCTGCTCCAGACGCGGAAAATCGATGGATTTGGGCTCGAGGCTCGGCGTCGTCGGACGGGAATTGGCGCGCGAAACCGGACGCGACACCGGACGCACCGTCGCACGCCAGTGCTCCTCCTCGTACTTTTTACGCAGAATGCCCTCTTTGTAAATGAGCTCGTGGAAGATCACCGGGCCAAGCGGCTCTGCAAATGAACAATTGGGGAAAAAAAGGCGAAAGGTGACGACCAGGGGTGTGCGGAAAATTTTTTTCGGAAAATTTCGGAAAATCGGTTTTTCCGAATTTTTTTTTTCGGAAAATTTCGGAAAATCGGGTTTTCCGAATTTTTTTTTTCGGAAAATTTCGGAAAAATCGGAAAAATCGGAAAACTCACTTGTTCATTGGTTCAATAAAGTGTTTAAACAACGTTCTAATACAAAAAAATGCTTATTATGATTTGAAATCACTTGAGTGGGCGGAAGCCAAGCAATGGAATATTTTTTTGCAAAAAAATTAGCCGAGAGAAGCTCTCCGGGTCCAGTGTTTTCCGATTGTCAGTGAGAATGAGACGCGCGGTTGAAAAGAGTCGCTCCGTTTCTGCAGTCGTTGCGGGAGTACAGAAAAAAAAAATTTTGTGATGCGCCTTTAAAAAGCATACGGTGGTTTCGGACAAATTGACCTTGAATCCACACTAATTTTCCGAAAATTTCTCCGAAAATCGGAAAATTTCGGAAAATCGAAATATTTTCCGCACACCCCTGGTGACGACGTACTGTCTTCGTGCTCCTCCAGATGCTCTTCGGGGTTCGGCGGCGGCGGCGGCTGCCAAGTACGTTTCGGCTTCTCCGGGATCACAAAGACATCGGGCACGTGGACGGGCTGTGGCAGCACTGCCGGCGTCGATTTGCCTGACAATTCGAGAGTTTTGAGAACGTTAGTAGGGGGGATCTATCTAGCTGAAGCTTCCTAGTTCGACACAGGCTCTACCTAGACTCACGTCTCGGCGTTCTCCTCTTCTCACACTTGATTTTGCAAGGTGACGAAGCGCCTACAGTACTGTACCGTTCACCACTACCGCGTAACCCCTTTAGCTCACTCTTCTCAGCCTCCTGCTCTTCGGCGAGCCGCCGTTCCTCTTCCTCTCTCGCCAGCCGAATCTCGTGCTGTCGCTCGTGGAACCGTCGCGCCTTCTTCTCCTCCTCCTCCAGTTCGTGTCGTTTTCGGTCGCCGGCAAGTGCGTCCTCCATCTCGCGCACCCGCAATTGCACACTTTTCTCCAGTCCGAGACTCTTTTGATGGTCGGTCGTTTGGCCGAACGTTGGCGAAACGGAGACGGCGAGCGCTTCCTGGCCCACGTAGATTTCGTCGTAGTGACGACGTGCGGTGGGCACCGGGCTCTCGTCGATGACGTGCACCGGAATCGCCACGTGGATCTCTTCTGATGGCGGTGGTGGTGGTGGCGGAGGCGTCAACGGAACGCTCGGGATGAAGACGATGTGATGCGGGTCGGCGGTGTACGCCAGAACTGGAAGCACCGGCTCGTAAACCTCCTCGTAGACCGGCTCCTCCTCGTCGAACGTCTCGACAATCTCCTGAACCTCGTAGGGTCGATACGCAGCAAATTCCCGGATGATGATGGGGTCATGGACAATGTCTTCAGTCCTCTGAAGCACCGGATACCGAGTGGCCAGGTCGTAGTAGTCGGCGAATTGAGCAATCTCGATCGGATGATGCTCCAGCTCGTGCGTGTACCGGAGCACTCGTCTCGTCGAGTTGTCATAGTAGTCCGGGAAGACGAGCGCGCCGAGGCCGAGCTCCTGATGCCGCAGATCGGCGGTACGTCGGAGCACGACTCTCGAGCTCGCGTCGTAATAATCGGGGAACACGGACCGTTGAGGCGTCGTCGAGTGCGGAACATCGGCGCTCCGATTGAGAGTGGTGTAGACGAGAGGCTCAGCGACGGGCGGCGGCGGGAGCGGCGATTGGCGACGGGAGGTGCCCTCGTAGTCCGAGTACTTTTCCAGGTAGTCACGCGAGTACGAGTAGTGCAACGGCCGCGTGATGTTGCCCTGGGAATGTGGGTTAGTAGATCAAACTACTGTAGCTAACCTGATAATATCCTTGTGGATCGAGGAACATGAACTTGCTCGGATCATAATACGCGTGATAACCCTCGGGCATCTCGACGTCCGGCGGGAAAGTACTTCTCAAAACAAACTTTTGCTCAGACTCTTCTTTCAAAAACATACTTAAAGTCGTACTTTCTCTCGTACTTCGACGTGGTCCCTCGGCTCACAATCGGCTCGTCGTACACGTGCTCCACGACCTCTCTGTTCGCTGGCGTTTTCGGCAAGACTTGCGGGTCGGCACCTCGGCCGAATCGACCGTATCCCGACGCATAGTTTCCGTACCTCGACGAGTAGTCGTGTTTCGTCTGGACGCGGTAGAGATTGCTCAGCGAGTTGGTCGTCTCGTGGATCTTATCGAGACGTGGCCGCCGCGGCTCGACGGGTTGTGGAGCCACCGAGCCCACCGACTTGCTCCGTGTCATTCCGAACGAGGTGTACGCGTGACCGTCGTCGTGACGATAGACGGGAGTCACCGAAAGCGACAGTTCGCGCGTTCGGATCCGGTTCTCCTCGTCTCGCTGCTGTCCGAAGAAGTTTGCAATGCGGGCGCTCAGTCCCTCGGCCACCTCGTTGAACTGATTCATGCCGAACGGATGGTCGCCGGCGCGCAACGTCAACGTCCGATCCTCGAGAAGGCCCGACGCGCCGTCCTCCTCGTAGACGGCCAACTCGTGGTCCCACTCGCCGTGGCCTTTCGGCAATCGTTGCGAGACGATGCGACGATGCGACTCGTCCTCTTTGATCAGCTCCTCCAGCGGAGCGACGATCGTCTCGGTGAACTCGAGCCGCTCCTCGCCGTTCGGACCGTAGTCCTGCGCGCAGTCCTCGAGACGTTGCACCTGATCCGGAGTGGGCACGGATTTCTGAAACGTTTCGAGGATATTGCCACGCCTTCTCCGATGCGAGATGCCTACCGATCGATAGAACTTTTGCTCCACATACACACGCGTCAACGATCGCGCACCACGACGGCTCAGCGAATTCTGAAAGATTGCCACGTCATCAAACGTCTTATCGTCACCCCCCTCCCCCGCCGCCGCCGCTTTTTGACATTTGCTTGCAATCATGACGACGCAATGAGTCAACAGTATTCGAAAATTTGAAAAAAAAACCTTCCCCTCATCTCACCTCATTGTTCCTAGTGGTCAACGCATAAATGTAGCGCTTGACACCCAAATAGCCACGTCCGCGATTGATGGGCTTCTGGAAAATGCACGAAAAAAATGCCACGCAACTAGACACACTAATTTTCTCACCAGATCCTCGCGTTTCACAGTCTCATCCAAGTCCACACACTTTTGTTTGACGGCCACCAGTGCCGCGTTCAAATCGACTTGTAGGTCTCGTCCCATGCTGCTGAAAAACGCGATGTAAAGGGGAAAAAGTGAGGAGGAGGAGAAAGACAATATAAAATGGTGTTAGAATGTACATACACGCAACTGATATTGTAGTAGTATTTGTGTGTGTGCGAGCAGAGTTTGGCTGGCGTCTCTAGGCACTCACTGATAAGCGAAACTTGAGAATAGGAGGCGTCGTTATCAGTGGAAACGAGGCGGAGAGGAATGTGTGGCGGCGGCGGCCGCCCGTTTCCTCCAAAAATCGGCGCAAATAGTGTGTGACGGGGGCTCGGGCTGAAAATGTGTCATAAGGAATCAACTGGAAGGTTGTGTAACTCCTCACCTACAGTAACCCATTCAAAGTTAAAGTTCCTGCTAGGCAGAGACGTACGTAATATTACCGTCATGTCTTCCAGTTGATAACAATGTCGTTGACTTTGTGGTTGAGTCGTCGGGCGTGTACAATAGTCATAGATGCCCGGGAAAATCGGAGAGTCCTCGCCGATGTTGAACTTTTTGAGCACCTCTTCCGGACAGCTCATTGCCTTTTTTTAAGGTTTGTAAGTCGTCCACAGTCCCTGGTTTGTCTTCAGACGCAGTTTTGTGCCTTCCCAAATCGTCTAGTCGATCACTTCGGCAACGTGGATTCTGAAAATTCTAGCGCCATGTTCCGTTAGCTTTTCAACAAGTTTATCCACTTTCAGATACATTTCTGGTTCCCGGGATAATTGTGAAATTTGCTCCAACGACCACCGCATCCAACTGCCGGCTCCGTTCTGTTTTCTAAGAATACAGAACTTTTTTCTCGTCTCCACTTTCAGAGAGAGAGTAAGGAGTTCAATCACTGAAAGAGTCAAGGATTTCCCGGCCATTGTTCACCGTAAAAGCGTGAAGGCGTTGTGCTCGTATTCAGGACCTCACGTCTCTACGAATCTTCAGGATCTTCCCAATTCATCGTACCAAACTCCCTATCCAATCAGTTTACGTCCAGCGAGTCCAGGGATCCCGCAATCATCAATTGTTCTCTGTGGCTTCCTCAAAAACAAATTTAATGGAAGAGGGAATGCAAGTGGATCCGCGAGCTCCACAATCGGTGAAACAAGAAGCGGAGGAGAGTCCGGATTCGGACGAAACGACGGGAAAAATGAGGAGGATTGTTGCAAAATGTGGAAATATGGCAAAGTCGAATGTTTAGCAGCAGCCGCGAACCGCATCCGGGATCCGTTTTGGAGTCAAGGAATTGCATGTAACAATGCGTTTTTTGCGACGAACAACCTGAAACTTTGGGGGAAAACGAAACGTGGCAGCATTTTCTCGAAGATTGCAACGATCTAGTGGGTCCAAATGCTCTTTTTTTGCTATCTAGAGCCACAATGAAACAATTTTGAAGCGAATTGCTGTTTTGACCCGCGCACGGTCTCCCAAGGCGCTAATGCTAAACACAGTGCGCTCGTAAATTTCGGAGTGTCGTTGTAACTTTTGAAAATTTGCAGGTCTAAAAATGCAGTTCAATTCGAGTTTACGACCTTTATTTCTTTCTTTTTGACTTGAAAAACGGCTAGAAAACAATATTTTACTGATTGGAAATCGTTCTTTACCGAATTTAGAGTTTTTCATGTTTTTAGCGTCTTTTTCGCATTTCGTCAAAACTTCAAACCCCTATATTTCAGCTCATTTTGCATTTCATGAGCGCAACAAACGATAAAAATGTTCGCTGAATCTTTCTTTACAATATTCAGGTTCCGGCGGTTAGTTTTCTTGCGCAGTTTTCGAAAACTATTCGAAAAACATCAAAATCCAGGCCAAAACCTTCAAATCGAAATAACTCGGCTAATTCTCAACGATATGCGAGATTTCTGTTACCAAAACGTAGCTAGTGCTCTAATTATTCGAATCCAGGTTCCAGGCGTACAAAAAATTGGTGTATTGTACAGAAAACATGGAAAGAGCGCGCATAAAATTAATTAATCGGCCGCCGCGTAAATCGACACAGCCCGCCTGTTGCAAGTGCGCCCCATTGAAATCGTGCTATTTCAGTCGAATTTTCTCAAAGATTAGGAGGTTCCAGTGGCGCTCATTGTGTTTTTTGACATCTACAGACACAGTAGAAGCGTTCTGGAGCAAATTGAGCATTTTGATGCTTCATGTAAATAAATGAAAACTTTCTGCAGATTTATCATAAGTCCGAGTGAATTTTTTTGGAAACATTATCGATTTTTCCCCGATTTTTTCCATATTACTCGGATTACAAGGCGAATGTGATTGTCCTCAAGAATTCATAGTGTGCCGAAAGCGCGAGAAATAAATTGGTGTCCACTAAATCACGGGCCGATTACACAAGAGCGTTGAGGTTCCCGCTGACCGGGGTGTAATCTCCCCCTCTTTCTTTCACTTTCAAGCTCCCCTCTCTCTTCATTTTCTCTTACTCGTGACGGGAAACTTGAGAGGATGATGAGCAGTTAGTAAGTATGTAATATTAGTAGTAGTAAACGGGTACATTGCAAAACAAGTCACCACTGTGCACTTTCTGGAGAATTCCATTAAGCCCATCTTTCGCCTCCAAATTAGTACCCCCTTTTGCCACGAAATTTCGAATAAAAAGCCCTCTCTTTTTGCGTCCAAACCCCCACAAAAAGGGCCCCCTCATTGTTATTCTGCCGTTTCCCCTCTCTCTCTCTCTCTTTTTCTTTCCATTCTATTTTTTTGCTCAAGTAGCAAGCATGTCGAGAGTGTTCCTGGAGGAGGCCGATCGCCCGCCGCCCGCCTATTATCAGTCCGAGCAGAAGGGACCGCCACTCAAAATCGTCCCGTTTCAGACGCCCGATCCGGAAAGTTTGTTTTTTTTTTGGTCGCCTTCTTTTGATTTTTCAAAGTTTCATGATTCAGCGTGGATAAGCGCCCCGGAATTCGTGCCGAGATCCCGACAACTGGCCGACGCATTCGGGTTTACGCGGCGATTGGAGGACCCGCCGGTTCACGAAGACCATTTTCCTTTTACGGGTATTCAAGGCTGGCTTTTTGGACTTGGATCAGATTGGACTATTCGGCCCACAAAAAGCACTTCAATCCAAGTCTAAAAAGCCGACAAAGTTTGGGCACAAAAGTCCGCCGGCCCGGGCTTTTCGTTGGACATTTAAACCACTTGCAACGTTCCGATCGGCGCCAAACTTTGCAGGATTGTTGGACTTGGATTGAGGGCCATTGGGACCAACTTTCAGCCCGATCGGATCATCTGATCCCGAGATATGTGGACTATTGGCCGATTTTTTCCAAAAAGCTCGTGCTTCTTGCCAATGGTCCAGATATCTCGGGACCAGATGATCCGATCGGGCTGAAACTTGGTCCCAACGGCCCTCAATCCAAGTCCAAGCCGATCGGAATATTGCAAATGGTTCAAAGGTCCAGCACTGGGCCTGGTTTTAGAAAACCGAGTGTTCAGGCTGTCAGTTGGCACACGACTACTACGATTATCCGAATCCGAATGCGAATAATCCGTTCGTGACGATGGCTCCACCCCCTCCGTTCAATGGAATTCCGCCGGGCTACACGGCCAACATGACGACCATCAATCGTGAGTTTTTTCCACTAATTTCGGTCTCCGTAACTTTCGACAAACGTGTAGAGTCTATCAAACCGTTGTGTGTCTTGAAATGTAAAGTGAAAAGTGTGTTCCTTCACTCTCTCTCTCTCTCTCTCTCTCTGCCTCATGCGTTTGCCGCCCTTTACACAAACCATTCGCTCCCGGCCACTACTAAATATCCCTTCTTCTTTTTCTTCCGCCTCCGCTCTCTCTCTCTCTCTCACTCGGATCCTTGACTCTTTTCCCCTCATCCCAACAGTTCCTTCGTCTTTTTTCTCTCTCACTCTCTCCGTTTTGCAGCCGGCGGCAACGGTCCTCCGATCGCGGCCATTTTGCTCCGTAAAAAGCGGAAAAGACGCTCGAAACCGGCGACAAACTCGATGGTCAACACACATTCCGTAAGTTTTTCTATGCTGATTTTCAAGGCACATGTCCTTCCAGACGTCTCCGTGCTCTTCGCACCCGTCTGATCCGAACGGCGACGACGTCTCCTCGTGCGACGAATTTCAGAAGACGTCGGGCGGTTCTTGCCCGGATCTCACGGCGCAGCAGATTCAGAAATGGGACGATTATCTGGTAATTTTCGATTGGATTACCTTCATTAGTGCACTGTTTTAAAGTACGAGACGGCGAAGGCGGTGAACGAGAACGGAGTGCTGCACGAGTCGACCGGGGAACGGACCTCCGAGGATCTCAGCTCTTCGGTCTACGAAATCGCGGCGCCCGGACTTTTGGACACGGCCGCGCAGACGATTACCGGCACGGCGAACAAGGAATTGCAAAAGTTGGAGGAGGAGATTAACGGAAATGCGATGACGTCATCGATGGTGCTCCGCCGACTCGCCGGCCACACGTTTATATCGGACGGCAGCACCGAGAAGACGTTGGCGCAGGAGATGAACGAGCTCACGTTCAGACCGCCCGTGCCGGTAAGTCGTTGTTTAAAACGCTAGAACCGGTAGAGGCATCAGGGGCTTAATGTCAGACTACAAATGCCGTATTCAGCGTTACGCATATCCGCAAATCGACAATAGTGTCTCGCCGTACGTTCACTTGACAACTCTGGATCCGAAAAAGAAGAAGATCACGAATCAGCTGATTGACAAGGACGCGCTTAAGGCCTACGTGGGTTACTGTAGAGGAGGAATTACTGTAGAAGCGTTCAATTTTCACTCGTTTCAGTTGGACGAGGAAGATGAAGAGGAGGACTTCCTCGAGGGTCTCAATATTACGGTCAACAACTTTGACAACTGTGAGGTAAGAAACGCCAGCGTTTCAAACTTTTATATCTCATTTGTCTGTGGAGATATCAAGATGTAGTCAACAGATAAATTGTTTAAAATTTTATAATAAGCATTTTGTTAGTTTAACGTTTTTTGATATCTCTACCGACACCTGAGATATACACGCTTTTCTAATTTGCAAGTTTGTGTTGAGTGTCCTACACAGTATTTACGGTACCTCAACTAGTTTTCCGCTATACTCGACCAACTTTTTCCAGGATCTGACCCTGTCGGACGTTGAGCAACCGTCCCGTTTCCGGCAATTTCAAGATGCGATCCGCAAGAATACGGTAGTGATTGCCACGGATTTGCAGGCGCCCGAACGGCAGTGCTGCACAATCATGTAGATTTCTCGTGTTACCATTTGTTTGGAGTGGAAAAATAAAGTATTTGTATTATAAAACATTCAAATTGTGTGACTATTTCCGGCGCCCGCTCCACCAACTCCAAGAATTTTGACGCTGAAAGAAGAGCGTTTCCGTTTTTTTCGCAAAATGCTCACGCCAAACGCACTTCCACCAGCTGAGCTGCTCTTTGTCTCCGAACACGTTCCAATCGAAGCCGCCGGACGAGCTGGAAGAGAAAAAGTTAGGCCCCGGAACGGAGAAAAGTTGGTCGGCGGCCACCGTACCTCTCCATGGCGCCCTTGCCGAAAACCGGTGAGAGCGCTGGATTTATATCGAATCCGGACGAGTCGCGACTCGACAATTGAGCATCACTGAAAAATGGGCGGAGCTACAGTAGTCGTGAATCCACGTACCATGCGTCGGCGACCTCGAATTGATCGGAAACGGAGGGCGACGAGGAAGAGGTGTCGCACACGCCACAACTCGCCAAAATGAGTACGGTACTGAAGAGGACGAGGTGAACTGGAAGCCTAATTTTGCAACAAAACGGGAAAAACAAATGTGCCGAATGTTCTGAGGCCAAAATCTTACTTTACATCTACTATTACTTACAGTAACACTTGGCCAAATACGCTAGAGGTTCGATTTGAAAGCTTAAAGTTGAAAGCATTGGAACACTTTTCAATTGACTATTTGCGGTTGCGAAAATACGATTCACTGAACTTTGTTCCCCGGTACATCAAAGTTCACGCAAGATTGCGTCGTTTGGAGGTTCCGTAATCCTCCATTTTTCTTATTTCTTAGACATTTAGGCTAAAATAAAAGTGATCGGGGTGACGGAGCCGAAAAATTGATTCTCCTTCTTCATGAGTCCCAGTCGTTGGAGCACGTATCGTCGGAGCGAATCCGAGAAGATCCACAGCAAGTAGGGATTAATGCTGGCGTACAAATCGCTGAAAAAGTCGAGTAATCGGAAAAGTACAGTAATTCGAAAACCTGAGCGCATTGTAAACTATGTAGAATTGGTCGGTGGAGACGCCGAGAATGTCGGAGCCGCCGAAAACGAAGAGGAGAAGGACGGAGAGCTGCACGCAGACGGTGATTGTGCTCATTGTGAAGAGCTTCGCCTCACGGACCTTTGCACGTTCCTTTCGTTTCGATTGGTACCGGAGGGCCGTCTGGAATCGGCGGTTTGCGAGTTCTACAGTAATCCTTTTTGCATTCAAAGCGCTTTATCTGATAAAATGTACACCATATTTTGATAAACAACTTTTTGTTAGCTCTACTGTCAGCTGAGACATACAGTAGCGGCCACTGAAATATCCCCTTTTGGTTTTTCCGCTATAACTTTTTTTAGAGAAGAGCTAGGAACTTGAGGTCAACTGTGAAAATGTTGCAAAATGAGCCAGAAAAATGATCCAGTTTAGCTCTTATCGATAAAAACTTTTTTTTTCAAAAATTCAAAAAATTCGATTTTTCGATTTTCAACAAAAACCGGTTTATTGCGATTTCACTCGGGAAACGACTTGTAAATGAGGTAATAAGCAATAGAAACAGTTTAAAATTGATCAATACTTAGTTGCAAACCCTCGAGAATCGATAACAGCTTGACATCTTCTTGGCATCGACTGGATCAGGTTGGTCAAAACAGACTGTGGAATCTGAGCCCACGCAGTCTCCAACTGAGAGAATTTCTCGTCGTACGGATACCGGAAACGCGTCTCTCAAGCTCTTCCCACAAGTTTTCGATGGGTTTGAGGTCGGGGTTCTTGCTGGGCCACTCCATTACAGTCGCACGGTTGGTGGCGAACCAATTCTACAAAAAAAGGTACTGATCGTTTGAGACATTTAACTCATTCTGATGTGGTTGGAGGTGTGTTTTGGGTCGTTATCTTGCTGAAACAAGTAACGAACCCTCGGGGAGGCACGAGCGAACGGCAGCATCACATTTTGCAAGATCTGTTCGTAAACAAAGCGATCCATGTTGCCTCGGATGCGGTGTAGTGGTCTGACCCCATGACTGCTGAAGCAGGACCATACCATCACGTTGCCGCCATCATGTTTTACGGTGGGAGTTTGATATTTTGGGTCGAATCTGGTCCCTCCTCTCACGTAAGAAATTCCATCCGAACCGAACAACATGAACTTGCTCTCATCACTCCACAAAACTCGTTCCCACTGACTTTGAGTCCAGTTGAGATGAGCTCGCGCCCAGGCCACACGAGCTGCTCTATTGCGGTCAGAGATGGATGGTTTCTTCACAGGTCTTCTGCCAAAGAGTCCAGCATCATTTAGGCGACGTCGGATCGTTCTGACGCTTGCCACGGGTGATCGACGGTGGGAAACCTGATCGAGGACTTCGGTGGCACTCAGTCTAGGGTTGCTTCACGATGCGCGTACGATGTTTCTATCCGTTAGATGGTTCGTAACGGGAGCCCTTGAGTGTCTTCTGGCTGCTCATTTTGAGCTCTCCAGCGCTTCAAAAATTTTCCAACTGTGGAACGATCGACATTGAACTGCTCAGCGAGTTGCCTGTGAGTTCGTCCCTGCTCGCGCCTCCTGGCAATTGCAAATTGCTGGTTAGGGGTCAAATCTACTTTTCCTTTAGTTTTTGTCATTATCTAAATCAAAAAATATTGAAGACTCTGGAAAATATTGGCGTTGTAGCTTCCAAAAAAAAATTGAAAATACGAGCAAAACCGTGAAAATTGAAAAAATTTTTAGAGAAAATATTTCTTTCGCAGCACAGTGAAGACACTTTGCAGAAAGTACATTATATATGCCTGTAATACGCATAAAAAATTATAGCCCGGTTGCTCTTCTCTAAAAAAAGTTATAGCGGAAAAACGGAAAGGGGATATTTCAGTGGCCGCTACTGTACCTGTTTCTGTTGGCTTCTCTGATGAAGGACGGCGAATAGATAGCAATAGGTGAGCACCAAAAAGAGGCAATTCACGAAGAGAAAGGCGGCTCCGATCATGAAGAATACGCTCGTCATTGTCTCACTGAAAATTCTCTTGTTTTTCCGGATTCAGGACTACTGTGCCCACTTCAAAAACTTTGGCACAATTCCGTTTTTGTTGTTGCGAAACAGTTGGGTGCGATTGAAGAAGGTGGCGATGCCGATGGAGAGCCCCGTCGAGTACTGGATGCCGATGGCCACCCAGATACGGTAGCCTTGCCACATCTGACATACATTTCATGTGAATGGATGTGGATATTTTCCGAACCTACCAGATGAAATTTGGTGGGGAAGAGCATGACGGAGAGGCGATTGGCGGCAAGCACAGATACTCCCATCGCCTGGCAGACTCCTGAACGATATTGTAGCCATATCTCTGTTGGTAGGAGAGAGCTCAAATAGTTGTCAACTAACAAATTGTTCAACAAACAATTTTGAACATTTTATCAGTTGACAGCAGAGATATATAGCTTTTTAGCCGTTTCACTATTATATGTTTTACGGTAGGTTCTTGTTGCCAAGTGAAAAAAAGTGCATACCCATACTCCATGCCAAATAGAAATAAACGTGAGCGTACGCGTTTCCGAGGAACATGTAAACCGGCACGAACCATCCCCATTTCGGGAACATTGCTCCAAAGTAGTTGGTCAAAAGAGTCACTGCAAATCGAATTCAGCATCTAACCAAGAGCCATGAAAACTCACAAACATCAATTCCTGCCGTGGCGAGACACAATTTGAAGAAGGGGCTCGTCAGTTCTTCGATTCTTCTCGAATGTGCCTCCGCGAGCGCCCAAATCTCGGTGACGTGCACTGTCATTGTGAGGAGAAACACGCAAAATTGCACACTTTCGACAATGTCCACCAGTTTTCGGTCGTCCGCAGTGCTCGTGTCGTTGACGTCGACCAGTTGGAGGTTCCAGAATTCCACAGGCAATGCCATTTTCAGTTTTAGAGGATTCTATGAACTTCAGGGGATCGAAATGGACTGGAAACGTGATGAATTCGAGCAGTAACGTGTTGTTGTTCTACGAGAAACCCGCCAATTACTGGACAACTTCTAATCATATGTTTGCTGGGTAGAACTTTGAAAAGGAAGCGTGGAAGGTTGGTTTTTGAACCGAGCAACTGTTCTCTGGTGTTTCTCGAGAGCCAGAAGCAAAACGGCCCTCAATGACCCACTGCTCCACGATCGGATTCCGTTGCGTCGGGTCGGGGCCGTCCTCCTCCTTCCCGGGGGCATCTGTTCCCAACCGAAGAGGTCCCGTCCACTCCGCTCATTCTTCTTTCCTCTGCTCGCCTTTCTTTTTCTTCCACTTGCACGCATTCTCCGCGAAAATATCGAAAGAAGTGAGAACGACGGTGATGCGAGCGGGCCGTTCGACTCGAAGCAGCGTAGAACAGTCCTATATTGTGGATCAGTACACGAATAAACTGGTGAAGACGCACTCGAAGGACACGATCAAGTACCGCCGCATCGATTCATCGCCCGATCGAGAAGACGTCGTCGAAAGTGCCGCTTCGAGAATGAATAAGGTAAGAACAATTTCAAGGGAATTTTGAAAAAAAACGCGTGAAAGTTTCGAATTAAAAAGAATTTCCCTCCGAAAATTCGCTAAAACTATTGATTTTTCAGAGAAAGACGACGGATGCGGTCCCGTCTCTTCCAGCGAAGAAGAAGGATAGAATACCTGTCGCTGCGACGGTCCCGACGGCTCGCGATCCTTCGCCGGCTGCTCCGCTAGTCTATTTTCCGCTGCTGTCGAGGACCGACGTCTCCAGAAACTCTCCAATCACGGCGATCGAGGAGATCGGCGAATTCGCGACGCTTCTGCGCCAAATGAAGGCGCTCGACGTGTTCGAGAATCAAGAAGACGACGATGCGCTGTTGATGGAAGTTCTCGAGTTGGCCGGACAAGCAACGATCGACGGGATCACCTCGCTGCCGCACTTTTACACTTTCGAGTTCGTGCCGGCCGTGCAGCATCTGAAACTGTTCAAAGAGTGCCGGGAGGTGATGATCGACGGGATCGTTACCGGATACGATCGGATCATCGTCGACGACGGAGTGCAGGTGGATTTTCCGATTCCGACGACGCTGGCCGACAAGAACCTAGAAAAGTTCGAGACGTTCGTGATGGACGGTCTGCGGGTCGACGTGCCGTTGCCGCCGAAGCCCGTCACTTTCCCCGCGGAGATGCAGAAACGAGCGAATCTTAATCAGGAATACGAACGGCGGCTCATCGAGGCTTGGAGGCCTCACTATCAGGGCGCCAGCGAGAGAAATGATAATTATTAACTCACTCGGATTTTTCTTTTTTTTATTATGGTGGCATTTCGCTGCAATTGCGCTCTGTTCAGAAACGTTTTCGAAAAGTTCGGCAACTGAAATTGCGTCGCGGAAGGAACAGAGTGCGATTGCCGACAAATACCGCGGTTTTATACGTTATTTTTCATCGCTGACATAGATTTTTTGATGTAAAAAACGGAAAAAAACCCTAAAACACCACAAAAACGGATTTGCTCTTCTCCTTCTTGTTTATCAACAATTAAATGCAATAATGGGGCTATTCAGCGTATGTTTGTTTTCCGTTTTTTTCGCTTTTTTACATCGCTGAATTGGATTTTTTGACGTAAAAAACGAAAAAAACGGAAAACAATCATTTTTTTCACAGTCTTAATAGCCCCATAACAATACGTTTCAAGTACTTTTCTCAATTTTTACATTAATAAAAAGATTATTTCACTTGTTCTTTACATAAAATTCCAACGCTTTTCCATTTGCAAATGCCGAATTTTGGCTCACCTCGTTTTTGCAACTCGTTGCTTCGAAACTGTTACATTTCGCAACTTGACGTGTCAAAGTATCAAAAGGTCCGATCAAATTTAACGTTTTCGTTCGCTTTCGCTTTCGCATAATTATGTAAAATCACTTTATCGCACACAAACACACACACAAATTCGGAACCTGAGCAAAAACAATTCGACTAGTCATTTAATAATTGGGTGTACAGAATTCGGGTGCAAAAAATGGACATTTTTGAGCAATTCTTCAAAAGTGCTCTTCGACCCGTTTCGTAGAGAAAGTGAACACAACAGCGACAAGTTTTAGGAGGGAAAGAAATTTCACAGAGAAAAAAAAGGCGAAAGGACAATGTTATCAACAAAAGAAATTACACACATTTTCACAGAGAATAAAACGGAAGAGAGAGGGAGGGAGCGAGAGAGAGAGAGAGAGAGAGATCACATTTATATTATAGCACAGCAATTTTTTGAGGAGATTCAGAAGATGTTCGGCGGGATCATTGGCTCCGAGGTGGTCGGCGTGCCCGGCTCCCGTTCGCTTCGGGATGGCGACCGGAAATTCTGAAGAAATTATCGATTGATTGTGAAAAAACTCAATCGTAACCGGAGAAGCCAAAATTTTGCACATTTCAAACCCCCCCGATGCCGTACCGTCTCGATGTGTTCGTCCATCTCGATGACAGTGTGCGTGGGCGGCGGACACGTGGCGTTCGCCTTCGACGCTTCCGATGACGTGGATTGGAACGAGATGGCCGAGAAGTCAATGTGTCCCGAGTAGTTGATCGCCGACACCTCGACGCGCGGCACCGATTTGTAGTGCTTCGGCGTGTCGTCGTCGTTTATGCTTCTGAAGTTTGTGTGTGTGTGGCAATCGCGCTCTTTCGCAAAGGGAATTTGATTCGATTTCTCGCAAATTTTCGCAATGTTAGGCCAACTATTCGTCAATATTGCACAAAACTAGACCTGAAGTTTTTTACCTTGACGGAATGGTGCCCTGACTGCGGAGGATACTGAAAAAGTTGTTGCGTGCCGTTTCCGCGTTGTTGTTCCGCACGGCCATCTGTCGCATCGGAACACGTGCGGCGGCTCCGGAAGAAGCGGAAGCAGGGGTTACGGTCGTCGGCGGCGCGCACGAGTTGATCTGGTGGACGGAGATGTGACGGCCGTTGGGCGTTTTGAGGACGGTGAACGCGTCCGGCGGGCACATGTGACTCATCGTGTACGTCGTCTCGTCCGCTCTTTTCGACATTCTGGAATGGTTGCACATTTCTTGAACGTTTCTTTTTTCAATAATTTTTCATAGGTCCATTGTCAGTCTGGATGAAAAACTGGGTTTCAACCCGGACCAGTATCTTTCTGAATTGCATCCTAGTATCACATAAACTGTCAGAACAACCTCCCTGCCACTATGTATGCAAAAATCCAAAAAATAACGCATTGTCGAGGATTCGAAACTTTAACTGTTCGCTATTCCGTTCATTGGTGGCAAAAGGATACAATTCAGAAAGACACATAAACTCGGAATAAATCTCCCCAGAATAAATTATATGAATTCGAGTACCTTCTGTACGCGTAGACGACGATGGCGATGAACATGATGAGCATGACGATGAGGAATCCGAACGCAGGCACCGCCGACGTCGACGACTGCTGGAATCGAGTGAAACCGCGTTTTTTTGGGGGCACTTTTCATGTTTCACAAATATTTGGAAGAAAACCCGCACCCCTCCCCACCCCCATAATCTGCACACTTGTTCTCACCACAATTCGCTCATAAAACCCGCTGAAAATGTCGGGAAACCCGCGACGTGGCGGCGGCGCAGAAGTCGTCGATTCGCCGGGCGGTCTGACCGCGTAAACGTTCGGTTTCAATCCCGATTTCTCCTAGAAAAAATTGGGGCTAGTAGGTGGAATTGTTCGACAAAAACCGTCACCGCAAACCGAACGAACCAACCATGCTTTTAGGATTTTGGAAGAAGACATGCAGATTATGGGGTGGCGAAAGGCATTCAGAAGTGCAGGAACGAAAGGGGTACAATAATTTGTTTAGATCGTTTATGAGGATGTATATATGAATTACTTGGACAATTTGTTGTGCCGTCGTGCTCAAACGTACGTTATATCTGCCGGAGACGGGCGCGTAGAACGCCTGCACGTAGTGACGGTCACATCGCGTGCCTTCCCAGCCGTGCGGGCAACTGCAAGTACTCACTTTGGATGTTTCCTGATCACTGACATGAGTCTTACAACCAGAACTAGACAATCGACTCAGTTAACTTTGTGGTGAGATTGTCAGTCTTGGTATGTAGTGTCTTCCGTGAAAAGGTTCAGGCCTCGAAAAGGTTTCAACGTTTTGAAAAGAGAATTTTGTCTAGCCGTGTTCTCGAAGCGACTGCTACACAACGATCACTTGGAGTTCATTTCGAAACAAATGCGGATTTGAGAAGAGGTGCGTCGTGTCGAACTAGTACGCTAACGAATTGCGAAATTTCATAAAATAGTTGCAACTGAAAACGAGAAATTCCACGAAAAAGTAGGCGCGCTAACGAAGAAACGGCTCGAGACCAGTTGTTTTCGTGCACAAACTCACTGGCAGGAGGGCACAACGGCAGAAATTCGGTCGTCGCGAAAAATCACCTCCACGTGGCACGTCGCGTTGTGGTGGCAGTAATCTGTAAAGAAAAACGTGAAAATTCAGCAGCAGCCGATCAGCAGTCTATCGTACCTTTGCACTTGGCCTCCTTCAACTTTTCAATCTCTTTGCGCACCGCCGGTTTGAGCGTCGCCGACGCCTCCTTCGTCGCTTTTTCGTTGTATTTCAGCGCTTCGCCGGCCTCCTCTTCCGCCTTCTCCTCCTCGTATTCGTACTCGTACTCGGCCTCTTTTTCCGCTAATTCCTTCACCGCTTCTTGCAACTTCTTCTCATCCTCAGCCACTGACGCCGAAATTGTTGATGTTGTGGTGGCGGCGGGCGGAGGCGTTGTTCTGACAAGAAACATTTCAAATTTTCTAATGCTCCGACAAAGATCTTACAGTTCTGGAGGCGTCGGAAATTCCGGCTCAGACGGATCACCAATCTCGTTGGTTTCTAGGCCACTCCGTGACGGGTCTGCATCAGAAGTCGTCGTGGGGATTTCCGACGGGTCCGGCGCGCTACGTTCTTGTCGAAACCACGACGGAAGACACGATTCTGAAGCTTACGGAGGCGTAGGAGCAGAGATTACTGTACGATTTTAAAATCATGGTATAAGCATACTGTCACCTAGAAACCATCTAAAACCCACCAAGTGCGACCAGCATTTTTTCCGGCAGAGTCGCCATTCTCGGTGTTCTCGAAAAATATCAGAAATAGTATAGTTCCGAGTGAAAATGTCTAGATTTGTACCGAACATTTTCCCGAGAACACCTGTTTGTGCGCGGAAAAAGTTCAGGGCCGCGCAAGAACTTTTGCAGGTGTGCCGGGGAAATGCAGAAAAGCCCAGCAGCTACTGTACTTTTTCATGGGGGAAAAAAAAAGAAATTTTCAACTCTACCAACCTACATCATCAGTTTCTTCCAAGTACTGAATTACCGGAATGTACATGACTTGGTCACTTGCCAATTGAGAATAACCGAAAAGAGAGCGGGCGTTCGTGGGTGGTGGTGGTTGCCGTGTTTATGAGGGTGTAATACGCATGTTTCGGCACTTCCGACTACTTGAATATTTACGACCTCCTACTGTTTAGGAGGGGGTCACCTATTCCCTCAATGGAGATCGTCAGATCGTCGCGAATCAGTTGAAAATTGGAACTGCAATAACCGGATCGGAGCCAAACTTTACAGGCTTCTTGGAATTGGATTGGAGTTGATTGTGGACCAAGTTTCAGACCGATCGGACTATCTGGTCCCGAGATATACTGGTTTAGCGGAAATTGCGGATGTCTCGGTCCACATATCTCAGGACCGGATGATCCGATCGGTCTGAAACTTGATCTCAATATACGTCAATGCATGTCCACGGAGTCAGCCTGCAAAGTTTGGCCCCAATCGGAATGTTACAAGTAGGTCAAAAGTGCAGGCCTCAAAAAGGATTCGAAAAGCGTTGGCCGGCCTTTTGCCCAGTCCTGCTTTTTTGACATTTTCAAGGAAATCCACCAATATTCGCCCCCCCCAGCGTATACATTGCTTTTTCTCAGCTCAATAAAAACACGCACTTTTGCTGCTCAATTGCTCTTTTTTGCTCCCATCCATATGACAGTGGTTAGTAGTACTAGTATCCGAGTGTCGGAACACACATGTGGCCGAGTATTCGTGTCAAATGTCGTTTGTGCGGTTTTCGTGTGGGTGTCAAAAACAAAACTCGAAAACGGTACCTGCCGAGTGTGGAAGAAAGAGTAGGAGGATGTGGAAGAGCAGCAGATTCCGCATTGTGAGCAACTGCAGCTTGCGTTGGCGATGATGAAAGGATCTTCGAGAAGAGAAGTTGGATTTGATGACAAAGTATACAAAAAGTACCTCATGAAACAGGAAAAATTGATGCATGCGACGTTATTGCGTTATTCTGGAAAGAAATTAGTGAGATGGAATGAGGGTACGGAGAAAATTAGGGGGTTTTAGGCGCATCTAGTTAACGGAATCCGAAAAGGCTGCGAGTTTTTCGAAAAGTTCAAGCTTAACTAACTCGATGGGACAGCAAATTCACTAAAATTGCAGGATAGAAGCAACTGGACCTCAAAAAGTCATTAGTACCACCGTACAAAAAAAGGCGACTAATGCGCGTGTTCGGGATGAGTCAGAAAAGTTACCGCACTGTCGGTGACATTAATACTTTATCACACGGGAGGTGCGCGAGCCGAGTTGATTGGAAAACGACGGGTCGAGTACTTGAGCGCTTTAAAACCGACTAGAAAGCGAAAATCGTACGACCGGGCTAACAAACACAGTTAGTTCGCAGTGTTCTCATCAGAGAAACAAAGAGAAAGCTAATCGAGAGAGGAGTAATTATTTCGAAATATCAGTTGAGATCGGAAGTCGGAGAAGAAGAAGAAGAAGAAGAAGAAGAAGCCGAGGACAGTGGCAGAGAAACTGGGAGACACTGTGAGTCAGCGGGAAGAGAGCAAATAAAGGGGAAGAAGATGCGCGGGACGAGCTGGTTGGTAACAAAAAAACAGTCGGTTTCAGGTATTCTCGAAATTTCTGGGCGAAACTTTCATATTGAACGACTCCAGCTGAAGGTTAAAGCTATCGGAATACGTGAATCTTGACCCCACCAAAATGGAAAACGCATTTCAGAATCTGCGAGCAAGAAATGTGAGCATATTATTAAGAACGAATTTGGGGTCAAGGTCTGTCACAAACATTCGCTTAAAAATTGGGGAAAACTACGGTACCGCTAACAAAAATCAACAACGTCGTCCGTGAACGAACACTGTGAGAAGAGTCATGGATGAGCGGATGTCGGAATATATTAATGAACGGGCAATTGTAGATGACAAACAAATCGGCTACTTCAAAGTTTTGCATGAATTCCGACTATTCGATTTTCCAGAAAACATTCTCGACAGTGACTAATCACTGTTTGCCTAGACCACCTAGAAATGGTGAAAAATTGTCATTTTTATGCTCGATGACACCAATCTCGGTTCCAGTTTTCAATTCTTATTCTCCATCACGCTCCTAGCTTCTTTCGAGAACAAACATTGTGCTCCCTTTCACCTCAAAAATTGGAAACAATGGGTGAGTTGCGGAAGGAGAAAAAGTGGGAGGAAGAGGAGGAGGAGGAAGAACAAATAATATCGGATGAGAAGGCGAGAAGGACATGCGAACAAGAGGAGGAGGATGATGATGATCCCGACGAAACTACGTGGGAATGTCATCCGAGGATCACAAAGTTTCGAGGATTTTCTCGACTGCATGAAATTTCCTGGCTTTTCCAACGAAGCAAAACCGAAAAAAGTGAGAAAAGAGTCGTCGGGAAGGTGCGCGTTTTTACGAGCGCTCCGAACACATTCTCTGGTCACTTTTGGTCACTCTTTTCTTTGCGGAGGCGAAGAGCGCTTCTTCATTTGAAAAAAACGTTGAAAAACTAATTTGAAGTGAGATTTATGAGGAGCAATTCGACCACAGCCTGGTGGACGGGAATAAGAGAGAGTTAGGGTAGACTCTCGCAGTTCAAAAGTGAAATTCACTAGAAAACCGCAGATTTTCCACGTAACCCTGTTCAAACAGGACAACCCCCCGGCAAAGGTACAATAAAAACGGTAATGTGATACTTTTCGGGTGTGCGTAAAAAGAGCAAGGAAGAGCATATTGTGAAGTGAACGGGGGTGAAATAAGGCTGAAGAACGAGCGGATCCACGGCAATAAATAAGCAAATGTGCAGAAGCAGGTGCTCTTTTCGCCAAGTTTTGTGATGGCCAATGATGATGGTGATGATGATGGGCTCGCTGCGAGCAAATTGGACGCCGACGAGGTGATTTTCAATGGATTCGATTGCGTTTCATGGCGGAAATGCGTTATCACTCGAAAAATGAAAGAATTCGAAAAATTGTGAGTTTGACGAGTTGGAATACGATTTGACTCGAATTTTTTGGACTTTTCAGTAGCGTTCTAGCCTATTCAGATGTTACAAGAGATTTCTGGCGATTTCACACAAAAAATGCCGAAAAAGACGCGTGGGTGGCCGATTGGCCGCCGGGCCGACGACAATGGCGATGAAACCGTGCCGGACCATTGCCGACGCGTTCATTTACCTACATTTTTGCGTTTTCGGCCATTTTCTGCGCGAGATTTGAACGAAAATCTGTTTTCGCGAGTTTTTGGAGAATTTCCGAATTTTTCGGTTTTTCAGCGAAATTTTAAGCGAAAACTCACGATTTTGCAGCATTGGCGACCCGTAGAGTGGATGGCGGTGCCCGGAAGTTATGTACAATCTGAAAAACTGGAAGAAATGACTGAAATTTGAGTGAAACGCCAAAATACCCGACGAGAGAGTGTGTGAGGCGAGAAGACGCAGACACGAGTTCGGTGGAGCGCGTTTGTATTGTTGACCAAACATCGTCTGAAAAGGCGAACAAAACAATGGAAAACTCGAGAATTCATTGTCCAGAAGAAGGAAGGAAGTAAAATGTAATTGGATAATAATTAAAAACAGGTTTTCGGGTGTCGAGGACCTCCGAACTATTACAAAAGGCGACGAATGGCCAGAGACTCGCAATTTCTTTAAAAATGCAACGAAACCTACAATTCTTCTCGGTTTTCCTTCTATTTTCTCTATATTTCTGCTCAACAGTCCCTCTGGATCGGTACATTGCAAAATTCCATCCGAAAACTATCAAAGAAGGCGATCACGTGTAAAAATTCAAATTCGCGCTAATGTTTTCCGAAATGTACTATTTAGTGCCCGACAATATCCGAAATTCAAGATGGAAGTGACAATGTCGTTCGGAATGACCGAACAAATGATTTTGTTCGTCGAAAGTGTCGTCGAGGAGCATTTCAAATCGAGATTCGAGGTGGAAGCGTTGAGCGAAATTCAGCAGGTGAGGAAACTTCGCTCCAATGCACACGTGGCCTAGAACTTCCAGACGGTCCAAGGCTATCTGGGCGGCTATTGGGGCGTCCAATTCTACGAAGATCCGTACATGTTTTTCACGACTTCCACCCGTCGCAGCCCGTGTTTCGTGGTTTTGGATGTGAACGGCAGCGGAATTGCGATTATAAAAGGCTCCTAGACTTTCAATTCCACACGATTTGTTTGTTTTTTATTTAAGTTTTGTACATAATAAAGGTCGAGAGTTGAAAAACAATTGAAAGCCCTGCGAGTGAGATTTTAGAGAGACATTTAGAAAAATACAGGGATTAAGATCTTCTCAGCTTCTGATCCGCCCGTTCTTTAGCGTATTGACGGTCCAGGTAGGCTCGAGCGATTTTCATTCCTTCCAATTGGAAAAACGGGTCTGAAATCCCATTTTTCGATGGATGTTCTCTTGAATTTCTTACGTTCTGTGACGAACCCGTCATTTTCGGGCAGTTGTTCTCCTTTGGCGGCCACTTGGAACGATCCGCTGATCGCCACCGAGTCATCCGATCTCCACGAGGCACATTCGGCTGAAAATCGCAAAATTTCCGCGTGAAAATGTTTTGCCGCAAGAAATGCGGTAGAAATTGAACAACTTACCGTACAGAACAGCGGCAAAAATCGCAAGAACCGCCAAACTTTTCATGATTTTCCAAGAACGGGCGGTCTGAAGAGGAAATTGAGGAAAGTTGATGGTGGGGTGGAAAAGAAAAGAATGGGGGGAAAGATGGGACAGATGGTCGGAACGGGTCAAATTATTAAATTAGAGTGTCGCAGTGAATTTGGCCGAAAATTGGACATGTGAAGCGAGTGGAATTACGGGAAATTCGGTTAGAAACGTATGAATTACAGCGCCTCTGATAAATATTGTAGATAATTCGAAAAAAAACGCTTTTCGAAAATGAGAGTCTAGTCTCGTTTTCGATTCGCCGCTCGACAAGAGAGTAAAAGTGCGGGAAAACCAAAGCTGTCGCTCTCTTTTTACGGTGGCGGATCAACAATTTGCATAACAAGGTGCCTCCGCCCATTTTTCCACTAAATCTGGTTTTCCTCTTGTGATTTGTCACACTTTTTCTGCATCTTGGCATGAATTCCAGCGCTTTGCCCAAAAAATCCGCGACTTTGTGGAAATTGTCGTGGTTTGGGTGCACTGACGCAAAATTGCCGAATTTCAGCATTTTCAGCTAACAACGTGAAATTAACAATAGAAATGCATAAACAGCCTAAATTAGAGAGTTTTTAGTTTTTTGCCCGTAAAACATGCATAAATCGCGAAAATTTCAGCGTTTGTTCTCAAAAATTTCAGAAAACCGCGTTTTTCGTTTAAAATGTCGTCGAATCACGTGCATTGACGCAAAATTGCACACTTTCAGCGTTTTTCGCCTAAAAATGCTAAATTAACAAAGCCGAAAAGGTTGCATAAATGCGTACAGAATGGCGCAATAACTGGTATTCTCGCTTTCGATTCACTTTTGCATAACTATTACTATTGTTGTTATTATTACTATACGCTCCCGTCGCCGCGTTATTACGCGATCTCATTGACATTTTAATAAGAGCGGTTGGACCGGTATTCGCTTCGTCGTTGCGAGACCCAAAACGAGAAAAAGTTTTATTGCGTTTGGTGGAAAAATGAAACCGAATAAGCGAAAAAAAGGCACCCAAATTGAAACTGGAAGTAGGAGAAGGAAATTGGTCTAGCTAAACGAAAATTGGAGGGAAAAAGCGATGAAACAAATGAAATGAAATGAATATTGTATAAACTTTGGTCCAAAAATCTACATAAATAAAGCGGAAAAGGGCGAAAAACAAAATGGGGACAACTCGTGAGCAGGACTGGTCGGTGGAGTGCAAAAAAGTGAATTGCGCCGAAAAACAACGAGAATTGCATATTATCCTTCAGGAAAAAACGACTATCATCACAGGGGAAACATGATCGTGACCTAATCAGGGAGAACAATTGGCAAGGAGTCGAAACATTTCTAGGAATCGGGCGGTCGATTGAATAGTTGCTCCAGCTGAATTCGCTCGAAATCGTCCGTCCCTCGTCGTTGTACTGTTTGCTGATTCTGAAAAAAATTCGTCCAGCATTCTGCGGTCAAAAATGTGAAGTTCAACACGAAAAAGTTCGTCATTCACTGAGCCTCCCTATTTTCCACGAAAACGTACCAAATCCTCGTCGGACGTCATCAAACTGGATGAGCTGGCAGCGGCTCCAGGCGTCTGATCCAGACTGCTCCTGATCGTGTCGTTCTGGTGCATTCCGCGCATCAAATCGCCCCTGAACATTGAAAAATTACGCAATATCCGAGAAATCCGCTTCACTTCAACGCACAGCAGAAATACTATTCTTTTAGTAAAACAGTGCAAAAACAGAAAAGGGACCAGTGTGACATTAGCTGCTTCTCATACACGATTATCGATTTTGTCTCGGAAATATTAAAATGCAAAATCTCTCTTTTTCAAATTTACCGGCTCATTCTACGATATTTCGACGAGGTACGGTAACTCGACCGTACAATATCGCTGCAAAATTTCAACACATAAATAAAATGAACTGAGGCTCGAAAAATACAGGAAAAAAACCATTCTGGCCTAAAAATAGGTAAATGTAGGCTTCTTAGACCGAAAAACCAGTTTCCAGGAAATTCAGTCAATTTGGACAAAAGACTCAAATTTCCTGAAAATCGGAGATTTAAGGACAAAAACCAAGAGATTCTGGAGATTTCCGCCAGTTACCTCGTGTTTCCGCTGTCGAATCGCATCAAATCGACGTGGGCGGGCGGCGATTCGGTGCTTCGTTCCTCGAGAAGATTCTCTTTCGAATCGTACCTCGATTGGGTGCTGTCGGCGTCCGACGCGTCCCGTTCCAGGTCATTCACGTTGTCTTCGAATCTGAAGAGGACCTGGGGTTAGGCAGGCGGCAAAACCCAATAATCTTAGGCCAAAAAACTTAGAAATCACAGTTTACAGCATTTTTCTTTGGGTGAAATTTGAACATGCGGCTCAAAATATCGGAATCATTGTCACGTCACACAATTAAGTGACGAACCTAGGCGAAAACGAGCTATTAGCTAGTAGAACCAAGGAGATTTTGAGCTGAAAGTTTCGAAAAGGGGGCGTGGCCTAGTCGGATCCTCGTCCACACTTCTTACCTGACTGAGGGGGCCGCCGAGACGGAAGCGGGAATGAATCCGTCGGCCATCGGCGACGGACCGTCCGTCGAGGAGGAGAAGTGCGAAAAGTGCATCTCGTTGACGTCGCCCTCGGTTTCCGCTGAAAAAAGTCAAAGTTCTTCTTGTCCTAGGTTTTCAAATAAATTTCTAGGCAGGCGAGATTATCTTAAAGCTTTCTACTCAAATGTGGCGAATCTAACGGAGTGCGGCTTAAAAACACAACAGTATGATGTCTAGGCCGTTTCTTGATCATAAAAAGCTTCCGTAACCCAATAGGAGATTCGAACTCACTCAAATCCATGCCGGACAACTTCTCCATGAGACACTTGTGGTCGATGCTCAACTCGGCCGCGTTCTGCACAATCGTCGAGCGTCTCCGCTGCTCGGCACGCACCGATCCGAGCAACGGCGCCCTTTCTCTCTCCGAATTGAGCGCCGCGTCCGCAGCCTCCTCGATCTCCTCCTCCTCGTCCTCCTCGCGCAACGTCAACGCCTTCCGCTTGTCGACGCGTTGGCCGGGCGGTGAGGCGCCGAACACTTTCAGCGTTTCGACGAGCAGCCGGATGAGGGTCCAGTCGCCGAGCGGCAGTTGGATGCTCTCTTTCAGTTCGGGCAGCGGACACGTGGCGAGGACGAGACCGCACAAGTTGAGGGCGTAGAAGCGTTCGAGAATGAGGTCGAGGCGGCTGGAGGGCATGTCGAGCCGACGGACCAGGTTGACGATGGCGTCGAGTTTCATCTCGACGAGCGGCGTGTCGATCGACATCCACGTGAGCTCGTCGCTGAAGAGCAGGCGGGCGTTGGGCGGGATCGCCATGCCGGCCGATCCAATTTGCGCCTCAATGTCCACGAGGCCCTTGCTCCGTTCTCGAATCAACTTCCGCAGGTACGGATCGAGGTTGCTGGTACAGGGCACAAATTTCTTGACGTGTCCGACAGTGAGTCGCTCGGCCGGCGGAATTCCCTTCGAGTCGAGGAATCCTTCGAAGTTCTCGAGGTTGCGGTCGAGTAGCATGAGGTCGTCCTGCGCCGGAATGTGATCTTTGAGCTGATGATAGACCTCGGACAGCAACAACTGGTTGTTGTGCACTTCGAGGGCTCTGTCGATGAGCCAGCACATGCGCGAGGGCCATTGTTCGAGCAGCGAGACCCAGTGGCCGAGGGACATCCACGAGAAGTCTATCTCAAACGCGCGCATGAGACGTCCGGTGAGTGTGAGCGCGTTGACGATTCGCCGCATCGCCCGTGGATTCATGTTCGAGAAGTAGTCCTCGCCGAGGATTCCGTCGTTGAGTCCGCGGCCGCCGCCGCCGACGAGCGAGTTCGATCCGACCATCGGCACCGTCGACTTCTTCCTACTCTGTCGTCCGTCGGCGTCGCGCAACGAGAGATGCGATCCGTAGAACGTGTCCTGCCGCTTGAAGCGCTCCTTCCACTCGGCCATCGACTCGCGCTTCTCCTTGAGCTTCGACTGCAGCTGCCGCAGCGCCGAGTTGTGCAGATAGAACGGCATGTTGATGATGTTCTGCAGGTAGTCGTGGCCCGTCAATTCGGTGCCCGACAGCGCCGAGTGCATGTTGTGGTTGATGGCCGACACGATCACGTGCGGATCGACCGCGATGATCGTGATGAACGGGCGGTGCTTGCGGGCCGAGAACAGCAAATCGAGGGCGTCGAGCGTCTGTATCATCCGTTCCTGCTCGCAATTGTCGAGTCCGTCGACAACAACGACCAGACGGGTGTGACTGCGGGTGAACGCGTCGAGGGACCGGATCATGTCGGTCAGCAGGTCCACCTCGTTCTGCAACTTTTGCATCAGTCCCTCGAAGCGCAGTTTGTGCGTGTTTCTCGCCGATTTGTTGACTCGTCGTCGCGGAACGTTCGCTCGCATATATCTACAATAATTGCAAGTTAGACACTTAAGAGTATTTCACAGTGCGCAAGCCTGGACCTTCGACACACTCGCAATAATCTGAGGGGACCCAAACTTTGCAGAATTCTTGTACTTGGATTGAAGTATCTCTGATCCACGTTTCGGCCTTTTCGGCCTCAATTCATTTTATCTCGGACTGAAACTTGCACAGATAGATACTTCAATCCAAGTCCACCAAGTCTGTAAAGTTTGGGTTCGATCAGATTATTGAAAGTGGTTCAAAAAAGCCCATCGAAAGCCTCCTTCCAAACTCACCCGGGCCATACGATAAGTTGGAGAATCGGCACGATGGCGATGATGAAGAAGACGAGATAGCAGGCGACGGCGGCCCACAGGAACGGATTGCTCCAACTGCGATCCTCTTTGAAGAGGAAGACGGTGAAGAAGCTCTCGCTGAGAATGATGAAGATGAGGCAGAAGACGAGCAGGATGACGTGCGGAATTCCGCAGAAACGACGCAACGATCCGTGGATTCCGACTGCAAAATGGAGGGGGTTGTCGAAGTAAAAAATTCTAGACAAAAATGTTAAAAAGTGTTCGGACAACAGTTATTCGCCCGAAAATCTCCATCGCGGCCCATGCAAAAGACAACGACAAAACGAAGAAAAGGACGAAAACGACGACGACGACGAAGAAGAAGAAGAAGAAGAGGAAACCTTGTGGATTCTGCTGCTGCAGACTACGGTACGTAGTACGCGAGAAGGGCGAAGTGTAGCCGAAACCGGTGTCTATGTACTCTGAATCGCTCATTATATAACGCATTCTGTGTAAGACTCGAGCATGGTCATAGTGGATAGAGTTTGCCGAAAAACGTTTTTCGGCTTGAACTAGCTAATATTCAAAGTTACAAACTGAAAAATCAATTCGAGTTGTGTGCCTAGACCCATAATACTCGTTTATATAAGTATTTGTCACTAGGTGCCCTTGTTGCTCGAGTCTTATAGACAATGCGTTATATTTCGACCGTCTAATCTAAAAAAAACCTAAAACAACAGCCCAAAAACTGTTAGGAATTGGGGGGGGGGGGAATGTTCAGAGAACTTGTTTTTTTCTCCCTTACGATATGGCGGTTTCATGGAGCAAAATATGCGGACTGGCAGCCATCCAAAGTGCGTTTCGGCCGCCTCGAACAGTGTGGCCACGATTTTCGCGAGCGCCTGCTCTCCTCCAATCGACGAGAGACGGTGGTAGTCGGCGAACAGGAAACTGCAATTGTTTTTTTTTGAACTCTATACACATAACCGATTGTAAAAAAAAGACAAATGGAAAATACTGAATGACGACTATATTTTTGACTACCACAAGGAGAGTCTTGCTGTTTTTTTATACAAGACGGCACCTAAAAGCTCCTAGGGGAATATCGAATCTAATCACTTCTTCGTGATAGTCAAGAAATCCTGATAGTCATTCAGTATTTGCCTGAACAAATTGAGAGACCATCTCCTAGACCTTTGACACCATTTCGTGTAGCAAAATATATAAATTCCTAACCTAACAGGCATGCTGGCCGAATCCTCGCTGTTCATCGGCGCGTGAAGTGTCAAAATGTTGTAGACGAGCTTGAAGCGATTGAAGATGCGCGCCAGAAACGTGGCAATCTGAACATCAAATTTCTCTCTCTCTCTCGCCCTTAAATTTGTGTCAAACTGACATCCATCGACGTGTACCAATTCTGACGATCCCCGTAACGAACAACGCACAATGAAATGGTAACAAAGAGGAAAATGGCGACGAAAATGGACCAGGAAATGATGTAGGCGAGCGGTGATTGGAAGATGGCGATGAACATTGTGAACCACAGCGAGAAGCAGCCGATCAGAAGGAAGATGTTGAAGAAGAGCGAGAAGGACAGTCTGAGATTAGATGAATGGGTGCGGTTGGAGAGATGTCGATTCTTACACTAGGGCCGCTCCGTCGAGCCAGTCTCTCGAGAAGCTGTGCATGGCCTCTTTGAGCTTGGCGAGCAGTGCCGACTTTCCGGATCCCCATTTCGCGTAGAGACCGATGGTTAGCGGCAGGGAGAGCGACGGTTCGCACACTGAAAAATCGAGTTAACCGAGATAGATTGACATGTTCTAATCTAAACAATTATTGGAAATCGAGCCCACAAGAGTTGCTGCAAATCCTCTTACCAATATCGGCGAGCACATTCGAGTACACATCGTATCCCATCGCCGTGTCCATTTTGTCCTCGGCGTCGATCGGTCCGAAAATGAGCGGCAGAATCGGCTGCGGATTTGACAAATCGATCGAGTAGGGCGTCTGTCCGAGCTTGTTCGGTCGGTACAACAGACGCGATTCCGATGGGTTTGCTGAATAGAAAACAACCATTTTTAAGAGGGGTGATTCTGAAAATTACACAAAAGAGCCTGAGTTAGTCGTCGACTTCGTGCTCGGAGCGCCAGATGGAGGGCGTTGTCGCCGCAGTTGTCGACCGCCGCCAATTTCGCGCCGAACGACATGAGATACGTGCACAGATGGACGTGACGGCATTTCGCGGCTCGGAGCAGTGGGGTCTCGCCGTCCTGCAAAAAAAAAACAATTAAAGTAACTTGATGCTATTTTCTCGCCGACATTGTTTTAGTGGGTGGTACGACCCCTCTAATTTAAATTTCTATTGCAATGTCTCAACCGACGTCCTTCAAATATCAATTAGTCATCGCTTTCGGCTAGCCGTTAACAAAATTTAGCAAATTCTAATATTTCAAGGACAAAATGCTTTCTTCTGTTTTTCGAATATTCTATCGACATTGTCTCGCGCCAAGAACGCCCTTGACAAGTGTTCGCTTCGGGACCCGGGCACCTGGCGCTGTGCCAACCGCGTCCGCATGTGTCTATGTGTATGTGTGTGTGTGTGTGCTCTTATGGAAATCACCATCGATTTTTGTCGATCGTGGTGGCGCCCATCTATTCTTGCGCTTCTCTCTCGTTATTGTTTTTGCAGCAAAACAGTGTACAAAGATGAATCGGCGGATGATTTTGTCCTCCTTTTAGAGTTTTCTTTAGAGTTTTGAGAGTTTTCAGGCCAAAATGCCCTCAACAACGGGGAACCAGAGAAATGAAGCCGTCGAGAGTTTGAGCAACGACATTGCCGTCTCTTTTGTACCGTCCGTTTTTTCCGATGCGGTTCTTGTGGTGCAAGGCAAGAAGATTCATGTGAACAAAGTGGTGAGGCCCAAAAAATGGAAAGTGGAGAAAAGTTTGAATTTTCCAGAACCTCTCCCATCAGTCTGCAATTTTCGCTGCGCTTTTTGCCGTGAGACGTGACGAGTATCGGTTGGAGCGTCCAGATTTTCTCAAGCTCGCCCTCTTGTTGGGAACGGTAAACCATCGTCCGATTCCGACGGCCCACGCTCTGATGAGCCCCGAAAATGGCAAGCACAACTGCGAGAAGCTTCTCGAAGAGGCGGAAATAGAAAAAATGCCGTTCGCGATTTCCTACATCAAAATGTTCGATCAAATGCGAGAGTCCGGACAGCGCGCTCGTCCGAAGCGCTACAAGTGTCAGATGGTGTTCGAGGAGCTCGGAACGGAAAAGATGAAGTTTCTCGAGAAGAATCTCAGGGAATACTTTCCGCGGAGGGATCGTACGCCGCTATCGGCGTTTCGTAAAAATAAGATTCTTCGCGCTTTGAGACGCAATTTCGGAGCGTCGGAGCGCAATAACACAATTCTTCGCGTAGGGGATCAGCAACTTCATGTCAATAAGGAGGTAGTAGGGGGCTCGGAAATTGTCGCTAAAGTTGAGATTTTCAGTTCATGCGCTATCACAGCGAGTTCTTGGCGACTCGCTTCGAAGCCGGCGGAAACGAGTTCGATTTGACCGATGCCGGTTTGAGCTACATCGCGCTCGGCGAGCTTCTGAGTCTGCTCTATCCGAATCCGGCTTTTCTCAATTGTACGTCCTGAAACCGTACATTTCAAAGTCACAACACTTCGTCGTAATCTTTCTCGTTTCAGTCATGAACGCTCTGATTCTTCTCCAGCACGCGAAAACGTTCAAAATGCGTGTGGTTTGTCAGTTTCTCGAGGACTACCTGCGCTTCACCAAAGAGATGAAGCCGTACGCGAAATGGATGCTCTACGATTGGTGGGAGATGCACGAGATGCGCGGAGAAGCTGTGAATAGCGTCACGACAATTGCCGAGTTGAACCAAATCAAGATCGCGATTTCAATCAGCAACAATCGTCTCGCCGACATTTCGATGCGGCTACGTTTGGAAGTTTATGATCGAGAAGAGCTTCTGGAGCAGGAAATCCAGGCACAACAGCTTCTATAGCTTCTTTTATCTATTCAAAAATGTCCGTTTTATAAATCAATCTAGTTTTTCGTTAGTTTCCCTAAATCCACCGCGTTTATATAATCGCACTATTCTACCTTTGTACTTTTATTTACTTTTCTACTCCTAAACAACTTTTCAGAATGGCTGCTCCGTTGGAGTTTATCAATCCGGCCTACAGACCGTTCGATCAATCCAATTCGAGCAATGAGAGTAAGAAAGGGACGATTCTCGAGATTCTCGAGAAAAACTTTGCGCCGTCCGACACCACCGATTTGGTTTTTGTGTGTGAGGGAAAGAAACTTCACGTCAATAAACAGGTACATTCCGGGAATACACGTTTCAAAAATTGCCAGCCAATTTCAGTTTCTCTGCTTCCATTCTAACTTTTTCCGAATTTTTCTGGTGCCCGGCCTCGCGTACGTCGGAGACTGTGCCCTGCCGGTCACCGCTTTCAGCTACGCATGCTTCGGCTCGTTTCTGAGCCTCTTCTACCCGAACGCGGTGCTTCCGAGCCGCGAGTACGTCGACCAGCATTTGCAGTTGGCGAAAAGTTTGCAGATGCCCGCGGCGACCAAGCTTCTCGAGCAGTTTCTCATTTTGAGCCGCGACAGCTTGCAAACGGAGAAGCTGAGACTCGCCGACAAGTACGATCTGAGCGCGTTGATGGATTCGGTGCTCGAGGATCTGAACTCCGAGGACGAGGTGAAGAGTGTGCTCAAACGGTTGCGTAACGTTGAGCTTAAGGATTCCACCAAGGTCAAGCTTTTCAATCTATTGTGAGTCAACCCATTTACCCGATCAAAACATGCGGTTCCAGGTTCGTCCCGGCACCACATTTCAAGAATATAGATGCTCAAATCCCACCGATGGCTCCGACTGTTCTTCAGAATCTTCTCATCAGAAATTTCGCCTATTCCGCCGGGCACACCGACGCGATTCTGTTGGTCGGAGACGACTGTTTGCACGTGAACAAAGCGTTCCTCTCGTTCCACTCGGGCTTCTTCGCCGGACTGTTTGGAGGCAACTTCATGGAAAATTATACGTCAAACTTTAGAATCAACGAAGTCTCGTCTGTGGATCTAGGATCTCTTCTCAGCTTTCTGTACCCTAATTCGGTTCTTCCAAATGGTAGGCACCACAAAACGCCTTTCCCTTCTACATAATCAAAACGTTCAGCTCAAAACATCGAAAAGCTGCTCGAGCTGGCGGACCGTTTTCTGATGCCCGGAGTGCTCAAACATCTCGAGCAGTTCCTTGTGCTCAGCAAGGACGTGACTGCTCTTTATAAACTCATCTACGCTAATCAATACAATCTCCCGTGCCTAATGAGCAAGACTCTCAAGTCGATGAAGACCAAGGGCGAGACGGCGTTCACGATAGTGATTATCGCTTCGAGGGCCGGCGGAATTCAGGATCAAATGATGCGTCTCATCGTCGATCATCTCAACTCTGTTTAAAACATTTTATTCTCACATGCAATAAAATGTCAATCCAAATCATATGTAATCTGTAATCGTATACAAAACATCTCAATTGTACCTTTCTCATTTTCCTCATTTTCCCGCTAATCACATTTTTGCAGCACGTATCGTCGTAACTCCTACCGTGGACAGTATGATAGATATCGTCATCCGAGAGGCTTCCGCCCCGAATGGATAATTTCCGAACATAAATCGCAGAGAATCGTGAAGGACAACTTCGCGCCGTCCGAGAAAACCAACACGGTTCTACTGGTCGGCAATAAGAAAATGCACGTCAACAAAGAGGTCAGGCCCAAATAGTATATCGCAAAAACTAAAACTTCTGTTTTACAGATGCTCTCCTTCCAATCCGACTTCTTTAAGCGGCTTTTCGACGGCGATCACAAGGAAATGGTCGAGGTGCCGATTGAAGGCGTCACCTTTCTCGAGCTTCGTACGTTCTTCCGTTCGTATCGTTATTGAAATCGTGTTCGAATAAACATGTTGCTAGCAAAAACTCTCGTTACAAACAGTTATTGATTGTTGCCACACAATTTCCATACTTTTTTCCGAACGCATTGAAAGCGCGCTCGAGCGAACACACATTATCATTTCCACGTGTCGTCCGTCAGCTAAAAAGCCCCGGAAACAAGTCATTCGCAGAATCATGGGTCTCATCGCGTATTTGCGCAAAAAACTGTCAAAACGTGGCGAGCTGGAATGGAAACGCGAAATCGAAGCGCAATTCGCCGCTTCCGACACGACCGACGCGATTCTTCTCGTCGATTCGGGACTCGGCACCGAAAAAGTCCGATTCCATGTCAACAAAGCGGTATTTTGTAGAGGGAAAATAGAAGAATCCAAACATTTTTTCCAGCATCTTGCCTCGCATTCCGACTTTTTCGAATGTCTTTTCAACGGCGCGTTCAAGGAGAAGGACATGTCGGAAATTGTGATCGCAGACGTGAATTGCTTCAGTTTCGGTCAACTTCTCAAAATCATCGATCCGATAGCGCCGATTAAACTGACAGGTATGTTTTTCGAGGATACAACCGGTCTAATTTTACAATTACAGCCGAAAACGCGTACACGCTTCTGGTGCTCGCCGATCGATTTCTGATGCCTGCGGTTACGCGATGCGTCGAGCGCTATCTGTGTTCGAACACCGCGCACGATTTGGTGGACAAAATAAAATGGGCGGATTGGTTCGGAATGAACAAACTGCTGTTGTGGTGTTTGAATCAGTTCGAGACCGGCGTGGAGTTGGAAGTGATGGTGAAGGAGATCGGGAATGAGATTTCCAGTGAAACGCGGTCCAGACTCGAGTATCATTACCTCTACCTGAGATTGATTCAATATCACTGAGTTTATCGTCCTCATGTTGTTATTGAATAAAGGCATCGTCATATGAAAAAAATCCCTCTTTTTTCTTGAATCTGCCACGGAGCGGAGGGGCGCCAGAGCCAAGTGCGCTCCACCGAACACAAGCACACGCACAGTTCGCATGTTTTGCGTATACACATTCGTCATCCACGTCTTTCGCTCCATTTTCTTCCTTGCATCTTTCTAAGAATTCTTGGTAGTGGCTTCAAAGTTTAGGCTAGTCTCCTTTCACCAGAAAAAGTTTAAAGTTTTCTACAGTACTGATGGAACGGCACGTGTCGAGGAAAACACGAGAGATCGAAGCTTATTTCGCCGCTTCCCCGAAAACCGACGCGATTCTGGTGGTCAAGAGGGGCGGATCACCCGACGACGTCGTCAAGTTCCACGTCAACAAGGCGGTAAGTCATGAGTAGTTTTGTAAAAATCGTACGGCTAATCTTTTGCAGTTCCTCTCCTATCACTCCGACTATTTCGATCGTCTGTTCAACGGCGATTACAAAGAGAAAACGATGCCGGCGATTCCGATAGAAAACGTGAATTTCGCGAAATTCGCGCGTTTTCTGAGAACCATCGATTTGGATCCGCTCTTTCCAACATGTAAATAATAGTGTCTCTACTGTACAAAACGCTTAATCAAATTTTGTGTTCAGATAAAACCGTCGAGGACCTTCTCCAACTCGCCGATCGCTTCCTAATGCCCGCCGTCACTCGGATCGTCGAGAACTTTCTCCTCGCACACCAATATCCCGACGATTTGGTCGCCAAACTGACGTGGGCGGACCGGTACCGACTCGACAAACTGATGGCGATGTGCTTCGCTAGTATGAAGACAAAGGCCGACGTGCTAATTGTGATAGAGAATCTTGGGAACGACGTCAGCGACGCCACCAAGGTCCGTCTCTACAACCATTTGACTTTGTTCAAAAGTTCCAACCCTTTGCACCCTGTTCCTGAATTTCACTGATTTTGTCGACGTACCTTGTTTTTCAACTCTAAATTCGGTTTTCGCTCCAATAAAATGTAGGCGATGTCGTTGAAGGATTTGTCGATGGCCAGGTGGAGGGGCGTCCGTTTTTCCGAATCCTGACAGTTTATGTCGGCGAACTTGTCGAGCACCATCCGGACGATCGCCGCGTTTCCGCTTCGCACCGCCGACGTCAGAATCCAGTTGCCGAATCTGGAAGAGTCGGGGCAATTTTAGGGGAAAAGAGTTTTCCGAATCTAAATTAAGCGCAGACTTTCGTTGTCATCCGTTTTTGCGACAAGTCTGCCAAAAACCGACACTAACCGATCGCACTGATTCACAAAGGCGCCCGAGTTGATGAGCGACTCGCAAATGTCCGCATATCCGTCACGGGCGGCCATTCCCAGAGCGGTCAGTCCGTTCTGATCGGCCACATTCACGTTGGGCTCGCGCGTGAGCAGCAGGTCCACCACTTGCAGGTAGTTGCCACGTGTCGCCAGCATCAACGCCGTCGACGAGTACTGTAAGAGCAACTTTCAGGGCAATATTCTACAGAACGCGTGTGCGTACCATTCCGACCGCATCCACTTCGGCTCCGGAATTGAGTAGAAGTTGAACGACGGGCAAGTGTCCCTTGCGGGCCGCCCAAATCAATGCCGTACTTCCGAATTTGTCGCATGCGTTCACCTGAAACTCGAGATCTCTCACAAATTCTCATCAAGCGGCGCGTGTCCAACCTGACAATCGGCGTCGATTAATCGCTCGACAATCTGTCCGAATCCGCGGCCCGAGGCCACGATCAACGGCGTCAGGCCGTCCTCCTCATCAATCAAATTCACGTGCGCCTGCAACAAATTTCATTGGGTTTTCGTCGAAATTAATCAAATTGCTCGTGCTTTCCCACGTTTTAATGCGAATTTCGGTAGAAATTTCTCAGAATTCGCATTTCATGGCATTTCTCCCTTGAAATCCGCGAGAAAATGGCTCACTTTTGCGTTGAGCAGCATGTCGACACAATCGTGCTGATTCTTGTAGACGGCCCACATGAGCGGGCTCCATCCCATCAGATCCGGCTGGTCCACGGCGGCGCCGTTATCGATTAGCAGTCGGATGATGTCGATGTGGCCGCCGTGGGCGGCGTTCAGCAGCGCGCTCCAGCCTTCCTATAGAAAAACATTAGTAATTTAGTCAATTTTCGCTTTTCTCACATTATCGGTCTCGTCGATCGAGTCCGGATCCAATTGGACCAACTGCTTCACCACCAACGTGTTTCCGGCTCGGACGGCCACAATTAGGAGGGATTCGCCATTCTGAAGGAGTTTCATGAAAATTGAAAATTGTTCTACTGAAAACCAACCGCATTTCTGAGCTGTGTCACTTCTGCTGTTAGTGGACATCGAAGTTCGGTGATGCCTCGCTCCACCTGCAAATTATTACGTTTTTTTTAAAGTTCTACGAGAGCGCGTCAAATTTCTGGGAAATTTCCAAGCTTTAAAGCTGAAAAAGTGTCAAGGTCATCGAGAAAAACGGTGCGTACCTGTTCGAAGAGCTCGGCAATCTGATTGCTGTTCATGGTGACCGGGAGGGCGCTGGCGACGGCGAAAGCACTCGACGCCGCCTCTTGCCACGGTCTGCGCAGCGTCTGAACCACCATGCCCCCTCTTGCTCCCTCTCCTCCTCCTCCTCCTTCTTCTTCTTCCTCTTCTCGGCTTCTGCCTCTCCGTCTGCGTCTCCAGTATCCGCCAGTGCTCTCTCGTCGGCTCGCCGCTGCCCGCCGTCTCTTGTCCCCTCTCTTTTCGCGCTTTTTCCGCGCTTATCCCTCTCGCTGGCCTCGAATATGCGAAATTCTGCGCAGCGGCTCGCGATTTCTTCGTACAATCCGGAAGAAATTCGTGTAGTGTTCTGCAATTATTTTTGTGGTTTTTTTTCGGCAAAACATTGAAACGAAATCGAAAAAAGCTTCCAGTTTAGTCGTCAAAGTGGAATTAGATCTCACAAAATCTTCTATTCATGCTAATTTGATTAATTTTCGTCGAATTTCGCGCATTGTACGAGACGATAAATTGCCGAGATTTACAAGTCTAGAGCGGAAAATGTGTGGTTTTTTAACAGCAAACTGAAGCTTTCACACGTTTACAATGAGTTTTCTAGAGTATTCCAGAACACTACAGAAGTTTTCAGTTTCTAGGCAAGTTTTATGAAAACTGAACACAAAGTTACGCTGAAATTACAAGGCAGGCGCACACAGAAAATTAGAAAATGTATAAATTGGGCTCAAATTTTAGAGGGCACATTTAGATTTTCTGACACTATTTTTCCGGAAAACTACAGAAAACAGTACAGTTTCCAAAGAGTTTGAAGTTTGAAGAGCAGAGCAAGAGTGCATTTTCCGAGTAAAAATCGATGGATAGGTAGGACAAACCGCAAAAATCACTGGAAAACGTGTTCTTCTCTTCTCTTTTCTCCGACACAAATGATGATGGCACCGCGGCGGAAAAGAGCGACACATATGCCCCCAGTGGCGACGACGGAGAGAATAATGATGATGGGACGGAGGAGACGGAAAATGAAAAAAAAATGAACGAACAGAGCTCCGACGCTTCGACGCGGTCGGCGCATTTTTCTAGATATTTTCAAAATAGGAAGGTTTTTGGCAATTTCGCACTAGCGCGAATTTGGTTTATGTAAATTTTGAGAGCGTGAAATCGAATACAGCGAGGCGAAAACGCGGGTGGAAGTAAATATAATGTCCGATCAAACATTCGCCAATGGTTTTGATGATCAGTGGAAAAAAGTGTATTTCCGACCAGGGCTTGCAATTCGGCCGCCGAACACTATCAGAAAAAAAGTTTCGGAATGTCAGCGTTGGAAGGTTGCGAAACGTAAGAGTTGCCAAAACGAGAGGAACCGAAAAATCAGCAGCAATTCCGTCCAGTTTTCTTGTTTTCCTGATTCTTGCCGCAAGGTTCTGCCCGAAATCGCTGCGAGACCGAGATCAAAAGTTTTTGTTCTCAACGACACTCCGTTCTCCCACCGCGCCAGTTATAGCAATGGCCTTTGGGGAGGCATGCCTGCAGGCTGGGAGAAGGCGGGCCGCGCTCACACGAAACAATTGATGTTCGATTGTTTTTCTCAGACTTGCCAGATTACGGGCCGAGAACTTGCTGGCCCGGCCCGGCCCGGTCGGCCCGGCTAAAAAGGCGCGAATTCAAATTTTTGGGAGAAATCTATTTTTTCGTTTTTTTTGCGGGGATCAAAATTACAACTTTTGCTTTGATGCCAATAAAAACTATTTTTGAGAGCTACATTTCTTTTTTATACTTGCAAAATTCGTTAGTTCTACGAAAAACAAACATTTTATTTAATCAATAGTTCAAAATTTGGATTCCCGCTTTTTGAACCGGGCCAACCGGGCCGGGCCGGAGTTTTGAAAATTTTGGCCCGGCCCGGCCCGGCCCGTGGCAACTCTGGTTTTTCTCGTCATCTGTGTCTTTTTTCTGCACGAACCTTGCTCGGAGAACGTTCTAGAACAATGTGGTTACTCAGAGATGTCAAAAAAAAACAGAAAAATACGCAATTTTTTGCCATTATTTTGACATCACTGAATAACACCATTTTTTCCGTGAACTCCAAACATTTTCACGTTTGCAGTGCTCACTTTTCCGATATTTTTCTGTCGCTTTTGATCAATGAAATTTCCCGAAGTCGTAGTCTGCATTTGTGCCATAAATTTTAGTTCTAAAAAAGCCCTGACACTGAGGTTACACGCTTATCAGTTCTCCTTTCTCTACAGAACTCTGAATCAAAATTGCAAATCTGCAAATTTTGACGGCACGCATTTTTGTGAGTTTTTCAAATTCAAATGCGTAAAACAAAAGAAATTCGAGTCAAAAGGCTCTGAAGCAAAGGCAAAATCTATATGAAAAGGGAGAGCTCCTCTTCTTTTTGCTCTGAAATGAGATGGAGAATACTCAATTTACTAGCACTTGCTCTTTCGCCTCTTGCTTTTCCTGCCCCATCTTCTTCTTCTTTTCACACTCTTGTTCATCATCGGAAGACGGAAAAGCGAGCCGTGTTTGAATTTAATTGTGTTTTGGCGCCGAATTCAAATTTCAAATGCAAACTTGACATAGCACCAGAATAATCACAGTTCGTTTGAAAAACTCATGATAAAAGCATTCATTTGAATATTTTTCGCCATCAAAATTATATGCCGTCGTGAGTTGTTTGCTTTTTTAGAGCGCGCACAGAAGTGACATCAAATATAGAAGTAAAGCTCACACCTAGAATTTCCAGAATCTGATCATACCACAATCAAGGCGAAAAAATGCGAATTTTGCCCTCTGCTTCGAAAAGCAGAATAGTTTTTGAGCAAACAGTGAAGTGGGAGCCGCCTTTTTCTCGATTTGTTTGTGGAAAAATTCGAGCGGAGGTCATTCTGGAAACGCTGATGTGATTGTCGTCGCGGCCTAGGTTTTGCGAAAAACTGCAGTAGAAAGTTTGCGTTGTCCGCTAATTTTTGAAGAAGAAAGTGTACTGATGCCAAAAAAGCGCAAGTTTGCATTTTTCATCAGCAACGCACACGTTGATAGCAATTTTGAAAGTCAAAAATGCGCGTCAGAGGCTAACACGAGTGCAATTTTTGAAGAAATTCTGCACTCCCCATCGAAAAAAGTTTTAAAGCGAGAAAATAGTCCGAAACCACCTTGTTTGGAAGGTGGGGAGACGAAAAGTGGAGGGAGTGGAAAAAGTGATAAATGTCCGATAAGAACCTATCATTTTCGCTGACAGAGTGCAGCGGACGACGACGGGCGACACAAATTTGATCAATGGCCAAGACGTTTTATTATTAGAGAGATTTTTGAACACGAACACGAACGAATCAATAAATTTTTGTAATGGAAGGCACAATTAGAAAAGGACAAGTTTTCAGGGGAACATGATTTACGAAATTTATTTTATTACAGCTCCTCTCCGGTTCGGTCGATCTTCATGAGTTCGACGTCGAACTTGAGCACCGCGTTGGCCGGAATCTTTGGCGGAGCTCCACGCTCTCCGTAGCCGAGGTGTGGCGGGATCGTCAGAATGCGACGCTCGCCGACGCACATGTTCAGCAGTCCCTGGTCCCAGCCCTTGATCACCTGCAAACATTTTGGGATTTTCAGCCAATAATCGCGCACTTTTCGCCTACCATTCCTTGTCCGAGCGTGAAAGTGAACTCCTGGTTGCGTGTGCGGCTCGAGTCGAATTCGGTGCCGTCGAGAAGGGTTCCGGTGTAGTGCATGTGCAGCTGATCGCCCTTTCTCGACTTCTGCTCGCAGTTCTCGGCGCGTTTCTTGATTCCGATTTGCAATTTATCGATTTTCGGCTCGTCAGACGCCGCCGACGCCCAGGAGATGGCCAGAACGGCCAGAAGAAACACGACGATGGCGACCTTCATTTCGCTGCAAAAATTTGGATTTTTGGGAAAAATAGAGAAATTCAAGGAAAAGCAGGCGATAATCGGATTTTTTAGATATCTCTGATTGAATGAGAAAGACAGAGGTAAATCTGGCCCAAAAGAGCAGTTGGTAGATGCACAAACAACGCGACGTGGTCTAGATTACGGGCGGAGAGAGTATAGGCGTAGAGAAACGAAAAAATGCGTCAATGGCGGATGCTTTGCGCGTTTTTTGTAGCGGAATTGGCAGGAAAATGTACTTTTTGAGCGGAAATTGTCGAAGAAGTTCTAAAACAGAGAAAAATGAGCGAAAGCGAAGGAAAATGAGAAAAATTACTATTTCGTTGCGAGACCCACAACAAAATTCCAGTGATGTTCCTTTAAAGCTACATTAACCCAACATGTTTTTTCCAGAAATTTTAGCCATTTCCAGCTCGAAATGCACTAGGAAACTCGAGGAGAGAAGTGGAATGTACTTTATTTTTTACCCATAATCTCGCAAAATCTTCTAAAAACTAAAAACAATTAAAATTTCCACAAAACCGGATCGTCTTCCGGATCTTCAGGTCGAATCACAGATTTCGCCAGTTTTCTCGCGAAAAATCTGGCGAAAAACGCGTTTTGCCACGTCCATTTGAGCATTACCAAGAACCACGTGGCAGTCGACCACCAGTTTAAGCCGTGTTGGTCTAAAATTTTTCGAATTTTAGGTCTCGATCTTCGAAGCGAGGAACGCGGAAAAACGTACCTTTATTGCTGACTCCTTGATGTTTCGTGGCCGCCAATACAATTGCAGCGATCATTCCGCCAATTGACAAAAATCCGACGATAAAATCTGAAAAACTAGAGCAATTTTTAAAAAATAATGCAAAAGCTCTCCACCGAACACTGGTGTCTTGTTCGGAAGAGCGCACTTTCCACTCACTAATCCAAAAAAGCGCTTGGAAAGTTCGGGGTTTCCACTTCAAAATTGTGTCCTTTTTGACCGACCAGTACAGGAAAAATGTCTCGAACGCGAATGCGGTGGCGGTTAGACACGTGGCAAGTGCTACCCAGTTCTGAAAAGTACATTTTTCGGAATTAGAAATATCATAATTTACCCACTTTCCAGGCAAAAATGTAGACACAAGCCCAGAAGAGTCCGATGAGAATTCCGCAAATCGTGTAGGCGATTCGGACATTTATATCGCACAAAAGGGACCAGCGCATCTGCAAAAACGCAAAGGTACGTGGTAGCGAGGTTTGCCGACTTGGCGCCCAATTATAGGACAATTCGCGGAAACATCCCAAATTTTTCGCTTTTCTCGATCCCTTCCTATTTTTGCCGCAAAAAACAACAGTGCACAGAACAGCAAATCATAGTTTGATAGTAAAAAGGCGGAAAATCAGAGCAAGTTATATGATGTAACCACGAAAAAGTGAGACAATATGATAACGAACTGAGGAAATCAGTTTTTAATATTTTTTTGAGCCACTTAACTTTTTTTTTCTATTCGAAAAATCAATAAGATTGAAAACAGTTTGGAAAAAAGTAATTTCCGAGTAGCCTATCTGAAGAATTTTACGATTTTTGCTCGTTTATTATGCCCAGCACACCTCGTCTTTTGATAAGAGAATTGTTCGCAACGCAAACAAAATCACGAAATGAGAAAAGTTTAGGTCTCGACACGAAAACTACAAAAATTTAAAGGTTACACACAAAAACGGAAGCATTTTCGTGTCGAGACCCGAAAAACGGGAAAAAAGTAATGCGTGAAAAGTGTGGGGAGAAAACAAAGTGAAATGAGTCATTTGTATGCAAAACTTCGATGCTGACACAGTTCCCCACTCGTGGGCGCCTTTTTTTCGCCCTTGTCAAGTCTGCAAACCCCACAAGTGCACAGTTAAAAGCTACAGTAACCCTAAAATTGTCGTTTTTCAGCGGGAAAAATGGCGAATCGCAACGTTTGCTCTTTAATTTGCCACATAAACGTTCGCATCGGCTGGACCATCTTCGGAATTCTGTTCGGCATTTCGGCCATTCTGACGTATTCGATCAAATTCAAAAATTGGTCGGCCACCGGCACGTGTGCAATTGCCACGTTGTTCGCCTGCCAAACTTTGTGGATGTACTGGGCGCTCAAGAAAAACACGATTGTGAACTGGAGCAGGCGCACTTTTGCGTGGATGATTTGGCCGAGTTAGTGGTGGCGCGTTTTTGGTGTCTTGACACCAAAAATGCGCAAAACTTGAATTTCAGACATCTTCATCGGTCTCCTCGGACTTTTGCTCTGCTTAGTCTGCTACATTTTTGCAGGAATCACACATCAAGGCGCCGGATCCATTCAAGGTTCGAAAAATGTTGTCCCGCGCCTAAAACTGATCAATTTTCAGCAATGTACGGCGAGAATCTGTGGTTCACCGGCTCGTGGAGCCTCGTCATCACAAAATGGACGTGGCAAAACGCGTTTTTCGCGCGGAAGTACGCGAAAAAGTTGGGCGGCGGAGCGGTCGAAGGATCGGAAGTGTCGGTGGCCGAGGAAGACGTGGAAGTCGGGAAATAATCTGTTCTTTTGGTCCTGAATAATGTTTTATGGATTACGACAGTTTTATCGAAAGATCTATCCAATAAGTGTAACCACAGCATTTTCGACAGATTCTTCGATAAAGCACACACACACTGATCACTAACCGAACAATGGTTCAATGATCACGGTCGGGTATTATCAATTCCAACAAAAAAAATCGTTTTGTTGATAAAGCCCTTCCGGGATCGTTTTATCTGTATTCTTAGGCGGAGCACACGTGTGTGTGTGTCCAGACAGAGTTCAGAGGAGTCAAATATTTGAGAAGGTATATAAAACCACCGAAAAATTTCACATTTTGATCCGTTACTTGCTCCCAATCACGTCCAATCATAACTTTTACTGATCCCTAAGCATTCGGTAAGCACTCACTTATCGAACAAACACATTTGACCTTTGACAAATGTTATCTTTGGGCATTAATATTATTGCGAATGTTGGACACGGTCAATAGAGAGATAAATGTGCACAAATATTGTAGAGTTCTGAAGAAAAAAAAAGTAAGGCTAACGATGAGTTTCAAGTCCGAGAATCGAACTTGACTCAAAGCACAAACGTTTCAAAAAACGCTGCGAAAGATGAGGGAAACCGCAAAGTTTGTTGCAAACGGTGCAGAGACATTTTAAACGGATTTTTCAGGTTTCCACCGCCCAAAAATGGCTCGTAGCCGTTGTTGCACCCTCCTGTGCCACATAAACACGCGCATCGCCCTAACCGTACTGGACATCCTGATCGGCGTCTCGAACATTCTCTCCTACGCCCTCCAGTTCCACAATTGGTCGGCGCTGACGCTCACCGCACTGGCCACCCTGGTCGCCTGCCAGACACTGATTATGTTCGTCGCCGAGAAGAGATGCACCATAACCGATTGGCCGCGGAGCACTTTTCGATGGATTACGTGGACTGGTATGTGTTATCATCGGTTTGGGGGGGCGGAAAATGACGTGGCCGAGCACACAACTGAATTGTGATTTTTCAGGTATCATCACTGGAATTCTGGCATTTTTGACGTTTATCGCATGCTTCATTGTCGCTGGAATCCGGCACATTCAATTCACAAGTAAGATTTGCTGAAATATCGAAAATCTGGAAAATCTGAAAATTCGAAAGTCACAAGTTCGATGCCTGAAAGCGTCTGATGGATTTTGGACACTTTGAAGAGTATCTACTCGATTTTTCAGCCCTCTATCTCGTCTATAACGGTTTTTACAAATCTCGCTCGAGATTCAAAGTCTCAAGTTCGATGCCCCGGCTCGATTTTTCGTTTTTACTCATTTTCCTATGTATTCGCTCATTTTTTCAGATCTCTACGGCGAAAACTTGTGGTTCACCGGGCTCTGGGCGACCGCAATCACAAAGTACACGTGGCAAAACGCGTTTCTGGCGCGGAATTACGCGAATCAGAAGGCGGAATTGGATTTGGAGGACTCGTGTAAAGCCTAATTGAATTGTACATTCATATAGTAGTCGTTTCGGGTTGTTGTACTACCTTGTGATCTCTAATGTATTAAAAATCTTGATTTAATTGTGCTTACAAGAGCTTCAGAAGCCCCTCAAATAATAGGTAAAAAGCCGCACTAGCGCACCTTTTCGACCATCCTAAATTTTTGCATTTTTAAGCCATTTTAAGGCTTATTTTAATCAACAACATGTCTTAGCTCATACAAAATGTATCATTTTCAACAATTTTCAAAAAAGTGGTCGAAATACCCAGTGGGTGCGCTAGAAAAAGTGGTCGAAATGGATGGTCAAAGTGGTCGAAGTGGTCGAGAAAACTGCGCTAGACATTCTTGAGTATTTTCATGCTTTCACACTCCAAAAATTTACTTTCGGCGCAGTCGGTATGTCGGATACCTCCAAGGCTAAGGCATGAGGGTTTGACTGCGAGTGTCGTCAAATATTTTACACGGAACCCCAGCATTCCAATGCGCAAGCGAGTTGTCAATGGGGCGCGCTTGCATCCACCGTCGACTCGCAGTTTCTTTTTTCAATTGAAAACCAGAATTCTTTGGTTTTTCTCTTAATACGCACTCAAATTTTGTTCTTTCCGAACCGTAGGGCGATTGTCTGAGTTAAAAGCATCGATTTAAGCGCGAAACGGAGCAGATTCGTTCAGAATTGACCAAATTGAGGGATTTTGTCGAAAACTACTGAAAAAAAACCGAGTTTTAACGATTATTTCGAGTTCGGACACTGGCATTCGAACCGTCCAGTCAACAAGCAGTTTATTGCGCATCTTTTAAGCGCTCAACTGTCGAAAAATATACAGATTTTAGATAATTGAGGCAAATTTTCGATTCCCAAAGGAAAAAAATTCTGTAATTTTCAGGAAAAAACGTTTTGAAATTGATGACGAAGCAGTTAAAATTTCATTTTTTATTCATTTCTAATCATTATCATAAGTTTTGACACTGATTGCTTCTGAAAAGATGGGGATAATGCAAAAAAAAGGGAAAATTGAAATGAGAAACTCTACAACGACGCTCCGGAATTACGCGTTACGCGCCTTGTTTAGCGCACGTGAATTGCGCCAAGGGAATTTTTTTTTGTTGGAAGGCTGAGGTTCCGTGATTTTTGCCATTTTTGTTTTACTTATTATTTTGGTTTTCACAATCACACATAGCCAAGAAATTGAAAATAGAAGAGTTGAAAATGGAAGAATAGAAGAAAATAGAAGAGAAGAGTTTATCGCATGCTTCATTGTCGCTGGAATCCGGCACATTCAATTCACAAGTAAGATTTGCTGAAATATCGAAAATCTGGAAAATCTGAAAATTCCAAAGTCACAAGTTCGATGCCTGAAAGTGTCTGATGGATTTTGGACACTTTGAAGAGTATCTGCTCGATTTTTCAGCCCTCTATCTCGTCTATAACGGTTTTTACAAATCTCGCCTGAAATTCAAAGTCTCAAGTTCGATGCCTCGGCTCGATTTTTCGTTTTTACTCATGTTCCTATGTATTCACCCATTTTTTCAGATCTCTACGGCGAAAACTTGTGGTTCACCGGGCTCTGGGCGACCGCAATCACAAAGTACACGTGGCAAAACGCGTTTCTGGCGCGGAATTACGCGAATCAGAAGGCGGAATTGGATTTGGAGGACTCGTGTAAAGCCTAATTGAATTGTACATTCATATAATAGTCGTTTCGGGTTGTTGTACCACCTTGTGATCTCTAATGTATTAAAAATCTTGATTTAATTGTGCTTACAAGAGCTTCAGAAGCCCTTCAATTGTCAGTGAAGCCGTTATACACAGAAAATGTGGTGAGATGATAGTATTACGAGACTCAAGTGTGCTTGCAACCATCTGTCAGACACATGTTATGTACATATGCAGACCCTTCTTGGAATGCACTTGCACCGCAGAGATTCGATGATATTGAAGACGTCAGAAGCCGCCGCCAACGAGTAGTGCTTATAAATAAGTTCTTTTTCAGAGTCCAAAATCCCATAGATCTTTCCAGAACCTTCCTCAGAGTCTCGAGCCCGTCGTACTAGTCAACTTGCCCGTCAATCCATAAATTTCGTATCCGCCCCGTTCGCGTCGCGTCAATCGTCGCCTCAACCGCCGTAATCCCTTTTCGTTGAATCCATTGAAGAATGAATCGAATCGCAATTGGCCATTTTAGACGACGAAGAGAACGGAGAAGAGAACCCCCTTCCAAACAAAGGCGCACATTTAATCGCAATTGCATATTCATCTCTCTCTCCCTCTCCCTCTCCCGTCCTCGTCGTCCTTCCTCCTAAACGTCGGCCGTCGTGTGCCCTTGAATCTCATTTGAATTCCGTATCGTTGCGGGGCAAGTGGCCGTGCGGCAGGACGCGTACGTAACCCGCCCGCTGTCCGCCATCTCCGGGGTCGGTATACTCACTCGCGCCGCCGCGTGTCTCGAGTCTCTTCAGCGGTATACACTGCTTCGTGAAGCCGCGAGTGGACGACGTCTGCTTCTCTGCGCCTCCGACTAGTACGAGTGGCTGGCAGGGCCGCATTACGGCCCGACGTAGTCGTAGTCGTATAATTGGCGAGCGCTCTCCCCGCCCGTCGCACTCTCTACGCATTGTTTATGGGGGGAGGGAAGGAGTCTGACCGCTGTACGTCTCTCTGCGCGTACCGCCCGTGGTGCCTGGGGGTGTCGGGGTGCGCCGCTTGAGCGTCGGTCGTTGCCACGCCCCCCACTCTCTCTCTCTTTCCCTCTCTCTCCACCTGCCCGTGCTCTAGCCACGCCTACTGCCGCACGCGGCGCGTATAAAAGGCGCGCGTCGCGACGCAAACGGCATACATTCTCCCTCCCCGGCCTTCGACTCTCCCTCCCTCCCCCAAACCCTCTTCCCCTGACCACCACCACCACTATTACTACTACTACTGCTACTACTGTCCACTATACTTCGCTACTATTATATGCATCTCTTACACTGACAGACCACCCGTACATATGTTTCCGTGCTTGGCATCGCGCTCCAAACACGTTACAATTTATGGGTCGCCGGTCATGGGTTCGAGCAGTTTTTCGGGGTTGCGAAATTACATGAATATCGATTGGGTCACAAGACACGGAAATGAGACGGGAAACACGAAAGAAGAGACGCAGACACAGGGAATGTGGGGAATTTGAACGAATTTCAGGCAAATTTTAGGTCGGAACAACGCCAACGCCAACAGCCCACCACCGAAATTATCGATTGATTTGTGCGCCACGCGCATATTGGCTCTTTAAAAGAAGATTCGTGCAGTCGTCAAATTACGAATTCGCAGAATTTTTGCAAGCAATTAATGTACCGCCTCGTCATCATCACCAGTGCAACAACAAAAACGCGTAAAATTTGGAGCCCGGAATTTTGCGCGATCGATTTTAGGCCAACAATCAGAATGAACACATGGCGCCGCGCTCGGCACCATGTTTTAATGGTTTTGTGGCAAAGTTCATGCCATTTTGACAAGGGTCAAACGATCGAAAAGTCTGCGCAAATATATAGAGTGCCGGCGCCGAGAACTGGCCGCATTTTGTCTAGTTGTTTGGGGTTTAAGGCCGTTTTTTCCTGGAATTTTGCGTGTATTTCTCGGAAATTGTGCATGCAATCGATAGCCGAGATTATTTTCTATCAATTTCAACCAATTCCAGCCCGAAACTCGCTTTTCGCCCCGCGAAATCGCTCGATTTCCGTTCAACGTTCGAGATGTTTCGGCGACTTGGCACGCTGCCAAGTGCAGAACGCGCGTTCGGAAATTGCACATTTCGTTGCGGTTTTCGCGAATTTTTGCGAGTTTTTGGTGTCATTTCGTAGAAAATAACTTGCACTTTAAAGAAAGGTGAAAATTTGCGAAATGTGTCCGCTGAAACGTGAGAAAATTGAGCGAGTGCTGAATTTGCGCATTTTGGGCCTAAATCCAAAGTAAAATGTTTATTAGTCAAATCAAATGAATTATTATCGAGAAAAGAGACCGAGAGGAGATCAATATCACGTTTTTCCTGACGATTTATCCGAGGAACGGATTTTTTCTTCCGATCAGCTTCTCCAATTTTGCCCGTCTCTTCAGCGACGCGTTGTCGGCCGGAATCATTTCGACGGATGAAAGGTGTGAAACTGAAAGCTTGCCCCAAATTAATTGCAATTTTATCGCCAAAATCTCCTCACTCGGTAGTTTGCACTCGCTGGCCCGTTTTATGTACATGTTGACGTACGTCGTGTACACTGGCGCACTCCTCGTGTCCAATTTTTCGTAAAATTCACAAGTGAACACACTTCGCCCGCCGACCATTCCGTACACTGCCGCTCGGCAACGCTGCAACAATCATTTGGTGGCGGCGGCCGTGGCCTAGAAAATCGGACCCACCTTGTCGCGCTGACACGTGGCGAGGCATCGATCTTCGGTCGTGTCGTATCCATCGATGGCCATCGCGTACGGTCGCAACGGGACCGCCACGTCACGATCCGCGTAGACGGTGAAGCACGAGCAAAGGTAGCACGGATTGCCGAAATGGTCTAAAGTAGGTTGAAAGTTTGTGGCTTCTACACAGGTGTTCCGGCTAATTATTACTCACTTTGACGATTCCACGCAGAAACGCTGACAAAAAGTGCAAAAAGGCCAAAAACGACGGCGGTAAGATTGAACATTTTTCGAGAGTGATCCAATCCAAAAATCGACAAGCCTTTTTATGTGATACGATCCATCGGGGGCGTGGTATTTGGGTCATTTGCCGATCCATCAGCATTTCTTTGTGTTATCATTGTCTCAGGAAAAGCCAGGCAGCAGCAGCTAAAGCATCACATGCAACAACTCGTTTTGAGGAATCTAACCGACCGGAATTGCGGCCATCTAAAACAATGAAACAATAATAATAATCATAATCATACAAGCGGCTAACACTAGCCGCTCTCCTAAATTATAATTTATTCGCGCATAATCATAATCATGCGCATAATCTCGAAGCGAAAAAGCGAGATTGGAAACGGGTTCTTCCGAGGTGTCTTCTCACTTTTTCCGCGCTGATTGATCAAATCGGAAAGCGAGGAGAAAAGGGAAGTTTCTGTCCACTTTTCGCAAAATTTTAGGCCAAAAAAATGGAAAACTGTAGGCCTCTTCTTCTTCTTCTTCTTCTTCTTCTTCTGTATGTTCTTCTGTATAATTTTTCAAATTTCAGGCTCAAATTGGTTTTTTGCTCTTTTTGACCTGTCCAACTTGCCAAAATTTATTCCAGAAAATTCTCCAGTCTCCCCCCCCCCCTGTCATCTTTTTCCATTTTCGCACAGTTCAATGCTTTCTAGTCCGTTGTTTTCTAGTTCGTGGCCTAGAATTTCCGAGGCCCTCCCGGCACCACTATACGAATTCGCCGGTGCTCTCTTTCGCCTCTTCCAACTCATTTTCATTGGAATGTGTATAGTTGAGGAGAGAAGGCGCCAGTGTGCCGCCCGTCTTCCGCATCGGAAATTGCTCCGTTATCTCTGCGCCCTCCGCACTATCTCTCCCACTCATTTCGTATGCTAATTTCGTCTCGCGCGCGTTTCTTCGTTATCGCGGCCTTCATTACGGAGTCTGCCTTCTCTGGCGCCCTCCGCCCACACCGTGCTCTCTCGTGTCGCTTGGCACAGTGCCAACTCGACACCAACCGCCACCACCACCACCGCTATCCACATTATTCGTCCGCTCCGGCTGTCCGACCGCGCGAGGTGGGCCGCCGGAACGCGCGTGCACTTGTAAGCCCTCCGCCTGCGAGAATGATGGTGACGCTCGTGGCGTACGCAGTAACGTGCGCGGCCACGGGTCAAGCCAGCCGGCGTTCGCGGGTTCGTCACCCGCCCAACGCGCTTTTGTGCTCTGTCGACCGACGCCCGTCTACCCGTAGCTCCTATCCATGTTTGTACGCGCAGCGAGAACATGGAAGCAGCGACTGGTGAACGGCTAGTTGGAGTAGCAGACCAAATAAATCTTTGCCCCATTCGAAGAATTTGGTGGGAAAACTGGAGATTACAATTTTTATCATTCTAATGGATCTACTGATAAGGAATTTACCCGACCTGATGGGAATCGGTGGGAATAAGGAGGATATATTATTGGGGCACCGGACAAAAAGGACGCGCTGTTCGCAATCTGGCCGAATTTCCGGGCGGCGAAGTAATTTTCCACTGAAAACGTGGCCTAACTTTTCAAACTCGACTCCGAGGTCGCTTAATTTGCACTGCAAAAAGAGTTGCTCAACAGAGCGCCATTTCTGTGCGGTGCCCCTATAATAAAACTGTTTTTAGAGACTCAACTTGTTAAAAACTCTAGTTTTTCTAATTTATTGATGAGAAGTAAACAGAATATACATCTAAACTCCCGCGCGCACAGGTATCGCCACAAAAACGTTTTCTTGGCTGTCTGTCAATCGATTTTCTTTTCGTTCGCACGCTCGGTGATTTTTTCCTACAGGTCGGCCAGAGTATACCAGTCCACGGCCCTCAGTCCCGCCATTTTTTCTCGCCCAAACTGGTCCGCCGATTTCTTATTGCCGTCGAGACATCCGCTTCTTCTTCTTCTTTCAATTATCTTTCGGTAAGAAAGTAGTCCCATGAATTTGTGACGACAGTGACGTGTATTCAATTGTACCGACGCATTTTATTGCTTTTTTCAAAAAATTTCACGCAAAACGGTTTCCTCTCTGATGTTAAAGCTACACTTTTGACTCTATTTATTAGTTATTTTATAGCTGCGATGCTGATTCTTTTCGAGGTAGCCGCCGGTTATGTGGTTTTCAAGCTCAGCAACGAGAAGAAGCTGGAAAATGTTAAGAACGTCTGGGAGGAATTCAACACCGCCGAGATGGCTCAAGAAAAGTAAGTTGTACAAGACATCAACTTTTTTAAATAAGAATGATGATAATGATGATAATTTCTGTTTCAGTCTGCAGTTAGTGACTTTCAAACAGTTCAGTTCAAAGCAGTTCAAGTTTAAGTTCAAAGCTGTCGACGCCGCTCCCGAAATCGCGGAAGGAAAACTCAGTCTGAAGAAGCTGATCAAGTCCAGCGGCGATGAGACCGGAAAACAGGCGGTCGGAGACGCCAAGCTCGGAAATTTGATCAAGGTTTGTGCCTGCACGGTCTCCAGAGCTGACAATATGGGCGTGGCGGCCTCGGCCAAATGGCGTTTTCATGAATTGAGCAGGTTTTCTCTGATTTTTGTGGTCAAAGGTGATGAAAAACGATTGTTCGACATGAAAACACACGAATTCTCAGAATTAATGACGTTTTGGCGCATTTTTCGCGGACTTTGCTTTTTCGCCTTCGCCGCCGATAGCCGCCGAAGGCCGCCTAAAAACCGCACTTCTCATTTTGCGCTTTCTTGATCGTTTTCAGACAGATTTGGTTTTGAGAATGATAAATCACGTAATTACAAGCATTTTGAGCGCCCGAACCGCAAAAACTACCGAAAAGCAACTGAAATTCACGCAGTTTCAGCCAAAAAAACCTTCAAACGGATAAATGTGATTTGCGACTTGACCAAATTTAACGCTTTTACGCTTAAAAAATTAGTAATAGCCTATACAATCGGTCTATCAAGAGACAAATGACAAATTATCGGGTTTTCGTGGTTTATCTGGCAAAAAACACCAATTTTGCTGTTAAAATTTGAATTTCGTGCCAATGTATCGCTGCTCTATTGGGCGGGGCGCACTTGCGCCCATTGTCAGCTCTGGAGACCGTGGCCTGTAATAATAATTCACTTTTGTTCACAAAATTACGTTCAGGAGAAACTTCCCCTCAACTGCGTCCACGATATCTCGATCAACGAGTTGATGAGCGCAGTTCGTGCTCATATTGATGAGTTTCTCGCTGAGCACAAGGAGGAAACGAATGCGATGAAGTTGGCTGTTGCTCACTCGCTCGCTCGCTACAACTTCAAGTACAACCCGGAAAAGATCGATGATATGGTTGTTCAGGTGTGTGTCGCCGCGGAGGTGTCCAGTCCGTCGCCACAAAACGCGACAGTCCACAATTATTATTTCGCAGGCCGTTTCTCTTCTTGATGCCCTCGACAAGGAGCTCAACAACTACGTCTTGTGCATCCGAAAGTGGTACGGATGGCATTTCCCAGAGCTCGGAAAGATCGTTCAGGATCATGAAGCGTATGCCAAGGTAACGCTGGTGCTGAGATAAAACCATCGAAACAAAGTTCGTTTCAGATTGTGAAGACGATTGGAATGCGTCAAAACGCAATCAACACCGACTTGTCATCTATTCTTCCCGAAGATCTGGAAGAGAAGGTCAAGGAGGATGCTGAGGTCTCAATGGGAAATGATGTCGCGGAAATCGATCTCATGTACATCAAGGGTTTCTGTGAGCAGATTATCAAACTCTCGCAATATCGGTATGTTTCGAAAGTGATTGATATAATAAATAAAATTCCGTTTTAGAGCTCCACTATTCGACTACCTCAAAAACGGCATGACTGCCCTCGCTCCGAATCTCACAGTTCTTCTCGGAGAGCTCGTCGGAGCTCGTTTGATCTCTCACGCTGGATCCATTGTCTCACTGGCCAAGGCTCCAGCTTCGACGCTTCAGATCCTTGGAGCCGAAAGGGCACTTTTTCGTGCTCTCAAGAGGAAGGCGAACACACCGAAGTATGGATTGATTTATTTTGCTCAGCTTATCACACAAGCCCCGCCAAAGATGAAGGGAAAAGTAAAGATAAAGTTAAGTAATTGCAATTTTCACAAAATGAACTATTCAGATGGCTCGCATGCTTGCCACCAAATGCTCGCTGGCTGCCCGCATCGACGCTCTGTCCGTCGAACCCATTGACAATGCATTCGGAATGAAGTGCCGTACTTTCCTGGAGAACGTCCTCCGAACTGAGTTGGAGAAGCAGAGACACGACGAGGACGAATTCAAGAGCGAGACAAACGACGCTGCCGCTGATGCTCCGGCCAGTCGCAAGAAAGAACAGTTCGAGGAGGAGGACAACATAAATGCTGTGAAAAATATGAAGATAGAAGAGGCGGAAGAAGAGGAGGAGCCGCAGAAGAAAGTGAAGAAAGAGGAGGTCGAATCCGATGAGGAATAATCTTCTTTTTGTTGTGATTCGTCTTCCTTATAGCTGTCACCGGGCCGCTGCGTCAACATTTTCATTCAAGTTGGCCGTGGAAATAGTTTTATTTGCCATTCACGTGTAAAAAGCCGTCAAGCCGTACTCCACGGCGCTTAACTAGAAACTGATCGTCTAAATCGTACGCGCATCTGTATAGAACTCATCGAGTTGATTTGACTCGTTAATCTATGTCAATATTCGATTTCCTCTTCATTGTTAACCAAGTTTTAATTTGAATGTATCTATTTTTAAAATTAGATTTGCGAGTTGTACAAAAGAAAACGCCGGTCGTACATGCGCCATGGAATGAGTAAAGCCCGTCCGATCGTTCCGGCGCCATGCTCCACGCCTTCTAAAGTCTCATTGAACGTCCCTCCCCACAATCTCAATAAACCTGACGGAATGTGCAAAAAAAGTGGCATTCCATCAGGTTAACTGAATTTCTGAGGAGTGAAGTGGACGAAACTGGTCGCAATTAAAGAAGATGGAGTAGAAACGTTGTGTATCACAAGTGAAATTATACAGAAGGTGCACAAAAACGGTTAAAATGAATATCACACAAAAACTGAATCAATCAATACTCAATAGTGATGGTCTTGGTGACGAGGTACTCGTTGAGCGCCTCCTCGCCCATATCCTTTCCGAATCCCGACTGTTTGAATCCTCCGAACGGCGCGGCGACGTCCGTCTTCTGATAAGTGTTCACGAAGACGGTGCCGGCGTGGAGCGCCTCGGCGACCCGGAGCGATTTAGACGCGTCGCGGGTGAAAACGCCGGCCGCCAGACCGAATTCAGTGTCGTTCGCGCGGCGGAGCACGTCTTCGATGTCGCTGAGAACGAGGAAATTTTAAATTTTCTAGAACCATGACCCGGAAATTGTGAAGCGGTTATACGGGCGCGCTGTTCGCAACCTGGCCAAATTTCAAGACCGCGAAGAAATTTTCCACTGAAAACGTGGCCTAACTTTTCAAACTCGGCCCCGAGGTCGCTCAATTTGCACTGCAAAAAGAGTTTCTCAACAAAGCGCCATTTCTGTGCGGTGCCCCTATAATACCTTTGAGCAAATGTAAGATTTTTGTTCAAAGTTACAGCTTCACAATTCTGCGGAGCCAAACTCACTCGTCGTCAAAGCTCGAGATGCACATGATGGGTCCGAATGACTCTTCGCTCGCCGCAAAGTTCTCATCGTCGACATTGGACAAAATGGTCGGCGGGAAGAATAGTCCCTCGCGGTCCAATCGTGCTCCGCCGACTTCGACTTTCGCGCCGTCCTTCACCGACTTCTGCACATACTCCACCAGTTTGTTCAGATGCGCCTTGTGATTTTGTGGTCCGTGCGCCGTCGATCTGTCGAGCGGGTCTCCGATTTGATAGAGTTTCGCCTCGGCAACGAGCTTCTTTACAAAATCGTCGTGGATCGATTTGGCGATGAAGACGCGTCCGGCGGCGATGCAATTCTCGCCCTTGTTGAAAAACACAGCGCCGCACGCCTGCTTCACCGCCTTTTCGAGATCGGCGTCGGCGAAAATGATGAGCGGCGATTTGCCGCCGAGTTCCAGCGAGACCTTTTTGATGTTGGACCGCGCGCACGCCTCCATGACGGTCGCTCCGATCTCTGTGGAGCCGGTGAATCCGATCTTGCGTACGTCGGGATGGTTGGTAAGACAGTTGCCGACGAGGCTTCCCGATCCGGTGATAATGTTGATAACGCCCGGCGGGATTCCGGCGAGCACCGAGAGCTCGGCGAACTTGAGCGCAGTCAACGGGGTCACCTGCGCCGGCTTGTGGACGACAGTGTTGCCGGCGGCGAGACAGGCGGCCATCTTCCAGGAGAGCATCATGAGCGGATAGTTCCACGGAGTGATGAGTCCGACGACGCCAACCGGTTCACGGACGGTCAGACACAGGTTCTTGTTGGGCCGGGCGTTCGAAATCGGGATCGTCTTGCCCTGGATCTTGTCGCACCAGCCCGCAAAGTATCGCCAGACGTCGATCGACATGCCGACATGCGTTTTCAGCGCCAAAGTGTACACCGCGCCGGCGTCAATCGATTCCAGCGTGGCCAGCTCCTCCTTGTGCTGCTCCATGAGCTCGGCGAGCTTGTACAGACGCTTTCCGCGCTCGCGAGCCGACATTTGCCGCCATTCTCCCCGTTCGAACGCTTTTTTGGCGGCCCGAACCGCCCGATTGCAGTCGTCGACGTTGGCGAGCGGAAGCGAGCAGATCGGCTTTTCGGTGGCCGGGTTGATCGTCTCGTACGTTTTTCCGCCCGACGACGGCTGGAATTTGCCGTCGATGAACAGCTCGTGCGGGAATTTCAGCTCCATGTTGTTGACGTTGAGCACGATCGGATCGTAGGTCACGGTGAGGCCGTCCTCGCCGCGAATGTTGCGGATGACCGTGCTGATGTTCTCGCCGAGCGTCGGACCGGCATAGATCTGAAATTATCTTTTTTTCTCTCAACTTTTCCGACAATTTTTCACAATTTCCCGGAAATTTTAGAGAATGTCGTCAAATCTGGCGCCACGTCTGAAGTGCACCGTCACGCAAAAGTACACCATTCCCGGGCGCCGCGTCTTTTCTTCTTGAATTTCACATGTTTTTCGCGATTTTCAGCGTGAATTTTCAGATTTTTTGACGAAATATATTACAGGGAAAATGAGGCCGTCTGTCGTCTCCATGGGAAAGCACTTTGGAAATCTCGGAAAGGTAATTCTTGCGAACGCTGCGAAATTTTCATTTTCCGTTTTCAGATGTACGGAGAACATCGCTTTGCGCTGGCGCCCAACGAGCAAAAGGCGTACAAAGGATTCGTCGATCAGGCGTTCGTCAAAGTGTTCAAGACGTACGTCTGGGATCAGTGGTACTACTACATTCCGCAGGTATTCCGAGAAAAGATGTTTCTCCGAAAAACTACAAAATTGCAGACGATCGGCGCGTATCTGCTGTACGATTGGGCGATCAAAACGAATCACATGGCGAGCCGCAAGAATCCGGCCGATTATGCCAATGACAAATGAACAATGGGATAAAAATTTAAGTTTTCGTCGTGCTTTTCATAAATTTTCGAGTTTCTACAATTATTTCTTACCTGTCCTGCTTCCAGTTCTGCTCCCGTGTTGAATTTGATTTCCTCGACGAGACGGGTGACGTCGGCCGAGCTGGCTCCGCTCTCGAAAAAGTCCGTGTCGCTGCTCACTTGGCTCTTCAAAATTCCAGCCCAAATCTTCTTCAGCTTTTCCACGACGGCCTTCTCCTCGTCGGTCAGCACGAGCTCCTGAATCTGATCGGCGCCTTGGCCGTATTTCGAAGCCGGGATGGTCTTGGTTCCGATCTTGACGGTGTCCACAATCACCCATTTGCCATCGGATCCCGGAAGGAGGAGTCCACGGTCCTCGACGAGCACTTTGCCGCCTGGAACTTCGGCCACGGCCACTTCGACCGCATCCTCCGGCAACTTCTTCGGCTTCCACAGTTTCGAGCCGAAGAACGAGACTTTTTCGCCGTTCAAAACAGCCCACGCGCCCGGCACTTTGTCGTTTCCCCTGATGAAATTGTGCAATTGCCGTTGCGTTTTGGTCCAGTCAATCTGAGCCAATTCGGGCTTCGTGGTGATGTACGGCTCGTAGGAGGCTCCTTCTTCGGGCTGAACGATGCGTGGAGCGGTTCCGGCGGCGATCAACTCCACTGATTCGGCCATGGCGGCGACTCCAGCCGGGTACAAAAACCGCTTGTAGAGGGTGTTCAGCGTGTCGTTCTCCTCCACTTTGCACTTTTTCTGCAGCAAAATCGGTCCGGTGTCGAGTCCTTCGTCGGCCCAAAAGATCGAAAGTCCCGCCTGCTCGTCGCCCTCGATCAGGGTCCAGTTGATCGCCGACGCTCCTCTGAAAATAATTCAATTCAAGTTTTTCCTCCCAGTGGTCCCCCTTGGCTCGTACCTGTGCTTGGGCAGAATGCTCGGATGATAGATGATACTCTTTTTCGGCGGCGCCTCGGTGATGTCCAGCGGAATGAATTGGGTGCAGAACGGAAGCACGTTCAGTTCGGCTCCGTAGGACTTGTAGAGCTTGAGCATCTCGGGAAGCGTCTCGAATTTTCCCGTCTCCGGGTTCTTCTTGCGCCAACGAGCCGGCTTTTGGACCGGAACTCCGTCCTTTGCCGCTTCGATCGCTGCAAATTCGCTCTATTGCACTTTTTAGAGTCATCGCACTTTCCCTAGATAGCTTTGAAAATATGCGCCTTAATTTTCGAAAATGGCGATAAAAAGACCCGAAAAGGTTTCAGTTAGCCTACCGAGCAAGTCCTCCCTTCCATTCTTGTCGGGAATCGTAAAGACGACGACAATTTGGTGTCCATTCTTCCGTAACTCTTTGTAGACGTCGACGCCGAACGCCGATTGTCCGATTATCGCGATTTTCATGGCTATAAACAGGCAATATTTGGCAAATTTCAATTTTTAACGGAGAAACGACAATATTGTTCATTTGGAAGCACGCACGAAACACGAAAATTCGATAAGATGAGAAGGAAGTAGATATTGTGGATTCTGCCGAAATTCGGGACGAAAAGGCAATCGGAGAGGAGAAAATCAAGTTTTCGCACCAGTTTGTGTCGTCGATCATCGGCGACGGCGTATCCATACGAGATGACCGATAAACAAGCGTTTGCGTGATCGCCGCGAGAAATGTGTTTGTGTTTGGGCGCGAATTTGAATTTTTTCAAAGCTCTACTCAGAATTTTACTAATAGGCAGCATTAAAATTTAAGATTCAATTTCAGCCGGGCCCGGAATGGCCCGTTGCAAGTATGACAAAACGGAGCGACAACTAATAATAAAACGGTGAAAAACCGGGCGGTTGTATCGGGAGATGACCGATAAACAATTGTGTTTTTCGTTCGTCGCCCAAACATTGCCATCACGTGGCACTTTTATACAAGTGGCCGATTCTGGCCGATTCCGAACTGTTTACGACATCGACTGCCGGTTTTTCGCTCCGTTTTCGTATTTTGCATTGCGGCCCGAGAACATTGTGACTAATTTTTGAAGAGAAATCACGTTTCCAATTCGATCTTTGCCGTTTTCTTATCGAAAATCGACACAAATGGTGATTTGTTTGAGTTTGGCGCGGATTATTGGTTGTTCTACGGAAAATTAGAAAAATGTGGACTGAAAATCAAAACAAATGACATTTTTGACCCTATACCAAATTCTCAAATTCCTTCAATTTTTCCAGCATTTCCATGTTTTCGAGCCAACTTTTGCAGCAAATGGAAATGAGGCTACTGTAGAAATGTTAAAGGCGCATAACGAAATTTCTAAAGGGTACTGTAGAAAATGAATGGCGTAGTACTACATACTGTGATGGAAGTTTGCAAATCATTGTCCTCCTGCAATATTTGCGCAAATGACTACACACACACACACACAAATATGATAAGAGTACAACAAATCAATGATCGAACAAATTTTCATTATAAAATAGCGGTGCAAGGCAAGAATATTTACAACGAGTCACAGAAAGAGAAAAAGACACGTAAAAGTGTTGCGGTTGACATGGAAACCACACTTTTTCGAGGTGGAATGGAGGGAGAACAGAAAAAGATTAAAAAAAAAGGGATTAGACGACGAAAAACGCGATGAGGGCGACGAAGGCGGCGAAAATAACGATGAGAATCCAGTTGAAGAGGCGCTGCTCCCACGGCTCCAACATGTAGATTCCGGACACCAACAGGTACTGCAGGTAGATATGCTCGGCTAGTGATTGCTGAAAAAAAACGTGAAAACTCCTATAGGCAAAATTTTTCGAATTTTACTAACCTTCAGCGGATTTCCTTTTTTGAACTGGCTAAAATTTCCATAATCGTTCTCGAATGTCTTCTTTGTCGTCGTCGATTGAGCCGCCATTTTGGTTTTACCTGAAAATCGGAAAATTTAGGATTTTTTTCCGAAAATTCGCGGTAAAATCGATAAAAAAGCGGGAGAATACGGAAATTGCGGAGCGATGATAGTGATCAAGTTGACCGGCGATGCATGGTGCCATCTATCTATCAGGCGAAAACGGGAAAGAAAGAGAGAAAATGGGCGATAAGACGAGTTTTGTCTCGTTTTCCACTTTTTCCGGGAAAAAAACCAAAGTTCGTATGTGCTTTCGCTTTCTGATAACTTTTTGAACTCTTTCGCCAAATATTAGCCGAGCTATTGGGTTTAAAGGTGCCGAAAACAAACAGAAAACGGGTGCGAAAAACAAATAAATTGTGGCGGGGGTATGCAAATGCGCTCCAACGAACACATCCGGAAAAACGGGCAGAAAAATAGTTTGGAACTGAAAAAACGAGGAATTTTCGATAAGAAAAGAGGGGAGACAGAGTTTTTTATTTGTTTTTCCGTGATTCATAGCGAAATCACATAGAAAAAGGCGGGGGACTAGTTTTTGCAAAAACTCGGCCACCTCGACCATTTCGCCGAAAATTCCTCGTCATCACTCGAAAAACGAAAAAAAAACGCCTGCATAGCTTTATCTGACTTTAACTGCACATAAAAAGTTCACTCGTTCGATGACTTTCCACGCTGTTTCTTCGACGCCGATTCTTTCGAACTGTCGCGACGCTGAAAACAAAAACCTTTCAGAATTGCAGAATATTCTCAGCTAAACTCACCAGCTCTGGCTCTTTCGGCGGCGAGCACGGCTTCGGCTCTTGCTCTGGCGGCGGCGGCGCCAGCTCGTCCATCTCGCGTCGATCACCGGCTTTCGTCAACAACGACGTCGTCGGCGGCGTCTCGGTCGTCGTCTCCGTCGATTCGCGCTTCTTCACCTTTCCCGCCTTCACTTCCAATTTCTTCTTGGGCGGCGCTCTCGGACACGCCGACTCCTCGGATCCGGGCATTCCGACGCGCTTCGACTCGGGATCCGCGGGCCGATCGTCCTCGTCGAGCACCAGTTCCACCTCCAACCACTTCTCCAGATCCTGCACAATCTCGTTCATCGGCGCCCGCTTTGTCGGATCCAACTGATACACTTTCTTTTTGACGATATCGTACAGCTCGGGCGGCGCGAGTTTCTCAAAGTTCGGAAACGATCCCGACAATATCATTTTGCGCGCGTCTCCGCCGGCGACCCCATTAAACGGCTCCTGACACGTGTAAATCTCGTAGAGTAGCACGCCAAACGTGTAGACGTCCGAGGCGCGCGAGAAGGTGAACGTCGTCAGCGATTCCGGCGCCAACCACTTCATCGGCATCTTCATCGCCTTCTTCATTTTGTAGACGCTTCCCTTGCGCGACAGTCCAAAGTCGGACAGTTTCACAAGGTTCTTCTTGTCGTACAAACAGTTGCGGGCGGCGATATCACGGTGGATAATGTCCTGCGAGTGCATGAATTCGATGCCCCACGCCGCCGAAATCGCCATCTTGTTCTTCTCGTCCGTCGTCAGCGTCTTTGTGTTTTTCTTGAGGAACGAGTCGAGTCCGCCGCCCGAAATAAAGTCGATGACGATGTAAAGGGGCTGCTCGAGCACCGCGATTCCACGACATCGCACAATGTTCGGATGGTTGAGGCTGCGCATCAGACGCGCCTCCGCCATTACCTCCTTCATCTTCTCGTCGCCCTCGTCCAGGTCTTTTCGCATCTGAAAAAAAACTGTGTTTCCGAAAAGTTCAGCCATTTTCCAGCGAAAAACAACTATGAACAACTAAATTGACCGGAAAACATTGTAATTCTCGAAACTGCTCACCGCTTTGATGGCCGCCTCGAACGTCTTTCCGCCCTTTTTCACCTTGCCCTTGTACACCTCTCCGTAGGCGCCCTGTCCGACTTTCTTGACGCACACGATCTGCGAGTGGCGGTACTCCCACGAGAGCAGTCCGACCGACCTGAGCAGCCGCACCTTGTCCTGGTTCGGAATCACAATGTCGTTGTGACGGTAGTGCTCGAAGAGCGCGTCAATTGTCGTGAACGATATCGAGAGGTCGAGCCAAAACGCCGAGCCGTTACGCTCGATTAGTATGTTTTTGATCTGAAATCGTTAGTTTTAATCGATTTTTTATTGCAAAACTGTTCATTTACGTCTTTGTGGTTCAAGGTGACTGCCGGTTCGGTCGGCCACGCGATGCTCAGCACAATGTCCTTGCGCTTCGCCTTCGCAGTTGATCTCTGAAACACAGCACGTTTTTCGATAATTTGTGCTACTCGCGGTCTCCAGAGCTGAAAATGGGCGCAAGTGCGCCCCGCTGGCGCGAAATTCAAATTTTAAAAGCAAAATTTGTGTTTTTTGCCAGATTATCCACGAAAACCGATAATTTCTCATTTGTCTCTCGATGGCATTTAATTCGGAGGGTACAAAAATTAGGGGGTACAACAGGGTACAAATTGTTTTGGGGTACAAAAAGTCGAGGGTACAAAATTTTCGATTCTAGGGTACAAAGATTTACCGATTCAGTAGGCATTGATTAAGGGGTACAACTTTTATGATTTAAGGGTACAAATTTCACGATTTTGGGGTACAACAATTTTTTCCCCATTTTTTCATGGGCATCAATTCAGTGAATGTTTTTAGTTGTTTCACAAAATTTTTTTACTCCGTGAATGTTTTGTACTCCGAATCGCTTGATCAGTTCCAGAGATGTTTTTTTAAATGAGATTTCATGACCCTTCGAAGCGTTTTTGCTTCCGATAGACAGTGGTTCAAACGGCGACCCCTTTGTTATTATAGGGGCACCGAACAGAAAGGGCGCTCTATTAATAAACTTTTTTTGCAGTGCAAATTGAGTGAGCTCGGGGCCGAGTTTGAAAAAGTTAGGCCACGTTTTTCAGTGGAAAAATTACTTCGCGGACTAGAAGTTCGGCCAGATTGCGAACAGAGCGTCCTTTCTATTCGGTGCCCCTATAATATTACTTACAAGTTGTTTTGCTGTTTTGGCCCCTTTAAATTCTGCAATTTCACAGCAGAATTTCATCATCTGATGTTGTGTGTGAAATTTACCCAAGTAAAGTTTTTTTCTCGAAATGACACAAAATACTGCATAAAACAAAGCATGGATACACACGACTGTGTCTCGTGAGCTCTCAAATTCAAAACTGGAATGAAAACTTCGAAAATGTGCTTCGTGCAACTTTTGTACCCCAAAATCGTGTAATTTGTACCCTTAAATCATAAAAGTTGTACCTCTAAATCATTGCCTACTGAATCGGTAAATTTTTGTACCCCAGAATCGAAAATTTTGTACCCTCGACTTTTTGTACCCCAAAACCATGAAAGTTGTACCCCAAAACCATTTGTACCCTGTTGTACCCCCTAATTTTTGTACCCTCCGAATTAAATGCCCTCTCGATAGACCGATTGTATAGGAGATTACGAATTTTTTAAGCGCAAGAGCGTTAAATTTGGTCACGTCGCAAATCACATTTATCCGTTTAAAGGTTTTTGGCTAAAAATGAGTGAATTTCGGTTGCTTTTCGGTAATTTTCGCGGTTCGAACGCTAAAAATGCTTGTATTTACGTAATTCATCATTCTGAAAACCAATTCTGTCTGAAAACGGTCAAGAAAGCGCAAAATGAGAAGCAAAGTCGGCGAAAAATGCGCCAAAAAGTCATTAATTCTGAGAATTAGCATGTTTTCATGTTGAACAATCATTTTTCATCGCCGTTGACCACAAAAATCAGAGAAAACCTGCTCAATTCATGAAAACGCCATTTGGCCGAGGCCGCCACGCCCATATCGTCAGCTCTGGAGACCGTGATACTGGTTACCTCAGTGATGCGAACACAATAGTCGCCCTTCTTTTTGAGCACGTACGGCAAATCCTCTCGCGGCAGGTAGCCATGATAGAACTTTTGATCCATGAGCCATTTTGAAATCCTCTCGTCCAAATTTGCGGAATTTATCGACATCGCCGGCCACGAGAGAATTGTTGTGAATGGTGTGGAGAAAAGTGAATCGAAAACCGGAAGGAGTTTTGCGGGAGTACACGTACAAATTCGCTCGGTTTCCCATCGAACGTCTCATTATTTTTTTTTCGCCCACAAACTACGCTCCGTCGCCTTTTCGACCAACAACTGCTGCGTCTCCGACTTCAAAACTTTTGCGTCTATCAGTTGTCATGACGATACTCGTCGATTTGCGCGCTTTGCGTCTAACATTTCACACTTCTAATTTGCAAATTATCGCTCTTTGCCCCTCTCGATGTTTGCCTACTCAAACCCATTTTCAGCGATTTCGGTTTGAGTCTGCAAACATCGAGCGGTAGCGATAAACTTAACAATGTTCTCTATTCCAGCCATGTCCGGGCTGCTCGAACTCGCGCCGCTGCCGCTGGAAATCATTTTTCGCGAATTGCCACTCAAAGAAATGCAAGTTTTAGTGCTCGAGCGCTCGAATTAAAAAAAAAACAGCAACAACAACACCGACTCTTCAGGCTCTTCGTGTCGTTTTGCTCGAAAAAGGTGAAAAAGATAATGAAGCATTTGAGAATCGACAAGAATATTATGCAAATCGGATTTCGTCTCAAGGGCATGAGTCCCAAATCGATAAGTTTAATCGAAGAAAACGGTCGTCAGCTAACTATAAACTCAAAATGGGCCGCCAACCCGCACGAACAACCACCATTTGAGGCGAACATTGACCAGCTCGAGTTTAACTTCCAAAACTGGCAATCGATTGCCGGCACCGATGTTATAAGCTCACGGCAAATACGTCACGACAATTATATGCTCGCTCTTTTTCGACATGTCATAGATCTCTTCAATATTCGCTCCGACGCTGGAGTCCTTTTAGCGTTGGAGGTTGATGAGATCGAAAACTTCGAGGACACCTTTTCGCTGCTCAGACAGTATCCTATCAAAACGTTGGAGGTTGATAAATTTGAACTCGGATCGAGCGTCTCTGCGATTCAGTGGAAGAATTTGAAAGGAATGGTTGGAGACGTCGAGTGTCTTAAGCTCATGAAACCGATCGAAACGCCGGAGGATGGGAACTATGATGTGAGTCTAAACTGGGTTAAAAGTTGAAAATGAATGTTCAGTTCCTACACTGTAAGACACTTTCAATTTCGTCCGGCACGTGGCTGAAACGTGAACACTTGCTGAACATGGACTGTCAAAGTGTGTGCATCGAAAGTACGCCCAAAATCACCACCGAAGACATCGTCACGTTTGTCAATGCTTGGAAAAACGGCACAGTGGCGCGCAACTTGAAAGTGTTCATGATACGATTCATCGAATTGGACCTTTCTCAGATTTTCGAGCAACCTAGATTTGCGCGATTGATATATTTGACAAGTTTTCCATATCGTGACTACTTCAACCACACATCACAGTAAGAGTTCGGATGAAATAAGGAAACTGTGCGAGCTCTCGTGTAAACTTTTTGCAGACAGGAAGAGCATGCTGCGCGCATGGACGAGTCACTCGCCTGTTTGCGTGGGGAGTATGTCCGACGGATCGATGACGTCGAAGCGAAAATTGTTGTGGGCGCCGATCAGTTTTTCTTGATCGTAGACTGATATCTTCAAAAAAAGCAAAAAAACAAAAAAAAACAAAAAAAAGCAAAAAAAGTTTTTTAAAAGTTATTCTGGACCGCCAACTATTCATCTCTGTATTCCTCACATCCCATCCGCTCCTTCTTGAAAAATCTTTCCAATTTCCCATTAATTCTCATAATGTGTTGTAATTCTCTCCTTACCCCTAATTTTATGTTACCCTTAAAATATAACAAAAATGATTTAAGCCATCAATTTTTTTTCACAATATTTTACTTTTTTGTATTTAATCTTATTGCATCTTTTCAGCCTAGGCCCTTCAATGAATAAACCAACAAATACAAATATTTTGTGTCGGTCGTTGTCGTTTCGCTTTCAATAAACTCATTGTGCATTCTGTTTATGCATTCCGTGCCAGCGGGAGTCGGTAGTGAGCATGTGTGCTCTATTGCGAACTGCACGAAAAACTGCCTGAAACGCTAATGTTTTGTGGGGGAATGGAAAACTATAGACGGACAAAATTACAAACACGCTATTCTTCGCGATATTGAGCGGAAAATCGTAGAAATTCACCCAGAAATTAGTTAACTATCAGCAAAATTCTTACTATGGCCTAGTTGTTATCGCGGACTAGTTTTTGAATTTCCTCTTCCGCTACCGTTTTCTCTTTGTTTTTCTGCTCATTTCTCATCGTGTTTCGCCGTTTTTTCACCGAAAAAAGCTAGATTTTCTAATTTTGAAGGGTAAAATGCCTGCGCAGCGACGTCGAGGGCAGGCGCGAGAAGAGCAGCCGTCGGCGACGATCAGATTCCAGCCGGAGCCGCGCCGGGAGCCGTGGTGCGCGTGTTGCGGATGGGACATGATCCTTTTGTTTCTCGTGATGGTCGGACTCGCCGCCTACATCATGCTCCACATCCACCTCTATCCGACCGTCGAAAAAGTGCTCCCGCTGCCCAATATTGACCCGGAACAAGTAAATTTTTGGGGGAAAAAGCAAAATTTGACAATTTTCGTTCAGGCGCCCTACACGTGGGGCACTTTCCGACCGCACGTGTACTTTGGATTGCGCACGCGATCGCCGTTGTCGCCGCTGTTCGGAATGATGTGGTACGAGCAGCCGAACACCGTTCAGAGGCCTCACATTCGGCATTGGTGTCATCAAGGTGGGCGAACATTCTGGAAAATCAAATAAATTTGCAATTCCGCAGTGCTTTTGAAGAAACAGGGTAAGGTATCTACTAAAAGTCAGAAAATCCCACAAAAAACTAGCCAGACACACAATGTGTTAGCAATTTAGGTTGAGCTTACCAATTTTCGTGTCCTGGTGCTACTAACTTTGCTACCAGCCCTAAAAACAAGTTTGATCAATGAGAATTTCCAAAAACACTTACTTTTGTGCAATTTCTCGCATTCCAGACGACCGTCTTCCCGGCTACTACTGGTACGAAGCGGACGGGCGCACGTTCGGCCGTCAGAACATCTCCGAGCACCACGGCGGAGTGATCCAGACCGATTGGGTGGCCGATCATCGCGGATTCGGGGCGCGCGTCCGTCTGAACATGCCGCCCGGCCGCCGCTACAATGTGATTCTGTACCTGTCGGCGCAGGACGTCAGCACGCGGTTTGTGCTCGGAAACCACCTGCAGGACGTGTTCCACGGCCACAGCGATCTGCTCGGAAAGTTTGTGCTCAGTGTTCGGCTCAAGGGCGGCACCAAACTGCAGGCGTCGCATTCGGTGCTTCTGACCGACGAGAAGATTCCCATCGACCGATATCACGATTTCATCTCCGACAATACGGTGCGTGAGTGAAAACTGACAAAAACTGACAAAAATTTTGAAAAATGAGACATTTCTCTGCAAAGTTCTTTTTCCGCTCTATCCAATGGTATGAATATCTTACACACTAATTTTTAGTGAATTTCATAAAAAAAAATTTTCAAAAATTTCACAAAATTGATTCAGCAAGCGTACAATTCGCCACACGAACAACTGCACTATTTGCTCAACGAGAAGCACAACGATCCGGAGGGAAAATTGGCGGCGATCCAACTGAATTTGGGCCATTCGGCCGAGTTCGAAATAATTTTTCAGTACGTTCGGGCATTTTTGCTAGAGTAACCGTCGGTGCCAGCATTTTCAGAGTGGAAAAATTGGCGCCGATGAGTTCGGAGGAGCTGACGAACGTGCTCCGGCTACGCACCAACAATTTCAACAAGAAATACGAGAACGTCTTCCAACTGGCCGCCAAAAACTATACTCCAGTGGAGAGGAAAATGGCCAAAGTGGCTCTTTCTAACATGTTGGGCTCCCTGGGCTATTGGTACGGATACAATAAAGTGCAGCACCACGGACTGCAGCAGACGTACGGACCGCACGTGCTCTTCAGTGCGGTTCCCTCGCGACCGTTCTTCCCGCGCGGCTTCCTCTGGGACGAGGGCTTCCATCAGATGCTCATCCGCAAAATGGACCCCCGCCTGAGTTTGGAGGTGATTGCCTCGTGGATGAACGCGATGGACACTTCCGGATGGATCCCGCGCGAGATGATTGTGGGCGCGGAGGCCGAGGCCAAGGTGCCCGCCGAATTCATTCCGCAGCGGCCCGACGTCGCCAATCCGCCCACGCTTTTCTATGTGATGGACAAGCTCGTGCACGATGAAAAGGTTGCCATTTCTACTAGATTTTCGATGCCCAACTTTGCACGATTCATTTTACTCAAAATTTCAGTCGGTTCGGATTATTTGGTGTGGTTTTCGAACGAAAGCTTCAATTTGCACCTAAATGATCCGATAGGACTGCAACATTTATAGCTAAAATCCTGCAAAGTTGGGGAAACTGGATTTGACTAGATTTGTGGGGAAAGTATGCAAAATCCAACGTTTTAGTTAAATTTATCGAAAAATCGGTGTCAGATCCAGTTGACGGCCTCAATTATCGAGTTGCACTACTTCTCGTCTAGTTTTGTACTATTTCAAATGAATTTTTCAACAAAAATCAAAAAACATTCCAGACGGTGAGCAAGTACGCGGGAATCCTAAAACTGCTGTACCCGCGCCTCGAGAAGTGGTTCCAGTGGCTGCGAACTTCCCAAGCGGGTCCGACACGCACCACGTACCGCTGGCGCGGCCGAAACGAGACGATCACGACGGAGCTGAATCCGAAGACGCTCTCGTCGGGCCTCGACGATTTTCCGCGCGCGTCGCATCCGTCCGACCAGGAGTACCATCTCGATCTGCGGTGCTGGCTGGCACTGGCCGCGCGTGTGCTCGAGCGGCTCTCCAAGAGCTACGGGACCGATCAGGAGCACCAGCGGATTGCGAAGGCGATGGACGAGCTGAACAACTTCGATTGGCTCCTGAAAGATCACTGGAGCGAGCAGCATCAGGGATTTTTCGATTACGGTAAACACAGTGATGACGTGGCTCTGGCGCCGGTGCCGACGCCCGGGAAGCCGAGGGCTTTCGAGTACCAAAGGGTCACGTCGAGAAGCCCCGCCTACCGACTCGTCACCAACGTCTTCGGCTACAACAACCTCTTTCCGATGCTCCTCAAACTTATCCCGTCGAAATCGACGCAACTCAAAGCGATCTTCGACAAAATTCACGATCCAAAGGTTCTTTGGACGCCGTTCGGACTCCGCTCCATCTCCAGATCGTCGCCGTATTACATGCAGCGGAATACGGAGCACGATCCGCCGTACTGGCGGGGCTACATTTGGATAAACATCAACTATATGGTGCTCAGCTCGTTGCGACACTACGCCGATCAGCCGGGACCGCATCGCGAGCAGGCGGAGACCATTTTCCAAGAGTTGCGCGCCAATTTGGTGCACAATTTGGCAAATGTGAGTGACTTCTCTGGAAAAAATTGTAAATTCACAAGTTCCTGTTTTGCAGCAATTCAACCGTACCGGCTTTCTCTGGGAGAACTACGACGACAAGACGGGCGAGGGACGCGGATGTCACCCGTTCACCGGCTGGTCCTCCCTCATCCTCCTCATTATGAGCGACAATCTCGACACCTGAAATTTCTTGGATTTTCTGTGAAAATTGCAATTTTTCCTAGTCGTTTTTTTTTTTGCCGATCATTTTCTTCCATATTCGATTATGGGTACGCCAGTGATATTTATTTCATGTATTCAAACTTTTGTATGTATTTAGTTTATTACCTTTCCCACTCTTTTCGGGCATTTTCCCCTACATTTATATCGACTTTCAATGCCATTTGACAATATCTTTATTGGCTTGTTCTTAATCAAAATTAGTATATGAACGGTTTGCAATTCTTGTTGGGAAAATTTAGTGGAAATTTGGTGTTCTTCGCACTATTCAATAATATTACAACTTCTCTTGTGTTTTCCCTGCGAATTTGCTCGAAAACCGGAGCTAACCCCGCCGATTTATCATTTTTATCTCGCCAACTTCGTCCTCGTTATCAGCGGCGCGAAAGTGCAATTCGCTTCTCGGCGCACGAGACTCTCTCACCCCCGTTTTTGTGCGTTTCTATCGAAAAATTGGCGCGAAAATAGTGTAAAAATGGCGGAGAGCGCCGTCTAGACACCCGCAAACACACCATGCGCTTCAATCATCGGCCAGACCTTTTTTGTGCGAAAAACTCGGAAAATCTAGCTAGATTGGCGCTCAAAAATGCCCAATCTCCTGCAAATTTTTGGCGATTTTCGCGAAAAAGTAAGTCAATGTTATCAGTTTCGAAAATTTCGCCGATTTCCGCATTTCGCCCGAATTTTCACTTTGAAACGACACGATTCTTGCAGGTTGTATTTCGAGGTGATTTCGACGAAAAATCGCCGATTCGGAACGAGAAAATGTCGTCGTACGGAGCAATCGGTGTCGACGACGATGAGTACGGTTTTTAGAGTTTTGATTTGATATCGGCAAAAAGAACTAGAACAGTCCTGGCTGGAAAACGTTGGTTTCTCAATAGCTATAACTGGCGCGGTGGAAGAACGGAGTGTCGTTGAGAACAAAATGTTTTGATCTCTTGCGGGTCTCGCAACGATTTCGGTCAAAACCTGGCGGCAAGAATCAGGAAAGCAACGAGACTCCTCATTGGTTGTTTGTTTTCTTCTTCGTCGATTGCGTAGTGACCAATGTTAGACCAAAGCGAGAATTTTAGGATTTTCGGCAAAGCGCGCTTGAAAAAGGTTTATTTAGAGGTTGTCCACACTCGTAAAACTTGCTGTTCTAACAGACATCACACTGTACATCCGTAATTCCAGTACGGACCCGCTGTTGGCTGATGATCCGCCGCGCCGTCTCCCTCCAGCCGGCGGTGTTCCGATTGGTCGTCGTCGTGCCGCCTCGGCTTCACAAATCCAGGGCGCCGGGCCGACGGTCTCGCGGCAACCGTACCTGTTCACGGGCGGTCTTGGACTACGCGACGAGAGCCTCCTTTCGTTGCACTCGGAGGACGATCTGCACAGAGAACACAACAATGCGCTCAGATATCGATTGTACAATCGGCTGGATCCCGGCGGAGAGCACTTGGTAATTTTTGACCTAAATTGATTTCAATGTGATAATATTTTCTAAAAAGTTGCAGACAATGCCGGATCACGTGCTCCCGCCCTCCCTGTTCTCGATTCTTCCTTTCGAAGAGCTCAAAGATGTGTCCGGAAAACAGGGATCGATTGTCACTATGTAGAAAAAACAGTTTCCCGCCCACTCATTTCACATTCACATTCAGATTCTCGATCTGGAACACCATGATGGGCACGTCGTTGCTCGCGATGCCGTGGGCGTTGCAGCAGGCCGGACTCGTGCTCGGCGTGCTCATAATGCTCGTGATGGCGGCCATCTGCTTCTACACCGCCTACATTGTGATCGAGAGTCCGAAGCGATTGCGTGAGTCGTCGACCGCGGACTTGGAATTTCCTAGGCCAACCTCGTGTTTTTCCAGAAGACCTCTCGATCGACCCGCAGCTGGCCGAGTTCTCGGATGTTTGCAAATCTCTTTTCGGCCGCGTCGGCGAGTACTCGGCCGTCGTGTTCAGTGTGTGCGTGCTGCTCGGCGGCGTCATCGTCTACTGGGTGCTTATGTCCAACTTTTTGTATTACACGGGCGCCGTCGTCTACGAGGCGATGCAGCCGAACAGTTCGACCATTCCGATCATGGAGAACAAGACGTTCACGTGCGATGGTGCGTACTATACAAATCTTCACTGCTGCAAAGATTAATTGATCTGCAGTAAAGGCACAATATCCGCTATTCGTCTGTAGTTTCGTAGTTTCACGTACGACTACATTAACAAGTTCAAGAACTGAACAGAAGGCTTACAATTTTGCAATCAATCGCGCTCTACTGTTCTCCACGTCAATTCAGTTGTGTTCTTTGACAATGGCGCTCTACCGCAACCAAACTGAATGCGATTCAATATCCTTTATGTTCAGTTTTCGAACTTGTCAATGAATTATGACGGCAGTTCTCTGCAATCGTTTCTCAACACAGCGCGATTGCAGTGAAATGCAATCATAATAGTCTTCCTGCGATTGAGTTCATTTGAACCAGATCGAAAAACCTCTCAATTACCGTACACGATATTCCCAATTGCAGTTTACTGCCCGGAGCAAATGTCGCAATGGACGATTCCGCAGTGGGAGAAACAAATGTACGAGGCGGTGTCGGAGCTCGAAGGCGACGGCGAGGATTCGTGGAGCTTCGACAAGTTTTGGACCCTCCGCGGAACGGTGCCAGTCTATTTGGCCGTTGCCTTATTTCCCCTGATGAACTTCAAATCGCCCACGTTCTTCACAAAGTTCAACGTGCTCGGAACCGGTAGGAAAAGGGTCTAGAATCATCGAAAAATGGGAATACTTTGCAGTTTCGGTCATGTACTTGTTGATTTTCGTCTTCTCAAAGTTGCTCGAATGCGGTGTCAATATGGATTTTACGAATCCGCAATCGATTCATTATGTCAAGTGTACGTAATCGTTTGGAGCGCGTTTGCTCACTCAGTCAAGGAGTTAGCAATTAACATTTCTTAACGTTTTCAGTGGCGAACATGCGTTTTCCGGCGCTAAGCGGAACGTTGACGCTCTCCTACTTCATCCACAACGCCGTGCTCACGATTCTCCGCAACCAGAAGCGTCCGGAGAACAACGCGCGCGATCTTTCGATCGGCTACGCACTCGTTGCCTTCTGCTACGTCTTCATCGGCCTCACGTTCTTCGCGGCGTTCCCCGTGCAGCGCTCGTGCATCAGCGACAACTTTCTCAACAATTTCGGCGCCGGCGACGTGCTCTCCTCGACCGCCCGCCTCTTTCTGCTCTTCCAGATGATCACCGTCCTGCCGCTGCTCATGTTCCTCGTCCGCTCGCAACTTTTCTACGCGATTTGCGGCACCATTTGGCCCGGAACGATTCGCGTCATTGTTCTGAACGTGGCGCTCATTGCGGTCGCCGTCGGATTCGCCACCTTCTACCCGAACGTTGGCAGCATTTTGAGGTTTTAACACTTTTTCTTGCTGAAAACCGCCCACTTCCAATTTCAGATACGTCGGCTCGATTTCGGGCCTCGTCTACGTGTTCGCCCTCCCGTCAATGGTCTATCTGCGGCAGAGCTCGGCGGCCGGCACTTTGACACCCCTCAAAAAGTATGCTCACTACGGGATAATCGCGGTCGGAGTAGCCAATCTTGCCGCCCAATTTGTAATTTGAATTGTTACAAAAATCGATTAATAATGTGTTTATCTTGTCCCCTATCATCATTTTCCGCCATTTCTTGTACACCTTATCACACAATTTGTCAATTTTTGCCCATCTGACATTGTCTATCCACTTTCTTTTCCCCCGATTCTTGTACCATTTTTTTGAGTGTCTGTGTATGTTTGTCTCACTAGTGTTCCTAATTCCCTAATTTTACGGTTGTTTTTGTAAACGTTTTGATTGTTTCCATGAAAATTGCAGGTCCCCAACCTAACCGCCAACTAATCCAACCACAGAATGAACTTTTTTGAAGAAAATTAAAACAAATTTTTACAATTTTTCGGTCGCTTTCTCACTGTCGTTCCTGTTCATATTTGATTTGTGTGTTTCCACTGAAAATTTGTGACATTTTAGGCCAAAAAATGACGGCGATTCAACGCAACATTGTAGTCAATTTGATATCAAAAAGGCCAGTTTTTAACCCGCATTTTCGCCCCGTTTTTCTCAATTTTCTCTCGCATTTTCGACGTGATCACTGATTTTGCGAACGTTTAGATTACTCGGAACGTCGACGCCAATGTTCAGCAGCAGCGACGAGAGAAACGACGAAAAAATTAGTTTTGTGGAAAAAGTGCGACTTTTGGACTATTGGAAAGTTCAGGATAGCGCCCTTCAGAAGTGAGCGCATACAACAAAAACATGAGCAAATTTGATGCGAACAACTTTTGAGAGACGTTCCAAAAATGCCAAATTGCAGTGAATTTCCGCGCTCCCGCCTCGTTTTGATGGTCGATCGGCGTCTTTTGGTTACAAACGGACAACAGGTTCGGATGGTGGAGCACTCGCACGTGGATCTCAAACGGAAGCTCGGCGACTACGGACTGCAGTTCGATCTGAGCACCTCGTGTCTTTTGGACGCACTTCCCGGCGACAATGATTTGGTAATACCGTCTATTCATAACGCTGTATCTCAGCTGCGAGTGGAGATTTCAAAAAGTTTTCAACGAATAAAATGTTCACCATATTTTGATGATATCTTTACACCCAGCTGAGATATATAGCTTTGAATGGACGGAATTTACCTATTCCCTCCAGATTCCCTTGTTCGGAACGTCGATCGAAGCGGCGGATCCGTCGGAAGACTCTCCGATCACGAAAAACGAGGCCCTTCGTCAGCTGGGCGTCTCGTTGGGCGGCCGATTCACCGACGTGCGCATGGCGATGCTGACGATGGACGAGGAGCGGCAACGGAATCTTCTCGCCAAGTTCCAGTCGCTGACGCGGTGGGCGTCCACGTACCGAAGGTGTCCCAAGTGCGCCGCCGCATTGAAAATGAGGACGAGCAAGAGCGGCGCCGAGTGTGTCACTTGTGCAAAAGTCTATTATCCGACGGTAGCCATTTATCGATTTTAAAGCGAATTTTTAGATTTTTTTCAGTTCTCGCCCGTCTCGATAACGCTCATCACGGATCCGACGAACGAGCACGCGCTTCTGGTGCGACACAAAGGATCGGCGGGCGGAGTGTTCACCGCCGTCGCCGGATTCGCTCATGTCAGTCGCAATTTTCAGTTTTCTAGTGAAAAAACTGGCAAAATGCAGTAAAATCATTATTTTCCGTAAAACCCGCCAAAACCCGCCTAAATCCATCAATTTTCAGTCGGGCGAAAGTATGGCAGAATGCGCACGTCGCGAGATCGCCGAAGAAGTCGGCATTGAGGTGGATTCGATCCGCTCGCTGGACATGTCGCAGCCGTGGCCGATGCCCGACTCGTCACTCATGATCGCCCACATCGCCGTCGCGAGAATGGATCAAAAGGTGCGACGACAATCCGGATGACTATGAGAGAAATACGCAATGCGCCAGATTTTACGACATTTTCGAAATATTTGCAGATTTCCGTGTGCCCCGATGAGCTGGAGACGGCCCAATGGTTCTCGCGTTCGCAAGTGCGTCAGGCGCTCGACACGACGCTCGCGGATCCGTTTCTGAAGAATTTGAAGCGGACTCTGGACGATCGGCAGACTTTGCACTACATTCCGCCGGCGGGAGCGATCGCGCATCAAATGATCAGCCAATGGGTGCTCGGCAAGGATAATTCACGTCTTTAGAAGCCGACTTTATGCATTGAAATCGATTTTTCATGTACTTTTTTATATTGTTCTCATATTTTTTGCATTGCAGAGTGAAAAGAGACGGAATTTCGTGTCAATTAGAGGAGGAGAAGTTGTTCAAAATCATGCGGGGGGGAAAACGTTGGGGAAGTTCTGAAATCATTCGATAAAGAGTCGGTGGGCGGACAGAACGGACTAACAATCGCAGCAATCGGCGATGCAGCAACCGGCACAGCACGCCAACAGCGCCACCAGACAGCAATTGTCGCTTCCGCCCGAACGACCTCCTCCGCGGCGTTCTTCAACGACTCTGCAAACGGGATTTCCTGTGAAAATACGCAGGTATGCTTTTTTGCGATGTATTTTGAAGCGCAAATGCAGATATCTTTTAAAATCGGCCATTTTGCGAGCATTTTCCGAAAAGTCTGTAATCTTGAGCCCAATTTTCAGAGTTTTTTTTTGTGTTAAACGCCCGTAAACTCACACAACTTGCGGCTGCTGTGGCGGATAATAGGCTCCCGGCTGTCCTTGCGGATAGTATCCGCCCTGTTGTGGCATGTAACCGGCGGATCCTGGCGGCGGATATCCGGGCTGTTGGGTGTAGGGCGGCGGCTGATTGTACGGTTGGTACGACATTCTTCTCGGTGCGCTGTAATTTGACAGTTTTCAGGGGAAAACGGTTAGAGGGCTCGTCGAATCGGGTAAAAATGGGTTTCTATGTATTAGCTGTTTTTACTGGAATTAATAAGCCCAAAGTCTAGCATTGTGGCTTCCCAGAAAGCGTGTACATGACGTCATGCACACATATTGTATGGTCACAAAAAATGTGAAAAGGTATCGAAGTTGAGAGAAATCGAAAAGAGACGCAGACCGTCAATTGTTTGCTTTGGTCATATGAATTCGGAGAATCGGCGGGCGGGTGACTCATCCGGAGGACTAACTTTCGTGGCCTAGATTCCCGAAAAAAAGATTCCACATCATCTGGAGAATAGGGGAAAACGTATGAAAAATAGGAGAGTTCTAGAAAACATTTCGCAATTTTCAATCGGTTGCCCATGGTAACGTGCTCACGCCTGAGCGAGTTCATTATATTGAAAAGGGAAAAAGGGGGTGGTAATTGGAATTGTTGTTGGCATTATAAAAATAGAAAAAATTGGTGTTGGTGTACATGTACACAACTTGATAAGAAAGGAAAATGAGTCATAACCCGGAGGCACCAGCATATTGAATTTTAGTTCAAAGTCAGAGCGGGGCAAATGCGATGCGGTCCTTTCAAAGCGATGTATCTCAGCTGCGAGTAGATATATGAAGAAGTGGTCAACTGAAAAAATGTGTAGCATTTCTTAATGAACATTTTACCAGTTGAAAACTTTTTGATATCTCCACTGCCAGCTAAGATATATCGCTTTGAATAGACAGTATCGATTGAAGCCGAAAAAATGTCAAAGCTTTGGGCTGATTCCTTCCAGTTGGGACTAAGATTAATGAGGGACCTAGTCCTACTAGTTGATGTCAAAAAATATACATAAAACTAGCGAACATGCGCCTGTAGAATGTGAAAGGGGAAGTGAAAAAGAGGAAAAGTGAAGAACAGAAGAGAAAGAGAGAGAGAGAGAAAACAGGTTGAGAAATGAGTCATAGTGGACGGAAGGATCGAAAAAAGGGAGCGAAAACCAAACAACACTGGTTTTGCGGAAAATCAAAGTGCCACGTCATTTTTGTCATTTTCGGGACGTACTGGAAGGATAAAAGGATAGAAAAGTACAATATTTGTTATGAAATGTACTGGTCACACTGGAGAATGAAAAATTTCGAAAAATTGAAGCCAAATGGTGGAAAATGAGGAAATGAGTCATTTGCTATTGTGAAATTCTAGGTGACTAATAATGTTTTGTTGTTTTCCGGTCTGGAAATGTTCTCGAAACTTTTTTTTTTCTCGGAAAGTATGAAAAGAGAAACAAGTTGAGAGAAAAGACCAAACGGAGAGCAATTATGGACGTCCAACCGGCGGGTTCAGTATTTCGCAATACTTGAGCAAGGATTGGGTTACATTTTCATATGCAAGTGAGGAGCAAAATGTGACCTGGAAAAGTGGAAAAAGGATAGAAAGGGATAGGGGACAGGATCAATTGAACGGGTCTAACTTTGAAAGAGTACTGTAGCGGTGAGAGATGTTTTATGACAATGAAATTGGTTTTGTGGAATCTTCATGTCTACTACTATATTTTTGTAGTTGGCAACTTTTTTGTACGATCACTTCCTGGGGTACTGTAGCTCGTCGAAGCTAGGGAGAATAAAGTGCCTTGAAAACTAGCTTCAACTTCTAAGTGCTACAGTACCCTTGGAAGTGAAGGTACAGAAAAGTTGTCAAGTACAAAAATATAGCACAAGACATATACTGTCTTTTTGTTGTTGACAATTTTCCTGTACAACTACTCCTAAGAGTGGCCGAGCTTTTCGAGTTTGAGGCTACTTTTCAAGGCACTCAGTTAGCTCTAACTTCCAAGAGCTACAGTACTCCTAGGAAACGTTCTGCTATTATTAAAATTAAAAGTCACAAAATCGTCTTGACACCTTTTCCGAGTCTCAAAAACCGCGCGAAAGTCAGTCAAGTGGAGTGGAAATGACGCGAAACTTTTGCGATGACTGGTACACATGAAAAGGGAGCCGAGCAGACTTTTTGAGCAAATAAGTCCCTCTTTCTCTTTCTCTCTCTCTCTCTCTCTCTCTCTCTCTCTCTCTTCCAGGTTGACAAATAAATGAAAGAGGAAAACGGAAGAAGATCAGCGAAACAACGAAACACAAAATCATGGAAATTCGGAAGTTTGGCTTCAGAGAAGTGGGCAATGCAATGAGTCGTGAAATTTCAGTTTCCGGTAAGTTTTGGCAAATGCGAATTTGACACTTTATATTTTATTCGAATTTACTTGCTTACTTTAGAAGTTGAAGTTCAAATCTTGCCAGCGCGCACCATTTTCCGCGCGATTATCACTACTGTTAAGGTCAACGGCGGAAAGGTGCTGCCTAGCGCAGTGCCAACGTTTTTGACTTTCAGCCAACAGTTCGAACGCCGCCTCGGTGAAAACTCTTTTGTGTCCAGTCGAAAATTGTCATTTTCAGTGCGCCGACGTCTAGAATGGGAAACGCGTCGAGTGCGGTAACTGCCGGAATCAAGAATCAGGTGAATGCGAAGAGCAGTGCCATCGGAAAACTGGCGGATTTGAGCGGAAATGGGATACTGGCCGATTTGGCGAGTGAGGCGATTCGAATCGGAAACACCGAAGAGCTCGATCGACAGATTCTCGAGGTAACTGATTGATCAATATGTGCACACCAGAGATGTTGGGAATTCCGTGTTCCGTGTTCCGCGTTTTTTTGCAATATTTTTTCCGTGTTCCGAAAAAAAAAAAATTTCCGTGTTCCGTGTTCCGTGTTCCGTAGAAATAAGTTTTTTCCGTGTTCCGTATAAACTATGTTTTCCGCGGAAAAATTCGATCACAAATTTTATGACGTTTTGTGGTCAAAATTTGAAAATTTTCGGATTCGGACCATATTCGTGAAAAGTGGATTCCATTTTCAGTCGTTTTTTTACTGTAGTTGTTTACTGTTGTGTTGTTGGTTTTGTTATTTTTATGAAATTTTCAGTAAAACTTTTACATGAGTCAAACAGCTGCCTTGTCAGTCAGATAATCGAATTAAACAAAACATTATTTTAAAAAAAATCACTGGAATTTTCTTGAAAACGCTTTTTTCCGTGTTCCGTAAAAAAAAAAATTTCCGTGTTCCGTGTTCCGTGTTCCGTAGAAATACGTTTTTTCCGTTTTCCGTGTTCCGTGTTCCGTAAAAAAAAAATTTTCCGTTTTCCGTGTTCCGTGTTCCGTAGAGTAAAATTTTTATTCCCAATATCTCTGGTGCACACTAGCGTATCTTTCAGAAAGTGGAGCCGATGCTCTACAATAAAGGAGAAGGCGCAATGCTGCCACTCTCGGATATTATGGCGCAACGACACAAAGAGCGTACCGGAAACCCGTTCGTGGTGGCGACGCCGTCCACAGAACGACGCTTCATCTGCTGGCATCTGAACTGTCGCGGCGCGGTCGGAGAGACCCTCCTGCACACGTGCTTCCTCTCCGGACTGCCGAAACACATGAAGCTGCTGGCCGAGCGGCTCATTGCAATCTTTCCGAAAATCATCAACGACTTCTATCTGAGCGACGAGTACTACGGCGAAACCGTACTCCACATGGGAATCGTGTCGGAGAACGCCGAAATTGTGCGCTACCTGCTCAAAAGTGGAGCGGATGTGCACGCGAGGTGCTCGGGCAACTTTTTCACGTGCGACGATCAGAAAGGATCGAGAGCCGACCATCCGGAGGTCGAACACGCAATCATCAGCAAGCACACCAAGTATCCCGGGTGAGTAGGAGTACTGTAGCGTTAGGAGACGTGCTGGCGCTTCTGAATTTTGTTTTCTGAAATCTCGACGTCTAGTACTATGTTTTTGTAGTTGACACTTGTTTAGTAGGACCACTGCCTGGAGTACTGTAGCTCCTGGAAGTTGGCACTACTTCTCTTAACTTTTAAGCGCTATAGTGGGCTTGGGAGCAGTTGTAGAAAGAAGTTGTCAACTACAAAAATGTCACGCGTAGTTTGAACTTTGTTTTTGCAGTTAAAGACGTTTCTGTAAAACTGCTCCTAAAAGCACTATCAGGCTTTAAAGTTGCGACTACTTTTCAAGACACCCGGCATACCCTGACTTTGAAGAGCTACAGTACTCTAGAAAGTGCTCGTACAAAAGGATTGTCAACTATCAAAAGATAGTACTAGACGTCAATATTTCATCGAAAAATTTGTAGAACAATACAACGCTTTCCAACTATTTTTCAGTCACATTTACTGGGGCGAATATCCGCTCTCGTTCGCCGCGTGCCTCACGCAACCCGAGTGTTTCCGGATGCTCGTGGCTCACGGAGCAGACGTGAATGCGGCCGACACAAATGGAAATACCATTCTGCACATTTGTACGATTCACGAGAATTGGGTCAGTTTCAGAAATTTGTGATATCCAAAAGTTGCCGTACTTTCAAAAGGAAACGGAAAACGGACAACTTTGAAAGGTTACTGTAGCCTCAGGAGATGTCCTATGATTCTGAAATTTATTTTTGTGGAATCTTCATGTCTAGTAGAATATTTTTGTAGTTGGCACCTTTTTTGTACGACCACTTCCTGGAGTAGCGTAGATTTTGGATGTTAGAACTGCTCAAGGGCCTTTAAAAATGATACCAACTTCCAAGAGCTACAGTAACTCGGGAAGAAGCTGTACAAAAAAGTGGTCAACTGCAAAAATAGTGTACTAGACATGAAGATTACATTAATAACGGTGAGCATGCCTAACAAACATCGTTTAATGCTACAGTACCCCCTCAAAGTTGAACTGGAAAAAGGAGATGTTCTTTAGGAGATGTTCAAGTTGGCTCTGACGCTCGGCGCCGATCTTCACATTCAAAATCGTCAAAATTTGACGCCGTTAACTTTGGCGGCGTTTTTGGCCAAAAAAGAGGTATCCACAATAGTCCCGAAGCCGAAAACGTCTGAATTGTGTCCGTCAGATGATGCAAAAGATAGTGGAAGAGGAGCGGACTGTGAATTGGTCGTACGGACGGACCCAATCGGCCGCCTATCCGCTGGAACACGTGGATTCGATCGAGCCGACCAGCGGGAACATCAATCAGAAATCCGTGTTGACAATCGCGGTTTACGGCGAGAAAGCCGAGCATTTGTCACTTTTACCGCATCTTTTGGAGCAATTGGTGCACCACAAATGGATAGCCTACGGACGGAAAACGTGCGGAAATTATCTGCACAATATCAGGAACAACAATACGCATTTTTCAGTCTGTTCGCCCAACTCTTCATGTTTTGCATTTATTTCGTGTGCGTCACCGCGTGCTTCTTGCTCCGACCGAGTCCGTTCGAGCGGAAACAGCACATCGCCAACGATTTGATCTGTTTTTATGATTTCGCCGAAAGGAACTTCAATGAATCGGCAATCTCGACTATTGTAAGTGGGTCTGTACGATGCTCCAGAATTTTTAACTTTGACTGGATACTTAAAGGGTAGTTCTAACTTCCAAAAGCTACAAAAAAGTTGTCGAATTACAAAAATGACGAGCAAACCATGAAGATTTGCTTAGCCAATTTTGAGGTTGATTTACAGTACCCTTACAAAATTGACACTTACCGTTTACTGCAAACTTCCCGTCACTTTTTGCATCGCAGCAGTTCTTCCAGATCTACCACCTTCTGCATTTGATCTGCGTGGCGGGCGCGACGCTCTACCTAATCCAAGCGCTACTCCACATCAAAAACGTCGGCTACCACCTGTACATTCTGGGCCTTTCGGGCTTTCCGGCCAAAGCCATCTTCCTCTTCTCGTGCCTTCTGATGGTCTCCACCTTCTTCCTTCGCGTCTTCTGTCTCGACGAGGCCGAGGACATTGTCTGGATCGTCATCGTCCTTCTCACTTCCCTCAAATTTCTCTTCTTTTGTCGGTGAGAGTCTGCGTGCCCACAAATCTCTGCCCACTTCTTGCTTGCAGTGGCTTCAAATCGGTCGGACCGTTCGTCCTGATGCTCTACAAAATAATAATTCGCGATCTGATGCGCTTCTTCCTCATTTATCTCGTCATCGTCGTCGGATTCTCGCAGGCGTTCTACGTCATCTTCCTCGGATACAAACGCTCGGATGTGGAGAATCGCGAGAAGAGTATTATGAATAATGTGGCCGAGAGCTACGTGCGAATGTTCATCATGTCGCTCACCGAGTTCACCGTCTTCTTCGAGCAGTTGGAGGAGTGCGAGCACACTGTTATCGGAAAGGTATTCTCTAAAAGTGCGCCACGCGTTGGTTGACTCGAAAACCCAGTGAAATTTTAAAGTTCGCCAAACCGCTAACGCACTTTCGAATGCTCACCAAAAGTGTGTCAAAACTGTGCATTTCCAGATAACTTTTGTGGTGTACATGCTTCTGGTGACCCTGCTGCTCATCAATATGCTCATTGCGATGATGACTAACACGTACACGGAGGTGTCGGGCAACTCTTTGGAGTGGCTCCGTCAGTGGTCGGCCATAATTTTGATGATGGAGCAGAGCTTCGACCCGGCCACCCGCCTACGCTATCAACGCAGATACGGTATCCGCTTCGACGGCGGAGAGAAACTCGTACTGCTGCTCAAGGACAAAATGACGGTATGTGGGGGAAAAGCACATTTGAAAGTGAGCGAATTTGTAGGAAGAGGAATTCGAATCGAGACGGAAGAAAATGCACGAGGATCGGAGGAGGTTCAGGGAGGAGTTGAGGACCAACCAGAGAAGGAGGCCCGCTTTCATTTGCAAACAAGGGGCCAACTACTTTAAACCGAAGCACAGACAGGCACACAGCAAACCATCCACTGCTCCAGTTCCAGTATGAAATAAGGTCAATATAAGTCTGTCAATTTTAATGCATACATCCAAAAGAGTACATGTGGACAGGTTTTATGATGCTATGACGATTAGAATCGAGCATGTAAAGTTGTAGTCTATGAGTTGGCAACCAATAGGGGATCTAACAAGAAAATTATGTTTCTAGGTGGAATAGTTTTACAAAAATGAGCCTAGACATATACAAAAATAACTTTGGGGATAAGGGGTAAAACAATGATGGATGGCGTGTAAAACAAAAGAAATTTTTACTATAAAAAGGATATGGAGACAAGAATAGCTAAAAACAGGTTAGAGTGTAGGAAAAGGATGCATTACAAACAATTTACAATCATTCCGCTTAGGCCCAGAAGTTCCTCTTTTGGATGGTCATCGCGTTCATCTCATCTGAGATCTCCGTTATGATGGCAGACGCTAGCTCCTCGCGCATCTTGTCGTCGATGTAGTCCGCGTGCTTCTTCAGCACACGCTGCTCGACTTCCTGCAGGCTAACCTCCCTCCTGTAATAACATTCATCAGTTCAATGCTTCAAAACAAGCTTGAACTCACTCATGAACCTTCCAGTTGTTTCGTCCTCTCTTGGCGAGGTTTTCAGCAGCGTAGAGGATATCCGGCACACTCGGTGGTTGGTACGAGACTTGATGTCCGAAGGCGCGGAAATACGTGAGGTGCATGATCTCGTTCTTGCTCCACTTCGGATCGTTCACCAGGATAGTGTATTTGCACGGACGAACTGTTCCCTGAATTAGAAAATGATTTAAAAATGACTGAAAGCAATGAACAACTCACGATAAGTGGCGTTTGCGAGACGAGAATAAACTCTTCGACTCCGACGGATGTTATGACGTTGTCGATCGCCGTTCCCGAGCAGACGTTTTGCTCTATCGCCTTGCCTCCCCTAATAGATGCCGGGAAAATTCGAGTATGAGAGTTTCTTTGAGCAATGATGACAACCAGCTCTGGACGGTAGCCTGGCTGAACAGTGTCGAACGAAGAACGAATTTCATCCACTTCCTCCTTGACGCGTCGGAAGTCTCCTTCTCCTACTCCGACTCTGTAGATGACGATCTTTGAGGGAAGTCTCTTCGTGTCCTCGTTGTACGCTTTCAGGCACACCGGGAACTTCTCCGCAAGCTTCTGAAGTTTGTACTCGCGCTGAGTCTGCAAATAAGTAAATCCTCCGAGCTGAGTCGAGCTTGTCAACGAATAGGCGACTCCGACGACCGATGGTTCTCCGTCCATCTGCGAACGCATACGATCGTAGAGTGTGCGCGAGGATCCATGCGTGATTTCGAATCCAACAAACATTGTGTGCTCGAGCAGCTTCTGTCTGACAGCCGATGCATTGGTGACGACGCTCTTTCCATGAATGTCGCTCGGAATGTCAACGTGGAAGTTGACTCCTCCGCACTTCAAGTTGAACTTGCGCATCACATTGTCGATTGTCTGACGTCCTCCTTGCTCGTTGAGCATTTTCATCGCAGTTTGTGAGCACAGCTGGATTGTCTGCATTCCGACAATTTCCTCGTAGTACTTGAGGATGTCGTGGACGTCTGGCTTTTTGTCGCGCGCAATTCCCACCAGAATTGTCTCCTTATCTCGGATGCACTTTTCCATTCGGCTTTTGATGTCGACCTTGTCGTGCGAGTTCATTTCCCTGATCGACCAGTCTTCACTTTTCTTCTCAACGATGATTCCATTGCTGCGACAGTGACGGTACAACGCGTCACAGAAGTCTCTGAAAAGAAACGATAATCTTCTGAATGTAAACATAAAAAGCTTACTCTGCCTGACGCTTCTCGAGAGCTCGATCAAAAATGGCGACCATGACGCTGTGTACACGAGCGGGTTGGACAAAACGGGCCTGAGTACGGAACTGCACGCGTCCCATATCCGGCACGTACTCCTGGTTACTGAACTTGCACTTCGCCGGCGGAAGAAGTCTCGCTCTCATGTGGACCGGTTTGGTCGAGTCGAGCTCGACTCCGAACGCCTCCATGTACTCGCTTCTTTCCAGACGGAGACTGTCACGGAGAATACTCTGGATGAGCTCCACGTGTCTGCTAGGCAACGAGGAATTGCGTCCGGTCATCATTGACTGAACGTTGGCCGTCATCTTTTGGATTTTGATGCGTTGTCCGGGCAGAATTCTGAGCACTTCCATAGGGTAGTAGCAGATACTCTTGAATCTCTTGACGAAAACGAGCAGCATGCGTGGGTACTTCAGGCGGTAGTTGTACTGCTCGAGGAAGTAATCGGCGACAGAGATCTCTCGCTCCTCTTCTGTGTCCTTGTCTTTGAACATGAAAACCGTGCTGAAAATGGTAAATTTATGACAACTCCTAAGAAATTGAACTTACTTTTCAGCGTTCCCGTCATGGATTCCAGCAATGAGAACAATACAGTTAGACTCTTTCGACATGTGTGTCGCTTCAACGTAAAGTCCCTTCATTGCGGCCTCCATATTGTTTCTGACCATCTTGTTCTGCCCGATCACTTCCTCCACTTCTTTCAATTCGCTCGCGTTGTAATCCGTTCCCGAATCGCCGTCACCACGACGTGGATCATAGCGATCGTCGCGCCGTCCTCCGTCATACCCACGGCCTCTGTTCTCATCACGACCGCCTCCTACGTCGCTTCCACGACGGTCATATCCTCCACGACGGTCTCTCGAGTCACTTCGGCCACCGTATCCTCCACGACTATCTCTCGAGTTACTGCGATCATTGTAACCGCCACGACCTCCACCGCCTCCACCGGGTCCTCTCTTCAGATCCTGGTAGCGAGAAATAAGGAACTTGAGGAGAGAGCACGCCTTGTAGAATGGAGACAGCTTCGTGTCAATTGTCATGAGCACCTCCACTCCCTTTCCGTTTCTTCCCTCGACGACGCGAGCCACTTTGGCGTATCCTGGACGGATTTCCGAGACTGGATCCGGTTCAGAGACGGGCTCTTGAAGCAACGAGAACGTAGAGTTTCCGAATTGGAGATTCTCTTCGATCTTCAGGGTCGACGAAGTCAGGCACTCCATGAATCGAGTCAGCTCCATTCGATTTGCCTCCGTCTTGAGCTCGGGTCCCTGAGTGTGGACGTGTCCCGTCTTCGAGATTTTGATGGTGAAGCAGCAGTTTTTTTTGCGAATGATTTTGGACACAACGTTCCATTCCTGCGGATTAAACGCTCCTGGCTCCATCTGGTACTCATACGTCTCCTCTCCTCCTTGATAGACGATGTCGGGCATGTACAGAGTCGCGGCGCCGTCGTAAACCACAAAACTGCGATCACGACCGGCAAAGAGCTTTTTATTGAGCTCGAAGAATTTGTTGAAAATCGTTGTTTGAGCAGAGCGACGGTTGTGCGCGTTTACACTGAAAAAAGAAAGTCACTTCCGATACACGGCACTTTTCAACGTACTCTCCGGACACACCAACGAGACCGTCATTCAAATCGAAAGACTTCCCATTCTTGAAGTGAAGCGTGACCTCGAAACGGGCACGTGTCAGACGGAGCGGCATCTTGGTAAGCACCAGAGCGAACATGTTTGTCTGAACCTCCTGAGTGTTGATCAGCGCAAACGTTTCACGTCCTGGCGCCGGCTGGCTCGGAGAAGCAAAGACGCCTAAAAACAAATTATGTGCATAGATATACATTTCAAATGATTGAAACTCACTATCTCCAGTCGCGCCTCTCTTGCTGACGGGCTCATCCCTGCTCCGATCGCGCAAGTCTCTTTTCGGAATTCGGCTGGAAGAGGAGCTCGATCTGTGAACGCTGCTGGAGCTGCCCCTTCGAACACTGCCCACGGAACTCATAGAGCTCATAATCTTGTCAAACGGATCCGACATTTTGGTCTACGTATTAATTACTGAAAAACTCGCATTATGACAAAAAGCGGAAAGAATTCGCAATTTTTAGGAAACGAGCGCGAAAGCCGGAGAAATTCGCCCAAATTTACAAGATTTTTTCAAATTTGAATGCGGTCGGGAACACATAAGACGAGCTCTGCCGAAACCGACAAAAAAGGGTCGCCGTTACCACGAAACCAAAAAAATGTGCGTGGAATTGTCAAAATCTACTGCGCTATCACAATTCGAATGAATTCGGCACAAAAATTTCAGAACTTAGAGCTGAAAATCGCTGAAATCCGAACGATTCTGGAAAGTCCCATGAAAAAGAAAAGTGTCCGTTGGCGCGGCGCTGGTCTCGTAGCGAAAACACAGATTACGGTACCTGCATATCAGCAGTGAACTTTTGCGGTGGCGGCTATTTTAGACATAGAAAAGATGCAATTTCTACTCGGTTTTTTCCTGTCTTTCGGTAATTTTAGGACAGCAGACAAGATTCTTTTAAAAAGTTTGTCCAGCGACCATCTCTTCGTCATTTTCGAATTCAGTGGATTCATGGAATCTGGAGCGAAAAATATTCGCCGAGCAGGCGAATATTGCGAATATGAACGAGCTGGTGAGGAAATTTAGAGCGGAATTTTGGAGCATCGGATAACGTTTAGGTTTGGGACGTGAAATTGGCCGAAAAAGCGGCGAAAATGAAGTGCGACGAGTTGCGGCACGGCGGAGATTATCGGGTTTTTCGGGCCGGTGACCAAAATGGACGGAGCCCTGAGCAACTGGCGAAAGAGCTCGACCGAAATGGAAAAGACGTGCTTGGCTCTGATTTCGAGCCGTTTAATCCGATTCAGACGAGAATTGGATGTGGCCGGAAGACGGATTGCGAGATTTGTCTGATCGGACCCATGTGAGTCTCTTCGTTTTCTTTTTCAAAATGAAGTCAATTCCAGCAATATCCTGTACAAATCGGACTTCAAACGAGGTGCGACGGGTTCTTCATGCGAGCACGGACGTGCCGGGACCGTCGGATTGTGCCACGGATCTCCGGTGAGCACGACGGGACCGCCGATCGAGGCGCCGGGTCTCATTTCGGCCGAAACCATCGTCAAGTGCCTTTTTCTGTTCGTCGGCTTTTATTTCGCCTAGCGAATAAACGATTTGTGTGCTTTTCTGCAATTTCGCGTCACGTCGTAAAACTCTGCGAATTGACAAGAATGACATTTGTTGCTGAACTAGTTGACCATGCCGAGAACACGGGGCGCGTGAACGACGACGATCTGAAAACGAGTGATGTATGTTTTCTTCTCCCAAAAAAAAAAATCAGCTGCTGACGACGCATGAGCATTCTGGCCAAAAGAAAGGAGAGAAAACCTACATCCGAAATCGTAAATCCTTCAATTCCTTATCACTCTTTTTCCGAATCCACTTGGCACGGTGCCGTGATGTTTCGAAATCCCAATTGTTCTTTCCCAACAGGACCCTTTGTCGGCGACCTTATCACTAATCTCCAAAAAAAATTTTCAAATCTCGAATGTCAAACTTTTCCACCATTGATGGAGCCGCACCACTTGTCACGGCTCTCTCAGACCTTATCAGATAAGATAATCATTTTCAGGACAACCTTCCGAGCCGCCTCTATTCCTTGTCTCCTTCGTAAAATCGCTTGCCGGCGCGCGGCGGCCGCTTTAAATGTTGTGTGCAGAGTTGAGCGGAAATGGAATTTTGAAATCCGGAAGACGGCAGACGGCAGACGGAAGAAAACTTTTTTCCCGGAAGACGGCAGACGGAAGACGGAACAAAAAAATCGTCAATGCAGAACCTTTTTTTCCAGTTTTTTTTTAAATAACTAAAGCAACAAAAATTTTGGATCTGGGTCACTGCCCGTGGAAATTCACTTTCTTCGGGGCTAGTAAATGGCTTCTGAAAAGCTATTACTCTTTTACGGTAAGAAGAAAAAATTCCGGAAGACGGCAGACGGCAGACGGAAGACGGAACAAAAAAATCCACGGAAGACGGAAGACGGCAGACGGAAGAAACATTTTTTTACGGAAGACGGCAGACGGAAGACGGAACAAAAAAATCCACGGAAGACGGAAGACGGAATTCCGCTCAACTCTGGTTGTGTGCTGTGGTGAGGCCGCTCGTTCTCGCCGTCCCTCGGACGTGTCGGTTGCGCGCACTGTTGAAGAGCGGCGACGCAGCGCTAGCGTCGGTTTAATTACCCAAGTTTGAGGTGCGAACCTGGGAATGACCTAAAGAAATTTAGCGTCAGCTTTCTAATTTTGGAACGTCTCCTTTAGGGGAGACAAAGTAACTAAAAGTTGAAAAATCGGATGTGATTTGATGGAGTTATGCCAATTATTTGGGATCCGGGCTGGGATTTTACGTTTACGGTGGTTTTTTTTAATTTTTTTTTTGTGATAAAAGTGATCTATTACTTTTCTACTATTTTTCTAAAATCAGAAATGCCTGATTAGGCATCAAAAGATACCGAAATGTTCAAAAAACGATAGGGACTATAGAAAAGTTCGAATTATATTGAATTGTATGCTACGTTTCATTTCCTGACAGAAACAGGATTTTACAGATCTAACGGTGAAATTTTGTGGATTTTACGTCTTCTTGAAACCGTAAATTTACGTTTTTACAGATCCGTAAAAATAAAATTTTACGCCAGTTGGCCACGTGATCACGCAAATTGATTTCAAGTAAAAGTATGTAGATGCAATTATTTGAGTTTCGCGCCTAAAATTGCTCTTTTCCCTGCAATGCTCGGATCAAAACATTCCGATCCGCATCGTATGACTTGTCTTTTTCTCCTTCTAATCAACGAACACATGTGATAGCGGGGTGATCGCGGGGAGAAGATATCTCGATGCGAAAGCAAAAAACGACGAGCTGATCGGAATTTGAGCAATTTCTCGCTCTCTCTCTCTCTCGTTTTTCCGATGGAATTTGCGAGTTTACAAACTTGATGACAGCCCCCCGGAAGCTGGCAAAAAACAAGTGAGGAGGGCCGCTGGAATGTCGGCATTTCGAAATGTTTTGAGTGGAAACGAGAGGAATGAGTCAGAAGGATTAATGTAGCTTACTGGTTTCCATTAAATCGTACCTATTTTTGAATGTTTCAGACCACGCCGATCTTGAAACTGTCGAGGTGGTCCCTACCGGTTGGACCCGCAAAACCTGAACATTTTTTTCAATTTTTGTCATTGGTCCCATAAGTTAGACCCAATTTTCACAAGATTCTTGACAATTCAAGTATTTCGGGCTTATCTACGGCCCAAAAGTCCGCATTTTTCTGCAAACAGCCATGTAATTCAATGACGCGCCGGGCACAGTTGCAACATGATCCTCTTATGACGTTCCTCTCTCTCTCTCTCTCTCTCTCTCTCTCTCTTTCTCTTTCTTCATTACTATTACTCTTTCTTGTGTCCTGCTCGAAAAGTGATAACAAAAGGTCTCCGAGTCCCGCCCGTCGGAGCCAAGAGAGAGAGAGAGAGAGAGAGGAAGAAGGACAACTGTCGCATTCCTCGCATTCCTTCTCCTTCTCCTTCTCTCTCTCTCTCTCTCTCTCTCTCTCTCTCTCTCAATTTCCGAGTGTGTGACCCCTCGGAGTTCAGGGGCCACGCCCCATTTTGCTTTTTGTGAGAAGAGCACAATATCCGGATGGAACCGGACAGTCGGTCAGCCGGCTCTTTTATATATTCTTCGATAAACTTATTGATAACCGGAACCTAAAGCCTGAACGCCATAACTTCTAGGGACCACCAATGTTCTGAACTTTCTAGAAACTTTTCTTCGATTAATTTTGATATATTCTCGAATCGAACCTGAAAAGCCAAGCCCAACTCTCAGAAAGGTCCCAGAAAGTTGACAGGTCCAAATTTTTGGCTGGAAAATGGAAAATGACTCTGTGAGGCCTTTTTTAGTAGTTGAATTTGAATTTTCTCGAAAACTAGCTGGTCCCAGTGGTTCCCATCGTGTTTTTTGACATCTAGGACCACAATAAAACCGTTTTGAAGCAAAAACTGCGAAAAAACATTTCTCGAAAATTTTCAGAAATCCGAAAAAAAAATTTGTTCGCGTTTTTGCTTCTAAACGGTCCAACGTGTCCTCACGTTGATAAAAAACACTATGTGAGCCAGTGGGACCGGCTCATTTTAGAGCAAGCCCCTTTTTTTTTGTTGAAAATTTCAATTTCTTATCGAAATTCTTATCGCAAAAAGTGTTTTCATGTTTTCAAAAGTTATCCGGACCATGTAGGACCAACTTTCGGTCCTTAGCAGTTGGAGGAGGACCACTTGAGGCTTCTCTAGCCCAAAATGGCACCTCACCCATTCCCTGGGGACTCTCTAGGTATCCGTGCCCAAAAATCGTCTTTTGAACCAAAACAAAAAACACAAACAAAAGCGTTTGGTCCGTTTCGGATTGATGCGCATTGTCCCCCCGTGGGACCGCCCGTCTCCGGTCCCGTTTCTGCCACTTTGAGCTCTTTTTTTCGTCGTTTTCGCACAATATCCGTCGGACGGCTTCCAGATGCTCAAACTCTTGCTGCCACTCATCGCCAGTCTTCAACTGTGTTCGGCGTTCCACGTGGCGCCGATCGCCTACTCGATTCTGTCGGAAAACTCGGAAACTGTCGTGGATTTGACGAAAAAGTCGGAGAAACGGTGAGCATGAAAATCGTATTTATTCGGCTCGCCTAGCCCTGTAGCCCCACATTTTGAAAGTTTTGAAATCTTTTTTTCCTGAAGAGCCTGAGCCTGAGCCCCCAATAGTTTTTTGCAGATTCTACTTGCACATCAGCAACGAGCTCTCCCCCTTCTTCCTGTATTTAACGCCGTGCGGCGCCGCCGTTCACTGGCAGCTCTTCTCGATCGACCGGGAAATTGAAGTGAGCGAAGAGTTGGACTTGATTTCGGATCTCTCGGTGCCGCTCGATCAGTCTGAAAAGTTTCGTCTGGTTGCCGGCGAGGACGACAAGAAACGAATGACATTTTTCGCGCATCGACTCCCTAAAAGTACGTTTTTAAGTCTTCAAGCTGCATGAAAATGTACTACAGAGCAGGCCCTAAGAATGATATATTGTCCATTTCCAGAAGTGGTCCTGGTCGTTCGTTCCGCCTCCGCTTCCGCGTCCGTCCGCGTCTTCTTCTCCCCTTCCCTTTTCCGCGTCGAAGATCAATATCCTGCGCTTCCGCACGACGTCCGTCTCGCCGCGCACGTCATCGAAGAGCACCGAAAGGACGAAGTTTCGGCGCAAATCACGTGGAAGATTGCGGGTCAGGTGCGCGCGGCGGTCGCCAACCGATACCGTATCTGCACGATCATTTCGCGGCGCGACCCGGCGCCCACAATGTGCGACCACGTGGAAGAGGGCGTCGAGACGGTGAAATGTGTGCCGCAGACGAACAATTCGGTGGTGATCGACGAGTTGCGCCGCGACCGCACCTACTTTGTCACCGTATTCATTCGGGACCGTTTGCGCGGAACCTCTTCGGTGTACGAGCCGCAAACGCTGCAGACCACTGCGTTGACGACGCGAAAAGTTGCGCGCAATGTGCCGCGAAAGCAGAAAAAGTCGGCGCCGCGTCAAATTGTGAACGGACAATTGCAACATGTGGAACTGCACGCACAGAAGGGCAATTTTGTCAATCTTCGATTTGTCGTTCCAAACCTGCCGGAGAGTGCTGGAAATGGCACGCAATCGGTGAGTAGACATCGGTTTAAAATTCTCCAGGAATTCTCAATTTCTCCCCGAGCTCCAAAGAGCCTAAGCCCGATCCTAGACATTACGGGGCTCAAATCTTTCCCAGCAACTCAAATTTCCAACTAGCTTTTCGGGATTGACGCACACAAACTTGACACCGCACCTTGTTTCGATGCTATTTCCGTCCGTCTTCCCGAAATAACTTTACTAGCCACCCCGATTGACGTCATCACCGGCGACAACTGACCCACACACACACACATTCCTATCTCTTCTCCGCTCATTTTTCACACAACTTCTTGCTCTCTTCTTGCAGGCGATGCTCATTGTGCACGCGTGCGACGGCCTCGTCCGAATCAACTTGTATCGGAACGGAAAAGTGCTGAAACGAAGTGACGCGTTCTCCGGATTCCGACGATTCGTCGTCACGAACATCCGCAACGGACACCTCCGATTCCAGATTATCAACGACGACGAAGCGGCGAAAAGTGTGCGGGTGTGGGCGAGCACCGACCTCTCCACGTCGCCATATCCCAATCTTCCGGATGATACTAGGTTTTGAAAATTTCCCCTCCCCCCCCGCCCAAAAAACTTTACCCTTTCCCTTTGCAGTGTGAAAATCGTCGACCGCACGTGCTCGTCGGCGTCGATTCAATGGCTGCGCGCGCACGACAGCCACGTCAAGTATTGTGTGTATCGGCGTCGCGAGAACTCGAACTTTTTGGAGCAGTTGGTCAGTCTGGTGAGTATTTTTTGTTTGGGGCTCAAGCGATTGCAAATCATTTGGAGGTTTCAAAAACGACGGAATTTTCAGGCGGATAACCTTTGCGAAGGAGGACTGTCCTCCTCCACTCTGGTCGGCTGCTACACCCACTCATCGAGCACCTCCGAAGACGAAGACGCGCAGTCTCTGATCGAGACGACCGTCGGGGGACTACTTCCGGCCTCCACGTACCGATTGGACCTTCTGGCCACCCCACTGGACCGTCCCAACGCCCAAGCGCTTCCGTACCGTACTATTTGGGTTCGCACGAATCGAGTTTGCGTCGACGAACACTGATTTTAAGTAGACTGATCATATCTCAATGTAAATTTACGGGTTTTGAAACTGGCTAGAGCTCATAGATTTTGTATTCTTCCCTTGTCGATTGTACGGTTAATTACATTTGAAATTCCGGGTATACACTCAATAAATGTTCATTCTTACAACGTAATTATTTCATGTGAAATCATCGAGAAAAACAAGAAGCAAAAGATCCTTTTTTATAAAACTGAAACTACAGGAAGAGGGGTTGACTAGAAATCAGGGATGGGCAGAAGGCCGGCCCAGCCAAAACTTTGCGGGCTTTTTGGATTTGGCTTGAATAATAGTGGGCCCAAGTTTCAGACCAATTGGATCATCCGGTCACGAGATTCTAGTCCAAAAAGCTTGCAAAGTTTGGGACCGATAGGATTATTGATTATTGCAAGTGGTCCAAGAGTCTGGGCCTTTTGCCAATCCCTGCTAAAACCATAATATCTATTATTTTTCGGAGCTCACTGCCCACCACGAGCCGCAGCAGCCTTTCCTTTCCCGTTTCCGTGGTTCGGCGCGGCTCTCGGAACACACATTTGCGAGTACATTGAGATTTGCGCCAATTGCTGGTAGGCCATGTACTGTTGGAGCATCGGATTCACTTGGAAATGGACTACTTGCTGCGTGGGCGGCGGCGGAGCCACTGGGGCCGTCGGCGCTTTGGCGCTCGGCGGAAGAGGAGCAAGAGGAGCCGCTGGCGGAGATGACGTGGCTCTTTTGGAGGTTCGCAGCGATTCGATGTACTCGACCGTCATCTCCAGAATGTCCGCCTTCTCCCATTTCGAGTGTTGGTTGCGGTTCTGAAAGCATTTGGGTTTGCGTTTGATTTTTTCACGTCATTCCATTCCTCATTTATCCAATATCCAATGACATTAATAACATTGTGAACTTTGAAAGTTCAGCTCGGATTAATCTCCCCTCTCCCCTCTCTCTTCAACAAATTATTTCCAATACCGATACTCTTTCTGATTCGCAGTAGATTTTCGGACAAAAAAACTTCGGATCATTCGAAATGGTTTTCTTGAAGTCGGGCCCCGAAAACAAGGACAGTACTCAAACGGCCGAATTAATCAAGAACAACAACAATCAGGAGCTGCGTCTCGAGCCAACCGACACTGGATTATTGAGCGACGTCAGCAGGGACCTACTTTCTGAGGGCTACGACACGACCGGTCCTATGCCCGAAATAGTGTGCACTTCCGCGCGGGAAAGGTTTGACGATGTGAGTTTTTGTTCTGTGTCGAAATTGTGAAATTGTTCGGGGAAACAGCGCATTTTATAATTGAGTCGCTGCCTAATTTTAGTGCTCAATCTGCGATTTTCTCGTTTTAAAGTCATAAAATATCACAGAAATGAGAGTTTTTCATCATTATTTTCAGGAAATCATACGGACGTCGCTTCAGTTCTGTCCTTGGTACCACGGGATGATGTTCAGCAATGTGACCAAAAGTATTCTCAAGTGGGACAATTCGTACCTGGTGCGTCGAGCCATCATCAAGCAAACCAACAAAATGCTGTGTCTATCGTTGAAAGTCGACGAAAAATTGTTTCATTATCAATTGATTTGCGATGGAGAGGGATGGACTTGTCCAAAGGTATCTTTCAGCAAAACTGACTGAGCAATGCAATTCAAAGACGTCAATGTGTTTAGCTATACGAAAAGTTTCCTCAAATGGAATCGAAGAAATACGCGCACCTCATCCAATTGCTCGATGCGTGGTCTCTCATCACCAACCACATTGTGCCCGTACCTCGCTCCAAAATTGTGCTCTATCATGAGAGCATCAATCTGATACACAAACTCGGCTCCGGTGCTTTCGGCGAAGTTTTCAAAGCCTCGTTTTTACCCAAAGACGCGACGGAAGTGGTCGAAGTGGCTGTGAAAAGGACGCTGGGAGAAGCGAAAAGGGAGCACATTCAGGAGATGTGCCACGTGAGCAGGATTACTGTCGCTCCGATTTGATTACTTTAGTTTAGGAGGCTCGAGTGATGGGCATCCTCAATCATCTCAACGTGGTCGCCTTGTACGGAATCGCCTCGCTTCAACTGCCGATGATGTTGGTGATGGAGCTGGTGACGGGAGGAGATCTCAAGGTTACTCTACTTCGCGTCGCTACCGTAACCCTTTTGCATGCTTCAGAAGTACCTGCAGACGACTGCGAACATTCCGAACAAGCAAATATTCTCGTTCGCCCTCGACATTGCGCGTGGAATGAGTCATTTGGCGAAACAAAAAGTGATCCATCGAGATTTGGCCGCCCGAAACTGTCTGATCACTCCCACGCTCTTGTGCAAAATCTCGGATTTCGGACTCTCGGTCATCGGCACAGAAATGGTTGTGAAGAGTTTGAAAAAAGCGCCGAAGCGATGGCTGGCGCCGGAAACGTTCAACAAAGGCATCTTCAACGAGAAGACGGACGTGTGGAGCTACGGAGTTGTGCTCACGGAGCTCATGACTCGATGCGCCCATGATCCATTGCATCCGATGGGTTTGAAAGAGGCCGAGAAGTGGATCAAAGACGAAGAGAACCCGCATCGAATCGATCACGGAGAGCCTCGCGAACTGGCCATGTTGGTGGATTGTTGCTGTGCAAAGGTTTGCCTTCTTTTTTTAGAAAACCTTGATAATTTGTGTAATTTTCAGCTTCCGGAGAAGAGATTTACTTTTGCGTCGGTCAAACGACGCGTCGCCCAAATGTACGAGAGGAGCCTGAGTCCGAACGCAGCCAATCCGCTCGTGAAAATGCAAACGGCTCGAAGAGTGAGAGAATCGAAGCATCCACAAACTCTTCATTCTTTTTCAGGGAAAGACGCTGGAAGAGAAGCGGAGCCAAGGATTTTTGAACGGCCGAAAACCGTCGAAAACGACGTTGACGCGCAAAAAGTCAAAGGATCAGAAGCAGTGTACGAAGGGAATCGGATCGTTCCGAAGAGAAAAGTCGAAGGGCAAGCTGCCGGCGGGAATGATGCTCAATTCGCCGAACAAGTGAGCACCGAAGCAGGAAGGATTTGAACTTTTTCGTAATGAGTCACTGATGAAGGAGCAATAAAATATCGTGCTTTATGATTTCAGACCCAAATTTTGTGTAAAAAATGCGTACCCGCTGCTCGTCCTCCATCAGAATCGTTTTGAGAATTGCGAGTGAATGATTGATCCGCGCCCGTCGCTTTTTCTCCATCAACGGTTTGTTTTTCTGGAAATGTGTGAAATGTTCAGGAAAAAAAATGTGTTTTTTGTACCTTTCTTCGCTCGGTTTTCGTCATTCCAGAGTCCGAGTCGAATTCAGTGTCCGAGCTGACGACCGATGGCATTTCTGAATGTGTCGGCACGTGTAAGTACATAAACGGCATCGGTAAGTGTCAAAGATGAGCAAATACGGGATTAGGATGGTGTGCGAAACGTATTTGGAGAGGAGTTCTTCTTTTGGGCTCAAACTTTGCATCTCCAATAATGGCACGTCATTTCCAAAGCTCCAATAATTTGAACAAAAGTCATTGAGTCCCTTTGCAAATAAATCCGATGCTCTAACACTTTTGACCTTTCAAGAAGTGGGGAATCGAAAAAGGAGAGACGGCAATGAGCTCGCGGTCAGCAGGGGTTCAACCGATTTGAAGGAAGTGGCTCAAAAGTAGCGGAATCGTCGGAATTATGCATTTTTCAGAACTATTCACAGTTCAACTAGTTGGCGCCTATTTCAGAGACAGGTATCCAAACAGTTGGGACGGGGAGGCGACGCTGCACTGGGTACCGTGAGTCCGGAAAAAGAGACGGTCCCCGTCCCAAGCCGTTTGAATACCTGCGTCAGAGACAAATTTGAACAAGAAGCAACTTGAAAGCCGTACCGAAAAAGTGAAAAGACAATTTGGGCGCCCGAAAGAGTGACTCGTGGCGGTCGTGTGTCTTCGCCGATTGGCTGACAGCAAAGAGACGTCTCTCGCTCCCACCAATTCTACCGTAATCCCGCACCGATTTTCAGATCTTATCGACCGCCGTTTTTCTTCGTTTTTGAGGAAAACACCGGGGAACTGAGAGGATTACGGTAGAGCGCAAGGGTTTCGAATTTAAAAATCAGCACCTAGAAACGATGATTGGAAGTTAGCAAATTGCTGGAGCAAAAGAAGAAAAAGACAGAGAACAGGTGGTGAATGTTACTTTTTCTCGGCTTCTGAATGTTGCTACCTACATAAAAGTATAGATTTATGATAGATGTGAGCCAAATGAGTAGCTTTTTATTTTTGTCAAAGAAATATTGATTTTCGAGTTATTTTCAATTTGTTTAGGAAAACTGAGGATTCCTAGATTCTTAAAGTGTTTTTTAAAAATGATTTTCGGTCAGGAATGTATAAGGATTACTGTAGTAGTAATTTCGACAATTTAGACCTGTTTCCCAATGCTCTGGCACACAATTTTTTTCAAATAAGAATGCTACAAACTCCTGTCTACGCTTAAAACGACACAAATCATTCGTAGAATGCAGCGATCTTACGAGCGAGCTTCCCGGGGAAAATGACACAAAACCGGCGGGCTACAGTAATCCTAGAACCCCCAGATCGCACATAAATTCGCAAAATTATTCCAAAAAATGAGGGATCGCCGGGCGCCCAGATGCGTATCTGGTCCTTCTCCTACCGTACGCCGCCGGAAAATACCTCCCACGAAGGAAAAACGGGCGTTGGGCGGGCGCGTTTTTCGAAGACGACACGCGGCGGGAGGTCCGCAGCACGATCGATTAGGGTCATCAGTCAATTCACTGCGAAAAAGAGGTATTCATCAGAATCCGCGACCACCGAAAAGGGCCACCGAAACGGGAAGAACTCATCACTCTTCTTCTTGCTTGAAACGACGGATTTGAACGAATATTGTCGGATTCTACCGATTTTACCGGAAAATCGCAAGAATTTGGAGTGAAAAGTGCAGTGCAATTTGTAAAATTTTGTGATGTTCAGCTCAAAGTCAATCATTTTGCCCGGATACTCTAGCTTTTGAGAGTTGGGATCACTTTTGGCGTCGTGGATCCGTAATGTCCGTTTTTCCCCCCAGTGTTCCTCCTCCTCTTTTTTCGTTTTCGTCGATAAATCAGCTAAACGACGATAAAATTAGGCGAAAAGACATCGGAGGTACTTGTCATCTCAAGAGGCGATGCGAATCGAGAAAGAAATGGGAGCGTGTTGAGGTGAACGCGTAAATCAGATAATATTGGCAGAAGAAGAGTCACGACAACAAGGTGTCTGTGATTGCCATAAAAGGTCATACAAATTGGAAAAGAGACGACGGCGATCGCGTTCGCCGATACTGTTCGCAAACTTTCGCGTCACGTCATCAAGGGGTTTTAAGGTATCTCTACTGAAACATACTTTCGAATGAAACAGACAACTTGTAAAACACTAGTGGCAATCTCTGTTTATAAAACACTTATTATAACTCATTTTAAAACTATACTCACTAATAATAAAACATGAAGACGGGCTACAATGGCTAAAGCTACTACAATTCAGCACCATGCGACACAGAATTAGTATAGCTATATCAAGACTACATGGAATAGGAACGAGTAGAAGCGAGGCAGATAAAAAGTTTGTGTAAATAAGTGACGGACATGAAGAATTTAGGCGTTGACGCGCTTGTTGTAGAGGTCCTCGGTGAATTTGTAGGCGATCTCCTTGGTGAACTCCTCCAGTCGGGCACGTTCCGATCCGTTGATCTCGACTGGAAGTCCTTGCCTGAAAACATATTTTGCAAAAGGAAACAATCGTAGAAGGGATCCTCACGTCTTCTCGTTCCACAGAGCACGTCCTCTCTTCGCGTACTCGTTACCAATGTAGAGCGGAGTTGGCAGAGAAGTCGTCAGAGAGACGATTTGGTGGTGGAAGCACAGCGTGTAGGTCAGCTCCTCGAGTCTGTCCATCGATGCGTTGCAGTCATCGTAGAGCACCGTGTACAACGGACTCTTCGCAGATCCCTGGAGCGTTGTGTGCGAATTGAGGAAGAACTGCTTGCAAGCCGGATGGGTGACCGCGTGATCGAGAACGATTCCAGCCGGAATGTTCATTTCGGTTGGCTTCAGACCGGGATTGATCTGCAAACATTTATTTGAACCGCCTAATTCAACGCGTGTTCTCACGTGTTCCTGGAAGAATCGATACGAGTGATCTTTAGTCACGACAATGTAGATCAGTTTGGCATCTGGAGCAATGTCCCTGATGACTTCGCGAGCGAGCGGAATCTCATAGGCCAATATGGCTCCGTGCGATCCCTCCGAAGCCCCACTGCGGTAGATGATGATTCGCTTCGGGACAGAGTTGTTGCGGGACTTCCTGTAGAGATCCAACGAGTTTCTGACGACGTCTTCGATCGAAGCCATAGTCTGAAAACGCGTTATCAGGACAAAATTCTGAAAATGCAAACTTCTTGTCCGTTCGGAGCAAGGACAAAGTCCCCAGAGAATTCCTGGCTGGCTTTGGCGTTCGATCCGAACCCCACGATCAGTGGATTCAGGTATCCCTTTCCTTCGACCAAGTATTTCGTTCCCGGCGGCGGCGCAGACACTCCGACTCCGATGATGAGCTGTTCGTCGGACATGCTGAAGGCGGAACGAGGTGACATTCAAAAAATGATGCCTGTAAGGAAACGAACCTCTTCTTGTGGTCGACAACGGTGTAGTTGGCTCCTCCCAGCTTCAGGTTCGTCTTGTTGATGACATTCTCCAACGTCAGTCGCTTTCCGGCCCTGACAACAGAGATGGCCTTTGACATTTTCATGTCCTGGATGATCATCTCGCTGTTGCGTTCCAAGAACTTGAAACGCTCTGAAAACAAAGTTGTTTGTGAACACGCATAGCAGATAACTAACGATGGAGATGAGTGATCGAGTCATCCGTGATGACGAACACGAACTTGCACTTGCTTCTGATCGCAAATTGAAGCTTTTCATCAATTTTGTCTGGCGTGACGAGCGGGTATTCAGCCGGCGGGCCGACGGTGATTCCCTTCCTCTGGCAACACTCGACGAATTGCTGGATGAATCCTCTGGAAGCGGAAACAATTTTAGAAGCAACAAAATATCGTCACGAACTGCATATCGCCCGGTGAGAACTGCGAAGAACTGGTTCCGATGGCGTAGGCGGCCCAAACTTGTGGGAAATGGCACGGATTGATGTAGTTGTCCTGTGGGGAGCGCCACTTTCCGAGTTCCGAACGCGATGTCCGGGTGGCGTATTGCAGCTCCTTCGACTCAAACTCACGAGCCTTGGCCATCAATGGCTGCGGGTACACTTTCACTCCGAGTTCCTTCAGAAGCTCGTTCTCCTCGCATATGTTCGTGGCGTTCTTTCCTTGAACGATAAGATGCTGACGAACGTCTGGAAGAACGGCGCATTCCTTAGTCGTCTTCTGACTTTGCACGCTCGTTTGCTGTGGAATCGTGACACGCTGGCTTTTCGTGATAGTCATAAGTTCCGCCGGATAGTAGTTCTTGTTTCCGCGTTCCTTACAAATCAACAGATTTGAGTTCGGGTACCTGAACAGCATATCAAATATTGACGGAACCGGTAAACTAACTTAAGGGCGATATTGTACTTGTCCTGGAAGTACTGCTGCACAGTCACACTTCCTCCTTCTTTCAGCTCAAATCTCGCCTTCGCCGGAGAGTCGTGATGGATTCCCTCGATTTTGAGATGTCGGGTGCGTCCGGTGTAGTTCGAGAATATGTCCAATCCTTTGATGACCGCCCCCACACGATCTCGGTCCGCATCGGAAAGCCCAGCCGATGGATCTTTTCTCAGAATATCGTGAATTTTGTTCAACACCGGCTGCTCCTTGTGGAAAGCAGCCTTCATAGCGTCAATGACGACGGATGGGTTGTTTTGTCCACGTCCGAATGGTCCTTCGATGAACTGGACAGTCTTTTTGACTCCCGGAAACAGCGCTTTTCCGTCTCCGACGTCTATGCAATCCGCCGGACGGAATCCTTGGTTCGTCGGTTTCAGGAAGTACACCTTTCCATGTTCGAAGCATCCGAAATTCTCCGTCTCTCGTATGCACTTTTGATTGAGCGCAATCTCAAGAAATTGCGAGTAGGAGCGATTGTTGACTTCCAGATTTCCGTCGGCGGTGCGCTCGGCCAGAATCGGTCCCGAGATGGCCATCTTTCCACACTTTCCAGGGAAGATCTCGAGCTTGATGTGAGTCAGCGCCGCCAGATCCGCGTTCTTCGTATCGGCACCGTTGATTTCGATGATATGCGTCTTCGTAGGGCCAGTGAAGCCTTCGAAGATGTCGATGGTGGTGAAGAGGACGCTCTGGCCGTCGTAGACGATATGGTTCCCATGAGGCATCTTGAACAGGTCCGGATGCGTCTCGATGGCGTGGAAAAGGATGTCACAGCACTTCTCGTTGCGGTCCAGAACAACGTAGTCCTCTTTTCCCTTTTTGGTGAACACAGCCTCCTTGTTGGACGCCAAATCGGCTTTGGCGTGGACCACGTAATGGAAGAGCTCCGTCTGCTTGGTCACTTCGATTCCGAAGATGTTCGTCTGAACTTCAACGGTCTTTCCAGACTGGCCCGGAGCGCTGGGAGCCGGGTAGACGCGCCTGCCGTCTTCCACCTAAAACAAATAATGTTTAATCACAAAACGCTGAAAGTTAGTTATAGCTTACATTCAATTGTCTCAGACGCTTGATACACGCATCGTTGGCGTCCTTGTGCTGGCTCTCGTACAAATCGACGGGACCTCCAGCCGCGATCGACAGAGAAGTCGGGGCGACGGCCGGCGGAATCGAGATGGGCGGGACCACAATCGGCGGCATCGGGCCTTTCGGCTTCGGAGTTGGTGGCATCGGTCCTGGCGCCATTTTTATTAAGCTTTGTCAGTTTATTTATTACTGAAATGAGAGATAATTGGACTGGAATTTGAATAAAAGAAGACTTGTCAAATCCAAAATTTTCGGATGATTTCCCAGACATTTCTTGTTTTCTTCAATGTTTCGATTATTATGAATAGGAATTCACACAAAATTGTGCGCAGTATTTTTGTCGAGGGTAGAAACCGCCATACAACAGAAGCAATGGAAATTTTTAATATTTCAACTGACCGGGCTGAGCAAGGCCGGAGAAAATCTGACGACAAAATGTCAAAAACAATGGGAATTCGAAAAGTCTCCGCAGAAAATGAGAAAATAAGCTGATTCTAGACTGAGAAAAATCACAAGTTGCTCTTTTGTGAACTTATAGAACTGACGAAATGTTCAAACAGAAATCGAAAATGTATTTCAAAATTGATAAAAAACGAACCGAGCGAGCGTTTTCCGGCAGAAAACAAAAAAATAATGAGCGGTTTTGAGACGGTATGCCCAAAAAAACAAACACTTTCGCGCCTCGTTTTCGAAAACCTCAACCGTATTTGACCTCCGATCGTGGCGAGACCCGCCATTTCTGTGAAACTTTACCTATGCGCCTTCAATCGATTTGCCTGAAAAACTTTCAAATTTCAGAAGAAACCGGCTGAAAATGCGTAAAATTATCGGAGAAAGTAGCTCTCTCAGTTACAGCGATCAAAAAATAATGTCTGAATTTGAAATATTCCAAAAGTTTCTCTGAAAATGCTGAAAAACAAGAAATTTTCAATTGATTTTCAAGTCTCGCTGCTGCGATTAACTGAAATTTGTTGCGAAACGAATCTCACAACTGAATTTCCAAATTTGCAAAAAACGCCCAATTTTGCAACAGTATCCAAGCGGCGATGGCACCGCCCGTCCGGTCATCCTCATCATCATTCATTTGTGTGCAAATCTGTTTGTTCAATCGGTCGTGCAAAGAAGTAGTTGTGTTGTATTACACGTGTTTGTGCAGTAGGACATGAAAAAGAGACGCCGCTTTTTGCCGTTCGTGGCGGGACCCACGCAAAATATTTTCGAATTTCGTATCAGAGGGGATTCGATTGCATTTGCCATATTGCAATTACAAACACCGGAAATTGGCATGGCTCAAACCCCGGAAATCGAGTTTTCGCATAAATTTCATGTGCAAAGCCTAGAAATTCAAGGGCTACTGTGGTTCCAAAATTTCGCTTCAAGACCTCGCGCGCTTATTAATCGGCTCATCGCTCATCTACAGTAATCCGGGCGTCAACTACTACTGTGCCTATATTTGCACAACTTGTACATAAAGGGAGAATACATGTAGCAAGCCAGGGGGGAGGATTGTTTGAGCAAAAGAGGCGGAGCTTCCGGAGCCGCCCGTCAGAGGCCGTTTAGGCAGAGGAGCCTCGAAAGTTATTGAGCGAGAATGTTCCAGAGTCCGTTGCAGTTTCAATTGATTACAGGTTTTGTTCTTAACCCTTACGCCTTTTCTTCAACTTATTATCAATTCAGAATGTGCGTCCACGCCAGTTGAGGAGCGTCGAGTGCGTCGAAATCGGACAGCATTCACCGAAAATCAACTGGAGAGTCTCGAGGAAGCCTTCCAAAAATGTCAATATCCGGATGTGACACAACGAGAATCGCTCGGGAAAAAGATTGATTTGGCGGAGGCACGCATTCAGGTGTGGTTCAAGAATCGACGGGCGAAGCAGCGGAAGCGGCAGCGGAATGAGAGCAGTCCTGTCGATACGGAGGACTCGGAGGAGGCCGACGGCGAGTTGAGGACCAAGAAACAGTGCTCCGAGGAGGCCACTATTATCAGTCAGTTTGTCTCTCTGACACGGCGACCAAAAACGTAGAAAGGGGCGTGGCCTAGCGCGTGCACGGTTTTGGCGCGAAATTCGAAATTTAACTCCATTTTTCTCATGTTTTTCGTCAAAAATTTCCCAAATTTTGTACGATTTCGACGATGTAATTGCATAACTTTTTAAAATTAATCATCGCGCACTTTTTGAGCTTAAAACGAGCAGGTTTCATTCAGAAATTCAATCAATTGAATCGATTTTCAAGTTTTGTGCGGAAAATGCGCGAATTTCAGTCATTCGCCGATACTTTTCGCCGTTTGAACGCTTAAAATACTTGTATTAACGTGCTTAATCACTTCCGACACTCATTTCGTCTCAAAACCGATCCACATCGGCCGGTATGAAAATTCCGAAATTGCGGCGGCGGCGAGCGTATTGCGAAATATGCCAAAAACGTCTCAAACGCGGCGTTTTCACGAAAATTTCAATGTTTTCTCTCTTTAATGTCTCTTCTTTCGTCGATATCAAACACAAAAATCATCGGAAAAGTGCTGGAATTGCGGCAATTTTCAGAAAACGCGTCTCAGATTAGGCCACGCCCCTTTCTACACTTTTGGTCGCCGTGAGCTATTGTTAACTTTCAACTTTTCAACGTTTTCTGACGGTTCTCACCACGATCAAAACGTTTCTCAACTTATTGATTGTTTTGACATTACGTACCTACTAGACTAGAATTTAAGATTTTTCAGCGTGGACCCCGGGAGCGGCGCTTCTAAACTCTTCGATCAGTCCGACCATCTCCTCGACCAACTCCTCTCCGATTTCGTCGATGCCAACCGGTGGCTCCATCCCGTCCGCTCCGAATCTCATGTGTCATCCGAATCCGTTCTACGCTGCTTATCATCCGCACCATTACTCGCATTTCAGTACGGTAAGGATTATTTTCGTTCTAATCGTGTCTACTTTAGTAGTACCTGGTGGGTAATTTGAGACCTAATACTTGTGCCAACTACTAGATTAGGCCAAGAGCCCTTTGACTATTCAAATATTGTTGCTAATTTGCAGATTCCTCATCAGCTCGTCTCCGCCGACACAATGTCATTGGCAATCAGTGCTGATAAGGCACAACTCAAGCCTATTCCCTAGTGTAACTTGTTCAGAGTTTTGAGGTGAAATCTGCGAATCCTTTGTAAATAAAAATCTGTGAAAAACCTGTTTGTTTGTAATACAATTTTTGACTGAAATTGCGCAACAATTTCAGTCAAAAATCGATTGGACAATGTATAATTATAATATTGAATGGACGTATATCAAGATAAAACACAGGCGTTGGATGGTGATAGACAACAAAATAGCGATAGTCGATTCAGGAGGAAAATATTACAAAAATGGGGTGGGTGGGGGCGGGGGAGAAGTCAATCATTCAGAGCCTAGACAGATAAAGGGGAGAAAGAGAGAGAACCGATTTTAAACGAGAAAAAAGCACTTGATTGGATGGATAGGAAATAGGAGAAAAAGTTCAATTTTTGGCTGGGGCAATTGCTGACCTAAATTATGTGTTCGTTGTGTTTGTGTGTGTGTGTGTGAATTTTTGCAGATTTCAGCAAAAAAAAAAGAGTGGAGGGATAAGTAAATAATCGAGCGGATTCGCATCACAGAGCAGTTTCGAGCTGCGTTTTTTGAGGGGAAGGGGCTATTTGGGCGAAAAAAGTTGAGGAAACAGACGATAAAACAGGGTAATTTAGAGCATTACAGCACCACGCACTTGCTCTTTTTGGTGCGCTGCGGGGGCGTGAGCACCGCGCGGATCGCCTCGTCGAAAACCTGTTTGAGGCCGCGCTGCGTGAGCGCCGAGCACTCCAGGTACTTCACCGCCTTGATCTCCTTGGCCATCACGTAGCCCTGCGTCTGGCTGACCGGCTGAAGACGTCGCTCGCGCAGTCTGAACACATTTTCATCGTTTTTTTTTTCGGGAAAAAATCCTATCAAATCAGGCAAAAAACTAGAAATTTTGTTCGTTTGAGAGCCGGAAAGAATAGAGTTAAAGTTGGCGTGCACTACAGCAACGCTTTTTCAACGTGAAGTTCAAAGTGTCCGAAACTGGGCGATTTTTTCAAAAAGTACACGGCAGATGGCGTTTTCTTTTTTCTTTCTAGTCCCACGGTTCGAAAATTCGGTGCTACCCCGAATCAGAACTGCCCGAATAGGAACTGGTACGAATGAGAACTGCGCCCGCATCAGAACTGGTACGAATCAGAACCGCCCGAATCAGAACCGCCCGCATAAGAACCGCCCGCATCAGAACTGGTACGAATCAGAACTGGTACGAATCAGAACCGCCCGAATCAGAACTGGTACGAATCAGAACTTTTCTTAATGTTTACCGCCCGATTCAGAAGAGCTCATTTTTTCACAATTTTGGTTGAAAGTAGCTTAGCGAGGAAATACTGAAAACGTAAACTGTCACAGAAGTCTTCGACCGAAATTTGCAACGAACGCATGATGAAGATATGAAAGGGAATTGCTTGTTTGAGTAGGGCCCATTCGGCCGAAATTGTAGTTTTCGGGAGATTTGAGGGTCACAGGTACCTTACACGCGGCTAATTTTTACAGAATCGGATTCAGCATCAAATTTCCGACCGATCCATGTTAAACTTTCTCATCTACCTAGTACCCGAAAAAAGTTACAGTCAGTTATGTTATGGATTTCAGCCCGCAAATGCACTAATTTCGCAGCTGGAAAGGGCCGCGCAAAGCGAGCTTCTCTACGCCAATGGCGGGGGGCGCGCCTCCGCCCGGTTGGCGCAGTGGCAAAGTGATCGCTCGGCAGCCTGGAGGTGCCGGGTTCAAAACTTTTGTCCTCGAAAGTTGTTTAGCTTTTTAAGAACATCATGTCTGTTCATTTTTTTGTTGCATATTTGGCTTGGTCCGTCAGAAAAGGACAAAAACCGCGCGCGGCGCACTTGCTGGCGAAGCTCCGCCCCCTCCTCGACCGCCGACCGGGGAGAAAACAGGCCAACTTTGAAGGGGTGTAACTCGGGATGTACCGAAAATTTTCGAGAAAAAAGTTGGGAGCGTACTCATATAGAGTAGGGGAACACATTCCAACAAGAATTTTGTGGAAATTCGGAGTTTTGCGAAACCCGTTGCGGTACCTAAATATATATGAATATTGTACGGTAAAACATAGAAAACTCAATAAAAAAATCAAAACAGATAAACCAACATCTTCTTAATCAGAAATGCAATTTGCTACAGTCCAGTAACTTGCAGCAGTAATTGCAGTGTATTTTTAGTTACTCCAAACAAGTTATTTTGTGAAAGCTATGAACTATTAACTGGCTACATCACCAGTTCTGATTCGTACCAGTTCTGATTCGTACCAGTTCTTATGCGGGCGGTTCTGATTCGGGCGGTTCTGATTCGTACCAGTTCTTATGCGGGCGGTTCTGATTCGGGCGGTTCTGATTCGTACCAGTTCTGATGCGGGCGCAGTTCTCATTCGTACCAGTTCCTATTCGGGCAGTTCTGATTCGGGGTAGCACCGAAAATTCATCAAAATTCAAAGAAATAGCACTCTGGGAGCATAAATGCCCCACTCTGAACTTCACGACACATTTAAAGGCGCATGCCGGGTCTCACAACGAACATTATTTACGAGCTGAGAAAAAACCCTCTTTTCCGGAGTTTTTTTTTGCATGGTCTTCAAATAGGATTTCCTGCAAAATCAGTTTTTTTTTACCTCTCGACAGTGTCGCGGTCCTCGCGAAGATCGGCCTTCGTGCCGACGAGAATGATCGGAGTGTTCGGGCAGTGATGCGACACCTCCGGATACCATTTCGCGCGGACGTTCTCGAAACTCGCCGGATTGTTGAGCGCGAAACAGACGAGGAACACGTCCGTCTGCGGGTACGAAAGTGGGCGGAGTCTGCAAAATAGGGGTAAAATTGATGATTTTGTTGAAAAATGTGTGTACCGATCGTAGTCCTCCTGTCCGGCCGTATCCCACAATCCGAGATTGATCGGCCGCCCGTCCACCATCACGTTTGCCGAGTAATTGTCGAAAACCTTCAAATTGATCATTTTCCAGTTGAAAATTTGGACATTTTCAATTTTTCGCACCCACCGTCGGAATATACTCGCCGGGGAACGCGTTTGTCGTGTACGAGATGAGCAGGCACGTCTTTCCGACGGCTCCGTCGCCGACGACGACACACTTGATCGCCTGCATCGAAATTCGACTGTTCTGCGGTCTGAAATGGCAAAAATCGGGGGGAGAATTTCAAAAACGCCAGCGAAAAAGGTATTAAAACCGTTGTGAACGGGTAAAATTCGAAAATGTCAATAAACTATCAATCTTTAAATTTAGGCGATTTTTGAGAGGAGGCTCGAGCAAAAACGTACTTTTTAGGATTTGAGAGGGGACGGACAAAAAAAAACGGACAAAAACACAGGGAGCGAACGCGTGATCAACACGGTCTTGGACGCAGAAAAGCAGACGAGAGAAATAGTGTGCAAATGGGCGGAGACGTAGAGAGAAAGAGATGGGAGAAGGAGAAGGAAAAGGGCGAAAATAAATTGGATACAAATTGCCTTGTTTTTTTCGGTCCGGCTTTTACGGAAAAAATCTACAACACAACACGAGCGCGAATATCACAACTATCCGTGTGGAAAGGGGCGGGCAGAAAGGAGGGCGGTGCTTATCAAGTACGCGTAAACAGTTATAGAATCAAATTGGAAGTCCGGCAACGCGACGGCATTTTTGCATCGTGGCTCTGTAGATGAACTGCTCGCGGGAGACGTCGCGCACGTGGCGCAGATATTCGGCCAGCGTGATTTTGCGGTTTTTCAGCGATTGACCTGTAAGAATGATGGGTTTTCGGGGTGATTCATTCGTATTTTGAAATTGTGAATCATCTTGATGCAAACGCGCTCTACCGAAGAAAATCAACGAGCAAATTCGGCCAGATTTCTGGTATAGAAGGGTAGTTATTGTACAAAACGAGTTTTTTTGTTTTCCGCTTCTGGATGATCTGTTTTTTGGAAAATTGAAAACGAAACATGGATTGGAGTTGATTTTTTTTTTAATTTCAGAGTTAGGAAAGCAGAAATTGAGCAATAATTTTAGAGTACTGTGGTGAGCATAGATGCCCTTCAGAAAAGAAAAAACGGACTTAAAACGGACTAAGGAAGCTGGAATTGTATGAAAAACGCGAAATCGGGACAACGAGGCTTATGTTTCTATCGTTGTTAGCGATGATTCATCGGGTGTTTCAATGCAAGCGCGCTCCAATGAAATTTATTTTAAAATGACGGTCTTTGGACAGTTTTTTATCCAGCAGTACAAGCTCAGTTTTCAACGTTTCGAGTACAATAAGTCCAAAATGAGCCTTACCCAGTTCGTAAATGACATCATCGCACGCCAGATCTTTCGAGTAATTGTGCACAATCTGTCTGTGAAGCGGTGTCGACGCATCGATCGCCTCGTCGATCGGCGGCGCGTCCACACCTCCCGCATCCGCGAGCGCCTTCGTCAGCTCCGATTTCTTGACCGAGTAGACGTCGACGGCCGTCTGCAGCGAGTTTTTCTGCGCCTCGAGCTCCTCGAGCATCCTTTTCAGCTTCTGCTGTCCCTCGCGCAGCTCGTCTCCGGTCACCCGAATCGACGCCATCTCCGCACTGTTCGTGCCTGCAATTCTATTTCTATTGAATTGAATGAAGTCTTCGCCAGAAACTGACCGATTCTCTCCCTCAACTTTGCTCGGCTCTTTTCCTCGAGCGCCGAGAGCACTGATGCTCGGATGGTGTCCGGCTGGATGGTTCCGGTGTTCGATTGCGTGGTGACTGGCGCCGGCGGACGGATCGGAGGGCCCGAGGAGGCCGAGGAGGACGGGTAGGGGGTGGCTCCGGCGCCCATCGGGTACGGCATCGGTTGCGGAATGTTTTGGTAGGGACTGAAACGGAAACGCGGTTTGTAAGAAGACGCGAGACGGTCTGGACGCTTCGAGAACGTCTAATAATTTAATAATTTGTAATTTGTAAATTTTTAATAATTTGTCGCCAGCGGCGACGGAATTTAGTGCTAAAATTTGAGTCAAATTTTTGTAATATTGCGTTTGCAAATTTAGTTTTAAGGCTTGTAACAGCTAAATTCAATGAGAGCAGCAATATTCCGGGTAAAAAATCGAAATTTCCAACCGCCAACTCACTTGTAGCCCATTCCAACGGCGGCTGACGGGTACGGCGTCGACGTGGCCGGATACGGAGTGGCGCCGGAGCCCGTCGGATACGGAGTCGGCATCGTCGGAGTCGTCGACGGGTACGGCGTCGGATTCTGCGCAGCGGAAGCGGTCGCTGATGGCGTCGGCGGATTCGCGGAGGCGGTCGACGCCGAGCGGGCGAACACCGGACACTTCTCTTGGAACACCATTGCCATCACGTGAAAAATGGGGCGATTAGACGGAAACTTTCAAGTTCTTAGGATTTTTTAGGTCCCGCCACGAAAACCCGGTACTTATCTGCAAAAGTCCGCTCAGATCGTAGCCGGGGAACCGCCACTCGTTCAGATACGGCAAAAAAACCTTTCCCTCTTTGTTTACATGCTCCGACTCCTGCAAAAAACCGCAATTTTCCTCAAATCTTCGCAGTATCTTCCAATCAGACCTTGATAATCATGGTATTCGTCGGATTGACGTAGCAAATGGGCGCGTAGTAGGGATGGGTGTCCCAGAGGAAAACAGTGACCGGAATGTTGTAGCAGGCGCCTTTGTAGTACACCGGAATGGTGCCTTTGAGTCGGAATGCGGTTCTCCGCCGCCCGTCCGGGAACATGAAGCTGTCGGTGCCCGGCGAGAGGTCCTGAGAAGGTTATTGATTGATTTTTACAGACATTTCCGCTAATGGTCTCCAGAATTTACGATTTTGGAGCAAATTCTGTTTTTTGCAAAATTAGCCACGAATAATCACGGATTTTTCATTTATGCTCCAATAGAACAATTGAATAGGTCAAAACGGATTTGAAGCACAAGAGTCGTCACTTTTCATCACAAAAGTCAGGAAAAACGTGTTCTGGAGACCGTGAGCGGCGCATTTCCGCTTACTTTAAACTGTGTCAGCGCGCCCATAATATCCTTTTTCGCCGAATCCACGTACTTGGCGCTGGCTCGCTGCAGACACTGTTGCACCTGATGAGCCGACATTTTTGTGCCTAAAATCACCAATTTTGTGTAAAAAAAGATAAATGAGAAGAAAACAAGTTAATGTCGAGGTGATGATTCATTGTTTAATCGGTTGCGAAATCAAACAAAAACGCGAGAAACATCGGAAGATCGGGCGGGAAATTCGAATATCTTTCGGGAAATCATCAGGTAAAAAGCGGAGAAAACGGAAAATTGGTTGTCCGATCGGATTGTAAATCGATAATCGTCTCTGTTTCGCTCTCTCTCGGAGAGGGAGTCACAAAGCGGTCGGCCGGCGGAAAGGAGAGAGCGAGAGGGGCAAGAGAAGCGAGAGCACCCGCTTTTCTGCGTCTAGGACCCCTCGGACGTGCGGAAGGACGGAAGAAGACGGCCGGGCCATGCTGAACACATCCCCCACTGGGCTCCCCATCGATTCGCCCGTTTTTATGGCGAAATCCTTTCGGTTTTCGCGATTTTCGTTTAATTTATTTTACCACGGTGCCTTTAAAGGCGCAATCGTTTGTTTCGTTCCGCGGGTCTCGCCACGATTTGCTGTTTTTGAGCTTTATCCGGTGCATTTTAACTTGAGAATGTTAAAATCAAATAATGATTACACAAAAAAAGAGAATGTTTAATTTTATGAAAAAGTAACGTTTTTGACCCAAAAAAAACCGGAGAAAGTCGATAATTTTCAAAAGCCAAAGAGTACGGTCACTCTAAAGGCGCTTTTAACTAATTCAAATACCCTTCGAAAAACAGTTAATTGCTAGCGGCCGCCTCATACAGCTTACCCCAAACCTTACGCACAAATTCTCACAATTCTTTCATTACAGAAAATCACCGAAAAGTAGAGGAGGGCCTTAGTAGGCGGACACACAAAATAACCCCCGACAACAATGTTTCCATTTCTAGCGCCAATCAGAACTGCCAACCATGTGTGAGTATACTTGAAACTGTGCACTTTTGGGCCTACCGTACCTTTTCCGCTTTTCAGAGTGCAACAAGGAACACAGCATTTCGTCGAGATCACATTCCTCGCGGATTCGCCGTACGCCAGCCGCGCCGCTTCCGCGTCTTCGATTGTCCACGTGGCAGATGTCCCACCGAAAGTGCCATCGCTCCGGAATTTGGACGAATCGGAGACGGAGACGGCGTCGAACAAAAGTAGGAGTAGTGAAGGTAGTTAGAATCTCGTAGAATTGTTAAAAGTTAAACGTTTTTCTCAAAATTCAGGACTGAACAAGTTGGAAAGTCGTCCAAACAGTCGGGTAAAAAAGACGAGTGTGTCCTCGCTGCCCACGTCGGCCCGATCCGAAGGAAAATCCTCTCCGGTGCCCGTGAAAGATGCGGTCGTTCCGGCGCCGTCGCGTCACAAAAACAAGGGCCTCGAAATGTCGTCGGCCATGATGGTAGAGTAGAAAAAGGCGCGTGGCTCGAGTATTCTGGAAATTTTTTTTAAGGAAATTTTTGGAGGGACATCTCCAGCTCCATTGAGAAAACGGTCCGAAGGCCAACAACCAGTTTCCAGTTCTGTTGGAAACCACGTGGATTCCATCTGCTCAAGTGTAGAGAATCATGATGTGGTGAGTTATTTTCAGAGATGGGCGCCGATTGGCGTCGCGACGACAACTTTCGAGTAAAAAGTTGCATGTCCGCAATTTTGCGTGAGGTGCACCCGCGTTAAATGTTCACACTTGATTGCGTACAGCAACTTTTGCCTTGAAAATTTCGAATGAAAAGTTGCTTTCGACCACACCGCGCCCATCTCTGGTTATTTTCGATGTCTAACCGAGTACCCAATTCCCTTTCAGGCCTACGACCGGGCAATCAATCGAGCGCGAGGTCGCCAGAACTTCTCGCAACCCGGTCCCGAATGGTTTGAGGGTTTTGAACGGATGGACGTGTCGGAACTAGGTACCCATTCCAACAAAAATGCTGCCCATCCAAACATTTTCAGACCTGCCACCCGATCCGAATTGCCCGGCGGAGAAGGCGCTTCGAGCCGCCGCCGCCGCCACTGAACGCACGCCGGATTTCGATTCGGATTGGCAAGACGCCAAAGAAGACGTGCTAAGCGGCGGTGGCCTAACTTCCCAAACAAGGCCACCACACTCGAAATCGTTCGCCGATTCGCTTCCCGGACCGGATATCGGCGCCGGCGTCGAAGAAGATGAAGAAGAAGAGGAAGAGCAGCTCCAAGAGGTTCGTCTATTATTTATAATGTGTGCACTTGTGCAAGTACCATCAATTTTTGATTCTGGTATGTCACACATTGTGTTTGACAACTTTTCTCTGTGTGAGACACGTGGCATAGAGAGTGAGAAAAGTTTGTACAGCTGGCCTAGAAAAACAAACAAAAATGGAAAAACTCGGCCAAAAAGCCGTCTGGCTGATGGCCTATTGTTTCTGTTTGAAGCCCATACAACCAGAATGGCCTCACTCTTTCACTTGGTGGCCTAGAAATCTTGCAAACTCTAATGGGGTTATTCAGGCTGTGAAAAAAATGATTTTTTTCCGTTTTTTTACGTCAAAAAACCCAATTCAGCGGTGTAAAAAAACAAAAAAAAACGGAAAACAAACATACGCTGAATAGCCCCATAATGGACTAATTCAGCAGAAAAAACTGTACCACAATGAACACGATTTACGAGCTGAAAAAACCTTCTTTTTGAGTTCAAGATGCAGTCTACCCATGTGGCCTAGCTTTTCCTCTTCCTTTTCCACCCCCACAACCTCATTATCCAACCCATCCCATCGCTAATGTTCCCTCCAATGCAGCAAGCCGAGTACGAATCGAAAGTGGCTGGTGACGAAGCAGAAGACGACGAGACGAGCTCTTCTTCTTCCTCCAAAAAGGGCCATCCTTCCGGCGACGAGGCTCGACGAGACAGCGCTGCAAACGGAGAGACGGCAGACGGGCGGCGAGAGAGTGCTGCAAGCGAGGAGGGCGCAGACGGGCAGAGAGAGCCGGCCGACGGACGGGAGGGCACCGAATCGAAGAGCGGCGGAGAAAGCGGAGGAGAAGGCGGACAAATGGCCGTTCTGCTCGTCAAAAACGCTCAAATCATCAACGACGACGCGATTTTTGTGGCCGACGTGCTCATCGACGACGGTGTGATTATGTGAGTTTCGGTTTTTGTTTTGCAAAAAAAAGCGTAGTTGTATTAGAATTTCGTAACCCTATTAAGAGAAAAAAAGTTGAGCCGACAAGAAATTTCCGTATCTCGTATTTCGTAATCGGCCTCTCTTCCATTCGAGTGGACGCAATTTCGAAACGAAACGCGATCTCTCCTCGCAAATTGTGCACTTTTCCGGGAAAGGCCACTTCCTTTTTCTAAAATGGGTCAAACATAAACGGAACATGAGCAGACGTCCCCCTGACTAACGCGTTCTGATTGATGGTCGCCCGCGCGCACGCTCGATCCTCTCTTACATTTAGCGCGGAAGCCTAATACACGTCCCACTTAGACAGGTGGAAGCCAGGCGGGTTTGAGAAATTAGACCTACTTATGCCGGGCCATTAGTAAGAGGATAATAGGGGTTTTAACCGTATTAGAAGGACAACCTTTTAAAAGGACACTTTGCAACCGGAGCTGTCTGGAAACTTGAAACTTGAAGTGCTTAGAGAGACGTTGAATGGTTGCAATAATTCGAGTATTTAAAAACCAGACCAAAAACCATGGCTTACTATAATGGTTCAAGTAGATAAGTAACTAGAGACTAGTTGGAACTTGAAGTAGGAGACGTCCAGTTGTGAGATATCTGAAAACCAATTCAACATTCAAAGTAGACTAGAATTATTCAGAATCCCTAGCAACCCGCTCATTTCCAGAAATGTCGCTCCGAACCTCGATGCTCCGGAAGGTGCCGAAGTCATCGACGCCTCGGGCAAGATGGTGCTACCCGCAGGAATCGACGTCTACACTCAGGCGTCCGAGTCGCCCGTCGACGACCTGACGACAGGGTGCAAAGCGGCGATCGCCGGCGGAACCGCCACGATCATCGAGGTGGTGCGGCCACGTGGTTCCGAATCCCTGCTGGCGGCCGTGAAACGAGTGAAGAGCCAACTGGAGAAGGCGCAGTGCCACGTGTCACTCTCGCCAGCCATCGGAACGTTCAACGAGGCGATTCGATCGGAAATGAGTCAACTCGTCGCCGCGGAGGGCATCAACAGTTTCGTGGTTGATGGCGTGCAGCAGTCGGACGATAAACTGTTCGAACTTTTGGAGCATGCGAGCAAACTTGGCGCCCATGTTCGCATCATTCCCGAGAACAAATCGATCATTTCAATTCTGGAGAAGAAGATGCTCAAATTGGGCGTCACCGGACCCGAAGGCTTCCCGCAATCCCACCCGGAAACCCTCGAAGCGGACCAAGTGAACAGTGTGTGTGTGCTCGGAAACCTCGCCAACTGCCCTGTCTCCATTGTCTCGGTCTCTTCTGCCGAAGCTCTGAGCTCCATCGAAAAAGCGAGAAGCTCGGGAGCCCTAGCCCATGCGGAGATCGCTTCGGCGGCGGTGGCAGCCGATGGATCAGCATACCTGAGTACGGATCTCAAGGTCGCCGCCGCCCATCTTACAAACATTCCGTTGCGCAAAGCCGCCTCGGACCGTCTCATCTCTGCCCTCTCCACCCAACCACTCGTCGTCTGCACTTCCGGCCACAAGCCAGTCAGCACGGCCTCGCGTGCTTCCAAAGACTTTGCGACGGCCGTGAAAGGAAGTGCGGGCGCCGAGGAACGGATGGCGGTGGTGTGGGAGAAGGCGGTACGCAGCGGACGGATCGACCCGATGCGCTTCGTCGCGGTCACCTCGTCGAACGCGGCGAAAGTGTTCAACTTGTACCCGAAAAAGGGACGAATCGCCGTGGGCGCCGACGCGGATCTCGTCATTTGGGACGGAAGCGCAAAACGCGTTTTGGAGGCGAAAACGGCGCAGAGCCAGCAGGACAGCACGCTCTACGATGGGCTCACCGTTCATTCGACGGTAAGCTATCGCGCTCTACGGCACAGTTTTCTAATTTTTCGGCAGTTTTAGGTGTTCGCCACAATTGTCGCCGGAAAAGTGGCATTCAAAAACGGTCAAATCGCCGAGTCGACGGGCGGTTTCCTGCCGCTCACCCCCAACAGCCCCTATCTCTTCAGCATGGTCGGCCAACGCGACAAGGTGAGTGTAATGCATATGTCCTCCCGAAAGTCGGGTAAATGTGGCCGCGTGGCGCAATGGATAACGCGTCTGCCTACGGAGCAGAAGATTGTAGGTTCGAATCCTGCCGTGGTCGAAACTTTTTTTTCCAAAAAAAAACAGTTTTTTTTGCAGTTCTCGAGTGTGGAGAAGGTGGAACGAGATTCGGCGGCGCCAAAAGCTCATAATGGACACACCCAACCGGAAAAGTCGGACGAATTCGATCGAAATCGGAAGAAAGTGATGGAATCGTCGATCGATTTTGGCGGAGCGTCTGGAAATCGGGGACGGAACCCGCCGGGAGGACGGTCCACCGGATTCTGGTAGCAGCTGAATGATTCCGTTTTTTTAAGTACCTACCTAGTCATTACCCTTTTTCTCCAAAAAATGAGCTTTTCTCCAAAGTTTTCCAAGCTTCCACTCCTTTTTCCACCGAATTCAGTTCTAGAGCTTAACGGTGAAAAGTAGGGCCCAGAAAACTGAATAACCCACACATTCCGAGCACCCGAAAAATAATCAATAATTAACCTGGTTAGTATATATTAATCTAATTTATTTATTTATTACTATTTACCGACATAATAACTATTCTATGAGCTTGTTTTTCATCTGATCTTTTTGCATTTTCTTTGTCAAAATAAAGCAATTTTTGGGCAAGTGTTTTGGAATCGTATTCGTTCGTTTTGGCCGAGAACAATATTTGCGAACTTTCGAAACCAGTCTTCTTCGCCTCGATTTCGCAATGTCAACAACATGCAGTTTCTCGCATTTTCTGAGCAGTCGTTGGGCGACCGCCGCCACGTCATCAAAAGAGTTATGCGCGCTTAAACTTGTGTAGAAAGCTTTTTTGTGCGCCTTTAAATTGACACTGGTGGTTACGGTTATCGATTGAGAAATTTCGCCGCTTTTCTTGCATTTTTCCGCGGAAAATCTTGTAAAATCTAGCAAAATGTGAATTTTTAGATGCATTTCGTCCGAAAAGTGCCGACGAGCGAGGAGGAAAAGGCGGCGAAACGGAAAGAGCACGAAAAACGTTCGCAGCAATTTTTGCATGCTCGCGATCGGATTGTGAGCAAACGCGAGAAGGGTAATAGCTGAAAACCGCCTTGAAATCAAGAAAAAAATCCAACTTTCCAGGCGAATACGATGACGAAATGCTGTCGCTGACGCAGGCGATTCTCGAGAAAAACGCCGACATTTACACGTTCTGGAACATTCGACGCGAGGCGATTCAGCAAAGAATCGATGCGAATCTGAAAATTCAGGAGAATCACAAAAGTTCGGAGGAGGAGAAGACGAAAAGCGCGCAGAAAATTGAGAATTTGCTCGCCGGAGAGCTATATCTCTCGTACGAATGCATAAAAGTATGCTTTTTTTGAATTTAGGTTATTTTTTCATATAATTGTGTTTCCAGACAAATCCAAAGTCGTACTCGGCGTGGTACCAACGTGCGTGGGTCTTGCAACGACAATCCGCGCCGGATTTGGCCAAAGAGCTCGCGCTTTGCGAAAAAGCTCTGCAAATGGATTGCCGGTACGAATTTCTGAAAGATTATTCTGAAATTTGATAAATTTCCAGCAATTTCCACTGCTGGGACCATCGTCGAATCGTCGCGCGCCTCGCGAAACGCTCCGAACAGCAGGAGCTCGAGTTTTCCAATAAGCTTATCGAAGAGAACTTTTCCAATTATTCTGCGTGGCATTACAGGTAATTTAGGGCCTAAACATGTTGAAAAACTCAAATTTAAAATTTCCAGGTCAATTGCCCTGAAAAGCATTCATCGCAACGAAAAAACCGGATCTGTACGGCTGGACGATTCGATTATCGCCAGTGAGCTTCAGGTATTCATTATTTATGTAGAATCTATAAAACTTTCAAATTTAGAAAGTGAAAAGTGCGTTTTACATGGACGCCGACGACCAAAGCGCGTGGTCGTACACCCGATGGCTTCTGGAGAACGGCTCCGGCAAAGAGTTTTGTGAGTTTCGACAATGTTCACAAAATGTCTCAATAGAGCGCATTTGCAGTGCGTCCGGACTCGACCACTCCGATCAGTCTGATCTCGGCCTCTTTCCACGGGACCAACACAACGCTCGTCTTCTCGCGAGCCGTCACCCTCCACGTTTTGCTCACTTTTGTCGACACTGACGACACCAGCCAATGGAAAGCGGTGAGTACCGGCTTAAGGCGAAAATTTGATGGAAACCACGCATTTCCAGTTCTCCTCAACGTCTCCGTCGCCGTCTTCGAGCCGCGTCTGGCAGTTCCACTCGCAGACCCCGCTCCGAATTGCCACCAACTGGGCGGACGTCACGGATGGCGCGTGGATCGAAATCGACGGAAAACCGTTTGTGGACGAGACGAAACTTAAGTTGATCTACGATATTGTCGAACCGAAACAGCCGGAACACATCGGCGAGCTTCTGGACGATTGCAAACAGCTCATCGAGTTGGAGCCCAAGAATAAGGTAGAAATGGCGTCCAACACCATCATCAATTCATTTATTCTTCTTTCAGTGGCCCCTCTACATGCGCACCCTCGTCCTTATGGAATACCAGCCGATTTCGGCGCACAAAGAAATTATCGGCGCGCTGAAATCGCTCGCCGAAGCACTAGATCCGAAACGCGCCGAACTCTATCGCGCGCTCATCTCGCGTCAAAATCTGAATCTCTGTGTCCGCGATCAGTTCGCACGCCTTCTGGACTCGCAGTCCGACGAGCTCGTCGTCCGATATTCCGAATTGAGCAGTCTGGAGGGCGTCGAGTATCTGGCCGGCCTGGTCGGATCCGCGGATCTGTCGGGGAATCAGTTGAAGGACGTTCATCGCATTGTTCTGCCCAATTTGCACTCGTTGACCATCAATGAGAACCCCATTGAGAGGTATAACAATTCTACATCAATATTGTGATCCTTTGTGGTCCAACTTCCAAAACCCTCCTCTTTTGCAGTCTGTCTCCGTCCCCATCGCTCGCTCACCTCCAATTCCTCTCGATCGCCTCCACTCGGATATCGTCCGTCTCCCAACTGGCGCCCTTTTTCCAATCGGTTCCCGCTCTGACCCGACTCGTTTTCTGTGAGACTCCACTCGTCGAAAAGACGGCCGAACTGAGGACACAATTGCCGGCGGTCCGTCTCATTCCGCACTGGTTGTGAATGTTTCGAATCTTATCAGTTATCAATTGTTCATTATTGCCTCCTATATCACAAAAGTATTGAAAAAAGAAGACCCATTTGTAAAAGCTGTGTACCCGCGCCCGTGATTGGCAACACCGAATCGGAAAATAATAATAATAATAATAATAATAACAACAAAAATGACTAGGAAAAACGTTCAAATTCTAGGCTCCGCCCCTTTTTCGAATATTTCCTCGTCAGAATCGTCGGAGCCACTCCTCAAAAGCACTTCCAGATCGTCGTCCTGCTGCTCCAACTTGTGATACTCTTGCGTTGGCGGCGCGGCCGGGAAAAGCGAGTAGACGACGACCGATGACGTCACCATCAGCACTCCGTACACCAGGTAGACGGTCAGAAGGCGTTCGCCCAAAAATATTGAGACCAGTGATGTTAGTCCTGAAAAAATTGACGGCTTTTGCGAATTTCTGGCTTGCAAACGCGATCTAACGCACTTTTTGCGGGAATTTCGAAATTTAAGGCAGTTTTTGCGAGAAAAAGGGAATTTGAACTATTTGAGACTACGATATTGCTGTAAATGATGTGAAAATTTAAGTTTTTCACAGAGAAAAACCGGAAAAACACTTTTCAGCAAAATTTTAAATGGAGCGTACTTGCATCGCTTACCGATTGCGATTGATTGGCAATACGTCTTCATGACGTTGTCCGCGTACTTCATGACCAATGAGATGCACAGACCGCCGACCGAGTTGAGAATTGTGACGAGCCAGACCATATTCGACCAGCCAGTGAACATGTTTCCTGCAAAATTGTCCGAAATTTCCAAAAGAATCAAATTTCTGCGCGAGCGTACCCTCCAAAATGGCTTCGCCGTCGGTGGTGAGCATTGTGATTCCGGCGAATATCAGCGTCAGAATCGATAATCGAATGTTCTGAATCCAGACGTCCGCCGACGAATTTTTCAGCATTTTTTCAAAGTAAACGCCTGAAAATTTTGAAAAAGTGTGTGCAGAAGAGCGCATTTGCTTTTTTTGAATTCTCAATGAAGCGCACTTGCAAAAGTTTGAAAATTCGTCGCCTTTTTTGTTGAAAAATTGTAAAAATCTGCAAATTCTCAATGGAGCGCAGCGCACTTGCTGACCTGCAAAAGCGCTCGTCCAGCACATTCCGACGACGGCAGAAACGCCGATCCAGAAGTTTCCGATCACTTCCTTGTGCGTATTCGTTTTATCCAACTAAAAATCGGAAAAAAATGTCTATAGAGTGCACTTGCATACCTGCACAACGACGACTCCGAGCAGGGCCATCACCTGCGCGCCCCACTGATACCACGACAGTTTTTTGTTCAAAAGGCACACGGAAAGCATGGCGGTCGTCAGAATTCGCAGTTGAAGAGTTACCTAAAAACAATTTCAAAGTTTTCGCCGACAATGCACACGCGCTCTACCGAATAGGTGGTCGGATCGACGTTCGCGAGTGCGATGTAGTACAAATTGTTCTGAATCGCGTAAACGACCGCCGGCACGGCCACCTTCATCGTTTCCAATCGATTTTTCCAGATTGTTTTGTGAAGCTCGCTCGCCGTTCTGCAAGAAATTGTTGATTATCGACTGACTCGCATTTGGGCGCACTTTCTGACACTTCCCGTTTTGACGGTGGTGATTAGCAGACAAAACACCAATTTCAGCACTTCCATCATGAAAACCGACGTCGTCGGCAGGAAATGCGTCTGAAAATGGCGAAGAGGGGCGGCTTTGATTTTTCGGATGCGTTTCGTGTACCCGATTGGCAATTCGGACCAAAAACGGCATTGCGGTGGAGTGAAGAGTGACGGAGACCATCGAAATCATTTGAACGGAGCATATCACTCGGATTATCTGCAAAAAACGGGAATTTCACAAAAAATTCGCAATAGGGCCGGTTTGCACTTGATTTTGGTTAAATTTTACATGACCCACACAATTTTGAGTGAAAAACACGTGTTTTTTTGTTGAAAATTCACTACAAAATCGATTTCGCGTGAAATTTTCAGGATTTTCTCAGAAATTCTCAATGGAGCGCTCTTGCTCACCCACCGTTATCTTTTGCACTTCTCGCCAACGCTCCTCACCGCTCATTTGCCAGAAAATGAGCGCGTTTCGGAACGAAATCGTCCACATCTTTTCAACTTTTCCGATGAACCAAGAATAATTTCGGTTTCGGCCTCGCGCGGCGCACGCGCACAAAAAAAGGCTTTTGTTGCTGTGGCGAGAGGGATGAACAAATAACATTTATGAAGAGATAGAAAAAGAGTGAGAGAGTGAGTTGGAAGATGTGGCAAAACGTGGCAAAATTTCCAAAAAGCGTACCGGATTTTTGCTCTGCGAATTCTCGCGATCGATTTCGATTCCGGTACTTCCGACGACATGCTTCACCCCAGCCGTCATTCGTTTTCTGAAAATATTTAAACTAAAATAAGACATTTGCTGAATAAAAATCAATAATGCATCAGTTTGACTCTGATCATACAAAAATCATTTTGATCGAGAACTCTGACGTCAAGAAATGTACGAAAATTTCGCAATTTTTGAATTAAAATTTGTTTCTAACTAATTAACATACTCATATTGAACGTTGAAAATGCGCATTTCTTCTATACGCCACAAAAGTTTTTTTTTGTCCCCCTCAAATAAGGAAAAGTACAAGCACATGTGGGTGGTGCTTATGTAAATACAAAGAGGAGCACACATGAGAGAGAGAGAGAAAGAGAGAGAAAAAGAACGAATATTATGTGATAACGGGCCGAAAACGAGAAAAAAGAGTGTCTGTTTCAGTGGTGTTGATCGTCGAGAGAGGATTAAAAAGTGTGAAACGGAGAGGATACGGGCCTCGTCACGACAACTTTTTAGTAAATTGTGATGATCTCGAAAGCCAGCGGATCTTGGGCCCAAAATACTTTAATCCGAAAGTTGAAGAAGTCTGCAAAGTTTTTATCTCTATCAAAAGTCAAATGTGAAATAAAGATTCACACGTGGCACTCTATTCCACAAAGATATGAATCTTTGACACGACAACAAGTTTCACAATAAACGCTTACTTTTCAGTTCAAACTTTTGACAGGATTCGATCGTCCAAACAAAAGACATCGGAAGGTGGTGAGTGCAACAGATCGACTCGAGAACGACGCGCGCGCGAGCATTTTCCAGAAAAAAATGAATCCGAACGAGCAGAGCAAGTACCTCATGGACCAGTATGGAGACGCGCTCGGCGAGCAGCTCAAGCCCAACGCGTCGCAATACGTGCTCGCCGAGCTCAACCGGAACTCGTCGTCGCAAAAGGCGCAAATCATGCAGAAGACGGACTCGGAGTACGTGCTCCGTGACCTGCGCAACCAGGCCGCCGAGGAGCAGCACGTCTCGAGAGATGCTCCGCACCGCCCGTTCCTCATCGGCACGCCCGTCAACGCCAAGGCGATTCGGTAGGCTCGGGCTCGTCAATTGGTGAACTAATTGACTGAATTTGTAAGTATTCAGTGCTCAAATCGAAAGCCTCGACAGTGCGATTGTGGTGCCGCAGATCATCGACGGCAAAGTGTACTTCACGACTCACGGGGACGCGGACGCTCGCACGGCAGTCGAGGGAAGCGCTTCGAATCCGAACCTCAACGAGGGATCCACCACCGGGCCACCGTCCAAGGGGATCGATCTTCACAAGGTCAAGTTCACGTTCGGCCAACTCATCAAACTGCTCGGGCCGGCGACATGTCAGCGTCTGGAGCGCGAGTTTGCCAAACAGAATCGGCTGTCGGAGGCGGAGCTCTCTCACCTCCGCACCGCCCGCGAATCCGTGTCGGAGCTCGCGCTGGCCACCGGACGATCCTCGGGAACGGTGCGGACTGCGCAGAGTGTGGAGCCGAATCTGCTGAGCACGCGCACGGCGAACTCGGTCGAACCGAACTTGTTGAGCGTGTACTCGGCGCGCAGTCCTGGCGTTTTCACGAAGAAGGAGGGGATTCTGACGGCGCAGGAGCCGGAGCCGAATCTGCTGAGCACGCGCACTGCGAATTCGCTGGAGCCGAATCTGCTGAGCGTCTACTCTGCGAAAGAGCTGACCGTCCAGTCGCCGGGCGTGCTCACTGCTCAGAGCCGCGAGCCGAACCTCCTCTCGGTCCGTACCGCTCGCTCCAGCCGCTCGGCCAACTCGTTGTTTGGCGGCGAATCGACGGACGTGACGACGTGCCTCGAGATTGAGTCGCCGAGCACTGGGGTCCACACGGCGCACGGCTTTGCGACGCCGTCTGGCAGCGCCGTCGAGATTCGCTCGTCGCAAGATGTCCGCACCGCCATCGAGATGCTGTCGGATCTGAGCAGATCTTCGCAAGACGTCACGACGGCTCTGGAGATTCAGGAGTACGTCATGTCAACCATTTGGGAACCCGGCTAAAGATGGTTTTTGCAGTGAGAAGGGTCAACAAATGACCATCTAGAGGGCATTGGTAAACGAAGGAAGCAATATGAAAGGATTTAATGATGGATTGAAAAATTTGATGTTTAAATGAAGAGATTGAGGATGATTTGTTTTGTAGAACAATTTTGGAATACTGTAGGGAGTACTGTAGACAATGAAACAAGAAAAGCGGCGCTTTGACGCTTCTCGTCGTTGCCCCAACAATAAAATGACAATAAAAAGTTTCGCTCGAGGCGAACAAAACGAATATTGTCGTTGGCTTTTACAATTGCAACACTAAAAGTCGTGTCTTTTTGGGAAGAAGAGGAGGCATCGGAAAAAGTGAATGAAATATGGAAATGTGTGTGTGAGCGGAGAAAAAGGGACAATTTCACCCGTGGCAACCGGGAGAATGGAGAAGAATTGGAAAGAGAGCCGAGGAGAGAGAGAGACAGAGAGAGAGTTTGGGGGAGATTAGGACGGGGACGGAGAAGAAGCGGGAAAGAGAGTTGCCGAGGATTACTGTAGTAGGTGGTCTATGCTCTAGGCTAACTAAAACAAACTTTTGACGTACAACATGGCCAGTGTGCCTTACCGAAAGGGTTTCGGTAAATTTACCGGTAAAAATTTCGGTAAATTGTCGGTAAATTTTCGGTAAAACTTTTTTTTACCGAAAGAGTTTCGGTAAATTTTCGAAACAATTTACCGAAAATTTACCGAAAATTTACCGAAATTCACTTCTTTCGGTAAAAAAAATTTCGGTAAGGCACACTGAACATGGCTTAGCTTTCTCTAACAAGCCACACACTTTTGCTCTACAAATCTCAATTCAATTCAAAACTTGGACCCAGAAAGCGAAACGAATGCATTTCGAATCGACGCGCCCTCCTTTTCGACGTCAATCTCGTCTTCATTTACCAAACTTTTTTGTGATTCTAATAACGTCTGTTGGGCGACAACGATCTCCGTTCGTATTCCGGATTCGTTTGGACCGCGCGCGCGCGCGCGCGCAAAATTGAGACTTTTTCAGAGTTTTCAAATGCAGAACAGACATTTTTTGATCTGAGATTCGTCGGATTGAGACGGACGATTATCTAGACCAATTTATGCGTATCCATTGGGAATTTTTCGTGGCAAACGAAGAAATCACAGAAAAACAAGACACAGGAAAGGAAGGGAAAGTAGGCAAAGAGTGTGTGAAAGCATTATTATTATTATTATACCCAGGAGTGTGCATTCACGCCGACGACATTGAACAGCTCCCGCAGTTGAGCATGTCGGAGGGGCGGAGTACCGGCCGAGAACTCGGAAGCCGTTTCGCATGAAGAAGACGGGACCGACGAGTTGGAGGTGCCACGTGGCAAGGATGGAGCCGATGCGGTCGGAGATCGGAAGAACGGACTGATCGGGAAGAGGTGACCCTGCAAACGGACAAGTATATTGTTTTTGAGTTGGAGCACAAAGACCACCGCTGCCCAGGGCCGACAAGGCCGGTTTTTTAAAACGGGTCTTTTATGCCTTAAATTCACTATATCAGTCTGAAACTCAATACTTCAATCCAAGCCCAAGAAGCCTGCAATGTTTGGGCACGATCGGATAATTGTTAGTGGTCACCACTGGAATCCCTTCAAGACTGACCTCTGTCGAAAAGAGGACGTTCTCCTGTTGCTGCCGATTAATCGGATGATCCACATCAAACAGCAGGTACAAGTATTTGAGGGTCTCCGCCAAAAAGAACGACTCCATTCGGTCCTCGAGACTTCCGTCCATCACGTCGTGCACTGTAGCGAATCCGCACTTGACACGTGTCATTGTCTCCAACGACTCGAGAATCTCTAGACCGACGTGCTGATAGAACGGATTCTTGGTGGCCGTGTAGAGCAGATACGTGGATTCGACGAATTCGGGTCGCAGCGGGTAGAAGGAGACGTCGGGCGAGCGGAGTTGCCAGTTGAATCGTTCCGGCAGCACTCCGTACTTCTTCCAGATGGCGTAGTAGAGCGCGTGATGGCAGACGGCCTCGTCCACCTCGCCAGCGAGCACTAGGACACCCGCGAAACTGGCCTAAAACGGAACCAAGTTGATTTTCTAGATTCAGGACAACTGTACAGTGTACACTACCTGCAACGAGTCGATCCAAGTGTTGGAAGTGCTGCCGTCCCGCGAGTCGACGTTCACATAAATCGGCGGATCGCCGCCCATCTGAGCACATGTGCTTCTTCCCCTCCGCATGTAGGTGACAATTCGGGCGAACGAGTCCGTGTACATTTCAAGATCGCGCGGGTTGCCGAACAGAATGTACGATTTGAGCATGTACTCGTAGAACGAGTCGATTCCGGCGCCCAGTCCCGACAAGTGACCGAGCCATTCGCCAGTCTGGATGTCGATTAGATTGCCTAAATTGTGCCGATTTCTAGAGGTTGTACTATATATATCTAATATCTAATCGATATCTAAAATCTAATCGATATCTAAAATCTAATCGATATCTAATATCTAATCGATATCTAATATCTAATCGATATCTAATATCTAATCGATATCTAATATCCAATCGATATCTAATGTCTAATCGATATCTAATATCTAATCGATATCTAATATCTAATCGATATCTAATATATCCTAATTCTTCCATTCTCCCCCCTCGGTTACCTACGAACCATGTAGTCCAGTAACTTCATTCCTGAGCTCCCACAGCTTCTCATTGACGCGTCTCGCTAGATTCTCATAAGTCTCGTCGCCCAACAACCGCGACAAGACTCCGAATTCCAGCAGTAAACTGCCGGCGCCCGAGGTACACGTGGCATTTGTAGTGCCGGGAAGCACGCCTCGTTGCAAATTGACGCGCGTCCACGGGATGCCGGTGGCGGTGCCCTCGAAAGCGGGTAAAAGACGGGCGGCCAGGTCGTGCGCGAGCGTGAGCAGTTCGCCCGCGTACTCGGCAATGTGGAACGGTCCGTAGCGGTTCGACTCGTCGGCGGCGATCATGTGCGCCGCGAGCAGAGAGCCCATCACGCGGATCGTCGACTCGAACACTTGTACCGTCGTGTTTTTCTCGAACGAAACCGTCGAGATTACCAGGTTGACGGCACGCTTGAACTCGTCCGCGTCGCCTGCAAATCACGTGGGCTACTGTAGGTGCACACTCAAAGACAATTTGCAGAAACTCACCGAAAACGACGAGCGAGTCGAGCGTATCGATTAGGCCCAATGAATAATCACCGAGAACATCGTTTATATTGATATTGTCTCTAAAATAGTTATCTTTCTGGGGGAAAATATGATTGTTTTTTCGTACAAATTTTCGTGGTCATGGCCGCGACCGCGACAATGAATCGGATCGAGCTCGTCGGCCGGAAACGCGTACTCCATGTAGTTTCGCCATCCGAAATCGAACATTTCCCGTGTTTTCGATAATCCATATTCGAGTTCTATCTGTGGAAAATATCGGAATCAGGAATGATACAGAGCAATTGACTTTCCGGGGTTTTCCCCCAGAGTGTTAGTCTCTTTAAATGTTAGGCCTGAAAATTACACTGGAAATTGCCGAATACTTGACCTCCTCATCCGTCAATAGAAACGGGTTTTTCGTCGATTTTCCGGCCGAAACCGACGAAATCAGGTGCGATAAAATCACAGTCGCTATCGCTATCACATTTCTCCGTAATTTCTGAAAAAAAAAACGCAAAACTTTTCAGATTTCTTCCAGAAAAATCTTACCATATTATTTTCATACTGGGATGGAATTTTGTCTACAAAACGCAAAACATTAGCTGAAAATCAGGTCAAAAAGAGGTGATTCCGATATAAAATCGATAAAACGAATCGGTTGGTGTGTGCGTGTGTGCGGGGTTATTGATATGGACACGTCGCGTTAAAAACGTAGAGAATTGTTTAATTTTTTTTTTCCGGAGCGGAATAAAACTCCACTTTTTTGTGGCACAAATTCAACGATTCGCTTGGCGATGACCGGGTGAAAACAAAAAATGCCTAACTGGGAAAACTATAAAAAATTTAGATACAATGGAAACGCTAGCTGAGAATCTATGCGCGAGTGGTGTCATAATAAAATATGAGAGAAATATAACAAGGAAAAATGGACAAAAAAACGGAAAAGTTGGTTTTTTTAAAACTATAGATGCTTGTGAATCTCCTCGTAAATTGCCATGACTAGTGCTCCGCCGGCGCTTCTGAAAATTGAAAAAATTTCAGAAATGCAAAGTTTCAATTACCTAAAAATGTTGGCCAAGGCGCCCTTGTACAGTCCGCGTACGCCTTCCTCGTGCACGATTTTCCGCGCCGCCGCCAACGCTTTCGATGTGCTCAGCTGTCCTTTTACCATCATTCGGCGTCGAACTGTGTCCCACGGATACGTCAAATACGACGAAAGTACTGTTACTCCCTGCAAATTTTGAAAATCATTACTTATTGAATTTTTTATTTTCTAACCTGTGCAATGCAAAAAGATGCATAAAATGGCAACTTCTTTTTATCCGTGTGTATCGTCTGTCGGATTGCATCGTACAATCCAAAATACACTGATCGGTAGATGAAATACGTCTGAGTTTTGTTTTTATGCAGATTTTGCTGGGAAATCCCGAAAAACCTGCAAAGAAATGGAAAATCCTCTGTAAAGCGCGGCGACTCCCTCATTTCGCACTGTTTTCATCGTACAATCCACGAGACCCTAAAGAATTTCAAATTTCCGGTATTGGTATATATATTTTAGCTGTCAAACTTTGTATTCTCGATTTGCGTGATGGCTAATATCGGCTGAAAGGCGCGTTCGAATGAAATCCAACGGGTAGACGATGCAAAGCGACGAACAGCCGGCCAGACCGCCCGAAACCAACGTCCGAACACTGTAGGAGAGCACGTTCTGAAGGAAATTCGAATTTTTGAAGGTTTTTGACGGATTTTCTTGGAAATCTTACATTTTCGCGTTTGATATTCTTCAGAAGAATCGATTTATACAAGTCGTTGAAGGCGAAATTGAACGCTTGTGTCGGAAAATATCTGATCACATTTGTAAGATTTCCGCGCCAAAACGACCGAAATCCCTGCTCTTTTGGCACGCGAACGAACGCGTCGATGATGCCGTTGTATCGCCTATCCGCCGGAATATCCTTGTGAGAGTATTGGACCTGAAATCGGCGAAATTATTTTTTTTTCTTGCATTTTTTGGTTTTTTGGCACCTGGAGCAGAATTTTGACCCGTTCAATGGGTGCCACGGCGGTTTTTGACACTGACGCCGAAACTCCGCCGATTAGAAGGTCAATGGCAAACTTTTGAGCTTCAGAACGTTTGTTTCCCGCCATCGGCACATGAGTTGCTGTCATTTATAGCCTGGAATGACGCAATGTATTGCCTTTTCCACGGATTTTATACTAATTTCTTGCCATTATTTACTTTAAACGCTGTCCAAGTTGCTATTAATCCAATAAAACTCACTTTTCGGCAGAAAAAATGGAATAAAATTAGAATTCAGTCGTAAGAAAACTCAGACAACGTATGCATCGGCGATGCAATGGCGATGTCGAGCCCACGGGCGGAGTGTCGTCGCGCGCACTGTTTAGCCCCCATTATTTCCACTGAATTTTGAGGCGTTTCACTCACAAAGAACAGAAAAGGGTTAGAAATGCTCCGATTGAGAATGAAAATAAATGAAAAGAAAACGAATTTAGTTTTTGCAGATCAAATAAATTAATTTTAAAATGGAAAGAATTATCACGCTTTTCCCTTCTCTTCATTTCCGCTCTTTCAAGTTGTTTCTTCTGCTTTCTCTCATTTTCAGGCTCTCTCTCTCTCTCTCTCAGGTCATTTTCAGTATATTCCTGCAGAAACGGTCATTCCGGATCCGTAAAAATAAAATATTACGCCCCGCCCTGACGGTGATCCCAAACAGTTGGAAGATTGCCCTGAAAAGGATAATCTTTTAATTGGTATGGTCTGAAAAAGCCCTGAAAAAGGCTCGGAAGGTTGTCCTGAAAAGGATAATCTTATCTGGTATGGTCTAAGAGAGCCCTGCCAAGTGGTGCGGCTCCATCAAAGGTGGAAAAGTATGACATTCGAGACTTGAAAAAAAGGGGACGAAGAGCCATTATACAATTGGGACTTTGAGCCTGCTCCTCTGTCCACTATCATGATATTTTGGTTATGTTCGGACTATTTCGTTTTTGAGACCGGGGTTCGAATATTTACTTTTCGTTTATTTTCATTCCCAATCGGAGTATTTCTAACCCTTTTCTGCTCGTTGTGAGCGAAACGCCTCAAAATTCAGTGCGAATAACGGGGCTAAACAGTGCGCCCCACGATGCTCCGCCCGTAGGCTTGACATCGCCATTGCAACGCCGATGCATCGCATTTGAACCGCCGATACATCGGAAACCGTTGTCAGAGAATGATTATTTGCGCGTCGGGTAAAATGTTTCTACAATAGCAGGTGCCACACAAAAGCCGAAAAAATTACGCATATTTGCGTACTTTTGCCTCCAAAAGAAAAATATTGCGCGAAAATCTTGCGAAATTTTGCCAAATCTCACCCAATTCTCCTTTATTTTCAACAGATGCAGTCAGAAATCATCAAAATCATTTTGTGTGCATTTATATTCCCTTCGAAAATTATACGTACCCTGTTTATCTTCACTTTTCACCTGAGTCCTATTTCCTCCCAATTCTCTTTGAAATTTCAGGTAATTCACAATTCTACTAGCTTGCAATGGTTCTCGACATTGATTTGTTCCGTACGGAAAAAGGTAAACCGATATCTTATCGTTAAAATCTGTATATTCGAACTTTTCAGGCGGAAACCCGGAGTTGATCCGTGACTCGCAAAGGAAACGGTACAAGGACCCGAAGCTGGTCGATGAGGTTATCGAACTCGACGAGAAGTGGCGGAAGGAGAAGTTCACCGCCGATCAGCTGAATCGTCAGAAAAACGCCATTTCCAAGGCGATCGGGGAGAAAATGAAGGTAATTTCCGCAAAAAAAAACGCGTTAAAAACTGCATTTTCTGCAGAAAAAAGAGGCTCAAGGCACCGACGACACGGTCTCCGGCGACATTGTCGCTCGTCTGGCTGATCTGAAGCTCGACGAGCTCTCCAAACTGACTGTTGTTCAACTGAAAAAGTTGCGCGTGCTCGTCGACGAGCAATCCGTCCTTACCGCGGCTGCCGCGATCGCCCAGGAGAACGCACGTCAGGAGAAGCTCGTGCAGATCGGAAATCTGATCCACGAGTCGGTGGTGGTGTCCGACAACGAGGACAACAACAAAGTCGAGCGAACGTTCGGCGATTTGAGCACGAAGAAAAAGTATTCGCACGTGGATCTCGTGGTGATGGTCGACGGATTCGACGGGGAACGCGGTACCGTGGTGGCCGGAGGACGTGGATATTTTCTGAAGGGACCTCTCGTTTTTCTGGAGCAAGCCATTATCCAACTTGCTCTTCAGCGCCTTAACCTCAAGGGATACACCCCACTGTACACCCCGTTCTTCATGCGAAAGGAGGTGATGCAGGAGGTCGCGCAGCTCAGTCAATTCGACGAGGAGCTCTACAAAGTCAGTTCGAAGGGCTCGGAAATCGCCGGCGACACGTCCGTCGACGAGAAGTACCTGATCGCCACGTCGGAGCAGCCGATTGCCGCCTATCACCGCAACGAGTGGATCAAGGAGACCGAGTTGCCGATCAAGTACGCCGGCGTCTCAACATGCTTCCGTCAGGAGGTCGGCTCGCACGGACGCGACACGCGCGGCATCTTCCGCGTTCACCAGTTCGAGAAGATCGAGCAGTTCGTTCTGTGCAGCCCCAATGACAACGAGTCGTGGACGTTGTTCGACGAGATGATCGGCAACGCGGAGAGCTACTACCAGGAGCTCCAGATCCCCTACCACGTCGTCAACATCGTCTCCGGAGAGCTCAACAACGCGGCGGCGAAGAAGTTCGATTTGGAAGCGTGGTTCCCGGGGTCGGGCGCGTTCCGTGAGCTCGTCTCCTGCTCCAACTGCCTCGATTATCAGGCGAGACGACTCAAGGTCCGATACGGACAAACGAAGAAGCTGAGCGGAGAGGTTCCATTCGTGCACATGCTCAACGCGACCATGTGCGCCACCACACGCGTCATTTGCGCCATTCTCGAGAACAATCAGACCGAGGAGGGAATTAATGTGCCGGTGGTGAGCCCGAATCTCTTTTCCTGCTCTTTTCACCTACTTGTTTTGTTTTCAGGCCATTCAACAATGGATGCCCGAGAAGTTCCGCACGTTCATTCCGTTCGTCAAGCCCGCTCCGATCGATGAGGACGCGAAAAAGGCGGCCGGACAGAAGAAATGAGCATTTATATAATATCCTCTGGGTTTTGGGATTTCAAATTTCTTCCATAATTTATATTGTTTCACGTTCACCTGCTTCCCCCATTCTTGTTATCCCTATCATTATCATTGCTTTGCTCGAGTTTTAATAACGTTTGAATACGAATAATTCCCAACAATAGGTTTCATTCAGAACAAAAAAAAATACGGTGTAAAAGGCTATACATAGTTCAGCTGGTTGAGGAGGGATAAAGAACGATGATGAGGTCCGGTAATAGAAAACGGGGGAGAGAGTGCGGGGCGGTGAAATCATTCGATTACTCGCAAAGTGACGGGGGTAAAATATTATAAAAAAATAAATAGGATGCGATGAGGTGGGTAAATGGATGTTTTGGGAGATGGAGGGAAGGGATAATAATAATCATGGAACAGATAATAATTTAGAACGAGTAACGAATGTAGGGGACCTCCACATCCTCGTCGCTCGGATCCGTCATCATTGGCTCGAGGACGATCGCCCTGACCGACTCGTGCAGCTCCTTTTTCATCAGTTCCTCGTAGATGGCCTTCACTCTGCAAAGATACCAATTTATGGGGAGAAATCCGACTGAAAATGACTCACTCAGTCTTCATTCTCTGCGTCTTCTTCGCCGCATTCATGAAGAACGAGAAAAGGAGGCACGATCCGGCGGAGAGCATCGAACACTCGCAGCCCGTCTGCTTCTGCAACTCGTCGACGAACTCCTGCAGGGTGAGCGGTCCCTTGATGTCGATGCGATCCCAGAGCGTGAAGTCCTTCTCCAGGTACTTCTTCTTCGGTGCCGCAATCGGTTCGGCCGACGAAAAGAACGGCATCGACAGGTTGAGGAACGTGTTCTTGAACCGCTCGATCGGCGTCTTCGGCACTCCGCTCACGTCGATCACCTTGTACAGCTCGACGCAGACGAGTCCGGCGATGGCCGCGGTCGTCGTCGCGATGGCCGGAATGATCTTTCCGGCAATCTGCTTCGTCTTCATGCGGTCCGCCGGCTGAATGTCGTAGTTCTCGGCGCGGAGGTTCGAGGCGGCCGTGATGAACTCCATGTGATGGTTCGAGTCGTCGTCCTTTTCGAAGTCGACGCAGTTGAGGCGGCGAGATGTCGTCACGCTCAGAGTCGCCAGCTTTAGTTTGAGCATCTCGATGAGGTGATCGTCGTCGGTTCCCAGTGCGCTGACGGCTCCCTGCTCGGCTTGCTCCTTTGCTTCCGCCTCGCTCACGGCGATCTTGACGCCGGCACGTGGCTTGAATGGCTCCGGAGTGACCGAGAGGGCGACGCGCACGACTTCCTCGCGGTCCAGAATCGGCTCCAATCCGTACATTTCCGCCTTGAGGATCGAGGCGGCGTAGACAAAGTTGAAGTGCTCGTCCTTTGACGGGTCGAAGTTGAGCACGTGCGGACAGCGCTTCGCTCCCGACCAGAACTTGGCGCCCGAGTCGGTGAGCTGATCCGGCGGGAACGAGTGGAGCATCTGGGCGATCGTGTTGTGGTAGAGCTCCTGATACTGATCGCGAGCCCAACGGATGCAGTCTTCCGCCGACGCCGGGCGCGAATCGATGAGCGCATCCTTGACCTTTTGCAGAATCTCGATCTGCTGTCCCGAGATCAGTTTGTTGAGGTGATCGTTGAATCCGCGCTCATCGGACAAGAACTTGTTGGCCATCTCGCCCGGCTGCGCGAAAAAAGTCTCAAACTGCTCGCGGGCCCACTGGATCGTGTGCTGGATCTCGTTCGGGAAGTTTTTCAGCGTGCACACCGGGATCTCCTTTTCTGGCGGGTCGACCGACGACGAGTAGGATTCGGTGAGATGGGGGTACACGACCTGCGTGTTTCCCTTCGTGCCCATCGTTCCCGACTCGAGCAGCGGCAGACGGTAGTAGACGCAGCGACGATCCATGTAACGACGGGCGTCAACGTTGTCGAGGGCGTTCGCCACTCCGTTCAGCTCTCCGAAGAACTCATCGTTGAAGATGTGCTCCGTTTCGAGTCCGACGCGCTCGGCGAGTGCCTGAATGTTGACATCCGAGTTGAAGGCGGTCACTGCGTTAGCCGCACACTCCGACTTCTTTCCCTGCAAATATTATTATTTAAATCGAGCCTATAATGATAGAAAACTCACTCCAACGTCACGTCTTCTGAACAAGAATTGTCTATTGAGATTAGAGATTTCAATCTGGTCCATATCGGTTATTTTAATGAGTCCTCCCTGCCCGCACGCGACTCCCATCATCGCCAGATTCTTGAGTAGCTCGCATCCAATGGCGCCGGCGCCGACAACAAACCAGCGTTGGCGGAAGAGACACTCCTGGTAGGGCCAGCCGAAAACGGCGGCCTGACCGTCGTACCTCGACTGACGTGGCTGACAGTCGGCCGCCGAGAGCTTCGAGTTGTCGAACGCGGTCCAATCCCCGGGCAGCGCCTCTACGTGGTCGATGTAGAGCCATTGTTTGAGTGGGTTCAGATGGTGCGTGACTCCCTTCATCGCCTCCTGCGCCGCAATTCCGCCGACGACCGACGAGACGGTGACGAGGTTTCCGGCGGCGGAGAACGAGAACAGCTCGATCAGTTTGTCGGGAACCTCTTCGGTGCCTTTCGGAATCAGCTCCTTCAGCAGCGCCACGTCTTCTGTGGAGCGTGGAGCCGGCGACCGTCCGTGCTTCTCCTCGAACGCGTAAAGAGCGGTCCAGAGCGCGTGCAGCTGGGCAGGATACTCGAACTTTGCGTAGTCCCAAATGCAGAATTCGGGTTCTTCGATCGACTTTTCCAGCGGCAAATGACTGATCGTGGTGGGCACTTTGACCTGTCTGCATCGACCTCCTTCAACGAAATCGGGAAAGTTGGCGGCAAAGTCGCCAATGTTGAACTTAGACGCGTTCTTCACCGTAATTTTGAGCGGCTCGCAACCGTTGATGCCCTCGAGTCCCTTCACCTCCGAAAAAGTGACATGGTCGCCGTCCTCGAGCCCGTGGAACACATTCTCCAACGTCGTCACCTCGCCGGTCGTTCGATCGATGTGCTCGATGAAGAACTCGCGAACCTGCTCGCCGGTGGTGTCGTCGATGCGGAACGCGTCGCCAAAGTCGTTGAAAATGTAGGAGAAGACTCCACGCGCGTCGGCAATCACGATCCGACGTCCGTGCGCGCGGGTCCAGCCGGCGACACGGCGTTGCGCGGTGCGTGGAACGTCGGTGAGCACGACGAGCTGAAAATCGAATTTCATCCCTATTCCAATGATCAGAAACTCACATCAAACTGCTTGACGAACTGCTCGGTGAGCTCGTCCGTCGCCACCTCCACATTGACGCTGTCGTTGAGTTCGGCGAGTCGCTCGAAGCACGCGCTGGCTCGATTGTGCCCTACATCGGCCTCTCGCAGATAGTACTGCGCCGAGAGATCCGCCCATTTCGTGAGCTTCGTGTCGTGGATCGTGACGTGGCGAACACCGCCCAGAATCAGATTTTTGGCGATTTCGACGCCGACGCTTCCGAGACCCGAGATGAGGACGGACGCCGTGCGCAGATTGACCATTGCCGATTCGCCGAGCGTGTAGCTAAAAATTGTATTGAAATAACTCAAAAATGGAAAAGAAACTCACATCTGTCTCGAGTAGAGATTCTTGTCGAGCACCTCATCCGACTGGTTGGCTCCCGCTCCCGCATTGTTGCTCGTGTCCATTTTCTCGCTCTTGTTTCCTTCGTTACTCTTCGTGGAACCGACGTGAACACTTCCCGAGTGCTGAAAAAAAATGACGTGGATGAAGAAAACGTGGGCAGGGACGTGGCCAAACGTGGCCAATTTTCAGCAGCATTTTTGGAAAGAAAATTAGAGCGAGTACACGGGAAACCAGGCTTGGCAAATCCGGGTCGAGGAAAAAAAGGCGTGCACTTTCGAACAAACTTGCTGTCAAAGCCCATATACCAAGCCGGGCTGGCCCGGGAAACCGTCTTTTGATCTCCTACAGTCATTCTCCGCAATACACAATTGAACGAATCAATAATGTACTACAAAAAATGTATAGGAGACCATGTAAACGCCGGATTTTGCAGATTCCGATCACGTTCTCATAGTCCGACTAAATGTTCGAAAACTACAAAAAAAAGCAAGCGGAAAGTTGAAAAATTCAAATTTCTAGTAAAATTCAGGACAACACCAATATGTCATCCTTACTAATACGAACGCTAAACCACTAGGTAGCGCAGAGAAAAAGAGAACTGTCGAAAGATTTGAAACGAAATCGAAAAGAGACGCAGAGAGGGAGCGGCGCCCAGCCACCACAAACAGAACCGCCCGTCCGTCCGGCTGACCATAATCCTAACCCACTTAATCCTAAACGACAGACGTCCGTCCTTTTGCGGAATCTCTTGATCTTCGACTATATCGAATAAAATCGGATCGCACAACGAAAAAATCGCGTTTCGAATCGAAAAATGAGTAGACCAACCGAAAGCCTCCAGAAAATGATAGTGTACTAATAGTAAACTGATAGCAAAAAGTGGTCACTCGCTAGAAGATTCTCGACAAACAACTGGTCAAAAGCGACAGAAAAGGAAAAAGGGGAGACGAGAGTGCAGACAACGGAGACCGAATTGACAAACACGCATGCAAGAGTTCTTACCGCGACGGAACCGCACCGCGTTCGACGGAAATTCAATACGTAATACCCAAACCGTTCGCGGCGGAACAACAATTTCTACCGCTCAACGCAACCATGACCACTCACTTTTTGCGGTAAATGCCAATCCACCTCGAATTGTCTGATGTACGCCGTATACATAGTGATGATTAGACTGACTTCGATAAAAAATGACGACTATTATTATTAATATTAGTATTCATTCACACATTCTAGTCGACTACGCACATATCCATCACCACCGAGCGCTTATCACGACGGTTGCCACGGCAACTTTACGCTTAGGAACGCCGCAAAATTTTCGGCGAAAACGAAAAACTAATTACGGGAGGAAATTAGCAAGAAATTGGTGCCCAAAGTCCAGCAAAACGCCTAATTTTTCTGAGATGTGATGGACATATTCGATAGAGTAAACAACGGGGTTTGAATTGGATTTTCCCCGACTGAATAGGCCCATGAGAAAACAAACCTGTGCCTAGAACACCAAGAACGTACCTTTCGGTAATTCGGAACATTCATATCGTAGTCCGGAAATGCCACGTGGAGACAACGTGGAAAGCAGAGACAAAATGCGCCGACGAAACACGTCATTTTTGCGAGCGGATAATAATGTTTCTAGCTTTTCGGACGGCTGGGAACAAGTGTGAGAAGACGACGAGAGCTATCGGACTCTGGGAACATGAGAAAATGTGGATCGAACGACCAGAATTCAGAACTTCATAGAATTCGACGGATTCTGATGCGATTTTCGAATCTTTCAAGTTTAACTCAGAATCGGAGTGGATTTATATCAATTTTCACTTCCCAAATATGATTTTGGAAGCTTTTCAGATTTGCAAACATTAATCCTCAAAATCCGCAATTTCAGCAGAATTTTAGCGCGAGCACGTACATCAGCTGCACCGGAGAGCGTCTGCTGCTTCGGCGTCACCGAGTTGCCGTTCTTGATGAGCGGCTGCTCGTCTTCGGACGATCCGTCGACTTTGACTCGTTTCGCCGGCGGACTCTCGTTCTCCTCGCCCTTCTTCTCAACAATCTCGGCCTTTTTTGTCGTTTGGTTAGTTGTCGTCGTCGTAGTTGTGGCCGTTGGATGTTCGATGACAGAAGTCATTTGTTGATGCAAACCCACTGAAATCTTGATATTTTATCAATTTTCCGCGGGAAAATCAATGTAAAATATTTAAGTGAAAACGGACAAACATAGGCGAGTTAAGCCCTCGGAGCACGTGCTGCTTCATTTCCCGCAGAGGATTACGAAACTCAACGAAAAACAGAGAAACAGAGTCGGATTGTGATAAAATTGCGTTGTTCACCATTCAAACTGTTGAGAAATAGAATAAAGACAGCAGAATTCTCGAAATGTCTCTCAAAAACGATACAATTGGCTAAACTGAGGAGAGCGAGCGTAAAACACACAAACACAGCGGAGAACGTTCGAGAAAAGCAATAAAATTGGCGCCAATTTCATTCGTTTATTTAATTTCGCGCTCAACTTCAAATTCTAATGACAGACGCCTGAAATATTGACGAAAAATTAGCGCCAACTGATCCAAAAAGCCAGGAAAAATAGCAAAAAAGTAATTCGAAAACGATTTTGGGAACAAAATGTTCGGTGGAGCGCACTTTCACCGGTCATTGTGAAATAGCGAGTACTTCGATGGAAAACGAGAGGAAAATGACAAAAAAAGGGCTCCCGGATGAAAAATGCTTTACTCTTTAAAATTATATATTACCAAAAAGAGAGAACCAATGGAATGACATATATGCTGATCGATACGAAAAGAAAAAAAAACAAAGACAGGAGAGGACTACAAAAGTGGGGAAAAATGGGGAAAAATGAGGAAATTTATAGTTTTGCCGGTGTCCGTGGGCTTCCGGCGCGGCCTAGTCATCCCTTGACAAAGTGCCACTTGTCGACGTCTCCTGGAAGTGCGACAGGAGCTCCGTGCTCCGGATGAGCTGCGACGGCGGCCGCGGCGGCTTCTTCGGTCGCCTGATGGACAGCTTCCGGCACGTGCGAGACACTGAAAAATTACAGAGATTTTACTTAAAAAGTTCGTTGAAACAGTACGTGTTGAGCTGCGGCGAGACCTCCTTGATGAGCGCCTTCCAGTAGGTGTTCGTCTCCTCGATGACCTTCTCGGCGTACTCGCGATCCTTGAACTCGCCATTGAACGCAAACTCGTTGGCCGGCTTTCCGGCCGGAATCTTGTAGATACGGAACCACTCGACGGACGCCGCCAGCAGTCCCGGGAACACCTTTTCGACGTCGTTGATGTCGTTGAGCTTGTCGGCGTTCTCGTCGTTCACGTCGATCGCCACCAGCTTCCAGTCGGTCTCGCCCTCGTCGATCAGCGCCAGAGTGCCGAGCACTTTGACCTGGAGCACGCTTCCGCGCTTCGCCACCTTTGATCCGATCTCGATCACGTCGATCGGATCGTTGTCGCCCTTGGCGCCAGTGTCCGGCACCACGTGGTTCGGATCTTCCCACGTCTGCGGAAGCGCGCCGTAGTTCCAAATGTAGCCGACGTGCGGGAAGATGTTGTGCACGAAGCGCGCGACGCCCTTTTTCTCGTCCTGCTTGATCGGCGAGAACGCCTCCTTCGTCGCCATCTCCATTTTCGCGTTCGTCCAACGCGGAATCTCCACAATCATGTTGTACGTCGACTTTTCCTTGTCGGCGAACAACGGAATGTCGTGCCACGGCGACACGATTCCTTGCGGTCCCTCTGCAAAACGCCAGTTCTCGAACAGAAGCTACTAGTGTGCATTCGCCGGAGTGCACACTCCGGCGCTTGCATAATATTCCACAACTCACTGATGTAGACCCGATAGTCGAGGCTGTAGAGCGATCCGCGCTCGACGGTCTCGTAGACTGGCGTGTCTCCGGCTCCGGTGCTCATTTTCGCCGTTTGTTGCTGCCGATTGATGGCCGCTGCGTCGGTCACAGTCCTGTAATCGGAGCGAGATAATTGCGGAGAAGAGCGGAGCGATGCGGGCAGTTTTATACGCGACAATTGATGATTAGGTCAAATCAAAAGTGACCGAGTGCAAATTGGTCCTACTTGTTAGGGTTGCGGAAGCAACGACCACAGAACAGCCAGGAGAACATCGGTGACGTGGAGACAAGAAATTGAACTAACTGGCAACATTTTTGGGGGATTAATTGGAATTGGAAAACTTAGGTTCACGTGAGTAGAGCGAAAAAACCACTTTTTTCCAGAGTTTTTTGCCGAAAGCGCGACATTTCATGTGGGGAAGCAGATGAACAAACACCGTCTCGGCTCTATTTATACAAGAAATTTTCAACAAACTGTCGTGAGCATTGCATAATTGTAGGCAACATTTTACTGACATTTCGTGTGAGAAGAGTGCCCCGCCTTATCACCTGACACCGCCCGTTTCTGGCTGGCGAAAAGACAAAGTTCAGTAAACGCCTACACTTTTGTGTTTACCCACGCCGGGAAGAACAGTGTTTTCTGTGTTTTGCCCCAATTTCGAAATGACACAATTCGAACAAGCAAGAGAAGAGTCTAGACGTAGGTGTATTGAGTTGAAAGAATTTATGGGGGTCTGGTTCGGAGACAATCATTTTTTGCTCAACAAGCTATTTTAAGAACAGTGTTATAGCCTCCGAAACAGGCCTCTAATAGTGTTCGAGAAAAACATCTTCAAATTCACAATTTTGGTTCGGCGCTCAAACATTCCGTACCTAGGAATCTAGAGCACAATGAGCTTCGTTCAAAATCAGCTGAAAAGCTGTGGTAATGCTCTGTGACGTTAACACAAGCTCATCCAACACACCACCACCGATAGATAGATAGAAAAAAACACGCATAGAAAATGAGAAGCAGCAGCGGCACGCAACCACCTCAAAGTGTGAATACTCCTCTGCGAGCCGGCGCTCATCGACTTGTGCTCGGCTCGAGCTCCGGAAGACGTCGAGTAGGCGGTGGTGAGACTGCCACGTGGCGACGGGAAAGTGCCCGAACTACCGGAGTCCAGCGAAGGCATTGCGAAGACCTAGACGAGGACAAGACTAACAAGGTAGCGAGGGGGTTCCTTGCCTGTGTCGTCGTCATCTGATTGTTAGTAGAAGTGGTGGAACTCGGTGTCGAACGCGAAGTCGCCCATTTTGCGTTGTTCGTCGGCGTGTCCGACGAGGAGGAGACGGTGGCGATGGCGCGTTCGGTGCTCGCCGCGCAGCCCATGATTCTCGGTTTGGAGGAGCAGAAGCCGAGCAGTGCTCGTGTCGCCACCACACTTCGACCGCCCAGGAGCATCTAGGAGAGAACGAGGACAACATACAAAACGGATGAGTGATTGATGAGGAGAGGAGAGGAAGACGAAGGCGACGACGACGGGCTATCATGCACATTTTCAGGCGGTGTGGAAGGATTTTGGTGGTGGTTTTGGCAGGCAATCAGGCAGGGGGATTAGTTGGGCAGAAGAGCAACATAGGAGTGGATTATCACCGATATTTCTTGTTTCTCTTTTTTATCTTACATTGTTTAATACGCAGACTAATCTTTATTCGATTATTCGGGGAGATCCGAGTTTTCAGGGCCCTTTTTGTATTGTTACAACAAAATCCTATCGGCTTTACAAAAAATCCGCTCTGATTTGTACCCGCGAAGCTCACGTAAAGCTTTTTGAAACAATTTAAGAATTGAAGGATTTCACACAGCCAAAATTGAAGAAAATGATTTCCGGGGGTGTCTGAGCGAAAAACCAAGATTTCCGGGGATTTTAGGCCTCTCTTCGTATTTCCGTCGATTTTCAGTGATATTTGGAAGAAAATCGACCAGAAATAGCGAAAATTGAAGCTGAGATCGCGAGGAATTCGATACGGACGCTCAAATTCCGCGAAGATGCGCCGAAAATCAGATAAATTGACCCAAAAAACAAGTGAATCGTGTCTGACTGCCAAAAAAATTACCCACTGTGTTTACACACCGAACATCACGAACCACGCGAAAATGCACACTCAGACAGCCGATCGCTCGAAAAAGTGTTGGCAAATTTGCATGAAAAAAGGGAGGGGAATCAGAAAGAACCGCAAAAAATTGGGGAAAAATGGATAAGGCGACGAACCTGGTTGCGAAGAAAAAAAGGGCGGTGCAGACGATGGCGGCGGTCATCGCGACCAGCGGTTTGTTGCGTTTCACGATCAGCACGAGGCCCATCAACACCACTTTATCATCGCTGAAAGATCAACCAAAGAACGATTGGGCGGGAAAAGGGTTGAGGAAACGAAAAAAGAAGAAATCGGACTTGTTTTGCTCTCCGAGCCGCTGCTCTCTTATCACTTTCCCGTTGTTCTCAGCGTCTCCGCTATCGTCGTTACTATTCGTTTCTAAACAGTGTGTCATCGCCGTCGGTTTAAAATGTGTTTTATTTGGTCTCTGGCGCCTGAAAAATAAAAAAATGCGACGCAATATTACAATGAAACGTTCTGCCGCCCACTACGCTGTAATTCTATGCAAATTTTTTAAAAATCCGATCAAAAATTTTGATCGGATAAAACAGACTGTAGAAAAATGCTTCGGCAACCCTAGAAAACTCAAATATGCTTCTACTTTTACAAAGTTTGAGCGTAAACACTTTTAATTCACTATTACTAGATAAGAATTCCAAGTTCCCGAGAAAGTTTATCGCAGAAAAACGTTCTAATGTCATGAAGACTTTGGTTCTTCGGCTCGACTCTGACTCGCCGTCTCCGCTAACGTCGACTTCTTTTTCTCCTTCTCTTTACTGTCCCGCTTCTTCTCCGCCGTTTTTTCCGGATTCTCGGCGCTCATTCTCCTTTTCTTCTCCTCCACCTCCAGAATTAACATCTTCTGACGCGGGATTTTGAGTTCGACGAGTCGCACTTTCGAACTCTGCACCTCCAGAGGCACCTGAATTAAAAAATGGTCTCAAGGAATGTTTGGAAAATTTACCGATTCGCCAGGCGTGTAGAACTCTCCATCGGCCTCATCGCTCGACGATTTCTGGATTTTGAGATGAATCTCATGGGTGGATCGCTCTAGATTGAGGACCAAGTAAAGACGAGACAGAAGATCGGCTGGAAACGGGAAAAAGTTCCAATCTATTTTTCTAGAAACTGACAGTAAGTAGCATCGAAGGCCATGCTGACGACGACGGGCCGCGAGAGATAGAGAAAATACCACAACTGCTCGGACGTTTTCCGCTTCCGTTTTCGTGTGCTGTTCGGTTTGTGTGGCGTTCGTTTCGTCGCCCGCACACTCGACCGCAGTTTGTCCTTCGCGCCCTCCTGGTCTTGCGTCGACAGTTCTCCGTCGTGGTCGGCCTTCTGAAGCGGCGACGACTCGCGCGCGAACGCCGTCGTTTTCTTGATTGAGAACGTGCAAGACGTGTGCTTTTCTGTAAAAAAAAAACATTCGCTGACGATTTCAACAGGCAAATGTCCGAAAAATACCTTTCGGCTGTTTCGGCGCACAAATCACACAGTAAAAGTGTCCGCAATCGAGCAGCTCGAGCTTGTGCATTCCGCCGACGAGCTTGCCGCACTCGTCGCACACCAACGACACGTCCATCTCGTCGCCGACGTCGTCTTCGGTGCGCTCGTGCGAACTTTTCGTCGACGAAATCTGAAGTCTTGTCGTCGACGTTAGTCCCGTACTGAAGGTTGAAATCGAATAGCAGGCGACCGAAATGAGAGCGTGAACTTACTGTACTTTTGACAGATTCGACTTCTCTCTTTTCGACATCTCCGTTTTTCACACTTTTTAAAATAGGAAATGATTAAATTAGCATGATTGATCCCTTGACGGTCACGGGTTCAAGGCATTTTTTTTGAAAATTGCCGATGTGGTGCTCTCGCTCACAGAAGCGTTTCTCGCTCTTTTGCACGAAGGCGCCGCGGATATCTTGGACAGAATGGCAAATACTTCTCTCTCCATTTTTTTCACTGTTCGTTGTTTCTGATAGTGAATGACGCCATTTTAATAATACATTTGCTCAAAAAAACGACTCAAAACTGTCATGCACAGTGCATACTGTTGCGAAACGTCTGGTTGCAAATTTTCAAGTACACGCTGAGAAACCCCTCCATTTGTGATCTTCGGGACCATTTGAATCCAGGAAGAAAATCACAACTTGAGCAGAGCACGTCGCCCAGAGACTGCAAGCGGTCGTTTAAGGAGTCGTTTGGGCCGTCGTCGCCGTCTTCTGGATCGTGGCAGTTGACGACATTGCGAGCAGCCGAAACGTGGAGCGAAGAGCCTTTGCACAACAACGGTTTCGACGTCAGCCCATTTTGTGTCCTGAATCCTTTTTTCCTGAATCCAACTTTTTATTCGATCAATTCAATAAGTTTCAACAAAATCTATCCGTGTTGGCTCTCAACAAATGTATGTATAAACCGGTGATTTGAGGAAGAGGGAGCTTAAAAATTGCACATTTTCCCATAACAATTATATGGCATCATGCTTCGCGAGGACTAGACACGACTGTTAACAAATTGCCTGATCACTCGTATCCGTGAACACAATTTTTGAGATTTCCAACGCGCCAGACTTGCCGCTTTCCGACAATCGGGATATTATATAGACCTGGTGGGGAAAAGCATTGAAGTATGGTAGGAGATTATGGTATTGTACCTTGGTATCACTGGCCAACAACTCGATATAATCGTTTCCCTCGCGGCCTTCCACCTTGAAACAACTCTCCAACTCTTTGGTTCCACTATCATTGCAAATGAATAGATTGGCATCACCCTGAAGTTATCTACCGTAATCTTTGAAGACAGTAACCAACTTACAAGAAGTTTGTAATCAAAATGCAGTCGGGCTACCGTATTCAGCCGGAATTGTGGGGATTCGAGAATGAAGACTCGTTTGGAGCGCGTCAGAAACGCGCTCAATTTTCGGTTTGCCACTCCGTGCATCGCCGAATTGGACACTTGAGAGCTCTCGTAAAGACACGCGTGTCCGAGGTGGAAATCGCAGGAGAGCAGCCGACAGACATTTGGATCCGGAATGTCTGCGGTCGGACGGAACGTCTTCGAGGAGAACTGCTTGGCGGCGGTCGGAGGGCAGATCTGTCCGGTCACCACGATGTCGTCGATCAAAACCATTCCCTGATCTTCGGCCTCGGCGGAGAAGGCGACGCGGAATGGGCGGCGGATTCGGGGCAGGTCGACGACGACGTCTCCGCTCGTCGCGTCCTGGCAGTCGAGCAGCGACGGGGAGGACTCTTCGACCAGACACACCTAGAGAAGTTTAATCGGTCCCGGATGAATGGTAGAGAAGAACTCACCTTGATCTTCGCACTACCCGTAGTCCATAGTCGAAACTGGACGTGCACATTGTCCAGAGCACATCTGACGACCTCCGATAGAAGAATGGCGGTGCCGCCCGTCTCGAACCTGGCGACTCCAAACTCGCCCTCAGGCGGCTCCGAAATACCCGTCAACGAGTACAACTTCTCGTCGTTCAGCGGTCCGTGTCCGACCGCCCACGTGTTCGAAGCGATCTCCGTCGCGTCGTCCTCCTGATTGAGCATTCCCCAGAGGCACGCGGAGGCTCGTTTCGAGAAGTCGCACGAAAGATCTTGCGCGGTGTGCACGTTCCGATTGAGGAGAAGCGAGAGCATCGGGGTGGAGACGAAGGAATCGCCGATGTCGAAGACGGAGAGGGCGTCGGTGCAGAGGGTGGCCCGGTAGGAGACGTCATCCACGATGACCATGTTGTCAAAGTCGGCATTGAACGAGGAGACGCGGATTGTGATCATAAAGTTCTTGGTCGCTTTTCTAAACGTGAGTTTTACATTGGCCGGAGAGCTTCCGCGGGGGATCGGAATGCATTCAATGTCCTTGAGCGTCAGGTCCACAGCACACGCTTCCAACTCGATTTGTCCAAACTCCCAGAATCTGAAATCATATTTCGTCAAGATTATATCTATTTTGAACAAAGCCCGACCTAAAAGTAAACTCATTCTCGGTCAAACTTTGGCAAGTGATCGGATCGGATCTGAGGATGTCGAGCGACTTCTTCTGTGTGCCCTGCTCCACGTAGAGCATCGCGTATCCACCACGTGGCCCCACCGTAGTTCCGGTCGCGTTCAGGAGAAGCTCGTTGGGCAGGATGGAGGCCGAACGGCGCCACATCTGAGAATGATTTTGAGAAAAACAAAAGAGAGAAAGAGAGAAAAGTTGCCTACCACCATTGCATCGCCTCCGGATCGCCAACGACACTTCGCGTCGAAGTTGTCGCATTTCAACTCGGCCGCCGACTCGACATGCTTCCCGCTAGCGCCAGTTTCCAGAGGGCTCGAACGGAAGTTATCGCCGAGGTCAACTGGAAACAGAGTGCTGTACATATTGCCACGAACATTTTCAACAATCACTCACTTCCCACTTTGCACAAGCTCGCCGAGTACAAAATATTATCGATCATGACGAACGAGCCGTCGGTGTTCGCGATCTCATAGGCGCGGATGCCGATTCGGAAAGGGCGGTCCCGGGGCGGAATCTCGGCGTGGCACTCTGTATTCAATTGAATAGTTCCACAATCCACGTAGGGCTTCTCTTCGGACGGATCGTCGAAAATCATCTTGTAACCACCGCGACCGTCATCTTCCAAAAGAAGCACCTCGACGCGCGCACTGTTGTAGACCCAGTAGGTGAAAGTGAGGTTTCCGGTGGAGTTCTGGCAGTTGATCGGCGACGAGTAGAAGATCGCGTGCTGCTCCTCGCGCTTCTTGTCGCCCACGAATATCATTTTGTCGCCCTGCTGAATTTTTGTGGGACCTGGACCCACGCGCAGCGCGGGGAACTCGGTATAGTCGATCTTTTCGAAGAGGTAAAAGTCGCGAGAGTCCATTTGATTATCATCGGGCATGTTCTTCCATTGGCACTTTTCCGGGTGCGAAAAGTCGCAGTTCAGGTCGGTCGGGTGACGGATCGGCTTGTCGGTCCAGCCTGCAAATGGCAAGATTCATGTGGCCCTTGAAAGTTCGTGTTTTCGAGTGTTGTCCTAACTTCAAACCGCTACAATACTCTTCGGAGTGAGTTTACAAAAAAAAGAGAGATAACTTCCCTGGCCTCAATTCTGCCACTTCCGCTTCTGTTTTGCCTGTTACGCAATGTTGAGTGTCCCCAAAAAAGAGTGACTAATTCGGCCGATCCGATCCTATTCGATCTCTATCTTCATCCAACTTTCGCCTAATTTTTCACTGATGGCGCAATGCGGCCTTTATGGATGGCATTTTTGATAAGACACACACACACACACACACAAAAAAACGTGTTTGTACCGTCAGTCTGGATTTGATCAGTGAGGCCCTAAGTGAAGTGGTGAGGCGACGAAAAAGTTAGGCCAGCCCGAACGAAATCTCATAACTTCAAGACGGTCTCATAATTCCGAGATCTCATCATCATTCTCTTCTCATTTCACAACTTTTTTCGTTCTCGGCAAGGGTTGGGTACATGTCTTCTCTTTCTCTCATTTTGTGGCAATTCCGAAATGAACCTGTCCATGAGGAACCAGCTTTTCCCCCCTTCTCATCCAGCTATTCTTCCCCTGGCCAATTGTGGAGAGAAATTGACACGTCTCCCCCCCCACTTTTTGTTCCGAGTGACAATGGATTACGACACGGAGGATGACGAAGCGAGAAATTAGAAAAAGAGGCAAACATTGGGTAATGTGATCGAAAGACTATATTGTAGATCAGCTAGGATACATAGAACAACAATGATCTCAAGATCTGTTGAATTGTTGCTTTTTGAAGACATCTTGAAGCAAAAATGGCTCAGCAAAGTTTGACTTAAACAATGTTTTGAAAGTCTAGAGCCTTATTAACTTGAAGATATCGAATCAATCTTAATTAGTTCTAGTTATAACCAAAGGCCGAGATAGAATGCGAAACTTTAGGCCTACGCCACAGAAATTAGTTTCTTGGTCGGCAGAATTTACAAAAATTTGCTATAGGAGTGCTTGATGTTTGTCAAGCCTTCACAGTTTAGTTCCTATCGCTAGCTTTGAGGTTTATAGACAATTCTCAGAACCGCACAAGTTAGAGAATCTTGATTTGAAGTACTTAGTCAGGCATAATCTATCGAGGTTTTCTTGGAGAGGTTTCAATTACCAAATGTTTGGCCGTGATAGCTTAACCTTACCAGATTTGGCGAGTCCATTCTGAATCCACTCGATGCCGAGATGCTCGCGAAGTCGATCTCTTTCCGCCTCATAACCTGGCATACATCCATCGACGCCTGAAATTGATGTTTTTGTAGAAAACGTGTTGTGTTTCGCCTTAAAGCACCTACCGAGAAACGGTGAAAAGCAAACTAACAGTAAGAATAATATTGTCATAGAGAATTAGAGAAGACACAAAAAAAAACAATAAGAGGGGGGGTGGAGAACAAATCGAAACGAGGATCGATGTGTTCTGTTATCGTTTCCTCCCCTTCTCAGCTTCATGTAAGCCTCCGCCCATCCACGGACAACCAGCAGCAGGTACTGACTAGATGAAGAGAGAGAAAGAGGGAAGGGAGATATAAATGCATAAATAGATCGCCTTCTCCCCCTCCTTCCCCTTGTTGCGTCTTCTTCATTCATTCAGATCTTCGGACGGGGACGACGGCACGCAAAAACAATTGAGGCAATCTTCCAGGGGGGAAAGATCTAACTGACGGAATCGGAATAATCGGAATGAGTGGAAGAGAGACGAGAAGATGTGTTCAATCAGAACGAACCGTTTGGAACGAGATGGGTCTCGCAACGAATTGCAAAAAACTCGGGGAAAATCCTCTAGACAATGAATGATGACAAATCTGCTTTGGCTGTGAGAGAGAGAGAAGCAAAGAACGCGCGCCGCACAATTGTATACGATTTCAATATTGTGCACAGCAATTTTAAGTGAGGAAACAGCGGCGAAACGGTGGCGAAAAAGCGGCGGAAGCAACCGCGTCCCGCCAGAACTCCGAGTGCGGTGGAGCGCGCTTGCTTAAACGAAAAAGTTTTATCGCTTATTCTGCCTCATTTTTTGTAATTATCAATGGAAAATTATTTAGAAAATAGGTTTTTTATTTTAACAAAACAGAACAACGAAGGAACACCATTAAAGCAAACTTTGGGAAGGGTAAGATAGAAAAATGATGAGAGAACAGGCAGAAAAGACGGGGAAAGGAATAGAAAAATAGGAGGGAGATAAACGAATGCCGGGCGGAAATAAATGAGTTTCGATAAAGAATTAGGAATAACAAAAATTCAGGGGTCCATGCCAATTTATAAAAATTGCCGCGTACCCGTGATCGTCAAGGGGTCCATGCCAATTTATAAAAATTGCCGCGTACCCGTGACCGTCAAGGGGTCCATGCCAATTTTTAAAAATTGCCGCGTACCCGTGACCGTCAAGGGGTCCATGCCAATTTTTAAAAATTGACCGAGAAGGTTTCATGATATTACACAAGATGCTTCTGAATAAATGTTGGCTTTTTTATCTGCTCTTTATCACTATGTATTTAAGTTGGACAAGAAATCGGTCAATGGACGAGAAATGGACGATTGCGACGGTACGGTTGACTGCTGAAAAGTGAATACAATTGTTAACTTCCTTGACTGGAATGACAGTTTCGAACGGAAGGGGCCTTAAGGGAGAGCTGCCTGCCGTCAACGGCGAGAAGAACGAGGTGAGCTCGACAATTATTGATATTTTATTTCGAAATTAATTTATATGATCTGCAAGAACTAAATTCGTTTTCTTTTCGTTTATTTTCACTCCCAATGGGAGTATTTCTAACCCTTTTCTGCTCTTTGTGAGTGAAACGCCTCAAAATTCAGTGGAAATAACGGGGGCTAAACAGTGCGCGCAACGACACTCCGCCCGTAGGCTCGACATCGCCATTGCAAAAAAAACCGCTGTCGGAGATTTTCCCCGTTGATTTTCCTGATTCTCGGCTGAAATCAAGCGAATTCACTTTCAAAAATGGTGATATTCAAGTCGTCCGTTCAATTTGCAACATTCTCAACTATTGATTTGTCAAAAACCCCCAACTTTTTCAAGCTTTTCCACTTAAAATTCAAAAATGCTCTGAAATTTCGCGTTTTGGACGTTTTATTCTGTTTTCTACAAGCATTGTCACCAAATGCAACAAATTACAGCGATGGAGGTCGATTTGGCGAGCGTCGAGGTGGTTTTCGCTCAGAAATTGGCTTGCGGAGAGCCGGCGACGCGTCAGAGAGCTCTTCGAGTGCTCCACGATTGGATTCGTGAACAGTCTTCGAAAAAACGTACGTTATCTTCAAAAAATCTCTGGATAAACTTTATTTCATTGAAAACTCGCAAAGAAATACGGGAGTTTTAAATTTCAGCATTCGACGACGCGGATTTGATGCGTTTGTGCAAAGGACTGCACTACGTGATGTGGATGCAAGACAAGATGGTTCTTCAGGAGGAGCTGGCCGACCGCATCGGCGGTCTCATCAACATTTTCACTTCGGAGACCGAAAAAGTGCGATTTGTGGCGTGTTTTCTGAAAAGTCTCTCCAAAGAGTGGCCACACATCGATCGGTGGAGAATGGACAAGTTCCTCATGGTTAGCCCGTCTGAAATTAGCTGAAATCCTAAAATTTGCTATTCAGGAGGTCCGCCGCATGCTTCGCGCTTGTTTCGCTCACCTGGCAACTTTGAAGTGGAAGAAAGAGGTCCGGGACGAGTATTGGAAAGTTTTCCAGGAAACTGTCATCTCTACAGGTATAAAATGGTCAAAAATTCTAAAAACTATAAAATATTGCAGAAAAAACCTTCTCGGAAGCGCTCAAATTCCATTTCGCCTCACTTTTGCTCGACGAGCTCGACGCGGCCGGCGGTTTGACGAAAAAGCAGGTGACGACGTGTCTGAAGCCGTACGTCGAATTGCTCGGCGACAAAGAAATCAGCGAATACCTGTTCTCCTCAATTTACGACGAGATTTTCAAGGCGATTCTGCAGCAGAAGAGCGATCAGTTGACGGCTTCGGCGGAAGCAGAAGAAGAAGAGCCAGCGGCCGAAGGAGGCATCGAATTCAACTACAAAGAGATCGGCGCCGCGCTTTTCGACGTCGGCAAGCAGGCGCATCTGAATGCGAAACGACGCAAACGCATCTACGACCTTGTGAAAAAGTTCGAAAAGTGTGCTCGCGGACAGGATCCGCTGCATTTCGAGCCGCCCGTTCCGAAGGAGAAGCTCACGCGGGAGGACTACGAAGCGGCGGAGATGAAGGCGATTGAGGCGGCGAGCGAATGGAAGACGGAGAGGAAGGAGGCCAAGAAACACGCGAGTCTCATCAAGAAAAGAGCCCGTGAGGCGGCGGCGGTCGCGCGGAAAGAACGGAAAGAAGCCGGCGACGAACTGCCGGAGGACGAGATTGCGGAAGTGCGGAAAGCGAGCGGAAAAGGCGGAAAGACGTCGGTGCCGAAGGTGAAACGCGGAAAAGCGCTGAAGGCAAAGGGCGTCGGAAAGAAGCAGATGCTGAAGAAGAAGGTCGGAGGTGCCAGGAAGAAGAATAACTGATCTATTTAAATCGATTTTTGTTTTTATTTACTTGTTACTGTTTTTTCCTCTTTTTGTTGCTTGTTTCTGTCTTTAAACTGAAAATTCCGAACTTTATTTGTACAATTAGAAGTCAAAAAATGATGCTGCTGATTCCACCGGGCGGCACGGCAGCTCTCGGCTTCACAGTGTTCGCATTGGCGTCCTCAACGAGCGGAGCGTACGGAGCCCTTTCCACCCTCACCGGCTTCATCGTCTTCCCGCGGTTATCGACCGCCGAGAAGACGATCTGCGAGTCGGGCGGAAGGGAAACAAATCGGCCGGCGCCTTGGACGGTCCGCAACTGTCCGTCGGCCCAAACGATCCGCCCGCGCGAGATTGTCGTCTCAGGCACGCCGTGAACTTGCATTCCCTCGAAAATGTTGAAGTCGATCGCCTAAAAGGTTTTGAAAAATTCTCAACAGAGCAAAGTGGGACCACTCACGTGATGATGCGTGTCCTTTGAGATGGTCCTGCTCGCATTCGCATTCCAAATGACAATGTCCGCATCGGAGCCGACGGCGATGCGTCCCTTCTGCGGGTAACAATTGAAAATCTTGGCGGCCATTGTGGAAGTGACGGCCACGAAGCGCATCGGATCGATGATTCCGGCGTGCACGCCCTTGTCCCAGACAACCGACATCCGGTCCTCGACTCCGTTCACGCCGTTCGGAATCTTCGTGAAATCGTCTTTCCCCAACGACTTTTGGTGACAGTCGAAAGTGCAGTTATCCGTGGCCGTCAGATGCAGTTCTCCGCTGAAAATAAGGGTATGCCACGGTCTCCAGAGCTGACAATGGGCGCCCAATAGAGCGATACATTGGCGCGAAATTCAAATTTTAACAGCAAAATTTGTGTTTTTTGCCAGATTAGCCACGAAAAATCGATAATTTCTCATTTGTCTCTCGATAGACCGATTGTATAGGCTATTACAAAATTTTTAAGCGCAAGAGCGTTAAATTTGGTCAAGTCGCAAATCACATTTATCCGTTTGAAGGTTTTTGGCTAAAACTGCGTGAATTTCAGTTGCTTTTCGGTAATTTTCGCGGTTCGAGCGCTCAAAATGCTTGTATTTACGTGATTTATAATTTTCAAAACCAATTCTGTCTGAAAACGGTCAAGAAAGCGCGCAAAATGAGAAGTGCGGCTTTTGACGGCGAAGGCGAAAAAGCGACATCCGCGAAAAATGCGCCAAAACGTCATTAATTCTGAGAATTAGTGTGTTTTCATGTCGAACAATCATTTTTCATCGCCTTTGACCACAAAAATCAGAGAAAACCTGCTCAATTCATGAAAACGCCATTTGGCCGAGGCCGCCACGCCCATATTGTCAGCTCTGGAGACCGTGGCGTATGATGGTTGGCTCTACTGCATTTTTTGTTTCGATAAATAGCACACTTGCCAGATTACGGGCCGGCCCGGCCCGGTCGGCCCGGCTAAAAAGGCGCGAATTCAAATTTTTGGGGGAAATCTATTTTTCGTTTTTTTTGCGGGGATCAAAATTACAACTTTTGCTTTGATGCCAATAAAAACTATTTTTGAGAACTACATTTCTTTTTTATGTTCGATACTTGCAAAATTCGTTAGTTCTACGAAAAACAAACATTTTATTTAATCAATAGTTCAAAATTTGGATTCCCGCTTTTTGAACCGGGCCGGGCCGGAGTTTTGAAAATTTTGGCCCGGCCCGGCCCGGCCCGTGGCAACTCTGATAAATAGTGTTGAGTTCGCTCAGTGTATTCACTCACGCAGCCAACAGTTTCATGAGCGCACTCGGAGTGCTGGGGTCTCTGGAAAGCGGCGGCGACATGACGTATCGGGCGGCGTGCAGCCAGTCCTCGTGGTAATAATGGCTGCCATCGGTGGCGAGTCCGGCGGCGATCGGCTCGCCGAACACGACGGCGCCGCGCTTCCGATGGTGGGCGATCGCGGCGGCGGCGCCCTTCGACATCACGTGCACCACGTACAACGGACAGTTGGCCTGCGCGGCCATGGTGCATGCACGGAACGTCGCCTCCACCTCGAGCTCCTCCGGCCGGCTCTGCGTGTGTCCTTCGGGGCCGGTGACGCCGTTCGACAGCAAATGCTCGCATCGCTCCGCAATCACGGCGCCGTTCTCCGCGTGCACTCGGGCGAGCGAACGGAGTTTGGCGCATTGGAGCATTCCCTGATAGAACTCCTCGTCACGCACCATAAAAACGCCAGCGTACGCCAAAAAGAACTTGAACGAGTTGATGCCTGAAATGGCCTGTGGCTGCTATTGGATACTGTTTAGAAACTAACCCATAGCTCAAAAATAAAGGGTTCTGGAACAAAATGATCAACTAGAAAGTTGTTAAGATTAAAAATTGAAACAACTTTTCAGTTGACCACTTTTTGAAATAATCATCGGATCTCGAGATATGTGCTTGCAAAACCTACCGTATTCGGCGCCAGTGACCATCTCCATCTCCTTGGCAATCTGCGGACTCCAACTCGTGATCGCCATGGACAGTCCGTAATCGCACACGACCTTCGGATCGGCCCATCCGCGCCAACGATCATAAGCGGTCAAAAGTGACTCGCCTTTCGTCGGAATCACAAAATCGATAATCTGAAAGTGTCATGATGATGCAAGTGCGCTCCACCAGACTCGCTCACCATTGTGGTGCCGCCGGCCACCGCCGCCTCGGTCCCCCGATGGAAATCGTCTTTGGCGATCTCGCCCATAAATGGAAGTTGCATGTGAGTGTGCGGGTCGATTCCGCCGGGCATCACAAGCCGATCCGTGGCGTCGAGCAGCTCGGTCCCTGGCGGCGCGACGATCGACGGCGAGATCTCACTGAAAGCATACGAAAAAAAAAGAGAAACACGTAAAAATGTCGTGGCGAGACCCAAACGCTTACACAATTTTTCCATCTCGCACCAGCACGTCCGCCTTGAACATCGCGTCATCGTTGACGATTGTTCCGTTCTTGATGAGGAGTGACGACATATTTTGAGGAAATCTACAATATTTCCGGCCTTTTAACGAGAAAAATAGGCGGCGGATGATGAGAAATGGAAAGAAAAGAAATGAGAAGGATGGACACCAGTTGGTCCTCGGCCTGAGAGCGACTCGTCAAGTTGTTGTTGTAAAATCGTGGTTTACAATAGTTGAGAAGAATTTAGTGTCGATCAATAGCATTGCAATTTTGAACGAGTATTGTAGAGCCGAGAGATGTTGTACAGTTCTAGAAATTGTTTTCGGTAAACCGTCACGTCTAGTAGATCATTTTTGTAGTTGATCACATTTTGGTACGACCTCTCCTTGGGGTACTGTAGCCCTCGAAAGTTGCCCTTGCTTTCTACTCACTTTTTTCGAAGACCAAGTTCAAACCGCAACAGTAATTTTAGGAATGATGGTAGAAAAAAATTGTCAATTGCAAAAATGTAGTGCAAGACTCCAGCTTTATTTTTGTAGTTGATCACTTTTTGATAGAACAACTTCCAGGAGTACTGTAGCTCTTCGAAAATGGGTATGAGGGGTTTTTCACGAAACTTTCAAAGTCATCTCTGTCCTGCTCGAAGAAAACATTGCGACACTTGGCGACAACTGACTGCGTTTTCCGCGTGGTTTACACTGTGAGGGCGGCAGATTTGTGAATGTTTTTGCAAGGGTCAATGTCAAAATTAAAAACCAGGAAGTGAGACTTTGAAACAAGGAGATTATAGGGAAATTTGAGTACCATCACCAACTCCATTGATAAAAACCCATTGTATCTCCAACTCATAGAAGAGATATCAACAAGTTGTCAACTGAGAAAATGTGCAAAAATTCTTAGTAAGCATTTGATCAGTTGACAACTTTTTGATAGCTCCACTACTAGCTGAGCTACATAGCTTTGAATGAACGGTATACGAACGTAACGAATTTGATTCTTTCGAAATGGACAATTCTTTCGTCAAGGGCACTTTTTACACGTTTAACACATCCAAATCGCTGGCCTAGGATCCAGCAAAAACATGTTAAGGTCAGGAACTTTAAAACTAGAAGGACTAGAATCCGGCTGGACGAGTTTAGACGGTCCAGAACGCGATATAGAATGGCCTAGGATCCTGATGCTCCACTTCTCCTCCACCAATGTCCCCAATCATTTCTGCGCCATTCTTCCGTGCGCTCATAAACCGCGCCGGCCTCTAATCTTTTCCCCCCCTATTCGCTCACACATGTCATTTTCCAATTTACCACACCACCAGCACCACCACCTTCAGAAGACGTTAGAGAAGAAGGAGAAGGCAAGCGAGCGCCGACACAAATACAATTTCTCCTTCTTCGCCTTCTTCGCCGTCTCGTGTGCTGCTCGGTGAGCTCGGTGAGTGTGTGAGCGTCGTCGTCGTCGGCAAAACGACCGAATCCAATTTTCTTCTCGTTTTCCCATAACAACCACCTGCATTGGCGCACCTGAGCCAAGAGAGAGTGGCTCTTTTTTTCTGATTTTTCGGCTTCAAGAGCTCCATGAGCCCCAAACCATTTGCAAAGTGTCCTTTTTGTACTCGGACGCTTCTTTCAGTGCCTCATTGGCTAAGGACGTTTTGCAACTGACGCGAGCCGGCGTCAACTTTAACATTAACAAAAGAAAAGCTGCGGTTGCAAAGTGCTAGTCGAATCTTTGGTTGCGAAACGTCCCACGTCATGCATGTTTTCTGTCCACCTGCCTCTTTCTTTCCAATCAAATTTCATCACCTTCTCCCTCTTCTTCTTTCACGTGTTCTGGAGAAGAAGAAGAAGAAGAAGAAGAAGAAGAAGAAGAAGAAGAAGAAGACAAAGCTACAATATCTTCTGACACACACACTTCTGTAGAATGCCCTTTCCGACGACGTCTTCGGTCTCGAAGGAAGCATTTGTGAGGGAGGGTGAGCGAGTGAGGTGTGACTAATCCACAGACATTTCAATTTGTGACGGAAACCAGAAGAAGGAGTGGAAGGGAGAGAGAGAGAGAGAGAGGAAGAAGAAGAAGAAGGAGTTGAGTACACTTCCGGACCAAACATGAACCAGTCAACCACGTTTTTACTACTTTCAACTCGGTGGAGCTTGCTATCCAAGTATCCACATTATCAAGACGTTTTTCCAAGAAACGCCTGACTCTACAAGATTGCCCAACTTTTCCATAACCTCTACATTCTACAGTAGCTTGGCTGCAAAGTGTCCGGACATTTCGCAACCGCTTCTAGAAGTGTCTAGCAGTCTTCTTTTGACTAGAACTCGACTCTTTTACAATTTTTCCACTGCTCCTTGCCTCTTTTCCTTTGAAACAGGTGAAAATCGGTCAAAATGTGATTCGGCTTTCACTTCACACGTACATACATGTGTTTACGCCCTTCGTGCCGGCTTGCCACAATCCCACCAATTCTTGTGTCTTCTGCTTCTGATCGCATCCGAAAACCGAACGTATTCGTAGTTGTACATATAGTCGGGCGGATTGGCTACAGTAGTCTCTAATTTCTCACCAAAAACTACATTATATTGTCGCTTTTGGGGCTCACGAACAAAAAGGGGCGGAGCTTGAGCCAGGCAGCCAGAGCCAATGAAATTATCTGACTTTGGCGCTCTTGCGCCTCTAAATTTCTGTACGACCACCTTGGGTTTCCGTGTTTCCGCTGCGAGACTGTATATAATTTCACATGTGTTCAGAGGTGCTGTGCGTGCGAATGGGCGGAGCAGGCTCTCGAAACAAGACGGAGCCACGTGGCGAGGGCGTCAAACTCGCGTTCGATCCCGACGAGAAATGGTCGAATTTGTACCGGGAGCGTGAGAAGAATCACTTGTACAAGTGGGTCGGCGTCCGGAAAGGTGAGTGAGCGCTAGAAATGCGCTCTCCAAAACGTGACCCACTTTGATCTCTTTCCAGGCGGCGAACTAATCAATATTTACGAGCGCGACGGCGAAGACGGCGTCATAAAGTTTGCCGACGACAAACTCACCTCAATTCTGTACGATGAGGGCCGCCAGCCGAAGCTCATCACGTACAGCGACTACACGAAATGGAAGAAGAGTGTGGTAGGTCTCACGGTCTCCAGAGCTGACAATGGGCGCCCAATAGAGCGATACATTGGCGCGAAATTCAAATTTTAACAGCAAAATTTGTGTTTTTTGCCAGATTAGCCACGAAAAACCGATAATTTCTCGTTTGTCTCTCGATAGACCGATTGTATAGGCTATTACGAATTTTTTAAGCGCAAAAGCGCCAAATTTGGTAAAGTCGCAAATCACATTTGTCCGTTTGAAAGTTTTTGGCTAAAATTGCGTGAATTTCAGTTGCTTTTCGGTAGTTTTCGCGGTTCGAACGCTCAAAATGCTTGTATTTACGTGATTTATCATTCTCAAAACCAATTCTGTCAGAAAACGGTCAAGAAAACGCAAAATGAGAAGTGCGGTTTTTGGCGGCGAAGGCGAAAAAGCAAAGCCAGCGAAAAATGCGCCAAAACGTCATTAATTCTGTGAGAATTAGTGTGTTTTCATGTCGAACAATCATTTTTCATCGCCTTTGACCGCAAAAATCAGAGAAAACGTGCTCAATTCATGAAAACGCCATTTGGCCGAAGCCGCCACGCCCATATTGTCAGCTCTGGAGACCGTGGGTCTCGCAAAAGTACAGCAACCAATCAGCGCTCTCCGTCCGTTCAGAATGTGCAATTGGGATTGAGCGAAGAGTCGATAGACATGCAACAGAGCCGCTTCAAAGAGCACTTTGCCCTGTGGAAGCTCAACAAACGGGGCGTCGAGGGCGAGAATCTCATCCATCTGCTTCTGAACCGCGAGCAACAAGTGTGCTACGAGATTGCGAGAATCTTGCTCAAAAAGTTTCCGGGTATGGCGAACGACATCTATTTGGGCGACGAGCAGTTCGGTAAGTAGCCCCCCAGCACGTGTGCACACAAGTACACAAACTCTCTCGGCGCACAGGCCAATCGGCTCTCCATTTGGCGATCGTGCACGACGACTACGAGACGGTCAGTCTTCTGCTCAACAACAAGGCGGACGTGAACGCGCGCGCGTGCGGCAACTTTTTTCTGCCGGAGGACTACAAGTTGACGAACAAGATCACCGACTATCAGGGCTACGCCTACTACGGAGAGTATCCGTTGGCGTTCGCCGCCTGCTTCGGCAACAAAGACATCTACGATCTGCTCATTCAGTTCGGCGCCAGTCCCAACTTGCAAGACTCGTTCGGCAATACCATTCTACACATGTGCGTCATCAATTACAGCAGTGTGAGTGCGTCTAGCAAGCGTTTGTTGCAACCATACACGGTCTCCCAGGGGGCGCTAATGCTAAACACAGTGCGCTCGTAAATTTCGGAGTGTCGTTGTAACTTTTGAAAATTTGCAGGTCTAAAAATGCAGTTCAATTCGAGTTTACGACCTTTATTTCTTTCTTTTTGACTTGAAAAACATCTAGAAAACAATATTTTACTGATTGGAAATCGTTCTTTACCGAATTTAGAGTTTTTCATGTTTTTAGCGTCTTTTTCGCATTTCGTCAAAACTTCAAACCTTTGTATTTCAGCTCATTTTGCATTTCATGAGCCCAACGAACGATAAAAATGTTCGCTAAATCTTTCTTCACAAAATTCAGTTTCCGGCGGTTAGTTTTCTTGAGCAGTATTCCAGAACTATTCGAAAAACATCAAAATCCAGGCGAAAACCTTCAAATCGAAATAACTCGGCTAATTCTCAACGATATGCGAGATTTCTGTTACCAAAACGTAGCTAGTGCTCTAATTATTCGAATCCAGGTTTCAGGCGTACAAAAAATAGGTGTATTGTACAGAAAACATGGAAAGAACGCGGCCTCCCGTTGAAAATTAATTAATCGGCCGCCGCGTAAATCGACACAGCCCGCCTGTTGCAAGTGCGCCCCATTGAAATCATTCGCGCCGTGGGAGACCGTGTGGTATCATACAATTTCCAGTCGATGTACTCTTACGCGGTCCGGCACTGGGCCAAACCGGCGGATCCGCACGTCGTCAATCACGCCGGCTTCACGCCGCTCACCCTCGCCACCAAACTCGGTCGCAAGCACATTTTCGAGGAGATGCTCGAGATTATGAAAGTGGAATTCTGGCGCTTCTCGGACATGACGTGCTCCGCCTATCCGCTGAATACTCTCGACACTATCCAGCCGGACGGATCCACGAGTGAGTTCGCTTTTAACAAAAAAACAAGGCATGGCTCATTTCAGACTACGATTCTGCCCTGATGACTGTCATAAACGGGTCGACACCGGAACATTTGGATATGATTGGAAGCGAAGTCATTCAGAGACTGCTCGCCGATAAATGGAAGGCTTTTGCGCAGGTTCTCAATAAATAAAATAGAGTGCTCAGGCCACTTATTGTTAGACTATCGATTCTTTGTCAGGGTACTGTTTAGAAACAAGAGCATAACTCAAAAGTGACGCATTTTCGGATAAACTTGTAAACTACAAAGGTGCTTGGCACAAAATTTGCAACAACTTTTCAGTTGACCACTTTTTGAAGCAACCTTTAATTCTCGAAATATGAGTCTCCTAACTACTGTCATTCATGACAATATATCTCAGTTATCTAAAGAGATATCATAAAGTTGTCAACTGATAAATTGTTGATCAAGAAATTTTGTACATTTTTCTAGTTGATAACTTTTTGATACCTCCACCGACAGCTGAGATACATCGTCTTGAATTCGGGTCTTAAATTTTTATCACAGTATTTACGGTAGTTTCGGGCCCTAGCTATGATTTTCGAGAAAAGTACTGTTATACTTTTAGATGTAATTTTTGATGCTCTATCTAATGGAATCACCTATTTGTAGAGAAAACTGATCGAACGTCTCGTGCTTCTCATCTTCCAACTCATCACTCTTTCCATCGTCGTCTACATTCGTCCCACCGAACTTCCGCGTCTTTACATGGAAGAACCGCAGTGGGATGACTGGGTAATCCCATTAATTGTTTGTACTCTTCTTACGCCGCTAAAATGCTCTATTGTAGGTCCGTACCGTTTGCGAGATTCTCACCATCATCAATTGCATCTTTTTCGTCGGATACCAACAGTTTGGCGAGATTCGAACGCAAGGAATGAGGGGCTATTTGAGAAACTTGGCAAGCAACTTGATAATATCCTCCTCTTTTCACGTACGTACTTTTTTCAGAAAACCGCGCCCGCAAAGGCAGTGTTCTGCATTGCCAACCTGTTCCTGCTCCTCTGCATTCCGTTCCGTCTGCTCCGAAAACACGAGATCGAAGAGGCGCTGTTCGTCTTCGCCCTCCCCGGCTCCTGGATTTTTCTGCTGTTCTTTGCCCGTTCGGCCAAATTGACCGGACCGTTTGTCCAGATGATCTACAGTATGATTGCCGGAGATATGATTCGGTTCGCGATCATTTCAGCGATCTTCCTCGTTTCGTTCTCGCAAGGTGGGACTTTGAACGGATATTGTCGAGTTTGAAAGTGTCATAGAGATTGGAAAAAGTTGTTTTGTGAAATCTTGAAGTCTAGAACTATATTTTTGTAGTTGACAACATTTTTGTACACTCATTTCTAAGAGAACTGTAGCTCTTTGAATTTGGCTCTGAAAAACGAGCGCGTTTGGCAAACCCCCAACTTCCAAGAGCTACAGTAGGCTTGCGCGTGGTTGTACAAAAATAGTGTCAACTGCAAAAATGAAGCTGAAAGTGTCTAGTTTATTTTTCTAATTGATCACTTTTTTCTACGACCACTCCCCGGGCTACTGTACCTCTGTGAGCTTTCAGTGTTCTATTTCGTCGGAAAGGACATGGATGCGAAGCAAAAGTTGGAGGATACGAACCCGCACGCATGCCGTATTTCCGGATACACCATCTACACGTACAACACGTTCCCCGAGACGTTCATCACTCTTTTCCGTGCCTCCATGGGCGGTTACGACGTGAGTTTTCTGCCAATCATCCATGCTCAAGTTCGCCAATTCAGTACGAAGAGTTCTCGTGCGCCAACTATCAGGCGCTCACCAAAACGCTCTTCGTGTTGTACATGTTCGTCATGCCGATCATGATGATCAACATTCTCATCGCGATGATGGGCAACACGTACACGACGGTCATCGCGCAGGCGGAGAAGGCGTGGCGACAGCAGTACGCACAGATTGTCATGGTTCTGGAAAGATCGGTGGGCAAGGAGCGTTTGGCGGCCAGCCAGTTGGAGTACAGTATTCGGCTGGATCAGGTGAGCTGTGTATCTCATTTGTCTGTCAAGATACCAAAATGTTGTCAACTGAACAAATGTGCACAATGCCTTTTTGAACAATAAATCAGTTGACAACTTTTTGATAGCTTTACCGGCAGCTGAGATATACTGTTTCGAATGAACAATATCTATTGATCTGTTGAATGTAGGAAGGCTCGTCTGGAATGGAAGTTCGAGGACTTATGGTCATCAAACAGACGAAAAAAACGCGTGCTCGTCAACGCAAACAGGCAATCTACAACTGGAAAACGATCGGTCGCAAAGTGATTCACACAATTGACAAAGTGGGCACCGAACAGGCGGTCCTTCTTTTGCACGGCCACGATCGTCTCGATCGCGTCTACGAGGACCATCCGCAGCCCGAAAAAGTTCCGTCGAGAGCCCGGACGCCCACGCGCATCGGCTCCACGATGCACTCGTCGAAACGCGTCAAAACGGCGATGGTGAACACGCACGAGGTGAGCGAAGAAAACTAGGGGACGAGCGCCGTCTCGTCTAACCTCTCGGCGCCAGCGGAAATCAGCGGCCGGATGGTCTAGGGGTATGATTCTCGCTTCGGGTGCGAGAGGTCCCGGGTTCGACTCCCGGTTCGGCCCAAACCGTTTTTATCGTTTTCATGTTTCGCTTGTAGGTGCGAACCGACGAAACTGTGAATAGCATGTTGCTCTCGGCGCCTCCGAGTCTCGCCGGCGAAGGCAGCACGATTGATTGGCAGCCGTCTGTGACGCCCGTGGAGGAGAGGAGCGAGTCGAAGGCGCAGAGTTCGTCGTTGGGAAGATCCGAGGCTTCGAGTCCGCTTGTCGTCATTCCGGCCGTGCACAGAGAGCCCCCGAGGCCTGATTCTCCGGGCAGAGCTATTGAAATTGTAAGTGTGTAATGTTGTAGAGCTTGAAATTCTGATCATGTTTGTAGTTGATCAATTTTTGCTAGCTCTTAAGGCTGACAAGTTAGACGCGTTTAAAATTCGAGCCTAGTGGCTAAAAGCCCCTCAATATTGTCGATTTCCAGAGCCGCACAATCCGCGTTCGCGCCGTCGATCCGCTACCGTCGATCGAGCTGCCGAACATGCCGAAGCCGACGTCGACGCCTCCGCACCGGGCGGTCAGTCCCCGTCTACGCGCCGATATGTTCCGGCGCCATCCGCAGGCGCCGTCGTTCGATCAGAATCCTCCCGAGTGATCGTTTACGGATCTTCAACCTCCTCCACCCCCCCTTCCCTCCCCAAAAAAAAGTTGTGTGTAAATTATATTTTTCTCTCTTCCTCATATTGTCCGAATCTGAATAAAGTAAAGTGTTTCAAGTGGTATTTTCATAATAATAATAACAAGACACATTCCAACTCGGTGTTGCAATTCAAATTCCAATAAAACAAACACGAGACGGCAGAGAAGTCGGCGTGTTTGTCCATGCGTCCGGCCGCGCGCTCGTACAGTCTGTGTCTCGTCGTCCGGCACTCTCTCACTTCCACGCACTCTCTCTCTCTCTCTCTCTCTCTCTCTCTTTCACTTTCCGGGAGGAACTGTTCGTTTCGGGCGGGCGCCCCTCACTCATCTATCTCCTGTATCCTCCTACTTTCCAACTCGCTCTTCTTTCAAATCCGTTTGAAATATTATGAAATTGTATACGTACTCGCTAGACTCTACCCGCATTTTGTAGAGAATTCAATTCTGATCATTTTTGTAGTTGATCATTTTCGGCCATCTCTAACGGCTGACGAGTTAGACGCGTTTAAAAGCGTTAAAGCTAGGCATTCTTCAATTCTGCGTCACTTGGCGCTAGTCAAACATGTACAGGGGTGTACAGCAAAAAAAAAGAAGTTTACTGTCTTCGTGTATGTTTATAAGGAAAACTGTCGTGTTTCCGTACACATACGTACCCGCCTACGTTTATTTATTCTTCTGCCTCTCACGGATTATAAATCTTTCTCTTCCTTTTTCTCTTCTTCTTCTTCTTCTGTGCGCCGCCTAACACTTTTTGACTAGGCCCAAAAATTTCTGTAAATTGTGCAATCGAACAGAGAGCTCGAAATTCTGAGCACATTTGCTCATTACAGCGTCTCTGCGCCGAGTTATTCAAAATTATGGTCTAGGTCTAAAAATGCCTTTCAACTTTTGAAAAGTCAAAGTTTGAAGTGGTCAACACCTCGTCTTGTGTTAATTGGAGGAAATTTCGGAAGGTTCTTGAAGAAAGAAGAAGAAGAAGAAGAAGAAGAAGAACGAATCAATGTGATATTCCCTCTCTCTCTCTCTGTCTCTCTGTCTTTTCCCTCCCTCCCGACCGGTTCTCTTATAATTAGTCCCCCCATCCGTTTTGACCCCATTTCTTCATTCCATTCCTGATCCTATTTCGTTCTCAGGACACCTATGGTAGAAGTGGAACCGTCGTCTGCCATAAGTGATTTTCAAGATGACGACGACGAGGAGGAGGAGGACACAAACGCAAATGAGGAGGCGGAAAAATGGAAGAAGCTGGAGAAACAGCTGAAATTCGAGCGGGAAGAGCGGCGAAAAGTCGAGGACGAAATGGAGAAGGAGATCAGAGAGGTCGAGGCGAAATGGATGGACAAAGTGAGAAAAGCGTCGGAGGAGCGCGACGATATCGCGCGCAAAATCGACGAGTTCGAGGAGAAAATCGATAGTATGCAGATGCAAGTGCACAGGTGAATACATAGTAGTCGATTTGTTTTGGAATAACACCACAAAATGTGAGCAATGCTTTCAGAAGTGAAACTTACAAGACGGAAATCGAAGAGACCAATCAACGACTTCGACTGCAATACGAGGCACTTCAGCGCGACTACGAGGAGACGATGCAGGAGCGAAGCATCGTTTTGGAGGAGAATTCGAGACAAACCGAGGAGCGCGAACGGTTGCAGAGGGAAATTGAGCGGATGAAGGAGGAGACGGAAGAGATGACGTCGCTCAAGAAGAAGTTGGAGCACACGAGACGTCTTCTGCAAGTCAACATGGAGGAGACGGTGACGGCGAACGCGAAGAAGGACGCCGCGTTGGCACGACTCACGGAAGCCGAGGAGAATGGGGCGAGGATGGCCGAGCAGCGAGACGAAGCGTTGAGGAAGTGCAAGCAAACGACCGCAGATGCTATTGTCGATATTTGGAACACGCACTCGGTTCAAATCAATCTGGTAAGTGGGTCAATCGATAGAGCTTGAAATTCTAAACACTTTTTCTCTTGGTCACCTTTCTCTACCGTACCTACAAGCAGAGTTATGAAAGCCTAAAGTTCGCAGAGTAAAAAAATAGGGGCAAAACTGATTTGCAGCCATTTCCAAAGCCGAATCTCGGAATTGTGCTCGGCGGCGGGCGTACCGAAGACGGAACTATGGTGCATGGACCGATTTATGTGCGGCACATTGCGCACGGTTCTCCGTTTGAGAATCTTTTGAAAAAGCTGGATCACATAATGATGGTCAACGACATTTCGGTGACCGATATGGACGAGCGAAGTGTGATGGGAATGCTCACAAACTCGCATCACATCCATCTGGTCATTCGGAGACGCTCCAATTGCAACAAGATCAGCGACGTGTGCTTGCCTCTCAATTATGGTACGTATCTCAATTGCCATTGAAGATATCAAAAAGATGTCAACTGATAAAATGTTCAACGTTTCTTAATGGTCATTTTATTAGTTGACACCTTTTCAATATTTCCGCTCGCCGCCGAGATACGATGTTTTGAATAAACGGTATGAAAACCTCGATTTTGCAGGTGTCGGCCTCGAACTTTCCAACGGTGTCTTCATAAATTCGTGTGAGCCGAACGGAGCAGCCTCGCGAGCAGGGCTTTGTCCAGGCCAGCGGGTCGTACACGTCATGAACACGCCCGTTTATGATGCGAAACACGCGGAGCTTCTCATCAAAAGTAAGCGTTTTAGTGACGAACTTTGAACGGATATTGTAGAGCTAGAAGATGTCCTACCAACTCACAAAATTTTCTAGTAATGCTTCCAGTCTACTATTTCATTTTTGTAGTTGGTCACTTCTTTGTACGCCCTCGCAAAAAGGTACTGTAGCTGTAGGAAGTTAGGGCTGCTCAAAAGTGGTACCAACTTCCAAGCGCTACAGTACTTCAGCGAGTGGTCCTACAAACAAGAGACCAACTACAAAAATGTAGCACCAGACATGTACATCATTTTTGTAGTACACACCTTTTTTGTACAAAAGCGCCTAGCACGTTGAAATTAGCGTTTTTCAGACGCCCGAGAGCCTTTGATAATTGGCATATTGCAATCGACGAAACGAGGCGATCATTCCGGAAAAGACAAACAAAGACCCACTATTTTTTCGAGGGTCTGTTCCTTTTTCCGAACCTGTCCAAAAGTAGCAAAAAAGTGTTGCAGTGGTTCAGCCGGAACGGAACGGAAAAGGAGCGAACTGTGGTCGCGAAGGCGAACATCGACCGGAGCAGTGAGCAAGTGCTGCTCCGTCAGGGATCGCTCCGAATGCCGCAGGCCTCCCCGGCCTCTTTGAGTCCGTTGGTCCGTTACGGATCATTGCGGGCGCCGACGTACTCGACAAGTGTGGCGGATCACTCGAAACTGATGATAGACACTCTTGACAAGAGATTCAACGCCAAGTTTGTCGCCTATTCGAACTACAGTAATCCTAGTCGCTTTTCAGAAGCTCCGCCCACTCTGAAATCAGCTCTTCGACTGCTCACGGAGCCACGTGGAATCAAAATGAAAAGGATCTGGTGTTCGCTGGGACTAATATCGAAGGCGTGCCGGTTTATGTGCCCAAGAATACCATTTTTAGCACGCCGACAAGTCCGGTGACGTGGGTTGACCGTTCGGGAATCGGATAATCATCAAACGCTTTTTTTGTAGACGACTGATGCGTCAGAACAGCGAGCAGAAGCGTACAATGTCGCAAATATCGTCGCATCGCGGAAGTGGCTGGGACGGCCGAAGCTTCTCCTCGAACACGACCACCTCCGACGCGCGGCCCTACTCGATGCACTTCACGCCGACCTCCTCGACGATAATGGAGGGAAAGCCGCATCGGAGATCCGCCGTCTACAGTCCCAATCATCCGCCCGCGTACCCGGCGATTCGCGACGATTCATTGTCGTCGGTGATGTCCTCGAGCAATTCGATCCGATTGCCAAGCACCAGTTTCTCGAATCAGTATCCGAATAACTGTAAGTTGTATGTAGAGCTTGAAATTCTGATCATTTTTCTAGTTGCTCACTGTTTTTAGCGCTTAAAGGACCAGGGAACCCAACAAATTTTTGATTTTTTTTGTGACTGTTTTAATTGTCTCTTATTGCCTCATACACTGGTGAAATGCTGCCTCTCAAAAATGCCAATGAACGAAACGGCGTGCAGTTGAAGTTGTGGCCGTGGCCTAGCGCCAATGGCCTAGAAATATGCGCTTCTCGGCCATTTTTATTTTTTCCGCTTTTTTACCGGTTTTTTCGCGATAAAATCGCCCTTGTTCCACGGAAACCACTCATCTGGCACTTCGTATCGACTGAATAAAAACAATTTGCAGCAGTGAAAAATAAGTAAGTGCCGAACAAATGTCAATAAATTGAAAAATGGGAGAAACCGTGAATTCTTGGAAAAAAACCGGTAAAAAAGCGGAAAAAATAAAATGGCCGAGAAGCGCATATTTCTAGGCCATTGGCGCTAGGCCACGGCCACAACTTCAACTGCACGCCGTTTCGTTCATTGGCATTTTTGAGAGGCAGCATTTCAGCAGTGTATGAGAAAATAAGAGACAATTCAAACAGTCACAAAAAAATCAAAAAATTGTTGGGTTCCCTGGCATTTTTGAGAGGCTTTCCATTTTCTCGTTTCAGCGGCATGCAGTCTGACGGGCGGCACTGCTCCCCGACATTGCATCAGCAAAGAGGGCAGCGACTTTTCAATCTCAACGACCGGCAGCGCGATGCACAACTACAACAACGAGTCGAGAGCGAACAAAAAGTATCACTTGTCACGTGGCGGCAATCATCATTCCGAGTCGCTTTTGGTCAGCCGATCGAGCCAACCGAGACTGGTCGAGGTGCCGAGGAGCGATGTGAAGTTGTGCGGCGGAAATGCGATTGGTATGGCTGGAGAGAAAGCGAGAATGCATGCTTCAACTTTCAGGTATCCTCGCAGAAAAGTCGGTAGGCTCGGAGCTGCTAGAAGGCGATTTAATATTGTCGATCGACGGCAACTGCGTGCGTAACACCACTCTCGAGTGTGCAGTCAACACACTTTTGGCGGACGACGTCGAACTCGCGAGCCTTCTGGTCCAGGACGGCGGGGACCGTTTGAACCGTCTGCGTCTGGGCGCTGACGGCGACAGTTTCTTCCTGCGAATCAATATTGATCGATCGATTGAGAACAAAGAGGGACTCGACTTTAAATCGGGCGACGTCGTGTTCGTCGACAAGACCCTTCAGCCGGGCAAGAAGGGCCGTTGGAGGGCGTGGAAGGTGGACAAGGAGGGCCGGCAGCGGGAGCACGGCGACATCCCCAGCTCCACGAGTCTCTACCAGTCGATCCGCTCGAACAGCCGCTTCGGAACCGCGTCGATCAACCCGAAGAAGGCGTACGAGTGGGTGGAGAAGTTGGACACAAAAGTGCGGCGCCCGGTGCTGCTGTTCGGAGCGCTCGTCGAGCCGTTCATTCAGATGCTCGTCGACGATTCCGACAAATTCTCGATTGTGGCCAGGGAGTCGCTGACGGCGAGTTTCGATGAAGTCTCCGCGCTCGTCAGGGACAAGGTGCTCATTGATTCGAAACAGAATCCGGATGTCTACGATTTGTACCACGTCATTTCAACCGCCCATATCATGGATATCACTGCTCAAGGGTATGTTTTAACACTTCGAATTTTGTGCTCATCATTTTTCTAGTTGATCACTTTTTGATTGGAAGTCTGTTCAGCGAGTTATGAGCGTTTAAAGTTAGATGACAAATGTGCACATTCGAATATTGCAGACTTCACTGTGTGCTGCACGTAGAACAAGCGGCGATTGAGCGTCTACGAAAATGCCGAATGTATCCGATTCTGGTGATGATTCGGTTCAAGAACGGAAAACAGTTGAAGGATGTGAACGAGCACATTTGCGGCGAGAAGATCAGCTCCAAAGACGCGAAAAAACTATTGGATCAGGTACACAATTTCATCATTTTTCCCCTAGTCTCAAGGTTGCCGAGTTAAACGCGTTTAAAGTCATTTGCGACAGTTTATCCGCCAATATTTTCAGGATCAAAAACTGGAAAAAGATCTGGAAGGTGCGGTGACGTTGCTCGTTCCCAGTCACAATAACGTCAGTTTCATGCTGACTCACGCCATTCTACAGGTAATTTCGACGGCGATTCTCAAAGAAAACATTGCATTTTCAGTTGAAAAAGTTGATTGAAGACGAGCAGAAGAGGATTGTGTGGGTGCAACGAAAAGTCGATGAGGAATAATGAGAATATTTGAATTCAGTTCTCCGGTGCTTTTTATTTGATGGATATATCTGTGATATAATGAAAGATTTTGGCATGAATATCGAGCATAAAGAATGAATTAATAGCAAAAGCGGATCAGAGAAACGAGGGGAATGGCAAGAAAAAGCGACGGTGCATCGGCGGCGTCGATATAGAAAACATTGAACTCTCGGAGATTTGATATATTTCTGAAATCATCGACAATATTTGCACATGTCCATCTCGCAAACCACCTGTATAAATATAGCTCTGGCGGCCACGAGAGTTCCGCTGATTTCAGATCGGCGTTACAGTACGACTGGTCACAAATCCATTGTTCGAGGCCGGTGTACGAGCGGGTGTAGCCAATCTGATAGCAAATTTTGTGCTCTCTGTTTTTGTAGTTGATCACTTTTTGATTGGAAGTCTACGCGACGAGTTATGAACGTTTAAAGGTAGCGCTTGTCTGGTACTGTACTATTTTAGACTACCTTTAACGGAGTGGCACCCTCGACGGTCCGGCTCTTGACGCATCCGCGGAACACCTCTCCGCGTGACGTCGCACTGATGAAACAGAATTGTCCGACACAAGAACTGCCAGTTTTGAGATAGGGAAGTCGTGGATTGAAGTAATCCACGTGGCACTCGACAGTCGGCACCGTTTCGTCGACGATTAGTTCAGTGGCCATGGCCTAAAGGATTACTGTAGGTCACCACGGTAGTCAGTCACGGCTACTGTACATTGCTACCGTAACACGCGTGGGTGTCCGGCTGTCCGCCGTAGTTGAGCCACACACAAGTGCCCGGGTAGAAGTTGAAAACGGTGAGTGTGGGGAAAAAGTCGAATTCGTTCTCCTTGCTGCAGTCCTTGATCGACCACGTGTAGTTGGCGCTGTCCACTTCCGTTTGCGTCTGGGAAATTTGGAATGTACAATAGCGGGAAGAAGCTTTTTCGCAAAAAATGAACGCGAAAATTAGTGATCAAATTTGCGAGAGTACTGTAGAGTTTTTGGTTTGGCTGGCTAACTTCAAAGCACTACAGTACTCTTAGAAGTCAGTGTGTGAAGAAGTTGTCAACTAGAAAAACAAAGTACATGTTTAGTACTGTACTTTTGTAGTTGACACCTTTTTTGTACACTCACTCCTAAAAGTACTGTAGCATTTGGAAGATCAGAGTAGCCAAAAGCATGGCATTTTCTCAGTCAACTTTCAAGAGCTACAGTACTATTAGAATTGGTCCTACAAAAAAGGTGTCAACTGAAAAAATGTTCTACTAGATGTCTAGTTTCAGTCTAAAAAACTTTGAGGCTCATTAACGTACCTTGCTGGCGATAAAAGTACAATAGTTGGCGGCGCATGGCTTCACCCATCTCGGCTTTGGAAGATTGTTCAGTTTATCCGGCTGACACGTCTGAACGGGCAGGATCTGGGTGGGAACATCGGCGACCGAGGTAAAGTTGGAACTACAGTAATCCGCACTGAAACGTGTTGGTTGGTGACAGCTCAAGTGATAATGTGAAAGTCTCACTCTGCGCAGAAGCAAATTATATTTCCGTGATGGTTGACTCGACACCCTTCCGCGCTCAATTCTCCGATTACACAGCCTCTTTGGATGGATGGAGTGATCTCGTTTCCGTAGAAATATTGAGCGTGGTAGCAAAAGTCGCCGCGGCAAGTGTTACGAGAAGAGTTGCATCTGTTAGACAACTTTTTGCTAATTATTTTTGTATCCGCTTTGTCTAGTAGGTTTTTTGCAAATAAACTGCTCAAGTTCGAGTTCCCAGTGTTACCACAAAGTTTTGCACTCTATTTTTAGGTATGGGTTCAAAGTTGAGTGTTCAGTGGGCTCACGCTCATATCTAAAATGATACCGGTCATGGGTGTGTTGAAACAAAGCTCATTCGATGGAAAATTTTGTGCTGATCATTTTTCTAGTTGATCACTTTTCGATTGAAAGTCTGCGCGACGAGTTAGGAGCGTTTAAAGGTAGATGGCCGTGTGGACTAGTGGCTAACTCACTTGTTTGATAAGATTACTATTGTAGTAAACGACGCAAGTTCGATTCACGGGTTAACAACAAAAAACTCACTCCTCACTGCTCACTTCGCATCGGGAACACGTCACAAGTGCATCGACGGACAATAGACAAAATGTGAAAAGTGGTAAAACTAGGCGAATCATTTGGAAACTGACTGACTGACTCAATGGGCACGGGGGGAGGGGGGCCTATTGTGAATACATGAATTCCGCCGCATAAATTTATGTTTGAATGATACTATACTCATTTTCATAAGCTCTCCGTCGGTCCCCGCGGCTCCGACGCATTGCGAAACGGAAAGATAGATAGAGAGCGAGAGAGAGAGAAAGTTCAGAAACAAGTTTCAGTTTTTACGGACCAGGGAACTCGGAGAATTCCCGAATGGGCCCATAGTGGATCTGAAGAGATCAGGGCACGGGTGATGTTCGTGTAGAGTGTGTCCTTTGGCATCATCTCCAATGTTGAACCCGGATTTGTTGGCCAACTGTTCGATCGGAAGATCCAGTTCCTATAAAAAAAGGTTTTCACCGGAGGAGCTCCGGGCGGCCGGCTCTTCCACATAACATAGCGTGTTTGGAGTGTCGCAATTCCGACCTGAAGCTTTTAATTTGTGTGACTTCAACTGAAAATGAAGTGGGGTTGCAAAGAGACGGAAAGGAAACGATCACAGTCACGGGATCTTCGTCGCGAGCATAATCATGAACATTTGCAGACAACAACGGACTGATAGTGGATATTTTCTCGATTATAGTGGTTTCAATAAATTATAGTTGAATTTTCATGTTGGTTCGAGTATTTTTGCAAAGATTACATCACTTTGAATGTGTTACTATACTTTTGGCGCATCCTGTATGTTAGGTCCAGGTTACAGACCGATCGGACTATCGACTCTGTGTTGAATGATTGCATTCGAAATCGGTCCTTTGAAATTTGCCGCAAATCCGCCTGAAGCTCACATTCCCACACCTGCCGTCTAAATTAAAGGCGGAGATTAGTGTTAAGAATGCCGACAAAGGACTGTGATGGGAAAGTATACGAGGCCCACAACTGGAAGAAGGAAAAGCCAGGCCACGCCCACTAATTAGAATGACCACGCCCACTAATTAGAATGACTACGCCCACTATTTAGAATCACCACGCCCACTATTTAGAATGACCACGCCCACTAATTAGAACGACCACGCCCACTAATCAGAATGGCCACGCCCACTAATTATAATGACCACGCCCACTAATTAGAATGACCACGCCTACTAATTACACTGGCCACGCCCACTAAGCAGAATGGCCACGCCCACTAATTATAATGACCACGCCTACTATTTAGAATGACCACGCCCACGAATTAGAATGGCCACGCCCACTATTTAGAATGACCACGCCCACGAATTTGAATGACCACACCCACTATTTAGAATGACCACGCCCACGAATTAGAATGACCACGCCCACGAATTAGAATGGCCACGCCCACTAATTATAATGACCACGCCCACGAATTAGAATGGCCACGCCCACTAATTATAATGACCACGCCTACTATTTAGAATGACCACGCCCACGAATTAGAATGACCACGCCCACTACTTAGAATGACCACGCCCACTACTTAGAATGACCACGCCCACGAATTAGAATAACCACGCCCACTACTTAGAATGACCACGCCAACTAATCAGAATGACCACGCCCACTAATTAGAACGACCACGCCCACTAATTAGAACGACCACGCCCACTACTTAGACTGACCACGCCCACTACTTAGAATGACCACGCCCACTAATCAGAATGACCACGCCCACTAATTAGAACGACCACGCCCACTAATTAGAATGACCACGCCCACTGAAAACTGGAGAATGCTGGTCAGTTCCGGAGAATCGCGAAGAAAAAGCTCTGGTGAATCTGGCAAGACAACAAGCGAGCCGGGAAAGTGCTGAAGACGATAGGAAGAAGGGAGAACGATGTGGCATTGCGAGGACATTGTGCGCCAGAGTAAAAGATGGACGTTTCGGACTCGGCCCGACGCCGTCCCCTCGACCCCAAATCGATTGATTCGGCAAATAATCGTTCAATCTTTTGATCGCAACGACAATCGAATCGGCGAACGGAACAAGGGGAAATTGGTCAGTTCAGGAGAGGTGATTCTAGCAAGACAACAAGCGAACAAAGAAAGTGCAGAAGACGACAGGAAGGAGGGAGAAGGACGTGGCATTCGGTGGATGCTGGGTGTTGGAGTAAAATCGCTGGTGGGATTCCAGAGAGCTCGAACTTTCCGAGCAGGTTGTTGTCCTTGGTCAGGGCACGCTCTCCCTCGTAGACCTGGATCAACACTCCCGGCTGGTTGTCAGAGTAGGTGGTGAAGGTCTGGGCGGTCTTGGTCGGTGTCCGTTTCACAGTCGATTGAGTCCGTCCGGCCACCTTCAGTCCCACATAGTACTGGTATTCGGCGCCAGTTGTGACGACGAGCACGCCGCGTGTCGAACGGTGCGATTTGAGGAGGATGTTGAACTGTAAACATACATTGTTGTACGCTTGAAGCGCGTCCATTTGTCGCGTGTGCTTTCGAGGATTTCCTGCAAAAATCGAGTTTTCGCATTTCTTCTTTGACTTTCGACGAAAAATGGAAAAATATCAAGTGTACTACTATTACAAGTACAACCATGTCGACTACACAAGTTTGTACTGGTCGTTCACCGGTTTGGCCGCCATTTTTGTGGCCGCCGTCACAATTCCGTGCTACATGCACTACAAGGCCGGCGAGAACCTGGAGTTGCGGCGCGATTCGAACGAAAACTACGTTCAGTGGCATTTGGAGACCGAAATCGCGTTGATAAAGACGAAAACAAAGAAAAAGAGGAGGAAGAACAAGAATGGAACGGTTTGTGAATGGAATTTTTAGGTTTCAAAAGTGAAGCTTCTGTTTTTAGCTTTCTACGGAGGAAATTTGATGGGCGATGGCTTTAGCGATTGCTTTTCGACTAAATAAACTCTATAAAATTGTGCAATTACTCGGGAAATAATAAAATATGCTAAAACTCAATGGGAATCACTCTTTTTCTGCAATTCTGGAAAATCTCGATTCGAAATGGTTTGTGCGATGGAGCGCGCTTGCATACAGTATGCAGCATACTTTAAATTTCCTCATTTTCCATTTAAACGCGTTTCTCCGTCGTCTGTTTTGACTAGTGATTGGATTTTTATGATTTTTCCATGGAAAAGCTAGATTTTCACAAAAATAATTACCGATTCAAGTTGTAACAGGTTGGCAGCGTCTTCTCACTGTCTGAAAATCTTTCTTTTGTTCTTGTCCGTCACTTTTAGCTCAATTGCACCCACACTCCATTGGATTTGAAAGAAATTTAAATTGGGAGGGGAGAAAAGCCAGGAAAGGTAAGAAACATGGCGATTTTCTGTAAGATATCGTAAATGTGTAGTTTGAAATTGTTTTTTTTTAATTCTCTGAAAAAATGCCAATTTTTGCAGAGTCTCGTCGGCGAGCACGATTTCCCCAACTTTTGCCAGCTGGACAAGAGCGAGGTGCGTCTGCGGCAGTCGTTCGTCCGATCCATCAGTCGAGTTTGGGGAATTTGAGGCGAAAAAACAGCGAAGAAAATGCTAGAACAGGCCGGAATTCGAATGTTTCTCGGTGCGCTGGCCGTAGGTTAAATGAGTCTGGCAGCGAATTGGCGAATAACACGAAAAAAGAGCCCATCGCACCGGCGGAACCCGAAAAAAAGTCACGCGGCAGAAAGAAGAAGCTCGCCGTGCTATGTGATCAGTCAAACCCATTTTTTGTTCTTCAAAGACTAAGCCTCCTCGTGGCGAAGAACGGAAACGGGGGCTTTCTATGAAAGCCCGCCGGCTAATTAGTCAAAATGTATTACTTTTTCTTCTTTTTCTTCCTTCCTTTTCTTTATTCCCTGTGGGGGAGGGGAATAAGTCGTTGACTATTCAAGTTATTCTAGAAACTCTAGCTTTGACTAGCATTGTCTTACAGCAAACTGTTGTTGTTGCTCCAAACGAATCTCCCTCCGAAAACACAAACACAGAAGTCATTCCTGTTTTTTTACGGTTTCTGGATCGCTTGTTCTCAGAATTGCATAATTTTGCTCTACCTTTTTTGATCTCAATCAAGTTTGATTGTTTTTGTTTGAAACTGTAACAAAACCTCACAAACTACAGTTGGTGGTGTTAACTGTGCATTCTAATTGAATCTTACATGTGATTAGTGACTCAGAGGCTACTTGGAACTCCGCTTCCCAAAAGACATCAGAAGAAAGTGAGCCAACGTTTTCAATGTTCTTCTTCAAACAATGGTCTCTCGCTTTCTGATTCATCTCCCTCTTGTACGTCCATGTTACGTTATGTTTATTTTGTGAATTTCATTCCCTCCTCTCTTCAACTTTTCCAAAAAACTCTTGCCCATTCATTTCTACCAAAAGCCATGCCATATCTGGATGTGACGCTCAAATCCAATCCAAAGTAGGTCCCTCAAAGTTCCGAGTATAAAACCCAGTCGATTCAGTGTTCGTGTCACCTATTTCGGTCTCGAGATCAGCATTCTCATCGGCCTTCTTTTCGTTTTCCTCCTTTTTCTGCTCATCTCGATTCCGGTCTACTGTGGTGTGAAGTGGTGCGAGGAGCGGAGAAGAAAACGGTTCCGAGCTTCTTTTTGTTCTTGACCCCAAAATAAATCTCTTTTTCTCAAATAGTCTTCCTATTTTGCGTGACAACCATCAAGAGCTCTAAATAGCGTGTCCCTCGAGCAACGTGGCAAATAGGGTGAACATTTGAGAATCCCCCAGAACGGTTATTGTCGTTTTCTTCCGAATTCCGACGCAATTGCCCGACGAACTTCAATATCAGATTGAGTCAATTCAGTTTCAAGAGTTTTCATGAAAGGTTTGTCACCTTTCCCTTCTTCCGATAATACAAGATGTTTTGCAGAAATTCCTGGCGGCCCCATAATGGGCATACTCTTGACGTTCACAATCATGATTCTTCTTCTGGATTCTGTCGTGGACGCCGGACCGAAAGTGCACTCCAAAGAACATTTCAAACGGAGACTCGGAGGCGACGAGAATTCAACCGGGAACGGAACCGTTGGTGAGCAAAAATAGAAAAGAACGTTTTGAGGTTTCGTCTTGCAGATCATTTTCCGGATCTTTTTCATGTGAAGAATATGATAGCCCCTAAAGGAACATCAGCTCAGCTCAAGCCGAATGCGAACCAATCTGGAAATACCAGTCCCAAAAGCATTACCGTCAAAGGACCCGGTAACAACAAACTGGCCACAAGCTATAAAAACGATACGAATTTTTCAGGAAGATCTGATCCATCACAACGAATGTCCGCACAAACGACGGTTACAGGTAACTAGATTTTGAAAAATTTCGATTCACTTATTGAGTACACTTTCAGTACCACCCACAACTCCGTCAAAAACAACGTCACCTCCGTCCACGACAAGACCAACAACTACAAAAAAACAAGCAACTCAACCTGCTCCTACTCCATCCACAACCACAACCAAAACAACCAGAGCAAGCACTACTACTACTACTACACCTCCTACTACTACTACCACTACTACTCCTGCTACTACTACTACTACTACTACTACTACTACTACTACTACTACTCCTCCTACTACCACTACCACTACTACTACCACTACTACTACCACTAAAGCTCCAAGCACTACTAAAGCTCCAAGCACTACTCTTGCGCCTTCTACTACGATTCCCTCTACTATTACTATTCCTTCTACTGCTGCTCCTACCCCAGCTCCTACTCCTACTCCAGCTCCTTCTACTTCTTCTTCTCCTGCTGATCCACCGACTCAATCACCAGCCACAGCACCAAGTGCCGCACCAATAATCCAACCAACTCCAACTTTGAAATCGAAATCGGTGCCGACGACGACCGTCAGATCGAGTGACGAGGATGATAGTGAAAGAACGAGGACCGATCAGCAGCAGTTTGCGGGCGAATTGACGTGTCGGGTGAGCAGAGAGACCGAAATTGACGTCTAGTTTCACAGTTTTGCAGAAAGAAGACGAGTCGACCAAACAGGCGTGTTCCGGAATTTGTGATGTGATCAAAGTGGGAGCGAAAAAAGCATCTGGAGGATGGAGTACACTGCATACAATCCTTCTTATTACACTCATCGCCTTCATGATCGTTAACATTGTTATGTTTGTCATTCTTTTGTCCAAAAAAGGAAAAGAGAAGCAGGAGCAGAAAGTGGCGGCGGCGACGGCGGCCAGGACTCCGAAGATCGATCCGATGAAGGAAAACAACATTCCAGAAGTGAACGACCCGCAAAAAGTGAGTGCCTTCGCCTCTTTCATCTCAACCCTCTCCGCTTGCAGATCGACGAGAAGCAGCCGGGCGAAGAGATCAATGTGGAAAAAGAGCCGCCGTCGGTCAAAACCGGTCAGTATAAAGATAAGCTACTGGAAACTCAGGACAACCTGAACAAACTGAGAAATCATGTCAAGAAAACGCAACAGCAGCACAAGTCGGACATTCGTTCGAGCAAGTTTGTGAAGAAAGGACCAATATACATTCCGATGGAGCCCGATGTGAGTATAAGTACTCGGAGGCCTAGTTTCTGTTGCTGTTTGAGTTATAATTAGCCAGACTAAAATTGCAAAAAGGTTTTGTAGCGAGCTAAGCTTTAGAGTTCTTTCACAAGTTTTCCAGACAAAATAAAGCCAAAGCTTGTAGGACAAAACATTATATTCCCCTGAGAAGATTAGCCAGAACAATTGGGCCTCCGATTCCAAAACAGAGCCGAACTTTCCACATTCCACACTCTAAATACTGCAGATTCCTCCGCCAGCGAACCTGCCGAATAACATCGTTCTGACGCAAGTGACGTACGATCCATCGGGCAATGAGATCTACGATATCGGGTCCGACGTCGACGACATTGAGATGGACTCGAGCCTGAGCATTGACGGGCCAACGTTGACCGAGGAGGAGAAGACGAACAACCAGAAGAGCAGAAAGGCGCCGACGCAGAGCAACAAGAAGAAGGACGCGACAAAGTCCCCGAATCTGACGCTCGACCAGAAAAGTCCGAAGACGAAGACGAAGAGCCAGAAGATCACGAAGTCGGCGAAGAAGCAGTAGAATTACTTGTTTCGTTTCGTTTTGTTTTTTTTTCTTTTCTTACTCTTTTCCTATTCTCAATAAATCGTGTTTATTGTTTTGTTGTCAACGTGGCCTTCTGGATTCGTCTAAACTCGTGGAAGTACCGATTGAATCTCTCCAAAACCGTTCCATTCCAGACATTCCATTCGAAATCGTTCGCCAAATCCCCGTTTCTAAAAGAGGTATCGTGATAGACTGGAAAAAGGTAAATTGATTAGTGAATTATTCAGAAATCGTTGTGTCATAACAATAAAAATGGACGAGAAGCTGAAAGATGGGATGATCGAACCGAAAAAGGGCTACGACAATGTGCACGATCTGAGCGGACTGGGTCCGGACGGCAAAGGAAGGAAAGGCGGAAAGAGAAGAAAGTTGAGGAAGGGAAAAGAGAAGAAGAAGGAGGAGGACGAGGAAGAGAAGGAAGAGAAGAAGGAAGAGAAGAAGGAAGAGAAGAAGGAAGAGAAGAAGGAAGAGAAGAAAGAAGAGAAGAAGGAAGAGAAGAAGGAAGAGGAAGAGGGAGAGAAAAAGGAAAAAGAGAAGGAGAAAACAGAGGAAAAAGAAGAAAAGAAGGAAGAGAAAAAGGAGGAAAAGAAGGAAGAGAAAAAGGAGGAAAAGAAGGAAAAGACTGAAGAGAAGGAGGAAGAGCCCAAGAAGAAGGCCAAGAAGGAAGAGAAAGAAGAGAAGGAGAAGGAAAAGTCAAAGGATGAAAAGGAAGAGAAAGAAAAGGAGAAAGAGAAGGAAAAGCCTAAAGAAAAGGAGAAAGAAAAAGAGAAGGAAAAGGAAAAGGAAAAGACAAAGGAAGAGGAAAAAAAAAGCGAGAAAAAGAGTGAAAAGAAGGAAGAAAAAGAGAAAGAGAAAGAGAACAAGGAGGAAAAGGAGAAGGAAAAGGAGAAGGAAAAGGAAAAGACAAAAGATGAAAAAGAGGAGAAGACAAAGAGCAAGAAGAGCCAGGAGCCGGAGAAGAAGTCGGCCGAGAAGGTGACGGTCAAGGAGCAGCCAAAGAAGTCGACTGGTCTAGACTCGCAGTTCACTTCCTTTCTCACTAACTATTCTGTTTACAGGACCGGCTGTTCCGCGCAGACCGCCACCGCCGAAGAAGAAGGGATGCTGCGTCATTCTGTGATCCTCTATCAATATTGTGCGTCAATCATCATCATCTTCTTCGTTGCTCGATCTGAAAAGTCCATTGAATAAAGTGTCCCACTGGTTGCAAAACGTCCAAAAGTTCCAACTTCAGCTCGGTGTCAGAATCAATCACTTTCTTCACTGATCTCTTTCTCTCAGAGAGACAATCCCATTATACAAATGACCTCCTCCTCCTCCTCCTCCTTCTTCTTCTTCTTTCTCAATTCTTCTCAATTCCAAATGCCCATCATCATTATTCTCCCTCCTGATTGCTTCTGTTTTGACAACTTGTCTTCTCGGGGAGGAGCCGCCCGTCCGTCCGAGAGGTGTCGCCCTTGGGCGGTCCGAAGTGTAACACTGATTGATGGGCTTTTAGGCGCTTCCGAGCTCGCTTTTCTCTACTGGTTTCGTCGGCGTTTTTGACTTTAAAAGTCTCGCAAATCGGTTTTTGTTTGATCTTTGACCCTTTTTGTACTTTCTGTAATGGTAAACGTAATGTGACACGTCAATACAGTAGGATGACGTGGCAGTGATTAGTTACACTTTCATGACGTGGCAGCAAGTCAGTTTAGCCAAAATGAAGGCGTACAATTGCTCTAATAGTTGTGTAAACTTTGATGACAAAAAATCCCCAGACCCCTTCTTCAAAAAACCTTGCATTTCCCCATATTTTCGCCCTCAGAGCTCTTTCTCTCATTAGGTTGTCAGCCACTAATCCACTGCAAAACGGGTATTATCCGTCCCTAATCCTGGTGCACTTCTTCTCTCTCTCGCTCTCTCTTTTTTTTTTGGGATGGGAAATCCATGAAAAAGACGTGGTAGACAAATGTGCGTGTGTGTGTGTGTGTTCAGAAACGGATAATAGTCATTGGGCCTAGGTGGTACCCGAGGCTAATTAGCGAATAAATGAGGTATTTAGTAGTAGTCGCGCGCGCGGGACATGGAAGGTTATTACCGTTTTGTGTGGGTGGTACCAAAGATGGTCTAGTGGTCAGTTCATAATCCAATAATATCTTATCACTATTATCCTTTCACTTTTCTCTTCTCGATTATCATAAATTCTCACGGCAAGATTTACGGCTATTATACGGCTGAAGAAGCGTGTCCATGAGAGAGAGAGAGAGAGAATGATAGGGAAACAAAAGACGGGTCATGTTTAATTGGCGTTTGAAACGAACCGCCCTCCCGAATCAGTGTGAGAACAAAACTGTTTGCCGCCAGGTTTTTCCCTTTTGTCACACGATTTCGCCTAAAATATTCCAGAAAGCTCCTCTTGAGTTTCCTCACTTTCTCAAGTATTTCCAAACTCAATTTACTCCACACTTTTTTCGCCCCAAAAACCCTTGCGAGCGAGAGCTTTCTCCACATTCATTGCTCATTTCGCACACATTTTTCGGGGGCCGGCGACTACTCCATTTCCAGCGTTCTTTTCGAAAAGTGCGAGAGAACCCCTCAATTTCCGTTTCCAACTTCTTTCCGCGAATCGAATCCGACGCCTTCTCCAGATGACTATCATCCGTTTCTCTGTTTGCCGTTCTCTTCGATTCCAATAATGTTTCGAGATGCTTATCCGAAACGGTCATTCGAGACGATCATTTGTGAATGGATCTATGGGAATTCGGCATAGTTAGTAGTGCCACGTCATCACCCAAATGTCCTACCTTCTCGAAGATTACGGTAGTGCCACGCCATCTAAATATACCCCTGCCAACTCGTCACTAAACTCATTGCGAAACGTTCCGAATGAATATTACTTTTCCTCCCCTCCTCCTTCTTTCCATTTGTGGGATGCGCCGTCTGCCTGCCTGCCTGCCTGCACATATATTTTGATTCAATTTAGAAGACGCACAGAAGAAGGCGTGAAGAAGAAGAAGAAGAAGAAGAAGAGACAAACACATATTCCTTCGAATATTATGGGTCCCATCTTCTTCTTCAATTTTCTCTCCGTGTTCTTGCGTCCGTCGGGAGTTGATCCAAGTAGGTATGATAGATTGGACCTTGGGGGGGGTGGCTCCATTCTGACGGCCGCCGTGCTCGTAGCAATTGAATCGCGGAGAAGGATGGATGAGGTGGCAACTTGTTTCCTCTTCTCCATTCGTTTCGGTACATTTGACGTTAGTACCCAGTGGTTTCAGAGTTCAAAATGATCTGGCACTAACTACAGTATCCAAATTGTTTGAGTACATTGCCTGTAGCATTTGCTTCTGTTTTCTAAGTTTTGTGAAAGTATCACCCTAGCGACCGAAAAAAGTGTACTAGACTTGACGACATTCTTCGTACCGTACCTCTCCTGTAAAGTTTAACGTTTCGACCACTTTTCCTCCTCTTTCCCACACTTTATATGCCGATCTGGCGCCGCTCGTTTACCTTTCCCTTTTCACCCATTTCTTCGCAGTTTTTCTTTCTCTCCCTCCCCCCAAATATTATCACTATTATCATCTTCTCACCCAAATGATTGATTGCAAATAATCTGTCTCAATCTTTTATCATCCTATACCTTCTTTTCGGTTCTCACCACTTCTTCACACCTGACTACGTTTTTCAGTACAACAATATCTGTGTGTGTGTGTGTGTCCGCGAGCGCATAATTTATGAGCGATTCACGCAAAAACATGCGTTGATTCGTACGAATTCACGATTGTTTTCAGTTCGTTTCGCTTCAAGACACCCCCCCCCCCTTTTTTTACGATTCAAACTTAATTTTCATCAACGAGCTTCGTCGTAGCTCAAAACACTCATTTCTCCAAAAATTTCGCGAGGACACTTGAAGTGGCATCAAGTTGTCGTCAAATCAAATGTATTGTACGCAATCACTAGGAAAGCCTCAGAGCCCAAGCACGTTTTGTTGAATAAACACCCGCGCACCGTCAATATTTCATTAGGCTCTCCTCGAGAAGAAGGTGCGGACCCGGCCGGACGGAGAAGTGTATCAAATTTGCGCAATTCGCCTATATTTGTACGAGTTGGCAGTATTTGTACTGCCTTTTCCTCCTCTTCTTCTTCTGACCAGTGAGAGGCTACTGTTTTGGGTTGCGATTAAGGATTACTGTAGTTTGGGCAGAGAGTCAGGCGTCAAGATATATGAAAAGATTAGCTAGACTTTTAGAATCTTAGGTAAAGTGGTAATTGCATCCTTGCTCAAATTTGTGGCGAGATTACGTACGAGACACTAGACCTTACAGTAATCTCTGCTACCGTAAGCCTTTGGAAGGTCCGAGAAAGTCCATCCGATTCGACGATCCCATCCCATTCCCATTCGCTTTTCTCTGTTCTTGACTTGTGCTCACCGCCTCTGGCAAACTTCCGATAATCCCTTCTTCTCCCTCTTCTTCTTCTTCTTCTTCTTCTCCACAAAAGTAGAAGCTTCCTTTTCGTGTCACAAACACGCCTTCATAATCGTTTTTGATGGGTCCGACGCGAAATGGCCTAGATTATATAACTCCGTTTCACATTCTCACGGTAATCCCCCCATATATAGTAGTGTAGTGGTTGGGAGGAAGTAAAATGGAATGGAAGTAAAAGTTTCATTTTCATTCTCATTTGTACACACTTTGATCGAGTTTTGCTGATTTTGAGATTGCCTACCGTAAACCTTGTCCATTTCCGTTCAAGACCCACATATGTGTGCTCGCCGTCGTGTCCTTCCGTACACACACCATCTGTTGTCCGCTACAGACATTTTCACAAGATCTTTCTCGTTTCGTTTTTTTTTTCGCCCTCAACATGTGTTTTACATGTTTTATATGTATGTGCGCCCCCCTGTCGATTGCAAAGTGAGTAACTTTCATGTATTCCCGTTGGTTTTTTGGTAGGAAAAAGATATGGATCTCATCGGACTATTGTTCATGTTCGACAAGAGGTTTATGACCGTTTTATGACCCTTTTCTAGTGTGGAAAGAAAGAAAAAGAGAGAGAGAGAGAGAGAGAGAGAGAGAGGGGAGTAAAAGTCATTTTAAACCTCCAAAACCGTGGTATGGAATATGTAGACTGTTCTTCTTTCTTCTCACTTTATCAACAGTTCTGGATTAATCTTTTCAACATTTCTAGTGTTGCCACGTCATGTATTTCTATTTCCGGGACCTCAAAGTGACTAGCTAGCCAAATAATAATCGTGTAGCTCAACTTTTGAGAAAACCTTGTTGCTTTTTCTAGTTTTTCTGATCTCAAGAATGTGCCACGTCAGAATCTCTTGTTCAACTTTTCAAATTATTGTTGCCACGTCATCGAGCCCTCGAAACGCCACTACTATTCCATTTTCTTCCTCTCCGTACCTTGCCCTTTCATGAAAAAGGGGTTATTCAGTTGAAACAATGGCAACATTTTCATTCTCATTCTCAGATGTCTATCTTTTCATCCTCTTCTGCCCCCCTTTTCGCCTTTTTGCCTTTCATTTTCCCGCTTTTCAATACATATTTTGTTATTCTTGTGTTTAGTCCTCGTTTTTGTGCTCGGGTAATTCGATACAGTGTTTTTGCAACAGATTTGTGGCCCCCCCTCGACCCCTCTTCTTTGTTTGTCTTCTTTTTGGATTGCAAGAAGAAGAGGAGGGAAAAGCCGCCAATTATTTGCACTAATTCTCTTTTGCCAACTACTTTTCCGTTATTATTATTATTGTTTTACTTCTCGGGGGCCAGGAGCTCTTGTTCAAAAGAAAAAAGTGGGAACATCTGGAGGGCAATCAAATTTTTATCGGTTTTTGAATGAAATTGAAACTTTTCTCATGTGTCTTCGCTGCACTACGAATCGCCAGATTCCGATCTGATTCGTAGTGCTCATCTCAACTTGAGCCTCTTTTGCCACGTCAACATTCATGTTTCAGTGCCAAAATTGGGTTGAAATCGGTGTTTTTTGCGCCCCGCTCTCTGGATCCGCTTCTCGCGAGCAATGCGACGAGCGCGACGTCTTCAACATCCACGTCAGCATCAGATTCTTCCTCTTCAATCATGAACACTTTCAAGCCGATAATAATGGCCCATTCGGAGGGTGAGCCGTGCATTCGGAATGGACATACTGTGCATTTTAGACAAGGTTCGTTATTAGGAATGAATGAAATTACTCGATTTACCCTAAACACCCCGATATTGTCCGTTCAAAGTAATGTAAATGCAAAGTGGTCAACTGATAAAATGTACAGAATTTCTTCAGAAATAATTTGTTAGTTGACCACTTTTTGAAAGCTTCATTGGCCACTGATATATGTCGTTTTGAATGTAGACACTCCTCTTGTTATATCGTTGCTTCACTGCTCGTTCAAAACAATATATCTCGCCAGTCAATAGAGATATCAAAAAGTGATCAACTGATGAAATGCTCAAAAAAACATTGTGTACATTTTATTAGTTGAAAACTTTTTTATATCTCCACCGACAGCCAAGAAACGTTGCTTTGAATAGACACTTTCTTAAGTGTTTAAAGTTTTTGGAAAAATCTACTGCCACGTCACGTCAAGTTAGAAGTTTCTGGTTGGAGCTGAAGATACGGTAAACCTTGTAGATACCTCCCGTCGAAAATCAGATTTCGCTCGAAAATGCATCGCCGTCATCCTCCTCCACGCGATCTTTCTGTTCGCAATCCTGGCCGCGCTCATCATCGGTCACTGGATTTCTGAGGAAAACCAAAAGTTCAATAGGACTTCAGTACGTCTTTTTTTTCTTTGAATCTATTTAGATATTGTCCACGACTTTCTAACGTCTAACCGCATCCTAACACGTTTCCAGTTGAATTCCACACTTCTCGCCGACGCCTATCTTCTCGAATCATCTGGATCTTTCGGCGCGGCGGCTTCCTCGAAAAGAACGACGACGACGACGATTTCTCCGGCTTCTGATGGCCACGTGGAGGCTCTGAACCATCGTCACACGCATCTGCTGACCACGTCTTCGGCACTGAATAACAACAAAAATAAGCAGCAGCCGCCGCCGAGAGTCGTCGAACGACTAATCCCGGTGTGTAACCACACGCCGTGTGCTTAACTTTTTGCGAAAAACGACTTTGAGTTTGGTTTTTGAGTGAAAATGGATGGGAATTTGCATGAAAAGCGGTGGGACTCTCCAAAGTACCCCCTGACCTACTGAATATGATTTGTGATCCTACGCCATCTGGGGCTAATCTCATTATTTTTTGGGCGCGACCAAAACCGGCGGCCATTCATGCCCCTAATAAGTGTGGCATTCGTCGTCATATTGACGGAAGCGAATCACTGTCAATCACCCGTTTCGCATGCAAATTACTAAGCCATTTGACGGTTCTCTCAAGGACTTTTCATGCGATTATGCTAACAACTAACGTGTGTGTGTGTGTGAAATTGAAGTGGCCAAAAAAAGTGAAACGCTTTATATCGTAATTGTCCATAGAGATATCAAAAAGTCGTCAACTGATAAAATGTTCAGAATGATTTAACGAGTATTTTCTGTGTTGATAACGTTTTGATATCTCTTCAGGCAAATGAGATAAATTGTCCTACATTAACCTCATTCAGTTGGAGAAAAAGCGAAACTTCACTCTGGCTGACGTGTTTCCACCGCCTCCGGATGGCGGTTTTGGGATTGCCGAGCAGTTGCACGCAGTTCGAGCCAACAAATTGACGACTGACGCGTTGCTCGTGCCACTTCCACTGTACATTCTACCGTATCACTATGATTTGAAGGTTTGAACAAGAAGCACACGTGTCGTTTAGATAATTTCGATTTTCAGCTGGACTTTTCGCTGTTTGATAGCGCTCTTTTCATCCGAGCCAACATCTCGATCTTTTTGGAAAGCTATGGAAACTCGACCGAAGACGAAATCCAATTCCATCTCGGTCCGAACATTAAGATCGAGCGAATGCGGCTGAGAAAAGACGGCCGCAAGTTCTACGCGAAGACGTTCAAACGGGAAGAGTCGAAGAAGCTGGGACGGATATCGCTTCGAGACCCACTTGAGAAGGGCAAGTACGTGCTGGAGATGGAGTACAACATGACGATCTGCGACGAAGACGTCGACGGAGTCAGATGCTCGCTCGATTCCAGTACCAATTCGTCTCTGAAGGCGACTAGCTTCACCACCAAATTCGAGCCCACCCTCGCCCGCTCGTTTTTTCCCTGTTGGGACGAGCCGGGCGTTAAGGCGACGTTCAACATTACGGTGAAACACGAGAAAAAGTACACGGTGCTCTCGAACATGCCGCAAGTGCCCGAGAATCCGCCGAAGCGGTTGATGACGTGGCACGAGCCGATGATGACTACCGTATTCCAGACGACGCCGCCAATGTCCACGTATCTTCTGGCTTTTGCGATCGGTTCGGTTCAAAAACCTTCACAGTTGGTCGAAAACTTGAAATTTTCCAGGTGAATTCGTCAAATTGGAGACACGAACCGAACGCGGAATTCCGGTGACTGTGTGGACGTATCCGGAAGACGTGATGTCGATGAAATTCGCGTTAGAGTACGCGCCCGTCATTTTCGATCGACTCGAAGACGCTCTTGAGGTGGCAAACTAACGAGCAAATCGGGAAAATTGAGTGGAATGATGATTTCAGATTCCCTACCCGCTGCCCAAAGTCGATCTGATTGCCGCCCGCAATTTCCACGTGGGCGGAATGGAAAACTGGGGACTGATTGTGTTCGAGTTCGCCTCAATCGCCTACACACCACCGATCACAGGTAGGAAACCACAAATCGGATGTTTGATACATTCGACGAGTCGAAAATGACTTCCGATGTTTTGATAATAGTTCAAATGCATTGTGTTCTTCGAAATGTAGATTTATCCGTCGTGAATACTCTATATACTCAATACGAAACAGTTATCTTTGAGATCACGTAAACGAGACGGTGGATCGGATGTACAACGAGTTCCGGATCGGCAAACTGATCGCGCACGAGGCCGCGCATCAGTGGTTTGGCAATCTGGTGACGATGAGGGACTGGTCGGAGCTGTTCCTCAACGAAGGATTCGCCACGTTCTACGTCTACGAGATGATGAGCGCCGAACGGCCGTTGACGACTCAATTCGAGTACTATGACAGTCTGGCGACACTTGTTCAATCACAGGCCGAAGAGGATCACCGCTTGTCACTGGTCCGTGAGCTGTCCACCGAGTCTCAGGTCGAATCCTCGTTCCATCCGACCAATTTGTACACGAAAGGATGCGTTCTGATCCGAATGATTCGCGATTTAGTCAGTGATTTCGATTTCAAAGCGGCCGTCCGAAGGTATCTTCGTCGAAACGCGTACCGTTCGGTTTCTCGCGATGATCTGTTCGCCAGCCTGCCCGCCTACGCAGATCACGGAGCGGAGCAGGAGAAATTGAATCAGGTGCTCGAGGGATGGTTTGTGAACGAAGGCGTTCCGGAGATTACGCTCATCCGGAATTATGATAACGAAATGATGACGATGAGTCAGAGGAAGACAGTGCATCACGAGTATCGGAGTTTTCTGAAGGATCGGAAGTCGGCGACACGATACAGAGGAACGAGAAATGCCGACGACGGGAGCACTCTGTTCGATGACACATTGTTTGAGGGCTACGTGGATAGACGCAAGGAGAAACGGAGGAAGCATCGGCCCGCGAGAAGGAAGGCTTCGACGCCTCCACCAATCAGTCCTTCGAGCCGTCGGGACGAACTCCGAAAACCTCGTCGTGTGGGAAATTCGCAAGATCTGTGGACCATCCCGATCACCTACATGTTCGGATCGTTGAAAACCTCCGAAGGCCAGGTCATCCGAGAGTTTTGGCTCAAAAACCGGACGGTCTCGTTCGGCGACGCGGAGATCTCTCCGAACCAGGCAGTTCTCGTGAATCCCGAGTGGAAGTATCCGTATCGGGTCAACTACGATCTGCTGAATTGGAAGTTACTCGCCAGAACGCTGCATCAGAACCATCTGGAGATCAATGACAAATCGCGAATGCAGTTGCTGCTCGACGCCGAGTATTTTCTCTCCACCTCCAACAATCCGCATCTCTATCTCTATCTGCTCGGATATCTGGCCCATGAGACCAGAATGGAGGTGATGCTGTTCGGAATTGATGCCGTCTACCGATTCATCGACGTCTTCAAGGCCACCGCGTTGAACAAGGCCATTCTCGTCTTTTTCGAGCCCGTCGTCTCACAAATGGATCATTTGCTGAACGAGAGTCAAGTGGACGCGGAGACCGCCTCTTTGTGGCTCGTCCGGCCCGAACGGCTCTCGAAACTCTATCAAATGAGGTGTGCCGTCGGGCTTGCCAGCTGTAAGAATGAGTTTCATGTAAGTTATAAAGGTATTTCAATGAGAAGTAATCTTGTTTTTAGACTCAAAAATGGGCTCGTTCGCCTGACGAGTGGACGGAAGACGTTCACAAACAGGTCACTGCGGTCTGCCATCAATTGTTCACGAGCCCCGAGGATCAGGTCAAGAATGTCGTAAGTTACTGATCTCTAGAACGCCTTGAGCTAAAATCCTTCATGTTCCAGCAAGATCTGCTTGAGAGCCGGCTCCAATCCTCGGGCGCCCAATGGGCTCTAACTGTACAGCTCTCCGCCTGCTCTCACGATCAGAAACTGCTCCGCAAGACCGCCCGAGCCATTGTGAGCACTAAAAACGCGGCGGTTTACGCTTCAGCCCTTCAGGTACTCATTTTTTGACGGAAAAAGTGAACTCTTAAATGTTCTGTTCAGTCCGACTTTTCTCTACACTATAACGGCGCGTTCCGCAAGTATTTGTGGGCGGAGATTGCCAAAATGAGCACATTTGAAAAGACGGCACTCTTTTCGACAAATTCCACGTCGATTCTGCCGGCCTCGAGGATTCTCTTGCATTCCGTCAAGACTATCGATGAACTTCAACAGGTATGTAACTCTTCCGGCTCAACGTCTACCTACAGTAATCACAACTAGATCCGCGGACTGCTCACCAACTGGGGACCACTTTTGACGCTCCACTTCGAGTACCTCGAGCGATATCTTCTGTGGGTGTCGAGTGTCTCGCAAGGAGTCCTTCATCAGTTCTTCGCCGCCGATTTGTCCAACTTTTGAACTGTCTCAACTTCACTTTTCCATATTACGGGTTTCCGATTCACACCAGGGTCTCAACATTTCCATGTCTTTCATCTTACCTCGTCTGATTTCATTCTCAATAAAGTAATAAGTTTGACGTGTGGCACTGCACTACACTTGCCATCATCTGGCTCTCCAGCTATTATCCGTTTCGGCGCTTGCGTGTGTGTTTGTATCCGACTCTATTTGCACAACGTTTCGTCCAGCTCTGCCGGTAAAAAGTGTCAATGAGGAGGAGGAGGAGAGGGGGGAAAAGAGAAGAAAATGAGAAACACGGCCGATATCCGGCAGATCAGGCTGTGAATGTTTGTCCCGCCTAAACTGACGGATCGAAACCTGCGAAACGCGAGCGCTTTCCTCCCAACTTCTCTTTTTCCCATTTTGCCACCACCACCACCTCATCGAGCTTTATTTGGTGGCTTCGATTCGAAACGAACTTAGGCTAGGCTTTTACGAACATTCGAATGATGGACAAGACACACAAAATGGCGGTGTTCATCTCGATGTGCGCGTTCATTTTTAGGTATGTATTTTACATTTTTTTAAAGTTACAGTAGAACGAATCCAAGTTCTATCATCACCTAGTTTGGCTGGGCTTTTTAGGTTTTATGATAAACCTCGGAGTAATCCCATTTTCCTCTCCAATTCCAGCATTTTCTTCACAATCGTCGCCGGCTGCTCCGAGTACTGGGCACGTGCGGAAGTCATCGATACTCGAAAGTTTAGACACGCGGGCGCGGTCCACTCTGGCATATTTGTGGGAAATCGAGAGATCGACTACGGGCAGGGCGCTTTTAATAGCCGCTTTTTGGGTTGGTTTTTGTATGAAAAAGCTGCTAAATGTATGGGTTTTCTAGTGTTCAATGAACTTCAAGACGGCACTTCTTTTTTCTCGCGAACCGTCTGGATCTTCTTCCTTTTCTTCGAGTCCATGTCGCTGATTTGGTCGATGATCGGAGTGATCACTTGCATTTTCTCAATGACTTCGCTCGCTTTGGATGTTTCTGTCGCCGGTCCCAATGGCATTTACCTCTGGAGTCTTTTATCCTGTAAGTCCGTCATTCTCATTAAAACTCTTCACTTCTTCTTCTTCCTCTTTCAGCCGTTTCCCACGGAGGAGCCCTCGCGCTCTTCTACTCTCAATTCCAGTCCTCGTTCAAGATCTCGATGCTTCTCGAGGAACACCAGGACGTCGGCTTCACCACTTTCAACCAGGCCTCCCTTTCCTACGCCTTCTACATGTCTCTCTGCGCTCTTTTCGCCCTCTACATTCCCCCATTGACATTGGTGTTGTTCACCGAAAAACTGACCATCAGCTCTCGAAAACAACAATCCAACTTTGATCCAACGCTCATGTTGTACTGATCTTAGTGCTCATGTTATCCTTAATTTATTGCAAGAATGAATCCAAAGTGTAAAGCAAAGTTCTTTATTTGTCAAAACTTTAAAAAAACTAATAATATCCGCCCTGACTACCTCCCTGACTTGCTCCTCCGCCTCCGTACTTGCTGCCTCCTCCTCCGCCGCCGCCGCCGCCACCGCTGCTCTGCCCGTATCCGCCCTGAGATTGAGCTCCACCTCCACCGCCACCGTACTTGCTTCCTGCAATTAACAGTAGTCTAATGTCTTCTAGAAATGTAAAGTACTGTAAAACGCTACTGGTGCTTTCAATACCTTTAGCTCTCCTAGTAACTCAGAACCTGTGTGCTGAGCCGATAGAGTCCGAAAAATCTACAGCAAGCCATCCTACACTAGCCCTACCGTAACTCTATCCCTCACCTTGCTGGCTCTGTCCACCTCCTCCACCGCCGCCTCCTCCGTACTTGCTCTGTCCTTTTTGCTGCTGCTTCTGCTGACCGCCACCACCTCCTCCTCCTCCTCCTCCTCCACCGTAATATCCTCTTCTCACCCTCGTCTTGGGCTTCTCCTCCTCCTCCAAATCCTCCTCGGCCACGTCCAACTGAACTTCTCCCTGTGGTCCTTCGTCTTCTTCTTCTTCTCCTACTTCTTCCGCTTGACGGCCAGCCAGCACCACGTCTTCTAGTTTTGCCGTCTCATCGGTTTCTCTGAGCACTCGTGTCGCATTCGAGCCGCTCGGCGCCACGTAATCCTTGGCGTTTGGGATGGCCGCGGCGGCTCCGATGAAAAATAGAAGGATTGCCACGCGATGATTGTAACTCATGTTCGTATAGACTCATCACGACTCTTGCCGCTTTTATACACCTCTCTTACTTTACATCGCACCTCGAGAAAAACCGGAAAACCTTCTCTTCTCTGGAAAAAGTAGATAATAGACAAACAGTTTATTAGGTGGACGAATGGCGGTAGAGCGTGTATGTTCTTATAACAATGGTGAAAGCGACGTCGGGAGGGGGAAGAAGAAGAAGAAGAAGAAGAAGAAAAAGACGGGTGCAACAAGAATCAGAAGAAGAAGAAGGTTTGGACGTCCTCTCCGGAAGCTTCCGCGCCACTTCCATCGAGAGATTGGCTTTCGCTGAGAAGAGCCTCGGTTTTCAGAAGAACGGCAAGCGGCTCTTGTTGGGTTGGAGTTGTCTCACCGGAGCCAGAGCCTTCCTGTAATTGAGCACGGGTTACTGTAGGTTGTCCCGGCTACCAGGCTACCAGATGGAGGGGAAACTTGCCCAAGACTGTGGATTAGATCCTAAGGTTGCAAAGTGTCCATCCATAAACACAAACTTACCAAATCGGCGGCCAAAACGGATCCAAAGAACAGGACGACGAAGAGCAGCAAGTGCCAGAATTGCATGATATCTATCTTGTGCCGACTGGCGATGTAGATTGAGCTGGTTGGAATGCTCCTTCCCGACAGGTGCCTTCTTTCTGTCTCCTCCCTCTTTTTCAAAGAATTCCTGCAACATTCCGGCCGGCGCTTTTCGGCAACGGCAAAGGTCAGAACGGATGTGATTTGAGAGCGCCGACGAGTGATGGATGGATGGCTGCGGATGATTGAGGTCATGTGACGAGATGGCACAAGTGAGTGGGAGAGGAAGAAGAAGAAGAAGAAGAAGAAGAAGAAGAAGCAAGTTGCAATTGGTTCAAGGAGCACTAGTCTAATAGTAAGGGAAAGTGGGTCCATGCGCCATGTGGATGAAAAACGGTTCCTGTATCCCCATATATCATCGATCTTCCCCCATTTTCCCTCGTTCACTGTTTATCACCCATTGTGGTGTCGATAAATTAAATAATTAAACAGTAGAAGCGTTCTAGAGCAAATTGAGCGAAAAATCATGCTCTCGGTCACCGTGGCTGCTCTCCGAGCATCCGAAGCTGTCATAGTGGAATTGGGATGGGCGACGATTCAGAAAAGCCCGGAATAATGCGGATATCTCACAAAACCTGACAGAGTGCACAAAGAATTGGGAATCTGTCAGACTTTTGCGATTTCTGAGGATCCCATTGCTTCCGAATGGGATCCAATGATGCTAATGTACTCTCCTAGTTCTGTTTCATTACGTTTCTATCACTTGGGCCCTGCGGAATACCTCCATCGGCCGCCAGATTCAATAACAAAAAAGAGCGGACTCCTTTGATCACATTTTCTTGGACTTCTGAAAACTCTATTTAGTTGAAACGTTTATTCCCTCATTGTCACCAGAAGTCATTTAAAACATCGAAAATAATAAAATTCAACTGATTACACCCCTCCAGACAGACAGAAAACAAAGAGCATCGACTTATCAATGATAGCAGATTCATAAAAACAAAAAACATTTGAACTTGAACCTGAAAACTTAAAAACACGGAACCTATAAAGCGTGTCGGGTGATCCCACTCGATTAGTTGTTATCGAATTTGAAATGTTTCTGAACCACCGGCCGTTGCTCGTCCTCTTTCTTTTCTTGGCTGCGAGTCCAGTGGACGTGTTGTCCCGAGTGCTGTCCTCGGATGCCAATCCGGACGGATTTCCGGATTACGGAAACGGTACGCTCTCCTCGGACCCTCTCTTCGAGCTCTTCCCCAATCCTTTGCACCTTCTGTGCCCCGTGTGCAGTCTGCTCCAGTTCCTACTCGGCGGACTTTTGGGCTCTTTGCTCGGCGGCGGACTCGTCAAGCAATTGGGAATATTTGCGTGCTCTTTGCTGCTCAGTACTCCGCTCAAGATCCCGTTCCTTCCCAATATCATTTGTACAGTCGTCTTTGAGGTTGGTCCCGGTTTCAGAGTTGGATAACATCAATAGGAACGGTTCCCACAATACAGTCCATTCAAAGCTATATATCTCAGCTGTCTGTGGATATATTAAAAAGTGGTCAACTGATTAAATGTACAAAATCTTTTAATGAAAAATTAATTAGTTGACAACTTGGAGTACCATTCTATCTGGCTTCTTGGAAACTTTTGAAGAATGAAAATTGATAATCTAAGACCCTGATTGCAAAATAGCTTCTTACTAATAGGTCAAAGTATTGAAATTGAACACCAAGTTGCAAAACGTCGAAACTTTTTTCAGATAATCGCCATTCTCTCCAAAAAGACGAAATCCGGAATTTGCCCGCTTCTCCTTCTGTGTCCGAAATCGAAAAAGGGCGTAACGACGACGAAGAAGCCATTTTTGACGACCGAGGAGGAGTACGAATCCCGAATTGTGAGCATCATCGAGAACGAGGACACTGCCAATTTGTCCCCCCAGATGGAATATTTCTATCGTGATTTGATCGATTTCCTTCCACTTCAGCCATTGAAGGGTTCTGCAGGTTCATTTTTCGGCTCTTTTTCGATGCATACTTTTTGAGTTTCAGCGGAACAGCAGGCTCTTCAAGTGATCCGTAATCTGGTAGCAGCCATCGAATACCACGTGGCTCATCGTTCCGAGTATCTGGCGGCTATTGCTAAAAATGTAGAATAATGAAGTTTTTCTTCTGCTCAATAAAACGGGCAACATAATTATCGTTCATCCCGTGAAAATGTGTGGTGGTTCACTAGTGAAAGAATACTATAAATGTTCGAAAATGAACTTTTGGAAGAAAACAGGTACAAAAAATACGGTAGAGTGGAATGGAAAAAAAGAGAGAATCACTGGGGAAATGGAAGTTTCAGACAGAGATGGATCCCTCTCTGAAGTCGGTTTTTCCGATAAGCACGTTTACAAGAGCCGACTGTTTTCCGGAGCGGCACACGGCGAGTGCTTCGTCGAGAATCTGACGGGTCGAGTCGACGTTCGTCTCCTCGATCGTTTCTCCCCATGCACCCAACGATTTGGCGACGTTGTCGTAGCGAGTTCTCTGCAAAAATTACGGGGTAAGTGCCATTCTCTCACTATCTCTCACCGCCAAGTCAACCGCGACAGAGCTCTGGAACATTGGCACTTGCTCTCTGGCGATTTGGGTCCAGCACGCGTCGTTTCCGACGATTCCGATGACCGGCAACTTGTGTCTGGCAAAAGTGTCGTATTCCATAAGGGAATATCCGCAGGATCCGTCTCCCCAGATGATGTAGACGGGGCGGTTCGGATAGACGGTCTTGGCACCGAGAGCGAATCCTCCGCCGACGCCAAGGGTTCCGAACGCTCCGGGGTCGAGCCATTGGAGCGGGCCACGTGGACGGACAATGTAGGCGGCGGATCCGACAAAGTCTCCACCGTCGGCAACCAGAATAGCGTCATCGGGCAAGGCCTGGTCCAAGGTTCGGAGGAAGTTCAGTGGGTTCAGGAATCCGTTCGTCAGCTTCGCGGTCATTTTCTTGGCGTTCGCCGTCTCCTTCTCATTGTCCTTATCGCGGAGACTCTTCACCCATTCCGTCGGTTTGCTGTAGTTGGCTCCGAGCGCGTTGGCCACTTGGACTAGTGACGTGGCGACGTCGGCTTGCACAGAAACATCCGAATTCCAGAAGGCTTTCTCGTTCTTCGTTAGTTGGCTGTAGTTTCTGTTGATAGCCACAATTTTGCTCTTTTTCGAGAGAGTTCTACCGTAGCTGAGACGGAAATCGCAGACGGTTCCGGCCAGAATGGTCAAATCGGCATCCTTGAGGGCGTCACGACGCACCTGACGCATCTGAAGTTCATGATCCTTTCCGAGCAATCCACGAGCCATTCCTCCAAGGAATACTGGGCATCCGAGAGCCTCGACGGCTTTCACGAGGTCAGAAGGCTTCACAGGTGGGAGAGTCGCTTGGGATCCGATGAGGAGAACTGGACGTTTGGCAGATTTCACCAATCGAACAATCTCTTGAATTTGTTCGCTTTTCGGCATTGGGACGTTCGTCGGCAACGGAGTTATTTCCTGTGGGATCCAAGCTCCGGAGAACTGACGAGACACGTGGCAACGGAGATAATAGTTCAGCGCCTTCTGGATGAATCCTTTAGCGTTCGGGTTGAAACCGATCTCCTTGACAACCAACTCGTACGGATAGAGCACATCGACTGGGAACTCCACGAACACGGGGCCTGGGCACCCGGACTTTGCGGCTTTGATGGCTTCACGGACGGTCGGCACGATGTCACGGAGGCGTTCGACACGTGCCACGTACTTGCACAGCGGACGGAACAGAACCATTTGGTCGATGTCCTGCAAAGATGAGTATTGTTTAATTATCAGAGCAGCGACAAAATTATCAAAAGCAGCGACTGAATTAAAGAAAGCAGCGACAAAATTATCAGAATCAGCGACGGAATTATAAAAAGCAGCGACAAAATTATCAGAATCAGCGACGGAATTATCAAAAGCAGCGACTGAATTTTAAAAAGCAGCGACAAAATTATCAGAATCAGCGACGGAATTAAGAAAAGCAGCGACTGAATTAAAGAAAGCAGCGACAAAATTATCAGAATCAGCGACGGAATTATCAAAAGCAGCGACTGAATTAAAAAAAGCAGCGACAAAATTATCTAAATCAGTGCCTAATTTATAAAATTTACAGCGAACACATTCAAAGCAACTTCAAATTCTCACCTGAAGTGCTCCTCTGCCCTTCAAAAGCGTGGGCGCAGCTCCTCCGATGAGAAGCAGTGGACTCTCGGCCATTTGAGCATTCTTGACTGCCGTGATTGTGTTGGTGAGTCCCGGTCCGGCGGTCACAGCGGCGACTCCAATCGACTGACGGAGACGGGCAACAGCGTCGGCGGCGAAGACAGCCGTCACCTGCGAAGGAGGGTCTTGACATGAAAGCTCAAGTGTTCCGTATGTACCTCATGTCTGGTATCCACAATTTTGATGCCGAGCTTCTCGGCGGCCACGAGAATCGGGGAAATGTGTCCTCCGCACAGAACGAAGATCTCTTCGACATCGTGCGCTTTGAGCACCGAGGCGACGAGCTCTCCACCATGACGCTTCGATTTCTCATCGACCTTAATGTGAAAATTATATGCTCTTAAGGATTTTGACAAAAAATTAAACAAAAATCATGTTTCTCTTATAGCGCATTCCCTTTAGTGTTTGCTTCAGAAATCGAAATCCCTGTACATTTGCGTTCTAGAGTTTTGCATCTATTTTCGGATGCTCATGTTGAATTCACTCCAATGTTGTCATTTTACTTCGGTCAGAATATACCAAAACTTTTACACCTGTTTTCCGAGACTTCCTCTCCAAAAGCTGCTAGGTAAGTAACACCCACTAGGTTCTGTCCAAAATTGGAAACACTTTTTGGAAATAATTTAAACAACGATGAAAAGCACCTGGAATACATTCGAGAGCACATGCTGTCCGTTTGCGCTGCCCAGAAGGCCTGCCACGTTCATAAGCTCATCGGTGCTGCGAATGTCGAGCCATTTCCAGAGGAGCAGAACGATGATCACGATAAATATTAAGAAGAGAACCATTTTTTTCCCTGAAAATTAGAATACTTAATGTGAAGTAATAGCAGAAAATGCAGAAAGCGAAACGGCGAGCACGGAAAAGAGCACAAAAAGCATCAGTACTACAGATAAGACGTATGGGGTTTCTGGTGAACCAATAACTATATTTGTGATAAATATTCGGTGGTGAGGAAAAAGATAAGAAGGTAAATGATGTGTGATCAAAAAAGAATCGACTCTATGGGGTGATAGGGGCAAAGTCCACGAAGACCCGCCGTACTGTAACCCGAAAAAATCGTACAACTCGTCAAAAAGTGCGATTCGTATCAATAGGTCCGGGTGTCGCTTTGTCACTGAGAAAGAGAAAGAGAGAGAGGAACAATGGATGATTCCGTAAAAAATGGGGGAGAAAAAGTGTGAACTCTTTTTCTACAGAAGGTATGAAAGAGCGTCGAATCGCTTTTCTCGCCAATATGAAACTTCTGACTCATCTTTCCCCTTTTCCTTTTATTTCCCCCACACTTGAAGCTTCATTTTATTTCATTCCAACTTTTCTTCCATTTCTTCACACATTTGTTCGCCTCAAAACTCAGATTTTTCCAAAGAATTCCATGTTACGTAACAACCTTACACTCTATTTCAAAAGCTGCTGATTGCTCACTCCTTTTCTGTGTACATTTTCTAATGAGCTCGCGCTACCTTTGCCACGTTACACACACGAATTGATGTCCGTGAGCATGTGATGTGAACACTCACAAGAAGAAGAGGAATATTGTACAACAACGAAAGATGTAGTGTATCGGAAGACGCGCCGAATACGAATACAATCGAGAGAGATAGTATGATATGTCCGGCGGTCGCCAACCAAATTCTATCAAGAACGAGAGAGAAAGAGGAAGACGGCCGGGTGGGAAACATTTCTGCCGAAAGGTGGCCTCATTTCTTAGGTGTGTGACCGTGGAAATTTCAAGGAGATTCGTTCGGCTTTGCAAACACGGCGACGAGAAATTGCACAGAAAGCGCGTCGAAAAACTGAGCTTACAGTCAGTGTTATTCAGAAAACTTGAGCTCAGCGATTATCCCGATCTATTTTTGGCGAAAGGACTATACCCTTCCATGAGAAAGCTCTCGGCCTTGCTTATTTAATATTGAGATCAAACCAGCTCATCCTAGTCCCAACTTTTCAAGGAATGTGTGTATTTTTCAAGCCGAAAGGATTTTACGTAACTTTTAAAGAAGCTCAGGATTGCACACGGATTGTGGCCGGATGAGACGTGGCTTTTGTGCTGGAAAAGCTTCGAATCCATCAGCTAAGCAATTCAGCTTTTGTGACGAAACAGCGGCAAACACTTTAGCGTTAGACACGTATTCCTCTATAGTATTCCAAGATCTCTGAAACCAGACAATTCAGTCTTACGTCCCGAGATCCCTATAGGGTCTATAGACGCTCAAAGTGTCGTGAGATGTGCATACCTCGAAAAGTGGTAATCGCCCACGTGAGTGGTCACACAATAGTTATCCGACACAAGCGACGTAGAAGCCGGGATTGGGGAAAAACAATTAGTGAATTCCCAGTTGTTGCTGTCACATGGATACCTAAACCGTATAATGATAACAATAGAAGTACGGAATATCACGGAAGCTACTGTCGGTTCTCAGAATGTGCGAAGTTATTGTCTGACAATGAAACGTTTGAATTTCCGATTCGTTTGGTCTATTTCCCTCGGTCAAGCTTGCCACGTCATAAGAACTTCTTCCAGAAAAGGTCTCTATCGATATAATCCAATCTAAACCTTTTACTGACTCATTAGTCGATTAGCCTTCTCGTTTACATTACACCTTTTTGCCTCCTCATCATCACTTCTTCTTCTTTTCCATTTAATCCTGTTATCCTCCCCTAAAATGTATCTTTGCTTGTGAGGATGGGATGGATGACCGAAAATCTTTTCCCATTGGTCTCGAGCTCCGTGGCGCGGCTCCGCCCCTCCCTCTCATTTTCAGAATTGCTCCGCCTCTTTCTGCCTTTTAGGCCGCGAGGAGCTCAGCTCGGCTTTCATTTCACATAGAACTGCTCCGTGTGTGTGCTTGTTCACTCTCCTACTTCGAAATGCAAGTTCCAGTTCTTCCGACAACTGCTCAAATCATTCTCGTCGAGGACGAAGTCAATAAGAAGAAAGCCAGTGAGTTTAGCGAGCTACTGGATCGAGTGAAACAAGTTGCGCGTTTTCAGTGAAACGTCTGACTTGCCGAAAGTGCGAGGGTCACGGGATGTACGCGATTCTTAAGGGACACGCCGGAGTCTGTCCATTCAAGGATTGCTCCTGTGGAACTGTAAGTGATAGGAAAGACCTAAATTCTAGGGTTAGAGTACTTGGCGAGCTCTGACTCAAAACACTAAGCTAATTTCTGATTTTTGTTCGTGATCTCCATCTCTCGTGGGATTTAGGCTAAGATTCTGCTTCTTTGATACTAGGAATTTAAATCTCACGATGCTCAGACCTATTTCTCATCTTTCCAGTGCGCTTCTGTGATGAGCATGCGCGCAAACGCTCTGATCCGTCGGTTCCGTCACCGTCAACCGGATCAATCGATGGCCGTGGTGAAGGCTCTTCGCTCGAAGAACGGCAACATGCGTCTGAGGATCGTGGCGCGTAACGAGGAGACGCTCATGGAGGCCGACGGAACTCTGGTGACGTACTCGAACGACAAGAACGGCCATCAAACGTACACGACGTCCAATCGTCGCAGCTCGGTCATGACCGATCAGAGCGCCGGCGACGATCGAGACAGCATCGTTTCCACTCCTCCGGGAACGACGAACAACTCGACGCCGTCTGGCTCTCCACCACTTCTCATGCCGTTCGGCGAGATGGACGGTACGATGGAAATGACTGTGAACTTCGACCCGCTGGCACTGGTTCGAGCAACGTGAGTTTGAGCGATTACTTTCGCAGCTCATTATTCACTCTTTCAGTCTGCTCCAACAACTGCTCGCCAACCCGAGTGCTCTCTCGCCGGCCGCCGTGGCCTTCTTGCTCCAGACGTCTCTGACTCAACAGCCAAAGGATCGCGAGACGAGTCTCTCGCTGCCGCCGCCCGTCCTGTTCCCTTCCTTGCTGGCGGTTCCTTCTCTCTGAAAGCTCGAAAGCGTTTCTTCTTTTCTTCACTGTCCCCGACTAGTATGGTCACCGACACTCTTCCACGTATTCCCCAATGGGGAGCCCCGTTTCATGAATGCATAATATTATACTCCCTCCTATCGTACATCTATTTTGATGAAAAACTCTTCTATTTTGTCTAGCTTTGCTCTGTGGTGATACCAGGTATTATGGGTCACTGGGCGGCTTTCGTACCCTAATAATTCTCAATAAATTTGGATTTTTGGTTTTAAAAAAGTAGTAGAATGAACGCACAAAGAAGAAGAAAATAAGAAGCAATAGGTTTCAAACCAAAAAAGTAGAAGAATGAACGCACAAAGAAGAAGAAGATAAGAAATAGGTTTCAAACCAAAAAATTCAGGAAAATGTTGCAAAAGTTTTACAGCAAACTTTATTGGGCACAAATGTGGCAAGTCGGTGAATAAGTATGGCATGCGGTACAAAATTTGAACTTTATCAGAAATACAATTAATCGTGAGTACATTCCATTCATTACTTCTATTTTTTCCAGTGGGCGTGTATGTGTGACGTGGCAATTGATCTTCTGAAAAACAAGGAGAGGCTTCTCAAGTTTAGTCTGGAAATTCTTTTTGACAAAAAGTCTGGTCTTAGAAATTTTGACGACACGGCACATCAGGGACGTCACATAATCCTAAGCTCATCTTGTCCGGAATAATCCCACATGCCCGACCCAATTATCTCTTCTTAGACTTTATCAAAAAGTGTTAGCAAAAAGAAGGGCGGAAAGATCTAGACATCAGATTTTCTTATTCAATTATAAAATTCCAACCTTTTCACTGAAGGCGACAGCTCTCATCTTGTGCTCCGGACAGAGAAGCCGACGTCAGCGGTCCCGGAGTTATTGCGTTCGGGGTGGTGGCTCCAGAAGATCCACGGGATCCGGGAGTTCCATCCACTGCCAGAAACATTCCAGACGAGTCCGAAGAGCCGCCGGGACTGTGATGATGATGGTGTCTGCCGATGTGACGCTTCTTATTCTCGCTGCTCGCTCGTCCCGTGTATATGATTTTGGGCATTTTTCCGCGGTGATGTTGAGATGGAAGGGTCTTGTCTTCTGGAGTTCCCTCTCCGAATATGTTGATCACTTGGGAGAAGTGACGGCCGGCCAGGATGAACTCGACTACTGCCTGCAAAAGGAACACATGGTTTGTTTTAGGCTACTCCTCCCTTTTCTCTGGTTTCCGTACATTTTGTTCTCATTTTTCTTCGTTATAAACTCAACAACCTCCCGGCAAAACGAGAAAGATCCAGCCCATTTTTCCATGAGTGTACTTTCAACACCTTTCATGAATTATATTTTCGTGTTAGAATCTTCGTGAAAACTGGATTTCTAATCCTTTTTATTGCTCCTTCTATGGATCGGATTGCTCATCTTTTTCTAATCAAAGGGTGCACTTATCAACGGCACAAAATCACAAATGAGATCAATCCGTCCGGAAATAGACTATGAACTCTAACTTTCCACTTTCTTTCTGAGCTCCAAGATTGTTCAGAATTTATTTCAACAACGATGATGTAGTAGTAATGTTAAACACGTGATTTTGGTGGTGCCTAATCTCTGTTAGGAAGTGACGTGATTTTGTTTTATCATTCGACTCGCGAACACTTTTTTGTCTTTGATAAGCCAGCATAGAGGGGTGTCTCAGTGAATACAAAAACAGACTCTCCGTCTCGAATACAAGCGTTCCAGACACCTGATTATCGACTGGCATTTCGTCACAGACTGAGAGTTTACGGAATATTGGGGTCCCGTGCGGTGAGCGCTACAAAATACACAGCCCACTATGTTATTGTATGAGAAATGTTATAAGAAATATATACATAAGAGTCAGAAGTTTGGAATTGGAAGGGTTTCAGAAACTTTCAAGAATTACTGTATGAATTACTGCAATTTTGACATTTTTATGATTTGTTAACCTTTTCCATCCGCTTCCGGACGTTTTAAATCCCTATTTCTCTTTATGAGGGATTTAAGTCCATGTGGACTAGATGAAACTCTCTCGTTCATAATGTTCATCTCATTATTATCCTTTTCTTATCCAAATCACTTGGCATTTCAATCGTCCATTCATTTCCAGAAGCCCTTTTCTCTGCCGATCCTCTCCCACCCGTTAATCCGCACTAATCATCTGTCACATCATCAAAGAAAGAAGAAGAAACATGTTTTCTGCTATTATCAATGCGTTTACCTTTGTCAAAAAGGTTGCGGTCGACGATGAGAGAGCCTGGCCTTCCAGCTGATAGAACGGCGTCAAATCGTCCAGATCCTTGATGCCCTCTTCGGCGGCGAAAAGTGCGAATCCTTTTTTGATCAGCTGAAGAAAAACGGGGAATTTATCACAGGGATCCCGTCAGAAATCGTCTTACATTGTCGCAGTCAATTCGCGATTGGGTGAACGCGATTTCGGGATTTCTTTCCAAGATTGTAGCAATTATGGAGAGAAGCTGAAAAAAATCTGGATTACTGTGGATCCGATGATCCTATTAATGATTACGAGTTTCTCTGTTTGTCCCCGTAGACGTTAATCGTCAACTCCCACTAAATTTCGTGTCGTCACTACCGACTTCCCTCATTTTTCTCTAATAAACATATTAGGACCAAATACGTGTCGAGTCATCAGCTGAGAGTGAGAGAGGGATGTCGATCGGATTAGAAACTATTTTGTCACTTGTGTCTCTCAAATGTGTTTTGCATAATATCGAAGAGTTACGTTGCCGACGAATCGGAGCCTTTTTTCAAACATTCCACATCCCTGAACATTCGGGGTTTTTTTTATTTTTGGGCTCATTCTTCGGATAATTATTTTTGAGTAGCTTGCGATTGAAATTATATATATGAAAATGTTAGATTTAGGGAAAATTTTTCCCAAATTATATGGTAGTCTACATCCGTCGGGCCTACGTCCTGGTCACGTTGAAACAACAAAACTTGTAAACCCGAAGTAAGTGTGAGGGACATTGGCGAAAGGAATTCTTAGCATCCGAAAAGGAATTCCTTCGAGTGAGATCAACATCTGAAGTGAACACGATTTTCGACCGATTTTCAAAGAAATGGGGAAATTTGTGTGTTTCTCCGGAAATTCGAATCAAAGGGACAGGGTCAAGTGACATGAAATCTGAGGACACGATCAACTATTCAAAGCATGATTTTTAGAGATAACTTTTATAAACAGTGGTCCTTACCTCAACCAGAAGTTGTCGGTATTCCGGATGCGAGATGCGACTGAGCATCGATTCGATTTTGTACGAAAACGTGAGCTCGAATCGCGTCATGTCGCTCAGAGTCGGTTGCTGCGGCAAGAATTGGTCGGCGATGATGATTCCGTGTTTCGAACGTTCCAGAATTGTCCAGACACGGTCGTAGAAGTTGACCGGCATTCGGTTGAGAGCTCCGTTCAGGCGGCGGGTTTGGAGAGGAGACCTGGAAAGCGAAATGTTTCGAGTGCAGCGACTAAATTAGCAGAGCAGCGACTAAATTAGCAGAAGCAGCGACTAAATTAGCAGAATCAGCGACTAAATTAGCAGAATCAGCGACTAAATTAGCAGAAGCAGCGACTAAATTAGCAGAAGCAGCGACTAAATTAGCAGAAGCAGCGACTAAATTAGCAGAAGCAGCGACTAAATTAGCAGAAGCAGCGACTAAATTAGCAGAAGCAGCGACTAAATTAGCAGAAGCAGCGACTAAATTGTAAAAAAAAAGGAAGAGTTCATCGGTTATTTTTATTTCTAGCAATTCATTTATACAATGTATACTTTAAAAGTCATGTTCTTGTAGTTTCCTCTTCAATATTGATTGTTTTTTACTATCCTTTTTCAAAACAACTTGCTTTCTGATACTTTCTCAACTCATGAGTCACACATTAGCTACCAACACTGGGTACACTTTTTTCCGACTATCAAAAACACAAGGTCGGTGATTCACACGCACACACTCACAATAGCGGTCAGAATGAAACCAAAATGAATTGTATCGTATAGCGAAGCGGTGCCTACTCAATCCGATAGAATTCAAAGGGACTTACAGCAAGTGCCAGTTGGTCCGCGTCATCAGCGCCGTCACGACGTCTTTGACGACTGTTGGCGACAAATCGTAGATACAACTCTTTTTGAATTCTGGAAAACGAACGCATGAGGGGATTGTCGAGTGAAGATTCTTTAAAAAAATATAGTTACACATGCAACAAAAGGGGTTATCTAGGCACATATTGAGCTCTAAACACATTTTTGGAACATTTTTAGGCATTTCAGAGCAGAACCACATCATTCTTTCAATCAAAAATGAGACGGCTACGGCTTGTTTTACCCTCGATGAGTTTATCGCGGCGATACTTGGTACGGATCAGTTTGTGAACAAAATCCACCACTTCTGAGAGAATAATCGAGACAGAAAGTGTGCTAGCAGTTTACCTGTCGGGATGCCAGTAGTTCCCGGCGTCGGTGGAGTTCCAGTGATGATTCCCGGAATTTTCAGCGCTCCAGTGACTCTTACGTAGTTCAGGAGCATGCCGATGGCTTCTGAAAGCCACGAGAGCCGGATTGTGAGCACACCTTCGAAGACTTGAGGATTATGCGACATCTAAGAAATTTTGTTAGTCAGAAAGGCCAAAGTAAATAATGGTACTACCAAATCAGAGCAGGCAATGATGAGTTCCTGATGGAAGACGGCCGCTTGTGGTTCATCGGCGGGAGAGCATTCAAACAGAAGCTTGTTCAGATCATTCGGAGCAATCGGGCGAACAATAATCTCTTCGCGGGCGCCAGGACGATTGCGGACTCCCAAAGTGATCTGTTTGCCACGTACGAGCATATTTGTGATGGCCGGAGCGAGAGAGTTCATCGCTTTCCGAAGACGTCCGGCGCAATAGCGAACAAGCCACCAGTGACGAAGTTGACACGCACGGCGGTACACTTTCTCAAGGCGTTCACGAAGAGTGACTGGAAAAATATATCATACAATACAGTACAGGACAGATGGTCTCACAATTATGAACCATCAGATCCGGGTGAGTTCTAGACAAGAGAATCCAAATAGCAAAAGCCAAAAGTCTAGGGCGTTCCATATCATCTTTCTCAATAATTTGGTACAACTCGTGATCCGTCTTCGGAGTAACGTCTTTCTGAAATTGCTGCATTTCAGTGTGATGGAGTTCTAAAAAAGCGTATATTCCCACTTCATGAGTCAGTTCGTCGTCGATTCCCTCTTTGAGGCTCAGACGCGAAAATATGGTTGAGTTATCCTGCGTCTCTTCCAATATATCAATGTCGAACTCCAGATCGTCCGAATTAGCGAAGTCTATATGTTCGATACAGCACGAGTTGAGTAATTGCTGAAACGTTCGCTCATTTTCCAGAACCCACCCGGTTAATAACTAACATGAACTCTTCCGAGTCGAACCCGGATTCCATTGATATGTCCGTTCTTCAGTTGCACCAACAGGTCAAGAATGTGGTCGAAATACTCGCCGGCGACATTTTCCTCGCGCAGAACCACGCACATTGTGGGCCGTCCCGCCAGCTTCCATCGTCGCGCCACAAATTCAATGTCTCTCTGAATAATATCGTTGATGTATTCTATATTCTATATTAAAGGTGTGAAGTGTCATAAATCCCATTGTACTACCAGTTTTCGGGTGTCCTTCGGCCACTAATCCCCCTCTCTCGTGTATAGGTATGGAAATTATATGTAGATGGTATTTTGAACCCCCTCCACTGGTAGTAGTGCGAGTTAATTACGCATGCCGTGATTTACCTTAATATCGTCGATGAGCACTGCCGGATCGGAGCTCACATAAAAGTCTTTGACTTCGAAAAGGAGCGGGTAACAGAGTACAGTATCTCCGAACACGCGGAACACTTTCGAAGTGCTTAGAGGACCAAATGGGCGTTGTGGACGTCCCGAAAGATTGAGCTTCCTGTCACGTCCGAGACATTCGAACACCTAAAAAAAATGTTCACTTTTATTTTATCCCAATCTCTTAGTTGTTTTTCTGTTCGAGTTATCGAGTACCGTATCCCTACGATAAAACGTTTCCCCGGGTTGTTTTCAACTGAAACGCTTTTGCTTTCTGTTTTTCGCGCCCATCAACAAAGCGGCAGTCTGCTGCAGCCAGCTACCACGAGAACACGGTGGAAGTAGAAGAAAGTGGCATGTTTCGAGTGGTAAACTAGGTCATTTTTGTCGTTTTCTACAGTTTCCCGCCCAAGATTCGCCAATAGAGATTTATGTCTGAGGGACGAGGCGCCAGAGATGAAAACGAATAAGATGAAGGAGAAGAAGACATCCGACGACGAGAAGGAATTCTTTTGTAACGATTCTTGATGCGCGTGCTAGTAGGAGAAGGAGGAAGAGAGGATCAAATCGGAGAATCCAATTGAAGGAAAGCGACGAATCAAAGCGACGACGACGATCGACAAAATTCCAATCGGTTTTTGATCAAACGGAAATCCGTTTTCAAGACGCACAATTATTAACACAAACAGCATCACAGAAGTTACAAGCCTGTTTCGAAAACGTCTGAAAAATTGGGTATCGGAAATTTTACCTGCTTATCTGTGACCCGAGAAAAAAGCAGAGAAGCCATGTCTCTCCGTGTAAACCGTACAGTTGATTGGAAATGTCACTGGTTGATTTGCATAGTATCTCTCTATTTTCGAATAATCATTTTATCAATTTTCCCCGAAAAAATTTGCAGTCAGATCAGACTGCACTTTTGTCTCGTATCAGGCTGTTTTCCGACCACATCACGCCATAACCCGGAACCGTAATTTGTCCTTGCTTCCTCCTCCCAAAACGTCCTTTTCCCATCAATCTAGGTGGGTGTCCTCCTCATCCTCCCCTGCATTCATCGGAATGTTTTGTACCGCTCTGAACGATAGCAATCACCTTCAAAGAAATGGATCCCTGTGGAGGCCAACAAATTTTGTCTCCAATCTTCTTCGTTGGCAGTTGTCCTTCAATCGATTCTTATCTTCTTCTTCTCCAAAGGGTCCCCATCCCTCTCTACTACAACTACTATCCGTTTGATTTACGATTGAGAGAGAGAGGGAAAGTGAGAGAGCCTTGCGTCATCATCATCCCTCTTTCTCTCTCATCCTCATCACAGTCATCAATCGTTTAGTGCAGTGTGCAATGGTGCTCACACGTGTTTGCTCTGCAAAGAGTAGGAGCCGAGCGGCGGAACGCTCTGTGTGAGCTCGGGGTTTGCTTAACAAATCCTTTCGCGTCCCGAGTGGACTGGCTATTAGGAGGTCACCAGTATTATTAATATTCTGATCAAACCGTTTACTGTGCACACATAAAGTAGCTTAGATGCTTCTCTCTCTCCATTGCCGTACTGAACGATCTCATCCTAATGGACAAAAAGTGATGAGATGCGAATAGTAGGGCGATGGATTAATGAGAGACTACTTCATACAGGTCCCCGATAGGTACCCACAATAGAAGAAGTAGGTGAATGAAGTAGAGGTCGGGGACACGGCCACCGTTGAATAAAGGGGGGAAGGGGGCAGGCAGGAGAAGTAGAGCGGGTGGCGGGAGGTGAAGGGAAGAGCGAGATGGAATGCGGGCACTGTTCTCTGACCCGGCCTATTTATACCCGGGGGGCCCGCCGTGTCGCTCTCGGTCTCGTCCCTCTTCTCTCTAGCGGTGGGCGGGGCCGGTCGGGGCAGCGGGCTCCACCCCTCTCGCGTCGATATCGATTGTCCACGTGTACTCGATCAGTGGAAAGAGGGGGTTTGGAGGGAGAGGAAGGGCTAGGCGGTATCGGGCGGCAGGAGCGCGGAAGCCAAGCGATTAGAAGTGAATACTTCGGGGTCTCTGTTGCCTAGGACTGGCTTGTTTTGAGACTGAATCAGGTCTGTAAATAGCCTGGGCTTATCTTCTCCCTAGTCTACTTCAGGAATTTCGATTCAAACGAACTACTCGCTGATCTTCCGAATCTTTGAACATGGGAATGTTGAAAATCACCATATGCTCCTACAGCTCTTTCTCGGTTATCAGAGAATTCCTGGAGCGTAACATAGATACAACATCAATGAAGACTCTATATATTGTACAGATCGTCGGTCTGTCGTGGCTAGTTCAAACACACGCACTATATCTATATGTGTTTACAATTTGTGAGCGCCGACGCGCACACCGTACAGTCGCCGCCGCACCAAATACGTACTACCGATGGGGGTCGTCATCCGACTACAACCTGTGTGCGTGTGTGTGCGTGTCGATTCGATGCGGAAAGCGGTGCGGACGGAGCGGCGATATGTACATGAAACGTAAAACACACTCCAACAGAGCGAATTTCGCTTCGCTCTTCTTGCTTGTAGTTTTTCTTCACTTTTTCTCTCTAGACCTTATCATATCTTTTGGGCGAAGAAAGACCGAGAGAATAGGTTGTTGAGCGGACGGACGGCGGAGACGAAGGGAAAGAAGAAGAGTGTGATTGAGTGTGAGAGGAAATGGGACAACTGACACACAAGCACGCACACACTTTTTGCACACAATTTTCATTCGGAGAGCTCTGGGCACGGCTGCCGAGTGGCCGGATGTAGCTGATGACCTTTCAAATGATACGACGACCCGAAACCAACCCGGAACCCGACTCGAACAGAAACAATCGCACGTTTCCAGATCTGGATTTTAAAAAAACTTCGAAGGTTTTTCTCACCTTTACCATTCTCCAACTGGGCCAGATCTGCACAGGCTCGACCTCGTGGGGAGTTTGCGTAGTGATTCCATACGTGGAGAGCATCATCTGAAGACGTGACGATTCGGAAATCAGAGCCACCTGTACCACTGGATCGCCTTCCATACTTCCCTGCAAACCTTTCAGTTTTCGTTTCGGAATGACCCGCAAAAATACCTGGAAAGCCGAGTGGCGATTGAACATTTTCGGACGTTGACTGGCTGGCAAGTGTCGATTGATCGGATCAATGTCTCCGGAATGAATGAGTCCTTCTCGTTTCAGCATCAGAATGATATAAATGGCATTGCTCCACAAGTGATGTCCAAACTCTTGATGGCTCAGCGCGTAGAGTTCTGTCGAGTTCGGCTTTTCTCGTTCCTTGCCCATCAGAAATTCGTCGACACAGTAACACTCCGGAACGATGTATCCGCCGGGAACCGAGTCATCCGGTATCAGGCACTTTTGCAGCTTTTTGAAGTAGACGTCACCGTATTCTTGATTAGCGCGGATGTACGCTGAAACTTAATTCTTGTCTTGCTCCTCTAAATTGCTCATTATCCCATTGGCTACTGATGCTACTTTTGCTTAAAAATCCGCACTACGCCCAGAACTCAATCACTTCGACAATCCGTACCGGTAAGCGAAATACACGCCAAAAATATCGGGAACTGCGATTCGACGCCCTGAAACTGCGCCGTCTCGTGTTCATCGTAGAAGCTTTTGCTGTTGTCCTCCAACTCGGTTCGGTATCCGTCTCGATGGAACCTGCAATTATTTTTTCATCTATTCATTGCCACGTCATTTATTCTTTCTCAATTCGTTTCAATAGTGCCCAATATCATTTGTATGGCGAGTGTGTCTGTCTGTACACGGGGTGATTGTTATCAGTTCCCCTTTCTCTACCCGATTTGCATTATAACGGTCATTTCTCTGGCGCGCTCGCTCGCCTTTTCATGATATTTTCCTCTCAAACACATCAATCGATTGATAACAATTGAGAGAATAGATAGGGGGCAATTGATACCGTGTCGTTGTGTCCCAATCGCTCTCTCTCTCTCTCTCTCTGTCTCTTTCTCTCTCCCTCCTCTATTCAGATGCAAATCTTTTATGTGTAGCGACTAGTGTATGAGCGGTGTGCAAATTGTGCAAAAAGTGGCGGAGAGAGCGAAAGACACGGGCGAATCGACGGAGAGAGCGAGAGGCGGGAGAACGGGGCAGAAAGGATGGTACCGGGGGTCACCACCGCCATCGGCCCGTGGGCATCATCCTCATCGTCGTTCGATTTTATCGTCGTCATCGCATTGGAGAAAGAGATCAACGGGAAAAGTGTTTGGGCGCTCGCTCGGGGAGCGGGTTTGATTTATGGAAAAACGCTCCATCACGGTCACTTTTTATGTTTCACACAATATTTATGCTGAGAAAATGGCCATTTCGAAAGTTAGCCCAATAAACATTCCAGACATTGGTTTTTACACAGACTGTACGATGCGTGGGTGTATGAATCATCACAAAAAGGGAAGAGAGAGAGAGAGCAAAATTGATTGGAAAAATGCAAAAGTCTTTTACATTCCGACACAAAGAATATTTGTGTGGAGAATGATTCAGAAACGAGCCGGATTATTCATCGCTAAGGAAGCTAAGGATTGGGATTTCATTAGAAAAAGTCGCTCACCTTCGCAATCCGAATCTTCCCTCAAGTCTCCGCACACATTTTTTGAGCGTCTTTTCAAAAAGCGCCTCATCGTGCGTGGCAAACGCCGGCCATCCGACGGTCAGAAGAAGAGCCGAATCGGTGTTTTTGGAGTTGCTCTCCCGGGGAAGAATGGTCTCAAAAGTGGTGCGATTGCGGTTGTGGCCGTCAATATCCACGTAGATGACAGAAGCCGAAGTTCCGGTGCTTCCGTACAAGTTGAATCCATTGATAGCCTCCAGAGCCGCCTTCACCATTCCCAAACTGCTCGCATGGAGCTCTGGCTTCCCGTTGTTGTACCGGGTGCCCCGTTCCCACATTCCAAAGTCCGGGGTACGGTAGGTACGTTCAATGTAAAAAACCAAATTTTGAATGAAATTCACTTCGTGATGCGTATAGATCACTTTGACTCCGGCGGAAATCATTTGGACAAGGGTGAGCAGGTAAAGAGCCACCAGATCCATTTGAAGGTGTCCGTAATGGGAGTCATTTGGAGTGACGAGGCACATTCCGGAGGAGAGGTCGAAGCGAGCGTGAAGAGCAAACTCCGAGGAGTTCTGCGATTTGAATGCGTCAAGCTGAAAAAAGGATAAGTAAGAGAACTCCGATAGAATCGATTATTACATTTTTGCTCTGTTGCATCCATGAGAACAGAATTCCACGCATTGCTTTCACGGCTGTTTGACGGAGCTCTGTTTGTCGGCCACGATCATCATCGAGTCGTCTGGAAAATGAACAGAAGTGATACATTTTAATTATGAAATAGCGCGAGCAGCGACTAATTTATCGAAAGCAGCATCTAAAATCGCTATTCCAGCGCCGGAATCATGTGCTGATTTCGCTAATTCAATGCCTGCTGTCTAGCGTTATTTTTGTTGATAATTCTGTGTTAGCCCCTACTTATAGGCTACAGAGCAAGCCCAACAGGCCATGGCGCAGTAGATGCTGTCCTTCACGTATCCCACGTCCTGATCTTTCGAGTATCTTGGAAACAATCCACTCGTCACACTTTGGCATTGCACAATCAGTTCTTGTGCTGCAAAAATGGGCAATTTTTTTGAGATTGGAGAGGAAAAATCGTACTCAGGTCGTATATCTGATCAATCTTGATCACTGTCGGCGACAGCTCCTTATTATCATCCAACGGTTCCAGATATGCTTTTGTGAGTCGTCGGAGCCGTAAATTTCCCGTCAGTGGTTTCGCCGTTCGTCTATTCAGAAGCGAATCACTCCCGGACAACGGAGATGGCATCTGCAACATTTTTTTGTTTTTGAATACTACAGCGGTTATTTCTATTGGCAAAAGCTGTAGTTTGTCCTTCAAGGGTATCGTAACTGCGAACATTCGACCTTCAATTATCTGCTAATCTTTTTTGTGTCGGTACTTCTTTTCAGCTCAAAGGGTTTCTTCCGAGGGTCGCTTCCGTCAAGATCATATCTTCCGTTAGTCTCTTTATCAGATTTATGACCGAATGGGTGACAGATTTTTTGGGTAGATTAGATTAAAAAACGGTGGAAGATAGGGGTCGAAGTGACCTCCAATCAAGACCTTTTCTGGTGATTTATTACTATTTTTGGAAAAATAAACTCGGACTCTATTTTCTTTTTTTTAAATATAAAAGTATCACTTCAGACTGTGTAACTGTTGACCAAAAGCCTAAAAAACGTGAAAAATACAAAACGTGTTTATCATCTGATGGTGATGAAATAAACGAAAAAAGCTGTTGTGCTAATAAAAATTGCCATTAGGTAATCAAAAAAGGAGAATTTGCATTCGTGGGGTGGAGCAGATAATACTAGAGGGAAACATCAAAGGGGAAACTCATTTTGTACCCTATTTTGTGTGTTTAAGCGAAATTTTTCAATAGAATACAAGCGATCTTCGATAAATTAGCGATAAATTGCGGGGATTAATGTTCTCAGCCGGTTTTTTCAAAGAAAATAAGTTAAAGAATAGGAATTTTCAGGCAAAGAATTTGGACGGTTGTAGGGATGAATTGAGATCGATTCGGAGGTAATTTGGCGATTTTGAACGAGATTTAGTCTTCTTTCTTCGTCGAATCTCGCCGCACCGTCAGTCGATTATGGATCGGAGCCACCACGGAGAGGATGAGTGCGAGAAGCGGCACGAGTGAAAGCAGCAGCAACTGCAAATAAATACTGTGAATAATAGGGAAAAAATCAAGAATCACTCATTATCTAGCATTTTCAATAAAAACTGATAGGTCTTGTTTAAAACTCACCCAATTCTGGATCAAATCCGGCATTCTGACTACCGTCTGCTGCTTCTGAACAAACGGTCCGGTTGATGAAGACGTGAACGATTCGGACGTCGACGCAGTCGCATTTTCGGGGAAGAAAGACACATTTTCCATTGGCGACAACTCCAAAGGCGTCGTTCCCATTTTTCCCGAGAACTTATCCGAATTCTCTTGATTCTCTTGGACCAAAGAGGCGACGGACAGTTCCAAATCGCGATTCTTAGCTTGCAACTCCAGAATTATTTTGAGATACGATTCCACAGATTTGTCCTCACTCTGCCGGCTGTGGAACTTCTCCAAATTTTTAGAATTTTCCTCTCCAGCCGCAGACGAGAATCCATTGATCAGCTGTGTCCCCAATTCGGAGTCCGAAGCTTCAGAAGATTCCCGGGAGACCGGCGGAAGATAGGCGGCTGCTCGGAGCGTGTCCATAAGGAGTGTCAGCTCTGGAGCATCTATAAAAGAGCCGTTGTTGACGGCGTTCGCGAGAAGACGTGCCAGCCCGGAAGCGGTTTCGTTCATCACTGAACTCTTGCTCAGTTTCATATTTTTCTGAAGCAAATCCGTAATTTTCTCCTCGCAAATCGCCAGGAGCTTCTGTTTTTCTGCCAATTCAACCGCCAACTGCTCCGTCTCCATCGCTTTTTGATCGTACATTTCCGTCGTTTCGGCCAGTACCGTCTCCAAATCCTCGTTTTTCGATCTCATTTGTTGGCACGTCTGATCGGTCGTCTCCAACGATCTTTCCATGTCTTTGAGTCGCGATTTCGTCTCTTCGACCTCTTCGATCAATCTCCGCACCATTTCCTTCGTCATTGCTTCGAACTTGGTTTTCTCGTCAATCATTGTGAGCAGTTCCTCCTTCTGCTTGTCCGGATTGTTGTTGTTCGAGAGCACCGAGAGCTGAGCTTCCAACGCTTCGATTCTAAAGATATACACGGGTATGACAAGTTTGGTCTATCTGATTTACTCACCTGGCCAGAAGCCGATCCTCATTGACGAGGGCTTTCCACGCCGTCTCCGCAGCCTGCTCGTTCGCCGCTATTATCGACATCAGCTCCGCAATCTTGTCTTCCCTCTGCTTTTCTCTGAAAGCTTATGTATTTCTTCCAAGACAGTCACCATTTTTCCATACCTGTGCTGAGCTTCCGACACGTATTGCTGCATCTGGAACAGCTTCCGATTGCTGACCAGCGTACCCGTTGTTCGTCTGAATGTTCATAAGTTGGTTTTTTAAGGCGTTAAACGGATTTTCTTACACTCCCTCTTCTCCGGCGGTTCCGGTGATCTCGATAAGTTTCCCTTCGGCTGTGAAGCATTGCATCACCGCGTAAATGCAGCCGTACACCACTGGAACTTTATTCAATCGTTTTACACATATTTTTAACTTTTGTAGGATTAAACTTACCTTTGTTGGCATTCTCAACTATTTCCACTCCCAACTGAATGATATCTCCGCTGAAAACACGTCGAACATCCGTATCACGACCGTTTCCTACAAGTATCGTAAAATTATAGTTAAAAAGTACAATTTTCCGACTCTTCAAAAAATTATTCAAAATGCAGCGGTAATTCGATTGAAATTTCTCTTACCGAGCTGCTGAAGCTTCTCGTTGTTCACGAACGTCCCGTTGCTGCTCTTAGTGTCCTTCAGCCAGAATTCACCGTCTCGATACCATAGAATTGCGTGATTTCTCGATAAAACCTGAGAAATTACTGTATTTCGCAAAATTCAATATCGTCGCTTACTTTACAATCAAAAACTGCGTTTTCCTGCGTCGCCTGAATCCTTGCCACAGCTCTTCCAATTTTCACCGGGTCATTAGGGCCGTTCACCTGGAAAAATTAATGGATCGTATCGACTTTCCGGGATTTTTCAAATGTTTATTGATTTTTTACTCACTTTTATTCGTCTCTCTTCAAATGGATGCGATTTTGGTGTGGCGACCAACCCTACCCATCCAAAAGACATTTTCGCCTGAAAAATCAGAGCTGTTTGAGAAAATTGATTAAAAATAGACGGAAACGAAGTGTAAACAGTACGAAAGGGTTTCGGTGGTTGGAAAAACAGGTTTTCCTATCAGAATTATTGAAAAAATAACGGGAATCAGTGGGAAGCAGTGTTCAGACGCGTGACAAAAGGGTGAAAAATATCGCCATCGGCTTCTTTTCCCGGTTAGCAATAGAGCGCGCCTGCATCATACACGGCGGTTTTTTTCGAAAATGCAATCAAAAAAGTTTGGGAGCTTGTTCAGAGTCAAATTGTGACGTATTTTGAGCTAAAGAAAAGTGTGACTTTTTTTAAGTATCGATTTCATAAAATATAATACCGAAACCGTATCTTTTTGCGTTCCGATACACAAACATTGACCAAACGCGAAAAGGAAAAGGCGACAAAAGTCTCGGTGCGCATTTTGTGCAAATAAAGAGGAATTGAGACGGATAGTAGACACATTTTCTAATTTTTGATTTAATCGATATTAGAAACTTCTAAATGCTGCCTTACAACTGCTGAGTTCTGTAGTCGGCAATTTGAAAATTTGGAAATAAAATAATTCAGACTTTAGCCGCAAGGTTTCATTTCTAGGATACAAGACGTGTGCATTATTATTTTCCTGTTTTCGGAAATGTGTTCGCGCATTGAACAAGAAAGAAGAAAAACAGCTAGGAGAACCAGCAGAAAACACAACACACCTGTTCCAGTGATTTTCGTGAGATTGGCGGCTCGGAAGGCGCTGAATCAAAATCGTCGGATTCTCCGCAGTGTTATGGTGACGCGCATCGTCGTAGAATTGCGCGACGGGAGCTCCGCGGTGTCCACGATTCCCTCTACGGAACCCTCTTTGGTATCCACCGTATCCGCGATGTTCGTCAGCCGACCCCCGTGAATTTTTCCAATTCACTGCCAAATGCGTTTTCCCTTCTGAAATCGTCCCGGTCGACGAAGCGTTTCGGTCTCTTCTCACGTCAAGCCAAGTTCTTTCGCCTCTGAGTCTCACGGGTCCTTGGTCGCCGGCGCCTCGCTGTGTCGTTCCGCGACTCCAGCGGAATCCTCCGCGGTCTCCGTTCTGAGACTGTCCGTAGTGGTACTCTCCGTACGGCGACTCTGCGTACTGCGAACGAGGGAAGTTCTCTCCACGGTAGCTTCCTCTTTGACTCCACTGACCTCTTGTCGTAAAAGCGGCCATTCCCGCGATGATGCTCGCGATACATCTGGAATACAAAAAATGTACAAATTATTATATTTTTGGAAAGAACGGCGCTCTTCGAAGACGAGAAAGCGGAAAAAGGGCAACCTTTTCAATAAATTTTACTACTGCTCACAATTGTATCCTTGCAAACTGCGTTCTTTTATTTTTGAGACAAAAAAAATACAAAACTCAGCCGAAAAAAAGCATTAATTGACAGAGAACAAGCGCGAAATTCGTGAAACATTTCCCATGGCCGAGTTTCTTCGGTTCGGCCTCCTGGCCTAATAATTTCTTGTTCAACCGGGGGACTCGGCGGAAACCGTGGCCTAGTTCCCCGGCCTGCGACCCCGGGGCAAATGGACTAGAATTTTCCTCGTCACCCACGCAAAAAATCACCGTGCAGGGAAAGGAAAAAAAAGAGAGCGCGTCTTCTCCGAATGGACGGGCCGTCGAGAGGAAGGACCGCAACGCGATACCAAACTATTATAGGGGCACCGCACAGAAATGGCGCTCTGTTGAGAAACCCTTTTTGCAGTGCAAATTGAGCGATCTCGGGGCCGAGTTTGAAAAGTTAAGCCACGTTTTCAGTGGAAAATTACTTAGAAATTTGGCCAGATTGCTAACAGCGCGCCCTTTCTGTCCGGTGCCCCTATAATACAAACACGGGTGCGGTATCCAAAGAGCATAGATGGCCGGTTCAGGGACCGGTCACAGGGATCAAACAATGTTTACAACAGTCTTGATTATCGAATCACGTGCTTCTAGTTTGGCGTCGCGTTGCTGGCGTGTCTTTTTGCAACGAGCCAACATGAAAATATGGATTTTCACAGCTTACTTTACCTTTCAGATAGCATTTTGCTCATTTCAGTCTTAGAAATTGTCGTGACGTAAGCTTGAATTATTTCCATTTTTATTTTTGGTATATATAGGAGGTTTCGAAATGTACATACAACCGGTAAATAATTAGAATTCGACAGTCTTCATTGTTCTTTTTCTCATCTGATCGGCCCGCTCAACGTCTTCCGCACCGCTCCTCGCACCAAATTTCCGGCGTATTCCTCGTCCAACTTGAAGTACGTGGATACTTTCAGATAACGGTCGTGGAATGTTAATCTATAATATTTTTAACATTGCGGACTGGAAAGTTACTATCTGCTCACTTGGGACTCTTCAAAATGACACCCTGCATTGTGGGCAGCGCAATTCCCATTTGTAAAATTTCCGTGAGAAGCTTTTCTAAAAACTCTGCTCCGAACAGTCCTAAATCCGAGAATGAGTCCTGGTCAACCTCATTTACTTTGGTCTCGAGTAGCTGAAAATTGTGGCTTTTTGTCAAAAATCAAATGAGATGTCTAACTTTGAAATCCAAGTTTTCGATAGTTGAATTTCCGACGATAGCTGAGCCGTTAATCCAAAGATTCACGTTTGCCGTCATTGTTGTATCTGTTCTCAGGATCTGAGTGTTGAAAAAATCAGTTTCAGGTCACCAAAAGCTTTACACGTACCATTTGCTTAACTTGAGTTGCATTCGCCGGGCGGACAAACATATTCAAGCCTCCGTGAAGACGGAATCGTGATCGGTTGTCAATGAAAACAATTAGAGGAGCCTAAAAATTTTATATTAATTTCAAATCTGGGATTACTGTAATCTCAAAAATCCAACTCACTTTCTTGGCGAAAAACTCGATTTCAATCTGTCTATCCGGGAACTGTTCTCCGAGAGTTCCGAGGAATTCTCCCAGACAGAAACCCGCCGGACCACAAGTGGTTACCAAAAGACTTTGAAGTTGAGGAGAACTTTCCGGTCCGATGGTCACGTCCAGAAACTTTTGACGGTAGGAATGATAGAGCATCGAGTTGGCCAGGTAGTCACTCGCATAGAACTCGATCATGTGAACACCTAAAAGATATTATAAATCTGGAGAACAATAAGAGAAAAGAATTACCATGCGGTGCTGGAATTCTGACGTTCGGCGGATGGAAAGGCGTTCCTCCGTGTCCTCGAAACGAAATTTCTCCCTTGGCCATCATATTCACTGCTCCGCTTTGTACGAATGGCGCGGAAATCAACTGATAATCGAGGACGAGTTCCTTGTCACGAAGACGTTGTACAAAATGGGTCAGCGTAATGTTTTTGGCGTTGAAAGTCGACAGCTTGCCAGCTCGGTTTTGCTGAAACTTGTGATTCTGTAAGTTCGAAGCGTAGATCTCACTATTTTGTAACAAAAAAAAATGGAAAAAAGAGGTGCAAAACCGTACCTCACCTTTTTGGGAGCAATTCCAAACGTTTCGCCGATGATGTCAAGGTTGTTCTCGTTGATTCGAGTCTGAAATGAATGGAACTATTATAAATTCACAAAAAGTGCCCAAACCTTCAATGGCATTGCGGACAACAAGATGTTCATATCTCTATCAATAATCGACTCGATCATTTTGCACATTTTCAGCTCAACTTGTGGCTTGAAGTTTCCGATCAGGAAAGCTGAAAATGTGCTGGTTTTTGCAATCATCACTGTGAGTTACCTTTGAATGCATTAATAAAGAAATCAGTGATAACTCCAGTGTTCCTCACGTTCAAATCCACGTATCCAATGGCACTTCGACATCCGGAAGATCGAACTTGTGGTGCTCCGTTGGCATTTCTAGTTCCATTTTCTATCAAAGAAGCCAAGAAAAGAATTACTGTACCTTTCCATATTGACCGTGATGTACAGACTGATGTGTCCTAGAAGAGCCTCGAAATGTCCGGTAATTGGGACTGTCGGCAGAAGGAGCGGGCTGTTAATGGTGGCCTGAAAGTCACCGGCTGCTCTCAAGTGCATCTTGCTCATGCTCCACGCAAAAATGTTCGGCTCTGACATGTCCAGAGCGTATTCTTGCGGAGCCCAGTACTTGCTCATCATCAGATTATAGATGGACACCTGAGGATTTGATTTCAGAATTAAGAGCTAATTTTGTGAATTAATATCCGTACTTCTCCATTCTCAATTTGTTCTCTGATGTTGGGCAGTTGTAATTTGAGTATCTGCTCGTTGATCACTTTCATTCCGACCTCTCTCAAATATGCCAACCCGTTTGGCATGATTCGCAAGTAAATGCCTGGGTTTGCGGCAGACGTGTTCTTCTGAAATCACACAAAAAAGTGAGACGGTTTTCTTGGATGATGTCATGGCGCGGCGCTGCCTTTCATAATTGCGACGCTGCTTTTGCTAATTTAGTCGCTGCTTTGCACATTTTAGGCGCTGCTTTCGCTAGTTTAGTCGCAGCTTTTCACAATTTAGTCGCTGCTTTGCACATTTTAGGAGCTGCTATGCAGATTTTAGTTACCGACTTTTCTATACTTTTTCGAATCTACGCTTTATCTCTGAAGAACTCTTTTTGTACGATTTCTAAAAAAAACATCTCACATCCAAAAGCGGCGAATAATCCCGCGTAATCTCTTGTCCAGAGGCTAGCCAGGGTATCGAGAACCCGAATAGAAAGAAAAGAAAAATAGAGCTGGAGGTCATTTTGCTCGTCTGGAAAAAAGATTTAGATTGGAAAGTGAAAAGTTGAGTGGGAAATTTTTGAAAACGGCGAAAGGAGAAGATGAAGAAGAAGCCGTGTGTTCATCTGAATCGCTTGTGAGACAAGAGGAAAGAGAAAAGTGTATCATTCGGGAGAATGAACAGGTTTCCCCGCAAAACAATCCGTTGCCCGCCAAACGGCCATCGTTTCGACGGCGAGACGAAGGAGATGAAGCAAAGAATCAGAAGAAGCTTACTCACTTATACCTTTTTTCCTCGTTTATATAAACAAATAAACGTTTATTTTCACAACCATTATATAAGGGGTTTTTCAAATTAAATGAAATGAAATATAAGGGGTTCTTACTACATAACACTATCAAAGCATGATTTAAAACATAGGAGCGATAATTTATTGGAAATTCTTGACGGCGGCGACAATGTGGCGAGCCGAGATGCCGTACAGATCGACGAGAGCATCTGGAGGTCCGGAGCGTGGAACCTCCTTGACGAACAGCGAACGGACGCGGACATTCAGCTGATCGGCGAGCGCAGCAGAGACGGCTTCTCCAATTCCTCCGGCGGCGTAGTGGTCCTCCGTGGTGACGACACGTCCTCCGACTCGCAGGGCATGCTCAGTAATCGTCTTGGCGTCCAATGGCTTGATGGTGAATGGATCAATGACGGCAGCGTGGATTCCCTCCTTCTCCAGCTCCTCGGCGGCCTTCAGCGACTCGTAGAGGGTGACACCCGATCCGATGAGCACAATCTTGTCCTGAGCGGACTGCTTCACAACCTTGGCTTGTCCAATCTGGAACGGCTCCTCGTTGTCGTAGAGAACTGGGAGAGCCGGACGTCCAGTACGGATGAACACAATTCCCTTGGTGTTGGCGGCCAGCTCAGTGGCTCTTTCGGCAGACACCGCGTCGGTTGGGTAGAAAACAGTGGATCCAGGAATGGCTCTGAAGATGGCGAGGTCCTCGAGGGCCATCTGACTCGGTCCGTCTTCTCCGATCGACACTCCGACGTGGGATCCGACGCACTTGAGATTGGCGAACGAGACAGCGGCCATACGGATCTGATCAGCGGCACGACTGAAGAACGCGGCGAAAGTGCTCGTGAATGGGATGGTACGGTCACGGCATTGGGCTCCGACGGCCACTCCGACGAGGTTCTGCTCGGCGATGAAGCACTCGATGAACTGGTCCGGGTGCTTCTTGAGCAATTTTTCCGAGAACGTCGAGTTCTTGGTGTCTCCGTCGAGTCCGATGACACGAGGGTTAACGTCTCCGAGCTTGGTAAGGGCAGTTCCGTAGGCGGCTCTCGTGGCCACCTTGTCTCCCTTCTTGTACTGTGGAGCCGGCATTTTGATCGATCCGACATGGAGGTCAATGACTGGAGCATCATTGATTGGTATCTGGGCGACCAGTTTTCCCTTCTGGCTTCCATGGAAACGAGCCTTGATGGCGTTGATCTAAAATTAAAAAACGTTTCAGTTTTCAATGTTTAAAAACGAATTTTACCTTTTCAACTGGAACAGGCTTTCCGTGCCAGTTGTCCTCGTTCTCCACGCCATCGATTCCCTTTCCCTTCAAGGTCTTGGCAATAATCGCGGTCGGCTTACCCTTGGTGCTACGAGCGTTCTCGTAAGCAGCTAAAAGCTCGTCAACGCTGTGTCCGTCGACAATGATGGCGTTGAATCCGAAGGCGGCGAAACGAGCCTTGTAGGTCTCCACGTCGTGTCCAAGAGACGTGGCCTGACTCTGTCCGAGTCTGTTCACATCCACAATCGCGACCAAGTTGTCGAGTTTGTAGATCGAAGCAAAAGCAGCGGCCTCCCACACGGATCCTTCGGCCGCCTCTCCGTCTCCGAGAAGGCAGAACACGCGGTAGCTGGCCTTGTCGATGTACTTCCCGACGTAGGCCATTCCGGTGGCGACTCCGAGACCTTGTCCGAGCGATCCGGTGGCGACATCGATGAAGTTGAGGCGAGGAGTCGGGTGTCCTTCGATGTCCGAATTGATTTTGCGGAGCGAGAGCACCTGTTCGTGGCTCAGAAGGCCGGCCTCTTCCCAAGCGGCGTAGAGGATCGGGCACGCGTGTCCCTTTGAGAGAATGAAGCGATCAGCCGACGCGGCTTTCGGCTCGGCTATGTCGTACTTGAGCTCCGAGAAGAACAGAGTCGACATGATTTCGGCTGAAAAAATTATGAATTCGATTCGCGCATTTCGAATAAATCACTAACCAGCAGAAGTGGAAGACGTCGGGTGTCCACTGTTGCTCGCGTGCGTCATCTCGATCGACGAGATTCTCAAGCGGTTGGCCACATCCTCCAGATCGTGGCGAAGTTGCTTCGAGACGGTCATTCTCCTGGAAAATGGGAAATCAATGAAACATTTCCGGGAGAAATACGAGAAAATGGAACGATCGTAGAACATTCGAGCGAGCGACAGAATCGGGTGAGACAAATAAACGGCATAGTCGCTTTCTTATCGTCTTTTATCATTCTCCCCGCTCTCTCTCCACCCATTCTTATCTAGTGGTACCACCACTTTTCAGGAGAGAAACATGGAGAATTGACAACGGAAAACAACACAAAGTTTGAGCGAAATTGGCAAATTTTCGCCGCGAATGGATGGAAATTGTTGACGAGAAACGTGTCAATGAACACTTGGCGCGACGCGACCTTGTTTCTCTGCGCATCCTCGCTTCCCACACTTTTTCGTCTCGTTTTTCGTTTTCGCTGGCCGATAAACTACAAGTAATGTTTGCAGGGGCACACAGACAACAAAAAACGGTGGATTTTCATCATTTTTTTAGATTGGACAAACTTCAAGGTTAAATGAGAAAGTTTTGATGATTGTTTTCGAGAAAAGGACAATAAATTGCTGCAAATGATGAAAACATCGGGAATAAATTGAAAGTGATAGATGATATTGACGGCAGATTAGAGAAAACTTCAATTTTGCAGATTTTCAGCATAAACGACATTTTTAGCGAAAGAACCAGCAAAATGGTGTTAAATTTCCGATTGTTTTGATGACAAAAGTTTCGTTTTTTGCGCTCGCTGCTATTTCGCGCGCAAAAAGTCATAATTTCGCGGCGGACACAAGCACGACACGCAACATTGCAAAAAAGCTTGACAATGTGCCAGCCTAAGAAGAAACGATTAAAGCCGGACTCAATTTTGAAATGAAAAATCGTTGAATGGTTTGAATTATGTTGACGATCAAAATTCCCCCTTGTGAAAATTCTAATTTTTGCTGTTGGATGGGAAGCAAGCGCCTCTCGAAATGGATTTTGACAGAAATGGCCGTAAGGGAAGGGCCATTTCTGTCCGTTTCTGCACGAATAGACTGAAAATGACCTGAGAGAGAACCTGAAAGTGTGCGAGAGCAGAAGAGAAAGCTCGAAAGAGCGGAAGGTGAGGGAAAGGGAAGAGCTGCCTGCCGTCGACTGCGAGAAGAACGAGGCGAACACTGGTGAGTCAACAGACATTTTAAGAAGTCTGGCTTTCTCGAGTCTCCGTTTCTGCACGAATATACTGAAAATGACCTGAGAGAGAAACTTAACGTGTGTGAGAGCAGATGAGAAAGCTCGAAAGAGCGGAACGGGAGGGGAAGGGAATTGCATGTTTTAATGAGACCGTTTGTGAACTTCTGATGGAAGCAGTGATTTCGTGATAATTCTTTCCATTTTGAAATTAATTTATTTGATCGGCAAAAACTAAATGTTTTCCTTTGTATTGAGAATTCAAAGTTCCGCTTTCCGTAGAGGGTATAAATTATTTTCCAGGATTGCCCCCGACTGTCCTCATGCCGAGTGCTCGCAATTTCTCCTCTCTCTTTTGGCATCGACCGACTACGACAACCAGAGGGCAGCACGTGGACGGACGCTTCACAATCTCCCTCGACGAAAATATTATAAATTTTTTCAATGATTTTGTGATAATACCTGATAATACCTGATTTTACATTAAATACAATGTCTTCATTACACGGCTGTCAAAAACAGGCCGCCGTGACAAATTTCGGGCCGTCACTTTTCCTCTTCCGCAGAGAGAATATTGATAGGAAAGGGGACAAGATAACTATTCTCCCATTCTTTTTTGAGCGTTCATCAGATGGATCATCCCATGTGTATTATTTCTCCGTCTGTTGCTCTTATTACAACATTCGTTTCCTCTCGGACACCACACAACTCGAGCAGTTGACCCAAAGCCAGTTTTCTGTTTTCTTCTGATATTATCGATGAGAGCAACTTTTCCATTTTCTTTTTCACTTCTCCTACTTTTTCACTGTCAACTAGCAGGAGCCATCGATGAAGAATGTTATCTGACTGTGGTAATCTGCCAAAAAATTTAAAGATAGTCATTTATCAAATTATCATTCAGCCAGAGATTGCGAGAAAGTTTGGATATGAGTCGGAAGTTCATTTGGTACGAACTAAAGATGATTACATTCTGGAGCTGCACAGAATTCCATGCAAACACACTGGTGAGTAGGGCATTTCGCAACTGTCTGCTTTTTGAGAATTGGAACGAAATCAGAAGCAGCGCTGCTTGGCTTCATCCTGGACTACTGTGATTTCAGAAAACTGCAACACCTTGTCAAAACGCCCGGTAGTATTCATGCAGCACGGCTTGCTCTCCGACGGTTTCTCGTGGATCCCGAATCTGGCGAATCAGTCTGCCGGATTTGTGTTTGCCGACGCAGGATTCGATGTGTGGATCGCGAACAGTCGGGGCACTCCGGCCTCTCAGAAACACATTGGATTCGGTCCGGAGAATCAGAAGTTCTGGAATTTTACGTGGCAACAAATGTCCGAGTACGATCTGACCGCTTCTGTCGATTACGTGCTACAGGAGAACAAACAGGACTTTTTGTATTATTTGGGTCACTCCCAAGGTACTATGATCATGTTCTCAAGACTTGCCGAGAATAAGGAATTCGGAAAAAAGGTTTGAATTTTTACTTTAACTTTACCACAATTTCATTAAAAGCTGTTTCAGATCCGTCAATTCCACGCACTTGCTCCCGTTGCTACCGTATCTCACATTGGCGGTCTGTTCGGATTATTCGGAAAACAATTCTTGACGTACGCTGAAATACTACTGGGACGTCTTCCGTATACACCACTTTCGATCCCAAGAACAGTTCAGAAGATCATCAGTTACATGTGCAGTAAACTTTTGATCAAAGACATTTGTACCATTGATATCGGGTTCATCGACGGCAGCGAGAAGATGTTCAATCAGGTACTGTTTTCATAAAATAAGTTCTAATTAACATCGTTCAGTCACGAGTAGGAGTGTATTTGTGTCACACACCCGCAGCCACTTCCGTCAAAGACCTTCAACATTGGATCCAACTGGTCAAATCTCAAAAAGTATCGAAATTTGACTACGGTAGAGAGGGAAATCTTGAAGAATATGGTCAGGAGACACCTCCAGAGTACAAGTTGGAAAATATAAATGCGCCCACGTTTTTGTATTGGAGTAAGGATGATATTTTGGCGGACACACAGGACATTAGGTTGGTTCTTTCTAGTCATTTTGTTTTTTAATTGTAGACTTGCTTCAGGGACACAATTCTGTCAAAAATGAACAAAACAATCGCTGGATCCATGGAACTGCTTCATTATAGTCATATGGACTTTGTGTTTGGAGTCAATGCCGCGTTTGATTTGTACCCGGTAATACTTTTTCACTTTCTCAACTGAAAGGTTCATTTTTGATTCCAGAAAATCATAAAAACCATCCAAGACGACTATGACAAACATCGGATTTCTAAGATGCTCAGATTCACAAGAAACCTTCAACCTTGACCACTCATTTCCCCAAAAACTGTTGACTGGATTGTACTCTAGTCTACATCATACCCGCCTGTTTTCGTATCAATTGTGGCCTTTTATCAAAGTAGATCAACAACGTGTTCCCACTGTCTTTTTTGTATCTTCTTGTCAAAGGCAAAACTTCCACTTCAAAATATTTTCAGTTTCAGAATAAGTATGGATAAGATACCAGAAGACGTGAGAAACTATCTGATGGAAGCTCAACTGGCTTCTCCGGTAAAGAATACTTTAATAAGCAAAGCAGCGACTAAATTAGTGAAACCAGCGACAAAATTGTACAAATCAGCGATTAAATTCGGCGAAGCAGCGATTAAATTAGTAAAAGCAGCGCCTAAATTATCAATAGCAACAACTAAATTATGAAAAGCAGCGACTGGATCATGAAAAAGAGCGACTAAATTCTTCAAGGCAGAGACTAAATTCGACCGAGCAGCGACGCAATAATGATATTTCCATCATTGAAATATGCCAATTTTCAGTGGTCCCTACCGAATAATCGTGGAAATTGCACAAATTCCGAACCGATCCCCATTATTCCGAACAGATCCCCAAAAGTTTTGAAAAAAATCAATTCGGAAGAAATGAAGGAATTGAGAAGGTTGCAAACAGAGTAATCCACTGGAACTCTCTGGAACCAAATGACAGAGCGTACGCAGTCGCCGAAACGTTGCAGAATGCTGATAAAAAGAATTTGTCATAAAAAAAGAATTTGTCATCATCGTAATCGTTTCCGAGCGTTTCCGAGTGTGCAATTTTGAAATTTACATTACTTCATAAACAAAGCACGTGTATTGCTAAGCGCAAATTCTCTCATATACGTTTTCTGCTTCCCTCTCTTATCTCTCGCATTCTTCTCTTCCCCCAGTTTTCCATTTGCCACCCTATTCACCGAGGAAAAATGAATTTCAACTTGGTCCCCTCTGAAATCAACCGTAAATTGGAGTAAGTTTTTCATCAATTCAACATGAAAGCACTGAAAAATACGCATAGGCCTCAACTCGAAGAAGTAATGGCCGGAATACGTGGCGGTAAAGATCCTGAACCTCTAATTAGAGATTTTGTATCGAAAGTTCACAAAGAATGGATTGGGAAAGCTGAGGAGTATGCGAGAAAAGTGGAGGAGCAGAGGAGATTGGACAAAAATGAGTTTGAAGAGGAAAAGAGGCAATTGGAAAAAGGTACGTACAACATAAAAATCCGCTTTCTTTTAAATTCAACGTTTGCAAATTCAGAGTTCAGATCGGAACATCAAACCCAGCATCAAATTCTAGCTGCCTTTGCCCTGCATTTACTGAAAATTCGGGAACTTCAGAGAGACCATGAGAAATTCCGGAACGTGAAGGGAGAGGTACTGTCTTAAAAAATTCAACTGTTGAAAGTTTGATTTTTTTACCTCCAGGCTTTGATCACAGCAATCGGAGACTATTGCTCAGGTCTGGACAACCTGCTGGTTAGACATGAAGACGTCAAGTTGGAAGACAACGAACAAAATTCAGAGGCGCTTAAAAAGCTAAGAGAAAAGGTACCAACCACTTTTGTTGTTTTTTTACAATCTACTATCTCAGTGCGTTGATGTGGCGAACGCACAAAACAAGGAGATCCAGGGAGTTCTGAATTGTCAGCGCAACAACCTCCCAATTCCCTCAATTTGCTCGAACAGGTCTGAAATTGAATTAGGAATTCAGAGGATCATGCAGATTTTGTTCGATTTGCAATCGATTGTCATTTATTTGACACCGGTAAACGCAAAAGTCTCCGAAAAATACTCTTAACATGATTTCAGGAACACTGGGAGCCGGTAGATGTTGATAAAATCACGACGTTGAAATGTGAGTTGGAAGAGAAGACTGGAAACTTGTTGCAAGTGTTGGGAACGGCTGAAGCGGAGCATAAGCAGGAAATGCAGAGAAAATTATCTTTCCGACCTGATCCAAGAGCTTTGAGAGCCTAAAAACGTTGCAGTTCCCTCATAAAATGTGTTCAAATAAAGTTACTTTCTTCATTTCCTTCTTCGGAAACAGTACAACATAACTCATCCGTTGCACCGCCCGGCACTCGCTTCTTACCCCCCAATTCGTGCCAGTCGTATGCCATGATTCACGGGGATAAGCAAACATTTCCCACTGCTCCATTTATAGTCATCCGACAATATTCATTTTCGTTTACTCTCACCACAAAAATGTTTCCTCTCAAAGTTTTACTTTTCGTTCAACTTTTTGCACTCGGAGCCGGTCAGGCCACACGGAATTGCTACGCGTGCGCTTCATCCGATCTCAAGGATAAATGGTATTTGACTGGTTTGGCACAGGTGCCCGACACTTATTTTTCTCCGAGCTGCGCGAACCGAGCAAGTTCCATGAGCAAGGACTCGTGCTCCGGACCCTGTTTCACAATGGCTTTTGATAATCCAGATGAGATTGGATGTAAGTATACTCTAAAAAGTTATTTAAGTTAGTTAAGCAAAACGAATACTTTTCAGCCAGCACGGTGCCGGCCACTTATGTCGTCCGAGGATGTCATCGAACTCTGACAAACGTTGTCAGTGATCGTGTTAGTGCTGGAGGAAATGGAGTCGGAACAGATTTCTGCGAGCTTGATACCACTTACCGTATGGCGGACCGTAAGGGAAATATGGTGTCTGTGCGGATGATGAGCATGTTTTGTGCTGATCAGGATTCGTGCAATGACAGTGAGTTCACAACAAGCGACTTCACGAATGGAATCACTTGTGCCAATCAGACCAATAATAATTGTGAGTTACCGAAAAATTGGAACGATTTTCTCTACTTTTTGTTAACGTTTCAGTGCTGAACAGTTCTCCCCTGAACTGTTACGAATGTACACCATCCGAAGGTGCAAACTGTCATACTTCCAAGTGCACAAAGAAGTACTGCACCAAGCAGCAAGTGAAGCTGGACGGCGGATTCCAACTCATGAAGACCTGCTCAAATGTGAACCTTTTCGGAGTGGACAACGCGTGTCAAACTTTTGATGTATTCACCAATCAGGGTGGAGTTCCGGTGAAAAGTCAGTACACTCAGTGCTTCTGCAAGGACAAACAATTCTGTAATTCCGGATTCTCAGTTTCAGTCATGCTCTCGTCTATTTTGTCTGTTTTCGTTGCCTCGCAAGTTCTGTGAACTTCTTTTTCATTCAATAAATAAGTTAATAAATAAAAATTGATTATTCTAACACAAATTACACGTTTTGGCACACAGTTTCTCCCGGACGTTGTCATAGAATGCTAATGTACAAAAACCGTTTTCAGAATAAATATTGCAACGTGGATGTTTGTCCTCACACGTTTCAGGTTTAGAGGTCGTAGTTGAGGGATTGAGATCCTGAGAAACAACAACTCTTTGTTAAAGGTTTTGAAAAACTTACATCCTCATCGATCATTCTTGTGTAGGCACAAAGTCTGCAAGTTTTCTGGCAAGATTTGATCATCATCTGTTTGTAAAATGGATTCTTGCACATTCCACGTCTTCTGTTCCCTTCACAGTTCGACGCCACATCCTTGCACTCGGTCGCCACAATTCCTTGATTACTGTACTGACCGTTCCCATTCACATTTCCACATTGACCCAGTCGGTTCAGTTTTTCAATGTCTGTCGCCGTGAACTTCATATTGTCGTCCAAACGGACTCCCGCCTTCAGAGGCGTCATTGTGGCGAGACGGACGCGGCGCGCGTTGTCCACTCGTCCGAATGCGTATCCGTCGTAGTGCATGATGGATTTGTAATCGTAGGTATCCGGGAAATCGACCAACGACGCTTGCAGCTTGTCAAAGTTTACTGCAAATTTTTACTTTATGTTTAAAACCAAAAATACTGTTTTTTTTTCTTAAAAATTAAAATGCTCACTCAGTTGTCCCGGAATGACATTCGAATAATCGACCCTAATAAACGAATCTCTGTCGGGTCTCTGATGTTCATGCTCAAATCCAATGGCATGCATTAGTTCGTGCCAAATAATATAATTGGCAATGCAATCAGCTGCCAGTGATACTGTTTGTCTTCCTCCGATCTTTCCCACGTAGGAATAACATCCATCCAGAGGCACTATGAAAATGTAGTCGTTTTGAGTGGACCGTTCGATGAACTTGAAACAGGACACTTGTTCGAAGTAACGAATCGACGAGAGAAGGATTTGTTTTCTGAATATGTGCTTGGCCTAAAAACATTGAAAGTATCTTACTGTGCTGTAGAGTATTGTGGAGAAATCATATAAGGTACAGCGTTATTATCCCATCGATTAAATGAATTTTCTTTAAGTGAAACTCCCCGAATAGTTTGTTCCGACTCTTTGGAGCTTTCATAACGATGCAATTGAGCCGGAGTTAAAACTAAAATTCAGAACGGACTTGACTTTCACTAAACATTTTCAAAAACTCACTCATATCCCCGAATACAGTGTTATCCTTATTTTCCGCATTTTTCAACTCTTCGTTAATTTCCCAGGATTGCTTGACAGATTGTAATCCGGATACAAAAAATAGTAAAAATATTGTGAAAAACATAATGAAATCGGGAAAAAATGGAGGAACAAAAGAGATTTCCGGAGGTGCCATCGCCGATTTTATACGGACAATGGCTACATGGGCTCGGCTGAGCACACAAATTCCAATGGGAGTGCCGGGTCTTCTTCTATTTGCTCGCAGAAGACATTGTTCCAGAGTCTGGAGTGACGATTTTTTGGTTTTTGGCTGGCACAATCGAGGCAAAAAGTACGTTCAGTAAAGATCAAAAAGCTATCGTTTTTATTATCTTTGACAAAACTGGAATGATACAATGCAATGGGAAAGCGGTAAAAGTTTTGAAAACAAAATAAAATTAGAAAGTCTTGTCAAGCCGCAGTTGGCTCCTCAGCTTTAATCTTGTCGACTTTCGATTTATCGATGATGATCCATGGTCTTACTGAAATAGTTCAATTCAATTTCATGCATGCTTTCTATTTTGAAGCTCTCACCAAACTTTGCGCAGCCTGTGCACTTTGATCCTTGCGCGTCAAAATGACCGAGTTTGGCTCCGCACGAATGGCTCAGAGAGCACGCGGCATTTTTTACCTCGAGCCATGCCATCGGTTCAATCAAATACTTTTTGCATGACTGAAAATGGAAAGGAATTTCTTGAAATGAAGAAATTGATAAACGTCGTGAATGGAATGCATGATGTTATCAGCGCTGAAGATCAACTTTCGACACGATCGGCATCTGAAAAAACGACAGGAATTCAAAATATTAAGCGCCAGCAGCGACTAAATTATCAAAAGCAGCGCCTTAATTATCAAAAGCAGAGTTTAGACTATCAAAGGCAGCGCAGTCATTTTTAAATTTTCAACTCACTTGAATCTGATTTTAGTTCGATCATCAATAACTGGAAATCGCCAAAGTGTTTTCTGACTCACGTCATAGACACCCGGAATGTGGCATTTCAAATTTTCATAATTTTCTTCTGAAAAATCCATTCCGCATCGTTCCCAAATTCGCAATTGCGACATAAATCCTATGTTCGGTCTTAAAATTATCCAGTCTTTGAGTTTTCTGAACTTTGCAAAGTTACGCTGCTGCTTCACGAACACTTTGAACCATTCTAAGAGCTTCTTCGACTGTGCAGTTATTCTTTAACATTTGATAACCCACACAAATCGTCACGCTTCGGGAAATTGCAGCCAGACTGAAGCAACTACATTTTGCAAACTTAAAAATGCTGAAATTACCAATGAACTACAACAGTTTCATCATTTCCAACTGCTTCGTCAATATATTTAATCGCTTCTTTCAGAATTCCATTCCTTAGAATTGACTGCAACCGAAAACTTATATTTGTAGATTTTTGGCTTCAAACCTGGCTCGGCATGTCAAAAACGTGTATAAACTTGTAGTCAACATTATCAATTTTTTTATCTTTAGCAATTGGCTCCGTAGCAACAGTTAGAACTCGTGATATCTGGAAAACTGTGAAAATCTGTAAAAATGTGGCACATTTACATTATATTTCTGCAATTGGTGTTTTCTTGTTGGTCCCTCGATCATTGGAAGTTGTGCCAAATACAAATTTTCAGTGATTTTCCACATTTTCAGCTAATTTCACGGTCTCCCAGAGAGCGAATGCTAAAGAGGGCGCCGGTGTAAGGACGGAGTGTCGTAGCAAGCTTGATAAAAGCGGTTAGTTTGGCAGGAACTTGAGATACTCTCCGTAATACCCTTGTTTCAGAAACGAGAACATTGAGGAGAACACTTGATTTGCAGCTCGACAGAAACGGAAGTGACTGTTTGAATAAGTGAAAAAAGAAAAAATCGGGGTCAGTTTGGGTGAATTCCAAATGCTTCCCCGAAAAAACGTTGTTATAGGTTTTCTCGAAGACTGGGAAAGAGCACTGTTTGGAAGAACAGAATGGAGACGGAATGATGCACTCGGACGGTATCTGGACGACATTCAACAATAATTTATTCAAAGTTCAGTAAGATTGATGCCAGGAAATGCCTGTATCGTGTAGAAGATTGTAATTCGAAAGCTGCTGGAGAATGAGGACGAAATGGACGTCCCGGACGGAAGCGAAACGACTCGTGAAGCTGTTGATGACGGCATGCAAGGACTCCAGTTCTTGCTCTGTCATTCTCCCCCAACTCCTATTCTCGCGGAGGTAGTGAACGAGATGAGCAGCGAGCAGATGGAGCTTCGAGGTCACAGAAGCATCAGGTTGCAAATCGAGCAGGTTAGAAACGAGCAAATCGACCGCTTCTTCGATGCGATCGATGTCCGCATCCGATTTGGTCTTATTGTCGGCCTGCCTCATCAGAAATTCCAGATTTCCCATCACCTTGCGCTTCATGTCGATCTCGTTGCTTAGATTTCTTCCTGGAGTAATAAAACTCCTTGTCTCTGGTCGATGAGCTTTTCACGCAAAAACAGTTTGTAGTTTTTCTAATGCTGAAGCTCATGTTTGGCTTCCAGCAACTGATTCCGGAGATTGTCTACTTCAGCCTTCAGCGCCTCATTTTCGGCTTACAACGAGAAGATGCGGTTCCGCTCGACAGCTTGCTCCGCCCTTCGAACACCTCCACGGACACCATTCGCTTGCGAGGCCTTCATCGCACTTGATTTTCTCCCCATGTCTGTAATTCATCTTTTCATCTTTCCTCCGCTTCCCTTCAACTTTTTCATGTTCCTTTTTTCAACGAACAAATCGTCTTTTTCAATGTTTTCATAATACTATTCACATTTCAATTATAGAATATGACTGACCTTCCGTTTAAACACGTTCTAATTGAGGAGAAAAACCCGTTTGATTTCTTTAATATAATTTTTGTGCAATGTGGATTATGAATCTGAGGAGTCTTTTGAAACAAGCAGTGCAAAAAAGACGGTTGAACGAAGAGTTTTGTGCAGTTCTCAGCTCCTTCTTGACGTTTTTCGATGATCTAAACTGTATCCTGAGCCTAACTAGCATGTGTGAAGACCAAATCTCAATTTCGGAATCCGTCTCACTGTCGCCATTCACAAAAATTCCAATAACTGTCTTTTCTGAATATTTTTTGCTAGTCGAGCGACCAAAATGACCGCCATTTAATTCTGAACAAAAAACAGATTCTTCTGTTGAAACTCTTTCAGCGTATTTCCAGAAAAAAAACTCGATTATCTAAAAATTCAGGCCAAAAACTGCAAATCGAGATAACTCAGCTATTTCTCAACGATATGCGAGATTTCTGTTACCAAAACGTAGCTAGTGCTCTAATTATTCGAATCCAGGTTTCAGGCGTATAAAAAATAGGTGTATTGTCTAGAAAACATAGAAGGAACGCGAACTACCGTTGAAAATTTATTAATCGGCGCGTTTAAAAACTTTTGTTTGGCGCCGTCTCAGTAGAGCGCGCTTGCATCGTCCACCGGCTTCCACGTGGACTTTGGCTAAATATGGACATTTTCGTATTGTTGTTCGTGCTTTCTCCGATCATTTCCGCCGCTTTTTGTAACTCTTTTTCGCTCTACGTTGTAATGTGTAATTCATCCAATTAATCGAGGTCATTGCCACTTTTTCTCCGCCCGACATCGTGTCTCGTCGTCGCTCGTTTGAAGAAGAGAAATTACATGCGTGACGTCTGCGTCTCTCCCGCCTACAGTATCCAAACTGCAAAATCGAGAGAGACAGCGATGTGACGGGCCGCTTTTCCGAGAACGAATCTGTTCCTGTTCAAAACTGTCATAACTATTACGACCTATATTCGCATTTTCCTCTAAATACGTGAGAAAGCGTCGGTTCTGCCTTTTTTCTTTCTTGTTTTTCTAATTGGCCGTTGGACAATACTGTAGTTTTTGTTTAAATTGAAACTAGTCTGTGTGAGGTCCGGTGCTACGGCCGGAATTTTAAATTGCCTCAGCAAATTATCGGCAACCTTTTCCCTTTCTGTGCTTATCGTAGAGAATTGGTCGATTAGTGAAGGTGCAAACGTGTTTCCTGCCAATTTCCGTTTTTTGGTATCTACTACGTCGGCTAGCCGGAAACTTGCTCATTGCCCCAGAAATATATTCAGCGCAAAAATTTGAAAAATTTCTTTTTGTCGCATGACTTCTCAGTGATTCTTCACGCTAATGAAGATGTGCGCAAACAAACACCGACGGAAGAGAAAGAAAAAGAGAGCGGGCTTCTACTAATTCTCATCTATCCGCTCACATGCTTCATCGGAAAAGCTCATGCTCTTCTCATGCCTCTACTACTTCTCCGTTTATCGATTCGTGGCCCCGCCCCTTAATTTAGTTGCGTGTGTGTGTTGGAAAGCGAAGGCTCTCCGCGCTTTCGCTTTCTCTCTTTGGGCTCACTCACACACAAACACATGCACACATACGTGGGCCAGATCCCCCACGTCATGCTCCATTTTCACTATTGCTAGTTTTTTGCCCAATCCACTCCCGCAGTGCAAAGCCAAAAGTCACATCCCCTTCGAGTTTTATTAAAAAAGCAGTGCTCTTTGCCCCGCAACATTCGCAACATAGCGTGTGTCCTTTTGACCCTTACAACATGTGTCGTCTGAACTTTTCTCTGCGTCTTCTCATCAATGAGCAGCTTCAACGCCAAAGAGCACGATAAATCAGTGATAGAATTGGCCGAATATATACAATGTCAATTCCCCTGCCACCTTTACACGGGTGTTTTGTTATTGTATCAGTTCCGTATTCCTATTCCTGATGGAATTCTGACAAAAACAAAAATGTTGTTAGAGAATTTTTCTTCTTCTGACAGGAAACATAGACAATCGTAAATATAGAGAATGTTCTTGTTCCTTCAACACTTTTATCGTCGTTTTTCGTCTCAACGACTATATTTCCGATCTTTTCAGAGATGGCGAAGCCGCAGGGAGGCACGAAAGCGTCGAAGAAGGTTCAACCACCGATCTTGTCGCACGAGTTCATCATCCAGAACCATGGAGACATCGTGAGTTGCATCGTGATGGTCTTCATCGTCGGTCTGATGTTCCCACTCACGCACGGGATCGCCTCGTACTTCGTGTCTCCACAATACAACGGAACGTATCTGGAAGTGACTGGACCTGAAGGAGCTGAGAAGGAGGTCAACGGATATCTCAATGGAATCCTCGATGTGCCAACCCTCTTCTTCTACTCCATCTGCTGGATTGTCATTCACGCCGTTCTTCAGGAATACGGACTTGACAAGCTTCAGAAGAAGGTTCGTAAAACACAGAAAAATTCCTCAGGAAAAGTATTATTTTGTAGATTCATCTCTCGAAAGTGTCCACGTTCAAGTTCGGTGAATCGTTCCATCTGCTCTTCTTCGCCGCTTACTCTATCGGTCACGCCGGCTACATTATCTCTGAACGCCCAGAAGACTTTCTCGATGTGAAGAGGTAACATCGCCAGCGAACTAACACCTCAAACAATCCCTGCCTAGTTCTTTCAGAATATGGTCCGGATATCCGGTCGAGCACCGCGTCATGTCCATCAGCTACAAGCTCTTCTACATCTTCCAAATCTCTTACTGGCTTCACCAATTCCCAGAGTTCTACCTTCAAAAGCTGAAGAGAGAGGAGATCCGCCAGAAGACCCTCAACACTGTCCTTTACCTCTTCTTCATCACCACCGGATACTTCCTCAACTTCACCCGCATCGGAATCATCCTTCTTTCACTGGAGTACGCCACCCAGCTCGTCTTCCACATTGCCCGTCTCGCCCACTTCCTCAACCGAAAAGCCTTCTCCGCTCCGGCTTTCAAGGCATACAACGCTCTTTTCATCGTCGGACGCTTCGCCACCGTCGTGCTCGCCGTCATGACTTTCTGGTACGGTCTCCGCCAAACCGAGGCCCCGTTCGTCGATGTCATCACCGGAAACTTCAACACGTCGCCAGTGAGACTCAACCTCCTGTTGGCCATAATTCTTGTGCAACTCTTCCAACTCGCTCAATTCGTGTCATTCCATCTGGGAAGATTCCGTGAAAACAACGCCAAGAAAGACAAAAAGAAGACTACTGCGGCTGCTGCCCCCAAGGATAAGAAGAAGAGAAACGAGTCGGTGAGTGAGATATTTCGTAGAATTTCACATTATAATGCCAAAATTTAACATTATTGCGGTTCAATGAGCATTTTCCAGGAGAGCGACTCGAAGAAGAAAAACTAGGCAACTACTCACTCGAAATATGGCGACTTCCTTTCTCTCTGTCCTTTCCCCTGTCCTATCCCCCTCAAAATCTGTTTAAATTATTGTATTTATTTATTTATTATTCAAAATGACATCATTCAAGTCAACCACCTATAGTCAACGCTCGTGCTCCAGAAATGCGCCCAACTCATCTGAAGGCGTATTCTCGGAGCAGGACTGTGCGCAAACCTACCAGTTTCTCCATTCAATTGTGATGTTTTTTTTCTGTCAATTGCATTTTCATCTCCTCCTGTTTTTTCCCTCTCGTGCTTGTGGTCTATCGCTTTCCTTTCCTTTGACTGATTTCCGTTTTTCCCTCATTTTTCTTGTTCAATCGGTTCGAAACGCGGAAATTAATAATAAATGTCGCCTTTCTTCAGCAAGTTCCAATAGAGAAATATTGTTGCAGTCAGACTTTTCTTTACTTTTTTCAGTTGCTAGGGAATAATTAGGATATCATTGGATTCAGAAGATGTCGTGGGACCGTCGTTGTCGTGTTGCTACGTGCACAGTCAACAATTGGGCGCTGGATTTCAAAGGAAACTATGATAGAATTGTGAAAAGTATAAGAAAAAGCGGTAATTCGGTTAAAAACTCTAAACTGTTCAGCATGTGAAGAAGCGGCAGCTCGCGGAGCATGTATCCGTTTGGGACCGGAGCTGGAGATCCCCGGATACGGATGTGCCGATCATTTCTTCGAAGTGGACACCGAAAGGCACTCGTGGGAAATGCTCAGCAAATTGACCGAAAAGAGCAAAGAAGTTTGCAAATTTTGAGTATTTCCATAAAAATATCAGTCTTCAGTGGCCCGATCTTCTTGTGATCACCGGCCTTCCGACAAGATTCCGAGGACTCTTGTACAATTGCGCGGCCGCTTTAAAAAATGGAAAGCTGCTTTTCGTACGCGCAAAAATGGGTTTGGCCGACGACAATGTGTACAGAGAGTCGCGGTGGTTCGTTAAATGGACGGAGACTTTCCAGCACTATCAGAAGCCGTTGCATCCGGAATTTTATTTCGAACAGGTACGTGTTGTGCGAAATTCGATTTCGCAGTCTTTTCCAAATTCATTTTTTTAGGATTCTGTACCGTTCGGCGACGGAATTCTCGAGTCGCCTGACAATGTGCGTGTCGGATTCGAAATCTGCGAAGAGCTCTGGTCGGCCCGCTCCACAAACATTCGGCTCTCGGAGCAAGGCGTCGACATCATGTGCAACGGCTCGGGAAGCCATCACATCCTCGGAAAATCCAACTATCGTATCAATCAGCTTATTCTCGGCTCTTCTGCAAAAGTGGGCGGAGTCTACTTGTATGCGAATCATCGTGGATGCGACGGAGATCGTGTCTACTACGACGGAGCGTCGACAATCGCGCAGAACGGAGAGTTGCTCGCTCAAATTCATCAGTTTGATATCGAAGATACGGTATTCCACGAAATTGTATGACATTTCTTCGAATTTTTAATGTTTTAGTGCGTGACAACTGCTCTGGTGGATCTTTCTGACAACTTGACGTTCCGGCAGATGAAGTCAAGCAATCGGGTAACCGCTTCCGAGCAAACTACCATAGTCCCGATCCGCTTCGAAGGAAATATGCTCGGAGGAGTGAAGAGCAGTGAAAAGTGCACCGAGGCCATTAAAAGTACAACTTTCAAGTAATATAGGAGCATCTCACAGAAATGGCTCTCTGTTCGCAATCTCGTCGAATTTCTAGGCCGCGAAGTAATTTTCCACTGAAAACGTGGCTTAACTTTTCAAACTCGGCCCCGAGGTCACTCAATTTGCACTGCAAAAAAAGTTTCTCAACAGAGCGCCATTTCTGTGAGGTGCCCCTATAATAGAATTGCTTGAAAAAACCGATTTCTTTGCAGATGTTGAAGAGCTCCAACTGTCGCCGATCGCCGAGTTGTGTCATGGACCGCCCGCTTACCTTTGGACGTACTTGAGAAGAAGTGGAATGGTAAGATTTACGGACAGAAACTGAAAATAGTCCCAGCAGCGTCTAAATTATCGAAAGCAGCGCCGAGGAAGCTGCAGAAGCGAATTTAGTCGCTGCTTTGAACAATTTGGTCGTCGCATTCGATAATTTAGTCGCTGCTACACTGGAAAACAGGCGCAGGCGCCTGAGTTGCGCTTTCGAGAATGTTCCGATTGTTTCCAGGCTGGTTACTTCATCCCACTCTCCGGAGGCCAGGATTCATCGGCGGTAGCGGCGATGGTCAGATTAATGTGCGAAAAAGTTTGCGGAGCAGTCAAAAACAGTCGAGAAAATGGCCGCGGAGACGATCCGGCGTACTATTTGGGAGGAAAGAAGGTTACCGAAAATCCGGCCGAGCTGTGTAATCAGGTTGGTGCGAGCAATGTTTTATTGAGCACAAAAATAACCTAAGAGTTAATGAAAAGCTGGAATGTTCTCCAGAATCAGGTTTAGCGGCGGTGTCCGTCCTCGAAGAAGACTCCTCCGTCGAGGGCGCAGTACTTGGGGCACACTCCCTTCTCTCCCTGCTTTCCGTCCTTTCCTGGCTGTCCTGGATGTCCTGGCTGCCCGTCTTTTCCTGGCTGTCCTGGCTCTCCGGAAGCTCCTTTCTCTCCCTGGGCTCCTGGAGTTCCGTCCTTTCCTGGCTCTCCGGCTGGTCCGCGTTGTCCTGGCTGTCCTGGTGCTCCCGGCTCTCCTGGTGCTCCTGGCTGTGGCTCTCCGTTGTTTCCGTTCTCTCCTGGTGGTCCGGCTGGTCCTGGCTTTCCTCCTGGTCCTGGTGGTCCGGCGGGTCCCTTGTTTCCTGGCTCTCCGTCTGGTCCTCCTGGTCCTGGTGGTCCTGGTGGTCCGAGTGGTCCCTTGTTTCCGTCTGGTCCTGGTGGTCCGGCTGGTCCTGGTGGTCCTTCTGGGCATGGCTTGCATGGTGGTGGAGTGATCGGCTCACATGGCTCCTTTGGTGGGCGTCCTGGGTTTCCGTTGAGTCCGGCGGCTCCTGGCTTTCCTGGTCTTCCTGCGCGTCCTGGAGTTCCTGGTGGTCCTTGAGCTCCCGGAAGGCAGCATCCTTCGCACTGTCCGCTACCCTCTCCGACCTGACGGGCGGTACGGTTGTGAGCCATCACGAGGTCCGGAATACGGTTGACTTGCGAGAAGAGACGCTGAGCCTCGGACTTGCACTCGACAATGTCCATGTGCATGGCCTTGCGGGTGTGGTGGATGTAGTTGTACATGATTGGAAGAGTCACGCACACTGAAAATTGTATAGTCTTAGCTGGAAACTAAAATTCTGAAACTAACCAGACAGCACCGCAATGGTGGAGAAAGTCAAGGCAGCGTAGCCGACGAAGCGGTAGGCTTTGATGCGCGAATCGATGTCCATGACGAGATGAGAAGACCGTCGAATGGTGAGGTTCCATGCCAAACGGCGCCCCTTTTATACTGCCCCAAAGGCACTTTCACTTTCGATTACTGTTTCGGTTTGGCTTTTGGTTAGGTATCATCATCAAGTTGGGTGCGCTTCCTGCAAAAAAGTGTACGCAAACGGACAGTGTAATAGGCAGAAAGTGAAAGGATTTTTGGAAAAAAAAAGAGAGAGAAGGAAGTTGTGATAGTGGTTTGGTTCGCGTCGGACAACGGCGCAAACTTTCTTAATTTACTTTCGAAACCTTGACAACAGATACGAGTTTGTAGGTGCTGTTCACGTGCTACATGGCCAGCGAACACTCTTCCGATGAGACGAGACAGTGCGCCAACGGATTGGCAACTATCATCAACAGCAATCACTGCGGGTAACCAACAATCACGAGAAGAGTATCAAAATACATCCATCTTCCAGAATCTTTATCGATACCGTCATCGGCTCGATTCTTAAAGTATTCCAAGTCGCTTATGGATTCATGCCCTCCTTCCAAAGCCCGGACAACCGGGAAACTATGGCTCTTCAGAATATCCAGGCCCGCATCCGAATGGTTTTGGCCTACTTATTTGCCCAATTGGCCCTGGTCTCTCATAAACGCCCCGGCGGTCTTCTGGTGCTCGGAACGGCCAATGTCGATGAAAGCCTCGTCGGCTATCTGACTAAATACGATTGCTCTTCGGCTGATATCAATCCGATCGGATCGGTGAACAAGGGAGATCTCCGGAAGTTTCTGGAGATTGCCTACGAAAAGTACGGAATGACGGCGCTGAGAAGTGTCATTGACTCGACTCCGACTGCCGAACTTCGGCCACTCGTCGATGGAAAAGTGGCGCAGACGGACGAATCGGAAATCGGATTGACGTACGACGAATTGTCGGTTATCGGAAGACTTCGGAAGCCGGGAGGCATGGGACCGTACGGAATGTTCCTCAAGTTGTTGCAACTCTGGGGAGACAAGTATACGGTGGAGGAGGTAAGGAAAAGAAGCTGAGAATGGGTTTAGCAGCTACTAAACTGATCAAAGCAGCCCGGAATTGCTTAAATTTGTTCTAATTCAACTATTTTTGCAGATCGAAGACAAGGTCCGAAAGTTCTGGTGGCGTTACCGTGTGAACCGTCACAAAGCGACCGTCTCGACTCCGGCTATCCACGCGGAAAACTACAGTCCAGACGACCATCGAAACGACCACCGTCCGTTCCTATATCCGGACTTTTCCTATCAATTCGAACGAATCCGAGAGAAAGTGGAGGAACTGAAAAAGGAGGAGAATAAGAACTAATGGCTTAATTTTAAAATGTATGTACTTTTTTTTCATTGTATTCTTATAAAACCTAGACTGATTACGTGAACTCCTCCTCAAACCAGAGTATATAGAACATCCACGTCTCCTCGAGTTATCATAGGTTTGTGAAAAAGTTGAATCTTATTTTGCTGAAAGAAAGAGCCTACGAAGATGAGTTCAATTACGAGCAGCTTTGGTTTGGCGCGAAGATCCATTCGGAAAATTTGGCTCAAAGTACGGACTTTTCTCTGAAACAGTTTTAGAAATTCTTAACAACAGGAATTTCATTACTTCCGTTCGAATCACCCAATTTTCATCCTTCTCTTCATCGCAATCTTCGCCGTTATCTACAATGTTTCGTGGCACAAATTGGTAATGACAACCCGCGCTCTATTGAGACTCAAAACGATCCTTGCAGCCGCCGTCAGTGGAAGGATCGTCGGATTTTCTGAAAATTTTCGACAATTTCCGAGTGACCAAACACAAATTTGTGAGAATGATGGTATTCACATCTCGAGATGACATAAATAAACTCAAAGTTTTGCAACAGATTTGCATTCCGTCCTCGGTTGTCGATTATCGGTTTTCTACAGTAGCCGAAGCTATCCATCTCACTCATTTGGACTTTCCCGAGTTGGAATTTGTGAGGGATTTGGATGTGGCCAAAAAGAAACTGGAATCTGGAGATATTGATAGTAGGGGATACAAATTTCAAAGAAATTTAACAGAAAGCTTTCAGTTCTGATCCATTTCACAACACTTATTGAGACTGGAAAATTGATAGAATACAATATTATCAGTCAGTCGGGAGACTTGAACAAGTACGACACTCCGAGATCGCGCTTAGTTTAGCGGAATCTATCGATCGATATCGTCGTTGCGTAAACTCACAATATCTGTTCAGACACTACTGTATTCATTGCGATCACCGTCGAAAGCAGTCATGGGGAAACGCGGTGGAAGCGCAGCAAATCGTGAATCGCTTCCTTTATTGGCTCATCAAAGCTCGGGGATTCGTGACACGGACACCACATTTGCAACTGAGCCACGTATACATTGAAGGTGTCGACTCGGATCCGATGTACGCCAAAAGACAGGTAATAGTTCAGAAAATTGGGCCACAATAGTTTTGAGCTACTTTCAGACCGATTTATTCTTCGCCTGGCTCATGCTTCTACCCATTTGCTCGCGACTCATCGACTCGTGGAATGATGATAGAAAATCGGGATTTTATGTGAGACCTACACTACTTCAAATTTTTCATGTTTCTTTCAGAAAATCCTATTCTCCCTCAAAATTCGTCGTTTCGAGTACTTCATTGCCAAATTCCAATTCTGGTACGGTATCTCGTTGATCCTCAGTTGCATCGTCTTTGTTGTGAACGTTTCCGTGGTACATTGAATCCGTTCTCGCGGGGTTACTGTAATTTGGATATTGCAGGTGTCCGGAGTGTTCACCTCTACCTATTTACCGTTTCTCATCGTCTACGTGGCTTGCATCTTCGCGTTCACCATTTTCTTAGCCACACTTTTTCCGGAATCGCCGTTTTTCGCGAAATTTGGTTAGCTTGAGTCAAGTTTTTTTGTGGAAAATAATAATTTTATGCAGTCGGAGCCCTGCTGATGGCTGCCGGGGAGTTCGGCTTCGGAACAGTGTTACACGGAATGGCATTCTTCCAACTTTCGGTGCGGTTTTTCGGAAAATCAAACGTAGAAGCGCATTGGGACGACGCAGTGGCTCTCATGTGCATGTCTTTCAACTTTGTCCTCCTACTCGCCCTCTCTATTTATCTGGACACTTTCTTCTTTTCCTACAGCCACGAGCCGCTGAAATTCTATTTCCCGTTGGAAAGAGCCTACTGGATGCCTCTGTCGCGGAGTCCTCAAGTGGATAAACATCACGTGGATCAGATATTGTCTCCGTCTCAAGATGTGGCACTGAACAATAAGAAGTCGGGCGACAAAGAGGTGGAGAGCAAAAACGAAGAGCAGAAAACAAAGACGTCGAATATTCCGTTGATTGTGCTGTACGGAGTGTGCAAGAGAATCAAAAATAATTGGAAAGTGAATCAGTTGAGTCTGACGATTCGATACGGAGAAATTCTGACACTTTACGGACACCACGGATGCGGCGGCGAGGAAATTTTGGCGATAATCAGCGGAGAAATGAAGCCAGAGTACGGAGAAGTGATGAGGGAGAAATCGCAGAGGGAACTGATGGTGGCGAGAAGCAGCCACGTACCGAGTGTCAACTATTTGAATGTGAAACAGTACCTGAGACTGGTCAGCCAGATGAGGTACCGTATTCTGAAGAAGCCCCCCCCCCCTATTATTTTTGTTGTTTGCAGAGAAGTGTCCGTTCCGGAAGCAGTTCTTGATGAAATGCTCGCCGAGCTCGATTTGACCAAAGTGGACCGCCGTTCGTTGGATCTTTTGTCCACGACTCAAAGGGAACGTCTTCGAATCGCAGCCGCGTTTGTCGGTCAGCCGGACGTTGTGCTCATCGATTGGCCAACTCAGGAATCGCTGCCCGAATGGAAGTACATGATTCTCAATTTTATTGAGAAACGAAAGGAGAAAAAGTAAGCAAGGTGTTCTAGAAAATTGCGAAAAAAAAGTGATTAACAGTAAATTATCCAAAGCAGCGCCAGGTCCTCGGTGCGGCTTTCACTAATTCAGTCGCTGCTTTTGATAATTTAGTCGCCGCTGCTAGTGCCATTCTTTCAATTTTTGCCTTTCAGAGCAATAGTGATGACTTCGTATGACGCAGAAGAGACAGAAGCCATCTCGGACCGCGTCGTTCTTCTTTCTGAAGGATACGTCATTCTAAACGGCGCCTGTGACAACTACAAACAATCGTAACACATTTTTCACAGAAGCGTGTTTTCTAAAACAAACATTTTTAGAATGTCAAGTGTATTCGAGATCCGTCTGTGGCCTGTCACCTTCTTTACGAATGAGCAAATCGGGAAGATCATTTCGGCGATCAGTATGGGAGATGATCAGACGAGGAACAACGCGAAGTATTTTGAGACGCCCAACGGAAAACTGAGAATTACTTTGCCGTTGACTTACAGGAAATGGTACTGCTGAAATATTGTAGAGCTCTTGAAAAACTCACTTTTCCAGTATCGCATTGATGATAATGGAGCTGGAAAACTGTGCTCAAGAGTGTCAAATTGCGTTTTACGAATTGAGCAAACCGAACATACATGATGTGTACACAAAGTTTGCACAATTTTTGATTTGCAGCTTATTTTATCTTTTTAGTGCGTGCTACGAACCCCAACAGTATCGACCGTTGAAAAACTATGAGCAGCTTGATCAACTTTATGCTAAACGTAATTGTTTTTGTTTTCTTGTCAAATCGCTTCAACACGCTTCTTTATAGAGAAGACAATAAGTCGAACTCGATACTTTTTCAAGAATATGGTCCGAATCCTGAAGGATCGTCAATTCTTGTACCAAGCCGCCGCGGTCGTCGGGCTCTTTGTGTTTCTCGGATTGCTCACGCTCATTTCGCATCAGAAAATGCACTCGCATTGTATGTTTGACATGAATCACTCTAGGATAACTGTATTTCTGTTTCAGACACTCATGAAGTGTCCCTGGATGCGCACGATTATCCGATCAAAATCTACTGTGAGCATTGTGTTCATGAAAGTTCGAAAAACGCGGAATATGAAAGGTTTCTTGGGAAGAACGAGTTGGAACCGAATAATGCTTGTGAGCCCATTTTTTGTCTGAAAATGTTGTTTTTTGAAATACTTTTGATTTACAGATTTGTTTTGGAAGAACAACAGTGTGAAAGCGGACGAGGAGCTGGTTGCGATCAGTCACGGAGACGACACTTTCACGATGGTCATTCAGAATTTTGCAGTTTCTCAAATTATTGCAAAAATGACTGGACATTGTGCGTCTTTTCCGAAAAAAAAACAATCTGAAACTGTTAGTTTCAGATCCTAAAATCACGCCTTTTCTGGAGAGTGAAGAGTTCCGCGCGAGCAGCGCCGCTCACGGATTCTCTTTGATTTTCAATGATGTAAACAAAAATCAGGCCGCCATGATTTTGTATGTGTGGAAAAACTTGTCATTTCAATTTTATTTTAATTCCAGATCCGAATCGCACTCGTTGATGTACATTCTGGGAGTATTTCAGACATTTATCTACGTCCTTTCAGTCCTTTTACCATTGAGATTGATTGCGGTGAACATGAGACCGGATGTACGAACTGATACATTAATACGACTGTAACCCTTGTCTTCTTACAGAGCATGCTTTTCCCATGGCCTCGTTATTTGTATTTCGGACTCATTTTCACTGCCAACCTGGCAATTTTCCTGGTTTTTTCAATTGTTCTATTACTCATCTTGCTCTCAATGGATTATTTCCAAACTGATACTGTATCGTGCTTTATGTAAGTTGACATTTTTTTTCTGAAAAATAATCTGAAAACGTTCAATTTTCAGCCAGTTCCTGGGCGCCTGGACTGTTTCGTTTGCTTCCACTCTTCCGCTCATCTACTTGCTCGTTTTCAATGTGAACACGGCGGCTGCGATCATTCCGACCGTCATGGCCGTTTCCTCTTTACTCGTAAATCTGCCCAATATGGTCTCGTCGTATTCGGCCGAAAATGCGATTGCTCTGCGGGTACAGTAATATTTGAAAAATAGTACAAATTAAAAAATAGTACAAGTACAACTCGACAGTACTCAAAGTGAAAGAAAAAAAGATTAAAAAGTAGCTCAAGCAGCGACTAACATGTGAAATAGTTTTGTCGCTGCTTCTGTTACTTATAAATTCAGCAACATCTTCCCTCGGAAACACATAATTCTCTTTATTTCCAGACACTTTTAAAGTTTGTGAGTTGGACGTGCATGCTGAGCCCGCCGACTTCTCTTCAAGTTCTTGCCGCTTTCCTCAACGCTGGCGAGTTTCATGATGAGAACCGAGGAAGTGAGTGTTTTTTTTTCACTTTTTCTCAAGCCCACAATATCAACCAATTCAGCCATTGCCGCTCTGACCGCCTTCTGCTTTGCCCATTCCTGGACTCTTGTGGTTTTTGCCGTTTCCGTCTTCCAACCCGGCTTCGCACACTTTCGACAATTCTGGTTCATTTCAACGGTACATTTTAACATGTCTTATTTAATCGCTTCTTATTTGTTGCAGACAACTCTCTGGTCGAATTTCGAGCGGGGAACCACTTTGACTCCGGGCGCAAGGATGAAGAACAGTTTTTTGTTTGCTGCACAAGATCCGAAATCTAGTGCCCCTACGAAGAGATCCTCTGCTCCTGAGCAAAAACTGGAGTCAACGTCTCCGGATGCAAAAGATTTGGAGAACAAAGAAAGTCCGGATCGTCAAGGGGCGGCCGGAGACGAGAAAGAAACGCCGTCGAAATTGAGTAGCATAATATCGGGGGCCGAACGGAGCAGCAGTAATCAAGAGGATATGAGTCTGATCACAAGATACGAGGAGCATTTGTGCCAGAAAGTGGCGACGATGCGAAAATGGAATAATCAGGTGGACGTGCCCATTGACAACCATATTACGTACATTCTCGGCGACTCGACACACCTCAAAAGTGCTCTTTTGCGAACGATTGCGGAAATGAACAGAAAAGTGAGCCCTTTGGGATCTAAATTGATCAAACATCACTAAAACTTCAGGAACAAATCGCCTATGTGCCCGTGGTCGAATGTCTTCCGACCATTTACACCCCACGCGAACTCTTAGAGAATGTGGCCGCTTGTCATGGATTTGAAGTGACTGAACTGCACATTGACTATCTTTTGGAAGCGTTCGGTATGAAGATTTTAGAATGCACTCCTATAAGCCTTCTTACGTGAGTTTTTCTTCAAATACGTCTTCAAATTCTCGATTTCCAGCGATGCGGACCGTCGTATCCTGATGCTGCTCACAAAACTTGTCATCAAACCGTCAATTATCATCCTCGACCAACTCGATCAATTTCTTCCGCACTCGAAAATAATGACCGTCTGGGCACTGTGCTCCGTGCTCCGTTCCGACGGTGTCAGCGTCATTTTCACCTCCCGCCACAATAGTTTTGCCGAGCACATTGCCACGAGTTGTGCTCACATGCACAAGTGCGAAATTATCAACACACTTCCGCCGTCGACCATCAAAGCGAGGTTTGAACCGACAGAAAAGGTCTGAAAATCTCTGTTACTTCATATTTTCCAGTATGGGATGCACAATAGTGGAGGTGACTGCGAAGCCAAGTGCACAGGCGGTGAAACCGAATGAAAAGAAAGAAAAAGAAGGAGCGAAGAATCCGAGAAGAAATTATGAGACGGACGGAATGAGCGAGAAGATCTGGACTGTTCTGAAGCTTGCACTCGGCAATCAGATTGTTTCGATGCCCTCGACGAAGGGAAAAATTGTGGTGATGGTGCAAGGAGACACTCATAATGTCGTTGATCATGTAAGTTCAGGAATGCTAAATTTTTCTTGAAAACGGCTTGTGACAAGCAACTAAATTATCAAAAGCAGCACCAGGATTACAGTACTGCTTTTGTAAATTTAGCAGAACCGACCTTTAAGGTGCTGCAAATTAGAGTTTAATAGTTTCTTGAGGTTTTTATTATTATTCTGATTCAGATAATCAAAGTAATCGGCACACTGACCCCTCTGATTCAACACTATTCAATCCGAAATGGAACTTTTGACGAGTACATTGCTTCGGCTTTCTGATAAATAATAAATTGTGCTTCAACAAATGCTAACCTAGACATCAATTCCAAAAATCTCATTTTCTTCTTTCTTCCCACCAAGACTCCGCCCACTTGTATCTCATGTGCCTTTGAACTTTCAGCTGGCGAGAAGCAGCTGAAAAGGAGGGATAACTAACAAGTTACGTAGCCGCTATTCACTTCACAAGCTCTTCTGGCTCCACTCGAGCTCACTTTCACACTTCTTTTCCTGCACAAAGTCCTGTGACCTGGCAGAGCTGCCATGTCACAGGAGTTCAATTGGAATGATGTAGCGTATGAGAATGCTCCGTTCTCCCAATATTCGGATTTCTACTCGAACCAGCCCAGGATCTACATGTTCGAAGGAGGTACGCGACTTTCGAACATTTTTTGATGATCACTATAATAAAAGTTACTATACTTTCAGTCACTCTCATCGACCTCATTCTCCTTGCCGCGACTGCCGTTTTGACCGTATTCTGGCTGATTTACCTTTTCCGAAGTGAATCCGGAATGACGAAGGCGTTGATGACAGTAACCGTCACCCAAATACTCGTGAACCTTCTCATCCGTACATTCAAAGTGCTCGTGCTCATTCTCGTCCAATATCCGCAGTTCTCATGGCTCTTTGTGGCGTCGAGTGTTGAGACGACATTCCATTACACCCTCTACCTACAGTACACCTCGTCTGTACTTTTGTACGTGTTTCTACGTGAAAAGGATTGCAGAAGTGTGTGGGCTCTGTAAGTTTGAACACACTTCCTACTAAACAACATAAAAAACTTCCAGCTTCTACTATCTGCCCTCACTTTCCGTTTCGCTGCTCATCTCCACTCTAAACGTGAATTTCAACGCCCTTCTCAAGTCGATTCCCTTCTACGGCTACGTGGTTTTCTACGTAGCAATGGCCGTCTCCAATTTTGTTATTTTGATTGCGGTTCGTGAAATTACTGTAACAAATCACCTGTTTGCGTGGAAAATGAATAACAGATGGACTATGGAACTTGGCGTCTGGGCTCGAAAAATATACTGGCTAGACGGTTTCTTTCGATAATTTAGGCGCTGCTTTCAATAATTTGGTCGCTGCTTTGGATTATTAAGGTGTTGTATAATTTAGTCGCATCTTTCGATAAATTAGACGCCTCTTTCGATAATTTAGTCGCTGCTCTGGATAATTTCGGCGCTGCTATTGATAATTTAGTCGCTGCTTTTTACAATTTAGTCGCTCATTTTAAGAATTTCGGCGCTGCATTTGATGATTTCGGCGCTGCTTTTGATAATTTCGGCGCTGCTTTTGATAATTTCGGCGCTGCTTGATCTATGTTCAAATCTAATTTTTTATTTCCGAGCTTTTTATGGTTCTTCAGGTGTGTACATCGTGCACAAAATTCGCCCGGGAGAAGCTCGGAATCCGTTGCCGTCTGTTCTTTTTTGTGCTCATCGCCTCGCCGCCGACTTTCTTCAATACCGTAATCACCGTGATGGACTTGTTGTTTATGGTCGTCGGAGTCACCGACCAATTTCCTATTCGTAAGTGGCAAGTAGCAGGTGAAATTCCCCACAATTGATTATAGCCTACATCGTGATGACCACTTATCGGTATAAGGCTTTCGAAGTCACGCCCGCCTTCATTATGATCGCTTTCTTCGCTTTGCTTCCCGATTTGAGGTAGGTTCCTGTAATTCTCAAAATCTACAGTAATCTTTCACAGAAAATGGACGGCTCGGAAGACTTCAACCGCTGAAGTCACTGAAATCATCACCGAACCTCCACGTGCAATGTCTTCCTCCTCCAAAACCATTTCAGCTTCTCACTCCGTTTTGGCTGAGCAAGTTCCGATTCCAGGTCAAGTTCAGCCCCAGGTGTCTGCTCCGATTCCCACCTACAGTACTCTAAACTACAATAACGTTACTGGCGCCGGAACCAGTCCTTATGGGGCTCTGGTTGTGCATATTCAACCCGTGCAATGACCTCATTTGAATAAATGGTTTTATTGTTGAAACCCCGTTTTCGTTTATTAATTTTTCTTATTATAATGGTGTCAATTTTTGGCAAAATGTGGATAAAATCGTGTGTAAAAGAATGTCAATCGGTATTTTTCAGCTCTGAGAGCAAGTATTGGAGGCGTGCCACGATCGATTTGGCTCCGAACTGAAGTTCTGTCACTCGAGAAGGTATTTCGCGTTCCAGGAAATTCGGATCGTTAACTACAGCTTCGTTGAACTTGGTCAACAGCAAAATGTCGTCTTTTCGGGTCCATTGCTGAAATCGAAATGTGGAAATTCGAGACAACGGCAATTTCTCACTCTTTCAGTTACTTCCAGCTGAACATAAGAATCGTCGGATTCGTTCCGAATGCAGAGTTCTCCGCACTTCACCATCAAAGTCGTCCCTCTCTCACTCGAGGGCTTCTCCTGTTGCGGCTGCGGGAGCGGTCCCGTGTTGAGTAGTCCGTCAATGTCGTCAATGCGTTCGTAGTGTTTCGGAATACAGTGCTACAATATCATTTTACAGATTTTCAATATAACTCTATGCGAACGTACGTGCTCTTTGCGTTCTCGTCTCGTCGTCAGCTTTTCAATTCTCGTCAAATCGACGTATTCAAACTTCTCCAGATCCTGGCTCCGTTTGAACGGAAGGCACTGGAAGCCCTTTTCGATTTTCGACCATAACGGGCGATCTTGTCCGAGCAGTTTATAGAATTTGGCAGCCGCCTGCTCATCCGTCGTATCGGGTTCTTCCTCCAAAAAACTTCGAATGTATCGAAATAGACTGCTGAGTTTCGGCTCTTTCAGCTTTGCCCCAATTACGTAGCGCTGTAATGTGTTTAAATATTTTATGAAAGATTTATAGTTGGACGGAAACCTCAGTGTCCAGTATCATTTGCACCGCATCTTTGTACGCCTGGAAATCAGAGTTGGCTATGAATGTTGGCGGAAGGGATTCGGGCGGAGCAAAGAGAAGTAACAAGTTGAGGACTTCTGGATGATTGGAGAGGATCACTGACATCCGTTGAATTCTCTACAATCTGATTTTGTTTGAGAAAAAAAGATCCAATTTCTTACTTCTTCTTCTGTCCCTTTCGAATCCGTCATCGTCGTCGTCAATCTTTGCCACGTGTTTCTGTGCATAAACAGTCGTTGTCTGACGTCTTCAATGATTTTTCGAACGAATGCCACCTTCTGTTGCTCGTGAAGAGCCGTATCATCGAGGCCAACTGCTCCCATAGTTTCCTGAAATTCTCAGCAATTTGAATACTTACAAATGTTCTTAATTGTTGTGCGTACCCGTTCGATCCTCGTTCTCTTTCGCGATGCCTTCAAAGTCGGATCTCCAGCAGCTACTTTTCTCTAAAAAAAACTGAATTCAATTTCAGTCTTATTCACATTTAATACCTGTCTCAACGGCGGTCTAAAGTTCAAGAGTATCTGTCGTATAACTGGCGACTCTTCCGGGTCATCCTCGTATTCTGGAGGCACCATATCGAGTCCGGTCAGAGAATTATCGTCTTCTGTTTCCGTACATTCGGAGCGCTTCTGTGGATCCGACGACGTGGATTCCGTTGATTTGAATGACGAATTCGAGAGCTCCATCGGAACTTCTGAAACGCCGGCGGTTCCCATCGGAACTTGACACGCCGGAATAAAGTAGTCCTCGAATTCTCCGACATCTTCCATTGCTATGTAGGATTGCACATTCTCAACTATTGCCACCTTTTCCACAACTTCTCCTTCTCCTCCTCCTAGCGATGAAAAATCTGTCGGATGCGGCTTCTCAGAGTTGAATCCACGTGGCGTGCGTGGATTTCCTTGAGTTACCGATTGTTCTTGTCGAAACCACGTCAAACTATTCGATTCCAGATCCATCATGTCGTGCTCGTCCGGTGGTCGACGTCCCGGCGTCGGCGGAATTGGAAACGAAGACTGCGAATTGGTTTCTACTTCTGATTGCGGAACGAAGACGTTAGGTGCCTTTTGAGAAGGTTCTGATGGAGCCGATGTTTCTTCGGAAAAGGCTGATGACGTGGATGGATTATTCGAAATGGTTGGTGGCGCCGTCGGAGGAGTCGGAGTCGGAGTGCTTGTACTGGAGCTTGAAAGATTTCGCTCTTCGAATGTCAGTTTGCGAGGAGTGATGTTTTTGCGTCTTTTAGCAGGGGAACTCTGAAAAATCACATTATCTTTATCAGATGCGGCTCATTCCGTCTGTTCAACCTCATGATCTTTTATCAACTGCTGAACGAGCTGCTCGACATTTTCTCTATCTATCAGAATCGTCTGTCCACTGGGTCCGACGCCAACTTCTACGTAATCTTCCTCTTCTTTCGGCTGGTTTGTCAGTGTCTTCATGGGCGTAAGCACAAGTTTTCCGCCGAATTTCAATTGAACTTTATTGTCATCCGTCACTACGAACTTTCTTTGAAATTTGTGGAACCAACTGGGCTGGGAGATGACTGGCCACTCGGAGATGCACGAATCGACGAACGACCACGTTTTGCAGGGGACTGTCACCAGACATCGGCCTTCTTCGGCGGCTTGAACGATCTGATGGATCGGCGTCTTACCCGTTCGTCGCATCGCTTTCAAATGATTCCGAATGGTGTAGGAGCTTCTTCCCGGCAAACAATACTGCTGAATTGCCGTGTATCGATCGATAAGTTCCTTTTCCGCTCGTCGCGGGAGGTGCGAAAATTGGAGAAGTGCCATGGCGAGCATCAGATTCTCTTCCGTTGTGAACGGGAAATGCGTCGTGAAGTTAACCGGCTGGACAGAGGGCAGAAGAGCTGGATATCTGATGGCGCTGCTCTTCGCAATCACCGCGGCGGCTTCGGGTCGAAAGACAAACTCCCCGTGCAACTCCGTGTCGCGCGCCCATCTCACCCACTCCTCGTCGACCTTTTCAAAATTATTGATCTCATGACACGATCGTATGGCGCCGTCGAGATTCGTTATATCAAAGACGGTGGCGTATTGTCGTTCCTGTCGTACGTCGTCAAGCTCGTTGAGCATCAGCTGAGCAGCGTCTCGTACTTGCGCGAGTTGCTCGTCGTGATGGCAGACGACGACGAACTGGGTGGCCAGTTGCACGTGCTGCTCCAATTGCATTCGGAGCGTTTCAAGCTCTTCACGTCGGAAAGAAACAGGGGCGTTTTTGAGAAGAGTGCACGATTCCGAAGAGGAGCTGGCTGCTGTGCTCGGACGGTCGTAGACTTCAGCTTCCTGGAAAAATATTTTTGAGAGGAAACACGCTTTTAAAATTGTTATTTTACCTTTTTTTTATGACTCCTCTTCGGATCCTCGCCTGTTATTGCCGTCTCCGGCACCACACTTATCGGAATATCCTTCTCCGCCAACAGAGTATCCATATACAGCGCTTTCAGCTCGTGACGTGGAATCTCTGTCGTTTTTCCCTGCCGGTTTTCGTCGAAATCCTCCACGTTGAGATTGTCGGCCTGCACATTGTAATCTTCGTCATCGTCGTCGGTATCGTCCTGTGTTTGGCGGAAAAATTCTGTAATTTCATCGAAATTCGGCGGTGGATTTTTTGTTCCGAAGCGCATGTAAAAGTACCTGCTTCGGGGCACTGAAATGATTTCACAAAGTCTCGATAATGATCTTCGTCGTCTGGCGCATTGTCGAGCGTCGGTATCGCTGAATCAGGACGTGGATTACCGCTGAGTTCGTTGAGTGTCATGCTTAAGTTTAGTGGATCTGTTTGGAGCTGAAATTGCTGCAAAACACTTAAGATTAATTTTTAGAGTTGTTTTGTGTTTACCTCTTCTTCATCTTCATCGAACAATAGTTCGGAAATCGTATCGTTCGCCACGTGTCCCTGCTCTTCTGCTATCTCATCACAATTCTCACTCCTTTGTGGTATTTCCTCTTCCATTTTTTCTACTTCTTCTTCTTCCTCGTCAAACTCATTCTCCTCTTCTTCTTCTTCGTCTTCTTCGCTTTCTTCGGTGCCCGCATCTTCTCTCTGCAAACTCTCCCAACGAACAGTTAAAAAATCGTACTAAAACTGAATACCGGCGACTGTCCCACATAATCTTCATCGAATTCATCGTCGTCTTGATATTCGACATCAAGGAAATTCTTGGGCGGAAGCTGTTCAATTCGGATTGTTCCTCCTCCAACTCCGGCCTGAAAAAGATAGAAAATTTGAAATCTCTATCAAATTTTCAAATTTTGCACTTTATCAGGCGTTGGCGGGACGGACGAGCGTGTAGAATCATCGACTTTTCGTCTCGATCGGAGATTCTTCACGTGTGGAACATCAGAATTCTCATTAATTCCGAGCAAAGTGTCAATTGTTGAGGGGTACTTAATCAGATGGTGGAGAATCGATCGCACGTTCAACGCCGTCAAATTCATCGTTTTCGCCTTATTCTCCAAAATTTCATCAGTGGCCTGCCATAATCGGATTATTTCTTCGTTTTTCTTTACTTCTTCCGCTCTGAAATGTTGTCTATCGGTTTTTTTTTCACGAAAAGAGCTTACGTTGGCTCGGAGCTTGAAGATGTCGAAGGTTGATCATCTGGCTTTTCCGAAACTTTCTCTGCTTTTCTTTCTGTCGGATCGGCCATTTTTTGTCTGAAAATTAACACCGATTCGATTTAAATAGCATTGTGACAGCGGGAAACACGCGAACGATTCAAAAAAGAAGACAAATGAACGTGGCCGAGGAAACTCGTGGAAGAGAATTATTCGTCGCAGACTTCTCGTAGACAATACCGTTTCTCTTATTTAAGATCCGGTGGATCTCAATAAAAATTTAATCAAAGATTAGATAAATTGAATAAAAATGGTGGAAGTGCCACTAAATTCATATTTGCAACACGTGGCGCGGCGCTGATTTTGTTATTTCAAGTTTGGTCTTTTTATAGTTTTGGGAAAGTTACAGAATTGCCAGAATTGGCTGAAAAACTTATTTTTTTAATCCAACTGCGATATTTCTATAAATTTTGAGTAAGAAAAACAACGCGTATCGATTTGGTCTTATAAAATTTGAAATAAACGAAATTTTTGTTATAATCTCCCAGTAAACTTTGAAATGGCGCTCAAAAAGTATAGAATTTTAAGAAAGCGACTAATTGAAAAGTTGCAAAAGCAAATTGAGCAGGCAAGTCTGCAGGCTCAGCAACAGAAAGAAGACGATGATTCGACTCAGGCAAATCGTTTCTAATCTAACTAGCTAATTCTCGTTTCTAACCGAACCTAGTTATTTAGATTGCTACCGATTTCTGAATCTAGCTAGCTGATTTTGCAATCTAAACATAATCTAGCTAGGTTTGCCCGAAATTTTAATCTAATTAGATAAATTTTTAACTTTCTTTCGAAAGTGAAAAAGAAAATGAAGACACAGAAATAGAAGAAGTTGTGACGTTCCATGTGGAAGACTCCGTCAATCTCGACGATCACTGCACAGAAACCACGTCGGCTAAAAGAAGTGAGTGAATTGAATGCAATTTTAAGATTTTGAACATAACTATTAAAACTTTCTATTGCAGAAAAGCTTTAGAGAATCCTGTCGTTCAAAGATTTATATCGAATTTACTTTCTCAGCTCATCGGTCACAACAAAAACATGAATTTTCGGCGCTACAACAAAATAGAACTCGCACGGAATGGAACTGTTACGATTTGGAACTCGCAATTATATTTTAACGTTGCGAGTTCCAAATCGTAACAGTTCCAGAGAGTTCTACCTCGTTGTAGCGCCGAATTTTCCATTTCGAAATCATATTTGTAGGCGATAATTACATTTTCAGCCAGACATTTGTTTTTTCGGGCAGAGCAAGTTGTGAATGTACGGATTCAGATTTAGATTATGATTGATTATGATAAAAAGCGATGCGACGAATCGGAAGGCCCCAATCCATCAGATCGTTTAAGCCGCCGAAGAAGGCCGATGTCTGGTGACAGTCCCCTGCAAAACATGGTCGTTCGTCGATTCGTGCATCTCCGAGTGGCCAGTCATCTCCCAGCCCAGTTGGTTTCACAAATTTCAAAGAAAGTTCGATCATGAGGTTGAACAGACGGAATGAGCCGCATCTGATAAAGATAATGTGATTTTTCAGAGTTCCCCTGCGAAAAGACGCAAAAACATCACTCCTCGCATACTGACATTCGAAGAGCGAAATCTTTCAAGCTCCAGTTCAAGCACTCCGACTCCGACTCCTCCGACGGCGCCATCAACCATTTCGACAAAAGTTTTGTGTCGATGATTTCTACCAAAACCTATTGTATTTCACCTACCTGTTGGTTGGCAAGTTGTGTTTTTTTTCAGGATCATAATAGTTTTATCGAGTTGAGACGCTGCAATGATGTATTTAGACGCTGCTTTTGACAATTTAGTCGTTGCTGTTGATAATTTAGTCGCTGCTTTTGACAATTTAGTCGTTGCTTTTGATAATTTAGTCGATGGTTTTGAAAATTTTTGGCGCTGCTTTTGATAATTTAGTCGCTGCTTCATTTAATTTAGGCGCTGCTTTTGATAATTCGTTCGCTCTTAATGGCGCTGCTTTTGATAGTTTTCGTGCTGTTTCGTTGAATTTAGGCGCTTCTAGCTGTATCTTTAACCTCTCGATATTTACACCAACACAACCGAAAACTGGTATGCCCAAATAAAATAGTTGCATCATAACCGACCATGCTCCAGAAGCCATTCTCTTTCTCCCTCTAATATTTCGTTTACGCTCCGTCGTATTCACGTAATCGCGTAAGCATAAACCCGCACATTAGTGAGTGTCTGGTGTGTGCCTCCGCTTTGCATCCATCTGTTCTTGGATGAAGGCACCTAGTCAACTCTTGGTTCGTATCCGGCCAAACATTGTTTTCGGGTCTCGCTCTGTTTTAGGAGAGGTAAAATGTATAAAGTAGGAGAAGGTTGATTTTTGAGAAACGTCACTTTCTCATCATTCCTAATAGTTATCATAGTTCTGAATGAAATTTACAGATTACTGCAAGCTTCTCACTGAAAACTACGTGTTATGTGTCTGTTGTTAAGTTCCCATGCATAACACTTCCAGGTACGTAATTATCATCAGTTATCATTTATCACCAACATCATATCAATGATATTTACGAAAACTTGCTGGTAAATCACATTCCAAGCACTCCTTGAAGGTCAAAACACTTAGATATAAAGCTTTTCCTGTCAAAATAGGGGCGTGGTCCCAATTGCTCTTGTGCTCGCCAAGTCCCGCCCCCATTGTGCGGGCCTTCTCAGTAACCACGCACTTCTTTCCCTCTATTCTTTTTCCCATTCCTAGATAAAACAAACAAATGAATGTGTATCTGATTTCAAATGCTTACACATTTTTTATGTGTAATACATACAAATATGTATACAGGAAAATTTCATTATCGGCGCCAGAGTCGGAGTTAAAAATGGAGTAGAAGTCGAAAAGCAAAAAATATTTACAACGCTTCGTTTTTCTTCTTGTCCGCCTCCTTTAGCTCCTAGCGCATCCGTTCCGGCCGCGTCGAGTTCTAGTCGGCCCCTACATATTACTAGAATATTCAATGCTCAAAATGTGTGCTCCGACGTGTGCTCATATGTGCTCCGACACCTAGATATGACTCTCACAAATCCTTGGAACGTATAAAATTAAAAATAGCAAAGCCAAGTTTGCTAGAGCTATTTTTAACTCATAAATTGAAATATCGAAACTTTCTCATTCATGTTTCCCCGCAAACTTTTTCCTGCTATTTTCTTTTTTGCCGGCCGTCATTCCATATGTCCCGAATGTAATAATTTGCAGATGATCCACCACATCACTACATAATGTCGCCACAACTTCATTTTCATCATTTTTTCCAGCTCTTTTTGCTCCTTTTTTGGAAGCTCGGAGCTGGAAGTCTGGCAATTTCTGTAACTTCCAAAAATGCCACGGAGGCGTTATTGAAATGCCCGCCAGCCGAGAATTTTATCAGGTAAGCAATTATTATTGCTGTTTTCTTATTGAAGAGACGTATTACAAAACTTCGATGACTTGGTAAGACTAGTTCCTAGTTGTCTCGATGACGTGGCACTTCCTGAATGCTTTGAAAAAGTCGTGCCAACCTTTTCGCGTAAAACTTTCACAGAAACTTCCTTCGAACACATTTCCTTTTCATTTTTCCGCTTGACAGCTCAAACTTCACTCTCTCTACGTCTCGGAGGGTCCGTCATTTTCGGGAAAAGGAATTAAAAAGTCAAACACGCAAAAGCCATCACATAAAAGTGCACTCCTGAAAGTTGTCTAAATATTTATAGAAATGGGTTGGAATGTGCAATTTCCAGTTCAAAATTACAAAGGTTTCGTTGCAGGACCCACATGGCACCGGATTTCGAGACCCCTCGACTTGTGCGCCGTCTCGATTGGTTCCAGGACGACTCTTTGGTTGCCAGCTATCAACAAGTTCGTTCTTTTTTTTACTTTTTCCAAAAATTTGCTTTCCAGCTCTTTTTTGCTTGCTCGAACCTAACACCCTAGAAAAAATTGTGTAATTCAATTCGCACTTCCTCTTTTCCTCTTGCTTTCCCTCTCGTCTCGTTGACAAAAAAACGACAAGTATATTTTCGAACAAAAGAAGGCGGCGGCGGGAAGGGACGGACACGGGGACGTCCTAATCTGAAAGGCTCTGTCAATGTGCCCCGCGCGTTTTTCAAAAAAAAGGAGGGGGAAAGCGTGCTCAAAAATGGAGAAAATGAACTGAATTTTTTGCGGTTTAGCAATTTCCCCCTAATTTCGCGCATATCCTTTCTGCCATATGTTACAAATGAGATCCAACTGTCGTTCCTCCTGTCCCAATTACGTGGTGTCTGACCAAGATTGATGATGATGGCAATGACAAGACAGACGGTCCAGTGTCCGTCATTTTTCTTGTTGAAATGAGATGCATTGTGTAAAGCGCAAAAATTAGACATTTTGGAACTAGCATGAACGCGATGAATTGAACTGCAAAAGTTCACGTGGCTATCGAGACAATTGCGAAACGTCGGGGAGCCAAAAATGCAGGTTCTTGCTTCACAAATCTTGCTCTGCTCATCGAGCTCCAAGCTTTGGAAGCGGAATAGAGAAAAAGTAGTACATTAGTTCGAGGTCTGACCAAATTGGAAGGTGCCGATTGGATTATGTGCGTGCTCCGGATGCGCTCGGCTCCGAAAGTGTTCCTGCTCTTCCATGAGGCTTATCCCATTAACCCTTTTTTTGCAAAACCTGCGAGAATAAATATGTTTCCACTTTTGAAATCGTGTTGAAACAATAATAATGAGTGTGAGAAGTGGTTTCACGCGCGTGCCCCCTCATTCATTATGTCAAGTGCAAGAAGTGGCCTTCTCCAAGTACCCTTTTAAGTTGACACTACCTCCATTTAGGCGGGGAAGGGGCAACTTTGACACTTTTGTGGCCAAGAAGGGCCCAATTGACCGAACAGCTCCGAAAAGGGAAAATAAATTCCATTGTGGTGTCATCTTCCTGTCCAGTTGACTCAATTGGCACTCATTAGGCTCCCTATGGAGTTTTGGGAACACACACATTTTGCAAAGTTTACATGTATATTGTGGACTTGCTCTTCTACTTCTAGTAAGGAAAAAAGAGAGTACGAAAAAAGACAGAAAAATCAGATTTCCTGTACTTGAGCATGTTTTATCTTATCCCGGCATGTAGTACAAATTTAATTTCTCTTGTCCTTTTTTCTCCTCAAAGACCCTCTTTCAGCTCAATTTTTGCCCAAAAAGCCGAACCGGAAAAGTTCGATTTCCGTGGGCGGCTCATATACAAACCAATAAATAAAAGCTGAAGAGCGAACGGAAACGTCATCGAAATCGTCAAATTCTGATGGAAAATTATGGTTTTTTCCTCATTCTCCGAACTTTTGGGTTCTCTGAATAATCTCTTTGGCATTAGTAATGAGGGGGAAGAACGGAAGGGGATACTGTAAACAATGGGTGACGTAATTGTATAAAGATGTGTCAACATGACCTAATACCTATTTGTTTTCAGAACTTGATAACTGTTTTGTAACAACTACAGGAATTGAGAAAGGGATTATTTAGAAATAGTGAAAAGCAGCGACTAAATTGTCAAATGCAGCGACTATGGCGCTGCGAATGCTATTTTAGTCGCTGCTTGAGCCATTTCCAATAAATTAGGTGATGTTATTGTTTTTCGTCGAAAACTTTTTTCTGCCAAATGATTTCCGATCTAATCTGGAAATTTCCGTGAAAAGGATTGCCAAGTGCGTGGCGGCGATGTCTTCTCCATCTTTTCGTCGAATTATTCATGTTCGGGAAAGATGAAGCACTTGAAATTTTAATTTCTCCGTCTCTTCTTCCGCAAAAATCCTGGAAAAAAAACCCTGAGATCTTGAGATTTTTTAAAATCTTGTAAAACACGAGGGGGAGGGCCAAGAGTATTTATTCAAAAATCATACCAAACACACACATTTCTCACTCACTCTCAAACAAAAGATGACTAATTTGGTGCAAGCAACCGACCATCTGCCCACAAGAAAGTGTGCGGAAGTGAGAGACACAGACACGTTTGGACAGTCGGACCGAGAAGGACCGCTCCGGATGTTCGTGTTATTCCGGTATTTGAGCAAACAGAGAGGGAGAGAGAAGGACCTTCCGGATACGATGCACCGTCCGATATTTGACACCGAAAGGAACGGCATGGACCTTTGCGAACGGCTGGTGATCTGTCAAGTGCACCTGAGGAGAGAGGGGTTTGAAAGTGTTGAAGTGAAATAGGAGATGAAGTCACAAAAAGGTGCGACTTCAAAATAGAACTTGTCTCGGAATAGAGCTATTTCAAAATACAACTACTCTTTAACAGCTACTGTAAAACCTTGGAAACTATCTTAGATCATTTCCAACTCAAAATATTTAACAACTGACATGTTTCGCAATCCAACTAATCTTTCAGGATGTTCTCGCGGATTCCTCCCGACAATGGTGGGTCGCCGACGGCCGATACCAACTTATTCGGCCATTCTACACGCTCCGTGTGTCCCCGGTGACTCCAGAAGACTCGGGAACGTATCGTTGTCGTCTCGAGACGGATCCGCTGTTTTCGACGCCGATGATGAGCACGGCGACGCAGGAACTCGCAGTCATGGGTTCGTTTCTTTCATGGGCCAGAAATTGGATAATATCGTCTTTATTTCGTTGTCAAAGCTTTCCAAAACCCAAAACTCTCCCAGTCCGAGCACTTTTCATCAGATAATTCATTGGAATTCGGATGTTTCCCCCGGGGACCAAAGGAACACAAATCGTGGTGGAGTCCAGAAAAGCAGAGACGTAGGCACTCTCATCTAGATTGGTATCTCTACTTCTTCTTCTTCTACTTCTCCTTTGCTCACTCTCAATCGTCCAGCCGACACGGACAGACCCGTCAATTTTATGAGGGGATTATGAAATCACCCGTCGAAGCCAAGTGGGCTTTGGGTGAACGGACAGGGGTGTACTAGTGCAAAGTTGGGGAATTTTTGGAAGGGATGACAGCTTTTCATTGAAGAACTTTACTTTTAAAAAAGTGGCAGGGTCAAAAAGACATCGAGAGTAGATTAAAATAGCAAAAGCAGCGGGTAAATGCAACCTAGCAGGTACTAAATTCGACCTAGCAGGTACTAAAAAGACTATCAGAACCTAGGCGCTGCAATTCTAATTCAAAGAATGCTTACTGATTTTTGCACTGAAACTGAATAAAAATAGCAATTTCCTAATCCTTCGGCCGTCCTGGACATCCGGCTTGAGTCAGATCCCTTCCGTGCCGAGACCCAATTAATTGTCTCTCACACCTAATCAAATATTCAACAAGCCAACTTATCCTTCCTCTTTTCTTTTTCAAAATTACCCTCCTCTGTGACGCAATTATCGCATTTTCAATGAGTTGTTTATAAGTATGTATGCTGCTGCCCCACTATGTAGTTTCACACTATTATTCTTCGAGGGAGAGATGGTTAAAATGAAATAAATTTGAATTGAACAAGCAGAAGAAGAAGTACTCTTTGTGCAGATGTCATCGGAGGGGACGGCAAATTGAATTTGAAGTGTTTTCAAAATTGCATCAATTTCCGTTCTTCTTCTGATTCGAAGAAATCTCTTCTCAGATAATATTGTGCTAAAAGGGGCCTGTCTTGAAAATTCAACTGAACCAGGTGGAATTTTGAATTTCAACGTTCTATTTCACATTTCCAATTCAAAACCAATTTTCATTCGTAAATCCAAGATTAGTACACCCATAATAATAGTAATCAGAGATTGCTCTTGACCTTTATGCGCGCGCTAAGCCGCCGAGAGGTATTCGTATTTAATAACGATGTGAGGCAGGTGATTTAGGGAAATACATAGAATTTGCGAGGGAAATAATGAGTTCTTGAAAAGAAAAGTTAATGGCAGCGATTAAATTATCAAAAGCAGCGACTAAATTAACGGAAGCAGCGACTAAATTAACGGAAGCAGCGACTAAATTATCTAAAGCAGCGACTAAACTGTTGAAAGCAGGTACTGAATTCAACCTAGCAGCGACAAAAATAGCAAAAACAGAGCCTACTAGTTGCAAAAATCAAGTTGCAATGCCATTATTCAGTTCGACCAGTGGCCCCATCGTCCCCGGAAATCAAATCCTTCACGAACCGCTCGATCACCCTTGTCTGGACCCACAATGCCGCCAGAGCCCACCGTCCGATTCTCCGCTTTTCGGTGTCGGTTCGAACTGTTTCCGATAACACTAGGTATTGCCCTTTCACTTTTCCGCTCAAACCTGTTCTTTGTTTTCAAGATTTGTGATGGCGGCTCCGTCAAACGCGACGACAGTGATCGTCGATAATCTGAGCCCGTACACGCTTTACGCGTTCGCCGTCCGCGCGGAAAACTTGGCCGGAACCAGTGATTTCGGTCCGGAGACTTCGTTCCGAACACTTGGAGAGGCGCCGAATCGACCTCCACAGATTGTGCAAATCCGGAACATCACATCGGAATGCGTGGAAGTGACTGTGAATCCGCCGGACGAAATGAACGGCGAACTGGACAAGTACCTGGTGCTCATACAGGCGATCAACGAGACCGTTCCTCGGAAAATGACATTCGACAAACCGACCTCGACTCCGTTGACAATTTGCGCACTGACACCCTCTTCCGAGTACGCTTTGGCCGTCGAGGCGGATAATGGATTCGGAACGAGCCCGCCGGCCACTCTGGTCTTCCGCACGGAAATTTCCATTCCCAACTGGTCCCCGAGTACGATCACAGCTCTGCCAGTTGTCGGAAAACCCGAGATTACTGTACTTTGGCCAGCGCCGCTCGCAAATGCCACCGAGAACATCACAAAGTATCATTTGTACTATAAAGTGAGCATTTTTATATTTTACGGTGTTATTTATTAAGCTCTGTGCGTTTTCTTAGGCCAGCAACGAAGATCAATGGAAGACCGAGCATTTGAGTGTGAATCCGAATGGCGTCAAGTCGAAAATGTTCAAATATCGGCTTGTGGATCTCAGTAAGTATTACATTAGAGGAGCTAAAGTTAATCGTGACGTTTCCAGACCCGAACACGCTGTACCGTATCCGAGTCTCCGCTTCCACAGCGAAAGGAGAGGGTTCTCAAAGTGCGGACAGTTTGGCTCGGACGGACGTCGGCGAGCCGGGCACCGTAACCTTCAAGGATCTCAATTTCGATTGTAAAAATGGAGTGAAATTGAGTTGGAACTATGAGCCAGCAGTCAAGTAAGTGCTCTTTTGTGCTTGAAAATTTGCAAATCGTTGTTTTAGCTCTAAAGCAGCGCCAACATTCACTGTGAAAGTGACCAATAGGACCACATCTCTTCAGTTTAACACCACAATGTTAAGTGTAAGTTGAAAACCACGTCGTACCACGTCGTAACTAATTCACATTATTTTACAGCTTGATATCATTGATTTATCTCTGTACGATGAGTACAGCCTGCGGATAATCGTCCTTGAAAGAAGTACAATTGATAACTCGACAATATTGATCGGAAAATATTCGGATAGTCATCGATTCATTCTTAAAGGTTTGTCTGATGGCACTGCTAGGCGCTTCTATTCCAACTAATTCAAATTTCAGACAAATGCTCCTACCAAAGCTCTTTCTGCTCTCCCGGTGAGAAATGTGCGAAACTGACGGCGGCAGATGCGAATCCCCGTTACATTTCCATTCTCATCATCATTTTCGCCATCATTCTCTTCGCATTCATCTGTTTCGTAATCGTCCACTTGGCACGTGGATCCATGAACTTTAAGCATCTTCTGAAGAAAAAAGAGAAATGCGTTTATCTAGAGGAGATCAGTCCGCTCGTATACGGTACGTTTCGAAGAAAATTAACAGTTCAAAAAAGAAAAGTTATTTCCAGATTCGGCAGGTCAGGAAGATATTCCAGTCGAGCTATTCTACGGATACGTGGAAGACTTGAAGCGGAACGATGATATCAAATTCAAAAATCAGTTTCAAATTCTCGAGAATCAAACGTCTGGCATCGATTGTACGGATTCCGGACCGTCAACGTCGTCGTCTTCAGAGGAGAACTCTCAGAAGAATCGCTACAACAACATCAGCGCGATGGAAGCCACGAGAATCCGTCTGAATTCACCGACTGGAAGTGATTATATCAATGCCAATTATGTAGACGTGCGCTTTTCATAAGAAAAATCAAAATCGTTCGGAATTTTTCCAATTTTCAGTCGTGCAATGAGCGTAACGCCTACATAGCGACTCAGGCGCCACTTCCCTCCACGTTTGCAGACTTTTGGAGCATGATTTGGCAGGAAAGGAGCAATGTGATTGTCTGTATCACTAATATGGTCGAAGATGGAAAGGTACTACATAGAAGAGTGCTATAAAATGTTCAATTTGTTGCAGAGAAAATGCGACCAGTACTGGCCATCGGTGCCCGAATCGCCTCAAATCTTCGGGAACTACCAAGTGACGCTGTCATCTGAATCCACAAATGCCCACTTCTCTCATAGGATTCTAGAACTGAAGATTGCCAAATCAGTGCCGGTGGTGGAGAGAAGAGTGCATCAGTTGCACTTCATGGGCTGGCCGGATCACGGAGTGCCGGATTCTGTTTTCCCATTGTTGAGCTTCATCCACTATGCTTCTGATATTCATTCTACCGGTCCAGTCGTTGTTCATTGCAGGTAATTAATTCGTACTAGATATTTGTGACAATAATGAGTATTTTCAGTGCTGGAGTGGGTCGTTCTGGCTCGTACATTCTTGTGGATAGCATCCGGAGACATTTGATCAGCTTCAGAAGATTAAATGTTCTGGGGCACTTGACACATATGAGAAGGCAGAGGGCAAAGTTGGTACAGACTTTGGTACGTTTTTAGGAGAAGTCCAAAAAGTTTAATTTTTACCCTTTCCAGGAGCAATATATGTTCTGCCACGAAGCCATCCGTCAACTGATTCGGCATGGAATCACTCGAGTTCATTCCGATCTTTTCATGAGATATTTGCACTATTTGTCAGAGGAAAATCTCCATGGAAAGACGAGAATGCAATTGCAATACGAGGTACGAAATCTTAAAACCACTCTTTTTTCAATTCCTGCCGCTTTCTAGGACATTTGTGAATGCCAACATCAGCCGCGATGTCAAATGAGTTGTGACGTCATAACTCTTCCCGGATACCATCGTTCCGACGAGTTTATGGTCGGCGCGTGGAGTCACGAATGCGAAGAGCTCTGGCGTCTGACGTGGCAGCGACAAGTCCAGACGATTGTGTGCCTGAATCAGAGAAACGCATTCTGGAAGAAACTGCAGCACTTCAAATGCGACGGAGTTCAAGTTCAAATTCAGCACGGCGACAATTTTGTGTTGCTTCAGAAGGATGATCAGCAGGTTTACCCGAACGACCCGAACTCCAAAGCAAAAGTTATCTTTCAGTTATGCATCCGAATAATCAATGTGTCGAGGGCCGATTTGGAAGCGGATTTCTGGAGAGAAATCGAGAATGTTCAGAAGCAACGACTCACTTATCACGATGCCCCATTGCTCATTTTGGCTCACAAATTCCAGCCGACTGCGTCATCGCCCACAGATAGTAGTACCTCGACTCTGTCGCTTTCAATGCTTTTCAGTGGTTAGTTTTTGAAAAACAATTTGATTCAAAAGTAGCGCAAGTAGTAACTAAATTGAGCCTAGCCGGTACTAAATTGGACCTAGCAGGTACTAAATTGGACCTAGCAGGTACTAAATTGAGTCTAACAGGTACTAAATTGAGTCTAAAAGGTACTACATTGAGTCTAGCAGGTACTAAATTGATTATAGCAGGTACTAAATTGAGTATAGCAGGTACTAAATTAAGTATAGCAGGTACTAAATTGAGTATAGCAGGTACTAAATTGAGTATAGCAGGTACTAAAAAGTAGCTCTGGCAGCGCCTAGACTGCGGTGCTGCAAATGCGAATTCAGTAGCTGATCTTTTTTATTTAAATTTTATTTAATAGTACTTCCTTCAGATGACACATCTCTGGCGTTCAATATTTGTGCGGCCACCACTTTAGCGTGCCAATTAGAAACTTCGGGTTGTGTTGACGTGGTACAAGTGCTTTCCGCCTACACAAAAACGCAATGCGGCATTTTCACTTCCAAGGTAAGCTCGCGGAACCCATTTCATGGACAAATTACGAATTTTCCAGCAGGAAATAGAGATAATCTACGAGAAAATATCGCAATTGGTCGGTGGAACGCGTGTTTGAATTCAAATTGTCATTTTCCAAATTCTAAGATTCTCGTGGCTCAAAATCTGTGCAAATCCTCATAAATCCGGTGTATTTTTGTTCTTGTGTCCTTATTTTCGTGTTCAATAAATGATTTCATTTATTAGCAGTAAAATACATTATCAGAACAAAGCGAAGGTGAGGAATTATAAGCAGAATTCGAATTTGAACAGTTTATATTTGCTTCAAAGTTTTGTCGAGAAGGTCGAAAGTGAGGTCCAAGTGTTTCTTGGTGTACACGAGAGAAGGACGGAAGCGGAGAGAACGGTCTCCGCATCCGCCGCAGTGAAGACCGTTGCTGATCGCCTGGAAACGAAGAATCATATAGCTTCCCCTTTCTTTTTCAGAAAACTTACCAAATCAACAAACTTGTCCCTGAGTGCTCCCGACGGGAAATCGACGGCGGCGAACGTTCCTCTTCCTCTCGCCTGGTCCAATTTGCCTCCGGAGCTCTTCTGGAGCTCTGCGAGTCTCTTCTGGAACTCCTTTCCGACTTCTTTGCTCTGCTCGATGAGCCCGTCTCTCTTGATGACCTCGACGGCCTTCTCGAGCAGAAGAAGCTTCGTCGGGTCTCCCATCCACGTGTTGTAGATTCTGTAGGCCTCTTTCACGCGCAGATGCTCTCCGTAGAAGTATCCTCCCGTCAACAGCTTCTTCGAGAAAGTCACGATATCAGGCGGAGAGCTCAGATTCCAGTGATCGTGGGCCCAGATGTCTCCAGTGCCTCCTCCTCCGGTCTGGACTTCGTCGACGATGAACACAATTCCGTGCCTTTGAGTGATGTCGCGGAGGCCTTGGAAGAACTTCGGACTACCGTAATGGTCTCCTCCTTCAGCTTGAATCGGCTCCACAATAATGGCCGCCACGTCATTGTCTCTTCTCTTCCACTCCTGAATCTTGGCTTCGACGTCGGCAAGCGACTCCTGGTCCTGCTTCTGATTGTAGGCGGAGTTCTGATCCAGAGGGTACTTGTAGCGAGGGAACTTGGCGATCGGCCAGTCAAATGCGGGGATGTCGACCTACAAAGGATATTTTTTATTGAAAAAAGTACACATTTTTCCGACATTAAAATGAATTTTCTCGAAGATCGGCAGGTTTCAGTGAGTCTCTTGTGTTTTCTATCATCTAGGACAACAGTGGAATCATTTCGAAGCAAATTGCGCAAAAAAGGTTTTTCAAGGAGTTTGATCTTTTTGCCATCTAACACATTCCCCGAAAAATGTTTTTCACTCAATTGCTCTAGAACGCTTCTAATGTGTCTGTAGATGTCAGAAAACACGATGGGACCTTCTGAAACCTTTTGCTTTTCGAGAAATTTTAACTCAAAGTAGTCACAACAAGCCTTTGAGTCGAATTTTCTCGAAGGTTAGGAGGGGTTAGGAGTTTTGACATCTACGGACACAGTAGAAGCATTCTAGAGCAAATTGAGCAAAAAAGGTTTTTCAAGGAGTTTGAAGTTTTTGCCATCGTATGCGAAAATTTTTGATTTCTCGAGAAAATGTTTTCATTCATTTTCCTTCTAATTCCTTCTGCAGTTGTCCTAGATAAGAAAAAAACACAATGGGAGCCATGTCGTACCTTGTGAATTGGCTTGCTGCGGGTGACAGAGAGCATGCAAAGGGATCTTCCGTGGAATGCTCCGTCGAATCCCAAAACGGAAAGAGTAGGAGTTCCTGGCTTCTGCTGAGACATGCAACTCTCCAAATGAAGGGCATCTGGGCCGAGACCCCCTCTTCTCTGAGCCTGATACCAAATGAACGCCGTCTTGATCGCATTCTCATTGGCCGAAGTTCCGCAGAGCATCGTCTGCACGGCCTTCAGTCCCTTCGGAGCGATCGAAGTGAGCGCATGGCTGATTCCTTCGCCAAAGTCCGTGCGCGGGAAAGATCCGAGGGCCGGGCGCGACACCAGGGAAGTCTGCAATAGGATCGAGATAAAGCCGGACAGACTTTTCAAAGTCAACTCACAATGAGCTGTGGCTGAGAAGCGACCTTGACCAAATCCGGATGATTGTACCCCAATGGAAGCGAAGAGATCTGGGTGTACACATCCAAAAGAGTGTTTCCATCGGCGTCGACCACGTAGTTTCCGAACGATTTCTCGTAATCCACGTGAAAACGGACGGACGTTGTTTGCTGGAATGAAGATCAAACTATCAACGATTGAGACAAACAACGAATGACCCCATCGTTTCATTCCTAGAGTGTAATAACATTTTGAGCGGAGGAGACACTTTTATCAGTGAAAGGGGGAAATTGAGAGAAAGGGGGAATTAGAAATGTGATAGGTAATACGAGGTGAAGAATGGTCACTGCTTTTCAATAAGATACGCTATTTGGTTGGAAAAAACGCCGAGAACCAAAGCAAAAAAGCACTTTCATTAAAAATAGCGCTAGTAGCGACTAAATCTTCGAAAGCAGCGACTAAATTATCGAAAGCAGCTACTAAATTATCAAAGGCAGCGACTAAATTATCAGAAGCAGCGACTAAACTATCAAATGCAACGCCAAGCTCGGGGGCTGCTTCGACTAGTTTAGTCGCTGCTAGGGCTATTTTTAATTCTTTTTTAATTCTGAAAATGCTGCAAACTCACGTGAACTTTGTCCATTTCCTGTTTCAACTGTTTCGACTTCGGCCCCGGAATGCTCGTCTGAATGATTGGTCCCAAAGGTTCGTGATTGGCGATGGCAGAGAGTCCGCGCACTGAAAAGTACTAGTTTTGTTTTTGTACAATATTAGCTTAATTTCCTGATCTTTTCTCTCATCACTTTTTCCTGCCAATCAATTGGTTCTCTTGATAAGATAATGAAAAAGGTGTTTGTTTGTTAGAATTGATCTATTTTTGTATGTAAAAGATGTTCTGAAGCAGAAATTCTTGAGAAATATGTCAACTTCAAAGCTCATGTTATAAACACAGAAGTTTTTGTTTAAAAAATCAATATCTTTTTTCAAAACATACCCTGCTGAAGGACGGCAGACTTGGCCAGTCTGGGAAGCATTTTACTTCTGAAATATCCATTTCTCTCTAGCTTTTTCGGTAAAAATCAATAGAAAACAAAGAAAGGAAAAGTGAAGTGTCAGTGAGAAGGAAGAGAAAAACCGAATAAAATTTTCCGTTTTCTCTCCAATTTCGACGGTGGAGACGCAGAAAAAACGACGTGAAAAGGGAGGGGCGGAGTCCAATTTTTTCGATTGTTTGTGGGTGAAAACTGAAATTTTTGGTGGAATAAAGGGGTCATTTATACTGCGATGGAATGGGGGATGGTGTAAACTTGCCCCACGTTGTGCTTGTGTGCAATAGCTCGCGGAGCATCGGGTGTAAGGGACCAACTGACACCGGAAAGTGGACCAGAAGAGGGGTGATTCTTACATCGATGTATTATTTGTATTATCTGAATCTTTGATTCTGAAGATGGGTGACATACAATCTAACCGTAAATCTATGCGTTATTAAACAGGCCAAAAAAGAGCAAAAGAGAGGGAGCAATTGAAAAACACTAAATTTGGAATGTAAATATTTACAGCTACTAAAAAAGCACAATTTTCAGTCGAGAGTTTCCTCAACAAGCAGATTAAGAGATCGCATGTATTTGTGCACGGCCGACTCGAAATCCATGTGCTCCAGAGGGTCCAGATCGGTGACGTCTCCTCCAGAAGCCACGGTGGCCTTCGCTCGAGCGAGAACAGCCAATCGGCACACCTGAAATTTTTCTTTCTTCTTTTTTCTCGTAGAACTTTTTCCCTAACCTCCTTTAAATCACTGCCCGAAAGTCCTTCCGCGGTGAGCGCAATTTTCTCTAAATCCACGCGCCCATCGAGTCGTTCATTCTTGAGAATCACACTCAGAATCTGATTGCGTTGCTTCGAGTTCGGCACCGGAACCTTGAAGCGTGCGGTCATTCGCCGAAGGATCGCCGCGTCGACGTCTCGCGGTCTATTCGTGGCGCCCATCACAATGATCTGATCTCCGGAACTGGCAAATCCGTCCCACAACGTCATAAATTGCGCCTTCATCATCGCCGTCGACTCGTGATCGTGGGATTGGCGATCACGGAGGAACGAATCGATTTCGTCGATGAAAATTATCGTCGGCTGGAACTTTTGAGCCACGGAAAAGACAGCGGCTGCCAGTTTCTGCGATTCTCCGTACCACTTATCCGTCAGATTTGACACTTGGAGATTTATAAATCTAAATTGTTCATTTCAGGATGCTGCAGAAGTTTGTATGCTATTTCTACCTGCATCCAGCTGCTCTGGCGACAGCTTTCGCAAGCAGAGTCTTTCCGCATCCGGGCGGACCGTACAGAAGAATTCCACGTGGCGGCGACAGAAGATGGCTTCCGCCCTGAGCCGCGAAGCGCAACGGCAGAATGATGCGGTCCTTCAGCTCGGCGACAAGTTCTTCGCAACCGCCTGAATAGAAATGTTCAGAATTCTCGTAACCCTCCCAATATTCTAACCGATTTCTTCCCATTCGGCTCCGACATTTTCACCGCCGACAAACTGCGTGGCTATGCGCATTTCGTGCTCCGATAGCTCGACTTCTCTATCGATTCCAAGCTCTTTGAACAATTTTGCCACTTTTTTTTTGCTCTCTTCATTAACCGTGTGATTAGGATCCAAATACTTTACAAGGTAGCGAACCAGCAGCCACGAAGTTGCCGTGGCTAGGGCCACCCGGACGACCGCTCCAACAACTTCCTTTCGATCCATTCTGACGAAAACTGCCAATAACACCAACGCTTTCCCAGTAACTTCCAACTAGGTATTGTTTCATCAACTTGAATAAGTTATCCAATATGGGAGGGTACAGAATTATATCAACAATTTTATTGGAGGGTTGAGAAGTAACAGTAACAAAATTAGTTCGACGCGCGGATCGAGACCTGGTACACTCGGATGATGTTGTCGGTGTATCCGGCGAAGAGGGTCTGTCCGTCTTGAGACCAGGCCAAAGAGATGCACTGTGGGCTGGATCCTCTTCCGCTTCCGGACGAGGCAATCTCTGGCTTGAGCTCCTCGATCTCCTTCTTGTCCTCGAGATCCCAGATCTTGATGGAGGATCCAACAGCGGCGCAGAGCCAGTATCTGTTTGGCGAGAACGACATGGCGTTGATAACGTCGTTTCCGGACAGAGTGTACAAATGCTTGCCCTCGTTGAGGTCCCAGAGCATGGCTTGTCCGTCCTTGCCTCCGGAGGCGCAGAGGGAACCATCTGGGGAGACGGTGACGGTGTTGACGTATCCGGTGTGACCGATGTGGTTGGTCTTCAGGCGGCAGTTTCCGAGGTTCCAGACCTTGACGACCTTGTCCCATCCAGCGGAAACGATCACTGGATCGCGGTTGGATGGCGAGAAACGGACGGTCGAAACCCAGTCGGTGTGGCAGTCCTCCTGCAAATAGTACAATAAATTTCACGAAAAATATGAACTTAAGCGTGAACTTACGGTGATGGTGTACTTGCACTGAGCCAGGGTGTTCCACAGCTTGATAGACTTGTCACGGGATCCAGACACAATCTGTCTATTGTCAGCAGAGAAGGCAACAGAGAGAACGTCCTTGGTGTGCGAGATGAACTGGCGGGTGCTGACTCCCCTGAAAAAAGACAATTTCCAATGCACCACTACATTTTTTATTTCTAAAACTCACTGGTTGAGGTCCCAGAGGCGGAGGGTCTTGTCCCAGGATCCGGAGAGGGCGAACTGTCCGTCAGAAGAGATGACGACGTCGGAGACGAAGTGGTTATGTCCGGTGAGGGAGCGGACTGGGCGTCCAATTGGTCCATCGTCAACTGGGGCAACGTTGTCGACATCCCAGACGAGGATAGTCTTGTCTGTAACAAGTAAATTATGCTTTCGTTCAAATTTAATTATTTGAAAACTTACCGCGGGAGGATGACAGGACGGTGGTCTTGTCGTTGCGAGTGTAGGTGGCGATTTGAGTGACCCATCCGGTGTGTCCTTCAAGGGTTCCGGTAAGCTTCATTTGCTCTTGAACCATGTTGCTATCTGTGTAACCCCGTTCGACTTCTGGAAAAAACAACCTTAAAACAATAAAATGCAAACGTTGAAAAAATAAAATGCGTTTTTTACAGTTTTTGACGGAAGAATCAAAGTTTTAGGCTGAAATTTGAAGGTAAGAGTGAGATTTGCAATTTTTAATTGAACGTTCGAACCAAAAAACCTTGAATTTGGTTGAAAAAAGTTGAAAAAAGAGAAAATTGCCCTAAAAATCGCGTCAAACTGGCCGACCGCTGGCGACAGTATGCATCGATTTCGTGGCGAGACCCGCCGGCGAAATAGCGTGCGCCTTTAAACTGGCACTCGGCCAATTGCACAAATCACGCGAAAAATCGGCTTCTCGTTCAAATTTCACGGGAAAAATTATGAAAATCCACAAAATTGAATTATTTTTTGGACAATTCTGTCAAATTCGATTCATTTTCAACAGAAATGGTCTGCAAACAGGTAAATGTGCTGGTATTAATGGGATTAAAATTTGGCTGTGTAAAAAAACTTAGAGAAAAGTTTCTGGGATTGGAAGAAATAAAAACAGCAGTGCAGTTGAGAAATATTGTATTTTGGAGCATATTTTTTTAAAAAAATTTGGGCGAAATTCTTGTTAAAGCATATTAATTTGCCAAGGAAACCTAATCTGGGAAAACTGTAGACAAAACTAGTTGTTTTAAGTACTTGATCCGAATCTGAATAAAACAGAACAAAATATCGTTATTTATTTGGGAAGAAATTGAACATGGGCTCTTGCGAACTTCAAAATATAAAATGCGCATGCTGCTTGCTCAACTACTCTAATTCTCCTAGCTCCAAAACGAGCGAACACTTTGCAAATGCGCTCCGTTGTAAAAATGTTCATATCCTTCCGGGGAACAGCAGCAGAAGACGTTCGAAATCTTCTTCGACTTGTGTTTGAGCGTATTCGTCATATCTACTTGGTTAATCCCAACAACTGAGCGACATGCCAACTCGTATCATCCGTCTCCAATCCTTGTCCGCTTCCTCCAATTTTGCGGGATACATTACATATGAAAGATTGTCGACTAAGATATGTTAGCCAGAAGAAGAAGAAGACGTTGAAGGAGAAGAAGAAAAAGGCGGGAGAGACTAGTTATTCGTATTCCTTTTTGGTGGACATTCCGGTCAGTTTAGTCATGCTTTTATGGGTCTGGTACAGTGTGTCCGATTCTTTCGTCGCGGCGCGAATTTTAAGCCAAATTGTCTGCAAAATGTGTTTCTTGTTTTCGATTCCTCTCCGACTATTATTGCCTTGTGTTTTTTTTCGTTCTCTTTTTTCATTTTCAGACAGATGTCTCTCTGATCGGGCTCCCAATGTCAACAACAATCAGAGAGCCCGAGCTCTTGAGACGGCGGCGCCCTTCTTTTCGCTGTCTCCTCCGCAATCAGTGCACTGTCTTCTTGAACCGTCTGCGTCTCGCCTCCGCGTTCCTCCATCGGCCCGTAATATCGATCGGTCCTGTCGGTCGGTGGCGGCAGACTTTCCTCCTGCCTTCTCTTCCGCACCGTCCGTTTCTTGTCCTGTGTTGTTCCTAGTCACATTCCTTCTTCTTCTTCTTCTTGTCCAAATGCCTGTGCGGCCGCATTCACTATCCGCCCGTTTAATCGCCCCCCTTCTCCGTCACCGCTTTGATTCCCTTCTTCACAACTTTTGTATTCTTTTCGCCCCCTCCGACTTTTCCCACCTCTCTATGTTTGTCATTACGAGGTTGACGATTTTGTTGTTGTTATCGCTAGACGGCCTATCATTATCACCACATTCTAATCCAATTGGGACTTGAAAATAGTTCCGGTTTTTAAAAAAAAGTTCCGCTGTATAAATTTTATACACTAGAAGAAGAGTCCAGCTGATGGACATCTGCTTTAAAATTCGCAGAGCTCATAGTTTCCGTAAAAGAGCCATGCAAGCGCCTTGTCCTGTCCATCCATTATAATAATAACAAAGTAATCTGAATCTGCAAGTCCACTATGAAGATATATACACAACAAAAGAGAGCTCCTCCTCCCCGGCTTTTCCCCCGATTCACCCCATTACTCGCTGATTTATGAGATTAACTGAACGCTCCCCCCTCCCTCCCTCACTCCGCTTCCTTTGGACCACATGGCTTTTCGCTTTTCAAATTGACGACGACGACAAAGTTTACATTTTGCTCTCAACTTTCACTTTTCAGCCTCGCATGGATCACCGGAAACCTCGACAGGATCCGGTCAACGACGCTCGCTTCTACGAATCACTCATCAAACCGCCACACTTGAGAACTCCTGATGTCAGTTCTGCAAAAAAAACCATAATAATTAAAATGAAAAATGCACGTCAAAACTTGAATCATTTTCATGAATTTCAGGATATTCGAAATGTGTACGAGCAGTTGCGGCAGCTTGACACATTCAGCAATTTGTACAATGCGCCGCTGAAGGCGATTTGTCACACGGCCCGATATGAACGCCATCCGGCACAGTTTATACTTTTCCGGTGAGTTTTTGAATTTGAAATATAGATGAAGCTGAAAATTCTGAAACAATGAAAAAAAAAATTGAAAATAGCGCGAGCAGCGACTAAAGTCGGTCTAGCAGCGCCGAGGTCCAGGCTCATGAACTAATATAGTACTTGCCTTCCTCATTTTTAAATGGAATATTTTGTGTTTTCACAGCCGTAAAAGTCTGACAATCGCGCTCTACCGCTCTTTGGGTAAATTCAGTTTCCCTATGGGATTGCAGTAGAGCGACATAGAATTCTGCAGTTCTAATACATTTTTTCTATATATGTCTATAGACACACTTGTTTTCACACATTTCGATCTTGACCTACATGGCGGCAAGTCAGCTTATTCAAGTACTTGTCACCTAATTTTTGTTATGGTTCAGAGTGTTCCTTTACTCTTGCTTTCGAACCGAAAAATCATCTAATATCCTATTTATAATTTGAAAATTCTTGCAGAGACGGTGACATGGCTCGTAGTTGGTACATCCTGCTCTCCGGCTCCGTCTTCATCGAAAATCACATTTACCTGCCGTACGGATGGTGAGTAAATATAGTTTGTAAAAAAAACTGTGAAAAGAAACTTGCCGTCGTTGTCCACTCTTTGTCCACACACGCACACACACACAAAAACAATGTGGTCACTTTATGGCGAACGGGCTGAAACTGACGCCCCCTTTACTAAAAACGATGACTCAACATCGCATAGTAGTTTTGCCCCCCCCCCCCCCGCTATAATTCCTCTCTTCCTTTTCTTCTTCTTCTTGTGCCGAAGAAAATTCGTACTAGGTCATAAAAATGTGCGTGTCTCGGAGAAGAACACCGCCGGACACCCGTCGTCCAGCCGCGGTGTGTGCGTGCTCAGTTCGCGTTTCGGTTCGGAGCACATTTGATGAAGAGTATTTATAATGTCCGCGACGAGTTATTGCTCTTCTTTTGCACTTTCCCCATCCCGCTTCCTCTCACCTCTGTCTATCTCTTTTTAATCGAATTTGTATGAAATCTAGATTGATACCCGATCAGGTGATAATATGATATGACACACTTTCCATACGATGTTCGGAAACGAATTCACTTTCATTTTCAAAATGAGTTATGACCCGTCGATTGGGTGTTGAATTTGACCAAATCCCATTACAAAACGGGCATATAACTGGTTATGCGCTCTTTTGGGTCCATTCTCCATTCCATTCTCTTTTATTTTTCCCTACTTTCCCGAATGTTTTCAAAACGCAAAATTGAGTCATCTATTTTTCTTGAATTCTCTTAAATCACGCAACGATGGCTCCATTTTGCATTTTCCGAACTAACACATTTTTGTATCCTTTGCTCGCTAGCTCGCCGTCCACTCTTCTCTCCTGCCGCCCACAAATAAATTGAGGTTCTGAGCGAATTGATGGGAGAAGAAAAGAGCAAAGAAAAGAGAGACTGTTTGCACTCGAAATCCTCTTGTTCTTCTTCGTTTCGTTGCGTTTCCCTTCGGGCCGGCCGGTCGTCCCTCGAGGCCTTGTTGTGTTCATTCAGCGGTCAACACGCCTTTTCCCCCCTCTGTCCTTTTTTCTTCATCGTTTTTCACCCGTTTCCGCACTTTTTCACCACTCCGAGATTGTATTTTATCCTTCCGCACGGTTTCCGCGCGGACAGTTGGTATCGGGTTACCAGCCGCGCGCAGATTGTTTTTTGCTTCGCGGCATTGCATGTCCGTTGCGGAAGCGGGAACAACAACTGAGAAATGAATGCAAAAAACAAAAACGTTTCCTTATTGCAGCTTTGGAAAACGAAACGGTCAGAATCATCGAAGAACACACAACTGCGTGCTTTTACAAGAATCCGAAATGATTGTGGTAAGTCTATGAAACGAACTCAAAAGAACGAAAGCGCTTCTAGTGTGTTGTACACGAAACGATTATTGGATTTATACTTGAATCCCTCATTCTCCCCACTCGGTACACACACAAGCGAACAAATTTGATAAATATCCGCCGAATTCGATTGACCGCCGCCGCGCCTTTTGCCACTTTAAACATGTTGTTCTTCAAGTGTGACAAGTCAAGATGACACGTGTCACACAAGCTTTTTCGTAAACTTCCTCCTCAAATTGTCATTGCAGATTGATTATCCGACGGATTCGAATGGAATGTCGCCGAGAACACCGCCACGTGGCAGTGAGCCGGTTCATCAGAAAACGCCACGCAAGTCGGTAAGAATCATTTCTGTGGAATCTGAAATTGTTTCTTGGGAAATCGCGTGATAAGAAGCCATATTGCAACGGCTCGGGCGCTCGCCCCCCGTTTCATTAGTTTTTCGCTTTTTCGCCCGTCTAATACCCCATTCCTCCCATCGTTTTCTCATTTCTGACTCATCTCCTCTCTTTCATTTGGTCGGGATTACCTCATGAAATTGGTTTTTCTTGAAATTCTTTCGCAACGAATCTTCATCTATCGCAACATTTGTTGAATTTTTGAATAAACAAGCGACAGCGCCGAATTTAAAAGCTTCTAGAGCTGTTTTCAACGACATTTCAAAATTTCAGGCTCCCAACATGTCCCTGGACTCGCTGGCAATGCCTCCTCCGCCCGTACCACCGCGCCCACTCCGGCTCCCACCGACAGCCGCCAAAGGCCCAGCCCCTCTTCCGCCACGTGGATTGCCACGAACCTATCCACTCGATTTTCCGGTCGACGTGCCCACCACGTCATCTTCCTCATCCACAAACACCTCCTACAATGATCAGCATCGCAGTCAGGTGTACCTGAATGGACTGTCGGCCGACGAGGACACACTTGTCAGAGTGAAACACAGACGCGAAAAGAGTAATTCGGTGGGCACAAACGGAATGAGCACCGCGCGGAGACTTCGCGGAAGAAGCACAGCGTCCTCGACGACGACAGAAGGAGAAACTGCGTCGAACGAGGGAGCGGATTCGGACGAAGAGGAGGGGAGCATGCCTTCGCAAGAATCCAGTGGTGGCGGATTCGTGGATTTGCGGGATTCTGTCAGAGAGTGCCTCGAAAAAGAGCCGTCCGAGAGGAATTCAGAAGATCTCGCAGTTCTTCTCGATTTCATGCAACACATGTCAGCATTCGCCGCTCTTCCGATGTCGATTAAACGACAATTGTGCCTCAAAATGGTCTTCGCAGTGGTCAACGACGCCGGCACAGTTGTGCTGGCTCACAACGAGAAGCTCGATTCGTGGTCGGTGATTGTGAACGGATGCGTGGAAGTGGTGAAGCCGTCCGGCGAACGTGTCGAGTTCAAACTGGGCGATTCTTTCGGTGCCGAGCCAACACCGTCCATTCAATACCAGGTGGGCGAGATGAGGACTCTTGTGGACGATTGCGAGTTTGTGCTCGTCGAGCATCGCGACTTTTGCTCAATAATGTCGACAATCGGAGAACACATTGAGAAGGATCGGGACGGACTTACTGGAGAAGTCGTGTCAGAAGTGGAAAGGAGGACGGTGGGAACGCATTGTGGACAAGTGCTAATCAAAGGAAAACCGGACAAGTTGATACAACATTTGGTGGACGAACGGGATCACAATGTGGATCCTCATTACGTCGACGACTTCCTGCTGACCTATCGTGTTTTCATCAGAGATCCGACCACGATTTTCGAAAAACTAATGCTGTGGTTCGCAGATTCGGTCTACAGAGATAAAGTCGCACGACTCGTACTTTTATGGGTCAACAATCATTTCAACGACTTTGAGACGAATGATGAGATGTGGAACCTTCTGGAAAGATTCGAAGGAGCTCTTGAAAGGGACGGAATGCACTCTCAGCTCTCGCTTCTCAACATTGCTTGTTCTGTGAAGGCGAAACCGCGGCAGGTTGTGCTCACCAGAAAGAAAGACGACAAAATTATGATGCGATTGGTTGGAGGCCAGGATACGGGAAGCTCCGTCTTTGTCGCAGAAGTGTTTCCGGACACCTCGGCAGCCAGAGAAGGCGTCAAGAGAGCCGACGAGTTTCTGGAGATCAATCAGCAGTCGGCCAAGTACTTGTCAGCCAAAAAAGCGGACGAACTGCTCACCGGTTCACTTTCCCTGACCCTAATGCTTAAGAACAACGTGCTTGGGTACAAGGAAATAATCGGAAAGATTGAGCACACGAAGCCAAAGAACGGAGCGGCCCGGGCGTCTGGAGTCGTGCCGATGGTAATTCCAGTGCACAAAACTTCGATTTCCGGCAAGAAAGGATCGACTGGCAGCAACAAATCGAGTATGATGGACAAATTGATGACGATTCTGAAGTCGGGAAAAGAGGGCGACGCTGGAGCGGATTTCACCGACGAAGCCAGAATATCGTCGGCCGAGTTGCGACCGAGCAGATCGAATCCCGACATCACAAGCATCTCGCAGTATTACGGACCAGTGAGAAGCGAGTGTCCGGAGCACGTGCTCAAGATTTATCGCAACGATCAGACGTTCAAATACCTGCCCGTCTACAAGGAGACATCCGCCCAGAACGTGGTTCAACTCGCCCTCCAGGAGTTCAATATGACGGCCGAGGGCAGTCCCGAATGGTCACTTTGCGAGTGTACTGTAACTATGGACGGAGTCATCAAGCAGAGAAGATTGCCGCCGCAAATGGAGAATCTCGCGGAGAGAATCGCTCTCAACTCGAGGTAAGACTTCTGAGAGTTTTTTTCTCTCTTCATCCTAAAAATTTCAACCAATTTTCAGGTACTATCTGAAGAACAACAGTAGGTCAGAGCCCCTGGTACCGGATGAGTTGGCTCCGGAGTTGCTCAAAGAGTCGCAGACGCAATTGCTCAGTCTGAATGCTCAAGTGGTGGCCGCGCAGCTCACTCTCCAAGACTTTTCGGTTTTCTCGGCCATCGAACCGACCGAATTCATTGACAATCTGTTCAAACTGGATTCCAAGTACGGTTCTCCGAAACTCGAAGAGTTTGAGATGCTCTTCAACCGCGAAATGTGGTGGGTGGCCACCGAGATTTGTACGGAACGGCATGTGCAAAAGCGGGCGAAACTCATCAAAAAGTTTATAAAAGTGGCGAGATATTGTCGCGATTTGAGAAATTTCAACTCAATGTTCGCCATAATGAGTGGGCTGGACAAACCGGCGGTCAGGCGATTGCACTCGAGTTGGGAAAGGGTATCCAGGTGCGGTTTTTTGAAAGCAGAACAATGCAATCTTTGTTTTTTTTTCAGCAAATACATTCGGATGCTCGACGAGATCCATCAACTGGTCGACCCCTCCCGAAACATGTCCAAATACCGTCAACATTTGGCCGAAGTGGCTCAGGAGCCGCCCGTCGTGCCCATCTACCCGGTCATCAAGAAAGATCTCACATTCGCCCACGACGGAAATGCGACGTACGTCGAGAAGCTCGTCAACTTCGAAAAGCTCCGGCTCATCGCCAAATCGATTCGAGGAGTCATGAAATTGAGCAGTGCTCCGTACGAAATTGCCAGCATGGCCGAACGGAGCGGCGGAATTGTGATCGACGCGCTGCTCCACATGAACACGTTCGAGAACTCCAACGTGGCGACGATGCGGAAAGGAATGGGCGGAAAACAGAATCAGCCGCGGAAGAAGGTGTACGAGCAGGCGCTGATGGTGCGGAAAGTGAAGGCGTATCTGGAGGGATTGCATGTGGTCGACAACGAGATGGAGCTGGACGCCATGAGCTACGACATTGAGCCACAGGTTCCAAGTAAGATTTCACCTTTCTCGAAGCCTTTTCTTTATTGCGCTCCCGTTTGCAGCCGCCCGTGGTCCGTCCGCCTCCTCCTCAGCCAACATCCGTCGTGTCCCATCGCCAACGCCCTCCTCCTTGTCCTCCCAGTCCACCGGCTCCGCAGATCAATCCTCGCGTCATCGGCTTCTGCTCAACGGAAACGGTTCCATCGGAGGCGGCGCGAAATTCGGTGTCGAATCTCCGCAGGCAGTGCAGAAAATGTTGGCGTTAGTGCAGAATTCAAAAGTTAAAGGTTCGTTTGGTTCGACGCCTTCAGAGAGCACCGCTTCTTTCCGTTTCTCTCCGTTGTATTGTACTCTATCCCTATCTGTGACCTCTTTTCCAGGCGCCCCTCCTCCCATCACTTCCCCCTCGGCATCGGCCCGATCTTCACTTCAACGGAACATGCCACGTGTGACCGGACGTCAATCGGCCACGAATTCTCAAGGTCCCGTGCAACTGAACGAGGAGACGTCGACAGTGACGACGTACTATCAGTCAGGTATCCATTCCCTACCGTATCCAATCTTTTCACCGTTGTCGTGTACAGTGTACAGAGTGTAGTGCCCTTTCCAGATGTTCTCATCTAAAAACATCCACGTCCGCTTCTTCTTCCACCTCTTCCTGCCACGTCGCCACATCACCACCCGGTCAGAGCACCCTGTTACAACAACTTCTACAGTATTCCTCTTCTTCTGCTCCTTCTGTTCTCCCTCTTCTTCTACTTCTTCCCCCCATCTTCTGCCTATTGTGATTGTCTACTTCTGCCACGTGTGTGATATGATCTTCTTACCAGGTTTATTTTCAATTTATTCTATTCGCGAGACGGCATGTAGTTGTGCCTAACATCTACATTAACCCTCCTTTCCCCCCGCTTCCTATCTAACCCGAGAATTGTTCTAGACGGCGGGCGACGTCAGAGATCCGGTTCAGAGGGACGATTCGACAATCTGCCGCCCTCGACGTTCTATTTGACACCGGACAGTATCCGCGTGTCACCCAGACAATCGTTGTCTGTGGTCATTCCGACGCATGCTCCAGGGTAAGCACTTCTCGGGAATCTTTGGGTACTTCTGATAGACTGCAGCTTTCTATCGGTACACTGAATTAGAAGCCTCTATTTTCGAAATTTTAAAACGTTGACTCATATTTGAAAACAGACGAAGCGGCCAGAGTAGAAAAACAAATTTCGGCGCTGCTATAGCCTATTCAAATTGACACTGTTTTTCTCAAACTCTTCAAACATCACCGATCGATTTGCAGACACACTCCAACGTCGCCACGTGGCCGATCCCGTTCCCCGGCCGCCTCGTCCACTTCCGCCTTCTCCACGATTGCCTCGATCGCCGCCACCTCGATGGCTTCAGCCGCCCCCTCTGCCTTTGTCTCCTCCTCCACCGCCTATCACCCGCAGCACTACCATCAGACGGTTCGCGGACACGTCCTAGGACACCGTCCGATGCCCCTCATCACCAGCGGATCCGCCACACTTCCCAACCACGTGTCGCCACGTGGATTGCCACCCAAAGCCCGCCCGTCTATTCTGCCAGGCGGAAATGGTGGCGGCGGAGGTGGCAGCGCCAGAATGGGCACTATCAAAGAAGGTGCGGTTGAAAACAAATTATTGCATAATTTCAAACGATTACTTTTTCAGCCACATTCTTGACGTCGGAGCAAGTGTCCCGAGTTTAATAATAATTTTGTTCTTTCCGTCTCTATTTCCCCTTTTTCCCTCCATTTTTATCCGAAATCATGTGCCAACCAAAACGTGTCTCTATGGGTCCTATCCATTTTTGTTGTACCGCTCCCTTATCATTATGTATATGTACAATTCAGTTGCAACTTGCCATATTATTTTTTTCGAATGTTTCTTCTGTTCCCTGGCTGTGATCTACTTATTGCATGTTTTCTGATCCCTTTCTCAATCCCGGAAACATTACTATGAAGGATATGTGATTTTTAACCTCAACTGTTTGACACCTTAGAACTCAGTAGATTGATTACTGTTGGGAGGCCATTCGCCAAAAAAATTGATGGGAAAAAGGAATTGATTCTATCCACTATTATTGAAGTTAGATTCTGAGCCTGCCGAGAAAATACTCAAAAAATTTGAATTCTGCGATCTGTGACGACATTCAACAGAATTTTTTCTAGAGTCCAAGCGATCCTATTGAGCACCTAATAACAATTTCTTTGTGCTCTAGCTGAGGAGCGCATTTTACAAAACAATGTTACAAGAAATTTGATGAATTTGTCTCTTTCATTTCCAGATTCCAACTGTCTCAATGCTTGTGAACAACATTGTTCAAGCCCTCTCTCGCTCACAAAACACCGAGTTCCCAAACCCCGGTGTTTTGGGAGCGGGAGGGGGCGAACCATATAAAAGGACCACCATCTTTTGTGACTTCAGTTTTTTCCTTCCTTATTCCTTCCTTCCTTATAATAAATATTCTGACTATTCTATGTTCGTGAAATACGAAACAATGCTCTTCAAAGACACGGAGCCTGATAATTCGATTCTCAAAAAATCAAAACTTCAATCTGATTTTGTGGTGCGGTGATCCTTCCTTTCTGTGTGACCATGAAACGTGGTGCAATACTTGACGGACACTTTTTCTGCACCGATCAGTTGCTTCAACAACATGACTGGAGCCGAGCTGACCGAGGTTTTGACCAATTTTACTTCTGACTGTCTACTCAATTCTGACGATAAAATATCTGTTTATTCTGATGAATTATCTCATGCACCTAGAATGGATGAGTTTTTTTTAAAATTTGTACAGTAGTATTGCCCAATATCCCCCAGGAAGCCCATTAGTCCCATTAGTCTAAGAAGAGTTTTGCAATGATTTGTAGTAGCCAGCGAGCACTTCCCACGCCGACGGAGCCATGAATCCTTCTGGTGGAGTTTCGCCATTTCTGACAATAATCTTGTAAAATTGAAGGATTTTGTAGTCTCACCTAGCCAATCCGCGCATTTTGGTCCCACTTATGTTCTCAAAGTCTTCTTTTCGGGACGGATCGAAGAAAGTCATTTTCTTGGCTGTCTTATCGTAGGCGGCCACGCGGAACGGAAGGATTCGGAGCGCCGAGAGTCCAGGAGCCATCGAGAGAACTTTGGCGCCGTGCGTCGTTTCGTAGAGGGCGTCTGGGCTTCCAGGCTTCTGGATTCCGGCGGGGTCACGTCCGACAATGTAGTGCTGAATTCCGGCGGCGATACGCGATCTGGAATGAAGAATTGGTCAGTCGCTTCTTTGTGAACCTTGTCTCATTGACAAGTTGTCAATTCATGCCTCGCGTGCCACTGAACTTCCGTCGGTCCCGCGTACATCATTGGCGACGGGAAAATCGAGAGAACCGTCCATTCTGGATCGAGAACGCCCTCCGCAATCACAGCCTCGTGCTGACGGATTCTGGTCTCCAACGGCACGTCGTCGTCCTTTGTCCATCCGCCCAACGGATGAAGCAGAAGAATTGGGTTCTTGTGCTCGGCGAGCAGCTTCTCGCGGGTGTCCCGCATCAGAAGAGCGTGTCCGTTGTGAATCGGATTGCGGAGTTGGAAGGCGAACACGGCGTCGGCTCTCTTTGCCGCAAAAATCGAACGGAGCTCATTCGGAGTCTTGCGGTACTTGTCGAGTCCGTCGTCGAAGACAATCTTCTGAAGAACCTGGACATCGCCGCCGAGAAGCCAGTCTCCGGATTCCAAGACTTGAGCGACAGCCGGATGACGGACATCGTTGGTTCCGAACTGTCTGCAAACTCTCTCCTCCTTTCTGTGCTCGAAGATTTCGGGCTCCGAGAGCACAGCGTAGACTTTTCCGTTGTACTTCAAAGCGATTCTGGAGACGCCTTCCAACGCCTTCTTGATTTCCTCTCCTATCGGGAGCACGATAGGAACCGATTGGTTGATCTCTTCCATCAATGGCCACGTATCCTCCTTTCCATCGTCTTTCTCTCCCACAAATGCCACCTTGTGCTTCAAATCGAGAAGTTGTCCGAAGTGCATGCACTGCAGATATTGTCTCTCTCGCATGAATCCAGTCAACGGAGTCGCCCATCCCTCCGCGAGAACCTGGAGCCATTGGAGGTCAACTTTGTCGAGCTCCACACTCGGAAGCTCCTGGCTCTCCTTGAGCAGCTCCGCGAGCTGAGCCTCGTCCTCCACGAACAGTTCCCTAACCGGCGGCACTTCTGGCACTTGCTCCGGGAGCACTTCGATCGATTCGAGATAGTCGAGCACTTGCTGAACGCACTGGTGCACTCCGCTCTTTCCGGCGTCCAACACGATTTCAGCCTTCTCCGGCGGCTCGTACGCGCTGTCGATTCCGGTGAATCCGCGAATCTCGCCGGCACGCGCCTTCTTGTACAGTTCTGCAACTTGTTGGGAATCAGAAAGCCTGCAAACTTTCGGCACTTACGTTTCGGATCACGTTGTTCGCACACCTCCAAACTGGTGTTGACGTGGACTTCCACGAACTTCACATTCTCCGAATCGTGAATCTTGCGCGCCTCGAGGCGATCCTCCTGGAATGGGGAGATGAAAGCGGCGAGACAGATCATTCCGGAATCGGCGAACAGTTTGGCCACTTCGGCGACACGACGGATGTTCTCCTGACGGTCTTCCTTCGAGAATCCGAGGTTCTTGCACAATCCGTGGCGGATGTTGTCTCCATCGAGGCCGTAGCACGGGATTCCGAGCTGAAATAATGGAATTTTGATAAAAACACTTATTTTCCCATCAATCTAACCTTGTTCAAAGTGCGCTCCAACGCGAACGAGATGGTGGTCTTTCCGGCTCCGGAGAGTCCCGTGAACCAGATGGTACACCCGCGGAATCCACCGTGTCTTCCGATCGCGGTCGCCCGCTCATCGCGACTAATCGTGTGCTCTTGATAGGTAACATTAGTCGCTTGACCCGAAAGGCTCTGGAAAACATCTTTAAAATTCCTGAAAAAAGTATAAAAAACACATACCGAGAATCTAGGTTTTTTGAGCATCGGCATCACGTCGACCGCGTTGTTTTCGTCGCGTTGAGTGAGCATTTTTATACGTGGAATACGTGGATGACAACGAGGGGGCGGAGCCGGGCTCTTTTGGCCTATAATTTAGGATTTTTCGAAATATGCGGAGGCAGATAATTAGATGGTTGAGCGGAGAAGTAGTAGGCGGAATATCAGAAAGGGCTCAGGAAGCGTTTGGTGATCAGTGACCAATTGGTAAATATCGGACGCTAATTTAGATGTTTCGAGTGTTTGCGTGGGCTTTTGAAGCAGAATGAGTTGACAACTTAGAAAATGCATCTAAGCACACGCAAGAATACAAAAACGCTTTTTTTGGTAACTTCCAACGCCTAACACAATCAGTAAAGATTTCTGATGTATAGAATAAATGCAAAGCAAAAATCGTTCCTATTTAGCAGAATCTTTGCACCTCACGTGGTTGTCGGTCCACTTTTAAAGAAGCTTCCTGGAAGATCAAGCCCACATTTTTCGATCGGCGATCGCGACAAGCGATATTAGCGATTTCTTGCGTTGCCGATCAGATAATCAGGTACAAATGCCGTAATTTCGAAAAAATCAGGAAGGTTGTGACGTCGTGCGGAGATGAAGCCCTTGGAGCGGAAAAAAGGTACCAAAAGATGGAAGTTCCAGATATTTGGGCCGCTGTTTTGAATTGAAAGGACATCATATTTACGGCAGCTTTGCAAACAGAAGAAAATCGTGTAAATCGACAATAGCGGCCATTTGAATGAATGAATTGTTTTCTCTGGCGTATCCTCGTTGGCCACGTGTCTATTCGCAAGGTGGCTAATCCGGATTTTCGAAAAAAAAAGTGTTCAACACTGTCTCGTTTGATTTGGCACTGATCTCTTCCACCTTTTACACTTTTTCGATCAAAACCCACCCGATTAAAAGCATTTTACAAGTTTTATTGGGTCTCGCCACGGAAAATATACCCGGATGTTACTTTGCATTCGTGGCGAGACCTAACAGAGGTTAGTAGGTATCTAGTTTGGATAAGTACCAAAACTGAGAGGACGGAACTCAAAAAGTGTGAATTGAAAAAATGTTACGCTTTGAAAACAGATCGCAATGAGTTGTTGGGTGAGTGACAGGAAGTGAACAGGCAAGTGATTGGAAAATGTTTCGGAAAATTTCAAATTCAATTAAATTTTAAATTCAAAATTCCAACTGTACAAACAGAAAGTTTACCATTTTTGGAGGAATGGTGAAGGATGGTATAAAACAGGAATCAACAATGGAAATGTGAATGAAAATGAGAATGAGGATGGCAGATGAATTTTCAATGATTATTGTCCGATCACTGCGTCGGGTCGGTTTTCGTGGTCGTCTTCGTGCCACGTGTCTCCTTGTCCAGAATTATCGTTCCGATATCATAGGTGTTCGGGACAAACGTGCTGAACTCCGGAAGTTGGAACATCTCGCCTTTCTCGTCGTTACAGTAGTGACGCACCTGCAAGATGTACGTTGACTTTTCTATGTCTTCTTAATGTTTTCCCAGGTTTGAATTCTTCAAAATTTCAAGCAAAAAAAACAGAGAATTTCAAGAGCCATACTTAAAAATGAGTCAAGCAGCCCCTAAATTGGCAAATGTAGCACCGAACCTTTTAAAATTTCATTTTTTGGAAAACGTATTCGTGAAACTAACTTCGATGTACGGCTCCGGAACGTTTTTGACCCCCGGAATCCAATCGAAATCGTCTCCGCAGCCGTCCAACTGGAACCGTCCGTCGTCGTTTGAGAATGTCACTCTAAAAATTCAAATTTTATATCAGCAGCTGTGCATTCTCGAAGCTAACCCCATGAGATCGTCCGGATCGATGAGTTGCAGTGGCCCGGGCCCGTCACGATCCCAGACGCGGATTTCGACGTTCAAAACTTTCGTCGCGTCCTTTTGACATTCAACTTTTCCAAGCACCCACACGCATTCCCGGCCGGCAAGAGACACGGAGAAAAGTGAGGCGCAGAGAACGAGGAGGGAATTTTGCATGTTACGGTAGGTTCAACCTGAAAGATAAATTTCAAGAAATTTTAAGAGAAAACGATCGAAAAACACGGAAAACCATTTGTCTGAATTTGACGAATTTGTGAAAGAATGAATCATTTTTAACGTAGTCGAACTGTTGTTTTATGTTTCATCAGTTGGAGAAGGAGGATTACGAACGGATTTTCGGATGCATTCAGGTGACACACGTCCAGTTTCTGGTACTTGTAAATTGAAAAACAAAACAGAAAATATGGATTCAACGGAATGCCACGTTATTTGTGCGTTGGTTGATCTAAACGCGAGCGAGAAAGGAAGTAAAAAGTGATCGCTTATGATGGACACATTGATGAAGGTTTTTCTTTTCAGTATAATACGAATTTTTGAATGACGCTCCACCAATTCAATAAACAATCAGAGTCGTCAGCTCAAAGAACACTCAAACTATTTAGAAGCTTCGAAATCGAAATCGTGCAGGAACATAAAGTATTCGCGCCGAGAATGGAATGGGGAAAATTGTGTTTTAGTGAAACGGTTTGAATGCCAAAACAAACAATATCTCCGGAGGAGAAGAAGGAATGAAAAGTTGTAAGTACGACTGGTTTTCACCTGAAATCGAAGGTTATTACTTTTCCTTCTTCAATTGAAAGGTGTAAAATGTGAGTCACGTGGATTGAGGAGAATAGAAAAACACGTCTGTACAAAATGAGAAAATTAATTAAAAATAGTCGTGCCCGTTACTCGTTTTTTTTATTTGAAGGATTTATGGAATCTGTGATCACTTTTCTTCTACACGGGTGTTCTCTTGCGGGGCGCTTTATTGATAAGAACCGGATAATCTGCTAGACTAAAGTGGGCTTCTTGGCGGAAGAAAATCAATGGAAGAACCTTGATTCGGAGAAGACCGTCCGATCATAACGCGACGAGACATTGAGATGGAGAAATTAGTCATTGAAAAGCGATCAACGGGCTGGTTTTTGGTGGTCTATGACACGTCATGACACGAAGGTCATTAAAATAGCTAACTTTTTCATTAGTGACAAGATAAACGGAAGTGGATTCGGACCGTTAGTAGAATAGCAGAACAAAATAATAGAAAAAAGTTTGCGATTTATTTGATTTGAAACATTGTAAAACAGAACATATCATTCCAAAATGATTGGGTGCCTTGTGAAGTAGTCGTTGGTCTCCGGCACAAAGATTTTGGAGTTTCTCGGGTAAGCGTAGGTGATGTCGGCTCTGGAATCAACACGACATTTTGAAAATTGTTATTTAGATATGAAAACGTGCCAATCAACGATTATCGATCAGCAACTAAATTATCAAAAGCAGCGACTAACTACGAAGCTGCAATTTTTTACAAAATAATACAATCCAACTCACTTTCCCTTGCAATAATGGCGAACTTTCACATAAAACTCAGGTTCATTCTTGATGAACAAGAAATCGACGTCCGATGCGCATCCTTCCACTTTGAACGTTCCGTTATCCTCTGCCGTAGTGATCGTCCTTCCCGCCAAATCATCGTCCACGAACAGTGTGATTGGGAACTGAAACATTGTTTGTTTTTGAAAGGGACATTTACCCAAAACAAAACTCACAAAAGATCGATCTTTATCCCAAATTTCCACGACGACGTTTTCCAATTTTGTTGGATCCGAGCACTGGAGACGGCCGACAAACCATGCACAATTGTTGGCCGCCGAGCAGAAAAGAACCCATGAGAGCACTAGGACTACGTTTCGCATTTTTTGTTTGGACTGGGCAATATTTGGAAATCTGAGTTTGAACTGTGGGAAATCGGCGAAAAACAGAGAGAATTCGTAGAAAAGCGAGTGGTGGGAAAGGATAGGGCGAATGAGTCAGGACAATGAAGGAGCCTTGTTTACTTTGCTCTTGGGTTACCTAATGGTCATTGTGTGACCAACTCAACGTCAATCTGTTCTAAGAAGAATAATTTTCCAGTTTTTTTTTCCTATAAGTCTGAAATCCTCTTTTTGACTAGTGAAATAGTGGAACTCTGAGCAAACCCCAAGTCACATCATTTGCTTTTTCGCCTCCGAAACTTTTTCGATCGGAAATGAGAGAGATCGGGCTCCGCGGAGAGCACAGACTTTCGGACGGATCACAAGAAAAACGGAACAGTTGGTGGCCGGATGGATTATTGATCCAAAAAATTGGCTCCGATCCGAAATCTAAAATTACATAAAGCTTGAAACAAATATTTGTCAACTGAGGTTATCAGAAAGAATCAACAAAAACCGACAAAGAGCTCCAAGTTTATTCATTTTTAGGAAGAGTTTGGCGATAACTATAAACACAATAACACACAATAATTTAAGACAAAACACCATTAAAAAAGCACATCACAATACACTTTTGAATCAAAATCCGCATGCGGTGATTAGACGACTGCCGAGATAACAAGATCGGCAACGAGCGGCTCATTCGATCTGAAGAAGTCTATGAAAATGCATTCCAAATCACAAAATCTCACTTGATAATGATGTTCATATTGATCGAATTGTCACTTGGATCTACGGCGACGGTGGCCTTCGAGAGAACATCGAATCCACCTCGGAAAATTCCGGAAAGGAAAACAGTGTGCTGAGTTTTGCCTTCCGGCACACGATCCGATCGTTCACAAGGAACAAGACCAAGTATCTCGGAAATCTTTTTGACGGCGTCAGGAATATTTTCGACAGTGGACAACTGGAACGTCTCTTCTCTCGTTCCATCGTCTCCAAGCGCCTCCCAGGCACTTCCGAACGCCGACTTCGCCACTCCTTGCACCGAATCCGACACGCTGACATCGACCTCTTCGAGCACATATGTCTGATCGTAGACATCTTCGGATTCCGGTTCTTGAGTCGTCGGGTCCACATCCATCACATTGAACTTGAGGGTTGCACCAAGGCTTCCAGAAATAACTCCAGAATCCGGGAATTCAAGAAGAGAGTACGCCGAATGAACCTCTCCGTATGGCAGCTTGTCGATTTTGACGGCGGTCTTCGGTTCCCATTCGCCTTCCGGATCTTCCAAATCAACGGAGACATCGAGGAGAAGCTGATCTTGCAACGTGTTCTTGCATTCGAACTGAAAACGAGATAATGCAAATTTGAAGCATTTTAGGACGAAAATTACCTGCAGAACGATAGCATTGGCAAAGGTGTGCTTAATCATGTGCACAGTGTACTCAGCAATCGATTCGGTAAGTGCAATGCGAGTTCCAGATTTGAAGACCAGTCCCAGAGCAGCGAACGCTGGAATGGCGGCCAGTTGAGCAGCGTACGGCTCAACCTTCGGGGTCTTTGGTTTCTCCTCTTCCTCCACCATCGCTGAAACTCTCTTCTCCGGTTGAGACAGAGCTTGTTGGGTGACTGGAACGGTGCGAATGTCGAACGGAGCAGAGTAGACTCCACCACGAAGATAATCGAGAATCGAACGCTCCAGGCCCGACGGCGACACTTGAAGACCGTCGAGAATGAAGTTATGAATGAGTGACTCAGCCGCCTCAGTCAGCATCTTCAGGTAGAACGTGGCACGATCACGAACTTCATCGTCAGAATCTAGAAGACAGCGCTTCAGAAGCACTTGGATTGACGGGCGGAGATCAACGCATTGGGCTCCAAACTTGGCGAGAGCGGTGACGGCGGCGGCACGAACCTTGGTGCTCTCCAGAATGACACGATTGTAGATGAAGCGGATGTAGCTCGACGGGTTCGGAGTCTTCGGGGCTTCTCTTCCGAGCAGATGGAGCACACGAGTGGAGAGGTTATCGTGCTCACAATCCTCAATGAACTCGCAAAGATGAGCGAGTCCAGCCACCTTGGCATCGGGATTTTCCTCGATGATCGCAATGATAGTCTGAACGATCGCCTTCTTGTAGTCGTAGCTTCCATCGTTGCGAAGCATCTTGGCCAGGAACGGCATCATGACGGCGTGCTTGCGCGGATAACGAGAGCAAAGAGAGCGGATGGCGTCGACGACGACAATTTTGAACTCGTCAGAAATCTCGTTTACGAATCCAGAGATTTGCTGCATGAGACGCTCAACGCTCGATTCTGCCCCAGTCTTCAGAAGAGTGGTGATGGCCAGTGTAGCAATCGATCGGTTCGGATCAGTGATGAACTTCTCCAGGTCGACGTTGCAGCTCATCACAGCGTTCGGGTGATTAATGGCGACTTTGTTGAGAGTACGGACGGCGGCAAAGCGAACAGCGGCCTTCGGAGAAGTGCAGCACATTTGGAGGGCGGTGATAGCCGGCTGGATCTCAGATCTGGAATCATTTGTTCATTTTCAGAAACACCAAGATCAGAACTTACGGAGTGGTGTGTGGAAGAGAGACGATCGCTCTGGCGGCTTCGTACACGACCATCTCGCTCTTGTGACGTAGGCACGACTCGATGAAAGTGAAGCTGGCGGAATCTGGCCTGAAATATGAAACTGATGTTGAGAAAAAAAGGGAAAACTGACTGATCATCCTCGACAAGGCATCTGGTGGCGATGCGGATGAGGTAGCAGACGGCGTACGGACTGCGGAGAGCGTTCTTGCTGAACTTTTGCACGAGCTTGTTGACGGCCAAACGATCATTGGCGCGGATGTGATAGAGAAGAGCAAGGGCATGGTACTGCACCATATGATTATCCGAAGATACGGCCTCCTGCACTTCATTGGCCCATCGACGGATGACTTCAGGAGATCTGCGCATCAAATGAGTCGAAGACACGATGGCAGAAGAAGAAATGGCGCTGTTGCGATCGACGATGGCCTGCTTCATGTATCTCTCGATCGTCTGCAGCATTCCGGAGTCGGTGATCTTGCAGAGAGCTCTTATGGCCGGTCCTCTGTACAGATCTTCCTTTCCGGTCATATCTTTCGTGAGACTGCTCGTCACAATGATCACATCATCCGACACTTCGGAGAGTTCCTTGACGGCCAGATAGATGAGGCGTCGGAGACTGACGTCCTTGCTCTGCCAAAGCTTCGTAACTCCGAAGAAAGCCTCGGTAGCCTCAGTTCTCCCGATCGATTCGCCCTGCTGAATAATGTATATCAGCTTGGCCAAGATGAAACCGCATTTGCGGGCATTGATTGGAGTCTCGTTGAAGGCCCGAGCTTCCTGTAGAACCGACGTCTTGTCCAGATGAGCATAGACGTTTCCACTGCTCTCCTCGTCCTTCTTATTGCTCTTCATTCTTGAAGGCGGTTGACCTGCAAAAAGCTGTTGTTTTTTGTCGATTTTCAGGCTCATGCTGACGTGGTTTTTTGATAAGACGTGATAGGAGAGTCATGCAAATTAATCGAACCGGATGCGGAACAATAAATCAAAATTTAAAAGCAAATCGAGGACAATTCACGAAAACGACATTTAGTCTACCTTTACCGGCCATTTTCACGTCAAAATTTGTGTATTATTTCTGCAAATGATTTGTTACAATATTTTCAGATGACAGATACGACGAATAGAATATTAAAAGCACTCAAATTCAAGTAAAAAGTAAAAGAAATTTGGGCAGAAGCCTCTGAAAGCCGGAGAGATCGCGAGATGAAAATCCACGATGCAACGTGTTAGTCTGCATTCTGCTGTCAAATGCAATGCCGAGTCTGCAAATCGCCGTTGTTGACCGTAGCCCACTTCAGAAAATGAGTCATATGTTCGGCATTGAATTTCCGGCTTCTTCGCTGTATCCTTCGTATTTTTTTGCCAAATTCATCTTAAAATTCAGCAACACCACTTTTTAATTAAACCCAAAGTCTGTCGGCAAAGTACAAACGTGCTAAAAGTGCGAATTTGTTCAAAATTCACGAGTTCCATGAATAATGGAAGAGCTCTTGCTTTCCGAGAGCATTCTCGTCTGTTTCACATGCTTCCCATTTATCAGAATTGCATCAGAACTCCCCGGAGAGAGCATCTGGTTGCGAAAAAGTGGAAATTCGCAAGTTTTTGCAGAAAAAACATGCTTCCCCTTTTTCACCACTCCATCTGTTCATTTAGTCTTCTGAAGTTAATTTTTCAAACTTAGAGCGTCTGCAAAAGCGAAATTTCAAATGTTTTGTCTAAAAAGGTTCAATTTTCAAGTTCAGTCGCTCTTTTCTTCCTAATCCAACTGGAAGCCCTCGCTTCCAATGTCTTGAAGCCTAAAACGCATTTTATAGTTTTTTAGATCTAATTTTCAATGAAGCGGTTGGTATTCGTCCCTAATTCTGCCTCTTTTTTTCTCGAAAAGTGGAGTCCGTTTTTCACATTTTCTCACATTTCTTCTCCGATTTTCTCCAAGGACACACACATTTCACTTCACATAATTACACCTTCGCCGTCCGCTTTGTTGTTCGAAAGAGAGAAAGAATACCCCCCGGTGCGGAAAGGTTTGAATTATTGATCGATAGACCCACTACTACAAAGTAAAAGGTTTCCTTCTTCCGTCGAAAAGGTGGTTCCTCGCGCATAATCCGAATCGATAGACTAATGGAAGTAGAGGGAGGGCGCCTAAGCGTATCGAAATCATTGGCAGACCACACATTCAGATGGAAAAGAAGAAGAAAAAGGAGGAGAAGAGAGAGGAGTAACAAGATAACGTATTACGTTTCTCTCCGTCTCTTTGATTCCCATTCATCTTTTTGTGAAAAGAAAAGCAGGAACATCCTGGAACATTGTGTATATTTGCACACTCTTTTCTTTCCCATTTCACTTCGCTATTGACATTTTATATGACTCACTGGTCATTTTTTGCTTCTTTTTTTCTTCCCCAGCCCATTTCTTCTCGTAATTTTTTCGATTTGTTTTAAGCAAAATCGCTCGCTCGCAAGAACATCAGCGGCCGCTTCTTGCCCCACCGATGGCCAATCGACGACAAGCTGTGCCGCAGAGAGCACAGCAACGGGTATATAGACAATCAGTAAACGATTTGCATCGAAACATCGCTTAAATGTACATTTTAGCAAATTCGATACGCGCCAGGAGCCGGTGGTGAATCAGAGATTAGTTGTTGTGTCAAGTACTCTGTTTTCAGCTTCAATGTAATCTTTTTCTTATTGGGTAAGTGTACAAGCCAAAAAAGAGGGGTAAAATATTTAGCTTCAGCCACCACTAAATTGTTCATTTTCCATTTTTCATCTCAATTTCCTTGCAGGTTTTGGACTATTACTCTTCGGCGTATGGGCTCAAATCGAGAAGAACACTTTTGTGAATCTTCTCAGTAAAGCCTCAAAATTGTACCTGGATCCAACGTGGCCCCTCCTAATAGTCGGATTCCTCACATTCATCATCGGTTTCAGCGGATGTGTTGGATCCCTTCGAGAAAACACGTCATTCCTGACGTTCTACTCGACTCTCCTGGGCCTTCTGCTCATCGCAGAGATCTCCGCCGGAGTTTTTGCTTATGCGTGCCGTGATCAACTCGACAACTACATCAGGAACCTTCTGAATGATGTAGTCGTCGGATATCGAGATGATCCGGACCTCCAGACGCTCATCGATTCAATGCAAGAGACGTGGATGTGTTGTGGAATCAACGGAGCCGATGATTGGGACAAGAACACGTACTTTTCGATTGAAGCCCGAGAAGTGGCATCTCCAGAAGCCGGCGGAGTTCCCTTCTCGTGTTGTATCAACAGCAGTCAACTCGAGTTCAAAAACTATTTCTGTGGCCACGGAGTCCGTCTGAAGGGGGAAACCCACATGGCGGCGGCTCATTTGGCTGCTCAGCGCGTCATGGCTCAGACGGCTTCCATCTACACGGAGGGATGCCTGCCGAAACTGCAGCTCTGGCTCAATAACAACATGCTTCTGGTGGCCGTTTCGATGGTTATTATTGCGATTATACAGGTAACTTCATAAAAAACGTACGTTCATGTTCAACATTTTTAACTTTAGGTACTTGGAATTTGCTTTGCTCAAAACCTCAAATCGGACATTCTTGCTCAACGGGCCAAGTGGTATTATACCCATTAATTAATCAATGAATTCCATTTTTAATCAATACAAAAATCTCATTTATATCTTCACTTTTATGCAATTTTTCTTCAACCTTTCTCGATGCCGGTCACTTACAAAATGTAAAAACTTTTGACGATTTCACTCTGTTTTATGTCACAACACTTTCGAATTTTGCCTTTTCTCTTGTTTTCCATCTTTTCCACCCCCATTCCTCGTACTGGTACAACGCTTCTTCTTTCAATGAACTTTTTGCGATTCGTCCAATTTCTCTACAAAACTGTCATACCTTTTGAGTCTGTAAATACTAACAGTAAATATATGGAAAGAAAGAAACTGGCACTGGTGATACTGAAAATGTTTGAATTTTTCAGTTAAAAATGACAGAAAGTGAGGAAGCTATTCAGGAGGAGGGAAAAATAAGTTTCAAGCAGAAAGTTTACGATTTTGTGATGGGAAAACCGGAGAAAGAAGAAGAGTACGGAGTTATTACGGTTGGAATTTCCACCCAAATCACCTGAAAGTAATTTTTTCATTTCAGGAGTCGTTCGTAAAATACGTGCGATCAGAACGTCCGTACAAACTCGCCGCCTCTTTTTCTTTCTTCATTCTCGTCTTCCTCGTCGGCTTTCCGATGTGGCACTTCACCACTTCCACGTATCGAGCTCCATTCCTCACTTTTTCGGCGAATCGATCGATAACCGTACCGGTGAGAGTTGTTTTCACGACGACTTCTGAAGAGCTCATCGAAGACATTCGGAAGCTGATGGGGGAGTTCGAGACAAATGCGACTACGCGGGAAATTGTAGCGCCGTTGGATTTCGAGTGGAGCACACAGTTTTTGGGTGTCAGGTAAGTACGCTGCACATGTTAAAGTAGTGGCTGCTAAATAGCTCTATTTTTCAGAGAATTCCAGAAATTGGAAAAAGATCACTCGATGGAAGTGGAAGACAACAAGCAATTCTTCGACGTCCACGTGGCCATCACTCCCGAGAAGGACTGGACTCACTACTCGGCGACACGTGTACAATTAGGCATTGGAAAATGGAACTTTGTCCAATGGCCTACCAAAAACGAAGAAAAGCCGAAAGCAGCGAGCAGAGTGACCGAACTCGTCTGGGAGACGTTGATCGACGTGCCGCATCTGAATTCGATCGTCCGGCGAGATCTCCGACAGAAAATGCAGCCGTGGCAGATTGCCGCGCTTCCGTTATCGCATCAGAAGCGATTGGTGTGGGATTCTGCGCCGTTGGCAACCAGTTATCATATTCAAGTGATTCATTTGCATGAAAACTCGGACATTTCCGACAAATCGCTGAAAGAACAAGAGAAAACTGCGAAGGCACTGCGGAAGTTTGCTGAAAAAGTGAAAGGAATCACAAAGGTCGACGTTTCATTTGAGCATCTCTGGGACTTTGAACCGAATCGACAGTTTCTGGAGAAAGATGTGCAGGAGCGATGGACTCTGACCCATTCTGCGATGGAAGAGCTCGTCAAAAAGGTCGACATGCAAATGCAAACGAGCTTAGAGCAAGGCGCAGTGCTCCGATTCGTTGTGCTCGAGACGACGGAGCCGGTGATTGTGTTGGACGAGACTGGGGAGGACAGCCACGGAGTTGCGGTCGCTTCCTGGGGAGCTGTGCTTCCGAGAAACGAGGCAACCGAATCGAGAGCTATTGCGGCTCTCAGGTAAGCATAATTCATTCACTCACGAAACCTCCCTGAAATAATCCCATTTTCGTTCAGAATCCAAATGGGAATGGACGCGGAGCTGTCTCCCGGCTGGCACCGCCCTCCAGTCGCTCTTTGTCAATGGGAAGTGGCGAGAGCCCGTCTCCGAGCCTCCGTTGACAACGCAATGCGAGCCGCCAGTGCCATCCGAGCCCTCGAGCAACTTACCCACAAGATTTCCAACATTGTGATTAATGATGACGTGGCAGAACGTGCCACTCGCGCAGTTCGAATCCTTGACGACGTTGTCCAACCGGGTAAAATGCTGAATTTTGAACGTCTCCTGGAAGCTCGTCGTCTTGCCGACAGCGCGAATTCCGATCATTCCCTTCTGGCTATGCTCTACTTCCCGATGGATCAACGCACCGCCGTGCTCATTCCGCTGGCCGTTCCGATTGTGCTTCCGATCTTCAAACTGGTCTACGAAATTGTGAAAATAACAGTGTTCCGCGGTTATTTGTAATTTTGATTCGATCTTTTGTGTTTTACGGGCTTCTCCAACTAGTTTCACTTCTTTGCTTTATAAAAAATCTAATAATTATTTTGCACGTGAACTGGCGTAACGGAAAAACAACTTTTGTAGAAAAACGTGGACAAAAACTTAAATTGTTCACCATTTCTACTCTATTGACGCCTTCGATTCGAACCTTGATTTCCCCCCGTGAAAATGATGACGACGCCGCGCCGGATGAGTCTTCCGTCTTCGTTGGCCACCAAAGTAGGACATTTTCATTGTTGTTTTCCAGTATTAACTATTTTTTACAGGAAGGACAGCGAATTCAAGTCCCCGAAGGCGGAGAGCTCGTTTGCTACCGTACCGAAGGCGATCGTCTCATTCTCAAAGTAGAATACTCGCGAGAAATGGTAAGTAATGTCTTTTTGAGCGGCAATTCAAAAAGTTTGACACTTTTCAGATGGTGAAGCTCTCGGCGTCCATCTTCTGCCACCAACGGCCCTTGCGACTCGCCGTCATCGCCGACGAAATGCCCGAATTGCTCGGATGTCCCAACCCGATCCCGGCTTGCGGCACGCTCCCCGACCAGGAGCCGCCTGCCGAACCATCTGACCATTTGCCCTCCTTCCGGCTCTTCACCCCGCTCCGAGGCCCTGTTACCTCGGCCAACGAGGAAATGCGCACGTTGAGCAGCCAACGGGAGCTCGAGAAACGGCTCATGGATTTTTCGATGAGCAGTCCGTCCGGCGGCTATCCGTGGGGTGGATTCGAGACGCCGATGCAGGCCAGAGGAGATCTTCGCAATCCACGATTCACCATGGATTCGATAAATACTGATATTTAACCGATTGGTCAATGAAATGTTCTGAATTCCAATCGTCTGATTTTTAGTCAATTCGAGAAACGATCCGACGTCTGGGACAATCTGAAAATCTCAAAAAACTAAACGTTTTGTGCGATGACGGCGAAGAAGCAAGAGACAAGCGATATTGAGTGGTGATAGGAAGTGCTGTGGGAGAGTGGGAATTAAGGTAAATTTAATACATCAAATTAAATTATATTCAGCTTTAAATTAAACAGTTTTACAACTGAATACCAATGGGATCAATAAATTAGAAGGGCATCTGCTCCAGTTGACGGTTGAAAAGCCCTCCGTGATGGCTCGCGTTGAGCTTTCCGATGCTCTCGACGATGTGTCCAACAGACTCGTCGGTCGTGATCTCGGCATTGGCGCCGCCCATATCCGTCTGGACCCATCCGGGATGAATTGTGGTCACCAGCACCGGAATATTCAGCGTTTTGAAGTCGGCGACCATCGACCGGGCGAAGCTCAGCATTGCCACCTTGCTCATTTTGTAGGCGAGCAACGAGTTTCCTGGTCCGGAGCCGCGCAAGTTGAGGGCCTGGGAGGAGCAGTCCGATCCAATGTTGATGACGGCGGCACGGTCGGGCGAGAGCAAATCACCGTCCACGTGAGCAGCCGCCTTCTGGAGCAGCGGGAGGAAGTACTGAGTGGCCAGAAGAGCGCTGACGGCGTTCACGTCGATCGTTCGGAGCACTGTGGCGCGGTTCGGAGCAGAAGCGGTTCCGTACGGCTCGATGACACCGGCGTTGTTGATCAGAAGGTTCAGACCGCGAGTTCCGACGATTTGGCCGACGGTCCTGACGGAGTTCTGGAGACTCTCATCGTCCGAGACATCGACGGCGAGAAGATGAAGGCGAGGATCCTCCTTGGCAAGCGCTTGAAGCTCCTGAAATCGGTTAGTTTTTTTTTAAATTAACTTTTGGAAGTACGATCAAGAGATGTCCCGAATTTTTTTTTTGAGCATTTTAGCGGTAATAAAACGTACTGCGGCTCCGTCGATATTCCGTGCTCCTGCGATCAACGTCTCGACGCCGGAAACTTTTAGAAGATGACGGACGAGTCCCAGGCCAATTCCGCGGTTTGCTCCGGTGATAAAGATAGTCTTGGGCGCCATTTTGAGCAGAAAAAGGATGTCTGAAAATATTCCCATTAGAAAATTAATATTATGATAGAAAACTAAGAGAAAAAATGCAGCGACAGGAGAAAATATTAAAAATTATTACTCAGGGATTTGATGTGAGGAAACAGCGGCGGAACGGCGGCGAAACAGCGGCGGATATTGTGTTACCTCTTTGACGGCATCGTCGAGATTCGGCACCGGAAGAGGTGGGAGCGCTTCCTGAAATGAGTGCAGCATCGGATCGGCCATCGAGATCATGTGTAGCACTCCGAGCCACAGCTTCGTCGGCTTCGACACCTTTCCGAGCGGTGTCATCCATTTCTTGTACTTCAACAGTGTTTTGATGCTCAGACGGGGCAGTTGCACGAAGATGAGCCAGAGGAGACCGCCGGCGAGCACGGTCGATATCGATTGGACGATATTTCAGTCGCTGCAAGCAAAAAATTTCGATTTTCGGGAATGAATCGCCTTAAAACTGACCCGAAAACGTAGTTCTGAATGAACGGAGAGATGCCGAACGCGAGACTGCGCTTGAGCATGGGAAACACGGTGACAGCGGCCACGAAGACGCCGAGCGTCCACGAGTTCGCCGTTAATGAAGTCATTCGTCGCCCGGCTGAATCCGTTGCAAATGTCGCGCAGCACCTCTTTTTCGTAGCTCACCGAGACTTCATTGTGGGTCGCTGAAAATTTAATGTTTCGAACGGATTTCGGGCAAAATTCGAGCTTACCGGCGAATGAAAGCGCGGCAGCATTGCGTCACTCATATTTTCGGTGGAAATTGTGTGCTGGCCTAAAAAAAATCACACTTTCACCTTTCGAAACGATTTTGCACGAGAAAGATACAAGAAAAATGCCGCGCGAAAGAAAAACGACCGTCCGATATTCCGATGTTGCCTCCCTGTTTACTCTTTCGTCGCCGTTTCCTCAGAACACTGCGTCGTTTTCCGTTGCAACGGCGTTCCGCCGCCGTTTCGCCGAAGCTGCCGCCGCAGTGGTCTCGCCACGATTTGAGTTTGGCGAAACAGCGTTCCGCCACGGTTTCCTAAAAACGCCTCTTCCGCCGCTGTTTCCTCACATCAAATCCCTGAGTACTTTTTGTACAAAAAACCTCAATGAAGCGCGTTTGCAACTTCGCAAGGTTCAAATGCCTTTCAGCCACAAACGAGGGAGTTTTCAGTTTGAAAGTGAAAAGATGAAATTCTCAATAATTTCCGGTCACAAAGTGAACTTTGATGTCGTTCAGACTGACATTATTTTCAATTGGTTTCTGGTCATTGCACAGTCGGCCGTACACAAACATTGAATTTTGGTCTAATTAAGTTTTTGCAACATTGCCGCACGCTTTATTGTTCTTCGTCTTTGTCTTGGCTTCGAAAAGTTCGTTAGTTTCGAACGAAAAAGTTTCAGTACTAGAATTTTATGTTTCATAGAAGCTGATATCGCGAACACGTTAAGACTGAAGAAGTGCCGACGACCCAGTTTGGACTGCAATCAAAATTGAAAAGAAGTGTTTTTTTGAGGTTTTTGTACGCGTAGAAGATGATACGATGGCTTGATGTTTGGTGAAGAAAAACTGACGAAAGTCACGTAGTAGACAAACAATATTTCAGGTAAAAACATTTTATTTTCTGTGACTACAACTGATAAAATTCAAATAGCATTGTTGATTCTCTTCTCCACATACTTCTTGATATTTGGGATCGAATGGATTTTCTCGTGGAATTCGGCCAACTTCTTCTCGTTTCCCTTCTCTATGAAACCATGACGAATGAGACTCGTCAAGTTATCGGCCACCACCAAATCGGCCCAGGTCAAAGAGTCTCCGACCAGATATCCGGATTTGCTCTTTTCCAGAAATCTTTTAATGGTGTCCAAGTACGGTTGAACTGCAGGATCCACCACTTCGGCTCTCACTTTTTTCTAAACGTTTTATGAGAGTTCTATAACTTTTGAGCAATAAACGAACAATCACGTCGGGGCCTTCTCCGAAGAAAGTTCTAGAAGTAAACTGACGGAATGCGACCACAAAGTCCTTATATTGATCGACAATTCCATCGGCTTGGGCTTCATCTTCAGGAGTTTTACCGGCGATTCCAAATTTTCTGGCCAAATACCGAGTAATAGCCATAGATTGTCCGATCTCGACTCCGTCCACTTCAAGAACTGGCAATTGACCAAACGGAGTTTCTGAAGTCATAAAATAGAAGTCGTTCTTTGAAATTGTATGCTTACTTTTCTTAAGTTCGTTCCACTCCTCAACAGTCACTCGATAATCCTCATAAGGAACGTCGAAAAGTGCGAAAATAAGACGAGCGGGCTCACCGAGAGCTCGAGCATTGAAATAGGACAGTTTGTAATGCACCATGATGTTCGAAAATTGTACACTTCAACCCATATTTTATACACTCCTTATCAAATCAAAATCTAGTATCATTTTTATAAAACCAAAGTTCATTTGACACAAATTGTGACACCTGCGTCTCCGAAAAATGATGACAAATTTGCACTGCACGTGTGTTTTTTGGTGGGAAAATAAGACCGGCACCAAAGATTTCCGTTTCGTTAGTCTTCTATTATATGAGGAGATCTGGCCTTGCGCATTTGTCATCCTTTTTCTTTCAAGAAAACACAAACACATTTTCAGAAATGGTACAATACAAACTCACCTATTTTGACGCTCGTGGACTCGGCGAAACCGCCCGTCAACTGTTCGTCCTCGCGGGAGTTCCGTTCGAGGATAATCGGCTCTCGGTGGAAGAATTTCAGAAGTTGAAGCCAAGTTTGTCTTTTTTGTATCAAATCTGATAACATGTACAGTGTTCAGGTCTTCCGTCCGGACAAGTGCCAATTCTCGAGGTGGACGGCTTTGAAATTTCCCAATCCGCTGCCATTTGGAGGTATTTGGCAAGAAAATTCGGTGAGCGTTTCGTGTGTTTTAAATTTTGCACAATACAATACCTTTAGGATACGCCGGAGAGACTCCAGAAGAAGAAGCCACTGCCGACTCCATAATCGATCATTTCAAAGATTTCCTTGTCAGCTTCAAGCACTACGGAGCCGGACTTTTCTTCGGAAAAACTCAGGAAGAATTGGTAGGATTATTGCTTTCAACGCACAAAACATTGTTTCAAAAAACTCTTCCAGGACCGTGCTCGCAAAGAGATTGTGGAGCCTGCGACCAAGATCTATTTCTCAGTGCTCAAAAAGTATTTGGACAAGAATGCGGCCGATTTGCTCGTTGGAGACAGCATCACTTACGCGGATCTGGCGATTGCTGAAAATCTGACAACACTCAAAAATACAGAGTTTTTCAAGCCGGAAGAGGAGAAACAGCTGGCGTCGTTCCTTCAAAAAGTTCAAGAGACGCCCAAGTTGAAAGAGTACTTGGAGAATCGAAAGTTCTCGACTTTGTAATAACTTGAATAATAATGAACTGATTTGAATGAGCATTATCATCACTTCATGAAAGCAAACGATCATTTTCATGTTCTGATCTCGAACTTGTGAGCGGTGGTCTCTTTTTTTCTCTTCTAAAAACCTGTGTTCAAAAAGATGTCCTTCAAATTCCATGTGCCTAGAACGACTTTTGACCTCAATTATCAACTCAGACACTCCAAAGTTGAGTGGTTGCCAGACGTTCGTGAATTAGAAAGAACCAAAGATGGACGGTGTTGAGTTCAAACTTTTTCCAAACTTTGATCAACCTTTCAATCGAAAAATTTGATATTGTTTAGGCGTGAAGAGCGATTTTTACATACATAAACGGACTGGAGCACGAGCAAACGCCCGATTACGAGTGCATTGAGCAGTTTCTGAAAAATATCGCGAGCGATTTCGACGTGAAGTCGAAGAAGAATGTGGATTGGGTGTGAAGACTCGGAAAGCTGCCGTCGGAGAAGAACGGCGAAGCGCCCGAAAAGTGGAACGAACCCCTCATTTTTCTGCTTATTTTGATAAAATGGTTTTGCCATCAATAGGCTCTTGGGCGTGAGCAACACCGCGCCGATCAGCAGCATTGTGGTCAGTTTGCGCTTTCCGAACATTTGGAATAACTTGAGCAGCGTCGGAATCCAGATGACAGTTCTTAACTTTGGCCTTTTTTTAAAAGACATTATCCTTTTCAGGACAACCCCCTGATCACCGTCAGGGCGGGGCGTAATATTTAATTTAATTTAATTTTTTATTTCTAAAAAATTTATTTCTAAAAATAAATTTCGTAAAATTGTATTCCGTGGAGGATGTGAATTAAATTGTTTTATCCTAACTGTTCATTTGATTATTTCGTTTTATATTATGATAATTGAAAATCAGATTTTGTTGAGAATCCGGTTACAAGTTGAACATGAAAGCAACATCAGTTTTGAGCCAGGTACTACATTCCTAGCTTCATTCCGCTCCCACACGATTTCTGAGTTTCTGCTGAAAATGCGCGAATTTCACGAAGTCCTATGAGAATTACTATCAGAAAACAAAACAAACAAGTTTAATCTATTTACCCTGGTCAAGTGTTTGAACGTCAGTTGCTTTGCTCCGCGAGCCACCCTTGAAATCTCATCAATAGATTTTCGTTTCATTTTGTCCTCTTTCTACTTTTCACAATTGCTATGGTTCAATACAAACTAGTGTATTTCAATGGCCGTGGCTTAGCAGAAGCCTCTCGACAACTATTCCATCTGGCCCGAGTTCCATTTGAAGATCATCGGCTTACAGAGAAAGAGTTTGAGCATTTGAAACCAAGTTAGTTGTTTTTGTAGCAAAAAAAGAGCACATGATATCTTCAGCTCTTCCAACGGGACAAGTTCCGATTCTTTACATTGATGGGCTCGAATATTCTCAATCCACCGCTATTGCCAGGTACTTGGCTAGAAAATTTGGTAATTTTAGCCCAGATGCAAAAAAAAACTGTTTCTTATTTAAAGGTTTCTCTGGAAAGACTCCAGAAGAAGAATTGTTAGCTGATGGTATTGTAGACACTTTCAAAGATTGGATCAACAGTTTCAAGCTACTAGCAGAAGTGATTTTATTTGGAAAAACACCAGAAGACGTGGTTTGTTCTCTTTTTTTTGTTGAAAATATCATTGTTTTTTAACATCAGATGAAAGTACGGGAAGAAGTTGCGAAACCAGCAGCCAACGTCTACTTTTCCTATCTCAACAAGATTCTGGCCAAGAACTCGTCTGGATTTCTGGTCGGAGATTCGTTAACGTGGGCGGATTTGGTGGTCGCCGACAATTTGACTTCTTGCCTGAATACTGAAGTGTTGGACGAATCAGAAGAGCCCAGATTGGCAGAATTCAGAAGAACGATTCTGAAGACTGAGGAGTTGAAGGACTATTTTGAGAAGAGACCAGTTACCACTTTGTAATCTTTCCTAATTGATGTTAATAAATAATTTTTGGAGAACAAGTTTTGACCACTTTAAACAATGAACACAAAGTTCATTGAGTGACTACAAGATTCACGATGAAAATTGAGGGAGAAAAAAGAGAGAGAGAGAGTGAGAGAAAAAGAGGGAGTGAAAATGAAAATCGGCAATTAATGGACCTCCGATTAGAGGGGGTATAAAATGGAAATCTCTTTTTGGTCTCAACACAAACATTTTCTTCTTCGACCTTTTTTTTTTCAGAAATAGCACTTAAAAGTACCTTTCCAACATTTTCAGAAATGGTGCACTACAAGTTGACCTACTTTGATGCTCGTGGTCTTGGAGAAGCCGCCCGTCAACTTTTCGTCCTCGCCGGAGTTCCGTTCGAAGACAACCGACTGTCCATTGAGCAATTCAAAGTGTTGAAGCCAAGTTTGGAACAATAAGTACTTAAAATGTTCATGAAATGTTCATTTAGCTCTTCCGGCTGGCCACGTCCCTGTTCTCCTCGTGGATGGCTTCGAGATATCTCAATCTCAGACTATCAATCGTTATTTGGCCAGAAAATTCGGTGAGTTTGAACTGAACATTCTCGAAATGAAGCATCAAAAGAATCTAGGATTGGCTGGAAAGACTCCAGAAGAAGAGGCAACCGCTGACACCGTTGTCGATCTTTTCAAGGATTTCCTGCCGAGCTTTAAAGAAATGAGCTCTGGAATTTTCTTCGGAAAAACCCCGGAAGAACTAGTGGGTTTTTGATAACCTGTTTTTGCAATTTTGAACTTCTTTACAGGTGAAAATCAAGAAAGAAATCACCGGGCCAGCCATGGAGATCTATTTCGGGGATCTGAAAAAAATTCTGAACAAAAACAAGTCTGGATACTTTGTCGGAAACGGATTGACTTGGGCCGACATTGTGGTCGCCGAAAACATGTACACCTTGTTCATCCATGGACTTTTCGACTTGGACAAGGAAAAAGAACTTGCGGAATTCTACAAACGTGTTAGAAACACCCCGAAACTCAAAGAGTACTTGGAGAAGAGACCATATTCGGTTGTCTAAAATTTCGCAATAAATACGTTTCATTCCAATTATTCTGTTCCATTTATGAATGTATTATACAGTTAGGAGGTTGAACTGACAAAGAACATATTTTCAGACATGACAACCCAGAATTGTTTTGTATTCGAAGTCAAATTCAAACATTCTCGTCGCTCTCGCTGACGTCATCTTCCTCCTCGCGAACTGTCGACAAGTTTCTATCGAACTTATGAGCCTTGCGTTGGGTTGGAGATGTTTGGACGATTTTTTCTGGAAGAACGGAGCACTATGATAAAGTTTAAATGAAAGACTAAAATTAGACAAAGCCGGGTACTGTTTTTTCAGATTTAGTCGCTGCTCTTGCTAATTTAGTCGCTGCTCTTGCTAATTTAGTCGCTGCTTTTGATAATTTAGTCGCTGCTTTTAATAAATTAGTCGCTGCTTTTGATAATTTAGTCGCTTCTCTTAATAAATTAGTCGCTGCTCTTAATAAATTAGTCGCTGCTTTGGATAATTTAGGCGCTGCTTGTTCTACCTTCAATCGAGAATACAGTTAACAACCCCCTGACTTACCAACGGCCAGGGTTTCAGCGTATCCACTGTAACTGCGCACTTGAACCAATTTTTTGGTAATCGTCGTCGACTTCAGTGACTTGTGAGACTCAGGCTTCTTCTGATTGTTTTTCTGATTCTGATTCTCATCAGAATCGTCGTCGGCCCATTGAACTTTACGTGGGCGAGTCATTTTATTCTGAAACTACAGTAGGAAACTGTTCGAAAGAAGGACACAGGAGAAAAAAGAAAAAGTCGGACAGACAAAATCTGAAAACTGTTGTCACATTGTGAACAAACATGAATGTGAGAGTGACCTTGACTGAAAAATGCTGAACATTTTTCATGTTTTATAGCCGAGCATACAGGAAAACGGGGGAAACCCTCCCGCCATGGAAATGCAAATAAACGGGCGGATTCTATTTTCAGAGAAATACAATTTTGATTTTATCACCTTTTCGAGTCAAAACATACTTTGACTGAAAACGGGCTTGAAATGACCATAAGGGACGAGTGACTTTGAAAAGAACTGGTTCGTATGATGAAAATTGTTGAGAATCCATGCAATTTTGTCACGGACATCGTTTGATTTTTGACAGGATTATGCAAATGTTGAACATGAAAAAACCGTGTGATCATCGCCAACACGGAAAAAATAATGTTCTGATTACGGTTTTTTTTAACAGGCGAGCTGAAACCGGGGAATAAACTGAAAGCGGATGGATACCAGCAGATAAAGCGTTACTTTGTGAATGAAAAAGTGAGAGAAACGGAAATTGCAAAACCCGTTAAACGGAAAATGTTTATAAATATTTTCCGCTCGACGCCCCCGTTACTGATGGGGGGAAATAACAATCAAAGGGTGCATTCTCGATGGGAATTCTCTTTTCTCATTCGAATGTGAACGTTTGAACTGTAGAATAAATATTTGGCTGAAAATGGGAAAATGGGGAAATGATGTAGAAGTTGTGCTGTTCATTGTTGGCATAAATGACGATGGCGCCGATGTATCACTGAAAAAATACAAAAACGGTGTTCTTTGATGTATCGTTATTTCAAAAATCATTCGGACAAATAATAATTGTGTCCAAATTTGAATTCATACCAAGTTTTTCAGTCGTAATTTCGGAGCGTCGTAGATAAATTCCACACGCTTTTCGACGTGTTTTCACAAATTTTCACGTAATTTTTTGTGTTTTCTGCGACGCGGCAAGTTTTCCATTTGTTTTTTAAAGTTTCAATAGAAAAGTCACAAAAAATGGAAGAGCCGGTGGACGAAATGATCGTTGTGCAGATCAGAGATTTCCAAACATTCCGAAGAGTCGCATCTGATCCGATTCTCGTTCAAGGACTGCCATGGTACGTTTTTTTTCTAAAGAACAAGTATAAAAAAAATGTAAATGCGCAGACTTGTCACGGGCGGCCAGATTTTCTCCAGCCCGGTTAGCTGTGAAATTTCAAAATTTCCTGCTTTTCATATTTTTCTAGCGGTTTCTACTATTGACGAAAATTCTGCACACGACTTTGTGTAAATTTTACCTGTTGCTCAACAGGACATCTCTGGAAAATGTACTGAAAAATTTCAAATTTCAATGTTTTGTCATGAATCGGCGCGGCGCGGAACTAAATTTGACAAGTCAGCAAAAGCACAACTTACAGGCAGATGACAGTGATCAAAAGAACCGACGGATCTCTGTTTTACAAAGTGGCGGCGAACGAGGATTCGGCGAGTTCGATGTGGAGGAGCATCGCGAGCACGCAGGTCTCTGTGAGATGCTACGATGAAAACGGAAATCAAATCGAGAACGAGAAGAGTTTGAGCTACGAAGGAGAGTTTGATTATCAGCACAACAGCACCGAAGGCTCTCTGGGAGCTCTCGACGAGTACACGGATCCGAAACGGAACTTTTTGAAGCAGGGAGAGTGTCTGGAGGTCGAGTGCCGACTGAGTGTGATCAGAACGTACGGAGTGCGTAGAAAGAGAACTTTCAACTACGACGACGAGAAATCGCTTCTTTTCAACGCGTGCCTTCTGATCGACGGAAGAAAAGTGTACGTCAACAAGCAGATTCTGACGATGCACTCCAAATTCTTCGAGAATTTGTTCTACGGCGAGTTCAAAGAGAAATACAAAGACATGATAGAGCTTCCGGATGTCAAATACGATGAATTCGTCGCTTTTCTGGATATTATTCATCCGACAAGAGCGGAAATTCGCGAGACAACCGTCGAAATCCTTTTGAACCTCGCCGATCGTTTTCAAACTGAGGAGGTGCTGGCGCGTTGTGAAGATTTTCTGATGAACTCGTCGACGATGGAAGTGGGTAGAAAACTCTTCATCGCGCAGACTTACAGTCTTTCAGCTCTTTCGGTAAGATATAAAAATTTTTATAAAATTTTTAAAAAAAGTATCTGTTTCAGGACAAGTGCATAAAGTCGTACAATAGTCTCAGCGAGATGTGTCATCTCAGAAAGTCGGAATACTACAATCACCTGAGCAACGAAACCAAGTCGGCGCTTTTGCACCGTCTCTGCATGACCCGCCGTCCTGGCCGACGTGGACTAGCCGATGAATTTGCACGGATCTAAATGTCGAGAAACGTAAAGATGTAATAACTAGCTAGCTAAAAAATGAAATTATTGTTTCTTTTATACAATTTGTGTCAAAAATTGTAGTTTCAATGTACAACCGTAATCCAATATACCTCATGTGAATCAGGAGACTACGGTAAACAAAGGAAGAAAGTGAGAAATGTTAGATTAATTTCAGACAATGTGAGTTTCAGCTGTATTCACTGCAATGGATTCGGTGAGCAAAGCCTTCTGTTCTTCTTCATTAGGAATTGGAGCGAAAGAGGCACGAGCTGATTTTGAGTAGATGTGCGTGGTCTGAAACTTCGGAGTTTCAGAAAAATTTATAGTTTCGTTTGAAAACCTGCATGGGAATAGAGTTCTTCTTCTGAATTGTCGACTGAACACTATGATGCGATATTGGGAGTGTGTCCTGATGTGGGTTATTCAGAATGTCGATGTCTTCTCGAATTTGACGAATGAGATCATCGGTATCCGCTTCCAGAAGCGACGAACGCGTCAAATGATGAATGATTCCTGCACCGAAGCTGTCGCCAAGCACATTGACTGAAGTACGGATTCGGTCACTGAAGAATAAAGGGAATAAGAAAGAGGAATCGAAGTCTGCGTCCAAATTATCAAAAGCAGCGACTAAATTATAAAACGCAGCGTCTAAATTATCGAAAGAAGCGACTAAATTATAAAACGCAGCGACTAAATTATCAAAAGCAGCGCATAAAATAAGTGAATGCAGCGACTAAATTACGAAAAGCAGCGACTAAATTATCAAATGCGGCGACTAAATTATCAACAGGCTTTTAAAAATAGCTGCACTTTCAACTTTTTCAGAAATAACTTTCGAGGGCTGTTCGAGAATCAAACTGACAGTAGCCAATCCACGGTGAGCAACAAACTGAGATCCTTGGCGGGTAGACCGACAGTCGTGAGCACTATGACAATGGTATCCAAGCCAGCAGGTACGGATCCGGAGCCAATTGATGCTACCGTAGTCGTGATACTGATAGTGACCAAGTCCATCAAACTCAATTTTATATTGTGCAATTGAGCAATGAAAATGACAGCGACGGCTTCATAAAGAGCAGTTCCGTCCATAGTGATAGTTGCTCCGAGTGGAAGTACAAATCGAGTCACCCTCCGATCTATTTTCAAATTCTCCTCCAAAGCACGGAAAGTAACTGGCAACGTGGCACCGGAAGAAGCGGTTCCGAAGGCTGTTGCCAAAGCTTGAAGCATTCCAGTCATGAATGCGAATGGAGATTTTTTGGTGACTAAGAAGTAAAGCAAAGGAAGAGTGAGCAGGGAATGGATCATGAGCCCGCAGATTACGGTGACCACGTACATGGCAAGCGCCTGGGCGGTCTCTGTCAGATTGTCAATGTCTATAATGTTTTTGCAAACAAGAGACAGAATTCCGATGGGATAGCACCTGAAAAATTGAATATATTCCCATTTCTAGAGCTTCTGTTCCAGTTTTCTATGCTTTGCTTACCACATAAGCGCGCTAATCCATCTCATGATAATTGCATCTAAGACAATGAAAAAGTTTATCATGAGTCGAGCCTGGTCACCAAGAATGCTCAAAATAATACCGAATCCACTGCAAAACACGATCAGACCTAAAATAAAGTTTGGCTTGTGTTTTGATTGATTGAAAAATCTGAAGACCTAAAACGTTCATCTCATTTGTATAAGTAAGCGATTGTTTGTGTAAAACTTCCGTCGTAATATTGGCAGTTGCATTCCGGAGTCGAGACGGTTTTATAGGCATGTACTCTGTTTGGACTTGTTGAAAAGTCGCCTGGATTATATTCTCCGGGAACATATTTCTGAACAATTTCTTAAATATTAATTTAGCTCCAAGTATATCAGAAACCTAATTTGATCGAGAAACGTGTCCAACGTGGAAAGGGCGGTATTTTCGAGAGTTCCCTCGCCGAGCTCATGAATTAATTCCGGATCTCCAGGATGGATAGAGGACACCAGAATGATTCCTGTCTACAATTTTTCTATTTTTCAATCAATCTGAACATCTTCAGCCGTACAAAAGTAGACAGGAAAGTGGTGGTCATGTAATAAATAATAGTCACAATGCCAATTCGACGAGCATCGCGAGCTCGCACTTGAGCAAGAGCTGAAATTTTTTTTTCCGATTTTTCAAAAATTATTTTGTGAAGCGTGCCTGAAATGACAGAAGACATAATCAGCGGAAGAATCATCATTTCCACAATCTGCATGAAAATTTCGCCCGGAAATCCGATGAGACTGATTGTGTCATTGCTGAAGAAAAAGGTACGCTGAGTGAAAAACAGCGGTCCCCAGCTATTATTTGCTTAATTCATATAACAGCCAACAAATGACGAAATGTAAATGCAAATCCGGATTACCTGGGATTAAAAGGACGAATAACAAAGCCCAAGACGACGCCGAGCACGACGGACTCGATAGTGAGCACGAGAAGGAGGTCCTTCTTCATGCCCATCGTCACCGACAATCAACCACGTTCGACTGTCGAAGGCGACGTAGTAGGGCACGACTCAAAAAGGGAAGGATTATGCAAAGCACGCTGCCTATCTGAAATTTGCATTCCACTGACGCACTTGGAATGCGTAACAATAAATATACTTTATCTACTGGGACGGATGCTATTAAAGCTCAATAAATATCGGGATGAAAATTACAATATAAAGCCCATAACGGAAGAGAATGAAGATTAAGTTCGTAGGAGATCTGGGAAATTATTGGCGTCTGAGCTTGTGGCTTATTGTCGCTGCGTAGCGAGTGGTCGATTTATGGTAGAACAACGCGGAAAGGAGGGTGACCGGAAGAGCTAGGAAAGCGAATCCGACGAAGTGCTTCGAGTTGATACCGATGCGGCTGTACAACTTGTGTTCCGGGAAATAGTATTCTGGAAAAAGAAGTAAAATGCTTGAAAACCTCTCATAAAACTCACGGCTTCCTCTTTTGAACGAAACTGCCGTCATCCGCAACGTCTCGCCACTTTCGGAATCCGTGTAGTCGACGGTCACGTCCTTGTCCTCCATCGGCTGCGGAGTCAGAGGAACGATCATGACGTAGTGGAGAGCGGTGGTGTTGGGAGCGATCGAGGCGTATTTAAAGTGCAACGAGCCCTTCAGAACATCGAATCGGTCGGTCGGGAACGAGCTCCGGTCGTCGAGTTCCACCTGAAAAATAAGGCTGTTGAGATATTGTTTTGCATGAGAAAATTTCTTTTTTCTTGATGTACGCTTGACTGTTAAAATTGCAGCAATTTCCTTCAGTTTAGCTGAATATCCTTACATTGATAGCCGGGCTGTTTCCAACGTTGATGATATGATACTCGAAAATGTTCTCCTGATACGCAATTTGGTACTTAGTGATGGAATTCTTTGCGACTAGCAATTTCTGTAGGAAAACAAGGAAAATTGAAATTTTTTTCGGCTGAAGTCGATATTTTCTTACCGCTGAGGCATCAACAGAAGCCAAAATTACGAAAAGCACGAGGATCAACTTCATTTTCGATGGTTAAATGCCTGAAACGCTGACCAATGGGCAGAAATTCAAGAAAATTCCAGAAAAGTTGGAAGAAATCGGCTGGCAAGTCGTGGAAAATGAGAGTGAGAGACATGCAGAGACGCAGACACTAAAGGCACCATTTGAACTGCCGCGCTATTTGGTTTTCGTGGCGAGACCTGCCGGCCATTCAAATGACTGTGCCTGCGAATCAAACTGGCTCGCTGCCAGAAATACGCCTCATTCGAATTTCGCGCGTTCGTTTTTTGACGTCTGTTTCTCGACGTTTCTCTCAGATTTTTATCGATTTTTGCGGGAAAAAATGGTTTTGGCGTCCAAAACTCACGTTTTTCACGTTTTTTTTCGATTTGAATTGCGAAATATAGCTTATACCTTCCGTTTCACACGTGATTCTCGTTTCTTCCCTGTTTTTCTGAACGATTACTCATTTTTCGAATAGCCTTCTTGCAGGTAATTGTTAAATGCAGATCACCTCGACTTTAATCCAGAACAAGATGGAACCGATCAACGGTAACCCGACCTCCGTCGCCTCGGTTGAGCCGCTCTCTCTTGCTGCCGCCGACCGTGAGTCATTCATTGTACTTGGAGTAGAGAATTAAAATTGGTTATTTTTTGCAGAAGTCGGAGGAGCTTTCTGTCATCAGTTCTACATCACTGTGTCGGAGAACCGCAAGCTGATAACCAAATTCTACGGTCATGAGTCGATTTTCCATTATGACGACCAAACCGTGACCGGAGCTACGGTTGGTTTCGAATGTCTTGTTGCTGTGTTTCAATTATTGATTTTTTGCAGGAGATTTCCAAGCTGTACGACTCGCTTCCGGAAAGTACCCATTTCAAAATTCATTCCATCAAGGTGATTTTTTTCTAACAAGTCCCCTTGCAACTGTATTTTTCAGGGTTTTCCAACTCTCCATAATCAAGGAGTGAAGATCCAAGCTGTCGGAACTGTCAATCTGCGACCTTTCGTCCAGACTTTCGTGCTTGGCCAGCAAGGACAGAAGAAGTATTACGTCGAAATCGACAGCTTCCAATATCTGGATAACTTCTTTGAGTTCAAGTCTGAGCAAGAGAAGTCCCCAACGCCAACCACCGCTTCCAACGGACATTCGAATGGAGTCAACGGAAAGGTGACGAAGAAGCAGGAGCATCCAGCGGAGCCGCATCCGACCAAGCCAACTCCACAGAAGCTTCATCAAACTCCAAAGAAGGCTGAGGAGCCCCCTCGCCAGGTCAAGCAGGAGACGCCGAAATCTATGGAGAAGGAGATCCAGAAATCGCCGAAGCCACCAGTTGTTCAGAAACCACAACAGCAGCAACAAGCTCCGGCTCCAGCTCCAGCTCCTATTCCGGAGCCAGTGCAAGAGCAGCCGAAGGCTCCCAGAACATGGGCCACCCTTGTCGGCGGAGGAAAACAGCAGCCACCAATGCAACAGAACTACGGACAAGGACCGCGTAAGTAATTCGGATAAAAATCTTCGGTAAAGCTATCTTTCTCAGAATTTGCCCAGCAACAGCTGAACCACCACATGCAACAGCAAGCTGCTCTTCACCAGCATGCTGCTCACCAGCTCTACCAGCATCAACAGGCTCAGCAGCAGCAAAGAGCGCAGGCTCAAGCTCAAGCTCAGCAAGCTCCTCAACAACAGCCACCAGTTGATTTGCATCAGCAAGGAGGAGATCAGGAGAACATCAACCTGAACGAGCGCAAGATCTACTTGGGAGGAATCACTCGTGAGATTGTGCCGAGCAACACCGCCCAGGCTGAGACCGAGATCAAGCAGGTCTTCTATAGTAAGTTTGAAATTGTAGAATTATTTATGAGAATTGCTTGTTTCCAGAGTACGGAGAAGTTGAGGAGGTGCGCATGCCGCGCAAGGTTCTCGACAGCCCGAACGACACGTCGAAGCACGCGTTTGCTTTCATCACCATGCGAAACAAATCAGGAGTTCAAGCCATCTTTGGCGACGCGAAGCGCGATGAGACTGGAGTCTGGAAACTTCCGCTGAAGCTCGACGCTTTCGGATTCGACGGGTTGGCCCAAATTAGTGAGCAACGTGACCCACCTAACGGCGGTTTCCGTGGAGGACGCGGAGGCGGTGGATTCAATCGTGGAGGCGGACAGTTCTTCCGTCGCGGAGGATCAGGAGGAGTACCACGCGGTGGACTCCGTGGATTCCACAGCACCCCCCTTAACGGACACTGAAATTCCAGGCTCTTCTTCCACCTTTATTCCTTTCCTTGCTCCGAATAACCACTCTGACGATTTCCTGTAAGAATTACACCACCATACTGTTCTGTACCTTCCTTTTCCTCTTTCTCTTTATTTATTGCTTTTTCTTCCCTCTCCACTCTCAACCATCATCCCTGCTCTAATAATAATTTAAGTAAGAAGATTCTGGTATTTGAATTTTATGGCGTGTAGAGTGTTTTAGTAGATCTCTCAACCATCCCAGCCTCCCCTTTTCTCCTTTTCTCCTTTCCCCGGTTTTCGGTGACTGAAGACACTCGTACCGTGATCCCCAAAAGTGTACACAATCGCGCTTCGATGTTGAACGCTCGTCTGTCTACATTGTTGAAAACTTCTTGTCTTTTCAAACAAGTTGTAATTAAACATCATCACTATACACCACCGAATATCCAAGTTGTATTTGAATGTTGTTTTATTGTATTACCACTTTCCTCCATTTACCAGCCCCCTCCAATCTCCCCCGCACTTTCCCTCGTCCTTTTTTCCTTCTCATTTGGTTTGTTCGAGTACAATTGGTGTTTTGCCGCCGATTTTGCTCAGACTTTCACCACCTTTTGGCACGTTGGAATTAAAATAAACCTTTCTTGAATGTACCTGCTTCAGTTTCAATCGCTTTCTGTTGGTTATTAGTTTGCAAGTGTGTTGAGTGACAGTGTTCCGTATTTGTTGTATTCTGACGGCTTCTTCTAACATCACCAGCACTTCTGAGCAGAGAAGATCATCTAAAATGGATGATGACGATTACAATGTTCTGTCTACTGGATTCGCGGAAGACGACGGAGCTCTTCAGTATCCGTACGTTATTTGCAGATGACGTGAATTTTTGAATATCCTTCATTCTAGTGATGACGATGGGGAGCCACTGGCCGTTGTGTCCGAAAATCGGTTGGGAGAAGTGAGAAGTGCTCTGGAGGAATCTGGATTTAGTACGGGAATTTTATAAGAGAAATCAGAAAATATTGTGAATTTAGGCCGAAAACGACGTCTGGAAGAAATTGAAGACGTTTATGATAGGCAAGGAAGACGATCGCATCCGATGGGTTCGTTTAATTTTGAAAAGCTAAATTATCACGGAAATGTTGAAAAAGTCCATTCTTCAGATTGGCACATGAGAATGGAAACGATGGGAAACGAAGTGGTCGAGAAAAATCGGATGAACGCGGCGAAACGCCGGGCTTTGGAGAGTTTGGAGCAGAAAATTAACGAAGTGCCGGACGAGAGGAGTACAGTGGAAGGAGGTCACGAGGAAACATTCGGAGTGCCGCAGGAGGAGACTATCTATTCGTTGTGCGAACAGGAACTCGGACGGAGATTCAGCAGACGCAGAGTAAGCATTACCGGAGAAAATTAATTACAAATAGAAATAGCAACAACTAAAATACAATTTGCAGCACCGAATTTAGTCGCTGCTTTGAATAGTTTACTCGCTGCTTTCAATATTTTAGTCGCTGATTTTGACAACTTAGTCGCTGCTCTGGACAGTTTAATCGCTGCTCCTGATAATTTACGCTCTGCTTTTGCTGCTCTTGATAAACGGCCATATTGTTTCTTTCAGGAAATCATGACGAATCCTCCTATCGACGGCTCAGCGTGGATCGGTCTCAGCGACTCAGTCAAAGGCCAACGCTTCTACATTCGCACTTTCCGCGAGGAAACATCGCCAGTTCCATTCATCGAAGCGATCACCCAACAGGCGACTCAATCCCGTGTCGGATACCGTGCATTCCAGACGATTTGCCAAGAAGCCGAACGTATTGGTAAGGCGAAAGAGGCGGCTCGAATTAAGGAACAAGAGGAGGATTTCGCTCGGATGCTCGATTTGCCAGTGCTCAATGATACTGTGGAATCCGAAGAACCTACACAGACAACGGCGTCTTCACATCCAGAATCTTCTCTTTGGGTCAACAAATACGAAGCCAGAAATTTTACTGATTTACTCTCAGATAATGTACGTTTTTCTTGCGAAAATCCCTGTAATCTTCCTACCTTTCAGTCAGTGAATCGAAACATTTTGACTTGGCTTAAAATGTGGGACGAATGTGTATTCCGTCGAAAAGTCGACGATCTGATGGAGAGCTTGAGCGAAAAAGAACGCGAAGTTCTTCAGATGGACCATGGAAAAATCCGAAGACCCTCTTCCAAAATGATTCTGCTCTCCGGACCCGCCGGCCTCGGAAAAAGTACACTGGCTCGAGTCGTGGCACGACAGGCGGGTTATACGACGATCGACGTGAATGCGAGTGACGCTCGATCCGTGGCCGACCTGAACAAAGTGCTCGAAGGTGCAGTGAAAACGAGTCGGACTCTGGACGCGGATCAACGTCCTGCCTGTTTGATTCTGGATGAAATCGACGGAACACCGATCGAAACAATCCGTCATTTGATTCGTGTCCTTCAGGCAACAGGCAAAAAGGCCGTTCGCAGACCGATCATTGGAATTTGCAACAATTTGTGAGTTAAAACAAAAAATAGACATGATTTATTCACGAATTTCAATGGCTCGGGGAGTCGGTTCCTCCTTTTACTTGACTTTGCGAAGCGCTTTTCCCTCGTGATCGTGTCCGATCTCGTGCGTCGCCGTCTTCTCCACAATCATCACACGTTTTCCGCCCGACGCACCGGCAGTCGACATGGCGCTCTTCGCCGGCGGCTTCAGACCCTTCAGAGCTTGACGGTAGGCCGCCGCGATGGTGCGCACGTCGTCGTTCATCTGCACCGACGGTGGTTGCAGGATCTGAATCAACAGACGGCATTTTCTCAATGTTTTGAAGATCATACGTTGGCGGCCAACGCATTCTTCGCCCACTGCTTCGCCTCGATCGAATCGGGACGCTCGACGACGAACGTCACTTTTCCCTTCTCCTGAATGTTCTTGACGAGCAAATCACGAGCCACGTCCTTGTCGGTCACCGGAATTCCGTCCACGTCGCACAAGTGATCTCCGAGCACCAGACATTTCTCGGCCAGCGATCCGGGATCAACACGAGAAACGAGCACACGATTCTGAAGAAAATAACATGAATTCCGTTGAACATGCGCATAATGTTACTTGGAAGTGCTTAATTCCGAGTCCCAGTTTGGGTCCGTTCTGCACCCACACCAGAGTGGCCATCTCGTAGACGTATCCCTCGCGGCGCTGGATAATCTTGGCGCGGTCCTCCGGAATGTGCACACGAGCCTCGAGCTCTTCGGCTTTTTTCTCGTCGCGATTCACCAGAATGCACGCTTTTGGAGCGGCGAAACGGAGAGCGCGAAAGAAGTCGTTGGCGTCCTTGCAGTCCTGGTTGTTCACCTTCTTCACCTGATCTCCCACACGCAGTTTTCCCTCGGCGATTGTTCCGCTCTGGATCTTGGTGATGACGAGCTTGTCGTTGGGCGTCGCTCCGAGCGGCTCACCCTCCTCCATGTCGATCACAATCTCGATCATCTTCTCGGATCCCATCGCTTTGTTCGGTTGACGCTGTTTGCTTCCTCTTGCTTGGATAGAAGATTCTCAAACTGTGAACGTTCCCGAAAACTCGACCTTTTATAGTGATGCTAACAGAGATTTTATCTTTCTGGATTTTCACGCTGGGTTTCTTCGACCTTTGAACAGAATACTTGCGTGAATTTTTATTGAAAACTTTGCAAGAAATCAATTAGATAACGACTTTTAGGTTCACACCAGCGCTGAGAGAGCTTCGTGGAGTGGCGTGGTGCGTCCAACTCGGAGCCACCAAGCAGGATGCCCTTGCGAAGCGTCTCGAGCAAATTTGTGATCAGGAACGTCTTCGATGCGACATGAGCACACTCAGAAAGCTCTGCGATCTGTGTGCCAACGACATGCGACACTCGATCAACACCCTCCAATGGGTGGCGGTGGCGGCGAAAAAGAACAAAAGAGCCATCGGAATGAAGTTGGTCCACGAGGTGATCGAGAAAGAGAAAAGCGGCGCTTCTTCGATCTTCGAGCACTGGCACACAATTCTGGAACTCTCAAGGCACGCGGACGCACGAGGAAGCATAAAATCGACCCGAGACCGTGTGTTCACAATTGAAAAAATCGCCGCGGAGCACGGAGGAGAAGACCGATTCATTTCCGGAATCCACGCGAATTATCTCGTCACTCTGCCCATCGGAATTATTCGAAAAGCATCTACATGGTTCCTGTTCTATGATGATATTCAGAAAATTGTAAGAACTCCCATTGACTATTTATAAAGACATTCCGTTTTTTCAGATCTCAAAGTTCCAGAATTGGTCTGTGATGAAGTACGCCTTCTCCTCGTTCGTTTCTCTTCATTTGGCCATCGCTACACACGCCAGAATCAGTGTTCACTATCCACAACTGGAGCAGAACATGTTCCAGAAGACGAAAGAATCCGAGGAGACGTTGGCAGCCGTACGATCGTGTGGATTGGCGGCGCGGAATGCGTCCAAGAAAGAGTTGCTCACCGAGCTGCTCCCGTTGATTGTTGGCATAGTTCAGCCGCCTTTGAAGCCGGTATTCAGAAAACCAATATCGATTTTTACATAATTTTTCAATTCAGATGAACGAATCGCTGTACAATCAAAGAGAACTGGCCTTTTTCAATCAGACCGTCTCTATTATGTGCGACTACGGACTGACGTACACGGCGACAATGGTCAAGGATCAGGTCAACTATCTGTTCACGCCTTCAGTAGACATTCTGACCATGTTCCCGCTGGAGACGCCCCGGAGACCGTATCTGGCGAATGCTACCCGTCAAATGATCGCTCATAAAGTACAGCTTTCTTTTCCTTTTCTATTACAAATTTCTGAATTTCAGATAACATTGATGCGTGCCCGCTTGTCCGATGAACCGTTGAAAGTGACGACGAACACGGAAAAGATTAAGGACTTGGTGGAACAAGACAATAATAAGAAGAAGACGCCGAAGAGATTGTCGGCCGGGGCTATGAAGCGGATTCAGAACGGAAAACTGGCCGACGTGACTTTTGTGCATCAGGAGGGCGACAGCAGTGCAGTGAAGAAGAAGGTCACGCTGCAGCAGTTGAATGCGATCCTTTTCGGGGACAGATGATATCTGTTGAATGATTTTTCTAAATTGAGGTATACTAATTTTGATTGATACTCTGCTTTCTCTTTATTAAATGACACATTCCTCTCTTTTATTTCTATGGAAACATGGTGTAACTTGCAATTAGCGAGACTTCCCGTTTGCCTCACAAAGCGCGTTTTGCTTTTCAGGTGCAGTTCCGAATGATTTTTCTATTACTAATTTCAATTCACCTTCTCCTTAGCACATTCGGACAACAACAAGAGTGCATTTTCAATGTGCACCACGTCACCAAATCCAGTTCATTTCCGAGCTTTTGCTCTGCAATCATCGGGCGGTTTCGAATAGATGAAAGCTCGGAAATGACGGACTCTCAGCTGGTTTCACTTTTCCAAAGTGTGAAGGCAGTCGAGGGAGTCTTACAAGTGTATAATACCGATTTGACGGCCATCACTTTCACGAAGAACATTCGCAATTTGACTGGAGATCCTTTAGGTTTGGGGAATCAGGTTCATCTAGTAACTTGAACTTTTCCAGATAAAATGCTCTCAATATCGAATAACACAAAGTTGATCTCAATCGATTTGAGCGCTCTGAACAGTTCGAACGGACGGATCCAAGTGCAGAACAATCCGACACTGGATCTGAAATCCAACTGTCCGACCGTCCATTCCGTCTTTTTCACCCGCAGACTCATTTCCGGCAATCTGTTCGATTGCGGATGCGAGCTCAAAATCCCGTTCAAATGGCCCGACATTCGCGATTTTCCCAAAAATTGCATCGTTCTCTACGGCAACATCGTCCTGGAGGGTGCCTCTCCGCCTCCGGAAGTCTTGTACCGTTTGTCTTCGATCACAATATTATACGGCTATATAATGGTGTCAGACACGAATCTGGAGACTCTTGGATTCTTGCAAAATTTAGAGGAAATCGAGTCAGGTAGTCTTACTTAACTTTTGTTAGATACAAAATTAAGCATACAAATATTCAGGCCCAGATGCAGAATTTACGCTTGCAATCCGTAACAATTTCTTTCTAAGCCGTCTGGACCTTGTCAAACTTCGATCGATAAAAAGTCGGAATGCGGATTCGGACGTGGAATTCTCTTCGAGTTCCGGCGACTTGTGCGTGGATCCGGCCTTCATTCAGACGTTGGCCCAATCCGATTTACGGGATATAAAAAATTATGATACCCTCAAATTTTGTCCGATGGATAGTAAGTTCGGATTGTAACTTTATTGCACAAAATGAAATGTTCAGAAATGAATAACCCATCACTATATTGCTCGGGAAAGTTGTCATCGGTGAATGATCGATGCACCATGTACATTGGCAATATGCTGTACTTCAATGAGCCGTTTTTCACGCTACAGGAGAAGTTTAACTATACGAAAGTGCCAGAAGCCGATTATAAAAAGTTTGTGCTGAACTTTTGACCCAGTTAGAATACCCCGATCGGACAAACTTTGCAGACTTCTTAAACTTGGATAGACAGATGTTCGGTTCAAATTTCAAACTGAACAGACTATATGGTCCGGTCTCCATTGACCGAATAATCTAATTCTCATGAAATTTGGGCCCAAGATGCTCCAATCCAAGTCCTTGAAGTCTACAAAGTTTGGAATTCTAACTGGGTCAAAAGTTCAGGCAGTTATCTCAAAAATGAGTTTAGAATGCAACAATTCGAAGTGATTTTCGGCACAATTCACATTGAAGCCAGTAATTTGACAAGTTTTACATTGCCCAATCTGAAAGAGATTTATCAAATTGAACGTACGTTTGAACAACTTGAAACATTGAAAAAACCACTTTTATCTTTCAGATTTATACGAAAACTATGAGCAGTTTTATCTGAATAACGTTATAAGTTTGAAGAGTAATTACATGTTGCGAGAGGTGTCTTTTCCCAATTTAAAAGTCGCTTATCAACTGGTTTCGTTTGCGGATAACACGAATTTGACGACGGACGACGATTTCTGTCGGAGAGTGACGAATGGAACGAAACGAATGATTCTGGGCTTCAATTCCGATTATGATTGCAGTAAGTTTCGCGACGTTTTGCAACCAAGAAACATTTATTAATGTTTAGGACCCTACATGGCTGAATTGACGACACTTTAATTGGCTGAAAACTGAACTTTTCATCTTTCTAATATTTACGTGACTTTTTCAACAACAAAAAAAGAGCCCATAACTCATTTGAGGGCTTTTCCAGGCTTACTTTAACCCATCAGGATTAGCCCTTAAGACTCCTACTCCCCCTTTTTCGTTTCGTCTTCTTCATTGTGTCTTTACCATTTCGAAAAATGCAATTTTTTCTCCTACTGTCCGTCTTTTTCGTTCAAGCGTTGACAATTTCTTGCCAAAACGCAACTGAAAGTCTCGATGAAACCGTCGTGATTCCCACTTTGAAACCGACAAAGTTTCTGGATAAAGTGCGTGCGATCGGTCGGAAACAGGCGGTCGGAGTGCGAGGAAAACTGTTGTGCGGCGGCGTTGCGGTCAAAAATGCCACCGTCAAGTTGTGGGATAACGATATGTGTAAGTGTTAGGAAAGTTGAACAACCCTAATCGAAAACTGTAATAATAGAACGACACTGTATATTCAATACGATATATCTCAATTCTCTAGAGCTATCAAAAAGTGGCAAACTAATCAATTATTCCCTAAAACATATTGTACATTTTATCAATTGACCACTTTTTGATACCTCTACAGATAACTGAGATAGATAGCCTTGAATAAAGTGTACATCTTTTCATTTGGAAAGATTGGAATAACTTTTAAAGTGAATTAAACAACACCTTTTCAAGATTTATTACTAGTGTGTCCAACATATATTTTTCAGTCGACCCTGACGACCTAATCGCCGAGAGCCACGTGAAACCGGACGGAACTTTCGAAGTGTTCGGGCTCGCAATCTCGATCACAAAAATAGACCCGCAGCTCCGAATCTACCACAACTGCCGTTCGGAATCAAAGGAATGCCGCCGAAAGATCACTTTCACCATCCCCGACAACTACATCAACAAGGGACCGAAGGTAATTGACTCGAGTGGATCTCAAGTATTATTTTCTTCCTTCTTTCATTTAGGTGACTAAATGGTTCGATCTGGGCACGCCGAACATGGAATTCGGAGTGAGACACAAGGAGGAACCGCATTGTTTCTGAATTGCTTAATTATATTGTGTGTTGTTCCTTCCGTGACCATAAATGAACCAGTATCATAAACAGAAGGCTATGCCATTCTCACAAATGATAAGAACCAGACGTCTTCGAACTAGTTAGCCAACCAGTCGGCCGACTATATAAGCCCCAAACGCCGGCGCCGATTCTTCAGTGTCCCACTCGCATCCACTCGCATCATGGACATCGACGCTCGCATCAAAGCGTACAAATTCGTCGCCTACTCGGCCGTCACCTTCTCCGTCGTCGCCGTCGTTTCCGTGTTCATCACGCTGCCGATGGTCTACAACTATGTGAACAATGTGAAGAAACAGATTCACACCGACGTCAACTTCTGCAAAGTTTCCGCCCGCGACATCTGGAGCGAGGTGCACCTCATCAAGGACGCGCCGAGCAACAGCACTCGTCTCGCCCGTCAGGCCTACTCGACCGGCGGAGCTTCAGGCGGAGGAGGCGGAGGTTTGTCCCCTATTGACACTTTTTTGAGTGTACAGTATCAGTTTTAGGATACTCTGGAGGAGGAGGAGGAGGAGGCGGATGCGACGGATGCTGTAACCCGGGACCACCAGGACCGGGAGGATCCCCAGGAAAGCCAGGAAGGCCAGGAAAGCCAGGAGCTCCGGGAGCACCAGGAAACCCAGGAAAGGGAGCGTCGGCCCCATGCGAGCCAGTCACTCAGCCACCATGTCAGCCTTGCCCAGGAGGACCACCAGGACCAGCAGGACCAGCCGGACCACCAGGACCACCAGGACCTGACGGAAGCCCAGGATCACCAGCCGGACCATCTAGCCCAGGACCGGCGGGACCACCAGGACCAGCCGGACCAGCCGGAAACGACGGAGCGCCAGGAAACCCAGGAGCACCAGGAGAGCCGGGAGCGTCGGAGGCCGGAGGAGCCGGAGAGCCCGGACCAGCTGGACCACCAGGACCAGCAGGACCAGCAGGAAACGACGGAGCGCCAGGAACCGGAGGACCAGGACCTGCCGGACCAAAGGGACCACCAGGACCAGCTGGAGCTCCAGGAGCCGACGGAAACCCCGGAGGACCGGGAACCGCCGGAAAGCCGGGAGGCGAGGGCGAGAAGGGAATTTGCCCCAAGTACTGCGCCATCGACGGAGGAGTCTTCTTCGAGGACGGAACCCGACGCCGCTAGACACACAAGAAGCGAGCTGTTTGAGCCAAATAAAGCATTATTTCATTCCACATTCTAATTTTATTTGTGAAGGGAAGCTACAACATAACTTGAGTCTTAATTCAAGCTCTTTATTCAAAGCGATATAATTCAGTTGCCGGTAGAGATATCGAAACGTGATTAACTGAAAAAATGTGCAAAATTGTCTAGTGAACAATGTGTCAGTTGACAAGTTTTTCGTATCTCTATTCACAGCTGAGATATAGCCGTCTTGAGTGAAAAGTTTCCACGGTAGTTGCTTTTACTACTATCTCCGACGAAACCAGTTCATTTTCTCGTCCTCAGCCACAAACCCACGCCACTGACGTACAATCGTGTTCTTCGATGTCAAGTTGATATTGTGTGATCACATTAAGAGGCCTCAGCATGCCCTCACCTCGTTAACACATGCAAATCCTGCCCATTTCCCTAATCGTCGAGGTTCGATTTTGGTTTTTGCGAAAATATTGAAATTTTTTTGGGTGAGAATAAATAATATGGAGGTCACTCGATCATCACAGAAATGTCGACGACGGCGGTCAAAAAAATATCAGTCAAAGAGTGAGTATTCCATTTTTTTTTTTAGGGTCAGAATTTTGACGTTCAGAAAAGAGTTATCCGAACGGCAGACGCCATGGAAATCCGTGTACGTCGTCGCGTTTCTTCTGCTTCTGATCGGTCTTCAAATGAGCATTTATTTCACTTCCACGTGGCAATATTTGTCTGAAGTATGTTTCATCGTAGTCTATCCTGCCACTTTATCGTAAAACTATAATAGAATTGCATTCCCCCCATTTCAAAACCTTCAAGACTATACCGTGTTTTTTCACAACAATGTATCTCAGCTGTCTGTAAAGATATCGAAAAGTTGTCAACGAATAAATTGTTCATTAAAACATTTTGTACATTTTATCTGTTGATCACGTTTTGGTATCTTTACAGACAACTGAGAAATAGTGTCCCGAAAAAGAGCTACAATATAACACGAGGAGTGTGTACATAAGACAAGCTATCTCAGCTGTATGTAGAGATATCTGAAAGTTGTCAACTGATAAATTGTTTATTGCAAAATTTTATACAATTTACCAGTTGACCACTTTTAAATATCTCAACTGCCAGCTGAGACATATAGTTTTGAATAAACGAGTAGGCTTCCGCGCTATTGTAAAACTACAAATCGGTGACGTTCAAGCCAAAGATCGTATTCAGAACGATGAAACGGTCACTGTGGACTTCTTCGGAGCGCTTCTGGCCCTTCAGGCCCTCTCCTCGGCGTTTGCGAATCCACTTTTCGGCTTCTGGAACCAAGTATCCAGTTCCACGCGGAGACCGGTGTTCTGCGCGTTCGGCGTGGCCACCATCGGCAATTTGATCTACGGTTTTTCGTATTTGGCACCTCCGTTCGTCAAATGGGTCATGTTATTCGCGAGGATTCTCACTGGATTCAGTCCCGGCGCACTTGGAGTGCTCCGAAGTTTTATCGGAACGGCTAGCACGAAGGAGGATCGAATGAAGGCGGTTTCGATAACAAATTCCGGATTTACAGCCGGATTCTTCCTGGGACCCACTATTCAGGTACGTTTGGCAACCAGTGGGTGGTTGCAAAGCGTCTTTCATTACAGATCTGCTTCATTCCACTCGGAAAAGAGGGCGTCTATCTCGGCCCGTTCCTCCTGAACATGTACACTTCGGCGGCACTTTTCATGACGCTCATCTCGATTTTCTCAATTCTCCTAACCTATATCTGTCTGGAAGAGAACTACGTGGGCATCATCAGCCAAGAGGAGAAGACCTCGAATCCCTATTTTGTGCTGCCAAAGTTCGACCGTCTTCCGGTGTTGCTTCTGTTCTACATGTGGTGGCTCATGTGTGGCGTCGTGTGCGTCGAGAGCATGTCCGCGCCCGTCACAATCGCCATGTACAACTGGAGCCGTGAAGACGCGGTCCTTTATAACGGAATCGTCCAGACCGTCTCCTGCGTCTTCACTTTCTTCATCAATTTCAGTCTGGCCTCGACGCGACTCAAAGAAATCGACAATCGGATTCTGATGCTCATCGGGCTCGTCTTCTTCGAGGCCTTCTTCATTCTCCACATGCCTCTGCCCTTCTACCCAGGACCTTTGGACCGTCCGTCCGCGCTCAATACGACCGCAATCATCGGAAAATGTGAATTTGAGTGGTGCGACAGTACTCCGCGAGTACCCCTCCCACTCTATCTCTTCATTTCTTCCGCTATCATCGGCCTCGGATTTCCGTTGATTTCATCCACTTCCAGCTCTTTGTTGAGCCAAATTATTGGTCCGAGAAAACAGGTAAAATGGGCCATATGTAAGCACGTTTTGAGGAAAGAAAGGTTTTAGGGTACTGTACAAGGATTCTTTGCGTTCACCGGATCATTTTCACAATTTGTGGTATCACTATTCTCCACGTGAGTTATTGGAGGGTTGTAAGTAAAAAATGAGCGCCCAAACTAGTAGTATACCGCTGAATAGAGCGTCAGAAGTTACATAGTAAAAACATGGCAATGGACAAGCAGTGGCCACTGCGACCAAAAGTGTAGAAAGGGGCGTGGCCAAATCTGAGACGCGTTTTCTGAAAATTGCCGCAATTCCAGCACTTTTCCGATGATTTTTGTGTTTGATATCGACGAAAGAAGAGACATTAAAGAGAGAAAACATTGAAATTTTCGTGAAAACGCCGTGTTTGACACGTTTTTGGCATATTTCGCAATACGCCCTCCGCCGCAATTTCGGAATTTTCATACCGGCCGATGTGGATAGTTTTGAGACGAAGTGAGTGTCGGAAGTGATTAAGCACGTTAATACAAGTATTTTAAGCGTTCAAACGGCAAAAAGTATCGGCGAATGACTGAAATTCGCGCATTTTCAGCACAAAACTTGAAAATCGATTCAATTGATTGAATTTCTGAATGAAACCTGCTCGTTTTAAGCTCAAAATTGCGCGCAATGATTAGTTTATTAACAAAGTTATGCAATTACATCGTCGTCGTACAAAATCGTACAAAAATTGTGTAATTTTTGACGAAAAACGTGAAAAATGGCGTTAAATTTCGAATTTCGCGCCAAAATGGTGTCAAAACCGTGCACGCGCTAGGCCACGCCCCTTTCTACGTTTTTGGTCGCCGGGATTGTGATGAAATTTACAATTCCTCAACGTTTCTCATAGTCTTTTACTGATATTGAACACATTTTCAATCATCCGGTGCCGCTTCAACGTCCCTGCACTCATTGACATTTCAAAAATTTGCAGACGACTTTTCGAGTTGAGCGGCTACAAATGGATAATGGTCTACCACTGGTGCATCGTCACAATCGCCGCCTTTTCAGTGCTTTTGCTCTGGCGACGTCTCGTTCCGCTGCAAATCACGCCCACGCACGGAGAAGCGACCCGCTACAAACTGGGCACATTCTACCGAATGTAGTAGAACACGTTTTCAGTTCACTTTTTCTTTTTTGTGTGTGTCATCTTGTAAAACTTGTATTTGAGAGCTTTATTCAATAAATATACACACCTGGACACAATTACAAAGGCACTCTATTTTTGCGTTTTCTTCAGAGTGATTAAGAACGAAAAATGACGATTTTTCGATCATTTTGTGGGTTTGCTAACATGGATTTTTGTCTGAAAGACCCATGTCGCTATCATTTTTGGTACTGGAGAAAAATGCAAAAATAGAGTGGCTTTATACTTATGTCCAGGTGTGTATAATCGAGGAATGTGAAGGGGCGGTGAAGAAGGTAATTTGTGATTCATCTTTTTAAGTAGTAGACTTTTTTTGAGCAAACGGGCTAAGTTTTGGCACATTTTTGAATTTAGTTAGGGTAAAAAGGAAGTGGTTCTACTGGATGGATTCCAAGCGGTGTGTCCTGAGTCAGTCGCGGGGGGCGAAGAAGCGGTAAAATTAAAGCATACAATGTTATAATAGAAAAGGAAAAAAAAAAGAGGAATTATTTACAAATATCGACTTGTGTGACGTTGTTACAAGTCTGGCACACCACTTTACAGCACCATTCGAATTTGCAGTTGCACTTGGACTTGACCTCCTGAGTGTACGTGTTGTAGCCACGGCCGCAGCACAGACTGTCGCAACCGTCGGCTCCACTCGCGCCACGTCTGCAAAAAAAAGTGAAACTATCAATAATGTATGTACCAGAGCCACTTTTATTCAATATCTAAGACTTTGAAATGTACACTTACTAACAGTTAACTTCCAAGAGTATTTTGGAGACGGAACAAAATGTTTTTTACGGAACACGGAAAACGGAAGACGGAAGACGGAAGAAAATTTTTCTCCCGGAAGACGGCAGACGGAAGACGGAACAAAAAATCGTCAATGCAGAACCTTTTTCTCCGGTGTTTTTTTTTTTTTTGAAAAATAATAACTAAACAACAAAAATTTTGGATCTGGGTCACTGGGTCACTGGGCCCATGGACATTCGCGTTCTTCGGGGCTAGTAAATGGCTTCTGAAAAGCTATTACTCTTTTACGGTAAGAAGAAAAAATCCCGGAAGACGGCAGACGGAAGACGGAAGAAAACTTTTTTCCCGGAAGACGGAAGACGGAACAAAAAAAATCCACGGAAGACGGAAGACGGAAGACGGAAGACGGAAGACGGCAGACGGAAGAAACATTTTTTTACGGAAGACGGCAGACGGAAGACGGAAGAAAACCTTTTTTCCCGGAAGACGGAAGACGGAAGACGGCAGACGGAAGAAACATTTTTTTACAGAAGACGGCAGACGGAAGACGGAAGAAAACCTTTTTTCCCGGAAGACGGAAGACGGAATTCCGCTCAACTCTGGTTACAATACTCTAGGGTACTAGAAGATTTGATTCATAAAAGTGCAACTCACTTGCAGACCCTTCCCTCGGTGCCCAGAGTTCCGGCATGTCGATCGAAGCGACAATAGTCCGGTGAGTCGTCCATGAAAACCAAATCAGTGGGCAGTGCTCGAGTCTTCCGCTCTTTTCCAGTCTCATCGGCCAAAAGTTGCAAGTTTCCACGGTCGTTTATCTGAAAATCAAGGCATAACACTTTCTTTTTTTTTAAATAGTTGTGCGTGTACCGTACCTGAACCCGAATCGCCTTGTCGTACTTATTGCGGAGGATCTTTCCGACTTGTTCCATACTCGGCAGCTGCATCCAACACGTCTTCATATTGCACGCTCCCGATACTCCGTGACACTTGCACTTTGGTTTTCGGTGTCTATAAAACTCCGAAATGAAACTTGTGACCTTTTTCAAATCCAAACCAGAACCTCTTCAAAATCTTGCGGCCTGCCTCGTTGTTGCGTCTGTTCATCAGACTCCTTCCGTTATCATGATTCCTTTTCGGATCGTGCTCTTTCTCGCGAATATCGATGAAATCGCGGGCGAACTTGTAGCCGTACTCGACATTATCGCCACATCCTCCCCAACTCCAATCGCTCGGCACATTCTTCGGCTTCATCTCGTCCGAACATCCGCACGACGTCAACATTCCCTGCTTGCAACGTCTTCCAATCTCGTGCGTCACGCCGGCCGACAGAATCGCGTAGGTGAACGCGGCCTCGCGCGTCGCCATCTTGTGAATCGGGCCGAGCATTCCGGTTCCGTAGTGCGTCGAGCAATTCCAGCGGTGACCACTGAACTGACGTTGACATTCCTGTGGAAAACGTGAAACTGATGAGAGAGTAGGCGAATTGAGGCGACTCACTTGAATGGCATTCTGAGCTCCGGAGCTCACGGCAGGCATATGATCTTTGAAAAGCTCGCAGACTTGTGCTTGACCGGGAGAAAGACCCTCGAGCTCGCAGATCGGACGGACATTGTGACCGGCGAGCGCTGTCGAGAGTTGTGCTACTGTCGACCTGAAAGTTTATGTAATTTTGGTACTCAACTAGCCACTGGAGGTACAGAAATTCACACAAATACAGTTAAAACTGTGTTAGGAAAGCATCGCTTGTTCAAAACAATATATCTCGGCTGGCGGTGGAGATATCAAAAAGTTGTCAACTGATACAATGTCCACTAACAATTTTTAAACATTTTTTCAGTTGAACACTTTTTGATATCTCTACGGACCGCTGAGATACATAGTCTTGAAAAACGGCGTTCAACTCGTGAAGCTCTAATACAACAATAGAAGCGTCTACATTCAAGACGACATATCTCAGCTGCCTCTAGGAATATCAACAAGTTGTCAACTGATAAATTTTTTAATAAGATATTGTGTACATTTTTTCAGTTGACCACTTTTTACTATCTTCACACACAAGTGAGATATATTGTCTTGAACAAACGGCACCTTTTCTACACTAGTCTTCTAGCTACATCCTAGTGAATTGACGAAATTAGAGGCTTCTAGCTTTAGACATTGATTTTACATGAACTATAATTCTAATTTTAAAAAGTCTCACCACCAGGATGCGTCCAAAAGTGATCGAACTTGTGCAAAAGTGAGAAGAAGTAATATCCAACTACCCCTCCTCGGAATCATCGGGCGCGCTCTTCTTCTTCACTTCAAATCTTGACGATTTCGATTCTGAAAAGTGAAAAATTCAATTGACAGCTTCTAGGTTCGAGTAAAAGAGCCAAATAAAATGAGATCAAATCAAGACCCCCCCCCCCTCCTCCTCGTTTTCCTGTGATGACGAAGTTTTGGAAAAAATTGGAGGAGGAGGAGAGGGAAAAGCAAATGGAATGTTAGGTTTTTGGATTAAAGCGACATTCGATATATGATACGCGCTTCACCGTTTTTTTTTTTTTTTGGTTGCTTGTGCTCATTTCATCCGTTGAGCAAAACATCAGACATTAAGCAAACTGGTCATGGCAGGAATTGATGACGATCCGTGTTTTGGGAATATACAATAGCTAGAAAGAGGATCTCAAAAAGTTTGATTAAGAGTGAAAAGAGGTACACTTTTGTTGGCTAAACTTTACGTGCAATGATATTGTAAAATTGCCAAAAAAAAATGGTAAAGCGCCGAGACCAATGGAACGGTGGAACAAGTTTTTGTACTAGAGGAATACGTTCAGGAAACTCCGGAGGGGTGAAGTACTGTTGAGAGGAAGAGAAACAGAACGTCTCAAGCAAACAACGACGGGAAGAAGAAAGAGAGAGAGAGAGAGAGAGAGAGAGAGATGCGCAAATTTGACCTATAGATTATAATGATTATGCATATGAGCACACACACACTAACATGCACAGTCCCCCCGGGTCTTATCACTCTTTCTCTTTCTCTCTCTCTCTCTCTCTCAACAATCGCTATCAGCATAAAAGTGTCGCTTCTCTCTTTGCGCGGACGGAGCAAGACGACAATAGTCGTTCTAGCTTCGGTGGAGCGTCTCTAGACCCATCCTTAAAAGTGAAAAAGCTGAGGAACAATGAAATGCAGAGAAAAATCGTAAAGTGAGCCTGCCTTGACCCCCCCCGCCCCCTTTTTCGGGCAGTCTAAGGTTCCAGGGGCTAGGGGTCATTTCCGTCCGGAAAGGATACGTCATGGAATCGGATACTTTCATTCTCTCTTCTTGAATTAACGTCTAGAAAAGTTGGAAAAGTTGGAAAAGTGTGTGTGTGTGTGTGTGTGCGCGCCTTTCGGGAAAAAGGAGGCGACAATAGAAATAGAGAAAGAAGACGACAATATTGTGACACGACTATTGAGATGGGGGGAAAAGGGGAGGACGATGGGGCTGCTCTCTCTCTCTCTCTCTCTTTCTCTCTCTAGAAGAAGGATGGGGTGGTAATCAGTCAAATCCGTGGCCCAGAAATGACAGGCCGCGTGGCAGAAAGTGTGTGAATCGAGGAGACGCAGAGACAGAGAAAGAGGGAGAGGAGGAGCCCGATGGGAGAGAAGAAATTGATGATGAGGGAGACTAATTTATGGAAGATCGGAGGCAGGAGGGGATTGGGGGCGAATTATTGGATGATAGGTGAGATTTTTCCAACTTTTTTCCAACTTTTTCTTCATCTCGCACACTGTAGCCAACTATCGAATGATCCATAGAAAATTAGGCCTTTTGGGACATTTCGACCAAACGTTTTTCTCAATTTTGCTTGATACCAACGTTCGAGAAAAAAAAAAAAAACGATTACGTCTTCAATTCAATCGAGACGGATCGGATTACACCCTCTTGTTGATCCAAACGATTAGTACCATCCCCATCCCCTTTGAGGGCTCTTTTGAAGGTGGGACAACTCGCAACCCGATTATTGGTTGCGAAAGGTCTTCCAGTTGCAAACTGTTCGTTTAAAGATCTAACCGGAAAGTTTGGTGGCTCATAGAGTTGCAGAGTGTCCAACACACACAAAATTCAGTGAGACTTTATGAATTTCCGGCACCAAAACCCTTCATTTTAATCTCATTTTGCCGAGGCGTTGCTATCGACGTCCTCATTGTCCGTCTCGTCAATGTTCTCCATGTCAAACTCGCCGTTCGGCTTGCCCATCACGTACTTGCTCACCAAAAATGCGGCGGCGGCGGCTATCAGACACGTCAATCCCAATCCCAAATAGATTTTGCCGTCTGAAAAGAGCATACATACATACATACATACGTCTCCCCTTTCTGCAACTTTCCATACTTCCAGGATTGGTGTCCTTGAGCCAATTGTGTACGGTATACGTGAGATTCATCGCTTTCAGGTCCCGTTCAGATTTGATCTCCTCGTTCTTCACGACTCTTGCTCGCTTTCCACCGCCGGCTCCCGGCGTCATGTTGACGTCGTCGTTGAAGAATGCCGACGCGTTCACCACGTGGCTTTTGATCGAAATGCTCGTTTTCGAGTGGTTTTCGCCGATGACTATGCAACTTTGACGCTTGTTCGCCGCGCATGTGATCTGAACGTGGTGTGGAATCAGAGAAAATGGTCGCGACTTGGAAAAAGACAGAATAACTCGGTTGCAAAGTGTCCCCCCGTACTCACAGTCTCCAGTTTCTTGAACGCGACACTGGCGAATTTGTTATTGGTGATCTGTAGAGTGGGCATGGAGACCACAAAAGTTCCGATGGCCTTGAGCTTCTCGAAACTGACGTCGTCTTTCCACGCGACGCCGTCGATCACCAACCGCCCGTGCACCTTCTCCAGGCTCTTCGCGTACTTTGGCGTGCTGCTGACGTACTGAATGACGAGGTCGCCCAACAGTTCGGTGCATCCGAGCGCGTCGAACTGCTTCTGCTCCTGCTGGCTCGTAATTGTGTGCGAGGTGAAGCAGCCGTCGTTGTCGGTCCGTTTGCACTCCATCCGCGTGTTTTCAATGATGGCCGCCCACTCTTTCTGGTTCTTCTGAATTCAGAAGCAGTTAGAGTTTCATGGCACTTCAAAAGTTGTCAAAATTTCTTAATAAACAATATTTTAGTTGACATTTTTTTTCTGATATCTCCACAGACAGCCGAGATACATCGTCTTGAATACACGATATCGGGTTTACCTCCGAAACTTTGACGGCCTTCAGTTTATTGTCGTCCTCAACGCTCGCTTCTCCTGTTTTGTTGCCGGGCAGCCCGAATTTGTAGACGACGACGTCGTTGGACACTGATTTTGACGAAAAATGCACCGGATAGCCGTCATTTGCACAGTTTTGCACAGCTATCCCAATCTTGACAGCTTCAGGGTTGCGTGAAACGAAAGAGGACAGGTGCGGAAGAAGGAAAAGGATTTTCTGTTTAAAGGAGGAAATTAGTCGTGCTTCTGGAGTCCAAACTCGCCAAGATAAGACTTTTCAGAAGCATTATGCTGGCTGGAATCGTCAGAAAAACAATGATGATCGTGTCGAAGTTGGGAGCGAGGGCATCCGAAGGTCACGCTGGCAATGAGAAAGTGATCTTGGCAAAAAAAAATACAGTGGAATTGAACTGGAACACAGTAATGTTACTATCAAATTAATATTCTTGGCCCGGACGCTGGAGGCGAGAATATTAATTTTTATGTTCCTCTTCCACTCTTCCACTCTCTTCCACGCAGAGTTGCCACGGGCCGGGCCAAAATTTTCAAAACTCCGGCCCGGCCCGGCCCGGTCGGCCCGGTTCAAAAAGCGGGAATCCAAATTTTGAACTATTGATTAAATAAAATGTTTGTTTTTCGTAGAACTAACGAATTTTGCAAGTATCGAACATAAAAAAGAAATGTAGTTCTCAAAAATAGTTTTTATTGGCATCAAAGCAAAAGTCTTAATTTTAATCCCCACAAAAAAAAAACGAAAAAATAGATTTCCCCCAAAAATTTGAATTCGCGCCTTGTTAGCCGGGCCGGCCCGTAATCTGGCAAGTCTGCTTCCACGGTCTCCGGAGCTTACAATGTGTGCAAGTGCGCCCCGCCCAATAGAGCGATACATTGGCGCGAAATTCAAATTTTAACAGCAAAATTTGTGTTTTTTGCGAGATTAGCCACGAAAAACCGATAATTTCTCATTTGTCTCTCGATAGACCGATTGTATAGGCGATTACGAATTTTTTAAGCGCAAGAGCGTTAAATTTGGTCAAGTCGCAAATCACATTTGTCCGTTTGAAGGTTTTTGGCTAAAACTGCGTGAATTTCAGTTGCTTTTCGGTAATTTTCGCGGTTCGAGCGCTCAAAATGCTTGTATTTACGTGATTCATCATTCTCAAAACAAATTCTGTCTGAAAACGGTCAAGAAAGCGCAAAATGAGAAGCAAAGTCGGCGAAAAATGCGCCAAAACGTCATTAATTCTGAGAATTAGTGAGTTTTTATGTCGAACAATCATTTTTCATCGCCGTTGACCACAAAAATCAGAGAAAACCTGCTCAATTCATGAAAACGCCATTGGCCGCCGAGGCCACGCCCATATTGTCAGCTCTGGAGACCGCGCGCGGCAAGAAAATTAATTTTTATGTTTTTTTATGTATACTCGTCACAAATCACATCTTTTTCTCTAAACTGGGACATCTTGTAACCGAGCATATCGTTATGATTCCTCTTTTTTCAACACGATAATCCAATTCTGACATGTCCCATTTTTCATCTTGTTCGCATGTCATCTGATGACATCCCATCCACACGTCCCATTTAGAATTGCGAATAAATTCGCTCGTCTCACTTTCTCTTTCGTTTTCAACTGAAAAAGAGCTCGGAAATGCTCTCAATGTGCCCCTTTTCTGCCATTCTCTTCTCCCCCTTTCTCTCTCTCTCTCTCTCTCTCTCTCTTTTTCCCATTCCAAAAGCAGACACGCTCTGGCTCCGTCGGCCGAGCAACTCTTTTTCTTTTTTGCTCCGCTCATCGATTTTTTGAGCTCTTTTTTTGAGGAAGGGGAAGCGGAAGCCGGAGGAAAGAGTGAAAGTCTGTGCACTTTTTCGCTTGGCTTTGTCACGTTTTGTTAGCTTCTTCCAGCTTTTTTCTTCTTCTTCTTCTTCTTCTTCTTCCTGTTTTTCTTTGTTCCCTTCAGAATTATTCCTTGTTTTTCCGTGTCCGCCCATGCATTTGAATTTATGAGTTTCTGTGGGAAATGGGTGTGTGTGTGAAATTCAGGTACTGATTAGAAAATCGGTAATATCTCAAGACCAAGACATGATCTCAGAACATGATCAACAGAAAAGTTAGAGAGCTTGAAATTATCTGTCGATTCTTTTTTTGACTTTGAAAAAAGCTTCGAAATCAACCGAAAAATACGGTCTGGAAGTTGCACTCACTGTGTTGTTTAGTAAATCGATAATATCTCAACACCTAGACATGCTCGTAAAAAATTATCATTTACAAAGTTGTAGTCCTTAAAATTATCTTTCAATTTGTTTTTTAACCTCTAAAAAATCTTCAAAAATGGCCGAGAAACAAGGTCCAGAAGTTCATCAAAGTACCAAGAATCGCCGAGCGTGTTCATAGAAACTTTTCAGCTGTTGCTCGTAAATCTGAAGTGAAAACCGGTGAATTTCCATCTTTTACACCACATTTATTGTCCTTTCTTGCTTCTCTTTGCCACGTCATATCTGTCATTCGAAACGCTCCGCTATTATTCGATTCTTCAAGAAAAAGACGGGGGGGTGTGAGTCATTTTGCGTAAAATAGACGGGTTGACAAACTCAATTAGCATTATTGATGACGTAGTTTTCTGGAAAAACGCCCCAAAAGCTTGATGTTCACAAAATTCGGCCCGCCAATGCTCTCTATGTGTTGTGTGCTGTTTGCTTAAATCGATAATGTACGTGTGTACGTTCTGACACAAAAAAATGTAACACCCTCAATCCGTCGCTCTCTTTCCACCTCTAAATCTCCCATTTTGTACGTATCCCCCTCTAATTCGACACACAAATTGGATCTTTTTCAAATTTTTGTTTTCAACACTTTGATTGATAAGATATGAAACTTTTTTGTGTGTGTGAGTGAGAGTGTGTAATTCTATAACATTATTATGAATATTATCAGTGTCAAGTAAAAGATCACTCCCAAATATTGACAATTCGTCCGTTTTTTCCACTTTTTCGTTTACTTTAGGGGGTGAGCCGCCTGCAAACACTTACACTTTTTATCACCTATCAGCCACCACCTTTCGAGAATGCGTTTCATGGAAAGTTTTGTTATCAATCATCGATCCACGTGAATTTCCCAATGGTTTTCCACAAGTTGAGAGAAATTGGACGGAAAGTGACAAGTATCACCTCGAGAAAGTGATCGATCGTCCCTTACCATCATCTTCTTCTTCAACGCCTTTTTTTAGTACTTTTCGAGAGAGAGAAAACCAGTTTTTCGCCAGTTTTCAGAGAAATTCCATCTTTTTTTGGATTCTAATTTGTTTTGCGATCATTGATTTTCGGTTCAAAGGCACTCAACCCGAAGCCCGTTTATTGAAGAGAATGTATCTCCGTTGTGTGTAGAGATACCGAAAAATGGTAAGCTGACAAAATGTTCATTGAATTATAGTGTACATTTTCTTAGTTGACCACATTTTGATATCTCTACACACTTCTGAGATAGACTGTTTCGAATGTGTGGTGCCGTTTTTACAAGGTTTAGAGCAGAGATGTTGGGAATTCCGTGTTCCGTGTTCCGTGTTCCGCGTTTTTTTCAATATTTTTTCCGTGTTCCGTGTTCCGTAAAAAAAAAAATTTCCGTTTTCCGTGTTCCGTGTTCCGTAGAAATAAGTTTTTTTCCGTTTTCCGTGTTCCGTGTTCCGTAAAAAAAATTTCCGTTTTCCGTTTCCGTGTTCCGTAAAAAAAAAATTTCCGTTTTCCGTGTTCCGTGTTCCGTAGAGTAAAATTTTTATTCCCAACATCTCTGGTTTAGAGTCGAAGTTGAAATTCCATTTCTATGCACTTTTTCCTCTTCTTCTTCTTCTTCTTTTTCTTCTTCTTCTGCCTTCGTTTCCCTCAATTTCCGAGTCGCTCCGAGACAATTGGTCTCTCCTCGTCTCTGCGTCTCCATTGCACCCGCACTCTCTCTCTCTCTCACTCTCACTCCTAATCAACACGCCCCAGCTTGATCATTTTTTGAGCCTACTTGAGCTTGACCCCGGTTTTTTTTCCAAAGGGTTTTTTGTGCTCCGAAAGTGGACTTTGTCATTCACATGCACAAAAAACTTTGCCATTTCGCCGCCGAATATTATAAACTTCTCCGCTTTGTGCTCCTTATCTTTCCCAATATATATTTCTCTTCTCGAACCGCTCATCTTCTTCTTCTTGATTCTCACTGGCGCTGGCGCCCTCTCTTCCGTACTCAACGCCTATTGTACACATCGGATCTTGGCAGGCAACTCTAACAAGACTTGGGCCCCGAGGATGCCGTCGACGCGGTGCGCTCACGATCTGAGCCAGAAGAAGAGGGCCGAACGGGTCGACAACGTCATCGCATTCCTCAAGTCGGCGGTGAAGGCGGAGACGGAGAAAGGACGACAGGACGAGCAGGCGCCCGGAAATTCCATGGTCAGTTTGGAGAGGGTTCTGAATCGACCAAACGCGCACTGTACACGAGTTGCAAGCCTTGAATTAGCAGTTGATAACAATATCATAGTTCTAGAAGGCTTTCAAGCTCCCCACAACCTCTAGAAAACACTCACTCCGGATCATAAATCAGCGTCCTTTGCACCCGGAAAAACGACTTCTGTGCTTTCTCTCTTCCCCCTTTTCAGCAGGTGTTATCGTTTGTGACGCTGATAAACACAAAATACTGAACCGAAGATCACACTTCCGCGCAACTTTCACTCTTTCCAGATGACCGCCAAACTGCTCGAACTGTGGACGATCCCGCAGGCGTCCATCACCGAAATGCGACTGCTTCTGACGCTCGGAGCCGATCCGACGCCACTTTTGAAGGACGATTTCGGAGAGAAGGCGCTGGCGGAGAGGATCCGCAGCGGCAGTGTCTGTTCGGAGTGCGCTCTAAAGTTCCGCGCCTTTCTCGACTACTCCGGAGTGATCTTCGAGGAGATGTACGAACGGACGCCGATCCAAGTGGTCCGCAACAAAAAGGTCGACGGAGCGATGGCGCTCTGTCTGGACGGGGGCGGAATGCGCGGTCTCGTCTCCGTCGTCTGTCTCATGTACGCTTCGCGACGTCTTCTCGGCGATGAATCGCTTCCGCAAATGTTCGATTGGCTTCTCGGCACGTCCACCGGAAGCATGCTCGCCCTGTCGCTGGCCAACAAGAAATCGATTTCCGACTGTTTCTTTCTGTACTGGGACATGAAATCGCAGATTTTCCTGCGTGGCAGCGCGGTCAAACGTCTTCTCGGCGACCAGGTGACCACCCAAACCAAGAACATTGACAAGGTGCTCAAGGAGGCGTTCCCAACCGAAACGCTTCAAGGATGTCCGCTCATGCTCACCATTCCCGCACTGGATTTCACGAATTCGCCGGGCAAATTGCACATTTTCCGCAACTATTCGTTCACAAAGCCCTTCGGAGTTGCATTGAACGACAAACAGGACGTTCTTTTCCGGGAAGCGGCGAGAGCGAGCAGGTGAGCGAAAGCTGGCTTTTCAGGATGAAAGTACCATTTTCAGCGCTGCTCCGACCTACTTTGAGCCGTGTGTGCTGAACGATAAAAAGTTTGTGGACGGCTCGTTTGTGGCCAATTATCCGTTGAATGTGCTGTTCAAGGTGAGCGCGTCGGATCAAAATTTTTCAAAACAAAGTTCCCGTGGCGGCCTAGAAACCTTCAGCAATTCAAAAACTCTTCCACAGCTCATTTGGGTGAATGTTTCAATAGTGACCGTGGTTTTTTTCTAGGCCACACTTTGTTTTTTGAGATGTGACGTTAATGTAGCCGTATTCTAAGCCATGGCTTCAAGATTTTGAGAAAGTTAAAGACGGTATGATCCTAGGCCATCTTGGCAAATTGGACACTCAAAGTAGGCCATGTATTTCAGGAATACGACAGTTTCTCGCGCCACAAGCAACCGCTGCACCTGGCCGGAGTTCTCTCAATCGGAACCGGAGAGCCGGCGTCCTCGGAGCGCAAGTACAAAAGCGGAAAGAGTTTCAAGGCGAAGGCGCTCAACATTGGCCATATGACTACTCTGCTCCTGGAGCAAGTCGTCGGCCAGGATCTGACCGCCGTCGAAATGGCCCAGGAACGGTGCCACGCGCACGACATACCCTTCAATCGGCTCAGTCCGAAGGGCATCTCGGTCCGTATCGATCAGATCGACGACGCAAAACTTATGGACATGATCTGGACGACTTTGGTTTACCTGGTACGAGATTTTAGACACATCTTATCGAACATTGGACTTTTTACAGACTGATAACGTGCACGAGATCGATCAACTCGGCGAGAACATCTACAAACTCAAATCGGATCCGACGGAACGGAAACGTCGCAGCAACACTGTCCTCTAAATAAATTGATATTGTCCAGCCAACATGTTGATTTCTAGCTTCCGTCCATTCCCTCGCCCAACCACCGTACATGTAAATTAGAAGACCAACTCTTTCTTTCTCTCTCTCTCTGTTCCCCCCTACAGTAATCGTATCCAATTCATGTGTCTAGATGATGAATGATATTTTGATGTTCTAACCACTTTTGTCTCTCCCTCCGCCTGCCCCGCTTCTTTTCGTTCCCTTACCCGTTTCTAGTCAAACAACACACCCTTTTGAACCTTCGGGTTTCTTCCCCGACTTTTTTTCCTCCTTCTCCTTCTCTTTCCCCCCAATCACTTTAGAATTTCTGCCCCCCACTTTCTTTGTGATAAATTTGTTCGTTATTGTAGTCCTCCACTTTCCGCCCACTCTCTTCGATGAAAAAATAATAAATGAATTGAAGTTCTAGTTTTGTAGTAAAACTTAAAAAATCATCATTGTATCCCATTCAGAAAAAGTGATAGAAACCAAAAGAAACAGAACTAGGAGAGTATATACTTAAACTCAGTTAATTTTCGGCAAGACGCCCCCTACCATGCTTCTTTCTGCTCCGTTCCCTCTTTCCCGTTCTACCTGATCAAAAATTTGACACGTTTAGAAAGTTTAGCAAGTCTATATTTTAGGTTTATACTGATATTTCACATCCATTCCTCCAGAGCTGACAATATGGGCGTGGCCTGGCGTTTTCATGAATTGAGCACGTTTTCTCTGATTTTTGTGGTCAACGGCGATGAAAAATGATTGTTCGACATGAAAACACACTAATTCTCGAGAATTAATGACGTTTTGGCGCATTTTTCGCGGACTTTGCTTTTTCGCCTTCGCCGCCTAAAAACCGCACTTCTCATTTTGCGCTTTCTTGACCGTTTTCAGACAAAATTGGTTTTGAGAATGATAAATCACGTAAATACAAGCATTTTGAGCGCTCGAACCGCGAAAATTACCGAAAAGCAACTGAAATTCACGCAGTTTTAGCCAAAAACCTTCAAACGGATAAATGTGATTTGCGACTCGACCAAATTTAACGCTCTTGCGCTTAAAAAATCCGTAATCGCCTATACAATCAGTCTATCGAGAGACAAATGAGAAATTATCGATTTTTCGTGGCTAATCTGGCAAAAAACACAAATTTTGCTGTTAAAATTTGAATTTCGCGCCAATGTATCGCTCTATTGGGCGGGGCGCACTTGCACCCATTGTAAGCTCTGGAGACCGTGGCGCATTCTCTTTGCTTGACATCCCGAATGTACTACGGTGACCTTCCACGTGAACCTCCCAACCGGTAAGATAAGAATGAAAGATCCTCCAATAATAATAATTCCCAGAATCTCAACTCAACGGGGTCTCCTCAATTTATGCGTTCGAATGATTTCACTTCGGTTTCTCGTTGATAATGTACGTTTTAATATTGCATCGCGCACATCGTATTTTCGAATTTCCACTTTCAGATAATATTTCTCGTGCCGCTCTTTGTCGTCGTTCCATCATTGGCGGTGCTGTGCAATTCGAAGAAGAAATTCGAGACCGATGCGAGGGTTTTTCTCAAACTTTTCACTTTATGCTTCCAAAAATGTCTTCAATTCAGGCCAACCTAGTCCCCCGGAACGCTGTGTCGCCGGCGAGTTCGAAGAAGAGCAGCGAGAAGGTGACGGCTCGGCCGACTGCTCAGTAATAACACGCATTTTCCCTTCTTTTTCTCACAAATGTGTGTTCGTTTCCAGAACTCCTCCGCTGCGGACGCCACTCGAAAAAAGCAATAGAAACGAGGAGGACACTTTGGCGTTCGTTTCTTTTTTTGTAAATTTACTTTTGTCTCAATATTGTTGTTCAGAAACGTGGTGTCTCTGCAGCCTGAATCGTCCGACGGGCCCAACAATAAAAAGGAGAAGAAGAAGTGAGAGAATCGATTGGCTTCTTTTTGTCCTGAATAAACTTTTTCTGATGATTATGATCAATGCTTTCGAGGTTCTAGAACGTCGCCGGATCGCTCAGGAAAGTGGTGGCCTAGGAAGCAAGCACATCACAAAAAAGGTCAATTGTTCTTAGGACAATCACCACATCCTATGAATAAACATTCACGTCAGTTCATTAGCATTCCCTATGGAAAAAAATTGAGGGAGCTGTGCAGAAAAAGGGGCGTGGCCTCGGAGAGAGCACATCAACTTCAACAACACCTGAAGCATTCGGCTCTTTTCTCGATTTCTTCCTTCTCTTCTCTCACTTTTTACTTTTCCTCCATCTTTGTCGGGCGTATGTGATTTTACTCGAACAAGTTTAGGCCCTGATTTCTGGAACTACCGTAGTCTTTGGGACAAACATTTTTTCCCGTAAAAGATGTCACCCTATCCTCTCTTCCACTAAACATTTCGAAAAACATCATGAAACATCGATATAAAAAATGCGCGAAATGTTCTCACATTCCCTTCCGGGCGGCCTCCAACCGCCGGGTCCCACCACGGATAAGAAACAAGTGCGTCGGTCGGCCCGCTCGTTTGACATCACCAGGCTGATATTCCCACGGTCCGGCTCGCTTTTTTTTATTCCTTTCCTTACACCCTTCTAGAATGTTTGTCATGACAACCTTTTTGTTCAGTTTCGACTTGACTGACCGGCTTTTGTTTTGTTGTTGTTGTTGTTGGGAGTACATATCACCCGGAAGATCGCGTTTTACCTTTAGCACACATTGCCACACTTTCTAATCTGATTAGGATTAGGAGAAAGAGAAAAAAGGAGTGATAATCTCTCGAGACAGCCCACGGATCATTTGTGTTTCTTTCGGCACATTCTTCGGAATCCGGGGCTCGTTAGCCGATTCTGACGACGTCAGCCCTGAATTTTTCGAAACTTTAAAAAAAAGTGCTCTCGTTTTGTGCAAAGTTCATCATCGGCCACTCATTTGATTTTTGGCCAGACTACTACTCGATTTCGACAAAGTTATTCTTAGAAACCTCTTCTCCCTGGGGAACGTTAATTCTGACTGACCTGACGTGTCTCATTCGCAACCGAATTTCTTCATTTTTCCTACCCACACTCGTTGTTCGTTTTCAGATGTCCGCACCTACCTCACTAACCCCTACCTCCTACATTACCTCACTTGCATCCGACTTGATCACCTCGTGCTACAACTTGCTGCACAGCCGCGACATTCTCAATTCTCTCACCACTCTCTTGGGCCTACATCTGAATACGAGTGTCTGGAAGACGTTGGACGTCAAGCATCTTGCGATGTACTACCTCGGAACTGAGGGGTGCGAGCAGGCCGCGCGGCTTCTGATCGTCAAGATTCAGGACCAGGAGAAGGAGGAGATGAGGAATGCTTTGGAGCCGACTCGGCCACCGGAACCACCAGCCCCTCAGATTGTGGTCCCAGCCGCAATGCCTGAAGTCAAGGGAAAGAGAATGCCAGAATTGACCTCCACGGATTCCAATGTAGTCTCGAAGACCCGGAAAAGAGTGTGCAAGAAGTTGTCGGAATCATCGGATTCATCTCCGGAGAGAAGAAGAAAAGCGACGATAGTACTCGAACGCGTGGGACTTCTGCTTTCGGATAGTTCCTCGCACGAATCGGACTCTGAATCCAAAAAGAAGACCCCAAGCCTGCCACAGTCCTCGCCGGATCCGAGCCCTCCACCCGCAAAGGGCTGGGACAAAGATCAGAAGGTTGTCGTGTCCCCACAGGTGTTCAAGCCAAAAGTTCCGGAAAATGAGATCAGAAAAGTCGAGTCCAACGTCTCTAGACCGACTCCAAGTCCTCGTCCCGCCGAGATCGGAAAAGCAGCGGCTCCTCCTGCCCCACGAGCCTCGGCAGTGCCTCCAATCTCTGCTAGGCCCACGATGAATCGCAAAGTTATCCAACCTCCGAAAGCCTTCCCATTTGCTGCTCACTACCCGCCTAAGGACAGAAGCATCATGAGCGCAGAGGAGAAACAACGAACTTACGATTCACGATTCAGGTATCAGTACGAGCCGCGCACCGAGAAAAAAATTCCGATGATCGGTCTAAACGGCAAGGATGCCAACCCGGTACTTCCGAAATACAAGCCAAGAGAATCTATGGAAACATCTAAAAGCCGGCCAGAGCATCGAGTTCATCAAAAAAGTGAGAAATGTCAATGTTCTAGTGGTAATATCGTCTATTCAGAAGAACTGGAGCCGGGAGAAGTCACAGACGACGAAGACGTGTTTTCGGAATGCACTCCGTCTCCGGAAAATTGCGGAAAGCAATTCGAGGGCCGTGGAAAAGAAGGTATTTAGATAAATTGTATCGAAAAATCGATGCGCCATGGTAAAAAACCAGAGTAAAACACCGTGTTTTCGCCAAAATTCGGTCATTTTCCACATTTCTCACCCGACTTTATAGAAACAAATGCTCTTTTTAGCTGTGATCGGACAGAAGCGCGTCTCCCATACACCATTGAAAAACGAGACGCTTGCCGGTCAGTTTTTCGGGTGAAGTGTCGTGGAAAAAATAGAGTTTTCTGAAAAGTCAATTATGTTTCCAGGGGTGACGTGCATTTTGAAATTATATTTTTGCTGTTCGACAACTGCGAACATAATTGATTTTTCAGATAATTTTTTTCTTCACTTTGAACTGAAGCTCTAGTCAATTCTGAGCTTTAGAAGCGGAAGAACGCAAAAAAGCGCAGGAAAAGTACGCTGCCGATTTTCCGAAACTGATCAGTTTATCGATTGACGAACTTGAAGAATACCTGGATAAAAACCCGGAAATAGCCGAGTATGCCGACCCGTTATTCGCGCGAAGTTGCATGAAAAAATGTGGAAGCGGAAATGATTTTGAGAAGGTGGGCACTTGGAGGAATACCTATAAAATGATGAACAAACACGGGGTCGTGACGAGTACATCGAAAACTAAAATTTGATCTTCCGCCGACGGTCGATTGCGTAGCGCCCCTATCTAAAAGCATTAGGCCAAAGCAAAATTTTTGAAAATTTCAGTAGAGCGCACTTGCGCCAGTGTACCCCGCGACGACTCTGTGAACAAATGTAGGTGACTACTTCTTTTTTTTGAATTTTTTTTTGAAATTTCAGGAGCGACAATGAAGAATTCTTTGGTTTTCCAATCAACTCGCCGAAAAATTACCTAAATTCCATGTTTCCTTTGTTATTTTTCCCTGTGCAATTCGTCCCCAAAAAATAAACGTTGTTCGTCGAATCTAGCGCCAAGTCTGCAAACAGCGCATCTCACGTCAAGAACAGTAACCCAAAGAATGCAAAATCACTCGAGAAAATGCTCGAAAAAGTCACGTCGTTTCTGCACGCGAGATGTCTCCACTGCGGCGTCGTTCGGCAGACTGTTCGCATGATTTCGGTGCCTCGGAGCGGCGAAAATCGGGCGGTTTGGATTTCCGAGCTCGGCGAGCGATTCGCGCAACGGCTGGAGCTCGCCGAGCCGACTCGCGCCTACGTTTGCTACGCGCATTTCGAGGACGACGAGGACCGATTTAAAGAGGTGCATTCATCGATCACACGGCGTGCACAAAGCGAAATTTTGAAGCGGAATTCAATATTTTAACGCAAATTTTGTGTCTTTTGCAAAATTCCCACGAAAAACTACGAATTTCTCATTTATTCTCCGATAGAGCAATTGGAAGAGGAAAACGAATTTTTTGGGCGCAAGACCGTCTGCAAAGTTTTTTTGCTGAAACTCCGTGAATTTCTGTTGTTTTTTGGTAATTGTGTTATTCAAGCGCTCAAAATGCGTGTGTTGATAGTTTCAAAAAGCCATTTTCGTCCAAGAACATTAAAAAGGTGCAAAATAACAAATTTTGTTTTGCGGCGTCGATCGGCGGCGGCAAAACGTCAGAAATTTCAAGAATTCTCCGATTCTTTGCTAACTTTCCATTTTTAATCGCCTTTGACCACCAAAATTGGGGGAAAGAAACAATAAAGTTTTAATGATCTAATATCTTCAAACAGGCCTTCCAACGAATCCGCCCGACGATCCGTGTCCAATCGGCGCCGTGGCGAACGCAAAAAAACAGGGCGTCGAAAAAGAAGACGTCGCCGACGGCGTCCGATTCGGATTTGGTGATGTGCAGTCTGTGTGCACGGATAACACCGCGAAAGATGGCGACGCGCATCGCCCGATCCAGTGGCAAACAGGAGGAACCGTCCGAAACGACCGAAGGATTCGATTGGTTCGTGTGCCGTTCGCATCTGGCCAATCAGTCGGCCAAGGTTTACGGAAGTGCGCTCCAATGCGAAAAATATCGAAAATCTTACAGAGTATCGTCAAAAAGTGCGAAAATATCTATGAGAAGGTGTCTATGGTGAGTTTTTTCAATTTTGTTTGTTCTCACGTCATTCTTTTTATTTCTCCATTGAAAACAAGCAGGCTTCTTTCCTAGTAACTGAATTTTCACTTTCAAATGCCGTGTTTCCTGATTGTCCGTAATTTTCGCGTCAAATTAGTCAATATTCGTCCGCACAACATCGTGCTACAGCAAATTCAGAATGGAGCGCGTTTGCACTACGCTCTCGTTCATTTTCACTATTTTTCCACAAAAACCGTCAAAAAACAATAGATTCTTATATTCCAATCGATTTTTTACAAAATTTTCCACAAAATATGGAGGAAGAACAAAAACCGACGGGACTTTTGGAAGATGTGAAGCAAGAGCAACCGGCGGAACCAGAAGACGTTGAAGATGTAATTTTTCATATTTTTTTTTTAATAAAATAATCAATATTTGTGTGCAGGATAAACCTCCGATATTGGCGCCACCGGCTCCGATCCGTTTTGCGGGCCCGCCGCCCCGGAAAATGATGCGACTGCCCGCCGGATCCATTATTCATAGGACCGCTTCTGAGTGGTACGCATTTTTTATTGTAAACTTTTATTGAAGATTAACGAACAAATTTTGATGGAAAATTCCAGCATCTCAAAAGCGAGCCACTTCCAACGACACTACAATTCGATAGAAAAGTACAATGAGGACCTGACGATGCGTTTTTTGTTCGGAAACGGACTCCCGCTCGAAAAGATCAACGATCCGCACATGAGACTGTTCCTGCACCACCTGAATCCGAGCAGGAGACCGCCCGAATCGGGCAATATGACCACCAAAGCGAATATGGAAATGAGAGTGAGATTTAGAACGTTTTTGGGCACTTTGCAAAAAATTCAGCTTTTCCAGCCGGCTCTCGACTACAACCGTCTGAACAGTCCTCTGAGCGTTTCAGTAGAAGCGATTCGGAAGAACGACGAAGTTTACTTGACAATTTCCGTGCATTATCATGATGCGCTCGGCGAACGACAGAATTCCGTTCATTTCGAGAAGGTCATAATTGCAGAGTGCGTTTGATAGCTTTTTTGATAATAAACTTCAAAACTGCTCAATTTTGATTTCAGTTACGAAGGAAAAATGATAGCGGATCGATTGCGGCGAGTTGTGGATCCGAAAAGAGCGCTCAGCGTCGTCATCACCAATTTGATCAGTCCGAACGTGAAAATGATTCAGATGTTGGCGTCGGTCGCCAAATTCAAGAATAAGTACGGATTTCTTGCATTTTAGGCCAAAATCCACGTTTCGCAGGTTCATCTGTTTCTTCTCTTACCTGTCGAACATTGCGCGTGACGTCATCGGAATCGACGAACTCGCCCACTCTTTACAACTATTGAGAAATTACGTGGATGCGATCAGGAAGCATCCAGAAGTGTACACCAAGTTCAAAAGGTTTTTCAATGTCCAGAATCCCGAAAAAATCTATACATTTCCCCAAAATTCCCCATTTTCGTTGCAGACTCCAACTGGAATCCGGTTCGCCGACGGACCTTCCACCACCCGAAATGTCCAATGATTGGATGTCCACTCTCCAATTCGTTGCCACGTGTTCGGTGCTCAACGACACGTTCTCGAGGCTTGGCGAGCGCTGGTGCATGCCGGAATACCTGTCGGCGGAGCAGGAGAACGAGATGGCCATGCTCACGGATTTCCTCTCGGTGCTCTGCCACGTGGCGTCCCAGTTGTGCTCCGAGGATAGCTGCGTCTCGCAAGTGCTCCACTCGATGTCGGTCGTCAACAACGCCGTCGAGCAGACCGGAATCCGGGCGGTGCGCGTTAAAATGCGCGAGATATTCGCCAAATACTTTGCCTCGATCTCGCAAGGACCCATCGGCGACTTCTACGCCATCGCCGCCCTCCTCGACCCCCGATTCGGCTACTCGGACGGAATTTTCTCGGCCGATGACTGGATAAGCACGCAGATCAAATTGTCAAACGGCTCGATCGTCGACGAGACGACGCGTCGGAAAGTGCATCAGCTCGAGCAGGAACTGCAACTTTACCGGAAACTGATGCTCAAGAATCGGCCGACGTTCGACGAGCGGATGACGCCCGGGCGGTGGTGGATGGAGATGAGCGACGAGCTGCCGAACATGTACAGGAAGTGGATCGAGCACTCGGGACCGCCCGCCGTTTCCGTCGACGGGAAACGGTTCTTCGCGCGCGGCGGGAAACTCGCGCATCTGTTCGACACACTCGATGAGGCACTCCATTTTAAAGCACTCCTCTTGGCACAAAGCTCACAGGATTTTGTGTAAGTTTGAACGAGACCGCTCAAATTTGAATTCCCTTGAAATTCGGTCCAAATTGCAGCGGGCGCGGAAACGCGAGTCACCACGTGCTGGATCACCTCCGCGACGGTCCGAGCACTTTTCGGCGGCTCGAAACGGAGCCGGATCTGGAGGAAGGCGAAGAGGAAATCGAGGAGGTGATCTACCCGGAAGATCAGATTGAAACCGAAGTGAAACAAGAGTGAGCTCTTTTTCCAATTAAAAAATAACGATTTACTGAATTTTTCAGGCCTTTGGATGATGCTCCGGAAACGACCACGCTCTCTGATCCTCCTATCGCCGCGGAGGATATAAAACAAGAGAGGGAGATTAAAATCGAGGAGCCGGACGAATAGAGAAATTGTGCTGAAAGTGTTACAGATCCTCAATTGTATCCTAATTATTACGTGTTGAACTTTCTTATCTTTAAATTTCTATTTTGATTCCTCTTTGCAACAAATTATTGCTCAATTCGAAATAGACAACAATTTCCCCAAAAAAAGTGAGTGTTCGGCGCTCCCATGCCCATAAAACCAGAGAAGAAACGGGCCGGAATATCATCATTGATATTCGCGATGCGAAAAACTGTTTTTCTTCGCTCTTTTTCCTGAGGCTTGAACTATTGACCCATCTGCAATAATCGATAATCCGATCGGGCCCAAACTTAGCAGGCTTTTTGGACTCGGATTGAAGTCTACTGGGTCCAAGTTTCAGATTGATCCGATCAATGGGTCCCGAGATACATATCTCTGGGCCAGATGATCGGATCGATCTGAAACTTGGACCCGACATATTTCAATCCAAGTCCAAGATGCCTGTAAAGTTCGGGACCGATTGGATTATTGATTATTGCAAGTGGGCCAAGAGAAGGCCGGCGTTCCAGAAATGTCGGACGAGTTGATGATGAAGCTGGCGCGCAACCTGCACAACTCGGAACGCGTCCGATCGTCCCTCGTCCGTCTCCTCTCGCTCGACGTCGCCCACGCACAATTCCGACGTTTCGGAGTGCGACGACTGGCGAAAAAGTACGTGGACGACCGCGAATTGGGCCGCGTGGCTCACGATCTCCTCGACAAAATCCGACGTCTTCAAGAGGAGGAAGAAAAAGAGAATCGGAGAGAGAGTGGGACCGATTCGAAATGGAGCGCACTCGCATTTACTCGTTTTCCAGAGCAGAGAAAGCGACGTTTGAGCACGGAAAACGAGGAGGGCAAGTGCAAAAAGTGGAGGTGCGAACTGGACGTTCCGTCGCTGAGTCCGGAGTCGAAACGGGAAGAGAAAAAGGGAAAAGTGGACGTGTCGAGTGAGTTTTTGAGAATTTCAAATAATGGGAAATTGCATGCTCTACAACTTTGTAATTGACATTTTTTTTACAAACTTTTCTGGGAGCCGAGACATATTGATTGACTTTTGTGAAAAGCACCGGCGTGGCAAAAAGTGAAAATATCTCGATTCCCAGTAAGTTTTGTTGAAAACGGTCAATTACAAAGTTGTAGAGCACAAAATTGTCTATCGGTTGGTTTTTTAGTGGAAATATCTTGACGCCCACGCGTTTCTACAAAGTTGGTAAGCACAAAATGATCTATCGATTTGTTTTTTTAACTTGTTAACTGCAAAAATCTTGTTGCAGAACTGCAAAACGTGCCGGAGAGTGAGTACGACGCGGTCCGTCCGATTTTGGTGACGCTCTCCGCGAAAGAGCTGAAGGCGTTCATGGACCGCAACCCGCAAATCGAGAAGATCGCCGACGGTCTGTTCCGACGGCACTGCCAGGTGGACTGTCCTGAAGAGGTGGATCGGAAGGAGGTCGGCGAGAAGTGGCGTACGCTTCACGACGTGCACACCAACTGGAAGATGTACGAGGAGACGAAGCACTGGCAACAGCACCTCGAGGACGATCTCGCCCGGCAACAGGTACTGACACACTTTTCGATGCGGAATTCCGATTTCCGACTTCCGCCTTTTCAAAATATCGCTTCTGCTTAAGTTGACTCTGTTTGCAATACGGAATTCCGGCTTCCGGTTTTCAAAATTTTACGAGATTGCAGAATTCATTACAAGAATACAGGAAATTTATTTTTTTTTGCAGATGAAATTCAAATCGACGCTGGAATACCTGCAATCATCGGATACCCAGTGAACTTTTGCTCTTTGTGTTCGCCTTTTCACACAAATAAATGTTGCCGGTTGAACGAACAGCATTTTCCGATGTTATGCAAATTGTGTCCCCAATCACAGTGTTTCGACGTCTTCTCACCCATTTCCACACCGAAATGTGGCATTTTTTGGTGATCTTCACATTATTCGCCCTAATTCTCATCGTCAGTTTCTGGTATTATGGACACAAGGCGGATTTGAGCTTTTTCGAGAAATTTGAAAACTTCGACACGGAGCCTTTTGATAATTTCGCGTTTTTCAATGGTAATTATCGAAGAGTTATCGAGAAACCTGAAATTTTAGACCTAGAAACGATAGAATCCGGTACTTGTCGACCGTTTTTAATCGGACCGAAACAGGCGGATATTCTGGATCAAATTCGGCCCGTCAGGTACATGGCCTAGAAATGCGGGGGGAAAAGTTAGGCCATCGTTCAGATTCTCGTGTAATTCGCCGATTGGCAAATGGGCAAATTTTACGAACGATGGCGTTCTGACGATAAGCGAAAAGTTGATTCAGAAACGGATCGATGAGGGCGATAGCAACTTTACGTGAGTGTAAAAATGGTGTAAAAATGGTTTGATAGAAGGTTTCAAGCTCTCCAACTTTGTTGTTTACAGTTTTTTACAAAATTTTCTGGGAGCCGAGATATTAGGAGTTTCAAAAAGTGAAAATATCTAAATGTCGAGAAAGTTTCGTAAAAAACAGTCAACTACAAAGTTGTAGAGCATAAAATTATCTATCAAATCGTTTTTTAACTTTGTAAAAATCTTAAAAATAACCGATGTACGGGTCCGCAAAACTTTTGTTCTTGTTCCAGATGCGTCTACTCTCAACTAGTCGCTCGGGGAGAGCACCCGATCAACGGGACTCTCGTGGATTCGTCCGACATTGAAATTCCGGTACTTTCCGTAATCTCCGAGTGCCTACAATTGTCCTCTGAGGTTCAGATCGAACCGGGAACGCCCACGCAAATCGAGCTCGAACAATTCGTCGTCTATTGTCGGGATCCGACGGGACATCACTTTTACAACAAGACTTTCTTCAATTTTCAGCCAAAGTTCGCCGAAATTTTGAGAAAACTCGATAAGAATACCGAATCCGAGTCGTTAATGATAGTATTGGTTTCCGGAATGAGTCACAATCAGGCGATGCGTCATTTAAAGTCAACTTTGAGATTTTCCGCCGAAAATCAATTTTTCTCGTTTTCAATGTTCAATAAGGACCAGGAGGAGACGCTGATTTCACTCGGAGGATTGGAAACAATTTGGAACAGTTTCAAAAAATGCGCAACATTACTGCAAACGGATTCGAGAAATTTTTCCAAAACATACGGAAGCCAATTCGATTTTCATCCCGATCTTTACAATTTTTTCAATCGACAACACTTGGGACAGGTCGAAAATTGCATTTCCGACGGCAGGGTTAGTTGCTCAGATTGTTTCGTGCTGAACCGCCGCTTCATTTCGCTTCCCCTTCCGTTCAACGCACGGTCTCCCAGGGCGCTAATGCTAAACACAGTGCGCTCGTAAATTGCGGAGTGTCGTTGTAACTTTTGAAAATTTGCAGGTCTAAAAATGCAGTTCAATTCGAGTTTACGACCTTTATTTCTTTCTTTTTGGCTTGAAAAACGTCTAGAAAACAATATTTTACTGTTTGGAAACCGTTCTTTACAGAATTTAGAAAGCGCGCGCCGGAACGATGCTAATAACTTGAATTCCAAAATGTTTCCAGGTTACTGTAGAAGATGACGTGACGCTTTGGAAGAATTCTAGTGAAATTTTTGCATCCACACATTCGTGTCATTTTTCGCTGCTCCATTTCACTGAATTGGCCAGTCCGGAGGATGGGAAATTGGTGAATTTGGACGAGATTTTGGCGGATTCACTGGCGGAAATGCGAGAATTTGGCATTTTCGAGAAGACGACAATAGTGATTTTGAGTGATGGAACAGCTGAAAATAGGTTGGGCATATTTTCGAAACAAATTGTTCTCCGCTATTTTTAGCTCAATTTCCTCGACGGAAACGGGTCGTCTTGAAGCCAAATACGGTCTTTTTTTGATCAGACTCTCGGAGCATTTCAAAAGACAATTCCCAGAAAAAGCTGAAGCTTTACGCGGAAATGTTGATAGGTTTCTCCTTTTTTATTCCAATTTTTTCATTCAAACTTATTTTCAGACGAGTCACAAGCGCCGACGTGGCTGAAACTCTTCGAGCTCTAAAAACTGAAAATTTAGAAAAATCCCTATTCTCTGGGAACTATTTTCCCGCAAATTTATGCAACGTGGCAGACGAGAATTGCATTTGCTCCGAAAAAGATGAAGTGGATCCGCTGGAACTGTAAAAAACATTTCATTTTTTTTAACAAGAAAAATTTCAGACAGGCAATAGTCGGAAAGCTGAAAAAAGTGGTGGAAGCGGAAGTTTCAACGCAAAAATGTCTGCAATCTTTGCAAGTTTTGGAAAAGTTGGAAATTCGAAAATTTGGGTTGGTTTGGCGGAGTCTCGCCACGAAAATGAAAAATAAATTTAATTTTGATATGCTTTTCCTTCAGGCCCATTAAATTTTTTAAATTCCAAGTTCTATTAACGACTGGAAGTGTAAAACTTGCTGGAAATAGTCAAGGACTGAAATCGGTGAATTTTTTTTTGTTGTTTATTTCAAATTTATTTGTTTTCTTTGCAGAAAACGTTCAAATTCGCAGGAAAAGCTCGATACTCTGAAAATGCTGAAAATCTGGAACTTCTGGGATCTCTGAAGCCTTCGAACTCGACAATATCATTGGAAAACATCTGTTCACAAGTTTATTATCACAAAATTCATGAGGATTTTCAAACTTTTCCATAAATCCCCTTCACACGGCGACCAAAGGTGTAGAAAGGGGCGTGGCCTAATCTGAGGCGCGTTTTCTGAAAATTGCCGCAATTCCAGCACTTTTCCGATATTTTTGTGTTTGATATCGACGAAAGAAGACATTAAAGAGAGAAAACATCGAAATTTTCGTGAAAACGCCGCGTTTGAGACGTTTTTGGCTTATTTCGCAATACGCTCTCCGCCGCAATTTCGGAAATTTCATACCGGCCGATGTGGATAGTTTTGAGACGAAGTGAGTGTCGGAAGTGATTAAGCACGTTAATACAAGTATTTTAAGCGTTCAAACGGCAAAAAGTATCGGCGAATAACTGAAATTCGCCCATTTTCAGCACAAAACTTAAAATCGATTCAATTGATTGAATTTCTGAATGAAACCTGCTCGTTTTAAGCTCGAAAAGTACGCGATGATTAGTTTATTAACAAAGTTATGCAATTACATCGTCGAAATCGTACAAAATTTGGGTAATTTTTTACGAAAAACATGAAAAATGGGGTTAAATTTCGAATTTCGCGCCAAAATGGTGTCAAAACCGTGCACGCGCTAGGCCACGCCCCTTTCTACGTGTTTGGTCGCCGTGCTTTAGAAAAAGTTCCTTCTATTATTTAGTGTGTCAAGTCTCTGACGAATTAAAAAAAAGTGTTCTCTTCTTTTTCGGAACTAAGCACAGCTGTCGCTAGCGATATATACGGGTTAAAAAAATGAGAAAGAACGGAGCCAACTCGAAATCTCTGCTGACAATACTTGATTGACGTTTGACCCTTTTCTCGACAAATAAACAAGAAAAGTGTGATTCTGACATTCTGACTTTCCCCCAACAACTTCAAATATTATGCATTTCCATATTTTCCCCACTTATAAAAATGACAGGGAGAAAAGATAATTGGAAGGCGAAAAGACGTCGTAAAGTTAATTTGTGGGTTTGTGTTCTTTTCGAAACGAAACGAGTAATAAATGGGTTGGATTCGACCGAAAATTGGCGATTGCGAAACGTCCTGGCTTTGGGTTTCCTCGGTTGCGAAATATGGACACTTGGCAACCATGTTGTTGAGATTTTTGCAGAATTCCGATTTCCGAGTCCCGTCTACCAACTTCCGCTTTTTGAAATTCTGGTTGCAAATCGCGAGACTACTCGACCAAACTCTCTCCGCTTTTCAAAAAATGTGTACTGCCGCTGCGTACTCGCCTTCTTATCGCCCCTTTGCCCATAAATTCTTCTCTCTCATTACTTGGCTCCTAATGACGCATGAATGTACGTAAATGTGAACCGCCGGCGCACTGATAACGTCGAAATCGTGGCGATTTTCGTCGAAAGACGTGCGAAACCTACGCAATTGGCGCGACTTACTTACGTGCGATCGGGAGAACACTCCGATAAGAGCCAAAAGAAGGAGGAGAACAGGCACTAATCTCTACGAATTCTCTCGTTCTTTATAGAAGTGGTGAGTTCACTTTCTAAAGTATTTCTGTCGGTTTTTGAGATTTTCACTCCGTCCAAAAACTATTTAAAAGCTCTGTTCAAGCTCTTCAACTTTCTTGTTGATCATTTTTTGAGCAAACTTTCGAGAATGAAGATATTTCGTTAATAAATTTAGAAACTACAGTTTGGTTGTGCGGCGAGATTGGCAAAAGCGAGTACGGTCACTTTAAAGGCGCATCCATAAGTTTTGTCGAATAACATGTTTGACCTACCGCGCTCCCGCGAAGCTATTGATTCTCGGTTCTTTTCCTCCGTTATTGATGCTATTTTGGACGCACTGTTTCCCGTTGAACACAAATTAGGTCTTTGATTTTTTTCTCCGTTTCCACTTTCCACTTTTTTTATAATCGCTTTGTTATCACAAGACTTTTAGTGTCGGTTTTTGAGTTGTAACTTTGATAAACCATATTTCGATCAATTTTTGAGATTTTCGCACATTTCAAAAAGCATTCGAAAGTTCTATTCAAGCTCTATAACTTTCTCTCTGATCATTTTTCCCATAATGCGCGCTCTCTTTGCTCTTTGACCAGTTGAACTACCGTACTCTTCCCCCATTCTCTTTCGTGCCACTCGTCGTCCAAAAACACATAAATCTCGAGGACATTCTCACAACTAGTATACATACAATTATGACACACTCTGTCAGTCAAAAAAATTCACACCAGTGCCATTTTCCACAAGTTTTTTTGGTTTCCGAAGGGAGGATCCTTGACAACGATGACTTTGCGTTAACCTTGAACTTCTAGACTAGTATTATCTTTTCCCGCATTCCAGGCTACAAATTACCCCCCAAAAAGCTGTCACTCCGACAAACTATGTGCTCATCGTCCGACTGCTTTGCCGGCTTTTCGATTATTTCTCCTCAGAAGTGTCACTTCCTCTTCTTCTTCTTTCACTAGAATATTCTATTCTAGCTTTTACCCAATTATTTTTTCTTTCTCCATTTCAAACACCAAATGGAGCCGTCTCTTTTTCTTCCTCGGAATAAGAAAACGAAGGAGGAGAGGGAGAGGGAGAAGAAGAAGAACCACAAAAACACCAATCGATAACAACAACAGGCGTCCCCACTTCCTCTCTCTCTCTCTCTCTCTCTCTCTCTCTTTCTTTCATCTTTTGAAAATAAACGGAGAGGGGAGGGGAGCGCGCCAAACGAAAACGGAGAGACGACAACAAGCTAAGCGATTTCGCTTCTCTCCGTTTCTCGTCTTGACCCCTCTCTCTCTCTCTCTCTCTCTCTTTCGTTTCATGGAAAAGAGAAAGAGGGAGAGGCACACGCAATTCTCTCTCTCTCTCTCTCTCTTTCTCTTTCTCTCTCTCTCGCCCGGCCGCTTTCCTCTCGTTTTGCCCCCCAAAAATGAGGAGGGCGCCCCGGTTTTGTAGTAGTGTACTAGTTACTTGCCCGGTCCCTTTGAGAGCTCACACATTATTCATTAGACCCTCTCTTTCTCTCTCTCTCTCTCTCTCTCTCTCTCTCTCTCTCTCTCTCTCTCTCTCTCTCTCTCTGTCTCTCTCTCTCTTTCGCTCTATGCACTTCTTTTGATGAGAAAAGGGAAAAAGTGTTGAGAGTATCTAGAAGACGTGATAGGTAGGAGAAGTATTAGAGAGAGAGAGAGAGAGAGTTTCTATAGTTTCAATTACCTATCAGTACTGTAAGTCTAGGAAACATTCTACTAGACTGAGCAATTCATTTTTGCTTCCTACGCCCACGCACAAGGGTACTGTAGCGCTGGGCGGCTGGCTCATAGTGAGCCAACTTTGAACGGATATTGTAGAGCAAGAAGACGTCCTACCAGGCTACAAAAGTTTTTGCGAATTCCTCACGTCTAGTATTGCGTTTTTGTAGTTGATCACTTTTTGGTACGGCCACGCATAAAGGTACTGTAGCGCTTGGAAGTTGAGGTCCAGCAGCACTTCTCCTCTAGAATATCGGTTTGCCGGAAAAAGTTGATTAGCTATTGTAGCATTCGGGGCGACCAAGCTTCCCCGCTCCCACTAATCCAATCTTCATCAGCCGGGTGGGGGGGTATTATCAGAGGAAAAACAGCGGCGGGTAGTAGTAGTAACTACTAACATTCGCCGCCATATTTGCGGAAGCACTTGATCTCGACTCCACCTCGTTGCCAGTTCTCTGACCACACAATGATCCGTCCGTAAGCCGCACACACACACACAAATATTGTCGTGGTCATCATTGGCGAACCGCCAGAAAACAATCCGATTTTGTTTTAACACCCTCCCGCGCAACCATTTAGCACTGTACTTTGCATATAATTGGCCCGCGATTGTGCTTTTTTCGCAATTCAAAACTAGGTATTATTGGGGGCGGGTGGTTGAGGGTGGAATTTTCATTTCCATTTTTAAATTTCCAAGCCAGAAATGGCATTTTTTTTTCGAAATTTAATGAATGATTAGGGAGGGATTTGGTGAGATTTGAGTGATCTTTAAAAAGTCTCCATTAAATTGTGTTTGCGTTTCGCCGCTCAACCAGCCAATTGTTTGTCGAGATGCGACGAAACGAGATTGTTGTGATCTTCAGTTGACCTGAATCACTTTTGAGCACTATTCAAGCGTTGCTCTTTCAGTCATTGTCACTTTTTAGTCAAAGTTCGCGTTCGGCATTTCTGCAGTGTTTGGCCGCGTTTAGAGCCTCTTCCAATTTATTTTTTTGCCAAATCTCACTTGTTTTGATCCGTGTGCTCGACCTTGAATTGTTTTCATAGCCACATAGCTGACCACACTTCAATAATCCGGTGTGCTCGCGGCTCGCCCACACACTCTCCTTTCCCACCTTAACTTGTTCTTCTTCTTCTTCTTCTTCTTCTTCTTCTTCTTCTCCCATACACTGTCGGACGAAACGCCCACTTTATTCCCATCAAGTTTTCCTTTTCTGCTGCTGGGGGACGTCGCCTCCTTGTTGGAGTGGAGAGCAGCGCCAAAAGTGCCCGCCGGCCAAATTCACTCCTCACTTTTTGATGCATGAGTCGTCGCTCTCTCTCTCTCTCTTGCTCTGGCTCCAACCGGGTTTTTTGTGGTCCGCTCGTCCGCCTTCTCTCTTTCTCTTTCCCCCTTCCTGTGTACCCCCCACTTTCCATTGCCTGCCACCACCATCATTTTACACAACACACACACACACAACAACCCGTCGCCCTGAGACGAGAAGAAGAAGAAGAAGAAGAAGACGGAAGGGCTCTCCGGTGAGAACCTGAGAGCATCTTCCCGGGACTCTTTCTCTCTCTCTCTCTCTCTCTCTCTCTCTCTCTCTCTCTCTCTCTCTCTCTCTCTCTCTCTCTCTCTCTCTCTCTCTCTCTCTTGCCCTCTCTCTTGCTCCTTTACTACAATGTTACTTTGATAGCTGTGAGTGAGTGTGCTATCTGTCTGATTATCTGATTACTCAGCAACAGCATTCCTAGGCTCGCTAGTTTGATATTATCCGTGTGTGTTGTGTTGTGTCAAACTTCACACTGGCTGGCGCCACGCTAAAAGATTCCAATCTCAAAGAGAGGCGATTACCCAAATTTTGAGGTCATTTCATTAATCTATTCGCGCGTCAAGATGACGTCATTTCATTTTGTGTAGCGACGAGCGCCATACCAATTTTCAATGAGAAAAACGACGAGGGAGGGGGGTCTTAGCACTCGATTGCCCATCCGAATTTCTTTGCATTTTCAAAGTTTCAGGCGTGCGCCTTTGTTTCTCGCTCTGAATCTTGGAATTGAATCTACCCCCAAAAAAGTGTGTGCAGCCAAAATCTTGGGTAAAAGAGAAAGAAGAAGAAGAAGGAGCGGAGAAGGCTATAAATCTCGGTCCCATCTTCTCCTTCTGCTCCTTCTTCTTCTTCTTCGTCTTCTTCGGTTGGCCATTTCGTTTCGCTTCGTGCGCGCACACACACACACACAAGAAGGGAACCAATTACTTAGGCACAACGAAAGGGACGAATGGAGAATAATGGGATGATATGACATCACAAAACGGACTGGAATCTGTGCGTTCACCAACCAAACTACTACCGTACCCCCCTTCATCAATTTTGTTGTCTCCTTCTCCGTTTTCCTCTCATCCATTTATATTTCAATTTCGTTTTCGTTTTCGCGCTTCGAGCTAACTCGGCGGCGGCGCACACAAAAACGAGTTATATAATATGCATTTCGTTTTGAAGACGACGAAAAAGGTGTTGACGAGGGGGGTGGCGCCCTTCTTTTTGGTCCCCTCCCCCCCCGCCCCAATGTACATACACCTGCGCGCGCCAAGTGATTGAGCTCGTGTGCGCGTCGAGCCCAAGCCCCCAAGCCATTAACACGAATTAAATGTAAGCGTGGCGCATCCGATTCGATTTTGTGCTCCTCCGCTATCGCTTTACGTCATTAGCAGCAGCAGCAGCAGCAAAAAAAGAGAAAAAGAAAAGGTTATACGCGTTTTTCGCGTCCACAGCAAACTCTTGAAGAGCTTACATTTTCGAATTCGAACTGATGATGAGGGTGTTTGACGGCAGCACGTCACTTTGTGAAAAACCACCGGGGTCCTAGGTGAGACTAGGCAAACAACACATTTCGACACGAAAGAGAGAGAGAGAGAGAGAAAGGTTAACGGTTTAGTGGGCGAGGGAGGGAGGGAGCGAACAATTTGTATTTGTTATTTCGTTGTCGCCACCATCATCATCGCCACTTTTAAAACTGCGGACGGACACTGACTTTTTCAAGTGCTAGAACCATTAGGCGTGTTTTTAGTGCGTTGTTTTTTGTAGTTAAAGGACCAGGGAACCCAAACATTTTTTTGATTTTTTTGTGACTGTTTGAATTGTCTCTTATTGCCTCATACACTGGTGAAATGCTGCCTCTCAAAAAGGCCAATGAACGAAACGGCGTGCAGTTGAAGTTGTGGCCGTGGCCTAGCGCCAATGGCCGAAAAATATATAAAAATATATGCGCTTCTCGGCAATTTTATTGTTTACCGGTTTTTTTCCAAAAATTCACGGTTTCTCCCATTTTGGCACTTCATATCGACTGAATGAAAACAATTTTTTAGCAGTGAAAAAATAAGTGAGTGCCGAACAAATGACAATCAACTGAAAAATGGGAGAAACCGTGAATTTTTGGAAAAAAAAACCGGTAAAAAAGCGGAAAAAATAAAATGGCCGAGAAGCGCATATTTCTAGGCCATTGGCGCTAGGCCACGGCCACAACTTCAACTGCATGCAATCCGAGCCCAACCTATTCTTTCTGTGCAAAAATTGCAATAATCGTGAAAAACGACAACAAATGTGCAGAGAAGTGCCCTCATACTAATCGAGCCGCATTTTTGAATTGTTGTGCTGAACTCATTGGTCTCGAGCCCAACCAGGCCAGGCCGTATACACAATTTAGTGGGCCCCCGGTCTTCTCATTGACTAGCGCTCTTAATCGAATGTTGATCTCACATCTTGCTACCATCTGGTAATGATCTCGAAGAGCCGGAGCCGTAAATTTCGATTCCATGTGAAAGTGATCCCCCCTCCCTTCGAAGCGGAGGATCTTGCCGTCGGTGGTAGCCACACCACTGACTCCATTCTCTTCTTGTTCTTCTTCTTCTTCTTCTTCATCTTCTCACTCGGGGACCTCTGTGCACTTGTCCATCCAGAAAAGAGAGAGAGAGAGACGAGTAGTATCGGATGTCAGTTGCCCTCTGTCAAAGTGTCGCGCGCCTCTCCGCCTCCGCCACTATCTCGTCGCTTAAATGGCGTGGCGGCGGCCCTACGGACACGATGGCATCCCGGGACGGCTCGTCTTCTCGGCGGAGCGCGGAGGACCCGCAGAGCCCCACACTTCTCGGATGTCAAATCATTTTCAGACTTGTCCTCATTTCCGCCGCGTTTTTCAGTGTGACGTCTTAATTCTTCTTCTTCTTCTTCGTCTTCTTAAAATGAAAAGTTTGCACTGCTGCTGCTGCGCCACACCGTTTTGCGTCGTCCTTTTTGCATTTGTGTGTGAAAAAGCAAACAACCGGGGCACAGCCGAAGGCAATTCGAAAACCGAAAACTGTCAATGAACTTGTGTGTGCGTGTGTCGCTCGCTTCGGTCCTCTTTTTTGGGGGGAGGGGCGGCGCGCAGCAAACTTTCAACTTTTGTTGCTCTCTTTTCTGCGGCGCCCGATGAGATGAAGAAAGGTTAGAGTTCAAACTCATTCGCGCTAATATTCCAAACTCCTTAAGATCCTTGCTTGCCACGTGTTTCTGCCACACTTTACCAACAACGTTAGCGGGTTTTCACACATTTCATAATGTAGTTCAAGACGTGCCGGTCTTTGTACACATTTGTGTGCGTTGCCAACAATTGCCACGTGGCAAAACGGACCGGAGTGCCCTCTCGACCGGGCTCTCAACGCTCCGCTTCTTGTCTTCTTGCCGCTCACACACACACAATTGGACCAATTCGAAATCCCATTGAATTGTGTGTGTGCGTGTCTCTCTCTCTCTCGTCTCGGCGGCGGCGACTCCTCTTTTTTGGAGCTCCCGTAAAAAGAGCGCGGTCCTCTTCTTCTTCTTCTTCTTCTTGGCTCACTTGCTCGCTCTTCTTGCTTCGTTCCCTTCTCTCCAAAATTGATTCACAAAGTCATTGCGTAGAGAGAGAGAAAGAGAGAGAAGTCGTCGTCTTCTTCTTCTTTTTTTTTTGAGCTCTCTAACAGGAATATATATATATATTTGCTCATAATCCGCCTTCACACTCACTTATATATATATATCGACTAGGCGAAAAAAGAGAAAACGAGAGAGAGAGAGAGAGATGGCTAATAAGAAAAGAGAGCGCAAAAACAAAACACTCACTTCCTCGTGTTATTTTGTTCGACAACATATAACTGCTGGTGCTCTATGGCTCGATTAGTTTTTGCTCAAGACGCGAGAAAGTGCGCTCCAACGCAAATTTGATCCATTTTCCCTGATGACGTCTTCTTCGCCGCATCTCTTTTCTTTTCTCGCTGCAGCGGCGGCGGCGCGCCGTCACTTTTCGCATTTTTCACACGAAGAAGAAGAAGAAGAAGAAGACGTTGTGCTGCTGACGACGACGACGACGTCTTCTTCTTCTTCCTCTTCTTCATCTTTTTCGCCACTTGCAAACTTTTTCGAAGAAAAAAAAACCCTCACTTTTACCCCGATCTTTTGTCTTTTCTTTCGCGCACAATTTTTTTTCTTCTTCTCCGCAATACACACTCACACACGCCAAATTAAATATTCATTTATTTTCGGTCGTTTTCAGTTGCATCAACAATTGGGACAAAAACCTGCATACGGTAGTAGGGTTCAGGTAGAAGAAAACCGATTTCGGATCATGTGCTTCTTCTGAGTGCAAAACGAAACGGAACGCAACAACAACGACACCAAGGAAACGAAGAAGGCGACGAAAAAGAAGGAGAAGCCGATCCAATTAATTGAAAGGTTAGCGCTTTTTGGAAATTTTGGTTTATTCCAGAGCTCGGCATTTGCCGGCCGCTGTTTTTGGCCCACTTCCAGTTGACTTGGACACTGATGCGGCGACGCGATGATCCATTTGGGCCCAAAATTGTTTTGAAGACACTTCACACCAAGGGCAATATCCAAAAAATGTGTTGGGTCCGATCGGTCAACTGGAAGTGGCTGGAAAAATTTTCTTTAAAAGTCTAAAAACTTCGGCACCTTTCTTTTTTCGTTTTGAAATGAAACTCACACGCAAATGTGCATTTCATTTAATCATTTTTAAGAACGTCTTCAATTCGACAACACCAGTCTATATTGTTAGTTTCTCGAGCAGTTTTAGGCATAATTGAAGAGAATTTGTGTATTTTAAAAGGTTTTTAGACAGTTTTTCCATTTTTGATCTGAAAATCTGCAATTTGCTTTACTTTTTGTCGGCTGGCCTGAGAAAAAAGTTTACTCCAAGTGATACGGTTGACAACGGTGTTTGCGTACAATTGCGGACTTTTTGGGAATTCCGCCGCGAAACTTCGGATTTTCAACTTCTTCCCCAAAATTTCCATCGTTTTCCTTCACGTTTTTGCCCCCCCCGGACCTAATTTTCGTCCCGTTTTCAGATCTGCGTACAACGAAAATAGCAGAAGTGCGTTTTCTGTGAGCAGAAATCAGGTAAGCGCTGTGGCACACGCCCAAATTTCGATCGAAACGAACAAAGAAGCGGTTTTGCGTTTTGCGTCGTCTCTCATCAATTTCTCTCTCGCGCGCGCTCATTTCTGCGTCTCCGGATGAGCACAGAAAACGAGCACGGACGGACGGCACGCAGAAAAGTGGAAAAAAGGCAGGAGCGAGAGAGAGAAAGAGACGGCTCTGTGCCGGGGCAAAACGACGGCAAGGGGGGAAGCTCCTCAAAAACAACAGCAGATGCCTTTTCGTTTCGGGCTCTTCTCCTTCTCCTTCTCCTTCTCCTTCTCTCGTGCTCCGGCCGGCCGGCGGCGCCACGGCTGCCACTACCCACACCGATCATCATCATCATCATCATCATGGCCATCAGCGTCGTCTTCTCATCTCAATTACTTGATGATGATGATGAGACGGCGCAATTTTTCACTCGAAATGAGCTTTTTGGCTTGGAATTTTATGGACTTTTAGCAAATTTTGACGAATTTTTGAAAATTTAACCGACGCTAAAAATGAGCATGGCAACATTTTCGTTATTTCGTTGAAAAAAGGTCAATTTCTCATCAATTGTTCCCAAAAAATCCATTTTACCCGAAAAAAATCGTGTAAAAGGTGAAAGACAATTGTCTCCAAGTGTGCGTTGAGGCATAAAAAACGCCTTTCCTCCGGTAGCCACCACCCACAATTTTTCGTTTTTTTTTCAAACAAAACCCCCCATTTTCCACTCGACACCCATTATTTCGTTCTAACGTTTTGTGTCAATGTGTTTTCCTCGCAGTTATCAGTGCTCTCTGGCCGGGACACAAACAAATGTTGTTATCAAATTATCGATCGATTTTTGGAAGCGAAAGGAGAAGAAGAAATGTGTGTGTGTGTGTGAGTGTGATGGCTGGCTGGCTGGCAGCCCCCAGTCCCACCACTCAGATATTTTTCCATTTTTTTTGTTTTTTTTTCCGTTCCGCAGGTTGACTCAGCACGCTAAATTAACGGAAATTACACCTGAAATAGACGCGAAAAATGGCGGAAAGCCATAAAACTGAATCGTTGATATTCGGGCGGTGACTCATTTTCCCGCGGCGCCATTCAAAAGACGTACAGAGAGAACACCGCATTATTTGTTCGTTTTGGTCACTTTTTTGGGCGCCTTTTTTTGCTGGTCTCAAAAAATTCTTTTCATTCTTGCAGCAAGATGCCCGAATATGGTGCATCACTGGAGGAGCTCCGCGCCCTCATGGAGTACAGGTAAGCCTTGAAAAAATGCATTCATTTATATTTGTCCTTGTTCAGGAGCGCGGAAGCAAAAGAGAAGATCGAGACGGATTACGGCGGAACGGCGGGTCTGTGCGAAAAGCTGAAGACGGACCCGAACAACGGACTGCCGAACAACGAGACGGAGCTCGAGAAGCGGCGAAATGTGTTCGGAGCCAACGAAATTCCGCCGCATCCGCCCAAGTGCTTCCTACAGTTGGTGTGGGAGGCGTTGCAGGTGAGCATCGTGCAAATTTGTGCACTTTTTCTGGTGCCCAGAAGTTGGGCAGCTAAAGTGGAGCTCTTGTGTGCACAAAAAGTTGGTCCCCAAAGGCTTCTTCTTCTTCTTATGGCTCTGCGTCTCGTAATCTCTCGCACTCAAGTCCACTAATCTCAAGCTTTTCTTCTTCTTCTTCTTGGCCCTCACACAAACTTTGTGTGTGTGTGTGTGTGTGTGTGTGTGTGGAGCAACTCTTATGAGAAAGAGCACACACAAAAGAGAGCCACACAAAAAAGGGGAAATGATTGAATATGCATGAGTGGGTGTTTGCGGTAAACTGAGGGGGGACCACTTCGACTGCGCCGGCTGCTGCTGCCGGGATTTTTTTCGGGGGATTTGAGGGCAGAAATGAGCGAAAAAGGGCAGGGAAATGGACAGTTAACCTTTAGACGGCTTTAGACAACTTTTCACCTCAAAATCCTAGACTTTCAATGAATTTCATGGCTACAGAACTTCAGGAGACGTGTTTCTAGTAAAAACTGAACAAGTACTCCGCTTTATAAAATGTTTAGTTTCCGGAATGCCAATTCCAAGCAAAAGATGACGTTACTCGGCTGAAAAATAAATATTCGTGTCGCAGGACGTCACCCTCGTCATTCTGCTCGTCTCGGCCATCGTCTCGCTCGCCCTCTCGTTCTACAGACCGCCCGGAGAGGATACCGGTCAGTTTCCGTCCGTTTTTGCCCTAATCCTCTCACTTTTGCAGCCGGAACCGACGACGGTGAGCACGACGCAGGATGGATCGAAGGCGTGGCGATTCTGATTTCGGTGATCGTCGTCGTTCTGGTCACCGCACTCAACGACTACACAAAAGAGCGCCAATTCCGCGGACTTCAGGCGAAAATCGAGACGGAGCACCGGTTCTTTGTGCTGCGCGGCGGACAATCGATTCAGGTGGTCGTCAATGAGCTGGTCGTCGGCGACATTGCTCAAATCAAGTACGGAGATTTGATCCCCGCCGACGGAATTCTCATTCAGTCGAACGATCTCAAGATGGACGAGTCCTCGTTGACCGGAGAATCGGATCAGATCCGCAAGAGTCCCGATCATGATCCGATCATTTTGTCTGGCACACACGTTATGGAGGGATCTGGAAAGGTTGGTAACAGATTTTGGAGGGAGATTTGAAACGTTCCAAGCAAAGTTTGAGCAAAATCCAAGAAAAAGCTGTGAATTTTAAGTTTTTAGCTCTTTTTCAACAGTTCCAGGGGCAAAAACAACTCGGAACACATTTTTAGTGAAATTATGAAGCTCAGAAGCTCTTTTTGAAAAAAAAAACCTTTAAAAAGCGCACCTTCGACAGACACAGACTTTGGGCCTAAGAAATGCGAATCCTTACCAGAAAAGCCTATGTTTTCATGTTTTTTGTTCCCTTTACAATCTAAACCTACTAGATACATATTCCAATTGCTGATGACAGCTGTCAGAGTTTTCTCAACAGTTTCAGGAGCTAGATTGTGTTTGGATCTCTAGTTTTTGTGAAATTTTAAATCTCGGGAGGTCTTTCTGATTTTAGTCTAAAAAATAAAATTTTTAGAGCAAAAATTTCAGCAGTTTTTCACAATCTAACCATGTTCCAGATGCTGGTGACAGCTGTCGGAGTGAACTCGCAAACCGGAATCATCATGACGCTGCTCGGCGCGGCGAAAACGGTGGCCGAAGAGGAACGGAAGACGGCGAAGAGAGAGGGTAGGAAGAAGATCCGTGTCATTCATTCATTCGTTCGGTTCGGCGGATATCATCATCGGCTTCACTTTCTCTCTCTCTCTCTCTAGCTTCTCTCTCTCGCTGCTGCTGCTCACTCGTCTGCATCATCTTCTTCTTTTTCTGCTCCTTCTTCCTCTCCTTCTCCTGATCTTTCGACTAATCTCTGCTCTCTTCAGCAGTAGGCCGGGCTCGAATTCTCTAATCGTTTACAGAACGGCGCTCGCGATCCTCGGTCAAATCGCATCAACACGGTCATCACGGCCACCATCAACACCATCATCATCATCGTGACAATCATCATCTGAATAATGCGGAACAGAATCACAATGGTAGTTTCCCTCGGGTCCCCTTCCACTTCTTCTTCCTCTTCTTCGTCGTCGTCGTCGTCGTCTTCTTCTACTCCTTCGTCTTCTTCTTCTGATTGTCGTCGTCGTCGTCGTCGTCGTCGCCGTAACTTCTATCCTTCGGAATCTTTGCTCTCACACACACCCACAAGTATACAGTGTTTGGTCCACACACACACACACACATACGCACACTTGCATTCAGAAGCACGTCTTCAACTTCTTCCAGCAGATTCTAGAACCTTCTACCAATAGCTAACAATCTCTCTTCTTCTCCCTCTCTCTTTCTATCTCTTTGACATCTTTCTGGATGGTGCTGATGATGATGATGATGATGATGATGATGGTGGTGTTTCGTGATTATTCGCAAGTTCCCCAATTTCCGGATATACATTTTCGGTGTCGTCGTCCTTTCCCTCAGTATTTCACACCCCCCATGATTTTGGTTTAGAGAAGGCGCTGGCTGGTGATGGTAGTGGTAGTGGAAAAAGTGCAAATTCTAGAGAACTTTGTAAAGTTCTTTGAAAGTTGAGGTCGTTTTGCAGCTAGGCTATTGACTGATCGGCTTATTCAGTAGGGTAAACAACTGGAACAATAACAGTAAAAACGGGGTTTTCCACTTTTTTGCCCGAATGAATGAGCCCATAACAAATTCAGCAAACTGTTTCGGTCTGAGAGACACGGATAACGAGAATGGATCAACAAAGTCTACAGGAATTGACTTTAAAATTCACATAAGATCAGTTAGGGAAGATCTGTCGGTACTGAAATTCTTCTCATTGTTTATTATGCCGCCCTGATTTTTTTTTGCCAGAACGTTCCTGACTAGGGAAGTTCGTTCGTTTCGGAAGCACTTAAAAATATGTTGAAACAAATGAGGGTGGTACAATGGACCATGAGACAATTTTTGGCGCTATCAGAATCTGCTGATGGACTATGAATTTCTGTGCTCACAAAATCTATACGCGTAAATGATTCTCTAGCCTGTGAATGTTTGTACTAAAGAAATTGGCTTTTGAAACAAATTCATATAACATCAGGAACGATCCATCGGTCAGCAGTTTCGCCTCAAAGATGCGTGTCCAATCTACCACCACCACAACCACCACTGCCATTACAGTACAAGAATAGAGCTCTTCACCTCTATCATGTCCGTCCCTCTCTCTGCCTCTCCCACTCTCTCTCTCTCTCTCTCTCGCTCTTTGGCTTCTCTCTCTCATAGTTGGATGAACAAAATTTGCAGGCGGCGACGGAGCATCTGGAGCCGAAGAGGGAACCGCTCAGGCACTGCTCGGTGAGTCGACGGAGAATCAAGAAGGCTGAAAATGGAAAGAAAAAAAATGAAAAATGATGGAGAGAGAACTTTGAATTGAGAGTGAAGAGAAAGAAAAAGAAGAGAATGTGTGCTTTGCAAATTGATGTATTTATTATTATATTTATGTATATACATACGAATAGATTGTCAGTGTTTTTTTCCTTCCGCTTTATTATAGTAATAGTATAGTGAAAATGTGGAAATGATGGATAGAATAGTCTGGAATGGATGTTGTGCTACATTGCTGCTGGAAAATGCTATCCACACACCCACACACTATTTTTATTCATTTTTACACACTGAAAATCTGTTCGTACATATCTATAATATATATGTCATTTTGTTTCACTCTCTCTTTTTCTCTTCTCTTCTCTCTCTCTCTTCATCTCACTTTCCATCTCTTCTGTTTCAATTCTCTATATGATGTGTTTTTGATTTTGAGTTGATTTTTGTCAACAAAAAACCAACGAAATTGCAGATTCGAAGGGCGATGAGGCGATGGCGAACGGAAAAGTGGGCGCGGCGGCCGAAGAGTCGGGCAAGAAGGAGCGGTCGGTGTTGCAGGCGAAACTCACCCGGCTGGCCATTCAAATTGGATATGCTGGTAGGTTTTGGCCAGAAAAACGCTTTTTTGACGCTGAGTACATGATAGCCACTGAAAATGAGTGACTTGGATCTAGTTGATCTAGTTGGATCTAGGGGAAAATGAACTTTTTTGGATTTCTCTGGGAAATTTGCTGTGTAAACTGCAAATAGCGTCCAAACCTGGATTTCCCGTAATTTCATAGCTAACTCTTTCGAAAAACGTGTGCTAGTTGTTCCTAGGCCCCACTTGTCTGTTCTGTAGATCAACTGATCTTCTGAAGCTTCTACAGAACACTTCAACATTCACTCAACTCTAGCTGACTAGTGGTCAATTGAGCCGCTCTCAAAACTCAAATTCAAGCTTTAACCCACTTAATTCCAGGCTCGTTCGTGGCCGGCTGCACAGTGCTCATCCTGATCATCCGCTTCTGCATCTCTCGCTACGCCATCGACGGAAAGTCGTTCTCGCTAGCCGACTTCCAGCACTTCATCAACTTCCTGATCATCGGAGTCACCGTGCTCGTCGTGGCCGTTCCGGAAGGACTCCCGCTCGCCGTTACCCTCTCCCTGGCGTATTCCGTCAAGAAAATGATGTTGGACAACAATCTGGTGCGTCATTTGGACGCGTGCGAGACGATGGGAAACGCGACGTCGATCTGCTCGGACAAGACGGGAACGCTGACGACGAACCGGATGACGGTGGTGCAGTCGTTCGTCAACGACACGCATCACAAGGACACGCCGAAGATCGAGTCGTTGGACAAGAACACGGCGAAGCTGATGATGGACTGCATCTCGATCAACTCCTCCTACTCGTCCCAAGTGATTCCGCCAAAGTTGCTCGGCGAGCAAGCCACTCAATTGGGTAACAAGACCGAGTGCGGAATGCTCGGATTCGTGTTGGCACTTGGAAAATCGTACCAGGAGATCCGCGACCGCCATCCGGAGGAGACCATTCCGAAGGTGTACACGTTCAACTCGGTCCGCAAGAGCATGTCGACGGTGATCAACCTTCCGGACGGCGGATACAGAGTCTTCTCGAAGGGAGCTTCCGAGATTGTGACGAAGCGGTGCAAGTGGTTCCTCGGCAAGAACGGAACACTCACTAAGTTCACCGCCAAGGACGCTGAGAACCTCGTGCGCGACGTCATCGAACCGATGGCCTCCGACGGCCTCAGAACCATCTGCGTCGCCTACAAGGACTACGTGCCGGCGGCGAAAAAGACAGCGGACAACCAGATCGCCTACACGTCGGAGCCGGACTGGGAGAACGAGGAGCAGATTGTTGGCGACATGACCGCCATCGCGATCCTCGGAATTCAGGATCCGGTGCGTCCAGAAGTGCCGGCCGCGATCACCCGATGCCAGGAGGCCGGAATCACCGTTCGCATGGTCACCGGAGACAACATCAACACGGCCCGCTCAATCGCCACCGCCTGTGGAATCCTGAAGCCCGGAGAGGACTTTATCGCGCTCGAGGGCAAGGAGTTCAACGCGCGCATTCGTGACGAGAACGGCGAAGTTTCGCAGGAGAAGCTCGATCTGATCTGGCCGAAACTGAGAGTTCTTGCTCGCGCGCAGCCATCGGACAAGTACACCCTCGTCAAGGGAATCATCGACTCGCGCGTGACCGATTCTCGTGAAGTGGTGGCCGTCACCGGAGACGGAACCAACGACGGACCGGCTCTCAAGAAGGCCGACGTCGGATTCGCGATGGGAATTGCGGGAACCGACGTCGCGAAGGAGGCGTCCGACATCATTCTGACCGACGACAACTTCACTTCGATCGTGAAGGCAGTCATGTGGGGACGCAACGTGTACGACTCGATCGCCAAGTTCCTGCAGTTCCAACTCACCGTCAACGTCGTCGCCGTCGTCGTCGCGTTCGTCGGAGCGTGCGCCATCCAAGATACCCCGTTGAAGGCCGTGCAGATGCTTTGGGTCAACCTGATCATGGACACGCTCGCCTCGCTCGCCCTCGCCACCGAAATGCCGACTGAGGAGCTGCTGAAGCGAAAGCCGTACGGACGCACGTCGCCGCTGATCTCGCGCACGATGAGCAAGAACATTCTCGGCCACGCCATCTACCAGCTCATCGTCCTCTTCACCCTGATCTTCTACGGAGAAGTCTGCTTCAACATCCCGTCCGGCCGCTGGGCCCCACTCCACTCGCCGCCCTCCAAACATTTTACGATCGTCTTCAACACGTTCGTCATGATGACGCTGTTCAACGAGATCAACGCGCGCAAGATTCACGGCGAGCGCAACATCTTCAAGGGACTCTTCTCGAATCCGATCTACTACGTCATCTGGATCGCCACCATGATCTCGCAGGTCGTCATCGTTCAGTTCGGCGGCCGCTGGTTCAGCACCTCGGCCCTCAACACCACCGAATGGCTGTGGTGTCTTGCGTTCGGCGTCGGAACTCTTCTCTGGGGACAGGTACGGTTGCAGGAAACTTTTGCTTCATTTTCAATGTTCATATCTGACCCGATCTTTGCAGGCTTCTTTGACTCGGATTGAAGTATCTTGGGTCCGAGTTTTAGACTGATCGGATCTTCTGGTCCTGAAATATTTATATCAGAGGCCGAAAAAACTTTCACTATATCCCAGATCCAGAAGAGGGGGCTTTCACTATATCCCAGGTCCAAAAGATCCGATCGGTCTGAAACTTGGTCCCAAGATATTTCAATCCAAGTTCAATAAGTCTGCAAAGTTCGCGTCCAATCAGAATATTCCAACGTTGTCAATGTGGGCCATTGAACCCATGAACCTAATTCGATATTTTCCAATTTTAAGATCGTGACGAGCATCCCGACGGGATCTCTGCCCGCCAATATGACGATCGGATCGGGCGAGGCGCCGACGAACGACCCGCTGATGCCCGATTACGAGGACTCGGACACGCACGAGAAGCGCTCCGGCCAGATTTTGTGGGTGCGCGGACTGACTCGTCTTCAGACTCAGGTCAGTTTTCGACAATATCTTACAGACACGGCTCCACGAAACAACAATTTCAGATTGTTAGACCCCCGAAATCCTTGTTTTTTCCAATCCATCCCTCTCTCTCTCTCCTATTTTGAGTTGCTTCTCGTAGAGGAAACCGAAAATTTCCACTTTTTCCTCATTTTCAGTTTCTTTCTTCGTCCCCAATGTGAAATGCAAGAAAAAAGAGAGAGAGAAATCGTCGTCGAAAAAGCAAAAGCAAAAAAACGAAAAGAGAAAAAGGAATCGAAAAAGAAGACGTTTCGTCTCTCATTTCCTCCTCTCTCTTTTCCTCTCCCATCCCGTTTTTTTTCACCCGAAAAAATTGAGCAACACCTTCGAGAGAGAAAAGCGAAGCAAAAAAAAAGAGGGGCGGGAGAAAATTTTCATTTGAGAAAACTTTTAAAAGAAACGAGTGTATGTGTGGTGTGTGGTTATTCACACGAAACAAAATGCAAACATAAATTTTAGGAACCTTTTTTTTCCATCAACCTTCTATAATTTGGTTTTTCTTCACTGTCTTTGCGCCATCCCCCCTCCGATATGTTTTATCAGTTTTGCTTGTTCGAACTTTGACAGAACAAAGAAACAAGACGAGTTTTGTATGAAACTCCCGAAAAAAAGAAAGACGAAAGGGCCCTCTGTTGTGTGGTGTCCTCCTCCTCCTCCTCCTTCTCTCCCTCCTCTCCTGGCGTCCCGAGAAAACAAAAGTTGTGTGTTGTGTTGTGAGTTTTTTTTTTTTTGAAACGGTAAGCAAATGTCATAGAAGAGGAAAATTTGAATTTTTTTCATCCCTATTGTTTCGTTTTTGTGCGTGCTCTTTCTCTCTGAACTCAACACAATTTGGCCGAAGGCGAATGAAATGCGAATGAAATTGTTTGTGTGATGATGATAATGATGATGATGATGAACGAGCATTGTTTGTTTCAATTTCTCACTCTCTCTATATCTCTCTCTATCTCTAAAAAAAAGATCATCAAGAAAAATGTCGTTCTCTCCTCTTCCTCCGCGAGAAATTTCGAGAAATACCCGTGTGTTTCCCTTTCCACACCGCTTTAACGTTCATCGAGAAAAAATTGGATAATCAATGTGTGCCGTGTCGAAAATGTTTGTGCGTATGTCGTCAATTTGGTGTGCTCTCAACTTGCACTGACTAACAAATTTTATGGAAAAGTGTAAGCTATGACCTAGTTAAAACTGGTCCACGCTCTAATTTTAAAAAGCGTAACCTTTTTGCTTATCCTTAACGCCTTTTAATGAAATCAAGTATTACCAGTCCTGTCAAGTGCAAACACACTCACACACCAAACTAGACGCCCAACATTTTCATTTTCCCACCCAACAACGCCTTCTAATCCAAGCTTCTTCTTCTTCCTCGAAAAATGAGCAACGCCGCCGGCCGATCGAGAAAAAAAGCCCCCGCTCTCTCTCCCTCTCTTGCTCTCTCTGTCTCCGTTTGTTCCCCTCCCTTTGTTCTACCCCAACCGAAATTTTAGTGTCTTTTTTTTGGGGGTCTGGAAATTGAATGTTAGCTGTAGTGTTTTCCCTGTTTTTTTTCGAGTCTCTGGGAATACCTATTTTGAGTATCTAGCATGCACTTTTAATGGTTTTAATTTATTTATGATTTTGAATTGCCGCCCGCCCGCCAGCCCGTCCACGCACTCGAGTATTTGAATGCAGCAGCTTTTTTTCGGTATACAGTACTCCATCTATATTGCTTTTTCATGACTAACCAAACGGGTTCAACTGTTTAAACCGTGAACTTGTTCATTTAGGTTAAAAACTGGTAAAAATCGGTTTTTACCCGACTGAATGAGATCATGAGACACACAAACAAACTTTTTGTTGCTATTATCCGATAACAATAATAATAATGGCCCCGCTCCCCCGTACTACCAACTACCAACCGTTTCTCTCACCTCACTAACAAGTGCCCCCCGCCCGTCGCTCGGAGTGTGTTGCTCATTTTTCTTGCTGAAATAATGATGATGATATAACATCAATCAATCCTTCTTCTTTCTCACAATTTCATTTAAAAAAGAGGAGGAGGAGAGGAAGGGAGAGAAAGAGAGAGAGAGAGTGAGAAAGAGAACCATTTCATCAACAACGTTCGTCTTCTTTTTCTTTTCTTTTTTTTCACCAATTTTTACACGTTTTTTTCACTTTTTTGTATGTTGTAAGGGTCTCGACACGAAAATTTGACTAAGTTTCCGAATTTTGGGCCTTCGAATGGTCTGAAGCTCAAAAAGACCTTCATTCTACTGGATTTTGGGTCTCGTCACAAAAGTGAGCACTGATTATCTCTAGAACAATAAAAACCTTTATTCGGTACCCTAAAAATAATAATAATAATAATAACTGATTTATTCACTTCGACCACCTAGATTGCGATAATTAAGAATCTGGGTCTCGCCACGAAGAAGAGCCTAGAGCGTAGATTTCGGGAATTAGAAGACAAAGTTCTGGAAGTTCAGTTTTCGTTTCGAGACCAAACCCTAGAAACCCTCTTTCAAAGTATGGTGAAATCGTCTCGCTACCGCAATTCCACGTGAAAACACGCGGAGAGCGGTAGAGCGCGATTGTCCAGACCTTGGCGGCTGCAGAAAAATTGAAAATGTTTGCAGTTACGAGTCGTCAAAGCGTTCCGCTCCTCGCTGGAAGAGTTTGACGAGCGGCGTTCGATCGCCTCGACGCACTCGGTCCAATCGATGCGCGGCGGATTCTGGGGCGGCGGACGACACACGACGACGGCTGCGTCGCCGGATCCGGCTAACGCCCGCAACGCGATGGCGGCGATCTCGCACCGTCAATCGCCGCAACCGTACCCCTACTATCACCATCAGCAGCCACGCACGCCGTCTCCGCAACCGCACATTGTCGTGGAAAATGGAAATGCGGGCGCGGCTTCGGCTTCAGCTTCTCAGCAGGCGGCGCCAAAACAAGAGGCGAACGGGAAGACGGAAAAAGTACCGTTGGTGCAACAATGGTCGCCCGACACGAACTCGTCGTACACGCAAACGCAACGAAGCATCAACAAGAGTATGTCGTTGGACACGCCCGTCTCGGTTGCCCACGTGTAATTCTTCCCCCGCTTTGTAGTGGTTTTCTCGTGTACTTGTTTTCTTTCTTTCTTTCTTTTTTTTTCTGAAAACATCCCAATGAAATAATCTCACAACAATATATACTTAGACCAGGTTTCTCCCACCTTTTGAAGTCTTTATACTGGTAGAATTCACAAACTGTAGATGCCCGTTCCACCCCGATTTTAATGTTTATTATTATTTTACCTACTACTTTATATATACTTTGTGTGTTTGTGTGTGCAATTCAATGCAATGCAATCCTTTGTATAAGCTTCTAACCACTTATCTTTCATTTTTCGATGTCTATCCGAAAGCGTTCTTCACCCATTTTGCAATCACTTTGTGCTCCTCCTCCTCCGCCTAGAACATTTTCTCTCTTTCACACAGATTTCTATGGTTCTCTCTTTGTTTTTGTCTCCTACCTAATGCGCTAAACTCTTGCTCTTTTTTATCTTTCCATCCAACATTTTCGCAGTTATTCTCGTCGTCGCAACTTTTTTTAGGCTTTTCTACGTAAAGCGCCGAAGAATGCTCGCTATTTTTTGGTCTATTTTTATGACTTAAGATATTATAATAATAAATGTGCTGAAATTTTATTGGATTTGATTAGACGCATGAAAAAAATCTGTTTCCCCGCATTTGTATATTATTGAAAACCCACACACACACACACACACACACTACACCCGTTTTCGAATTTTCTCGTTTCTCCCGCACCTCTTTTCGTCCTGAAAATCAGCAAATGCGCTCTAGCGAACAGAAATGATCGAAAGCGCCCCAAAAACGGATTACAGGTTATTGGCGGCGAACGCTCGGATCACCTGATCCCGGTGCCGTTGAGCAGTGCTCCGACTGACCAAGCAGTAAGAGAATGTGTTGATATTATCCGAGGCAGTGATCGGATAATATATAACTGCCCCCCGCACCACAACCTCCTCCGAAACCCTAACTTGTCCTTTGATTCTTGGATAGTCTAAGAGTTCCCTGCCCGCCCGGCGAATGGATATTATCTGTCGTGTTGTGCCAGTCATTGTAGTCGTGTCATCGCCTGATCGATTTGCATTGATTTATATTGTAACTATCCGGTCGTGGTCCTCTCTTCTTTTTTTTTCTCGCTCGCGCTTTCACGTTAGGATGTTTTACGGACAGAAATAGTGTCATTGAAGTATTGTAGACTTACATGAGTAAAAGTAGGAAAACCGTCTGTAATAGAAGGGCACCTAATTATTGTTCATTCTAGACCGTATATCTCAGCTAGCGATGGAGTAATCAAAAAGTGGTCAACCGATAAAATGTTCATCGAAATATGGTGTAAACTTTATCTGTTGACAACTTTTTGATATCTCCACTGACAGCTTCGATACATTGTCTTCAATGGAGTGCCGTTCTATTAAAGTATTAGTATAGAATTATGTAGGTTGAATCGCTTTTAATTTTTGAAGCCATCACTAGGTTACAAGTTGGGATTTCATAGGCCTAGGACCCCCAATCCTACTAACTTTTCACAATTTAGGTTCAGTCCGCCACTAAGTTCCACCACTTCTACTATCGTTAATTTCCCTTTCTCTCTCTCTCACTCTCACTCTCTTTCTCGTGTGTGTGACAACTTTTTCGAGCTCCTACATTAATTTCTCAAAAACTGGCTAACTTTTGGAGTGATTTTTACCCGAGAATAACCAAAATGTTATTGACCGAGACAATCCTTTTCTGTCTCCGACTAGAAAAAGAACTAAAGAACGGAATGGAAATTAATCAAGAAAACTGATGAGGAAAGAGAGCCGAAAAAGGGACCCGAGATTTGTGATTGCTTTAGCTTCAACAGTTTTTGTCCGCACACAGTGACGGTCGCCGATTTCACCCGTTTTCAGTTTCAAATGTGACCCCCCTACTTTGAACGGGTACTGTAATGTATTGTTGGCCTAAAAGTTGTTTGTAAACACAAAATCGATATACCTAGTGCTTCAATTTTCCAGTTGACGACTCTTTAGTGACGCTTAGAATTTTCACGAGCTTCAGTAGTTGTCAACTGGAAAAATGAAGTGCTAGGCAGGTAGATGTTGTTGTTACAAAAACATTTTAGGCCAGCAAGACATTTCCTAGACATTTTCAACAGAAAGTCGCTCAAATCTATGTGTGTCACAGTCAATATACTATTTTTTCTCTCAGTTTTCTGTTTTCTAATTGGTGTTCTGACCGCTTTGCCTCCGTAATAATGCACTTTCGCCCAACCGTACCGTATTTTCAGATTCGCGTGGTGAAGGCGTTCCAGGCGGGACTCGACCGTCGCGAACCGAGTCTGACCGGACAATCGGCCGCCCGTCTCCGAGAGATTAGTCGGCAGTTGAGACTGCAAGTCGACTCGGAGAACCGAGGTATTCCAGAGTCGTTTCATTGTACCGTTTATTCAAGAGTGTCTATCTCAATTGTGGGTAGAGATATCAAAAAGTGGTCAACTGATCAATTGTTCACTGAAACATTGTGCACATTTTACCAGTTGACCACTTTTTGATATCTCCGCAGACAGCCGAGATAGATCCCAACTCTCAGAAATGCCTGAACAGCACGCAGTTAAAGTTGTGGCCGTGGCCTAGAAAACACAGGTGTCGAAACTGTTCCATTGCACTTTGACAATTTGTGTGAATGCTTGGCAACGTCTGACAGCATTGTGCCGATTGCAAAAGAAAACCGAAAAATATCCCACGACCTAGGAGTTTTCTAGGCCGCGGCTACAACTTTCACTGGGCGCTGGCAGTAAGAGGCAATTCAGACAGACAAATAAACTTACAGGGTTCCCTGCTTCTTTAAACTAAATTGCGATTTTCAGCGCGCTCAACGTCCCGCGGAAATATCAAGGAGACGAACAACTTGTGATCCGTTGCCCCCAAAATCCCGAATCTCTTCAGCATTAAAATGATTCTTTCCTTCCTTGTTTTTTTTTCCTTTTTCCTAATCGAATCCATCCTTCTCAATAATATTCCCACCCCAAATATCGTCAATTTCTATCTATGCGCAATCTCTGTGTCAGGTTTCTGTGTCCGCGAGGAATTGGTTTTCTTCTCAAAACAAAACAAATTTCCCCCCGCCTTCTTATTTCTGTCTCTTTCTCTTTCTTTCTCTCCGTCGCCCCCTCTCTAAAAATGTGCACTTTTTCCGGTGTATTCTTCTTTTTTCCCCAACTTTTCAAAGATTTTTTCTCGTTAGGCATAATCAATTAATCGGCCCCCTGAAAAATTTCGCATAATTTTTTTGTCTTTTTCACAGTATTTTTATTTCACGTCCGCCGCTTTTTTCCCCCGACAGCACCGCCCATCTCTCACGTAGCTAATTCAAATTCTAGGGGATTTCCCATGGAAATGTCCCCCCCACAAATACAAAAAAATTTCGGCATTTTCTCTCCGCTGTCTCTCTGTCCTTTCTATTTTCTGAAAAGCGTTTCTAAAAACAAAGTATAACCCAAATAATGATTTGTGGAGAGAATAAAAATTCTTAAAATCCAAAAGAACAGTCTCCGGGCGGGGGCGTAAAAGATGAGATACAGATGTGTTTGTACGGGTGTGGGAAGTGCGCTCTACCGAACAAAAAAAAAGAGTGGGCCACTGAAAACGGGTAATATGTACAGAAACTGGGGGACCGAATATGAAATTATCAAATAGTGTGTGTAGGTAGGGGGGTGATTTCTCTAAAAATTCTCTAAACTAATAATTATAATTGTAATAATGATAATGTGCGTGCGCTTTTGATTAGACACAGAAGGATAATACTCTAATTGATAAAAGTAGTGTGCGGGCGGGGGTTAAAACATTATCATGTGTATGCGCGGGCGGCACTTCAGAAGACGTCGTTCGAGTTCTCGTCGAGTACGCCGTTCGCCAACGTCGTGTCCGACGCGTTTCCGTCTTCCTCCTCCTCCTCCTCGTCCACGTCTTCCACGATCTTCAGCACCGACGAGTCATGGTGCATCCACATCGAATCGTCGTCCATCTCCAGCTCCTAAAAACAACATTTTCAGGCTGCCCAAACTATCAAAGTGCGCACTGCACTTTTAGAGGGAAGTTCAAATTCTTAGACAGTATTTTCGTCCATAATTTTGTAGTAAAACAAGTGTATTCTCCTCCTAAGCTTCAAGTTTCCCGCCACTAAAAGTGCAGTGGAGCGCATTTTCGACTTTCCGCATCTTGTAAATATCTACAAACCTGGAGAGTGAGGCTCGAATTGAGTCCGCCGCTGGCCGCGTGGCTGCTGCTCGCCGCCGACGAAGAAGTGCTCTCGTTGCGGACGAGCGCCTCGAACAGCTCGACGTTGTCCAGCGAATCGGTGCGTGGCAGGCAGCAGCTCTGCAAAACTCCGTCGCTTTTTCGTCAGAAAAAAGCCTCACTTGAGCGGAATTTCCGAATCGAGAGAAGGAGGGAAGTCGCTGCCGTTCGTGCGGCCGATTCTCCTCGTTTTCGTCGTCGTCGTCGTCCACACCGTCGTTGAGGCTGATCGTTCGGATTCCCGACAGATTTGCGAGTGTGATCGAGTGTGCCTCTTGCGAGTGAAAACGCGCTGAAAACCTCAGTTTCCAGCTAGTTTTAGACATGAAATTTTCAGATTTTTGCAGAAACCAGGACTTATCACTACGAATCTCTAGAGGTTTGGGTCTAACCAAGCCCCGAAAAGATCTTTCTCATGTATTTAGTGCGAATTACGTACTCTGCATCGCTTTCAATATGGGATTTCTTCGGGCGAGTCGCCACTTGGCGAACACGTTCATCCGATGAAAGCGGACCACTTTGACCGTGTAGAGTCCCTTGTTCTGCTCGTTGAAGATGCCGGAGATGTCGACGACGAACTCGACGTCGTGGCTCCACAGAAGCGGCAGTCCGTTGTGGTCCGTGTAGCCCGAGTACTCGGCGATCGTCTCCACCTCGACGAAGCCGCCGTGCACGTGCACCTCCAGCTGCGTCACGTCTGCCCGAAGCGACCGCGAATCGACGTGGCGGCCTTCGGAGGATGGCGTGGCGAGGCACGAGGTGGCGGGCAGCGAAGAAAGGACGGAAGGAGGAATGGAGTGGGCGAGCAGCTCGTCGAAATTCGGAAAAATTGACGGCGCGGACGACATTCCGAGGCACCGCTTCATTTGGAACGCCATGCATTTGCCTATCAGATTCACTTCTGAAACAAAAAATTGAAATTGGGAACGAATTATGGGAATGTGAAGTACGGTACCGCCCACGCAAGTGTTCATGCATTCGGAATGAAGGTGCGGACGCCGCGGACGGTGCCCAACGTCGATGCTCTCGCAGCAGTGGCTTCCGCTGCAGAAAATATGGATTTTCAGGAGAAATCTACAAAATCCGAACCTTCTGAAAATGCGGACATCTCTGGGAAAGTCGCGACTGGAGACGAGTCTCAGATCGCGTTTAACTTCGCACTCTTCGCGTGTCACCAGGCCGAAATGCTCGTTTTCGGCGACTTTTGAAGAGGCGGTCATCGCCAACGAAAGGACCGCTTCGAAGGAGGGAACCGACTCGATGCGCAGCTGCCAAGGACCGTCCGACGTCTGTTCGGTCGTCACAAGACACACCAGACGGCCTGGAAATGGGAAAATCATCGTTTTTTTTCTCGGATTTTCTAGGCCGGGCCGGCCGGTCAAATCTACGGTCCTAACCGATTTGTCTGCTCGGAATCCTCGGCGACTCCTTCGAATCGACAATAACTCCGAGCACATCGTTGAAAACTGCCGGCGTCGAGTATTCCTTGTCCATATACGTAAAACATCCGTTTGTGAGCGCCGAGCATCTAATCTAAAGCCTTCATTCTCCACATTCCCCTCAAAATCCCAAACAAACCACATTTTTTTTCAAATGCTCGCAAAACTCGAGCTGCAGCTCGGCCCATTTGTTCCCCTTCGCCTTCGTCAACATGTATATGCATTTGACGGCGTCCACGCGGATCTCTTTTGTCTGCCAACTGCAAAAATTCGAAATTTCCGTCGAACAACTAAAAGAAACGGACTCAATAGTGAGATTTCCGTTGAGGACGGTGCCGAATTGAAGTGAGTTTCGGCCGAATTTTTTCAGCGAGATCGGCGGAATCGACGCCGAAAATAGATCTTTTTTGTAAGAGGCTATGTACTTATCTGGAAAAATACACAGGAATTCTTCAATTTTTGCAGAAATATTGAAAAACCTTACAATTTTTGGTGTGCTTGGCGACGAGATCGAGAACGAGCAATTCGGCGCTCTGCGATTCGGTATTATTGTTATTTTCCGCATTTTCTTTGAATCGAGACATGTTCCGTCCGAATTCCGGCTGAAAATCGGACGGAAAATCGAGATGAATTTCCGACGAAAACAGATTTTTCGAAATTTTCGCGCCGGTTACAGTAGCGCTTTTTGGTGTGAACACTGTCACGGCGCATTGCGAACTACTTAAATTTTTCTGAAACTTTTAACGGATTCAAGCTGAAAACATCTAAAAAATTAGTAGAAAATGGCAGAGAAATGCGAAAAGTTTGAATGGAAATTGAATACTGACGAGGGAAGGCAAAAAATTAGCAAATTGTTATGGAAGGACACATCTTCAAGGCCGAATTATGTTTTCTTAGGCGTAATTTAAAAATTTTCACGTAATCTTTGTTTAAATTATTTCTACACTAACCATATTTTGTTTTTTACCTTCTTTCTATTGAATACTCAATTTTCTACTCTAAAACTCTCCATGTACGTTTACTTTTTTCAAATTCCCTCTGTTGGCCGCGTGGCCGTGGCCTAGAAGACTTCAATTTTTCGAAACGATTATCAACCGGTTTTTTCTCGTTTTTCAGCATTTTTCTCTGAATTTTCCAACTGAAAATTTCAAATTAGATTTTCAGAAGCTAAATGGACGCGGAACAAGAAGCAGAAGTCGTCCAGGCGCTTCCAGACGCCACAGAAGTCGAGCAAATCGGAAACATTGCTGAAAACGACGATAGAAAATTTCGATTGATCACAGTCGAGAATTTGAGACATCCCGGAGGATGGTTCACTAATCGGCAAGTAAGTCCTTCCTGAAAATTTCACGAGAATAACCGAATTTCGATGACTTTCAGTTCCAAAGGCTGCTCAACAAAGCGGCAACGTTCCAGACGTCATTCGAACGACCAGAGCGTTCAGATGAACGAGTAGGATATACATTTTTTATAAAGAACTCAAAAATGTCAGTTTTTCAGCAAATCAAAACCGGAAGCATCGAATTCGTGTTCAGCACGGTCGAATCGGCCCGTGACGCCTACACAAGCCTCCAGAAGATGATCATCGACGGAGCCAGGCCGATTACACTTGTAGATCCTGAATTTTGTAAGAAACATGTCTAAACCTAACATTTTTGTTCAAAAAAAAAGTTTCAGTCGCCGCCGAGATCTCGTCATCATCGCATCAGCAATTTTTCGAAGTTTCGGATGACGGGCGGCTCGTCTACCTTCTCGACGCGCCGAAATCCATCGACGAGCACATGATTGCGCATTTCTTTGGCTCCGAAGTGCCCGTCCACTTTTCCAGCCTTCCTATGCCGTCCGGAGACGGACTTTTGCAGGTAGAAGTGCTTCTCGAGAGCCCAGAATCCGCGCAGAGGGTGCTCGCAGGACCGGACAAGTTTCCGATGAGCGACGAGGACGTTGAGTGCGTTGTTACGTACGTCTTTCTCTGAAAAAAATGTATTGTGAAATTTTACGTTTTCAGACTTTTAAAGCCACGCGAATATGCGCTGTACTCCAGAATGGACGACGCCCGTCAGAAGCCTTCGGGGCTTCGAAACCAGCCAAAAGAGGCGGCGCCTGCACATTCCTTGGCTCCGGAAATCGACGAAGACGAGATCGTTCAAAAACTGATGGATGTCATCGACGAGCGACGTCTCAATTTTGCCGAAATCAACGAGAAGGACGAAATTTACGAGTTGTGTGACGCCGTCTCTGCCCTCTACAACGGAGTTCCCGATTCAATTCTGAAGCCGGCGATGGGCGCCGTCCTCCAGAAACACCTGAACCGCACGGAGATGCACTGGATGCGAGAGCACATCGAGTCGCTGCTCAGGACGTGGAAAACGGAGATTCTGAGAGAGCAACCGTACCCGAGACCGTCTTTCGTGGCCATGGAGGCGCCCGTCTATCAGCCTGTCATTCGCGAGGAGCGCAAAGAGAGCAAGGGGTACTTCGCTCTGAAATTCCGATTCCGAGGAATAATGTGAAAACTTTTCCAATTTTCAGAGCCAACAAACGCAGTAAAGCGGCTCGCGCGCAGATGGGCGTCGGCGCGTTCCTCTCCGCCCATCGCGAACGTCTTCTCGTGGAGACCGGCGAGGTGGACGTGGATTCAGACGACGACGGCAACGTCGTCATTGGCGGCGAGGCGCTGAGTTTCGACTCGTGGGCACGCATCACAAAGACGAAGGCGAGTGGGGTGGTCCGAACGGACGACGACGGAACGACGAAGATCGGCAACGGCGGGCTGACGAAAAAACAGCAGCGACTGGCGAGGACTGTCGAGGGAATGGATCAGGACGAGTGGAAGCGGTGGCGGAAGGAGAAGAGCGCGGCGAGGAAGGCGGAAATGAAACAGAGAATTATGGCGAAAGGAGCCATGGAGGAGGGCGGCGAGGAGGATCCGGAAGCGGAGAAACCTCTGGAAGTGGTACCGCCGCCACCGGTTCCGCCTCCGGTCAAAAAAGATCTCGATGAGGGAGAAATCGACTCGGAAGAGGAGCGGAAAGCCGAGGCAGAAGCACGCGGAAAGAAGCGGAAGGCGCAGAAGGGCTCTTCGGACTCATCGAGCGATTCCACGTCATCGTCGTCGGAAGAGGAGACGGACGGTCCGGTCGACGCGCGGAAACGCAGAAAGCTGCGACGGAAGAAGGACCGCAAGAATCCACGCGTGCTGGCCGCCTCGCAACCGACTCTACCGGCCGAATTCAAAGTTATTTATGAGAATCGCAAGGCGCTCGTCGCGCAAATGACGCCGGCCCACAAAGCCGCGTTCGCGAGTGCTCTTACTCAGGTCGGGATTCGATAAAACTGAAGGTTTCATAAGATTTTTCCAGATTATCCAGCAACAAAACAATCCGATCTCCCAGGCCAACGCTTCCCAGCTCATCACCTCGGCAATGTCACAATTCAAATGATTCCCCGGTTCTTTTTTTTCTCAACTTATTAAATTTTCACCCTAACTTTCGAATTTTTCATGGTTGTTTACCTCAATTTTACTGCTCATTTTTGAGCTCAATTAAATGAATATTCTATGATGAGCTTCTTCTGCTGCTCGACCACTCAATTATTTAGCCTTCAATTATCCCGTCCGCCGCTCTTTTTATAGCATTTTTTGCCCTTTGCCCCTCCATTCCCCATATTCTTTATGTTCTATCCTCTTTTGGGCCCACATTGGGACACTAGAGACTACAGATTGCAATCCGACTCTTATATTATGATGTATGAGAATGTGACATTCATTCGTACAAGTGGTTAATCCCGGAGATTACTATCTGGCTCAGACTGCGGCCTGATTTTCATCATAAGGCACGAATTCTTATAGGGCCCATAGTCTAGAATCTAGACTAAGGATCCTAGACAACCCCAAAAATCTCGAGCCCTGATTCCAATATTGTTGTTTTCTAGGATTTCTAGGACACGCGCACCTGTCCTCAACGGACCACCACCTCATTAGCCGCCCCTTCCCCTCTGATAATCCCATTCAAACGTAAGCCGATTTCCATTGCCCGCTTCGTTTCTCTCATCCGGCTACTAATTGGGGATTCTGTCCAACCAGGTACCACCAACGCTCTCAATTATATTTGAATGTGTACGGGCCGGGCTGGCGGGTTCGTATTCGTATTCGCACAATGTGATTGCGCAAGTAGAGAGAGAGAGTAGGAGGGCAAATATGGTACACACTAAAGTGGTCCTTTAGGTGTTGGGCTGGACTGATTGAGAGTAAGGTACTAGACGTCAAATGGAGCCTACAGTAACCCAGAGTAGAGAAAACAGTGCGTCTGAATAGCCCTATTAGAGATTTTGAAAGATCGGGTAGCTCTGGCAATCTTAAAGACCGTAATCTCAACGAATCCAAACACGTTCAACCAAGTTTGTTTACAATGTGTGTATATCCCCGGGGATTGTATATTGTACAACCACAAACATTGGTACGTGTGAAGTGTCCAATTGCACACGGCTCGAGACATCTTTTGGACTTTATTAAGAACAAGTAGATACAGACATCGAAATTCGGACAAGAAACGAGGATGTTAGACACACGGCGCAGTCGTCTCCTGATTGATACCGTACTTGCGGACGGTGATCTTCGAGAGGAGCAATCCGACGGACGACGCGATCGGATCGAACAACGCGTGGATGAGCCAGTGCCAGAGATTGGCGAGCAAATTTCCGGGGATCGAGAGCAATTTGGCGGCCGGCACGACGACGAACACGTTGATCGAGGCGAGGAGACCGAAGAAGATGGCGAAAAGGAACGTGAACGGGAGGGCGAGCAGCGAGACGAGACGGTAGACGAACAGGCGCGTGGCGGTGAAGACGGTGTGCTGGAGGCGCCAGTTGAAGTCCCACGAGTGCGTCGCATCCGGCTCGCCGAAGATGTCGGAGAAGTCGAGCTGGACGTGCGAGTTGAGCGCATTGGAGTCACGGTTGACGAGGTCGATGCCGATCGCGATGTTTTCATCCTAAAACGTTAATGTTCAAAAGCCTTCTAGAATCGAATCGAATGCTCACCTTCTGCTCATTCTCGCCCTTGTTGCACTTCTTCCACCAGCACTTTTTCTCCTTCTTCTCCTTCTCGAGGGTCTCATCGCCGGCGCCAACAGCTCCTTCCTCGACGTTAGCCTCATTTGTGGCCTTCTTTTTACCCCAAGTGAACCAGTTTTTCTTCGGTTTCGGCTCTTCTGGCGCGGCGACGGCCGGCTCTTCCGGAGCCGTTTGATCGGTCAGCGGGATCTGCTCCTCGGTCTTCACGTCTTGTTCGGCGGACATTTTCGGTTAGGTAGGACTGCAAAAAAAAGAAACACTGTACTGACAAAAATAATTTTAAAAAACAAGAAAAAGAAGGGTCTATATGCATACGCAACGCGGTACACAATGGCAATGACCGAGTGCTGGTTGGTTGGGGGGACCACACAATGAGTACTCCGCCCAGCGACCTCTTGGCTCGTTGCCAAGCCACGCCCACTTCTGTGTGCTCTCTCTCTCTCTCTCTCTCTCTCTCTAGAGAAGGTCTGTTGGACAGACAGACGGGCGAGGAGGATTAGGATGGACGGGGAGGAAATAGGACAACAGACGGACGGGAGATTCGAATTTGGGATCGACAATACAGAAATTATGACCCAAACTTCTGACGGCATTAGTAAATGGCCAGGGCACCAAAAATGCGTCAGGTACGCAAATACTAATTTATTAACAACTTCTAACAATCGTCTTCCACTAATTTTACTCAAAAATAGCCAGACTTGCAACGGGCCGGGCCGGGCCGGGCCGGGCCGGGCCGGGCCAAAATTGGAAATTTTCCGGCCCGGCCCAGCCCGGCCCGGGAGGATGCACCTAAAAATTCAAAGCGAACTAGAACTTCGAAACGAACATAATTTTATAGACTTAAAAAGGCAATGTTATAGCATAAAAACCTGTTAAAAAATAGAAATTGCTGTTTAAAGTCGCAAAATTTTCACAAAAATTACGAAAATTTTCTCAAGAGTGGGCGGGGCCGGGCCGACCGGGCCGGGCCGGGCCGACGATTTGCTGGCCCGGCCCGGGATTTGGCAAGTCTGCTATACTACTTCAGCCCAGCTATTTTTGAGTAAAATTAGTGGAAAACAATTGTTAGAAGTTGTTAATAAATTAGTATTTGCGTACCTGACGCATTTTTGGTGCCCTGGCCATTTACTAATGCCGTCAGAAGTTTGGGACTTGAAGTTGCAACTTTTGAATGCGTAAAATCAGTAAAACCCTGTCACAACTCTATTGTAGACGCACAAAACCTTCGATGTCGTCAGATGACGTTACCATCCATCATCAAGATTTATGATGACGTCACCGAGGAACGGGGGTACATTCTCACCCAACACGAACGGTGTGAAGAGCCGCAGGCAGCGAGAATGAGGGTAATTGAAGGGTGCCAAACAGAACTGTAACAGATGTTGAGCACAAACACAACAGGTGTCACATGAGCGTCTTTTTTTTGTGTTTGGAACGACCCGACAGGCAATCGCTGTCCTTTTTTCGGACGAAAATGATTAGATTGGGGTTGGATAGGTTTGTGGACCTACAGTACTCTTCAGAGCGATAGTACAGAAAAATTGTCAACGACAAAAACGCAGTCCATGTCTCGTACTTGATTTTTGTAGTTGACAATTTTTCTGTACAATCACTCCGAAGAGTATTGTAGCTCTTGGAAGTTCACAAGTCATCGAAAGGTGCTGCTCCCCAACTTCCAAGAGCTACCGTATCCTTAGAACAGCTTGTACAAAAAAGATGTCAACCACAAAATTCTAGTACTAGACATGAACATTATTTTTGTAGTTGACAGTTTTTCTGTACAATCACTTCGAACAGTACTAGACATCATGATACTACTCAAAAATTTTCAGATCAATATGATTCAGATGATTCAGAAGTCATTCGTAAAAAAAGCGTTCATACTCAAAGAAAACGAATGCCCTGTCCGCAAATGATAAAGTAAATGTCGGGCGACGTTCCCTTGGCGATATCGTAGAAACGGAGATTCGTGTCGTGCAACGAGATGGGCTCCAGCTCCGCGCGGCTCTTCGGTTTGACGAGACTGTAGTAGAAGCGCGAGTCGGAGATCAGATCCTTGTAGTGCGAGAGTGCGGCGGAGAGCGCCGAGACTCGCGACGAGGAGGCGAGTTCGAAGTCGAGCTGGGTGCGGAGAACGTCGCGGCCGCAGTTCTTCAGAATGCACACGTGGATGAAGAGCGACTCGGCGGCGCACGGCTGCTGAAAATCGAGTCTTCATGGGCTTATTCAGTCGCACGGTCTCCAGAGCTTACAATGGGCGCAAGTGCGCCCCGCCCAATAGAGCGATACATTGGCGCGAAATTCAAATTTTAACAGCAAAATTTGTGTTTTTTGTCAGATTAGCCACGAAAAATCGATAATTTCTCATTAGTCTCTCGATAGACCGATTGTATAGGCTATTACGAATTTTTTAAGCGCAAGAGCGTTAAATTTGGTCAAGTCGCAAATCATATTTATCCGTTTGAAGGTTTTTGGCTAAAACTGCCTGAATTTCAGTTGCTTTTCGGTAGTTTTCGCGGTTTGAGCGCTCAAAATGCTTGTATTTAAGTGATTTATTGTTCTCAAACCCAATTCTGTCTGAAAACGGTCAAGAATGCGCAAAATGAGAAGTGCGGTTTTTAGGCGGCGATCGGCGGCGATGGCGAAAAAGCGAAATTCGCGAAAAATGCGCCAAAACGTCATTAATTCTGAGAATTAGTGTGTTTTCATGTGGAACAATCATTTTTCATCGCCTTTGACCACAAAAATCAGAGAAAACGTGCTCAATTCATGAAAACGCCATTTGGCCGATGCCGCCACGCCTATATTGTCAGCTCTGGAGACCATGAGTCGGGTTTTCGAAAAACTGCAAAAACGTTACCGAGCAAACGGACTGCGAAGAGTCGGTGAGTCCGGCGCAAACTTTGCACCCGTCCTCCTTGGCGTTCTTCACGCAGTTCGCGTTGCAACATCCGGGCGATCCGTCGAACAGCGCGGCGCTCTGAGCAGTCTTCCGGCACTTTTCGCATATAATATGGTCGCATCCGAACTGGATCGTCGACGGAATGTCGACGACGAGACCGCATGGACCGTCGCAACGCACTTCTAAGGGATTATAAAGTTTTTTAGATGTTCAGGGGGCACTCACTGCCCGGAATTTTCATGATCGACGAGACCTTTTTGACAATTGGCCGCACCGATTCCTCTTCCTCAGACGACATCTCCTTCTGCTTCGCACTTTTCTTCTTATTCTTCTGATTGTCTTCCTTTTCCTTCTCCTTCTCCTCAATCCACGTCACTTTGTACGTGTAAACGATGGCGGTGCCGGTGAGGTGTGTGGCGACGTTCACGCTCCGAATGCGCGCCGATCCGCCGCACACCGGCGGCAAAAACGTCTTCGGATCCTTTTTCTGGACAGCGTCGCCGCGTGCTCTTCCGCACAGCTCTCCGAACTTTTTATGAAGTTGTCTGCTCGCCTCGATGTTAGAGTCCATCACTCTTGTAAATCCCCGAAGCGATTCACTCACTTTTTTGTTGCGAAATAACTTTTTCCCCGTCTTTTTCATCGAGACTGTACAATATCAATCGAAAATGTCACTTTCACGTTTTAAGGTTATTTTCTCCAATTTTCAACGGAACAATTGTGCACCCGCCGCTTTCTATATGAAAATCGATATATTGACCAGTCTGTGGCGCCCATTTTCTTGTTTTTATTGCAGGAAACGCGGAAAACCCCCGCGAAAAAAACGGACAAACAAACAAGACCGTGCCTTCTCGAACACTCTTTTCTCCTGCGCATTTCGTAATAACGCTTTTCTTTTGCTTTTCTTTTAGCTTCAAAACATTTTTTTCATGTCTCTTGATTTTTTACTTCAAAAAGCATCAGAATCTGGCAGATCTTGCACGTCTTCCGAAATTTCCGCCGACTTTTTGTTTCAAATCATTCAAATCACCGCGCTTTCGTCGCAAACGGTCTCGCCACGATCGACGTCACGTGTGAAACGAGTGCGATCGTAACTGCATGCGCCTTTAACCGTCTCGTCGTCAGTGTCTCTCTGTCATCACGTCGAAAATGTTCGTAGCCTTGCCGCAAAAAGTCAGCCGAAAACCACGCGTTCATCTTGCTGAAAATCGAGTGAAACTTTTGCAGAATGTGGTCTCGAATCGAAGAAGCCGAGGAGAGGGGGAGAATCCCCCAGAAAATCATATGACCCGTGCAAAAAGTGTAAATTCTGATGTTTGCTCCGAACATTGAGCGCTTTTCCGGTCTTCGCTCGCATTTTCAGCTTTCGGGAAGCAGCATCGTCACTCGAAGCGCCGATTTTCCACGGAAAAGTGCTTGTAAATTGAAGCGTTGCGAAACGGCGGCTGCTTCCAGCGAAATGTTATATTTCCTGGACGCGCAGAGAAGTATCGATTGCCGCCTTTCCTTCCCAGTGTCTTCCTTGCGCGGTCTTTACTATCGATTATTCGCGGTGTCCTTGTTATATACCACTGGATTTGAGTCACTTTGCCCGAAAACGACCATTTTTTCCAGTGTTCCCCCGCTCCGCTCTCTTTTCTCGACTCTATGCCTTAATATTGCGAAATTCATTTGAATTCATTACAGATTGACGCGGGATCAGCGATCATCATTGAACCGCTGACAATTCGAACCAAACCGACTACAATATTTGTAAATATAGGGATCCGACACCGGAAAACTTGAAAAAAATCAGCGGGTCAGCCAGAAGAAGCAGAGGAAAAAGAAAAAATGAAGATCGAGGAATCAGAACCGATTCCATCGTCGTCCAGCTCTGGCAACGACATGCCGCCCGCCTCTGCGGCGCTCCTCAGAAGCATTTGCGACACAGATTCCGACGAGGAGTTTATTGCGGCTATCAATAAGGGCAGAGAGGTGCACGCGGTGATGGGAAAGACGGAACTGTACAAATGGATCGAGGTCCTCAACAAGGCCGACGCCATTCTCGAAGAGGCCGTCACAAAGGTAAGACATTTGAGCTCAAAATCATGATATTTTCGCTATTTTCAGAACGAAAACGGAGACATGAGATGCGATTACGATGCGGACATGAAAAGCAAGACGATCTCGATCATCCGCTTCACAGTGCTAATCTTCGAGTGCACCTCGTCGAGACGCATCTACAAGAGCACCGACAGAATCACGGCGCTTCTGGAGAGCACGGACATGGACGTGCTCGCCGAGGTGCTGCGTCTGATGCAGGTGATGGGCAAACGATCCAAGTTCTTGAGTACACGAATACCAGCCAAGGATCAGACGGTGCTCGCGCAACGGCTCACCGCCATCGCTCAGTGCTGGGGAGGCAAACTGCGCACTGTGAAGATGGCCGAGTGTCTGAAGAAGGAACCGAAGATGCCGGCGCTCTTTCCGTTCACCTACACTGACGCCAAGCAGCGGGCGGTCACTTTCGAGAAGCCGAAGGTAGGCGGGACTGCGGGCGAACGGGGCACACAATCTGTAAAGTTTCAGAACGGAGAGACGGTCGGAGAGCTTATCAATCGCGCGATCGCCCAGTTGAGTCCACCGGCCAGCTCGGACACCGCGAGCCCACCACAAGCATTCTCGAAAGACGATCATTACGCCCTTTTGTCGAGACTCCGAATGCTCGTCGTCTTTGGCGATTGGCACCACCGCTTTAAGTGTCTGCTCGTCCGTCTGCTCTCCGTCTCCACGCTCGTCTACTGCCGCCTCACCGGCACCGACGAGAACACGGTCAGCTCGCTGCTCTACAGTGGATTCGTTGAGGAGATTGTGGATTTGCTGAAAGTGGAGAAGGAAGGCGATTCGTCGAAGGACAACAAGCTGCACGACGCGATTCAAACAGAGGCTCTCTCCACACTTTGCTCTATTGTCACGTATGATAAGGAGCCGAAAATCGGACAGATACTGGAGGCACTCTCGGCCGGAAGCTACCACGGATTCTTGTCGGTGATGACGCGGCAAATTGTGGACGAGCTCAAGAACAACAACCTTGGCAAGCCGGGAAAACCGTCAGTGAGCCTGGCCACCGCGCTCTTCTCGTTCATCTACCATCTGGCGAGCATCGAGCCCGGCGGCGACACTCTCGTTGGTTCGGGACTCACGCAGACGCTGCTCAACGTCATCGGATTCCACGATCTGCCGATCGAGTGCATAACGTTCGGAACGAGATGCGCTCGAATCATCGATCTCTTCACCACCATCGACGTGACGGCGTTCAAGGCGAACAACGGAATGGACGTGTGTGTGAACCGTGTTGTGGTGAGTTGAAAACGTTATGAATTTTCTAAAAATTCGCTCTTTTTAGCATGAAATCAACGAGTGCCGCAAAGAACAACCGTTCGTCATCGATACCTCCTACGACATGCCGTTCGTGGACGAGCCGGAACTCGCGGTCGCCGTCTTGAACGAAGGAGAAGCCGAAGAAGTCCACGAAGACGCTGAGACAGCTGCAATTGAGCACGGACTGGCCCACGATCATCAGAATCTGCACGCAATTATGCCAGCCGAGGCTGAGCCAGCGCCAGAACAAGAGCCAAAAGAAGCAGAAGAAGCCCCAGTGGCGAACAACGGAGTGAAAGGTGGACCGTGGGAGCAGGTGCAGCACAACGGAACGAGCTGTCATCAGCAGAGAAGCGGGCTCATCAAAGGACTGCTCACGTTCATCAAGAGAGCAATCGGAGACGCTCTATTCCAGGACGTGATGAAGCACTTGATGGAGGGAGACCTGCCGGAAGCGCTCATGCACATTCTCTCGAACGCCGAGTACTATTCGCCGTCGTTGTTCCATCAGTCGGCGCATCTCATCACTAACTTTGTCTATCAGTTCCCGGAGGAGCTGTCCTCGATTCAGAGACGCCACGTGCCGTACGTCATATTCCAGAGTCTTCTGCGAAAAGAGGTAAGACCAACAAATTATGCTTGAAACTTTGAAAAAATCTGTATTTTTCAGCTGCCAAACAGCAAAGATGTTATTACGACGCTCGGCAATGTGTTCACCGCTATGTGTCTCAACGAGCGCGGTCTGAAACAGTTCAAGAGCTACGATCCGTTTGATCAGATCTTCCGAATCGTGCTCAGCGTCAAGTTCCTCGTCACTCTGCGCAAAAAGCGGACCGTGGATGCATTCGAATCGGCGCACGCCATAGGCGGAGCCCTCGACGATCTGATGAGACACTATCCGGATCTGAAGCACGACATGCTCAAGTCGATCATCATCATTCTCGATATGTTAGACGACATCGGCCGCAATCCACCACCGGACGTCGAGTTGGTGCCGACTCTCACAAAGAACATGGCTCGGAGCGTCGTGTGCTCTCCGAACAGCTCACTTCTGCCGCGAGAAGCCATCGAGGCGAGACAGGAAGCACCGAGAGCCGCTCCAGTTATGCCGGAACAGGCTGATGAACGAGTCGGCGGAAACGCCGGAGACGAAGAGGAAGAGCCGATGGACGTGGAAGTGGAGGAGGATTCGGATGTGGACGAGGAGGACAACGAGATGTCGATGGATGAGATGTCAGGAGAGGCGCCAATTGCGGTCAACCAAGCACCGATTCCACCATCACCGAAACCTACGGACTTTTCGACGAAGCCGTGGGAGTTTGGCGCCGGAATGATGTGCGAGGACGTCACCGGAAAGAAGATTTTGCCGATCGGAGACTACATGCTGCTCATCGCGCGTGTCGTCGAAACCATGATGACGCAGAGTCCGACTCAACGCATCACCGACGAGTTTTTGGACGGAAAGGTCATGGAGAAGATAATGAAGTTGTGCCACATTCCGTGCATCACCTCAGAAGCCACGCACACCGCCTACATTGCTTCCATTGCGACTATCATCAAGCACATTGTGGTGAGTAGGGTTTTCTTTGTTTTAAATCGCTTCTCGATTGATTTTGATTGTTCAGAAGGCTGGTTTCCAGACAAATCAACGAAATTCGCCGGAATCCGGACCCAAGCTCATGTCAGCCATCGTCAACGAGTTCCAAAAGACCATGGAGCCATTGTTCACCAACAACGACTTTGCTACGATGAAGGAGACCGGAAAGGCGACGATTTTGATGCACACCGACGAGAAGCAGGTGGAGAAGACGCTTGTCGAGCTGAACAGTCTCATTCCGATCCTGCTCAACCTGAACAAAACGCCGCTCAGTTCGTCCAGCTACAATCCGCAAGACTCCCGTTCTCGAATCTTCGAGACTTGGAAGCTTCCGGAGGGAATGAAATTGTACGGAGCGCTTCGCAAGATCTCGCGAATGTTGTGCTGGGAGCACGATCTCGTGCAAACTCTGAAGCCGACCATCCGAACGGCTGCGACGCAAACCGAAGGAGAGATGCTGAACGATCAGCCGACGGACACCCATCTCGACGTGGAAGTGCTGCCGCCGTGGGAAGACGATGAAGATGAAAAAAAGAAGCGGTTGGAGGGTGCGTTGACCAAGGAACCGAGATGGAAAATTGCCGGAGTGTCGGAGGAGGAGCAGGACTTCTGGTTGAAAAACAAACCGCTTCAGGACATTGTCACCAAGTCGCATCATCTGGTCAAGGAACTGCTCAATTCGATGGGCAAGCAGATGAACATGGTGCAGCCGAGACGTCCGAGAGCCCGCGAAACACCGCCTCTTCCGATCGCCACCACGCAGTGTATCTCGCTGATTTTCACGTCGATCTACAAAGATCTCAAGTGGGATGCTCCTGGAGGCGCTCTCAACTCTCCGATGGCTTATGGACGGTACATTGAGCTGCTCTCACAGCTCAATCAGACGCTCTTCGAGAATTCTGGACGGTGCGGAAATCCGCAATTGGCGCAAAACTTCTACACTTCTGGATGCCACAAGGCGTTTTTCGAGCTCTTCTCCGAGAAAATCATCCCGTTCCTGGGACACAGTATGCCAGAGGGAGTGGAGCAGACGATGGAAGAGTGGTGCCGTTTGGCCGCCAAACTCACCGACCGTCAAGCGATCGCCACCGGAGAGCACCTCATCACGCGAAGGGACAGAACTCAGGATTTCGACCCGAACAAGTACCTGAAGTTGGTATGCCGAGACATGTTCGCCGTCTTCAAGCAGTTCTTCGAAAAGATGCAACAACTGCCGGACTGGGAGCTGAAATCGTTGAAGAAAGTGTGTGAGAACGCGTTCTCCGTCTTCAAGGAGGTCGCCAAGAATCTTGTGGACGAGGCCGAAACAGCCGCGAGGCCCCATTCTCCGAACAGGATTGCTTCTCCTGTAGCCGCTGCCGCCGCCGCCGTCGCTGCCGCTTCTGCCGCTGCAGCTTTCTATCAAGCCGCCGGAGTCGAGCCTGCTGCAGAAGCAGCTAGACCAGCGGCTCCGCCAGCCGAAGAAGCTCCAGCCGCTCCGGCAGTGCCAGCTCAACCAGATCTGCAAGAGCAGGAGATTGCGACGCTGATGGATCTCGGATTCCCGCGAGAGATGGTGCTCCACGCATTAGATCACACGAGAAATGTGGACGAGGCTGCCAACTATCTTTTGGCTCAACATCATGTGAGTCGGGAAAATCGGTTTTAGACTAACTCCAGTTAATATATTTTCAGATGCGTGGACGTCACGACGTCATGGCAATGCTTCATAATCCGGAGTTGCAACTCCTTCACGGACCCGGAATGGCCGCCCCGAACGCCGACGACATCGAAATGATGCTGAACGCGGAAATTGCCGGCGCCGTTGGATATGACGTGGTACGTGTCGCGCAGCGAGTGCTCCAAGAAAGCGGACTCGAACATGTCGGTGCTCAGATCGCCGAGTTGTTCCCCGACGAAGGAGCCGACGTCGAGCCGGCGAATGTGATCAACGAGTCGATGGATCGGGTGAGAAACCCGCGCGCCGGGTACGAGGAGAACATTGCGACGCCGCTGATTCCGCCGTTGAGCCAGCTGAAGATCGAGCAGGACGTGTCGCTGAACAGCGCGTGCGAGCAGCTCTTCCCGCTCGTCGAACGTCTTCTGATCGTCGCCAGCGACACGATCCACCCGTGTGCCGAACTGCTCACCTCGATCTTCCCTGCAATGTCGGACGATTGGAAGAGAGAGCATCTGATCGGCGTGATCCTCGGAAAGAATCTGATGGACATGGCGAAGCAGCTCGTCGCCCAACCACTCGACGAGAACGGACGTCCGCTGAAGCACGAGGTCGCCAGAACTCTGGCCAATCGATTGCACTTCGCCGTGCTGCTCTTCGACAAAGTATCGGCGGACTACGTGGCTTGGATTGTTACGTACGGAATTCTGGAAGTTATGCAGGCGGCGTTGGACTACCTGGTAAAGCACTTTGACGAGTGCGACTACTATCAATCGCTCATTACTCGCATTATCTGTTGGTATGACTTCTACGCAAAGAACGAGCGTCTGCGCGTGAGAAAGAGGTATTTGCTGAAGCTGTCGCAGGGCGGCTCACTGGAGTGGTCGTATCAGCCGCACGACGAGGAGGCGCTCAGAAGACGAACAACCGAATACAATTCAGTCGATCGGAAATGGATTGCGTACGAGAAGCCGACTCAGGAGCTCATCAACAAGGCATTCTTCAGCGGAGAACGCGGGTACAAGTGCTCGATCAAGAGAGTTGCAGCGTGAGTTGTCGTTTCTCTCTGTTTTTTTTTCATAAATTTGGTGATTTCAGACGGCCAGCCAAGAAAGTGGACATCGACTTCCACGTAATGAAGCAGGTGGGAGAGCAGGGATTGCGCGAGAACGTCAGAGCCGATCTTCCTTCCGGAGTCGAGCTCTCACTGTCGGATTTGATGGCATCGGAAGCCGAATTACCGTGGACGGAGAAGCAAAACGCCGCACTCATGGACGTCGTCACCACGATCGTCACGAAAGGATCCCTGGATCCAAAGTGCTCGCATTCGATGCTCAGTTTCTTGGCTCGCGTGACCAAATACCAGCAGAACGCCGTCAAATTCTTGGAGAAGGACGGAGTGAAGGCCATTCTGAATCTGCGTGCTCGTTGCGCTCCGACCTATCCGTTCCTCGTGTCGATGATCATCCGCAATTGCATCGAAGACGACGCAATGCTGGCGGTTGTCTTTGAGAAGACCATCCGAGGATACATTGCCGTTTCACAGACGGGCGCTTCGGAATACCGGGCGAGCAACAAAGCCAAGGACTTTGCCGATACTCTTCACGTGCTCGCGCCACTATCCACCAGAAACCCTGAGGTGTTCGTCGAATCCTTCAACAAGTTGGCGAGATTACATGGATCCGACATTATTCCAATGAGCCGCGATCGCGAAAAGAAGCCCACTTCTGCTGCTTCTGGAGCTCAATCCGGGTCTTCTGGCCCTGCCGGAGCCTCCACGTCATCTGCTCCACCACCGTCTGCGAGCTCTTCCAGCACCAACACGGGCATCGAAAACAATACCCGCGCCGAAGCGGTCGTAAGGCTGATGCTCGGTGAGGTTCTCTACGGAGCGTTCCCGACAAACGGCCAGGTTCGAATGTTGTCGCAGGAGAAAATTCTCAACATTCTCGCTGAGATCGTCAAGTCGTACCCTTCGCTGGCCTCATCGATATGTTCGATGGAGCATTCGGAGGAGAAGACGAGCGTGTTGCACTCGCTGATCAGCTCCTACATAAACGCGGCGCCGGAGAAAACGGAGACCGCGAACGCCCTCAAAACGCTGATCGCCGTGATCGCCGCCGCGCAGAACGTCTCGAAATCGCAAGAATTGCTTGTTCTGGACATTAAGAGTGTGTTGTCGACGCTTTCGGAGAAGGCTTTGGCGCTGAGAAACGAGGCAGCAGTTCTGCATCAACAAACGGACAAGGAGAGCGAGGAGCGAGAGGAGGCGACGAACGAGCTGAAGAAGGAGGAGAACGCGTTGCTCCAGAAGATCTCGGAGCTTTGCGGCATTATAGTGACGATGTGCCAGAGCTGTCCGACTCACCATCACCATCATCATCACTCCTCGGAGCGCGCTCGAGAGCGATCGGCTCAGCAGAATTCCATTATGAAGTTGTTCCACAAGAAAAGAATGTGCGCCGATATTATCAAAACTATCCATTGTCTGCAGCTGACCACCAAGGAATCGGTGGACACTGTCAATCAAATCCTCAAAACTCTGGACACTCTGCTCGAGGGAACCACCTCTGTCGCCTCATCCACTTCATCCGGACCTCGTTCGTTCATGGAGATTGTGGCCGGAAGATCTGCTCGCGAGAGAAGAGACGCCGAAAGAGAACTGGATCACGTGCTTTTCGGAGAAGCCATCCCCGCCTCGGCCGCTTTCGACGGAGACATGCGATCTCTGCTCAGACGACTCAATCAAGATACTGTTCGTGGACGTCGTGCAGTTCAGGCAGCCGATGAAGAGGACGGATCGGAGACGTCAGAGCGGGAGCGATCGGACAGCCCATCGGAAGCTTCGGAGCCGGCCGCCGAGCCGCAAGAAGTGCGCGACGACTCTGTGGAAGCAGGAGATGGAGACGTGACGATGCAGGAAGCTCCAGGAGCGGCTCCGATAGCAGTCGCTGAAGCCAACGAGGAAAGAAACGCTGAAATGGCGAATGCTCGACAAGAAGAGGAAGATGGAGAGGATGAGCAGGATGACGATGAAGACGACGAAGAAATTGAAGTCGTCGAGGGAGATGATACCATGAGAGCTGAGGAGGACGGAGAAGACGCAGAGGATGAAGAGGACGACGATGACGACGATGACGATGACGACGATGACGACGACGATCAGGAGGATGACACCCTCCGAGCGGTCGATCCGAATCCAGAGCCGCCAGTCGTCAGAAGACTTCTGGACGACGAGGACGACGATGAGGACGAAGACGAGGACGGAGATGACGACGGAGACAGCATGGAAGACGATGTGGCCAGAATGAACATGGAGGACGACTACTTCGACCTCGGAGGACCGTTCGCCGCCGAAATGCGTCACATGGACGAAATGATCTTCCCGCCGTCGTTCGCGCGTCCGTCCGTCACCGCGTTCGCTGACATTTTCAGAGACGATTTGGATTTCTTGTAAGTTTCGATACATGAAGGACACTTACTAAAGCATTGACAGTTTCAGACCATCGTACCGCACCGAAAGACGCGCTCTAACTCGCGGTGCTCAGTTTGGAGGAGTTGTGGCCGAGCATCCGCTCATGGTCCGTCCGCCGGCCGACAGCGACTTCTCCTCACGCCGCCCGTCTCCGCCGTTCCACCGTGAACTGTACATGTCCGTCGGAGGACGCACCAGCCTTCAACGCCAAAATGCGATCCGTCGCACGACGACTGAAGCCCGGGAGATCGAGGCGATCTCGAGAAACCTTCGAATGGGCGAGATTCCATCGGCCAGAATGGTTCTGAGAGCCGGAGATACTCTGCCGTCCTCGTTCTTCGACCACATCTTCGACATCCGACCAAGTGTCGCGTTCTCGCGTTTGACAGGATATCGGTCTTACAATTCTGGGGTTAGTTTCTCGCTTCTCGTATATTCTGAGTAATATATTCATTTGATCGTCATTCAGGAACGTGAAGAGCGCCGTGACACGCGAGCTAGCCAAGTGCCGACGTGCCTGGAGCGACTGGATTCGTATACTCAATCGATGGATCCGAACTCCTACCGATTCGTTTCGATCGCCATTAACTCGTATCTGACGACATTCCACAAAATTCGCGAGGCTAACATCAAGAAGGAGATGGATGCGAAGGCCAAGGCCAAAAAGGAAGCCGAGGCTGCGAAGAAGGCCGCCGAGGAAAAGAAGAAAGCCGCTGCAGCTCCACCGCCAGCTGCTGCCGCGCCTGCCTCGACTCCGGTCGATGGATTGGCCACTCCGGCCGCGACGAACACCACGATAACCGTCTCGGAGACTCTCGCACCGAATGCTTCGGCTGCCAGAGGAGAGGAGACTTCGACGACTCCCGCCGCAGTATCGGCCCCGCAAGTGCCACCTCAGGAAGAGCCGATGGAGACGGGAGAAGACGAAGGATCCGCCGGAGATGCTTTGCCACAATCGTCCGCCGCCACGGCCGCTTCATCAGTCGCTGGACCCGAAGAACTCGAGGAGGTCGAACGGCAAGTGGCCGAAGAAGCGATCGAGAGACAACTGAGAAGAGAGGCGAACGCTGCGTTGCGGAATGAGCCTGCTCCTGCTCCGGGACCACTTCACGCTGCCGATACGACTCGTGTCAATCCACCGCCGTCGTCCGATCCACCTCCGCCAGTTCCACCACAAGAAGAGGCTCCAGCTGCTCCAGCTGCTGTACCGGAACGCGAAACAATGGCCGCTGAGTTCAGAGCCATTCTGGGAGACATTGACATTCCGGAAGGCGTCGATCCGGCGTTCCTTGCCGCTTTGCCAGAGGATATGCGTGCCGAAGTGATCCGCGACTATCAGAGACAACAGAGAGCCGAGAGAGCGTCTCGTCCGGTTGCCGCTCAGCCAGCTCCAGCCGCCGTCGAAGCTCAAGGAGACGGCCCAGCGCCAGAAGCCGAGGCTCCGGTCGTGCCACTCGTCGAGCCGATCGATCCAGTCTTCCTGAATGCGCTCCCGCCAGAGTTGCAAGAGGAAGTGCTCGCCGAGCACGAAAGACGCGTGCGTGAAGCCGAGGCCGAGTTGAGAAGAGCCAATGCGCCGCCAGCGCCAGTCGTCGAGATGGACGCGGCCGCCGTCATCGCTTCGTTGCCGCTCAACGAACGTTCGCAAGTTCTTGCAGAAATGGACGAGTCGGAGCTCTCCCAACTGCCGATCGATATGCAAAACGAGGCGCGCAGAGCCCGTGCCCAGCACGTCGAGCCCAACGTTCTTCGCTATCATCGCTTCCTGTTCCGCCCACCGGGAGCAGCCGTCGGAGCCCCGCCAGGCACCATATCGATGGCCGGAAGAGGACGTACAGCAACGAGACCTGGTAGGAAATAGTGCAATTTAGAACTAAAATGCAATGAATACCCAGTTTTAGCTGTTCCATCGGGACCGACAGTCGGACAACATGCCGGAAACGCAATTCAAGCGTCCACGGAGCAGCCGCAGTTGTTGGATCGTGAATCGATTCTGACGCTTTGCATGCTGTATTTGGTGGACAACAACCGGATTCCGGCCGCCCGTCTTCAGAAGGTTCTTCGCAGTGCGTGCGTCAATCAATCCACGTGCGACTTCCTCATCTGGTGCCTTCTGGCGCTTCTCGAGAAAGCCAGTGATTCGAATTTGGATGAAGAAGAGGTTTGAACCGTTTTTCGGTAAATTTTCAGCCTAATTGTCATATTTTCAGATTCTCTCGCTCGTTCCCGCTTGGCTCGATTCTATCTGGGTGACCGGACACAACGAGAAGGCGTTGCGCATCTCGGAGAACGGTCAGAAAGTGTCCATCCACTCGTCGCTCGCCATCCCAATGTGCAAGAACATTCTGGACCTCCTGGTCAGCATCGCCCGTGCCTACCCTGGAAACTTTCTTCCGTCGGTCCTCCGTCACTCCGCCAAGTCCACGGACGTCGCGAAACAGGCGCCAACTTTCCAGCAATTCTGGTCGATGGTGCAAAACACTACGAAGGTTCCGAAGAGCAAGGATTGGACCGCGGCCACCGAGCAGCAACTCGAAGAATGCCCGCTGGGACAGATGCTCAACTCGCTGCACAAGCCGATTCTTGCCAAGTCGGGGCTGAAAGAGAAGGTGCTGAAGGTGGCCAGTCAGATCATGGTCACCCTTCCACTCGACACGATGAAACTGCTCGAGATCAAGGAGGACGACGAGACGAAGAAGCCGTTAGGCGCCAAATTGGAGTACGTTATTCGTGTGATGACCACCGGATCGTGCACGGCCGAAGGGCTCGCTGACGGACTCACGATCCTTTCGGAGGCCATGCGCACGTTCTCGGATTCCACTTCTACCGAAATCTACGAACATCTCTTCTCGGCCGTCACCAAACTCGGATCCGAGCTACTGCCACAAATAGACCACCTGATTGAGGAGCTCGATGAGACGCAGAAGTCGACTGACGCTGAGGCAATTCCATCCGATCAGCCGTCGACGTCGAAAGCAGTGGAACTCAGTGTCGATACGAATGCCGCGGGAAGAACAGCGACCGGGCGGTTCGACGGAGAACGACTCGTTATAGACGGAGACCAGAACATGCGGCTCCAGATGAGCTCGTGCAAAGAACTTCAACTGCCTGCCGTCACAGTGCTCACCGACAAGGGCGGAGCCCAGTACGCGTTGCTCAGTGCTCTGCAGACGCTCGTCAAGGTTCGCAATCACATGAAATCGATCAGGAAGGAGAAGGCGAAGCGAGCCAAGGAGGCCGAAGAGAAGGAGAAGAAGAAGGAGCAGGAGAAGGAAGTTCAGTCGAGTTCCACGGCTCCGTCCAACAACGAGGAGCCAGCTCCGGCCGCTGCTGAAACACCGGCTGCTGCTGCTGCTGTTCCACAAGAGGCTCCAGAAGCTGATCCCGAATCGCCATCCGAAGAAGTTGTCGACGAGGAGCCACGTATCTCGGAGCGACTTCAATCACTCGAAAACCTCTGGAATTCGCTGTCTGAATGTCTGCTGCGACTCGGAAAAGCGTCCGATCCGCACGCCGTTCTGGCTCTCCAACCCGCCGCCGAAGCGTTCTTCCTCGTCCACGCCTCACAACAACATCAGAAGAAGAAGGACGCCGAAGCGAAGAGAAAAGAGAGTCAGGCCGCCGGACAGTCGACTTCTGCCACCGCGGCGGTCGCATCTTCGGTCTCACACGACGGACTCCGCGAGGAACTGGACTCGGACACCTCGAAGCTCATAGACTTTGCCGAAAAGCACCGTCAAGTGCTGAACCAGGCTCTGCGCCAAAACAACGCGGTGCTCTCCGCCGGAGGACCGTTCGCCATTCTCACACAGTTCCCGAAACTGCTCGATTTTGACGTGAAGAGAAAGTACTTCAGAAAAGAGCTCACCAAATTGGAGCCGTCGTAAGTTTCCATCATTTTCTGTCAATTTCCAACTTTCCTACTTTTAGGGTTCCTCGGTACCGTCGCAACGACGTTTCGGTGCAAGTGTCGCGCAATCGCATTTTCTCCGACTCGTTCCGCGAGCTGTTCCGTCTGCGTCCGTCCGAATGGAAGAACCGCTTCTACATCATTTTCCAAGGAGAAGAGGGTCAAGACGCCGGAGGACTGCTCCGCGAGTGGTTCTCTGTGATAACGCGCGAGATTTTCAACCCCAACTACGCGCTGTTCATCACGGCGCCGGGAGACATGGTGACGTACATGATCAACAAAGCCTCCTACATTAACCCGGAACATCTCGACTACTTCAAGTTTGTCGGAAGACTCATCGCCAAGTCGGTGTTCGAGCACAAGTACCTCGATTGCTACTTCACGCGCGCATTCTATAAGCACATCCTCAATCTGCCGGTCCGCTATCAGGATTTGGAGAGCGAGGATCCGGCCTACTTCAAATCGCTCGAATTCCTGCTGCTCAACCAGATCGACGATCTCGGCTTGGATTTGACGTTCTCGACGGAAGTGGAGGAGTTCGGCGTGCGATCAGTACGCGATCTGATTCCGAACGGCCGCAAGATCGAGGTGACGGACGCGAACAAGGAAGAATACGTGAAGCTCGTGTGCCAGATGAAGATGACCGGCTCGATCCGCAAACAACTCGACGCGTTCCTCACCGGCTTCTATGAGATCATCCCGAAGGACCTGATCTCGATGTTCAACGAGCAGGAACTGGAGTTGCTCATCTCGGGACTGCCGACCGTCGACATTGACGACATGGCCGCCAACACGGACTACAAGGGATACCAGAAGACGGCCACGCAGATCCAGTGGTTCTGGAGAGCGCTGCGATCGTTCGAAAAAGAGGACAAGGCCAAGTTCCTGCAATTCGTCACCGGAACATCCAAGGTAACCGGATTTCCACCATATCTTTTGTGAAAATTGATTGTTTGTTTCCAGGTCCCACTGCAAGGATTCGCGTCGTTGGAGGGCATGAACGGAGTGCAAAAGTTCAGCATTCACATGGACAGTCGAGGAGGAGACAGACTTCCGGCTGCTCACACATGGTTAGTTTTCGAGACGCGATTTGCCCCAAAACACGGATTTTCAGCTTCAACCAACTGGATCTGCCGGTCTACGACTCGTACGAGAAGCTGCGTAACTCGCTGCTCTTGGCGGTTCGCGAATGCACCGAAGGATTCGGATTCGCCTAAATAGTCTTCAAAATTTGTTAATTTCCCCTCCCTCCCCCCTCCTTCATCCCCCAAATATACGCGGTCCCACTTCCCTCAAAAAATGCACTTTAAGACTATTTGGTCTCTTTATTTTCCCCGTTGTTTTTGACTTTCCCCTCCCTAAGTTATGTGGCACTTTCTACTATTTTTTATTATCATTAGTATGATCATTTCAATCGGTCTTCCACCCACCGCACCGCCTCTGTTTAATGTCTGAGCTTTTTGCCCCCCACCACACGCACACACACAGTTCCCAGCGATCCGAACATCCGCATTCATTCATTCGTCTTCTTTTGTAGTGCCTATCACGCAAATTCTTTTCAAGTAAGAGTATGTAAATGAAATTATTTGAGTTTCGCCCCCAAAATGTTGCCCTTCGAGAATCTCAGTCCAAAGGAGAAACAGAAAAAGCACATGGCGGCGTTGCTTTCGGACGCCGCCTACGCGATGGAGTTTGAGATTCGGCAGCGAGTGCTCCAGAACACGGAAATGGTCGAAAACATTGACGAAGACAAACAGATGCACGTCGAGTTGCTGCCCGATGAGGAGGTACGCCTTTGTTGTAGGAAAACCAAAGTTTGAGAGGATTTTGCTTCTTTCCGACACTCACGAATTTCTTTATTTACTGGAATTTCAACGAGAGAGTTGCAGTTCCGTGCGTTGACGGACCGAGACGTCGAGGACCTCAAATTCAAGTTGGCGACGGCGCAGGAGCAGTTGAACGTGCTGAAACAGAAGGTGAAAATCAATCGATGCGTACATCTCGAAAGTGAGGTTTTCAACGAGGAAACGGTCAAATTGGCGATGATCACCGACGATTACCGCAAACATCATCTCGAGTTGCAACGCATCAAAAAGATGCGATTGGAAGAGTTCCATGATTTTTACCAGGTTTTCAATCGAATAGAAGACTCGTTTTTTGAGAATGCATTCGGCGTTCGAATTCTAAAAAATGCTCAAAAATGCTCACTAGAAAGTAGAACAAGATCACCATCACCAACGAGAAGGGACGTCTGTCGAAGGACGACATTGAGCGTATGATCAATGAGGCCGAGAAGCACAAGGCTGATGATGAGGCCCAGGGAGACCGCATCGGAGCCAAGAACGGAGGATGAGAAGGTTAGCTTGTTTACACAAAAAATGTCTGTATTCTAATTTTTCGAATTTTCAGCCCTGAGGACAAGTGCGACGAGATTCTCAAAGTGGCTCGACAGCAACCAGACGGCCGAGATTCTCCGGCGGTTAGTCAAGACTGAAACCCGGCGTTCGCCAATATAATTTTCATTTCCCACTCCTTCTCACACTCACACACCTAGACAAATATCATCAGTCCCCTTGCTTTTGAAGCATGCTAAAATGCAAAAAGATTAAAATTTTGTGGACTAATCCAGGTTCTGATCGAATATTCTATTTTTCACTTTTCAAATTCAAAAATGGATTCGTATAGTTGACGTGTGTGTGGTTTTTCGTACTTTCTGATTCGGATGAACCATTTTATGTTGAAAGTTCCCTCCCGATGCCTAGAAACACTTCTCCTTGAACCCCAATTTGATCTCCGTTTCTTCCTCGTCAATTCCCACCACACCTTCTAGTTATTCGTCCATTCATACATGTTTTTGTGCATTACACCACCCCTCGCTCCCTCAAATTTCCTTTTTTTTTCCCCCTCGCCAACTCATCTTCCCTGACAGCGTTGTTACTTTTTTCGGTTTTTGATATTAGCAGTGTATAGAAATTGAGCCAAGAAAAGTCAGAAATTTGGGGAATCAAAGCAGCAAAGAACTTGCAACATTTGGAGACTGGCGACGGACACCTGGTCTTAACAAAGTTACCGGCCAAATACCAGAAATAAACAAGTGGAAACGCTAGGTTTTCTGAAGTTTTCAAGAGATTCGGTATGCGAAATCCGGGAATATGGAACCCAAAATCCACGAAACTCCACCGCCCACTCACTATACATATTGATCTTTGAATATATGCCACAGTAATCCTCTCTCTTATAGGTATACCTGACCCCTTGATTTCCACTTCATCTTTTCAGTGGTTTTTTTTCAATCCAATCCAATCCAATCCCCTTCGAATTCTGAGATTTGATCGTTTGGAGGGCATTCATAGATCGGGCACGTTCAAAGTTCACTTTCGTTCATCCGGCCCCCTTTTCTTCGTTTCATTTCAATTAGATCCCATTCTTGGGTCTCTTCTTTTCCTCCTGCTGACTGCCACGTCACCCATACCCAATTGTATCAGCACTCACTCACGCGCTCCTCCTCCTATGCTTTTTCTGCTCCAAAATTATTATTTTTCTGTCTTCGCCTTCTTTGCCAGTTCCCCCCTTATTCTCAGCCTTTTTAATTGGCCGCCTAGGCTTGGATTCCAAGAATTTTCCAGAGAAACCATGATAGACGCGTCGGGAATGTACAAATTGACGGTGATGAACATGACGACGGCGGCGATCGAGCAAACCGACGCCATCTTCCGCGCCGCCCTGATCATCGAGTGGATCCTCATCTCCATCGGCTTCGGAGAGACCATTCTATTGTGGTACTTGTTGCGCTACACCAATCAATACCACCGCAATCTCGCGATGATCGTCGAGCAACTGCCCAACCAGTATTTCCCATCGCTTCTCGCCCGAATGTTTATGATCTACAAGCAGTTGATGATTACGGACACAGGTATGCATCACAGAACAGTATACTCGAACGGAAATTGATTATATTTACATACACACACACACACACACAACTTGCTTTGTTTTGATGTTCACACTAGATTAATGAAAGTCATGTTATGTTAGGTCTTTCGTGTCTATTGGGAATTTTGTTATTTCCAGTGAAAGTCCTATACGTTTGTAGTTTTTCAATTCTTTTCATGGCCTTCTCTTAAGACTACTGTAGTTATTGTACTACAAAAATTTGCCGTAAATGGAGTCTAGTCAAGCAAGACAATTTATCTCGGCTACCGGTAGAGATAGCAAAAAGTGATCAACAAATATAAAATGTACACCATTTTTCAGTGATCATTTCATTAGCTGACAACCTTTTTATATCACCACCGGCAGCTGAGATAAATAGTTTTAAATCAACGTTACAGTATATATAGTCAGACCAAAAACGTAGAAAGGGGCGTGGCCTAGCGCGTGCACGGTTTTGACACTATTTTGGCGCGAAATTCGAAATTTAACCCCATTTTTCATGTTTTTCGTCAAAAATTACCCGAATTTTGTACAATTTCGACGATGTAATTGCATAACTTTGTTAAACTAATCATCGCGCGCAATTTTGAGCTTAAAACGAGCAGGTTTCATTCAGAAATTCAATCAATTGAATCGATTTTAAGTTTTGTGCGGAAAATGCGCGAATTTCAGTCATTCGCCGATACTTTTTGCCGTTTGAACGCTTAAAATACTTGTATTAAAGTGCTTAATCACTTCCGACACTCACTTCGTCTCAAAACTATCCACATCGGCCGGTATGAAAATTCCGAAATTGCGGCGGAGAGCGTATTGCGAAATATGCCAAAAACGTTTCAAACGCGACGTTTTCACGAAAATTTCAATGTTTTCTCTCTTTAATGTCTCTTCTTTCGTCGATATCAAACACAAAAATCATCGGAAAAGTGCTGGAATTGCGGCAATTTTCAGAAAACGCGTCTCAGATTGGCCACGCCCCTTTCTACACTTTTGGTCGCCGTGGGACCGGTCCCAACTTTCAGCAGTAGTCTTAGAAAACGGTGTACTGAAAAAAAAAGTACTAGACATGAACGTTTCCTAACTCTCGCCTAACTAATTCTCTTAAACTCCAGCCGTGCTCATCGAGGACCGTTCCTTTCTGTTCGCCGTTTGGCTCCGCAACTCTCTGCTCTTCGTCGCCTTCTACTTTGCTCCATTTCCAGTGTTCGAGCGATGCTTCGCCACCATCTACATGCTCGTAAGTTCACAAAAACATGTTCTTCACCGCACTCTTCTTCTCAAGGACTACGAAACGCACAAAAGACGGTGGATCTCCTACATTTTGACGGCGATTCTCTACGTCATCGCGCTCACTTCAGCACACTTTTTCATATTTGGCTCGAAACATCGCGAAATTCACATTTTCGTCATCACCGGCTTCAATTTACTCGCTTTCGGGGTATCACTTTGACTGGAATTTGAAGGATAAAACGTACTTTCAGTTGACATTTGTGATGGAACGGTATAACAAGAGGCGCTATAGTGCCCTACGAAAAAATATCAACAGTGAATACAGCCTGAGCGCGAGGACGCAACTTTCCGAGAATATTAACAGTACTTTGGTAGGATTCGATAGGGGGAAATTCATAACATTTTGTATATTGTAGCCATTCAAAGTGATGTGCTTCTCGATCGCCTTCTTCGCCTCCACGTGCACTTCGATGCTCCATGTGGACGAGTGGACCGACTCGCCGGTCATCAGAAATTGGGTCTACATAGCCTTCAACTTCTGCTGTTGGTCCTACGGGACCGTCGTCCCACTCTTCATGCTCGCCTACAATCCGCAGTGGCAGAAAGAGTTGCGGAGACTGGGCAGAAAGGTGAAGAGGATTGACTAGAAGTAGAATCCAAAAAAAACCCGTTTCAGTTCTGCTGCTGCTTCTGCTCTCTCAATCGCGTCAATACCACCACGTCCGGAGAGGGAGACGGAGGAGGAAGCGAGCGGAAGAAGCAAACGACGCGTGTGAAAGACACGTTCGGCAACAATTGCTACGTGGATGACAAAGAGCACACGACGATCTACTTTTCGCAGCTAAACGCCGACTGGAACCGGCTCGAAGAGCCGCAGGATGTGCAGCACAACGCGAAGAGGAATCGGTTGACGGCGAGGAGCAGAAGTGACGGTCCCGCGTCGACGGTCACCGCGCGGAGCATCTCCAACGGATCCGTTTCGCCCAGACAGATTGCGTTTTAGGTGGCCGAGGCCCACGGCGCGGCTTTTGCGACGTTCACCAAACGTTTGATCCTCAGTCTGTGCATTTTGACACGCCGGTGTTGCTCTGCGTACACTGCATTTTATGTTACGCGCAAAGTTCATTTTTTTTAGTTGTTGATGAATTTTCTCCAAATATTCATCTCTTTAAAGCGTTTTTCTCCATTTTCTACCTCAATTAGACCTTTTTACAGATTCCAGGTGAAGTAATACGCGAAGAGAAATCGATGCGATGAAAAGAAACGCGTAAGTAAGCGAAAGTAAGGTTTTATTCAGAAACTCCACGATTTCTCGAAAAACGTGACTAGATTTTCTAATCCTTTGGTAAAAAAACGTTACTTACATTTCTGAGAATGTTTTCGAACTAAAAAGAAGTAGAGTGACAGCTCGCTTTCGCGGAAAACCCGATAGTTTGCCGGAAGACAGTGAAATTTCGTTGAAAAAAAAGGTCTAATTGAGGTAGAAAGCAGAGAAAAACACTTTAAAGAGATGAATATTTGGAGAAAATTCATCAACAACTAAAAAAAATGAACTTTGCGCGTAACATAAAATGCACTGTACGCAGAGCCACACCGACGCGCAAAAATGCATACCATTTGGCTGCGTATGTTGCAAAAGCCGCGCCGTGGCGAGGATGAGGATTCTCGGACACGGCTGTAAGATGCACATTTCCTACATATCCAAAGCCTAATGTGATTCGTGGGATCCCAGGTCATCTTGGTCTCTCAGTCAGTCGATTGTCTGTTTGTCGGATTCTAGGCCATGTATAGTCTCTATGCCGGGAAACCGAGTTTCCAGTTTGTGTTCTGGTTCTGTTTGTCGGGATCGCAGGCCATCCCCATTCTCATTACTCATACGATGATCTCATAAGCCTCTTCTCATTTTTTGCACAACAGAATCCCCTGATTATTTTCTTTGTACATGTCAGTGTTTTCTTTTTTCCCACATGCCACCCAATCTGGTCGTTTTCTCTGACAAATTGATGATATGTTATGAATGGATTTTCTTTTTTTTTTTGTGTGAAAATGCTCATCTTTTGCCCCCTTCTTTATTTGGCCACAAGAGTCTCAATTCTTCTGATACACCTTCAAAACCAATGGGTTCATCCGTGAGTTTAATAAATACAATAATATTGTAGACGTCCGTGTGGAGTCAGAAAAAGAGGAAGAGAAAGAAGAAGGGAAGTGTACAATATTGTAGCCTGAAATCAAAGAATGTTTGGAGGAAAACAAGACTGAGACGTGTACCAAAACATGTTCCAATCAAATTCGTCTTCTAGAACCGCTCATTTTCAATTTCCTGCTAGACATATATTGTAGACACATTGACGGAATTTTCAATGATCATTTGCCAGCCTACCACGAACTATCAAGACACATTCTTGAATTATTCTATGAAAATCAGAAACCTTTGCAAGAATCCACCCAAAAATACCTGAAACATTGACGTACACACCTTTGAACTCTGTTTTGCAAAGCTTACACCTGCCCGTCAGTGTCCTGAAAGCCCCCCAAAGAGCACAGAGGCCGAGTGGCTCCCAAGTTTTCAGACATCCGAATGTCACGTAGCAAGACACAGACTAAATTATTCACTTAATCAAGTATAAAACGTCTTCTTCCTCGTCGTCTTGTTTCTTGATAATTTGTATGTGGGACGTGTGTTTGCGGGGGTAATTGCATCAGAAGGCCTCTAGGCTCTACGCTCTTAGCCCTGTGAGCCCTGAGCCCTGAAAAGAGCACAAATTAGGCGGCCGCTTCCTTTTTCGCCGTCTCGCGGGCGGGCTCTTCATTTGCGTGGAGCACGAACCACAACATCAACGTATTCAAGTGGAGTTTATGTCCAAGATGCTGCCGACTAGTTAGTAGAAGAGGCCACGCCCCCCTCTTTAGAACTACTGTACTTTTCCCAGTCGTTGATGTCTAATTTCTGGCACACAATAAGGTTTCTGTTTTCCTTAGCCAAAAAATGTTATTTTCAAATGTTCTCTTCGCCAGCCGAAGATCCTCGGATCACCTGGTTCATGTCGTCGTCAGAAACCTTTATTATTTTTGCGAAAGGTTGAGTGTCTAGCGGAGAATCCGAAGAAAATTTGATTGAATCTGACTTTTATCCGATTTTTGAACTACCACAACAAAATAGGGTTCATTGCGGTGAGAGCAGAATGTTCAGGAACATTCTGCAGCAGTTTTCTAGTGAACTTGGACATGTATTGTCTGAAAGCAAGTTGGAACACGTTTCGGAACACGATTTGTTGGTGAAGTATGGTCCGACGTCCCCAAACATCAAAGTGTCGCCCGTTCACAGAATCCCCAGGAGTGTTTGACGTCACAGGTCTACGATGTACCCGACCGTTATATTATACATGTCCTATTTCAGAAAAACTCCAATAAATATATATATATATATATAAAGTTTTTTTCCCTGAATCTTTCTCCCATTTTTTTCTGTTCTTTTGTTCTATTAGTTTCCTAATTTCCCTGTAGAAACTCATCATTACTTCTGCTTCTTCTTTTCCTTAATCATCATTATTATTCACTTCCTCGCAAGTACATCGACCCTAAGCCCCGCCCATTTTTCAGAAAGATGTCCCCCCCCTCTCTCTCTCTCATTTCCCTCTCAATTCATCAGTCCGTCTCGTGTCCACCAACATTTTCATGAATTTCTAGAGTGGATGGTGCTCTCGTCGCTCGAAATCCATCAGTCCGGAGTCCGTTCTTCCTCTTCCGTCGCCGATATGATCCTATTCTCGCTCATCAACCGAACTGCCGCCAATCTCGACATGTCTTCGGATCTCATCGACACGCTCTACATTATCGAGACGGTCTTACTCTTGTGGAGGTTCGTTTTCACACGTTTTTGTTTAGAAATTGCGTCTTCCGACAATCTAGGCGTTGTGAAGTCACATTCTTCACGCGCATGGCCTCAAATTCAAACTATACAAAAAAGTATGTTTCGGACAACAGTTTTTCGCGAATAGCGGCTTATTTTTGGATCAATTAGACATTCTGAAATCATATATTCAGTGTTTTCGTATTTAAACTTGTTTTGAAGCATCCGTATGACACGCTTTCCCTGGGACCGAAAAACTACAAAACATGTTGATTAGGCGCAGCTGTGAGTTCGAATTGTGGACAGCAATGAACGTTTCTCCCCTTTTCATCTAGTTTACACAATCCAAACCGGTTTTTATTGGGTTTTCACTTCTTTTTAATGTTTCTAGTTATCACCATGACCCACTAGATTTTCATAAAAACCAGACTCTAACGTTCAACACTCAGCTGCGAATAGAGATGTTCAAAAAGTTGTCAACTAACAAATTGCTCATCACTTTTTACTTTTCACTCTGACTTCAACAAAAATGTTTGTTTGCAGTTACCTCGAATGCGGCGTCTTCTTCTACGTCCTGTGCACCAATCCGCAGTACCATCCGAATCTGACGTGGCTGCTCAAAAACCTGGTCGCCCAGTACTTTCTCTCCATGTTCTGCCGTCTAGTTCAGATCTTTTATCAGTTCGGAATCGACGATGAAAGTGAGAATCCGTCCGTGTTTGAGCCATCGACATTCGCTTTGTTTTCAGCGGATCTCAGATCGAACTGGCTCTTCATTCTGGTCACTTTCAGCCGCAATTGTCTGATATTCACAGCCCTCTACTTTTCTCCGTTTGTGATGATGGAGAGAATGTACGCTTCTGTTCATATCGGAGGTACTTCTACCGTAATCCATCCAAATATTATGAGTGTGTCACAGACTACGAGCACAAACCTCGTCATTACATCGGATATTGTCTCTCCGCATTATTGTACCTCTGGTCGCTGATGATAGGATTGACGTACGCGTTTGGTAAGACCCTCCGCGCCTAAAGTACAATGTTGACGAATCGAATTCAGAAGTGATACCCACCTACATCCACGTGTCATGTCTCGTTTTCATAAACATGTTGGCGTTTGTGGTGTGTCTACTCAACGAGAACTACAATTCGAAAAAGTTTATGCAAAAAGATTTTGCGACTCGAAAAACGGTCACTTATTCGCTGACCGAACGCTATCAGATTGTGGAGAATCTGAAGACCGCCTATGTAAATGCTTGACACACGCCGGGCAACTTGATAATATTGATATTGTTAAGCTGTTCAAACGCGGCATCATTTCGATCATTCTCTTCTCGGTCATCTGCGGAGTGTTTCTGGTGCGAATGAGCAGCGACGAGCACGATTCTTCGATGAATTGGATTCTGATTGGATTCAATTACGCGGCCATTTTGTTAGTTTACGGGCTGCTCAAAGTTTTGTGGGTCATAAAATAACAAATTTTGAGGTATGGAATCGGATTTCCGGCCGCCATGTTCTATTATGATGAACAGTTCCAGAAACAACTCATCAAGTACATTAGAATGGTAAACTATGTAGTGTAAATACTGTTCATTCAAAACGTTGTATCTCAGTTGCCGGTGGAAATATCAAAAGGTTGTCAACTGATGAAATGTGCACAGGTTTATGATGAACAATTTATCAGTTGACCACATTTTGACGTCTCTACCAGCAACTGAGATATGAACAGTATTAGAGTACTGACATTCAGATGTTCTGTGGATCACGAACGACGCCGATTTATGAGGATGAGGAGGGCACTCGGAAGCCGAAAACGAGCAGGAGCATGGAGGCGATCAAGGAAACCGACATATACTTTAACAATCTCAAAGGGGACTGGGAGAAAATGGCGCCGAAAGGGAAACGGAGGAGCGAGTGCTGATCATAATATTGACGGTTTATTTGTAGTTGACAACACTGTGACGACACATAAACTATAATTAACTATAATTAAATTGACAATATTGGAGCTTTCAGGAATTCCTAACAGTCTCGACCACATCTGTATTGTTCCATTTTCACACCAGACATGTAAATATTCATATCGTCAGTTCTGATTCATTTCATGTTCTAAAAAAGCAAAACGACTTTTGAGGGCAAAAGTGCCGAACCCGACACCTCAAAATAGCCGAGCGAGCACTCTGCCACTGCGCCAACCGGGCGGAGGCGCGCCCACCGCCAATCGCATTGAAAAGCTCGGTGTGCGCGGCCCCTTACAGGGGGGAAGTTTGTGCATTTTCGCGCTGAAATTCGAAACATATCTGACTGTAACTTTTTTCGGCGACTTGCAAAATTGTCATGCTAAACGGAATTTTGTCGAGAATTTCACGCAGAATCCGATTCCGTAAAAATTAGCCGCGTGTACGGTACCTGTGGCCCTCAAATCATCGAAAAACTAGAATTTCGGCTGAATAGGCTTTACTCAATCGAACACAAAAATGCTCCTAGGGGGTCTAGAGCTCTGAAAATTCATATTTGGGTTCTTAGAGAGTGTATCTACAGATTGCGAAAATAAAAAAAAGGGGTTATCGCTGAAAATGTTCCGCTAACTTTTCTGGCAGTTTGAGGATCTGTAAAAAATTTCGGCGACTTGGGAGTCAAAATCTGACTTCAAAAACGGATTCCCCATCACTTAAACTGTCAGAATCACTTAAAAATAGGCGCGTGTAGCCATAAACTTCAGACTTGCCAGATTTCGGGCCGGCCATGCGGGCCGGCCCGGGTCGGCCCGGGTCGGCCCGGGCCGGGCCGGGCCGGTAAAGTGCCGGGCCGGGTCGGTGAAGTGCCGGCCCGGCCCGGCCCGGTCGGCCCGGTTCAAAAGGCGGGAATTCAAATTTTCGCGGAAATTTTTTTTTTCGTTATTACAGAAAAATTTTCGAACTAAAGTTTTAGTGTTTCTTCTTTGTTTTCTTGCTATTATGAATTTTTATGAGAAATACATTTGTTTTTCAATGTTCGATGCTTGCAAAAAACCCCTAATTCTACAAAAAAATGGCTTCATGCGATCAATAATTCAAATTTTGAATTCCCGCTTTTTGAACCGGGCCGACCGGCCCGTGGCAACTATGATAAACTTGACCACACAGGCTCTCAGACTGACTTCCATTCCACGTTTTCACGGGAAACTGAGTTGTTCATTGGATTCAGTATGGTCGATTACATAAACGAAAACTTTTTGGGTATGGTACTTCATTTGGGGGCCTCGGTACAGGTCCTCAAACATGCAAATTCATCAGGCCACGCCCCCTTTGTTGCGCCCCCCTATTTTATGATATCAAAAGAAAAGTCCTCTTGTACATCAACCTCATCGATCAAATCAATATAGATGTCGTCTTCGTATCCGATGCCCGGCACCTTTCGAAAGTACTTCAACTTCATGAGCTGCGCCTGCAATTGTCGATGGGATGCTTCCAACCGCTTCGCGATCAGCTCCTCGACCCGCAGATACCTTTCCAACTGCTCCAGATGAGTTATGTTCCGACGCGTCGGTTCGGCGTCCTCCTTTTCCTCTTTCAATACTTTCTCGTGATTCCTTTTGCTCTCCATCAACACTTTTTGCTCCGTGTCCTTGACCTCTTGCTCGGCTTCTTTGAGCTCTTGAATCAGAGCTCGGTACTTGAAGAACTTGGAATCTTTCTCCACTTCCAAGTGCGATTCCCTCTTCTGGCCATTCTCCAACTCCAACATCTTCTTCTCAATTTCCTTCTCAATCGCCTCGAACTTTGATGGCTCCAGTTCACAAACCGACCGCTCCGCCAGCTTTTCCCTCACCACCCTCATTTCATGTAACGTCTTTTTCCACTTTTCCTTCTCTTCAGAATCAGAATTCACAACTTTTTGCTCATAGCCAATTGCGAATTGGAAGTACTCTTCGAAGTTTGCTCGATGACACTTTAACATCACTTCTCGCAGTTGATCATTTCTCTTCTGAACTTGTTTGATCTTTTCAGACGGATTCTTCGCATTATCTTTCCATTGAATAGTGTCAGACACAAAAGAGAAAGAGACATCTCTGTTCGGCACCACTTTTGATCGAAGTTTGCTCCACAAATCGAATTCATGCGCGACTCTTCGATAAAAGTTCACAGTGCTCGCCAGGTACTCGCACTTCTCGGGCTCCTCGTCCAGTTTGAGCCGCAGGAGCAGTCCCAACCCGAGCAAGTACTTGAGCTCCATGAATTCGGACACATTCTCGATGGTCCGTAGCATTATGATGTCGTGCTCGCGATGAGCTCCGTCCAGAACACAGTCCGCACAAATCGCCCGACGTTTCGCGCACAGAAATTGCTGCTCCGAGAGCTCGGACGGCGAGTTGAGACGCCAATTCCGGTCGCCTTGTTCATCTCGCATAGAAATTAGGATTCCAGAGTCTGTGGCACACGTTGCACAGATTCGGAGTTTCTTCGCGTCGGCCGAACACTCGGAACATCCTCCACAATCCAAGAACTGAATGAAGAAATAAATGAAAAGCGGGAAGAATTTGCAAAGAAACCTCAAGATCCCTTGAAAACTTTGAGTAGTTCTCTTCGGTCAGCTGCTCTCGGATCGTCTGCAGCACGCCAATACTCTGAATATTGACGATTCTCTCCGCGAATGCATTCGCTTCCTGACAAATCGGACAGTTCTTCGGGTGCAGAAGACGTTGGCACTGACAACAAATCGAGTGGAGGCAGGTGCCGACGCACGGACGGCGCACGTCTTCATCTGAATAATTTGGATGAGATTCGCAAGTGTTTGTTCAACATATTACCATAAAGTTTTCCACACGGAGAACAGTACAAAGAGTTAAATAGCGACATTTTTGGGTCGAGAAACGAAGAAGAGGGGGTGAGAAGGAAAAGAAAGGGGGAAGAAGAAGAAGAAGAACAAAATGATAAGATATTTATGTCAACATTGAATGTGATCAATTGAAATGAAACTTTCAAGAATATATACAACTTCAAAATCGGCTTTTCGATTCCCGATGGTCCGAAAAAGTTGACCAACAGTATCCGGAATTGATTTGTAGCTTTCCCTGATACTTTGACATCCCTTGATCACAAAAAAAGTCAGAGTTTGTGCTCAGCGCCGCCTCCGCAATCAGTCTATATCAATAGAAGAAAAGTGTGAGAAAGTAAAAAGATCAATACTAAAATCGAGTCTTGTGAAGTGTCTCACACGAACTTATTACTTCAATGACACGTATTTTGACGATTCAGTGTCCTGCGGACAATCAAATCCGAATCAAAAGATCGCCCGGATTTTCGGTGTGTCAAACAAAAAACGTTGAACTTTTCCATTCGCGCAAACCAACTAAACACTGGTCATCGCCCCGTTTCTATTTACCTTCTCGACCCCATTTCTCGCTGCCACGTCACAAAGTTCAAGTTTACCGACTCTACACGCTTCGAAATGAACTTGATCTCTTCCTCTTTCTTTCTTTCTTTTTTTTTCACCAACCAAAGTCACCAGTGTGTAGTTTGATTAGGAATCTTTTTGTGGTTTCGACTATTCTCTATTCGACGATTGTTGTTTGTTGTTCTTCATATTTCCCGCATCATCATCATCATCATCATCAGCATGTGGTCAAGGAAAGAGGCGCGTGTAGTTTGTAGAGAATTGTCAAATTTAGCACGTCTCCTCCTCATGATCTTTGTGCTCGTGTTTTCATGAAATCTTCTCGAATGTTCATGAGACTTATTGCTTCCAAGATGAAGAAGTTTGTTGTAGTCTTGGCCCCCGAGGAATTTCAGGTGTAAAAACTCTTCCATGCAGTTTATATTGTGTTCTTCTCCTGGAGACTACTGAAGGCCGAGATAGAAATTATATTCTACCTGCTCGGAAAGTAGTACCATCCACGGAACCCCAAAAAAAAAAGAACAGAAAAAAAAAGAAAAAAGAAACAGCCTTCCAATAAAAAATTCCCTTGGCGCAATTCAGGTGCGCTAAACAAGGCGCGTAACACGTAATTTCGGAACGTCGTTGTAGAGTTTCTCATTTTAATTTTCCCTTTTTTTGCATTATTCCCATCTTTTCAGAAGCAATCAGTGTCAAAACTTATGATAATGATTAGAAATGAATAAAAAATGAAATTTTAACTGCTTCGTCATCAATTTCGAAACGTTTTATGTGAAAATTACAGAATTTTTTCCTTTTGGAATCGAAAATTTGCCTCAATTATCTCAATTCTGTATATTTTTCGACGGTCGAGCGCTTAAAAAATGCGCAATAAACTCCTTGTTGACTGGACGGTTCGAATGCCAGTGTCCGAACTCGAAATAATCGTTAAAACTCCGTTTTTTTCAGTAGTTTTCGACAAAATTCCTCAATTTGGTCAATTCTGAACGAATCTGCTCCGTTTCGCGCTTAAATCGATGCTTTTAACTCAGACAATCGCTCTACGGTTCGCAAAGAGCAAAATTTGAGTGTTTATTAAGCGAAAAACGAAAGAATTCTGGTTTTTAATTGAAAAAAGAAACTCCGAGTCGACGGTGGATGCAAGCGCGCCCCATTGACAAATCGCTTGCGCATTCGAATGCTGGCGTTCCGTGGCCATCACTTCTTTGAAAGACCCCTTTGGTTGATTGAATCTGTTTGTCCGCAGTGCAAACCCGCCTCTCTTTCTTCTCGAAACCATCGTTCGCTCACATTGAAAACACGTTTCGCGCCGATGCGATCCCTAATCAATCAAGGTCATAAACTACAAGATATTGCCCCCTAATCTTTCGCTCTCCTTCTCTCGCGCTCTCGCGCCAACTCGAACAATATCGGCGGAATACGGAAAAGGAGGAGGCGGGAAAACCATGCTGCCGACACGCTTGATCATTCTTCGGAGGTGATTGGAATGAATCTTCTGATCGCTTCCCGCTTCCCCCTTGTGATATATATCTGTTTGTGCCGATTTCGTTGTTATCGTGATGCTTTGATTCTGATTCGCAAGACATGTGACACCGGGGGATGTCGTTTTGCAAAGCGAGGCGACGAAAATCAAAGAACAGCGACAGTTCTACAAACTTGACGGAGATTGGAATGATCTAGCACAACTTTAGCTTTGAAACGATATTGTAGGCTTTGTAGCATCAAATCCTCATCTTTTCAGTCGACATCTTCTGCGTACCACCACTTTTAAGTCTATTATAGCCCTTGGAAGTTTGGTGCCTTTAAAAGTGCTCCCAACTTCAAAGCGGTGCAATTGTCTTGTGCGTGAGCGTAGAAAAAAGTGGTCAACTGCAAAATTGAAGTACTAGACATGAAGACTTCACACAAAAGTTTCTAGAGACCTAGGACATCTTCTGTTGCAGCTACAGTCGTTTTACAAAATGTCTCATTTCTATTCCGAAATGAACCGATTGCTCTCATTTACTTCTTCGTCCGTTTCCTCAAGAGTACTCTCTCATTCATTCATAGAATTGTCCTCTTTCCGTTTTCATTCAAATAACAGAATAGTTAGTAGTACCGAAAGAGAGAGAGAGAAAGAGAGAGAGAGAGAGAGTAGTAAGACAGTTTTGGTCACTATTTGCACATTGTACTACCAATACTCCCCGCTTCCGCAACACTTTTTCCTCATGTGATGAACGCGAAAAAAAGTGCGAAAAAGCGGCCGGGAGGGGGTACTTGAGAGCTTTTTTGGCACTCTTTCGGTATTATGAACAGTTCTCGCCAAGGCCTATACTTTTCATTTTCTAGAGTGTTCTAGCTGACCAAACATTTCTCAATAGGCTCTATTCTGCATGTAGACCTCAGAATATCATACAAACTTTTCGCCTACGTCGCCTAGATTCTAGTTCCTTCTAAATGTACATATATAAATAAATTCGATATGCTCTCCTTTCTACCGTTTCATCGATTTGTTGACATTTCTCGCGTTCCTCACTCATTTAGACCTGTGTGGTGGCTTGCTCCCCGCTATTGTCCATATTTGTGGAGAAAAGAGGAGGCAATGCAAAAGTTTCATTTGTTTTATGTGTGGGCAGGTGATTGATAGATAGACGGAGGCTCCTTCACAAACTCACTCGAAAAGGATCAAGATCAACAAAAAGTGATCTTGGACTGAACGAAAATGCCTGATTTTTGGATCATTGTGGACTAACTTTCTCCTCAAATCATCTAGCTTTTTTCCAATAACTGAGTCTATTCCCTAGTTTCTCATCAATTACTACCGTGAAGTGTGTAATAGAATAGAACCGTACATTCAAAACGATTTTGCTCAGCTCCTCACAGAGCTATCAAAAAGTTGCCAACTAACAAATTGACCACTGAAACATTGCGTTCATTGTATTAGTTGACATCTTTTTGATATCTCTACCACCAGCTGAGATACATCGCCTTGAACGGCGTACCTTTTCATTATGCTGGCCTAACTTTCCGTCTTCTTTGCTCTATTTAGCTCGCAAACACACACACACACACTCAATTCGTATGCAAATTTGCGATAAATTTCGCACCATCTGATTCTTCTCTCTTGTGCAGTGATCAAATAAGTTCGCGGAGACCTTTTCGTAGTCTTCGATAAGAAATCGTTGGTTGCATTTCAAAACTGTTCAGTGTCTTTCAAACGTACCTTTTCCAGGAGTAATGTAGCTTTCCATTTCTACCTCTAAAGACACTTTTATTCCAAATCTACACACGGATTGCTATCTCCGAGACGTCCGATTCCAAGGACGGCGTCCATTTGATGGCCTTCTACATAGTTCCGATCTTTTGGCACTGAGTTCTCATTCTCAATTCACAAAACTACCGTACTCGTCTCGTCTAGACGGAGGAAATCGATTTTATTTCCTGTGCGTGGGAGCGAAACGGATACGTTCACTTCTCCTCGTTCTGGCCTTTTTGTTATTCGCTCTTCCTCTCCTTTTTCTTGAAGCCTTTCCGTTTTAGTAGTCCGAATTGAAGAGTTTACAAAAGAGGCGCTTCTCTGTGAAATCTTTCGCAATAACTAAAAGTCTAGAGAAAGTCCAGCCGGTTTGTACCAGCTCATTTTGATCCAGAGTTTCATAGTAGCGGTTCTCAGGTATTGCGGCTGGCCAGTCCAAACTTTTTGAAGGCGTTTTTCCTAATGGGGTTATTCAGACTGAAAAAAATGATTGTTTTCCGTGATTTTTTTCGTTTTTTTACGTCAAAAAATTCAATTCAGCGATGTAAAAAAAACGAAAAAAAACGGAAAACAAACATACGCTGAATAGCCCCATAAGGGAAGTATAATATAGTATGAAGCGTGCAAAGTTTGGGCCAAAAGTTCCGAACTACCTTCCGGTCCTTTCCATCGGTTTTTCAGCGCGTCCCCGTGGTATTTGCCCTCAAAACTCTTTTTTGTTCTGTTTTTCCAACCCCCGCCACCCGTCACACACACACACAAAAACACGCACATTCCAGGCCGTTTGCCCTTGCGTCCTCCGTCCCTCTTCGCCTGTCTGGCCCTGGTGCCCCTGCCAATCTTTGGCCACTTCGCTCTCGTTTCTCTCTTTCAACTTTCAGTCCTTCTTCTTCTTCTTCTTCTTCTTTTTCTTCATCTCGCTCGCTCGCTCGCTCGCCCCTTTGCACTTTTGTTTTTGCCATTCTCTGCCCTTTCCGTCTCCGGAAGAGAGAGAGCGAGAGAATAGAATTGAAAAGCAACAAAAAGGGCAAATTTTTACAGAATCCTCTTGCTCCTCCGACTCCGGCTCTTGCTCCTTACTCTTTTGTGAATGAATGTGCTCCGAGAGCACAACCAAGAAAATGTGAGTTTCGTTTTCAGACATTTCGAAAAGTAATGTAAAGTGTACGAAAAAGTTGACAGCTGCAATATTGATTCGGCTCATAAAGTTTAGGCCAACTCATGCAACGTTTGAAACGGTTTTTGAAGTGAAGAACTCAAAGATTGTTGATCTCTAAACTTGTATCCAACGTTATGAAGACACAAATCCGAGTCTTTTGCTCTCAGAAACGTACTCTATTTCTATTTTCCTGACTAGTCGCTGAATAATAAAAATATTTGCATTGAATTGAATGTCTTCTTCCTTCTCCCCTCAATTTCAGTCCTCTCAGGCTCGAAACCTAATCCCCCACTCTCTCTCTCTCTCTCTCTCTCTCTCTCTCTCTCTCTCTCTCTCTCTCTCTCTCTCTCTCTCTCTCTCTCTCTCTCTCTCTCTCTCTCTCTCTCTCTCTCTCTCTCTTTCTCTTTCTCTCTCTCTCTCTCTCTCTCTCTCTCTTTCTCTCTTTCTCTCTTTCTCTCTCTAATCCCCTTCTTTTTACCTCGAATGCTCCCCTGAATTTCATTTTCTAGATGTTTGTATTGGAATTTGAAATTTCTGGGAAGAGATCTTATCTACTTCTAATTTGCATCCAAATTCATCACCGATTTTTGACGTCACGCACTTTTGAGTCTAAAAATGTGCTAATAAACTCTTGGATGACGTCATAGGCAAGTCTGACTGCGTGTCTTGTAATCCAGTACAAATATTGTCAAGTTCTACACTAAAGGCACTTTATTGGGTGCCGTATTGCGCGTTTCCTATCAAATGTTACTCTATTATACGTACCCACTCCCTCTTCCTCTTCCTCTTCTTCTCTCTCTCTCTCTCTCTCTCTCCTTCTCTGCCAACCCTCTCGCCAACTGTCTGCATCTCTGCGTTTCCCAACTTTCTAGCTAACCAACTCTCTCTCTCTCTCTCTCTCGTTTTGGCCGTTGAAACGTGTCGCCAACGCTCGTATTTCACCTCTCAAAGTGTGTTTCTCTCTCTCTCTCTTTCTTTTTCTAGTTTGTAGTCGTCATCCATTTTCGGGGAAAAAAGACACTGTTTTTCTTGGGATCATTTTGTAGGGGTCTATGCTCTTCACTAGGCACTTTTTCAGTTTTTGCTGAAATTTGCTGAAAACTTCATTTAGTTTTGTTGGAAAACCGAGTAACTTTCAGTCCCTCTTCCTCTTTTTCTATAGAACGCCGGTAATAAGCTTCTCCATCGAACATTGCTCCGTTTTCCTTATATTTCTCTGAACAATCCATCGCCTGAAAGCCCTTGAACTTTCCCTTCTTTTGGCTGAAAATTTTTGTGTAGCCTACACCTTCCTCATCATATTTTTTCAGACCGTTTCTCTGAAAACCAAAAAAAAATAGAAAAACGAAGCGGAACATGCTATTTCTCACGTTTCCTTGAGCCGCTAGCTTCGTTTTTGGGCTTCTGGCCTTTTAAAATCTTTGAAAAAGCCTAAAACATTGACAGCCGAATAGAACAACCATTTCATTAAGATCTTTCGAGCCATGTCGGCATCTAGTTGCGAAAGGCCCACTAGACTTTCAGGCTTTCAAGCCGATCCATGCTTTACACATACTCATCCATGAGCCCACCCACCGCTAATCCCCTTGCTCATCCGCGCCTATAATCCATTTCCGACTACCCTCAAGAAAAAAAAAGAATAGTTAAAACAGATCATCTTTTCATCCATCCATCCGACCAAAAACAACATTTGTAGCCGTAGAGGGGCGGAGCCGCGGGGGGGACAAAACTATTTGGGCGAAAAAAGAAAGAGAGAGGCGAATCGGTCATTTGCGGGCATATCATTCGGTGTGGAAACACGTGGTCTCCTCGCCTTTTCTTCTTCTTCTTCTTCTTCTTTATCACTCTTTCCGTCTCCTCACATTTCTCACTATTTTCTGTCTGTTCGCACAAACTTCTGTTCCAATCATTCTCCACTTTTTTTCCATTTCTTCTTTCTTGCCATCCATCCCCGATTTCTGATCTTTGTCCTTCCCGGTTTTTCAGCACGGGCGCGGAGGGGTGTACTCGTTGTTTTCGTGCCCTTTCGGTCTCCATCTGAATCCTGTTTTCCGCTCGTTCTCATCCGAACAGCACTTTTGACGATCAAAACCCATTTCGATTGTTTTTTGTGCTCTGAAAAACGGGATGTCCGCTGTTTTTTTAGTCGGTGTTCCAATATTTAGGCCCTCCCAGATTTTGTAAAGTTCTCATCCATTTCTCGTTTCTCTTTTCGCCGATTCCAATAAAAAAATCGCCGCTGTTCAGAGTGTGGTTTACCAATTTTTCTTCGAGCCCGCTAGCCAATATTTTCCATTCCCCACCTCTTTCGAATTCATTTTTTTCGCCTTCTGCAAAACAAAAACCGAATGGAGAAGCAAAGATCTCGGTGCGGATCACCAAAACAGTCAAGTGATAAATCAACGCCTCGAAAATATATATATATATCTATCTGTTCGACAATACTTTCATTGATTGCTCTTGATTACCGCGTGGAGCCAAAGAACACTCCACATCACTGCACGCCCGTTTCCCGTGCCGAAAGCATGGAAGGGGGCGGCGCTCTTGAGGCGGCGGAAAGGTTCTGGCGATGGTGGCGCGAAGGTGCGAAAAGTGTGTGGTCAGCGATCAAATACGACACCACTTTTCGATGCGGTTATAAATGAAATACGGCGCGGCGATGATGTGATCCGTTTCGCAACCACACAAATCTATTTTTCGAAATACAAAAGTTCCGAGGATTAGTACATCTTCTGGAGTTTTCTAGTGCAATTCTATAAACTTGAAGTTTTCCTAGTGCTTTCCAAGGAAAAGTGTGCCTAAAGTATCACGGGGTTACTCGAATAACTTTGAGGTTCATGTTAAGTGCAAAAAGTTCTCAATTGCAAATGGTAGGAAAAAGGAGAGAGCGCAGTGACACAAATCGATCAGTGATCGATCGCGAAACGTGATTTTTCACGCTTCTCCCTATTTCTATCTTTATCCTTCGAGGGATTTGACATGTTTGTTCGGTTTTGACGCCAACTCTCTTTCTTCCGTTCCTCTTTGGTTCGCTTCCGGATTTTGCAACATTTCGAGCATGTACCCATGACCACTGTAGTTCCTGCAAATCAAATATACTTTAATCGGCTCATAGCTTTAAATTGAATCTAGTTTGATTCAAGTCGAAAAGTAAAAGCACAAACTCTATGCTCGTGATTACTTTCATTTCTTCTCACTATTCGCACGTAACTATGCATTGGATTACATCTTGTTATCCTTCCTTTTCATAACTGCGTCAACCAATGCTACAATGAGCTCAACGAGACTCGGCTCTTTTTTTTTCGCACACAGCTGCTCATTTCATTTCCATGACGACCGGCTCTGAAGAGTCGCCGTCATTGGGAGTGACAAATAAATAACAAAAGATACAAGTTCCCGACTTGTTTTTGTGATGAACAACAGCTCAAAGAATGTGTTTTCGAAAGGGGCGTGGCTTGTGGAGCTTGCTGTAGTTACTATACTTATTCACGTCTAGACAGTAGGTTTTCTTTCCCCACTTCCGCTCGACTGACTTATGATGAATCATCTTCTAATCTTCTGACTTCGTCTTCTTTTGTACCACTGCTTCAATGCTTCTTCTCAGAATGAAAAATCATATATTGTACTTTTCACTCCCTAATTTTCAGTAAATGACTGACCGAGAAATGCTTGTGGACCCGAGGTTTGACGCGTTTTTCAAATTGGAACAAATCGACGACTACAAGTATGATGGAGGTAAGTATTACTGTAGGATTACTGTTATTTTATATTTCTACCCGTTTCCAGTAGACACCTCGCCCTCCACCTCCAACGGAATTCCCGATTCGTCGCAGAACGGCGGACGACTCATTTGTGACGTGTGCGGTGACGTGGCGTTTGGGAAGCACTATGGAATTAACGCATGTAACGGGTGCAAAGGGTTCTTCAGAAGAAGGTAAAAACTCACATTAACAACTTTTCAAACTTTCCGCTCTTTTTCAGTGTCTGGTCCCGTCGGCAGTACTCGTGTCGCTTCGGCGGAGACTGTCCAGTTGTCAAAGAGCATCGAAACGTGTGCAGATCGTGTCGCCTGAAAAAATGTTTTGAAGTTGGAATGAATCCGGATTGTAAGTTTTTTTTATCGTTACCAAGTGGTGTCTCGGTGGCAAAACGGCCTCGATTTCAGCCGTGCAAAACGAGCGGGACCGAAACGCGAAGAACGGAGGGCTTCCGGTGATGGCGACTTCTCCGGTTCAGAAGGAACTCACCTACTCAAACGGACAACTGAAAAGGAAGCGGACACGGCCGGAGTGTTGTGACAAAATGACTCAAACCGACGGGAAGCTCGAAATCAACGACGATTACGAGTACGAGCAGATGACCCAGCACATGACTCCGCCTAGTTTGGCTCCGCTCAAGCTCGAAAGGATCTCGACGCCTCCTTCCGATCTTCCGGTTCCAATGGACTTTGCCATTCCGTCGGCGGTTCTCGAGATTGAGCAAAAGGTGTTCTACCACTGCCCGGTGGCCGTCGACAGCTCGATCAACGCCACGAAAACGCCGATCACTCTTCCGTTCGAGGTCGTCTTCCGTCAACCGCACCTCGTCTGCAACCGCTATCCTATGCGCTTCTCCAACCAGCGAGTACTCACTCCAGAAGACCTCATCGACGGTTGGAGACGTCACTTCACCTACTTCTCCGATTGGTGTCACGCCATGGAAGAGTTTCGGGCTCTTTCGCCCGAGGATCAGATCGTGTTGGCTAAAAAGAAGATTGTTCTGCACGGATGGCTGGTTCACGCCTACTACTCGTACAAAGCCGGCTGTAACGGCATTTGCTTCGCGAACGGAGCCGCCCATCTGCCCGAGGGAGGGCATCCGAGCATTACCGAATTCTACAAAGAGTGCATGCCTCGTTACCTCAACTACGTCATCTATCCGATGCACAATTTCCTAATGGACGACGCCGAAATGGTGCTCGTCAAGTGTGTCATGTTCTTCTCGAATGGTAGGCTGCGCTGCGTCGGTCAAATTTCCGTTTACTGACGTCACTTCTTCCAGAATCCGGACTCTCGGCCGGCGGAAAGGCAATCGTGTCGGCGGCTCGTGAAAAGTACCTCTCCGCTCTGTACACCTACGGTCGCTCCAACAAATGCTCCACGTCTGCGCAGGCCACGTTGCGCATCGCCAAATTTATGATAATGCTCTCGGCGATTACGGTAAATTTCGAAATGCTTCAAACGAAACGAATAAAAACTTGCAGAGTTTGACGCACTTGATGAACGAAGGCGTCCACGTCACTTCGCTGTTCAATATCATCGAATTCGACGAGCTGATTCAGGCGACGCACAAAACGACGCCCCCACATCACTCTCCGCCGCACTGCTGAAACTTTTAACATGTAAATAGTCCACAGAGAAAATCAAACGCTCCTCCTCAATTTCTGTATCTACCTCATTGATCTCCGACCATATCACTTTTGGATTGAATGTTTCTCAATTGAAGCACTTTCCATTTTCTCCCCATCCCCCGGACAATTTATTGCTTTTTTCTGTGATAATAACACCGACTCCCAATGTATCTATCTCTGAAATTTTGAATCGTTTTCAAAAAACCAAATTCAATTTATCCCAAACACTCTGTACCATAGAATACTCTTGTAATTATCGTGTGTGTGTGTGTGTGTGTGTGTGTGCGCCTGAAAAGTTATTAAAATAAATGTTTTCAATTGTGTAAAGTGTTCAATTTATGGGTAAATTTTCAGAAGAACACTATTTGTTAGGGTTTTTTCACAAATTCGACACTTTTCGATGGGTCTGTCGGGAAGTACTCTTGCATTTTGGTCATCAGTCGCTTGAATGCCTGAAAAATAAGTTGCATTTAATAGAAATGTGAGAAATGTCAGTTTTCATGCAATTTTTCAAACTTTGTGAGTAAAATTTGGACCAATGCCAAGTACAAACCTGAATATACTTTCTCTGTGTTTCGTCGTTGAGCACATGTGCAATGTTGCTCACGTACGCCTTTGCGGAGCCGGGACGCTGATGGATTCCTGATCGTGTGACTCCGACGGGCCACGGCGCGTTTCCGATAGCCATCTCCATGTAGGCGTTGTTCGCTTCCAGGTAGTTGCGCTCGATTACCAGCAGTCTGCAGATCTTGGTGAAATTTCCTAATTTTACGGGATTTACCTGCAAATTTTGGCCAAATGATGGCGAATATCATTGTTCACATTGTACTTTTCCATCGACGACATTAAGCTTCGCAAATGCATCGTCGTCTGTTTGTGATGCGCTGCCTCATGCATTCCTGAAGAAAAATGGTCATCTTTGTCAATTTTTTGCAGAGAAAATGTTTCCTCTACCTGACGGCGTCTTTTTCACGTCCAACGGCCGATCGTTGAGATCTTTGGCCCATCTGGCGAGCAAATAACGGCAAATCGAAAGGATAATATCACAATCTCGCTTCATGTCGTCGCCTAGAAATGTTCAGTTTGTTGTGTATTTTAGCTAAAAAAAAGCGTACCAACGCCGAGAAGCGTGGAAGTGTGCTCGATATTCTTCCAATTATCCTCTTCGTATCCGCTGGGAAGTGCCACGTCATGACGGGTTGCACTGTCCGAAGTGCCCTCCACCACTGCCTGAATATTTTTAAATATTTTTGTAAAAGAACATCTGAAAATCACCTTATCCATCTCTTTTCCAATGTCCTTCATCGCCGTCTGCAACTCATTTTCCCATCCTTCGTTCAAATCCGGCTGCGCAATTTCCAATTGATGAAGACGTTTTCGCACGTCCATTTCCGATTCGCCTGCAGAAAAACAATGTTTAGGTTGAAATTGTTTGAATTTCACCTACCAAAAAGTAAAATCGGCTGTCCGCGCTGTCGCAAACGAACACGAATCTCGGAAATTGCGGTTTTCTCGTCAATTTCCGTCTCATTTTCAGCCGGGACTCGCTTGGCACGACTCGAAGACTCTTGTTGGATTTGATCGTCGAGCTTCTGAAATTAGATATTGATTTTTCTGAATTTAAAAGTGTTTTTCAAATGTACCTGTTTTTTGGCGACAACTTCCTGCTGTTTGGCTTCGTATTCACGGTTGCGACGTGCCTCCAAATCGGCTCCTTTCACAAATTTCGCATTTCCGTCCTTCACCACCAAATCGGCTACCGCTTTTCGCTTTTTTGCCATTTCGGCTAGCAATTTCGCTTTGAAATCCATTATTTTACTGAAATTTCATAGAAATCTAGCTGGAAATCAGGAGAAGATCGACGAAATAGGGAAGGTTTCGAAAATGAGATGGATAGAGAGAACGGGAGAGAGCGTGGCAAACAAAGAGACGCAGAGAAAAATGCAAACGCGCTCCATTGAAAAATCTCTATCAATTTTATCTTTTCACCGATTTTCAGCTCGTTTTTGCTCTTTTCGAGATTTTAAAATTGGAAGGAGAATTTAAGATGACCAGAAATAGTAAGTATTGCAATTCCAGATGCTCCGGGTAGTCCAGAAACGTTGCGCCTCAACGGCCCCGCTCATCCGGCCGATTCACCGTGTTCTGGTGGCGAATCGCGGTGAAATCGCGATCCGCGTTCAGAATACCGCCCGCAAAATGGGCATCGAGACGGTTTCTGTGTTCTCCGACGCCGATCGCAACGCGTTGTTCGTCAAAAAAGCGGACAAGGTGAAAAATTTATAAAAAAGCGAATTTTGAGAAAGACGAGTTCAGGCCTATCACATCGGCCCTCCATTGGCCTCCGAGTCGTATCTGAACATGGATAAGATCATCGACACGGCGCTAAAGTCCGGAGCTCAGGCAATCCACCCCGGATACGGATTTCTGTCCGAGAATGCCGGATTCGCTGAGAGATGTGTTCAGGCCGGCCTGGTCTTCATCGGGCCGCCAGCACAGGCCATCCGAGACATGGGCGCCAAGAATGTGTCGAAACAGATCATGGAGGACGCGAAGGTTCCCGTGGTTAGGGGATTCCACGGCGAGGATCAGTCCGACGAGAATTTGAAGAGAAAATCGGCTGAAATCGGTGCGCAAAACACCTAAAATAAGGAGTTACTGTTATTTTTTGCTCAAATTTCTAGGCTACCCGGTAATGCTCAAAGCAGTGTACGGCGGCGGCGGAAAGGGAATGCGCATCGCGTGGTCTGAAGCAGAATTCGACGAAAAGCTGGCGTCCGCCCGAAATGAGGCTAAGAAATCGTTCGGAAACGACGAGATGCTCGTGGAGAAGTTTGTGGAGCGTCCGCGCCACGTGGAAGTGCAAGTGTTCGGCGACCATCACGGCAATTATGTGCATTTGTGGGAAAGAGACTGCTCCGTTCAGCGCAGACATCAGAAGATCATCGAGGAGGCGCCCGCACCGAATATGGGTTCTTAATCTTTGTTTATTCTCGAGAATTGTCTTATTTTTAAGCTCACGAAACACGTCTGAAGCTTGGAGAATCGGCAGTTCGTGCCGCGTCGGCCGTCGGTTACGTCGGCGCCGGAACCGTCGAATTCATCATGGATCCACGAGGCGAATTCTATTTTATGGAGATGAACACGCGTCTTCAGGTGGAACACCCCGTTAGCGAGGCCATCACGGGCACCGATCTTGTCGAATGGCAATTGCGAGTGGCTCAGGGAGAGCCTCTCCCACTGAAACAATCGGAGATTCCATTAAACGGACACGCGTTTGAGTGCAGAGTGTACGCGGAGGACACGCGGGAGGGCGCGTTCATGCCGACCGCCGGAAGACTCACCTACGTGGATTTCCCGGAAGACGCGCGCATCGATACGGGAGTGGTGTCGGGCGACGAGGTGTCGATCCACTACGATCCGATGATCGCCAAGGTGGTCGTGTGGGGGCGGGACCGTGCCGCCGCGGCCGCCAAACTCGAGAGCGCCCTTGCGCGCACCCGAATCTCCGGCCTTCCAACCAACATCGAGTTCGTGCGTCGGGTGCTCGCCCATCCTGAATTCCAAGCCGGCAACGTCTACACCGACTTCATTCCCGACCACCAGAAGGAGTTGTTCGAGAAAAAGGACACTCCTCCCGAAGTTCACATCGAATCCGCCGTCGCCCACGCACTTTCGACGCTCCAGAAGAGCAACGATGGCGTCTTCCAGAATCTCTCCTTTTTCAGAATCAATCTCGCGTCGCTTTTCGTCTGCAAGATTGGTAATCGATTATTTTGTGGAGAAAAGGTTATATTTATTACAGACGGAAAAGAGATCAAAGTGCGCTTCGAGGGCGATCGTCGGCTGACCGTCTCCTACGACGGAAACTCGTTCGAAACGCTTCTCGGTGACGTCGAAAACACTGGAGAGAGCGAGTTCAGGTTCACGCTCGAGGCCAACGGTCGCCGATGGAGTACGCTGGTCAAGAATCTCAAGGAAAGCTTGCTGGTGGGTCTAAAATAGGGCGAATTTGATAAGTGAATTCCCGATTTTCAGGTGAACGGAGTAGGCCAGAACGAGTACGAGGCTCCGCAGAACGCCGGCAACATTGACGCCTACGCGGGAGCCGCCGCCAGCCACTCGGCAGTCGCCCCGATGCCCGGAATAATCGAAAAAGTGCTCGTCAAGCCGGGAGATCAGGTCAGCAGGAAATTTGGCAGTTTTTTCCATGTATCTCTTGTTTTAGGTGACAACTGGCCAGGCGCTCGTTGTAATGACCGCCATGAAGATGGAATACATCATCCGCGCGCCGGAAGACTCGACCGTCGAACAGATCAAGTGTCAGGCGGGCAAGAATGTGCCAAAAAATGCGGTTCTCGTGCAATTCGCTTGAGGAAACTATAATATCACTCTCGACTTGATAGCGTAGATTTTAGTGTATTTTTTGTAGAATGCTTAAAATGTGCTTTTCCCCCTGGTAATTTCAGAGCTTTTATCCCTCTAATTGACCCCATTTTTTTAATGATACGGTTGTGAAAACTCTCAGAAAATGTGCCTTCTAAAATGAAAATATCATGTGCAAGTAGGCATCATTTAACAAAAGTATAAGAGTTAGGGTTTTCAAAAATGGCTTGATAACTTGAGACTCCTGAATCAAGAAAAGAAAGTAGAGAATTAACTAGTAAACTTTCTAGGCGCAACGCGTCGGTCATTGGGAGCAGAGTTGAGCGGAAGAAATTTGCGGAATAGCACGGAATAATTTATATATTTTTTAAGAAAAATTGTTTATGGAATATGATCATCTGACAAAATGTGCAGCACAGTGAGTTCTAATTACAAAAAAATAATGAGAGCCTTTACTTTTCACATAAAAAAAGTTATGCAAGTTCTAATTAGAAATCTAATTAGAAAACTTTGCAATCTAATACGAACTCGTTTGAAATAGAATTTGCTTCAATTAGATTGCAAAATCTTCTAATTAGATTGCAATCACTGCAATTTTTCTAATTAGATTGCAATGTTTTCTAATTAGATTGCAATTCAGGAAAAATATATTGTAATCTAATACGATTTTACTGGAACTTCAATTAAATCTGATTAGATTGCATGCGAAATAGAGCTTTTTCTTATCAGATTGCAAACTCTTCTAATTAGATTGCAATCGAGTTTCCAGAGGCATGCTCTTCAGATACCGCACCCAGTGTGATCTACCGCCCGCACAGCGAAAAATAGGGTTTCTCGTTCGTTGTGTCTTTATTTTGTGATCCTTTTCGGACGAAAAGGCCAAAGAGGACCTGTAAAATACATGGATTTTCCCTAATGGGGCTATTCAGCGTATGTTTGTTTTCCGTTTTTTTCGTTTTTTTACACCGCTGAATTGGGTTTTTTGACGTAAAAAAACGAAAAAAACGGAAAAAAATCATTTTTTTCACAGCCTGAATAACCCCATAACCTTCAAACTTTTTGACTTTTACTACTTTCCCGACATTCCCAAATAATCGAATTTCGCGAATTTCGTTTTTTCTTTTTTCTCTCTATTTTCAGCGGTTTCAAGTTTCGAAAAGTCCAGTTTATTAAATAAAGCAAAAATCGAGTTATATTAATTTTTAGCGGGAGACGGTTCTATTTGCTCGGCTTCTCCGTACTTTTCCTTCTCCTCCTCATTCTTTTCAACGATTTTGTCCACTTTCAGTTCGGCGCCCCTCAATTTGTCCAAAACTCCATTCTTAAGCGCCTCTTGCAGATGATTCAGAAGCAAATAATCCTTGACGTGGGCCTTGCGGAGCGCGCCTTGCTTAAATTGCCAAAATTCGGCGTTCGCCTCACGAATGTCCATATCTTCACCGTACTTGTATTGACGAGAGAGCTGCAATGCGGTCTTTCCCTTTTTATTCTCGAAATCTGACTGCGTACCTGTCTGTACTCTCTTTTGTCGAATTGTTTCTGTTCATTCCGCAATTGATGCCACCACTGCTCGATCTTCGTGTCGATGCACTTGTAACTGCGGAGCACTTGCGACGGATTGTTCAATCCGATCGAGTCTTTCTGCAAACCTTTTTTGTGCGTCGGCGGCATTCCGGGGGGAAACTAACTGCGAAATAAGTGCCTTTTTCGTCCTCCCATTCGCCTTTCACTCGCTTTTCGAGCTCCTTCGGAAGCAGATCATTCGGCTCGAACGAGTATTTCGACACGGGCGTCACGTTCGTTGATTTCATTATCGATTGGAACGTGCGGAAGATAAAGCTGAACAAAATAAAAGTACAGTAGTTGGAGGTAAAGTAATCGCGTACTGATAATGTGGTCTCTGCCACACTTGCAACTCCTTCAAATGTTCCAGCACAGGAATCAGTCTCTTCGGCATGTGCGCTCCCTCGATCCACGTCTTCACGTCCAACTTCTTCTCCCCAATCACATTCGAATCCTTATCGTCGTGCCACGGAAGTCGGCCGTTCAAATCGGTCAGTGTGAACAGAAGCGACCAGATGTCGTCGCGACGGCCCTGCTCGCTGCAGGAGTGCATGTTCGGGGAGCAGAACTGGACACTGCCACGCATTCGGATCTTCCGACGCATCGGACACAGCATCCAGCAATCCGGCACAACTTTCTTCTCCTCATCCGTCGGATTTTTCGAGGGGACCTAAACAAATCATTTCCGATTCGAGTCATAAATAATCGTGTTGAAACCCGGAAAGCGTATCTTCGAGCGATTCCAAAGTCGATGAGATGAACGCATCGCCAGCGTTTCGCGTCCTCCGCTCGACCGAGAAGAATGTTTCCGGGCTTGACGTCCCGATGGATGTACCCTTTTTCGTGGATTCCCTTCAGCGCGTACAGAATCTGAATGCCAATGCGACTCCAGGTGCCCGGAAGCATCCTCTGATCCCTGCACACCAACTTCAACTCGGCCATACTCTTTCCGTACAACGTCATCGCCATCCAATCTGAACCCGACGCCTACAAACGCTTGCTCTCGCGCCAGTTCGGCCACACTCACGACACGCGGGCAGATTCTCAAAGTAGTGGAGGGCGGGCACGTGCGGAAAATCAGCCTCGTAGGCGTTCAGCTCGCGGAGCACCGTCGCCTCGTGAGCCAGCACGTTCAGGTTGACCGTCGCCATTTCCATTTTGATTGCCACGTACGAATCGGTGTGCTGATGATGTGCTAGATAGATTTTCGAGAAAGAGCCGGTGCCCAGGACATGCGTCGCGTAGAAGTCGCCGATTCTAAAAAGAGAGTCTCTATTTGCGAACATGGGCCACTGTCATGTATTTCCTAAACTACAAAAAGTTTCCAAGCGGCCAGAGAGTACTGCAGAGCTTTTTTTTTTCCTAGTCCATCTCTGGAAGAAGTTAGGCCGGTACTTTTCCTGGCCTAGCGTTTCCCAGTCCACCCACCTGATGGGAAGCGTGATGAGTGCGGCGACCCGATCCACACGGAGTGCTCTCGTCCGCATCTCCTCGAGCTCCGAAGGCGTCGGCATGTCCTTCTGCTGCAACGGCTCCATCTTCTTCTCCTTCTTCTTCTCATTTTCCTCGTTTTCCTCTTCTTCCTGCTCCTCCTCTTTCTCCTCCGTCTTTTTAGTGTCCTTCCTCTCCTCCGTCTTTTTTGTGTCCTTCTTCTCCTCCGTCTTTTTTGTGTCCTTCTTCTCCTCCGTCTTTTTTGTGTCCTTCTTCTGCTCCGTCTTTTTCGTGTCCTTCTTCTCCTCCGTCTTTTTCGTGTCCTTCTTCTCCTCCGTCTTTTTTGTGTCCTTCTTCTCCTCCGTCTTTTTAGTGTCCTTCTTGTCTTCCTTCTTCTCCTCCTTCTTGTCCGTGTCCTTCTTCTTCTCCGGCTCATTCTCCTTTTTAGCCTGTTCCGCTTTTTTCTCAACCTGAAATTCGTTTTATTGACAAAAAAATTGACGACAGTTTGTCGTGAAAAGTACCATTTTTTTTCAGCTCAAAGTCAAAGTTATCGAATGTTCCGGAAGATGTTCGGGAATTTGAGTTTTACAGAGAAATGCCCTGGCAAACACTTTAAGACGCATTGTTTGCGTGGAAAGGTAAAGGTCAAGTTGTACAGTAATCATGCTTTATTCATTTATTGAGGGGGATAATGTTGCGGATAGACATATTTCAACAAAAACTGATTGATATACAAGAAAAACTGAAATTGTGTGTCTACAGGAAACGCGTGCAAATTGGGATACATGGCGATCCAATCGCCGAACACCTCGGTGACGTCACGAGGTGTCGAAGAAGCCGTTGATGACGTGGCAGAAGACGTCGAGGCGGATCTCGAGTTGGCAGTGGTAGAAGTGATTGTGTTGGGACTGGAAGATGTGCTGAAAAAGGAGAAGGATTGGCAAAGCTCTAGGAAAAAGTTAGTCAGCTATTCGATTTGATCGTTTCCATCCATGATGACAGCTTTCAGATGACGTGGAAAAGATGCTGCAGAAGAAGAAGAAACTGCAAAAAAAGGTCAACGCCCCAGACCCCCTCGCTATCAAAACTAACCTGATTGAACTGAAAGTTGTTGGTGAAGTTGGAAGACTTGGCGCCAAGCCCTGACCGCCCGAACTCACTAGAAATCGATAGCGACAATCTTTTCCGTGAACCTGCAGTATTGGTAATGAGTGGAATTCTTCAAAATAAGACATGCCTTTGCGAAATTAGTATTGTACTGATCGCGAATCGCTCTCGACAACGTATCGTAGCTCATTTTCGGATTTCCCTTGTGCTCGCCCCACTTGGCCGCCACCGCATTGTGATCTTTCAGCTGGAACTCGAAAGTCGCCTCGTTGGTCCATCGGATGATGTCGCCGTTCGCGCGATCCGCCAGAAGTTTGTAGAGGAACGGAACCAGAAGGATTTTGTCTTCTGGAAATGGATACTAGCTATGAAATCATTGAAAAAAGGACGAGGGACTCACCTTTATCACTTTTGCCGACCATTTTTGAAGAATTTTAGAGAATAAATAATGAGCACAAGTAGCTCGATGACTGAATGACTACGAACCCGGCAAACTCATCATGTTTTCGTACCCCGAAACCCGAAAAGGGGCGGCTCATCTCCTCGATTTTACCGCCAAAGAGGCGCGATTGTAAAGTTGAAAGGGCGGCCGACAGGTGGGAAACCTTGTAACGGAAGTGAGCGCGAAAAGGGGGGGTGGAGATGAAAGTTTATGACCGGCATGAGAAGATCTGGAAACAGAGAGCTCGACGAGTGATGGGAGGGTTCTTATCAGTGTAAAGTGAGTGAAGTGACTCTGGCGGTCTAATAAGATTGATATGACACCTAATTAGATTAATAAATTGTCTAGCTAGATTAATAAATTGTCTAGCTAGATTAATAAATATTCTAGCTAGATTAATAAATATTCTAGCTAGATTAATAAATATTCTAGCTAGATTAATAAATATTCTAGCTAGATTAATAATTATTCTAGCTAGATTAATACATATTCTAGCTAGATTAATAAATATTCTAGCTAGATTAATAAATCTTCCAGCTAGATTAATAAATCTTCTAGCTAGATTAATAAGTGCTCAAATCAAGTTTCACGCCAACCGTCTGCTGAATACTTGTGACTGGAATCAGTAAAAATTGTCGTCGTTTCGACGTCCCCCGATCGGACTAAAACCTTCATCTTTATCGAAAAGCGTGTGCCATCCGTTTGCCCAGCCCTGGCTCCCCCCAACTTTCTTGTTTCCAATGATCCCTGGAAGTTGATTGACGGTGCGGTGTGGTCAGTGAAGAACCAAATAAAGGAAGGGAAAAGTGAGTGTGTCTGTTTGTGTGTGTGCTGGATGGTTTTTTGTCGTTGCGCAAACATCTCTCTCTCTCTCTCTCTCTCTCTCTCTCTCTCTCTCTCCCTCTCCCTCTCATTCTCTCCAATGTCCGTTCCCTGTCCAGAGAAGGGAGCCAGCGCCGGTCCGGCCCGGCCGTCTGCCCGTTTTGGGCGCCAGAATCACGATCTTCCTCCTATTCCTTCTTCTTTTCCTTCTTCTCTGCTGCTGCTGCTGCAACAACGGCTTTGTTTGCATTGGGTTCGGCTATGTGTTCAGCCGTGTGCTCCTCCTCCTCCTCCTCCTCCGTTTCTTTTCCGTTTTCGGACAGTTGTGTGTCCGGCGCCGGACGGCAGATCCATGTTTACGCTTTTGCCAAATTGTGCTGCCACGTCATTCAGGAAAGAGTACTGTCCATTGTTATCCTCTTCTCTTTCTTACTATCACTTAGAATTGTTGTCTTCTAGAACTGTTACCATTGATTAAGAGGAACAATACTAATGCAATTGTCGTTGTGCCACATCATGAAGATACTTTAGACTTTCCATTCCTACGATATATTGAAAGAACGGCACAAAGGATACTGTAGTTTCTTGGCCCATTAAGACTACTGTACATTGCATTGGTCCCTTTCCAATAATTGTTAATATTATCTGATAGCGAAAGTATATCAACCTTTTCCTTGTCCTCCGGAAAGCACACAAACCCTCACACATCAGCGTCTTTCCCTCCCTAACAGCGCCCTTTAAAAAAAAAATCAGTAGTGATCGGGCGGGCGCCGCGAGCCCCCCGGTACCAGTTTGCACAGTTTTTGTCCCATTGTCCCCCACCCCTGCGTCTCTATTTTTCTGTGCTTTTCCATTGTTTAGCATCCCCCCGAATGTCCATTGTGTACTGGAAAAGGCAAAGAGAAATGGAACGGGAAGAGGGATTTTTTCCAATTTTCTGTGTTTGAATGGATGGCTATTGTACTATTACGCGTATCGATAGTAGAAAAAGATGAAACATTTGTTGCTTTGAATTTACCCATTTCGTACAGTTTATTTTTCAATTTTGTGCTGCGCCTTTAAACTCGAAAATTGCAGTAGGCCCAATTTTTTTTAAATTTTTGCACCAAAAACATTGTACATGTTCTTTCCCCCTGCTTTTTTCCCATTTTCCCACCAACAAACGAAAGGCCTTCGCACAATTTTGCCCGTTCATTTTTACGCGCGCTTTTTCGACGACCCGCAATTTTTATCGATTATTTTTCAGATGCTCTTGTGCACCAATCTGTGTTTCAAGCGTCTCGATCAATTCTCCGGGAAAATTGGCCACGAGATCAACAATAACGAGTAGGTTTTAGCGGCGGAAATGGAGAAAATTCTGATTTTTTTCTACCAAAAACGGTTTAAGCGCTATGACGTGGCCTATTTTTGAGCCCGAAATCTCGCGTGCACACCTCAAAAGTACAATAAAGCCTTATTTGCTCAAACGGGCTTGAGCCGATCAAAAAAACGGGCGAAAATGGCCTATTTGCTCAGCGGCCGAGCACAACAATGAGCGGTCAGCAGCAGTTGCTAAGAAGTTGGACTTGTTTTCGTAAAAAGTAAGTCGTTTTTCCGTTCCTTTTTCCATCCCATTTCATGTTTCGATGCGGATTTGTAATAAATTGAATTTGTGCGCCCGCCAATTGTTTGTCTGTGTCTCCTCGCGCCGCACACTGTCTCAGTCACCACTTGTCAATCGAGCGCGTTTGCATTGTCGCTCCGCGTGGCAAACAACAAGTTTTGCGGCTTGCCGAACGCTGTTCTCAGCCAATTTTCAGCCAGATTCGGTTGAAAATCCGCGAAAATGAGTCGATGGTCGGCCGGCTCGACGCCCGGAAGGTGAGATATCGATAATTATGACGGAAAATGCGGGGAGAAGTGAGTTTTTCAAAAAATGGTTCCCTTTTTTCAGTGTCAAACCGGTTTATGGCGCCCGCTACCCGCCACTTCATCACGCGAGCCCAACAAAAGGAGTCGAGCTGCCGGGAAGAATGAATAAATTTCAGGATTATGAGAATAGGTGCCCGATTTAAGCAGAAAATAAAAATAAAAATAAAAACGAAAAATCAGAATTTTCTCCAAAAATCTTCCGAAAATCCCCTCAAAACGCAGCATTTTTCAGTGTATCCGACGCGTGGGATACTCGAGTAAAAGTCGATGAAACGCTGGCGTCGGCCTCCGCGGCGAAGGTGCTCGCAGCTCACGCGGCTGGAAAAACGAATCGGGACGAGGAAATAATGCCGCCAGTGAGTGCGGCGCCCACCAAAAACAGCCGCCAGCAGGCACTACAGAGATTGGCCATACAGAAAGGTTTGTAATGCGACAAATAAGAAAAAAAAACATGTTTTAGTTTCATAAATCTTTCCAGAACCTCTTCCATCATCAGTAACAGCGACTCCACAGACGGCCAATCCCATCTACCCGAAATTACCAGAAATATCGGATCAGCCACGGTCAGCAGCATCAATTGCCAGTGCTCCACCGCATGGTTAGTCAAAATATTTCCATTTTTACAAACACAAATAACTAAAAACTGCAGGTGGTGATCGTGATCAGACCCGTTTCGCCCGTCTCCGTCGCCTTTTTTCGAACGGAAAGTCGTCGGGTCGCAGTTCTCCGCCGGTCGACGTCGATTTGGAGAAACTTCGGGAGGACTGTTGGATGGGGATACCGCACAAGTTGAGGCCACAGGCATGGAGACTGCTCTCGGTTAGTTTGAGCTTGAAAAACTCGTTTTATATTTTATTTTCACACGATTTCATTTCAGGGTTACCTACCAACTAATGCGGAACGTCGTGAAGTGACTCTTCAGTGCAAACGGGACGAATACTGGCACTACGTCGAGCAGTACTTCCATTCGAGATTCGAAGATCAAAATGCAGAGACGTTCAGACAGGTAATTCATGGAAAAGCGATGAAATTATTCGCAATTTGCAGATAAACATTGACATACCACGAATGTGCCCGCTTATCCCGTTATTCCAACAAAAAATGGTCCAGGAGGTTGGTTTTTTGTGCTTTGTTCCTGCAACTTTCTAATATTCCCCACTTTCAGATGTTCGAACGCATCCTTTACATATGGGCGATCCGTCACCCGGCTAGTGGCTACGTGCAGGGAATCAACGACCTCGTCACCCCGTTCTTCGTCGTCTTCCTCTCCGAATTCATTCCGCAAGACGTCGAAGTCGGTTCGTTCGACGTCTCGCAACTGCCACTCGAACAGTGCCAACTCATCGAGGCCGACTCGTTCTGGTGTGTATCGTCACTACTCGATTCTATTCAGGTTTGTCTCAATGGTTTTTCTCAATGTAAATTACTAAAGCTCTTGTCGATTTTCAGGATAACTACACATTTGCCCAGCCGGGAATTCAGCGAAAAGTTCTCCAACTGCGTCATTTGATGAGCCGTGTTGATCGTCCACTGCACAAGCATCTCGAGTCGAACAGCATTGAATATTTGCAATTCGCATTCCGTTGGATGAACAATCTTTTGATGCGAGAGATCCCGCTCCGCGCTACTATTCGGCTCTGGGACACTTATTTGGTAGGAATTTTGAGAGAACCCCCGTTTTTTACTGTTTTTTTTTAGAGCGAGCCGGACGGCTTCTCGCAATTCCACAACTACGTGTGCGCCGCATTCCTTCGAACATGGTCGAAACAATTGCAGAGTGAAAAGGACTTCCAGGTCAGGGAATTCGCAAAAAACGGCAAGAAATTGAATTCTGTTTCAGGGCGTGATGATCCTTCTGCAAAACCTGCCGACGCAATCGTGGGGCGACCGGGAGATCTGCGAGCTCACCGCCGACGCCTTCTCGCTCCAATCGGTGTTCGACGGGGCACGTCGTCATCTTTCGGCGCAGGCCGCCTCTCCATGAGCCTTTTGATTTTCATAATATTTGTGTCGAAATCTGTGATATCCACCTCCTCTTTCTTCATTTTTGTCCTAATAATGGGTTTTGATGATAGTGTCTGTACATGTTTTTGCCCGTGGACTACTCACCTGGATTACTGTTATTTAGAACAACAACTAAAGTAATCTTAACCCCTTTTACTAGTGCTTTTTCATATCCATCAACTGTATAATAATGTTATTCCTATTTTATGTACTTTACAAACCAGCGGCCCAAATTTTCGATTGCAAAAAAATTAAAAAATCGCAGATTTATGACACGTAGCCCCAAAGATCAGAAAAGGGTCACACGCGGCGACCCTCTTATCACTTGTCTTCTTCTTTTGACACGGAACTGCAAAAGAAGGGAGGAGGGATACCTAGAAGACGTCGACAGAATTGACGATGTAGATGAAATGATGATGAATCAGTTCTTTTTGTGTGTATGAATTGATATTGTCGTCGTGCGTCCTCTTGCCGGCCACCCAAGCGGTCATCATCATCAACATCTTCATCGTCGTGTCAACGACTTCTTTTTCATTTTCATCATCTCAAAGTATTATCATCGCCTTTTCCCCCTCTGCGCAATCGATCGATAATTTCCCCCTTATCATTACACCACGCCTTCATAGAGAAATCATCAGAAAAAGAGGGTGAAGAAGAAGAAGAAAGTTGTTTTCGGCGAGAATTTTTGAAAGTCACGCTCTATATTCTTGCAAAATGCTACGCGAGGATACGGTAATCCAGCTGGCCGACGGGCGGTTCGAACAGAAAATTCAAGTGGATCGACGCAAGTTGGAGTCAATGATAACAGGTTTGAGAGAATGGATGACCGAACTTTCGAGAAGCGGAAAGTTAGGCCATAGGTTCGAGCTGAAGGGTTACTGTACCAGTGGCCTAACTTTTTCAAGGCCTTGGATTGGGAATTCAAGTGATGACCTAACTTTTTCAAGTAGGAAAGTTAGGCCGTCAGGAGAGCGAAGTCCTTGGAAGTGGAATTCAAGTTATGGTCTAACATTTTCCGGAAAAGTTAGGCCATACGTTTTCCCAGTTGTGTTTCCTAGGCAATACTCTTCAAAAAGTTAGGCCACAATCTTGAATTTCTGCAAATTCAACTTTTCAAATCCAATTTTTCAGTGAAAAACAGAAAAAACAGGGTCATATTTAGCTTTCTCTCTCTCTCTCTCTATCAGAAATCATGAGATCCTGGAAAATAGTGATCCGACAAATACAATTTGCAGGCCGAGTCGACAGCCACTCTCACCAACTTCCAACCGCCGAATCGTTCTTCGCAAACGTGATGGCCTACTCGAACGCAGAGGTCATTTGGCCGTCACAACTCAAAATCGGAGCCAAAACGAAAAAGGATCCGTACGTGAAGGTGATCGGAACGATCGAACAAATCGGGGCGGCGCGCAACCTCATTCTCAACAGTCTGCAGATTAAAGTGAGTGGCGCTTGGCGATTCCGGTGGCTTTATCGAGTGGGACTAGTAAAAGCACACAGAACGCTCGTACTCTTGGCGATGACGTGGCGCCTTCTGAACTGAAATCTTCGGAGTGCTCGGGTAGTAGTGGTATTGATGCGTGGGCGCGTACTGAACATTCTGCCAATCCAGAGGAACCGTTGAAAGTGCAGAGAAACCGCGGAGGCGCAGGTCCGTAGCCTAGGAAACCAAAAAATTGTATAAAACTGGGCCATGGCGTACACAAACACTCACAATCTCTCGAATCATGATCTCGTAGGGCGGTGGCTGGTAGAAGTAGGACGGATCCGATTGGGAAACGGCGAGGTAGTCCTCGATGAGACGCATGCTGTTCGGCCGCGCGCCCTCCGATCCGTACTTGAGAACGGCCAGATCGGTGCTCATTTTTGTCTGCTCGACGAGCTTCGCGTCACCCATTCGACGCCACGGCAGAAAGCCGACCATGTTCTCCGTGGCAATGTAGAATGCGCTCCAGATGTCGTCCCATCGACTCGCGTCCTAGAATTTCTTGATAGCCTAACTTTTTCTGGTCGCCCCTATACAAACCTGTCGACGATGAATGTTGACGGACACGTATCTGAGGGTGCCTCGGAACGGCGCCGTCACCCGCCGCGCCTTCAGATTCCCGTCTTTCTCCACAAAAATGCGACTCATCCCGAAGTCGAGCAGGTAGAGATGACGTGGCGAGTGCAATCCGACGCACACATTCGCCGGCTTCACGTCCCGATGCAGCCACCCGATACTGTGCATCATTTGAAGCGCCTCGATGAACTTGGACAGAATGTACAACGATGTGGCGACACTGTACGAGGCTCCGGAGCTACGCGCGTGTTCTTTATTAGATTGTGCGCTTACCTGAATCGATTCAACGGCGTCGCCTTTCTCAGATCGGTCAGATTCTCTCCGCACTTTTCCATCGCCAACCAACGGAATCCGTCGATGGTTCCGTAGCCGTGATACCGAAGGAACGGAGTCGAATCGGGAAGATTCGAAGGATTGAACGCCGCGTTCAGACTCTTGAGACACGCGCACTCATTGAACAGGAGTTGGAACTGTAAATGATAACCTTGCCGCGCACGGTCTCCAGAGCTGACAATATGGGCGTGGCCTCGGCCAAATGGCGTTTTCATAAATTGAGCAGGTTTTCTCTGATTTTTGTGGTCAAAGGCGATGAAAAATGATTGTTCCACATGAAAACACACTAATTCTCAGAATTAATGACGTTTTGGCGCATTTTTCGCGGACTTTGCTTTTTCGCCTTCGCCGCCGATCGCCGCCTAAAAATCGCACTTCTCATTTTGCGCTTTCTTGACCGTTTTCAGACAGAATTGGGTTTGAGAATGATAAATCACGTAAATACAAGCATTTTGAGCGCTCGAACCGCGAAAATTACCGAAAAGCAACTGAAATTCACGCAGTTTTAGCCAAAAACCTTCCAAAGGATAAATGTGATTTGCGACTTGACCAAATTTAACGCTCTTGCGCTTAAAAAATTCGTAATAGCCTATACAATCGGTCTATCGAGAGACAAATGAGAAATTATCGGTTTTTCGAGGCTAATCTGGAAAAAAACACAAATTTTTCTGTTAAAATTTGAATTTCGCGCCAATGTATCGCTCTATTGGGCGGGGCGCACTTGCGCTCATTGTCAGCTCTGGAGAGCGTGTTGCCCAGAAAAAGCTAGTCCCTAGAACCGTACCAAGGCCGCCTGCGCCTCCACCTTCACCACACTCTTCTCCTCGCCCCGCGTCCCGACGACAGACGCCTCGAAAACTTGGCCGAATCCGCCGACACTCAACATCTTCTGCAGACGAAACTGAGCACAACACGTGCCCGGCTGGAGCATCGGAGCCGCGCCCGCCTCGTGCTCCATGTAGAGACGGTCCGTCTGGAAATTAATGAAAAGCGAGAGAAAAGCGAGCGAACCCACCATAATTTGTGTATTTGAAACAAAAGAATAGCAACGAACGAGCAGAGCACCAAATTTGAAAGCTAAAATTTATCAATGATCATTACTTTCTCAAATGCGATCAACTTCCTCCACACGTTTCCGTTTTCAAGTTCACGTCTAGTTTAAACGTTTTGCAGAAAGAACGGATAAGCCTGAAAATGGAACTGCATCACTCGCTCCACTCGCACATCATCGGAAAAGGCGGTCGTGGCATTCAGAAGGTGATGAAGATGACCTCGTGTCACATCCATTTTCCCGACTCGAATAAGTACTCGTGAGTTGGATATTGTTTGGATATCTAACAGTGAAATGCTAAATTTTAGAGATGCGAACAAGAGCGATCAGGTTTCGATTTCCGGCACGCCTGTCAATGTGTTCGAGGCGTTGAAGCAGTTGAGGGTGAGTCTGGCCCGGAAAAAAAAAACTGAATAGGCCTAATGGGGCTATTCAGCGTATGTTTGTTTTCCGTTTTTTTTTCCGTTTTTTTACACCGCTGAATTGGGTTTTTTGACGTAAAAAAACGAAAAAAACGGAAAAAAATCATTTTTTTCACAGCCTGAATAACCCCATAAAAGTTCTTCACGCTAGAAGAAAGAACGGACTGAAAAAGCCTGAAAAGGACCTCCCAGGCTAGCTACAAAGTCTAAAAATCCATTTACAGACAATGTGTCCCCTGACCGTCTACATGAAACTTCCGTGGTATCACCCCGGCCAGCCGGACCTCCGACCCCTCATGTCCCAGATGGATCTGGAAGTGAACGTCGAGCAGGGCATCTACAGTTTGGCCATTAAAATGAACGGAAGTCAAGACGCCAGCGTTCTCTTCGCCATCCGCCTCGTCTTACACCATTTCTTATTGGTACGCGATCGAAAATGTCATCTATCGATACCTATTTCTCTTTTTGTACAGACCGAGGAGTACCTGAATATATCCACAACTGTTCTGGTCAAAGAGGAACTCATATATCAGTTGGAGAACATTGAGGAGCAGAGAGAAAAGTGTGGCAGCCTACAGTAATCATGTACCGTACTTGTTCAGACTACGAGCAGTGTGCAACAAGAACAGCGTGACGATTCAAACGCTTCCGGAAACGCATTCGATTTCAGTGGTCGGACCGCCCGGAGGAGTACTCAACGTTCGGAAAATGCTTATTGTAACCACAAAAAGCGGCGAGAAAACGGTCACAGCACAATACTTTTCAGGGTCTCGCTGGCGTCGCCGTTCAATTCGATTGCAACATGATGGATGTGCACTATCCGGTGCAACAATTGGAGCAGGAGCGGGGTCTGCTGATTGGGTGCAAACGGAAGAACGGAGACGTCATGGTGAGAAGACTGAGAGGACTAAACCGGGATTTTAGGCTTCAGACAATCACCATCAAAGCGGCCGAGTCGAAACTGGCGGAGATCCTCCAATCCCGAGAACTCCTGCTCGCACTCCCGCCGACCACCTACTCGTGTCCCGATGATTACGACCCGAGCCCGCCGGTTAACAGTAAGCGCCAAAACACCCTTATAACCAAAAATCCCAAATCTATTTTAGTCCCCGGACCGCCGACACTGATCCCGCTGCAAACGGAAATGACTAATGGAGTGCGGGTGTTCTTGACACCGCCCATCGAATCGCCAAAGAGTCCGGATCCAGAGGACTCACCACTGGCCGCCTCGATTTTGAAAGGAGCCAAGGACATTAGCAAGGGCAGGTGAGACTCAGGAATGGGTGCAGTGCTACAGTATCCGCTTCAGTGACATTTGGAAGAAGAAGCCGAAAGCGGACCGCGGAGAAATGCTCATCAAAGCCACGCAGGCGATCTTCGACGATTCCGTACTTTCGAGTCCTCGATACCCAACCGATCTTTGGTCCGGATATGGCTTCAGCTCCTCCCTCCCCGCAGACCTAATCAAGGGGATGCTCGACTTGTCGACTAGTGAGGTATTTGAAGATGCCAACATAATTTGTACCCTCTAGACCTTACAGCCCACCCCAACCACATCGCTATTTTTGAATCAGTCCCAGAGGGGCGGAGGGCTATGCAGTGTGCGTGAGGAGGACGAGGAGCTCTCCGACTTCTCGGCGTCGTCAACCAATTACGGAATGTCACGCGTTTTCGAGCAGCCTACGAGGAGCGGTGAGTAACTAAGCTTATCAAGACGGGGACTAACTAGATTCTATTCTAATTCCAGTCTTCTCTGCCTCTACCTCAGTTTTCGACTCAAACTCGCTTCCCTACGACCTCCAATGGGATATCAACTATTTCACGGATCCGTCAATGGTGCTAGCGCAGCTGGGATGCAGTGAATACATGACGCAGCTCAGGGATCAAGAGGTTCAGACCTTTTGGGTTTTCACAAAATGAAGCACTTTTTGCAGATTGACATGCACGCGTTTTTGCTGCTCGATGAGCAAAACCTCAAAGACATTGGGGTTTCGACGATTGGAGCGCGCAAGAAAATTCATCACGCAATTCTCAGTAAGGATTTCCGCGAGATTATGGCTTCAAACGTTTTTTTTTCAAATTATTTCAGAGCTTCGCGACTCGGCACGTCTCAACGGATATGCTGTGTAGACACAGAACAACACGATAATATCACTTTTCTTTCTTTCTCTTGCTTCTTCTTAAGTACTATTCCAAATTTTAAATTTATCTGGTCGGCTTCTCATCACCGGTTTGCTCAACCTCATACCAAATCCATGATTTTCCGGTTAATTTTTTCAATAATTTGTTCGGTTCAAACAGTAAAATTGTCAATTTTCCGGGAAAATTCTAGAGATTCCAATGTTCGTGACTGAAATCCTACAATTCGCAAACAAACTTTTCCTCTGCTGACAATGGAAATGCGCTCCATCGCGAATGGTCTCGCCGCGATCGGCGCCATGTCGCCCCGCCAATTTGAACGCGGCAATTTTCGTTTTTGCCGTTTCTCTGCTTGCCCCACGGGCGGTTGCCCTCACTTTACATTTCAGTTCCTTTTTATCAGCATTTTCAGAGTTTTGCTTATTTTTCGCCTAAAATAATTTCCCGGCTTCTCGAAAGTTCCGGACAGATGTTTGGAAACACGTTTTTGAACACATTTTCCGAAACATTGTTTCGAACGCTGAAAACTAAGCGTTTTTTCTCAATTTCTCAATCTCCTCCTTATCTCGATTGAAGTTCCAGTGAATTGCTGCAAAATTTTATGTCGAAAACATCTTGTTTCGAAACTCCGTTTTTTTTCTTCGCAGAACTTTCTAGAACGGTCTGTTCAATTCATTGCAGCAAATTGACTTTTTCAATTAATCTTCAACGTGTCCAACATTATTTCGAGACATTATTTTTGTTCATTGGTGCAAAAAATCGTAGGAAGTTTAGGACGTTTGAGTGTCTTCTAGAAGTTTATCGGAAGATCTATTACTTCCCTTTTCGTTTTTCCGTGTTCACATTCATTTTTCTATTTTTTGTAGGATAAATTCGTTGGAGGCTGTTACGATTCCTCGAATATCTCTCAAATCTAATCCTTCCAGCCCGCGCCTTTCGCCCATTCGTTCATGAACCATCTAATTTTTCGAAGAAAAACAGTCAAAAAGTTCGCGTGTACTGCCCTATTGGCATTCCAAGTACAGAATTCAGACGTCTCAGACCCACACACACAAAAGTGCAATGGGTGAAAGTCCGACAGCACACAGAAAGGGAGACGGCCAGAGTAGGGAGTGAATTGAATCGAATCACATGATGTCTGCACGTCTGCGCTTCCACTAGGCACCTCCGTCATAGTTTTTGAATCCCATTGACTTGCTCGTCTGCGTGTCTCGCCACTTTGTAGCTTTACGCCCGGTTCTCTCGCTCCGCTCCCTCAATTCTTTCTCCTCGCTCGCTTCTCACTGTGATGAGTGTACGCCGCGAGTGAGTGTATGCGCTGTGCCGTTTCGTCTCAAGACCCATATCGATCGTTGTCTGGCGCCCTCCGCTACGCCACATTCTCTTTCGTCGCCGTTTCTTGTCGCCTGGGCGCTCACATTTCGCTCACAGCGCTCACAGAAAGAGAGTGAGAGAGACGACGGCTAGACGATGCTGCCTGGTTGTGGCCATTTCTTGCCCCCCTTCGCACCGCGTCTCGTGAGACTGGAATGTCTCGTGGTTTTCGGATGTGGACTGCTGGAAGTGGGTGTAATTTTAAAGCTAGGAAGCTTGTGGGAAAATTAGGAACTCTAGGAAAAGCTTTGAAAAGCAAACAAGAACTTGGGTTTTCGAGATTTCAGCATCTCGACAATTCTGAATATCTGCTAAAGGTTGTCTAAGCCATAATTTGCGCTACTGTGCAACTGGTTTTCATGAAAAAGTATTGCGTCAAATTTCGAAACAAGGCACTTCCGCCTTTTGTCATCATTTTCCTTTCTTTGCAGTTCCTTTCTGAACTTTCCGCTGTATTTTGAACATCGGTTCGGAAAAATCGTTCCACCTCCATCCTCCCCAAATTTTCGTCAGGATGACGAAACCGGCTAGTGCGAAACGAGTACACTGCGCCGTGTCACCGCCGCGCACGCCCTTATCGATTTTTTATCTCGTGCGCCGCGCCACAGCTGATGTGCAGGTGTCCCGTTCCACCGTAATCCTCTTGTTCTTCCACCTCCTCGTTTTATTTTCGCTTCTCCACTCTGGGTCATCTTAAATTTATTGAATTCCGTTTTTTCAGTGTTCTCCGGGTGTCGCCGGGTCAATCAACAAATCAGTCAACCGATATGGCTCTTAAAAGAATCCAGAAGGTAACAATTCTAGATGAACTTCCAATTTAAGATGTGCCTCTTCAGGAACTGCAAGATCTGGGACGTGATCCCCCCGCGCAGTGCTCGGCTGGACCAGTCGGTGACGATTTGTTCCATTGGCAAGCTACGATCATGGGACCACCAGAGTCTCCGTACCAGGGCGGCGTCTTCTTCCTCACCATCCACTTCCCGACAGACTATCCATTCAAGCCGCCAAAGGTTGCGTTCACCACCCGCATCTACCATCCGAACATCAACTCAAACGGCAGCATCTGTCTCGACATTCTCCGCTCGCAGTGGTCGCCAGCGCTGACCATCTCGAAAGGTAACGCTTTCCGACCGGAAATCGCCTAATTTTCTAAACTTTCAGTCCTGCTCTCGATTTGCTCGCTGTTGTGCGACCCGAATCCAGACGATCCGCTCGTGCCGGAGATCGCTCGCATCTACAAGACAGATCGCGAAAGGTATAAAACAAATGAAGAATTCACAGGTTCAGTCTGTACTATTTTCCAGGTACAACCAACTGGCGAGAGAGTGGACACAAAAGTACGCGATGTAAGAGGACGGGCGAGACAATTGCACGCTACCAACACCATCACGTCAGCCAACCCTGCTCTCGATCAATAAGGCGACCGCGTTTTGACCATCCTCTTTCCACCCCGTTTTTTACCTTCGTCCCACTCTTCCCCACACACCCCAACACACCGTAAACCCGGCGATTCTTCTTTTGTACTATAAAAAAACCTTTCCGTCTCTATTTTACCGATTATCAGGTGTTTGAATGAGGCTCGATCGTCCATTCGCTCGCCACAATCCTCTCCTATTGTCGTGCCCCTAATCGTTCAATCAATACTCAATTTCATATTATTTTTATTCTGTCATTGTTCCTCTTGCTCTCCTATGGCACCTCTAAGAAAGCGATGTGGGGCGATTGAATATAAAATGAATATGCAATTTTGTCTCCCTATTTTTATATTATAATTCAAAAGTAAATCGAACGGTGTTTCTTGATCCCTCTCTTCGTCTACCCTTCTAATCTATTTCTTTCCTCTTTCCCCCATTCTCCATCTCTTTTCGATTTTTTTTCAAGCTATTTCTGGAAACAAAATTCGGTTTTCCCATTCGGCAACCATGTACGCACACACGTTTTGATAGTCGTCGAAATTCCTCTCGTCTTGCGGTTTGTGAATCCTGAATAAATTACTGAAAAGAGTCTGATTGGAAAACCACCATGAGAAATGGCACATTTTGCAGTGAGACATGGCAACGTTTGTTCCGTTTTCGACGTTTCTGGACTCGAGTTTCTGGAGCGAAGTGAACAAGCGAAAGCTCGGCGAATGGATGCTCGACGAGTCGCCACGGAGCATTTTCAGCCAGTTATCCATCTGTAAGTGTCGGAAACCCAGCAGAGTGGAATCAGAATCCGTACAATTTCAGACGACACAGTTGGCTCCGCGTGCCGCCTTTCTCTGAGCCACGAGAGCTTCAAAGAACCCGGAAGTTCCGAGTTTTCCGGGCTCGCCGGACTCCTTTATCTATACAATACGGCGGAGAATTTCAAGGCCGCCGACAAGAACGAATTGACGAAAAATACCGCCGCCAAGGTTTTGTTTTCCGAATTTCTCCCAATAATTTCTTTTTTGCAGATCTGGAGCTCGATTACCAACCGAGAATGGCTCCAGAATCCGTCGCTTTTGTCGCAGTTTTTCATAATTTCGTTTGCCGATTTGAAAAAGTTCAAATACGTTTATTGGACGTGTGTTCCGGCGCTCGTCTTCCCCGCCGACATTAAACAAGAAGTTGGTTTTCCCATTGTTTCAACAAAAACTCCATTTTCCTTTAGATTCTGCCGCTGACCGCTTCCGCCGACGCTCTCCTTGCCCACCACAAATCCACAAATTCCCCGATGTTCCTCCTCGTCCGATCTACGTCGGAACTCCTCCCTCTAGCCCATCTGGAGCAGCTGGAGCATCCGCACGACGTCTCCGTCATCCTTGCCGACCCGTCGCCTGTCGCCACTTCTGCCGGATGGCCCGTGCGGAATCTGCTTGCGGCGGTGGCTCATCTCCGGCCGAAATGGACCGAATGCCACGTCGTCAGCCTCCGAGCCACAGGATCTATCGAAATCAAGTACACGTGGCAGTCGACAGAAACGTCGGAAGTGCCGAAAGCGGTGGGGTGGGAACGGAATGCGCAGGACAAGCTGCTGCCGTATTCGGTCGATCTGAGCGGACAGTTTGATCCGAAAAAGCTGATGGAACAGTCTGTCGACCTGAATTTATCGCTGATCAAGTGGAGATTGGTCCCGGATATCAAGTTGGAACGGTTCTCGCAATTGAAGGTAGTAAAAATCAGTTGTAAAAGGTAACATATTCAATTTTCAGGCCCTGATCTTCGGCGCAGGAACGCTTGGCTGTAACCTGGCGCGCGGTCTGATGGGCTGGGGAGTTCGTCGGATCACATTCGTCGACAACTCGACAGTCAGCTACAGTAACCCGGTCCGTCAAAGTCTTTCCGAATTCGACGACGCCCGTCATGCGCGCGGAAAAGCCGAAACCGCCGCAGCGGCCCTCCGACGCATCTTTCCCTCGGTGGAAGCGGTGGCGCATCGGATTACGGTGCCGATGCCAGGGCATACGGTAGATGAGAACGAGGAAAGCGCACTGGAGAAGGACGTGGAGGCGTTGGAGCAACTCGTCAAGGAGCACGATGTTCTCTTCTTGGCACTGGACTCCAGGGAAGCCAGATGGTTGCCGACGCTGCTGGCTAACAAGCACAATAAAATTGCGATCAGCGTGGCGCTGGGCTTCGACACCTACGTGATCATTCGTCACGGAATCGGGTTCAGCCAGGGATCTTCCGCCGGGGCGCCCATCTCGGCCACCGAGAAAGTACCGTACTCCCAGTTGTCGTGCTACTTCTGTAGTGACGTCACCGCGCCGGGAAACTCGACCGCCGATCGGACCCTCGATCAGCAGTGCACGGTAAGCCGCCCGGGACTCTCGATGATCGCTTCCGGAATGGCCGTCGAGTTGCTTTCGTCGATTCTCCAGTACCCGAATCCACTGGAAGCGCCCGCCAACCACGGAGAATCCGACGATTCGACCACTGTTCTCGGCGCGGTTCCCCATCAAATTCGCGGATTCGTCGGACGATTCCAGCAGGTCAGCTATTGTCTTAAAATTGCTCAAAATAATAAAAAAATTTCAGATGACCCCGTGCGTGCGTCGTTTTGATCGTTGCGTCGCGTGCGGAGAAGCCATCTCGCGAGAATTCGACCAAAACGGCTGGAAATTCGTGCGTGACGTCATGAACTCGCCGAGCCGATTGGAGCAAGTCACCGGACTCGACGAGCTCCAGAACTCGGTCGAAACTGTCGATATCGAGTTCGACGACGACACGGATTCTGTGATTTCCATTTGAAAAGTTCACATCTTTTATATTTTCTTGTGTTTTGCATGTAAAACGTTCATTTCAATGTACTCATCTTCAAATCGGGATTTGGATTTGCCAACCTACTATTAATTCAATAATTCCAGGGACATGAATAAATTGTTTCGATTTTTTGGTTCAGTTTTTCTATTTTCATGTTTATCTTCACGGTGTATTTTTGAAAATGTTTTTTTGAACGAACAATATTAATTTTGCAGTTAATCATGACAAATCACCGGTGTAGCACTTGCGGGAAACGATTTGAGCTGAAATCGTAAGTATTCAGAAAATAATTTAAAAAAGCGATGGTCTACGTCTTAACAAGTTAGGGCCACGTCCCCCGAACTATTGCAGATATCGAGACAAACACGAAAAGCGAATGCACAAAAATGGACAGAATACGGGCGGCGAGGACGATGAGCCGGAGAGCAAATCACTCAAATGCAGCATGTGCGACAAGGCATGAGAGAAACGTTCGGAATTCTGAAAAGAAAATTCCGTTCTTCCAGACATTTCCCCGACTTTCCCATCTGCAACGTCATCAGATGACCCATTTGAACGTGCGAAACTTTGCGTGCGCCTTTTGCGACGAAAAATTCGTTCAAAAAGCGCATCTGACGAGGCACGTGGCACGCAAACATCCGAACGAATGCGGACAGACGAGGAGCGAGTGGTTCGCGTGCAAAAAGTGTGGAAAACTGATTGCCACCTTGTTCGAGCTCAACAGACATCAGAAGGTAGAAGAGGAGAAGAAGAAAATTGATGACAACATTCAGTTTTCCAGACGGCGCACCGTCTGCTTCGCTGCAAAAAGTGCTCGGAGGTAATCGAAGGACACGAAGCGATTCTGCGTCGCCATCAGATGATGTGCAGAAACGAGAGCAACATTTGCGCGCAGTGTGGCGCCTCGTTCGCCAGACCCGCCGATCTGAAGGCCCATCAGACGACGTGCCTGAACAAAGTCGCATTTGTGTGCGTGCCCTGCGAAGAGTACTTCAAACAGAGGGTTCAGGTTGGAAATGGAACGAGGAGGTAGCAATTGAAATCGTGTCGTTTTCAGCTGGACCGTCACATTAACAGACTGCATTTCCGGTCCGCAAAGTGCTCGAAATGTGAGCTTGTCACAGAGTCGCCCGTCCAAAATGCACGGCACGCGTTGGAATGTTCCAAAATCGTCATGTTAGTTAACGAAGGCTGGGCAAAATGCCTGCCGAGGCCTGGACTTTTGGACTACTTGCAATATGCAATAGGCCCATCGGATCCAAACTTTGGCCAGATGATCCGCGCGGTCTGAAACTGGACCCCATACGCTTCATCCAAGTCTAAGAAGCCTTAAAAAGATTTATCCCCATCGGAATATTGCAAGTTGCCCAAAAGTTCAAGATTTCGAAAAGCCTGGGCCCCAAAGTCACTCAAAATTTTCAGCTGCGGATACTGTAATAAAGCGGATCCGGAGCCCGAGCATATTGCCGAAAATCACTGGAAAAAACTGAAAAGGGCCGTGAAAGTGAGAATAGCGAAAAAGGAGGCTGAGGCGGAGAAGAAGAAGAAGAGAGAAGTGGAGAGTGATAACGTTGTGGAGGGAAATAAGGATTCTGAAGAAGAGGAAGAAGAAGGCGTTGGAGAAATGCCGTTTGGTAATGAGCACTTTGAGCATGATCCAGAGACGAGAGATTTCAACGATTCGGATGACTTGCTCTTTGATAGTTTTGCTGGTAACCTTACACAATCCTTGCTCCACGATTCCCTCCTAATTTTCAGAATCCACCTCCTCCGCACAACTCGATTTTTCGTCGTCGGCGTTCGCAGAAGAGGACGACGTGCCGGAAGAGTATCTCACGTTTTCGATTTGTCCGAAAGGCACCGATTTGTCGTACGAATTCCGAGGCCGACTTCCCCAACGACTCGCAGACCTTTTTCCCGAACTCGAGACCACCTGTGAGCGCTTTTTTTTTGGAGAATTTCCTTGAATTTTGATAGTTTCCCACAGATTTCCCATAAAACTTTCCAGAAAATCAGAAAATTTTCAGCGATTGTACTTCTGAATTGCGTGGCGGCGTCACGAACCCGAATAACTGTTCAAGTGCCGGTGCACATCACAAGAAACGGTGCGAACGAGGAGGAAATGCGCGGATGGATCGGAACTCCGATTGTTCTCGATTAATCATGATCTCTGTAGAGATTTATAGTAAAGTCCATCATTTTTAGTGCATTTCCCCTGTTTTCCTCCAGAATCCCCCGGATTTCTGCTCAACTAGCTCATCATGTGACACTTCGCGTCACACAATGTTTGTACACATTCACATGTACACTTTGAGCATTATACCGCCCGTCAGTTGTTCGCATCCTTCCACTTTTACTTGTTTCATGATTTCTATCATCGCATCTCGACTTTGGACCCACACCCGATCACTTTCGATATTACACAATTGGAGGAGAGAGCAAGAGCGAAATCGGAGGATTCCCGGGACTGAAGGAGAACAATTAGACAGGACACAAACAACAAAAAACGATTTGAAACAATCGTTTTTCAAAAGACACAACATTTTGCTCCCTAATTGAGAACGTTCCAGAAAATGCCTATTTTGTCTGAACATCCATCATCAAATTGAACAGTTTTTGAGTATTTTTGAGACATTCTTCTAACATTCTTAGTCGGACTGGCCGGTTTTATCCTTGGCTCAGCCCTGTCCAAAATGTTTTTTGAGAATTCAAAAACGTTCTCTCATTCTCTAGATGACAAAAAACAATATGGGACCGTCTAGAACCTGTTCCGGCCTACTAGAAAACGCATCTGAAAATTTTTGAAATTTTCAGACGCTTTTCTTCAGTCAGATTCCACCTGACTTGTAGGCTTGTAGATCGTAGGGAAATCCTAGGCCAGCATACTCGCGCCTAACTTTTCCCGTCCGCCGGATCATAGTGCATTGTTTCTAGTTCAAATCAGTTCAAAGACCCCACACTAACCATCGTTTAAAGTTCAGAAATCTCGAATGACTCATTCGCCTGCCAATCTATTTTCGCCTCCAAAATTGTGCTCTTCGAGCTCTTCTTCATGCTTCTTCTTCTTCTTTTTGTGCTCGTCCACCCCCGTCCGACAACTGTTTCTTTATTATTTATTTATATTATCCGATCCGATCCGATCACATGACTTTTCGTTTTTCTCTCTCTCTGCCCCAAGACACGCCCATCTCTGGATATAAAAGTGCAGCGTGGACGCCTACATGCATCTTTTTCCATTTGAAATCATTTTTTTAGTCGAAAAACTTGCAGAATGTCCCGTTTCGCCGTCCTCGCCCTTCTCCTCTCCGTGAGCATTCTGGAGGTGTCCTGCACACTGCAAAACATCACCGTCAAAGGAATCGCCGTGTGCAATAAGCGTCGGATGGCCAACGCCCGCGTAATCCTCATCGATAAGGACACTTGTGAGTCGCGGCCTAGAATTTAACCTAACGGGTCTCTAGTCCCTCTCTTCTTCTAGTGGATCCCAATGACGAGTTGACCAGCATTCACACGAACAAGGAAGGAGAGTTCGAAGTGTTCGGCGAGGAGGACGAGTTGGGAAAGATCGAGCCGTTCATCCGCATCCATCACAATTGCAACGCCAAGCCGGTACGTTTTTGAGGGAAATGACGACGTGGCGAACAATTTGATACCCGATTTGAGATTTTGATGAATTCTAAAGTTCACAAAAGATGAGAAGACGTATCTTGACGTTGAGCTTATGCATTCTGCGCTCAAAACTTTCATATTAACCTGAAGAACATCATTGACAAAGTGAATTTCGAACATTTCAGGGATGCGAGCGCATTTCCGAGTACCAGGTGCCGCAGGAGAAGATCGGAGACGTCTACGACATGACCTACGTCACTCTGGACATTGTCGGCTACGGCGAAAAGACCAAGTGCCAATGAACCGCCGATTTTTGCTTCTTTTGTGTGTACATAAACCTGTTTTGACCTTTTTTTTTCGTTCCATCAAAAATTCCATTCGATATGTAACAATTATCCCCATTTCGTTGACAAACAGTAAATGTTTATAATTGGTTTTGCTCTCGCCGAACGAATAATTGATGAGTTTGAGGTGGGCGGAACTTTGAAAGCGACGAGGAAACATTTAAACTTTTGACAGAAAGATCAGGAAGTGATTTTCGAGGCGATGGGGTACGTGACAATGCGGAAGATTACGTGCGCAACTGGAGCATTTGAAAAACATACATTTTGACAGATTCTATAAAGATTTTCGTGTTTTCCAGGACACGAAGAGTCGACGGACACCCATATTGTATGGGTTCGGGCTCATTCCCGAGCTCCATGAGCTCGGGAATACTCAAAAAGTAAAGTATTGGAAAATGCGTCATGATTATGCTTTTTTGAAAGCTCTCCTCGTCCTGTACTCGAAAAACACGGAATCTGTGGGATTGGAGCAAAGATCAGAGTGTAGCTAGCTGGATGACTCATTGTTTACCACGATATTCCACCTTCAGAACATCAAAATCGTCTCGGCCTCTCTTGTTTTGATACCCGGCGGCTCTTGAGCTCATCAAGCGGCGGCTCACGGGCTTCTTCGCGAGAAGCCAATTGGCGGCAGCTGTCCCGAGTGCCAATATAAATAGGTGTGCTCGCGGGAGCCGGCACCTCAGTCGCAACCATGAGATCGCTCGTCGTCTGTCTGCTTCTGGCCGCCTGCGCCCTCGAATGCACCGCCTATCTCCAGAACATCACCGTCAAGGGAGTCGCCGTGTGCAACAAGAAGCGTCTCGCAAACGTCCAGGTCGAGCTCTACGAGAAGGACACCCGTGAGTGACGCAAGCTTCCAGCGAAGCAAAACCAATTGAACTACTGTTTTCAGTCGACCCGGATGATCTTCTGGCCACCAAGAACACCGACGCCGAGGGAGAGTTTCAGGTGTACGGAGAGGAAGACGAGACCCACAAAATCGCCCCGTACCTCTTGGTCACCCACAACTGCAACCCCTCAAAGCCGGTAAGCAACACTTTATCGTAGTAGACTGAGAGCCCTCAAATGAGCATAATCGCTTTGGCCTCGAGTATTGTGTAACTTGCAGAATTGCGTGCGCATCGGAAAGTACCTGGTGCCGGATGACAAGATCGGAGGAACCTACGACATGACCTACGTGACCCTCGACATCAAGGTGCACGGAGAGAAGGAGAAGTGCAAGTAGACACGCATCTTATGTTTTCGAATAATTTCACAATATTCTACACTCGATTGTAATATCCGACAGAACTGTTAATTGACGCACCTAATAAAGTTGAACCAACCACCAAAAACTTTAGTTTTCTGAGAATTAGTGAGCAGACGACACGACGTATGCGAAAATTTTCACATTCCCTGAAGAATGTTTTTTGCTCAATTTGCTCTAGAATGCCATGCTCATCGTCGACGGAATCGCCTTGTCTTCTCTGAAAACATCGTTTTTCTCTTTCCGAATCGATGAGATCGGAGATGAACGCACCAACCCGCAATTACTGCTTCATTCTCCCCGATTTGGCGATGAGCCGTCCGAATTGTCGCTGTTCTGCCGGAAAAGCTGAAAAAGCGGGCGGCGAAGTAAAAAGAGTCGATCGCTAACCTCCGAGTCCGTTTTTGCTTTCCGATTGACTACTCTCTTGCACATCGTCGACGGAATCGCCTTGTCTTCTCTGAAAACACCGTTTTTCTCTTTTCGTATCGATGAGATCAGAAACATAGAGAAGGCAAAGCGAGTTTCGAACTGTTGTTCGACGAAATGAAAGATTACAAGCTAAAACACACGTGTTATTCTTTTAAATTCTACCGGAAAACCAAAAATTCGGAGAAAATTGCAGTCAAAAGACAGCAGAGTATTTATGGGGACATTTCACTGCAATTGCGCTCTGTTGAGAAGCTCTTTTTCAGTGCGCAGTTCGAACTGCAATGATCTCTGGGCCGTGTTTGAAGAAAATCGGAAAAATTCAGAAAAAGTTCCACATTTCTAGTGAATAACAACTAACCCAAATTAGGAACAGGCCAGATTAAGAACAGAGCGTGATTGCTTCGCCGTTACGCCCGCGCTCACTACTGTGAATGTTTACACCGCAAAGAAGAAAGGATCCTTTCTTCTTTGCGGTGTCTCGAAAGTGTATTTAGATCGTCTCGTTTCAGGCAATGGCTCGAGTTTCCCAAACAGGCCCCAACGCTCGGATGGCAATCAAGACGGAGATAATCATGCGGGCCCGAGCAACGTCGCTCTTTTTCTTCCGATGATAACATTCTGTGCTCTTTTCGCGTCAAGACCCGTCACAATTGGAAAAAGCCAGCGAACAATATGTAAATCGTGTGAATCTTTGCTTTTCGTGTCATTCTACTCTCACAAATGCACAATACCTGCACGATTTTTGGTGTGGAAAAGTAAAGTTTTGCCGGATTTCCAGTTGAGTACCCTCATAAAATTTCGGCACAATGTTAGGCTTTTAGTGAAGTGATTTCAACTTTTTTTGTAACATTTTCAGATTTCACGTCTGTTTTAGTATCTACATCGTCATCATGGCCGCTGCGGATCCGCTGGAACTGAAGCCGCTCACCAGGTAAACATGTATTTTTCTAACGGAAGAATATAAAGACGCTCAAGCATTATTGTAAAAAACAATCAATTACAAAGTTGTAGAGCTGAAAATTGTCTTCCATTTCGTTTTTTAACTTTGCTAAAATATTAAAAATTGACAGAGTTACACTAGATCAAAGTTGGACAATATAGCCTTGAATGAACGGTATTCTGGTGTCGTTCTATGCAGACTGTCTGAAATTCCAGAAGAGCCGGAAAAGCGGTGATAAGTCATTCTGATAAGACGTAAAGTGTGATAAGCGCTTTGAAAAGTTTTGAAAGTGAAAATTGAGAGGAAAAAGCGGATTGTGCAATAAATAGTATCGCATTTTTTGTTGAATACTGATAACATTCTGCAGTATTTCACACCTTTTTCCCGGTTGTTCGTGCTGTAAAACTTGTGAATTTAACTCGCTTCTAACTCTGAATTCTGAACAAAAAAGTGAGAGGAATCTCGACAACACGAACGAAATCGGTTTAAAAAAGGAAAACATCAAACACTTCTTTCGAACCTCAAAGTGATATTTTCAATGTCACAAACAAAACAATACCCGTTTCTCTGTTTCTCATAAAAAAAACGAGAGAGAGAGAGAGAGAAAAAGTGACCATGTCGACGCTTGTTATCACTTTTTCTTTCACTCTAATTCTCTCCGATTTCCAGTTTGTGATTGATGGAAATTATGTATTTGGTTTCTTTCGATTTTAAAAGAATTCAACTACTATCGGCTATCGCTTTAAAATTACCAATTTCCAGGCTTCTAATTGCGTACTTGACACCATACCTTACGACAATTCACAGAAAACGTTTGAGTTTACAGTAAAATGAACGAGGAATCGACTAGGTCGTCGACAACGAATTCGCAAGGAGAACTGGTGACTCCGCGAGACACGTGGGGCCGGAAGATCACGACGCCGACAGATAGATGGTACCTGGTGTACATAATATTCACAATGCACGGGATGGGAATGCTCATGTCGTGGAACATGTTCATCACGATCGCACCGCAGTACTACCACGACTACATGTTCAACAACACCGACTATCAAAACAGTTTCATGTCGATCATCGGAGTCACTTCACAGATTCCCAACGTCGGCATTATGATCGTCAATACGATCGTTGTCATGGTGTGAGTCGGATTTTCGGGGTCCCGCCGAGGGGTTGACGAGTCGTTTGATACCCATATTGTCTAGGTTTGTGTTGTGCGGAATTCCGACTTCCGAGAGCTCAAACTTCTCGAACCTAAACAATACACGGTCTCCCAGGGCGCTAATGCTAAACACAGTGCGCTCGTAAATTGCGGAGTGTCGTTGTAACTTTTGAAAATTTGCAGGTCTAAAAATCCAGTTCAATTCGAGTTTACGACCTTTATTTCTATCTTTTTGACTTGAAAAACGTCTAGAAAACAATATTTTACTGATTGGAAACCGTTCTTTACAGAATTTAGAGTTTTTCATGTTTTAGCATCTTTTTCGCATTTTGTGAAAACTTCAAACCTTTATATTTCAGCTCATTTTGCATTTTATGAGTATTGGATCTTTTGACGTAAAAAAACGAAAAAAACGGAAAACAATCATTTTTTTCACAGCCTGAATAACCCCATTAGTTTTCTTGAGTAGTTTTCAAAAACTATACGAAAAACATCAAAATCCAGGCAAAAACCTTCAAATCAAAATAACACGGCTAATTCTCAACGATATGTGAGATTTCTGTTACCAAAACGTAGCTCGTGCTCTAATTATTCGAATCCAGGTTCCAGGCGTACAAAATAATAGGTGTATTGTACAGAAAACATGGAAAGAACGCGAACTCCCGTTGAAAATTAATTAATCGGCCGCCGCGTAAATCGACACAGCCCGCCTGTTGCAAGTGCGCCCCATTGAATTCATTCGCGCCTTGGGAGACCGTGCAATATGGGTATCAAAAGAGTGCAAACATCCTGAAAAAACCCAAAAATCGCAGAGGATTCATGATGCTCCGCGTGGTGATTCCCCTCATCGTCAACTGTTTTCTCATCGCCGTCATCGTCGTGCTGGCCATCTTTGTGACGCCCTCCCCGGACACTGTCACCTGGTTTTACGTCGTCACCCTCGTTATCATAATGTCGATGAATTTGGCGAATGGAATCTATCAGAATTCAGTGTACGGAATCGTCGCCGATTTTCCCGACAACTACATCAATTCGCTGGTGATTGGCAACAATTTGTGCGGTGTTTTCACCTCTGTCTTGAGCATTTTGACCCTCCTCAGTTAGTTTTGATTGAATTTGGAGTCTCGAGAATGTTCAATTCACTTACAGTCTCCCCGAATGACATCGAACTGAACGCATTGTTGTACTTTAGCATTTCTTTGGCTTTCATGATCATTTGTCTATTATCCCTCTACTTTTTAGTCAGATTGGTAAGTCAAAAGTCGACTTATAAATGAGAAAACTTAAAAACGTTTCAGCCATTTTACCAGTATCACATTGCGAAAGGAGTGGAGGCCCGCGCCGAAGAGACTGTCGATAATCCGTCTTTGAGGCAATATTGGGAGTGCGTTCGATTGGTACGATCTTATTTTTTTCAAAAATTTACACATTTTCAGTTAGTTGTTCAGCGGTTAACCGAAGAAATGTGAAAATATTGGAACGCCCACGCGTTATTGAGAAAAATGATTAACTGAAAAGTTGTAAGGCTTGGAATTATCTTCAACTTCATTCTTTTGAAAATTCAAAAAATTTCAAAAATGACCGAGATACACTTGATCAACGTTGACTATTTCAGTGCTGGGTGCAATTATTCAACAACTTCTACGTCTACTTCGTCTCTCTAATCATCTTCCCCGCAATGATGACTGACAGTGTCTACTCGGACCCCGCGCACGGAAAAACTTCCGTTTTTGGAGGTATCTCTTCAATTATTTGCCGAGTTCTACGATATTTGAGTACAGACAACCTCTTCTATCCGATTTGCACATTCCTCAACTTTAATTTGTTCGCCTGGATCGGATCCTCACTCGCCAATTACGTACAGTTTGTGAGTTGACGGGGCATTGAATTGGAAAACCTCAAAAAGATTGTAGCCGTCCGCCAAGTACCTATGGATCGGAGTGGTGCTCCGGACCATCTTCATTCCCTTTTATTTGTTCTGCAACTATCGTCCGGACACTCGAAGATGGCCGGTTTTGTTCGAAAACGAGTGGTGGTTCACAATTGGATGCACCGTAATGGCCACCACTTGCGGCTACATGAGCAGTCTCGCCTTGATCTACACGCCCGGGTGAGTACTGCAGGATTACTCTATCTGAGGGGTACGTATTTGCAGTGAAGTACCAGCGAGATACCAGAAACTGAGTGGAATGCTCGCCTCGATCTTCCTGATGCTCGGAATTTTGGCAGGAGTGGCGAGTACCCCGATCGCCGCGTGGGCGGTCGAAAACATTGGATCTGTTAGGAATGCTACGGTGTAAATGTATGTGTATAAGTATAATAATAAAGAATTGTTCAATGCAACAATTAGAATGGCATTTGCCCGAGTTGGCGATCGAAAAGTCCTCCGTGATGGTTATTGCTCAGTTTTCCGATGCTCTGCACGATTTGCGAGGCGGACGTGTCGACGGTGATCTCGGCGTTGGGACCGCCCATGTCCGTGAGCACCCATCCCGGATGGATCGTCGTCACCAGCACCGGAATGTTCAGGGTTTTGAAGTCGGCGACCAGGGAACGCGCGAAGCTGAGCATCGCCACTTTGCTCATTTTGTAGGCGACGAGAGTCTCGTTGCAGAATCCGGTGACGTTGAGCGTTTGCGAGGAGCAGTCGGAGCCGATGTTCACGATAGCGGCTCGGCTTGCGGAGAGCTCATCTCCAGATCCGACTCCAGAAGAAGCGGCCTTCTGGAGCAGCGGGAGGAAGAGCTGAGAGGCGAGAAGCGAGCTGACGGCGTTGACGTCGATGCAGCGGAGGATGGCGGCGCGGTTCGGCGCGTCGGTCGTTCGGTAGACTTCAAGCACTCCGGCGTTGTTGATGAGCAGGTTCAGGCCACGATCCCCGACCAGTTGACCCACTTGCTGGACAGCCTGGGCGAGACTTTCGTCGTTGGAGACATCGACAGTGAGCAGGTGGAGACGGGCGTCCGATTGGGCCAGGGATTGCAGTTCCTGAATGGATTCGGATCAGTGGTAACATGGGGAAAACTCAGGCAAATACGTTTCGAAAGTTACGAAAGCCCGCACGCGAATCTGAGCGAAACTTCTCGTAACTTTTGCGCATTCGGCAACTGCCGATACGAATTTGCCTGCGACAGGGAAAGGTTTTTCTGACTGTTTGAACGAGAAACAAGAAAAATGCGACTTGACTTGGAAAGTGAGAGAAAAGCAAAAAACATGGCTCACCTTGGCCGCTTCAAGATTTCTGGCTCCAGCAATGAGGATCTCCACTCCGGGAACTTTGAGGAGCTCACGAACAAGTCCGAGCCCGATTCCGCGGTTGGCGCCAGTGATGAACACGGTTTTCGGAGCCATGAAGTGCTGAAAGACGGAATTTTGTCTTGCAAATCGACATTTCGAAGCCGCGCCGTTTCAAAGTAGGTATCAAGACGTTGCGGTTGCAAAAAAACAGCGAAGAATAGAAGAAAGACCTTTAAAAGTGTTCAATGATACCGTTTCATTGATATGAAACAGACACAAAACGGCCGACGGCTGACCTCTATTTACACGTATTTATCAGTAATTCGTTTGACTTTCGCATCAAAAATAACAGATTAACAAGGAGAAATAGTTGTTATTGTGGTCGAGGGCTGTCTGTCGGGCGGACAAAGGGACACGCCTTCGAAAAGCTATTGTGGTTTGTACATGATTTTCTCAGAATTTTCAAATCTCGTATACTTTTAAAGAATGAAATCCGACCCGGAATCGATCGCGTACAAGCAAAAGTTTGCGGTTTTAAAGTTTGACGGAAACAAATTTTTCGACAAAACCTCGCGGCAATTCGATGGAGCCAAAAACTTGTGCGATAAGTGCGATTAAAGTGAAAAAAGAAGAGAACATGTTGCAGAAATTGTGTTTTTCTGACGAGAAAGGAGGGAAAGAGGCGGATAGTTCAAAGGGAGAACCGGATATTCGATTGCACGAAACCATACGTCGAGTTGGTGATCAGAGTCATTGGGGACGGCGAGTTGGCGAGTGTCGGCGGGAGAAAGTTAGGCCATCAGATGAATTCTAGGCCACCGGCATACGTCACGAGCTTAGCAAAAAATTATCGATAACTCTGGCAATTCGATATTAATCTAATTAGAAAGTTACTGATCTAAACGCGACCTAATTAGATTCGGCTGTTTTTTTCTTAGCGCAATCGAGATTTGAGCACTTATTAATCTAGCTAGAAGATTTATTAATCTAGCTAGACAATTTATTAATCTAATTAGGTGTCATATCAATCTTATTAGGCCGCCGTTAGATTAATAACGAAAGGAGAGATAAGGAGATAAGGAGAAGTGAACGGCAAAAACTTCAAAGTTATCAAAGTTAGCTGAAATCAGTGGAAAACAGGGAAAACAGGCCTGTAAAATTGCTCAATTACCACAAGTTTCAGTAAAATTTGAAGGCTTTGACAAATTTGCCTCGACTACCACTTCTTCCGTCAGTCCGTCCGTTTCGTCAATACTTCCTCCCCTTCTCCTTCTTCGGCTACCATCAGACATCTGAACGCCGTGCTCCGTCTCGTCTCTCACATTGACTTCTTCGTTCGTCCCCTCTTTTTACTATTTCTGATTCCCTACCTCGTTTTTTTTCTGGCAATCCGCAGTGTTTCATGCACGGATTGTACAATAAATTATCGTTGTGTTTGCACGAGTTCCGTCTGTGTATGACGTGACGACACCCACGAATGGATCAAAGTGAAAAGGTAATTCCATGGGTCCCCAAACACACCATTGTGCCGCGTCACTCAATCTTTTTGCAACACGAATCATCGTTTATTCGATTCATTTTTTTTTTTTGATGGAGAAAAAGAAAAAGGTCGAAGATCAACAAAATAGCTCAAAAATGTGCAAGATCCGTTGAGAAAAAGGATTTTCGCGGTGGGATAATGTCGACGAGAAGGGAAAAACAAAGAATTATGAATATTATGAATGTAAATGAGGAAAGCGGAAAGTGACGACGATTATGAGGAGCACACACACACTTTGAAAAACTTTTTTGAAGATCCGAAGACTTCTTGAGATCCTATTCGACTCGGAATGATGGGCGGCGAGCCGGTCTTCGACGGAATTAGTAGTCGTTGTAGTACGAGGAACGCTGCAAAGACTTTTTGATTCCATATCTCAGCTGTGAATAAAGATATCAAAACATTATCAACTAACAAATTGTCAATCAAGACATTTTGTACATTTCCTCAGTTGACAACGTTTTGATATCTCTACCCACAGCTGAGATATAGCGTTTTGAGCCGACGCTATTGGTATGCCGTGCTAAATGTAAAGTCTCTCAATCGATATAGTACCTTATTAAAGTTGGGCTCGGCGAGCACATGTCTCCAGTCCCTGGCCACGAATCCGGGTCGAAATCCACCTCGACCGCTGACCAGAGCGCCTCCAGACGGCGTCATTTTACTCACCCATTTCGCACTTCGCACGAAAAAATCACCTGAAATAGATAGGTCGACCCAATTTTCTGCAAATCTTTGCAATTTTTGAATGCTTTCGAGTACATGATTTTTGTAACTTTTCAAAGTTAAGCGAGAAGCTAGGAAACTTCAAAGAATCATGTCTATACGGTTGATTAGGTAAATTTGAACGCCGTTTTAATGGGGTTATTCAGGCTGTGAAAAAAATGATTTTTTTCCGTTTTTTTTTCGTTTTTTTACGTTAAAAAACCCCAATTCAGCGGTGTAAAAAAACGAAAAAAAAAACCGGAAAACAAACATACGCTGAATAGCCCCATAAGTCTTCCGAAACTATGTTGAAAATTGACAACTTTTCGAGCTAGGAAGCCTCGAAAAACAATACAATTTAAACTGGCTACTAAAATTGTGGAAAAAAGTGTGGGTACCGTCTTGTCCGTCCGCGTACTCTGCCTCACTACGTCGCAACCTTTGAAGGTGTCGGAAAAGTTCTAGAAAAATTCCACCAACGTTATCTGATTTCTTTGGTGCTCAAACACATGTAGAATGGACGCGGACAGTGGTGGGTGCAAGAGGACGGAGGACATATTCATTTGTTTTTTCGAAAAAAAAAGCTATTGAACTCACTATCGCTGGAAACAGTGGCGACGAGCAAAAGAACGAGAAGGAGTGTGAAGCACAATTTGAGCATTTTAACCTGAAATTTTGAGATTCATCAATCAATCAAGAATGGAATAGAAATATAGGTGGAAATAGGGATATTATAGATGCGGACAGACGTGTAATTTGTGCGAAAACGAAAAAAGAAGACGTGGTAGGTCAGCGAGGCTGTCAAAAACAGACTTTCGGATGGGATTGGCATAGTGCCAATGTGACTAACAAATTTGGGATTTTCTAAGGAAAAGAGGAGTAAGTACAGTAATCCAAATATTGTGGACTCGAGCCTCAACCTCTCCCCACGCCTTCTAGGTTATGTAGGCTGGCATTCAGTGAAGGAAGCGTCCGAAAAGTGGGCGGAGCTTCGGAAGAGTGAAAGAGAGAAGAAGTGATGACATAGGAGGATCCAAAAAGAGAGAAGAGGTGTGGGTGGCGGAAGGGTGACGACACCCGAATGGGTCGGAAATCACGCGAAAAATGTTGTCTTTTTTTTGGGATTCTAGAGGTTCATTTTCGAAATGAAACCACTCTTTTTGACACGAGGCGCACTATGAACAGCGAAAAGTAGAGTTAAAAGAAACTCAGCCGTGATTAAAGTGATTTGATTGGAAATTTAGTGCTCGTCATATTTGTCGCTTGAACTTTCTCCGTATCTCTTCTGGTTTTCCGGAGAGAACCACCCGCACCCCAAACAAAAACCGAAAAATAATAAATTTCTGCTAACACCAGGCTATAATTATATATAGTCATTTCGCTTCATTTTCAATGCTGATTAACTTTGTCTCTTGCCACTTTCCATCATCTTTTCAAGTTTTCGAGATAGATCTATCACAGCACAGTCCCAGGAGATTTGCAAAATCAAAAAAAAAAAAATTAGGCGCTGCAGAGCCGTTTCTTGTCTAAATAAAGGCGGAAATTATTAGAAAAAGACTAGAGAAATAGGTCGGTCCGTAAACAAAAAATAATAGTGAATGAATTCACAATTGTGGGTTGGGGGGTGTGAGTAAATAAATAAATAAACATGAGACAATATGACACTGACAAATTTCGTCGAGCCTCCTAAAAAAGATTTTACTCTTATACATAGTAGTAGATGTTCCCAAGGGTATAAACACAAGTTTAGCAAACACTTTTGCAGATGACGTCACAATTCGACGACGTCATCATTTCCACACTTCCACTTGAATGTTCAGGCCATTCCAGACGCGGCAAATTGTTACGAATTTGGAAGGAAATGTGTGCAAGAGAAGAGACAAAGAAACCGGTAAAAAAGAGGAAATTATAGCGAGGAAGTGCTAGTTTCCTCAAGTTCTACAGTACAATTAGCAGCGTTGAACCCGACCATTCGACGAGATTCTAGTTTTCTATTGAACCACTAAATTTTGACTGAAACATGCTCTCCTGGCTCCAACCCGCTCAATTTCTACATTTCTGAGAATCTAGACGAATGAAACTTGGAGAATGTGCTCCAGAAATCGAGGGAAACGGCTTCTGGAGACGGTGTAACGAACAAGTGAATAATAAAAATGTTAGTGAACATGCATGCGATTCTCGGAATCCCGTCGTTCTCATCTCGAGATTAGGACGGTATTAGGGTGACGAAAAGTGATGTGATACCAGAATTTTTGGGGGGGAAAAACATGAAATGCGTAATAGTTGGCTAATGAAATTGGTTCGTCGTTTTCAGATTTCGAAATGATAGTGTGAAACGTTGTAAAACGCAGTTATTGTCTCTAAAACATGTTTCACGATTTGCTATTATTACACATTTACAATTCTCAAAAAAATTGTGAATATTATGCACACCCCCACGCACCTCAATATCATATTTCATACCACCTAATTTGGTGGTGTCACACACACACACAATCTCGCTCTTTTTTGGCTATTATACTAAAATTTATTTATGGGACATTTCAGGAAATGTGCTCCAAAGTGTAGGGGGTCAGGATTACCGTAGTTCCAGTGAAATTATGAACTTCCAGATGGCAAATTTCCAAAGTTTATAGTATTTCGGGCTCCAGAAGCTTCTTCAGATGACGTCACATTACCGGAAGTTATCATCCGCCTACTTTTGGGCTCACATTAAACTCGTGTTGTTTTTCGTTTTCCACGTTTTTCCAAAATAGGAAACCTGAAAACAATGTCATAAGATTTTGATATTATGTGTCTCCGAGACAATGCACCTTTCTTCTTTTTGGATCTTTATGGGCCCCAGACTCATTTTAGCACTTGGATATTATTCGATTCTGGGAATTGGTCTAGACTGAGATTATAGAGTGCAAAAGACGAGGGATTACTATAGTTTCACCCAAAAAAACATGTTTCAGACACAAAAACTGTTTCAAAACAGACTTTTTCAGAAACTCGAAGCTGGTACAGTCGCCCAAACGTGTTATAAGACAATTTTTTGTGAAAACTTTAAAGACTACGATATCAGCATGACGTTTCCTCGGAAGTCAGTTGTTGGCCTCACTTTGGGTACATGAGATGAGTACCATACTCGCCAACTTGTTGCCACTTCACCAAAATGACGTGGCACACCACGAGCACACTCGAAAATGCGTTCAATTAAGAGCGGCGCCCATGTGGCTCGAGTTGTAAAATGCGTAAAGTGTGCGACGTACTTCACTTCACGTTTATCAGCTCTGCGTCCGGGTCCTTCTGGTACTTCATCCGCATTTTCCTCTGGAGTCCGCTTCGCCTTCATACCACACTGGGCACACCATTACGTGTCCTGCAAGTGCATCAAATGGTCGAAAGAACGGAAAAGAAATGGCACGGTCTCCCAAGGCGCGAATGATTTCAATGGGGCGCACTTGCAACAGGCGGGCTGTGTCGATTTACGCGGCGGCCGATTAATTAATTTTCAACGGGAGTTCGCGTTCTTTCCATGTTTTCTGTACAATACACCTATTTATTGTACGCCTGGAACCTGGATTCGAATAATTAGAGCACTAGCTACGTTTTGGTAACAGAAAAATGAGAATTAGCCAAGTTATTTCGATTTGAAGGTTTTTGCCTGGATTTTGATGTTTTTCGAATAGTTTTCGAAAACTGCTCAAGAAAACTAACCGCCGGAACCTGAATTTTGTGAAGAAAGATTCAGCGAACATTTTTATCGTTCGTTCGGCTCATGAAATGCAAAATGAGCGGAAATATAAAGGTTTAAAATTTTGACGAAATGCGAAAAAGACGCTAAAAACATGAAAAACTCTAAATTCTGTAAAGAACGGTTTCCAATCAGTAAAATATTGTTTTCTAGACGTTTTTCAAGTCAAAAAGATAGAAATAGAGGTCGTAAACTCAAATTGAACTTCATTTTTAGACCTGCAAATTTTCAAAAGTTACAACGACACTCCGCAATTTACGAGCGCACTGTGTTTAGCACTAGCGCCCTGGGAGACCGTGAATGGACAAACTCTCGAGAAACAGAAGACGGCAAACGGAGGCAAAAAATGCACGGAAGACGGCAAGCGGCAAACGGCAGACGGAATTCCGCCCAACGCCGGTTTGCATGCGTTTTTTAAAGAGAAATTTAAAGAGCCGGAGGAGTTTTGTTTACCTTCACGATGAAATCGGGATTTTTCCTCGATTTCCCGCTCAAAAAATTCATCTCCCGCCTTTTTCCTTCAAAAGAAGAAGAAAATGCAAGTGCGCTCCACCGCACTTTCACGCAAAAAGTTGCAATTGCTTAAATTACTTCATTTTTCCTCGAAAAAGTGAAGAAAGACAGTTATTATCAGCTTGCCGTCGTTTTCAGTCGGAAATGTTGTCGAAAACCGATCTGAAAATGCCAAAATCATCAAATACTCTCAAAAAATATACAAACACGAGTTCTTTCGACGGCTTCGACGTGGCTTTCTTGACGACCGGCGTTTTTTCGAGATTTATATATACATATATATTGTAAGTCTGGTTGCAAAGTGTTTTTTGGTTTATTTATCACAAAACGGATACAAAAAGAATACAAAAAGGATAATAGTTATCTGAAATGTCGAAATTTCTTCGATTCGGTATGAATCTGCTGCTGAAGCGTGCCGCGCATTCCTCCGTAATTCGCCTCCACCATTCCCACAAGAATATCATCGTCCAGCTTTCCGAGTTTCTGAAACCCTTTGGATTACCGTCCTGGTCATAGTTGTCACGGGTCGGCGATGTCCAGAAAGCCCTGATGGCCCGGTTAGAAAAACTTCGAATTTCAAATAGTGTTCACAAGTATGGTCCTGGTGGATTACAATACCTCTATGCCGATTGGCATGTCCAAAATGCTTCGAATCCTCTGCATCGAGAACCAATTTATTTGCTCTTCGGTCCAATTCTCGAGGTTCGCCCGCTCTTCGGCCTGATTTCGGACATAATTGGACAGGGTGGTACGGTACTTGCTGCACATGGATCTCGCGAATTCGAGCCCTTCCACCGAGATTCCGATGAGGTTGGCTGAAAAATGGAAAAGATGGGTTTATGTAGGACGGGCGGCACTTACTGCAATCAAAAAGTAGAATCAGTTTGGCGAGCACGTACTCTTCTTTGGTCAGTCGAACCTTTCGGACCGGCGACAGAACCTGCTTGATGGCACGATTCATTTCGGTACAATAATCGGTCATTCTGAAAGGAAACTTCTGGAATTCTAGAAAAAATGCACTATTCTCAATGACAAAACTACCTTGAATACTGTAAAAGAAGGACGCCCCTAGTAGCGTTTATTCAAAACGGTATATCTCAGCTGCCGGTAGAGATATAAAAACATTGTCAACTAACAAACTGATCATGAAGAAAGTGTGTTCATTTCATCAGTTGACAAGTTCATGATATCTCTCCTGACAGCTCAGATATACCGTTTTGAACAGTTGGGGTGCCCTTCTCCAGACTCACAGCGGATCATGACTTCTGGCGGGATCCCAATAATATCCGGATCCAAAGAAGAGAAACTCGTTCTCCTCGCCGTTTTTCTTCTCGTAATTCAGATAAACGACCGAGAAGCAGATGACTTTGCACAGTTGGCACACTGCCAAACGAAGTTTATCCTCGTCGCTAAAGTATTGTAGCTCCGAAATTCCGGCGAGCCACTCGAAATAATGGGCTACGAGTCGGAACCACATCGACGAGAGCGTTCCTTCGGTCATCAACGTCTTCGTCACTGACCTCATCTGAACGTTTGAGTTTTTCTATTGTAAATGCACTTAAATGTTCTCGTATACTTCATGTTTTTCACATGTGAAATGCGGAGGAATAATCATCAACTGCAAAGTTAATGAGCATAACATTTCCTCCAACTTTCCAGTTGGCCACTTCTTCCTGCAATTGTTTTCTCTTGAGATACAGGCTGCTCAAAACAATAGTTCTAAATCTTGCTGTATCTCGAAAACTGGTGAAAAGTTGGAGTAAATGTCATGCTCGTTATTATTGCAGTTTATGTTTATTTTTTACGAATTATGCTCTTCAAGTTACGGGGCAATTCGACCATTGCACACGAAGCCGCGACGCATCGCGCACGGTCTCCCACGGCGCGAATAATTTCAATGGGGCGCACTTGCAACAGGCGGGCTGTGTCGATTTACGCCGGCTCCGATTAATTAATTTTCAACGGGAGTTCGCGTTCTTTCCATGTTTTCTGTACAATACACCTATTTTTTGTACGCCTGGAACCTGGATTCGAATAATTAGAGCACTAGCTACGTTTTGGTAACAGAAATCTCGCATATCGTTGAGAATTAGCCGAGTTATTTCGATTTGAAGGTTTTTGCCTGGATTTTGATGTTTTTCGAATAGTTTTCGAAATCTGCTCAAGAAAACTAACCGCCGGAACCTGAATTTTGTGAAGAAAGATTCAGCGAAAATTTTTATCGTTCGTTGGGCTCATGAAATGCAAAATGAGCTGGAATATAAAGGTTTGAAGTTTTGACGAAATGCGAAAAAGACGTGAAAAACATGAAAAACTCTAAATTCTGTAAAGAACGGTTTCCAATCAGAAATATTGTTTTCTAGACGTTTTTCAAGTCAAAACGAAAGAAATAAAGGTCGTAAACACGAATTGAACTGCATTTTTAGACCTGCAAATTTTCAAAAGTTACAACGACACTCCGCAATTTCCGAGCGCACTGTGTTTAGCATTAGCGCCCTGGGAGACCGTGTCGCGAATGATTCCGCATAACTGTTCCTTTTTTCTGCGATGAATAAATGAAATGAAATGAAAATTGAAAGCATATTGCATCCGAGCGCGATCCGACAGCCGAAGTTCCGCATTTCACCTGTCTTGTTTGAGAAACATATTTGGAAACAAGTTTTCGTCTCAAAACTTGTTCTTTGTCCCGTTTTGCTATAATATTAGCTCTCTAACTCACCGGAGTCCTCGGAGCAATGCTTTTGGGGAAGAAAAGCGCTTGGAACAGATCGGGTTCTCCCTGCTTTTGCTCCGAATCCAGAGATGCTCCAGAAGATTCCACAGCATCACAATATATCTCCAAACGCATGTAACGACGAAGAACTTGCTCGAAATCCTGGAGAAGAAACGGAGAATAATTGGAGCTCAGACTGAAGCCGAACTGGTTTGAGGGCTGGAAAAAAAGAAGTGGATGAAAGAAATACTGTAGACGGGCGGGATACGGTAGCTTACAAATCGACAGGCGTCTCCCTGTGAAACTTGAAATGTGTGATTCACAAACATTGACGCCATTGTTTGAAGAGTTTTGTCTGAAATGAATTAAGAGTGTGTACCGGACAAAGCACAAAGCATTCTTGGGAAAAGGGGCTAGAAAATTCATAAGAATGAGTGAAAAACTCTCCGAATACACTATGTACGTCAATCTTTCTGGAACTTATCGTAATCCGGGTACTCTCGTCTAATTTTTTAGTGCCAGGAGTTCTTAAATCACGTTTGAAGGTACACATTTGTTTCAAAGCAGTTTCCAAAAGTTGTTATCCTCTTTGTTTTCCTCAAAATCACCTGTTTCCGTCTTCTTTCTCTCCGCCTCCTTTCGTCGTTTTACCAAAAGTGTCATCGAGTGAAAGACCTGAAAGAAAAACAGGTGAAAACCGAGTAAATCAACCTGAAAGAGCCGCAACCGACGGGAATTAATGTGCCGCGTTCTGATGGCGCCGGCTTGGCGTCCAAAATGATTAAAGTGGGGGAATTGAGAGGGATTAGCGAGCACGCTAAAGATATTTTCATAGGAAATATCACAGATTATGGGAACGGAATGCTTTTGGGGATAGAATGGAGAATTATTTCATAGATCCATCCAACAGGATGACGGTAGTAGCATCTAGAAGGTTTGTTTTTTTCTGGTTTTACCAGAAAACATGTTTCAGATTAAACACTTGTTTTAAGACATGTTTAGGAACAATTATGTAATAGAGGAACACGTTCCAAAGCATACTTTTTATCTCGAAACATGTTTTAGAACAAAGATGTTCGCAGAACATGCTCTCAACACGCTTCTGCCCAAGAAAACATGTTTCAGACTCAAAATGTACTCGTAATTTTCTTTTCCTTCTCCAAAAAGCGTGCTCGAAAATGAAGGCTCTACTTATTCGATTTCAATTCGGTTCAGAGAACTATGACGCGGGGGGATTTCCAGTGAAAGTATGTGGGACAGAACGTGTTTCGTACTTGCACTCCTCACTTTTCACTCACTCTCCATTTCAAGACTCCCTTTCAGACAACGAGGAAATTGAGGAAAAAGAGGAGAAGGCGACTCAGAAAACTTGTGCAATTTCGGAAGAATCTTGTGTCAGACACAAAACAGAATCACCATCGTAATCCGTCTCGAAAATGAAATGCGTCAAAGCTAATCCGAGCGAACACTCCGGATAATCCGGGAATAATTTCCAACAGTATTTGTACGCAAGTTCACTCTTTCTCCAAAGTCTAGACACAAATTGATGACGTGTCAACGGAAATAGGTGAGGAATTGACTTGTTTTCATCCCTCCCAAAGAAAAACGGAAAAATAGAAATGAGTCATTCAGAGAAATCTGATTTTTTCAGACTATAATTTGTGGTGTCTGACATTTGTTTATTTTGGAAGTAGAATACCAGAAAAGAGGTTCGTTTCACTAATACATATGTGCGAACATGTGGAAAATACGGAAAATGTTCCCGACGCAACAGAAGTTGAGCATATTAGAAAAAAATGGACACGGAAATGCGGAGATTTTTTATGGAATTTCAGACGTTTGACTATCTTAGAGGAGCAGGGAACCCTCCGCGTCTATGTGCCTGTCTGAATACTGTCCAACTCCCAACTCTCAAAAATGTCTATGAATGAAACAGCGCGCAGTAAAAGTTTTGGCCGTGGCGTAGCGGCAATGGACAAGAAAATCCGCCAGCGAGAAAACTCGGTCGTTTTGCTGATTTTGAGGTTTTGGTAGACTTTAGATGCGTGCCGCCGGTGAAATACCAATTCATCTTATTCATTCTCATCGAAAATGGGGCTATTCAGCGTATGTTTTTTTTCCGTTTTTTTACATCGCTGAATTGGATTTTTTGACGTAAAAAAACGAAAAAAAAAACGGAAAAAAAGCATTTTTTCACAGCCTGAATAACCTCGTAATGCGTTCATCATAATCCAGTCGACTTGTCGGTGGCAGACACGTTGAGGATTCCGTTGGCGTCAATGTCGAAGGTGGCCTCGATTTGTGGGACTCCGCGTCGCGCTGATGGGATTCCAGAGAGTCCTTGGTCAGGGCACGTTCTCCCTCGTAGACCTGGATCAACACTCCCGGCTGGTCGTCAGAGTAGGTGGTGAAGGTCTGGGCGGTCTTGGTCGGGATGGTGGTGTTTTTCTGGATGAGAGCAGTCATGACTCCTCCAGCAGCACGGATTCAGCTGCGTCGATTCGCCGTGTCCGCCGAGAAAATGAGACTGAAAATCCACGAAAGTGTGCATTTTTGTGTCGTGGTGTTTGCACACTTTAATTTCTACCGTAAGATCTTTAGTGAAGTTTTGCATAAGAATTCTGCCCGATTCTCGAGTCTCCGTTTCTGCACGAATAGACTGAAAATGACCTGAGATAGAACCTGAAAGTGTGTGCGCAACATGAAAGTGCAAATCGGAAAGAAGGCACAAGGAAGGATAGATCGAAGAGAGTTTCTCATTTCAATTTTCCTTTTTTTTGCATTATCCCCATCTTTTCAGAAGCAATCAGTGTCAAAACTTATGATAATGATTAGAAATGAATAAAAAATAAAATTTTAACTACTTCGTCATCAATATCGAAACGTTTTATGTGAAAATTACAAAATTTTTTTTTCCTTTTGGAATCGAAAATTTGCCTCAATTATCTCAATTCTGTATATTTTTCGACGGCTGAGCGCTTAAAAGATGCGCAATAAACTCCATGTTGACTGGACGGTTCGAATGCCAGTGTCCGAACTCGATTTGGCAAATAATCGTTAAAATTCCGTTTTTTTCAGTTGTTTTTGACAAAATCCCTCAATTTGGTCAATTCTGAACGAATCTGCTCCGTTTCGCGCTTAAATCGATGCTTTTAACTCAGACCATCGCCATACGGTTCGCAAAGAACAAAATTTGAGTGTTTATTAAGAGAAAAACAAAAGAATTCTGGTTTTTAATTGAAAAAAGAAACTCCGAGTCGACGGTGGATGCAAGCGCGCCCCATTGACAACTCGCTTGCGCATTGGAATGCTGGGGTTCCGTGTAAACCGGTAGCAGTTCAACATTAAAAGGGAAGTGACGTGGCACTGCAGTAATCCAACTAGCTGCTTTCCGTTCCCTTTCTTTTCCTTCCATTTGTTCTTCCATTTTTTTGGCTCCTTCCGCCTCGCATAAACCATCTCCATCATCATCAGCATCATCCATAGTAATATTGGCAGCAATTTGTGACCACGCACACGTACACTCGTGAGCATATTCATAGGAATTTCGGGCGGATGATAGTGAGAGCTCGGAGCCAGGGGAAGAGGGGAGCACGCTGCATGCACTCTTCCGTCCCGGCCAATAAATTCACTTTTGCGACGGACGGCTCGTGTGTGCTCCTTTCCCTCTCGCCCGTTCCCCCCATCTTCTTCTTTTACACTTCCACAGAAGCAGGAAATGCATGCGTATAGGAGAAGAAGGAGAAGAACAAGACGAGGTTTGGGGTTGTCTCGCAGAAATGGAAAGTTCATTTTCTTGCCACTCATAGGTAGGTTGTGTGACAGCAGCAGCAGCAGGGAAAGGGAGGAGAAGAAGCACTGATAACGGAGATGTTTGCAGATGGAATACGAAAGGAAATGGGGAAACGGGCGTTCCAAAGAATGCCAGATAGGTTCTGGATCAAAGGAAGAAAGACTTTAGTTAGAAACAAGCAGAAGTTTCTATCAGTTGACATGATAAAAGTGAAATATTCTCAAAGCTATGGATCTTTACTCCTTTAGAGGACATTTTCCTGATGAATGACACCAACCTTGACCACTTCTACCTGGAAAAAATGCTAGAAACTTGTTTATTCAAAGAAGTAAAAATAAGACATGTCAGGGCTCCGTGGTCTTCTAAAAGTCTTCTAAAAGGCCCGAAAAGTGGCAAGTGAGGTGTGTCCATGATCAAGTTTGAAGGTTCCAGATAAACAAGTCCGTTTTGCAACTTTCAGTTCTAGTTAGCTATAGACATGCCCTCAAATCGCTTTTCCGCTCAGATGCCCACTTCCTTCCGCTTCTCATATGTATGCCTGCAGCCAAACTTTCCCATCAGTAAGTAATAACGCTCATGCACATGTTGTTTGAACTTTTTCTCGTTCCCGCCACTCCCTCCTCTTCCTCTCCTCCTCCTCCTTCTTCTTCTTCTTCTTTCCCTTTGCGATCTTTGATCGTCTGCGTGCGTGTGTTCCTCGAGACCCACACGAAGCAATATGATTGTGGCAGTGGCAGCAGTGGAAGAGGTACATGTAGGTAGGTAGAATGTATTTAGATGGGCAACTTCTCGTGTGTCACAACTAATTAGACTCTTCTCTTTCCTTTTCAGTTTTGAATCATTATCATTATCAACTTATATATGTATCTTTATATCCAAAAATTGTGTGTATGTGTGTGTGTGGCGCGCGCGCGCGCGCGCGCTCGCAACGACGACGTCGCACTCTAACCAATTTCCATTACACACCACTCGTTTCCGTCGTCCCGCACACACACACATATCGAATTCCTTATCATCTTCTTCTTTTTTCTCCCCGAGAATAAGAAAAAAGAGGAGAAGAAGAAGAAGAAGAAGAGAGCGCTTCGAACATGTTGTTCTGCCGCTCGGCCGCCCGTCATCGTCCTTCTCGTCCCCCCCTCTCTTTCTATCTCTTCGCTCCTCTTCTCGTGACCACGTCGGGCGGCCGAGACAGTGTACTGGCGGAGAGAGGGGAGCGAGCGCCGTCCCTGTCCCGTCCGTTGATGTTCGTGAATCGTCGCCCCGCGGCAAACGGCGGCGAGCGAGGAGCGCGTGCGTGAGAGAAGCGAGACTGAGACGAGCGCTTCGCACTTTTTTCTCTTTCTCTTCTTCTTCTTCTTCGTCTTCTTCTTCTTCGTCTTCTTCTTCTCGCATTCCGTTTCGCAACCCGCTGATGTCCGCCCGAAACGGACGGCTGTGTGTAATAACCATTGCCATCCCACCCGCCACCGCAAAAGGGTCATTATGTCTCGGCGCGCGCGCGCGCAACAAGCGAGCTATAAGGGTATCCGGTGTATTGGAGAGCAACTTTGGGGCCAAGGAGGATTAGAACAAAGTTGAGCTTTACTACTATTAAGAAGTGCCTTGGACCTACAGTAGTCTAAAGCTCACGTTTTGACCCCAGCTCCTCCAAATTTCGTTTCAAGATCCGAGGTATAGTAGAAGTATACTTAGAGCAAACACTTTGACACCATGTTAAGACCTATCCTGTTACTTTTTGGTTTTGATAAAGTCAGACCCCCCTAAGCCACTCCTTCGTTTCCCTTTCCGCATGAATTAGAGGAACACGCGCGAGCCGTCGAGGCGCCGTGCCAGGAGGAGTCGCGTGACTGACTCCTGCCCTCTGTCGTCCTCTTCCTTCTTCCATTTGCGACTTCATTCCTTTGCACTCTGCAAAAGTACAGTAATCCGCGCCACTCCCTTGGGGGGGGGGGGGCCTCCACTGCTAAACTGTTCGTGTGTTCCGCCCATCCCTGACTGCCCAATACCTACGGGGGCGCCCCGCGTGCCGCAACCTTGAACCTGTCTCTTCGTCTCGGGCGCCCGAGATGCGACGACGGCTACTCACCTTTGATAAGTCCCCCTTGATAAGGATCCCCCTAGCTGTCCGTCGTCAGTCTTCATTCGATCCGCCCGTCTCCGTTCCCCTCCCCCCCCGCGCATTCGCCTTCATTTCATTTCAAACTTGTCTTGCTTGCAGGATGGTCGAGAATGTGCCGTTTACGATGCTCGGCGACATCATGCGATCGTTCTCGTGGACCGTCCCGAACGGGCTCACCCTCGAGGGTCTCTACCATCGTCATCAACTTCTGGACGCCCTGAGAACCCGGCAACTGGTTCTGGGCGGTGGGGACCTGACCCCGCCCGCCGAGTCCCCAGCCTCATCGGACCTTTCCCTGTCGCCGACGCCTCCGTCCGCATCGGCGGCCGAAACCTCCGCAATTTCCATCGTCACCAAGAGACTAACCAAAAAAGAGAAAGCGGCAGCAAAAGCCAATGACCCTCTGCTTTTAAGCCCTAAAGCGGCCGACTTGAATCGTAATGTTAGTACTTTCGGACAATATTCACATTGAGCCAAAATTATTAATTCAGAGCTACTCGGACTGTGAGAAGAAGCACTTTTTGGACGTGGCCGCCGAGAACAACTGGGGAACGACTGTGGCCGCGAACAAATTCAATCGTGTCTGGGGCCGCGGACCCACGAGGCGCATGTTCTACTGGTGGAGGGAACAGTTCAAGTGAGTACGCCATTCGATTGCTGTAGGTAGTAGAGTACGGTAGGCGCTGTACTCACGAACATCAAGGTCATCAAATGAGAATGAGAGAAAGGAAGGGAGAAAACCGTTATCACCAGAGGCTCCGCCCCCACGTTTTGTTTCTTCTTCTTCTTCTTCTTCTTCTTTGTCACTGTACGTTTACATCAAGTGACACTGACAAGCAGACACTATAAATATGAATCATTCCGTCCGCATTCACTCGTCCTCTCTTTCTCAATTATTTTCCCTCCCAACTCGACACATTTCACCTTCTTACTCTACCCATTTCAGAAAAGAGCAGCGACTGGCGAAGAAGGCGGTCGACGACCTCCAAAACCGAAAGGTGGAGCTGTCCGTCGAGCTCGCCGAGCTTACGCACTCGGGCCAAGTGCTCACGGAACGCTCGAAAGTTTGTCTGCAGCAGCTCGCCGCGATCGACTCCGAAATGGCGACGTTGATGAGCAAAAAGTGAGTGGCGATAGTGTAGAATCTAGTGTGGAGACAAGCCTCTTTTTGCCAGGAACAAGGCCTCGTTTTGCACAATCACCGGCGATCCGTGTGTTCATGGAAACGGCATTCAGGACGAATCGGTGCCGAGGAGAAAGTTCACGAATCCGTTCGTCTGCGACTTTTGTCAGATGCCCTTTCAGAAGGTAATTAAATTCCTGGCACCTTTTCTAATGGATAACTTTTGCAGGAGGGTACGCGTACCGTACACATGCGTCTCTGCGAATCGCGTCATTTGCCGCAGCAACAAGAGGAGCCGTCGGAAGTGTCGCCCGCCAGCGCCAGCGACGTGGATGTCACGGATGATGATGCGTTGATGCAAACAACTCGCTCCACACAGAACAACAACAACCAGGTGGACGGGCAGAGACTCACGGAGCTCACCGAGGAACTCATCGCCCAGCTCGCCGCCTACTCGCGCCAGAATCTCTAGCTTCTGCCCCCTCATCCTTTTGTACTTTTGCCTGTTTTCTATGTCACAATTCCTTTTGTCCCCCCATCTACGCTAGAAGTTAGTTTGAGTAGCATGTGTGCCCCATCGCACTTTTCCTTTTCGTTTTTTGATATGTACCCGGACTCTCGCGCTTGCCCATGGTTTTTAAGGACTTTTGACCTCACGTAAAAGTCTATTCCTTTCCTTTTCCCCTGTTTCCCCGTAAGTTCACGCTCTCTACTAGAGCGCTGTTGCACGCCCCCCACCTCATTTCTTTTTTGTTTTCAATATGAACGCGCTCTCAGGCTCTTGCAGAGCTCGTCGGCCCCCTGAAGTTGGCCGCGGGCTGTCTGCCCCCCATTTCCCCTCCCCCGCAAGTGCGCTCCACCGAACACTCTCTCCCATAATCAAAGTTCGGCGGAGCGCTATTGCAATCTCCCCGAGCAAGAGCAAATGCGCTCTACCGAAATTGTTTGATAGAGCACGTTTGCTCCCAGCCGAAATTCCCCAAATAGACCTGCTAATAACCACAATTTGTTCCCCCCGTCCCCCCAAAAGTCGCCTGCGTGCAGCGGAGCGCATTTCCCTTTGGCCCCCGCTCCTCCAAAAACGTCCATTCCAATAATCTCATGATATCGATAATCGTTCAATTTATCTTTCCTATATCCTCGCGATTCCTCATTTATTTACCATGTCCAAATTTGTTTCCTTCCAATTCGGTGCGCGTTTCCACACTTTCCATTTTTTTTTCTGGCTGCCCGATGTGACCATCCCAATTAATGAGAATTTTTTTATTGAAAATGAAGCATACAGCAAATTGAGTATACCAATTAAAACGAGTTTTTGAAACAAGCTCGGCCACGGAGGAAGCTCTTCTGTTCACAGAAGAACTAGTCCTGCTCCAATTGGATTGCGGTTTAATTGGAACCCTCATTTCACGGTCTCCAGAGCTTATGCCGCGTGACAAAGTTCAAGGAAATCCCAGCAAAATCTGCGTGATTTCCGGGTTTTTTTGTTTAACTTTGGACGCGGCATTACAATGGGTGCAAGTGCGCCCCGCCCAATAGAGCGATACATTGGCGCGAAATTCAAATTTTTAACAGCAAAATTTGTGTTTTTTGCCAGATTAGCCACGAAAAACCGATAATTTCTCATTTGTCTCTCGATAGACCGATTGTTTAGGCTATTACGAATTTTTTAAGCGCAAGAGCGGCAAATTTGGTCGAGTCGCAAATCATATTTATCCGTTTGAAGGTTTTCGGCTAAAACTGCGCGAATTTCAGTTGCTTTTCGGTAATTTTCGCGGTTCGAGCGCTCAAAATGCTTGTATTTACGTGATTTATCATTCTCAAAACCAATTTTGTCTGAAAACGGTCAAGAAAGCACAAAATGAGAAGTGCGGTTTTTAGGCGGCGATCGGCGGCGAAGGCGAAAAAGCAAAGTCGGCGAAAAATGCGCCAAAACCTCATTAATTTTGAGAATTAGTGTGTTTTATGACGAACAATCTTTTTTCATCGCCTTTGACCACAAAAATCAGAGAAAACCTGCTCAATTTATGAAAACGCCATTTGGCCGAGGCCACGCCCATATTGTCAGCTCTGGAGACCGTGAATATATATTTAAAAATGCTGAGATGGAATGTTTTTATTAAGCAAAAGTGTCGTAGTATTATCAATTCGAAAAACGAAAACAAAACAATTTCAGAGCACCTGCGCAACGAGAATCCCGTTCCTGGAGACGACCAAATCGGCAGAGTCGCTGAGATCTTCGCGCGAAAGTTCGTGGTACGGTATCCGCTGCCGTCGGTCAGTCGTGTCGAGACCCAGATCCGGCACGAACACTTCGGCGATGAATTTCTGCGCGCCGAGCTCCACTTTACACGAGAATTCCGACGGAATCGAGGAGCCAAAGTTGCTAGTCGACACGATTGCCTCAAAGTTTTTGGCGAATCTAAATCAGTTTCTCAGGAAACGTGTTTCCCTCAAAACACTTACACTTGTCTAGTCTCCCTTCGTAACGTGGACGCAATTTTGGACAACTCGTGCTCGAGCTCCAGGCCTCCGGTCCTTCTTCGCAATTTTTCGTAACTCTTGATGATTATCGATTCCAGCGCTTGATCACAACATCGGTAGCCTAAAACGAGGTTTTTAGCACCACGTGTCAGACTTTAAGAAAAATGTTACCAAATCGGTTGATGTAGCAGTTTCCGTCTTCTTCGCGATTAATCGCAAACGACGATTTTCCGTACGCCGCAGAGTATGGCTGAACTTTTGTCAAACTGTGTAAATTATAAAATTCCCCCTCGGAACGAGTACCTACCGATGGTAATGGAATGGCAGGGATCTGTCGATTGATGTTCCCGCGAAACACGTTTGTTCGGAAGATCGGCGCCGATGTCGATTTCGTCTTCTTCACTTTCGGCCGTCTTTTCCTCTTCTTCGGCCCAATCTCGGGAATCTCGACTCGCGCCAACGGAGAGAACCTCGACTGTTTGAAGAGTAAACCGTTCTCGACGACGTACTTCATCGGATTCTTCTCGTCCTCCACAAACTTCAGCTGATCCTCCTCGATCTGCCGCGCCAGCTCCATCTCGAATTCGCTCACCGCCGGCGATTTCTCGCTTCTCGGTATCAACGGTCGCTTCCTCTTCTTCTTCTTCGACGTCAGTGGCTCTTGCGCGCTGCTGATCACTCCGTGAAGCCGTCTGGATTTTGGCTTCCGACGTAGTTCCATCTCGCCGGGCTCTTCCAACTTTTTGAGAATCTCCTGAACCTTCAGACTGTCCTCGAGTGGATTCAGCGAAATCGACGTCGATTCGTGATTGCCGTGTCGCTTTGACACTTCTCAAATCTTACTGTAATGTGGAGAGTGTACACAATTCAAACTCACCCGGACTGTTGTTACTCGAACTGCCACTGATACCGTAGTGATAGGATTTGGTCGTGATGATAACTGGGAACACTTGTGAGAGGAGGTAGTAATATATAACCGGAATACCACGTAGCTGCATTGTCAAAAAAAGGGTCTGAAAGTTGTTGAAAAGGTGTGTGATCGGTGTGAACTCGAGAGCGGGCGAGAGGAGAGAAAGAAAACAAAAAAGCAAGTGAAATATGACCTAGAATGAATGAGTAAATAGTTGGAAAAGGAGACGGCGTGGGCGCGAATGCAATTATATACATAAACAAGCTAAAGTGCGGGTCATCTTCGTCGACGACGGAAAAGGGCGGCCCGAAAAGAGCGACAGTTTTCCATGAGAAAAGAACCGTTTAGGAGGCGGTGGACGAAGAGGGAAATGGACAATAATTGAAGAGGAAATCGCATTCATAATATTCATAAGTGAGGAAAGGACGAGACCCGCCTGCCTCTACGCAAAGTATGATTTATTGAGACAAGCGTAACGGCGGGCGGAAAAGTTCGTGAGGCTTCTGGCCTAGATCGGGGCGAAAGTGAGAAGGAGCCTTCTGAAGATTTTGTCAATATTTGGACGGCGTTTTTGTGCTATGATAATCTTCTGTGATCGAACAGTATCACGGTATCAGATAGTTCTGCAAGCAGGGCATCCAGTACACTTTATTCGAAGCGATATATCTCAGCTGCCTGTAGGGATATCAAAAATCTGTCAACTAACAAATTGCTTCTTGAAACATTTTGTACATTTTATCAGTTGACCACTTTTTAATATCTCTACGGGTAGCTGAGATAGATAAGCATAAATAAACGGTATTAGGGGGCTCTTAAAGGTTCAAAAAGTCTAGTGATCGTGTGATCTTCAACGTCATGACATGTCATGTCACTTCCTAGAATAAGAATTACGGTACAATTCGAAAGTTTCCTTCTTCGGAAGATCCATCCGCTTTTTCTTCTTTCTTTTCACCGTCTCGCTCACCCTTTCACACCCCATAATCATAATAATAATAATAATAATTCATGAGATTCAATTCCCGAATACACATATATCTGATCCGTTTTCCTTTCCCGTTAGACGTTCGGAATTCGGTGTCCATTGTTTGTTGTGATTCGAAAGCGAAAGTGCCATTGGGCAACGATCAGATCTTCATCGGAAGCGTCGAATCAGAATCTTCAGTGACGAAGTGTCCAAGTGCGAAGGACGGTAGCTCAGAGCGGGCCAAACAGAAAAGGAAAAGGGAGAAACGACGAAAAGCGAAGCGATAATATCATTATGAAAACTTGGAGGAGAAGCGTCGAGAGAAACACGAATCATCATATGAAAATGAAATGATTGACCGGTCTTTAGGGGGTTGAACGGTAGTATTAGCGCACTTATGCGTCTTCCGACGGGCTACCAAGCAACGTTTAATTATTTCCAATCATTTATTCTCGGCCCACGACACGATCAAACTCGTCGTCAGACTTGTAATAAGCTTTGAAACGAGCTTTTTGCGTTTTCCTTCCCAACGACAACACTTGAACATTGACTGATCATTTATTTGGATTGACAATATCTGAACACCTTTCCTCGTTTTCCTCCAATTCCGTCGTAGACACTCTTTCTCTCTCTCTCTCTCTCATAACGATGATAATGGAGAAAGTTAGTTGAAATGTCCTCCTCGTAGAGTGCCAATAGGTCAATTACGTACTTTCCTCTTGTTCCATCCGAGAAAGGTCGAGTCGAAAAGGATTTGGGGGGAGGAGGTTGAAGAAAAAGCAAAGAAGGACGAGGAAAAAGTGCATATGATGACACATAATAGACGAATGTTATGAAAGCAATCGAATCTCGGCTTGCTCTCAACTGGTTCACCTCAGGTAATTTTCGGCAAGGATGGGGCGCGCAAGCGGCAAGCCAACAGCAAGTTGCTAAGCATGTGTCACGCACAGATCCAGAATGGCATCAGCATGGATCGGGCGTGCAACAGAAAAGAGTGGGATGGGAGGGAAGCAAGGAAGTAGCAAGGGTTGAGCGCGTAGCAGGCACGGAATCGGCACCCTTACAGCAATTTGCCGCGGAAAACGGCACGGATGCCGCTTCCAGTCGGCACTCATGCCGATTCATGCGGCAACTTGCCGAAAATTACCTGAGACCGTCACAAACATCAATAAATGACCTCTCTTCGGCTCGCACTCCTGCTTTTCTTCTTTTTGGCCCATTTCAAGGCAACCGGTGAGTTTTCTCTGAGTTGGAATCTTTCGTTCATTCAATTCTTTGTATCTCAGCTGGCACAAAAGATATCAAAAAGTTGTCAACTGAAAAAATGTACCGAATACGTTTCTGAACAATTTGTCAGTTGACAACTTTTTCATGCCTCTTCCGGCAGCTGAGATTTTAGAGTGTTTACTGAACCCAACCTGTTTCAGATGTCGTGGCTCTTCCTATGATTCCGACGAGTCGGATTCGGAAGAAACCTCCTCGAGATGATGGACGTTCACAACACTCTTCCCTCATCCCTAATATTGATAATCTTCTTGTTTCTTCTATAAAATTGTACTATGCTCTACACGGCTACGCATTAAAGATGACACCACTATCGTATTCATTCCTGAGATTCGGAAACGAAGAGGAAAAAAACCAGATTTTGCGGAGACGCAGAGAAAGATCTCGCACGGTGGATGGCGTTATTTTATTATTATGCAACAGTCTGCCAGGGCGGTTTTTTTTCGCCGATCACACTTTTTTTGTTTTTATTTTTGTCCCTCCCAGACATTTCAAGCTGTGAAATACAGTCTGCACGCTGTTGTGGTCGTTCAAGTTTAGTACTATTGTAGTCGGGCCAGCTGCCGATGCACCATGTTGAGTTTCAAGTTTTCCTAGCTTCAAACTATGACAATTCATACTGGTCTACCGCAAAAACACCGTCGATTCAGGACCATATATCTCAGCAGCCGGAAGAGATATCAAAATGTTGTCAACTGATAAATTGCTCAGAACGACATTTTGTACATTGTATTAGTTGAATACTTTTTGATATCTCTACCGGCAGCCAAAATGCGTTGCTGGGTGTCTTTCTATTACACTCTGTTCTATGTAAGCTACCGAAGACTCAAGAGTTGCAATCCTACAAGCCTTAAAAGCCTTAAAAGCCTTAGCCTTAAAAATATGAAAAGTTTCACAATGCTCGCTTCTCGCCGATCCCTCTCAGTTCGTGTTCTTTAAGACCACACCCCAAATCATGCGTGTTTCTCCAATCCATTATCAAGGTCTCCTCTCCTGCCACGCATGTACACAAAGAAGAAGCCTGATGACCGATGATAATGCGTCTTCCTCCCCTCCTTCTCCTTTTCAACCCTCTTTTTTCCGATCCGCGATGCGAGAAACTTGTAGACTAGCCAGTCCCTCTGCGCTCTTTCCGATCATTTTCGCGTTGTTTTGAGCGCCTCTCTTCTTGTCTGCCAATTCCCGACGAATATTGACTTCAGACGAACCAATGCGAAGGCTCTTCTCTTTACTTTTCCTTCTACTACTGCTCTTGGTAGTGGTCGAAGAAGTGAGGGGGTACGGTAATGCGCCGGGCACGTATCCGGATGAAGAGATGAAGAATGGAAGCGAATTCGAGGTGCCTAAGAATCCGTACGAAAGCGGATGGACTGGATACGAGTATTACTATGAGAAGGAGAAAGAGCCAAAGAGTAAGGAATTGATACTGGATAACGCATAGAACTTCACACTTTCAGAACCCTCTTCTTCTGTAAGAAGCGGAAAAATGCCGGCATTCCAATCTATCGAATCAGTTTCTTCTGATAGAGAAGGCCCAGATGATCCAGAAGGATACGTAGCTTCTGGATCCGAATCTTCTGGAAAACCCAGAGCTCTTTCGACTACTACTACTAGGACTACAACTTCAGCTCCTTCTACAGATCCACCTGTGAAAGTTGCTCCAAACTCAACGGCAGGTACTTCTTCAACTAGCACCCCCACTTCCACCCACACCATCACAAGCACCACACCACCAAAGATCGGTAAGAGAAGAATTGGAGCGTTTGACGCCAATTTCACCGCACAGATTCACGAGACTCACCCGAGAGTGGCACAGACTTCACGGCACCCGAACACGACTTGTATAGTGGAGATCAGAAAGGTATCCCCAAAAGAATCACGAGCAACGCACCTCTTTCCTTGAATAATATCACAATGTTTCGCAACAGATGCCACTGCAAAGAATCTACTAACCACACTGATTGAGAAGAAGAAGAACGAGAGGATCGTTTCGAGAACCCGAGCACCGGAAGGATATTATGATTCTGTGGATGACGCCACTGGTTATGGAGGTGCTGAGCCCATGGAACGAAAGCCGTCAGCACAGTTAAAGTCCGCAGATTCTTATGATGATCTTGGTGGGCCTTCTGGCTATGGAACCACTTCCGGAAGTGCTCCTGGAGCTTCACCACGAGGTGAAATCACAACTCCACCTCCTCCTCCAACAGGCCCTCAAGCTCTGGATTACGGTCAAGGAGGTTCAACAACTCGCCGACCGAAATCAGAAGAGTCTCTGGACCATCTTAGTGGATACGGAGCCGGTACCTCTGGTCAGAATCATTCCAAAAATCACGGAGCTGCACCAGGTGCTATACCAGAAACTGAGTTTCTTTCATCAAAATAATGAGCTTTAGATTACGGTCAGAAAGGTTCTGAATCGAAAAAAACAACAACATCAGAAGAATCTCTCGATGTTTCAACTCATCTCGCTTCTCCTGGAGCTGAGCCAACCACCTCGAAAACACCAGTGTCTTCTGAGAATCATCCGAATCCTTATACAGCTCCAGAGATCCCAGTGGCTTCGAGAGGTGTACCAAAAAGTCCAATTGCCATTGCTCTACAAGATTCTGGAAACGTTTATGGAGAAACTGGACCGGGAGCTGATTACCCTGATCCTCCAGAAAACTGGCCAAAGATTCCAGGAGGACACGTTGCTCACTACAAATCCGGATCCGATGGCTTCGACGTGCCCGTCGTCTCTCGAAACCTTACCGATCGTATCGACGACCACATCGGCTCCAGCGGCTCAAAGTTTGCCCCTGGCTCCGCTCCGACCGTTCCCCCATCCACTTCTAACTCGAACAACGCAATTTCGCCGCGAGACCCTTATGATCACTTTGGCACCGCACCAGCACCACGTAACCACCAGAACAATCAGCGGCAATATTCTGACGAAGGTTTTGAAGACGAGCACGGCTACTACGGTGACGGCAACGCCATCATTTCGGTGGTGCCCGACAGGTACTGTTGCCCGTTGCGGCCATTTACACATCACGTTGCTAGCACACACCAGAGATGTTGGGAATTCCGTGTTCCGTGTTCCGTGTTCCGCGTTTTTTTTCAATATTTTTTCCGTGTTCCGTGTTCCGTAAAAAAAAATTTCCGTGTTCCGTGTTCCGTGTTCTGTAGAAATAAGTTTTTTTTCCGTTTTCCGTGTTCCGTGTTCCGTATAAACTATATTTTGTCCGCGGAAAAATTCGGAGAGGCTTTTCAGCTTTTCTGGCTTGGTTTGCTCGCCTCGTAGATCAAATTTATCTCCGGAAAGATTAGGACAATTGACGTTTTGTGGTCAAAATTTGAAAATTTTCGGATTCGGACCATATTCGTGAAAAGTGGATTCCATTTTCAGTCGTTTTTTTTACTGTAGTTGTTTACTGTTGTGTTGTTGGTTTTGTTATTTTTATGAAATTTTCAGTAAAACTTTCACATGAGTCAAACAGCTGCCTTGTCAGTCAGATAATCGAATTAAACAAAACATTATTTTTTAAAAAATCACTGGAATTCTCTTGAAAACGCTTTTTTCCGTGTTCCGTAAAAAAAAATTTCCGTGTTCCGTGTTCCGTGTTCCGTAGAAATAAGTTTTTTCCGTTTTGCGTGTTCCGTGTTCCGTAGAGTAACATTTTTATTCCCAACATCTCTGGCACACACACACACTTTCACACTTTCAGGCACTCGAACACCCGCCACCCATCCATAGGTGACGGCGCCACGCACACCGACCTCAAAGCACAGATTTCAGAGATTGATCGCATCGCCGGTAGCGTACATTTGACAATATTCACACGAAACTTTGTTCAGAATATCTGGAGAACTCGGCGCGAGAACCGGTAGAGTATGAGCAAAAGATCACGAGCGAATCGTCCAAGGGAATCACTGTGGAGGCCGGAAAACAGTTGGCGGTAGGGGGCAGTTGTGTAGAGATTAAAGGCGCGCCGCACACTTTCTTTTTTTTTTTTTACAGAAGCACTTTGGCCGAAAAGCCCGCAAATGCTGTTCGTGTTGTGATGAAAAGCAGCCGGTTTCCCGGCAAGTTGAGACCAAAGTAAAGGATTTCACTTTTGTTTGTACGTAACCTTTTTTCGCGTCAGGTTGAGCCGAGTAACACGCAACAGCTTGTGGATGCGACACGTTCGTTGGGTGAGTGTTGTGGGTACGGTGTGGCCGATTGCAACTTTTTTTGTAGGCGAGGATCCCGAGCAGCATTATGTCCCACTTCAGAGCACCGTCGGAGGCAGTGCGTACGTTCAACCGCAACCGATTGTTCAACCTCAACAGTAAGTGACATAAACTTGCTTTTCCTGAAAATTGATGTACAGGACCCTTTATCAACAACCATTCCAACAATATCGGCCTCAGTACCAGTATCCTCAATCCTATCCGCAGCAGGCATCTTGTGGATGTCAACCACAACCTCAGAATTGCTGTGCCCCACCTCAACCATGCTGTCTACGTAAGAAACAGAGAGTAGAAACTGAAAACTATGTTTCTCTGCTGCCGGTAGAGATATTTAAAAAAAGTCGTCACCATTTTGGCGCGAAATTCGAAATTTAACCCAATTTTTCATGTGTTTCGTCAAAAATTACCCAAAGTTTGTACGATTTCGACAATGTAATTGCATAACTTTGTTATTAAACTAATCATCGCGCACTTTTTGAGCTTAAAACGAGCAGGTTTCATTCAGAAATTCAATCAATTGAATCGATTTTCAAGTTTTGTGCTGAAAATGCGCGAATTTCAGTCATTCGCCGATACTTTTTGCCGTTTGAACGCTTAAAATACTTGTATTAACGTGCTTAATCACTTCCTATCACTTCGTCTCAAAACTATCCACATCGGCCGGTATGAAAATTCCGAAATTGCGAAATATGCCAAAAACGTCTCAAACGCGGCGTTTTCACGAAAATTTCAATGTTTTCTCTCTTTAATGTCGCTTCTTTCGTCGATATCAAACACAAAAATATCGGAAAAGTGCTGGAATTGCGGCAATTTTCGGAAAACGCGTCTCAGATTAGGCCACGCCCCTTTCTACACTTTTGGTCGCCGTGAGCTGAGTATTTTATCAGTTGACAACTGAGATTGACTGCCAGCGCTGAATGTACTGTATTGAAAGTTGCTCAATTTAGCGTCTTTCAGCCACAATCCCATGCTGCCCTCCGATTCCTTGTTGCCCGCAACCGAAAATCTGCTGCCAGCCACAACCGATCTGTCTGCCTCCGCCCACGTGCTGCTCGATCAACTTCCAAGTGCCGACCATCCCCATCTGTGGCCGTGCCTGTCCTTCGTGCCCGTGTCGCAGAAGAGTTCATCGTTCGAGAAGACTGAAGCGACACTCGATCAGCACGAACTGCAACCAGTGCTCGGCGGCCGGAGAGCCCTGGAAGTCGGTGCTCCATCATCGAGAAAAACGAGCGGCGTCCGGATGCTCCTCCGGATTCTCCACGTTGCAGCAAAACTCGTGCGGTTCTTGCGGAGCGTCCAATTTGAGATCGCCGCGAGTGAAGCGAATGGGATGTCTGCCATGTTTGGGACGAAAGAAGAGGAATGCGGACGAGTCATCGCACATTCGCGTCAAGAGAATGGGATGCTTGCCGTGTCTGGGCGGAGGAAGAAAGAAGAGGAGCGCTCTGTCGAACTGCTCGCAATGCAACTCTCTCGGACACCTCTTCAATCGATACAAACGAAGTCTGTTCGGATGCTCGCCGTGTGCTTCACAGGTGAGACCCTCAATAGTTTTTGTGTCAAGTTCTAAAATGTCTTATACAGCCCGCGTGTCCGTGCCAGGGCCGGAAGAAGCGATCGGTGACAATGCGGGTAGTGAAGAGGGCTCCGATCGGATCGGATCAATGCGACGCCACGTGCTGTGACTACTCGAAATGCCAGAATCGACACAAAAAAGAGAGCCTTGTTCCGTTTACCATGTGAAATACTTCTTCTTCTTCTTCTTCTTCTTCTTCTTTCTCTACTCTCTTATGACCAGAATGCGGGTGCTCTTCTACTTTTTACACTTTTACCTCGAATAAAGATAGGAATAAAGACAATCGTTTATTTTCATGACATCTATCAGTAGAAAACAGGACAGGAAAGAAAAGAGAGGGAAAAAAGATTGAACCGGGAACCCGAGAAGGATGGATTATGGGCCGGAATGATTAGAAGACAGGGAAAAACTAGAGATCGTTTGAAAGATGGAAAAAGTGAATGGGATAATACAATAGTTAAGAGGGGCTCTCGCTTTTCAAGAATCCGTTGAGTCTCAAGTTGAGAAACTCGTTCGGACTGCTCGAAGAAGCGATTTCCGAGGCCAATGTCGCTTGTTGCTGGTCATCGTACAGTTGAAGTTGACGCTGGTAACTTGCTATCTCCAGACGCAGCGCCTGGACAAAAAAAAGTGTTTTGAGTGTGTTCTAGAACAAGTATTTCAGTTTACCTGTTGTTTGAGCTGTTCCGTCAACAGTTTCGCATCCGCCAAGGCCAGCTTCTTCTCGACCAGCAACGTCTCGGGACTCACATCCCGCCGGTCCCTGTCCCTACCGTCTTCCTGTTCTTCTTGCTCCTTCTCCTGCTTCAACTCCCTCTGTTTCATGTCCAAATGCAACTGCAACTGCTGCAATTGCATCTCCGTTCTCGCCAACTTGAGCCGCTTCGCCTTCGGTCCGTACGTCGCCTCCATCACGTCGGAAGCCGAGTCGGCGTCGTCGATCTTCGTGTCCTGCTCGTTCATCATAATCTCCGCCAATCCGGACATCCAATCGGGCACCGGCCCTCTGGAACGGCGTTTTGGCTCAGCCCAGCTGAACTCCGCGTACCGTTCTATCTCCTGTCCGCCGTTGATGTTCGTGATGCCCAGCTTGTGGGCGTGCTTTCGCGAGAACTTTCTGAAATGGATATTTCGTATATTACGATTGTGTGTGTGTGTGCTCCAACTGTACCTCATATCCCTGATCCTCTGCTTAATCTGCGCCGGAGTGCGTTCCGCATAGCCCATCGCCGTGATCTCCAACGCCCACTCTTTCGCGAGAATGTCCATCGGCACCTCTTCGTTCCGCTGCCCAGACGGCCGCGTCGAATGATACTCTTCGCGGCGCGCCGAGTAAAGCTCGTAAAGACGCATGTTTTCGGCCTCTGAACAGAACGAATCACGTTGTGACGGGAACAAAAACGGATTGTAGTTACCAACCATTAAATCCGACCGTCTTCGGTTTGTCCTCCGGCAGCTGGTTCTGCAGGGCGAACTGAGCACGCAGGATGTGTCCGATCGAGGACTGAGGGGTGATCGGAGTGTCGGCCAACGCCTTGCGGCTCATTCGCGTCGACATGGCCTGGAAAGTGGGAAGAAATTGGAGATGTGTCAGAAGTGGCACATTACTAGAAACAAGAAGGCGATAACTCAAAGAGCAACACGTTTTGAGATTGAATTTTCTAGAAAACTTTCGTACTATTTCTATTTCAAAGTTGGAAAGTGTGAAAAAGAAAAAGCGACAAAACGGAGCTGGGGGAAAGAAAAAGTCAGATCTAATTAGATTACGGCAAGTGCCACTACGCTCGATGGTAACTTATGCTTCGGAAGCTTGGGAAGCCGGTGGTGCCCGAGCGGGAGACAAGTATAAACAATCCGAGAGAGCACATGTGTGTGTGTGTCCCCGGGAAGGCAAAACGGACTAAAGCGGAGCGAATAGGAGAGAATGCGGGCGCAGATGGCACACAGCCTTTCCCTCCTGTGGCCCCGTGGCCGTCCATGGGCTCTCTGCTTCTCTCGCGCTCTCCTCCGGCTTCTGCTCTTTTTCTCTCTCTCTCTCTCTCTCTCTACGACTTGTATGGGCAAGCATTTTGGTGGGAGAAGAAGAAGAAGAAGAAGAGGGAGTGAGAGTGGTGGGCGAGCGAGGGAGCACGTCTTCAGAAAGAGCTGGGCGCGGGCGAGAGCCCACTCCTCCCTTCAGATATCTTATTAGCAATACTTATATGGCTCGGCAAGAGGAAGCGGTGTGCGTATGGCAGGAAATGAAAAGGGTTGGGACAAAGTGAAATGGATGTGGGGTACTGTAGTTGGTACGGGATCTAGTGGTTGGTAATGGTCGACTGGTAAAGCACATGTGAGTCAGCTTGAGACACAAATGTTACCCACCTGTCATGTATATGCTCAAAAGGAACAGAACACCCCCCCCCAACCAACTTTATTTGTTCTACACATTTCTACTTTTCGGCTTTCAGAAAAGGCCTACAAACATGGCCTGAAACGGAAAACAAAAAAGGAAAGAGAGAGAGCGGGGGGCTCTCCCGGCTGCTCCGCTCTCCATTTCTGGGCTACCCGCGCGAGCACAGACCCGGGATCCATCAATATTCTCTTCTCCCTCTCCCTCTTCCTCTTCCATCGCCGCCCAGAACGACGTCTGCTCCCTCGGGCGCACGCGCGCTCTCCATTCCCATATAAACAACCGACGCGCCCGTCTTCTCCTTCTTCTCCTTCTTCTTCTTCTTCTTCTTCTTCTTCTTCTTCTCCCTCTTCGTCTTGCTTCTGCTCTTCCCGTGTGCATGAGTAGAAGCAGAAGAAAAAAGAAGCAAAAGAAGTGACAAAGATGAAGATGAAAATGGAAAAAGATGAGTGGACGGAGCTTTTGGAGCTTCGAAGAAGTGTCGTCAAATCCAGTGCAATTGCAGTGTTTACACATATTTGGAGATACCGTAATCGTTCTGCTTCAAAATGACATAATATCCGCTGATGTCTGATCCTCTTCGCCCCCGCAATCAATGAGAGAGGAGCGGCTCCCGACGGGAAGGATATTTGTAAAGTGTTGCCTGCGTCTCTGCGCCTCTTCACACCCCAATCTCTCACCTTTAAGCTCTTCCCTCTTTTCTGCTTCTTCCTCAAAATGTCGATAGTATTGTCGGCGGGTCGAGGTGTGACCCAAGTGGTCGAACGGTGCGAAGCGGCCAAAGAATCGGGTTATTTGGGTGAGTCTTGCCCGTACGTAACACTCTCGCCATTTGAATGTTTTGAGATTTGTCCTCTTGCCAACTCATGTACATTGCGGACGCCGTCTATATGCTCACAAAAGGTCATGAAATCACACGGGTACGCTGGTTTTTTTCTCTAATCCGAAGAATGTATACAAAAAGTACTGTTTAGGTTAGCATTCAGGACAATCTGATGAAAAAGTTCCCAAAAAAGTTTGTGATCAAGTTTCCGACGGCTACTAGTAAGCTTCGAGAAGTGCTTTTTTTTAAAAAGAGAATGTCAATGTTTCAGTTCTGAACATGGCCAACAATCAAATCGTGGAAATTCCTGAAGACGTGACGGCGTGGACTTCGTTGAAAGGATTGAATGCGGCGAAAAACAACATTTCCACTTTTCCTGAATCCATTTTCAGCCTTCACAATCTGATCTATCTGGATCTGCGTGACAATGAGATCGCAGGTAACTTCCAACTTCTAGATGATGCGTCGAACTTCCAACTCTTCAGCTCTCGACGTGGACCGTCTGTACTCCTCGCTTCCCGCCCTCATCAAACTAAATCTATCCGACAACCCGCTTTCAGAACAAATCAAATCGAAACTGAAAAGCGATAAACCCGAAAAGCTTGAGCTTCTCATTTGAAAAGCGAATATTCATTTGGTGTTCGGTAATAAACCCGTTTGCGCTCAATTCTCTCAAATAAGCAACAATTAGACGGTGTGGATATGAGCGGTACTCGGTACCAAGTGCGAAAGAAACAAAGAAAGAAAGAAAGAGTGAGAGAGAAAGAGAGAGAGAAAGAAAATCGACTACATCGGAGTGACCGTGTGCGTCGGAATGATTCCAAAGTCGCGGAGTCGCTTCAGAGCCGGACGGTACACTTCCTTCAGAATCGGTCTTTGGATGCCGGCCCTCTGAATCTCATTGTTGAGGACCATGTGCGAGACGATCGCAGTCGTGTATCCGACGGTGCGTGCCATCGCCGAGAAGCCGTTCGGGTTTCCGTACTGCACCAGACTGATCCGATGCTTCTCCGCGTTTCCGCCGGGCAACTGCGCCCCAATGTCATGGTTCAGCACGACGAGATCCGATTCGTGCTCTTTGAACGCGAGGATCTTGGCCAGGTACTGGGCGAGAGTGTCGATCGGAGTGCCGTGGCGGTCGACAACTTTGTCAGAGAACAGCCCGAGATCTTCGAGAGCATTTAGTCCCTAAAAAACAGTCGAGTAGTGTGACGGATTAATCAGATTTGTATTCTACCTTGGTGCCAACCTTCTCCTCAATAATGTGTCTCAGCGAGTCCGGAAAGATGTCCAACTTCTGATTGGACAACGAGGCGACCAACTCCTTCCACGTCAGATCGGGTCCGACGGTCGAGGTGAACGAGTCGGTCGGGTTGCCGGAAAGGAGTCCGACCGAGTGGAGCGCCTTCACAGTCTCGACGAATCCGTGATACCTCAGAGTTCCGCGCAGAATCGTGTGGCAGTCATTGCCGAGTCCGTACACCTCCGCGTACTTGGTCGAGTCGCGGTTCGGAAAACCAATCAGATTGAGGCCGGGCATGAAATCAATGTTGACGAGGTTGTCGACGACCGATCCCGACGGAACCTCGACAATCTTTCCGTTCTTCAGGTACTTGGCCGGGTTCATCAGCGCGGTCAGCACTCCTTTCGGCGACCACGAGAACTTGTAGCGCAGCGGGTTGTCTGACCACTCGGGCGCCGGCAGACCTCCGCAGAACGACTCGAACGAGGTGATGCGGCCGCCGTGCTCCTTGATGTCGTCGAAGCACTCCATCGCGAGCATGTGGTCGATTCCCGGATCCAGGCCCGCCTCGTTCATGATCGTCACGTCGGCGTCTTTGGCGCTGAAAACTTGGAAATGATCTCTGCAAAAGCAGCATATCACGGTCTCCCAGGGCGCGAATGATTTCAATGGGGCGCACTTGCAACAGGCGGGCTGTGTCGATTTACGCGGCGGCCGATTAATTCATTTTCAACGGGAGTTCGCGTTCTTTCCATGTTTTCTGCACAATACACTTATTTTTTTGTGCGCCTGGAACCTGGATTCGAATAATTAGAGCACTAGCTAGGTTTTGGTAACAGAAATCTCGCATATCGATGAGAATTAGCCGAGTTATTTTGATTTGAAGGTTTTGACCTGGGTTTTGATGTTTTTCGAATAGTTTTTGAAAACTGCTCAAGAAAACCAATCGCCGAAACCTGAATTTTGTAAAGAAAGATTCAGCAAACATTTTTATTGTTTGTTGGGCTCATGAAATGCAAAATGAGCTGAAATATAAAGGTTTAAAGTTTTGACGAAATGCGAGAAAGACGCTAAAAACTTGAAAAACTCTAAATTCTGTAAAGAACGGTTTGCAATCAATAAAATATTGTTTTCTAGACGTTTTTCAAGTAAAAAAGAAAGAAATAAAGGTCGTAAACTCGAATTGAACTGCATTTTCAGACCTGCAAATGTTCAAAAGTTACAACGACACTCCGCAATTTACGAGCGCACTGTGTTTAGCATTAGCGCCCTGGGAGACCGTGATGCATAGCAACACTTACGCCTTGTCAAGCGCCTCCAATTCGGATGAGACGTAGCTCGAAGTGACCATGTCTCTCTGATTCGAGATGCACATTTTGGCGACGAGTGGGTGGAAATTGAACGGGAGCAGGGAGACGACAAGATCGTGCTCTCGGATCAGTCGTTCCATTGTGTGACTCTCCCGGGCAACGTCCACCACAACCGACTGAATGTTCGGCGATTGGCACAGTCGTTGTCCGTCGCGTTGCGATTCAGTCGCCACCGTCAAATGCACGTTCTTTTGTTTCGAATAAAAGTCGGCAAACGGTCCGGAAACCATTCCGGCGCCGAGCAAAAGCACTCGTTTGTCCGTGGTTCCTCCCATCACACGAGAATTGGCAGAGGAAGCACTGAAAATGAAGGAATCGAAGTGAGAGAGAGGTTACAACGTGAACTGGTGACAGAAAGACAAAAGACAAAAGAAAAGACGACATCAAGTCAATCAATCTCACTTACGCGGCCTTATCCTTCCTCAACTGTTGAATGTATTCAAAGTTGGGCGTCAGTTTGCCCTGATCCGTGATAATCGCATTCTTAATCTCCGGTCGGCACTGAAGACGTTCAAAGTGCTGATCGTTGGACGTGTTGAGCAGATCCCACAGCCACGGATACAAAAGGTTTCCAAACTGTTCGGTTGCCTCGATCGGCATCTGCGCCGGCATATTATCGATCGAGCACACGAGACAGCCGTTGATGGCGTCGAACGAATCGGAGCTGGTGTTGAAGTCGGCGTCGTAGATCGCGAACGGCTTGTCGATCGTCGTGCACTCCCGCATAAACTCGACAGAACCTCCCGGGTCGGCGGAGATGTCGCAGAGAGCGACGAGACGGTGCGGAAGAGTGGGACATCCCGGAGTGTCGTACTGGAAAACAACAGTTAGGGGGGGGGAGGTAGGTTTTTGGAAGAAAAAGTTAGTAATAAGCTCACAAGGCTGTCATTTGGATTGTTAGTCTTAGTCTTCTGAAAGTAACTCGATTGAATGAGGAAAAAAGGGCGATGAACGGCTCACTCTTTGAACTGGAGTCAAAAGGTTCTTCGCGTCGGGAATCGTGATGAGTCGTGGCGATTGGGCATCCCAGTACACTCCATTGATGATCACCGACGCGTATGGAGCGATCTGAACACGGGGGAAAATTGTGGCGGCGTTTTGCAAAATCATTTTGCAGGTCAAAAGTTCACAATTCAATTCCCCCCATTTTGCATTACATTCCAAGTTCTATTGTTGTACACAGCTTGAGCGCTGGCGCCTGTCTGGCCACGTGACAATTCCACTTATGTTTAACCATCAATCAGTCACTCGAAAAGATATCACATCATCAAGAGACGGTCATGGAAACGAGACAGATTGGCCACGAGGAAAAGGGTCGAGTGATTTGATCGCGTGTTGATTTATAATCGCGCGATTCGCCTCTCTCTTACTTTAAATTCCACTACTGATCGCCTCAAGACCGTGTGTGTGTGTGTGTGTGTGTCATACCTCTGTCGCGAATTTGGAAGTGTATCGGTCGGGAAACTGCTCAAATTCTTGCTTGTTGAACGGCCCACCGTGCTTCGGAACGAAATGATCTTTGCGAGTGACGACGCATCCGTACACTTTGTTCAGTTCTGAAAAACAAACACGTTTCTTCTTCTTCTTCTTCTAGAACTCACGTCCTTTCTGCGCCACCTTCGGAAGTGTCGCCACGTCGACGTACTCGTGCGGCAAATGTTCGAAGAGCTCCCTGGCGCCCTGGCTCACGTTGCCCGACCCGGTGAACACAAAGATCAAAGGTCCAAGCGAGCGCGGCATGCGGTCGAGTGCGATCTCGTAGCCGATGTCTCTGAGCGCGTTGATGGCCATGTGCGAGTCGTTGTAATTGTGCGCGAGGCCCATGTGCAGGAACGGCGTGTTGTGGCCGAGAGCCAACAATCGGAGGCCGATTCCGTGCAGGATGTCTATGAATCCAGCGTTTCCGGCCCACTTTCCGAACATCACCAGACGTTTTCCCTTGTCGTCCACAATCTTCTCGTAGTCCAGAAGACGAATGTTCTGGAAAACACGTTGAATAGGTCCAATCGCTGTTTACTATAGCACCTACCCTCTGCAAAATAGTGTCCAACATCTCCATATTGTCCTGCTGCGCCTTGATGGTGTGCGAGAAGAACGCGTACGTCTTGTTCGGAATGAGCTGATCGATCGGAACACTTTTGACGGACATGATGATGTGCGCCTCGCTGAGATCCTCACGCACGATCGCGCCGGCCGAGATATAGTCCTGGATGGGGTAGGCGCGACGGTTGCTCGGCTGAATGAGCACGTTCACGCCGGACTTGGTGAGCCGTTTGACGTGCGTCGGAGCCAGCGGAGCACGCCGTTCCCACGCATTCACGGTCTCTCGTCTGGAAACACAAAAAAAGGTTATTGGAACAGAGAAGAGCGAATGTTTTTGCAGCAGACACTCAGTCTTATCAAGTTCTTGCAAAACCGATCGGAACTAGAGTTTAACCTGATTCCGATGGTGGGAACACCTCGTCCGTGGAACGTCTTCGTGCCCTGGAACCGCTGGGCGATTGTGTGACGCAGTGGAGTGTGCAACAGACGCATGACAACGACGACGACGACGGCGTGGAGGATGTTAGATGGAAATGAAGGGAAGCGCGACGTGAGAGATCCAAAGGGGAATGGGCGGTTCTCGACCTTGGTTCACGTTGCGGTTGATATTGAATCTATCTGATGTAATACAGATTGTTTTCGACCCACAAGAACGATTGCCGAGACGCAGATCGCAAGGAATTTTCTGTAAGTGGGCGGAGCAAGTCCTAAAGATCAGGCCAAGATTTATGGTGACGTCGGACTGTAAATATTCTTGATTGGGCGGATGGCGTTGTAAACATGATCTTTACTTTATCGGATAATCAGCTCGACCATTCGGAAATAATTTCGTGGAACAAAATAAACATCCGGCATTCTACCGCTTTTTCCCATTCCGCACCAGAGATGTTGGGAATTCCGTGTTCCGTAGAAAAAAAAAATTTCAGTTTTCCGTGTTCCGTGTTCCGTAGAGTAAAATTTTTATTCCCAACATCTCTGTTCCGCACATCCGTTGCAACACATGTGGTCTCTGTTCGCCTCGCCGGCCTCCACAGTCGGCCAACTTTATGTATGCTCCCAGCGAGCGTCGCTGCCGTGGCCCTGTGGCCTAATGGATAAGGCGTCTGACTTCTAATCAGAAGATTGCAGGTTCGATCCCTGCCTGGGTCAAACATTTTGCTTTTTTGAGGTGATGAACAAAATGGAAATTTAACTGGTTAGATTAGTTTTGTGTAGTTTTTCAGATGTTCACGTGAACTTTTATTGCAACCTCAATTAGAGTATATTTAGGCTTCGAGGAAGGGCTTACATTCCTGATGAGCTCCTTCGTAAAAATCTTCTCGTTCTGTAATTTTCGATAGAAAAAGTTAACTCATGAGAATTCTCTATAGTTCGCCCTCGTATGCCAAACTGCACATCCAAAAATCTTCAATTTTTGTACATTTTTTCACAATTTATACATTGTGCAACAATTGGATGATTAAAAAATACACTGTTTTCTACTTGAATGTGCAATTTTTCAGACCTTCTGTTCTCCTGATTGTTTTATTCGATCCCAGTTACACAGCAAATCAGTTCAAATTGGATTTTCTTTTTTCTTTAATAAAAATGTGAATTTTCATCTTAACAAAAACAATCGTTCTTTTTCTTAATTTAGGTATTTACCGGCGGTTTTCTGCTTTTTAGCTGTGAAAAAATGATCGCCGAACTGCCGTAAATCGACACGAGTTTAAAGGCGCATGCTATTATTTGACTGCGTACGCTCATTTCGTGGCGAGACGTTGACTGAGTGTCAAACGCTTAACCATTGCCCGGCCGATTTTTCGCTAAATTTTGCCTTTTTTTCACGAATTTGAACTTTTTTGCTAAAAATCCGTTAATTTTGCAAACTTTTTGAACAAATTGTAATACTCTATCGGTCTACACACACTTTTTTTTTAGTTTCTAGTAGTTATGCCCGATTTTTTATTGAAAATTGCTGTTAAAAGTATTGGGAACTTAGTCGAATTTTTTTGCTTTGTCGTTATTTCCATTTCATTTTCATTGTTACCTTTTTGCAGGGTTAACTTCACGATGGGTGACGTCGTTACTATCAGAACGAGAAAGGTTCTTACCAACAAGCTTCTCTACAGAAAGCAAATGGTGAGTTCTGTGAAAAAGTTAGTGTTGAGAATGTACATAGTTTTTTGCTTCAAATCTCAATAAACATGTTTTGCAGGTTGTTGAGGTGATCCACCCAGGACGCCCGACCGTGCCAAAGACCGACATCCGCGAGAAGATCGCCAAGTTGTACAAGACCACTCCGGACACCGTCATCCCATTCGGATTCGAGTCCAAGATCGGAGGAGGCAAGTCCAAGGGATTCGCTCTCATCTACGACACTGTTGACTTCGCCAAGAAGTTTGAGCCGAAGTACAGACTTGTCCGCGTAAGTTATTCTTTCTTTTCTAATCAAAACTTGTCAAAACTATTTTCCTTCGACGATAGGAACTCTAAAACAGTAACGATATTTTTTACTAAAAATTGTTCTATTTTAGATGGGACTCGCCACCAAGGTTACCAAGCCAGGACGCAAGCAGCGTAAGGAGAGAAAGAACAGACAGAAGAAGGTCCGAGGAACCGCCAAGGCCAAGGTCTCCGCTGGAAAGAAGTAAATCGGCAGTTTCCATTGTTGATTTCTATTGTTATTGTCAAGTCAATAAATGTTTTGACACAAAAACATTGTTATATCCATATCACAACAAAAAACACGGTCCACATCCTGGTTCTTTACTGAATTTTTTTATGATGAACCTATTCAGTCGGTGCTGCCCCGAATCAGAACTCCTTATGGCAATACTTCCTAAACCAGAACATGAAAGCGTAGAAAAAAACTATTTCCTTTGTTCTTTTTGTAATGTAGGTATTCTAGATACAGCCAGACATTCAAATGAAACAGTTCAGTGGTAACGAAAACAAGTGTGAAACAGAAAAAAGATTGTGAATAAGCAGAAAAAGCGAACAAGAGAAAATCTTAGAAAGTCATTAAACTTTTTGGTTACGCGTTGCTCAAAAATTGTTTACAACGAGCAACTTTTGCGCAACTACTCATAAAAAGTAGAACTTGTTGAAACCATGAACAAAAATGCGAGAAAAAATAAAGAGAGAAAGTTAAAGAGACAGAAGAAGAGGAAGAAAGAGAAATACAGAAAAATAGGAGCAGAAAAAAGCAGATCCTGGATCAGAAGCTTTCCTATTCATTTTCGTTTTTTTGTTGGAATTAATATTGTCAGGGTGGTATTAATTTGATCAGTTCTGATTAGTACCAGTTCTAGCTTGAAGAGTTCTGATTCGGGCAATACCGGTTCTGATATGTACCAGTTCTGATTCGAGCAGTTATGATTCGGGCGCTTTCTGATACGGGCGCAGTTCTGATTCGTGGCAGTTCTGATTCGGGCAGTTCCCATTCGGGGCAGCAACTTTTTCCTGTGTGGAAACCCTGTTCGATGCGAGACCCGTGCTAATAAAGGCATGCGTCTTTAATCAATTTAAATGACCGCCCGGTTTTTTTTTGCGTAAAATACCAGTATTTTACTAGACTGAATAGGTTCATAAAACTAAAAAAAAACATGCAATCATTATAGATGTCTTCTCGTTCGGCAGGTAGTTTCGACGAAATATCGCAATGTGAGTCGGAAAAAAAGGACGAATGTATGGAAAAGTTAGGATTTTAGACATCGAAAGATTGAAAGAAGAACGGAGATTAACCGATGTGTCCGTGCGCAAGATGGAGCAAGAAAAGGCCGAGTTGAATCGGAAAATCGACGAATTAACGAGCAGGAGAGACAGCACGGATGCACGTCTCCAGGCCGAACGCGAAAGAGCCGAAAGACAGGACAGAGGGCTCAAAGAGGTGAAATTTTACTAAAAGTTGCAGAAATTTTTCTGAAACTTCTAGGCTTCTTTGAATTTCCCAAAAATCAGTTTTTAACTTGTCAAAATTTCTGACCAACATTTTTTCGAGTAACTCTGAATTGCAATATAATTCTAGGCCGAAAGCACGTACAACAAAATAATCGAATCGCAAAAGATGTTGGTGGATTTCGTGCGCAAAGAGTATCAGGACACGAAGCATCAGAAATACTGACCATTTCTTCTGTAACTCCAAAACTTTTCATGTCATTTTACACTCGTATTCCCACTTGTATCTCTGTCAAATATCAACAATCTCCAACCTACTTGGTATCCTTCTTCGCTTCTTGTAACTCATTTCACTTGCATCTCATTTAACAACCCTAATCGATCATCGCTTTTTTTTCAACAAAAATGGAAACAATAAAATCACCCGTCAATCTAAAAAAATGACATATTTTAACAAAAACTATCAATTTAGGAGTTTCAGCATAGTCTGCAGTCGCTCTCGACACTCTTGTATTCCGAAAAATTCGACAAGTTCCGAGATGGGCGGTCCTTTTTTCATGCCAATGAGCGAAATTCGCACGATTCCCATCATTTTTGGATGTGAAATTCCGTGCTTCTTAGCCAACTCTCCGAGATTTGTGATGCCTGAAAATTTTCAGTTTTATGGAGAAAAAGAATATTCTCTTACCTAATTCTGATAAGTTCTTCAAAATCGCTTCTAGATCCACGTTCGGATTGGAAGATCGGAGAAGTTCGGAAGATTCGGGACGCGAGAAGAACCAGACGAAATCGCCACGTGTCAAAGAGCTCAAATATCCAAAGTTCTCCTCTTTGGATTTCAAAAAAGCGACAACCTGTGAAAAGCAAGAACATTGATTCTGGAATTTCCGGAAATGCTACTTTTCTGACGTATTCTTTGTCCGGAATCTGGAAATGTTTCCGATCTCTCTGCAGACGTCCAACTATCCGCGGATACAATTCCGTGTCGAAATCGGCCGATTGGAAAGCCATTCGAGAGTATTTTTCGAGAACGTCCGAGTCCAAAAGCAAGTTCCGACGACCCAAAAGGTTCAAATCGAATCGATCGATCATTTCAGGAAGGGAATAAAAGTGTTCCGCGTCGAAATCCCGGATGCCCGAGCCATTTCTGATCATGAGATTGAGCACGGCGTCCGGAAGAACTCCGAGCTCATCGCCGTAATACGCCACGAATGCGTCTTTGTCTCTTTTCGAAAGCTTCTTTGTCGCCGAACGCATTATCAGTGACAAATGGATGAATTTGGGAGGCGTCCACGAGAAGGCTCTGAAATATTGAAACTCTGTTTCATTTTCTTCGAAAAAGTGAACGAAAACGTACTTGTAAAGAAGGTGATGTTTTCCTGTACTGCTCAACCATTCCATTCCACGAATCACGTGCGAAATTTGCATTTTTCGATCGTCCACTACATTCGCCAAATGATAAGTGGGAAAACCGTCAGATTTCAGGAGCACCGGGTCGCTTTCGTCAATGCATTGGCTCACGGAGCCGAACACCTCGTCCTGAAAATAAATTTCTTTGAAAATATTTTAGAAAAATAAAGTACCTCGAAGCTGACATTTTGTTTATCCAACTTGAATCTAATCACAAAATGCTCTCCGTTATTCGCCCTCGCTCTCGCCGTTTTCGCATCCAAATGCGCACATTTTCTATCGTATTTCGGGATTTCTCCTCTTCTCGCTGCGTCTTTTCTCAACAATTCCAGCCGGTCTTCTCCACAAAAACAGCGGTAGGCGTGGCCAGAATCGGCCAGTGAATCGGCGGCGTCTCGGTAAAATTCCAGACGTTTCGACTGTTCGTAAGGCCCAAAATCACCGCCTTCTCTCGGTCCTTCGTCCGGAATCAGATTGTACGAATTGAGCGCTTCGTAGATCTAAAAACAAGTGTTAAAAATGTGCTCTAAATTCGGAATTCCCCACTTTCTCCTGAGCATCGGGAACGAATCGGGCTCTGTCGGTGTCTTCGATTCGGAGAACAAAGTCTCCTCCGTGCTTTTTGGCGAATAAGTAGTTGAAAAAGGCGGTGCGCAGACCTCCAATGTGCAAATAACCTGTCGGAGAGGGAGCGAATCGGACCCGAACCTGAAAAATTTACTTTATCATTTAATTCACAAAACGATAAGTTTGAAACTCACTTTACTCCTCAAAAAACCAGTAAGTTTCATTGGCAAATCAGTTGAAAATGTGAAAATGGAAGAGAAAGTGGGTCAGGGTCTAGAAAGATTGTATGCAAAATCTAGGCCACGAAGTATTCCAAGTTAAAAATTGCATTTTCAGGCTGAAAATTTTATTGGGAACAACAAGAATTCACAAATGGTAATTAAGTGAAATTTCGTATCGTGTGCAGAAAATCTGAAGGCGTGAGGACAGCGTCTGAGCCCAAAAAGATTGTGGTGTTCGTCAGAGCGGACATCTCGTATACCGTCTTCATTTCCGAGAATGTCATGCCGCCTGAAAATTCGAGAATTTTATGAGAGAACCTTTGAAAACCAACTGACCAACAATGAAAAGAATGATCTTCCTCTTCTCACGTGCTCTTCCGTTCAATCCTGATCCATATCTGGCACTGCTCGCCGTCCTTTGCCCCGTACTCTCCGGCTTCTTGCTCATAAAACGGAACTCTCGTTCGTCGAGTCTTCTTTCCGCAGCCTCTTGCAAAACTTCTCGAATCTTCGGCTCCCAGCGGCACGACGGAAATCGCTCTTCTTCGCAAAGCGGACGTGGATGCGAATGATGCGTGTGCTGCAACAATTTTCACAGTTTTTCACATCACGGTATCATCCTACGCTTCTCCATATGAGCATCTTCCTGACCAATTCGTATTGCTCTTCCGGAATGTCAGTGTGGTGCAGGAGCCGGTAAAAGAATTGTTCATCTTTTGCTGTAAGTAAGTTATAATATTTTCAGTTGTTTCCCTTTTATACACATTTTCCAATGGTGAGCATGAAAATGAGAATGAGACGAAGGCGTGTTTCTGTCGGAATTGCCGGCAAAATCAGTGTGGAAAGACGGGCGACCGCTTGCGAATCTTTCAGTTTTTCGCCTTCGGGAGTGTATCCGGTGGCCATGTCCTGCTCCAAAATAATAATTTTCTCGAGTTCATCGAAAAACTTTCGTTGGCATTCATCGGCAATGTTTATGTACGCACTGGAAACTTGTTTGTTCTTTTCAATTTTTTTTAGAGTAAACACGTACGCCAATTTGCTGACCATTTTCTGACTGGCCGGCATCTGTCTGATCGTGTCTCCGAGCTCTCGAATCGAGGCGGATTCGTCCAGAGAACGAGCACTTTTCGTAGTCTCTTTGGTGATCGCGGACACTTTTTGCAGCACTTCGGCAATGTGTTTATGCCGCAATTCTGTCCACAACACATCATTCTCGTCCAGCGACGTCACTTTATTCTCTCCGTTGCTGGCCGTATAATTGTAGATGCCATTTTTAAAATCTGTCAAATCTGCGGCCATCGATTGAAGCGTAGTCTCGTGCAGCAGCGGAGATATTAGGTCGAAGCTTCGATCTGCAAAATGTGGTAAGAAAATACGGGAATAATGATCTCTTTACCCATAATAATGAGTTGTGCATCGTTTTCAATGACGAGCTCGTTCTGATGCTTCTGCAGCTCCTTCAGCTTCTGATCGACCCGATAACACAGTTCGGCACTTTGTGCGAAGTCCGAGTGATAGCGTCAAAAACAAAAATTTCTGTTTCAAACGCTCTTAATTTTTCTAGATTACCTGAGAGTTGGATAGAGATTCAAAGAGGCGCAGAGACTGACGATTCCGTCTGCGGTTCTGGAGACGTCCGCATTCGAAACGGTGAAGATTTGCTGCTCGAGCGGAGCATAACTCAGATTGAACTCTTTGAGAGTCTTGATGAATTTGACTGCCGGACTCTTTGAAAGTTTGGCAAAGAGCTCATCGTCACAGGGATCCAGAAAGAAGATGTTGGCCGCTTTGTACGAATTTTTCAGCGCGTATTTTGATTTTTGAGTGAAATCTTCGATGAGCCTCTGGATCGAGTCTGCCGTCGGCGAAATGATATAAATGGCTTCTATGGACGGCATCGGCTCGCGACATCGCGTCAAGTCTTCGACCAATGTGACGCCTTCTGCAATACGTCTTTTTTTTTGAAAATTGAAACTTTCAGATTTTTCAGACCTTCGAAAACTTCATTAAGGCCGAGGCAAGAGTTTAGAACTCGCATGGAATTTTTGTCAAGAATAAGAACGCTGAATTTTCGGTGTCCCAACTGCGGATCATAGTTCATCGGGCGCAGAATTTTTTCGATGATTTCTGCAAACTTTCGATTATTTTTCTTTGCCGAAAATTCCGCCACAAACTCACGGGATTTTACAATGTCGCGGAGCATTTTTGTGGCGCTACTCTTATTCGGAAGCAAACGCTCGCCGCTTCCATGGTCCCGTGGCGCGGAGCCAACGGCAACGCGGACGCATTTGCGCGTGATGTGTTTGCACATTAAATTATGCAAACTACTGAGGGATTTGGAGCATGCAAAATCAACGCCGAGAGCCGCAAAAATGCTTCGCGACATTGTAAAGTGAGTTTGTGGCGGAATATTCGGCAAAGAAAAACAATCGAAAGTTTGCAGAAATCATCGAAAAAATTCTGTTGGGACACCGAAAATTCAGCGTTCTTATTCTTGACAAAAATTCCATGCGAGTTCTAAACTCTTGCCTCGGCCTTAATGAAGTTTTCGAAGGTCTGAAAAATCTGAAAGTTTCAATTTTCGAAAAAAAAAGACGTATTGCAGAAGGCGTCACATTGGTCGAAGACTTGACGCGATGTCGCGAGCCGATGCCGTCCATAGAAGCCATTTATGTATATCATTTCGCCGACGGCAGACTCGATCAAGAGGCTCATCGAAGATTCCACTCAAAAATCAAAATACGCGCTGAGAAATTCGTACAAAGTGACTAACGTCTTCTTTCTGGATCCCTGTGACGATAAGCTCTTTTCCAAACTTTCAAAGAGTCCGGCCGTCAAATTGGCGGTCCAACATAATAGAACTGCGCAGAATAGAACCGCGACACAATAGAACCGGCCACAATATAACTGTTTGGAGCGTCTTTTAAACCTTTCTGTAGAATAATTGTTTCGTAGAAAAATAATTAAGGTCATTTTTGAATCTCGTGATCGATTTATTGCATTCATTAATTTCACTTCCGTCGTGATCCCTCTTCTCTACGGTAACGAAAACCCACAGAAAATAATTTTATTGTACTATAGTATACTATCAAAAACGAAAGGAAACCAATTTTCTAGGTTTAAACTGTGGTCTTCTGCTTAATTGTTCGAGAGACGAAAAATTTTGCTAAAGTTAATTGAAAGGAACGGACAAAATGCTCATATAAATACACAAAAACAGTTCTATTATGTCGCGGTTCTATTCTGCGCAGTTCTATTATGTCGCGGTTGTATTGTGTAGCGGTTCTATTCTGCGCAGTTCTATTCTGCCCAGTTCTATTAGGTTGGACCGCCGTCAAATTCATCAAGTGGTGGATTTGGAGCATGCAAAATGAGCGCTTGGAGAATTTTTGCAAAATTCTGCACGGAACAAACTGATTTTCTAACTAGTTCATAACAAAATGCACCTGAAATCAAACATGTAGCTGAAAAATCTGAAAAGTACTGTAGTAAGGTTCTTAACTTGTCAATAATTTCTCGACCACTAATAATGTCACCCTCTCCCCTCCCTATCAGTCTCCGTGAGTCACCGGCCGCGCCACCACCTTCTGTGTACTTTCTGAGCGCGCGTATTGCATGAATGCATGACGCGTTGGTTGGTCAACATTTCAAAAACAAGACCGTACATGCACAGTTCGATAACGAAAACGGGGAAAGGGAAACGAATTGTGTGGAGTGAGACGGAGTGCTCACACTTTTTCGGCCAGTATTGCCGATGTTGCGAACGCTCGACAAACGACAGAAGCGAGCGGAAGTTCCGGTGTCTCCGGAGCCAGCTCCGACGGCTTTTTCTCCTTCTTCCTCACGTCCCCGACCTCCAGAGCCGACCCCTACTTCATCAAGTATTCCTAATCCTAGACGATCTGTAAACTATGTACCTCCTACTCACATTCCTAATAGATCCAAATCTTCAACAAGTGCTCCCAAACAAACTACGTCCACTCCATCTTCTTCTTCCACTTCCACTGCCCATGGAGGCATCGTTCTCTTGTCGTCACGTCCGATTTCCGCGCGTGAACCGTCGGAATCTCAACGAACTAGAACGTACCAAAGCGTGAAGCCACGTGGCAGTGAAAAAAGTGAGTTTTCGAATCGCTCCGTTTATTTTGAATATTTACCAAAGCGCAGGAACAAAACAACATCGCTCAAAGGTAAACACTCTAGAATTAGACATTTCGCAACCGGAAAACAATCTGGAACCATCTTTCAGAAATGGATACCGCGTGCAGCGGAACGTCGGATTTTGGCCGTGTTGTGTGGATCACGGAGCCGCTGGAGGGATTCGTGGCCGCCCGAATTTCGGATATCTCGCATGACGGACTCACTCTTTCGACGCTTTCCGGCAACGAACAAGTCGTTCGTCGCTACGACGAGACGTTCGCGTGTGAGGAGGACTCGCAGAAGTCGGTCGAGGACAACTGTGCTCTGATGCACCTCAACGAGGCGACTCTCCTCAACAACTGCAGAATCCGCTACTCGAATGGAAAGATCTATGTGAGCTCAGAATCCGACTCTGGTTTATCTAAACTCATGTTTTCAGTCGTACGTCGCCAACATTCTCATCTCCATCAATCCCTACCAGCACATCGAGGGCTTCTACTCGTCGGACACCATCAAAGCGTACCGCGGAAAGTCGCTTGGACAGAAGGAGCCGCATATCTTCGCCATTGCCGACAAGGCCTATCGGGAGATGCGTCGCCATAAAGCCTCGCAGTCGATCATCGTGTCCGGAGAGTCGGGAGCCGGAAAGACCGAGTCGCAGAAAGCGGTGCTCAGATATTTGTGCGAGAACTGGGGAGCCGAGGCGGGACCCATTCAGCAGAGACTTCTCGAGACCAACCCGATCCTGGAGGCGTTCGGAAATGCGAAGACGCTGAGGAACAACAACTCGAGCAGATTCGGGAAGTTTGTGCAGATCCACTTTGCTGAAAACGTAAGAATAGAGAATGCTCTGAATGCTGCAACAAATATTTGAATTCAGGGAAGCGTCGCCGGCGGTTTCGTGTCGCATTACTTGCTGGAGACGTCGAGAGTATGCCGTCAGACTTCCGGAGAGCGCAACTACCACATCTTCTACCAGCTCATCGCCGGATCTTCCCCTGAATTCTACAAGCACCTCGCTCTTTCCCCGCCCCACACCTTCAACTATCTGAAACATGGATCCACTGGATTCTTTGCTCATTTCAACTCGAGTTCCGCTGCCAAAGTGGCCAAAGACCGATTCTCGGAGGCAAAGTTCTCGAACGATTCGATGGTCGACGATTGGTCGGACTTCCAAAGACTTGAGAAGGCGCTGAGCTCATCTGGAATCGGTTCCGAAGAGCAGAAGTTCATCTGGTCGACAGTAGCCGGAATCCTTCATCTCGGCAACGTCGAATTCGAGGAGAATGCGAACGATTCGCGAGGAGGATGCAAAGTGACTGCGGAGACGGAACTCTCATTGGCCCACGCGGCACGTCTTCTCGGCCTGGAACCGGATGAAATGAAGATGGGATTGTGTGCCAGGATCATGCAGGCGACGAAGGGAGGCGTGAAGGGAACTCTGATCAGAGTGCCACTGAAGGCTCACGAGGCGGCCGCCGGAAGAGATGCTCTCGGCAAGGCGATCTACTCAAAACTGTTCGATTGGCTCGTGGCGCAGGTCAACAAGAGCATTCCGTTCGAGAAGAGCTCTGGATACATCGGAGTGCTCGACGTCGCCGGCTTCGAATTCTTCGCCGTCAACTCGTTCGAGCAGTTCTGTATCAACTTCTGCAACGAAAAACTGCAGCACTTCTTCAACGAACGCATTCTGAAGCAGGAGCAGGAGTTGTACGCCGCCGAAGGACTGAATGTCCAGAAGATTGAGTTCACCGACAATCAGGACTGCATCGATCTGTTCGAGACGAAAGCCTCCGGACTCTTCGATCTTCTGGATGAGGAAGCGAAGTTGCCTCGTCCGACATTCCAGCACTTCACCCAAAGAGCCCACGAATCGAACAAGAAGCACTTCCGACTCGACACTCCGCGCAAATCAAAAGTGAAGGCGCACCGAGAGATGCGTGACGACGAGGGACTGCTCATCCGACATTACGCGGGATCCGTGTGCTATGAGACGAAGTTCTTTGTCGAAAAGAACAACGATCAGCTGCACAATTCGCTGGAGATTCTCATCGAGCAATCCTCGTAAGTTTTAAATATAACTCGGAAATCTTTTGTATGAAAGTGTTCCAGGTTCCCACTTGTCGTCTCTCTCTTCACAAATGAGCCCAGCGGAGCAGTCAAGACTGGCGGGAAACTGAAGGCGGTGAGCGTCGGAGCCAAGTTCAAGTCGCAGCTGTCGGCTCTTCTGGAGAAGCTCCACCACACGGGCACTCACTTTGTCCGTTGCGTCAAACCAAACAACCAGATGAAGCCGTGGACGTTCGACGGAGCCGCCATCCTCAGTCAGTTGCAGTGCGCCGGCATGGCTTCGGTGCTCCGTCTGATGCAGGAGGGATTCCCCAGTAGGACCTCGTTCGCCGACCTGTACGCAATGTACGAGAAGCGTCTGCCGCCGAACCTCGCCCGTCTCGACGCGCGCCTCTTCTCGAAATGTCTCTTCCGAGCACTGGGACTCGATCAGAACGACTATCAGTTCGGACTGACGAAGGTGTTCTTCGCCGCCGGAAAGTTTGCCGAGTTTGATCAGATGATGAGACAGGATCCGGAGACGATGATGGAGTTGATTGCGAAAGTGAACGGATGGCTGATCAAGGCGAGATGGAGGAAGGCGCAGTACGGAGTGTGGAGTGCCATCAAGTGTGAGTTTATGAGATTGACACAAGAGATGACTCGAATTGTTTCAGTAAAGAACAAAATCGCCTACCGTACCAATGCCATCAAGAAGATCCAGGCGTGGACCCGCGGATACCTTGTTCGCAAACGTTTCCAGAAGCGTCTGGCCGTCTTCCGCAAAGCGTGCGCCCTTCTGGAACAGTCGAAGGAGATGACTGATGTCAGAGCTTAATAATCCTATTCGACCATACTTATATTTTTCACTTCCAGATTCTCGGTCGTCTCACTGAAGCGAGTCAGAATAAGTGGAGACAGTCTGCGGACGGAACGACTCGGGACCTCGAAGCCCTCGTCGTCAAGATCAAGAACGGAGAATCGGTGGGAGAGGTCGAACAGGCTGGTAAGGTGTACGAACAGTGTGTGAAACGGGTCGACTCGATGATCGCCGACCTGAAGAATCAGTTGAAGAACGACGAACTGGCGGAGATGGAGCGTCGGCGGCGTGATGCCGAAGAGAAAGAACGTCGCAAGCAGGAGGAACGGGCGGCCGCCGAGCGGGAGAGACAGGCGCGCCGGAAGATGGAAGAGGATCGGGAGAAGGCGCAGAAGGCGTATGAGGCGCAGTTGGTGGCTCAGAAGCTGAAAGAGTCGGAGGACAGGGAGGAGGAGCGGAAGAAAGTGGAGAAGGAGGAGAGGGAGCGTCTCGATGCGATGGTCTCCAGCCGTCTCGCCACTTCGGACGGCGTGGCTCTTGTGGCGGAAGCTGCTCCTGCTCCCACTTCGACCGGAGCCAAACGCGGAAAGTACGATCTGACCAACTGGAAGTACGCCGATCTTCGCGATGCCATCAACACCAGCATGGGTATCTGAAGATTATCTGAATCCTTCCCAAAATCTCTTTTTCTTTTAGACATGGAACTGTTGGTGGCGTGCAAAGAGGAATTCCACCGTCGTCTGCGCATCTACAACGAGTGGAAATCTCGGAATTCGGCTCAACGCGATGTCCCGCCGACTCGTGCTCCATTGGCCGTTTTCAGTCAGCGTAAGGGTTCTGAATAACGTTTTCTTATCAATTCGAAGAGTTCAGAGTCGGCCGTGCCAAGTGCTCCGATCGTTGCCACGGGCTCTTCGAGTTCTCCGCCCGTTCAGCGCTTCTTCAAAGTTTCCTTCGCCGCCGGAAAGGGACAAAAGCGTGAGTTCCTGTTTTGTTCAAAATACCATTTACTATATTCAGACACTGTCCCGCAGAACGGAATGTGGTACGCGCACTTCAACGGCCAGTACATTCAGCGTCAACTGACGCTCCGCCCGTCTCAGATGCCGCAGCTACTCGTCGCCGGACGCGATGATCTGAAGATGTGCGAAGTGTCGCTGGACGAGACAGGATTGCTCAGAAAGAAGGGAGCCGAGATCACGGCAAACGAGTTTGAGGCGCAATGGCTACATTACGGAGGAGGACACTAGAATGTCTACATGAATTGATTGTAATGGATTGAATAGAATAAAAGAGAGAAATGTAATGGTTTCCATTTCTTAAACAACCCTCTGATAGTAGTGATGATGAGATCATTGATGACTGCGGGACAAGACAAAATCAATTGGAGCACTGATAAGGGGAGACTGAAAACCGCTTCTCCCTTTCTCGTTTCCCACCACTCCAATCATGCTTCGAACTATACTCATTTCCCTTTTCCTTCTGAATTTAAGCCGAGCGGGACCTCTGGATACTCTAGAGAACGCCTACTCGAAAGCGGTCGAATGTGCGGTCTGTCAGTTCTTCGGAGCATCCACAGCTGGCAAAACTGGAGCGTCGAGAGCAGGTAAAACAGAGAAAGCTTCCACTTTTACGCTCATTTTCATTTTGAGAATCGATCGCCCACTGTCTAAGATTCGAAGGATGCGAGCAGCAACAGAGTGATTGTGAAATAGTTGCCACGTTGCACTCGGAGATCGAAAAGATGGACGGAAAGTTTGGGAACGCGAAGCCAGTCATCGAGAACGCCGTCTCGAAATGCGCGGAGAATCCGAAGGCACTGGTGATCGGTGAGGATCCGTCGAGCACTCAGTGCATGCTGTGCTTCCTGGTCTACGATGTGCTCAAATACATTAACTACAGTACGCCTTGACTGGAACTTCCGGGATGTGTGATCTATAACTGCTTTCCAGATATTCTCGAGAATCCAATGTTGGCAGACGTCAAAGTTGCGCTCGAATCGGCGTGCATCCTTCTGAACGAGGACCTCTGCCAGGCCCTCCTTCAGCCGGACTCTCTCGGAGCCATCATTCGTGGTCTGCAGGATTCGCTTGGCGGCTTCTACGACTTGATCGCAGTGCAGGGCTTCGGGTGTCCGGCGTATAATGACCTGTTTGGGAAATGCTAACTTTGACTCTAGTAAATTGTTTTTTGTGTAATACCAATAAGAAGACCGAAAATATGGCGAATTACGTCTGTCTTAAGCATTCAAAATATCCCCTCTCTGTGTCTCTCAGTCTGCACACACTCACTGATCCATCAGTGATTTGGAATTTTTAAAAATTTTTCCATTATCTGACTCTCACCACACAGTTCCACTTCAGACCGAAAAAACTTCAGACGACGCCCAGTGAGTTGAAAAGAACACTTACCGTAAATAATAGAAGGTTCCCCGTCCGCCCACGCACTCTAATCTTCGAGTGTTTGCAATTCTCCTTTTAGTTCTCAATGACCCGGATTCCGGCCATCCCGAAAGATGGTCGATTTCGATAATTGGGCAAGAAGAAGAAGAAAGAGGACATTTTCCTCTCTTTCTCTCAAATTTATTCGACTTTTGAACACATAATAGTTGAACCTAGTTGAACCTGAACCGAATGGATTGACGGCGACAACTGAAAACAAAAGGAATTGACAGTCTCCGACGGAAATGCCTCTCGTTTCCATCCGTTGGTAATAGGACTAGTCATCGATGCGATTCCAGAAGAAACGGGCGTTAGCATCAGAAGGAAAGATGGGAGAAAAGCCAAGGTCGAATAATGATATATAAAAACGCATTGCGAAAAAAATGAACTCATTCTCGTAGAATCGTATCGTTATTGAACTACTTCGAATAGCTAACCCTGAAAGCGCTTAATTTTTTGTTATTTCATGTAATACCAACAAGTTCAACAAAAATATGAAAGGAGAAAACAATGGAAAATCAACAAGTGGTAGTGTAAAATTGAGAACAAATGATGTGTGAGGGAAAATCGAAGAAAGAATTACAGTTTCACAAGAAGGTTAAAACTTGGTTCGTTTGTTCTGTCCTCCTCCGAATCCACCTCCATCATGTGGTCGCTTGAAGTCTCCACGGCCACGGCCGCCACCAAATCCGCGATCTCCGCCACCGAATCCACCACGAGATCCTCCGCGGAAGCCGCCACCACCGCCACCACGTCCGAATCCTCCGCCACGACCTCCACGGTCTCCACCACGCCCGCGATCTCCACCACGTCCACGGCCTCCGCCCCGTCCACGACCGCCACCAGCATTCGAAAGGAATCTGGAATACTGATTTGAATGAAATTATTCACTCGGGCACTAAAAACAAACCGTTCAACTGGCAAGAGCTTTCCGGGGTCAATGTACAACTGAGATCCTTCTTTGAACGACGCGGCTTTGACTCCCTGCGAAAGTGTCACAGAAAATCCCTGAAAAAAATAGATTGAATTAAATGTTATTCTGAATAAATGAGAAGTCTCACGTTCTCTCCCGGTGATCCGAAAATTTCATCAATCTTTCCGACTTGTTCCTTATTTTCGAAGTAAATTGGGGCGTTGAAATAAGGGATTTTTCCGCTTGTGTTATTGCAGACGATGTCATTTTGGCACTGATGAGAGAAGACTCCAACGAGAACAACCTCGTCCGGTGGTCCTTGATCGTAACCTCCTCGGCCTCCGCCGAATCCTCCACGACCACCACCGCCTCCACGTCCTCCTCTGAAACCTCCTCTATCGCCTCCGCCACGTCCACCGCGGAATCCTCCTCTGTCACCGCCTCCACGGCCACCACGGAATCCACCGCCGCCGCCGCCACCACGTCCACCGCGAAAACTCATTCTGAAACGAAACTGATAAGAATTAAAGAAAACCAATGAAAACAGAAAAGATTTTATGAATTTGTACAATTTTTTTAATGCTAAAGAAAGCAAATGAACGGAGATTCCAGCCAAGCAACGAGGTTTTCTGCCGAAAGTCAATGAATGCCTATAACCTCGATTTTTTCAAAGATTTTTCACTAAAACTTGTATTTTTTGTTGTAAGAAAGTGACCAGAATACGAATTATCGTTTTTTCTACAAAATATTCTGCTTTCCGTTGAGAAATTATTGAAAAACAATTGAAGAACCGATTTAATCGAAGAAAATAGCAACAAAGAGAGACTATCGCTGCGAGACCCACCGCGTTCAAACGCGTATGCGCCTTTAAACAAAATGCATAGAATCTCCTCGTTCGCCGCGAATTCGATATTTTTGACGCGATTTTTTCGAATTCTCTTCGAATTTTGTTTCAAAATGTCCGATGGAAAGTTCAAGAAATGGAAAAAGAGCTAGTTTATGTTTCTAGGGCTCTGTGAAGAGGATTTGAACTGGTGGGGATTTGATTTTTAGATTCCTTCCTAGAGAAAATGAATGGGACATTTAAAAATGATACATTCGAAGATATGCACACTTTTGCAATACTTTTTCAGCTTTCAATCTAAATAAATTCAACTGGAAGCCGTCTTTTAAGCCTTCCCCGAGAGAACATTTGCCAGCTTACAGATTTCGCTGCAAAATTTAAATTGATTCAATTTTTTAACTTCCGGGCGTAGGAGGAGGAGAAGAAAGAACGGAAGCATGAGAGAGAACGAAAGGTATTATTAAAGTGCAAAAGTCCGTGTGTTTCGCTCTCTCCACGTATCTCTGTCACTCCCCATTCTCCTCTTCTTTCCCGCGGTTTTCTGTGTGTCACATTGAATTACTGAACCAATTGGTTGCGAGCAATCCATTCCATATCGCCGGGGCGCAGTTGTTCGCTCTCTTATACTCTGTGGTCCGTTGCAACTTCAGGGCGCCTCAAAAGAAAGTCATTTTCAGACCTGTCCTTAAGATCTACTCGGGTAGGTCAAAAGGTAGGCGCCGGCGCGAGCATTTTGTTAATTTTCCATCGGGCCTCTCGTCAAAACAAGTCTCTCGCCGCCACAGGCGTTGTGCATGCCCTGAACGCTTTATTCCTCTCGAGCTTCCTGCCTTCTGGCTTCGTCCCGGCTCTCTGAAAATGCTCTTCTCTTCCGTCTCTTTAACCCCAATTGTCTTTCTTTTCTCTCGCTCCATCTCTTCACAGAATGACGTTCGTCTTCGGTCACGCGTTCATTTCGCTTTTTGCCATCTCTTGTTAGCTTATTCCTCCGGAATTAAGAATTTGAGAAAACCAGGAGAAATTTAGTAAAATTCTACCCCTCGAATATGCAGTGTTTCCCCACAAACCTGTCGTCTTTTCAGTTCGGCGCCACGTTTCCATTCCACTCGGCCCTTATTCTCTTTCCCTCTCATTCTCTTCAGTCTCTCACTTCATTCATTTCGACCGTCGACCGCCGCCGAACAAAAGTTCATACGTCCTTTTTGGCGCACGCGCTCTCTCCACATCTCTCCTATTTTTCTCAGAGCCCTTGTACTTTTCAAGGAAGCCGAAGATCGTCGTCGTTTGTGCTCTGATCGGAAGGCTCTAATTTCTCTGATTTTTTTTTCTCTTTTTCTCTTTCCAATGATAAAGTGCTGTGAGTGTGCACCTACTCATTCCGAAACTAGCAATTAGAGAGCACGAGCTCGTGCTCTCCAGTTTGTGAAGCTCAAATTTCCACTCTTTCGGGTCGCTTGATAATCCTAATCCGAATGCGAATACGCCCGTTTCCAGTAATCTCAAGTCTCTTCTCTCTTCTTCGTATAGCAGTAGTATCTAGTGTGAAATTCTCATACGTTTTCTCTACTTGCTGCTCGAGCTTTTCCTCTAGAATTCTCTACAACTTCTTTGCAGGTAGTGTTCCTTTACTAACCCGTAGCTAACCGAATGGCTCGCGGCGACCAACAGGGCAGGAATGCGGACGGCTCAGGTCCCGGACCTTCTTCTTCTTCCGGTCAGAACCCGGAGGAGCCGGAGGAGCATCGAGTGGGTGAACCACGCGAACCCAGAAACTTCCGGCCGACCTTGGGCGATCGGTTTTTTGAACTGACGCGAAAAAAGATTTCGCAGAAAAGGAATCGATTCGTCTATCAGGGAATAAACTTGGACCTGGCTTGTTAGTTTCTGAAGACAAGAAGATGCTTAACTGAAAATTTGTAGACATCACTGACCGAATCATCGCAATGGGATATCCGTCGGAGGGCGTCGAAGCGTGCTACCGCAACACAATGCAGCACACCACCGAGTTTCTGCGGCGGCGCCACGGCGTGAATCACGTGAAGGTGTTCAATTTGCGCGGCGGATGCTTCTACGACACGTCGAACTTCCAACACAACGTGATCACCTTCGACATGACCGATCATCATCCGCCACGTCTCGAGTTGATGGCTCCGTTCTGCAGAGAGGTAAGAATCATCAGTGAAGTGGAGCGCCTAACTAATGATAAATCCAGGCGTACGAATGGCTGGAAGCGAACGAGGCGAACGTAATCGCAGTGCACTGTAAAGCGGGAAAAGGCCGGACGGGAGTGATGATCTGCGCGTTCCTCATTTACATCCAGTACTACCGGCTTCCCCGTCAAGTGCTCGACTACTACTCGATCGTTCGCACCAAGAACAACAAGGGAGTGACGATTCCGTCGCAACGGCGCTACATTTACTACTACAACGTGCTCCGCGAGCAGCAGCTCAACTACTTCCCGCTTCGGATGCAACTTCTCGGAGTCTACGTGGAGAAACCGCCATTGACCAGCTTCTTTGGGTCCAAGATTCGGATCAAGGTGAGCAACGGATCGACGGACGTCTTCCAGCCGGAGGATATGTCGATTTACGGACATTCGTGGACCGAAGAATACTGGTCGTGGCGCGGCAGAAGTCGACTTAACAGTCGATGCGACGAGCTGAACATGGAGACTCAAGTCGGAGTGGTTTCCAACAGAGCCTACTGTTTCATGGTGCCTCCGGAAAGTCCAGTTTTCGTCGAAGGAGACGTTCGCGTCGATCTCATCGCGCCAGAGTCTGGCTGGTTCCGAAGGTACGAGAAGATCGGACATGTCTGGTTCAATACAATGTTCGCGTGCAAAGGCAGCTGCAAAGTAGATTTCCAGTACGGTGACCAGGAATGGCCGTATAAAGAGGGCGAAACTTCCATTGCCAAGGAAGAGTTGGGTGAGCATCGTAAACGAATCCCCGAAAAAGTTGAACGAACTCATCCGGAAGGACGGAAGCTAAGCCAGGAGGAGGAGGAAGAGGAGGAGAATCCAGATGTCGAACGCGAGTGGAAGGATCCTGTTTCGAAGGAAGAGATGGGAAGACTGAAGCTCATCAAACCGCCCGGACTCAGCGAGCACGCCACCGAGGATTGCGTCACCAAGATCTACGAGAATTACGGAATGGCTCCGTGAGTTTAAGAGATACCTAATTGCTTTGAAACTTGAAAAAGTCAATTTCAGACCTCGTGAACGCATTTGCAATTCGCTCCACCTGGCTCACAAAAAAAATATAGTTCGCGACGTGTACGGAGAGCGCAAAAGTCAAGAGATAGATATGCCCGACATTGTTCTGCAAGGCATCAACCGGGAACCGAGAGGAGTCGACGGCCCGATTCGTATTGTTTACGAGAAGGGCACACATGTTCTCACGTTCCCCGTCTACGAAATGGATCGAGCTCTAAAAAACAAAGAACTGGACGTCGGACTTCGCTTGCACGTCGTGCTCAAATGCATCTCCGACTCAGATGTGGTGCAGCGCTCGAGGAGCGACGTCTTCTGCAACACGGTGTTCAATGCGGCCGAGACTCGGATTGCTCAGGCTGCGGTCGGACGTCCGGTGCCAGATCCGATTCCCAATGCGACTGGCGCCGAGAAGGCGATGCCGCCGGCGGTAATGTACGCTGATCAGCAAGGCGGATACAACGGAAGAGCCCATCCGAATCTGGGCACTCAGGAGTTCGACACGAACGATTTGGCAAGACAATTGAGGTGGTGCCGCTTCTTCTACAGACAACGCGACCAATCGCCGAGCAAATATCCGCACGAGGTCCATACGTGAGTGTTTTTACCCAGAAAATGAACGATGCTATTCAAATTACTCGTTTTTCAGATGTGCTCTCACTCAGCAGTCGTTCAATTTGCGACGCAGACCCGGAACAGACGATGACGACGTGCAGCCGAGAAGAAGCGCAAGGGGCGGTCGTTCGTCGGAAGGCGGCGAGTCTCCTCCGGACAGCGCACCGAGCGCTCCGTCTGCTTCCTCGGCCCGGCCTGATTCCTCGACGGATGATTCCAAATTGTCCCATCAGCTTCGTGGGATGACCATGAACGTGACGTTGGCCGAGGAGGAGGACTTTCGACTCTCAGGCGATGATGACAGCGACTTTGACGAGCAGGATGAGCCGTACGAGGTGCCACGCAAGGTGAAGGGAAACTTCTCGTTGGAGGAGGTCAAGGAACGGATGAGAGGATTGGCGACGGCGCAGAGGAAAATGGACGAGCAGTATCTGGAGAAGAAGTCCGGAGAGCTTCTGAGAGTCGACAGACAGACGGAGGTAAGGAGGACTTCATCATCTGGATGATCACCAAGTGGTAAAAAGGAACAAAAAACATTCAAATTTCTAGGAAAGTGACTCGGCGATTGCCTCCTGCTCCAGCTCCTGCAGCTCCAGTAACAATATTATAGTCTTCTGAATCTAAATTATTCACTTTCTAGACTTATTTTATTCTTTACTCTGAGTATTCCTACTATTATAAACTTACGACAGGTAGTACCTTCCTTACACTTTTCTTTCTTCCCAATCAACTGATTTTGTTTCAGGTTTACAACGATGATGACGAGGAATCCTACCCGCTCTCCGTCGGCCTTTTCCGAAGCGATCTTCTGGAGTTCGACGAAAAGGAACATGCTGAGGCGCTGGACAAACTGAACGAGCTCAAGCAGGAAATGTCGGCGTTCAATGCTAATGTTGAGCGAGTGAAAGTGGATGAACAGGTCACCGATGACGGGTTGGATTATTTGGCGGAGATGCTCGACACTTTGGAGATCGACGAAGAACGGGAGCATCAGGAGAAGCTGGATAGAGACAGACATCTAACATCCCAGAAAGCAGTGCAATTGGCCGTCGACAGTTGGGCAAAATCGGAAGAATCGCATCTTAATAACAACAAGGAGCCGACGGGAATGTCGACTTTCCAGAATGAAGAGAAACGACGTCTCGAGCTGCTTCACTCGAAGAGCGGCACTCTCCGTTTCGTGACCGGATGGCACAACAAGCAGCCACATCAGTACACGCGCGAGGAGACAAAGTTCGCGAGAAGTGAGGATGCGCAAGCGATCGAGCTCAAGGACTACGTGAAGAATAAGTTCCCGATGTCGTCGAAAATGATGTGGACGATGAAAGCGAATCATGAGAAGGCGCGGAAAATGTACGAGAAGTGCAAAAAACTGCTCGCCAAATCTCAATAATTATGTACAGAGAACACTCAGTCGGGAGTTTCTACTAATTTTTTCAAGTTTTGCTCCCCCAACACATTCGTGTACCATTTTGAGCCCATCACTACCACTACTATCACTATTCTTTTTGTCTATTGCCCTTTTATTTTAGCTCTATTTGTAAGTATACGCTCCTCACCAATTCAACTTGCGGGTCTCCCACCTTAAACGCACTCGTCATAATTTGAATTCTCCAATTTTGAATCTGAATTTTGACACGCAACAAAAGAAGAGAGACGGGTCTTTTTGTATGGGCTTTAAAATAAATTTTTGTGAATTGGACATTGTCTGTATTTATGGTATTCGTTTTATTGAGCCAATTGGGAAAGCTGCTACACTACCCGTGGATTTATACAGAATATTGTTCAATTTATTGCTGAGCTGCCGCAATTTTCCGACGAGCCTGCTCTTCTTTGACTCTCAAATAGTCCTCCATTTCCTGATGCTGTAGACGTGGAGCTGCCATTGACCATTTCTGCAAATAACCACAGTTCGTGAGAAGCGTACAATTTCGGACTCACCTTAATTTCCATGGCTCCAGAGTAGGCACAGTAGGCGGCGCTGGCAACAAGCACGAAAAGGCCAGAAGCGTAGGCGTGCGCTCTAATTTTTTGAGGAATTTTCATAGTTCTTTGAGCAGAAAACTGGAAAAGTGGACGTTTTCGTGTTTCTTTTTTCGGGCCAATTTTTGAGAGGTGTACGGTGGATTTTAAAGCGTGCATTCTGAATGTACACGGCGACGTGAACTTGCGGACTTTGTGGTCAGTTGATTTTTTCGAAGATTTTGCGATGGATTTTTGGGCTTTTAGAATAATTTCCTTGCTGTTTTTCGATTGTAATTATTGCGGATTGAGTTTCTGTGCTTTTTCCCAAAATTTTAACGCTAAAATTCCAATCAAATCGCTCGTTTTACTCGCCTGTACTAACAAGTTTAGGCCTTGTGTAAAATTGACAATTTTTGCAGGAATCAGGCAAGGGTTACACGAATCGTCATTTGAAAATGACGTCTATGTATAATTTCAAACGAATTACAGTCGTTCCGTCGGCTTCGGTGAATTTGATCAGCTCATTGTTTGAAAAAAGTATATTATCTTGCAGGAACTGAAAGATGTTGTTCTGTCGAAGACGCAGAGAAAGACTCCGACTGTCGTTCATCGTCAGTACTCGATCGGAAGAATTCGTGCGTTTTATGCCCGTAAGATCAAGTTCCTGCAACAAACGCTTCACGACAAGTTGACACAGATTATCAACGAGTTCCCAAAGATGGAGGTACTGAAAATCAATGAAAGCAGTTTTTATACATGTTCGATTTTCAGGAAATTCATCCGTTTTACTCTGATTTGATGAACATTCTCTACGATCGTGATCATTACAAGATCGCACTCGGACAGATGAACACCGCTCGCCATCTGATCGACGGAATCGCGCGCGAGTACGTTCGCCTCATGAAATACGCCGACTCGCTGTACCGTTGCAAAATGCTCAAGAGAGCCGCATTGGGACGTATGGTCAAGCTGCTGAAGCGTCAAAAGTCTAGCTTCGAGTACTTGGAGCAGGTGCGACAGCACTTGTCCCGTCTGCCCAGCATCGACCCGGCCACGCGTACTCTCATTCTGTGCGGATTCCCGAACGTCGGAAAGTCTTCGTTCATCAATAACGTCACGAGAGCTGATGTTGAGGTGCAGCCGTACGCTTTCACCACAAAGGCGCTCTATGTTGGTCACTTGGACTATCGTTTTCTCCGTTGGCAAGTCATCGATACCCCCGGAATCTTGGATCAACCGCTGGAGGACCGTAATACCATCGAAATGCAAGCTGTGACTGCTCTCGCCCATCTCAAAGCCTCCGTGCTCTTCATGATGGACGTATCCGAGCAATGCGACCGTTCTATCGAGGAGCAACTTCATTTGTTCGAATCGATCCGCCCACTGTTCGCCAACAAGCCAGTGCTTATCGGACTCAACAAGGTCGATATCAGACACCGTGCCGATCTTCCAGCCGACAAGGCCGCTCTTTTGGATAATCTGGAGAAGGAGGGAATCCCAATCGTGGAGACTTCTACTCTGACCCAAGAAGGAATCATGAATCTGAGAGATCGTGCTTGCGACGAGCTTCTGGCTCAACGTGTCGAGGCCAAAATTCAGGCTAAAAAAATCACTTCGGTCGAGGATTCGGTTCTGAACCGCATCTTCGTTGCCTATCCAGCGCCACGTGACGAGAAGGTGCGTGCTCCGTTCGTGCCACCAGGTCTCGCCGCGAAGCGTGCCCAGAAGAAGATTGCTGCTGAAAATGCAATGGAAGTTGATGACGCGGCACCAAGCAACATTGCCAGCCTCAAGCAGTACAGGGACGACAACACTCGCCGTCTAGAGCGTGAAATTGAGTTGGCCATGGAAGATGACTACATTCTCGACCTCAAGAAGCACTACTTGCTCAAGAATCCAGATGAGAAATATGACGTGGTTCCGGAGATTTGGGAGGGACACAACTTGGCCGATTTTGTGGATCCTGAGATTCAGGAGAAGCTGGAGAACCTGCTCCGCGAGGAGGAACTTCTCGAGAAGGCCGGCGAGTACGAATCGGATTTGGACAGCGACGACGACGAGACGAAGGAAAAGATGCAGCTGGCTCTCCAGATCAGAGAAAAGGAAAAGCTGTTGACGTTGGAGCACGCCGTGAACAAGAGAGTCGCCGGACGGGTCGGCTCGCGAGTGCACAGCAGAAAGAGGGAGAGATCGATGTCACGGTTGGAGCAGGAGCTCGGAGATCTTGGAGTCGATGTGGACACGAAGAAGATGAAGAATCTGCAGGGACAGTGTGCCAAGCCACAGCTCGGAAAGAAGGTAATTAATGGTTTTTTTTTTTTTTGAGAAACTTTTTGTACAAAACTTGTGTATTTCAGATGAAAATTGGACGTTCTCGCAGTCTCAGCGCAGTGCGTCCGGCGCCACGCGACGAGCTGGCTTTTCCGGACGAAACGAAGCGTGCTCACGTCAACAAGCTCCGCACGAAAGCGATGCGTGGTCTGCGTCGCGAAGCCAAGAAGGGAGAAGCCGATCGTCACGTGTACGACCTCAAACCGAAGCACTTGTTCTGCGGAAAGAGAGGAAATGGAAAGACGGATTGGCGTTAACTTCCAATTTTGCTATTCTTTATTCCATTTTCTTCTGTCAATTTGTTACTGTTTTCATCTATTTTTGTTCTGTTTTTCGTTGCTTTTCCTGGACTTTCTCTATTTTATCCCCACCAAAATATCCTGCATTGTATGCTCGCTTCCCAATAAAGTGCTTCTGAAAGTTGTTGAACAGACGGTCTTTGAAAATTGCATATACTTTCGCATTCTTTGAATTTTTTCTCCATTTTTCGAGATACTCATCGAAAATATAACGTTCAGATGGGAAAGAAGCGGGCGAATTCAGAAGTGACCAAAGAGGGACAGCCGGCTGAAAAAAAAGAGGTTTTCACAGTAGTTTCTAGAAAAATAAACGTTGAAATGTTTTGCAGAGAGTGGAAAAATGGCTGGAAAAAGGTTGCGCCAACGATTCTGAAGCGGTCGCCAAAAAGAAGAAACGACCGTGGAGGAACAAGGTGCGAAAGCTGGCGGCGAAGAAAGTGGCGGCCGAAAAACGCGCAGAGGATCCGGAAAGCTCTCTGATTCTAGAACCACAAGGTTCTTCGGAAGAGGGCGCGAAAAAGAAGAAGAAGCGAGGACCGAAGAAGAAGAAATTCAAGCCGGAGACGACGACGGATTCAGAAGGCGGCGTGAAGGAAGAGAACCCGATTGTGGAAGCGAAAAAGAGATTGGACGCGGGCAGATTCCGATTTCTCAACGAGAAGCTGTACACGTGCACCGGCTCCGAAGCATTCGACTTCTTCAAAGAGGATCCAAAAGCGTTCGACTGCTACCACAAAGGGTTCGCGGATCAAGTGAAGAAGTGGCCGAACCATCCGTTGAAGGAGATCGTCCGATGGCTGCAGGCAAAGCCCGACAAGCAATCCGTGTTCGATTTGGGCTGCGGAGAGGCCAAGATTGCCGAGGCAGTCTCCGAGAGACACAATGTGAGGGGAAATGTAGCTTTATAAGTTTTCGGAAGTGTTTTTTATGTGAAATTCGGCTCAGTCTCCGTTATGTAGTTTTGACTACAGTTGAGCTACATTCTTCATGAAATCGAGGTCTGTTCAGATCCGCTCATTCGACCTGGTGGCAGTGAACGATCGTGTGGAATCGTGCGACATGTCGAAGCTGCCGGCCGAAGACTCCTCGGCCGACATTGTCATTTTCTGCCTATCCCTCATGGGCACCAATCTTTACGATTTCATCCGAGAGGCGAGACGAGTCCTCAAAACTGGGTACACCTACCTAATCTGACGACTAACTAGAAAGCCAATTTCAGAGGTGTGTTGAAAATCGCCGAAGTGACGAGTCGTTTCGTGTCGATCAAGCAGTTCTGCGAGGCCGTCATCAAAATGGGCTTCGAGATGGCGAATCGTCGCCAGCTCACCGACTATTTCATCATGTTCGAGTTTCGAAAGTCCGAAAAAGTCGTCGAAAAACGACCGTACGGACTGAAACTTAAACCTTGCTTGTACAAAAAGCGTTGAAATCTTCATCTCTGTTTTCTGTTGTCTTGTTACTTGTTTCAAATTTGAATGATTTTTTGTTCTTTATTAGTCTTTTCTGGGGCCCAAAATCAGATTGTAGCTGCAGCGGGCGAGGGCTCTAAATCGGGCGCTCTGACGAAAATACGGAATACAAACTGACATGGGCGGTACCAGTGAGAAGTGGGGAAAAGTGGGAATTCGTCTAGCTATGAAATCTGTCTCGCTTCACTTTTCATTGCCATATTTAAAGTCTTTCTCTAGAAAAAAGTGAAAAAAAAACATTGTCGTTTCATTTAGACTACTGATGATTGAGCCGCTAAACTATCATCATGTGCATTTGTATCCTCATCTAGAAAAATTTGTTTTAGATTTTAAGGCCTAAAAAGTTAGTAAAGGTCGAAATAAGGAGCTCTAGGGAATTGATTAGAAAGATTATAACTTTTTTTTGAGAACGTTTCGAAGGCCTAAAGCTTGATTCTCTCGATGACGTAGTGGCTTTTGTGACGTAGAGAAAAGGGTCTAAAATATAATTATTATTTAAAACATTACAAATCGCAATCCCCCTCGAAATGGTCTTTAGAAGAAATCTTGAGATCGACACGATCACGTGCGTTTCCATGATTCACAGCCAAGTGACTGTTTTTCCCCAAAGCTCGCATGTTTTTCCCACAACGCTGCTAGCATACGTCGGAGGTTATCATATCAGTTGACTGACATTATACATTAGCCACTTGGTTTCAGTTGTATCGTCACCTTTTCAATGCTATTCATTCGGTGCCAAGTCCGACTAGAGCCATTCTCCATGACCACCAAAAGCGAGATGATGTGATGATGACGTGGCACATTCACTTGTCTCTATTCTGCGTCTCTCAAACTTTCTCACTCTCTCTCTCACTTTGACATGGTCACCACCGCTGCGCAAAAAAGTGAGCGGGGGGGGGGGAGGTCTAAGGGAAGGACAGAGAGTGAGAGAGAGAGAGAGAGAGAGACGTTCAAATATTTTGGCGCCAATATCCATTATTTGAATTACCATCCCCCGTTTTCATAACTTTTCCATTTTCTCACCTCCTTCCGTACAACGATTCATGCCCATAATTAGGAATAAAGTGATAAAGTGGCGACGATGACGATAAAAGCGATCGAAAGACAGAGAGAGAGAGAGAGAGTACGAATCGGAGAGGGAGACGGAGAGAGAGACAAAGAGAGAAAGTCGTTCGGGATATGTTTAACTGTTTGTACACTTCCTCACGTCATCTGAAACACCCTTCCAGCGTCGGTTGATTTGAAAATTGTATGCACTTTACTTTTCGTCTCTCTCGGTGAGGAAAACAAAACACTTCCTTCTCACCGACTACTTCACTTCTAGGCTTCCATATTCTATATATTATATATCAAAGTTTTCAGAATTCAGCAAAGATGGGGTGCATCAACAGTAAGACGTCAGAGGCTAAGAAACGATCGAAACGGATCGATCGGCAGGTTTGTCTCCTTCTTTTTCTGTAATTCAAAGCGAAAGAACATTTGCAGCTGCGTCTCGAGCTGGATCGAAACTCTGCAGAAGTGAAACTCCTCCTTCTCGGCGCCGGCGAGTCCGGCAAGTCGACAATAGTCCGTCAGATGCGTATCCTGCACGAGATGGGCTTCAGCAAGCACGAACGGGCGGCCTACCGTCCTGTCGTCTTCAACAACATGGTCCAGTCGATGATGGCGATTCTGAAGGCGATGCGAACGCTCGGCATCCGATTCGAAGACGCCGCCCGTCAGGAGGACGCGCGTCTCTTTCTCTCCTATCAGTTCCAGACCGACGAGCTGCCCGAAGAGATGGGTGTGATCATGAAGTCGCTCTGGTCGGACGAGGGCCTCCAGAACTGCGTCGGCAGATCCCGCGAGTATCAGCTCAACGACTCGGCGTCTTATTACCTGAACGCCCTGGATCGCATCGCCCTTCCTAATTATTTGCCGACGCAGGACGATATTCTCCGCGCGCGCGTCAAGTCAACCGGGATTGTCGAGACCGATTTCATGTACAAGGATCTCTATTTCAAGTGAGTTCCTAAAAATATTATACACACTAACTGAAAAGTTCTGTTACAGAATGTTCGACGTCGGAGGGCAGCGTTCGGAGCGCAAAAAATGGATTCACTGCTTCGAAGGCGTCACGGCAGTCATCTTCTGCGTGGCGCTCAGCGAGTACGATTTGAAACTGGCAGAGGATGCGTCTATGGTTAGAATTCCTATAGAATTTTCTCGATAAGTTAATAATATCAACTTCAGAACCGAATGCACGAGTCAATGCAGCTGTTCGACTCGATCGTCAACAATCGCTGGTTCACCCAGACCTCCATAATCCTGTTCCTCAACAAAATGGACCTTTTCCAAGAGAAACTGCGCCACGTGCCTCTTTCCACCTGCTTTCCGGAGTACCAGGGAAACGACACGGTGTCGGAGGCGTCCACGTACATCCGCGGACAGTTCGAACGTCTGAATCGCCGTCAATCACAGCCGCACAAAGAGGTGTACAGCCATTTCACGTGCGCCACCGACACGAACAACATCCGATTCGTGTTCGACGCCGTCACCGACATCATCATTCGCGATAATCTCAAGGAGTGTGGGCTTTACTAACCGATTAATAAACCATTTACTTTACTTTTTTGTCGCACTTTTTTTATAAACAAACAAGTTTAACGTGCTTTTGTCCGCAAGATTCTGCCTTGTCCTCGTTTATTTTGAAATGCCACGCAAATATTGCGTAACTTCGGAGCGTCGTTGTGAAACTGTTTTGAATTAGAAATTACAAGTTTCAGCTAAAAATGGACGACGACGCGAATCCAGACGATGAAAAATTCTTGCAAAGTCTTCAGAATTTGATGAAAATTGGCGAGCAGTTTAAAAAATTGCAAAAGAACAGTGAGTTTGTGTCAAATTTTGCCGAAAAATCGAGAAAAAGTTTTAGAGCCAGCAGCAGCTGAGTCAGAGAGTCAAGTTCCTAATGAGAATGAAGAGGAAAGTGACGAGAAGCCGGTTGAGATTCCCCCAGAGCAACAAATCGAGCCGGCGGAACGAATCGAACCGCTCAAGTCGATGGTGGCGCCGGAATACGTGAGGAAGGTGATAAAAGAGATGGACGTAATGACGACGGAGCAGCTGAAGCAAGCTTTGCTTAAAATTAAGGCGCCCATAGGGTATTCTAATCAAGATTGATGTTCAAAACTCGCGAAATGTTTCAGTGGAAACCGAAAAACGCTTCGAAAACGTGTGGCCATGTACTATCGCAAAGAAAACCAACTGCTCAATCGAAAAATGGACCCGAACTCGGACAAAACCGCGAGGTATTTCGATTATCTCATTGTAAGTCTCAAGTTTTCCTTAATTTTTAACTTCAAGACAATGTTTCATGTTTAGGCGATAGATTTCGAGTGCACATGTGTTGAAGTGATTTACGATTATCCACACGAAATCATCGAGCTGCCCGCCGTTCTCATCGATGTCAGAGAAATGAAAATTGTAAGAAACTTATAAAATAATCGGAGTTTTGACACAGCTGTGATTTTCAGATCAGTGAATTCCGAACGTACGTGAGGCCAGTCCGCAATCCGATTCTCAGCGATTTTTGCGTTCAGTTTACAAGTAATTCTTCACTTATTTCTATTTTCATCTTGAATATTAATAACGAATACCTCAGAGATCCATCAGGAAACTGTGGAAAATGCTCCGTACTTCCGAGAAGCCCTCCTTCGTCTTTACACGTGGATGCGAAAATTCGGGCTTGGCGAGAAGAACACACGATTCGCATTTGTTACGGATGGGTTAGGAGTTCTAACGAAAAACCGTGAATAATCAAACAGTTTCCAGTCCTCACGACATGTGGAAGTTCATGCAATTCCAATGCCTACTGTCCAATATTCGAATGCCGCACATGTTCCGCAGCTTTATCAATGTGAAAAAGACGTTCAAAGAGAAGTTCAACGGACTTGTCAAAGGCAACGGGGTTTGCTTTTTTCCTTTTCAAGTCGAACTTTACATTATATTTTAAATTCAGAAGTCTGGAATCGAGAACATGTTAGAGCGGCTTGGTCTCACGTTCCGCGGAAATAAACACAGCGGACTGGACGACGCGCGGAACATCGCCGCGATCACAATCGAGCTGATGAAGCTCAAAATCGAGCTGAGAATAAATCAAAAGTGCTCGTATAAAGAAGTGCGGGCAGGACAGAAAGAGCACGAAGAAGAGGTTTCTGGATGCTTCTTCTTCTTTTCTCATTTGTCGTTTTACAGCTAGAAGACACGGTGGACACGTCGTCAGTGGACATTTCACGGCGTGACTTCCAACTGTGGCTCCGTCGACTGCCGCTGAAATTGCAGAGTGTCACTCGTCGCGAGTTCCTCAACGAAGAGTATCTAGATTGTGATTCGTGCGACGATATGACCGATGATAAGGTTAGACACTTGCACACGTGTAACATTTATGAAATTGTTGATGAGCAAACCTAATCGTCTTGTTTTTCCTGTTTGACTAGAGCTTTCAAATGAATTCGTTGTTGATTTTATCTGAAAAGTTCCGTTTTGAAAGGAAAGCTATCTGGACTCGAGAAAATCATTTCAGGACGATGAAGCAGCCTACGCAGAGAAAATGGCAATCCGGAAAGAGCTGGAAGAGTTGCAGGATCAGGAACTCGAGCGGATGTTCGAAAAGAGCGGATATTTCGTGATCGGAGAGGTAGTGCAGAGAGATGCGACGGAGCACGAAAACGTTGATAACGACGAGAGTGAGGAGGAGGACTATCAGGCTCAATTTGACATGCTAGAGACGGTATGGAAGGTTACTGAATGGTTGAAAATCGCGAGTAGAGTTCAGATGACGTCATTATCCCGGAATGAAATAGATTTGAATACAATTTGGCAACAGGATGCGCCCGGAAGTGAGAGAGGTTCGTTTTCTGGAGAAGTTGGGTTTCGAAGGAAAAAAGTCATTCCAGACGACTACTCCTCGCAATACGCACCGGAGGACTTTGAGCTGAGCGTGCAGTCGACGTCGTCCGCTTCCGCCCACTCTGTGCCGCCCGTCTCCCATTTATCCTCGCCACGTCGCCACTCGTCCGTGACATCATCGCCAATGTTCCAGGATTCGCCGCCGAGAAACTCGTTGGCGAGTTCGAATCGAAGAAATTATCATCACTACTAGAAACTGAAAACTTTTTTCTCTTTGTTTCGAGTTTAATCTTCATCTCCCTTGTGCCATTTCCATTTTTCGTGTGAATTACAATGTCTTAGGGTTTTATATATGAGATCATTCATTTTTAATCGAAAACCCGCTTTTCGTACAAAATACTGACCAGAATGCCGAAGACAAGATTATTATTTCAGTTATTGGTGGCTCGACACATCTGAAGTCCCCAGACGCCCAAAAGTAGCCACATCGGCAAGAAGACCATTCCGTACGTGTTCCGATTGGCCACTTCCGACTTCTCCAGATCGCCGCTCACCTTCTCGACGATGAAATAGATGAAACACGTGATGCACGTCAGTCGAAAGACGTTCAGTCCGAATCTGAAGGTGAAATTGCTGAGAGTCAAAAAAAAAAGAAGCGGTGCATACCTGACACTTGGACCCCGATAATCTTTGAACTCGACGCACGATCGGAGGTATATTATAAAGACGAAATAATAGACGAAAATCAGTCCAAGGAACAGCGGCATCGCCACCAACATGTAAGAGAATGCGATGCAGCCGTGGAGCTTCAGACACTGAAAAAATTTGAGAAATTCTAACTGTTTTGAGTTGTATTCGAAGATATTTATTTGGAAAACACTGTGAAAACAATTCCAGCCTTACCAAAAGTACTGAAGAAATGATAAGTGTTAAAAAGTGTATCCACAATTCGAAAAGAGTGACATCGAACCACGACGTCATCTCTCGCAATGTCAGAAGCACCATTTCGAGGCGGGGGATCTGAATGTATTGTCCTAATCTGTTTCTCTGACAACTTCTCAGAATACGCGAGATAGCGTGACGGTGCTTGCGGACTAGGCCGCTCTCCGTTTGAGCCGATTCCGAGAGCAAATAGTGTGGGACAATGAAGAAATGGAGGGAGAAGGAGGAAACAATAATGATGAGGATGAGCTTTTGACGAAAAAAAGAGCACACAATTACGAGTTTCTCATTCATTCACCGCGCGAAATTGGTTTTATAATTATTGCAATTGAGCTCGAAGATTGGGAGCGCTTTCATGGACTTCATGGCGCTTTTTATTGCTTTCTAGAGCATCTGAACCCCTCAATTTTCCCTTTTTCGTCAAAGAAAAAGAAACGATTTCCTCTTTGCTGGCTTTCTCTCCAGTGTTCTCAAGAAGCTCTTCTCCTTCTTTTCTCTCCATTTTCATTCGAAAAACGGAAAACAAGAGAAGCTTGGGAAAGAAGTGCATTTTCGATTAGTACCCATTCTCCACGTTTTTCTTTGGCAGTCCTCAGAGCGTTGACGTCATAAAAAGTTCTTCTACGGTCACGTTTAAAATAAGAAACTATTTCATGATTTCCTGTGCACGTCGTTCTTTGTTCTTTCTCTGTTTCTCTCCCTCTTCCGGGACGAACTAAAATGTGCCCTTGGAGACCTTCCGACGATGGCGTGTTTACGTCCGTGAGCACACAGACGCATTCTCGGAATTGTGCTCGATTCCAGCTAAATTTAGCGGTCCATAGTCGTCTGATTTTCTGGTTTCAGCTCTTAGAATCTGCACTTTATATTTCAGACTACAAAAACCATTGACTAGACTTGTCATTGAGTTCTATGAGTCGTCTAGTTTCAAACACTTTTCCAATACAAAGGGAGGGTCAAAGACTTTGACTCAAAGTAATGAGTAATCAGTGATGCGAGATATCACACAAAAGTGAGCGGGAAAAACAGGAAGAAACGGAGAAGAGTGATTGTCGCTAACCCTCTTTCCGCGGGCAACTTTTCCCGTCTCCGTCTCGCTCCTCTCCGCTCTTTTTCTCTTTATTCCGCTTTTCCCGTCCTCTCTCCCTCGTTTTCTCTATTCCTCCTTCGCTACTTTCGTTCGTTTCTTTTCTTCCGCACACACACTCTTTCCATATCGTCAACCTTTCCATTCCCCCCCAAACATGCCCGTCTCTCCATTTTCCGCCAAACTTTTCATTCTTTCCATTTCAACTTTGTATACATTGTTGCATATAGTGGGGGGTGTATAGTATGACCTCGGAGATGATTGGATGATAAAGAGTGAAGTTTTGGTGTACATCCAACATCGGTACATTGAAACTGCGTAACGATTATCCAGTAGAAGCATTATCGAATTCCTCATTTCCTTTCTCATGCTCTGGCCAGAGCTGCGACCAAAAATGGAAAGTAAACACACAAGGTGTCGCATCAACAAAAAAACTTTTTTTTTCCCATTCACAGAAATACCGAATCAATCGGGCATTTGCTCCGTCTCCAGCTTGTGACTCATTCAGAAGTGTGCCTTTTTATTATCATTTTCCATCCCTCAAATGATAAGAGACGCTTGTTTCCGACGTCATTCCCGACGTTTTCACCATCTATTGCTATTTCCAATCGGAATAATTTCAGAAAGATGGAGGTGGATATGCAGGATAGTGGCACAGAATTCGACAGGCAACTATTCCATCTAGTTGTCATTAAAGTAAGGCACATTGTACAAAAATCATTCAAAAAAACGATTGTTGATCCTAGGACCCGATTGCCGGCGCGGACAGCACATTCATAATTCCGAAGCGCTACATCAACCTCAGTTTTTTGAACGCCGGCGCCCAGGGTACTGTAGTGTTAGTTTTGAAGTGCTAATCACAAAGTATAGAGAATTGCCATTTTCAGAATGGCCGACGATCAAGTGACCGGCGAGCGGGTGGCCATCAAGAAGATGCAGCAGCCTTTTGTGATGACGATGAGCGCTAAAAGAGCCTATCGAGAATTCATTCTGCTCACCACCATTCAGCATCCCAATGTGAGTCTATCTTCCAAATTCCAAATTCAAAAAAAAAGAAGCTTTTATTGAAACCCAGAAAAAGTGCAGTAGAGCGTGAGTGCTTCAGTTTGAAAACGTTTTTTTTTTCAGATCATCCGTCTGCTGAATGCTTTCTCGCCCGACAAAACGATCGACACTTTCCAGGAAGTGTATTTGGTGATGGAATTGATGACGCACAACTTGCACGAAGTCATCCACCGATTAAAGTCGGCCCTTCCTTTCGATCTCTCCCATTTTGACACTCCTCAAATTCCAGGTTGGACCACAAAACGCTCTCCTTCTTCGTCTATCAACTGCTCTGCGCCATCAAGCATTTGCACAATTCTGGAGTCATTCATCGAGTTTGTATCATTTTTCCGAGCCCTACTGATGTAGTGCATTTGTATTGCAGGACTTGAAACCATCGAATATCGTGGTGAATGACAGATGCGTTCTGAAAGTGTTGGATTTCGGACTCGCGAGGAAAAAGAACGTGGACACTTCGATGCGAATGTCGGATTACGTCGTCACGCGGTACTACAGAGCTCCAGAAGTCATTCTGGGCATTCCGTACTCTGAAAAAGGTGCGATTTGCCAATGTCCTTTGGAATATCTTGTTTCTCTTGATTTTCAGTGGATATCTGGTCAGTCGGCTGCATTTTCGCCGAAATGATCAACCATCAAGTGTTGTTCCCTGGAAAGGATCGTATCGATCAATGGACGAAGATCTACAATATCTTGGGCACTCCGGACGAGGCGTTCGTTAATCAGCTCGGACAGTCGGCGGCCATGTACGTGCGATCGCTGAGAAGAGCGCCGCCGAAGCCGGTTACAGAGTTCGTGCCCGACTCGAGCTTCCTTGCGGACACTGAGAATCCACGTGTCAATCTCACTGGTGAGTTCGGGGATGGCCTCTGGCAGAAGCTTTCAAGAAAATGTTCGTTTTACAGCTGCGTGCGCCCGTGATCTGCTCTCCCGTATGTTGATAATCAACCCGGCGAACCGGTTCTCAGTGGAAGATGCTCTGAATCATCCATACGTTAGGCTATGGTTCAAGGTGAGGCTCTTTCTCTCTTTCTTGAAGAATTTGAATCATCGCCTTTGCAGGAGGAAGAAGTGAACGCTCCCGCTTCTGATAATCGTTACGACCAGGAAATCGACTTTGCGGAGAAATCACTTATAGAATGGAAGGAGCTGATATTCGCGGAAGTTCAAAGTTATCAAAGAAACCACGATATCTTCAATGGCTGATTTACCATTTTTATTCTCTTGTTTAACGAAACCTCAGCTGGGAGTCGAAATAGAAATTCAAATTTCAAAGTTTTAGTACCCATTAGGCCCCGATCACTTTTAGAAGACATTGTCTCTTAGCTGGCCATACAAACACCTCTTGTGATTTTTTTTTCTTCCCGCTTGATTCAAATAGTTGAAACCACGTGTACATTGTAAGACAAGTTTATTGTAAAATCGGACAAGTTAATTGCAAAAAAGGTTGAAATGAAGTTTTGTGGTACACAAATGGCAAGGATTTGGAGGTCATATTATTAGGAGTGAACCTATCATTCTTAAAGGACCAGGGAACCCAAAAATTTTTTGATTTTTTTGTGAAAGTTTTTTTGTGACTGTTTGAATTGTCTCTTATTGCCTCATACACTGGTGAAATGCTGCCTCTCAACAATGCCAATGAACGAAACGGCATGCAGTTGAAGTTGTGGCCGTGGCCTAGCGCCAATGGCCGAAAAATATATAAAAATATATGCGCTTCTCGGCCATTTTATTTTTTCCGCTTTTTTACCGGTTTTTTTTCCAAAAATTCACGGTTTCTCCCATTTTTCAGTTGATTGACATTTGTTCGGCACTTACTTATTTTTTCACTGCTAAAAAATTGCTCTCATTCAGTCGATACGAAGTGCCAGATGAGTGGTTTCCGTGGAACAAGGGCGATTTTATCGCGAAAAAACCGGAAAAAAGCGGAAAAAATAAAATGGCCGAGAAGCGCATATTTCTAGGCCATTGGCGCAAGGCCACGGCCACAACTTCAACTGCATGCCGTTTCGTTCATTGGCATTTTTGAGAGGCAGCATTTCACCAGTATATGAGGCAATAAGAGACAATTCAAACAGTCACAAAAAAATCAAAAAATTTTTGGGTTCCCTGGTCCTTTAAAAAACGACAACTAGTTGCGAAGCGGCAATAGTCTTAGATACTCGGGCCTTCTCTTTGGCCGCACGTAGTCCGTGTACAGTATTCCGAGACTTCTTGCGATGTACTCTCCGACTCTATCGGACACTCCTCTCACTTCGGGCACCGTGTGCGCGGCACTGTGCTGCAGAATCAACATGGGCGGCCGGCAGCAGTAGTATTGTCCGTCGACGGCCTTCTGACACTTTCCTTGCGGACACGTGTTATCGTCCCAGCCGTTGCACTTGCGCGGCGAGCCGTCATCCGACACGAGCGCTTCCACACAGGCTTGAGTCTGAACAGGACAACACGCGGTGCTTCCGTCCATGAGCATTGTACAAGTGTGCTCCAACGGACACGAGAACGGGTTAGCGGGAAGGCAGGAAGCGGGGCTAGCCGTGTTCGGATCGAGGAACGGAGTGGAGCCGTCGGGGCACGAGAAGATCGAGACGGTGTGGCAGCAGAAGAACATGACGTCGATCGCATTCGTCACATTCGCTGCGTCCTCCAGCGCCGGCAGACAGTCCGTCGAGGTCGGGCACGTCTGATCTCCCGGAAAGCATCGGACCGGCCGTTTCTTCTCGGCGTCCACGTACGGAATGACGCACTTCTTGCGCGGTCGACAGCACAGATGTCGAGCCGAGCCCGACGATCCTTCGCCTTGGACACACATGTGATCCTGCGGGCAGGAACCGTCCACGCCGACACTGCACACGCGCGGACGGCCGCCGTTCTCGCGAAGAGCATCCATTCCCGTGGGACAAGAAAGGGGCTTCGTGCAGCAGATATTCTCCTGGAAGAAGAGTTCAGATGTTCCTTTTCTCTGGGTTTCCCTAAAACTCACCAGATTCTTGGCAGGCTGACACGCGTACTGTTCCGGACAATTGTCCCGGCTCATCTCGCACCGTACCGCCTCGTTTTCCTCGTCCAACAACAGAATGGATTCGGCCGACGGGCACACCGGATGCGTTTTACAGCAGATCGAGGCGTACGGACTGCTCCGAAGACACTCGAATCCCATCGGACAGCCCTCGTTCTTCGCCGAATCACACAGATGCGGCTGGCCCGTTCGCGGATTCATGTGCGTTTCCAAATCGTTCGGACACGTACCTGCAGACAAGAGACCTTGATTTGGATATGCCAACAATGAAGATGTAAAAGTTTTCACCCAGAAATTTAGAAAACGGCTAAAGTACACTATGAGACGTTTCTGGAGAAGGAGCAAAAACCTGCAACTAACCGACACAATAATCGGCGCACTGTTCCTGGTTGGCGAACGAATTAAAGTGTTCCTCGCAGTTCGAATGCTCGGCCTTTTTGCACTCGCCTTTGCGATAGTCGAACCACCAGGTGCCCGTTGGCTCCGGCTTCCGACAATTGTTTTTGATCTCGAACGGAGTGCCGCACACGAATTCTGAATCCGTGTGCAGTGTTGACGAAGAGTTGCCAAAGTTCCGAAAGCTAACCTTTGCTGGGACAACACGCCCCTTTCCGTCCGACTTTTCCGGTGCAAGTGTAATTGCGCGGACAGTGCTTGTCCTCCAGACACGAAGCGATATTGTTGATGGAGTAGCGATCCGCGTGCGGCTCGCCACGTGCACAGATTACTATACAATTCAGCGTTTTCACAGAACTCTTAGAGGAGACGTGACCCACTTTCAGTGCTACAGAACATCATGCACTCTCCTTTCGCTTTAAAGTTGTTCTCATTGCCTCCACAACCGGTGAATGCGAACGGACGGCATGTTTTTGAGGAAGAATCGAAGTAATATCTGAATATGAAAGCAGCTGCTGGACGCACCGGACCGTCAAGTTGAAACGAACTGACCTTGTAGTGGGTGGGACCCCGCACGGAGTTCCAGGATGCACAGAAGCTTGGCATATTCTATCTGCAACTCTACCCCTATATTGTCCATTCTAAACAATATAGCTCGGCTACCAACAGAGATACAAAAAAGTTGTCGACAGCCGAAATGTGCACGATGTCTTTTTGAGCAATTCATCAGTTGACAACTTTTTCATACCTCTACCGGCAAGTGTGATTCATTATCCTGAATGAACAGTAATGGGGGGTGCCCTTGTATTAGAGTATTCACGACTAACTTACCAGCTTTCTGGCAGCACACGCTGCTCATTCCGTTCCCAATGCACTCGTGACTGCCCGGACACGGCACTCGCTCCCCGTCGCACCGTTTTATGTTCCCCGCGAAATCCATCAAAGGCATTCCCTTTCCGCATTGCGCTGAAACACAAACACACACACACACACATCTGCATCGTCGTTTCCAACTAACTCACTCAAACTCTTGCACCCGTTCATGCATTCGTCGCGGCTCGAGAACCGATTCTGATTGCCGCCACACCCTTCGAACATGAATTCGATGCATTCGCGGATCTCCGAGTCGAAGTGGTAGGCCGAGTGGGCAGTCGTCACGCCGCACGTGAAGCCAACGTTCTTCGGCAGACGGCACACGAATCCTGGAATGTTTTGCGAAGTGAGAAACCCGTACCAGAATTCTAAAAACCATAAATCTTAAATCTTCACCCCCCCCCTCCCTACCTCCCAACTCATTGGCTCCAACGAGCAAGCTGGCGAAGAGCAAGAGTAGTAGAAAAAGTAACATTTGAGAGTGGTTTGGATCGAATCAATAGTATCCCTCTCCTTATACGTCGTTCAGACACAAGCACTCTTTCCGAATCGGGGGGCCGCTGCTCATCCTCCTCTTTTGTTTACCTTTTCGTTATCACAGGGTCAAGAGCCCCCATTCGGTTTGGTGGTGGCTGGCTCAAACAATCTAATTAGAGCGTCCGGGGACCGTGCCACGTCATCTCTTGTACCCCCCGCCGCTTATCACCTTATTTTGAATTATTATCAGTCGCGTGCAACCGGTTACATCACTCTTATACACCCCACACCAACGTCATCACTCGTATACATTAGGCAAAACGTTTTAATAATAATAATAATGGAATGTTTGTATACATACAATTGTACATATCGAGGAAGCGGAAAGTGTTCAAGAATAAATTCGATATCAACTATACGGTATGCGCCTTTGAAAGGGTGGAAGAATCGAACGAGAGCATATTGCAAAAGAGTCGGGCGAGAATCGGAGAGGACTTAATAGCTAGGGTTTTTTGGGTGCGAACGGATTCAGTTCAGATGGTCAATTCTTTGATGATGTCGGCGACAAAGAGCGAGGCACGTTCTCCGGCCTGCTTGGCGATGTCGAGCACTTCCTCGTGCGACACCTCCACCGATTGGTCGGCGTCCAGGTTGGCGATGTTGGTGATCAGCGAGAATCCGAGCACTTTGATGCCGCACTGACGGGCGACCGTCACCTCGTGACACGTCGACATTCCGAGCGCGTCCGCTCCGACCGTCTTGAACAGAGACACCTGTAAACATTCTTGTATTCACTGAATGTTTGTACTAGGCTCCTGATAATGTTCAAAGGGGTTCGTCGTGCCTAATGCTAATTCTAGAACCAACAAACGTTTGGTCATGTGGCTCTTAACCTTAACACCTCACGAGCAAGTGACCATCTCACCTCAGCCGGCGACTCGTACTGCGGTCCTCCGGACATCACGTAAACTCCCTCGTACAGAATCATGTCACGTCTACGTCCGACGTCGATTGCCAGTTGTCTGAAAATAAGTCACTTTACCCGCACTTTGCTTTATCACCAATCGGTACCTGAGCTGCTTATCATAAGCGTCGTGAACCGACACGAACCGCGCGCCGAACCTCGGGTCGTTGCAGCCGACGAGCGGAGAGAATCCGGCAAGCGCCGGCAGGAAAATGTGATCCTTGATGAGCATCAGATCGCCGTGACGCAGCACCGTGTTGATGCCGCCCGCCGCGTTCGACACAATCATAATCTTGACGCCGAGTTGGTGCATGACGCGCACCGGAAGCGTGCACAGCGCCAGATCCATGTTGTGCTCGTAGGGATGGAAACGGCCCTGCAGACAGACAACCTTCTTGCCGCCCAACGTGCCGAACACCATGTTGCCCTTGTGTCCGACGACGTGTGTGGCCGGGAAGCCCGGGATTTTCGAGTAGGGCAGGATCGTCGGGTTCTCGACGGTGTCACCGATCGGCCCGAGGCCCGATCCGCAGATGATTCCGAGCTCGGCGTTGGCGGTCTCTTCGCCCACCTGCTCTCTGATCGACGCCACCACTGACAGAAGATCGTCGTAGTTGCGCGGGCTGCAAAAGTTACGGTAAGGTTAGGCTCTTCTGATCTGACTTGGGCGGTTCTCACTCAATTTTCTGATCGTGCTCGGCGGCCTCAGTGGGCGAGTTGTTGTTCTCCATAATTGAGTTAGTTTTGGCACTTCTGTAAACGAAGAAGACAATATAGAAACGATTGGAAAAGGAGAAGTAAGTGAAGAAGATGACAATTTATATGAGAGCGGTTAGCATGAGATAGAAGTGCACGACAATGCGTTCTTCTCGTTTGTCGGCGACAAATCAACTTCTGACCAGGGTACCTTTTTCTTCTTTCCCTTCGCTAAGGTCGTTCTCAAGAGAGAAGGGAAAAGAGAATGAGACAGGTACATTATAGAGGAACTAAAAGTGACCGAGAGCGTCTTCTCGGATCGTCGTGACCGTACGAATGAGCTCCGCAGAGTTAGATGCGCTGATAACACCCCCCACCAACCCAACACTTTTATGACAAGGTTGATGATAAGCCCGGGGGGGGAAATGGGGCGGTGCACAATCAACCTCATAATGTTATGGACAATACAAGATTCGCGGAATTTCGCGCCAAGCACACCGCATTTACGACCGCCATTTTAGCGCGTTTTCGAAGAATTTGCATCTTCGCGATAAGCGAAACGTGTGGGAAAGGCAGAAGACTGATCAAACGATGCTCTTAGAGGCTCGGTCGCGTGATAATCGAAGAGAGAATGGAAGAAGGGGTGTCAGAAATGGCAGGTGACCGGCCGGAGAAGGACTGATATGCTCAAGTGACACGTTGGAGGTGATTGTACAGTTCCGGAGGGGACCAACTCGATACTTTGGTCTGGAGTTCGGCATCGGATCTTTGATTCAAAAAGTTTAAGAATAAACTTCAGTGCGAAGTTAGAGAGTGTGTGAGAGAGTGTGTGTGCGCGCTGAGACACAGAGAAAAGGGAAACGGGAAGAAAAAGAAAGAAGGAATGAGAAAGAGTTTGTTAATGTAGACTGAAATCCCAGTACCGTGTATTCAAGAGGATGTATCTCGGCTGGCGGTAGAGATATCAAAGAGTTGTCAATTACAAAAATGTGCACAATGTCTTTTTAACTAATTTATCAGTTGATAATATTTTCATATCTCCACTGGCAACTAAGATATTTCGTCTTGAATAAACGGTAGTACGGTAGTTCGGGTAGTTGAGCTCATTCCAAGTGTAGCGCACTGTTTCCAAATCTATTTTCAGTCCTAAATCACACTTTCTTCCTGTAAAAGGAAGTAAACAAACGGATTCTGACTCTGATTTCCCAAAAAAGCGGTCACAACTTTTATAAGCTCCTTAACTTCAACTCTTAATTTTTCATTGCAAACAAGTCAAATGGTCACGTGGTCGAGGCGGATGATAAATCGGCAAAAAAATAATTCCTAGTCAAATCGTTTAATCAGTGATAAGAGGCCGTCGCTCCGGAACACTCTGTTGAAATATTTCCTGGGTTGGAACCAAAAGACCAACTTCTCTAGTCCTAAGATTCACGACTTTGTATACATATTGTCTAGGAGAACGAAAAAAGAAGAAGTGACGAAAAAGTTATAAAGTGCACACACTTTTAATAATCGCTTTTTCGGAGAGCGACGGCCACGGATCACCGCTTTTTCAGTGTCAATTTTAGCGGGGTTAATTGAGGATAATCGGAGCGACAATTTCCATTTTTCCAAACGCACTTTTGCATTTTGGTCTGTTGGTCTTCGGATAACCTTGACGAGTTCTCACCGAAATATATTCGTGCATCGAGTGAACAGAGTACGTGCAATATCGCACATTATTGTTTCCGAAATGATTGGAGCCATTGTAATTGTCACAGCAACCAAGGGTTATCACGTGTAGACAGACCGTACATATCGAATCACTTTTCAATTCAATCCAATTCAATTTTAATTCCATCTGAAGTTTTTGACAATAAAAACACTTGTAATGCTATGTTTTTGTGTGTGTGTGTGTGTGTGTGAACGAACATATCAGTGGGGGGGGAGAAAAGAGAAGAAGGCCCACTCCCTTACCATTAAACAGACGACGTCAAGTCAACAAATGATCATTATTTGGGCCGGATGGTCAATGAAGACGCCGACGCACCCGGGGGGAACCAGTATTTTACGATAATATTAGCGGAATTCGGGACAGATTTGTCAGGAATTCTGGATTCTAGATTCTAGATTCTAGATTCTAGATTCTAGATTATAACACGTGGACAATGAGAATTTTAAACAAGTTCCAGAAAGATCTAAGATTTCTAAAGCCTCGTCTCTAAATCCTGAGTGTACCCATGTAAGTGTGCACTCGTTTCTTTTCATTTGCACGCAGCGTATCAGTTGGATCATATCATTCTTGAAAATTGTGAATACCGGTTTACAACGTCATCGGGGCAAAGAGTACGGTATTTTATATCAGCCATGCAAAACGATTCTGTAAAATGTTCAGTATCAAGATGAAGGCAACCGCAGTCCGTTTCAACCGAGTTCGTCTTCAGGTAGGATTATGGTAAATACTGTAATGTATCTCAGTTGTTTGTAGAGATGTCAAAAAGTGTTCAACTAAAAAAATGTACGCCAGTTTGTAATGAACAATTCATTAGTTGATAACGTATTTATATCTCTACCGGTAGCTGAGATAAACCGTCTTCAATGGACAATATTGAGATGCCCTTTTAAACCGATTCAAAACGATTTATCACAGCTCAAAGATGTTGCTAACTAATAAATTGCTCCTTGAAACATTTTGTACATCTTATCAGTTTACTACTTTTTGATAAGTCTACTAGCAGCTGAGATACATCGTTTTGAATTAACGTCTTTATTAAAGTAGATATTGTCCGTTCACAATCCCTCAACAAACATCGACTACATTTTCTTTTTAACTTTGTTTTTGTGCTAAAGTACCCCATCCGTCAGTTCTTTTCCAATTCAAAGATCAACGTTTTGTTCGTAAACATATCGGCTCCAGGTGTTTATGAAACCTGACAGTGCCGCTTGCAGGTGTATTTTCTCAAGAGTCTCTTCAGATAAACCAGGTCGCGAGCGCTTGCGAATCACAGAAAATGCGACAGTCTCAAGTGATAAACAAAGGTTTTTGGCGATGTTTCACTTGGAACACTACCTCATATTCGTTTTGTACCCATTCTTTCATTCAAATCGTTGAACTTTGCTTCAAGAGCTACGCCGGAGAGAGCAAATGATTTGGGGAAAGTTTGAAGGAAATTGGATACGTATGCTGGTTATGATGGACGAAAAACAAAGTGAAAACAGTGGGAACTCGCCAGGAGAATGACGCAGTTCAGTTCGTCTGGACGTGGCACAGAAGCATTCCGGCTGATTTCCTGTTCTGAGAAGTTATAGCGTCAATGTGACGTGGCGACAAGATCCAGTTCCTCTAGCTTTGCGGCGGACTCGCAATGACATCAGAAATAAACTTGAAAACAGCCGAGAGTCCTCTTATCATACCATCAAACTTTGTAGTCCGTTTCATAAGACTCTGGTATAAATTTAGAAACTTTTGCATTTGCACTCCTCCACAAAAAAGAGTCCAAAGTTGGCGTCCAAAAGGGAGCGGCTCACATTCTTTCGAAACTATTCCGTCCAGTACAATGTTATCATCTCATCTTGTTCCTCATTGTCATCACGAAGTCGACGTCGACGGCAGCCACGTGTGTGAATGTCTTTCGTCGTCTGAAGCATCCACTCTACTCCCTATCATTCCGATCATTCATTCTCTTCTCTTTAGGAAGAAGAAGAAGAAGAAGAAGAAGCCCCGCCCCCGGGAGTACCATGACCTTGCGCCCAGCCTCAAGAGAAAGAGAAAAAGGGAAAGAAAGAGAGAGAGAGAGAGAGGGAGATCTTATTTAAAGAGTTCCAAGCGGACACCTTTGTTCATTCATTTCCCGTTGTATTTGTAGGTTATAGACTCTAAACTCTAAACTAGAAGGCGTTCTTCTAGTATATTTTAGTCAGATTGTGTTATAAATTGTGTGTATAGTATGGAACCTCGTACCTGATAAAAGATATGTAAGGGCATTCCGATATTGTCCATTCCAAACGATGTATCTCAGTTGTCAGTGGAGGTACCAAAAAATTGTCACGTATTATGCACGTTTTATCATTTGACAACTTCACTTGATATCTTTACTATCTTCACTTTGAAGGAAAGTCCAAAAGCGGTGAGATCAAAGTTCTTCCGAAAAGGGATTTCCCCGACACAGAACTATCATCCAATTAGCCTCCCCCCTCTCCTTCGTCGGCTACAGTAACCCAATCCACATTGACAATACAATTTGTAACGAGATTTTCTCTCAAAAAACTGTGTATCAGTTTTGTGACTGAATGACTGACTGACTGACCAATCAAAGTTCGTAATTAATTTGTGTTGAAGGCGTGTGTGTGTGTGTGTGTCACTTCGTATTATAGACTCGTTCTTTTCCTTCTTTTTCACCATCCGCCCCAGATGAGAAAGAGGGCCATTTTTCGCGTTTCCGTTTCATCCTTTCCCGTCTCGTCGTCATTTTTCACTTCCTTTTTTCACCTTCTCCACTCGTTTAAACTTTGACTCTTCGGAGCCGAATGACTTTCGGAAAACAAGCGCCCGTCTACAGTAACCCCGTACCACGATCAGATTGGCTCGAATTAAGGTCATTTGAGTGGGAGAGCGCATCTTCGTTTTCTCCTCTCCGATTCACGTGATCGTCATCCGGAGCGTCGGAGAGCCTATAAAAGATGAGGGGGCACTCGCATAACAAGTGACGTGCTCAGATAAAAGAGCACACGGGTCCAGGGAACACATGGCTCCGGCCCCTCCCGGCTTTTGGACTTGACGCGTGAGACAAGCGACTTTTGAGTGGTGACGGAAACTTCGTTGTCAGCCGGGAAAACGAGCAATTGTTTAGATTTCGATTTGTTCTGTTTATGAATGATATCAAGTTCCCGCAAACTTCTCCCTCTCTCTCCACGACCCCCCTCCCTCCCGTTGACTAGTTGGCTGGCGCCACGGGCGGTTTGATCAGCTGTGTCTCGTATCCACGGACAATTATTTCCTTCTAGAACCATAAAAACAAGAGTGAAATGTAAAATGTTAACCTTATAGGCTCGCAACCTCACACTATCTTGTTTTGCGGTTTTTGTTTTGCCAGCGCCATCTCTCCTTTCCTCGCGTCATTCTTCATAATAATAATAATAATAATAGAACGTCCTCTCTTATTTCAGTGGAATTGCATCGTTTTTTTTGAGATTTCAGTCTTGAAATCTCAAAGCTAACATTCGAGAAAGTTCTAGAATGCTTCTAGAAAGTTCCAAGGAGACTTTTCGAAAACGTTTCTTAACTTTTATGAAAAGTGCAATATCAAAGTACTCCTCCCGAACTTTTTTGTCATTCCAAAGTACCCCGACACCTTTGTGAACTCATCTGATGCAGCAATCAGCTGATACTCTGACAAAAGTTGTATCAAAGAACACGTTTGTCTGCCAGTGACACTCGAATATCAATAGTACAACAATAGGCGATTTCCTTGCAAATGACCTCGAAACAATTTTGGAACAAAAAGCTTTCGCGGTGCGGCGGCCAGTCCCACTGGTAAACAAGTTGGGAAAGAGGAAAATAAGAGACGACGAAGAACCTTTGAAGAACAGCAGCTGGGGCCACTGGCTCCCTCTCTCTCTCTCTCTCTCTCTCTCTCTCTCCCGGTCCCCACACTCTCTCTCTCCTCATTTCTCTGCGTCTTCCCTCTCGCGCCCGCCTTGTTTTTGTTCGTTCCCTCCAGTCCGTCTATGGATATATTCATGGATCAATTTCAGAATGCTAGAAATTGTACTTCAAGTCCTCTCGATCAGCGCCATCACCACCACAATCGCCCTTTTCTTTTGCGGACTGTGAGTCTCCTAGTCCACCGAGCCAAATCGAGCCCACAACTTTTTCAGACCGATATGTATACAAATCCGAAAGCAAGGCGCCGTAGGTGACATTTCCGGAGTTCCCTTCCTCATGGGATTCATCGGGTGAGTCTCCTACAGAAAAACAGGGCAAAAAAACGTTTCCTTTTTTTTTCAGAGGCGCATTCTGGTTGCGGTACGGCTTCCTCAAAATGGACTACACAATGATAACTGTCAACGTGGTCGGCGTGGCGTTCATGGCCGCCTACTGTGTGTTCTTTCTCGTCTACTCACTGCCAAAGGTTCGTACTCGATCATGTGACAATTTGACCGCAGCAGTTGACGTCAAAATTGACATAGGCACACACACACACACAGAAAACATCCGATTCATGTCCGGATCTCGTTCGGTCTCACTTCACTGAACCAACCTTGATTCGAAATTGGGGGGGGGGGAGAAGAATTCGTTTGAAATTGAACTTTTTAGAAGCAGAAAAAAAGCAGAAGAGAACTCGAATATTATCGATTTCAGAAGGCGTTTGCCGCTCAACTCGCCCTCGTCGTCTCGGTGATTTCCGGAATGCTCGTTTGGATCTGGTTCAAGCCGAGTCTCGACTACCTGGGCATCGTCTGCATGACTTTCAATATCATGAACTTTGGAGCTCCGCTTGCCGGACTGGTGAGTAGGGTTGTGGTGGTTTGATCCGAGTGCTAGAAAGTGAAACGGGTATTTTTTGATTTATCATAATCACCTGATGCTTTATAAATTACGAGGGATATCCCTTCCGACGTTGTCACGTAATTGAGAGAAACGTGACTTGAAAGAACCTGACTGATATCACTTTGCATCACAATACATCGACCACGTGACCATCTTTGAGGTCAAATTGAGAATGTCTGTAGACAACGTACTCAACCAAGAATTCCAGGGTGTGGTTCTGAAGCGTCGCGAAGTGTCCACGTTGCCCCTGCCGATGTGCGTCGCCAATTTCCTCGTCTCTTCGCAGTGGTGTCTGTACGGAAACCTCGTTGCCGACATTTACATAATCGTGCCGAACGGCATCGGAATGTTCCTTGCCGTCGTGCAATTGGCCCTGTTCGTGATTCTTCCGATCCGGGAGAACGAGAAAAGTCCGCTGGAGAAGCTGGCCGGATGGTTCACCGGTAGAGACTACAAGGAGAAAGATGTGGAGAGTGGCGAGAACTCGAACACCTCTTCGCCACACAAACTGCAGTGCGAGATGAGTCCCAAGTGAGTTTGGAATAGTAGGGTTCACTGCAAAACATTGCTTCCAGAAGTATGCACGAGCGATTCGAGAAGCTGATGGCCGCGGAGAGCCGTCGCGGGAGCCTGGCCGACTTTCTGGGCCGGCCGCCGAGCTACAAAAGTCGGTCGTCGAGTGTGCCCGACGTATCATCGCTACAATCGTTTTAAGACCACAATTCAAAATTCCACTCTTGTTTGTTCATACTTTGTATTGTGTTTTTTCCGCTTCTTATCACTCCTCCTCTATCACTTTGACAATAGAAACGATCTCGTATGGGTTGAGACAAAATAGGTGAAACGAAACTTTGTTAGGGGTCTGCTGTTTGTACATAACTCCGGTTTTAATAAGTGCATTTCAATAAACATTTTCAAGAATTGAGTTGGCATAATGATTAGAAAATATTATCAGATTTGAGCATTAGGCATCGGATGATACCAGGCGGTGAAGCGGAAGCTGACTTTAATATTATCATTTTCAATCATGACGGTAGCCATAAATTGAATTTCATCTACAATTTTTATAACCATAAACTTCGTGATCTGGGTGCCAAAAACACTACTTATGCCGTTCCAATCATCAACGACGCTCCGAAATTCCGCGTCGCACGTTGTTTATCGTAAATCTACCCGAATTATTTTTCCCTTTTTCATTCGTAAAAACAATGTTTCAGCACAATTCATCGATCAAATCGTCTTTTTCAGGTATGGATCTGAATATAAAACAGAGTGGGATTCACTCCTGCGTTCTACATACTTCGTACTTCAAAAACCGCTCAGGTAGAGTGTACAAGGTTGGAAAACAGTCAAGTTTCTCCCTAAAAAGATTGAAAATGTGTTACAGAGAGCCGCCGAACGTTACTTGCGCACCGATTTGCCGTGTGGATATGCCGAGTGCAAACCTTGTTCAAAGTTCGGAACGAATCCGCTGCTGAAAACCGAAAATTCGTTCAAAAATGCGAAAATCGGACGTCACGCGTTGATCATCGACTCGACGTCGCTCATCAGATTCTACGACTTGTTTGACTCACCGCTTCTGAGGTCAGAGGCGTCCAACTTTGTTCAATGTTCTAAAATTCCGCGTTTTCAGGGACATAATTGTGACTCAAACCGTGTGGGAAGGTGTCAAAGCCAAGTCGATTCCTGCCTACAAAAAAATGAATACGTTATGTTACGAAGACGCGAAAGACCGATTCCACGTGTTCATGAACGAATTTCACTACGAAACGTTCTCCGAAACGTCAAAGTTCGAAGATTTGAGCAGAGGAGAAGAGCTTCTCCTTTCCACTGCTCATTTTTTGGCGAGGCACTGGGAAAAAGAGAATGTGACTCCGTTGGTGATTTGTGCGGACGAAGAGTCGGTGAAACGGATGTTCAAGCACTACGATCATGTGCTTACGCTCAAAGATTACATCGGAAGCTTCGAGAATTCGGGAAAACAAGGACTTCTGGATCAGATGGCCGCCTACGAGAGCAGCGGAGCCACCGGCGAGAAGACGATCTTCGACGAGTATCTGTCGCACGACAAGATCATGGAGGGAATAGCCGATGGATCCATGAAGCGGGGCACGTTCAACGTATCCCGCGAGAATTACCGCGAAGCTTCGGTCATTATCGATGAGCAACTCACTTCCTGGTTCATCACCGGAAATCACTGCAATCGGGCGGTAAACGGAGACGTCGTCGCCGTTCAATTACTTCCGGAATCCGAATGGGTGGCTCCTGAAAAGAGAATCCGGTTGCGTGACGTGGAAGAATACGTCAAAACTGCAGATGATATGGGCGAAGACGACGAGGAAAACGAGGTAGAGCCGAGAGCAAAGAAAGCGAAGAAAAGCACTGTGCCGACGGCAAAGGTGGTGGGAGTCATCAAGAGAAATTGGAGACAGTACTGTGGAATGCTCCTGCCGAGCTCCGTAAAAGGCGCCAGAAGACACTTGTTCTGTCCGGCCGAACGTCTGATTCCCCGCATTCGGATCGAGACGGAACAGGCCGAGATTCTGTCGCAGCAGCGGATCGTCGTTGCAATCGATCATTGGCCGAGAGATTCCAAGTATCCACTCGGACACTATGTCCGCTCCATAGGAGAAATGGGCTCTCGCGAGACTGAGAATGAGGTCGTTGTTTGAAAATTTAGCCAGCGTAAAAACGTATTCATTTTTCAGGTTCTGTTGCTGGAACACGACATTCCGCATGCTCCATTTTCCGAATCCGTGCTCGACTGTCTGCCGAGAGACAACTGGTCTCCGGATTTGACCGAGAAGACGCCGAGAGTGGACCTGAGACACCTGACCATTTGCTCCGTGGATCCGTTGGGATGCACTGACATCGACGACGCGCTCCACTGCAAACAAATCGGTCCGGATCTGTTCGAAGTCGGAGTTCACATCGCCGACGTCACGCATTTTGTCCGTCCGAACACCGCCATCGACGACGAGGCGGCTCTTCGTGGAACTACCGTATACCTCTGTGATCGGCGCATTGACATGCTGCCGGCGTTGCTCAGCAGTAATTTGTGCTCACTTCGCGGCGAAGAGGAGAGATACGCATTCTCGTGCATTTGGACAATGACCTCCAGTGCCGATATCCAGTCGGTCAAGTATCACAAGTCTCTGATCAAATCGAAGGCGGCTTTGACCTACGAGAAAGCTCAGGAAATTATTGATGATCCGAAAGAACAGAACGACGTGGCACAGGGACTTCGGGGGCTCATGAAGCTCTCGAAAGTGCTGAATTCGAGGAGAACGAGCAACGGAGCACTGACTCTCGCATCCAGTGAAGTCAGATTCGATATGGATTGGGAGTCGAGAACACCGAAGGTTTGCACATCTGAAACCATTATAAACTCATGTCGAAAGCTTTCAGAAAGTGATGGAAAAGCAGCATTTAGACACACATTCGATGGTCGAAGAGTTTATGCTTTTGGCAAATATCTCGGTGGCCGAGAAGATTCTGGCAGAATATCCAGATTGTGCACTTCTCAGAAGACACCCGGTGCCGTTGAAGGAGAGCTACAAACCGCTGATTGAGGTGAGAAAACGCCAAAATGAAATGACACGTCAGAAAATAAACCATAGTTCAAATTCGTAAAAAAACTCCAGTAGTTCCCTATACACCCTCATTCTATTTCTATTGTTTTGCATATCAAGATACTCAAACCGAGCACTCTGCTTCTTTATTTTCTTCTTTGTCGGCTCTCTCAATTGAATTATCGCTTACTCAGGCCAGTTCTGAACCCACTTTGCTCACTGGAGCATTCACAAGATTACTGTAGTCTCCCCGAGCCCCCTCACGTCCGAAAAGGCAACATTCCCCCGGAAACGAATGAATCACACACAAAAAGCCTATCAACGACCTTCACAATACGCACCACAACCGATTAGATTTTCTTTTTTACTCTTCAACACTTTTTTGCGTCATCTTCCGTCCGCCCGTCTCATCTCATGTTTGCCGATGTTTGTGCAAGGAAAAAAGCGACAATTTCCGGTGTGGTCCCCTCCGGAAACGAAAGAAATCCATCAAATGAAGGGCAGCGTGCTGTCAATTAGCAAACATATAATTGATGAAAGCGTTTGCGTGGCTATTCACAGTAATCTGATGATAGTGACCTTGGAAGTTTTGGAAAAGTTGACGAACAATGTGCAAAACAAGTGATTATACTGTTTACTCTGGAAAGTATCGGATTTTCTTCAATATTTTCAACTTCTGAAAATGCAGTTTTCCTCCGATCCTATCATAACATGGCATTATTGTTCGTTCTTGCAGTATCTTCTGAAAACGTTTTGATTGACTGTATTCATGCCTGAAGCGTCTAGCTTCAAAAATTCTTAGTCCCCAGCTTCCAGGCTCCTTTTCGTGTAGAAAAGTTCTCGCCCACCGGATGCGTAGACTTCAATAAAATATGAATATGATCGGATTACGGTGTCCTTTATCCACGCGCACACAGACGTTTCCGCCTCTTTCCCCAGTTTCCCAGATTAGACGTACGATCACGGTCGAACGCCTGTATAACAATTGTTGACGAGTAATATAATAATGATCGGATATTGCGGAAAGGAGACGGGAGCCAGGACAGACGTTGTTTTGTTTACACGGACGGTTTACTGCTAGTGTTCAAGGTTGTGATACAATATTTGAAATCTGAGAATGTTGGAAGGGATTACGGTAGTCGCGACAATCGGAACTTCCCTCCAAAGTCCTCTGAAGCTCCCATAATAAGTCTCCTACTCAGCATCGTCTCTCAATTTCATTCTATTTTGATGGCACACACACACACATACACACATACTTCTCGTTCATCATTTTGTGACTCTCTCCCCACTATTCATGTAATATTTGATGGACAAGTTCTCTCTTTTTCGCTGCTGGTCCTCACCGGATGATGATGATGATGATAATTGTTGGTGGTGGAAAGGAGAGAGAGAGAGAGATACACGACGATTTAATTGGCAATGTTGCGATTCGATTCGTCCCTCCCGTTATTAATAGAGTCGCCATTGCCATATGCGCGGTGACACAGCTAACATCGTAGGTGACAACAAGGTCAGCGAGGGTTACTGTAGAAATGCGGGAAAGTGAACAGGATTTGGTTGGGACATGGGGAGCTTGAATAGGATTGCTTCGAATTTGCGGTTGAATAACATTAAAGTCTAACAACTCTTTCAGTATTGTAGTTTCTGAAAAGCTGTGATTGTAGAACTCAAAAGCCCTTAAAAATTCAGGCGGCCCGTCACCGTGGCTTCGAAGTCATCGTCGAAACGGGAAAAGGGCTGGCGGATAGTCTGAACCGATGCGTCGACTCGAAGAATCCGATGCTGAATCGACTTCTCCGAATGCTGACGACGCGGTGCATGACTCAGGCCGTCTACTTTTCGGCCGGTAAGTACCCCATCACTACAGTATCCCCTGTTGAAAACACGGAAGAAGGTCGTAAAAGAATCCCTTTTTGCGTCAAGAAATCGGCGAGGTTTCTGTGTCCGTACAAGCATGACCGATACGGTAGATTGCGTATTTTCAAATACTGGTTGCTTTGCTTTTTCTCCATCTTCTTCGGCCTTGAAAACGAAAAAGCTGCTGAGATTATGATATCATGAAAAGCAAAGAAAAAAAACGGCCGGAACATCTGTCCCCATACAGTAATCCTCGTTCAGGAACCGTGCCAGTGCCACAATATCAGCATTTCGGACTCGCGTGCGCCATCTACACACACTTCACGTCGCCAATCCGTCGTTACGCCGACGTCATTGTCCATCGTCTTCTGGCCGCCGCCATCGGAGCCGACGACATTCAATCGGGGCTTCTGAGCCAGGCGCGGTGCACCAAGATTTGCGCCAATATCAACTACAGGTGTGGATTTCGTTGAACCTATGAAGATTCACGGAAAAACGATAAAGCGCCGCTCATTTCTCTCATTTTGCAGACACAAACAAGCGCAGTACGCGGGCCGAGCATCCGTGCAGCTCAACGTCGTCCGCTACTTCAAGGGCAAAGTGGAGACGTGCGAAGGATTCGTGATGGGCGTGCGGAACAACGGAATTCAGGTACGCGCTTCCGCCTCATTAAGGATGGCACCAGATTGACGATGGTTCAACATAACCTTCACGTTTTTTTTCGGTTTTTCCTAATATGTTTACTTTTGCTACCGGATATTGTGGAAATGAGACCAACCATTTTCCAGGTATTCGTGCCCAAATACGGACTTGAATCGATCATTGTGCTCCAAACTTCCGCCTCGTCCGGCACCACCATCGATGTCGAGGAGATGGCGGTGAAGGTGAACGGAGAAACGGTCATTCGAGAGCTAGGTAAGTAAAGATTTCCAGTTTTTAGGCAAAACTGATTTTCAGAGCCAGTTACCGTCAAAATCAGCGTAAACGAGAAGAATCAGCAACGCCCACGCGTCGAGCTGAACTTGATGAAACCGGCAATTCCGGGACTCTCCGTCGATTTCGATCTTTCTTCTTCTGAGGGTCTCGGTTTTTAGATGGACTGAGAAAGCCTATTCATCATTGTTGAACCCCTTTTTTGTTTTCTATTTTCTCGTTTTTCCCCTTTCATTTATATATCCCTTTTCATACCTGTTGTCCCCCAATAAATCCGTCAATTTACGAGCTCCCATGAGGCCCATTTTGGCAGAAGCTTTTAAGAAAATCAACCAGCTCGGATTCGCATAATTGAACTTTAAAAGGCGCTCATCAAATGGAGAATATTTATTAGTTGATCACAAACACAAAAAATATTACGAGAATGGGGAAATATTTACAAAAAAATAAGGCTTTTTGAAAAAGTCCGAAATAAGTTAAAATAATGTTAGGAAAGGGAAGGACATGGAGTTTTGAGGAGGGAAAAATAAAAGAGGTTTGGGATGGGAATCACAGAAAAATGGCGAGAAAATTATTGAATTGCAACGAGGTTTATCAATGGAGCGCAGTTGCAGCCAGCGAGAAGTTCTCTGAAAAGCGCTCCACTCAATGCCACGTGTCTTCTCCTGCTACAACTGACCGTTGTACTGATGCGGAAGGATGCACAACGGAGCACGCATCGTCCACTCGTGTTCCGAAGAAGCGACCGACGGATAGACGAGCGACATGTCCGCCTGTGACAAATGGAACGACGACGGCTTCTCGTCGAGCAGAGCCGGGTGCGGAAGGGTGCCGAGCAGTCCGTTTATCGAGTACGCTGCAAGGATTGGATTACGGGCAGGCCCAAAAGAGTGAAGACTGCGTGCCGACTGTGCAAGCGCTAGACTAGTGGTTTCGCACTTACATCCGGGGACTTGCGTGAAACTCTGCGTGGATACTGTAGTTGCCGTCCTTGGCGGCGTCGCCTGCGTGTTATTCGACGAGGTGGAAGAGGACGGAGACACTGTTTGAGCCATGAACGTCTGAAAACACCTCTGGTTTCAGAAGACGTGAAAAGTGAAAAGTGAAACATACCTTATTCCGCACGATTCGGTTGATTGAAGACACCGACGGCACGTTGTCCTCTCCGCATATTCTGTCCTGAAATGAAAGGAAGACGTCAAGATGAAGATTTAGATGAATTTGAATTTCACTCACCTCGATAAGTTTCTGCCTGATCTCCCAGGCGAACATCGTCGGATTGGCTCTCTTGTAGCCGGCAATGCATTCGACGACTCGCGGAGTCGCAACTTTTGGCTTCGATCCTCCGATGACACCTTCAAAACAGAAGAGGACAATATGAGTACGGTAGAGAGGGCAAGAGTACCTGGTCGGACGGATCCTGTCGAGTAATATCGGCCCAGGATCTTTGAGACACATCCGTGGGAGACTCTGCAAAAGCAGAGAGTTGAGACATAGATTGTGAAGTTTCTAATGAAGCCAGTTTGCAGTTATTTATCGAGAAAATCAGATTCTAACAGCGACGCAGATCAATTGTCCGAAACTTTCCGACTCTTACCACTCGAGTCTTAATGTTTTAAGAAGCATAGATTTAGAAAGCACAAAAATAAGTTGATTCTGTTTTAAAACAGTTGTATTATTGTTCTAGATGGTAAAGAAAAAACAACAAGGGGAGTCACTGGAATTTAAAAATAACCGAAAGCGGATTTCAGTTGAATTTTCTCGAAAATGGTCAGGTTTTAGTGGCTCCATTTCTGTTGATTTGCAATATAGGACAACAGTAGAAGTTCTACGTGGAACTTTTTGGAACAGTCTTAAACAAGAGCAAGAAGCATTCTGATGAGTTCCAGTCTTTCAATGTTCCCCTATTTCCTCACTTTTTTAATCAAACAACAGTAATCCCCTGAATTTCCGGGCACTCACTTCAACTGTCTGGAAATGTCGCAGGGTCGCGTTCCGTGCTGCGCCATTTCCACAATTTGAGCCCGGATCGTGTCGGGAAGCGGGCGTCCGTTGACGAAAACTCCGCCCAGCTGATTGACGCCCGTGTGGGATCCATCTGAAAAGTCTGTAAATAGTTTTATGCTTCAGTGAAATAGTTCTGATTGTTTGTCATCATTAGTATCAAAATCATGAGATCTTCCGCTTCGAAAAACTTGTGATCTTGTTGGACACGTCACACACGTGAGAATCGGCTCAACTCCAGGTCATTTGTCCTTTCACGGAAAAGTGCACTCGAGTGAGCAAATGAAAAGAATCGGAGCAGATCACCTGATATTGCGCACGTCCACGAAAACTCACCAAATTGAAACGGATGCGCTCCGGACGGTACGTGCGTCTGATAGGAGGAATAGGGATATGTACGCCAAATTGGAGCTAGAGGTTCCATTTTTCAGTCGATGGCTAGCAGGCAAAGCAATCAACCGTTTGGCTGCCCTCGGATGCACAACAGGCCACGCCCCTTCTTCTCTCTCTCGCTCGCTCGCTCGCTTTCGCCCAATACCCTGCGTGTAAAACTATCAAATTGAGGGACAAAACAGGGCGGAGCTTGACGCCCACCGATTGACGCGGATTGGAGGGATAGAAACGCAATAGGGAAAGGAGGTCAGTGTTGCAGAAAATTGAAAATGTGTTGGGCAAAAAAGTGGAAACGTTTTCGGGTGGTAGAAGCGTTAATTAGTCGGTGCGCATAATGAGTTAGAGAAGTTGAAAAGAGCTTTTTCGGAAATGGATGGCTTTTGGAATTCGACACAAACGCGAGAGATGCGCATTTTTGAGAAATTAATGATATTCGTGACAGACTGCGATAGACTCGTGAAAGAAAGTCATTCGACATCTTCCACGCTTTCTATCGATCTGACAGCTACAAAGAGAATAGACTGAAAAAATCTTTCGAGCACAACAAATTAAAATCTTTTCGTACTTTACTCTCCCTCTCTCTCTTTTACTCTCTATGCTTCACTGAACATTTTAAATTCTCCACAAAAGTACAGCTGTACCTGGATTGATTTTGATGGCCCTTTCCCACTGCTTCCGATCGAAACCATCATCGATCATTGCCATCGCTTCGTCGAAATACGATCGTTCATGCTGAACTTCCGCCGCTTCCACTTTTAACTTGGTTTGATAGTTATTGTACTCTGAAATTGTTAAAATCACTACACTAACTTCACTGAAAATACCTACCGTATTGCTGGTGCTGCCACTGTGAACGTACACAGTCCATTTCAGCTAATGATGCTCACTTTTGCTCTTTGCCTTCCGCTCTGCTCTCAAACTCGAAAAGGGGCGGGGCGGGCGAGGCGAGGAAGTTTTTGAGGAGGGTGCCACGTCAGCTGATCCATTTCATACCTGCCTAAATAATTAGTGCACGCTTCGCCAGCTTTTGTTGTTGTTTCCTCACGGCTTGTTTATCACTCGCATCGCCTCTCAGGCATCGTTGTCGAAAAAGTTATCAGGGATGTACGCACGCTTTTTATTCCAGAGCATCAATTGGTGCCAGGCAATCGCGCTCCACCGGATAAGCGTCATTGCCAGATTCGTGCTGTTGTGTTAAATAAAGATTCTGATGCGGCGGTATTCTGAAGAAGTCCACGTCATAAGACATTGAAGCTTCATAATTTAAACACATTTATTAACAGGAGCTGTTCAGTTTTCAATGCTTTTCACACAAATAAGAGTGTCGTCGTCGTTCTGATCCTCCCAAAATTCCTCCTTCCTCACCTTCTTCGCCTTCTTTTTCGGTTCTTTCTTCCGTTTCGCTGAAAAATAATAGAAAATCACAGGAGATTTACTGAAGAACTAACATGATTCCTGACCGTCCTTCTGCTGCTGCTGTTGTTGCTGCTGTTTTTCCTCCTTTTCTTTCGGATCTTCTTGTGTTTCACACACTGTCGCCGCCTTTTTCTCGTCCATTGCCTTCTCGTTCTTTTTCGGATTCTCATCACACACTTTTTCCCCACTTTTCGCCACCGGCGTTTCTTTCTTCGGCTCCTCCTTTTTCTCGACGCTCGGAGACTTCGCAACGGACGATCTGTTGCCTCTAGCTGGCGTCGACGGATTGCTCGTCGTGTTCCGTTTGCCCTTTGAACTGCATTGGCCAATCAGAAATATAAGAAGACAAATGGGAATTACAATAGTCATCAATCTGAAAAATATGTTCACGGAGAAGAGAGGAGTGGACTCACGGGACTTGTCAATCGGAGGAATGGACTCTGAAAATGAGAAGAAATGAATTGGAATCAGGGAAAAGTTGAGAAGGAATGTGAAGAAAGTTGTCACGGATGCTCACCATTCTCATTAAGTCTGTAAACTTTTTTAGAATTTCTGACGGCAGTAGTTGTTCCGAATGCGTCAGTAGAGTAAAGCGAAGAAGCCGCTACCGAGCGTCCACTCGATTGGCGCGGTGGAACCCCGTTCAAAACTCTTGTAAGCTTTATTAATAGAAGACTGAAAATTGACATAACTTTGGTAAAGCGATAGTATTCCCAAGCAGAAAATAGACTCTTATCACAGATGTTTTTCGTTGCAACGACGACGGCGATTACCAGACGAAGGCGAAAAGATAGAGAAGTCCTTTGGCATAATCGACAATCTCCTGACTTCCAAGTTTCGATTCTCCAAAGAATCGGTCGACGAATGAGATGGGCACTTCTCCGATGCGGAAGCCGGCCTTCTTGGCACGGAACATCATCTCCATCTGCAATTTTGAGCGATTTTTAGAAGACGATTTCAGGTTTTTTCACCTGGAAGACGTATCCCTTGCTGATGATGTCGGCGATCAGCTGAGCGAGCACATCTTTTCTGTAAAGCCGGAAAGATCCGGTCAAATCAGAAACTCCCGGATTCAGAAGGAATTGAGCCAAGAAATTGGCCCCCTTGCTGATGGTTTTCCTTTTCAAATCCCATCCGCTGACTCCACCGCCGTTCTTGTATCTTGTCCCGGTCACAATGTCCAAATTGTAGCGCTGTTGCAACGCGATCATTTCCGGAATGAACTTCGGATGATGCGAAAGATCGGCGTCCATCAGAAAGATGAATTCTCCGCGGGCATGAGCCAATCCGTGCACGTACGCCGTGCCGAGGCCCAATTTTCCGGCACGTGGTCTCAGAACGATTTTGTTCTCGCCGTACTCCTTCTGAAGGCGTTGAGCCACTTCGAGAGTGCCGTCCGGAGAGGCGTCGTCCACGATGATCACCTGAAAATCGCTTTTTCTGGGAAATTCCCGATTATTTTTCTTGCCTCGTAGGAAATTTCTTTCAAATACTTCTCCATGAGCCAGATGCAAATAGGCAAGTTTTCCTTTTCTTTGTAAGTTGGCAAAATGATCGAATACTTCGGAACGTCTGCCATGTTTAAGCTGAAACACATAATCTTTGATCAGAAACCCGACAGGGATCAGGAAGGTAAAAAATTGTTGAAACGATTAACACGAACACTTGATAAACATTATAAAAACTGAAAATTTATAAAGAAAACACTAAAAACAAAACTATTAGATCTTCAATTTTTCTGCTTCTTCTCTGTCTTCTGGGCTGGCGCCGACCAAAACTTCATGTACTCGCCCTCGTCGAAATTGTCGTCGATAACTTCCGTTTTGGTGATTTTGGTTTTCGGTTTTCGAGCTGCCAGCCTCTGTCGTCTCTCGTCCTCACTCAGTTGCTTCAAATCGACTGCTGCTTGAAATGTCTGGTAAATTAAGCTATATACAAAGTTTCCAGAGTGACTATTTACCTCTCGCGGCTCAGAAGACGGAATCATGATAGTAGAGCCATCCGGACGAATGAACTTGATTTCGTACCGATGCAAATACTCCCGTCGACTGATTTTGCCCAAACTGGCCCGCCATGCATTTCCGCGATCTGAATTCCCTTTTTTTAACTCAAAAGATGCATTTTATTGATTCACCTGCTACAATTATTCTTGAACAACCTGCCAATAAACTACGGATGTAAGTTTGAAAAGCCATCTGTAAAAATTGAATGAAATTTGCTGAATATCTGAAAGAAATGATCGGAAAACGTGGAAAATAGAATATGCACGTTTTGTCCGGGAGTAGTACACAAGTGTGCAGCGGAGCGCATTAGCATTAGTACTACCATCAAAATCGAGGGAAGTTCAAACTATATCGTAAAACCTAACACTTTTCAAATTTTCATCGAAAAACGGTAACAAAATGTACAAAAAAAAGAGTAAAAGTTAGAGGCTTGTTGGAGTGCACGGCAAATAGCATCGATTCCACTGCCGCTCATTGTCGTAGACACAACTGAAAAGAAAGCTAATTTTAAGTGCAGAATCGTTTCTTTAAACGTACTGAACTTGTAGCTTAGTGTCTTCTGTGTCAACCGGACATCTGTAATTGCCGGCGCATTCACACTTGTGCGACTCTGCCACCACATTCAGACTTGTGTCCAAAGTTATCATTTTACAATAGTGTGCCTCGTCAAAAGTGTTGCATTCTGAAGACATTGAAACTGGATCCGGGAACGAACGTACTGCAAAATTCGAGGGATCTGACTGAAATAGAATAATATAGAAGTCCACAAATTATCAAAATTACCGTAAGAAAGGGAAAAGACGAAGAAATGAGAAGCGTTGAGACTATCAGAACTCTCATTTCTGTACTGAAGTTGTCAAGAATGGGGGGAGAATGGTCACAGAAAAGGAGGCAAAGATATCTGCGAGAAACCGGTCAGGGCCCTTGTTCGTCCTTTGTAAGCGAAAAGATAATGATGATGACGAAGACGTTGGTGGTGTAATTGTAAGCGGGGGACAAAAGAAACCGATAATTTTCTCGAGAAGCAGCGGAAAAACGAACACATTATCCGAAAGGGGACTGGGTCACTAATGGTGACTCACCAAACCACGAGCCGACTGAAGAAGTTTCGGAGGCTTTTGTTGTGGTCTCACTGCCACGAGACAACATTTCCAAGAGAACAGAGTGAGAAAGGAGTACGTGGGGACCTCTCTTTTTCTGAAATCCTAGATGACAAAAAGCTACGTGGACCTCTCGCTCTTCCTTTCCCTTCTCAGCTTTTTCTATTTTATTCTCTACTACTTGCATCTCTCAATTCAATCGCCAACGTTGTCATCGTCTCGGAATGAGCGACCCCTCGAACTGTTGTGAGACGCTCGCGTGGGTCAAAGAGCGAATCCACGACAAGAAGCACTTCACCGCCCGTCTTCTGGCTCAGCTCTCCGAAGTGTCCGGCATGGACGCGGAGCTTGTCACCAAAGTGCTCGGAGGAATTCTTTTCACTCTTTTGGCTTTCAGCGATCAGGTTGGAAGTGCGCCCGATTGCTAATACAGTCCTCTCTTCTTCAGGCGCACTTCTTCGCCAACGCCATTCTCGTGGTCGTTCCGTTCGTGCTCATTTTTGTGTATCCGGCCGAAAAACCATTAGACGACTCTCTTTTCGTCTACTTTTCGCTGTTCGGAGCGCTCACCGTCGTTGACCGAAGTCTCGAGCGGATTCCGTGCTATTATATCCTAAAACTGGCGCTCTTCTTGCTGCTTTTTATGCCGCCGTACGTGCTCCACAAGCGGGTCAGTCAGCTCATTCAGGAGCAGCTCAAGAGCACGGAGCCGCTTTCCGAGATGAGCAAGAGCACTCCGAAGAGCCAGATTCGATCGACCGTCACTGCGGTTTCCTCGACTCCGGCTCCCCCTGACCCTCCAGCTGAGCCAGCTCCCAGAGTTAGTTCCATCCCCCCCCCCCACAAGCTCTAAACGCCAATTTCAGAGCATTCCATCTCCAACGAAGAGTTCAACCGATCTGATCGGAGGTTCGCGCCGTCTGAAGGTCGGAGTGAATCCAATGGAGTCTTCTTCGTTCCATAATCTGAAGTCATCCACCGATGGATTCAACTCGACTCGTAAGGATTGAAAATTGCTATTTTCGGACGTACACAATACATTTCCAGTGGTGGGCAACAATCTGAACGACATGATATTCCATCCGCAGGACAAGCTCGTCTTTAATGCTCCATTCGACTACGACAACTTGACGTACCACATGAAGGTCACAAACAAGAGCCATCACCGGATCGCGTATGCCGTCAAGGGGAACTCGGTGCCACGTGTCATGGCCAACCCGGCGTTCGGAATCATGACTCCTGGAGAGGAGCGTCTTATCGCCGTGTCGGTGCAGAAATTTGTGTGGAATGAGTTCGACTACGAGAAGGATCGCATCGCGTTCGACTACGTCGTCTTGCCGGACAGCAACAAGGCGAGCCAGTTCTCGCTGGAACTGTTCACACATTCGGACACGAAGCGCCGCAAGAACATCAGAATCGAGTACAATCCGTGACGGTTTCATTGTGGTCTCCTGGGAAATAAAAGACGGTGTCATAATGTGCTTGATTCGTTCTTGAATCTGTCCTTGACGTAGAAAGGCGAATGGTCAATGATGCGTTGAATACGATCCCTCTCTCACTCTTTCCGCCTTCCTTTTTTCGGGCCAATTCAAAAGAAACTTTGTTTGTCCAGAGAGTCGTTTGGCCTCAGAGTGCAGTTGGCAGTTTTCGAGAACAAAAGTGATTGCCCAATCACTTTTGTGTTTGCTCGCAATTACTGATATCAGAGCGGGTTTATTCTGTCCCTGTGCGACCCGAAATAGAAGTGTGAAATGACCTTGCGGGCAGCAAATTGACAACTTTCACCAGCAGATTCGAATTCACCCAGCCCTTCTCCGTGAAGCTCCTCAGACTCACTGAAGCGTACAAGAAGGAATGGGTGTTCTCCTCTCCGATTACTTTGCATCTCTGCGCCCTCCGCACTGTCCTCACTCTCTTTTCTCGCCTTGCCCCTAGCAACACTTTCTACACAGAAGCTGGCCGGCCGCTCCCATTGTTTATTCATTTATTGTTCTCTGATTCCGAACTCAAACTCCCTCCGGAGCATCGCCATCTGTACTCCCTTTCCTTTCTCTCTCACTTCTCCCTGCCTGCGTCTCTCCACTCTCTGCGTGTCTCTCGCTGCGCAGCTGCTCAGTTTTCCCTCCGTTTATGTCTTTCCGTTTCGAAATGAACATGACATGCTTGGGCAATGTAATAGCAAGGTCATTTTTATGTGTCTAGCCAACCTGAATGTTCAGTCTGCGTGCGAGAGGTTTCGGGAAAAAAAAGGAGTAGTGGGATAGAAAGAAGATGAGACTGGCTCTTTTTTTAAATTGCCGTGCTGCAGCCGCCCGTACGGCTCAGTGAGCTCTCCCTGTCTTCTTCTTTTTTGTTTTCAAACGAGTTGACGAGTTTCCTTTGCTTGTTTTTTGTCTGACCTCAACCCTTTATTTGATCTACAGCGAGGCGGTCTTTCAATTGATGTTTTGTGTTTTGTCCCGATTCTTCTTGTTTCGGAAATTCAATAGTATTGTCCTTTTTTACTATCTTCTCAGGCTGAAACCTAGAATCCCGCGAAATCATTCGATTCCATACATGGATCTGCTGATCATCGATTGATCACACCGGAAGTCAGCGACGCCAAAAAGATGCCCATTAAAACATCAGTCACGATCTGTCATCAATGATTTGCTTCCCTTTCTCGATAACTTCCACAATTGCGTGCGTTCCAAAACACCTCGTGAATGTTTTTGTTTAAAATTTTTTCCCCTCATCCTCATCCCATATAATTATAATTTTCGCTTTTCCGCGATTCAATTTCCGGAGATTGCCTGTCTCTCCCTTCCTCTTCCTGGAGAGACAAGCAGCTTTATCGTGTTTATCTCTCGCTTCGCCTTCATTTTCCCTCTTTTCCAATCCACTGTTTCTTTCTCAGGTGATGACGGTCTCCTACAATCTGGACGTCTCGTCGACGTCCCTTGTCGCGTTCCTCAAGCTACAGTTACGGTGGAGGGGGTCCGTGTGGAAGTCCGTCATAAAAGAGCTCTTCCTCTTTTCTGCCTTGTTTGCATTCGTCACATTCATCTATAGAACCAATTTGTTCTTGTCAGCAAAGCAGAGATTGTGAGTTTTGTTAGTGTGTTAATAGTTCAAGTTCTCTGAACCAGTTTTCGTTCAGATTCTGGGACAACTTCGCTGCGCTCTTCGACCAGAAACTCGACTACATTCCACTCACTTTCATGCTCGGCTTCTTTGTCACAATCATCGTCAGCCGCTGGAATGATATATTCTTGAATATTGGATGGGTTGACAAGTAAGCGAGTCGGTTCGATTGTTCCCATCAAAAAAGGTTAGGGGAGTTACAGTACGGCGCTGATGATCGCCACGTACGTCCGCGGAAACGACGAGAAGAGTCGGATGCTAAGACGAACGGCGCTTCGGTACATGGTGCTGACGCAAGTGATCATCTTCCGCGACATTAGCATGCGAGTCAGGCGCAGATTTCCAAATCTGGAAACAGTCGTGGCCGCCGGATTCATGCTGGACGCCGAGCGGGAGAAATACGAATCGCTGAAGCTCAACTTCAACAAATACTTCATTCCCATCCAATGGTGCTACTCGCTACTCTACGAAGCCCGCGCTCAGGGAAAGATCGGAGCCGATGTGATGCTGAACGAAGTCATCAAAAGTGTCTCGGACTTCCGCCGCGGACTCGCTCAACTGTGCAACTTCGACTGGGTGCCGATTCCTCTCGTCTACCCGCAAGTTGTCTTCCTGGCCGTTCGCATCTACTTCTTTCTCTGCCTCATCGCTCGCCAATCTGTGCTCATTGACGGAGAACCGCCGAAAGACGATCATCCGGTTTATCCGCTTGTTCCGTTTCTGATGACGTCACTCCAATTCATATTCTACGTGGGGTGGATGAAAGTGGCGGAGAGTCTCATGAATCCGCTGGGCGATGACGACGACGATTTCGAGTGCAACTTCTTGCTCGACAGGAATTTGGCGGTGAGAACTTTTCCTGAGAACGCAAACAAAACGCTGTTTCTCCAGACAGGATTGGCGATTGTCGATGAGTGCTACAACGACTCGCCGCCACTTCAGAAGGACGTCTTCTGGAGTGCAGATGTCGTCGAGCCCCTCTATTCGGCAGACACGGCCGATATTCCCATCAATCCACAAATTGGATCAGCCGCCGCCTATGAGTGCGAATCTTTCATAGTTTCAACTCTATCGTTCACATTCCAGAACAAAAGAAGACGAGATTATCATGCGCCCGCACATGGATGCCAACGATGAGTACGACGAAGGCGCAGAAGACGTCGAAGGTCGGCCACGACTCTTGCCACGTGTCATTTCCGTGGTGTCTGTGAATCGAAACTGCGAAAGTCGAACGAGTTTGGTCAGCCGAAGGAATCACGGAGGAGGAATGTTCGAAAGATTGAGGAGCACTTTCGGAGGTTCGTCACGGAAAATCAACAGACCCGGACGGTTATTCGACTCTTCGACATGCTCGATCAACACTGCAATCGGAGACGTGAGCTTTTTTCTTTGAAGTGTTTAGTGGACGTTTTGAGAACATTGTTATTTAGATTCTCCTCACAATCAGACGGAGTCAAAGTGTTTCAGTTTCAGAACGGAAGTCTAACGAGCATTTTGGACGGCCTGGTCGAGGATACACCGAAAGCTTCGCAAGGGCTTCTAACTCCTGAAGACTTCACCGGCTCACCGCCACGTCACACTCCGATTGACGTGCTCTCGTCGGTTCCAGAAGAGGACGAAGATTCGCAGAAGACGAGGACGCAGGACGACTATAAACGGTGGATGCAGCAGCACGCGGAGATGAAGAAGGAGAACAAGGAGCCGAAGGATTCAGAAGAGAAAAAAGACGACAACTGACTCTGTGATACGTATAATATTGTATAACTTTGACCTCATTTTGACTTGAACAAATAATTATCGTAAAATCTATAATTTAGAACTGGTGTTATGAGCACTTATTATTTTCGGGTGCCGTTCTAATAGATTTCACGGTCAATATGTATTTATTAATTTTCTTGTTGAATGACTCGGTTGTTGAAACGTTTTGTGAAAAACTAATTCAATTTTGCATAATTTCGGACGATTCTTATTTTATGATGATGCTTTTATTAATGATTTCATCAATAAATGACTTTATGACTTTATGTCATTTTATTCGACTTTACATTACAATCATTCTTCTTTCTTCGTCGACTTTTCACTTTTGTGCAATTCTGCTGGAGCTGCTTCCGCCTGCTTCTCGAACTTTTTCTTCTTCTCCTCTTCCTGATCTCTTTTCTTCTTTTCCTCATTGTATCTGGACAGACTTCCGATGAACATTATGACCAGCAGAGAGCTGACGACGAGAGCCATCAACGCAATGACGGCCTTCAGAGTACGCCGTTTCACACGTTCCTCGCGTTCCGCCCTGAACGAATAATCGTCCGGAATGCGGCTTTGCGGGGACATGAATCGTGGAATTAACAGCTCCAGAAGCTCTTTTTCCGAGCGCACATTCTTCCACTTGGCCTTCGATTCCTCCTTCGACGTGAAGGCCAACTGTAAAAAATGATGTGAACCTGATGAAAATAGTGCACAAACTTTGGCATTGAATGTATGATTCTTGTTCGTCGGAGCGCTCATGTTTTTGGTGTAAAACTGAAAGAAACTTTTAACTTTTTCACCTATTCTTACACGTTCCATACATTTATAATGGCGAAGCTTTGACGTCCCCATTCTGGATCACAGTTTAGGAACAAATTTCCACTCCTAAACACTTTTGTCGGAATTTTAAGCAATTTTTTCAGACCTTTTGGCGACAAGAATGAAATCGGCTCTCAGTTTGGCTCGATCGACTCCTCCGATGAACTCGCATACATCTCCTTTGAGCAATTCGTGATCATGGATCTGCGGAGCTTTCGTGTGATTTTTGGCGATGAAAAGAGCAATCTGAAAAAGTTGGAGTAATTCTTATAAGCCAAAAATATCTCACATTGTCGATGGTTGCGCGGAGTTCGGTGTCGTTACTGGGACCGACGGCACATATCTTGATGCTTCCGCTTTGCGAATAACCATTGCTAAACCGAGCAAAATTTTATATGAATGCGAATAGAAACCGTAAGGAAAACCTGATAGTGAGAGCCAGAATGGCGAAGAACAGTGGGAAACAGACGGCTAATCTCATTCCAAAAACGTTTTGAAATGAGAGGGGAATATGAAGAAATACATAAAAAAAAGTTGGATAAGTTGGATAAGGTCGACACGTTTACAAATATCTCACAAATTGGGAAATCACAAGAAAAAAAGATGTCAGACAGTAGTGTAGAGGGATGCGGCAAAGACGATGTCACGGCGGATAGAGGCGCTCACTTCTTCCATTTTTTCTACCAAAGCAGGATCGCCGACGATGCGGCCGGCGTTCCGAACGTCCTTGCACACCTCGTCCAACCGTTGAATGCACTTGACAATCAGTCCTTCTTGGCAGTCGGTCATCTCCATTATCTGCGAGAATGGCTGCAAAACAATCATAGTTCCATGCGATCTCGCCACAAAAACGAACCATTCCGCTTGCCCAGTGGTACACAACTTCCATCAGATCGAATCGAATTTCGCATCCGAGATCCGAGATTTGGGACTTGTGACGGGCGGCCACAGATTCCAGTTTCGTCATCACCGCTTTCACACTGTCGCTAATCTGAAAATAAATAACTTGCTGCTAAAAACACAATAGTCTCTTGAGCACCTCTTTGAATACTGTGTCATTCAGGAAGTTCATCTCTTTTCCACTGTTATACTGACACGTGAGAGTGGAGAGAAGGGCGGCCAGTTCGGCTGGCGATCTTTGATGGAATTTGAAGCCAAGAATGAGCTCTGTGATCAGAAGCTCTTGGTGATGGATCTCGCAGCCGATTCGCCCACGAAGACTGACCATCTTCTGCTCGACAAATCCGAGCTGCTCGAGCACTTTTAGCCGATTCTGATACTCTTCCGAGAGCAAAAGGGCATCGCTGGAGAGTTCATACTCCAGAAGTCTCACTTTCCTTTCCACTTTGATGCGTTCACGGAGAAGGTTAAACTGAAAACAACACAGATTTCTCAAGTGTTTTAGATTCCGAAATAAAATGAATTACATGCTCCTCGAATCGAGTACAGTGCTTCGCCGACAGAATATTCGATTCACTAAGTGTGTGCTCAATTGAATACAGCTGCTCTGCCTCAAGTCGAACTTCAAAGTCGTGGCACTTTTTGACGAGCTCTTCCATAGTCACTATCTGAAACTTACCACGAAAGAAGGTCTAATTCCCTGTCTTTTCAGCAATTCTCACCTCTGTTTTCTTGTTCGAAATTTCAGCAGAAGCAGTCTTCAGTTGGTGGATTGTCTTCATGGAATTCTCCGAGAGCTGACGGTCTCTGAATCTCGGGATCATAAGCACATTGTATTCTTGTAGAATCTCTGCGCTCTGCACTTTGTTCGCCATTCTCTTCAGAATTGCGACCACCGCCGACACGGGAACTTCGCAAAGTCGGAAGCTTTGAGCATTCGACGGACACACGCTGGCGCCAGTGGTGATGTATTTGTTGATTGCGAGCAGGTCGTTTTGCTCATTGAGCCAACGGGCTTCCTGAATGGAAATTGTAGGAATTGATGGGAATGCAACACACTGACAGCCTTTGGAATCTGCAGGAACTTGGTGTACTCTGCATTATTTCGGTACGTTTCTTCCGAATCTTTGGAGGGAACGAATACCTGAAAAACTCAGTTTCTCAAAGTATTTATTTTAATGAGAGCACCTGCAACTGCTTGTTGCTCAACTCCTTAACAAGCATGACACACGCATTTTGCAGCTGATGTGCCGCACTGCTCACAATCAGGAACCTTCCAGAAGAGAGCAGTTTATTTACTTCCACCTGTTCGTTCAGCTTCGGCCAGAGGGCTGCTCGGAACGTGGAATACTGTACAAGAGCATCGTGATAGGCTCTCAACCCGGCGCCCGTTTGTGGGGACTGAGGGGAACAGACTGCACAGTCGATCGGGGCAATCTGAGAGAGCTGCTCTTTCGTCTCCACGAGAATTTTGCGCTTGTCTTTGGATTCTCGAAGCGAGTCGCTTTCCACGTAACTCCTTTGTAACATGTCCTCAATCTTCAGCTGTTCGACTCTCAGAAGGTTGAGAATCATCGAATATGTGACTCTGAACTTGCTTTCCAATCGGAGCGCCGAGCCGCACATCACGTTTTTGAGCACGTCGTTCTGCGGCACCGTCGCGTCTTTGCAAATGACAATGACAGTTCCGGTCGAGTCGAGGCCTCGTCGGCCGGCTCTTCCGGCCATCTGGGTGTATTCTCCCGGGTTTAGAACGCGCCGTTCCGTGCCGTCGTGCTTGATGATACTGTCGAAAACGACGCATCTCGCGGGCATGTTCACACCCATCGCGAACGTTTCTGTCGCGAAAAGAATCTGAAAGACAAATGATGATCTGATTATCAGGACGGATGCAAACTTTAACGTATCCCTTTTGAAAGAGCAGCTCGACGACTTCCTTCAGAATCGGCAGAATGCCCGAGTGATGGACGGCGAATCCACGTAGACAGAGCTCTCGCATTGTGAGCACTTGTGGCAGTTCCTTGTCGGAGCCTTTCAGACGTTGAACGCATTGCGAGAAGAACGTCCGAACGTGCTGTTTTTCCACTTCTGTTGTCAAATTCATCGAGGAAAGCATCTGGGCGTTTTCGTCGCATCTGGAATAGGGGAAGTTGAAAGGAACGAGAGAAATTGAGTAAGCCTTTTTCTGGAGAACACAAACACAACCATCGGCAGTTGATCCGAAGCCTTCATGAAATTGATCAGATTCAGATAGATGTTCTTGTCGTTCTTGCCCGGCCAATTCTTTCCGCCGCCGCCTCCGCCGTGTCCCCCTCCACTTCCTCTTCCTCTCTGCTGTGCGCCGCCGCCTCTTCCACCTCCTCCACCTCCTCCACCACTCTTTTCTTTTTCGTAAATCCGAGCTTTCGACTCTTTCGCCTCATTGTATCCTTTTACAAGAAACTGCCCATTTCGATCGATAATTTTGAACAGATCCTTCTGAGTTTTTCCATCTTGCCCCGTATAAAGGAAGTGCTCGAGAGGGACCGGTCTGCGGTCAGTCGAGATCACATTGATCCGTCGATTCTTGATGCGACCAACCCAGTCTGCGAACTCTACACAATTTGGCACCGTCGCCGAGAGCATCACGATTTTTACGTGCGCTGGGAGCATGATGAGCACCTGAAAAGCATCTTAGACGGATCCTGTAGATTCTGCCGAACCTCTTCCCAGACATGGCCTCGTTCTTCGTTATTAATGTAGTGAACCTCGTCAAAAACGACCCACTCCAGATCTCGAATTACTTCCGAGCCGTTGTAGAGCATTGATCTGAGAATTTCGGTGGTCATGATGAGACAGGAGGCTTCAGGATGCAATTGAATATCTCCGGTCACTAGGCCAACGTCTCCAAATATCTGTTTGAAATCCCGGAACTTTTGATTCGAAAGCGCTTTGATTGGAGAGGTGTAAACTGCTCTAAAATTAAAATATTGCAAGGAAAAGCAAAACGCAGGCTGACCTAGTTTTGTGCGTTTGACACAGAGCAATCGCGTACTCAGCGACGACTGTCTTACCCGCGGAAGTGTGTGCGGCGACGAATAGAGACTCGCCTCGTTCCATGCAAAGAACGGAAGCTTGTTGGAACGGATCCAGAGAGAATGGGTACTGAAAATATTTGAATTCTGTTAATTTGAAAAAAGAATGCTCACTTTTCTAGCCATAGTCGGCAGGAGCGTCTGGTACTCTTTCTCCTCTTCACTGCTCAAATCTAATCTTCTCGCGTACTCGAACTTTTCTTTTTTCTGCCCCAGAACTCCTTCAAAACTCTCCGACTTTACCAGCGTTTCTAATTTCTCCAAAGGCACGTCATCCAATTCAGACTCATAATTCTTCATTTCTTCTGATTCCAAAGGAGTCACTGGCACATCCTCTTCTGTTGTTTCGTTGACAGTTGGAGTTGTGAAAACTGTATGAGTGACCGGAACGGCCGTGGAGACCATATCCAGAAGGTCAAATAGATCCATTTCATTGGATTCTGAAGATTGTGTAGGCTTTTGTGAAGATTTAATGGCTGGGAGTTGGATTCGACCAATTGTTGGAATATCGGAGAGAAGTTGGGCTGCAAAGAAGAATTTTTTTGCATTTCTTTTCAATTTAGTACCATCATTATTGAAATTCAGATATTTCGCCTCTTTTCCACAATTAGTTTCTTCGTTTTTCGCGCCAAGAAGTTGGTCGAGTTCCTCCAAGAATCCGGGCATGAACGGAACATTGCACGGCGAGCCTTTGATGCTACTTCCCGTCGTTTGGCTAGTTCTTTGGTTGCACGGTGCCCGGTTGATGGACATTGAGATGTTCGAAGAGCCAACGATTGCTCGATCGCCTTCTACGAATCCCGCGATATTTCCTTCAGAATCTACGTTTGCAGTGATGTTCGCCGGTGCGTCGATTGGTTGTAGCATGGAATCCAAGTTAGATGCCATATTGTGGAACTCGGCTGCCGGATTTTGTCTGAAATCCGCAGATTTCAAAGAACATTGTGTTTCTGCAGAGAATACCTGCAAATGAAGTCGGGAAGAGGAGCGAAGGGCGGCCAGTTGAGCACTTCTAGGCATTCTAGACGAAAAAGACGGTCTGCTTCGATTTTCAGCTTTTCTTCCGACATTATTTCTCTGATGTTCTTTGCGAAATTTATACTTTTTTATAAAAAAATAACTGAGCAGGCACAGTGTGTGATACGGTTAGCGGTTCACTGTGCGCGCTTGCACACAAACTCATAATCTCACGACAATGAATCTTTTAAATCCCAACTCAGAAAAACTATTTTTTCCGTTCATTTTCTGTGTAAATCGTCAAAATTAAGAATGATTCGACGTGAGAACCGACTTCGTCGCGAGTATATCTTTAGAAAATCGATAGAAGAAAAACAAAAGACGCTGGAAGAAAAGCGAGAGAAGATTCGTGATGCGCTGGAGAATAACTCGTAAGTTTTCACATTATTTTTACAATTATTGATGTTATTAAATTTTTAGAAAAATTGATTACAATCTCCGCAAGGATGCGATCGAACTGGCAAAAGGTTCGGATTGGGGCGGTCAGGAGCACGAAGTGGACAACGAGTACCGATGGGCCGGCGCTCAGGACCCGAAGATTGTGATCACAACGAGCAGAGATCCGTCAAGTCGGCTGAAAATGTTTTCGAAAGAAATGAAACTCATCTTCCCGAACAGTCAACGCATCAACAGAGGCCACTACGATGTGAAGCAAGTTGTGCAAGCATGCAAGGCTCAGGACTCGACGGATCTGATCATTCTGACGGAGACACGTGGAAATCCGGACGGTATGATTGTCTGCCACCTACCGTTCGGTCCCACCGCTTTCTTCTCAATGGCCAACGTTGTTATGAGACACGACATTCCGAACTGCGGAACTATGAGTGAACAGTATCCTCATCTGATCTTCGACAATCTGAATAGCAAGCTCGGCCTCCGATTCACCACCATTCTGAAGCATCTCTTTCCTGTCCCGAAGCCGGATTCGAAAAGAGTTATGACATTTTCGAATGCAGACGATTTTATCAGTTTCCGCCATCACGTGTTCAAAATCGAAGCTGACGGAGAAACTGAATTGACTGAAGTGGGACCGCGATTCGAATTGAAACGTGAGAAAATGCGCTTTTTTTTGAAAACCATTAGTTTTCTTTCAGCTTATCAAATCAAGCTGGGAACTCTTGAGAATTTGGCGGCTGCCGACGACGAATGGGTGCTCCGATCATACACGAATACCGCCCGGAAGAGGACGTTCCTTAGTGTGCCACGTACCGACGACGAATGATTCTATGGACCTTTTGTTTTTTGTTGAGTTTTATTGTTTTTCCCTCTTTTTTTGTTGAATTGAATGCTTGAATGCCGAAGCGATGTAATTGTCAATTGGACTAGTGAATTTATGGAGGTTAATCAGAGTCAATCAGAATCGGAATATAAATTATACATAATTTTTCACAGAATCAAGTCATTATCATTATTTTGAAGAGATCATTCGTCGGAAAGAAGTGGCGCCGGCTCGCGATACGCTTCTGAGTGCATCGACTTTCCGGCCATTTCGAGGACGGCACGGGCCTCCGGATCCTTGTCGATCACGGATTTCTCCGACTTTTCGGCCATCTCCACCTGCTCCTCGAACGTCTTCTGTGGCTTGTTTCCCGGACGCCACACCTCGATCGTCTTGATTTTGAACTCCTCCGCCTCGGCCACGAAGCACGGTTCATAGAAGCTCGAATTCTTCTGACACGTTCCCGAGTCGAACTCTTCGCGAATGAACAACGGCCAAATGTCATCCCTGCCAGACAGTCCCTGAAAATATAAATGTGCTCTGATGAGCTGACGGAAGAAGAACTGACCATTCCATTCGGAAGCGTCTGCTGCTGGTAGTTCAGGTAGGCGTAGTTGTCGGTTCGTCCGGTCGCACTGTACGTGACGAGCTTCGGATGAAGCTGGAACAGGAAGCACTCGGCCGACCCCTGGTACTGTGGTCCCGCATGAACTCCTGCAGAAGCGAAAAAGCCGAAGCGAATCTTCTTTTCGGAACGGATCACCACCAGCACCGGACCTTCTCCGTTGACGCGTTTGACCATTTGGGAGAAAGAGTGTCCCATCGTTTGGTTTGAGTACAGAAGAGTCCACTCTTTGCGACGATCGAACGGCAGATGGGAGTTGATGATGAGAGAATCGATAGTTCCGAAAATTGCCGACTTCTCCGAGAGGACGGGTATCTTCGAGTCGCCCGGTTTCTCGAGAACTCGCTGGAAGATGAAGAGGGCGATGTAGGCGAAGAGCGGGCACGCCGAGAGGAAGCGCTCTATCTGCTCCGGTTTTTTCAACTCGTCGCTGACTTGTTGGTCGAAGTAATCGAAGAGAAGGACCTGCTCCTGACGGGACATTTCAAGTTCCGCGCAGTAAATTTTGACCACATTGCCTATGATCACATTTTTGTCCTCTCCGAAGCAGCGATGGAGGACTGCCGCGAGGGTGTCGAAGTGGCCCATTGCCTGATCAATCGTCTTTAGCCAAGTGCTCAGCGAAACCTGCGGCTCATTGTTGAGGAGTTGGAAAAATAACTTTGGTCCGTAATCGCGGAAAATCGGGTACGTTTTCTGAAAATACGCGGCATTTCGCAACAAAAAATCTTTTAGTACCCACCAGAAACTGTTCCTTGTTCATTTTATCTTTTCCGTTCGTCTCTGTTTTAAATCTTTTGATAAACGCTACCGCGTCGGCCGCCTCGATGTTGCGAATGCCTCTTGGCGCTTTCGAATTATCGGCGCCCATCTGAAAAAGAATAAGAAGATTCCAGAGTTCCAAACATTTTAAAGGTATTACAAAGTTATTCTCAATCTTATCGTCGATATGGAAAAAGAGAAGAGCGAAAGAGGCTTCATTTGGCAGAAAATGGAAATAATACACAATGTTACATTATATATGCGATGAAGAGGTGGGGCGGTGCATCCGACGAGAAGAGAGCATTGAGAAACGACGGCGACGTATGATGAAAATGCATTAATGCGGAAAAGATAGAAAAAAGGATTAGTGCGATCCGCGTGCATAATCGGAAGGGAGTGTGCTGATAGAAGAGACGATGTTGACGGGTTGGCTGATGATAGCACACCTGAAAACACTTGGATGCGCTCGGAAATCTCATCACTTTTTTCGGCATTTCCGCGAAGGTAATCGCGTGATTTTTCTGGAATACTCATTTCGCAACCGCATCTTTCCTCACCTTCAGTTCGTGGAAGGCGGCTGTTCGACCTGATTCGACTGCAGCAGATCGCTGATATTCTTCTCGAGGTCATCGATCCGTTGAGTCATATCATCGATACGACGGATTATCTGATCGGACATGTGTTGGAAACGATCCTGCGTCTGTTGCAGCACTCCTTGGATCTGAAAATTTCTCAAGAAACGGATTTAATATCTATTCCCCCCCTGAAAATCAAGCAAAATATCAGGTTTCCAGATATTATTGATTTGCGAAACGAATGCGAAGCCACCATTTGCGGGGTATATTCGTTGTCAAAAGTTGAGAATTTGGACTCACCAACGACGTCAAATCGCTCATGTTCGAATCGTCGATCGGCTCCTGCTTGACCTGCACCGGCTTCGTCTCGTCCGCCATGTTTCGTATTGTTTTTGGTGTTCTAACGAACGCGAATTGTGTTCTAAACCGATTAGAATACACGCGGAGAATAACGAGAAGGGAAAGCGAGACGCAGACAACTGCGGAGGCGAAAGTGTGGAGACGCAGAGAGGTCGTCATGTTTACGACGATGATCAGCACTAGGCTGGTCGAACAGGCAGTTTCAGGCGCCTGTTTTCTCAACGCAAGAACACAGCGGCGCGTTGAAAAAACAGAATTACCGAGTTGACAAATAAACGAAGAGAATACGGTCTGACGGTATTTGTTGTCCAATTTTGAAATGGCTGCAAATTTATGGAAAACATGAAGCTAGAGGGCCCTGAAGAAAACTGGCGACCGTTTATGGCTAACAAAACAAAAATATCGAATAGGGACTAATAAATAAAAAGAGAGCGGAAAAACCGAGATAATATTGCACTGTTTACGATGACGAGCTCGACGAAATGGGAAAGGGAAACCAGGAAAAGAAGAGATCACACAAGAAAGAGGTCTTGAGCTCAAAAGAAAAAGGGACCGGTGTGCAATTAAAAATAAAATTCGAGCCGACTTTAAGCCCTTCCCTCGCCACCCGAAGACAATGTTTCGATGGATTTGAGAGAAGTCTGCGAGACGGCCGAATGACGTCCGCCACCGCTCGAGGAAAGATCCGAAGAGACTCGGTGGCTCCGCTCGATGTCTTGGAAATGGTTGATACGCGATTGGACGAGTCCGCACTGGCTGCTTCGGAGCGTTGTGACCGACGGACGGGCCTCTACCATCTGATGAGGTAAAGGTAGATTCTGAAACAAGCATCCAGATAAGGAGCTAATAAATGAATACCGTATCCTCGGTGGAATTCCTGAGAAAATCGTTGTATTCTCCCAGTCCGAACTCCGAAAAGTCAGCCGGCGTTGTCATCGAAGACTCTCTCGACTTGACGTACTTGGTCTGTGGCTGCTGCTCTTTCGGCTCGTGAGATTTCATCGGAGGCAGGAAAGGACATTTGAACACCACCTCGTCGTTCATCGAGTTTCTTTTCTGCTGCACTAACGGGGAGAGAATGGGCGTCTGAAATCGTTGTTTCTGTAGGAATGGGAATGTAAATATACCTGTCTGTGTGAAGAATGTCGCGGAGAAACCATCACTGACGACGTGGAGCGCGTAATTGGACGAGACAACGCTTCGTCGATCAAAAGCGGCGATTCGGCGCACTGACGGCGAGTTTTCGGAGTGTAATAGATTAGATTCGACTTCGGACGCTGCGGAGAACGCTGAAGACGACGAACTCGGGGCGGAGTGACCAAGGCAGCATCTGAGCCATCCACTTTCGAAGAGAAGGTTTCAAAAGTGTCTTACAGTTTTGGCTGTACAGCCTGTCTTCTGTCAAATGCGATTTCGATCGAAAGTTGAACGGAGACAACGGTGACAGAGGTTTGCCGCTAGACAGCACAGTCGACGGCGATCGGAATACCGGAGAACGAGCAAGAATCGGAGACACTCGTTCGGGCTCTTTCGTCTCCAACGGAATTGGCGTCGAGACGACCGTCTGTGTCTTTCCGACCCACACGCGACCATTCTGCTGGATCTGGAACGATGAGCAATTAAAAACTCTACCGGTCTTGCGAGCAACTCACTCCTACGCTGTCCAGTTTCCGGAGGGGAATCTGCATAGGAGCCGTCGTAGTTGGCGGAGATGTACGCGACGGAGGAGGCAAGCGACCGGGGACCGACTCGCTGGCTGTCCGTCGGCCCATCATCGGCGTCGCCACCACATCCAACCGATGTCGCATATCTTTTTCCAGCTGCATTCCCATCTTCGAGGTTGGCGCTGGCTTGCTTATAGAATAGGGCTCTCTCTGCAAAGATACTGCAATTTTCAGCTACGTCTGATCGTAATACCAGACTGAATCGCTCTTTTTCCCTGGCCGGAGTGGCAAAGACGTTGGGATGCGCTTCATTTTCATTGACATTCTGCACTGTTTCTTGATGCATAGGAAGCGAGGCCTTCTCTTTATTGTCGTGTGGTGGGAGCTTTTCGAACGTCGCCAGCGATCCATTCAGAACCATCATACTGTCTGAAGGGCCGGACTTAGCTTGACGATGACGTCGTTCAGCGACGCCGACTCGACGAAGACGTGCTTGATTGTTCATCTGAATTCTATCTTTATCGTCCCCGTCTGATTTACAAATTGTACCATTTCAAGAACGGACTCTCCATTCTCCATCATACTCCTCTGGTCGCCTTCTTCTTCACTCTGCTTTTCAATAATCACACTTTTCCGATTCTCCTTCTCTTCCGCAATAGAATCAACTCCCCAAAACGTGGATCTCCGACTCGGAATGTTTCCAGTGTTCCTTCTGCATTTCAGCCCATCAGCAGTGTTCCGACGGACGACTCCACTAGCTCCGCCGCCGCCTCCTTTCTTCTTTTTTTCCAGCGGGGGAGTGGCGTCTCCGACGGAATTTCGAGTGAAACTGTTCTGTTCGGACTGCGAAAAACGACGGAGAGATCGAGACGTGGTTGTGGAGTTGGTGGACGACGAGCACGACTTCCTCTTTTCCATCGGTGACATTCGGAACGACTTCTGACTGTCCGAATCGCAACGGGATCCCCGAGTCATCACCGAATTGATGTTCCCTTTCTTCGTGTGAGCCCGCGATTTTCTGCCTGAAGACGTGGATCCCTTCTTCTGTAGCACACAGTCTCCGGCTCTCTGATCTGTGCCACTTCTGAAGACTGGCGATCCGTCGTCACTTTCATCGTCGTTTCCGGAAGCGATTCTTCGGATTGGAACTATTATTGGCGAAGCGGGAGTCGAGAATTGCGAGTAGGCGGATGAGGATTCCGGTGGTGGGAATGCTTGGCGGCGTAGCTAAAGGATTTCGATAAAAACGTTTGATTTCGAATGGCTCACTTTATCTGGACTCGGGCTCTTGTTTCTCTTCAAAAACTGATTCGAAACCTTGTCACGTAGTCCACGCAATGAAGCTATCGGAAGAAAAGACGAGGATCTCTGTAATTTCTTCTAGTTTCCATTGCAAATATCTGCTTTTCCTCTCACTTTCGTGGTAGCGGCCTCTGTCCTTTTCACATTCTTTACATGCGTCAAATCGGAATCTCGTCTGGTCAATGACCTTTGTTTATAATTCAACGACGCCTTGGCCATACTAAAGACGTGACCTCCACTGTACGGACTGGGCATGTCAAAAGGAAGGGCTCGTCCTTTTTCGGACACTATTGCACAGCGGATATCAGGCATCGCACTCGTGCTTCTGATATTCGAGTGAGGAGAACTGTGAAGACGATTGCTGGACACATAGTGACTCTTCGGAAGGGCTATTAGATTGGCCTAAAAATCATTTTTGGATTGTTTAACACGTCGATTGTACATTTATAATGAGAAGCTTGACCGCAGCCACTTGGACTCCCATGTCCTCTTTCTTCGCGTGTAACTCCGCTTCTGTACATTTCCTCGCTTGTTGCATCTTTTTCCGCGATTCCGTCCCGCCACCAGCCATGAAGTCTCCGAATACCGAACCGACAAGCACTACTGCCAGGTTGTCAGTCGTCATTTTATGCGAATCGCTGTGTTTCGCAATCTGAAAGTTGACTCACTTCGCTTCCTTTCTTATGCACTTCACGATACTCTGCTCAACAAACGCATAACATAGCCTAGAGTGCCTAGATGAGAGGGAGAAAGCTGTCGTGACGGCGTCTCGAACAGGCGGCATATTTCCTGATGGCTCAGGTGAAACTCTCCGGAAAGCCGTGCTTTCTTGGCCTTTTCGATGAGCTTGTGCCGGACATCGTCGGAATTCAGAAGCGTTGGTTTCAGATCTTTCAAAAATCTCTTGATCATGGTGCAAACATCCAAAACGGTGAAATCAGACGGAATGCCTCGCACACCGCGGTAAACTTCTTGAACCTGAAATGTTTGAGCAATTCTTAATTCAAAAATGAAGTTTCGCCCATTTTCTGTACCTCAGGTCGATTAAGTCTCGCCGAGTTGCCTTCTTTTCGGAATATTCCGTCGAGTTGGAGGCCATCGGCCATAATAAAGTCGAACGCGTCGACGATGAAACGTGGAATCTCTTTCAAGGTGATTCGCGTCCATCCGTTCCCGACGATCACATCGATATCTATATTCCAGGAGAGCACCTCGCCCAGTGTTAATCTATATCGCATAATTCCGTTCGTCGAATCGTACGACGTCGAGTTCTTTTTGCTGCCCGACGGACACCGCGCGAGTACGCGAAAGTCCGCATAATCTTCGGGACAAGCCTGTTGGAAGTTTATGTATCTTATAAAATTTCAATCAAAAACTGCATTTACCATAAAATTGACCAAAATTCGATGAAATATGACGAGATATCAGTGAAAACAATGGAAAAAAATCTGAAAAACCTGAAAGTTTGAAATGCCCGCCAAGTCTGTAATTGGGCGTGAAGTTCAATGCAACTGCCCAATTTATTGAATACCGTACTATTTGTGAAAACAATCAGAGAGTGTGACAATCCCGTAGAAATTTCGAAACCCGTAGATTACAAAACCCGTAGTCAAATCCCGTAGAAGAATGTAGAATCCCAACGCTCTGATAATAGCGATGATGGCTGCGGGACGAGACAAAATCAATTGGAGCACTGATATGGGGAGACTGAAAATAGCTCTTCCCTTTCTCGTAACGTCAAAGCATTGCAATAACGTGAGTACCCCAAAAAAAGGCTGCTAAAAGGGACGCAGCAGGAAGCGACTCTGGCTCGAACAGCGACCTTGAAGCAGGCGGAAGACATTCTGATTCAAGTATCGGCCTTGAAACCGAAAGAGAGGCCGAACCGAATGCAGAAGACGAGCACTTCATCATCCAAATGGAATAACCCCCAGTACGAATCCACGAATAAGACCTACTCGATTTAAAACAACCTTCCCTTTTGTTCTCATGTCGTTTCTCATACAGATTAAAACTTTGTCATCGAATAATTTATTTTCTTTCGCAACTTTACAGATTTTGTGCGGCAGCAGCGTTCACTGTCGACGCGAGATCGCCTTTTCCTTCGGCCAATCTTTGCCTGATGATTGTAGCCACTGCTTTTTGTGTCCTCCGTTCAAGTTTCAGCATTTTCGATTCGATATCACGTTTCAGATCCCAATCAATTTTTTTCGGGGCCAACATCGCCAAATCGACACTGTCAATCGCCTTCTCGTGTAGAACATCCTATAATGAAAAAAGGATGGCGTTAAAAAAACGACTGAAGACCCACCTTCAAGTGATCGGCGATTTCTCGTTGAACGATGTCCATGTCGACAGCCGTCTTCTGCGTTCCTACTTCGTCATCTGGCTTGTGATTTCGGAATTCTCTTCCATTCTCTTTATTCTTTTTTGTGGTCGTCTCCCCCTGGTCATAATCTTCTTCTCTGAAATTGCATAGTACAAAAAGGAAGCGCTGTCAGTACTGCCACCAATAAAATCGATAACTCACTCCATAGAAATGCCATGAATTTTTGACTTCATAGCTAACAATCTCCGCTTTCTCGCTTTTGCAGCCGCTTCTAATGAAGTTTCGTGATTTGTGAGACTTTCGATGTCTTCATCAGAATCACTGTGATTTTTGTCAGTCATCTGAATAATTGACGAGTTAGAAATAATTATGACATTTTTTCACGCAAGAAAATTACTGAATAACCGTTTTTGCCAATTTCAAGAGAAATTTGATTGGAAATCGAAAGAACTCGGTTCAAAAAACGTTGTGTAGATTTACGGCAAAGGGTTGGGTCTCGCAAGGCAAGAGCGGGTACGGTAACACTAGTTCAGCTGTGCGATTTTTCCTCCGGGCGGTTGCCATTTTTCGCTGAAAGACTGTGGTTTCGACTCTTTTTTTGCGGTATTTTTACATTTTCACGTTTTTAATACTCGTATCAGTTTTAGCTGCATCAAATTGACAAAACGTTCACGTCTGCATGAATCTCATCAGATTTTCACATCTGAGAAGTGTCCTCTTTTTAAAGTATTATCTTTTCTTTATTTCAAATTTAGGGTTGCAGGGTCACCATGCTTCGTCAAGGCTCGGGAACTTTGCAACTCGTTGCTTCGAACATTGTCAATGCCGAGCAACAGCGTGGATTCGCCACTTTGAAGGTAGTTCTTACTTATTTTGCACTGAAACCGAATGTGTCTGTAGGATATCTCTATCCGTCTGAAGTCGGTCAAGAATATCCAGAAGATCACCAAATCCATGAAGATGGTTGCCGCCGCTAAGTACGCTAAGGCTGAGCGTGACTTGAAGGTATAATTTAAAAAAAGAAAACTGAAAAACGCAACAGTCGAAGTACTTCAGGGAGCCAGAGCTTACGGAGTTGGAGCCAAGACCTTCTTCGACAACATCGACCCAATAGTCGAGGGAGCTCAAAAGGACGAGGCCAAGAAGCAAGTCTTGGTTCTCATCACCTCGGACAGAGGACTTTGCGGAGCTGTTCACACTTCCATTGTCAAGGAAGCCAAGAACATCCTCAACAATGCTGGAGACAAGGATATCCGTGTCGTCGCCATTGGAGATAAGTCCAGATTAGGACTTCAACGTCTTTATGGTTATTTTCTTCCTTTTAGCATAGAGTAACTTTGAATTATAGGAAAGAGCTTCTTGGTCTCTGGAAACGAAATCGGCCGTGCCCCACCAACGTTTGCTGATGCCTCTATCGCTGCCAAGGCTATCCTGGACTCCGGATTTGATTTTGAGACCGTAAGGCTGTTCACTTCAAGAACAGAAAATTATTCCTGCATCTAGGGAACCATCGTTTACAATCGCTTCAAGTCGGTCGTCTCGTACGAGACCTCGAAGCTTCAGATCCTTCCTCTTGAGGCCATCAAAGCTAAGGAGGCTTTGAACACCTACGATTCGGTTGACGACGATGTTCTTCAATCGTACTCCGAGTACTCCCTCGCCCAGCTCATCTACTATGCCATGAAGGAGTCCGCCACTTCGGAGCAGAGCTCCAGAATGACTGCTATGGACGGAGCCTCGAAGAACGCCGGTAAAAACCTTGTTTAATTTTGCACAAGTTCAGTTATATTTTGCAGGAGAGATGATTGACAAGCTTACCTTGGCGTTCAACAGAACTCGTCAAGCAGTGATTACCCGCGAACTGATCGAAATCATCTCCGGAGCTGCCTGCGTCTAGAGTCCTCGTCGTCGAACGTTGTTCAAAGTATCGCTGTCTCGACTACCCTCTCGTAAACCTTTTTTTAGAATAAAATTTCCCTTTTTTCTCCTTCCTCCAACTCTCTATTGTTGTTATAGTGATACGTTTGAGTAAATAGTGACACGAAATAAATATTTTTTGTATTGTCTCTAACAAACGAGTCACAAGTGATGATATGAACGGAGGACAGTTGGTCGTTATTATCCACACGAAATATTTTAGAAAATACGATAAGCAATGTTCATTAAGTTTATTCAGGCAATAATGGATCTCGCAACAATAGAACAGTTCGCGGGGACACTACTGGTACTCGAAAAACTTCAAAACTTGATCAAAATTACTTTTAATTCGGAATTTGTTTTCAGGCGCCCCCAAACTTGGTATCGGCGGAAGCTCGCGAGCAGGCTACGTACTTTTTCGAGGATTTAAAAAGGAAAATTTCTCTAAACGAATGTTTGATTCTTTTAAGTAATTCCGCGTCCAAAGTAAAAAAAAGCGTCCACAGTTCAAAGAAATCCCAGCAAAATCCGCGTGATTTCCGGGTTTTTCTTTAAACTTTGGACGCGGCATAAGAAACTGCATTCAATATTTTAAAAAAGCTTGATTAACAGGAGAATCCAATAATTCGTTCGTTCTCTTCCAAATTGGACAAGCCGTCGGAGAACTTGTGCTCCGAGATTGGGCTCTGATCGAGACGAACGATGTGCAAGTGGCCTACAAGACCCTTCTCGAGTTTGTTGCCACGTCATTAAGGTGCGTTTTAAACACTTTACACAAAACCGTTCACTTTTCCAGCCTAGAATCGTACGTGGTCGGAGCATGTCTCAAATCGGCGGCAATGATCATCAAACGAGGAATTCTTGACGGAAAATCGGGCGATCAGGAGGAATTGTACCGATTTATTCATCAAATGCTCACCAATGAATCGGCGACCATTCAGGCGGCCGGATGTCTTTTTATCAGTGCTCTCATCGAGCAGTTCTCGTCGGCATGGCGGAATTCAAAATTCTCAATCACTTGGGACTTTCATCTTCAGGCAAAATCCACTTTTGAGGTTATTTTTTTTCACACGACCGACAATTTATTAAGTATTTCAATTTTCTTTCAGAATAACGGCCTGCGACGTCTTCTGGAAATGTCCCTTACCACCCTGCACGCCCTTTCCAATCAAAACGATATCGTCGGAGATAACTTCACCCGACGGCTGTGCGATCGATTTCTAGAAGTTTCCGAGAACATTCTGTCCTGGAACTTCTCGAGCAGACTCTACAGAAGGTTCTTGAGCAATCATCAGGTAATCAACTGCTTTATTTTTACTGTGTTCAACTTTCTCTGTCTACCACATTCCCAAAACCATCATCAAAACGAGGCGGGTATAATAGGCGGAGCTGAGCGGTTCGAAGTTCAGCGAAGTGTTGTTCGTGTACTTTGTGGTCACTGTTTGGATAGCGTTGTAAAGGGCGGTACGCTTTCCGGCGGCGCTCTGAATCAAGTATTAGGAGAGTGTTGAAATTGATATTGTCCGACTCACGTGGTAGTGACAATAGGCGTACCATTCGTTGAGCGCATCAAAGAATGCGTTATCGTGAACTTTATCCGTCTTCGTCCACATGTTTTTGTACTGCTTTGCCACGGAAGCATTAAAAACTTTGGTCAGTCCTGGAAGGAGGTCATCCCAGAACAACCCGACGGTGTTGCGATGATCCAGAAGACTTGTGACTCCCGCGAGAGCCTTAGAGCTGGTACTGTAGATGTCTAGGGCCGCGAACTTGTGAGTTCCCTTAATAAAGGTATTGTTGTTACACTATAAAAAGTGCTGCCAGCATTACCAAATTGTTCGGAACCCAACTGTTGGCTCGTTTCTTCTTGGCTGCCAACGTGGCATCACTGTTGATGTTGGTAACGAACTACAAATCAGACCTTTTGCCTAGAACCTCAAATAAAGACACCAACGTACAGTGTACAGTTTGTTCATTGGCGAATACGCCAGAATCTGTGCCATGCATCCATAGGTGATAGGATATTGTGAATCTACCACAATTGGCGCAAAAATAGTCAAGAGTGCGGCAGAGACGTGCAGCGGACGCATTCGGAAACTGGCGATTACAATAGTTTTGAGAGGAAAACTCGAAAGTTTGCACTAGAGAAAAAAAGAGACAGTGGTGGGAGGTGGTCGTGGCATTTGGGGATTAATCGGCACAATCTGCGAACTTCGACTGTCCGGCGGATTTAGTGGGGTGTTTGATCAAGTGAACCGCCCATGCCACGGAAAGTTCGCTACAAAAAAGATTGAAAGTGGGAATATAACTAGAAATTAAACAGTTTACAGTCATCCACGTCGTTCCGTCCTCCGATCACGTGGAAAGATCTCCTCGAAAACGACGAATTCTTCACACTTTTCTTCAAACTTCACGCCAAAATTCGACACGACGAAACACTGTGCACAAAGAGCATGAACTGTTTAATTCAGCTCGCCTCGTTGACCGGGGACTGTATGCCGGTGTCCGATCAGGTGGCGAGCACGAAATACATGGGCATGTATATCAGCAATCTTCTGGAGCTTTTCGCTCAAGGGCCGTCTCCCTGCGAAACGAATCACTTTTGTTTGATTATCAATCGACTATTCCTCTACCGCCCACTCACTTCCATTATGAGACAGGAGGCAGAGTTGAGATCGAGATTCTTCGCGTTCCTCAAGGATTACGCCATTCATCTCACCAATCAGGCGATGCAGAAGGCCATCGCAGAAGCAGAACACGACGATCACACTTCTCTGGCCCTGGTTTATGACGCTATTGTGGTTCTTTTGAGAGGCAGATGGAGGACTTGCTTCGAGAGTGAAGCAGAGGCGGATGCAGTCGACAACGAGCTCGTCAAGTGGCCAGTGCTGATGATTGTGAATGCGTTCATCGTGAACGTGCTGGCTCCGCCGCAAGGAAATCGTCCGATTGCTAAAGATGAAGACGAAGCGGACGAGGATTCGGAGGATCGAAAGCTCTTCGTCGATTTGTTCAACCCACTCAGCTCCATGATCTGCTACAGTGTCGGAGAGTTCATGGATGTTATGACTATGTAAGAGACATAAACGGTAGTAGTGCTAAAAGCAAAGTTTCAGAAATCTTCGAAACGCACTCACCGAGTTCACAAAAATGGCGACAGGCACGGCGGACATGAGCAGGTTGCCAAGCTGGCAAGAGGATCAACACTGGCTGATGCTCATTCTGGCGAGTTCCATCGTCGGAGAGGAGGTCGACGGCGCCTGCCACATATCCGGTGATGTGTTTGACCATTCACAGAAGCTGTTCCACAACGGACAACAATTTTGTCCGCAAAAGAAGGCACAGTACCTTCAGATGTGCATTGAGGCGCCAACTCAGGACAGATCTCTGTTCAGCCAGGAAGTCGATCCGTTCGTGCGAGTAATGGGAGAACTGTTCGCGTGGGCGGCCATCGAAAGTGACGCTTTCGCCAATGCGGTAGTTAACATGATCAGTCCGGAGCTCTGTCGTAGCACTTTCTTGTGCCTTCGCAGGTTTTTAAACGCCGCCAGCAGTCCTCTTGATAATGATGTAAGTGTGAATGGATTCCGAACTGAACAAGCTGATTATCTTCAGAAATGGAACGATTTCCAAGGTGTGCCTTCTGAAGCCCTTCCCGGAATGCCCAAAGATAAGGAGTTTTCCACTGTGCTCGTCCGATTTGTCATCAAAAAGGTGCTCAATGTGCTTGTCAACTATGGATCGGAAGAGAAATTGTGCCAAGATGCGATCGAATGTCTTCTGGGACTCGTCGAATCCAACGCTTCCGTCATTGCTTCTTCTCCAGAGCTTTTCGAATACCTGAACACTCTGGATATTGCACGTCTTCCAAATCGCGCTAATCTCATGAAAGCGTTGGTTCTGATTGGAGCAGCCGCCAATGACGCCGAGTTGCAGGAGAATATGTTCAGATTGGTAGGCTTTTCTAATTCGGTGAGTTTATAAAAAAAATAATTCACTCGTTCAGATCCTTGTGCCACTTTCTGAACGATTTATGGCTGCTGCCGATCAACCTTCCCGTACTGACCTAGATTCTCAGATTGTAGATTATCTACAATGTTTCGATGGAGTCGCTAGGGCCAGTCAAAGCCATTCGGCCTCGGTTCTCTTCAGTTAGTTCGAAAGCCTGTGTTCAAATAAAAACAAGTGCATTTTCAGAATTCCTGTACTCGATTATTGACAAGTGCATCGGACTGATGAGATCTCGGAGTCAAAACGAATTGGTCGTCTCGAACATTCTCCAACTCATCCTTGACGTCACCACAAAGGTCTCTGTCTACATTGACAACGAGGAAGAGTCCAATCAGCTCTACTCCTGTCTTCTCCAAATCGTCGACTCGTACCGCAACGATCAAATCAAACGATTCTCGACGTTCACCTCCGACGACGAAGAAAAGGCGTCCGATCTGGCCACGTTCATTGATATCCTGTCGAATGTGCTGTCCAAAGATTTTTTGACTTTGGGAGAGCAAAACTGCTCGACGGGCGCCAAAGTGGTCATTCATTCGCTCGAAATGCTGCTCACAATCATGAACGACCAGGTGCTCCAGATGCCGGAAGTGGCTCTCAAGTTCTTCCGCCTCATCCTGTACCTCGTCGAGTTCTCTCCAGAATCCCTTTCCGAGATATCTGACGGGTTGATGGCGTCCCTGTGCCAGTGCATAAAACTCGGAATGACCGGACAGTTCGGAATGGAAATCACTTCCACTTCTCTGGAGTCTCTCACTGAGGTTGTGCTCCATTTCGGAGTGCACAAAGATCGGTGCACTCAGAATCTGGCTTTCTTGTTCAAGGAGATGTTGCCGGTAAGTATATCGGAATTTTTTGTTATTTATATAAATCCACTTCCAGACGGTGTTCGAGACGTGTTTGGAGAACACGTGCGAAAACAGTCTCTACGCCGAGTCGTGCTCCGCTCTCTACGCCATAATCGCCTTCGAAAGAGTGAGTTTGGCCTTCCTGGCCTCTTTCAATTTCTTATCTTTGCAGTCCTTCTTCGACGAGTACATCAATGGCTTGTTCTCAAAAAAGTCGAATGAAGCGGCGCGGAATGTGCTGGAAGAGGCGTTCCGCGAACTCATGGAAGTGCAGCCAGAGCCAGTGAACCGACGCGGACGGGTGCAATTCCGAAACCGAATGGAGAAGTTCCTCACCAAGATTCAAGGACTTCTCAGCTATTGTTAATCTTTAATTTATTCCTTCTCCCCCCTTGTCCCCTTCTTTTCCTTTAAATTATTCAATTTTCATTGTTCCAGTTGGAGTTTTCTGCCCCCTGTCCTCTCAATTTCTTTTCATTCCCTTCCAAGTCCTGTTTCTAATTTCTGAATGTTGAACTTCTTTAAAATTCTGAAAAATCCGTAAATGACAACGAACTCAATTTCTTTCTCGGCGGCTTTCTGCTCCTTTAGATCTCGGGTCTTCCGCATATTATAGGGGCACCGGACAGAAAGGGCGCGCTGTTCGCAATCTGGCCGAATTTCCAGGCCGCGAAGTAATTTTCCACTGAAAATGTGGCCTAACTTTTCAAACTCGGCCCCGAGGTCGCTCAATTTGCACTGCAAAAAGAGTTTCTCAACAGAGCGTCATTTCTGTGCGGTGCCCCTATAATAACTCTTGTTGTGTGCCGTTGACAATAAAAACACTTTAAAGTTCAGGCTGAAGTCCTTTCTCGAACCGACATAAGCATAGCCACTGTTCATTCCACTTCTAATTACAGTATAAAAAGTGACGTGGCACGGGCTGACCTGAAAAGCCGCCCGTCACTTGTTTCGCCGGCCTTCAGATGGCGCCCCATCTCCTGCTTTCACTGTTTTTTTTTTCTGCGTTTCTCCGATTCACACACTATTTCCGCGCCCAGACTCGTTTAATACCCGGCTGTTTTGTCGACAATTGACCGGTAATTATGGGCGAGAAAGTGAGTTCTGAAGTATTATGAGGATATGGGACGATCCAGCCCACGCACAGATATGTTATTAACAAGAACACTCTGTTTTTCCCGTTCCAGACACCCTATATAAACCGCCTCCAGACCCTGTTCAGTCAGTTGAACCCTGCCCGTGACTCGCTTTCTGGCCGCCAGCAGTGTGTTTATATACGCCAGCAGACCCTCTTTCTGACGTGTCCTCGGTAGTATAGTGGTGAGTATCCGCGTCTGTCACATGCGAGACCCGGGTTCAATTCCCGGCCGGGGAGAAATTTTTTTTGGATTTTCAGATGTTTTCAAAAACATTTACCCTCACCCTTCTAATTTGCCTACTCGTGGACGTGACCACGGGATGTGGATTGTTCGGAGGAGGAGGTGGAGGAGGCGGATGTTGCTGTCAAAGTGGATGTGGAAGGAAGAAGAGAAGTGCGGAGGAGCCCGAGTTTCGCGGAATTTCCAGTAAAGACGAGGACATGTTGTGCAACAGTCCCGAATTGAAAAGTTTAATTGTGGAGGTATGATTAGAGAAGACTTCCGAAGATTCCAAATAAGAAAATACTTTAGAACCTTCGTTCAAGCCCCCAAGCTTCCAGTAAAGCACTCCAAGTTGCTCTAGAGGGGTATGATTCCCACAGATACGTGGTCGTTTGTTCGGAGGTAAATGCCTGTCAATATGTTCATAAACAATGTAATCCTATTGCAGAACCCGTTCCATTACTCCGTGAAACACGATTCGGCCTACTGTGGCGCTCGTAATGGATCCCATTATTGCCAAGCATTCGCCATCTAAATAATAATTCTTAGAAATACGAGTTTACTGCCTAATAATAATACTCAATAATAATAACAATAATAAGATTTGGAAAAAAGTAACAAAGAAAACAATGGAGAATCTTTTAGACTGGAATCTTTTCCAGTATGGGACACGGTTCATCGTCCACCACATTTATATACTCGTTCTCATCTTCCGTATTCGGTTGGGCCGGAAGCAAGTTTTCGGGTTTTTCCTGTGACGAAGGGGGAGAAGACGATGAGATGCGAGGCCCTGTAATTCGAAACTTTTTGAGGTGATCCTTAATAACCTACTTTTTGTCTTGGTCTCGTCATCGGATTCCTCGGGAAATGTGACGATGCCCTCTTTGATTTCTTCATACTTTTGGATTTGCATTTCTTTTTCGATAATCTCTTCGTCGATATTTTTCGCGTTTTTCTTCGATCCGTTATCAACTCCATGTCTTCTTGTTTTTTCTCGATTGTATCGGACTGTGATATTTCTGCAAAATGAGAAACAGTTCAGAGAAACACCTTCAACGAAAATATAACCTAATATCGTTCTTGGAGATGTATTTCAATTTGCATTCGTAGTTTTTATATTCGTCGCGAATGTAGAAAAATATTTGATCGGAAGTCCAGTTGAGGTCGATGAGCTCTCGCACGTAATTCTCTTGGGTTTCGGTGAGCCACAGCAGCTTGTGGTCCAGTTCGTGCCCAATATGAGTGAAACAGCCATTGGCCCACACGGATCCGTCTTCTTGAACAAAAACTTTTAAATAGGCGGTGCAAGTCTGATCAATCTTTCTCGGATTCGACTTTCTAGCCTTCGCAACACTTTGGTACTTTCCGACTCGATGACATCGATAGAACGTCTCTCCGCCGTGCCCGGTGCGTTTTGTGAGGGATGTGCACGTATCCTCTTGTCGTTGATCAAACCATTTTCTGAATTCATCACGAGCTTCAAACAGTTGCCGTTCTACACAGAATTTCCGATCTTCCGACTCGTGCTTGTCCCGACAATGCACCATAAGTTCCTCTATCGATTCTACAGTAACCGTGCACTCGGGACACTTCGTCTGGCTTCCACGATGACGAGAAGCTGGCACCGGAAACTTTAATTTCTCCATTGGCGGCATCATTTTATTGGGCGGTGCGTGATGAGGTGGAATTCCACGCGGTGTTTGGCGATGTGGAGGAACTGCACTGTCGTAGGAAGACGTGGAGGGCTTCTCGTGTTCTTCTTCCACTTTCACGTACTCGTCTATTCCGATCACCTCTTCCTCTTGCTCCACAATCATCTCTTCCATATAATCAACTTCATCGCCGTCTTCTTCTTCTTCGTGATTCTCCAAAACTGCAGGTTGCGAAGAACATATCTGGAAAGAAACAAGAACATCTTAAGGTTTCATTTTCAGATGTCTTCAAAACTCACTCTTTTATGCTGCACCAGATGCCTTACGGTCCGAAACACTGCATTGCAATAGGAACAGAGGAAGGAGGCCTTCGTCTCTTGGTTCTTCTTCTCCGTACGAATCGCATTGATGAGAACTTTGCAATCGTCACGCGTCCACTGATGAATTCCCGACATATGACGATAAATGTTCTTCTGAAGACACACCGTGGTACATTCCGGGCAGCTTATTTGATCGATCATGTTGTAGGTTTCGATGGGCAGAGCCGTCATTAGCAAATTTAGGCTGAAACTTATGAAATTTCAATAAAAACACATTTTAAAAGTCGAAAAATAAAACAATTAGGTAGGATTTACGGGCGTAAATAACGCCGAGAGACGCGCTGCGTGTCCGCGTAACGGTCAGCAAGTGCGCTCCAACGCTAAACTTTAAATTTTTCCAGATTTTTGTGACAAGAAAATCTCAAAAATCCGCTTATTGTCTGAACTTTTTTAATGTTTCCACCGCCTTTCTCTTTGAATTGAACCAAATCGATTTTCTTTGCAGACATATTATGCCGACGTTCAAATTAGACGACTTAGATGATTCAACAACGTACGGCGGTGATAATGACATGTATTTTCGGCAGTGGCGGGTCCCATCTATGAAACCGGTACTCAATAAAAAGTAAGCACTTTTTTAGAACGCAGCAGTTTATCAAAAATCGTGTTCCTAGATTAGATCGTGATTTCCAAAAAGCCATATCAAAGAAAGAGGACTCGATTAAAAAAAGAGCAGATGCAAAGAAGAAACATGACGAAAAGTTCGAGAGAAAGTTGGAGGCGTTAAATCAGAAGATGAGTGAAGCAGCAGTAAGTCTAACGTTTCAGAATTACTCGATCTACACATTTTGCAGATTCCTGACAAGGAAAACAAGCCGTTTCTGCGTGCTCCGACCGAAATGGAACTGAAGCAACGGAGAGATGAGCTGAACAAAGAGTACGAGTCGCCAAGTTCAACAGCGCCTGCTCATCCTGCTGGACAAAAGTGAGTTTTCCCCGGAATACTCGAAAACTTTCCAATTTTCATTGCTTTCTAGGTTAAGGCCACGTGTTGCTCCAGTATTTGGTTCGAATATGGCGGGATTGAAAAATCTAGTGCTTCCCCCGACGACGACGTCTTCAGTACTGGGAAGCTTGCCCCGAAAACCAACGTTATCAGAAAGTAGCACAGGGACAGGCACTCCGAAAGACAACTCGTTCCTGAACAGCAGTCACGAGACGGTATTCTTCCCGCAGACACACAATTCGTTTAATTTGGATCACTACAACGGAACGAGACCTTCCTTTGCCTTCGCTGGATTAAACGCGGCCACGTCGACACCTCTTTCAAAGAGCCATCAGAAGAAATTCTCGATTGGATCGTTAAAAATCACCGAGGAAGGAAACGATTCGGTATTTGAGGGCACAAAATACGTGACGGCGATAGATTCCCCTCAAACGACGACCATGGTGGAGAAGATTCAGATGCAGAAGCTGCAAGCTGAAGAAGAGGCGAAGCGAAAAGAAGAGGAGAGGAAACTAAGAGAAGAGGAGGCGAAGAAGGCCTTGGATCTTCAGAAGGCACAGGAAGAGAAGGTTCGGAAAGCTATGGAAGCCAAGAAAGCGCTTGAACAACAGAGGGTCATCGAAGCTGAAGATCGGAGAGCAGCCGAAGATGCCAAAGCTCGCAGAACGAAAGAAGAAGAGGAGGAGACTCATAAAGCTAAAAAGTCCTCACCGTCTCAGTTCACTCCTCCATTCAAACTATTCAAAAACTACATTGCACTCGAAGAAACGCTTCTCAAGGAAAAGGCGTCATACGAGAGGACGTCGGATCCAGCTCGCCGCTCACTGCTGAAGAGAACTATCACCGAGCGAATTTCAGTGTTCACAAACCGTCAGACGTCTACTCAAATGCGCGGAGAAATTCTCGAGTTCTTCAAGAACATGCTTCAGAAGGCTAAAGTTGACGGCTTCTCGCTAGGCACAGAAGCACCAAAAGTGCAGTTGGAGACTGACGAAGACGTCAATTATGCGGTTTATTCTATTGTCCACAGATACGTTGTAAGTAATAGATGCCTTTTCTCACTTGCAAATGCTCTATTTTTAGTCCCTCGCGGTCTCCGACGTGGAATTAGCTCCGACCATCAGCGATCTCATTTCGAGGCTTTCGTCAGTGATACGTCGCGTCGAGAAGGTGTTCATCGTAATGCTGTTCAACAAATCGGCACTTCTTCGTCAAGATCCTAAAGAATGTCGAACGTATTTTGTGGACTCTCGTCTGGAAAGCGACGATAAAGCACGGCTTTTGAACGAAGAAAATGCGCTCATCACTCTGTTCTTCAATGTTTTCGTCAAAAGTAAGCTCATATCCGCGCTCAATTGATTCATTACCCCTTAATTCAGATGCGTACATCTCATCGAAAGGTCGGAAGATGGTGCTGGACGAGGACCTGTTGTGGAGATATGCAGATTCGGCGGTCGAGCATGCTCCCGAAGTGCCCAAGGCTCCGATGGTCCTGCTCCAACTGATTCAGAACTGTGAGCCACGTCTTCGGCAAAAGGAGGAGCGCTGGAATGCTCTCCTGGAGAAGATAAGTTCCGAAACGATTCCACAGCTGGAAGAGGAGACGTTCGCAGGCGATGAATCGGTTATCGGTCGTCTGAAACAGCTTATGACGGCTTTGCGACGATGAAAGCAAAAGGAAGAAGAATTCGAGTACTTTCACTCCAATTTTGACAAGCATTTGGTTGTTTTCTGTACAATTATTTCTCGGTCCATGTCTTTCTCTTTATTTATTTTTTGACATAAAACTCTTTCTCCTTATTTAGTGGATCCACAAGTACTGATTAGCTGGGGATGGATAAGATTCTTCGGCTGGACGCGTGTACTGCTGTGTTGGCTGTGGAGCAGAAGCCGGAGCATTCGTTGGACCCGGTGCCGCGGTCTGGCAATGGTGGCAAGTTCCTGGGTTTCCGGGCTCTCCTGTCGGTCCTTGCGGTCCCGGCAGTCCTGGATTTCCGGCGTCTCCTCTGGTTCCGACGGCTCCACGTACTCCCGGCTGTCCGCCCAATCCGGGTTTTCCGTCGTGTCCCTTTCCTCCGGGCAATCCACGTGGTCCAACCTTTCCAGGCGGTCCAGTCGGTCCTGGCGGGGCTCCATTCAGCACTTTTCCTCTGTCCCCAGTCGGACCCTTGTCTCCCGGCGCTCCTGGCTCACCACGAACTCCCGGCGGTCCAGGTGGTCCTGGCCGATTGTCCTCTCCCATTCTTCCAGGTTTACCCTCGAATCCAGCTGGTCCACGTGGTCCCTTTAGTCCCGGGAGTCCTGGAGGTCCAGGCGCTCCCGGCGGGCACTTCTGGCAAGCATTGGTGCCCGGAGGCGGCGCCGGCAGGTACTTTCCGCTCACTCCGTTGTCTCCGTCTCTCCCCGGGAATCCGTCCCTTCCTGGCTCTCCGTCGTCTCCCGGCACTCCTCGTGGTCCAGGGGCTCCTTGGGTACAAGCACAGCACGATCCGGCCGGAGACGCTCCGTAGTTTCCATATGGACTTTGACGTTTCGTACGGTTCGGAGCGAGACGGGTGAACTTCATTTGCTTCCAGATATCTTGGGATTCGGTCTGAAAACGATCAGTTTTTACGCTTGTTTTTTTTTCTTCGAGTTCGTGGCCACCGCTCACCTTACACAATTCGACTTCAGTCAACATAAAAGTGGTGACCTTCTGAACATGATTGTGCAAAAGTGGAAGCCCAATGATGACTGTGAGCACGGCGAATGTGGAGACGATACTTCCGATGATTGTGGACGTCCGCCACAAGGCTGACGAATCCATGACTCACTGAAAAGGGCGACTGTCTATCAACCGAAGGCACAAAAAAGTGGAGCGGACGGAATTCACCGCGGAGAAGAAGGTGAAATGAAGTAATCGGAAAGGAGTGGGTAAAACGGAAAAGGGAAAGAAAAAACGAGGTCACCGACCTCTTTTTGCGATTAGTTTAATTGATAAGGCTAAGGGAAACGATGGATATTGTGGAAAAAGAAACGATGACGTGGAACATTCTGGACGAGGAAAAGAATTCCGAATACTGTAGAGTTTCAAGTATATCATGTTGTTCTATGTACTGTAGCTTCCAACAAGTTTGGCGCCCGTCTGATAACTGAATCCACAATATCATGACAGCAAAGGCGAACTAGCTTTCTCCGGTCTTTTGGCAAAAATCCCGTACTTTCACTCTGTCGTTCGTCTTTGATACTTTATTCGGATGCCAACACGAAAACCAGTAGTATCAATGCGAAAAAACGAGAAGAGAACGAGTTGCAAGGGATGCGTAAATGAGTATAAAAGTTTTTCCCCGAAAATATTGTCAACTCAAAAATGTTCCTGAAGCTTCTCGTCTTCCTCACTGTGTGCCACGTGGGTTCTTCTCTGTTCTTCCCTTCTGTGTCGCCGTCGGGCGGAGGATGTTGTTGTGCACCACCGCCACCGTAAGTTATCCATAGGGCGCAGTTGCAATCCAGAATTCCAACAATTGGTTCAGAACATGTGGATGCGGATGCGGAGGTCGTAAAAAGAGAGAAGTTGGGCACGTGAGGGGACATATGGTACACAAAGACGAGGAAGAGTGGAATAATCAGTGCAATAGTCAAGAGTTCTCGGAAATCATTCTCAAGGTCCGCTTTGTCGAAACTTAGAAATTGAAATAGTTTTTGTCTTCAGCACCTGCAAATGCCAACACTGAAATCTTCCCGAGATGGCATCTACAAAGAACTGGACGCCGCTTATCCAGATAGTCTCTTCACAGTTTTCTGCACAAAGAATTCCACAGCTTCTTATCAAGCAGACGCGAAGCGATATTGTATGGAAGTCGCAGAAGGGCGCAGTTGTTATGTGTTTGAATTTTAACTTAATCTTAATGTTTTAACCTGAATCAACCTAATAATAGCCTGAATTGTTTGGCTTTTATCAAATTTGAATTATTTGTGAAAAATAGTACGGTATTCAATAAATTGGGCAGTTGCATTGAATTTCACGCCCAATTACAGACTTGGCGGGCAGTTTAAACTTTCAGGTTTTTCAGATTTTTTTCCATTGTTTTCACTGATATCTCGTCATATTTCATCGAATTTTGGTCAATTTTATGGTAAATGCAGTTTTTGATTGAATTTTTAAAAGATACATAAACTTCCAACAGGCTTGTCCCGAAGATTATGCGGACTTTCGTGTACTCGCGCGGTGTCCGTCGGGCAGCAAAAAGAACTCGACGTCGTACGATTCGACGAACGGAATTATGCGATATAGATTAACACTGGGCGAGGTGCTCTCCTGGAATATAGATATTGATGTGATCGTCGGGAACGGATGGACGCGAATCACCTTGAAAGAGATTCCACGTTTCATCGTCGACGCGTTCGACTTTATTATGGCCGATGGCCTCCAACTCGACGGAATATTCCGAAAAGAAGGCAACTCGGCGAGACTTAATCGACCTGAGGTACAGAAAATGGGCAAAACTTCATTTTTGAATTAAGAATTGCTCAAACATTTCAGGTTCAAGAAGTTTACCGCGGTGTGCGAGGCATTCCGTCTGATTTCACCGTTTTGGATGTTTGCACCATGATCAAGAGATTTTTGAAAGATCTGAAACCAACGCTTCTGAATTCCGACGATGTCCGGCACAAGCTCATCGAAAGGGCCAAGAAAGCACGGCTTTCAGGAGAGTTTCACCTGAGCCATCAGGAAATGTGCCGCCTGTTCGAGACGCCGTCACGACAGCTTTCTCCCTCTCATCTAGGCACTCTAGGCTATGTTATGCGTTTGTTGAGCAGAGTATCGTGAAGTGCATAAGAAAGGAAGCGAAGTGAGTCAACTTTCAGATTGCGAAACACAGCGATTCGCATAAAATGACGACTGACAACCTGGCAGTAGTGCTTGTCGGTTCGGTATTCGGAGACTTCATGGCTGGTGGCGGGACGGAATCGCGCAAAAAGATGCAACAAGCGAGGAAATGTACGGAAGCGGAGTTACACGCGAAGAAAGAGGACATGGGAGTCCAAGTGGCTGCGGTCAAGCTTCTCATTATAAATGTACAATCGACGTGTTAAACAATCCAAAAATGATTTTTAGGCCAATCTAATAGCCCTTCCGAAGAGTCACTATGTGTCCAGCAATCGTCTTCACAGTTCTCCTCACTCGAATATTAGAAGCGCGAGTGCGATGCCTGATATCCGCTGTGCAATAGTGTCCGAAAAAGAACGAGCCCGTCCTTTTGACATGCCCAGTCCGTACAGTGGAGGTCACGTCTTTAGTATGGCCAAGGCGTCGTTGAATTATAAACAAAGGTCATTGACCAGACGAGATTCCGATTTGACGCATGTAAAGAATGTGAAAAGGACAGAGGCCGCTACCACGAAAGTGAGAGGATAAGCAGATATTTACAATGGAAACTAGACGAAATTACAGAGATCCTCGTCTTTTCTTCCGATAGCTTCATTGCGTGGACTACGTGACAAGGTTTCGAATCAGTTTTTGAAGAGAAACAAGAGCCCGAGTCCAGATAAAGTGAGCCATTCGAAATCAAACGTTTTTATCGAAATCCTTTAGCTACGCCGCCAAGCATTCCCACCACCGGAATCCTCATCCGCCTACTCGCAATTCTCGACTCCCGCTTCGCCAATAATAGTTCCAATCCGAAGAATCGCTTCCGGAAACGACGATGAAAGTGACGACGGATCGCCAGTCTTCAGAAGTGGCACAGATCAGAGAGCCGGAGACTGTGTGCTACAGAAGAAGGGATCCACGTCTTCAGGCAGAAAATCGCGGGCTCACACGAAGAAAGGGAACATCAATTCGGTGATGATTCGGAAATCCCGTTGCGATTCGGACAGTCAGAAGTCGTTCCGAATGTCACCGATGGAGAAGAGGAAGTCGTGCTCGTCGTCCACCAACTCCACAACCACGTCTCGATCTCTCCGTCGTTTTTCGCAGTCCGAACAGAACAGTTTCACTCGAAATTCCGTCGGAGACGCCACTCCTCCGCTGGAAAAAAAGAAGAAAGGAGGCGGCGGCGGAGCTAGTGGAGTCGTCCGTCGGAACACTGCAGATGGGCTGAAATGCAGAAGGAACACTGGAAACATTCCGAGTCGAAGATCCACGTTTTGGGGAGTTGATACTATTGCGGAAGAGAAGGAGAATCGGAAAAGTGTGATAATTGAAAAGCATAGTGAAGGAGAAGGCGACCAGAGGAGTATGATGGAGAATGGAGAGTCCGTTCTTGAAATGGTACAATTTGTTAATCAGACGGGGACGATAAAGATAGAATTCAGATGAACAATCAAGCACGTCTTCGTCGAGTCGGCGTCGCTGAACGACGTCATCGTCAAGCTAAGTCCGGCCCTTCAGACAGTATGATGGTTCTGAATGGATCGCTGGCGACGTTCGAAAAGCTCCCACCACACGACAATAAAGAGAAGGCCTCGCTTCCTATGCATCAAGAAACAGTGCAGAATGTCAATGAAAATGAAGCGTATCCCAACGTCTTTGCCACTCCGGCCAGGGAAAAAGAGCGATTCAATCTGGTATTACGACCAGACGTAGTTGAAAATTTCAGTATCTTTGCAGAGAGAGCCCTATTCTATAAGCAAGCCAGCGCCATCCTCGAAGATGGGAATGCAGCTGGAAAAAGATATGCGACATCGGTTGGATGTGGTGGCGACGCCGATGATGAGCCGACGGACAGCCAGCGAGTCGGTCTCCGGTCGCTTGCCTCCTCCGTCGCGTACATCTCCGCCAACTACGACGGCTCCTATGCAGATTCCCCTCCGGAAACTGGACAGCGTAGGAGTGAGTTGCTCGCAAGCCCGGTAGAGTTTTTTATTGCTCATCGTTCCAGATCCAGCAGAATGGTCGCGTGTGGGTCGGAAAGACACAGACGGTCGTCTCGACGCCAGTTCCGTTGGAGACAAAAGAGCCCGAACGGGTGTCTCCGATTCTTGCTCGTTCTCCGATATTCCGATCGCCATCGACTGTGCTGTCTAGCGGCAAACCTCTGTCACCGTTGTCTCCGTTCAACTTTCGATCGAAATCGCATTTGACAGAAGACAGGCTGTACAGCCAAGACTGTAAGACACTTTTGAAACCTTCCCTTCGAAAGTGAATGGCTCAGATGCTGCCTTGGTCACTCCGCCTCGAGATCGTCGTCTTCAGCGTTCTCCGCAACGTCAGAAGTCGAATCTGATCTATTACACTCCGAAAACTCGCAGCCAGTGCGCCGAATCGCCGCTTCCGATCGACGAAGCGTTGTCTCGTTCAATTACGCGCTCTACGTCGTCAGTGATGGTTTCTCCGCGACATTCTGCACACAGACAGGTATATTTACATTCCCATTCCTACAGAAACAATGATTTCAGACGCCCATTCTCTCCCCATTAGTGCAGCAGAAAAGAAACTCGATGAACGACGAGGTGGTGTTCAAATGTCCTTTCCTGCCTCCGATGAAATCTCACGAGCCGAAAGAGCAGCAGCCACGGACCAAGTGCGTCATGTCGAGAGAGTCTTCGATGACAACACCGGCTGACTTTTCGGAGTTCGAACTGGGAGAATACAACGATTTTCTCAGGAATTCCACCGAGGATACGGTATTCATTTATTAGCTCCTTATCTGGATGCTTGTTTCAGAATCTACCTTTACCTCATCAGATGGTAGAGGCCCGTCCGTCGGTCACAATGCTCCGAAGCAGCCAGTGCGGACTCGTCCAATCGCGTATCAACCATTTCCAAGACATCGAGCGGAGCCACCGAGTCTCTTCGGATCTTTCCTCGAGCGGTGGCGGACGTCATTCGGCCGTCTCGCAGACTTCTCTCAAATCCATCGAAACATTGTCTTCGGGTGGCGAGGGAAGGGCTTAAAGTCGGCTCGAATTTTATTTTTAATTGCACACCGGTCCCTTTTCCTTTTGAGCTCAAAACCTCTTGTGTGATCTCTTCTTTTCCTGGTTTTCCTTTCCCATTTCGTCGAGCTCGTCATCGTAAACAGTGCAATATTATCTCGGTTTTTTCGCTCTCTTTTCATTTATTAGTCCCACTTCGATATTTGTGTTTTGTCAACCATAAACGGTCGCCTGTTTTCTTCAGGGCCCTCTAGCTTCATGTTTTCCATAAATTCGCAGCCATTTCAAACTTGGACAACAAATACCGTCAGACTATATTCTTTTCATTGTTATTTGTCAACTCGATAATTCTATTTTTCGTGCTGATCGTCGTCGTAAACATGACGGCCCTTTGAGAGGCATTTAATTCGGAGGGTACAAAAATTAGGGGGTACAACAGGGTACAAATGGTTTTGGGGTACAACTTTCATGGTTTTGGGGTACAAAAAGTCGAGGGTACAAAATTTTCGATTCTGGGGTACAAAAATTTACCGATTCAGTAGGCATTGATTAAGGGGTACAACTTTTATGATTTAAGGGTACAAATTTCACGATTTTGGGGTACAAAAGTTGCACGAAGCACATTTTCGAAGTTTTCATTCCAGTTTTGAATTTTTGAGAGCTCACGAGACACAGTCGTGTGTAGCCATGCTTTGTTTTATGCAGTATTTTGTGTCATTTCGAGAAAAAAACTTTACTTGGGTAAATTTCACACACAACATCAGATGCTGAAATTCTGCTGTGAAATTGCAGAATTTAAAGGGGCCAAAACAGCAAAACAACTTGTAAGTAATATTATAGGGGCACCGAATAGAAAGGACGCTCTGTTCGCAATCTGGCCAAATTTCTAGTCCGCGAAGTAATTTTCCACTGAAAACGTGGCCTAACTTTTCAAACTCGGCCCCGAGCTCACTCAATTTGCACTGCAAAAAAGTTTATCAATAGAGCGCCCTTTCTGTTCGGTGCCCCTATAATAACAAAAGGGTCGCCGTTTGAACCACTGTCTATCGGAAGCAAAACGCTTCGAAGGGTCATGAAATCTCATTTAAAAAACATCTCTGGAACTGATCAAGCGGTTCGGAGTACAAAACATTCACGGAGTAAAAAAATTTTGTGAAACAACTAAAAACATTCACTGAATTGATGCCCATGAAAAAATGGGAAAAAAATTGTTGTACCCCAAAATCGTGAAATTTGTACCCTTAGATCATAAAAGTTGTACCCCTTAATCAATGCCTACTGAATCGGTAAATTTTTGTACCCTAGAATCGAAAATTTTGTACCCTCGACTTTTTGTACCCCAAAACAATTTGTACCCTGTTGTACCCCCTAATTTTTGTACCCTCCGAATTAAATGCCCCTTTGAGACGAAGCCGGTGCAGGTCAAGCAGGAGACGATCGACGATTCGAACATGAGCGAGAATGGCGTCGTTGGTGAGTCCAAACTCAACTTTTGGCTTCTCATTCGATTCGCAAATCAATAATTTCGTAAAACCTGTTATTTTTCTTGATTTTCGGTGTAGAAGCCTTTTTCAGGGCTCTCTCAGACCATACCAGATAAGATAATCCTTTTCAGGACAACCTTCTGAGCCTTTTTCAGGGCTCTCTCAGACTATACCAGATAAGATTATCCTTTTAAGGACAACCTTCTGAGCCTTTTTCAGGGCTCTCTCAGACCATACCAGATAAGATAATCCTTTTCAGGACAACCTTCTGAGCCTTTTTCAGGGCTCTCTCAGACCATACCAGATAAGATAATCCTTTTCAGGACAACCTTCTGAGCCTTTTTCAGGGCTCTCTCAGACCATACCAGATAAGATAATCCTTTTCAGGACAACCTTCTGAGCCTTTTTCAGGGCTCTCAGACCATACCAGATAAGATAATCCTTTTCAGGACAACCTTCCGAGCCTTTTTCAGGACTCTCTCAAGACCGTACGAGGCGGTGCAAATGTCATGTACCGACGACCTTATATACCTTCATGGGCTTGGCTTTCCGCCAGGGCATATCCGACCTTGTGGACGTGGCCAACTGTTTGGGATCACCGCTCGGAAGGTTATCTGGTATGGTCTGAGAGAGCCCTGAAAAAGGCTCAGAAGGTTGTCCTTAAAAGGATAATCTTATCTGGTATGGTCTGAGAGAGCCCTGAAAAAGGCTCGGAAGGTTGTCCTGAGAAGGCAAGAAAATGAAGCAAAACTGAAGAAATTCTACGACACAAATCGTTCTCAAATGAGACACTTCGTTCTTCTCTTGTACCTGTTTGCCAGCACCTTCGAGAAGGTTAGTGTGTGACCAAACTCGTCGAGTTCTCTCTTTCTCCTTTAGTTCTTTCCTGTGGTGTGACGTACAAAGGTCATCAGTGTTCCCTTTCTCGGTTTTTAGGTGTGACGACTTTCTCTTTTTGTGAACTTTTCTCTTCTTCACTGTGACCGAGCACAATCACAATTTGCTCCTGCACGGCCCGGCTTTTCATACATAGGACTTTTGGTTTTTTCAATATATCTCCAGAAATCGAACATAGGGACCTCTGATTTTTTGATAAGAGTTCAATTTTATTGGGTTCTTCAAAATGAGCCAGGTCAGAGGTAAATGTAAGGTTTCTGAGAGAAGTTACAGCTTCACAATTTCCACTCGTCCGTATGCTTTGCCGGCCCGTGTCCTGTTGAACTAGGCGCACGCGAACGCGTTGGGCTAGAGTGGAAGAGTGATGAAAGTGACGCGTCTGTGAGCAGAGACGCAGAGGAAAGCGAGAGACAGCCAACATCGCATTCTTCCATTAACCTTTGTGAATAGAAAAAGTTTTCTTTTGTTTCTGTGTTCGTATTGATTTTGTGATTTCCCATCCGTGAATATCATTGTTATTTTCTCCCTAATCTTGAGTTATTATAGGGGCACCGCACAGAAATGGCGCTCTGTTGAGAAACTCTTTTTGCAGTGCAAATTGAGCGACCTCGGGGCCGAGTTTGAAAAGTTAGGCCACGCTTTCAGTGGAAAATTACTTCGCGGCCTAGAAATTCGGCCAGATTGCGAACAGCGCGCTCTTTCTGTCCGGTGCCCCTATAATAGTTAACAACTATTCCTGCTTTCCGTCTCTCTCTCTCTCTCTCGAACTAATCGATTATGCTTACAGCTTGCTGACATAATCATGAATCGTCAACACTTCGTTTCTGTAAGTTAAACTTTGAGTTTCCACTTCTTGTACATGTATTTTAAACGAACATTTTATTTTAGCCACAAGGACGTTCCATTTCTGCACTATTCCGTTCAGTTCGTATGAAGGTTCAGAAAAAGTGAGAATATTATTTCTAACTTCTTTATTTGTTATTTTTACTTTGGGTTTTAATTTAATGTATGTCTTTGATAGGTGCTGGGACATGGATCCTGCCACGCAAAGTGTGCTGTCGCAGAATCTTCTCCAGAAAATTGGAGACATTGATACACACCTTCGACACCAGTTCGGTATGCAAACCCTCTAAACTTTTTCCTTTCTTTTACAACAACTTTAAAAACATTATTCCTAATTGATAAATTTAAAAATTTACCTGGAATCATCAAAAAAAATTTATTTAGTTCGTGGCAACGCCGATCCTAGCATTCTTTCGCCGAATGTCGACGTCGTATGTTTCTTTATTATTCCGTTAACAATAAATTATAATATTGGACTAATAGATATAAAGTGTATACCTACTCAATTAACAACTGACTATTGTATTTAGAATTCGACGATCAAACGCCTGTTTCTGCGACTTGAACGACAAGCCATTGCCGCTGCCATTCTCGCCGACGTAGCTCACATTGGTATTTAAAAATATTTGTTAATATATTTTAGACTCTTTGTATATTTTACTATTTTGATTACAGACATGCAATTATTTTGTTTTATAGGACCTGCAGCTAACGCTGAAGAACAAGCTGCGCTGACGTTGGTGGAGAATACTCTCTATGTTCTGGATGATGCCATCTCGCCAGTGTCGTCTCTCGACCGCTCAGCTACGGAGTCAGATTGAAGTTTTCCTCTTTTCGATTGTTTGTTCATTATTTTAATTTATGATTTGTTGACATGTCCTGATAAATAATTTATACACTAAAATGTTTCTCAGCTCGTTTACTGCTTGTCAAACAATAACTAGAGGAAAAGGAGTTTGTTGATCACATACCTACTTCTCTTTCTTTCATTCCTTCACTCGGCAAATTGTCTCTCATGAAGATAAGAAAACTGCTAAAGAAAACTAACCGCCGGAACCTGAATTTTGCGAAGAAAGATTCAGCGAACATTTTTATCGTTCGTTAGGCTCATGAAATGCAAAATGAGCTGAAATATAAAGGTTTGAAGTTTTGACGAAATGCGAAAAAGACGGTAAAAACATGAAAAACTCTAAATTCTGTAAAGAACGGTTTTCAATCAGTAAAATATTGTTTTCTAGACGTTTGTCAAGTAAAAAAGAAAGAAATACAGGTCGTAAACTCGAATTGAAATACATTTTTAGACCTGCAATTTTTCAAAAGTTACAACGACACTCCGCAATTTACGAGCGCATTGTGTTTAGCATTAGTGCCCTGGGAGACCGTGCCTTATGTTCCACATTTCCATCTTCTAATTCTTGCATAATTACCCACCTATCGCAATTCCCGTGTTTCACATCTATTTCTACGTACTTAAATTCGTAATAAAATAATAATAATAATAATCTTACTGTGGTTTTAAAGGCGCATACTAAAAACTTCGTTCTCGTTTCAAACTTGTTTTTCGTCGGATGAGTCACACTCTTTACGGGAGGCGCCCACTTTTCTCTCTTTTCAATTCGACCGAATTCTTTTCCGCTCCAGTTCTCCCCGCGTTTCTGACCGTTTCGATTCGACAAACACTTTCGCAATCACCGAGTCGTGGCAGGGTACACTGGCGCAAGTGCGCTCTAATGAAATTTCCATAAATTTTGCTTTGGCCTAATTAGGCTTTAAGATAGGGGCGCTATGAAATCGACCGTCGGCGGGAGTTCAAATTTTAGTACCCGTCACGACCCCGTGGAAATCCATATATTTCCGTCGTCTCTCGCTCTCGCTCACTCTACCACTTTGTCATTGCTGTCTCGTGCCCTCTTTGGCCATTCCACTTAATTTTTTGTCTTTTGCAACGTTCAAATTAACATTTTGCAGGCAAAAAGCTTATTTTTCGAACCGAAAACCATGTCGGACGAGGAAGAATACTATGAAGACGGCGGAGAGGATCAGGGAGGAAATGATTATGAGTACGGAGGTGGCGGTGGCGGATACGATGACAATCAAGGCTACGAAGATCAGTACCAGGATCAACAAGGACAAGATCAGCAGTACGGAGGAGGCTATGAGCAACAGCAGTATGGCGGCGGTGGTGGTGGATACGATGAGTATCAGCAACAGGATTATCAAGGTATTTATCAGCACCTCAAAATTCTGGAAATGTCGCTCTACCGCAATCCCACGTGCAAACCCGGCACCGGCCGCGACCTTTATCAATTTAGCACTGAATTCACGTGGAGAGCGGTTCTGAGAAACGAGTAATTTAAGTTGCAGATAACGACGATTCGAATCAGTATGAAGAGGAGCCGGAAGAGTCGGGAGAGCAAGAAGACGAGAAAGAAGTCGAGCCGGAGCCAGAAGAGCAGGAGGAGTACCGTCAGAATGATTATCCGGAGGACGAAGAGGAAGAGGAGGACGACGGATACACCCAGGTGGCTGCCAACACCAACGCCGCCGCCGATGGAGACAACGAGTCGCACGGACTGGGATCGATGATCAAGGGAGCGATGGACGGGTTCGGCGGCGGTGGATTCGACGGAGTCGTCGGACAGATCGGAAACATCATCAACCAGGAAGGCGGTGGCGCTGGCGGACTGACGAACGTCTTCTCGTCCGGAGGAATGGAGGGACTCGTCGGAAACTTGATTTCCTCGGCTTCTCACCAGTTCTTCGGCATTAATCCGTCAACCGGAGCCATTATTGGAGCCATCGCCGGAAATTTGATCTTCCATATGGGCGGTCAAAATAACTCGCTGAGCAGCATTGGAAAAGTGATTCTCGATAACATTATCAGCGGAAAGTTCAAGAGAGACGTTCAACCGTTCATTCCTGGAGGCGGAGCTGGAGGAGGGCAATTCTCACAGCAATTCCAGCCCATCAACTTCCAGCAGGAACGTCAACGCTGTCTGGATCAACGCATTTTATTCGAGGATCCACAATTTCCGGCGAATGACTCGAGTCTCTACTATAAAACACGGCCAGACGAGCCGATTGTGTGGAAGCGTCCGGGAGAAATCTACGAGAATCCGCAGTTGATAGTCGGCGAGAAAAGCAGATTCGACGTGAAGCAGGGAGCTCTGGGTGACTGCTGGCTTCTGGCTGCCGTTGCCAATCTGACCCTCCGCGATGAGCTTTTCTATCGCGTCGTATCGCCCGATCAATCGTTTACCGAGAATTACGCCGGAATCTTCCACTTCCAATTCTGGAGATACGGACAATGGGTCGACGTTGTCATCGATGATCGTCTTCCGACTGTCGATGGCAGACTGTGCTACATGAGATCCCACGAAAATAACGAATTCTGGAGTGCTCTTCTGGAGAAGGCTTATGCCAAGTAAGGAAACGCTTGTTCTTTTCCATGGATTGCTCTGTTTTTTCAGATTATATGGCGGCTATGAGAACCTGGACGGAGGAACCACTGCCGAGGCTCTGGAGGACTTCACAGGCGGTCTCACCGAGTTTTTCGACCTGACCAAGGCCGACAAAGCGACAACTTTGGCAATGCTGGTGCGTGGAATGCAAATGGGATCGTTGTTCGGATGCTCCATAGACGCCGACGAAAATGTGAAAGAAGCCCAGCTGACGAACGGTCTCGTCCGCGGCCACGCCTACAGTATCACCGCCATTCAGACTGTTAATACGTATTATCAGGGCCAAGTACCTCTGCTTCGCATTCGCAATCCGTGGGGAAATTCGAAGGAATGGAACGGTGCGTGGAGTGACGGAAGTCGTGAATGGGACGGAGTTGATCCGGGACAGCGAGAGCAAATGGGCGTGAACTTTGCAAAGGACGGAGAGTTCTGGATGTCCTTCGATGATTTCCTGCAAGAGTTTACCCAGATGGAAGTGTGTAATCTGTCGGCCGATGTTATGGACGAAATCTCCGAAATGACTGGCGTGGAGGTGCACGATAAGCAGAAGCATCAGTGGGTGGAGAAGCAGCAGGACGGAGAGTGGAACAGCCGAACTGGAACAGCCGGAGGATGCCAGAACAACGTCACTTACTGCAACAACCCGCAGTTCGGCACCTTCTTCCAAGTGCCTGCCGATTCTGTGGAGAACGACGGAAAGTGCACTGTAATCGCTGCCGTTCTCCAGAAGTACCGTCGTGAGATGCGCTCCAGGAATCTGGACAATCTGGCCATCGGGTTCTCAGTCTACCGAGCCGACGGCAGTGGACAGCCGATGAACGAAGCTGTGGTGAGAAGCCAGAAGCCGATCGCTCGCACCAAAGTGTTCATTAACATGCGAGAGGTGACCGTGAGATTCCGCGTGCCTCCAGGAGCCTATGTCATTGTTCCGTGCACCTTTGATGCCTACGACGACGCCGCCTTCCTGCTTCGTGTCTATTCGAATGCCAACTTTGAAACAACGTGAGGAATTCATTCAAATTATCATGGAAACTTTTAACTTTCAGGCAACTTCGCTGAACAACATCTACACCAATATCCAGTGCATAATGTGATGCGTTTTAAGAGATTTGCCTGATGAAATTCTGTAAATTATCGCTTGGGATTTTTATTTCAAAAGTAAATTTGGTGACTTGTGCAAACGTTTGAAATGATTTATGACCAGTATTGAGCAAAGAGTGTTTGAAAGACGAAGCGGGATGAGACTAGAGCAAATGATTGAGTGAGAGAAGAAGGGAAAAAGAGAAGAAAACAATGAAGCACCAAGGATTGAATGAGCATGGCAATTACGGGAGGGAGGTTGAGCACTAGGTTATCGTTTTTATAATTCTGTTGATTGCAAATTTACACTTCCAGAAGAAGGAGGCGGTGGGGCCGGGGGCGGATGATGCCGCGTGGCAATCGCGATTTCGCCATATCCCGGATTTCCTCTGCAAAATCGGAATATTCAATTTGTGCCACTGAATGAACATACTTCTGGTTGGGCCTTCCCAGTGTGACTGTATGAACTGTTGAAGCTTGCGCAGAGATGTGCCGAAGTTTCCGCTCGTAATTGTTTCGTTGTCGACACCAAATGCACAGAGAAAGTATAAATATTGCGAAGAAAAGAAGGACGGCAATCTGTAAATTTCGCATTTTTACAAAAAATTTCATAGTTTTTCGTTCTCACCGCAATATATTGAGGAAGTTTGGAAGGAATCGGCACAGGCGGAAATGCTTCTCGCAGGCCATAGATACTTCGGAGCTCGCTTCGAGACTCGGCCGAAGATGTCATCAGAAGATTCACGGCTCGGTCGACATTGACAAACTGACCGTCTCGATCCATAAAATGAACGAGCATCAGTGTGAAATTCGAGTTTTGTCGGCACTTGTCCACAATGGTTTGAAGCCCGGTGGCATTTGAGAGGTTACTGTAGAATGAGATCATTTTGAGAGTTTTTACGAGTACGAAAACTTACTCAGCAATCTTCTTTTCATTCTTGATAATCAACTCGAATGGAGCATCGAACACCAACTCTGTTTGCTGGGCGTACGTGACTACGGAGACCTGAAACGAAAGATTATGTATTGCGAATTTAGAACAAACCAATCAATGTGTACCAGGAGTTTTGACAAAGGGTCACCTAAGAAGCAATTGCGTCAATACAACAATACTAAACACAACGAGTACATAAAGAAAATCGCCAATGAAACACACGAAAATTTAGAATACCATACCATAACGGAAGTGGTATCCTCATGCCCTGCTCCATCCACGACGACCACCGTGAACGAGTAGGAAGAGTCCTTGAGCAGCTCGTTCGCCGTGACTTCTCCGGTCGTCTTGTCAATGGAAATCGGGGACTCGGTGGGTGTGAATGTTTGTGTGGGCGAGCGAACGAATCCTCGGATACTGTACTTGAGTCCGTCCAGTTCCTCGTCCGCATCCGTCGCCGTCACCGTCAGAATATGACTTCCGGCGGTCACTTGCCCCTGCACAATCGTCGTGCTGTAGATCTTTTCGGCAAACTTCGGGAAATTATCATTCACATCGATCACGTCGATCAGCGCAACGATCGTTCCGTTAATTGGCTTGTGTGGGTCTCGACACGAAAGATGACAGTCATAGGCAGTTATTGTGATCTGGTGTTGTTTTTTGTGCTCCCGATCGAAGCTCGAATTGGTGTAGAGGATGGGGAGTGTGGGATCGGAGAAGAAGAAAATGGGCGCGTCGGAAGTGTAGCAGACTTTTGTATTGTCCGAATGGAAGTCAGAGTCCAAAGCAGCTGGGATCCGTCCGACTTGTCGCTTTCCTTTTTCGTTTTCAAGTACAGTAAGACGCACATCTTGCTTCGGAAACATCGGACAGTTGTCGTTTCGATCGTTGACAGAAATGAAGAGATGTGTGGAAGTGCAGTTGTCCACGCAGCACGCCAGAATCTTGATCTCATGAACTGTTTTCTTCTCAAAGTCGAACGGAGCCCGAGCCCTCAGACTGCCGTTGGTCTCTCCGATACTGAACATTTGCCAGTCCTTCTTGAACATCTCATCCAGTCGGAAAGTGACATTCGTTCTCTCTCCCTCTTCCTCGAGCACTTTTACCTTGAGAAGCTCCTCGTACACAATGTTCTCGTCGAAGTAGTGAATTGAGTTCTGCTTCGGAGAGATCACAAGTGGATTGTGGTGAGTGTTCTTTGCCGGATATACAGTCACACAGTACGGCGACGTCGCAAACCGATTGCCTGAATCACGGGCGGTCACAGTCGAGCAGAGTCGCTGGCCAGCGTATCCTTTGAGCGGAGCAGCCACCAGCAGTTTGAGCGAGTCATCAACTCGGAACATTGTCGAGTTCACATTGACGTTCAGCTGCTGCTTCCCTCCGTCGTCAGCATCGGAGACGACGAGTGCGGTGACTACAGTACCCGCAACCGCTTCCTCTCCGATGCTCAAATGCGTCAGATCAGTGTTGTGAATGATCGGATCGTTGTCGTTCACATCGATGACGTTCACAGTGACTGACGCGAAGACTTCGTGGTAGGGAGCTTCGCCGTCATTATCCACGCACTTGATACTCAGCGAATGCACACGTTGGGTCTCGAAATCCAAGGGGGCAACCAGACGGATTGTGGAGTTTCTGGAAACATAAAAACGTTGTTATTATTGCATTTGAACAGAGTTGAATACCCTTGATCTATCTTAAAGAATCCTTCATCCCCGGTCATACTGTATCGAAGTCTCGCGAACTTTCCACTGTCCAAATCAGTGGCCAACGGATACGGTAGATCGAGTACAGTACCCAGCACGGAATCCTCGTTGATGAAGGTGGCGAAGATTGACGCGTTTTTGAAGATTGGTCTGAAAGAAACCGTTGAAGTTTGCAAATTTGAGAAGTTAACGGAGACCGGTTATCGTTAGCATCAGAAATGGTTAGTAGGAAAGGGGCGTGCGCAGTCTTGTTCGGCTCCAAATGAGCTTCAACAAGTCCTTGAATCTTCCGCTCTTTCTCGTGATCCAATGCTCGAATGATCCGAATTGCTCCGAAGTTGTCAATTTGAAGCTTGCCTTTGGGACCGGATGTTATTTTAAGGGAATATCTGGATGTTAGTGGGATCACAAGTGCTGCCAAGTGAAAGTATGAACTTACTTGATACCGTCCTCCGGTTTCACTCCTTCCGCTGGCATGGCCCCGATCGTCGTGCCAACTGTAACTGATTCGGAAGTGGCAAATTTCCGGGTTACTGTTGGTTTACTGTAGATCGGTGTGACGTCATCCGTGTCCATCACATTGATTATCAACTCGACAGGCACTTCCCGTTTCCCTTTGCGCATACTTATGTACAATTTGATTTGTCTCACTTTATCCGGGTCTATCCGTGCCAACGTCTCGATTCGTCCCGACCTTCTATCAATTCCAATCCACGTCATAACTTCTTCGTCCCTGAATTCTTCGGCAGTAGCCTTAATTATTTCGTACGAGTATCCAGGCATTCCTGCGTTCAACCACTTAATCTCCGACCGTTCCATAGTGTCATTGCTGTTGATCTGGGTCGTCAACTCATTCTGGACACTGTTCGCCTTGTGTTTGTGCTCATTCAGCACTATGACCGCCGTGGCAGTGTTCGCGGGCTCTCCTCCGTCGGTTCCACTCACATTGAACTCCAGATAACGGTCTTTTTGCAGTGTTCCGGGACCGATGAACACGATCTCTCCCTCGTCGGTTATCTTGAATTGAGGGTCTCGACTCGAGTAGTGAATATAATTGTTTGGTGACGTGGCATCTGAATCTTCAGCCAGAACTTTTCCAACAATTCCGCCGGGGGAGATGTTCGCATCAAGAACGATCGAGTAGCGAGAGTTCGAGAAGATCGGCGCGTTGTCGTTGATGTCCTAGACTAATATTATACAGCTACTATAATATTCTCGTTGCTCACCTTAACTCGAATAGCGACAATTGCACTGCTGCTCCGCGGTGGTTCTCCGTGATCACTGGCAGTTACAGTCAAGTTCACCTCGTTCGACGTCATCGATTCTCGATCAATTGCTCCAATGAACAGAACTCCGTCGGAAATATCAACTGGCAGATCTCCTTTCTCTTGAATGGAATAGCTGATTTGTCCGTTTCTACCTTCATCTGCGTCGATGGCCTAAAAAAGTGAATGTACTATATTTACTAAATATGCCTCGCTTACCGAAATCTTGACTTTCTCGCTCTTCCCCTCGTCAATATTTATCACAAAGTGATCCTTTTCGAAGATCGGAGAGTTGTCGTTCTCATCTTTCACCACAATTATCAGTTGAGCTTTTGCAGAAGCACCTGAAGGATCGCGTACTTTCTAAGCTAAATTACTAGAAACTAACCATTTTGATCTGTCGCCTTCACAACCAACTCGTACTTTGAGTTCTCCTCCCGATCCACTTGCTCTCTGTTCTGAATCTCTCCTCCATTCGAAACGGAGAACTTCTCGGCGTGTTCCCCGAGTAATTCATAGGTGACTGGTCCGGAACTGAGCAGCATTTTCACTTTCCCGAGCACCGTTGGCTCACGGTTCTCTTGGACGCTCAGCTCATAAACAGCTTGCTCAAACTTTGGAATCGTTTTCGCTTTCTGTGGAACCGAGGCGTTTTTAGTTGGAGCAGCCACAGATCGAAGTACGATTCGGCATTGGCCTGTGGTTGATTTCACCTGAAATTGAAGATTTATAACAACTGAGATAAAGCTTAAACTAACGAGAAGTTGAGCATTATCCAAATTCTGAGCAGCGACCTTCTGGGCATCCACCACCTTTAACTCCAGTTGATTTTCACCGGACACCTGGAGATCAAAGCTATCAGATCCACCGATTAACCGAATTTTTTCGGTAGTCGGGCTCAAAGTCTTGATGTGGACGGGAACTTCAAACAGTCCAGTTCCCTGGACCAAACGGGCTTCGTAAATGGGAAATTCGCAGAATTGATTCTCAGACGGCTTCTCTTGAATAATGTTTTTCTCCTCCACAACCGCTTCTTCCGACAATTTCAGCCTCATATCGCTTTTCACACTTTTCCCGTTTTCCCCTACTTCGCTGGCCTGAATCAAAGTACAGTAATCTCAGTGCCAAAATCTCAGAGTCACCAACACTTACCGTAACCTCTACAGTAACCAGTTCACCTTGTTGTGGCATCTGTTTCAGTTTGAGTTCTCCAGTTTTCGAATCGATTTCAAAGTTGGCATTTTCAGAGATGGAATAGGAGATTTCTGATTTTTCCACGTCTTCTGCAGCAACTTTAGTGATGACACCTCCAATTTTCGCACTGCTCGGAACTGCGAACACTTTCGTGAGGTCGGTGGTGAACTTCGGAGGCTCGCTGAAAATTTGTTAGTTATTTGAAGATTCTGAATTTCAATTATACTCACTCGTTCTCGTTTTTCAAGTGAATTGTGACTGTGTGAGTGACGGTATGAGTTCGATTCGAGTGAGGGTCTCCATCTTTTGCGGTGATATTGAATGTGTGGATTGGTTTGCTGAATGAGAGGACACATTAGAATGGCCAAAAAGATTTCTCCCCGTCTGGGAAGTGGACCCGAGTCTTGCATGTGACAGACACGAATACTCAACACTACATACTACCGAGGGCACGGCGGAAAACGTGTCAATCAGATGTAAACACTAACCTTTCAAAATCCAGTTGTTTGGCGACCCGAAGAGTGGTCGAGCACTTGCCATTTCCACATTTACGCTTGTCTACCGAGAAACTTTCGTCACCCTTAAAAATGCATAGTTTTCAGGTATTTCAGGAGTATACAAAGAGCTTTACCTCAATTGAAAACCTGGAAATGCCTGAAATTCCAGTGTCCGGGTCTCTTGTGCTGATTTTGAAGACTTCCGATCCAATTTCAGCGTTTTCGGACAGTTCGAAAGACGACGGAGTATTGTAGAAGAGCGGGACGTTATCGTTCACATCTACCACCTGAAGAGTTATGACGTGACACTACCGTAATCTCTGTCTGTCTCACCTGAATCTCCAGCGTGGCTCTCGACTTTTTGGGCCCCGAAACGACCAGCGAAAATGATTGTCCTTTGACGCCGTCGGCGTTTTCTTTCTGGAAAATAGACTATAGAATACACTTGAAGACGCGATGCCACTTGTATATCCAAAATACTTGAAAGTCAATTGGCCGAGTGGATTTTAGATTTCCCTTCTGAATCTTTCGAAACTAATTGAAAGTGTATGAAGATGACGTGGCAATAGTGTTCGATTTTGAATTTTGCGTGAAGTTCTTTCCTTTTCCCTCTACATTCCTTTTCGAAAAGTGCTTCTTGTGCCTTTCTTCTACTAATTATTACCAGTATCCATCGCCAGTTTGCCCAAATAGCCATTCTCTACGTCTCTCCTTTTCCCGCACTTTCTCGCCAGTTTCAATTAGCACCCCGTTTCCTTCCCGATCAGAACGTGTTCCCCCCCCGCCAACCACAATAAGATTTCGGCCAAAAGACTTTGGAAGAGATAGTCAAGGGCGGTTGGCAGGCAAAAAAACCTGGCAAGAAGGAGGCGACGGGCGGCCGCATTTCATTGTAATACCGTTTTGCACGCCTGTTATATATATTCAATTGAGGATCGTCATATTGAGAAGAAGAGGAAGAAGAGGAAGGAGGCACAAGGACGATTATCCGCGCATGATCACAGCATGCTTCGATGCTTGGCAAAGGATCAGATCAGCGCATGTTTCGCGAGGATTACTGTGGGAAAAGTGTGACGACGTGGCATAGGTTACTGTGGGCTCCCTGGGATGATAGCCCCCACACATTATCATTCCCCATTTCCATATTGACCATCTCCTTCTTCCTCTTCTTCTTCTTCTCGTTCCGACTGACCAATCTAATCTGCACTGTCAATACTCTTCCATTCCATCCCATCTTCTTCTTTTGCTCCTTCTCTCACCGAGCTACACTATTGACTCTGAACAAAACAAGACAAAAGTTCACACTTTTCTGCCGGGCTACCGGGGGAAACGGATTACGGTAGCAGGCGGTGAGCCGACGGTCACGAACGTCACGAAGAACTGGATTAAAATGGGAGAACCGTTGGAAAAGGTACTGTACTTTACAGTTCAGTGCCTTTTCTTCTTCGCACTTTCGCCGGAGAAGACCCTTTTACTCTTTAAAAGTTCCGGGCCAGTGGTCAATTAATAATTGAAGAGGCGAAGGATTTGGGTACAATTAGAAGCTTCCTCCCCCACCAAAATCAAAAGTTAATGACCCCAGACCACCGTGAATTGAAGAGCAGGATGAATAAATGAATAGAAACGGATACATAATCAATGATTCATGTGGATTTACTTAGCGATTCTCAGATTTGATTCAGAATCCGTCCCTGTTATTCTGACGATGATAATGGATGATTCCCACCATTCCGACTAATCGCATTAGACTTATTGGAAAGTGTGAACATAAAAGTGTGGACGAACAACATCTCTGAATCCATTCCAACCCAAAACTGACACCGAGGCACCGAAACACGTGATACCTCACCCACCTCTCCTAATCCCTTTTCCTGACACACACCCAAAAACCGCTACCGATACGTGTTGGCTTTTACGGTCTGTTTCCAGGTGATTAGCAAAGAAAGTATAAACGGACTAGAACTACTGTGACGGACCGCCGAAATAGTGCGAGAGGGCGCGGAGACGGCCGCAGAAGCAGAGACTGTCGGCAGTGATGCGCGAAATCTGCGCGCGGAAAAGTTAAGCCGCACGCAAAACATTCCGGGCCTCCGCGACAGACGGAACGGCTAGATTTAGGGAGAAGGTTGCTAAACTTTTGATAATATTTGGGTAAGATTCGGTGCGTTGTACGTGGCACGAAGATACAGAAATCCTAACTTACATCCGCATCAAAAGCCAAGTTCAATTGAAGTGTGGAGCAAGTGTCGTTGATTTTGACCACACTGAAATAGTTGGAAGGGTCACCGGACAGAATCTGAAACTGTTTTCTGCAAGTTTTATCCATCCTTATCTCTCCAAACCTTGACATTTTTGGGGCATAGTGTAACTGGTAGATGAGTGCCCACTGGCCAGTCTTCTTCCACCAAAAGGAACGAGGGTTCGACGAGAAGGAAGGCAGAGTCTGGAAAAAAAGACGTTTTTTTTGAGAAAAGTATAATATCCAAGTGCAACTACTTGAGTTCCTCTTACTGTTTACCCAATTCAGAATGTAGGACAAGGGGGTTCTTTAGGGTTTTTCGTTTCTTTTGGCAATAAAATGAACTTGGCACATATAAATTTCCACTATTTTCAACGAGAAAAACTACAGTAAGTTTAATGGAAAAAGTTCGTGTTTGATATTATCCTAACGCCCTAAACCCATCTAATTTGAATGTGAATCGACACTTGCCACCCGCTGAGAATCCCTACCTGTTCGGCGGACGGATGATATCAGAAGGAGTAGAAGTAAGAGAGGAAAGTGGTGGAATAGCAGATGATTAACGGCAAGTTTCATTTAGTTTGGAGCTGGTCGAAACACCATTCGGCTCTTATTTTAAGGTTACAGGTGACAGGTTTATAATTGAGGATTTCACAAAAACTGGCAATGAATAATAGCGTTTTGAACGAAGAGTGTTGGCGGTGGTTTGGGAGAAGGTATTCGGAGGGTGCGGTCGAAAAATGGAGGCGGAGCTTGGGGGAAGGGGGAGAAGGAGAGGAAGCAGCGGGACGCGGAAAGCAAGCAAAGCGGACGGGGGAAACGAAGGAGGAAACGAAGGGCTGATTCAATTATTATGCGACGATTTGAGGATTGGAGGTGACGTGGCAGAGCTAAAATCGAGCACTTTGCACTTTTAGAGCAGGAGGGATGGCTTTTGAGCTGAAATGAAGCAAGAAGGATACGGTAGTTAGGAATGTCTGTCTGCAACTTATCGTCACGGTAATTGCAGACTTTGAGTTCAGCTCTTCCTGACCACATTTGATATATTGTGATTTCTGCAAGATGTCCATATCATACTTTCTGATGTAATACTTCGATTCCACCCCAATTCTACCGTAATCCTTCCATCCTATCAATCTATTATGACCATCCCCCACCCATTCATTTATCACCAAATGATAAATGACCGCTAAAGTGTCGGATGTGAAAAAGGGAATGAAAGGGGGAAAAGAGAAGGAGAAGAAGTAGAAGCTGATTTGATAAATGACACCCACTTTCGGTTTCCTCCCTCTAATTAATGGGTTGTGAGGTTTCACCACTTATGAACCAGGATTTCCGGAGTGTTCCGAACGAGTTCGGGGGAAATTCTGAGCTTCTTTCAGGAACTTTTTGAGTGAGGAAGGTGGTGGTGTTCCTTTTTGACCCTTTCATAGATGTTTGACACATTTTTCGTTCTTTATTACTCTACCTTTCGGAATTAGCCTTCATCAACGGGTGGTTTAACTACCTAGAAGTGATAAGATTGGTATGTGTCAGTAATTGTGTGTTTTTACAAGAAAGTACAAAGAGAGAGACGAAGAAAAGAAGAAAAAGAAGAAAAAGAAGAAAAAGAAAAAAAAGAAAGAAATCAATAACTTATGCACACGAGTCGTGGTTAGTTCGTTCATCCATCGTACATCGCGTTGCGGTATTCCGTCATCGCGTTGCGTTATTCCGTCATCTTTCAGGAAATTTTTTCAGGAACTTATTTTAATTGTAATACCTGATAGTCATTTTTCAGGCACACCACTGTCACGTCGTTCTTTACCGCTTTCCTCTTCAGTTCTTTCCACTTTTATCTCTACGATTCTGCAGACGCAGACGGTGCGGGACACATTGATAATCAGTACAATGTAGTCGGGTATAGTCTTTCCAATTTTTACCCTTTCACACCAATTTTCCAAACTATTGAGGGTTTTTTTTTGTGACAAACATTCCAGGTTTGCTTGTTCCCTGAGCCGTCATTTCCTCTTCGTTGCCCGAAAGTTTGAGTTGAAAAATCTGAAAAGTCTGAAAAGATAAGGGCGACAATTTTTCCATTTGCCATAAAGATTTACTGCTTATCAGTCTCCGTTTCTTTTCGACAATTTCACCCCCTTTTTTCAGTGTCTCTTCACAAAATGATTGACCAAATTCAATGGCTTATTGAAAATTGGGAGCTCGTCGGAAACTCGCTGCTCTACAAATTCAAGGATCAAAAGTTTTTGCTGACAGCTTTGAAAGGCTTGAGAAATGGTCTTGTGTATGTTTTCCAATGGCAAAAGTTGTGAAAAAGCGAAAAATTTTCAGATATGGAGTCCGGATCCGAGCACCTCACGCCCTGGTTATGGTCTTTCTGTTCGGAGAAGGAACGTAAGTTTTACCAACTTTTTCTTTTATTTATAAGTTTTTCAGCATTTTCCAAAAGCTGCTCACAATCTTCCGGCTCACGAAAACTCACGCTTTGAACCTGGCCAAGTTCGTTTTCTCGTACAAATTCTTGCAGGGAGGACTAGCAGAACTGGGCGGAAAGAAGAAGGAGTGGCACAGTTTCGCAGCCGCGTTCGTCATGGGATACTACGTTTTCGGAGAGAACAATGCGGTTAATATGCAGGTGAAGAGCCCGGAAATGCTCTTGGAAAACGAAAAAATTTCAGATCAATTTGTATTTGCTATCACGAGTTGTCGTCGGATTGACGAAATTGGCGGCCAATGAGGAGATTATTCCACAGCCTAGTGAGTCATTTTTAAAGTTTTCCGTTTGGAACCTTCTTTTTCCAGACTTCCCAGTGTTCCCGTGGTTCGGCGCGGCCGTCTGGGGAATCGTGCTCTGGCTGTTCGAGTTCCACCCGACAGTCCTTCAAGGATCTCTCCGAAAGTCTATGACCTACTTGTACCACGACTCCAACTTCTGGACTGATATCAAGACGTTCCTGCTTAGAAACAAGTAGATTTGTTTGTCTAAAAGTTATTCAAATTGTCCCTTCTTTGCCCCGCCCGTACACAATTCAATTGACAGGATTCTCGGGCTTGTCGCGGGTAATTAGGTTGCGTGTGACCACATGTTGAAACATAATTATAGGAAAAGAGGGGAACAGAAGATCATTTATACACGTTTTATTATTGCGCAAGAATGTACACACATCAACAAGTTTCTCAATCAACAACCAGCGCTCGAAGAGGGAAGAAACTGCGCACCACTGATAATAGTACAGTGGAGCGTACTTTCTCGGCCCTCCTCAGTCACAGTTTTTAACCCGTAATCACTGGGGGAGAGTCTGACGCCTAGAACAGTGTAAATCGTTTGGTTTTCTCTACGTAACTATTGAAGAACGCTTTGTGGGCCACATTGACCCATGTCTGCGGGGCTTTGATAAACGGGATTCCGGCGGTGAGCATTCCTTCGCACCCGGCCGAACTCTGCTGACACATCTCGTTCACGTCGTCCAGGACGGTTCCGAACGCTTCTCGCCGGCACTGCTCCAGATCACGCATTGTTTGACGAGCTTCCAACGCCCACGGAGCCAAGATTGTTTCTGAGACATTTTTTTTCAGTTTCTAGTGAAAGCTAAACAAAACACCCACCGCTGAATTGTGTTCCTTCTATCCGCTTGAGAAACTGTTCCATCATTCGGGTGTTCAGTTTCATCAAAAGAGAATGATCGAAACTGTTGTTGTACTGAACTGTCGGCGGATTCAGAAGATGTCGTTCAAAACGTCGCAGGTGCAGGAAATAGAGATTGGCGTTGTCAAACATCTCGATAGTTGTGTGCTGATGAATATCATCGACCAGCTCGTTTTTGTAGACTGAATGCATGTCGAAATGAACAACCTAGATTAGAAATTCATTAGTTCACATAGTCTTGGTATTAGTTGACCCACCCTTTCCGGTCTGTGGAACATCTTCTTAGACACTCTGTAATCCCATCGAATGTTCTCCATTTGAAGGACTCGAACTGACTGGAGGTCGAATTTGATATCATGTGGCTTGTTCATGTTGTCCCAATGTTGCTGGAATTTAGAAATTGTCTAGAGTGTATAGAGGATTCAGAAAGCTTACCGGTTGATGGCTCAGAATCCAGTCGGCCTTAAACTGAGCGGCTTTCGGATGCCTCTTAGCAACAACATTCAAAGTGTTGGAAATGTTCAGATTGGAAGAAACGGGGAGATCATCAAGATCAGTGTTGGCTACAAATTTCACACTTGACCTGTAAAACTACGGTAGCTGGAATTTGCAAAACAGTTTCAAAAGCACCTTGCTCTGAGCATACAGTCGTGCATGAATGCAGTAGCTCCATGCCGGAATACTCTGCTGTTCGGATCTTTTTCATAAATTCCCCGATCCCTGGAGTGCACCGGAAGATCGCTCCAATCAATCAGTTCCAGATCGTCGCCTAGAGAGTCTTTGTAAAAGTCCAGAATCTGTTTGGTTTGCCACGTGTAACTATGAAGATAAAAGTAAAATTTGGTGGCACCCTGAGCCAGCCACGACTCGAAGAACTGGACGACGATGGTCCAGTCGGTGAAGAAGAAAATGGGCTGGAGACAGACTCCGAGGGTGTGCTCGTAGGTGTGAGAGGGATGAAGACGGACGTCTCTGAAGCAGAACAATTGGACGTTCATTTTCAGAAAGAAAAAACTTACTTCACAGGGACCACTGCGAACTCGTCGTTGAGTTCAGTGGTCAGATGAATGAAAGGAGAGTGCGGAGTCGTCAACGGAAGTCGGATGGTGCCAAAGCGAGTGGCCATGGAACAGAAGAGAATATCGAAGCAGCTCGAGTTGAAGCACGACCATTCGATCGATTGCCACCCGAGAGTGGGCACTTCTGCTTTGAGGTTTATGCTGGGAAAATTGCAAAATTAGTATGAAACTGAGAAAAAATGCAAGAGCTCACTTGTTATCCTGATTCTCCAGGTAAACGAATCGGATCTCATCGTCGGTCACTCGGTACGCTTCCCTCAGATAGACGCCCGCAAAGTTGGAGCCTGACTTGGAACTTCTCGTCGCTTTCCTCTTGATCCAGGCTTCTTTCAGTGAAAGATCTCTCCGCCGACGCATCTCCTGGGCTTCTACCGTCTTGCCGCCCTCTATTTCGTGCTCGTGTTGGTCATTGTCAAATGGACCCGTGTAAATGTTTATGGCAAATACTGGAAAGGCAAAATTTTGGTGATCAACTACTCAGGAACAAAAGGCGACAATTCGGCGCAAAAAACCAAACGGCGTCAATAACTGTTTTTTTACAAACAAAAATAGGTTTTCGACCCCGGTTTCCCTGCAAAAGGGTGTCAAATCGGCGCAGCCGGCGTCAAAACGGCGTATGATCGGCGTCGATTTTGGAGCCGAATTAGCGCTTTTTTTTCTTGAGTAGATAAACGAAGATTGCAAAAAGTTAGACCACTGCAACAGTGTGAAAAGCTCATCAAGCTCAGTCAGCAAAATCGAAAATTTGTGTAACTTTCCATATCCCAAGCCTGAGCCAAAAACATACCAAAAAATGTGATAATGATGAGGAGAGATAGTGAAATACAATAATAGTTTCTACGGTGAGCTCTGCGCATATTAGTCGATCAGTGATCGAGGAGAAGCCCGAAGAAGCCAATGGGATTGTGCGAATGGCAGGTGGGAGGCGCGCGCGCCACAGCCATCCGCGTTTATCTGGAACTTTCATCTGGAATCGGACGAAGTCGTCACCGAAACTGGATTCGCACAGGCCGCTTCTCCTCCCGCCGAGTGCCCAACCACCACCACACGAGACGAAGCATTGAGGGTTGTTTCATTCATTCATGTAAAAAGAGAAAAACGAACAATAAGATCAGATACGGAGACGAAGGTGGAAGGAGGAAACGAAGGATGTTAGGCAATCCGCGCAACATCGCCGAGGATGCCGCGATTGAGTTGCGCCAGTCCTTCGGCAAGACCGATCTGCAAAGAATTCGAGTGAGATAAGGAGACGAAAAAAACAGTCGGGTCCAGCGAGCGCCAAAAATTTGAAACAAATTTGGTAGCTTGTTACCAAGATTTGGAAATGTTCTCTACATATATAGATATATTGTTCATCATAAGTCTGAACGTTCGAGATTGTGTCGATACGAATCTGCGAGGCAGGTTGTATGTAGTCCGATTCTCGAAAGACGAATCGGTTCGAAATGTTTGCGCTGTTCAAAAAAACTACACGGTGGACGGTGCCTAGAAGAAGATCGGGAACATCTCTCTCAAAGATCTGGTACAACTTCTCTGTAGTTTGGTAAGGGTGAGAGTTCTTAATTTGGACCATCTCCTCAAGTGTCTCAGATTCTCAGAAATGTTCGAAAATTACATCGACTTCAGTGTTTTTCCAATTCCCCCTTCTCAGATCTAAGATCAGTCTCATGCCGGACTTGTTCCTCAACTCAATGCCGCCCAGCTTGCGATTTTAAAAAATTTCAGATTTGGATCAGTAGCATCTTTCTCTTTCTTCTAAGGAAAAGTGTACATTTCGTTTCAATGGTTAAATGCACGGTTCTCTGCATTAATTGAAATGTTGCGTCCGCACAACCGAGATGTGTTCCAGAGTCCACTTTTCACGTCACAAATCGTCAAAAAGTCTGCATACACGTTTACGACAAGTCACGTTCTCCGTGATCTGCCGTACTCTTTCTCTCATGTTTCACTCTGATCCAAAATGTTTCACAGTCCATTCAGATGTTCGCAAAAAGAAAACTTGCCTTCTCGGGATTACGCGTAACGAGATATCCGCCGCGCATTTATCGGAACAATCTCGACACTAGGCACACAAATAAAGACAATGCGTTTTTTGTAAATCGCGAAAATAATTTTTAGATTTACGAGCTGCAAGGATCTCGGACCAATTTTTTCGCGTTTGTTTTTTTTTAATTCCAGGGTATTGTACCGCACTCACTTTTCTCGAGTTCTCGTCCTTATCCCGGGGTTTGCCCTCGATGAGGATGTATCCACAAGCCACCACGTCCTTCTCCGGCGTCCGCATAACATATTTACTTCTGAAATATTTCTGTTAACTGGTTCGGTAAGATAATGTTTACCGTTCAACTCTTCCGCTTTCCACGTCGGCGTTATATCTATCGAGGGAGTTATTGCAGCACAATGTGGTCAGAAGAATTATGATTGGCAGAAGGATCAACGCGATTAAGACTATGAAACCTGAAAAAAAAACTATGCGTTTTGGAGTGCTCTTCCACACTTTGCTGACCTTCATTCAAAGTGCACTGGCAGGCAATCTGGATTCCATTATAAATTAGAAAAATGGCAAAGAAGACACTTCCAGCGACGACGGCCAAACTCATTGCGGCACAGAGAACCATTCCGACCCATTTGAGAAGCATGATTAGGAATATTATAGTTCTGGAAAGGTACCATCGAATGAACGGAAGGAAGCCACCCTGCAAAATGTTTCGTTTCTCGGATCCTTACGCTTTTCTGTTTACCTCGTTTTGTTCCTGGAGCTTTTCGGCCCTTTCCCTCAGACTCTCGAGTTGTCGGTGCTGTTCATCGTTTTGTCGATCCACGTAATAATCGTCGATAGGTTTCGGTGGCTCTGGCTCTTTCGCAGCCGCTAGAGAAGCTAGAGAGTTTCTGATGGAGGTCTTTCTGGACTTTGAACTGTAAATATCAATGAGCGCTTGGGCAGTTGGTCGCTTAGTCGGGTCGATAATAAACAGCTGATCTACCAGGTCGCAGATGTCTTTTCCCGCTTCCGGAATCAACGTTTTACTAGAATATTTCAACCGACGATGCGAGCTCCATTCCGTCATCATTTCCTGAATTCTAGGTGACGTCTCTTTTCTCTAATGGCTTGAAATCTTACTCTGTGCAAATTATCCCCATGGAAATGCATAAAATGATCGAGAAACGGTGGATATCTGGTGACCATTGTGACCAGAACACATCCGACAGACCAGATATCAGAGGCCGGAGTCAGACAAGGATAACTCTCCCAAGAATGGAAGGCCTCAGGAGGAGAAGCCAGAAGGGCTCGACGCTTTTGAGGACACGGAAGTCCGTCGATGTACGGATCCGCCAACATTATGTCATTTGAGATTGTGAGCAGAAGGTTGGAAGCTGAAAAGATCCACATGATAGTGATAGGAAGTTGTGACCCACCATTGAGCTTTCCGTGCACATGGTGCCGCTCATGAAGATAACAAAGTGCATCAATAACATGAACAATGTACCGAAGCGCTGTGTCCTGAAATCATGCTGGCTATAGGATACTGCCGATCCACGTACTTGATTCACAGCTGACCGTTTCACCAGGTCAGCCACAGTTCCAGTCGGAACGTGGGCCCTGAACACTAGAAGTTCCTCGCTCGATTTCCAATGATACCCGTAAATGGGAGCGAGTCGTTTGTGACGTAAAATGCAGAGATCCTCAATGTTTCGAGATATTTTATCGTTTTCTTCTGGCTGAATAAAAATTGACAAAGTTCGCTGTACTGTTTATTGGTTCTCGTACCGTTTTCTCAGTGAGATTCCACTCGGTGACCGTATAACTGGCCATCGTGACTGTATAGACATACTTTGAAGTTTTGCAAATCTTGTTTCGTTCGCATATTGTACCTGTGTAAGGAACGTTAGCGGGGGAAAAGGAAACCACACCCAAAAAGTTAGAAATTCTTGGTTTTTTTTCGAATGGTTTTCTTGCAAAAGACACATCAATCCTGGGAGGAACTGGTTTGTATCGATGACCTTCGAAAGGGAAAAAAATTGGCCGATAACGGTGATAACGATCCGAACGGTCAACGAGCCAAAAATCAGAATAGGTTGGAGTGTTCAATGGTCGAGAAGAGCCAGCTATGCGAGTTGTGTGAACACCGTCACGTCAAAATGTACAATCACTTAGTCATCAGAAATCAGCTCACATTCATTAGGTTCCCAAGCTAATAAACAACTGTCCATTAATGCAAACTTAGCCGCCGTCGCCTGCCGCCGCAGACGAGGACGACCCCATTGGAAATGTGCGCATTGCGGAAGTTAGTTGTTTTCTCTTCGCCTAAATTCCGAGGGAACACAACACAACGAGGTTCTTCTTCGGCTGTTTCTTGTCCAATTCGACCTTGCCCATCATTACTTTTTCCACGAGGGCACTACAGAGACGCCGAGAAACGGTTTGGTTCCTGGTCGGCCGGCGCGCAGATGGCATACGGCTTCCGTGTCTTCTGCGCCGAACGATATAAAAGGCAGCGGGCGCGGAGAGAAAGGCACTCGACTCGACAGTCTTGTCTACTCAGGAAAAACTATGTAAGTCACTGATCACCCCTTCAAGATTAGTACCCAACTGTTGCTTTCAGAATGTCGTCGGAAGACCCAAAGCAAGTCTCGTACGAGACAGAATCTCTTCGTAAGGTGGCCTTCTTCGGAATCGCCGTCTCCACCATCGCCACCCTCACCGCCATCGTCGCCGTGCCGATGCTGTACAACTACATGCAGCACGTGCAATCAGCCCTTCAGTCGGAGGTCGAGTTCTGCGCCCACCGATCGAACGGACTATGGGATGAGTACAAGAGAGTGAGCATCTTTCTCTTCTAACTTCTGCATGTCAACATTTTCCTAAAATTTCAGTTCGAAGGAGTCGCCGGAGTCGAGGGACGCATCAAGCGTGACGCCTACAACCACCGCTTCCAAGCCAAGCAACGCCGTCACACCTATGATTCTATTGGAGCCGGAACGTGCTGCTCTTGTGGAGTCGGTTCCGCCGGACCACCAGGATCTCCAGGACAGGATGGAGCCCCAGGAAACGACGGAGCCCCAGGAGCCCCAGGAAACCCGGGACAGGACGCGTCGGAGGACTCTACTGTTGGACCAGACAGCTTCTGCTTCGACTGCCCAGCCGGACCACCAGGACCATCTGGAGCCCCAGGACAGAAGGGACCATCCGGAGCCCCAGGACAGCCAGGACGCAGCGGAGGAAGTGCCCTTCCAGGACCACCAGGACCGGCCGGACCACCAGGACCATCCGGACAGCCAGGATCCAATGGAAACGCCGGAGCTCCAGGAGCCCCAGGACAAGTTGTCGATGTGCCAGGCACCCCAGGACCAGCCGGACCACCAGGACCAGCAGGATCAGCCGGAGCTCCAGGACAGCCAGGACAGGCCGGACACGCTCAGCCAGGACAGCCAGGACCACAGGGAGACGCCGGAGTTCCAGGAGCCCCAGGACAACCAGGACAGGCCGGTGCCCCAGGAAACGATGGAGCCCAGGGAGGACAGGGACAGTGCGACCACTGCCCACCGCCAAGAACCGCCCCAGGATATTAAGTGCCATAGCTTTTTCGATTCGAACTATAAATACTGCCAGCATGACTTTACCCTTTTTGACACTTTGGAAAGAACTCACTGATATGCATCATGTTGCCCATGACGTCCTCGTTAATCCGCCAACTTGTGAACTCGTGTCTTGACAGCGTGGAGCACGTAGTGGGCGTCGGCGAGGGAGCCGAGCACTCGCCGAGATCCGGGTTGATGGCTCTCAGATGGTTCAGACTCTCCTCGCTCATCTTCTGAATAAACGGCGAATTCCTTCGTTTGAACGGGAAAGTGTCGGTGGGTCGGAGAGGAGTCGCCACGTCATCTTCCTCCGCTTCCACGTCTTCTTTTTCTTCTTCGTCCTCGTCTTCCGCTTCGTCTTCTTCCAGTTCTTCCACTATTATTTCAGGATGCATTCTGAAACGAATAGACAAATAACTGCTAAAAGTCTGAAAAGTTCAAAAAGCAAAAGAGCGAAAAGTGGGTGGAAAGACGAGAGGAAAGAATGAAAAGTTGTGTGCAGGGGAGGTTTGTGTGCATGTTATCAGTGCAGATTCTGAAATTTGATTGAATCGCTCTATCGCTGTGATCACTCAAATTGGTCATGGCGTCCGTGATCGGAAAAGCATGGTTTCCCTCCCACTAGAAACTTCCGATTCCATTTCACTTTTTCGCCGGAAGCAAACTGTTTTTAGGTCATTCTCGAACTGAAGAAGTTGATGCCGAGCCGAATGAAAATCTCATCTGTATGTTCAAAAATAATGTATATTTTCCCTGCCTTCCCTGCCATTGAAATCGACAATAAATAATTATCTTATCAACATCTCAGTTTTTCCGCAAATTAGATTTGCAGCCAGAGTGCCAGTTGCACATGAAACATAAATCAAAATGTTTTTTTGCGAGTAAACTTCTTCTATTTATCAGTGATCTTTACATACAACTCTTTATCGTTCATGCACAATACTACTCCAAACAGTGAGGGCTGATAGTGAGCAAGAAAAACCGAATCCTTTTCATTTACTTTTTATTTTTCTTGTCGGTAGGCGCTTATCATCCTTTAGTCCATATGATGAAGAATGAGAAATAGATGAGAGCGCCGTTCTTTTAGATATAATTTATATTCGCTTTGAGCTTCCTTAGGATCATTTATCGAGCACTCAAAAAGTCACAATGATTCTTCCAAAAAATACGTTGACTTTGATCTTCTGCAATTTTGGCTTTTCTTAATAAACTTGCATGGAAGCCCTTAATGATCTTCAATGAACTTCGTGATCTGATCGCTTTCATACATCTCCAATGTTTAGTTTTCAGAGAACGAGGCTTCCTTCCAGAAACATCTTATTGCTTTATTTCATAGAAATCTTCTTGGCACCCGCGAGAACACTTCAAGGTCGGAGAAGAGCTGGCCGCTTCTCAATTTGCCGACCGAAAGTCATTCTTTTGACGAATTCAAATTTGGCTTTTCTTTAGCACCTCATAGTCCTCCTTTTCTCCTTCTTTTCCACTTTCATTTCGGCTCTTTTCGTCTCCCCGGGGACTTTTTGAAGGCCGGTTCCGGTAATTGAACTGATTAGGAGCAGGAAAGAGAAGAGTGCCTATGCTGAAGCTCCGTCGGCTCTAGAATACGTGTCTGCTTCTCAAAGCTTCTGAATTATTCCAGATATATCATCTTCTGCAAAAAGATTATGTGAATTGGGAATTAAAAGTTGAGGAAAGAGACGGATGAGTAAATGAGTACATAACTATTTTAGGAACTCTTCGCATGGGCTCTGTCACGTCATCAATCTAAACTTGGTGATTTTTGATTGAAGACATATTGACATCACGTTGAGCTCAAAAAATACTAGTCGCTCTGTCCTCTTATTTCTCTGATTTTCTTAGAACAAGTAAACAACAAAATCTTCTTTTCTTGCAAATTTTTTGTAAAGCATTTTCCAAATCTTCCTTCCATAATGTTCTGATACTTTGAACCCAAAGGTCTCCAGATTTGAGGAAGTTTGTTCACAATTCCGATCCGTTTCCTACTTCCTCAATCATTATGTTTTCTTTTGTCTCGGCCACCCGAGAAACGCATCTGAAACTGACATTTGAAGAGGTCCTCGACGTATGAAAAAAGTCCTTATGGTGGTAGAGAGCACTTTCATGAATTTCGAATATCCCTCTCCCCAAAAAGTTTTCACACATCTCACAAAAACATCACGAATTTGATCTTCTGAAACGCCGAGGCCTCATTCTCATTATTCATGTTTCCATGCGTGGAATTTTTAATTCTCCGTGCCATGATTTCCACATCACCGTGATTTTTTCCGTCTTTCTCTCGCCCACTCTTACCCGCTATGATTACCCCTCATCGTAGATTTGACAGAAAAAAACAGGAGAGCAGGGGCCATCAATTGCCTTGATTTATGTTCTTGCCCATCACAGTTGCAGGTCGTATTCATTCGGAAAACGATGTATAGATGTAGCATAGATTGGGGTAATTTCGAGAGAAAGAAAACGATGACTGCGAGGCGGTGGAGAGGTTAGAAAGGATCTTGTGATTGTGGATGACGTTTTAGTGAAGAGTCTCTTGCACTCGTGCACTAGCCTCTCCGTGAACTTTGAGCGATCTGTGCAACGAATAGGTTGCAGAAGATCCGAGATCAGAAGTTACCGTATCCTTTCCGTTCAACTCATCCAATCCTACTATTGTTCCCTAGAATTGACGGATTAGCAGTATGCGTGCAGTCTTTCAACGTCTGCAGAGAATACCTCCTACTCCACTCTGAATTTCGTCCGTGACGTGAACAGATTAAACCCTTCTGCTCCGGTTGATCTGAAATGTTTTTGGTTTCGTGTGCTTCGTGTCCTCTACTATTGTTGAGCATATATTTTTAATATTCAAGTAATAATCCAATTCCTCTCGTCCTTCTCCTGCTTCTTCTTCACTTTCCATTTGACTTCTTTATTCATTTCATCTTTTTGTGATACAATTGAATTTTAAATAACTTTTTGGAAGCAACTAGAGAATGAACTGAATTCCTCCTATTTTTTACACCGACTATAAAAACAAAGAGATACAAAGAAAAACAAGACTTTACGAATGGCGGACCACCTTTTCGACTTTGTTTTCTAGCTCTGCACACCAAAAATGCTTGCAGATATCTGGAATTTCTCGTCCAAAGCAATTAGGAGAAGCCACAAAACACAATGTTCCGTTTCTTTTATTTCCGTTCTTTTGTTCATTTCAAATGGACTCCAAACAAGTTTATGGGGTGGAAGTCTCGCCGCTTTCAGAAGTCTTGCACATTTCCAGAAGCCGTGCTCACTTTTCTGTTATCCACATTGTGTTTCATTGAACTTGAGATCTTCTCCCCTGGGGATCCATTTGTTATTTCTATCAAAGTACAGTAGATATGCACTACTCGCTTCTGATTCCTGGTTCCCTACCTCGTCCTCTCTCGGAATATCATATAATTTTCCCAAGATTCATTAATATGCCAGTATGTTACATGAATCAGAGCTCAATCTTCCGTCTGGCTGGCCTAGAAATTAGCAGCCGTGCTTGTGCTTGTGCTTGTGCTCACCAGCAGAATCCACACTGGTCTTTGTTATTTTTCTCTGCTATTGGCTTCTTCTTCCTTTCTGCCCAATTTCCTGTCTTCAATACCGGATGTTTCTCTTCCCTCTTGCCCCCCCCCCCCATCCCTTTTTTTTCGCTTCTCCTTCCGAGCACATCATTGCCATCCCTCTGGCTCCGCCCTTTTTGACCTATTGTTTCGTTTTTCGCTTTCAGAACTCGTGGTGTGCTAGATTAAGGAAATGACATAATGAACGACCTAGAGACATGCGATCAGAAGCAGGTATGATATCACTTTTATCACTGGCACGTGTAAATAGCAACGTGAGACTTGAAGGTATACGGCGGATTGATACCGAACTGCTCGGTGAGCAACACAGTCTACGATGCCTACACGAAGACGTGCGTCACCGCGCAAGTTATTCAGTTCGAAGATCAGGTACGTCTGTTTCAACTATCCGTAAAAATCAGAGAGCAAAGAAACTAGAAAGCAACCTATGACCTACTGAATCACGTTGCTTTGATTGGTTCGGGGTAGAGTGGCGTGTCGACACGATAATCGACAAAACTTTGGGTCGATTATCGAAGGGGCATGATCGACAAAAGTAATGTCGATCAACAAAAAATGCGCGGTCTATCGACACTGAACGATAGTCGACTGTATCGACATTGTCCATTGTTGACATTTTCGACAAACTCTTAAGTCGACACTTCACTCTAGTTCGGGTTGTCTTAGACTAATTCTTCGTAATTAATTCGTTTTTTCCTGTTTAGGAGAACGAGGTAAAAATGCAGATCATCTACGGAATCATTCTGCCGTTGCTCGCCGTCGCTGTTGTAGTCTCGAACAGCATTGTGATACTTGTGCTGAGCCAACAGAAATCGGTATGCAATGTGACGACTCAAATTACTCGGAACAGAAGTCTATCTTCTTTTCTGTGTACTTGGGTAAACAAAAAATGAAAGGCTCTGAAAGAGAGAAAAAAAATAGAAAAACATGAAGTGCATATAAAATATTACCAATTTCGCGGGAACGTCTGATGAGAAACAGGAAAGGCAGTAGGAATATGTGTATTATTATGATGGGAATTATGAATTGATGATCTCTGATGCAATTCCAGAAAAGAGCCAGCGTGGAACCTCTTCTATGGATGGCAATCTGCTCGCTTCTGATGGCCATTTCGCCTCTTCCGTTCACAATTTACTACTACAATCTCAGCCATCATCAGGACTTCAATCAGACCTTGTTTTTATGTTATCTCCAGAAAGTTTGCATGGAGATTTTGCCGTTCTTCTTCAATACACTGGTCACATTATTCACAATTTTGTTAGGTGTTCAAAGGTGAGTGCATAGAAAGGTATGGTATTCTGGAAAAGGATGTTTAGATTCATAGCAGTTCAATATCCGCTGCAATCGATCCGTTGGTGTACTCCTCGGATGGTCCGTCGCTACTCAAAACTGATCCTTCTAGTTGCCATTCTCCTGACTGCTGTCCATTCGATTTATGATATCAGATTACTGTATCATTTTTGCATTAGGGTAATATTTTGCTTTATTTATATGTTCCTAAGCTTCTATTTTTCAGTACGGAGACGAGACATTCTGGGTGGCAAGGTGCTTCATCGGCTATTCTTCCCTAACTTCTGCCATGGGAGCAGACGCCTTTTCAGCGGTTAGAAATTACTTTTTTCTTGAAAATCTTTTCGAAAATTCAGATCTTTGACTATTTTCGCATCGGATTAGTGGTATTATCGAGTGGGCTGCTCTTCGTTGTCACTATTCTTCTCATACAAACGATAAGGACAAATGACAATCAGAAGCCAGGGTATGATCCGATTTACCCGAATGAAAGGGTTGGTGTCTATGATTGTGTTCGTTTAGAGTGCATCGTCATAAGAATAGAAAGACTTCTACGAATACCACTATTATGCTCACTGTTATTATTGTTATCTACATGCTTGCCCGGTACATATCTTCCATAGCAACTTCTGTTCCCTTACCCAAAGTCATTTCAGAGCGCCATCAACATTGCTCATTCTCTTAGTCAAAATAATGGATTACATGCCGGTTCCTCAAGTCGCTTTCGAGATAGTCAACAATGTTTACCTCCGCGTCTTTGCCAACATCACCGTCATTTCGCTTCATCCGATCTCTTTCGCCGTCTACATGTTCATGTCTCGCAAGTTCAGAGTGTCCCTCAGACGATTATTAGGTAATCTAACTCAATAGTTTGAAAATTACAATACATAGATTCGCAGGCTGGCGATTTTTGGCGTCAGATGAGGAGTTCAACGCATTCACCTCTTCCACACGGATTCATACCGGACACCCGAAGATGTCTTTGGTTGAAAAAGAGGACTTGTGGTACGTCCGAATTCAATTAAATTAACAAAAGATGACTGATGTAATGAGTATGTTATGGTGTTTTGGATGTGGTAATGATGGATTGGACATTGTGCGTACGTGAGAAAAGTTGTTTTGAATTGGCTTGAATACTTGGAATAACTTTCTTGCAAGCTAACTGCATTTCCGACTGAACAGCTTGGATAGAATGAACCAAACTTCTGAATAGTTCTTTGTAATGAAATCCCTCCCCTGCATGTATTTGCTCCTCTTAACGCATTCCCCATTTTCATCTTTCCCTTCCCTCCACACCCTTCCCCCCATCTATCCATTTCAGCGGAGTTCGATTGCCAAACAACGTGCGTGGGCAGAAACGTGGAATGTCGGTCGACTTCAAAGTTGCTTTCGACGTCGAACCGCAACGGAGAAGACGTGCGACAACTGCGGACGCCAACCACGCCAACTTCCGGAGATTCGACGGCCCGAAGAACGGTGATCTGGAGGCGAAAGCGAGTGCGGAAATGTGATGAAAAGGTTTGGCATGTGTGGTCCATCCGTGATATCAAATATGAAGTCTGTGCGCTTCTCGATAGAGTTAGAACCACTCTTTCAATATTTTCCCTTTAAAAACTAACGCGTTATAACGTTTTGAAGATATTACCAATTAACTGTTCTTTTCTGTTCCTACCCTATCTATCATGGATTAGAAATACCTACAATTTTAAGTTGAAACCTTTTCTATGAGCTACATTAGTACTTAAATATGTCAATTATCAATGCACGTTTTTCAGCAACATCTCTCGTCGATCTCCATGTCATGCTCTTGGCGATATTCTGTGATGTCCATTATTTCACGGGTTTTAGACTAAACTTTTAGTGATAACATTCGAATAAACTATTTTTCGTCCGCGTCCCGTGAATTTTTTTTCATAAAGACTTCATTTTCACTAAAAACCGCTGTGGAGAATCATCATTTAGGTGTTCAACTGTTTTGAGAATAATAGTCTTTAAGATGATTACGAGTGAGTTCTGAAAAAAATCTTAAACAGGAACGGACTGAAATCATTCAGAAAGCAAGCCGGAAAGTTCTGTGGACTATTTGAAAAAAGAGATTGAAGCGTTCTTCAAAACTGTCACTAATCAAATTGTCGTCGAAAACGAAAGGATTGCTAAGGAGGCAGCACGGGTCAGATCTCTTCCGACTCCGGCGCCACCGGAGGAAAGGTCCCACCGATGCATCTGTTACCATCCAGATCTCTTAAATTTCTTTTCAGCTCCGTATCAGTAGTGTGGAAAGGCCTGTTCATCGGTCTCGGCGTCGTCGTTCTGCTAGGCATTCTGATAGTGGTTACGGTCTACTATTGCATCAAGAAACGTCAGGACTCCGACCAGGAGAATGATTTGGACAACCCGGAACAGCAGGATCAGGACCCAAATATCCCGCCTATTCCACCGCGACCGAAGACTCCGAAACGTGTCAGAACTCCGACGAGAAGAGCCCGATCGCCGGCGCTCGCCCTTTCTCCGGCTGTTTCTCCTGCTCGACTTGCATCTCCGTAATCACTTCTCTTTCTAATAAAGTATTTCAATTCTGTCTTGAATATTGTTTGAAACGTGACAAACGTTCACCGGAGCGCTAAAAAAGTTCCAGCGTGAACTTGAACTCGACTTCAAAATACAACAATTCGACAATAAACCACGTGGCGTCAAATACTCATTCATCACAGAATCCGGCACACCACAACTGTTTTCAGCTGAAAATCTATTCTAATTCAAACATTTTCATGGCGGGTAAGCAATCTCGCCATTTTTAGTTCTCGCAATTTGACAATTCCAGAAAATTCTTCTTGTGCCAAACGATGCCGTTCTCTCATAAGACTATCGGTTTTTCTCATGGTCGCGGCGGTTTTGATGAGTTCGGTTGTGGATGGCCGTCGAAATTTGAAAGAGCACTTCAAGCGCAAAACCCATTATGGCGATTTGTGGGCTAAATTTATTGGTAATTCATGAAAATCGAACTTTAAATCAAGCTTTTGATCGCAGAAAATGTCATCAATTCTACAATCGGACCACCTGCCCCTCCGACTGTTGCAGGAAATCAGGTCCAAGGATCAGGTTGGAAACTTCCTGATTATAAAAGTGTTCAATATTTTAAATACAGAAAATGCTAAAAGCTCAACTGAAACGAGCACGACAGTCGGACGGGGCACAAACGCAAACAACGGTAGACAAGAATTTGTTAAATGGAGATTAGCAATTTTCATTTTTTAGGCTCGATGTCAAATGTGTCTACTTCTAACACGAGCTCTTCTTTGATGCCGACTACTCTGACCATCCCCACCTCAAGCACAACTGAGATGCCCAACTCGACTCTAACTGCCAATACCACTACTGTTGCATCTACGACAACAACTGCTGACAGTACCGACACCACGGCTTCAACGACACAATTTCCTACTACAGGTTAGTTCCAACTAGTTTCGTTTCACAGTGGTGAATAATATATAAAAAATTTCAAGAAAATAGCGCAACGCCAGTTTCGTCGAGTGGCACTGTGTGGCTTACTGAAACAACTAGTGGACCGAAGAGTAAGAAACATGGCATCGGAACATTCCGATGACGTTGAAATATTTAAGGTTCCGTGACGACCACAACTACAGCACAAACATCTTCGGATATATCCACTGAAATCAGAAATGCTGGTGCCATCAGTTCAAGTTTGTCGAGTACAGGGTCGCTAAGTACTACACCAACTGAGAAAACTGAAAGTTCGACGGGAAAAGTATCTTCTGTCGCTGTTTCAATCACAAGCATCTCTGCCGCTACTACCCCGGATCCTAAAAAGGAAGATAATAGAAGTACCACTTCTTCAAATGTTGGTCAACCAACTCCTCAATCATCGGGTGGCACAACGAAGAATATGACGTCGGCCACGGAAGCATCAACTACTCAGTTTGGTGGTCAAACTGGTCCAGGACAGTCGACTACTCAATCTGGTTCCGGAACGAACTCGACCACTGGAACAATTGCGACAACAAATTTGACAACGGGATTACCAATACAATCTCCTGCTAGTACGGTTCCGGACTTGACCACAGTTACTGCTACCTCGAAGAGCACCACCCAAAGCACACAAAATGGTACAGGTCAGTCGACTGCTACATCTGGTTCCGGAACGCGAACCTCCAAAGGAGCAACCGTGGCAACAAACCCGATAACGCTCTCTGTTGTTACTCCGGCAGCAATTGAAACGACAACAGATGCTAAAAGTACAACTGTGAAACCGAGAACAGCGACTCCAATAACGACGAATGCGCCATCTTCAGTTCAACCCGTTACAAGTTCGTTTACTCTTCTCTTGCTAAATTTCTTCCCTCACCAGAGTCTCAAGGTTTGCCAATTGTATTTTTGCATACCAGTAACAACTAACAAAATTACGTTTCAGCTACCCCTTCAACTGAAAAAACGAAAACAAATACAGCGGATCCGACAACTACTGTCACGTCGACCACTATCAAATACGCGACTACAACAACTACTGAAGACCCGGTCACCACCAAAAAAACTATTATCACTTCAACAGAGCCGTCTACGACGGTAATCACATCATCTACTGCTCCGACGCTGACAACAGAATCCGTGACTTCAACAACTACTGAGGAACCGGCTACCACCAAAAAGATGAATAACACTTCAACAGAGCTGTCTACGGAATCGTCTACTTCCATTCCAACGACTACTACCACTACGACTACCACTACTACCACTCCTGCGAGCACTAAGACAATGATCATTCCGACAAAAACAATCATTACACCGAAACCAACTCGGCCACCTCAGCCAACAACACAACGTTCGGATAATGGAGACGAATCGGATGACGAAGATGATTCAGATGTGGTCCCAACAACCGTCGGCTTTCTGGGTGCCGACCGGTTCCAAGAAAATCTTGTCTGCAGTGTAAGTTACCAAAATCCCAAAGCTCGAGAACTTATTCGAACATTGACTTTCAGAAAGAGGATGACCAGACGAAGGCGGCTTGCGAAGGAATCTGTGGAGTGGTGGCCGCTGGACTCAACAATGGTTCCGGTGGAAGCAGAATTGCCAATATCCTTCTCGGAGTGCTTTTGTTAATTTTAATTATTGTCAACATTGGATTGCTTGTCTACCGGATGACGAAAAAAATGAAAGAACATCAGCAGAAGTTGAGTGCAGAAGTGAACGGAGAGACCGGATCGGAAAAACCAAATGACGCAAAGGCCAAAGCGAAGGATCCGAAAAACAGAGTTAGAAAGAGCATTATGCTTTTTGGATGTACAGATCACTTTCAGGCGGACAATGACAATAAGGATGGCGAGAAGAGTGTAGAGGTTCCGTCGCCGCCGTCCATCAAAATCAACAACAAAATGAGAACGCAACTGTTGGAGACGCAAGCGAATCTGTTGAAGCTCAGAAACCATGTGAAGAAAACGCAGATGCAGCACAAATCGGAGACTCGCAGCAACAAATTCGTCAAAAAGGGACCTATCTTCATCCCGATGGAACCAGATGTGAGTAACTCTTCTCGAAATTCTTTCCGTATTGTTTCTTTTTTCAGATTCCGCCACCTGCTCCATTGGCTGAGAACATTACTATTGAAAAAGTTGTGTACGATCCGTCTGGAAACGAAATGTTTGACATTGGATCAGACGTGGACGATATCGAGATGGACACAAGTCTGACATTGGATCCCGGACCGACTTTGACGGAAGAGGAAAAATCAACGAATAACAAGAAGACGCAGAGTAATAAGAGCAAAAAAAGCAAGAAAGATCTGGGGGAACAGAAGGAAGCAAATGCTCCGAAGACTTTGAAGGATCCGGTGAAGAGTCAGGAGAATGCGAAGACGAAGAGTGGAATGTCGAAGGAAAAAGCGTGATTCAACTCAATCTGGGTTATTTCTGTTTGCTTATTTTTGAGATAATGCCTCCTGTTTAATTGTTTTTATTAATAAAAGTCTTGTTTGTTATCTATGCACTGACCAACTACACCTTGCAGTAAATTATATTGTTTTTATATATTTTTAAACTAACTTTCACATTTTAGAATTTTTTTCGACTTTAATCAAACATCACATATGCTTTTCGCTCAAAAATGTGTTTTGCTTTGTTTGCTAAACAGTGCGTGAAGCGTAAAAATCGGAGTGTCGTTGTCAGGTAAAATCGCGATTGCAACAATTTTTGCGCACGACTTCTGTAACTCGGCGCCGAGCTCGGGGAAATCGTTCGCGTTTATAACCGTCCCTAATTAGATTGCTAATTTACTGCGATTAGGTTGAAAATTTTTCTAGCTAGACCGATATATTTTCTGATTTGATTGACAAAAGAAAATTTGTCTGATTAGATTGACAAAGAACTGATATTAGATTCACAATTCATCTAATTAAATTAATAATTCATCTAGTTAGATTAACACTTTGATCGAAAGAGTTAATCTAATTAGATGAATTGTGAATCTACTATCAGTTTTTTGTAAATCTAATCAGACAAATTTTGTTTTGTCAATCGAATCAGAAAATATATCAGTGTTCCCTGAGAAATTATAAGGCTCTTTTTTTCTAATTGTTTTGCTTTCAGGAAATAGTACAATGGGAAAGGGTAAAAATCGCATTGTAAAACTTCGCCGACGAGACAAGCCTCCGAAAGAGCGCAATGTGGAGGACGAAGAAGACGACGAGGAGGAAGCGGAAGACGAGTCGGCTTCGGAGCCAGGAAGCGATGAAGATGCATCTGAATCCGAAGAAGAAACCCGTTTTGAATTCCCGTTCCGATTGGCCATGTACGATTTCAACCAGTGTGACCCGAAAAGATGCTCCGGCAGGAAGCTACTTCGTGCCGATTTGATTACTGAGGTTAAGCTTGGCCAACGCTTTCCGGGATTAGTACTCAGTCCCACGGGTACGTATACTTTGGCTCCCAGAGACCGTCCATTTGTCGAGCAGAATGGATTGTGTGTAGTCGACTGCTCGTGGAAAGAAGTTGAACGAACGCCGCTTCATAGGTTCTCATTTTACATACTTTCTTGACAAACTTCTTCTTTTTTTCCAGAGTGAAAGCTCCAGAGCATCGTCTGCTTCCGTATTTAGTTGCTGCTAATTCTGTGAACTATGGAAAACCATGTCATTTGACGTGTGCTGAAGCTATGGCCGCCGGATTATATATTCTCGGATTCCAAGAAGCGGCCAGCCAGTTGATGAAACCATTCTCGTGGGGCTCACATTTCATTGAGCTGAACAAAGAGCTGCTGGATTTATATGCAGCATGTCATACTCCGGAAGACGTCATCAAAGCGCAAAATGAATATTTGGAAAGAATTGATAGAGAACGCAAAGAACACTCTAGAGATATCGACTTGCCTCCTAGCGAGAGTGATGAGGAGGAGGAGGACGAAGAGTAGAGCGAGAAAAAGGAATGGTAAGACGACACGCACTTCGTTATAACCAACGCGCGAACAATATGCCTCTGTCTGGCTAAATGTTTATTGACTTTTAGCATTTCAAAGCGAAATACTGCATACTCAGAATACCCTATTCTTATAAAAAATTTAATTGATCCACATTAAATAAGTAAGCATCTATAACTTCACTATAGAATATGTGCTAACTCGTTTTTAGTCGGCTAATAAAATTTGGAGAATATTATACAAGTGCGATTTTTTACCATGTTCTTAAAACAATTCCAACAAAGTATTTTCCAGTTACGACTACCTTGAGCTATGAGTTATATTCCCTTTTCGGTCTCAGAATAATTATTTTATGCGGTTTTCAAACTGAAAATGAACAACGTTTTGCATTGCTAGAATAGGCTTTATTCGCCTTTCGCATAAATAACAAGTCGCGCTTTCTCTCATACTTCGTATTTCGCTTGGCAATTATGTAGCGCGCGATAAAATCTTCTTCGACTTGGCATTTCTAACTTTAATATAGATTTTTTGCAGGCTACTCTGGCAGTAAAAACTTCGGGACCACTTCATTTCCATACTCTTTTTAACATTTTCCTCTACTTTTACCGTATACCTCCGTTGTTCTTTTTTCACCCAAACCGTTGATTTATCCTGTTTTCTGTTGCCCGATTTCACATCTAATATAAAATGATTTCAGAATGACCGAGGAAGACGAAACTATCGATGAAACCATTGAAGAAGGCAACCAATACGAAATCCAGGAAACAGTTTATCAAGGTGCTGAGGCCAAAGTGATAAAATGCTTGTGGCTGGGTAAACTGTGTATTATCAAAGAGAGGTTGGTTGCATATTACTAGTTATTCAAAATCTATGAAATTTACAGACTGTCAAAAGGATATCGACATCCGACATTGGACAGTCGTCTCAATAAAGCTCGTACTAAACAGGAGATTCGTGGAATGTACAAAGCCAGAGAGGTAACTTTTGAATTGGTGATATTTTTTATTTCAATTCGAACTCTTAGTTAGGCATCGAAACACCGGCAATCTATTTCATCGACAGTGAAAAAAATCTTCTAGTTATGGAATGTATCAATGGACCGACTGCCAAGCACTGGATCTCTCAGCAATCTGAGAAGTTGTCTTCCGATGAATATGATAATGTACTGGAGCAATTCGGGTTCGTTTTGGGACTGAGTCTCGGAAAGCTGCACCACGGCGGATTGATTCACGGCGATCTGACCACTTCTAACATTATTCTCAAGCAAGGGGATCCCTCCCGTCCGGCACTCATTGACTTTGGACTTTCTTCCCAGGGAAAGGTACATGAATTTTAAAAATGTATCAATCAACGTTTACATTTATTGTATTTCAGGTTACTGCCGAAGAGAAGGGCGTAGATTTGTACGTTTTCGAGAAAGCAGTTGTCAGCACGCACGAGAAAAGCAGCGCTTTGTTGACAGGATTAATGGAAGGTTACAAAAAAGCAGATCAGAAACAGTTCGATGCAATCGAGAAGAGGCTCAATGATATCCGACTTCGCGGCCGAAAGCGTGACATGATCGGATAATTTCGTGTTTTGTTTTATTTATCATTTTCCCGTTGTTGCTCTACATGTTGATAATGAACTGTTGATAATTTTACATTGATGTATTATTCTGTCTTCAAATAGCTGCAGTTATATTCTGCTTTGATTATCTTCAAATTTCGCAACATGTTTTCACATTTTATAAAACGTGAAGACATTTTGAGAAACTACATGAAGGAGGGGGGGGGCTAGAGTTTTGATGTCAACATGATAAATGCTTAAAAAGATGCGAGAAATCGAATGGCTTTGAGTTTGAGTCGATTAGATTTTTTTGAAATTTTTTAGCGTTCGGGAGTACGGTACTACAGTAATCCTGGAAAGGGGGGCGAAGCCAGATGACATTAATTTCATATATCTCAGAACAGCCCAGGTACTCACTGTGCCTAATATCAATCAAATCGGAGCGCGATGAGTTTTTCGTGCCAGGCCTATCTCGGGTCTCTCAGAAATCGCCTCTTATAATGCATCATTTTTTAGAGAAATGCTATCTGTAAAGCGCAGTTCCGGACAGAACGCTGAAGTTGTTGTGCCATCGAAGAAAGCGGGTCAAATGGTTGCTCCTACACCACCGACTTTGGTGAATGGAAAGCTTTATTTTACTCCGGTAAGAAACCTTCATTTAGGTCAAAAGTTCAAACTGAAAAAGCATTTTTTAGATTGGTGGCATAACGGTCCCACGGCAAGAGTCTGAAGGCGCTATTTCACTCGGCGAATTGTTAGCCATTATTAAGCCAGTCGCATCTCTTCATCTGACATTCCTTTTAGAATGGTCATTTGTATATTCGTAAGTTTTTTTGCTCGTGTCAAGTCATTTCACCAACTGTTTGCAGCTCTTACCCTGATTCGTGTAAAAATAATCCAATGACAATAGTGGTCGGAGAGAAGGATGCAGCGTCAGATAGCGTGCAAGAAATTTCTCAATTACATAGAAACATCAAAATAGTCGGTGCTCCTCTACCGTTTCCTTATGGCACGCATCACACGAAAATGTCAATGTATGAAAGTGAAGACGGACGTGTGCATGTGATAGTTTCCACGGCAAATTTGCAATCCGAGGATTGGGAATTCAAAACCCAACAATTATATTATGCATTCGGTTATAAACGGGCTTCAGAAGAAGAGACCAAAAGGTACCGTGCCACCTTGTTGATTTTGCAATGTTTTCTAGTTTTCAGGTCACCATTTCAATCAGATCTTATAGAATACTTTGGACAATATCGCTTTTTGCTCGAGGAATGGAGGAATCTAGTAAGACAAACCGACTTTACGGCCGTGGAAGACAGATTAATATTCTCGACGCCTGGCGTTCACAAAGGAGTTGCAGCTCAGAGATTAGGCCATCCGAGGCTGCGGATTATCCTTTCGGAAATGATTCCTCATGCTCCGACGCCACCCACAGAATCACGTGAGAGATGCTCATACATCTCGCAGTGCAGCTCAATTGGATCCTTGGGACCGTCACCGAACTCTTGGTTTAGGGGTGAATTCCTGGAAAGTTTGGAAGGAGCGAACCCGTCTCCGAAACAAGCTCCAGCAAAAATGTACTTGATTTTTCCGGCCGCTGACGACGTTCGACGGTCTTGTCAAGGATACCTTAGCGGATGCTCTTTATCGTATCGCAGCAGGCTGCATAGTTAGCTTACACAAATGCGAACGAGCTGATGATTGTTTTCAGGAGCTCAAGGTTGGCTGCAAAGCAGCATGTGCAAGTGGCGATCGCACGCAAAACGAAGGACGCTGGCCGTTCCACATTGTAAAACTTACGCCAAATACGAAAAAACCATTCCAAAATGGCAAATGGTGACCAGTGCGAATTTGTCCAAAGCCGCTTGGGGCGAACTCAAAGTAAATCAGATTAAAACTAAATTTATATTGTTACGTTAATCTTTCTAGAACAACGGAGATTCTCTGTTCATCCGCTCGTACGAGATGGGAGTGCTGATCACAGATCCGAGTCGGTTCAATTTCGCCTTCGATTACCCTCTCGTGCCGTATTCGGCTCAGGACGAGCCATTCACAACAGACAAGCACCACACTATACGCGACATTTTCGGAAATCAGTGGCAGCCACAAAATCGCAATGAATTCTGACACAAACCGGTTTATATGTAGCTTTAACACCTCACCCCCTTATTGCTTCGCTTTGACATAATAAAAAAAACGTTATAAGAATTTTTGTTAATAGATTTAGTGGTTCAAGTACCGTATTCATTTCCTGCTCCTTTGTTAAAATGGTTTACACAGGGACCGCAGAGTGTTTTCTCAATCTCGAGATCCGGCAAATCTTAATGGGGTTATTCAGGCTGTGAAAAAATGATTGTTTTCCGTTTTTTTCGTTTTTTTACGTCAATTCAGCGATGTAAAAAAACCGGGAAAAAACATACGCTGAATAGCCCCATAACGGTTTGAATGTGTTCCCCATATAACATTAGTCGGTTCCCAATTTTTTTTCGAAAATTTTCCGTACTTCTGGAATTACAGCCCTTTTTATGCTTCTTCATTTCTACTGAAAATTCCACCGAAAATTCCACCGAATTCCACCGAAAATTCCACCGAAGTGGGCGGAGCTTCGATTGAAAATAACCGGGACAGTCTCACGTGAAAATCGTTTTGCAAAAACCCCCAAAAGAATCGAACTCGGGTGCGTTTACATTTGTAGATGAGATTTACAGAAATATGTGCGAAAACGATTTCAAACTATCGTATGGGTCTGTAATACTGGATTCTGAAGACTTGGCAATTCTGAAGCACGAGCAATGGTTTAACGATAAATTACTCTCTTTTATTGGCGAGTATATAATGGAGTTAGCTAATATTAGTCAGCCTTTGATTCATGTGTTCACGCCGCCTGAAACTGAAATGATTCGACACGGTGGATCCGTTGAAGAAGTAGAAATGTTCTTCGGAATGCTCAAAGTCGAACAACTCCCTCTTGTCGCTTTCATTGTCAACGATAACAACGATGTTCAGAAGGCCAATGGAGGATCCCACTGGTCCCTTTTAGTGTTCGACAGACAGAAGGATCAGTTCAGACACTTTGATCCGATTTCTGGCAATAATCATCGAGTTGCGCTGAAGTTGATAGAAAAAGCACGGCAACTTGTGGGACAAAATAACATGCAGAATGGGTTGGAAGTGGAGAAAGTACTCCAGCAGACGAACAGCCGAGACTGTGGATTGTACGTGGCGCAGTATCTGTGGACACTTGCAGACGTGAGCTTCATATGCCTTCAAGTCGACTTATTTTTCGTAGTTTTTTGCAGACTGCTCAGGTAGCTGCTATCAATAATATTAAGAGGATTGAACAAACAAGGAAGTTCTGGATAAATTTGATAATCAATTTTTCCTCAAAAGATTAATTATTAAACGATGCAGTTAATTTGATCTCACACAACAAATTAGTATATAAATTCAGATTTGTTTTTGAAATTATTACGGTTGCTAACCGTTTCTTTATCTGTATTCAAGATTATATAACCGATTTTAATGAGATATTCAGATGATCACTCCTGTATTCTGGATCAGCCAAGAGGACGACTCTTTGGTCATCAGAATCCGTGCTCCACACGGAAATCTGGCTGAACTTGATTACGAACATGGAGAGAATATGTTCGTATTCACGTGTCCTCCGTACTTTTTGAGATTACACTTCAAACAGATGGTTCAGGAGTACGGAAGTGGGACCGGTAAATTGGAATGGAAGTCTGAAGAAGGTAAATATGCTCGGTGAATAGATGATCTCATTTACTTTCTTTGTTCTAGGTGAATTTCACATCCGTGTGCCAAAACTTCATCGTGGTGAGCACTTTACCAACTTGGATATGATCACCGAGCTTCTGAATCCCTCGCGAGAAATTCACGGAAGACCACTCGTTGAAGAGGTTCAATCGGAAGAGAATGAGGAAGAAATGGAAGAAGATCCGGAAGGAAACGAGTTTCTCGTCGATCAAGAAGTTTCCAAAGAATCAGAAGCATCCGATTATAAAATTGAAAAGTTTGGATACGGATTCGGATGGAGTAAGGCCGGCGTTATTGAACGATTGAGAGAAGAAATTGGACATGTAGTGGACCTTCCGAATCCAGAAGACGTGGAAATCGGATTACGCATTTCTAAATGTGCTACATTCGATTATAAAAAGTTCGATGAAGGTCGATACTTGTAAGAGATGCTGTTCATAAATGTCATACTTTTTTTCGTATTTCAGAGCCGACACTGTAGAGCCAGAAGAAGAGCTCATCGCTATAATTGCTGCCGAGTTTAATATCAAACTCAGTCTCACTGATGATGATCGCGTCAAATTGAAAGATCTGAAAACAAAGCCATCACGCATTCAAGGATCGGATTGTGAAGTTGCCACGTCACTTGTTGATATCGTCTTCGCGTATTGCTACGATCAAAGGGTCAATGATTGGGAATCAACTTGTGAGAGCGGATGGACTTGCTCCAAACTCTCCCCAAGTTTGTCCTACTTGACAAAGTTCGATACTGTTCGGGAGGTAGTCTTTACATTGTTAACCGCATTTAATGTTTTGCTTTCAGGCCCTCCTTTCAGCCACCCGTCGTGCCGTCAGTTATCCTCTCTACCGTAGTTTCAATCTGGCTGTCAAAGTTATTGAGGATACGAAGAAAGTGTTCTTGGAGGGACGTTCTGCCCTGCTTCACGTTCTTTGCGACCTGAATCATATTTTTGTGGCGTCCGGAGAGTTTCGCTATATTCTGAATGATCTGTTCATCACTGACTACCTCATCTGGATTCAATCAGTCCCGGAGAATGTTATCGAAGACATTCAGAAGCAGTTGGCTGAACTGCCTGCTATTCATAAAACTGATCTTGGATGGGATCTAGATATGCTCGAGACTAATGCAAAATTAGAGAAAACCACTTTGGACAGCGATGATGACCCGGATCCCGTCGATGAATAATTCTAAAGATTGTTGTTGTTTTTCTTTAACACTTTTTGTTAACGTTGTTATCGACTGTTCTTTCTTATTGTTTTACTTGTTTCCAATTTGCATCAATGAATTGACAACCATAGATTAACTTATACTTCGCCTGATACGGTTGACAACCTTCTATTTTACAGTCAGTTAAACTGACTACACATAATCTTATATAAATATTCAGATGTCGAAGCATCTCTACAAACAGTACCTCAGAATAGCGGCGAAGTGGCCTAAGGATGCAAACAAAGCTCCGGAAAGGTACCGAACTTTGCTGAGTATTTTTCATCTGTTCAGTTTTCAGAGACTTCGCCAACTTCTTGACAAAAGAGATCGAACGACAGTTTCAACCGGGTCAACTGACGGCAGCCGACCATGCAGTCTGCGAGAAACGAATGGCCGCTCTTGATCAGCTTCTGAATAACGAGGTTCTCAAGAAATATCCGCACAACTATAATTCGGGGGTGTTCGGAATGAGACTGGAGGATCTTCAGAGAGCATCGAGTGAGAAGAGCAGGAAGCAGATGGGATTGCAGCCGAAAGTTTCCATTTTTAAGAAAGCTTACCGAGCAGTTTTTCCCGAGAAAAAATGAAATTAATTTATTAGGAATTATTCTAGTTTTAAATCAGTCAAAAAATATTGTAATTATAGAAAGTTTGCTTGTTCTTTGATCCGACCTTCTTATCAACGATCGATTGATAAATAGTGGGCACTCTCACATTGTTACTTTTTCCTTTTCTTCCTAAATGTTTCCTTCTTCTGAATTCCCATCCCAAGCTTACACTGCTGCACAAGAGAAGTGGCTGGGCCGTGATCATCTAATTACGCCAACTATAAAAAAAGCTTTTGGTGATATTTTGAACGAAAAAAGTGTTCTTGACGTGGGATGTGGCAATGGTGAGCTCAATTGGCAGAAAGCCAATATTAGAATATTTTTGAAAATCCAGGACATTACTCGTTCGATTTTCTGAAATGGGGAGCTACTCGTGTCGTCGGAATTGATAATTCGGAAGAGATGATCGATATTTGCAACTCACAAAAGACTCAAGACGCCGAAAACATTCACTTTGAGAAATCAGACATCTCTGAATTCTCTTTGAAATCTAAATTCGATGTAGCCACTGCCTTCTTCGTCCTTCAGTTCGTCCACGACAAGCAAAAGTTGAAACAAGCAATTCAGAATATCTCGGATCATTTGGTGTCCGGAGGCGTCCTATTCGGACTGATTCCGAATGGAGTAGAAGGCGTCCGGCCTCCGGACCGAATGGGAGAAAAACTTGGAGCTCAGATTCAGAAAGAACCGGGCAGCCCTTTTATTGATGGAGAACTTGTCAATATAAACTTTTACGGAAATGGAGGTTAGCTATTATTAAAAAACAATATATCTAATTGAATAACCTTTCAGAAGTGTGTGGATCTGCAACCATCGCTCTGCATTCTCGCCAGTTCTATGAGAAATGTTTTTCGGAATCTGGGTTCGGTCAAGTTGAATGGATAGCTCCACATTTCACAGATCACGCTCGTCAATTGCTGGGAGATCAGTTTTGCAATCAGTTTCTGTCCCCTCCGTGTGATATCATGTTCAAGTGTGTGAAAAATTAGTTGGGTTTTCTCCAAGGTTTGAATTTGTAATAAAAGTTTGATTATTTTCACTTAATCCTATTCATTTGTTCAGAAATCTCCAGAATCCCAACTGTGGCGCTACAGTAACTCTTCGTAAGTTCGATTATTTACAACGGATACCCTTTACGTGACTTTCGTGATACCATATTGCGAAATCTCGAAACGTGTCAGATTGAAATAATATTTTTTGAATGAATTTTTTTCCCAACAATAAGCGAAAATCTTCAATTCTTACTTTCGAACAAACGTCCATCTGTAAACTGTGACAAAATGGACTTTCTGAAATCGATGGTAACTTTACACACGTTTTTCGACTTAGGATCTTTTTTGGACCCAGAAAAACCCAAAAAAGGAAAAAGATTATAAAGATACGCAGAAGAAGAAAGGTGACAAAAGCACATCGAAAAAGGTGAGAAAAATATATATGGAATTGTTGGGTGACTGAAATGAAAAAGAAAAAGTGATATTGGAAAGAAAATTGCTAGTTTTCTGAAAAAAAATTACGGGGCTTACGTCGGGTTCTAGGCAGCATTTATGATTACGACAGGATTTTATTTCAAAGAATCGAACATTATTTGAAGCATCTGAAGACGATGTCCACTGGCGGATTCAAGAATTGGACACAGAACGAACTTCCGAGGATCTGACGACCTCTTTCGCTGATCGTTGGAGAGAACCATTCGATCTGAAATCGGAACAATAGGACCTAGCCAGTTCAAGAACATTTTATGTCTCACTGACCTTCTGGAATCCAACTTCTTTGAAGCAGTTTTCATAAAACTCATTTGAGTGTAATGCCATGGTCGAGGTGCATCTCACTTCTGAATTGTCTCAATTTTAGTTTTATTATTAAACTTAAATCTACCATCTCCCTCGTAGAAGTTGGCAGTGACCAATTCTCCGTCCACATACGGTTCTCCACGTTTCGCGATCGCAGCTCCCAACTTCGGACCAGAATCTTCTGGAGCACGAACTCCTGGAACTCCATTCGGAAGTAGGCCCACAAACACTCCTCCGTTCTTTAAATGCTCGTAAATTCTCAAGATTCCATTCTTGAGATGACTTTTGTCATGAACGTATTGGAGGACAAAGATGGCCGTCGCGATGTCAAACCGATCGTTAAACGAGAAGTTGGTGACGTCTGCGTGATGGAACTCGAAATTTGGGAGGTGACGGTTCGATTCTTGACAACTCTTGACCATCTCCAGTGAATAATCAAAGCCAACAACCTTTTGGGCTCCCCATTTAATGAAGTTTACACTATTCATGCCTATAAGAAATGATCAAAAGTTGGCAATTATCTAGGTTTTCACTACGAATTTTTTCACAACCAAAACGTTATCCATAAAGAAACGCGTATTATAATAGTATTATATAATACTCTTGAAGTTCTAATGGTGGATCTAATCCGAAAGAATCGAAATAATATATTTTATTTTTTATTTTTGAATAGCAGACCCAATGAGTTCCTTTATTATTAGCAGAGTCTAAATTCACAATTCCTACTTCTCTTTCTTCAATTCCTTGTGCTGGTAAAGTGTCTCTCATAAAGATTCCCCGGAAATTCTTGATTTTTAATGTGTCTACCAAAGCAAGGAGATCAAGATTGGTTAGTGGCTTCAGATTTTTATTAAAATGCATTTATTGAGCATTATTTTTATTTGAATATTTTTGGGATTTTCTATATTTTCAAAAATGTGCTTAAACTTAACGAAAATCGTGCTAAAATAAAGTTTTTGCATCTTGAAAAAAATGGGATTATTATAAAATAATTTTTTTGATAAATTAAGTCTTAATTTGGCTTGAAAATCATTGTTATTTCAAAGAAAAAGATGCTTAAACTTGTTAAAAATGTGATTAAATTTAAAAATCCCAAAATCGTGCCAGAAACAACATTTTATAATTAACTCAGTTGTGAAAAATCATGCGGTAGGTAATAATTTTGGTAGTGAAAAAATTCGTAGTGAAAACCGAATTGCCCCAAAAGTTACCAAAGAAGAACAAACGCTACCATTTCCACATCCGATATCAAGAATCGTCTTGCCATTGAGATTTGGTCCTAGTACGTTTGTCAAAGTTGGCAACACCAAATGGTCTTGATAAAGCCACTTTTGTTGAGCAGACAAATACGGGTCGGTTGGAAAATCGGACATCACTTGTCGAAAGGGGCGAAACAATGGAAAATAGAGGTAGAGTGGAAGAAAACCTTGAGAGCGAGAAGAGATGAGAAAAAAGATTAAGATGCTTGATGAGAAAAAGATCACAACCCAACCTTTATTTCCAAAATGTTGAACCAAAGGAAACGTGTAATTACATAAAGCTTCGGCTAGACACTCCGACAACAAGCTCACTTTCTTCTCATGATATTCTTCGTATTCGCTTCTGAAAATCTTACCTCAACAATACAAACAGGCTGCGATGCGGATCAATCATTATATACCAGAATTGCGCATTCTAAAATTGTCTTGACAATGCTCAACTTGATAGTACAACTTTCGTTTTTGGGCTACCTGGTACATCGAAATGGAAAACATACGCGGCTTATTCTTATACCTTCCGCTTGTGCAATTCAATGCACATTTTCGTTGATTACTACAGCAACCTCGTTCATCCCTTTATTTTCAAAACTCAGTTACCTTGACAGGTATTCTGACTTCTTGCATAGCAATAACGTCGGAAGGAGGAAGAGAGAGAGATGGTTAATGAACGTTGTGCTCGGTTTATATAGTGACAGTCGGACTTCTTGAGAATATAGATGATAAAGACTGCTCTAAACTAGTCTGAGAAATGTCTTTGGCGGCCCTGGAAGTGATTTCCAGACAAATGTGCAAGAGAATGTGATAATCAGCTGAATTTCAGCATTAACTCATGCAAGAAAATGGAAATCATAGATTATATCAAGCTTCTCCTTCCGCTCAACAGAACGACAATACACACCCTTGTTTTTCTAAGGGCATGATCAAAATAGCAGCTGAATAACGGGAGTACGCGGAATGCCGAGCAAGCGAAGCCACGGCCTGATTTTTGGCCGCCCGTGGGTCAAATGAGGGTCTCATGTGGGCCAAACGCTCATGCCGACCCATGTTTCATTTTCTCGGCCGCGTATTTCGGCGCTCGCTGTGGGTCCGTTATGGGCGCACAATGGGTGATCCGCATTTCATCTGTGCAATGTGCCAAGTTTAGCTAGAATCCACATATCTTGGGACCGCAGTAATCAGTTTTCTAACTTTGAAAAAAGTTAAGGATGATGACGTGGCAATTGTGGTTTGAATAACTCGTGAACTGTAAACTATTTATTGCCCTCCTGCTGCTGATAACAACTATTCCAGTCTCTGAGTAACTGATAGTGCACATTTTGTGTCAATTATGGCTGCCATTACACTGTCTTTATTCTTTTTTTTTGCTTTTTTCGTTGTTTATTCTAATGGAAATATAGGTACGCTTATGAATAGTGTCGCAAGCATTCATGAATTTCATTTAGGAAACTGTGATCTGTCAGCTGCGCCGCCAAGTTGGCTGAGCACAAATGGAAGTGGCATTGTCGATTGGGCGACTGCGGGACAGCCGACCAATGGAACTAACTTTTGTCTTCAGGTATTTTGGAACATAGACTATGAGGTTTCAATAGAACATTTACAGGGTGACCTCACTCAGAAAGTAGTACAAGTTGCTTATCACATTGACTTGGGAGACGCTTTGCAGAAGTCAATAGATTCGTCTTCCCGAAGAAATAATGCTAACTCACAGAATAGTTGCATCAACAACAGCTCGAGAATTGTCGTCTGTTTCCCCTTGTGCTTCAATGACACTCTTCAGAACATGGTAAGAACCCGGCGAAGAAAGTTAGTCTAATTGTTTTTGAAAATGTAGGTCATCAAGTCTGCGTTGAAATCGAACCAACCTTCTGTTGTTGCTAAGGACATTCAGACCACAACTAATCTCGACTGGGCAATTACAGTTATTCAGGCGAGCCTCTAGCATTTCTACAGTTTATCGTCTAAACACGAGATTTCGGGTGTTTAGAACAAATGAACTTACAAGTCCTTTCATTTTATTTGAATTGTAGGTTGACTACAACGACCCGAATGCTCATTTGAACGCGAGTGTGTTCTTGGTGCCGGACGCGTGGTGCAGTGTCTACATCGGAATCAAACCTCAATTGGGATTCGACTATCTCTACGAAATTCAATTGGGAAAGATTCTCAAAAGTTAAACATGAAGTTATTTACACTTGTTCTTCTTGTTGTTGCAAAATAATCACATATTATGCACGTAGTATTCTATGAACCTAAGTCCCGCTCAAATTCTCTTGTCACAAGACCGGAGATCCTCCATCATATTATCAGAGAGTGTCTTCTCCTACTTCTCTCTCTCTCTCTCTCCCTTATTCTCCTCAAACCGGTCATTTCGATGAAAAGATAACATTCGTCGTGTAGTCGTCGTCCCCATCTCTTTGCAATCAAGTGCAAATTTGTTCCCGGCTGCTACCGGTTCTCTTCCTCATCTATATTTCAGTTCTATTTAAGTCACCCGTTCTGTACCACAGCCATTTCTGATTGTTTCTATCATGAAAGTCGAGAAAAATGTTTCATATGAGGCTGATGGGAAAACGTATCGCATGTACGATGTCAAAGCGGAGGATCCCATTCAAGTTCGGGTCAGGAACCACTACTTCAACCAACATCAGAAGCAAACTGTCGACTTTGTCAATAAGATGGTTAGTTTGTAAAGAATCTTAATCCAATTGAAAACGGTATATTTAGCACAAGAAATGGCTAAACTTCGACCACGCGAGGATGCCGATCCTCGGATGCCTGGACATGCTCTCCACTCTCTTGGATGAATCCGATCCGGACGTCGACGAGGCCAACCTGTTTCATGCATATCAAACTGCTGAAAAGATTCGTGAGGCCCACCCCGACAAGCCATGGATGCATTTGGCCGGTGAGTGTAAACTGCTGATCGTGCACCCAAGCTGTGACGTAATCCAGGACTGGTTCACGATCTCGGCAAGATAATGAGTGTGTGGGGAGAAGAACAGTGGACGGTCACTGGGGACACATACCCGGTGGGATGTGCTCCAGCCGAGAGCATCGTCTACGGATCCGCCAGTTTTGCTGGAAACCCGGACATTGAGCACGACGTTTATGGAACGAAGAACGGAATGTACAAGGAGAATTGCGGGCTGGAGAATCTTCTGATGACGTGGAGCCACGACGAGTACATGTACAGAGTTCTCGTGAATCATGGATCCACACTTCCGGATGAGGCTCTCTACGCCATCCGCTTTCATTCTTTCTACCCTTATCATTCTCACAACGACTACATTCACTTCCGAAACGAACGAGACATCCAGATGAAGCCGGCCATTATGATGTTGAAGTAAGAATTTGTAATTTTAAGAGTAAGCTGTTAGCATCTGGTTTCAGCGACTGTGATCTCTACTCGAAGAACGACGAGACTCCGGACATTAACGTTCTCAAACCATACTACCAATCACTCATTGACAAATACATTCCCGGAGATGTGGCATGGTAGATTGAGAAGAAAAATAAAAGCGGAAAACATTTATTGCGGAATACATAATAATAAAACATTTTGTGTGTAGGAAAGCGTGTTGTCGGCACAATGGCAAAATTAATATGGTCTTCGATAAGTAGAACAGTTAGTTAGTTAACGACATGAATATGAACGGGGAAATTTGAAATGTGAAATCTCAGTTTCATTTAACACTTCACATTCTAGCCTTAAGGAAGACGACGTCTTCCTCGGTCAGGTCCGAAGCTGAAATTAGAATACCAATTTTTGGAGTGGGCGAGAACCTAAAACCTACCGTATTGTCCGCAGTCTGGAAGAGAGTTGGACACTCTGGACTTGTCGAATTCGCGTCCGTAACGATCCACACACCAGCAGTGTCCCTCGTGGCATTGCTCCGGTTTGTAGAATCCCTCGAGGTCGCAACGTGGCAGGAACACTCCTGAAATGCCATGGACTTTTCAAAAGCCACGCAGAGTTTCTACATGAATTTCTTCTCCGGAATGGCTTATTATCTTGTCCATCGTCCATCGTAATTATGCAACATTCACGCCTCAAACTTCTACAGATGAACAGCGAGATACTGTCAACAACCGGGGCGCAAACCGCGCAATGAGAATTATCCTAATTCGACTTGTCATTTTTGTTTTCGAATTTCAAAATTTTTGTCACTGCCTTGAGAGTAAATAAATATAAATTCAGTGTTGTTCCTATAGTACACGAATTGTATCAAAGAGCACTCACCAAGAAGACTAGCGAACCGCCGGTTCGCTGTGAGATACATTTCCTCCAATACATTCCCTCCAGGTTTAGCGGTCAAAATCGGACCACTACGAGCCGAGATATGTTAATAAACAGAAAAAGCGTATTTTCCTATAGTACACGAATTGTATCTAAGAGCACTCACCAAGAAGATGTGGGTCGACTTCGTGCTTAGCTTTGTGGCATGGCGGCTCGTGTCTCAGGTCATCGGAGAAGGAGAAGCAGTCGCACCACTCGTCAACGGAGATGGATCCATCTACGACCATGTCATCTGGAAGTAAATCAATAAACTTAGAAAACCTCCAAATTCAACTTACCGCAGATGTCGATGAATTCCTCGACGCATGGCTCATTTCCTCCTCTCTCGATCGGTCTCAACTCGCTCTAAACGTGTACCTTAAAAGAGTTAAGTGCATTTGAAACTAAACAACCTTCGAGAGCAGTCCGTCGCTGTTTCCATCCCACTGCCCGAACATCCAGGCGACGTCAGGACGGCACGGCACGGAATGCACTGAAAAGTAGGCGAACTCATGAAATATAGACAGGCATCGCCGACTGAGTCATTCCGCTGACTCCCATATTACTTTTCGAATGCTTCCCCTCCGGCATTCCCATATTTTTCAAGACGCTTTTCCCTTTTCCTGTGTATACCGTCTTGTCCCATTACTCAAACGCAGCACGCGTCTTCTTCGTCTTCTTTTCGTCTTGTCCGCCCCGAAATGGGCGGTCTCCTGCTGAGACGGAGGCGATCTCTACCTTCATTCATTTCTCTTTGATATTCTCTTATTTTGATGATAAGTACTATATACTAAAAGTCCTCGATAGTCGTGAGACCGTGAGAAACACAAACATAATCCAGATATTTTTCAAACTTTCTCTCTCTTTAAACAAACAGACACCTATCAGTAGCGCCTCTCTTTTTGTTTTCTCTCCCATACACCTCTTCAAAATTGATCAATCTCCTTCAATTTTCCGCATCGTCTAGCAGATTCCATTAAAAAAGTCAATCTCAAAGCTATCATACGTTCGGATCTATTTGCCTCCTTCCGCCTCCTTCTCACTCACATTAGACCTCTCCCTTAACCTTCTTTGTCTCCTCCCAATGTTATCGCCCAATTTGCCTCTTTTCTTTCGTTTTCTATTGTCGTCTGCATTCCAGTTTGACAATACGTATTCATTGAGTTATAGAGAAACATGTATCGACAGTCGATGGCCAACGGAGCCGCCGCCAGTGTGCTCTTCTTTCTTTTCCTCTTTTTCCTAGCCAGGTGAGCGAATATCTATCCGGAGTAGGTCACGCCTACGCTTCTCTTCCACAGTAATCTAACTATTCTATTTCTAGACACATGAGAAAGTTCAAGTTGAATAACCCTCCGACGAAGCCAGAAGATGAACAGCTTCGTGATCTCGAGTGTGGAACCCTGCCACCTCCGTACTTTGTAATTCCATCGCAACCACCTCCCACCTATCAAGTAAGTCTATTTCTATTCCCCCAAATTTTGAACAAAACAGTAGATACACCTCCGTTACGACCATTAAACGGGCTAAACGGCACGGCCGAGAAGGCGAAGAAGCAATTTCACGCTTCATTTCCACTCGGTTCCTTTCTCGTTTCGCATCTACATCAGAAATTGGAAACAAGACAGATGAACACTGTTTTCAGGAAGCCATCAAAATGTCTGCTCGAGAGATTCCCGCAGTGATATAATGATCAACTCACGTTTCAAAGTGTGCTCGACTCCGGCGACCACGGAATGGACATCCTTGAACCACTTGGCGAGACGTCCTCCCATCCGCATCAGTTCGTTTCTCGAGCAGTCTGTAAACTACCTGATTATTTGGCTCAAGTTTTGATCTCTTCCTCGTTTTCCCGTTGTTTTCCATTGTACGGGTCTTATTTCTCTTCACTTTCGAATGAATTTTCAAAATTTTTAGCGTCTTGGTTTTCTGCATTTCCCGGGTTTTCTGCATAGTCCATCTCAAACTTACGAAGGCTGGAGTGAGCTGGCTTGTCCTTCTTTTGCTCCGGAACATGCTGGAAAAAGTCAAGATCATCAAAAATGAATCCGGTATTCATCGGTGACGTTGGCGACGACACGCTTTTTAGGCCGCCGTAAAAAAGATCGTCGTCTTCGTCTTCTTCCAGTGTGATTTACGACTGAATTGCGACCAACCGCACAGAAAACGACACAGGAATAAGATGAATAAGAAGAAGTCATCGAAAGAAGTGGTTTCTTCTTTGTTTGTTGGTTTAGCTTGATTTATGTTAACTTCGGAAGGTTTCCTTTGAAGTTTGCCCATATCACTCACTACATACGAAACGATACAATAAATCAGGCGAACTTACAGCGCGGTGATCCGAGTGTTGGCTACCGTGGTTCTTGACAAAGTGGGTCCTGAAAAGGTATGAAAGCTTATAGTAAAATGCCAAATAGGTCAAGATACTAACAGTTCAGATTGATCCATACACTTGACCTCATTCTTATCCGAATCCAGCACGCACATTTCATTGTCAGAGCAGCCAGCTCTGGTACACCACTCCTCTGGAATCCTTCTCATTGAAAGACTGTGATCACTGTTACAGTATCCTCACCATCAGCATCATTCGGGAGAATGACGAGACGGGCAGAAGCAAGTGCCACGTGGCACACGAGTAACACTCGTAGAAGAGTCGTCATCGTGGAATCCAATCGATGAAGAGAGAAGGAGACTGAGCAGCTCGGTGCCTCACTTTACGAATGAATCCTCCCTCGCTCCGCCGACGATGACGCATCGATATTCCTTGTTTCTCTTTGTCTCCAGACTTCCTCCAATGCTTTTCCGATCACAACATATCTTTCGTCGGCGACGGGCACCGACTCGGCAGCTGCTCTCATGGTCCACACGGTGACCTCGTCTGCGTCTCGTCGAAACCAGCGAGTTTTGCGGAAGCGAGAAGGTGCTGGGAGAAGAAGAAGATTATTTTGCAGCTGGTGTGGCAGGAAGGAAGTGCAATGGACCTGGCACTTTCGCGGGTCAGGACTACAGTAATCAGAGAATCACCATTATTTCGTGTTGTTGATCTACTACTCGCTCGCCTACTCGCGTTGCGTTTTCAACCAAGAGAAACTCCCCGAACATCAAAAAAGCGGTCATTTTGATTTGTTCTTCTATATTTCCAATTCGGCGTTCTGTATTCCATTTCGACTTCAATTCACAGATTGACTGCTCCTGACCATTCGGTGATAAATCGCTGTACCATCCTGATTGTTCCTCCCCTGCTGACGCGTTCGTTAAGAACATAAAACACTCTGCCAGAAATCATTTCGTATGAACGAGGGAGAGAGAAAAACCAACTGTTGCGCAAAAACTCGGCGCCTCGGGTCATGTTTGCTTTTTGGCACAGGCGCGGCAAACATTGTCGGGGTACTCTTCGGATCGGCATACTGTCTTGGCAGATAGTACTGTGTATGTACTCGACGCCGAAACTCTTCTGACTTTTGCCGGGCATTTCTTTCAATTCACCTCACTTACACAGCATACACAGATACCATCTCTTCAAACTACAGCGAAACACGAACGGTAAGTTTTCCATTTTGGGAAAAACACAACAAACTTAGTCTGAAATTATCTAGACTAATGTAATCTTTTATGATTCTGAACTGAAATTCCATGTGAGCCCATAAGTGGTAACGTGAACTTTGCAAAAATTTTAACTTCGAAAGCGCAGTAAAAGTGCAGTGAACCTCCTAGGTTCTTCCCCGTTTAGGACATACTTTGTTTTTTGGATGAAGGTAACACGAGATTTGGTATCGGTGGCGTATTTTTGGGACCTTGAATATTTCTCATCGAGTATCAAATTACCATCCTTCCTTCCCGCCGCTTCTACCTTCTTCGTTGCATGTTTTCAGCTATTTTCACCTCGCAATTTGTTTTCTCACCCGCCCACGGACGAGTAAATAAACAAAAACATTAAGAAAGTGATGCCTCGATTGGTGATAATTTCGAAAATTTTTGCATTCTCATTTTGATGTTTGCTTTCTAGATTTCAGTTTGCTCCGTTTCTAAAATAGCCGTCGACTTGTACTAATTTTACCGTACTAGAGACCAGTTCCTGAGCAAACAATGCTTTGCTCATGCACAAAATTCTCAACGACACAACTCATTCTGAAATTTCCTTCGGCTCTATCTCATCTTTTTTCTCCACTTTTTCTTGCCCTGAAGCATATTTGTTTTCCTCACAGAAAGCTTTGAAGAAAGTGAAGAGTCTACCCACTCAGCCACTTCCAGAGGGTTTCCAGGTTACCAGTTATCTCACTGACCGGGAAATTGGTCAGAACTTTTATAGTTGAGGTTTTTGATTTCAATTGGAGATTTCCGCTACTGAATTGCCAGTCATCTCACTGACCAAACCTTGATTGTCATCTTTCTTGTTCGGATCCCGACTGTGCAAACTCGCGGGATTGTCATCAAACCAACTGGTACTCCAGTTACGAAATCCATCCCACTCTCTGTGATATTTTTGGCAGCCACTTCCTCTGCTTCCTCTCGCAACTCGCAATAGGAAACTTCCTATCGAGTTGTTCACTTTCTCCTTTTACTATTTTCTACAGCTGACTCAGCTGTTCCTCTCCTTAATGGAAAACTTGATAGTGAATATGTGTGAAAACGATTGTTAAATTGAATGTTAATGTTGCCATTTACCCCAAAAATTCTGCATAAAAGTCTTTGGTCTGCCCGACGACTGTCTTGCACCACGACCATCATATCAGAAAGTTGCGTGGAGTTCGTCATAATCCTATTACACTCAACTTCCTAGAACGTAGATTGCTTCTGCTGTTTCTGAAACAATTTTCAAAAATGTTTTGTTCTCGGACTCTGTTTGCTCTGCTCTCACAAGTGCCATCAAAGTTCGTGCGGACCATCTGAAACCAGATCCTCTCGGTGGTCCTGGAGGAAGGATGAAAAAAAAGAGTTGCTACACAATATACGACTACGTAACACGATGACCACTTGTGTACTCAGCTAGGATCCTCTATTCCATTTACCCAAAACTTTTTTCCATCCAAAAAACGTCGTTAGAAGTGACTGCAGTTCACAGTTTGCCATCAATAATCTTCCTAACTTTTTTGGCGTGCCGATTTGAACATCGGCAACTTCTCGATATAGCATTTGAATAGTTTGTTTTACCGGAAATAGATATATGTTTTTGTACTTTTCCCATCCGACTTCTTCTCTCTGATAAAACTGTCTCGCCAAACATGTGTGTTTTCTCTCGGGTCATGAAAGATTGAGTTATCAGCCATTTCTGGATGTTTGTCTAACTTAACACACTTTTAGAAATGCCGCTCGATTACCAGTCAGAAGATGCGACCACTTCTTCTCGGAATGGAATTCCTAACGGTGCTCTGACGGTGAGCCTTTTTCTTGTGAAAAAAAAAATTATTCTTCGTTCTTTGCAGGTGTTGATAATCGCCGCTATCGCAATAGTCTCCGTTGTTATCACCCTTTTCTGCATGTTGGTCAACAACCGACGAAGCGCACGAATAAGACAGCGAACACAGGTATCGTCTATCAGAATCCTTTTCCGTTCTCATGTTAAACTTGTTTTCAGCGACAAAGTGCGCCTGCAGTACTGCGGCTCTCACAACCATCGGCATTGTCTTCTCCAACAGACGCTGTGAGGCCTGCGAACTACCCGCCCTTGTACATTGTATCTCCTTCGTATGATCCTAAATTCGACGCTCCTCCATCTTACGAGGATGCCGTTCGAGCAATGGTTCAGAACGGATCAAACGGGCAGATCTCAGTGCTTGCCACTCCGAACATCAACGAAACGGTCATCACTGTGAGATATTATTCATTTTTGAGATGTTTCTCTTAGTTAGTTCTTAAAAATGATAGTTGAAACACCACAAAGTCCGTTCAGTTATTGTAGTGCTACCTAATCAGCAAACAATTGGGGGCAAGAACATTATAGGGTACTGGGCTACTACCAGAACCCATTTGCTCTTTGCTTTCGATTCCGTCGAACTTTCACTCGAAAAGAGTCAAACAAAAACCGTGTAAACTGTGCAAAAACAAAGTTCATCGCGCAAACTAAGTCGTTGTAGTCTGTGCCAAAGTGTGCCCAACTCTGTTTACATTTCCTACTTCAGATCCCCGAGCACACTCCGTCCACCTCATCCATCGCCGATCCAGAAGCAGCCGCTCAGATCGACGTGGAAATGACGCACGCCCATCTTCCAACGACGTCGACTGCCGTGACCGTCTGAACTGGTTCAGCCGGTGCCACGCCATATCATCTTCTGTAGCCATTTGGTAATTAGAATCCGATGCTTTCCCCCTCTTTCTACTGTGTTCACCTCTTGCCCTAGGTGCTCCAGTCTCCTCCAACTTTTCGCATTTCCCTCGAAAATTGGTCTTCTCTTCTCTTTTTCGCCATTCGTATGTTTGTGTATGTTGTTACGGGTGTTCACTTCTCTTAATTTCGCAATAAAACTCTTTCATAAAGTATGTACCATCTTTGAACAGAATGACGTGGCAACAGCCGAAAAGATGGATGTAAACAGTTGAGTGATAGATGATTAATCAAAATATGTCTATGAGGCATCACGTGTTTCTGAGCATCTTGTTTTACCTCATCCGCCTCGCTCTCTACCTCGGCTGTTCGCGTGTTGGTGCATACTAAATTCTTCTTCCACCCTGGCGCGCATATCATCGCAAAGCCACTCGGCACATATTTCCGAACTATACTAACTAGCTGCTATGGTGAGTCTGATAAATGATATCGTTCTTTCATTTTTTAAGCTTGAGAAAAACATACGAAGAAAAAAATGAAAAGAAAAAAGCTTCCCTATAGTGGTCCTGATTTTATAAACTACACATTAAACTACAGTTATACTGAAACCTGACACCTCATCAACTCCTACTTTGTTTTCTAGATCGGCTGGACACACGTATGTGTTTCCTCACTCATTCTTCGCAAATATGGTCCCGAAGTATTGGAAGAAATACTGTATGCCTCAAAGAAATGAGGATGTTTTCAATCTTTTAAACTTTTAGCAGAAAGGCCGGATACCCGGAAGATATGAATTTCGATATTCAAACGTATTACGATGACACAGAGACTATGCGTATTTTTCGAGTTGCTGCATCTGTTCTAGGTAGAATTGATTTCATTTATTCTTGGTCGTATCCGATTATTTGCGCAGGTCTATCAGTGGATGATATGTGGGAGATGTACGGAGAGTTTCTGATCACGCATGCTTGCGAAACCGGATGGCAGAAAATGTTATTCTGTATGGCCAACAATCTTCAGGTATTCGGAATACATTATAATCACAATAGTGTTCTTTACACAGGAGTTCCTCGACAATTTGAACAGCATGCACTATTTCATTGATCAAATCGCTTTCAAGTCAGAAATGAAGGGTCCAACTTTCCAATGCGAACCATTCGGAGAATCCGGGTTGAAACTTCACTATTTTTCGTTCAGACAGGGTCTTTTTCCGATTGTCAAGGGGCTGGTCCGCAAGACTGCCAGAACGCTTTTCGAGATGGATGTCAAGGTATCAAAGGGAAAGTTTCCACATGATTATTTTCTTCTCTAGGTCAGTATGTTAGAGCGAAATCAGGAGCGTCGTAAGTCTGGGATGGTGGAGCATGTCATCTTTTCCGTGGAGCCCGATGACAACCATCGGAAGGGAAAACGTCTCTTCCATAAGTTCAGAAACACCAAATCAACGGAGCCAGGAGCAAATTTGCTGGTGATTTCATTTCTAGTTGCCATTAACATTAACTGATATTGTAGCCAACCACAATGCTGGTGGGATTGCGGGACTTCAAGAACATCTTCCCCTACCACGTTTGCTTCAACAAACAGATGGTCATCGAGCACATCGGTTAGTGATTTCGGCGTGTTTTCCGCATGCTTACCTCGCGTGTCTGCTTTCTGCATTTCATATTCCGCATTCATTTTGACGTCAAATGGGTGCCTACGCATTAATGATTAGTTGAAAGAAAGTGAGATGAAGAAATATATATGAGACAACTTTTAGGTATCTACTTGCTCCGGGAGTATGGCCTTGAGAACAAAAAGACGCTGAAAGTCAGTGATCTCATGCAGTTGGTACAGCCTTCTGACATTCAGGTATCCGAGGAGGATATTAACGGAAACAATTTAAAGATTTCAGTTGACCTACAAAAACGTTCTCAGTTATCTGAACACTTTGTTTATTTTCCAACTGAAACATCACAGCAAACGTAATGAAGTCCAGGAGGGAAGCAGCGAGGCATTCCAGCAGCCACTGGTTCTCAAGGGAGAGATGATGCCTCTCAACGATGGAAATTCTATAATTTTCATCTGTTCTCCTCATGTCACAACTGTGAGCCGACCATTTTCCAATTAGGTCAGCACTGTACCCTTCAGGTCCGTGATATTCTCAACCTGAAGCTCTACATCTCGGATATGCCAATGCACGATGCAACTAGAGATCTGGTCATGTTAAATCAATCAAGAATCTGCCAGATGGAGTTGAAGTGAGCGGGTTTTCAGGTCAACTCGGAATATGTGGAATGTTTAGCAAAAAATTGGAGGAGACTATGAAGAAGATGAAGAAAATGACGGAGGAGCTAGAGATCAAAAAGGGACAGACGGACCGATTGCTTTTCGAATTCGTACCGCCCGTTATTGCTGAGGCATTAAGAGCAGCCAAACCTGTGCCAGCTCGTAAGAATTACCCCTATATCTCACTCCACTCTCCGTTTAATTTCAGAAGAGTTCTCGGACTGCTCCGTGATTTTTACTGATATTCCCGATTTTTTCACAATCAGTGTCAACTGTACACCCAAAGAGATTATCGGGGTGGTAACCGATCTCTTCCATCGTTTCGATCGTATCATAGAGAAGCACAAGGGGTACAAAGTGCTTTCCCTAATGGACAGTTATCTGATAGTCGGCGGAGTGCCCAACGCCAACCAATATCACTGCGAAGACAGTCTCAATCTTGCCCTGGGTCTTTTGTTCGAAGCCCGTCAGGTTCAAGTTCCAAAGTTGGAGCAGACCGTACGGCTGAGAATTGGTGTTCATTGTGGTCCAGTTGTGGCTGGAATCGTCAGTCAGCAAAAGCCAAGGTTTTCAAAATAGCGTTTATATACACGACAAGAAATGCCTTCAGGTTCTGCGTTCTTGGGAACACAGTCAACATCACAAAAACTATTTGCTCGCACAGTATTCCAGGAAAGGCGTTGGTTAGTAACGCAGTGAGAACGTGAGTAACACATTTTTTCTTCTTTTCTCAATCAAATGTTTGTTTTCTTCAGAATGGTGACCAAAAATCTAAAAAGTATCTTTGTGTTCAATGCGAATGGTTACCTTGAGCTAGCAAATGGAAAAATGTTGACTCATTTCCTTGAAAAGAACGAAAAGAGCAGTGTTTGGGACATTGTTGATAGGGATAAAGGTCTTGGCGAATATCTATGTTTCTAATTGTACATATCTAACAGTTCCAGCTACAAATGACAGCATCGATGGATATCGGGAGCTTCACTCCGATGATGGAACCACCGAATGGCAAGAAGCAACAGCGGCTGCCTATCGTGTCATTTCAGTAAGTTTCATTTAAAGTTTCGAACTCACAAATTGGTATTTAGGTGGTCAATGCTCTCGACAATAAACCGAGCCGAACAAAAAAGGCATTGACTAGACTCCGATCGGTCAAACGGAAGTTCCGAACAATTCAGAGCAATGACAGTGGAGTCTCTATCAGTGAGCCCAATGTGGAGAGCACTGTATGTTCGATCATGTAGTGTATGCAATTCTTTATTATTTGGGCAATAAATGATGATATAGAAATTCAATTTTACACTATTTGGTTTGCGTTCTCAGCTTACTTAGATTGCGTTTTCAGCTCCGTCTTTTTCTCCTCATTTTCCTTTTTCTCCTTCTTCTTCTTGTCATCTTTCTCTTTGTCCTTCTCATCATCCTCCGTGCTCAAGATTTCATTAAGCACTGTGATGTGTCTGTCGATCAGGTACAGGGCCTAAATGCAGATATGACGTGAAAAAGGTACAGTTGAGCGCACTTCAAAGTCATCGTCATCTTTTCCGAACGGATTGATGATGACTTGGCTGATACGTAGGAATCCCAAGTAGAGCATGTTGATTGGAAGCGTGCTCATACTCTCCACAAACAAATCGGATATTCCCGACTTCTCACTCATTCTGAAACGCATAATATGAAATGTTCTGAAAAGAGATGGAACTAACACAATGCGCGCCTGCATTTGAAAACAGTTCACAATCATTGTGCCGTAAACGAAAATGGTGAGGCATTGGAAAAGGGCGAGCGGGAGAGGGACCCAATCGTACGCAAGTACGTCCCCAACACGGGCTCGGAGTCTGTTGATCTGCAAACATGCTGAAATTTTCAGAAGTCTTCAGCTACTCCCTCACTTCAGTTATGAACTTCATGTACTGAATTTCCGTCATGATACTTTCCTTCGATTGTCGGTTCTTCCGTCCTTTCCCGTCCGCTGACAATCTAGAAAAAAATAATAAACTTCCTGTTTCGATTCATTTCTTACTCTGGTTTGTATTTGTTCCGAACAATAACCACAATCCAATTTATCGGAATCCAGTAATGACAAGAATGTTTCTCTAATCTGCTGCTTTGTAGCAATTGCGCTTCTTCTGCGGTCAGGATTCCGTGCACAACCAGATGTTCGATGGTCTCGAACATTTCCCGAACTTCGGCAGAAACATCTCTAAAAATGAGTATGTAGCAGACTGTCAGATATCTGGCGACTGTTCGGTAGTAGCACTTTTCTTCGTGTTTTGTCACCTAAATTTAAAATTTTATTGGGGACTCAATATTTATCTGACCGATTTGGGATTGAAATATTGTTTGAAGCAAAGCGCAACATTCTCCGGCCACGCGAGACATTTGAAAGTGTCGGACCACCGATTCAGACTATTGTAGGTCATGTAGGAGAGGAGGAACATGAGAGTTCCGTCGGTTGGCACGTCCTTCGTGATGTCCACCAGATTCTTGTAGGTCTGTTCGAAGTCGGTCCCCATGAAGACGTGCACGTACAGCACGTAGAGGAATGCGGTCAGCACTGTCCAGGCGATCGCTTCTATCCAAATGAGCTTCCAGATACTCCCCTTCCACCGACACAAGATTGCCACCCAAGCCCAAGCTGAAACGAAGTTTTTTGGTCAGTAATGACCCTTTTGATTTACCACTGGCGGTCGCTGCCGAGAGGGAGTAGCTGACAGTCATCTCGAGGAAGTACAGTGCAAGAATACACGTCAATTTTAAGATTTTTTCACAGAGCCAATGAAAACAAGGACACGTGTCTCGACAAAAAGCGTGAGTTGTTTTGTCAGAAAACAATCAGAAAAAACACGTTCTACTGTCTCCCCAATGGCTGAAGTTAAATTCAGCGCCGCGTTATTATAGGGGCACCGGACAGAAAGGGCGCGCTGTTCGCAATCTGGCAGAATTTCTAGGCCGCGAAGTAATTTTCCAGTGAAAGCGTGGCCTAACTTTTCAAACTCGGCCCCGAGGTCGCTCAATTTGCACTGCAAATAGAGTTTCTCAACAGAGCGCCATTTCTGTGCGGTGCCCCTATAATACCATCGACTATGGCTCCGGAAGTTGAAGTTATGATATAAGGGAATAAACAGAAAGATGCGAGTCTGAATGAGAGCCAACACATTTCCCGCTAAATTCGTATTATGAGTCGTATTAATTTATGACTCGTTGTTTGGCATCTATGTCTTTTTCTATGTCTTGTCTCTGAACAGTAAGTTTTTTTTAAACCAACGAGCAGATCTCTTCCCTTCTCCCAGGTCCCTTAATTGCGCGGAACGACCAAAACAAAAGCAACCTTGCTCTTTTCCTCTCTTCCTTTTCTCCAAATATGTGCTTTCTAGCATGCTCAATTCATTTCCGTTGTTTCTCTCAAAAAAGAGGAAAACCAGAGACATTCCTTTTCCAATTTGGCCTATAAACATACGAGAAGAAGACAAAAGAAGAAGAAAAAGAAGAAAAGAAAAGAGCACAAAAAATCACGGAGCATTGCGAATGCGTTGGTGGTTCTCGTAAATATATTCTCAATCCTCTACTACCTCTACTTCCACCTTTCCATAATTTATCGCGAGTTTATTTGTTCAAGGTGGCCGAGAATGCGCTGCGTAGAGTAAGAAGCGAGCTTATCCCTAATCCCTGATTGACGTGCTTTCCATCAACACCAAAATTAGCATAACTAGGCCCGATTTGCTCAATTCTGAATCTTTTGAAACGAACGAAATCGGCTCAACGTCGCGTCGGGCGCGCTAAGCTCTTTTTTAGGCAAAAAGCTAACTGAATTTCACTCATTCATTCGCTTCACGGAATTGTTTCGATTCGATCAAATCCCTCGATTGTTCTCCTCTTTCTGCGCCGCCCGTCTTCTTCTTTCCATTAGCCATTTCATTCGGAAGAGCACAAGGTCAAAATCGAGTTGAGCTCTGAGTTTTATTCGCTTGCCTAAGTAACCAACGGGTGCGTCCTTCCTGCAGGAGAATTTCTGCCATCACAAGATCATTCCACGTCATTGCAATTCTGGACGGAATACTCTCGAGTTTCCTGTTGCCACGTCACCAACCGCACTCCCGAGATTTCCTTTATTTTCGTAGTCGCTTCTCGCCTCCAGAATATTGTATTACACACATTTTCAACACAACTCAACAGAGGTCTTCTGCCAAAAACTAGAAGTTTGTTCATCTTCTTCTTCTTCCTTTTTTCTTTCTTCTTTTTCGCACTCCTCTTCCGGGAGGATTTTGCTCGTCGAGTTCAACTGCTCTCACATGAGATAAAACAAATATCCTTCACACGGACTCCGAGGGCTTTTTCAAGGCTCTCCAATTTCAAATCTATCCGAATCTGCCGCCCTTCTCACAGAATTCCTTTGTATTCATCTTCCTAAATCCAAAACGTTTCAAGTTTCTGATGGGCGGTAGTCAGTCAGCGACGAGTTCCCGAGCAGCCAAGTTCAGTGGGAACGGAGCCAGCAGAAGGAGTGTTCGTTCGACTCGAAGTGCTCCGGCCACCGAGTTGAACGCCCGTCGTGCCACGTCATGCAGGAATACCAACAGAAACGTAAAAGAATTCTCAAAATTCTGGTCGGACGCCGGATCCGTGAGCCGATCCAAATCCTCAAACAGAGCTTCGACCAAGCGTCCGAACGGAACAACCAACGGAGTAAGCATAAGAAGGAACCGAACGCAGTGTAAGTGAAAAGCGTCTTTTGATTTTCATCTTTTGACCTTCACTTTTTCAGCCGTTGACGTCCGCAGAACCAGTAATTGTCTGCCCATCCCTGGAACTCCGAGCAATTGCTCAGCCAGCCCTCGAATCAACCCACGTAGATCCGCGAGCTTCAGAAGTAACGCATCTGTTGTCTCATCCACGTTGTCGGTCAACGGAGAAAGAAGAAAGTCTCGAAATGGGAGCACCTGCGAATTGACTCTAAACTCTGGAAGATCTGAAGTTTACTCTGCCGAGGTGAGGGTGTTCTGAATGTTTGAAGGAAACAGATTCTGTCAGTTTCAGTTCAACCAAGCTGCCATCGCGGCCGCCCGTCTCAAACGTCTCTCACTGACACCGTACCCAGTGGAACCTATTCATTCTCATCACCGCAGCTCTCCTTCTCCTCAATCCGTTCATCAAAATCGTCAGCACAATCACTATCATCAGCGGCCACCTTATCAAAAGTCTCCGGAAACTGCAATTTATTGAGTCACCATGTATCTTCTTGGTTTTTGTTTTAAATCAATGTATAATTATTTTTTGGCTCCGCAATCACGTTCCGACTTTGCGACAGTCTACGTTCACAGTAGAATCATCCGCAGTGATTCTGAGTTCTCGATTTACAGATATCGGAATTAGGCTGGTCGAACAGGCGATTTCAGGCGCCTGCGCCTGTTTTTTCAAGCGCCTGGTTTTCAACGCGCCGTTGCGTCCCTGCGTTGAGAAAACAGGCGCCTGTTTTTTTTCAGGCGCCTGTTCGACCAGCCTAATCGGAATGATTGCTCGTTCGTTCTCAATTTTCGCATTCCCGAATTCCTCAACAATTGTCTCCACTGATAAATCCCTATCATCACAAACAACGATCACGAATCTGGATTTAAGTTTCGCTTCCCTGGCTATCCAGCTCTGAAACAACGTTCTTTATTAATCGTGCTAAGAATCACCGGACTCACGCCACACACACTCAGAGACAATGTTGCCCCAATGACTTTGAGCGTATCTATAGTGCACTACTATAGTGTGCAAAGTGGTGTCTGCAAAATAATTTAATTTATTCTAATAATTGGGAAAAACTAACAGAACAAAGGTTCTAGCTTGGTAAGACGTGATGGTGTTGTCCGTGGCGTTCAGAGCTGCCAACACGCACAAAGCGCTTAACGTAGGTACCGCAACAGGTTTTGCAAAACTCCGAATTTCCATAAAATTTTTCTTGGAATGTGTTCCCCTACTCTATATGATTACACTCCCAATTTTTTTTCAAAAATTTTCGGTACATCCCGAGTTACACACGTTCAAAGTTGGTTGCTGGGGGCCCTTCTACTAGACTTGGTAAAAGTTTCGGACTTTTACCGAAGAGGTGCCCTTCTATTACAGTATTTACGGTAAGTGTTCTTTTCAACTCACTGGGCGTCATCTGAGGCTTTTTAGGTCTGAACTCGAACTGTGTGGTGAGAGTCAGATAATCCGGTTAGAGTTTCTAGAATTTCAGGCATACTTCCGAAGGTTATTTAGAAAAGGTGCGTTGGCTAATTAGCCGGCGGGCTTCCTGAGGAAGCCACCGTTTCCGTTCTTAATCGCGAGGAGGCTTAGTCATTGAAGAACAAAAATTGGTTGACTTCTTGCATTGCAATAACGTCAGAGGGAGGAAGAGAGAGAGAGAGAGCTGACTTCTTGCATTGCAATAACGTCAGAGGGAGGAAGAGAGAGAGAGAGCTGACTTCTTGCATTGCAATAACGTCAGAGGGAGGAAGAGAGAGAGAGAGCTAATATGTAAAAAGTTGTCGCTGGACGATCATTTTGCCCATTCTCCACTTTTTGCACTTTTTAACTATTTTAATGCACAAAAACATCAAACATCGGTCTTAACATATCGAAAATTTGTCATTTCTGAAAAAAATGATAATTTTGTACTGGACGGTCCTTTGACCATTTTGCCCATCCTCCATTTTTAGCACTTTTTGAAGCATTTTAAGTTTGGTAAAAATAAATTAAAATTTATAAATGAATACTCTGAAGAAAAGAATGAAACCACTAACAAACTTTGATATCTTAGAATTAGTAGACACATTAGACAAACTAAATATTGAAGTTTTTTTTCTCCAATTCCTTCTTCAATTCATCAGTTATTTGCAACTCCCGAAGCTTTTGGATAAATTCTGTCGCATCTCCGAACGCATCCTTCACGTCGAGAGCACCATGACTATTTGTATAGAAAGAGGAGTGGCACCTGAAACAAATAAAACACAGAAAAATGGACTACAATTTGTACACTTACACTTCGAACACGGAAAAACGACGTCCGATATCACGCGAGAGCGCCGACGCGAAGCGTCTCTTGGCGTTATGCGAGTGGAGCAAAACCTTCAGCTGGCGATCCGCGATAAACTCTTAAAACGAATACATTGCATAAATATTAAGAAATTAAAATTACCTTGAATTGAGATAGACGCACTACACCAAATAACTTCGCAAGCAAGGCGAAAATCCCCGACTTTGATGAACAATTTTGATAATGTTAATAGGCTTTCCGGAGTGTGGCTCTTTCCCGAATTGAACGTTTTCTAAAATAATAAATACTGATTTAATCGTTATAAAAACCACTTACCTCGCATATCGAATCCAAACATTCATTGAGTAACGGGGTTGCTTCATTCTCTTTGTTATCCCAAAGTTTCTAAAATGCAACATAATATATAAATAATATATAAACAAACCTGAAAAACGTCTTCTTTCTTTTCATACTTCTTCAATGCGTTTTTTAGCGCGTTTTCCATTTCTTGTATCTCTTCTTTTCCATAAATCCGTTGAAAGTAGAGTTTGAACAGGTTTTCTAATGTCGTCTTTTCTAGCAATCTTTCGACTCGAGGATCTTGTCGCGAGCTCATTCTAAAAAATATATATAAAATACCGTGCCAATAAATCAAACTAAAAAAGTAGAGCAATAAAAAAATGACACGTGAAAAGCTGACACATTACGTATGAAAAAATTTGTTGCTCAAATTTTCACCATCTATAAATGATCATTCTAAAACTAAGCTCGAATGAATTAATGTGCTCATTTCTACAAAAGAGAAAAGAACAATACTAATATGAGTGCAACGGAATATAACAACAAGAGAATAGAGGAAAAAAGCGATGCCAGCAGTTTCTCTCTTTCCTCTGCGTCTCTGCCTTCCTCTCTAGCCCAACGCGTTGTGTTGCGTCGCGTGCGCCTAGTTGTGGCAAATGTGTGACTATACTCGGTCAGAGTGAGGAAGAGAAAAGAAGGTCACACAAAGAGAAAGGGAACACTGCTGACCTTTATACGTCTCACCAAAGGAGCGCGCTCCATCGCACTCCGGCGAAACAGCGGCGGAACTGTGGCGAAACGCGGTTGTAAGTGTGTTCCACCCGATATCCGCCGCTGTTTCGCCGCCGTTCCGCCGCTGTTTCCTCACATCAAATCCCTGAGTCGAACTAATTGTAAATGAGAAAGAGAGAGAACTCGACGATTTTGTCACACTCGAAACTTCTCGAAGGTGCTGGCAAACAGGTATGAAAGGACAAAGTGTCTCATTTAAAAACGATTTGCGTCGCAGAATTTCTTCAATTTTTGTGTTGTTATTTCATTTTGAAGATGTTTTTTAAAAAGTTCAATATTTTCTTATAAGATGGAGGATGCTTTTCGTGTCAAGAAATCCCTACTTCTCCTTAAAAAGTGTAAAAAGTGAACAGAAAGAACTGGTAAGTCTTTTTTTGTATGATACACTAGATTATTCATTATTTGCAGGTTTTACTACAGCATCAATTTAACGAAATTGATGAATCTCTTCGATCAGTGAAAGATGTGTTCAATAACAAGAGATTTTATTATGTTTAATGAGAAGAAAGATTCAACGAACTACTAAAGGTGAGTAATGAACGTCTTCAGAATAACACAACAAAGAATTTAAATGAATAAGATATATTTCAGCAGGAAATGTTGAATGAGCATTCAAAATTCTGAGAAAACAGTCTATGTAACGACTTGAAGAATCTTTTCCGGATGGGGAGAAAGTGAATAAGCATTTGATTGTTGTTGTTAATTCTTTGTTATTTCATGTTTGTTGTTATTTCATCTTCTTGTTTTATTTTGAAAAAACAAATATCTTGTTTGATTGAAGCCAAGTGAAAAAGTTAATACCTCAGGTGAGGTAGCCATGTTTGGGGTTCATAGGTGGAAGTGAATTCACTTTCTAGTGAAGACATAAAAAATATACTGATACTACTGAAATATTTAATGTTGAAACAAGCTCGAAACGTTCTATGATAAAAGGGTTATGCCATAAGTACAATGACTGCGCTCGTCGTAAACGACACCTTCTTAAGGAGAATTCTCCGGCAGTTTTCTCTGAGGATGCCTGCAAAACTCGTACATTTTTCCGTTTCGAAATTTATAATTAGACCACCCGCGACACTTCTCAGCGTTGCTACTTATGACAAACTGTTTTGTCACAAACATTCACATTTAAAAAGTGCATGGAAAAATAGAAATTTCTCGAAAAATGCTATTTCTCGAGAACACACTGTAACACTGCACTCTTGAACTGGAATAATCAGTCTCCATGAGATGAACGGATCACGTCCCCCCTTTTATAGAACCGAAATTGCAACGAAACAAGATTATTATGTATTTATTATGTCGTGGATTTGCTGAAGAGTTGCTGTGATCAACGGGAGATGAGACGGGAAGGAGCCTGAAAACTCAAAATTCTCGGACAATTCTCGGCAATCAGGAGAAAAGATCCTACTAGCACATGACAACAGATTTCAACTTACAAAGGTTTTTTTTCAATTTACATTTAAATTTCAACATTAATCTGAATGAGATTAGTAGTTCAAAAAACAATATGGCGTTTTCTCATTACTTACCGTGGCTTCCGAGTCATCGAAAAACTGCCGTTCCCAGTCGAGACGGTCTGGAGTAGGATGATCGAGAGAGTTGAGTGGCTGTCGCTGGTTATTCAATGAACGGTTGTTTCTGAAATGAGTCGAAAACTAAATAATCCTTCTGCTTTGTTTCAGATCCTTACCCTCCACGTCCCATCGGAAGATACGTGGCCGAGCTTTGTCCATTCACACTTGACGCGGAAGAGGCGCTCTGTCTCGATGCCGAGAGTCTCCATCTTGCAGATCCAATCAACTCTGCTCTTCTGTAAAAAAAGTAAAGATGTTCTGATTATATAATGCACTTTTCATACTTTTTCTTGTGGCTGATCACGATCTTCGTAATCAACGCGACGGCGACACCGAAAACCACCAACGTGATAAAGGCAATTGACGTGGCAGTTGTGTGATTACCAGCTGGTGGCAGATACGCTGAAAAAAAGCGTGAAATTTCGAAAGTTTTCAGAAATCTACTTGTCGAGGGATCTGCAGACGTGGTTGTGTTGGAAATTGTAGTCGTGGTCATCGGAACAGTGCTGGATGAGATTATATCCGACGCATTTCCGATCAACGTCGCGTTGAGAATCTCAGTGAGGTTTTGCATCTGAATGAGAATCAAACTGTCACTAAATCACACGCGCTTATAAATACCGTGTAAGTTATACGTAAAGAAGTACTATCTGTTCTATAAGTAGTTTCGAGGTTTCAAACCTTCGGATCGGACGAAAAAAAGAAACTACTACGGAAACGCCAATTTTTATCATATCATGTTGTTGAAATAAAAAAAAACAACTTATCGAACAGTTGGAAAAAGGAAAAATAATGAAACGGGCAGCAGAAGCAGCGGAGTGAAATATTATGTTGTAAAGCACGTCAAGAGTCCGGCTTTTGGCCAAAGTTGGTGTTTTTGATATTTCAATTCAATATTCCTGCCCGAAGGAATTAAAATTCTGACAATATTTAGAGCGAAAGCAGGCAGAATAATGGACGGTGATGAACCAGCAGCAAGACAGTAATCGAAGCAAAGCGAGGAGACAACGAGGCAGGTTTACTTCATCTCTTGCCCAATTCGATAAGTTTGAGCCTGAAATATGATGTCCTCAGTACAACAAGCGTGGAACGGAAAACTACCTTGTTCCAGTCCATTTTGGCTCTGGTGACTGGCAATTGCCGGCGCAGCGCTTTGAATGTCGTGTCCGACATGTTAGCATAGTTCTCCTGCACTGCATTCTGATACTTGGTCTCCTCCTCCGCAATCGCGTGAAGGATATCTTTGGCAGTCTTCTCGAAATCAGCCTGCAACTTTTATATAATTTGTTTTGGAATTGTTCAATTTCAAAAAAACTTACTGAGACGTTGACCTTGAGAACGGGCTCCTTCTCAGAGAACAGCTGCACGTTTCCGTCTTCGTAGTAGTGAACTTGGGAGAGCACTTTTCCCTTCATATCCTGCGATCCGGACTTTCCGTCTCCGACTGGCACATTCCACTCAGAACGCCATCTGCCGTTGCAGAAATTCTTCGGCTGGAACTGGTGAGACTCAATGCAGATAGTGAATGTGCCATTTCTGGCGAAGACCACTCCAGTGCCACTCTTCGCGTAGTGCTCATCGATGTAAGTGTCCAAGTGGTTTTGCAGAGCTTGTCTCCACTGTTCAGTGACTCCAGACTCGGCCGGATGTGGCTGAAGGTCGCTGGCCTCTTTGCGAACGTGATCGTACTTGAAGATTTTCTTCGACACTTCATCATAAAAGCGACCGTTGCCCAAGTCGTTATAGGGAGTGATCAGTGTCTGCTTGGCAACTCCATCCAGCTTCACTGGCACGAATTGTCCCACGTTGTACTGCGCGATCGCGTTAACGCACTTATCCTTGAGAAGTTCATCGTTTTTCAAGAGCATTCTCACCGAATTGAACACCTGAAGAAACGATTTCAGTCAAAGCATGGTTTACTGTTTAGAATTACCTCATTGAACTCTCCCGGTGGAGCGTGCTTGATGAAATCAGAGGCGATTCGCACCTTTTCAGCGTCACTACACTCCGACATTCTGCAAAAATGATTTTAGAACTTTCAGAGCAATTTCCAACTGGGCGCAGCGAGAATTTCGTAACCGGCATTTGGCTTATCAAACGATAGTGAAATTTGAGTTTACGAAAAATTTATAGAAATGGAGGACAGTTTACGTTTCATGAATAGGGATAAACAAAAATAGATATTTGAGACGAGGAGCAGAGTGAGTCACGGCACATTCAGCGAGAGAACGAAACACAAACAACGAAGGCATTGATTTCGCAATGGAGCGCACTTGCAGCAGAACACTCGCGTCTTTCCACAAAACTACACGCAAATAGTTTTTAAAAAAGTCATTCTCGTAAATGACATAATTTGAAAAGATGAAAACAGTGAAAAAAGTTGATTAAATGCGTTTACCCCTCCAAAAAATAATAAATATGTAGCACTAAAACTATTTTCAGGCAAACTACAGTAATACTGTTACCTAGTCCAACTTCCGAAAACACACATCTCCGTCACTTTCTTAAACTAACCGGAATCCCTCATATTGAATCACTTCAAAATATTTATGAATGCCGACTATTCCTCGGACATTTGAAAATATTTCGTCTTTGATGACCAATACAAACAGTTCCTTTTTTCGAGATACGTTCCTCTAAGAATAGACCCTTACTTCCGCCGCTATATTCTAGTTGTGTGGTTAAAAATACAAAACTAACTGGGTCAAGACGATCACGATCAGCCCAAAGAACTATAAAAGGGGAAGGGATCATTAGGAATTCATCCGACATGTTCTCAAAAGTCCTCTTATTCTTCGCTCTTCTGAATCTGGTCAGCGGCCGGAAAGTGCACATTCAAGTACGGGAAAATGTGACACAAAGCTGCCCGAATGGTTTGTTTGCTTTGCAATCGCGAGAGAGAACGAAAGATAGATGTTTTTAGTGGATTCTGATGTTATCGACGAGGGCTCGTTGAAAATTACAATGAAAATGTTGAGAAACGACAAGCCTGATGAAGAAGACGAGGGAAAAGACGAGGTGACCATTACCGATGTGAACGGGGAAACTCGCCAGATTGACTTCCCTGGCTGCTACAGAGTCAAGGTCAGCTTCAAGATGCTTCGGCCTATCGAGAATCCGTAAGAGCTATCTGGACTTCGAACAAGATTGAAACTTATCCCATTTTGTAGATACATAGAAGCTTTCATGCAACTCGGTCAGAACGTCCCGTGCAAATCGGAAGATTCCATCCTGAACTTACGAGGAGTCGACAGTATCTGCGCAAATGTGACCCGACCTGCTCAATGGTGTCCAGAGAGCTACAACTCTCAGCTCAGGGAAATGTTGGGCGGAAAAACGACATGGTATTGCAACAGTTCAGGAAAAAAAACGAAACTTTTTTGCAGTAAGTTCTGTTCGCTTTGTGAAAACGTGAAAGAGAACGTGAAGGATAATGAGAGCAAGTTGAGCAAGATCAAGAAGTTCTTGAGCAACGAAGGAAGGGAAGAGTGCTCAAATAAAGACGATGTTCACAGATATACTTTCAAAGTGAGTCAAAATGATGAGAAATCCAAAAGTAGATCTTGTTTGGAGCAAAATGTTTTGGATACTGTATCTGGAATAAGAATACTTTTTCAGATGTGCACTCCGACTCGCGATGAATTCAACAATGAGGATGGTGATACCAAGGACAAGATCGAGGAGTATTGGCAATACCTCAAACAGGTCAAAATGGATGTTCGTCCTGTGACGTTGCCTATGTCTTTGTTGCACCCTTCTCTTCCGGTCTGTTTTCTTTAAAGTGGTCCACAATTTCAGGGAATCATGACGACCGTGATCCACGTCATGGATCGTAGTCCAATCACGACTGGAAGAGCAGAACAGTGTCAGAAAATGTGCAACACGTTAAACGATGCCAGCAAGATGGCGAATCCCAGTTATAAAGGCACTTTGAGCAAGTCCATCGAGAAGTTGTGTGCTCCTGTTGATTCCTACGCAGCGTGTCTCTACCATACTGTGAAGTTCGATGTGAACTCTGACCTTTGAAAACACTTGAACATTTAATACTAATAATAAAGAATGATCTAGGTGTTCTATCCGCAAAACAGAACACTTCAAAGATACAAAAAACACGTTGGTCCGGACATCGGGAGGGGAAAGTGATCTGGCCGGCGGCGCAGGACACAGTTTCTTTCGTCAGAGATCTCAATTCGAGGGCAGTATGCACTAGACATTCTACGTGATTTCCCTCTATATCACCCCATTTCATTCTCATCCGTGATCAAGACCAAACCACATAAACTATAGTCGATCCGGCCCCGCAATAACCTGCCCTTTCCGCCGCCAGCGCCCACCGAACCACCTTTTCCACGCCCCATCAAGAATGCCATTTGTCGGCAGCCCGGGCACGATTGAAAACATATTACGAGATGGATACGCTCTCATTTTCTCGCTCCCTCCCCCTCTTTTTTCTCGCATTTTCGTTCGCGAACCGAGAGATGGAAGGATGAAAAAAAAAGAGAGATGGCGCCTCCGGTCGGCAGGCTATAAATCATTCGGTTTCCAGGACACGCCATTCGGCTACTTATCACACCGCAGTTTGCATGTTGTATGCAAGTATTTTTTGTGATTGCCGTGACTCTGACAGGTCTACACTCAATGGTTCGGTCAGTGGTCAGTCTCACACTTATGCGAAGTGACTTCCGTTCGCTTTCCTTTCCTAGTCAATCCTTTGCACTTCCCCATTCTTCCTCGCTTGACGAGTTTTAAATCCACCTGCAGGACGGCCGAAATATGATACTCCTGAAGTTAATCTTTTGTATGTTTTCGATTCTCTTGATGAAGCGGATTTTGGAATTCAAATTTGAGACTAACACGTTTCCATTGATTTGAAAATACTTTTCTATTACAAATCTGTGGAGGTACAATATTTTCGCGAATTCGCAATTGCCACACGCGCCGTCCTTTTCTTAATGCCGTCTCCTGGGTATCAGGCCATTTGCCGAAAACTCTCCGAAGCTCTCGCGCGACCAAGCGCTTGTTTGTGCGCGCAGAGATCGGGCCGTCGCTTCTGTCTGCTCTAGCTGCCAGTCGGAGGACTTTGCCCTTTTCTCTGCGCGATCTTCTTCTTCCACACTCTCACGGCTCCTAGAGATATGAGAGAGGAAGGGAAAGAGGGAGGACGCCGCTCGGCAATACGTTTCAATGTGCGCAACGTCCACATTCGCGCGGGTTGCAACTTGATACTGGCCTAAGAATGTGTTGGTCCTGCAATGTGTCAGAGTAGAGCACAGAGCATGATCTGATAGCGTTTCTGACTCATTCTTTTTCGGTCTGCACAATTTTTGTGTTTGCTTTAATGGTCAAACACATAAGGTGCACTCCGTGTCATATTTGCCTATCTAACTTTTTCGCCCATATTTCATCTTTGTTGTGACTCATTCCTGAGCCAGAACTAGTGCTCTGACTCGACGCAACAACTGAAAATTCGCATTTTCCGCCAATTTGTGCAATATCACGTCGCGGTGTTTGCACATTCCACCGTAGTCATTTATTTTTTCCGAGACGCAATTGAAAAAACGGCTTCCTGCGCGCGCACGCAATCCTCCACACAAACGTGATCTTGCGCAAAAATCTGGTTATAACAGTGTTTCTCAATTTTTATCAATTGAGTGAAGGAGGAGGCAAAAACCCCGTAATACACGAACGAGATCTTGCCTCACTCCGTGTTTCGTTTCCACTTGTCCTGCCAGGTTCTCTGCCTATTGTCCATGCCGTCACACCATCATCAAGTCATTTTCTTCGTTTCATTGTTTAGCTGCTTCTTGTTCGTGTTCTTATTTCTTTCTTGTTTGATCCGGATGCCCAAACACAAAACAATTAGGAGAAAATGGAATGCAAACTCATCCCATCTGACGTCTACTGCCTCTTGTCTCATCATGACTCTCATGCTCTCTCGCTCCGCCTCTTTCTACTTTCTTATCAGTTTTTCACCTTTATATCATATAATTTGGCGCATACCAGCGTCACTTTGATGCGTCATCTTTTTTCTCTTTTGCAGAAAAATAACCGTTTCAACTTTACTTTTTGCAGCAATATGGCTGTGTACGACTACAGTCCAAAATATGGGTTAGAAAACTACAGTATTGTGAGTTTTTATTGTTTTTTGTATTAAAATTATTCATGTTTCAGTTTCTCCCATTCGAGAGGTCATTTGATGCTCGTCGTTCCACGGAATGGATGCAGAATCACTGGTACCAGTCGGTCACGGCGTCCGCCGTCTACGTTGGAATCATTTTCACTGGAAAGAAGGTTCGTGTCTTGTTACTTTGCATATCAGTTGCAGAATAGTTAGGCTGATAAGACGTCAAAAATGGGGACTGGCATGATAGTGACAGAAACATAGCACAGAACATTAAAGAGTCACACCATATTTGTAGGCTAAATAGAGCATGTACTTTGTGATCTGAAAATAACCCAATAAAAATATTGAACTCGTTGATCGAAATCCCGAATGATTCTCGGTTCTGAGTCGTCACAAAAACGGCAGAGTATAAAACAACGTAAATGACAGGTTTTTTTTTCGTAAAAATGACGATTTAACATGACATTTAGCACAAAATCTAGGCTTCTGAGAAATCTTAGCTCGCAAAACTTTTTAAACACGAGCCGAAAAATATGGAAACGGACCAAAAAACAAGTGCAACTACAAAGTCACAAACTCCTCAAAACTTACATTAAAATTAACAAGAATGATGATAGCGAAAGTAGAAACGTCTGAATGTGGAGAATATTTGCAGGTGATGGAGAAGTACAAGCCATTCCAACTGGATACACCTCTCTTCATGTGGAACTCATTTCTAGCCATATTCTCAATTCTTGGGTTCCTCCGTATGACGCCCGAATGGATTTGGAGTTGGGCCGGCGAGGGCAACTCGTTCAAGTACTCCATCTGCGCGGCGTCTTACGCGCAAGGCGTTACTGGCTTCTGGACGGAGCAGTTTGCGCTGAGCAAGCTTTTCGAGCTTATCGACACGGTCTTCATTGTTCTTCGTAAGCGACCACTCATCTTCCTCCACTGGTATCATCATGTCACCGTAATGATTTACACGTGGCACGCCTACAAGGATCACACCGCTTCGGGACGTTGGTTCATCTGGATGAACTACGGTGTTCACGCACTGATGTACTCGTACTACGCTCTTCGTTCACTCAAGATCCGTCTTCCGAAGCAAATGGCCATGCTCGTCACCACTCTTCAGCTCGCTCAGATGGTCATGGGAGTGCTCATCGGAGTTACCGTATACCGTATCAAGTCTTCTGGAGAATATTGCCAACAAACTTGGGATAACCTCGGACTCTGCTTCGGAGTTTACTTCACCTATTTCCTGCTTTTCGCCAACTTCTTCTACCATGCATACGTAAAGAAGAACAACCGCTATACTGAAGTCAAGCAGAAGAAAGAAGAAGTGGGTTTTTCTTTCTCCCACTACTTTCATGAACTCTTGTCATGAATTCCAGGCCGCCTCGATCGAGATTCTGGAGCCAAAAGAAGATATTAACGCTAACATTGCGGAACCAATTACGACGAGGTCTGCTTCCCGGAGAAAAGTCCAGAAAGCCGATTAGACAAGCATTTAACAATTAGTACAGACACCTCGATTCATATATCTATATTCGCGTAGCCATCACGCAAACTAACATATATTCAGATCTCCTTTTTTTCTTTATTTTTTCCCCATCAAAAACACTTCAACGTCCTTTTCTGTATTTGCTGCAACAATTTGGAACTCGTGTGACACTTGAGTAGTCTTTTGCTTACTTTTTGTAATCTTCTTGCCGCGCCACTCCTTTTCCCTCATCCCAACTACATTTTTCCAATATATATTTTTTATTTGATGAACTCGGAGAAATTATCGAATTTGATTATTTGCTGATCTTCTCTCTCATCGGACCCTTGAAAGGCTCGGCAAGAAAATCGGCCACCTGTGGCAGTCTATCCGATCCAAACACGGTCTGTAGAACCTTTCCATGTCCGTCTGTGATGTGCATCCACGGAGCACCGAAACACTGGAAGCAACTTTTCATTTATCCATTTTCGTCCATTACACTTACTCCATGACCAATCGCCTCGTCAGTGTTCTCTCTCAGAATGTTCTTGACTTCTGCAGATTCAGAAGCCATCATCAACTCGTCGGCATTTTTGACATGGCGATCGCGAAGCACTTCCGCGACTTGATCCTTTGTGAATACCGGTTTTCCGTAAGCGTAGAAGCGGTGCCACATAGATCGGGCCAAGTCTTCCATTAGAGCGTTATCACGGAGTTGGGCAGCCACCAGAACTCTTTGAGGCACAACTGAGCTGGTCGTGAGCATTTTGTTAGTGTAGTCCTTGGGTAGACGGAACGGAATTCCCCAGTATTGAGCACTGAACAGAAGATCTTTGTGCATGTACTTCTCCTTGACTGGGACACGCAGTGGGAGGCCGGAATTCTCTAGAATAACTGAAACTATGGGAAAGTCCAAAAGAGCGTACCAGAATGCCTCACGACTCCGGCAAAGAAGAAGGGTTTCATCTGAATCGGAGTCTTCCAGATGGCACGATGACGCGTGATGCCCTCGAATCCGAAGTAACTGTACGGCGAGATGACATCGAAAAAAAACTTTACCACTTTTCGGTTCGGCATTCTTTCGCAGGAGAAGAATCAACTAGAAAACGAGAAGATTGAACCAGTGAGAAAATAAATTGGAGATCGGGATGGTCAACTAGTGATATAGGAGCAAGCAGACTGATCGGAGCGAGTGTTTGTGTAAAGAGCGGAAAGTGGAGGAGCTAGAAAGCACGTGTCGAGGTGATGGGCGCGTAGCAAAAAAAACAGTTGGTCTGAGCAAAGTTTAAGGTTTTGAGAGGGTCTGAGGCCTCAGGGATCGACAGACAACAGAAAACTTGTTTTCTTTTCGAGGAAGGTCATCACGTGGTGAAATAGAGTGCAGAGAATATCAACACAACATATTTACATAGCGATTCTTGTGAACTGCTAGCGTTATCAGCCTGCCTGACTGACTGGCTGACCGCGTGCCTTATCAAAATCAACACTTTATAAGATAGAAGAAGAAGATAAAACAGAGACAAACCGTTTTTATTGATCCGCCATCTTTTTTATTCGGTTTTGATGCTATGGACGAACTAACGAAACGTTTCTCACCGTCTTGTTGGGTTCCTGGGAAGAGCAGGGAGAACGTCATGAATGCTTTCTTTGCGGGGATCAAAGACGCATATGAAGAGTTGAAGGGAGACTCTTCCATTCCGAGACTCGAAGACGATCCGTACGATAATGGTATGTTGACTGATCACTCATCGAATCGTACTTTAGCATTCAGAAGAAAATCAGAAAGTTGATGTGTGGGGAACCGTCAATGAGAAACTGCTAATCTTTGTGCATGGCGGATATTGGGCGGTGTGTACACTCAGTGGTGACGTCATTATCATAAATGTTGCAGGCAGGAACCAGAAAAGACTGTCTCCCTCCGGCTAAATGCGTATTAGCACACGGTTTTGCATTCGCATCAGTTGGTTACGGTCTCTCAACTGAGGGTCGAACAATTGATGAAACCGCAGAAGACGTGGTCCGTGGAGTCAAGTTCTTGTTGAACAAATACCTGAGTGCGCGTACGGTAATCGTGGGCGGCCACTCCGCCGGTGCTCATTTGGCAGTTCAAGGTACTTTCTTTGACTTTATGCTGTTTTTTCCAGTTTTCAGCCGTGGTACGTCTCCGAGATGAAAGAATCCGTGGATTGCTGCTTTATTCCGGTTGTTACTTCCTGAAAGAACTGGTGACTTCTGAAATCGGAACAGACATCAGGTATCATGCATTTTTGAAAGTTTTTGTGCATTTTAGAATGTTTGCAGTCTGACTCCTGAGCAAGCCACACGGAACAGTTGTGACTTGTCTCTTATGAATGGTCTCAGCTTGAAAACTCTGGTAGTTTTGGGTCTTCAAGAAGCTCCAAAGCTCATCGAGCAGAACCGAGAGTTCGTGAAGCAACGGAAAGAAGCTATTATTGCGGTAAGAAAAACTTTCGAAGCATCAAATTCATGACAAGTTTTCAGGAATTCCCTTCCGGCTCTCATTACACAATAATTACGAACATGATGAGTGCTTCATCTGGAGAAAGTTTGACAGTCGCCAGGTTTTTGAATGACTTTTGAAATATAATTTATTCGCACAATTAGGAATCGAATAAATCTGATTATCGTCTTGTGCCATCCTCGAAGAACACGCCTCCGTCGATGGCGCAGTACTTGGGACAGATTCCCTTCTCTCCGGCGCCTCCCCCGGATCCCGGTGGTCCACGTGGTCCTGGTGCTCCGTCCGCTCCTGGTGGTCCGTCTGGTCCGTTCGGTCCCTTGGCTCCGCCGTTTCCAGGCAAACCATCTGGCCCAGCACTTCCTGGCGGACCTGGTGGTCCTGGGATTCCACTGTCTCCTGGCGGTCCTGGGTCTCCTGGGATCGGAGCTCCTTCCTGTGGAGCTGGCTTTCCTGGCTCACCCGGAATTCCAGGCTGTCCTTCGGATCCTGGGGCTCCTGGCGGTCCCTTCGGACCAGGTTCTCCGTTTGATCCGTCTGGTCCGTTGCGCCCGGGCTGTCCCGCTGGTCCCTTTTCTCCCGGACCTCCCGGAACTCCCTGCTCTCCTGGAACTCCAATTGGACAAATTCTGCATGGTGGTGGCGAGACTGCTTCACAAACAGCCGAAATCGTGCTCTTTCCTGGTGTTCCCGGCTGGCCTGGTGCTCCTGGCTTTCCGGGACGTCCAGGCTTTCCTAGCAGACCATTTGGTCCTGGTCCTCCTGGACAACATCCCTAGAACAGTGTTTTTAATTGGTTTGTGAGTAAGTATGATAGCTTACGTTGCAAGATCCTCCTCCGGCCACAGATGCCACTGGCGCCTCATTGTACTTTTCTCCTTCTCCACCTCCTCCAGCCGTAGCAGCTACTGGAGCAGTATCCTTGTAATCCGCTTGCCTTGGGAATCGGGAAGTTCGGTTGCTGTATGGCAAGTTCTTCATTATCTCAACCTCTCGCCAGATTTCTTTGGCGTGCTCCTGAACTCTTCCAAAGTTTACAATATAGAAACGAAATTGTATACCTCGCAAGTGATGACCTCGCTGACAATGAGTTGTTTCACGTGGAACATGTACATGTAGATGGCCGGCATCGAAACACACACAGTGAGCACGGATACGATGGCGAAGCACATGGCCGTGTTGGCGACCCATTGATAGGCACGGACACGATGACACGAGTCGTTTTCCATGTTGGAATGGTTTGGATCGAAAGCATTCGCTGAGAATTTATATGGTTTCCTATCTTCGGAACCAATCTTCCGGATGTGTGAGACTTGTAAAAGACTTGTCATTTAGATTGAAATAGAGATCCGCATAGAGAACTGGCTTGCTTAGAATGTGGATTCTACGGATTCAAAACTTTTTGAAAATCATACTTTATTGTTTATGAAAAAGGGAGCATATTTTTTGCCGGTGGCATTGAGTATTTGACTGTTGTGCGCGACAAATCCCAGAATCAAGCAGGTGAGCATCAGCTGTGATGTTCTGCCCGACGATGTACTCGAAAGCGTTTCGGTCGGCAAGGAAACCGATAGCCTTGGCAATATGTTTCGAACGACCAGGGAATCCACACGGAATTACTGTGGGCTCGGCACCCATTTCATTGTAGAACTGAAATCAGAAAAATTCGTCTATGAAAAATAACAAGAAAATACCTGGATGCTTCCAGAGATGTTTGAATAAACGTTTTAATTATAGTACCTTATCCACGCATTACTGGAGAGTTCTGTTGCGCTCTCGTGGAAGCCTGTGACTACGATTCCAGGATTGACAGTGTTGACTCGGATGCCTTCGGATATTAGGTCAATTGCACTGCATCTGGTGTACTGGTCCAAGGCAGCCTTTGACAATATTATAGGGGCACCGCACAGAAATGGCGCTCTGTTGAGAAACTCCTTTTGCAGTGCAAATTGAGCGACCTCGGCGCCGAGTTTGAAAAGTTAGGCCGCATTTTCAGTGGAAAATTACTTCGCGGCCTAGAAATTCGGCCAGATTGCGAACAGCGCGCCCTTTCTGTCCGGTGCCCCTATAATAATATAGCGTACGTGACCACTACAGGAAGAGCTCCAATACTGGAAACACCAAATTTCTTCTGAGCATCTAGAATTGAAGCTCCAGCATTGTTTACCAGGATGTCCATTTTGCCGAACTTTTCCATCGTGTCGCTTATCACACTGTCCTGTTCTTCCGATGTGGTAATGTCGGCAGCCACTACAACATCTCTTCCATTTCTATCTTTTTGGAATCCTTGAGACCTTGACAAGTGAGAGAGACCGATTAGCCTGGCGAAGCAATCCGGCTAGCCAAGGATCGCACGAGGAATCACAAAACGCCTATTCTATAGGTCATTGTGCTCAGAGTAGGATTCCACATGTCCCCGGATAACATGTCACATAAAACTGTGACCGAGTTCAAGAAGACGTGAGGTAGTTGAGCAAAATTTCACCTCAAGTCGAGTAAACATCTATTCCACGGTCAGTCACAAATGTTTTGTGACATGCCGAAGGCTGCGTCTCTTCTTCTTCTCTGCCGATGAAGTATAACCAAAGGAAATAGAAATACTTGAAATCTCAACTAAATCAACTAGAAATGACTCGTTTTTCTGGAAAGGTAGGAATTGTTACTGGTAGGCCTAAACTATTTTTTACAATAGAAGCATTGTGATGTTTCAGGATCTTCCAATGGAATCGGTCGTGGCACTGCGGTTCTGTTGGCTTCCGAGGGAGCAAAGGTTATCATAACCGGAAGATATTCTTTTTATTTGCGCTTTTGCGCCTGGAAAACTCTGAAATTTTGAATTTTCCTTTTTTTACAGCGGCGGTGTACTCTAGAATAGAATCGCCGTTGGGTTGGACGTTTCTTTGCGCCAAGACCACTTCTCCTCTTTGCGCTTTTCATTTTGAATAAATTTATCTCATTGTGTCCTGTTGGTGTGTTGCATCCTAATGTTTTGTCCGAATGTGATAATTTGTTTCATTACTAGAAAAGGAACTGTGACGTTGAAATCGAGAAATAAACATTATCACAGTAAGCTTGAAGGGGTAGTAAACTAATTCCAAAAGAATGACAACTTTTCCCGAGAAGCGAGCCATGGTTGAAGATAGATTTCAAGTGATTTGAGAATGAATTGTGAGCTTTCTGATCCTTTATATACATTCTGCTTTGATCACAAAAACACTTTGATCACAAAAACACTTCTGCAGGCTTTTCAGGTTGTGACGTGGCAGTATACTACAATGTATGCAATATTCCGTCCTTCTATTCTTCCGAGACGTTTTCAATTTCCAAGTTCTCTGCGAGGGATTACTTCGGACGCCCTCTTCTCCTTCTGTCGTTTGTCATATGGCCGAGTGAGTGAGAGCTGAATGGATTGGCTCCAAAAGGTGAAATTGTCGTCCCGCCCGTCGCCTTCGTGTCCCACTAATCGGCTTGTTGTGCCGTGTGCGCAAGCGTGTGTCTCAGTGTTGAGCGGAATTCCGTCTGCCGTCTTCCGTCTTCCGTCTTCCGTGGTTTTTTTTGTTCCGTCTTCCGTCTGCCATCTTCCGTGAGAAAAGTTTTCTTCCGTCTTCCGTCTGCCGTCTTCCGTAAAAGAATGTTTCTTCCGTCTGCCGTCTGCCGTCTTCCGGGATTTTTTTTTCTTACCGTAAAAGAGTAATAGCTTTTCAAGAGCCATTTACTAGTCCCGAAGAACGCGAATTTCCACGGGCAGTACCCAGATCCAAAAGTTTTGTTGCATTAGTTATTTTTTTCAAAAAAAAAACCGGAAAAAAGGCTCTGAATTGACGATTTTTTGTTCCGTATTCCGTCTGCCGTCTTCCGGGAAAAAAGTTTTCTTCCGTCTTCCGTCTGCCATCTTCCGTGAGAAAAATTTTCTTCCGTCTTCCGTTTTCCGTGTTCCGTAAGAAAAATTTTCTTCCGTCTGCCGTCTGCCGTCTTCCGTATTTCAAAATTCCACTTCCGCTCAACTCTGGTGTGTCTATTTCCGTTCTCGTATTCATTTCTGAGCCGAACCAATAAACCAGTCAGTCGAAAATGTGGTTCCTTGGAAACGAGCTATTAGAAAGCTGAACAAGTTGTTTTGGTCCCTACCTCTTCGCGTGTTCTTAATGCCTACTTCTCTTGAACATTTGTCGTTTTCTAAGAAAATTTTCAAAAGATTAATACCAGCATATAATCAAACTACAGTCCCCCTTGACGTTATCAGGCTTATCTCTTTTCAATGTTTCGCAAAGGAAAAAACTAGATATTGTCGGACTAGGCTGGATAATTGAAAGTTTTGTGTGCAACGACTCTCCTGGGAACTTTTTTGCACAAAAGACACGAAATTTGAGAGCTCCACAACTTTTTCTCTTGTGTGAGACGCGACCCATGCATCATCTCCCTTTCATATTTCTTTTCTGTCATAAGAAGTTTTTTCTATAAATGTTTCCAGCATGATTAAAAAACCAAAATCAATTTCCTTAGACAAATATTATTGTTTGCTTTCTTTCTTGTCGCGCAATGCGTTTTTACACGTCTCAATCCTGGCCATGCGCAATGCAAGCGCGCTCCACCGCACCGTGAAAACCACTTCAACCCCGTTTTTTCTCTGAAAATTCGCCAATTTAAATTTGCTTTCAGACGATTCGATGAGCAGTGCGACCGGCGCCGCCGGATCTCACGATGAAAGACGATTATTCGAGCACTTTGTCATTGCTGGTAAACTTTTGTTGCGAAATTCCTATGAAAAATTAGACATTTTCAGGGTTGGACAATAACCAACCTCTGGAGCGCTTGACGCCGTCGTCAGAAGAGTGTGGCCTTCGGAACACGCAGCCACTTGCTCCTATCACTGATATTGCCGTTATTTTCCCAAGTCTTGGCGAAAAAGTAAGTCTTATTGGTTTTTGTAAATAGCAGCAATGAGGAAGACATGAGACACTCAGACAAATCAATTCGAATCTAATTAGAAAAATTTTCGAATCTAAAGAGGTTGCGTTAGAAACTAAAATCATTTAATTAGACGTGGTTTTATCTAATTTGTTCTTATTAAATTCGAATTGATTTGTCTAAACAGAATTTTGAAACGCATTCTGCCATATTGCAGCCACCAGAAGGCTTTGATGTGATCGAATCGACGACGCTCGGCTATCCGGCAGATCTGAATCACGGATCGCTCCGGCAAAACTCTTGTTTTCTGTGTTTTCGTCGTGGATATCATAAAGCTCCCTTGGTGGACATTGGGATTCTGGACGAAGGAAGAGGCGACAAGCCCATGGTGGATTCGAATGTCGTACAAACGACTCCATTCGGGAGATCTGCAAATGTGAACAATGCGTCTCAAGGAATCTTTCTCACCTATCGAAGAGCACCGCCAAACTCTTCACAGAGTCAGTTCGTTGTGACAGATATCAAAGTGATTTTGGCGAACAAGGGCGAGATTCCACCTCATACTTACTACAAAATCACAAAGAACCTGAACAAAGGTCTAGTTGGGTCGGACGTGTTCATCTGCTACAAAAAATCACAAGGGACTGCAAAACGACTCGCCTACAAGCCCGCCGTTCTTGATTACTTTCCGAGATCAGATTATTCGGATGAAATGGAGGATTTCAAACTGGCTCAGAATGTGGCCATGTTTTGCTTGCCGATGGGAGCTCTCATCGAATGCTGGCCTACAAAATGTGCTCCGCCCGATCGCTCCTTCTCCACATTCGTGCTAACTGATGAGGTGAGGCATGTTGAATAGGAAAGCGTTGCTGCAAATAACATTCTCAGAACGGAACAAAGTTTTACGGCTCAGCGGTCACATTCTACGAAAGGTACAAACAGAAGCTGACTGATGAGCAGCTGGATAATCTCGATCTCGGAATTGATCTTGACATGGAGGGAGGAACAGTCGGCGACTCCAACAGTACAAATGATCCAGCTGACGATGTTTGTTTTTTTAAACTGTCAAAGTGAAAAGTTACAAAATATTTCAGGTCTTGTTCTACAAAAATGTGTCAATATGCCTGATCTCTCGTTTTCCATTCTTTAACTCCTTCAAACGATTCCTTTTCTTCCTTCATCGAATGTCTTCCACGCCAAATCTCACGCATTCGGTGCCAATCGAACGATACATCTCTCATCTGGTATTGTTTTACAAAAATTCCTAGATACTATTAAATCTATTCAGATGTACGAAGTGTCGTTCCCCACTCCACGACGGCCACGAGTTTTCATGCAGTTGGGAGCCGAAAACATAAGCTTCGATTCTCACGACGATAGCCAACTTCCGCTGAATGGTGCCCAACTGATCGACACTCTCAAGTACTTGGGCAGTGAAAACCTTATGTATCTGATGCTGCTGGCTCTGCTCGAACAGAAAATTCTGATTCACAGTTTACGGTGAGTCTTCTTGCACCCATCAGCTTTTTATCCTGTTATATTCTCCCAGACCTTGGATGCTGGCGGCTGTGGCTGAAAGTGTATGCGCCCTGATGTTTCCTTTCCACTGGCAGTGCCCCTACATCCCTCAGTGTCCCCTTGGCCTTGCTGGTGTCCTTCATGCACCACTTCCCTTCATTGCCGGAGTAGATTCTCGATACTTTGAGCTGTACGAAGATCCCCCGGATGATGTTACCTGTTTCGATCTGGACACTTCAACCATCAGTTTTTCTTCGGTCCGCGCCACCATCAAAACATCCATTCTTCCCAAAAAACCGGCAAAACAACTGAAATCTGTGCTTGATAAAATATTCGCCAAACTTCAGTCGGACTCATCGAATGCCAAGCCGGAAGGATTTATTCCAGTAGATCAAGATCTCGTCAAGCAGCGTCAACGGAGAGAATTCGAGAACGAGATTCATGACGCTTTTCTGAAATTCATCGCTTCGATTATGGACGGATATCAGGCATTCCTGAGACCAATCAAGAGCGCACCCGCCAACGATCACGCGACGGACACAGGAAACTTGTTCGATCTGGAAGGATTCTTAAAGTGAGGGCTTCAAACGATTGAAACGTCTCATGTGTTCTTTTTAGGTCTCGTGATCGTTCTGGTGATTTCTACAAGCGGTTCTCAGAAACGCAAACCTTCATGCGATTCATCGAAGAGCGAAGCTTCGTTTCTGACAAAAACACCTACAATGCTTTCTTCGACGATTGCATTGTGAAGCTGAGTAGTGCCATGAGAAGTAAACTCTTGATTCTATGATTTTCTGTTGAGATGTCGTTCCAGGTGGTCGTGACATAACAGAGATTCAACTTCTGGAGCCGGACACTTCGCACAGCCACACAACGGTAAGATTGAGTTAGAAAATGAAAGATGCGCATGTGATGATGATGTGAGGTTGCTTTTGTGAGCAAATCTAGATGTTCAGAATACGATTAATGCGTTGACCGACACCCGGACATCAATGGTTTGTAGTTTAATTCTTCTTTTTTCAAAGCTAGCCGTCCAACTGAGTGTTGTCCTTATGTTTGCATCCCTTTCATATCCGCTTCTACTCCTAAGCTCCTTCACGCACACACCACCAACTGGGTCTATTCCACAATGCTAACACCTACTAAAAACGGCTTATTTGCCTGAATTTTTCAGGAATAGGCTCAAAATTGCTTTTTCCGAGTTTGTTTTCCCGTTTTCAGGTGTTCATCCCGTCGCCCGAACCATTCCTGAACCAAGAGACTGCAGAAGAGCTGCAGTTTGTTTATGAGGTATACCGAAGAACGGTCATAGATTAAAAAAATACTCATTTTCCAGGAGTTCCCGACAAAAATGAAAAGTTCTTACTTTCAATTGGACAGGCTTGAGAAGAGTGGAAAAGACGGAGAGAAAGTACCGATGCACTTCGGTAAAGTCTTACTTCAGTGGTGGAAATTCTCCTTTTGTGTTCAGAAGCCTCTCGTTGCTCAGCAGTTCGAACAAAGCCAGAAACACGGTCTTCGCTGCTCGCAGCAACGAATGCCGTGAAAACGAATCCTCTTCACGTGAGGGGCTACAATTTTAAATCTTAATTTATTCTTTTTTTTCAGTGGTCAAAAACCTTACTATTCTATTCGTATTCGTTATGGTTCATGCAGCTGGAAAGTCTGCTGATAGCGGCTCCGAACAAGAAGAAGATTCTCAGACTAGCTTTCAACGTAAACTGTTTTGTGATTGTCGACAATTAATCTATTTAATTTTGAAGGTTCTCGATAGAATGGAAAAGACAGAGATTTTTCCGTTGGACCAAGTCTGCTACCGAATACTGATCGAGCTGTGCGGAAAGTACGAACAACCGGAAATGGCTGTAAAAGTGATGCAGGCGATGCAAAGAGCAGGATTGGAACAAAATGCGGTCACCTACGGTATCTACCACCGCGCCGTGATGGACGCCACATGGCCGAGTGCTGCTCGACAGAAAGCCATACGCATGTGGAGCCTGTTGAGAAATTTGGTGACGGCATCTGAAGGCCTGATGAAGTGGGCGAATGTAGAGAGGAGGCCGCTGACGACACTCGACACACAGTCGGTTTCCGATGGAGGATATCACAGCGACAACAAGGTGGCCGACGTCGTCATCCCAGAAACTGAAATCACTGTGGACTATGAAATCACCTCATATTCACTGGACACTCCGTCGAAGAAAGCCAGCGTTGACTCGGAAATCATTGATCCGCTTGGAGCGTTAGAGTTGAATAACCGAGACAAGAAGGAGCGATCCAAGTCGTTGGGAAAAATAGGAATGTCTCCGGCAAGAGCCAAGTTTTTCGCCGATCACGCCACGCTACCGTTCTCATCGGAAAACACTCCGAAAGCAGACAAAAAGGTCGATGGCAAGGGAAGCGGCTGGCTGAAAGGAATCGCAAACAGTCCAATGTTCAAAATGATCAGAAGCACCACATTCGAATCACCTAAACCACCATCTGCGGAAGGCAGTGACGCCGGCTCTGTAACAAGTGCGAGTCCGAGCTTTCATTCTGTGGTTAACCACTTCAAGAAAGGATACGACGATGTTGTGAAAGACGTCGTTCCGTCCCGTTTCCGTCTGGGCGTATCCACTCTTCTAAACAAGTCCTACGGAGCAATGGGAAGTGGAATGATTTATGCGGATGACAAGGATGAGAATCCGTTCTACGTTAATCCTAAAGATCCAGCTTACGTTCTGGACTCTGGTTCGCCCGATTGCTTCTTGACAGAGGAGTTCTGGATGCGGGAAGTCTATCTGCAGTTGAAGAGAAGTCGAGAACGACAAGAACGAGGAGAAACTCCGCAGAGAGAGCAGAAACTGCAGACAGGTCGTAAAGAAGTGAGTCTCTGCTCGGCCACGTATTGTCCTTCGTGTAGAGTAATGGTTTATGACGAAGAGATCATGGCCGGATGGAAGGTCGATGATCAGAACCTGAATACCACGTGCCCTCATTGTGAATGCAGTGGGAGTGCAACGGATGCAGCCGCAGAGGCCGTTAATCAAGACGGCGTTTTCGCTCCGAGACTCAAAATCAGGATGCGTTGGATGGATGCGCCCATTCCAAGCTGGTATCAACAGGGTGGACTTCCAGTTTCTGTGAACACGGTAACTACCTCAACAACTTGTTTAAATGCTCCGTAATTATCTTTTTTCAGACCCCCGAAAAGACATCCACGAATGAGGAGGCTTTCGAAGTCGCATTTGTGAGTCCGCTCGTTCTTCGTCGTGAGCTCGAAACGATTCTTACCAATGACAAAGACGCCATGAAGAACGAATCACTGAAGGAAACCCATCCGATCGTCTTCTGGAACCTTATTTATTACATGCGACGACTCGCTCTTCCCAGCCATCTTTTCTCCTGGATCGCTGAGAGACATCACATCAGATGCGTTTTCGACGTGCCTTCTCAGCATGAAGACGTATTCCCGCTGTACTTCATGAATCCTAATCACGACGGAAATCCGATGTTCGGAACGAAGGCCACGCGATTTTCGGAAGACGGAAAAGAGACTCCGTTGTACTCATCGTGGAAGATTGTCACGGATTCCGTCAACAAAAACCTACTCTTCAAGGCCGTGCAGACACTGGTAAACTCTTCGAGATTGGTAAAAAATGGAACTGTCCACGTCGGAGCACATTTCCCAATTTTTAGGTGAGCTAGTAACTTTCTATAAAATATAGATAATCATTAATCCGATTCAGAGACATCCAGTTTGCCTCACTTGATCTTTTCGGTCGTGCCCTTCTCCGAGATGCGCTCGATTCGCAGTATGATTCAGAATCAAACAAACTTCCTCCGAAAATCAAAGAGATTCTCCCGATGCAGGATCATCCACTTTCTCATGTGACAAGAGCCTGTCGCAAGGTGTTCATGCCACTTGACCTATTCTAACCACTTCTTTCCATTTTTTTCTTTTTTCTGTATATTGTATGTTTCGTAGTAGTCATTCTTACGAGTTTTCTAACATTTTAGAGTTGTGACCACAAAATTGCACCCCATACCAGAATCAAAAAACCATAGTACTGTGATTCTCTTTTTCTTTTCGCTGATGACGAATTTCTAATCAAATTTTCCCCGAGCTCTTGTTTCATATTTCTCGTTCATTCTTTTTCTCTCCCGACACCGGAAATGTATGGAACGGTCTTGGTGATAATGTTGTAACCCCGTAACCATTTTCTCTTCATCGCTAGAATAAAATGTTTTACCAAAATACATTTTTCGCTGCCATTTTTCAAGTCTACTTCTTTGAGGGTGATATCTACAAAAAGAGTGCAACACGCGCTGCAAATTAAATTTGTAGATGGCCGTGCAAGGCTCCGATTGGAACAGGCCAAAGAGAAAGTGCGTTTGACCTAGAATGTAGTAGTTCAAGTATTTATTTTAGACGGAAAACCATCGATGTGACATATGACGTGGCGAGGCCAACATTAAAAGTTACAAAAATAACCGGAAAGCATCTGGAATGTATGGGAATCCCAGTGAAAGGAGGATATGAGTTGTATCCGGAAGAAGCCGTTTACCTTCTAGAGGCAAGTGTACATTATCACAGCATTCAAGTGACAAGAAAGAATAATTTAAGACAGGATCAGCTGCAATTTCTACGGTGTCTGGCAAAGAGCTGAGTGTTCTGGAAGCCTACTCGATTCTGGAGAACAACTCAGTTCCGATGTACAAGTACGAAGCCTACAAACACGTAAAAAGGACTGGATTAGTTATTCTTCGACCTAGGTTCGGAAGAACTAACTCAGGCTTTGCTAAAATGGAACTTCTGTAGGAAAAGTACGATTGATTTTGAACGGTTCAAGCGGACGGAGAAATTGAGCAGAGAGGAAATGGTTCGGAAGAGTTTTGAAACGGTTATGAATTTGAACAATGTTCCGACTGAACAGTTATGCGATCCTGAATCTTTTCCAAGTTTTGTGACTCAATCCGGAAGTGTTTTTATAAAAATGAAAGGTTGTTGGCAATTTGTTGAGTTTAGGATAACTAACTTCTTAAGCTCCTTTCCAGTGCTCCACTCTGATCAAAATCTTGTCAACTTCCTTCCTTCAGAAATAATTCAGAATTTCTCAACAGAAGAAGCTTTGCAACGTATTCCAGTCAGTTTTTTTTTAAGCAGCTATGTACATCAAAAGCGAATTTCTCAGGCGCCGACGACGAATTCAAAACGGAGAAAGTCCTGCCGCCCGATTTATTGGCCTCTTCTGAAAACGAAGCATGTCAGCAACTGGTCGCAGTTCAATTTCGAATGGGAAAAGATGAGACAAAGCTTGATTGTGAAACGGTTTCGACGGTAATCAAACTAATCATTGCACTCGAAATAATATAATTTTTTCAGAATTCAAGCCCCACCACACGAACAACTCCGTCGGCAGCAGATCACCACTGAACCCGTTGACTTCCATATTTTCTCTCCCGCCGCATTCTCACATCGTCTTCCCGCACGGCCTTTATTCTCGCTCATTTGCCATCGGTACAACAGATATTTAGACAAACTTACAGATATGAACTATTCAGAGTCAATGGGCCCTGTCTGAATGTTTCCAAACTTTCCAAGTTGCGCAATGTTGTGTTGGCAGTGGAGGAATCCGGAAAAGTGAATTTCTTATCTATCAGTGGAGGACCAATTGATCTCAATTTCTACTTACAAGCTCTTTAAAGTAAACTTTTGGGACCTTGTTTGACCCGATTTGTTTTGAGAATAAAAGTACACACTACTCTACGAGAAGGTAATGTGCTCCAAAACTTGGCGCGTTTTTTAGTATTTCAATTGCTTTCCGGCATTTAAATGGACCCGAAGAGGCAAAAAAATCCACTGGAGATGGTCGTAGTGTCCACCCACATCATGATCTATTCACGAGAGAATGGGCCGAACGAAAGCCGCCTAAATTGCTTTTTTCGTCCAGCGATTCCACTTTTACGAAATTGACACCTTCAGAGCGTTCTTCGTCTTCGTTTAGTTGCTTGCTTTACACTTTCCGCACATCACAGGATGTTCGGGATTACGGTACCTGAATAAAAATGAAAAACTTCAGTCATAACAAACAAGTTGTTGTGTCCATTGAATAATTACTCCCCTCAAAAGCTTGAAGACTTTTGCTTGTCCCCGGAAGTCCCTAACAATAGCCCGTCCTTCTCCCTCCAGGAGGACCTGTGAATGTTTCCAAATGTTTCCGACCGCCCACCTACCTCTAAAACACTCTAAGAACTTTTCAGATGGTCCAAAGCGGTCGGAATAGTGGCAGTAGTGGCAGCTCAAAGGTGGTCTATCTCAAGTGCCACGTCATTTGTTCTCGTTTCAGATGAAAAGAGGAAATGATTCCCCCGAACGACTGATTTCCGCCACAAGGGAGAGTAGGGTGAGTATTTAGTCAAATGGAGTTATTGCAGTTTTCCGTCATTTTACGCTTTGCTTTCTATCTGTCTCCCAATACTTTATTCTATCATGATTACACCTCGTCTGAAGCAACAGAGAGCTCACTTTTGTCGGCATCGTTGTTGCTATAGTCTCATTGAAAATGTGGAATTTGCTGCTGAGGTTTGATAATTTATTCCGTGGATATCTACAAAGCCTTTTCACGGCATATGAATTTCTCGTGACCTTCGGAGCCGAACGTTAACTTATTTCTTCGACCACTCCTTAAATTCAGGAAGGCAAATGTTTTAGTTCCCTAAAGGTCACGTGGAATTGAATTGTAACCATTGGTGTGACAAGAACGAGAAGTCTGAATACTTCAAAAAGAACAACAACAGCCTAGAGAACATTTCCGTTTTTCTATTCCTTTTGCAATGCTCTTTTCGGTCTCACCCTCGCTTCTTGAGCCCAGATTTAGTCAGAAGATGACCCCTCGACCAGTCAACAATGTACATCTAATTGCGAATAGAGACGACCAGAAAGTTGAGCTCACACATAGATCTATACACATCAGTCTGCACTTTGTATGATTTTTGAACGAAAAAATACTCCTACTTATAACTTGCCACGTCGCAAAAATGCAACCCGACATAAAAATCGGAAAAGTGTGTCTTTTGCTGAGGTGGAGGACGAGCTTTCGTGTCAGGTAAGATCAACCAATCTTAAGACCGTCTATTAGATTGCATCCCATGACCATGGCACCTGAATAATCGGGGATTTTGATGGCCGCTAGCTCCTTCTCGGTTAAGATGGTCCCTGTGCAAGAGAAGAAGTGGCTTCTTTTGCGGCAAGACCAAAAAAATGAAGAGTAATGCGACATGCAATGATCCCTGGAGACAATTGGTACTCTGGTCCAAAAGAAGACCCGATTTGTCGCACATTTGCCCCCTTCTTCATTTTGTTTCTAGCGACACATCTCGTGTCAAAGTGTACGAGATTTCTTCAAAACCTTGACCACACTTCCGTCGGTTTCTAGCTTAATTAGCATGCATTCTTACATGGACAGAACGCATGTCACAAAGATAAAAGAATGCTCAACGAATGAATGAGCTCAAAGATTCGCGTTCAGATAAGAAGCTTTAAAGTGGTCGCGGCGTACTTAGAAGCCGAGTGTATTTTGCTCTTTTCGACTTTAGCATCGGCTTTCATCTTGTCATTCTTCAGAGACTTGTCCATGAACCAGACTCTATGGACAGCAGATCTAGTCCGTACATAAGACCAGCTCCTTACAGTGGAGGGGTCCAGGCACACTTTGAAGAGGATGACGACAGGTCAAAGGTATGGTAACCCGCTGTATTGATATGAACAAATATAATGTTGTAGTTACATGCTTCTGCTCTGTATTCTGAAAGAAGGACATCGTCTAGAAAGTCTCTGAGATCTCAGAGGATCGATTACCACACCACAACTATCAAATCTCTCTGGTTTGATTTCTGTGCAAGAACATCTTCCCATGGTATTCCATACGTTGGGTAAGCTATCAGATTCTCAGTTTGGTTTTCGAATTTATACATGTTAAGTACATCGTCGTTCTTCGGAAGATATGTGTGGGCGGCACTCTTCTTGTGCATGCTTATGGCATTTCTCCTTCAAACTTACTGGACTATGTCGGAATACTTGCAGTACAGAACAATCATCGAAATGCAATTGCAGTTTGAAGCAGGTTATACTCGTTTGTAATTCATTTTTGTTACTTTTTCTTACTTTAAGCTGCCTTCCCAGCTGCCACAGTGTGCAACTTGAACGCGTTCAAGTACAGCGAGCTCATTCAATACGACGAGATCAAAGAGGGAGTAAGTTTCGCATTCTTTACAACCAGTTGAAGTCTTATTCAGTTCGACTATTGGGAGAGAGTGATAAACGCTCGAATGATGAGTGACAGCATGAAACCAGGTGGAAATTTGGAAGCAATAAACGTCAGAAAGTATCAGAACAGATTAAAAATTCTGTCTTGAAAGAAAAATTGTGTTTCAGAAAACGTGGCAAGGACCGAGGTGATCTTCTGTTTCCAATCGACGACGAAGACCTAGAAGGAGCAGAATACCAGCCAGTGTTTGTGAGATGTACTTGTATGAATATGGAACAATGTGTTCCGAATAGAAATCCTTTGGAAGTTTGTCTGAGCTAGTTTCATTAGAGCACAACTTGTTCTTCAGGTCAATGCTTCCATTTGCATGTGCTTCGAAGATGTGACACGTGGATTGATATGGCCATGTTACCCCACTTCCGTGTGGACCGTCAAAAAATGCTCGGGATGCTCCATTTCAAGCACATGTCCAGACCCTGATGGACCTTACGCGTCGAAACAACTAAGCAAGAGCAACAACCCGCTTCCCTGTCTCTGCCAGTCAATTTCACATCATTGTATGGTACATCCGAAAGACGAAATCCGGTGGTGGAACCCGAACAACTACACCGTCTACTCAGTCACAGATCCGCCGACAACTGAAATAACAGAAACGGAAGAAGCCTTCGGATTGAGCGTAAGTCAAACAGAAAATGCACTCGCTCATTGATGTAAACAATTCAGGATTTAAAAGATGCGGGAGCGATCACGACTCAGACTAAAGAGAACTTGATCTTCTTAGTAGCTGCTCTGCCCAGGGATACCAGAAGAAACCTCTCGTACACTCTGAATGAGTTCGTGCTCCGATGCTCTTTCAATTCAAAGGATTGCAACATGGAGCGTGACTTCAAACTTCACATAGATCCTGAGTACGGTAACTGTTACACGTTCAACTTCAACGACTCCGTTGAGTTGAAAAACAGCAGAGCCGGTCCCATGTATGGTAAGAGAATTGAAGCAACAATATTTATATTGTCTCAACTGGTAATAATAGGTCTACGTCTCCTACTAAATGTTCACCAAAGTGATTACATGCCGACGACTGAAGCTGCAGGAGTTAGATTGGTGGTTCACGAACAGGACCAGGAACCATTCCCTGATACTTTTGGATACAGTGCACCCACTGGGTTCATTTCATCTTTCGGACTTAAAACGGTAATTCATTAGTTCACTGGAACCATAAATGTTCTTTTTTAGAAAGAATTACATCGACTCAGTGCTCCGTGGGGAAACTGCAGTGACACATTCCGACCAATTCCGTACATTTACAACGAGCATTATTCTCCTGAAGTAAATTGCAATTATCTTGAATTGACGATATAAGAATTTTAGGGATGCCATAGAAACTGTTTCCAACTTAAAGTGCTCGAAATATGCGGATGTGGAGACCCTAGATTCCCGCTTCCCACAGAAGAACACAGACACTGTAACGCAAAGTCTAGGATTGATCGTACTGGAACAAATATTATCAAGAGTCTGATGGTCATTTACAGGCCAATGTCTTTCAAACCTAACGAGTGACTCTGGAGGATACCACCATTTGCATGAACAGTGCGAATGCAGACAGCCTTGCCACGAGAAAGTGTTCGAAACAGCGTATTCGGCGTCCGCATGGCCTAGCATCAACTTCAAAATAGGAGAAGACTGCCCGGCCGTAGTGGATATCTTTAACGACACAGAGGCTTGCACAGAGTACTACCGACAGAACACGGCGTACATTGAAATATATTACGAGCAACTTAACTTTGAGTCACTCAAGGAAACCGCTGGCTATACTGTGAGTCTTTAAAGTGATAATCGGATTATGGAATTCCAACGTTCAAACTTCAAAGTGCATATATTATATGATACAAAGATCGTCAAACATATTTCAGCTCGTGAATCTGTTCTCTGATTTCGGAGGCAACATCGGATTGTGGATCGGATTTTCAGTCATCACATTCGCAGAATTCACCGAACTTTTCTGCGAGGTACATAGAAGTTGTACGAAATTCACACTCAGCTAACATTTTCAGATCGGAAAGCTGCTATATATCAGAGGAGTAATTTACGTTCAGAAAAAGATGCAGAGAAAAGATTACACTTCGTCCTCTCTGATGCACATTGACTTCTTGCATCGGTCACCTCAAAAACAGCACACAGATCCCGGCGAAGACGAAATGTCGACGAACGAGTCAACGAAGGAATTAATGAGCAAATCATTAGACTGATTCAATTATTCTTATTCAAATTTTTGTCGGGTCACTGATAGTTTTCCTTTTTCGGTCTTTCTCTTTTTTTATAGTTAATGTCGTTTTTTTTAGTACTGGAACCTTTCTTATCTTCTCAATAAATAATTCGAATGTGAACCAAAACTAATGACGCTCCGTCCGTTCTTTTCTACTTTGGAAGAGGATCCTCGTGTGAAAACAATGGTTTATTCTGCGAGAAATTCTGTGCGAAAATATCACTGATCACGCTTCTCTTTTCTGAAGAGACTAATCTAGAAGACATTGTTCTCAACATTGTATTGCCATTGAAAGGGAAAATGGGCGGTCCATTTCAGTGTTGTTGTCCGAGTTTCGTTGAAGTTGAAACAAAACCGGTGAGAGCGAGCGGATTATTCAAGATTATTCAAATTTAAACCGGCATCAGAATCCAGAATGTATTTAATACAGTGCTCATGTAACTCGCTATTCACTTAAACTGCACATATTCTCTGTTTTAACTTTGTTTTTGAAATCTCTCGCAGTTCTAGGTCACTCTGGGCATGTGTCTTCTTGTGAAATGCACACAAATATTATCCATAGCCAAGTGAGAGATGTCCCCTTCCATTCATAATGCGAATTTCTTCATTAACAAGACGTGTCTCCCTTTTACTCGCACAACCGAGTATCCCACTATTCCTCGTTGTTTGCATTTGTTTTTACTCCAACTGGCTCCGTCACTCTGACAGAAATACTTACTGATTCGTTTACAGAGACTTCTCAAATTTGTCAACGCAATGGGGGACGACGGTTCACAGGAGAATAACTTCGGAGCGCCTGCTTCTGGAAACGCGCCTCCAGCAGCCAGTGCAATCAGGAACAAAGTGGATGTTCCGCCAGGGTAAACACAACTTACTAACACGTTTTTTATTTCGGAAATAACCCCACATGAGAGGAGAAGAAAAACAGCGTTGTGTGGTTGCTCCACCGAATCCCGATCAGTAGAATGAAATAAAACCAGCTCTCTTGAAATCGTCCTACTTCTGAAATCTTTCCACGTCATAATATATTTCGGTTAAATTTTGATTTCACGTGAATGTATGCCGTGATGGTAGTGTGTTTTCATTTTTTCAAGCTTCATACCGTAATCCTGATCAGTAGAACAAGAAAACGAACATTCAAAGGGACTTAATGGCAGCACAAATCACTCTAACTGCTAGTTCAGGAACAAAATGCCGCTTGCTATCTTTTTCGCCAATAAAAAACAGGTTTTACCTTTATTGTTTGCCAAAAAGGACAGATATTGCTGATAGTGATGCGAAGGCAAATCAATTTTCAAAAAGGAAGTATCTTCGGAAATAAGGTGGCAAAGAAGAGAAAACTACATACCACTACCGCCCATCGATAGAAAAGATCACATATTCTCATCTTTGTAGATTCGGAAGACGTGTCAGTTCAGTGGAAGTTGTGAAAAACGCGATGCCGCCGACGAAAAAGGCTTCCGTGGTCATCTTCGAGACTCCGGACACTCCGAAAACTGAAAGGTCAGTCACATTCTCCGCTCGTTGTGTGTCTTCTGTGGCCGAGCTCAAAGTCTCCAATGATGACGAATTGTGGTTTTTTAGTTTTGATGCCAAGTAAATTTGAATAGAAAATGGAAAGCTTGGAAATTGGGTGATGCACCTATTCATTGATATTTTCCCGATCTATCACACAGAGACCTGTCTGTCCCCCTGATGACGTCATCATTTCATTGTGATTAGTTGTAAATTGCATTGAAAGCTGAAAAAGAGAGAACGAGCGAGTGAAAGAGCACTGTTCCCATTTTCTGTACAGTATGAATAACATGTTCTTTTTTCTCTGCGTCTAGTCACTTGACATCGCTCAATGAGCTTATTTATTTATCTAAAAAGAAGAGACAAAATTTGTATATTAGCGCAAAAACTTCACTAAGCTTTCCACTATTTCAAGATTATTTCTACTCCCTAAAGTCAGTCAGACATGATTATTTCGAAAAGAGTGAATCGCAAAGTTCGCTCGATTCTCGTTCAAATGTCTCATGTCAATGAGCTATGGTGGGTACTCTTATCCGAACTTCAGGTCTTTCCATTAGTGTGTAATTTCAAGTATCTCATTTTTACCGCATGATAAACTTTTCGACGTAGCTTTGCAGTTGAGATACTGTTAAAGTTCGAAACTATCGGATGGTCACTCTATCGGTTCAAACTCTCAAGCACCTGTTAAATAACGTGATACACAAGGAAATGTGTTTAGTAAATAGTGGGATAAGCGAGTCATTTAATGATTCGAGGAGGGGTCAGATTAATCTTGACATCTTGAGATTTTCGAGTGATCCGAAATTGAGACCGAGGTTTTTTGACCAGACTGTCCATTCCTAACGGAAAAATCATTTAGTTCCTTTCTCACAAGTGCATTTGAACTAATAGTAAAGTTAAGTCACTACTATACAGTAATTGGATCGTTTTTGCATGTTCCTGAGGTTAGTTTCCAACCAACTTGCTCATTCTTAGCTTCTTATGTAAATGCCTGTGTCATACTGTAGTTGAGAAGATTATGGAAAACTGTGTGATCGCGAATGTCATGTCACATTCACATGCGCAAATTGAACAGACAACATTGGGGGCAAAATTTCGAGAGAATTTCGATCGGCGACTGATAGGGAAAGAGATTTGTCGACAATATTATCTCTTCTCGGCTGATTGTTTCTTGTGGAACTTGAGAAGGCGTATCACCAGTGGAATGGCCACACGGACGGCTGCGTCGCCACCGATTTATCCTTTTCCGTTTATTTCCGTTTAACACTATTATTATTATTGTATCAAAACGGAAGCGCTTTCTATTTCTTCTCGATCAACACAAAATGCAAGATCACTAATCTCTCCGGGCCCATTCAAACTTTTGACTGAGAAAACCCTTGCCCTTTTCCCATCAGATCTTTTCGATCGACCAAAAACAGGTTTACTAGATGATAGTGATCCTGTGGAACATTTTAAAAAGTTATCAATCAATTATCGATATAAAACTATAGACAAAGGAATTCGGATTCAGGAAGGCTTCGTCGTGGTGGCGTAATTTGATAATGGACGACGATAAAACGGCGCCAGCGCAGCCCGAAATCATAATATCGCCTGAGCATGCGTAAGTTTCGTTATTGTAGTCAAAATACATAAGGCTTGGGTTCGAAATCAAATCGTTATTTAAATAAATATTATTGGCAATCGCGCTTTACCGCTCTCCATGTGAATTGAGTGCTAAATTGGAAAAGTTCGTGGCCGTGGACTGGTTTTCACGTGAGATTGCGGTGGAGCGACTTTGCCAGAAGAGATGCTAATAACTAAGTGTAACCTTTTCAACTTTAACGTGTGTGTTCTTTACTCAGAATCGGTAAGAAACTAGCCATCACTAAAAAAGATAATGTGAAAATAAAAAACGTTCAAAGAATCAGTACTCTATATTTATGGTTTTCAGCGGAAATGGGCTCGAAGACCGTCATCGTAACATTTCAACAGCAAGCGTTGGAGACCGTGAGTTTAACTGCCTTCAAACAGACATAAAACAGAGGACGGGCGGAACACTTGAAAGCATTGAGTCTTTCACTGATAGGAGTCGATGATTCATTCCCTGGTCATATTTGCATGGTCTTTCTTTCACCATCTATACCGTCCTTTTTTTACAATCCGCCAGTTTTTCTTTCATCATCCTTGAGAAGAATTGTTCCTTTCTTTCTTTTCCGCATTTAATGACCTTGAGCAGCTGACGCAAAAGAGCTATTCGGAAATTAATGTGACGCGGCGCCGCGCACCAATGATGGCCAACACCCGCCAATTATTCATGCCATTTCGGTTTTATGTTTATCATTTTCATCCGCAATTCGAATTCTGCAACCACAAACTGCTAGGAAATTTCGAACATTCCTAATGGAAATCATCAGAGTTCAAACGATTACTGTATCGATTGAAAAGTTCACTTGTAGCTGACTGTACGCGCAAAACCTGCAATCACTTTCGGAGGAAAAGTGATGGATATTCCCCAGAAACTTTACTTTTCAAGTTACATTTTGCACATTCTTTTTGATAATTGTTCGAAAATTCGCAGATTATTTATTATAGGGGCACCGCACAGAAATGGCGCTCTGTTGAGAAACTCCGTTTGCAGTGCAAATTGAGCGACCTCGGGGCCGAGTTTGAAAAGTTAGGCCGCATTTTCAGTGGAAAATTACTTCGCGGCCTAGAAATTCGGCCCGATTGCGAACAGCGCGCCCTTTCTGTCCGGTGCCCCTATAATAATTGCATGCACTGATAGCGCAAAATCAGAAGAAAAATTTTCTGACCCGTTTTCTACATTATATGCATTAGAAAGTAGATAAAATCTCTTGACTCATTCCTTTCGTCGCTTTAACTAAACGCGTGATGTGTGCCGAATAATAAACAAACCACTGCTTCGTGATCTGAAAATAGAAAAACATAGGCGATTCTGCTTGCCGAAACGCTCGTCGATTACTGAAAAACAGTGCCGCAGTTTTGCAAGAAAAACGGGGGGCACCCCGTTCTTTTTCGCCATTATTTGCTAATGTTTTTGAAATGGTTCTACCTCTCACCAAATTATTTGTCTTGTGAGTGATGATACCAAGGTTTCGAACTCCCACACACGTACACTTCAAATTCCTCTCTGGGTTTCTTCTGCTTTCTAGCTTTTGCTCTTCATAAATCACACGAAGAGCTGTGTTTTCTGCGCTATCACATTAATTTACAAATTGCGTTATCGCTGCCAACAACCATACTAAATTCCTCGTCGTCGTTGATAATAAACCATCTCGCCTTCTGTCGCAACAAACTTCATATTTTACCAATTTCCTGTCGCTTCAGCCGTCCCATTCCGTCCGCGTGTCAATCAATTCGACAAAAAGTAATCTTACACCAACCTCATTCTAACTCATCGTCGAAAATAACGTCGAATGACGAGCGTGCCGTTCAAATTTGTCGTCGGTGGCGATGATCATGACTCTGGGAGTGCTCACGAGCACTCTAGTCTCTTGTCAACACACCATCAGGTCGGACCAACGGATAGCGGCCCTACAACTAGCTCCGCAGGAATAACTAGAGTTCCCACAAAAGTTTCTTCTAGATTCTTGCTGTCAGTGGAAACTGACGCTCCGCCGCCGATGACTAGAGATGACAGCCATAGTAGGTTTTGAATGCTTACAAGTGTTTCAAAAAAATGCCTGTTGTCTGTTTCTCTAGAAAAATCATTTCTTAACTTCTAGTTACACTCCTTTAGGAGAACTCTACGCATGGGGATCAAACAAAGATGCAGGCGGAAACCACAACTTGGCGCTCTTCGAGGAGCCTTCCATGCCGTTTTTCTCCAGTTATCTGAAAGCTCACATCACTCCTGGGCCTTTGGAGAGAGCCCAAAGCTCATCTCATGGAGGTCACGGTGGAAAAGCTGATCTGGGAGTGCTGCTCGGAGTTTATCTTCCAACTATACAGCACATTCTCGGAGTCACCATGTTCATTCGTCTCTTCTGGCTTGTTGGTATCGCTGGGCTTGGACAAACCTTCCTCCTTCTCTTCCTTTGCTGCTTCTGTGTTAGTTTTTTAAAAGCTTGATTTTTAGCTGGAACTCTTGTTTTTCAGACATTCCTCACGTGTATTTCGATTTCTGCAGTCGCAACCAACGGCGTCGTTGAGAGTGGTGGAGCATACTTCATGATATCACGTAATCTGGGTCCAGAATTCGGATCAGCAGTTGGAATACTGTTTTATCTCGCTAACACCGTCGCCACATCCATGTACCTCGTCGGAGGAGTTGAAATATTGCTGGTAATCAGTTTTGCTCACTAGGTTTCGGTCATAATTTCAGTGTTTCAGCTTTACATCTTTCCTGGACTCACTTTCGGCGGAGTTGAAGGACAACACGACACTTGTAGGCTCATTTTGATAGAAATCGTATCGACAATCAAACAATTATTTCAGCCCTGTTCGGAACAATGACGAACTCTCTCCGTTTCTATTCCACCATACTGCTTCTCATCGAGTTTGCCATCGTCGCCATGGGAGTGAAATTCGTTCAAATGCTCGCCCCAGTTTCTTTGCTTTGCGTGATAGTCTCGATTCTAGCTTGCTACGCTGGAGGAATCACCAAGACTATGTACCCTGATTCCGGACAATAGTAATATTTCCTTTTCACTTCGTCATACAATATTGTTCATTTTCCAGTGTGTGCATGTATAACGACCGTCTTCTTCAATCGGCTTCCGTAATTCCACCCAATAGTAACGCTTCTTTGGAATCAATCTGCGATTTCTGTGGAAAAAAGTGAGTTTTTTCCCAAGGATTTACAACTTTTCCTCAATTTCGTTGTACGGTATTATGGCGGCATTTCTCTGCAATCGCGCTCTATTTCCTAATCAGACCGAGTTTCTCGGCCGCGGAATATTTTTAATGGTTTTTTTCACTTAATCATCCAGTCTGAATGTGACCGAACTTCATTTTTCTTCAAACTCGAGGTCATTGCAATTTGCACGGCAAAAAAAGTCAAAAGAGAGCGATTGCAGTGAAGTCCACCATAATATGATGAATTTTACAGCAACACGTTCCTCATCGACAAAGTGTGCGGCTCGAGTGGCTGCAATGAAACGTTGTCCAATCCATTCCAATGTGTCAACGGATTCCCAGGATTTGTCGGAGGTCAAACTCTTCTTGCAAACCTCGGACCGAACTATGTCGGAAAGGAGGAGTCTAGTGTCGGCCGGCCTGCTGATAAGAAAACCGATGTGTATCAAGATGTTCGAACCACGTTCTTCGTGCTTCTGGCTATTTATTTCCCAGCCGTAACAGGAATTTTCACCGGAGCCAATATGAGTGGAGATCTCAAGAATCCACAAGCGTCGATCCCCGCCGGAACAATTGCTGCCAACCTCACCACATCGTTCATCTATTTCTCCCTCGCATTCATTTTCGGTGGAGCCATCGATGGGAATGTTCTCCGAGACAAGTTCGTTTTTTTTTCAGAGTTTCGATTATTTACACGAATAATTCGTTCCAGAAATGGACAATCGGTTGGAGGTCAGATGGTTGTTGCACTTCTTTCCTGGCCATCGCCGTGGGTTCTTCTTATTGGATCGTTCCTTTCCACGTTCGGAGCAGCTCTGCAGTGCTTGTGCTCAGCACCGAGACTTCTTCAAGCCATTGCCAAAGATGAGGTTATTCCTATACTGTCGCCATTCAAGAAAGTAACAGCCAACAACGAGCCATTCCTCGGTCTCATACTTACCACTCTCATAGCTGAACTTGCCATTTTGATGGGTGGTATGGACACAATTGCCGCAGTTGTCGACTTCTTCTTCCTAATGTGTTACGCCTTCGTGAACATCATCTGTACTCTCCACTCACTTCTGGGAGCTCCAAACTGGCGTCCAAGATTCAAGTACTATCACTGGTTCCTCTCGCTTCTCGGAGCCATTCTCTGCTTCTTCATCATGTTCTCGACTCACTGGGATTACGCCATTGTGGCCTGTCTTCTGTGTCTGGCCATTTACAAGTATGTCGAGTGGAAGGGAGCCAAGAAAGAGTGGGGAGATGGAATCCGAGGTCTTGCTCTGACTACTGCTCAGTACTCGCTCATGAAGATCGAAGACAAGGAGCCACATCCGAAGAACTGGCGGCCACAGCTTCTGCTTCTGCTATCTATGCAATGGTCGAAGGAAATAATTGATGTGCGCTATTTGAATCTACTAAACCTTGCTTCTCAACTCAAGGCTGGAAAAGGATTGACTGTTGTGACCGCCTTCTTGAAGGGAGACCCGACGAGTCCAGATGACAAGAAGAAGGGAGAACAAGTGAAGCAACGAATGGATTTTGACATGAATCAAGTGCGTTTGCGTGGTTTCGCCAAGACATTGGTTCACTCCGAGGATCAAATCTACGGTTCCATGTCGACTTTGGTGCAATCGGTCGGTCTCGGAGGATTGAAGCCGAACACGATGCTGATTTCGTGGCCAGTGCATGAAAGAGAGGAGGACCTGACCGAGTACAACACTTTCATTGAGAAGGTTCATGCAGCCTCGGTCAACGACATGGCTATCGTCGTGGCCAAGGGAATCATTGACTTCCCTTCGTCCGTATTCCGGATGAGTGGAATGATCGACGTCTACTGGATTGTACACGATGGTGGTTTGTGCTTACTCATGGGATACCTTCTGAAGCAACACAAGGTTTGGAGAGGATGCAAGCTGCGTGTCATTGGAATCGCTCAAGAATCGGATAACAATGTTAAGATGCAGGAGGACCTTCAAAAGTACGTCTATCAACTCAGAATCGACGCCAAAATTATGATCGTCGAGTTGGCTGATCCAGAAATCTCGAAGAATGCTTTCGAACGTACACTTCTGATGGAGGAGCGGACAATGATGATGCGAGATCTACAGAAAGTGTCTGGAGGAATGACGCTGTCGTTGCCACCATCAGCGCAGCGTGCTGTTTCGCCACTTGTGACTGCAGAAAAGCAAGTATCCAAGGATTCAGACGATGGAACGACGGGAAGTGAAGAAGAGAAGAAGGAGGAGAGCCAAGAAAAGACCAAGAAGGAACGCATGAAGGCATTAGACCGGTCTAAAGTATCCAAGATGCACACGGCAGTCCGATTGAATGAGTTGCTCCTGCAGCATTCCGCCAATTCGCAGTTGATCTTGCTCAACCTGCCCAAGCCCCCAGTGCACAAAGATCGTAAGTTATCTGATAATTTTTCTCTAAATTAACAATTAACAATTGTTTTCAGAACAAGCACTTGATGACTACGTGCACTATTTGGAAGTGATGACAGACAAGCTGAATCGAGTAATCTTCGTCCGCGGAACGGGCAAGGAAGTGATCACGGAGAGCTCTTGAAGCGTATCGTTAGCCTTGGTTACCCAGCGTGTTACCACTTCCTCCCATGACGAAACATATCCGTACTTCAACTATCGCAATCTCTTGCCTTATTAATGTTTTCCAAATATCACAATCGCCCTGTAGAATACTTGAGACGCTGCTGTCAAGCTCTAATTCATGCTTGACCTCTTCTAGTCTGAGCCATCCCTCCAAACTTCGCATAATCGCAATGCTGACCCATCTTGTAACATTTGTATTTCCTATAGTAAATGTTATATTTTTTATCTATACTCCCCTTTCCATTTTTGTTTAGTTCCTTCCCATTCCCTTCTTTCTTTTGGTTACGATTAGCCCAAATTCATTCTTGGTCCCGTACTTTCGTCGGAATATGATGAAACGGCATTTTTGGTTCAACCTTTTTTCTAACGTCTACTTTCTATTTCCTGTAGAGTCCAATACATTGCCGATGTTAGTACCGTAACCTACCACTGTGGCTTCTCCAAACGGTCGCCAGTCAGTTTCCCCCATGCCTAACCATATTTAATGTTTTTGCACATGTGTTTCATGAGGAGTTTGTAGGCCGATTCATGTCCCACTGTTGTGTTCTCAGGCAAAACACACATTACTCTATTACTATTTATTTTCAAGATACTTAAAAATACAACCGAATGCTGTGTAAGCTCGGGGAAAATCTATACAACTGAAATGATGATAATTCAGCTTGATGTGTGAGAGAGAGAGAGAGACGCAGAGAACGCGCGCCGTGTGTATTTAAGCTCGCGCCACGGTCTCCAGAGCTGCCAATATGGGCGTGGCCTCGGCCAAATGGCGTTTTCATAAATTGAGCAGGTTTTCTCTGATTTTTGTGGTCAAAGGCGATGAAAAATGATTGTTCGTCATAAAACACACTAATTCTCAGAATTAATGACGTTTTGGCGCAGTTTTCGCGGACTTTGCTTTTTCGCCTTCGCCGCCGATCGCCGCCTAAAAATCGCACTTCTCATTTTGTGTTTTCTTGACCGTTTTCAGACAGAATTGGTTTTGAGAATGATAAATCACGTAAATACAAGCATTTTGAGCGCTCGAACCGCAAAAACTACCGAAAAGCAACTGAAATTCACGCAGTTTTAGCCAAAAACCTTCCAAAGGATAAATGTGATTTGCGACTTGACCAAATTTAACGCTCTTGCGCTTAAAAAATTCGTAATAGCCTATACAATCGGTCTATCGAGAGACAAATGAGAAATTATCGGTTTTTCGAGGCTAATCTGGAAAAAACACAAATTTTTTTGTTAAAATTTGAATTTCGCGCCAATGTATCGCTCTATTGGGCGGGGCGCACTTGCGCTCATTGTCAGCTCTGGAGAGCGTGTCGCGCCATACAGTTGCTTACTGTTTTAAACTTGTGGGTCTGCACCCAACACCCACCTATATATTTAGCATGCTATAAATGGTTAGATTTTCGTTTTTCACTTTTTGTTTCCACATTTATCATTGAATTTTCACAACATAAGAAATAGGTGATGATCATTTCGATTGATTGAGATCTTCCGTTCCGCTGTCAGCTTCGCAAAATCGAAACCATCCAATAACTTTTGGCCCAAATATCTGAAGTTAAAGGCTGTCGTTTGTTTTTTTTTTGGATTGCTGTAGTTACCTCATCAACTCAATCCACGATTCTGCACATTTCGGACTGGCTTCAGCTTCGCGAAGAAAGTCAAAAACTGTACATACAATCTGAGCACAGAAAATTCGAACGTTCTCTTCGGTCATGTGCGGCGCCTGATAGAGAAAACTAACGATTATAAATAGTCAACTCAAAAAATTGAACTCACAATATCAGGTCTATAATGGCGTTCGCCGTACTTGAAAACGGTTGGAGCTACTTGCGCTTCGAGCTCTTCAATGTTCTTTACGGAAATGTGCAAGATGTTGGTGAAAAGACGCGCGTGACGGAGAACTTGATGTGAATCCGGAAGATCGAACACATTTTCAGAATCGGAGAGTCCGAAAACTAAACGAAATATCGGGATTTTCGTAAAGACGCGACGGAAAACGAAGATTCCAAAGCAGCCGGAAGGAACCGCGGAAGCGGAACGGGACTCGACCATTTTCCAAGACTCTGTGACCTGCTCACAACTCTTAAAAAAATCTTTTGGATTAATGTAGACTGAACGTCTTCAAACTTCTTTGTCGATCAAATTTTCTTCACTCGGAATAGATCGGAACGAATACGTCCTCATCTGCTTCAATGGTGAATGTGACTTGGTCCTGATCATAGTGCTCATCTTGGCTGTCATCGAATCGTCGAGACTTCTGACCATGTAGTCCTGGTTCATTGAAGAGGTCAGGAATATTTTGCGACGTGCCGATGCGCTGGTCTTGATTGATGAGCACGACGTGGAAGTGGAGCAGAGTGTCGAGAAATCCTGAAGAAAAGGGATGCATTGAGTCTGCGAGGCCACCGTACCGTACTCGCACTTTTAGCTCTCAGCTGTCCGTGCTCGAAATCGTCAAAGCTCTCCTTTCCGTTTATTTGAATAGTTGGAGGTGTCGTAGAAGCATGCGCATTCGTAGAAGGACACGGAACGAGGTTGAAGCTCTGTGAGCACATAAGCTTACCCGTTCAAAAAGAACTTGATCACCAGGTTCACTTTAACTACCTAGAGTGCACGAAGAACTCTCTGGTAAATGAAAGTTCCAAAGCGAAGTACGACGATTCAATTTAGTTAACAATTAATCTAATTAATGAAGAATTCGAGATCACCTCACCTTCACATTCTGATTCTGACTCGGATCTGAGAGTCTTCTCTGTCTTCCCAACTTCCCTTTCGATGATTTTGAAGTAGTGGCACCCGAATGAGCATTTCCCATTGATTCTAGAAAAGGCGATTTTTACAGGAAATTGTCAATATTAGAAAGTGTGGCTGTGCAATTCGATACGCGAAATACGATTACGGGGAAGCGGAAAGGAATTGGAAGGAAAGAACAAGACGAAGAAGAAGAAGACGAGCAAGAAGCCGGAGAGGCACGAGAAAGGGCTATTGACGGTCGGTTTCCAGGCAATTAAGCGAGGGAAGTGCTAATGGTGCGTGCATATACGCATATATATATATTTTAGAAGAATCAAAAAGTATGCATAAGCTAATTACGTTCGTGTGCATCGTGTGATGGTCCCCAGGGGACCGGCGCTCACGTCCACACTTCGAGAGGTTTCGAATTGAAAGAAGAATGACGTGGCAGAGGTGTATGGGGGTGGAACGGTGGAAATAGAGTCATAAAACATAATCGTATATTGTCTTCGATATAAACAAACAATCGTTTGTGAACTGTGCAATATCAATGTAACATGTTTATTCCACTTATCCTACTTTTTCTCCTAATCATTTGCATCGAAGTCATTTTCCAGTACGTTAACAGTCTCAAAATATTAGAAAATGAAAAAAAGAGTGATTACGTTCAGAGAAGTACCGAGTTCGTCTGGAATTTCAATTCGCAAAGGGTTCGTCATGGTTTGTTCATATAAATGGGTAATTCTATTAGCACATCACATGTTTTTGCAGGGACTCGGTCTAGTCATCTAATGAAGATCTTATTCCAAATTCACTCTGTTTTGGGGGTTTTCCTCGTGAATTTATCTGCATGACTTCTCACTATCGCAAAAATAAACATCATGAAAATGATCAGACTCTGATAAATTTTGAACGAAAGGTCACGTCAACTTTTATGTTACCACATCTACATATTTTATTTTCTGAGAAATCGGAAAGTAATAGTATACACCAAAGAACCGTAGAATATATCTAGTGCAGCATGTGGCCGTGTGGGGAGAGAAGCGTCACCGCCAGAGAAGAAAAGAATTTGGTTTAATTAAGCAAATGGTAACATTTCATGTATGCTACTCTTTTCTGCATTACCCTTCTCGTGTCGTTTTTTTTGTACACACAGGTTTTCATAGAACAGACTGTCTGTGTAGAGATTAGGATTATCCGTCCAGAGAGGGGGAGAGAGAAGAACAACAATTTAATAGGTATCAAAACATGTTTTCGAGAGATTTCCGGAACCGCCAAACGTGGCTTCTGCTTTCGCTCTCTGATACGCAAAGTCACTGGGAAGCTGTCCTCGAAAAAAAGAAGTGAGGGAGAGAGAGAAAGAGGGAGGAAACCCCTGAGGCTATAAATTGGATTCAGATGAAAAGAGAACAATAAATACGATTTGTTTGTTGGTTCAGGATGCAGTTTGAGAAGGACCAACTGTAGCATCAGGCAGAACTAAAAGGATCAAGAAAGCCATAGCACATTTTAGATGGTTTGTACAGTAATCACTAAAATTTGCCACGTTTTTCTCCTAGAGTTTTCTTCAAAATTTCTTCAATTCAGTGCGGGGATTTGTCTTACGTTTCCAATGTTTCAAAACTCCAACTCTCTTCACAAAATATATTGCGATGTGTACACCTCTTAGAACTTGTTTCCAAGTATATAAAGTCTAAGAGAATATATAGGTTTCTCCTCAGAATTTATGAACTTTCTATTCTCTGTCCGTCCTTTGTGACTTCAGAATTGTTGATGCTGACAGATGTGAGCAGACGCCAAAAGAAGAAGTAATGTGATACGAGAAAGAAGAATGTGTTGATGATAAATTTAATTAGTTCTCTTGGGGCCCTCTCGCCCCAATTCGGAAGGATAACCCACGATGAGAGAGGCTTTCTCTCGAATGGTTGGAGATGGATAAAGTAAATATTTTTATGAGTAAAAGTTGTAAACGAATGTAGGCGTTGGACACATGTTGTATGCATAATCCGAAGAGTCTTTCACACGCAAACCTGAAGTGCTCATTGGGCTCTGACGTATTGGAAAAGGAAAAGACAAAAGGTATTAGAAAGGCGTAAGGGGTCAGAGTTCACCCAGTTGTCGGTATCATCCGGAATTGTAAATGTTCCGCTGCATTTTTTCTTATAATTCTCGCGTATTGAACCGAATTCCACATGTCGGTAGATGACTCATTCATGGGAATCTTGGCAATGAGGATGTAGAATGTGACTATTACTGTGGGAACTCAAACATGAAAACTTGAAAACATCTTAGTGATTCAGAAGCATTTATTTCCTTGATGATGTCGGCGAGCAGGTATGAATTATTACTATTTAAATGGGACACGGAAATACGACTAGGGGTAAGAAGTTAGAAGATATCCTTTGCAATTGTATGCACACATGGAAAGGAAGAAAGAGAAGACGAAGAAGAAGAAAAGGATGGAAAAAAGATGGAGATTTGATTAACCAGGAGTCATCCAGCTTGTTTTTCTCATACTTCCTATGACTAATAAATATTATTTGTTGGGTCAGAGCAATCCTGTAAATGCTGTCTAAGTGGTTTTTGAACGCAGTTCCTGTTAAAATTGCATTTCCGAGTGTTAGTCATTCTCAATAAAATTTAATGTCTATAATATCTATCTGTGCTGCCATTCCGTGCCATCATTAAAAAAAGAGGTTTCAAAGGAAGCATGTTGTTTTTTATCAGGATTGTAGTAGGTTGCACTTGCGAAAGTTGTTCAACAAATCCCGATTTCCTTGGAGTGTTATGTTGATGTTCATTTTCTTTTTTTTTGTGCCACCACATCTCTTCTCTCCTCCACTCTCCTTCTCTGTTATTTCTTGCTCTCGTGCCATTTCCATGACAACTCTCACCTCCTCGTCATCTGGTTCCCGGATACTCGTTGAGGACTTGCTATTTTTTCAAAATGTTAACCTGGAGCACCTCAGCCACCACCACAACCAAACCAAATGCCTTCCGCTCAACACAGACTAAAGTGGCGGAGGAATTTTTACAAACGTGGGACAACGCTGTTTATGAAGGAAAGACGATTGGAGGTAAAAACTCATCAATTGATAAATCAAAAATTCGTCATTTCCTCTTTTTCAGATACCGATTTAGACAAAGAAGCAGAATTGTGGCGACAAAAGTTTGCGCATTTGAGAATTATCGGAGTAAACTGCGGCCCCTCCGGACACAAAGTGACGGTATGTTTGAATGCATCGCCGGAGGATTATTAATGTTTTTTCATAGATCCCCTCGACACAAAAGGCAATCCAGTCAAAAAGCGCAATCACATGGCGAGAGAAGAACCGAGAGTTGTCCCTTCCGAGAATTGACAAATTTCAGAAGAAGTGATTCTGTTTTTTGATACTCACATTTTAATTCCTTCCCCTTTATCTTCAGAAAGTGCATGCTAGGTTGAAAGAAGGCATCGCTCTTAGCTAAATGAGAAGGAGAAAACGGAAGAAAAAAACCTTAGAGACTAAAATTTTAATTAGACGGGGAATTAGTCGAGGATTAGGTGGTATTCTGAAGTGTCTTTCCTATTCCCTTTCATACACATGAAACTTCTTAACTGATTTCAAGGGAGGAAGGTGTTGTAATCGGTGCCAACTGACTGCTCAAAGACTAACTATTAAATCATTGCATAAAATAATGTGATGACAGATTCGTAATGTTTGCGAAGATCACGTAGAGACACTCATCCACTTTCTGCATTACATGTCCACACGAGACCCATTTTTTACACAAGTTTTTGCCAACTTTCAAGTAGTCCGAAAATGAAATTGGCAAGTTTCAAAGCCCTCGAGGCCATCACTATCGAACACTATCATTCTTTTTCTCCTTTTTTTCTTCCAAATATAACTCTCTATAGAGCTCTACCCTACCCTCTTCTAGCATAATTACCCACCTATCGCAATTCCCGCTTTTTTTTTGACATCTTTATTTCCACGTACTGTCATAAAGTTGTAATAAATATAAAAATAAAAAATAACATAAAAATATATGTCTCTTTCAATCGTGCGTCCTCCCTCGTGCAAGTCTTTGTTTCTGTTCAGGAAAGTACCTAAAAAGAATCTCCTGGGACTTTTATCTGCGACTTCCGGGGTCTTACTTCTTCATTTCCTTTTGGACAGATGCTCAGAAAAGATCACATCTTTCAGCCAGAAATTATTTATTAGGCTCATGGCTCGAATACCAGAAACGACAGCCTACTCCCAATCTAATTCGAGTTATTGAATAAAGTTATTCGATTTGAGCCATGTTGATAAACACCTCCCAAAAATACCACTCCCAAAGATTTTTTCTTTTTAATTTTACTTACTTTACTTAATTTTAATTTTACTTAATTTTACTTCTATGCTGATCAGATTTTCTCAGTAAGTTAAATAAACACAATTTAAATTGTACTCAACACTGCTTAAATACAAATTCGCGTTTTCTCGATGTCAAGATTCTTGACTCAAGAAGCTAACATGAACTTCCGATTTGTCAAAATGTAACATAAACCGATCTTCCATCATGGTTTTTCGACAATTGATTGAAGGTCGAATACTGTAGTTCCGACTTCTTCACAAATTGGTAGCAGAATGCAGTCGGATTTCACTTCTAGAAAGTTCTTTTTCTCAAATCGCATAATCTATCGAGCTATTATAGAATAGGCGAATACTTGTGAATTGAATAAAAATGGAGTACTAATCTTCAACATATTCCATGCATATTGACTTGAACTAGCATTTGATTTCATTCCTTCCTTTTCTGAATAAGTTTTACGACCAAACTTCGTAGAATGCTGTGAACTATCACTCGTAAATCTAATTCCCACCTTCACTTGGCCAAAATATCTCTGGAAACTCGATTGCAATCTAATTAGAAGAGTTTGCAATCTAATAAGAAAAAGCTCTATTTCGCAATCTAATCAGATTTAATTGAAGTTCCAGTAAAATCGTATTAGATTACAATAAGTTTTTCCTTAATTGCAATCTAATAAGAAAAAATTGCAATCTAATTAGAAAACATTGCAATCTAATTAGAAAACATTGCAGTGATTGCAATCTAATTAGAAGATTTTGCAATCTAATTGAAGCAAATTCTATTTCAAACGAGTTCGTATTAGATTGCAAAGTTTTCGAATTAGATTGCGATCGAGTTCCCAGAGATTTTGTTATTCAGACGCCGATCAAATTTCTGACCGATCTCTGTTTTAATCATAGGTTACCCTATATTGTGTGTGCTCAAGTTGAAGTTTTTACTTGAAAATTTTTGCAAGTTTAAATATTCCTTTCGAACTCTTCGGTTTGAACGACAAAAACGCTCTCCCTTGAAAGTGATTTTCTGAAGGAAATATGATTTCCGTTGTAGAAATTCTCTTTCTCTCTCACTCTCCTATGCTCCGCCCCTTTTAGACTCCTCCGTAACTCTTCGCCATCATCTCCTTGCTTCTCATTCATTTCTCCTATTCCAGCAGCGAAACGCTTCCCGGCTCATTTGCGATGGAGGCTCTTGACAGATTCACTCCTGAAGAGAAAGAAATTCTTCGAAGAAGCTGGAAGGTTCTTGATAAGAATCTGAATAACACTGCCTACAATATTTTTGAGATGATATTCAACCAGAGTCCAGACACCAAACAGGTACAGTAGAATCAAACATTGAAAACAGTAGTCTTTAGAAGGAAAAAGAAAAAAAAATACTAAAATCTTGCCAACATAATACTTTCTAACTACTTGAAAATTGAGAAAAGGTTGTCTCGATCAATTGAAAACAAATTGTTCTGAAGATTTAATCATCGCCGTTTCCAGCTATTTCCATTTATGAAAATCCAACAAGGCGGAAGATCACGCGAGATGGAATTTCATGCTCTCCGATTCTTGCAAGTACGTGTCTTGTCCGGAAATGTGTCATGGTAATCATATAAGCACTAAAAATAATTTTCGCAGGTTCTCGAATCGGTTGTTAAAACTTTGGATCATCCGGAGACTCTCAATCCTTTGTGCGACAATTTGGGGAGGTAAAACAAGCAAACAAATACAATCAGTTTCAAGCTCCTCTCGAGTACCTTCTCTTTTTTGCAGAGTACACGGCCGTTTGAGTGAGTCACGAGGCTTCCGCACTCATCATTGGGGTGTCTTCATCGAGTGCACATTATTCCATTTCCGTCGAGTTCTCTCCCAGGTATTTGCATTTTCTCAACTTATTGGGTAAACTTTTGCGGGGACGATATTTATGGAAGAAGGTTACAATGTGGCAAACAATTATGGTGGATACAATGACAGTGGTAACCACACTGAGTGGTTATCTGGTGTTTCAACTGAATTGCAAAGAACACCAACTGGAGTGATTCAGGATAACTACTTCCACCGAATGGAGGCTCTAGACAAAGTTATCATCAACTGGAGGACTATTCTACGTTTGCTCATCAAGCAGATGAAACGTGGATTTAATACTGATATCAAAAACCGAGCTGCCAATCGAGACGCGGAAGAAAACAACAAAGCATCGACGAGCAGCTCTCCGATCAGTCAGGAGTCTGGTAGTTTAGGTTGGATGAGAAATAAGAAAGAAAGAAAACACGGGAAGCATATTCTGTTTCAGTAGTTCCGACAATGTCGCAGTCTCTCACTCTACCAGTCATAAACAACAACTACCGTAAGGGAAGCGACAGTAGATGTAAGAGCTAAGGAGAAAGTTCGCATCCACATATATCTCTTACAGTATCCACGGTTTCTGCGGTGTCCTCAGTCTCGGTATCCCCGGCAGTTGAGCGAGCTCCGTCGACAGGACTGTTCCGACCTCTGAAGGAGTTTGCCCGTCGTCGCTTTATAAATCATTTTTGATCTCATTCATGGAAACTTTAAACCTACAGTACCCAAAGCGCAATTCACAAAATTGGAACAGCTTGATCTTCTCATGACCCTCCATTTAAATCTTATCTGAGAAATGCATATTTGCAAAATCGGCTTAATCCATTTAAGATCACGTCAAATTCAAATGCTTTCACTTTTAACAAACTTTGAACGCCGAATACTGTAGATTTGTCCATGAAAGTGTAACGTTTCACACATCAATCTATTTCCATCGTTATACTTGTAAAATATTTATGCCTATAATTTTCTTCTTTCTCAGCATATTTCATCAATCCATTTTGTCTCCGCCCATCCAAGCTATTTACTGCTTTTAAATTATTTTGACGATAAGCATACTTCTTCAACTAGTGCAAAATTTATTTCAATATGATAAACAAACGAGAGCGTTTCGATTCACATTTTTATTTACGAAGAAGAGCGTGCACACAGGAGGGGATGTCGAGCCGGAAATCAAATAATTAATTATAATTATGGATGGGGGCGAGATGAATTGAGAGAATTCTGAGAGAAAGAAAATAATTAGAAACGGAAAAGGAAGTGAGAAAGAGCAATATACAATCAAATCTCTCTAGTTATCATCGGTGGCTTTTGCGACAATGCACGTCTGTTGTTGAGTTCCGTCGGCACAGTAATCGAAAGAAGAAGAGGAGAAGTCATGCTCTCCTTCGATGCAGGTAACCAAGTATCTGAACTTTCTAATTGTAACACAGATCTGAAAATGTTTTACTCACCTGACACCCTCGTACTTCTCCTTAAGGCTAGCTACAATGTTGTCTCTAGATTCCTTGGTGGTTGTTCGGACTCCCTGAATTCATAATATTTCTTTAATTATGACTTGCAGCTGTCACATTCAGGATTATCTTTCTGAGCTCGGGATTGGTACATTTCGAGTCCTCGCTTGCTGCTCTCTTCTTCCTTCCACCGCATCCGCATGGGCATGGAGGTGGTGGTGGAGGTGGCAATTTGAGAGTTGGGACATTGAACGAAATGACGGAGCATCCAAGAGTCGGCAAACATCCTCCGCCGCCACCGCCACCGCATCCACCCCCGCATCCTCCTCCACAGCCTCCGCCACCACCTCCACCGCTTGGGAAGAGGAAGGCATTGGCCGAAATCACGAAGAGCGCTAGTGTCACCGCAGCTCTCTGCAAGTATTGTCATCCAACAAAAAAGAAAATAAAATTATAGCATCTTACCATATCAGATGATGCTAGTCCTCGGTTATAGTGAAAAGTCGGGCAATAAAACGAAAATGGCAGAATTGAGGATATCGTTCATTTATAAACATCCCTTGTTCTATGGTAACCAGTTCCGCACGGCAAGACTGATGCCAAACGAATCTCCGCCCCAGATCGACGGGTTTTCTTTTGAGATGGTGTGTTGGTGTCATCGGCAGCGGATGGGACGAAACCGACCCAGCTTATCACTTCGATTACATCAGAACAATGTTATACTGTCAACTAGCATACTGTAGTCTTATACGTAATAATAACATTCCTCCAATTGCCTACTGAAAGTAGATGCTGAAGTGTGACCATCTTAGCGCTTCGCCCGTCCAATTGGCTGAAAGCAGATTTCGATCAGTTGCCACGTCGTCACAAGTTCGTTCGGAGACAACAACTGGTTGCGAGTGCGCCACTGTTTTGGCTGTTATCCGCCACGATAAGCTTGTCCCTATAGACTAGGCTATAGTAATCTCAGACAAATTGATATCATGTGTCTAACTTTCACTGTTTATTATAGATTAAATACGATAGATTGAGAAGAATGAAAAAACATTCATATACCAGTACAAACTTCGGAGAAATTAGATACATTATTGCAAACTTTTCATCACTCTAACCATTGATTGAAAAAGTCAATCAACGTATCTGTGTCCCATTTTTCAACGCTGAGAATTTCTTTAGTGCTGAGATCGATATCTTTGAGAGCAACTTGCGGGCGAACTCCTCTGACGTGCTTCACTCGGACTTTCCCGCCAAACTGACGAGCCATATCTTTGTGAACAAACGCTGAAGAACGAACGAAAATTGGAAGAGAAAAAGGTTGTCAAATAGCTCTTACCTTGAATCTGAGGGAACCTCGCCAGATTGCATTCGCATACTTCGAGAATAGCAATGGGATACTTCTGGAATGAAACGGTAAGTGCGTTCTGCCAAAATAATTTAACAAACGCTGTGCTTGAATTCTTCTTCCTTCACACAGCATGAAAGACAATCTGTCATAATTGTTTCCAGGTGGTAATCCGAGAGCCGTTCACATAGTCCACACTGAAATAGAACGATGATGTAACTAAACACCAGATTTGCCCTCTACCCAAAAAATTTCCTAGATATGGATAGATATGGATGAAATGAATATGACGGGAATTATTAACTGGGCATCTTTTGAAAACCTACTTTCAATGATTCCGGATTGAATCCAGCCGCTTTGCATTCGTCCACGTCGATTTTATACTCCTCAAGCTGACCGAACCCGGAATAGACGAAGAAACTGGTTAGTAACAGTAACCTCATCGAACAGGACAAAAGAAAGTTTGTTCTGATGATAAACGAAGGCACAATAAAAAAAGAGAAAATGCTCAATCTGACGTCAACCCTCTCGTGTAGACGCAAACATAGAATCGTACGACAACTACGTCAACTACTTCATTCCATGGAAAATTTGAAGATATTGAACGGGCAAGATAATTAGGAGTAGAAACATATGTAAAATTATACCAGTAATCGCATTGGATGGAAATCAAAATGTTTAGGGATAATTAAGGGTTGGGTTCAGTTCGATGCTAAGAGAACTTCAAGTTCTCGTCAGCGACTAGAATTTCTGTGGACTGCTTCAGCATAAACCTGAAAGAAGAGATAGAAAAGAGTAGAACATTGAAACGTTTCACCTAAAGTTTTTATTATTTCTTATTATTCTTGGTGTAGCGTACAAGTGCATGCACTCCATAAACGATTCTACTTCTGAAGTGGACGAGAAGGTCACTAGAACTGCTTTGTCATTTTCAGACACTGAGTTTTTCCATTTTTCGCATCCTAATGCCACCACTTGATTTGCTTTTATAATTTTTTTCTGTAAAGCGTTGCAAACTTTCCATAAATAAATGACAGCTTACGGTATTATGAACAATTTGGCGAAGGTAGGCATTGTAGTCATCGTTTGTTGCAAACTCGCTGTTTATGAGATATTGTTCTTTCCTGAATGAACGAGTCAGTAGAAGTAAAAATAACTTGTATTACGATGCCACTCTTTTTCCACGGTAAAGAGTATTGTGTCTCTCCAGCTCGTCAACTTTTATGTCAATTCTAGACAGGGCGGGCACGAATGCTGTAGAATCTCGGAGATCCCAGTTACCTCTCTCTGTACAACAAACTGAAAAGTCATATACTTAGAGAAAAGACGACATGAAACCATTCTTACATTCCCTCAAGCGGATATGTTTTTCGTATAAATCTCTTTTCATCAAGAATGATCCAATGGGCAAGTGTCCTTTGATACGGTAAATAGATTGACCATCTCCAGAGGTTTCCTCAAAGCCGTTCGAATTGAATGCCTGTGCAAAGTCTACTTCAGAGTCTGCTTTAAAAGCGTCGTAAATGGATGAGAAGTAATGAAGCCAATCAATTGAAAGAGTGACGTCTTCTTCGATAACAATAACAGAAGAAGAGTCCGGGAAGACGGAAAAAGCGTTTGCCAGAGAGAGTAACAAAAGATCTGTATAAATATGCTAAGCTGCTTTGAATTTTTGCTGTTTTTTTACCATTATACGAACCATTAGAAGTGATTTCCAAGCTTTTCACATGAAACAACGACGCCAGATCAGAGTTTTCTGGGTACTCTTTGTCGTAGGTGACCAGAACTATTTGAGTGTTCAGTCCTTCTTGATTGAGTAGGGATTCTAAAGTTTCACGCAAAGAATCAGGGGCCAGTCCAGAAGCTACTAGTATTGGCACATTGAAAATGGCATCGTTAGCCCTCTGTTCATCACGAAGCAAGCGTGGCATTATTGGAGCGTCGAGGCTCCCTACATTGCAGAAATTCTCGTGGCGATCATACTTGGCACAAAAGTGTCGTTTTGGTAGGTTTCGAACGTCAGTCGTCAAAGAAGAATCTTTTCTTCCAGCCCATTTGGAAACTGAAAATCGCAATGGAAAATTATTTCTAGTTTTTATGGGTCTGTCTACGTTTTGTTTGGAATGTCTGTTCGTTTCTTTGTCCGTCACAATTTTTCATTTCTAACAAAATTTTTGTGACGGGAAAATTGAAAATGGAAACGTGAACTTTCAAACAACTCATGAAAAAAAAACCAACGAGATTTGGGCAAGCAGAACGATGTTTTGATAGGGGTTGCCCAGTTGTTTCCCTGTGGAATGTTCAAGTCTTCAAAAGGAGTGTAGGCTCCGATTCCTTTCTGGCCTATGAAATACCATGAAGCGCGGAATTTCAATCTGTCGATCATGCTGGAGCCCATTTCGTAAAAAATACGACGTGCCATGTCAGACATCATGTTCGAAGCTTCGTCGAAACTTACGACGGCGACTATGTAGCCAGTAGGAACGGCATCCAACCACTCTTCCAAACCGCGCGACTCTGTAGACAATTTTTGAGAAAACAAATAGAGCTGCCTTACCATCTTCATAAGTGTCAAAATGCGCTACAGCGGTTACTCTTCCGGTCTTCGGTTCGAGCATTGCCAGGTTCAGACCTCTTCCAGCTTTATTCAGCTCCTTGTCGAAGAGCATTTTTCCATCGATGCACATTTTCGGGTGATCATCTTTATGCTCTCCCGAAAAAAAGTGAACTGATATGGTAGCATCATTACATTCGTGTTCAAGACCACAATTCTTCCAGTAATCTCCATACGCTACATCTTTTTTTTGTAGTAAATCTGCTTCAAATGCACCGAGCTCCGCTAGTTTGGATTCGTCGACTCTGAAATAGCGGTGCAAGTTACTCATATTGCGGAAATCCTATCGGCACTTTAATCTTTACAAAAAAAACGCGTGAAATAAATACTTTAGAGGTTCAAAATTCGCCAGGCTGAATTTACCTGTGCACAGTCGGGTGTTCTAGCTCCAAGTTGACCGCATTTGTTTCAGCGATTGGAAGTTCGAAGCATCCTTCATACAGCTTCCCAGATAGTTCCATGAATCCGGAAATTATCTCATGAGCCTCTCCTTTTTTTATTCCACGTTGGCCAATGATCGTATACGCACTCCCACCTCTCCACGTATCAATTTTTCTTGCTCCAAACGCTCCAAATAGCTGGCGTGTCTGTCGACTGACATGCTCTGCTACATCACCAAAAGAAGCTGCCACAATGAGAGAAGCATGAGGAACTTTTCTATAAACATTTAATCAATAAACGCTCATTAAGCTTTAAAGACGCTCACAGCATCCATCTAATCAGTTTCTCATCCGAAGCGGTGACATCGAATGTGTTTTTTTCAATGATATCTCCGTTCGAACCGTTCAAAACGGCAAAATTGATTCCACGAGCAATGTTCACAGTGTCAAATAGTTTAATGTCGTTGAGACAAGCGAACGGCGGAGCACTGTCAGTTTCTGTTTGCACGCGGAAAAGCATCTGAGGTAGAACGCACGTGCTATCGTAGTAGCACTTTTCTTCTGAACGCAGAGTATTGTTAATTTTAAACGAGGCTCTGTGACTAACCCGATTCTAACCGTTCGTTCTTGTTTTTTATCAGTAACTGAAATGAAGCATCTTTGGTGAATAATATATAGAATAAAATGTACCCAGATGACAAAAGTGCAAATAATAACAGTATTCTTCTGTTACACTTTATCATCTGTAAACTTTCTTTTGTCAGTAGTTTTTGGAGTCAAAATAGTTTCGAAGTTATTTGAAGGCTCAAAACCAGTGTCCATAACGTGTGTACTCCAAAGGATTATCTTTATATTCGTTTCATTCACATAAATACGATACAAATTTAAGCAGTTTATGGTAATTCTATTAGGATTCAATAGTAGGGATATTCAATTTGGAAAGTTATTCTTAATACTTTAAAAAGGTGGTAAGATAAAACTGGATCACCAGATTGGACGACGGCGATTTATTATCAATGTCTTTTGATTGTTACTCTTTCTCGATTCTTCTGATTTTCAGTGGTTTTTTCAGTTCGCTGCCACGCCGTTTAGACGCTTTTCTACTGAATACGCTCTTCATTCCAGAACGAGGACGATTTGAAGCAGCGATATGAGGTTCGACACGAGATGTGGCAGAAAGTCTTGCAAAACAGATTCTAGAATCTTCGCGTGTGCTGAGGATGAGAACCTGAAAAAGATGAGGGACCGTCTCTTGATTCGGATATTATTATTACGCAATTTACCTCGTCATATTCATTTACATGAAAGGAAGATACATACGGAACAGGGAAATCCGTCGAAACTCGATGGACGAAGCCCATTGTCGCATGGAAAAGCTGTAATACATATTCATGAGCCGGCAAAGTACCAGGTTCACGAGCCGGCAAAGTATTCAGGGTGCTGGAAATTGTGAAGCTGTAACTTCCCACAGAAACTTTACATTCATCTCTAGCCTGGCTCATTTTGAAAAACACAATACAATTGAACTCTTCTCAAAAAAGCAGATATCTCTATGTTCGATTTCTGAAGACTCTGGCAATTCGATATTAATTTAATTAGAAAGTTACGATCTAATCTCAACCTAATTGGATTCGGCTGTTTTTTCTTGGCTCAATCGAGATTTGAGCCAGCAAAGGTTTGGCGTGAAAATTGATTTGAGCACTTACTCAGGCAAATCGTTTCTAATCTAACTAGCTAATTCTCGTTTCTAACTGGACCTAGTTAGATTGCTACAGACTTCTGAATCTAGCTAGCTGATTTTGCAATCTAAACATAATTTAGCTAGGTTTGCCTGAAATTTTAATCTAATTAGATAAATTTTGAATCTAATATCAGTGTTTTTGCAATCTAATTAGCTTCGCCAGTCTAATTAGAAATTTTATCAGTCCAGTTAGAAGAATTTGCAATCTAATCGCAGTTAATTAGCAATCTAATTAGGTCCGGTTAGAAACGCGAATTAGCTAGCTCGATTATAAACGATTTACCTGAGTATTAACCTAGCTAGAAGATTTATTAATTTAGTTAGACAATTTAATAATCTAATTAGGCCGCCGTATAACTCAAGTAGACTACGATTAGATTAATAACAAAATGCCAGACTCTGGCAATTCGATATTAATCTCATTAGAAAGTTACTGATCTAAATGCGACCTAATTAGATTCGGCTGTTTTTTCTTGGCGCAATCGAGATTTGAGCCAACAAACGGTTGGCGTGAAACTTGATTTGAGCACTTATTAATCTAGCTAGAAGATTTATTAATCTAGCTAGACAATTTATTAATCTAATTAGGTGTCATATCAATCTTATTAGGCCGCCGTATAACTCGAGTAGACTACGATTAGATTAATAACGAAATGCCAGAGGAGGATAAGTTGAAAAAACCGAAAATCCCATGTATGAAAAGCCGGGCTGTGAGGTTCCTTAAGCTTACGTTGTCAGCACTCACTTTAAAATGATGATTCTTCGCATCAGCAATTAGTACATTTCCATTTTTGTCGATTTGAGCGCCGGCAACGTACATAAAGTATTGTTTGTTGAGCATTTCATTAGCTTTCAGGTTAAGAACATCCTGTAAAAATGATATCTAAATTATTCAGGTGTTTGTACCAACCGTTTTAATAATTCGCAAGGTCTGGAAGATTGTGTTGCGAAAATCTTTGTCGTTAAGTCTGATGTGAAACACAGTCTGGACTGTACCCAGATCTGTAATAACTACAGTATCCGCGGAAGAAGCGATGAAAGATGGTCGATCGGCTTTGTTCAACTCGAAAGTTTGTTGTCGAAAATCATCGGAGAACAACCTGAGGCGAGCAAAATTGCTTCTTGGTCTGTCCATCGTCAAAAGGTTTCCAGCAACTGATCGAGCCAACCCTCTTGCCGGATAGGTAAAGTACATATTCTTGTTTTTCCAACTACAGTATTCATAGATTTCGCCAGAAAGAATGTCTATCACACGGATAGCTGGTTTTTGCTCAGAAATCGGATCTGAGCATAAAACTGCAATGAGATTTCCTTCTTTGAGAACAGTGATTGCCGACACTTTAGTAAGCAAGGAGTTCTCGATAATCGACACTTTTCTCTCGCGTTTCTTGTTACGTGCGTCTATTTTCAAAACTCGATCACCGTCCGTAATGAACCAATTGTCAGATTTGAGGTCGTATGTGACTCCTAGTGGATATTCAAGATTGAGTTTTTTAATGTCAATTGGCGATTCGACCTTTTTCATTTTCAAATCTGAAATTCTAAATAACAAAAAAAAACAAATATAAGAAACTAACAAGGCCGATTTGTCGATAATCTATATGAGAAGGAAATATCCGACACTTTCTGCTCCTCATCCTCAATAACAATATCATAATAATTCGAATCTCCAGTGTGCGAATGTGACGACAAGCTGGATGCTTTCGGTGTTATACTTCTGCTTTCAGAATCCCTTTCATCTTTTTCCTCGTCGTTCTCAATATACTCTTCGTAGTCGAGGTCAAGTTCGTCGTCGGCGAGTACTTTTCTGTTGAAGATTATACTTGCAGAAGAAGTAGACTGACGGGATGAAATTGAACGGCGCGAAGACATTAACGCCGGTGAATTCATTTTGAGATTTGCCACTTCCAGTATGTCATCTTCCGACAACATGGTCTTTCTGGCTTCTAATATTCCGGCAGATATTTTTTTTATCTGCAAAAAGACAGTGGATCACAGTGGGCTTTTGAAATAGATACGAACAGCGTTCTCAACGAGCGTGACTTCGGTCTCAGTGAGATTGTGCTGTGGCTCATTATCGATAAGTGATCTCATTATTTCGAATGTCCTGTATTCTGCATCACTGGTGACCTGTAAATCATCGAGCAGATCATCTGAAAATAACTAAACAGCTGAATTATGAGTACTGGTTCGATTCACCAGTCGACGACATCGTTACAGATCTCCCTCGGAGAGAAGTACAGCAGCCCCCTTAAAATGAACACGATAGAGTGAACTTTACACTTATCAAAGCGTTAGAAAAAATTGGTAGGATGCAACGGGTCCAGTTTTTAAAAGTCTTGTGGCGTTATATGCACGCGAAAACATTATTTATCGCTGAGAAAACAAAAATAATGCCGAACAGAAAATTTGTCGTATACTTTAATGCTTTGTCGTAAGTAGTGTCAATTGCGGACTGCGGCCATGCAGACGCTTTTTGAAAAATAAACTGTTTTTATTAAATGAAATCATCAAGTAAGTACGGGAGCAGTTACAGAGGAGACCGAACTGATATGCTCTGCTTGCAACTGCGCATAATTCAGGAAGTCTAGAATATCATACAGTTTTCTTCATTTCGTTAGTCTTCGGAGGCTAGGGCAGAGATCGAGTCCATTAAATTTGTACTTTCATGTACATACCGAATCTCAGAATACTGTAGACTTCCAGAATCGTCGAAATCTAAAATAATAACCGATTCCAATTTAATTGAAATTCGTGCTCACTGATTTTCGGACCAATGACTAAAGGAACGTCGTATGGCACCATTTCTCTCCAAGTCATGCACTTCTTCTTTGACCAAATATTCTCCTCGCCACGATTCTGGTTCCTAGCGACTTCCGGTAATTCGCATACCATCTTCAGATAAAATGGAAGTCGATGGGTGTGATTTTTATGAATTCTGTACAAGTTCTTCAGCTTTTGGAAGCTTCTTCCCCCTTGGTCCAAGAGCTTTATTAACACATTGTTTGATGAAATCAGTTTGAGTATCTGGAGAAACTCTTTGGCGTGTGAGCTTGAATACCTGACCTACTTCACAGCGTTGCCACGATGGGCCGGCCCGTTTCCTATTGTGAATCGCAACAATCGCATAAACTTTATTCCTTGGTGCTTGCATTGTTTCTAATCCAGACGAATTATCGCCCAAAGCATTGCCTCTGAAAAATTACCGAGTTTGGTCTGAAATCTGGTCTCTACAAACATCTCGTCGTAACTGAGTGGCTTCTGATTCTTTAACTTTGAATAAAAATCATCCACGCTGTTCATGTAATCGGTCAGTTCATCAAACCGCTCGAATATCCACTGCTCATCAACTAGAACATACTGCGTAATTGGAATGTTTAATTTACAAACCTGCATCCTTCTCAGGGACAATTGGACAAATGAACATATCAGAAGGCGAGATGATTGACTTCGGCTCTATGAATCCGAGAAAGCAGTTGTCTTGAAGATATTTATTTTTCAGAATGTTCATGTTCCAATCCGGCACACAGTATCTTCCAATTTCCCAGTCCTCGTCGTCATCATCTTTCAGATATCCAGATTCATGATTCCAATCACTTGGCAACTGTCTTCGGAACTCTTCGATTGAAACTTTCGAATCAGAATCCAAATCAATAAGCTGTGGATCATCCATGAGATTTGTGGGTAACACACACATTGATAAGTTCCTCATTGCGGACAAACATAACTCTTCCACGCAAATCTTCTTATCTAGTCCGTTCCGACTTCTCATCCCGTACAGATTAGCGAGAATTGAAGGACGGTCTGGTTCAGTAGACATATCAACTTGGCATGCTGTGATTTCAAAGAACTCAAAGTTCGAAATTAGTGCCTTGAAATCGGCACATTGCTCGGCAGACCATTTATTTCCCTGAACCAGTAACAGCTAATATCTCAGGGTTGGAAAGACATACAGATAGTGGCACTATTCTGCTCAAAGTTATATGCAACACTTGCCAAGGATAATATAGTTGACTTTCATCGATTTGAAACAGGCACTGTAAATTCCACTTGATCAGAAATCGGAAACGAACGGAATGTAGAACTACCGTTTTCGAAACGTCTGCCGTGATCGCCTCATCTATGAAAAAAATACGACAAGACTCCGCTTCCCCATTTTGATTTAAGATAACACATCGTCCAAAAGTACGTTCCTCTAGTGGGGCTAGAGCAAAATTTCCCGGTTCGAACAGAACTGCTGGTGTGAGTTGATATGGCTCTCGGTAGATTAATCTGTCTCGAATATGATCGAGCGGACGAACAAACAAGGAGTACGGTGATTCCACACGAACCACTTCTACGAATGCCGAATCCTTCAGAACCATTCTTCTTATCTTTAAAGTAATTATTTTTAGGTAACACCTTCAAGTACTTACTCCTTTTGTGTGATATTCATCCGGTATTTCATACGGAAATGTTTCAGCCATCTACAATATTGCAAACGTTTATCTAACAGGGCCTGGGCCCGCTGAGCGGGATACTTCACCGTTTGTTTGAAGGTTACACTCTGTTTCTCAGTGTTTCCGTCTTTTTTTATGAATGAAAAAGGTGGTACTTTGTGAACAATTCATAGTGGTTGCAGGTTATTTCTGCTCATGCATCGTGTTCAACTACAATCCGCGTGAATTGAAAAATTGAAAAGCCTCGCGATCGCGGTCGGATTTTCACATGGAAATGCGGTGTATTGCGTCACTGCACCGAGTTCGGCGGCAGAACCCGCAGCAGCGGGGCTACTTTAAAAACGCATTTTCCCGATAGGAAGTGTGGAAATCCTGAAAAATAATTATATAAAAGCGGAGAATGCTCTTTCAAAATTTATTATACACATTCGTCATACAAGTAATGCAATAAATAATAATCTATTTCCAAATAATTTAGATGGGGGCTCATAGAGGAGCGTAATAAAAACATTTAGAAAAAAACAGTACTCATGTCCCGTGTCAAAAGGAAAACGTCAGCTCATCACTCAGTTCTTGGCAGTGGAGAGGAAAGCCACAAGAGCCGCCGATCCAGAAGTGGAAATAAGAAGATTAAAGATTGGAGCGACGTTGGCAAGAAGGAAGAAAGCCGAGACGAGCATGATGGTGAGGAACAATGTGTTGGTGTAGAAGATGGACAAATATGTGGATTCTGTGTCAGCAACTTCGTTCTTGCGGAAAAGAGCACGCTCTTCCTTTTCTTTGATGGTCATCTTCTTGTCGTTGGCATACTTTCCGTTTATTTCCCTATCAACTGCGGGTCCACGCTTCATCACAATTCTGAAAACAGAAAAATAGAGAGCTGTTGTATTTTAAAAGGCTTACTGATGCTTCAGAAGTCTCTTCTGGTTTTTGCATGCCATAGCCAGGAGGTAGGCGGTGGAGATGCTGGAAAGAGCCCAGACGATCCAAGAATCGGCAACCTGGAATAGAAGATTGTTTTCAGAATTATTCTTCTAGTTCACGTTGTTACCTCCATCTGATGAACTCCGTAGAAGAGGTAAATAGGAGCAAGTGAAATAATCAACGCATTCGCGTAGAAAAAGAGTGTTCCCTTGGTAGAACTGGAAGCCGAGTAGCTGGAAAGCAGAACTTCCTCCTCCTTGGTGAGCTTTCCCATGTTAGAATCTGAAAAACAGTTCATGAAACAAAAATACCATTTGAAGGGAAAAAGCAACAAGATGTAAAACAAATTGCCGTGAAAATATATTCGTATGACTACTTTCGTTGAAAGAAGGTAAGACTACAACGTGTCTTCTTCAACTCGCCATCATCTCTTGCACTCCGCAACTACTCGTCGCCGTGTCTGCAGGCGCTCCGCCCCTCGCGGCCTGCAATCGCTGCGTGTGTGCCCCTATAGTATAAGTCCCCATGTTACAAGGACACACACGAAATCAGACTACAAAGGGCTTGGCAGCAAGCCAAGGTGAATACCGTAGTCTTCAAAAAATTATGGACAGCAGTTGGAGGTTTCTCTATCGGCACTGTTTCCGTCGTCTGTCTGTCTGTTCCATTCTGTTCATATATCTCGGGCAACCGTCTGAAATTTTCATTTAAAAAATCATGGTGCTTATTATTAAATAATTGGTGCTGTTTTTCAAAATTTTTCATCTATTTCCTCATTAATTCTCGTTTCACAAGACTTTTCAAATATCGAATACATTTCAGTGAAAAATGGCCGACACTGGACGCAGTCCGAGACCTGCTGGAGGAGCAGTTCGTCAGCGCAGAGGAGGTTAGTTTTTCTTTCAAATCCATTTCACTAGCAGTTCTAAAAACTCCTTTCATATAGGAGCCACTGCCGCTCCCGCCCGTGCTCGAGGAGGAAATAACGGAGGATTGTGGCGTTTCTACACAGAGGACTCGACCGGACTCAAGATAGGACCAGTCCCAGTTCTTGTCATGTCTCTTGTCTTCATCGCTTCGGTCTTTGTACTCCACATCTGGGGAAAATTCACCAGAAGCCGCGCTTAAATTTCTCGCACGTCACTCCTTCCGGATATGGGTTGCCTATCGTCTCTCCGTATTTAAATAATTTATGGTTTTACCACAAATATCCATGTGATTTATTTATAATAAACGAAATGTATAGCCTATCATTAAAAAACTGACATAATATAACAATCAATTGTAACTGAAAAATCTTCTACCAGTCAATCAATCATCATGAATGGTCATTCTCTCCTGATCGACCTGCTTGAGTCTTTTCACTGCTGTCTGACGCCATGTGATCTTTTCTTTTTCCATCAGCTCATTCACTCGAATGTCCCATTTTGCCGCAGAGGTTAGCTCCTAAATAGAAAACATAACTACATAATTGTGTAAACGGAAATAAAACCTTTTCATAGTCTTTTTTAAACAACCTATAAGCATCATTCACCGGTTTGTCAATGGCCATTGCGTAGAGATGCACGACAGCAGACAATGTTAATCCGGAGCTCACTCCCAGTCCAATTGCCTTCATGGATCCCAACAGACCCAGCGGGAACGTGAATACGCCACCAACTAGAGCTACAAATAGAAACTTTTGCTTCTTTTGGTTCCTATACCTGTGTGAAGTAAACAAGCCGTCGCACCTGATATTGCCGGAAAATACCAAGAAGAGAATTTGTCGCGGTAAGCTGCAACATGAGTAGCTAGGAAACTGAAAATATTTAATTGAATTAAGGAGGAAGAACGCATTGATTTACACAATAGATCCAGATATGAGAGCACATTTGAAGCCTGTTCCAAAACCTCCTTTAGCGAATCGTATGATTGCGTAGTCAATTTTTCTCTTCTAGAACGATATTTCTTCAACGTTACAATTTAAAAACACGGTAACTACATACCACAGCATCACTTGGACTCAAATATAGCCTGCCGACATTGTTAGTTTCGTATGCATGTCGCGCTTGAGCATATCCAGTCGCCCCACCCACCAGAAACCCTCCGAGGAACGACATTCGGATGACCTGAATAAAACAGTTACGAAGTGTTTCCTAACAGTTTCTTATTTAGATCTCACTCTGACGGTCACGTCTATTTCCATCGAATTCTCCTGCTCGTAAATTGCTTTAACTCTTTGCCATCCCGTCAATTCTGCTCGCTTTGTTTCAACAAACACTTCAATTAGGCTTGTTGTGGGTTCTGATACCGTATCCAATTCGTGTTGGGCAGGAATAGTCTGTGTATCAAGATCTCATCCACGAGATACTCAGCGAACTCACTGTTTCTGCCTTTTCTGATCGATTCCATCCCAGCCAGCCCCACCATCCGACGCTGTGTCCCGTCATAACACCAGCTGAATGCTCAAACTTCAGAACTTTTTCGATCAGTTTAAAAAATAAATATCGCTGCGAAACGATGGTATAAAACAGGAACAGAGGATAAGATGAAAATAGTTTTAAAAAATGACAATATAAAATTTAGGCAGCAATTAAAAAGTGAGTACTAGTTTGGCTTAGAAGTCATTGTCGGCAACAGTGCGACACCATGGAAGATTTTCGAGAAACGCTCCAGGGCATCTACAGTTGGGTGAATGTATGTTATAGACTGAGATGTGCTCGATTCTGAAAACGTAAATAGACATAGGGAATATTGGTCTAAACAATCACTTGAGAAAGGAGATGATAACTTCGAAGACATGAATGTTTTGTGTACAAATTGAATACATCCCAACTTCTCCAGAAGATCAGCCATTTCTCTTATTGCGATCGGCTGCATGGCGAATTCGTACGTAAAAAGAAGGTCTTCTAACTGAATTCCCAACTTTCCAACAATGAGTAAGAGGACACTTTCCGCGATCCATCTAACAGCGGGAAGAGAGATTGTGCCTGTAAGATTAATGTCTAAGCATTCGATCATCGACAGATTTTCTAACCTTCCGGAGACAACCACGGCCGTGGGCACCACTTTCTATCGTTCACAGTGATATTCCAAGCAGCTTCATACTCACTGCTCACCAAACGGCGCTCATCTACTCCACATTCCAGAATATACTGATTATCGTTGAGATCCTTCAGAATAATAGGAATTCTTTCCAGTGGGAACTTGACCATTGAAGATATTTCTTTGATTGTGACACCTGCAGCTTTAGAAGCTTTGATAACGAGTAGAACGGCACGAATCTGCCTTCTGATCGGTCCTTCAAATCTTCTTATCCAATCGTCTATCAGCGGTTTTTCTTGAACAACTCGCGATCTGTAAACGTCTACTATCTTGTGGATCTTCTTTTGAATTTGCTTACTTGTCAAGAAACTTCACAATTTCGTCTAGCATATCTTCTTGGTCGCTGTTTTCTCCGGTTTTTTCGATTATCACATGCACTTTCTCGAAATGAAGATCGGTAGACTCCAGGTAGCGAATCTTTTTGACAGTTTGATCTTTGTCCATTTTTGAGAACGCCTCGAGAATGTCATCGTCTACCCTCATGTCCAGGGTGCATTTGCTTGAATAGAATGTGCTCGTCGCAGCCACAACCACTTCTGGCATGTCACCGACGAGTTCAAGAGTGTCTGGCGACGCATCGTCTTCGTATTCTGCCATAAGACGACCTGTCCCCTCGATCAGGTCAGAATGGAAGCGGTGGGAGAAGAAGTGTCGAAAACTGAAATTCGATAACAGAAAAATGATCTGAAAGCGGGCGTTACATACTAGTACGATAGAGTAGCGTGATTCTTGTTGGCCAGGTCGGCCATTGCTTCCGCAGTTCGGCTCCTGGACACTAGGCCGTCCGTTCTGAGGCTTTGTAAGACCGATTGAAGAACGGCGGGGGGGATTTGATCGAGCACTTTCTCAGCAAACTCGCTGTTTTCCGAATGTATCAAGACACTCTAAGAATTTAAATCGTTAAACTCAATTCATCGCTATTGCCCCTCGGTGTTTGCAGACGCAAGCCAAAATTTCCTGAAATTAGTCTTGAGTCTGCAAACACCGAGGGGGCAAGAGCGGTAAATTGAGTAATCAAAATGTTTTTTTTTTTTGAAAAAACAGTTTGAAAAATATTTTCTTAACAATGAATAAGAGACAACACGGCGAATATTTGTGAACACGGTTTGAATTTCCCGCCGGTATTTTGTTGCTGCGTAGCGACTCGTCCGCGTGCTGACGGAGTACGGTTTGCGATATGAAGCGGTAAAAACAGACCAGAGCATGTTCACAAATAGACATGGACAAGCTTCAAAAATAGCTTTGGATCGTTGTAACCAGAACAATGAAGTGTCAGCCCTAATTTGCTCATTTTTTTCAGTTATTCGGGCTGCGCGGGCCGGACTGATGAAGATAGCTAGTAGTGCTATTAGCTACTTCAGCCCGATTGCAGGTATCCGTCCCGAGCAGGGCTGGGCAATTGGCTGGCTCGAGCTTTTCGTTGACCGGCCCTTGACTTGGGCATTTAAACCACTTGCAATATTCCGATCGGACCCAAACTTTGCAGGCTTCCTGGACATGGGTTGAAGCATACTAGGACCAAGTTTCAGCCCGATCGGATCATCTGGTCCCGAGATATGTAGATCATGTTTGGGTCCGATCGGAATATTGCAAGTGGTTCAAAAGTCCATGTCAAGGGTCGGCCAACGAAAAGCCCGGGCCGGCCAATTGCCCAGCCCTGGTCCCAAGATCATTCTGAAAAACTGACCAACAACACATTTGAAGTCACGCAATGTTGAATGTGACCGATTGTGAACGGCTTTTGAGATCGGTATGGCAGCGAGTTGGAAACCGCGTTTTCCTTTGTGACGGACACGTTTCCACTGATCAGGAACTGCTTGAAACTGGCATCAGAGATGGAAGTGTGAGGTATACGGTCGTTATCGCTAAATAAGAGTTACTTTAAGGAAGAAAGTTTCAGGAAAAACTACACGAAAAGAAGTCTCATGGCAGTTCGAAACGCATCCTTGAAGAATTCTGTCTTTGACTGAGTGGGTGAAACTGGAGTCGAGCAAAGCTCGGATCTCAAACGTCTCATTTCCTAGAAATTATAGCTATTAATAGATCGGCAATCAAAAACTTACTGGGAACGTGGAGAGGTTCCTGACGACTCTCTGCAGGTAGGCTAATCTGTTAGATCGGACAAGTTCACGGACTCCGCAAGCCATCAAACTCTGCACTGTTTTGTTCCGACTCTCAGGAACAAATTCATGCATCAAATCACGTAGCACTGTAGGATCGAGCCAGAATCTATAGACAGGATTCAAGAAAAAGCCAACAGCTCGGATCATAATCAATTGGTCTCGTTCTTTAGGGCTAAATCGACAACGGACGCTGATTCGAGAAGAGGAGCTCACGAGATCCACACTGTCCGGCTTTCTTTTCTTTGGGTTCCTCAGGAGTTTCTGAAAGGGGTCAGGTTAAATGAATAGTTTTAGAAAACGCGTTCACCTTTTCTTTCGACTTAGTTTTAAAACTTCGGAAATTCTTCTTTACTTTAGGTGGACACTCCACATTCAGAGAATTCGAATTCTTCATTGCATCACTATCAGTCAGAGTGAGTCTCATGAAGTTATTCCAGTCCCTCTGGAGCACCCGTACCTTTTTTTCAATTATCGGCTTCATAACTTCTGAACACTTGCGGAACTTTGTTACAAACCAAGAGACAATGAGATGGGGAGCGGTTAAAAGTTCCCAATGTCGTTTGAGATGTAAGAAAAGAGCACTGTCAAATCCGGCTACTCCATCTCGGAGCGTGTTTGGACTCAAAGTTCTGCTCACGTCTACGTGTTGCCGTTCCACTACTTTCTGAAGAGACAATGTTTCGTTTAAAAAACTATGTCAATGTCGAATACCTTGTCAAATACGCCTATCGAGAAAAGCTTGTGCCTGGTGGCACAGCGTTGTTCACCGAAATCGTCACTTCTGTATGAAAGAGGAGTCGACTGAACGATAGCACGCAAATGATGCCAATATAGAGTGATTTCGTCCCTGGTTGTAAACTCGTACTCATACTTCTGATAATTTCCAATCTCGATTGGAGGGTTCACACATGCATATCCTTTAGCACTGCTGCTGGTGTCGACCAGATGAGCCCTGGAAAAAGAAAACTCGTATTTAAGAAAATGTATGAATCTCAACCTTTTTGCAATGAAAAACATAGAAGAAGATGCTCCTGGAAAACGCTTGACTGATGGGTTCGGGCCCACTGCGGCTAGACCCATTGCTCCAAGTAATAAGAAAGCATGCTCTAGCTGCTTGTGAATTTTCTTTTCTTTCATCAGAACTTCTCGGACTTCAACAGGAAGATAGCCAAGGCAAAGATGTCGCTTTATGGGATCCTTTAGAAATGTTTGTAACAAAAAGCGCTGGAAACAAAATTTGAAATTTCAGATTAATTAAATATTAGTTTTACATCTATCTTTCTTGGAACGTAGTTGGTGAGCACAAAAATTGAGAGTGGCATTGCTGCCAAGAAGTCTTGAACCATAAACCATCCCTGATCAACGCCATCATACTTGGGCTGAGAAGGCATGAATCTGTATGGAGATTCCTCGTCGAGGAACACTTCAGCGGTAGCCTCATCTTTCACGGGCCATGTGTCAAAGGCTTGTGCGGGTGGAAATCTAAGATAGTAACTCATCACAAGTTGAGAAGAAAAGAACATACAGATTGAAAACTGAGGATTTTTTAAGTTGCTCCGAGCCGCTGAAACCATGAACAAAGTGAAAAGCGATCTCGTGTAGCACGTGCAGGCGAATAGCTTTTGCTTGATATCCCAAAGAATCACGTCCAAAATAATACATGCTTGATCTTTTTTGTGGGTTCGAAACAGCTGGACTTTTGGCTGAAAATAGAAGATCACTATACATGATGAATGGAGAAAACTTTACCAAACAAGTTGACCATTGCCTGATTCGGATCTTCTTCGACTGTTTCATCGAGAATAGTTTCGTCGGGCTCTTCCTTGTGCGTTTCTCCCGTTTCTTCTTCCTCTTCGTCTTTGATGTTTTTCTGACAATGCAACTGTTTCTAGATTGATTTACTTCAGCAACTTACTCCTTTCCAGCTGTTTCGAAGAACCTGTACTCGGAAAAAGTGATAGCGATCCTTGACGGTTCTAGATTTCGACACATCTTCATCAATCTCCTCAACTTTTTCTTCAAATTCTGTTGGTCCAGTAACTTCATTTCTTTTCTTGAGCACTCGGAACTGGCCATGGGGAAAAACTCTTCCTTCTTTGTGGTACGAGTCAAGAATGGTGGCGATCGCTTTGTAAACTTCGGGATCGTCTACTTTTTTGATTGATTTGTGTCCAACTACTTGAATCTGAAAGTGCTCTTGAAAAATTGAACATTCAACAATACTTACTTGATAATCCACATTATCAGATCGTACAGTAGTCTCCCAAACACTGATCAACCCTTTACTTTTGAGAGCCAACAAACACTTCATCACTGACTTCTTGTCAATCTGAATTTATCTCGGAAACTACGTAATAAAAAGTGATAGACTCACTTGGAACTTATATCCTTCGGCTAACTCTTCTTCAAAAATCTTTTTTATGACTCGGTTTATGGTCACAATGACTCGATGCTCGTTTACCATTGTTAAAAGTCGGTTAAGCCTCTTCAAAGTAACATCGCTTATTCGGAGCGTATCTAAAAAAAAACTTATATACATTCTGGAAAAAACTAATGGAGCTCACTCAGTTTCTTTTCCGGAAACTTCAGAACTTCGCCAATCTTGAACGGACAAGTCTGTCCGGATAACGCTTCAAACTCCAGGAGCAGTTTTTCAAACTTTTCAGGTTGTTCACTTTCTTTCCAGTAATATCTTAGAAAAGAGAATGGTGAATACACTGTTAACGCTTACTAGGGAATGGCCTGAACTTACCTTGGGCTTTTGGAATGGGACCTATATGATTCGAAAGAGAATTTCACGGAGAATCCGAATCTGTGCTCCATTTTTGCTAAAGAGCACTGGCTGGCGAGAAAATCGCATCTGAAATTCCAGTGCTAAATTCATTTTTTAACATGTAATCTGCAGTTTGGTGCAGAGGGTGTGGGCGCCCGAGCGACTGTTGTTGTCACTCGCCCAGTTTCAGTGCTTCCGCAGCAGCTGGATGGTCGAATGGTTAGTGAGTTAGAGTTGTGAGTGGTAGGTATGGGGTTCGTGTCCGCGCTATGGAAAAGTTTTTGGCAATATTTTGCTCTTTTTTTTCGAACAATTTCTGGATATCACTTTTGCATTTTTTCGTCATTATTTTTTTAACGAGTCGTAACTACTGACCCTTCAAAGTCCCGAAAAATGAATCTCGTTGCTCTGACTCCAGTACTCACTTTTTTCTGCCTGTTTCTGCCACAGTTTCTAGCAAGTTCATCTTCGGCGACCTGTATCTCACGAACCACGCGTCCGTTGCAAAAGTGGTCAACTAGTAAGTTAACGCAAATTATCTCGTGAATAACTTTGTAGTTGATCGTCTATTTTTAAAAAAATTAGTTTTCGAGTTATCGTCGCTCTGACCCCAGCTCTTGTCGCTCTAGGAAAACAGTTCATAACTCGAAAACTAATTTTTTAAAAAATAGACGATTAACTACAAAGTTATTCACGAGATAATTTGCGTTAACTTACTAGTTGACCACTTTTGCAACGGACGCGTGGTTCGTGAGATACAGGTCGCCGAAGATGAACTTGCTAGAAACTGTGGCAGAAACAGGCAGAAAAAAGTGAGTACTGGAGTCAGAGCAACGAGATTCATTTTTCGGGACTTTGAAGGGTCAGTAGTTACGACTCGTTAAAAAAATAATGACGAAAAAATGCAAAAGTGATATCCAGAAATTGTTCGAAAAAAAAGAGCAAAATATTGCCAAAAACTTTTCCATAGCGCGGACACGAACCCCATACCTACCACTCACAACTCTAACTCACTAACCATTCGACCATCCAGCTGCTGCGGAAGCACTGAAACTGGGCGAGTGACAACAACAGTCGCTCGGGCGCCCACACCCTCTGCACCAAACTGCAGATTACATGTTAAAAAATGAATTTAGCACTGGAATTTCAGATGCGATTTTCTCGCCAGCCAGTGCTCTTTAGCAAAAATGGAGAGCAGATTCGGATTCTCCGTGAAATTCTCTTTCGAATCATATAGGTCCCATTCCAAAAGCCCAAGGTAAGTTCAGGCCATTCCCTAGTTAGAAAACTTACCGAATTGTTCGAACTTTTCCATTCATTTTTTGGAACTGACCAACATGATCCGGATGCTCGTTAGTGCAATTGGCAATGAAATTAGTTACCTTTCGCCCACCAGTTTTCACAGTCGCATCATAACCGATAACTTGTCCTATCTAGAATCTTTCATAACTTAAAAACAAACTACCGAAACTGCTAAGACCTCATATCTGCCCATTCCTTCGGTACCCGTTCTTCTAATTGTGTCAAGCACAACATCGGATGGAAGTCGATATATACTTTGAGGAGTCCAGCGACCCGGAACATACGGCATGTACCCGCTTTCTTAAAGTTTTTCATGGAAGAAATGAAAAACATACTGTATTGATCACCTTTATCCTTTTTGAAGTGAAGACGGCTATACTGCTCATAGCTGAGAGGTCCCGGTGTGGTACGCTTCCTACGAGAAAGAGTCGTTTTTATCTCGAAATCATCTTGTTGGCCATCACACGTTTCCACAGCCGATTCGTCTTCCGCAGAACTCTCGTCTTCTATGGAAAATTCTTCCTCAGATGTCTCCTCTTCTACAGAAAACGTCTTTTTTTGAAATCTTCATAATTATCATCATTCTTCATTCTTATCAATAAAATTCTTGAGGAGTCTGTTCCTCTGTTTATTTATTCATTTGCAAGCCTTTTGGAACCGAACGTGTAGACGGACAAACGGATAAATAAACAAACAAACAATCAAAAAAACAAACAGAGGGACAAACCCGTGAAGAGTTATATTAATAAGAATGATTTTTTCTTGGTTTGTCCGCACACGTTTTCATTTCTAAAACTCGAAGTTTTTACGGAGTAATTAAGAAATGAACACGTGAACTTTCGAACAGTTAGAAGAAAATAACTAGCGGCGACGCCGCTTTCAAGCGTCAGCTCGGTCCGCGCAGCGGACTCGCGTTGATGTCTTGTTTAATAAAATAGCTATTGTTGTCTGTCCCTTTGTTTATTTATTTGTATTTTGATTTCTCCGCACACGTTTTCATTTCTAAAACTGAAAAAGTTGTGACGGAGAACTTAGAGAAATGAACACGTGAACTTTCGAACGGTTTTGCGAAGCAAAAAAGCGGCGAAACCGGTTCGAAGTAGTGTTATCTATACTTTCACTCACGTTTTATAACCCGTTTCGGTTTTTTTGAACAGCTAGGACGTGACGGCGACATCTGAAACAGTTGTTAACAGATGTCTGAAGTTCGAACGACGTCTGGACGGCGAGCGGTTGCGTAAAGCTTTCTAGGCCAGCAAAACTCGGCCAGGACGGTAAGCAAACGTTTAGAAACATGTTTGCGCAAAAATTTTAGCTTCGAAGTAAGTTCGCAAAAAATTTTTGAAGCTACTGATGCTACTGTTGAAGCTACTGAACATATATTGATAAACGGATGTAATTTCGGATAGCCGAAAACCAGACTAATTTAGTACTGCAGCAGTACTGCTTCGGGTGATTTTGTTAAAACCAGTTATGACGCAATTTATTCGCAAACATCCTCAATATCGTCAATTCTGATGTCTCTACTGAATATAGTAAGAATCATTCTATTCAGGATGCATTTGCTTCTGAGGAGGAGCAACCCCGGGAAGTTTATCTTACTTTTACATCAAACTCAGCCGTCGTTTCTTCCTCAAGTTATAGTTGATCGAACTCTTTGCTCTTTCCCACACACACTACAAGGTAAGAATGTTCTGAATCACATTCTATTCTTCCGTTCAGCCCGCCGTTTTCCACAGCGGTCTTCGAAGTCGAAACAGGGAGCAGCCGAAAGAAATCGCCAAAATGAATTACCCAAAAAGTGGGAGTTCGAAATCAGTTGGAATTCAAAAGGCTTCCGAGAAACGAAGAATGATGCTAAAGGTGCTTCCGAAAGCGGTAATAATAGCAATGGGAATGATGACAACCCGAAAAAGAAGTTAATGGAAACAATGAAGCGGTACTTGGCCATCTCTCTATTCGCGTATGGATTGTTGTTCATGTTCGGGTATGATATGCTTTATTCAGTGAGAGGTTATCCATGAAAACGTTTTCAGTCCCAAAAACAACGGAATGAACGCCGAGAAGATATCGTGGAGTGAGTTCATCAACGACTTACTGCCAACTGGTCAGGTGTACCGTATTATCGTGTTTCCTGAGAAGGACACAGCCTTTCTCTATCTTTATGATACGGGAGCGAAGAATTCGAGAGGAGAACGTCTAGCCAGTTTGTACCGCGTCGGTATTCCTTCTGTTTCCCGATTTGAGACAGAAGTACGTGCCGCTGAAACAGCTATCGGGTTACCACCGGAGCATTGGACTGAAATCGAATTTCGAAGAAGCGAAAACATAGCTCAATGGGTCACTATTTTTTTCCTCGGTGGTTTAATTCTTGGAGGATTCGTACTCTTCCGCAAATTCAAAGGATCCTTCAATATGTCCGATATGATGTCGAACATGACGAAAGGAAAGTTCACCATCATCGATCCACACAGTGTCGAAGGAAAAAAGCAATTGAAAATAAAGTTCAAAGATGTCGCTGGTTGCAGTGAAGCGAAAGTAGAAATCCGAGAGTTTGTGGACTATTTGAAAGCCCCAGGAAGATTTACAGTAAGCTAATATGTTCCGAATTTCGATAGTGTGCATAAGCTAAGTTTTTTCCAGAAACTCGGAGCAAAGCTTCCACGCGGAGCTCTTCTCACAGGTCCTCCAGGATGCGGAAAGACACTTTTGGCGAAAGCCCTGGCTGCTGAATCAACTGTTCCTTTCATCTCTATGAATGGATCCGAATTCGTTGAAGTTATCGGTGGTATGAGTTATTAGTGAATATTGCTCTTAATATTTTCCTCTTAGGTCTCGGAGCTTCGAGAATTCGTGGTCTTTTCAAAGAAGCTCGTTCGCGAGCCCCCTGCATTATCTACATTGACGAAATTGACGCAATTGGAAGAAAGAGAAGCGAAGGACAAGGAGGAGGCGGTTTCGGAGGCGGATCTGGCGAAGAAGAGCAAACGCTGAATCAGTTATTGGTGGAAATGGACGGAATGGGATCTGGCAACGGTGTGGTTGTACTAGCCAGTACCAACAGAGCGGACATTCTTGACAAAGCTCTTCTCCGACCGGGGCGTTTTGATAGACACATCTCAATTGATTTGCCAACTCTGTTGGAAAGGAAAGACATGTTTGAGTTGTATATGAGGAAGATCAAGTTGGATCATGCACCCCAGGAATACTCTCAAAGATTGGCAGCCCTAACCCCTGGATTCTCAGGAGCTGACATCATGAATGTATGCAACGAGTCGGCAATCCGAGCAGCGTCGGATAAGCATAATGTCGTCACTATCAAAGACGTAGAATACGCTTTGGATCGAGTTCTCGCAGGATCCGAGAAGCGGAGTCGTTCTCTTGTTGAGGAAGAGAGAGAAGTTGTTGCATACCATGAAGCAGGCCACGCTTTGGTCGGATGGATGCTAGAACACACTGATGCCTTACTTAAAGTGACAATCATTCCTCGAACCTCGGCAGCGCTTGGTTTTGCTCAATACTCTCCACGAGACAAAAAGCTATTCACAAAAGACGAACTATTCGATCGAATGTGTATGATGTTGGGCGGACGTGTCGCGGAGAATTTGAAATTTGGAAGAATCACCTCTGGAGCACAAGATGACTTGCAAAAAGTCACAAATTCTGCATATGCTCAAGTCAAAATTTACGGAATGAGTTCGACAGTCGGACCCATGTCGTTCCCGAACTCGGACGGATTTCAGATCAAGCCATACAGCAAAAAATTTGGAGCTCTATTTGACCAGGAAGCCTCCCTCGTTGTAGCTAAAGCAAATGAAGCTACCACGAGCCTGATATCCCGAAATATGGACAAATTGGAAACGGTATTTTCAATGTTTATGAAAACATTTATTTTAAATTTCTTTTTCAGATTGCCCAAGCTTTATTGAAGCGAGAGGTGTTGAATTACGAGGATGTGAAAAATCTTATTGGCACCCCGAAGTTTGGAGACAAAAATGTCATTGATATGGTCGAAAACGTTCTTCCAAATGACGAAACATAAGCTCAACCAATACCGGAACATTCCAAAACGGGTTCATTTTTTCGATCGTACATAGAAGACAATAGTTATTGTAGCTCTCATTTGCGTTTGTTTCTCCTTTTCTCAATAAACCGCCATTCGGCACATTATTTCCATATCGTCAGAACTTTTATCCTGGAAAAATGTTTCACGAATTTCTTCCTTGGTAACTTGAACTATAGTTGTGGGAACGAGCAGAAGTTGTGCGCTTTTTAAACCTTCTCCCTGAAAAACTCGTGCAGCGTGACATTCGGCGAGCATTAGCATGGCACTGCGTTGAGTGTTCACGATTTCCGATTTAGATTCCAAACGACCATCTTCTGAAAACTCAAAAAAATCGCTTAGAGTTCCTAATAAGTAGCTCACCAGGTCGGTAGATTAAGATGACGGTAAGAGCCCACTGCTCAACTACACTCAAGCACAAACTTCTGATAGTCTTAGCGATTGCTCGAAGTTTCTCATTGCCAGATTCGTCGATCATAGTCATTCTCGGTTGACAGATTACATGAAAAAAGAGCAATGAATGCCAGCAGTTTGAGAAAAGGATCTGAGAAGTGAGTTAATAAGTTAAATTGAGAGGGAGTACAATACCCTCCGATCAGAAGCTTGAAAAGAATTGGATGGAGGAAGAGACGACCACCAGCGAACTAAAGACCATGCACAAGTTGTTGACTCCGTACTAGGATTGTAAAAATTCAACATAAAACTAAATGGTTTTTTCCGGGAAGTGACCATGGGTTTAGCTGGTTTCATAGAGTTCGGATTTTCGAATCCTAATCGCTCGTTTTGCACCGCTGTAAGTAGCTTTAATGTATTACTTCGGGGACTTCAACAGTTTCTTCAGTAAAATTGTATGCTCTACTTCGTTTTCACGTAATCTTTTATGTCCCGCTTTCTTTAATTTTTACGCAGAAAAAAACGAAATTCCCTTCGAAGCGAAATTCAGCGTTTGAAGGTCACGTCAAATTACAATTTGGCGTAGAAAGGCAAAAGTTCGACCGAATATAATAAACATATTATATAACACGTGAACTTTCGAACAGTTAGGAGAAAGAAACAAGCGGCGCAGCTGATTCCGAGCGTCAGCTCGGACCGCGCAGCGTGCTCAATTTTAGAACGTCTTGTGTATTATATATATAGGGGCATCTCACAGAAATGGCGCTCTGTTCGCAATCTGGCCGAACTTCTAGGCCGAACTTCTAGGCCGCGAAGTGTTTTTCCACTGAAAACGTAGCCTAACTTTTCAAACTCGGCCCCGAGGTCGCTCAATTTGCACTGAAAAAAGAGTTTCTGAATAGAGCGCCATTTCTGTGCGGTGCCCCTATAATAACTATAGTTTACCATGTCTGTTCATAGAAACAATCAAACACTTCTCGAATCGGCATGCTTGGCACTGATTCCGATGGATCACGTCGATTACACACTTCTTCGATTCTTTGCAAGTATATTTAAGATTCCGTCGGATGGACCTTTTGAAGAAACCTCTACACCCGTCACACGAAAGAACACCGTAGTGACGACCTGGATAAATTTGTCTTTAGAGCAATGTCAAAAAATGGAAGAGTACAGTAAACCTACCAGAAGCGCGATCTCCACAAACTCGACAGGCAATGCAAGATCCGAGCATCTTCTCGTTGAGCGACTAACTGTGTGGGTGGATAAAGATAATGCGTGCCTTTTGTCGAGTGGTTTTGCTCAAAGTGAAGAATAGATACTCAATGAACGTGAGAAGATTGGTGAAAGAAGAAGAAGAATGAGCTGTGACATTCGAGAGGCACCGGCTAATCTCCTTCGAAGAATCCTTCTGAGCAGCTCTTCTCTTTTTTGACTTAGCCTTTCGTTTAAGATGCTTGAAGCGTAGGAAACGTTTTTATTGCAAACATTTGAATGCGTCCACAGAAGGCAAAAACTAAAACAGATAGGGACATGGAAAAGGCACACAATTAAAGGAAGTACAACTCTACATTCATCCAAATATCGATAAACCAGAAAGCGTTTTCTTTAAAGTTTTGAGATTTGCAGGACACGCTCTCACATCGGGAGATCGAAAGGGACACTTTTTAATAGGGGTTCGGAGAGAAAACAGAGCGATTTCCTACAAAGTTGGCATTTTAATAGGAACTGTTGGTGTTTTCAACGAGTCGGTGGAAGATGGAAATTTGAAGGAGGTACTAGACTGGGACGACATCATAAATGGGGCGATTGGGCTGATTAGGTTGGTGAAGGTGTTCATCATTGCATTGCTTTGTAGTGCCGACACAGGCGGGAATTGGAACACCTGCAAAAACAGATATGAGTCGTTCTTGAAAGAAAATAATTCGCTAACCTGAACTTCAGTATTAGGAGTCCTGGTTGTAGATCCATCAGCTCCTGTGCCAACAAGATTCTTTGGAGTTGTCAGTGGCGAGCGGAAGGGTGATTGTGTTAAGAGAGGTGACATTTGTGGTCCATAAAGTCCCGCAGAAGCAAGAGATGCCGAAGCGATTGCATAGAGTTGGCCGAGAGAAGATTGGAATAAATTCGGAGAGTTTTGATGAAGAGGAATCAAAACAGGCGAAATCGGTGGGAACGCAAAGTTGGAAGTGGCCGTGAGGTTCAGTGGGTTCGGCTTAACTCCTTTCTTGACTGGTGGTGGCTGAGAATCGAATTTTGTTGAAGACGCGACAGAATGTGTAGTTGTGGGAGCTGACGTCGTTACTGAACCCGAAGATGAGAATGAGGGGGAGAGGGATCGTTTTCTAGCATGACGAGAGGAAAGCGTAGTATCCTCCAGTGGAGAGGATGAGGACGGGGCCGGTGAAACGGATTGATTGACGGTGGTAGCTGAACCGAGACTGCTAGAAGGAGAGCATACACTGAAATTGACTTGTGACAGAAAGCTTGTATACAAAGAAACCTGTCAGTTGGGCTTGGAGTGCTAACACTATGTGTTGCAGTCGTTGACTCGGTGTTCATGAGACTGAGAGCGGAAAAATCAGTCTTCTGAATGGGTGGCAGAAAGGAAGAAATATCTGAAAACACGTATAAGCAGAGCAATTCGAAGATAGAGCAAAAACCATGAGGAATGTCCTTCTCGTCTTTCGCATTGCAAAACTTGAGATGCTGATATTCGGGAACAGCCTGAGGATCCGTGACGAACCGGTACACGAACTTCTTACCAATAACCTTTTTGATGATGTTTTTCTCATAATAGTATCTGAGGGCTCTTGACAGCTTATCGTAGTTCATATTGGGTTTCGCTTTCCGTTGTCCCCACTTCCTCGCTACTGCTTCTGCATCGATCAGACGGAATTCGCCCTCCGCTCCTCTTGTCCATTCGATAATATCGCCATTTTGGTCTTGCTGAAGTAGTTCGAGCAGGAACTGCCACAGTGTAATATTGGAGTCTGATGAGGGCAGACCCGATGCAGGTGGCCCAGGCGAGCGACTCATCAGATCCGAGACGTTCATCTCTTTCTCTGAAAGAAGAGCAAATTTTTAGAGAGAAGGGAGGGGGGGGGCACGGTAAGAACTGATCGATTATCTCTTTGATTACGAGGAGAAAAGGGAAGAAGGGAAGCCGCGTAGAACGGACGGAGAAGAGAAATACAAGGCGATGAAGAAGAAAGAAAAGATGGAGGACAACAGGTTAAACGGAAATTCATTGATTGGATGGACAGGTGAGAGAGGATTGTGATAAAAAGGATTTTTCAAGTTCACTGATTTTACGACAATTTGGGGTCTACACAGACATACAGAATTTAGCTAAGTAGGTATGAGTGAATAAGGAATGAGTCTTGTTGAAGAAGAAAAACATCAAAACCAATGTACCGCAAAAAGCGGCGAATGTGCTATAAGTGAGTCATAGACAACTCTCGGGCACTTCTATACAACACAGACTGTCATCATCAAATAATAAGACGTTGTTCAATTGGAACATTGAGCCAAATGAATCTCATCTCCGGGACCGCTGCACAAAAAGTAACCAGAGAGTGTGTCTTTCAAATTCATGACTCATTTCACTCTGTCACCAAAAATTTGCCGGTGGTGATGGGTGTCCAAAAGCGATAGGACACTGAGAAGAAAAGAAGGGAAGACGGAGTGTAATTGATAAGGTGTTTATGTATGATCGCTAGTCAAAAACTGGTTTTTTTCTGTCCCGCTCTCAGTTCCTATCAACTGTGATCGCATGACTTTCAATTCTTACCACGAATACTTTTCAAGGAATGATTAACAATCTCCTCAGCAATCTGTAAGTATATCAAGAAAACACTGTTCAATGTGTGTGCTCCGTTGTCTCCCGCTTTACAAAAGACAAATACTTATGCTAATAGGGAAGATGATCGGAACTCAGACGAACTCTTCACCGTTTGTTTGATCTCAGTTCGAACCGATTTCTCGGGAGTTCAGTCTCGACAGCAAAACGAATTTCATAAAAAGGAAAAAGAGTGAACTGATAAGAAAACTGTTTCCGGGCGTTGATGTCATGCTAGCTAGTATATAGTCGTTGTCTGAAAATTTACAAGCTCAGCGATAACAAAAAAGCTGAAACAATGAAGAACGAAAGAAAATTAATTCTTGCGATGTTCAACAATGCGAATGGGTGTCTCTTTTTAAGTGTGTTTTGATGATTACTACTAGCGCGGATATTCAGCCGATGAAATACATCGCCCAAGCTAAGAAGTCCAAATAATGTGTCTCCTTTCTGCCCCCTCACCTCCCGTGCCCACCTAATAAAAAAACACATAAAAAAATGATAGATAAGTGCAGATTGAGGTAAGCGGCAGAGTCAAAAGAGTTAGTGGAACCCACTACAGACCTTCCACCCGGAGTGGCAATTGATATATTGAGGCATATGGATGGCCGTGGCCACATGTTTTAAATTTAGGGAGACTCTTCTCTAAACTTCTGGTCAATCATCGGTTTGGTTTTTTTTTCAAGAAAGAAGAAGAGGAAGGGAGAGAACGAATCTTGTTGCGCCCAACGCGCCGATAAAAAATAAATGAGCGGATTGCATGGAAGGGTTGAGAAGGAAGCGATAATGAGCAGTTTTATCGTTTTCATAGCGGAAACATCACGGAATACAGTGGAACAAACGAACAAAGAGCGCATTTTAACGTGGATCTACTGACACATCAACTCCAAGGAATGAGCGAAGCTTTCAACCGGCCGTTGTCAACCTTCTGGGTGTGTAGGGATATATGTGAAAAGTTAAAGCATTCTCGGATGAGATAGAAAGGTTCCTAAAAATGGGTGCCGATTGGCCTAGAAGGAATTTAAAAAATGCTGCAAACTACGTAACTGTCAGACACGCAGACATCAGGGCTAAATAATAGTAAGAATTGAACGGTAAAGATGAATTCGTATAAGTCACGCGAAGTTCTGTACATTTCAGAATGATGAGACCGTCAGAATTGACTGAACAAATTCATTATTGCGGTCTGTTCGTCCACTTAAAAAGAAAGAGAGAGAGAGAGAGAGAGAGAGAGAGAGAGAGAGAGAGAGAGAGAGAGAGAGAGAATAACACGTAGTCACTTAAAAAAAACTTGAAACTCAATAGTCTCCCTTTCTTTCTTTTCAAAAGTTCATAGTGCTCAGGGCAAATAATTCAAACTTTATTAGACTACAATTCTTTATAAAACTGGACCCGGTCCGAGCTTACGCTTGTTTGTTTCTCATAACAGTTTGAAAGTTTACGTGTTTTTTCTCAAGTTTTCCGTCACAACTTTTTCAGAAATGAAACGATTTTATAAATGAAAGTAGGGACGGACAAGCGGAGAAATAAATAAACAAGCAAACAAACAGAGGGACAAACGCCCCAAGAGTTATCTTAATAAAAACAAGACCTTTAAAACCGGGGTCCGCTGCGCGGGCTGGGCTGACGCTCGAAGGCGGCTACGCCGCTTGTGTCTTTCTTATAACCGTTCGAAAGTGCATGTGTTCATTTCTCAATTTCTCCGTCACAATTTTTTCGTTTAGAAATGAAGTGGGGACGGATAAACGGAGAAATTAACAAACAAACAAACAGAGAGACAAACCAGTGAAGAGTTATGAAGAATGATGATGATGATCTTGAATCAGAAGTTTAAAAATGTTGTCTAATTGACTTTTTCACAGTGTGACCAGTAGTCTTTTTTTCTCTACCATCATCATCATCATCAGCATGACAAGGAGGAAAGGAAAAGGGGGGGGGCAACCTAATTGCGGCTACTTGACGCAAAACAACCTCCGGGAGGAGTTGAAAAACGGGTGGGTGAGAACAAGTGTTACCTCTAAGTTTCTCGAAAGTCATTACTATTATTGTTATTACTACCACTGTTGACGGATCTAGATATTCACTTACTCGACAGTAATCGAGGCCATGACGGTTCAATTCGGTAAGCTCGAAAGGCTATGAACCGTGTTTTTGACAGCGGCAATCGTGAAGGAACGATTTATAATTGAAGCGTAGCCGAATCCTTCTCCAAAAGTTATGTTACCGGCAAGTTCAAAAGACGATGTGGCTAATGGTGCAATTGTCGGATTCGTGGTAAGATGAATCATAACCTTGAAGTCGAATAGAAAACAAGCGGTGGTGAGGAGAGGAACTTGGAACAGTGTGATAGGGAACTTTGGAGATACCTAGACCCTGAGGATCATCCAAAGAGTCCCATTATGTGAGGTGGGTCATCTCGATGGTACCAGGACCAATGGGCTAAATTTTTGTGAGAAAATTTGAATGATTTACCTTGCAAAAAGTTAAAAGGGATTGGCGGGTTACCCTCCGCATATCCCGTAGGCCATGGCGAGGAACGGATACAAGAAGACAAATTGCGACAAAACGGTCGTAGACACATATAGGACAATCAATTGACACCAAATGGGGCACACCAAAATAATGATGGGAATTCCATGAAGAGAGGGATTTGAATTGAACGAACAGAAAACAATATGGAGAAGGAATTCTGTTGTGAGGTTGAAATTATAGTCTTCAGAAAAAATGTTGAACGGAATCGGTCGAGTGCGATGGTACACTAGGCAACAACACGTGCTTCAAGAATGCGTAGGAAGGGGGTGGAGACTCCGAGACGGGGAGGCCGGATGAGAGTGTTCTTCTGAAGAGGAAGAATAAGAAGTGCTGAGGGTGACGGTGGAATCAGATTACGGTAACGACAGCAAGAATGATGGATCGAAAAGCGGCAGGAGTGTCCGGAACGGCGGCACGGTTCGTAGAAAGAGGGGAGGCAAAAGAAAGATGTTTTCGATTGATACAGAGGGCAAATGATGACAGAAGAAGGGTGGAGGCGGCGGCAAACATCCGTTCTATATCGGTTAATTGGATTACAAAGAGCATATACTTTTTAGGTAAACACCATAAATAGTGATGACCTTGTTTCAGAGTTTCAACTCAAAATGAGAAAGCTTCGAAATGGTGAAATCAAATACCTGCTGGAAGCAATGCAATCGCACAGTAATCAGATTTTGGACGAGCGGACCTATCATCCACTATATCACAATGCGATATGCAAATATTGTTGGGTCATAAATAAATCACGCGTCACCCGGGTGTTCTAAGACTTGAGCCCGGACACGTCTGTCGTAAAAAGATTGTGAGGGTCACACTTTTTACGAACATTCCACCACGGGGAGCCTGTCATTCATATCGGCTTATGGTCATCAGCCTCCACTACTCTTTGTTTTCACACAAAACGAAAAAGAGAACGGATTTTACATTTGACTAATCCAACCCTTTTCCGGCTTTTTTCTCGAGAAGATATGGTTCGTTTGAAACATCGCATTTCATTCGATGATTCACTTCCGGGAAGATGGCTAGTTAAACTGACTTGGTGTTTCACATTGCAAAGGAGGATGCGGAAGACGGACAACGAGGAGCGTTGGTCGACAGAAAAGTATGGTGATGAATTAAACAAAGACGGTAGCGGATAGCAAAGTGAAGAAGATCATCGTGTGGAGGGCGCTGAGAAGCGAGAGACGCCATGATTGATTTGGCCAACGGCCTACTCCATCGCCTACTCGGTGGTATTTGTGGTTTAAAGTGCTCCATCTTTTATCGGAAGAAGCATATCATGTGAATTTGGGTCAATTCTATTGTCCTTCCAAGTGACTATTAATATTCAATCTGCTTAAATCCGCGACCTCCTTGTCACAATACATTTACTAATGTATTTAGTGGACGTCTCAAATAATAATCCTCAACACTATGGGGCAAAACAGTTAATCCCCCAAGGTGGCCTCATCCTTTGTACCCTCTCTTTCATACGCCCGAACCGTCAAAACCCTTCAATTATTCTATATGGAAGTCACCGACTTTTAGCGGTCTCCGCTGGAAGTCTTTTCCGTGACGCAGTCACACACAATTATCTCGATAAGGTGTGAAATGGAAAACAGAATTCTTGCGTGAGTAAGAAGCGCGTATGTTTCCTTCGAGTCTTCCGAATTCGCACTCCAATCTTTACTAAAAACCTCTTCTGTACACACTTGGGGGTCGGAAAGTTTCGAGAAGTTGGTGAAAGAGACCCGTGCGACGAGAGGTGGGATGATTTGTTTCATTGCCGAGATAAGACGCGTGTTCCGTTTTTTGTGTACTGTCAGTGTCGGGGGGACGACGATCTTTCTCGCGCTTCCGCTTTGATTCCGGGTAAGATTAAAATGGACCGAAAAAGAAAAGAGAGACGTACTAGAGGTCTGTGAGATCTGGGCTTTTCTCTAAGAACTATAAATACGGTGGTTGACCACCATTGAGATGATGACAACGAGGAGACCTGTGAACAAATGTAGCCGGAGAGGTCGGCGCCGGTTCAAAGAAGCATATGTTACATTATGTTGTAGTAACTGTCATCTAATCATCAGAACGTTTATGATCGGCACAACAGGCAGACAGGCTGCCGTTCTAATGCTTTTGCGGACCGATCGCGCAACATGTGTGTAGTAAATATGTCCGTGTATCATGTCAGGAGCCTCCCGCCAATGGGAACCTCAAAGGTGATTTTGTCGAAGGGGAGGTGGTGACGTTCAAAGAAGAGAAAGGAAAAAGTAATGATTATGACACCCTATGCGTTCTCCTCCGCAATACCTAGATTACAATCAGTCGCACCTTTTTTATGGATATCCTCCGCCCGACAGTAACTCGACCTTTTCTTATCGGATCTGACATATCCACAAAAAACTGTAGAGATATAATAACATTTATCCTACTTTCAATTGTTTCTCAACATATTGAAACGAGATGGTATCACGCTTTTGTTAACATCTGTGTATTGTTTTTCACTATGGTCCTCTTTTCATCTGATTTCCTAAGCTGCAGCTGAACTTGCGGATTATTGTCATCGAATTTGACGGATCACTGCTGCGTGAAACGCCCCGACAATTCGAGAGCATTGCCGACAAACAAAATACCGAAAGCGCTCTTGACTTGAGAAGGAGGACGACCTCTTCAGTACTACTGGCATAAGGAAGACATAAGATATATGAAATATTAATTTCATTTGAAACACTGGAGAATGAAGATCGCGATTTGTGGTTACTCGTAGTTCGGCAAGTGCAATTGAGAGGTCACTCTCAGGAAGAAAATGAATACATAATTTATGTGACGAGAATTCACTTTCTGGATACTGTAGAGTTCCTTATTCTCCGAAAATATTCATATGTTCTCATTCAGCTCCTCTAACCCAGCTGGTTTAACTTCGCGTCTACAAACCTAAACAAAATGTTGCTAGTTGCCCACACAAAGCTGGATACCTTAGTGGCACTTACTAATGGGAGCCATATGTGACAATGTATACAAAAGAAACGGATTGGGTGTGAAGCGGATTATCATCTCAGCTCTTAGCGGTAGGAAAGGGTAATTATAGAAGGAAGCGGCAACACAAAAGAAAGCATTTCACCCAAAATGAAAGAAACGAGAGAAGTGGTAGGACGACGGAATCGAAAAGCCAAACACACACCATTTTTCATCAAATCACCATTTTGTTCGGAAGGGGAGAAGTGCCGTCAAAAAAGATTCACTCTTATCAGATTTTTCCGAGATCAAGTTCGTTTCACTAACAGCACGTGAAAACCGCGATTAAAAATAAAATGAACGCAAACGATGAAAGAGTGAAAGCAGGTGAATTACACTTTGCACTATAATTTGCACAGCCGTCTGCCACTAACACGATAGTAAGTCATACTAGATGGTCAGGTGCCCAAAGAAGAAAATAAGAAAAATAACTCACTCATGTCCAGAAGAACCTCTATGCTGTGCCTTGCCGATTCGGCCGCTGACTCATTGAGCGGCTCCTGCTTTATCTTCAAAGAGTCACTGTACACAGTTGCACACAGCGAAGGCGTTTTAGAGTACGAACCTTGACGAGGTCCGTTTGTTCGTGATTGCTCATTCCTCTAGAACACTTCTGTGTGCTGTGTACTTTCTGGAAAGTCACTAAGTCGAGCGGCATCTACAAAAGGTTAAAGGAGGAGGAGGGGGAGGAGGAGGAGAGAGAGAGAGAGAGAGAGGGGGAGAAACTGAAGCTGGAAGAAGAGAGAACAGATACTGTTACCGCTCGGGACTCGAAAATCGCATGAATAGTCAGAATTTTATAGTGCTGACTATCAAAAGAAAAATGTTCATAATGACCATCTGTCGCGCAAGATCTTTAGCTTTTCTGGACTTTCACTGGCATTTCTTTTGATATCGCTTCTCCGGAAGTTTCACGTGGTACAGTACTGCGAAATAATATGCAAAATTTGCCTATGATTAATAAACAAACAAAGGTACAGAGGGACAATCAATTTCGTGTTATTTCGTGAGAGAGGTGAAAGATAAGTTGATCAGAGACGGACCAGACATCTCGGAAGCACTATCGATTGGTGGCGGGCGGGAGCAGGCGACTAGCCTAACCTTACATCGGGAGAGACAAGCGATTTCACGTCGGGAAACGCATGCTCTCGGCGGATCACACAGGGACAGCGAAAAAGAAGAACTCCCCGGCGGATGCTTAAACGTTGAATTTCCTATTTTTAATTTTTAAAGGATCCTATCATCATTCCCAGCATCCATGCTCAATGTTAGAGTTGATAGTCAATGTTGATATTGAACGTGCGAGATTTCTTCCATTAGTTTGACATTCTTAAAAAATATCAGAATACTTGAAATTTGGGTTCTCGAAACGAATTTCTGAATTGAACATTCAAGAATGAGTTGAAGAACAAAAAACTGAATTAATGTGCAAAAAGTTGGTGTCAGCAACTCTTCCTTTTCCTGTGCGGGTTTCTCATTCTCATCTCTTCTGAAATCGGATACTCCGCTCGTCATCCATCCTCTTCGCTTCGTTTTTCATGAGAACAAAAGGGACAAAGTGCTCACTTTTATCACGAAAATTTTATTTTAAGACATAATTCCATACTTTTTAAAGTTTTTTGTGATAACATTTAGATTTACACGAACAGTTCCAACTGATACACTGACGATTTTCTCTCGAATTGAAGGGTCTTCCAGAGCTTTCAGGTTGATCAGCTGGAAAATCAACATTTATAATCTTTTTTGTTATTGTAAACACTGATGTCTCAAATTCTCAAAAAAAAACCCGAAGTTTGCTGAATTAAACAAATCGACCACGAAGAAGTAAAGCGATTATCGACTTTTCGTGCGGCACTAGGATAATTCTGTCTGAAATTCTATTCTGCTTCTAGCCTGAAACGTGTCTTTCTATAGATGGTCACGAGGGATACCGAAAATAAATGAAAAATCTTGAAATTTTTCTCAAATTTGGCGGCCAGGTGTTAGAAAACTACCTACCGTGTACTTCTCGTGGTCTCTTTAGCGTTTTTCGAAAATTCAGCACAATTCGACAAAATGCGGGACGTTGGGAACATCAATCCCCTGCTTCGAACTTCTTTCTTTTTTAAATATGTTCATTTTTAACTGCACGACACCTTTAACGGCCGTTCATTTGCTTACTCACTTGCATGCCACCGCCAACCAGTTTATGCATCATTTCCTCCTTCCAGCTACCCTTTGGTCTCCAACAATAGGAGGTCAATTCTTGTTTTCCTGGCGAAGATGGCAGAAGCAAAGAACCGTAGCCAGCTATCTCTTGACGTCCATGAGCATCATGATGCCAAATTTGGAGAAGAAGTCTTGGCCAGCCTTAAACGAACGGGTAAATTTAAGATGACGGTAAAATACAGAACTTTCAAACCTTGGATTGTGCTAGTAGCAAGATGTAAATCAACTGGGTGACCGAAATATGCATGTTCGAACGCGGTAGGACAGTCCGTCTGAGTTTGCCCCTCGGAATCGCCATGTACAATACGCCAACCCCCTCCTAATAAAATCGGAAAATTCCAAACTTGTTGATGCGCAAATCACTTACCAACGCAAACCTGATACCTTACTGACAGCCTATTGTCCCCAAATCCCGTGGCTGATGTTATCTGCCCACTAATGAACACTTCAGCCATATAAACAGAAAAAGAGAAAGTGCAATGGCCACATGCTTCCCGCGAAAACAGTTGCTATGGAAACAGCAAGAGAGTAGAGTCCCAGACGCTACTAGATCGCTAAGAGCGTATGAAGAAAATTGACCATGAAAGTATACATTTATTTGGAATGTGAATCAAGATAGCGGACTTGTGCAAGAAGAAAGAAACAACCTTTTGCAAAAACGAGTCACGGGAAAATTGCGGGGAATGAAAAATGTCCGGGGGAAATCTAGTTTTGCAAAATAGACTCTCCGGAACAAGCCTACAAAAATCGCGTTGTCTAATAAAGAAGAAAAACTAGGTTCACTAGGTCAGAAGGGTGAAGAAAAGTGAAAACAGCGACAGGTATTTGTCTAGGTATTATTGGGGTCGTGCAGAGTTTATTTTCCTTCTTTCACACGCTTATTACGGCCTTTTCCATAGCATCGACATTAAAAAGTGATGAAAGAAACATTCTCTGCACAACGCCATAGTGAGCTGTTAAATTTATCATAACATGTATTACAGGTTGCAAGTCTAGACTTAAAATTGTTCTATCACAGTGGGCATAAGGAACGTGGAAGAGGAGTGGTGAGTTCCGTCGGTGGTATTTTACTTGTTGGTGAAGTCGAGGTTGAGTTTGAAGAAGACGTACGGGTAATATTCGTTGACACCAAGAGACAGAAGAGCTGGTGAGTCTTCAAGGGTCTGAATAAAAAAGATATTCGAATCTTAACGGGACGAAAAAAATTACATCAATTGGTCCGGCAGCAGATCCATCTAAATGTATGTACAACTTGTGCAGCTCTTGCCTCAATTTTTTTTGCGCTCCCTTAGCTGGTTCGACAACCGCAGCCTGGAAATTGACAGGCAGGCCATATCTGCAAACTACCTTTTTGAAGCAATATCGTTAAAATTGGTAACAAACCGCAATACAGATTCGACAAACACACGAAGGGCTTTGATGTGAATGTAAGCAGAGAAGATTTCTCCAAAATTAATCTTGAGCCATCTGATGAGCGGAGCGTATTGTCTCTGCTTTTCCGCCAACAGCTTATCTCTCTCTGTTCTTCCTGCTTTCAGAGTCTCCTCGTCATAAACAAAGTCACGGACGATGAATTTGTTTTCTCTGGCCGTATTCTTGAACTCGTCAACTACTTTCTTGAAAAGAGTGACTGTGTACAGCGCATGCTCGCCTTCCTCTGTCAATAATTTGGAAGAACCCGGAACCACCATCGAAGAGAGAGTTGCGTACTTTCCTTCCCATTCTTTTATGAGAATTCTAATAAAAGAAAATATTAAGTCGTTAACCTTCAGCTTGGCGAATAACTCACTTCGGCACCACAACAATAACTGTTTGAAGGTACTCCGAATTAAGAACGAAATCATCAGCCTTGACGAGATCAGCCAGATCTTTAGTCAGAAGAGATCCAGTTGTTTTACGATCCATCGAAGCAAGAGCATTCTTGAGATTGTTGTAGGCCAATGACTTCATTTTAAGATCGTTGTCGATTTGAGTGATCTGTTTTCCAATGATTTCACTCAACACTTTCAGAGATTGCTTCAGCGGATACTTAGCTCCTTCCCATTGGAACTTGGTAACGTACGTCTTCATGTCCTCTAAATACTATATTCACCATTTTGAAATTCGAAACATTTCCGGCAACTCACTGTTTCCAATTATAAGGTTCTCAGCAATCTTACTTTTATCCTCTTCGAGAACTTCTGTGAAGTACTGCACAAGCTTTCGGATAACACTGAACGCATTATTATTGAGATGAAATTTAAATAAAGCAAAAAACTCACGCTTCCGCTGAAGTATCCAACTTACTCAAATCGTCTGACAACCCGACAAGTTGGTCAAGAGTTCCAACCTGGAAAAATTTGAAATTGAGGCAGATGATTAAGAAATGGCTCACTTTCAGGTCAGGGATAAGATACTTCGAGTTGGTGGACACATTTCCGGTTGCTCGGTTTAACTTGTCCCAGGCGTCGTTTGCTCCCTTCTCACCAGGCACCGAAATCAGCCAATACTCGCCGGATGTGGCCGACGACATCGCCTAAAAATATTTTATTCACATAAAATCTGACAATGAAAAGGAGCAAACGAATCAAAGAGCGAGAGACGGTACGCGAAATGAGAAAAGAGTAAAAGAGAGACTTCCTCAATGGTTTCGGGAGGATGTTTAGGAAAAGAGAAAAAGAAAAAGAAAAATAAGTAGGTAGATCTACAGGTAAAACTTGAAAAAACCTCCTAGGAGTAGGAATGTTCAGAATTGATAGGATAATCACAGGAAGAGTCGCCAAGTTTTGCGATAATCGCTAAGAAAATAAATTAGGAGGTTCCGAGGATGAGAGCGACAATCATGCCGTAAAGTCCCAAGACCTCGGAGAAAATGAGGATAAGAATCATTCCGACGAAAAGACGTGGCTGTTGAGCAGTTCCACGAACTCCCGCATCTCCAACGATTCCGATAGCATATCCCGCTCCAAGTCCGCATAGTCCACATGTGAGTCCAGCAGCAAGATGTGCGAATCCTTTGTTGAGATCATAACCTGCCGAAGCAGAGGTCACCTTGCCTTTGAGCACCATGGCTACGACCAATCCGTAGATACCGATGATACCAGCCATAATGACGGGGATCACGGACTTCATGATGAGTTCCGGGCGCATCACTCCCATTGAGCAAATACCGACGGCGGACTTGGCAGTTCCATAGGCGGCTCCCAAGACTGTGAAGATTTGCGCTGAGGCAGCTCCCATGTATCCAAAGAACGGCGCATATGCGGCTTGTTCAGCGGTTTGCAAGTCGTACGACATGTCTTCGGCTTAAAAAAACGTTTCGAATGAAGATCTATACGGAATAATCACGAAGAGAACGCTCACAGTGAAGTGTCAATAAGCGGAAATGTGAAAACTTGGAATTTATAAATGAGAATTGGTATAGAGCGGGCGAGAATCAATGACTGCGAGATACAAGATCGATTTTCGGTCTTTGCGGCCATCCACTTTTTCAATTTTTCATCGGTCGCTGCGAGACCAGCAGCGAAAACCGAGCGCATGCGCCTTTGAATGTCTGCGTCTCTAACCCTCTCACCCTGTTTCTGAAGTTGCCACGGAAGAAATCAGCGATTATGAACATTTGATGCTGGAAATTGCGGAAATGAATTGTTTCACTTAAAAAATAAAAATAACTTGTCGTAATCACACACTACCAAAACATACTTAACGTGAACAATACGCGAAAGTAGTCCGGTTACTGTACTTTCGCAACAGTTTGAGTTTTCAGGAGAACAATTAGCTGATTGTAATATTAGGGACAAGCCTGATTGCCCCGGCTAAGCCGGGCTACAGGCTTGCTAGGGTCGCCTTCCTTGTTATCAACGTCAACCCGCGAACGGACTGTCGCAGATAGATCAACCGCTCGCGGGTTTATCAATTGTTAGTGATATGGCTCACGATTGACGTATGATTGATCAATATTAACGGATAATTAGCCCGCGATTGATTAATTGAGTACTCTGGTTGCAATAATCGCAGTTCATCTGTAGATTTTCACACCTCAACACACGGTTTATTCTTGGAGTTGTTCACTTCTCCTCTCTAGACATGCCTAAGCACTGTCTGTTGCATCTCAATGGTATTGAACTAATATTCTTTCAATGGCAGAAACAATAAATGCATCACTAAATGAACCTTTGTAAGAAGCAGATTTGGTGCTGGGCGGTACCTTAATCCACACCCTGTCCTCCGATGGAAAGTATCATCAAGGTCGCTATTATTGAATTGTAAGTGGGTTGTTTAGGAGGGACGACTGTGGTACGCGATATGATCTCTCATCAAGGACATCACGCCTGCGGCCCTTTCATTCCGTTTATTCACCTCGTTCATATACCACTGGACCACCTTTCTTTGGTAATATCTCTCGTGTCTTCTTTCCACATTTAGTTATCTTCTGTTGTTTGGCATAACTTTTTTATTTTATTTTCTAATAAAATTCTTTCGGAGATTTTTCTTCTGAAAGAAAGGAATGAACACGTCTGAACAGGATGCACAGTTTAAGGCCTAATGCCTTACTTCAACTTTAATGAAACTTTAATTGAAACTGCTGGAAGCAAAGTTAGAAAATCAAATCGGAAGCTGTTCTGGTTGTCATACAAAATGCCGAAGATGACATGTGTTAGGCGGCTGCTGTGACTTTGTTCTCCTCTCTCATCCGACACTATTTCGAAAGCGATCGCTTCTGCCTGTTCGCATTCAACCGTTCCCCATTTCCGAGGCAATGCAGATGTACGCCGCTTTACTTTTGTTCACTCTTCTGTGATCGCCCCATTTTCATTCTTTCTCTTCGTAAATTTTCTTTCTCGCGATGATATTCGAAATATCTCACTGGACAGCTTCTCTCTGACTCATCACTGCGATTCTCCTTTCTTTGCAGGTGGCCATAAATTTTTTCACATTTTCCGATGCCGTCTTTCCAAAATTCATATGGGAAGACTTTCAACTATAGATTCTTCACATCCATTTGGGTGCAAGATGTGTACCTCAGCCCTCCAAGGTGACCTTCAGGCATTCCGATTTGTCTGTCTCTACTTCTCCTCCGTTCACATTCACTCTCTTTTGGTCATCGTAACCAACGGAAAGCCCTTAGTTTTCCTGTTGACCGATCGAACCGTACATCGCCTTCGACTCTTTCATCCACCTGCAATTAAAATTTCCTCTAAGCATTCATTTCTTTACGTTCAAATTCCTATCCTTTCTGTGTTCCTCTGTTCCCCTACTGAGGTAGTTACTAGTTGGAAACAAACATTCACTATCAGAAACGACTCGAGTTGCTTTAAGCAGACTTTTTTATAAACCAGTTGACCCCTCCTCTTATTCCTCTTTTTTGTTCACTTTCACTCTCTCACTTCCTCTCCCTTTCTCTCTCTCTCTCTCTCTCTCTCTCTCTCTCTCTCTCTCTCTTTCCCTTTCCCTCTCTCTCTCTTCCTCGATCTCCATACCTTCAACTAGTATTTTACTGGTTCCTACTCACCTGTACATAGTCACTACTTTTGTGTGTTGCAATTGATTTCGAAATTCCGAAGAAGAAAATATGAACGTAATAGTTGATGAATCTCCAAAACATTTTGATTATTATTTCAGCGACGTCAAATGTCCAGTGTCAATGAAATTGGTAGAAAAGGGACTCTGTTCGCTTCTATATTATTCTCATTCATAGCAGCAGGTCTATCTATTGCTGCCATCCTTACTCCTTCATGGCAAGTTGTCAATCTTAGAGAATATAATTCCATCCATGAGCACGGATTATGGCTAGATTGCACTCGACACAGCAGAGATGGCAACCATATTCTACAAAGGTTCTAAGACTTACGATTTATAAAATAAAACGAACCTAAACCTATTCTTAGATACGCTACCGTAACCGAGCCACTACACTGCGTCTACAAGTTTGATTATGATAAGTACTCCGGTACTTTTGACATCGAAGACGATAACAGCCCGGTTGGAGAGGTGAACCGGCATAAATTCTATGGTTTCACAAAGTCACTTTTGAAAAAGAATAATCGACTTTTATAGGTTGGCACACATTCACAATGATCCTTCTTGGGCTTGCTCTACTAACAACCTCTCTTTCCACTTTCGTTGGGGCATGTGCCTGCTGTCACGGTTCTCTCGCCCTTTTCTTCACTCTTATTACACTTCTCACTAGTGAGTCAGACCGAATAAGTAATCAAAAAAGTTGATCGTACTCAGCGCTTCTCTCTGCTATTGCCGAAGGTGTTTTCTTTTTCTATTCGCATCGAGCTGACAACCGATTCATCAAAGGAATTGTTGGAACGTACGAGCAAAGAGTTGGAACTGCGTTTTTTCTCCAAATGGCAGCCGCTTTCTGCCACTTGATTTCATTCCTCATCGCCATGCTTTTCACCTACTTTTCTATTGCATCCTCCAAGGATACCGATGGTTTTAGTATTCAGAGATCCAGCAGGACCAATGTTACCAATATTGGAAGGTACATTCAGTGTATAGCTCTTGCCCCTCGGTGTTTGCGGACTCGAGCCGAAATTTTTGACTTTGGACTTGAGAACCGAAGAGCAAAAGCGAAAATTTGACATTACGACTTGTAACAATACTTGCAACGGCCGTACCTAGCTAGGCTGATCGAAAAACGAATTAAGATCATTTACGATTAATGTTTCAATCAAGGCCGGGCAAAAGGTGCCATGCACTAAAAAAGAAACATATTTTAAGAAGAAGTTAAAAGTGAGGGATTTATGTTCCCATAGCCCCAAGTTCTGATAAAATTCTCCGAATTTTCTATATTTTTCAAAAAAAAAAGCTAAGCAGGTGGAGTTTTCTAGTTCCCCGGACGCCAAATTTGAAAAAGTTAAAGATCTTTTATTCCGTTTTGGTATGTTCAAAACCATCCATAAAGATAAAATGTCGAATCTCATGGTCATGGTCAGAATCGAATTTCAGAGAGAATTATTCGAGTGCCGCACAAAAATTCGACAGCCTCGTGTTCTTCTTAAATTTTTTGAAAAATGTAGCATAATAATTTTTTCAGTATTTGGGACTTTTGGTTACTTTTTTCGTACACGACATCTTTAAATTTTAAGGCTTTCCTAGAGTTTCAACCCACTTGCTGCTACCCGATCGACCCTATCTTCTGAATAGTTTCAGTTCGACAAGCTTGAAGTTGAAAGTTAACTAAGTTTCAACACAATTGAACTATCTCATAAAAATCTAATAAAAACTGCAAAGTTTGGGTCCGATTTTCCGAACTTAATTGCTGTAGACCGTAATTTCAATATTTTTGTAAACTTACTTGTCAGTTGCAGGTCAATCGAGTTTGATGCTCCATTGATGTATCCGCCACAAACACCGATCAATGGATTCCGAGCACCGAGTTACATAGATGATAAACCTGTTGTTGCGGAGAGTATGCCGGAACTGGGAGCACGGTATTTCATTTTTATTGGTCACGTTTATTGAATTTCGAATTTTATAGAGGTGGATACCCTTCAAATGACTTCTTCGCTTCCAGAATAAGAAGAAAAAGCGAAACATGCGTTTAAGTGCAGGATCCCGGATGAACTGAATTACCATAACTCATTCTCTCTTCCTTAGCAAAGAACCTTTAACATTGTTGAGTTCTTTTCTCGATATCAAAGCAAGCAAGCATTTCGAATTCTTACCTAAATACTCTACATCCTGGTTTTTAATTAATAACTGACTCAGGTAAATCGTTTTTAATCTAGCTAGCTAATTCGCGTTTGACTGGCGAAGCTAATTTGATTGCAAAAACACTGATATTAGATTCAAAATTTATCTAATTAGATTAAAATTTCGGGCAAACCTAGCTAGATTATGTTTAGATTGATTCGGAAATCTGTAGCAATCTAACCTATAGGTCCGGTTAGAAACGAGAATTAGCTAGTTAGATTAAAAACGATTTGCCTGAGGAAGTACAATGTTCCGAAGACTATGCGATTCAACTACTGTTGAAAAAAATTGCTCCGACATTAGAATCGGAGTTGGCAGCGAGCCAAGGACACGCCTCCCAAATAGTTTTTACTGCAACTGCCGCACGCTATTTGGGGGGGCGTGTGTGGCTCGCTGCCAACTCCGATTCTAATGTCGGAGCAATTTTTTTCAACAGTAATTAAAATTTCACTGCCGTTTGGACAATTTTCGCTCACCTGTGAAAATTTGAAAATTTGCGGTACCACGCTGGGCGTGTGATATTTGATGAGGAGCGATTGTTCCCGTCGTCTCCGGAACACTGTTAACAATTTTTTTTTTAATTATGAATTGTTCTCTGTGTATGTGTGCCTATCTCGAATGATGTTCATCGTCTCTGTCTCTCATTTTTCCATCTCAAATGCAATGACATTTCATATTCTTCAGTTTTGAAACCCAAAATATCACCCAAAACCAGAAAAACTTTAACATTTGTTATTACATTTTCCTGGTCCTTCTCTACACTGAGAAATTACTTTTTTTCAAGTTTCTACTTCGGATGTTGAAAGTTCAAAAGTTGAATTCAGTATTATTTACCTGATCTTCGAAACTGAATAAAATATGTTTATAACCAGCTTCTGAGGGAAAAAAAAATCAGAATAAAAATATTTCATGCATCCAGAACGCTTTACCGTAAGCCTTTACGTGCTCTGTGGATAATACAGACATGACTTCGATTTCTCCTCTACACGTGTAGTACTGTCCAGTGTGCACACGTGTGTGAAATTTTCAAATTTGTTTCCGTTATTCTGCCGTGTTCTGTAAAAATTGTTCTTCCGTCTGCCGTCTTCCATGAAAAAAAACGTTCTTCCGTCTGCCGTTTTCTGTAAACAAAAATTCTGCCGTTTTCCGTGAGAAAATTTTTTGCCGTCTGCCAGACGGAAGACGGAATAAAACCTTTTTTCCGGAAGACGGCAGACGGAAGACGGAACAAAAAAACCAAAAAACCACGGAAGACGGAAGACGGCAGACGGAATTCCGCTCAACACTGGTACAGTGTTGAGCGGAATTCGATCCGTCTGCCGTCTTCCGTAAAAAAAATTTTCTTCCGTAAAAAAAATTTTCTTCCGTCTGCCGTCTGCCGTCTTCCGGATTTCAAAATTCCATTTCCGCTCAACTCTGGTACACACCAGAGTGAACTATGTTCATAGAAAAAGAATTGTAAATTTAACATTTCATTCAAAAAAGTTGTTCGAATTGTTCCGTGAAAATGTCCTTCCTCGGCAAAGACGCGCCACTTTTGCGCAAACTTTACGCAGCTTTTGCGCAAAGTTAGCGCAGCTTCTGCTGGCAAGTTTCCGCAAAAGCTGCGTAAAGTCTGCGCAAAAGCTGCCAGTTTTAAAAGTTTGCGCAAAATCTGCGAAAATTCTTAAAGTTTGCGCAAAAGTGGCGCGCCTTTGCCGAGTCCGTCTTCCGTTAGCCTTTTTTTCACGGAACAACTCGAATAACTTTTTTGTATGAAAAGCTAAATTTACAATTATTTTTTTTATGAGCAGAATTCACTTTGCTATACATTTCATCAGTTGATCACATTCCATGAAAAAATTTTCTAAAAAAGATAAAAATTCTTCCGTGTTCTTCCGTTGAGTTCTTCCGCTCAACTCTGGTACACACTAACTACTATAGTAAGTATGGAGTCGCACTGTGCCAAAGACGTCAAGTTCAACTACCACTTTTTTGCCGCGGCCGCGCGGAAAGTTGGCAATCGCGCTTTATCATTGTCGGAAAAGTTTTTTTCCGACCTTTTGGCATTTTTTCCGACCTTTTTGGTTTTCCGACCTTTTTGGTTTTCCGACCCTTTGTCGGACTCGAATATTCCGTCAATTTTCGCGGTAACAATGTGCAGTGAATGCAAGCGCGCTCCATTGCTTATCGAGCTCTAAATCGTAACAGTTCCATTCCGAACAATTCCATTTCGTTGCGAGTTCTAAATCGTAACAACGGGGCACTCAAACGGCTCTACCGGTCTTGGAAATGATTTTTAGACCCATGTCAAAAAGGATTTTGTCTTTCCGATCGGATTCTGCGTCGATTCATGTTAAAATGTCGACATTTTTGAAATTTGTTCAAAGTAGGCTGGTCGAACAGGCGATTTCAGTCGTCTGCGCCTGAAAAAACAGGCGCCTGAAAAGCAGGCGCCTGTTCGACCAGTCTAGTTCAAAGACTACACCTTTAAGAAGAGTGAGAGACGCAGAGCGCTCGAGCGGACCCAGTACGTGACCGATTTCTTTCACTGAGAAACTTCGGCCAAAAACGAAATTCAAAATTTATTTTCCATCGATGGATGGCCATCTATACTCAATTTACCGCTCTTGCCCCCTCGGTGTCTGCCTACTCAAACCTAATTTCAGAAATTTTGGCTTGAATCTGCAAACACCGATGGGCAATAGCGATGAATTGAGTTTACCATGTCAAACAATTATCAACCCATTACTTTCATACCTCAATACGATTTTTTCTAGGAGGGGGCTAATGTATGGCTATCTGCGCGAAACAGATGACTCCACTTCTATCAATTTTTCGGCCTACGGAAAGTTTCTACCAGGCGAACGTATGTGCTATCTTTGTTCTATTTATTGAGAAACCATCCAGTTAATAATTTCAGATACTGGGCTGCAATTGCTGACAATTGGAGCAAAATTCATTAGAATATTTCGTGTCAATCCATACGTTTTGGTTGAGCCGGGAGAGAATATCAAAACATGGCAACAAAAAACGAAACTCGAGTGCATGTTTTCCTGTCGCCTGTTGAACAAATGTCATTCGGTAGCGATTGCTAAAATTCCACGTACGCTTTTTTCAATTTGTTGATGCTAACGAGGTCATTACAGAATATCCTAGTCAAGATTCTATTCTTATGACATTCGACGATGCGAAGCTGTCGATTGTGACGGTTAACGAGAAAGAAAGATGCTTGCAAACAATTTCATTACACGCATTCGAAAACGATTACCTCCGCGACGGGTTCGTTCGCCACTTTCGTGATCCGATCGTTAGAGTAAGAACAAACATTCGTCTGAATTTGAAATGTATATATTTCAGACCGATCCTTCATACCGATGTGCAGCTTCATTAGTGTATGGAAAACACATAGCCATTCTACCATTTCATGAAAACTCTAAAAGAATCCACAGCTATATTATTCCATTAAAGCAAATTGACCCCAGGTTTGTTTTTTTCAAACAAAGAACCCCTTTCATTTTTTCAGACTTGATAATGTTGCCGATATGGTTTTCCTTGACGGATATTATGAGCCCACCATCCTTTTCCTATATGAACCACTGCAAACAACACCAGGAAGGTATAGCAGACTATAGTTTTTCGCTCCATGTACTTTTGTCATTTTAGAGCTTGCGTTCGGTTTGATACTATGTGCATAATGGGAGTTTCTGTCAATATAGTAGACAGACAGTTCGCAGTGGTCTGGCAAACGGCGAATTTGCCTATGGACTGTAATTCTTTACTCCCGATCCCGAAGCCTTTGGGTGGTGCCATGGTTTTCGGCTCGAACACTATTGTGTACCTGAACCAGGCTGTACCACCTTGCGGAATTGTTCTCAACAGTTGCTACGATAATTTCACCAAGTTTCCGCTCAAGGACATGAGACATTTGAAAATGACACTAGACTGCTCGACCAGTGTTTATATGGAAGATGGTCGGATCGCAGTAGCAACTCGTGACGGCGACCTTTTTCTCCTGCGATTGGTGACATCTTCCGGTGGTGCTACAGTGAAGGCATTGGAGTTCAGTAAGGTCTATGAAACGTCCATTGCATTCTGTTTGACTGTCTGTGCGCCTGGACACCTTTTTGTTGCTTCACGTCTCGGAGATTCTCAATTGTTAGAGTATACTTTGCTCAAAACAACTAGAGGTTGTTCTCAAATGGGGTTGTGTAGAGGTTCTTTCCGTTTTTAACACTGTTTAACATCGTTTTTTTGCGATGGAATTACGGTAATTAACGAAAAATAACTGATTCTCTGCATAACCCTATAAATTAATTAAACGAAATGTTCCATTTCAGAAAGTGCTAAACGACAAAAGTTGGAAAATACTCAAATTGAAATGAAACTAGATGAAGATGATTTGGAGTTATATGGTGGTGCTATAGAAGAACAACAGGTCAGTTGTTTCTGAGCGCTAATATTTTCAATGTTCAATTCTTAGAATGATGACGACGAACAAATTCTCGAAACCCTAGAATTCCAAGAACTCGATCGACTGAAGAACGTCGGTCCGGTCAGATCCATGTGTGTCGGAAGACCTAATTACATGAGTACCGATTTGACCGATTCCGACAGGAGAGATCCAGTTTTCGACGTGGTAAAGGAACATGATAGCTTTTTTTCAAATTTGAAAAAGAGCTAGGAAGAATTGGGAAATTTTGAGGGAACCGCCGACAAAATAAAATAAAAGCGTGGGCGTTTATTTTGAGCACGGAAAGGGCGTAGAAGTATGAAATTTACCTATTTGTCTAGAAGAATACATTCAGGTGACAGCAAGTGGACATGGAAAAAATGGATCGCTTTGCATTCACCAACGATCTTTAAGGCCAGATGTTATCACAAGCTCACCGTATGATTTTTTGCGCTCAGGTCTATGTGTAAACAAGTTCCTTGCAGACTCGAAGGAGCCGATCAACTTTGGGCAGTGGGAAGAAAAGAAAATGAAGCGCACAAGTAGTATTCGAAATTGTTTACTAGAATAAAACAATCTCTTTAGATACCTGATTGTGTCTAGAGTTCGTTCCACGTTGGTTTTGGAGTTGGGAGAAGAAATGGTGGAGCAAGAAGATAATTTATTTGTTTCTGGCGAGCCGACGGTGGCCGCTGGAGAGCTATCGCAAGGAGCTTTTGCTGTTCAGGTATCTTTGCAGTTTTGATATTTTATCAATATCCACATCTTTCAGGTTACTTCCACGTGTATCGCATTAGTCACAGATGGACAACAACTGCAAGAAGTCCACATCGATTCGAACTTCCCTGTTGTTCAGGCGTCAATTGTCGATCCTTACGTAGCACTGCTGACTCAAAACGGAAGACTTTTATTATACGAGCTGGTTATGGAACCATATGTGCATCTGAAGGAGATGGATCTTGCTATGACTCCTTTTGCAAATAATACGAATATGGCGCAGTTGACATCTATTTCAATTTACGCGGATGCCTCTGAAATTATGGTGTGTAACGAGAAAATCGAATTGTCTGAAAAGACAGTTGAGCATCACACCGTCGATGTAAAGAAAGAAACGAACGAGGAGGATACTTTGTACGGGGAAGATGATGATTTCTTGTACGGAGACGCTGTTGGATCCGGAGTCTTTCTGGAGCACAGCCACGCTATGGAAAGTAAGATTGCTGAGTAATGCCCACGAAGGCATTTGAGACTGTTTCCAGACGGAGATTCAACACTGAGAAATCAAAATACCCGGAAAAGAAGACGACTTGGTCATGATGCTATTCAGTCCAGTCGAGGTGGAGAGCAGTCCGATGCGATTGATCCCACGAAAACATATGGTAATTATTTGTTTTTGCCAATCGCAAATACGATAGTTTGTTATCAGAAAACCTCACCCACTGGCTGCTGGTATCGCATGACAATGGGAGGTTAGTGTTCCATGCGTTGCCTAACATGGAAATCGTCTATCAAATCGGTCGGTTCTCGAATATTCCCGAAGTCTTGGTGGACCTTACTATCGAAGAGGAAGATAAAGAACGAAGAGCCAAAGCTCAGCAAGCTGCGAAAGAATCTGCATCAACCGATGAAGAACAAACAAATGCTGAAGTCAGGAAATTGTGCGAACGCGTTCTTGAAGCACAGGTTGTTGGTAATTTCTGAGTTTTGTAATGAACACTTAAAGCAACGTTTTGAGGAATGGGAATCAATCAAGCACATCCGATTTTACTGGCAATTGTAGACGAACAAGTCGTAATGTATGAAATGTTCTCGAGTATCAACCTAATTCCTGGTATCTTTGAATAATGGAATCGTTAAGCGAAGTCGGTTCAGGTCATCTCAACATTTCCTTTCGAAAACTACCACAGTTTGTTTGTCTAAGAACGTCTCCATTCGTTACAGCTGACGGAAAGAGAGCTCCGGTTTGTGGTTGAGTAAATCAGAGAAAAAATAATTCATATAATTTAGTTAGAAAATGAAGTAGAAAATGGTAAACGTTATCCTTTAATTCAACCATTCGAAAGGATATCGTCGGTAAACAACGGTGTCATGATTTCCGGTTCTGTTCCTACTGTATTGGTGTATGGTACATGGGGAGGAATGCAAACCCATCAGATGACAGTGGATGGACCGGTTAAGTGAGTTTATTTCAATTCGTTTTTTAATCCAAGCTTTGTTTTCAGAGCATTCACTCCGTTCAACAACGAAAATGTTCTCCATGGTTTTGTTTACATGACTCGAAAACAGTCGGCCCTTCGCATTGCTCGGTTACATCCAGACTTCGACTATGAAATGTCATATCCAGTAAAAAAGGTTGAAATAGGAAAAACTATTCACCACGTACGATACTTGATGAATTCTGATGTGTACGCTGTTATTTCATCAATTCCGAAATCTAGTAATAAGATTTGGGTCGTCATGAATGATGATAAACAAGAAGAGACTCACGAAAAAGACGAAAACTTTGTTCTTCCTGCTCCTGCGAAGAATTCGCTGAATGTGAGTGTGTTCTGGGAAATACACCCAGGAGGCGTAATCAGAAGCCCCCATAGCTGTATAGAACATCTGAATATGAATTTCAGTTGTTCTCCTCACAAGATTGGCAGTTTGTTCCTAACACTGACATTATTTTCGAAGATATGGAAGCTGTGACTGCTTGTGAAGATGTTTCGCTGAAGTAAGTTTTATTAGTTACAATTTTATTTTTGGACAAGCATGATCACTTAGGTAAATCGTTTGTAATCTAGCTAGCTAATTCGCGTTTCTAACCGGACCTAATTAGATTGCTAATTTACTGCGATTAGATTGCAAATTCTTCTAACTGGACTGATAAATTTCCTAATTAGATCGGCGAAGCTAATTAGATTGCAAAAACACTGATATTAGATTAGACATTTATCTAATTAGATTTAAATTTCGGGCAAACCTAGCTAGATTATGTTTAGATTGAAAAATCAGCTAGCTGGATTCAGAAATCGGTAGCAATCTAACTATGTCCGGTTAGAAACGAGAATTATTAATAGCTAGTTAGATTAGAAACGATTTGCCTGAGCAGACAAATGACATCGCTACATAGGACTGAATTCTTTCTATGTCCCCCCTCTGATCAAATAGTTTTGAATTGCTAATGTCGCTTCTGCACGTTATTCTTCCAGATTCGGTAGTAGGTGCCATTGGCTATTTTCTTTGTGTATTCTTCGTTCTTATCATATTTTCTCTGAAGCATTTGCTTTTTTTGGGCCCTTCGTTTCGAGTGTTGGTACAATCTGGTTCTTTATTCCATCCAGATTCACTTTAAGGAATTTCAAATGACAAACACACAAATATGAGATCTCGGAATCTCGAGAGTTCATTCATCATTCTGTCTTTTCCGCTTCACTGTCATCCATGAAAACAGAGCGTTTTTTACAAAGGGAATTCAGAAATATTCCGAAATAATCTGGGTTCCAGATTCTGGAATTCCGAGAATGATCTTAAGCACGGCGTGCTGAAGCTTATGTGCAAAAATAAAAATTACATTTCGCGGAAAAAATCACTAGTCTGAATTGGCTCCGAAGCGACTCATTTGCGTGGCTGGCACAGTGCCAGGCGATATGTATACGGATACATATATATAGTGTATTCAATAGAGCGGGTTTGCGGCACACATACGCTTCAACTCGCCGTGTTAAGATCTGAATTTTCGAAAAGAAAGAGTCTAAGAAGGGCGTTTAGATGCGTGTTTCCAGGTCCGAATCTACAATCAGTGGTCTCGAAACGTTCTTGGCCATGGGAACTGTAAACAATTACGGAGAAGAAGTTCTCGTCAGAGGAAGAATCATACTATGCGAGGTTATTGAGGTTGTACCAGAACCTGGCCAGCCGACATCTAACAGAAAGATCAAGGTTTTATTATTTATGTTTTTTTTTAAATAATTTTTTTCCAAAGGTTTTGTTTGACAAGGAACAAAAAGGACCAGTTACCGGACTTTGTGCTATCAATGGACTATTGTTGACCGGAATGGGACAGAAAGTAAATGGTTTTGTGGCAAGTAGTGGTACATTTCAGTACGTTTCAGGTTTTCATATGGCAGTTCAAAGACAATGACTTAATGGGCTTGTCCTTCCTCGATATGCACTATTATGTATATCAGCTTCATGCCATACGTACCATTGCTTTGGTGTGTGATGCGAAAGAAAGCATGTCGCTTATTCGATTTCAGGTTTTTAGTCGGACTGAAAATTTTTGACTGTTTCAACTTTCAGGAAGAGAACAAAGCAATGTCGATTGCTTCACGAGACGACAGGGTGTCAGCACAACCACCGATGGCGTCTCAGTTCATAGTGGACGGTGTTCATCTAGGATTTGTACTCTCGGATGAAACTGGAAATATTACTCTATTTAACTATCTACCAGAAGCACCTGAATCGAACGGAGGTGAACGTCTTAGTGTTCGTGCTGCGATTAACATTGGAACGAATGTGAACTGTTTCCTAAGAGTGAAAGGTTCGTGTACTCTAGTTTTCTTTACTTGCTAACATCACTTTTCAGGTCATACATCATTACTAAATCTAATTACTGACGAAGAAAAAGATACTGTTGAACAACGTATGAACACAGTATTCGCATCTCTTGACGGCTCATTCGGTTTTGTCAGACCGCTTCCGGAAAAATCGTACAGGTTTACTAGACTTTTAGCACCTGGGTCCCCTTTTAAAACTGGTTTTAAAAATGAAAAGTGGTCGGACAAACAAAGATACTATCAGGGCATTTTAATGTGAATGCGCTCTGTTGAGAAACCTTTCTTTTTGTGATCTCCGGGGCCTAATTTTTCAGGCGCGAAGCGAGTTTCCGTTGTTTTTCATTTGAATTCTGGAAAAACTATCTCTGTTCTTTATTGGCTGGAGATCACAATTGAAACAGAGCGTATTCACATTTGAATGCCCCGATAGTAGAAAGAAAGAAACGGATACACTCCGAAAGCTTTTCATTAAAAAAGAATAATGATGCTTTTTTAAAAATATTTCATTATTTTCCAGACGTTTACATTTTCTGCAAACTTTCATTGGAAGCGTGACTCCGCAAGTCGCTGGTCTACATGTCAAAGGAGCCAGATCAGCAAAACCACCTCAGTCGATAGTGAATGGTAGAAACTCGCGCAATATGATTGATGGAGATGTGGTTGAACAGTATTTACATCTGTCAGCGTATGACAAACATGACCTTGCTCGTCGTCTTGGAGTTGGCAGGTAATTTCGTGTTTTTTATTAGAACGGTTTTTTTTGTTTGCATCCGTTTATTGAGATGATTGGATGGGTTAATAATAGGTTATCAGTGTACAAGAGTAGGTAGACGAATGGTACTTGACAGTCCAGCAGGAGACATACCTAAGATGGGATACAATTGAAAAGAGGGGATTAGAAGCGGGAGATTGAAGAGTCGATCAATAGTTAGTCGATGATCAATACACAGGTGATTCGCATAGTTGTCACGGGCCGGGCCGGCCCGCACGGATGGCCTCTTTCGGGCGTCTCGCGGTTGACACCTGAAAAACCGGACTAATGCCGGTGGGTCTATTGAGAACTCGGAGAAAGTTCTTCAATAGACGCATGATGGACCGATCACGAAAATTTCATGTTTAGTGGACCTATCGCGAGCACTTTTCAGGGTAAACAGGCCTATCATATGCGAATTCGAGAATTTTCGCGATAGACGTATTGTAGGCAATTTTCTTCACGATTGATTCATGATAGGCATATCATAGGCATGCGTTCTCAATAGACCGATCGCGAATCAACTGTGTAGTTGAGAACGGTTTTTGAAAAGGCAGAATCAGTGCAAAATATCTTCAAAGGAGTGGTGCGAATTGTAACACAAGTAGCGTTCAAAATGAGCTTGATGACGTAGCCAAAATATTTTTACAAAAATCGGTAAAATGTATTAGATTTTGAAGTTCAAGTTGGTTAAAGAATATTTAACCGAATTTTGCCCGCCCCAAACTGGTTTATCTTAAGGTACCACATAATGGATGATCTCATACAGCTGCGAAGAATGGCTTATTTCTACTAATTGACTCCCATAATATTTCTTCTTTGCTGAAGTTTAACATGTTTAATTTATTTAAAAATTAAAAAAAAAATTGTCATTCATAGCGTTGAATGTTTGCAGCGAATTCGTAATCTTATCTCGTCTTTTTTATATTTTCAATTTTTTTTCAAGCTTGTGGCGGGCAGGGTCGATGGAGTTCTGACCACACCGGTCCCAGCGGTGATCTGTATTTGGTTCCATTCATTTGAACATTTATTTGATACGCATGAACATAAAAAATTTTAAGACATGATATATCACTTCCGATCCGGGCAAATAAAATTTGAATTTGAGCATTTATTCATTTACTTGCGATGAAATCGTCAAGTGAGAATCCTTGCAGAGAATCTGGTTGGGAGCTGTTATCAATGATAACAATACCTTCCTGACGGGCATCTGGATTGTACACAGCGCAATTTGAGAGCGTTTCTCGATTTGTCGCGAATTTCCCTCTCGCTCCAAATTGCTTTCGAACGTAAGACAGGCGAATCACTCCTTTGATCATTCGTCTCCAATAATCATAAACTCTTTCAACTCGCTTCTGAAATTAAAATTGAAATAATCAGTAACACCATTCTAGCGTCACTTTATCCTCTTTCTCTTCCCTACCACTATTGGCTTTCTCCCACTCCCTCGTAAACTCTTCTGCATCTTTTTGAAGAACAATAGCGCCATCCATTCTGAAATATACAGAAAACCTTGATAATGTTAGATTGAAGAATATACACGGGGTGGGTCCATCCTCCATCGAACGCCCATCCAACTACAGCTTGAACACACTGCCTGTTCAATTTTCTAGAAATTTGAATCAGACCAGGAAGCTTTAAATGAACACAATCAAGAGGACACATGCTATCGTTGAACATGTAAACATTGCCATATTCGTTATGGGGAATTTTACCCTGAACGTTTTCATTGATTGTTTTGTGATTCTATTGTAACAAGTACATTTTCGAGTTGAGGACGTCTGAAAGGTTCCGTTTGCCAATATCCATATACGTCCAAAAATTGATCCACGCGCTCCTCTGCTGGAATTCTGGGATCGGGCCTTGCCTTAACAACTTTGTATGGTTTCTCGTCAATTTTCACACTTCGAGCTAGCTTGAGCCAGTTATTCTCTCCTTGCAAAGTGAAAACTGTGGATCGGGGATACACGTTATGCCCACGAAGTTGTCCCAGTGCCTTCTGTTGCGCTGGAGGTGGATAAATAGCTTCAAACTTCAAGAGATCTTTCTCCAAAACATACCTGGAAAAAAGTTGTTTCAGAATCATCTAAAACAAAAATAGGCTCACAGTGGATGATTTTTATACTCCGACATTGTAGTCGGAAGAGGTCGCCTGACTAGATCTTCACGCATTTGCATTTGCTCAAATTTCTTCCTCTCCTCGTTGGCTTTGAAGGCAGGCAGTGCCAAAGTTGAGGAAACCCATTTGGTGTCAGTCCTGCGACGACGAAATTCTTGTTTGACGCAGTCCATCGCATAACGCTGAGAAACTTCGGAGATGCCTTGTTCTAAATGATAGCTACATTATCGTGTAACGAAATATACCGAAACTGACCGTTATCAATCGCAAAAACATAAGAAATCGGGCATCCGGCGTTATTGTGAATTGTAAGAGGTTCATCAACAGTTCTACGCAACGGATCGATACCTGAACACTGTAACTGCACCGACAACAAGCTTTCAAGTTTTTCTGAACGTATGTTTTGAGTTTCACACAGTTCGTTAATCTTATTGTTAGATTATACACTAAATCGAGTCCGTGACCAAAGGTCGGAAAACCAAAAAGGTCGGAAGACAAAAGGTCGGAAAGCCAAAAGGTCGGAAAAAAGTGACAAAAGGTCGGAAAAAAGTGACAAAAGGTCGGAAAAAAGTGACAAAAGGTCGGAAAAAAGGGACAGAAGGTCGGAAAAAAATGCCAAAAGATCGGAAAAAAATGCCAAAAGATCGGAAAAAAATGCCAAAAGATCGGAAAAAAATGCCAAAAGGTCGGAAAAACTGCTAAAATACCTGTTTTCTGGCTTTTTGTAATTTTTTCCGACCTTTTGGCATTTTTTCCGACCTTTTGTCACTTTTTTCCGACCTTTTGTCATTTTTTTCCGATCTTTTGGCATTTTTTTCCGACCTTTTGGCTTTCCGACCTTTTGTCTTCCGACCTTTTTGGTTTTCCGACCTTTTTGGTTTTCCGACCTTTTGTCACGGACTCACTAAATCGCAAAGATTTTTTTTTTAAATTGTACTGTGTGTGTTGCCGAAGAAGTCCGACAAACGTTCTCTACCATACTCAACGTAAATTATGTGTTAAGAGACGATTTCTGAGAGACCCGAGGAAAGCCTGGCACGAAAAACTCATCGTGCCCCGATTTGATTGGCATAGGGTACAGTGGGTACCTGGACTGTAGACTTTTAAAATTAGTGTCATCTGGCTCCGCCCCTTCCCAGGATCACTCAGTGATCATTACTGTAGAACAGAGTTGAGCGGAAATGGAATTTTGAAATCCGGAAGACAGCAGACGGCAGACGAAAGAAAACTTTTTTCCCGGAAGACTGCAGACGGAACAAAACAATCCACTGAAGACGGAAGACGGAAGACGGCAGACGGAATTCCGCTCAACACTACTGTAGTACCGTACTGTCAAACATCTTCCTTATATATACAGTAGCGGCCACTGAAATATCCCCTTTTGGTTTTTCCGCTATAACTTTTTTTAGAGAAGAGCAACCGGGCCAAAATTTTTTATGCGTATTACAAGTGGCGTCTGTCTGTCTGTCTGTCTGTCTTTCTTTTTGGATGTTCAGCGAGGGCAGCAGAAAAAAAGACGGACCGAACAAAACCGAACCGGCACCGCGTGCGCCGCAGGCGCGCCTTAACACAGGTGAAATGCGGTTTAGCAATTATACAATTGCGCTAATTCTAGACAAATTCTGAAACCCGGAAGTTTTGTGTCTCTAAAAAGTGCAAATCCGACTTCTTTCAAAGTTTCGGAACTCTAGATTCTGAAGTCCAGAAGCCTTCCAGTTGAAGAGCTAAAAAATGTCGTTGTTTAATGAAATCTTGTTTTTTTCAAAATTCGCAAGTTTTTAATCACTTTTTTGTCCCTACACATGATTGAAAACTCACAAATCCAGTTTTTCTCCTGTGGTTGCCAATACTCCACCCAATAGTTCCTTTCTTCATGGTTTCCTTTAGATTTCGCGTTGCCAGCCTTTTTGCTGCATTTTTTTAGTTCTGCTTCATCCTCCGCACTGCTAGGCGGACAATCAGAGGCTAGCGTTACGATTCTATCCTGACTGAGACCGCGGAATCTATTAATTCCTTCTTGCAGTTCCGCTTGCTGCTTCGAATCCCATCTACGTTGAATTGAGCGAGCGTTAACGCAGATTCTCACAATTGCCTCTAGACCACACAGAATACAGAAAAGCATCTGTAAAAAATAATATGTTCTATTTCAAGACTTTTCTTACGGTGGCTCGATCTAAATCAGTTTCGAAACGTTTCAATCCTACAAGAGCGGTTAATCTGAAAAAAAAATTGAAGAAATATCCCAAAGAATAATCACCGGCGAGTGGCAGGATATCGAGCATGATGACCTTCGTGTAGGTCATCTTGAATTGCGGCTATTGTGATACCTCCGTTCAATGGTCGGAAAGCATCCGCAAACCATTTGACTAAATTTTGAAGCACATCAACTGGGATTGGTTTGCCGGTATACTTCAGATAGCCGGATGGTATTTGAGACACCATCAGAGACGGCACTAGTCCTTCGTCTAACGAGTGCTTCACGACAGATTTCAGATGGATCATAAAGCAGAGAAGATGCACCTAGATAGTTTTGAGATCTCGCCTTCTTGTGTAAATCACTCACCTTGTGAGTATTTTCCCAAGTTTGTCGAATTAATTTGTTAATCTCTTGTCTCAGATACACTACCCACCAATCTTTTTCAACTTCTTCTTCATCTTCTAATGTAAGTTCGATTTTTTCGTCGATAATGGGGTGAAAATGATCCATTTCCTCCCATTCATCATCGGAAGAAGAATCGTTTTCTTTTAGTTTCCTTTCGTCTTTCTCTTTCTTTTCAAGAGCTTCTATAATTTTTCGACCCTCGTGGTATGCTCTCTTCATTTCTTCGTGTATCTACAAATACCCAAAACATCAAAACATTCGGGACCTGGGCACGATGTGCTAACGCTCTAATGCGCTTTTTTGATTCTAAAAACATTTTCAAGTTCACGTTTCCGTTTTTTAATTTCTCCGTCACAACTATTTTCGTTTTAGAAAATAGGGGCGGTCTCCAGAGCTGACAATGGGCGCAAGTGCGCCCCGCCCAATAGAGCGATACATTGGCGCGAAATTCAAATTTTAACAGCAAAATTTGTGTTTTTTGCCAGATTAGCCACGAAAAACCGATAATTTCTCATTTGTCTCTCGATAGACCGATTGTATAGGCTATTACAAATTTTTTAAGCGCAAGAGCATTAAATTTGGTCAAGTCGCAAATCACATTTATCCGTTTGAAGGTTTTTGGCTAAAACTGCGTGAATTTCAGTTGCTTTTCGGTAATTTTCGCGGTTCGAGCGCTCAAAATGCCTGTATTTACGTGATTTATCATTCTCAAAACCAATTCTGTCTGAAAACGGTCGAGAATGCGCAAAATGAGAAGTGCGGTTTTTAGGCGGCGATCGGCGGTGAAAGCGAAACAACGAAAACGATTTGGGATGGGCAAACTGAGCAATACACAAGGGCCCGAGAAAAGTTAAGATCCGTAACTTGCTCTATATCTCGGATGATCTTCACTGATCATAACATGATAGTTACTCACCTTGTAACACTCATCATAGCTAACTTCTTCAATTTTTCCGAGTGCATATGCAGCTGCCACTGTTATATACTCTTTCATTCTTCTCTCTCCTTTTGCAAATTTACGATCTGCTTCATAATTAGCAAGATTTTTTTTCCATGGCTGTTGTGGCTTCTGTTTTGCTGCTATTCGGAGACCGCTTTTGACAACCTTACTTCCAGCAGGATTACCGGTTTTACGAGCGATTGAAGCTGGACGACACCTTGGCCCTAAAATTGAGAATGGAAACTCATATACTTTCGAATCACTTACAGTTAACATCATTTGAATCAGCCAAACTTCTTATATTTTTAGTTTTTCTGCATTGACTCTTTTCTTTTTTTATCGGTTCATGTTTCTGTTCTTCTTGACAGTCTGAGATCGACTCGTAGCTGTCTACAGATAAACTTTCTTGTTGCGTTTTGGAACGCTTTCTTGAGAAATTTTGTGAAGAGGTTGAAGGACCTGACGCACTGTTCGATCGTCTTTTCCCTAAACGATGCTTTTCGATTTTTCGAAAACGACGCGATTCCATATCCGAGTCCGAATCGCTGACAGAAGACGAGGAAGATGAAATTTCTATCATATTATCCTCTTTGTTTTGCAAGTAAGAAGGATTTTTTGAAGTTACTGAGCGGCGTGGACGAACTGAAGTTTGCCATTGAGGTCAAACTTCCGAAAGAGGACTTACGAAGTATTGTGGACTGTTCACCTTTGAAATTTTTTGGTTCATTCATTGGTTTCGTTTTCTTGGAATGCGATGCGACTTTCTAAAACTGAAACATTTGAAGCTAATTGAAATGTGTAGCATACCTTCGATTCTACTATCTGCGATTTTTCCTTCTTAAATGTTTTGCTGAGCTGTTTACTGACCTGCTGGTTTCGTTTTAGCGCTCTATTTTTTCCTCTATTAATTTCTTCGAATTCACAAGCTGTGTTTTCTCCATTTTCGATCTGTCGTTTTATACGATTTGAGCGTCTCGTTTCCATCTGAAAAGCTGACTTTCTAGTACGAAACATTTGTGACGGAGAAATTGAGAAATAAACGCGTGAACAGTTAAACTCTCGGTGTTTGCACTCAAGCCAAAATTTCCTGAAATTAGGCTTCAGTCTGCAAACACCGAGGGGCAAGAGTGGTAAATTGAGTATATGAGAAGCGTCAGCGGGCCCGGTTTCAAGTTTTGTATGTAATAAAAAGCTAACGGAGTCTGTCCATTTCTTTCTTTCTTTCTTTCTTTGTCCAGCTACCTTTTCATTTCTAAAAAGAAAAAGTTGTTAGGGAGAAATTAAGAAGTGAACACGTGAACTTTCGAATAGTTATGAGGCACGGTGATTTTTTCTCGGGGCGCAGTGGAGATACTAGGAAGAAAGCAGACTTGCCAGATTTCGGGCCGGCCCGGTCGGCCCGGTCGGCCCGGTTCAAAAGGCGGGAATTCAAATTTTTGCGGAAATTTTTTTTTTCGTTATTACAAAAAAATTTTCGAACTAAAGTTTTAGTGTATTTTTTTTGTTTTTATCCACTCAGATCTCACTGAGTTTTTTCAAAAAGTTTTTCTTTTTATTCAAATGTATGTGAAACATCGTTCAGCACTGCCGGATACCGACTTGACAAAAGAAGAACACGACTTCGTTGCGAAAAAGCGGAACTTGTAGTGCTCGGAGCACAAATCGCTTCGAAATATCCAAACTGGATGGAGGGTGCTGCGAGTGTTGCATAAATATCCCATTTGTTACTTTTCGTTGTTTTTTGTTAATTGTTATTTTTCTAATTGCTTCTTCTTTGTTTTTTTGCTATTAGGAATTTTTTATGAGAAATACATTTGTTTTTCAATGTTCGATGCTTGCAAAAAACCCCTAATTCTACAAAAAATGGCTTCATGCGATCAATAATTCAAATTTTGAATTCCCGCTTTTTGAACCGGGCCGACCGGGCCGGGCCGACGGGCCGGGCCGGGCCGGAGTTTTGGAAATTTCGGCCCGGCCCGGCCCGTGGCAACTATGGAAGAAAGTTCGACCGTCGTCCCGTGAACTGTCGGCTGCTGATTTCGCCGGCCGGCAGCACGCTCTCCGGGCCTTTTTCTGAGCACCAAATCTGCTGATGCGTGCTGTTCGAAGAATACTGATTCATTTTTCCAAATTTTTTGGGAGTGAGTTCATTATGATTGAAACTCGCAAGCAGCAACGAGAAACTCGCAGAAATGTCTAGGGGTCACTGCCAAAACAGCGTCTTGCAAAATATGACTGCTCGTGCGTGCTTTTTGTGTCTCTTTGTTAGTTTACATCATATTGAACTCATCCCCAAAAAATCAAGTGTAATAAATCAGTATTCATCCGACGGCACGCATCTGAAGTTTCAGAACAGCCAACTCTGGCATTTCGTTATTAACCTAATCGCAGTCTACTCGAGTTATACGGCGGCCTAATAAGATTGATATGACACCTAATTAGATTAATAAATTGTCTAGCTAGATTAATAAATCTTCTAATTAGATTGATGTACTCAAATCACTCTGGAAACTCGATTGCAATCAAATTAGAAGAATTTGCAATCTAATAAGAAAAAGCTCTATTTCGCAATCTAATCAGATTTAATTGAAGTTCCAGTAAAATCGTATTAGATTACAATATATTTTTCCTGAATTGCAATCTAATAAGAAAAAATTGCAATCTAATTAGAAAACATTGTAATCTAATTAGAAAAATTGCAGTGATTGCAATCTAATTAGAAGATTTTGCAATCTAATTGAAGCAAATTCTATTTCAAACGAGTTCGTATTAGATTGCAAAGTTTTCTAATTAGATTGCGATCGAGTTCCCAGAGTAGAAGAAAAGTACGCGGATGAGTATGAATTGTACGGTCCAGTTTTTGAGAATAATCTGGAAAACCTGTTTTGGCCTAGTAGAACGGCGTGACCCCGCGGCCATGGTCGCGGGGTCGCGGACTATAAGTTATATAGTCTATAACCTCCGCGAGAGCGACTGGGCCAGGTTCCAAAAGTCTTGTTTATGAAACACAAGAGGCGTCTGTCTGTCTGTCCCTTTGGATGTCCGCTGAGCGCAGCAGAGAAAGACGGAACGTACAAAACCGAGATGGGGTCGAACCTGCGACAGCCATATCACTAACAATTGATAAACCAGCGAGCGAGCGTGCACAATTGATCAATCCGCGAGTGTCCGGCACGCGGATTGATGCATCATTCGATCAATCATTGATCCCCACGCATAATTGATCAATCGCGGATTATTATAGGGGCACCGCACAGAAATGGCACTCTGTTGAGAAACTCTTTTTGCAGTGCAAATTTTGCGACCTAGGGGCCGAGTTTGAAAAGTTACGCCACGTTTTCAGTGGAAAATTACCTCGCGGCCTAGAAATTCGGCCAGATTGCGAACAGCGCGCCCTTTCTGTCCGGTGCCCCAATAATAACTGTGCACCGGCGGACAATGAGAGGCCGGAGGCCGAGCGCGATGCGAGCCTTTTTGCGCAGCTGCCAGCAATGCCCGTAGCCGAAGGTCAGGCTTCTAAACTGTTATAAAATACTCGATGTAATTACAATCGTTTCGTTGAGCCTTTGCAGAAACTGACAAAAAACACAAGCAACGCGAGGTTGTTTGCGTTTACCGCCGACTGTAAACTTGACCTTCGCTGCGGTACCATCGCATGCAACAAACTTTTTATGCGCCTTTAATCCAGTTGGAAGAACAACGAGGTGTCGGTGAAGTCTTTCTTCGTTTCTTTTATTAATGGTTCTGACCGGAAAGATAAATTCAGGTCTACCGACCGAAGCAATGATAACGATAAACACCCAGTGAATAAGTAGAAAAACATTTATTTCCAGAAAAGTTTTATCAGAATTCGGTCTTTAAAGTCTTGCAAAAAATAAATTTATAGAAAGGTAGAGAGCATTCCGATTGACCTTCATTAATAAGCAGACTTGCCAAATCCCGGGCCGGCCCGGTTTTGGCCCGACCCGGCCCGGTCGGCCCGAAAGTTAGACCTCAAAAAAAATATGCAAAAAAAATATGAAGGAAGAGGAAAACGCGTGCGGCAAAATTGCTAAAATGGCGTGTCAGAGTTGCAATCAATCGCTCCGCCCACTCTTGAGAAAATTTTCGTAATTTTTGTGAAAATTTTGCGACTTTAAACAGCAATTTCTATTTTTTAATTTTTAGGTGCATCCTCCCGGGCCGACCCGGGCCGGAAAATTTCCAATTTTGGCCCGGCCCGGCCCGGCCCGTTGCAAGTCTGTTAATGAGTAGGGTTGGCAACAGGGCGACCCTCGCCCCGCGTTACTACAGGGGGCGAAGGTGGGCGCCCCTCGCCCCACACGCCCCCGGGCCCTTACAATGTAATTAAAATTCTGTAAAAAATTTGCAGAATAAAGCATTTACTCACTATCGACGTGCGTTGAGAAAAAATTTTAAAAAAATTCCTGCTCGCTTTTGGAAAAACCGGTCGGGGGCGAGGGGGCGCCCCGCTGCCAACCCTAAATAAGAATAATGATGTGAATACATCAGCACCACATCTTTGTAAAGTATGTTAACATTCGCTATTTACAGTGTAAGTATAATTGACGAATCAAACGTAAGCGAGCCGGCTTGAAGGTTCACGTACTCTTCATTTCGATACAATTCACCGATAATCTCCGGTCCGCCAATAAATACTCTGGCAATTCGATATTAATCTAATTAGAAAGTTACTGATCTAAACGCGTCCTAATTAGATTCGACTGTTTTTTCTTGGCGCAATCGAGATTTGAGCCAGCAGACGGTTGGCGTGAAACTTGATTTGGGCACTTATTAATCTAGCTAGAAGATTTATTAATCTAACTAGATAATTTATTAATCTCATTAGGTGTCATATCAATCTTATTAGGCCGCCGTTAGATTAATAACGAAATTCCAGAGTATAGCATGCATATGAGAAAACTGTTTCATTCTTAAAAATAAAAAAAACATGAAATATTTTCGCGGAGATCACCACCAAAAGACTGATTTCTTAACACAGTGTATTTCCTTTAGTGTCCTGACAGCACAGCATCATTGATAAAAAATTCTACGATATACATTTAATAAGATTAACTTTGGAAACAGGGACAGCTTCAAAATCAGCTACTGAAATGAGGAATTATGTGAGTCTCTACGTTCAAATTTTTCATGCTCACCTTGTTTTCGGTAGGTATAGAAATTTGTATTTTTTTGACATTGTGATCTTCAACCTTATCATAAGATCTCTTTTTCACTGATGACGTAGTTGACCGTGCGCAAGTTTGGTCAATTGCAAGGATGTCAATTTCTTCTGTATCCGAACTAATTCTTTGTTCTTTTGTTGCATGGGTAATCGGAAGACGTTCATACTCGACCGATTCAAGACTGTTAGGCATTGGTGGAACCGAATCGAGAACTTCTCTGGCTCTATCTAAGTTCGACAACACTTCCAAACTTCCTATACCGTGAGAGCCGTGGGCACCTCCACGTTTAGCCCACACTCCCCATGTTCTTGTTTCTGGTTCTTTTTGGACCAAAGGCATTGTTGGCGGCATTCCACGGGGCGTGCCGGGATCAGGTTCCGGAATAATTGAGACAGAAGCTTCTCGATCCCTTGATGTTTCAGTTTGAATTCTAGGTCGCGAAAAATTGCTTGAAGACACTGGTTCAGCGCTGCTCGGCTTCTTTGATTCATTGAATGTTCTTTCCAAACGTAACATGAAAGCGGCCGTGCTTGGTGATGGTCCCTGACCATGAGTGACTTGCTGAATGCGGAATCCAGTGGCAGTTGAAGAATTTGTTTCAAACGTCTGTTTCAGAAGGTCGATATACTTTTCAATTGAATAAATAGGATTATATTCGTAAGGATTTCGATCTTCGTTGAAATTTCTGGCACATTGCAGATCGCCAGGGAGATCAGAAGGCATTTGGTACATGTGATCAACAAGGGGAGAGTAAGTGTTTCTTGTGTCATTTTGATTATTCTGAGTCATAGGCATGACTACAGCCGGTAACTGATGATTCACTTTCGCTAGCTGATTTACAGAAGGTTTTGGCACATTTGCGTCTGGTAAACTTGCGTCAGGGAATCTGAAAGAAGTTCATCACGAAGCTGGCATATAATTCAAATAAATACCTGGCAGCGTGTTCATGTCGAGCGTTGAAAAAATTGATGAGGGCATTATTCATCATCGCATTAATGTTACAAACTAATGTATCTATGGGCTGATCTCCAGAAATAGATAAAGATTCGGCAGAAGTGTTCATTGTATTGATTGCCACACTCAAAGCAGCGTTTGCGGCATCACTCTCGTAATTCTGTTTGATTCGGTGAATTACTTTTGCCGGAATAGTCCGTGGCGGCCAGTTGGAAGGATGATGGTTGTCTGGTGTAACTGAACGTGGAAGAAAGCTTGAGAGTTCAACGCCTAGAAGATAATTTAAATTTTAAAAAGTATAAATGCACTAAACCAAATCTCGTAGATATTTTTTCGGCTTCTGAATAAAACTCCTGTTCTCTTCGTTCAGCTTCTGGCAAAATAGCCTTCCATGCAGTGGGATTCTTCAAGAACTTGCGTGATTTGAAATTATTTTTTTAAATCAACTCACCACAATGCTCAAACGTCTTTGCAACTCTTCGTAGCGAAAATATGCAGCTTGTCGTTCGTAAACAGGCATAACAAAATCAATAATAATTTGTTGAGCCTAAATTTCAATTTATGGGTCGGTCGGGATAAAAAACTACTTACCACATACATAATCATTGGCAGTCTACCTAAGATTCGAAGTTTAGCATCGGAAGAAAAAGTTTCGACACCCGGGTGTTCTTTAAGTCTATGAAAAATGAAGTATTCTATTCTTTTGAAAATTATGAACGCTCTCTCGAGTTTCATAGCTTTGAGGTATTCGAGACCCATTACCGAAAGGTCGAGAAGCACTTCGTAATACCTGTAAATAGTCAATATTATCAACGCGTTTTCTTCAATGTAAAAAACCTATGGAGCGGAACCATCAGAGTCGCTTCAATGTTGGCAGCATAACGGAGCTGTCTCACACGTAGTTCTGGGTTCATAAGAACTAACGGTGTTGGCTCACGGGGATCGCCTGAAAGGGACAAAATGGTTTTCGGTAACACGCTTTCTCCAACGTCGCTGTGTCATGATGAGATGCACGGAACTCACACGAAGAGCATTGAGATTGTGTTTAATTAGCACACTTCCTGAAATGTTATGGGGCTATTCAGCGATTGTTTGTTTTCCGTTTTTTTCCGTTTTTTTTTACATCGCTGAATTGGATTTTTCGACTTAAAAAAACGAAAAAAACGGAAACCAATCATTTTTTTCACAGCCTGAATAACCCCATTAAATTTTCGAGGTGGTCAAAAACGCCAGACAAAAGGACACGACTTTTCCGAACAATCACGTCCTGGCTGTAGATGAAGGAGAGGCAGACTAGATAGTGTAGTTTTCTAGTCCTTAGAAAGTTCGGCCACGCTAGTGCCGGGGAACTGCGTGCTTCCCCGAATCAGAACTGTCCAAAATCAGAATTGTCCCAAATCAGAACTTTCCCGAATCAGAACCTATCTGCAGGTGGTTTCTATTAGGAAAAGTCGTGTTGTGACTGGTTCTGCTTCGGGACAGTTCTGACCGGATGCTTCTCTGGTTTCAATTTCTTTGTTTAATCAAAAAATAAGCCTAAGCTAAGGCTCCGGTTGGAAAGCGGTTTCTTGATTAGCTCGGCAAAGGCGCGCCACTTTTGCGCAAACTTTACGCAGCTTTTGCGCAAAGTTAGCGCAGCTTCAGCTGGCTAGTTGCGCAAAAGCGTGAAGTCTGCACAAAAGCTGTCAGTTTTAAAAGTTTGCCCAAATGCTGCTTAAAAATGTTCAGTTTATTTCCACCTCATTTCTGCATGAAAAAAAAATTTTTATTGGGATAGTATAAAAGCCAGAAACAAGTACCATTTAAATTTTTAATCTAATTAGAGATCAGTGATTGTATAGTCTTCGTCACTTTCATAACTGAACAAAGACACGTTGTTATAAGTGAAAATGCAGGCGATGTAGGAGACACCATCCTCAAAATCTGAAATTCTCATCTACGAGTTATAAAATTCTCTGTTAACTCACTGAAACACTCTTCTGATTCATGAATCGTAAACCTAGCAGACAACGACGAGGGCTCCGAGGATATTGAATGTCCGCGAAGAGGGTCACCCATACTGGAAATGTTCTAAGACAACAAAAGGCAAGTATCTGGCGGCCAAAGAACATGGACTATGTTACATTTGTTTCGAAAGCTCACACATGTCAAGAGAATGCAGAAAACAGAGTGGTTGCAAACACTGCAAAGGACCACACAACTCCATTCTCCATGAATTATTCGAACACTTCTTCCAAAAATACAGGGTGGGGAATAAATATAGCGCCGAATTCAAAATGTCGTAAAAAACTCAAATCGCAAGATTTTTTTCTGTAAATCTACTAAAAGCTCTATTAAACAATAACAAAAAGAATGGCATTAGCAGTTTTTGCCGATTGCACCTTTCTCTTCGTTGGCAGCCGTCAGTCTCCTCGGATACGAGTCAGCAGCGGCACGGGGGTAGTTGACGTAAAGATCGTGTCATGGCTTCCGTAGTTCAACTTTCCGGACTCCCTATTTTGGTTAATTGTGAATGGATACATACTAGGCAAACCACTCAAACTCGGAGAAATCCATAGAAATCATATCCGACTTGAAATCTAGTCGTTCTTCTTAAGTGATAAAACTTGCGAAATTGGCTTTGCGTCACTGTTAGGTGGTTTTGGCTCGATGAGCAGGTGTACCGTCTTGCTGGAAGACCCTATCTTGTTTTCCGTAATCAACTAGATCCAAGACAGTTCCTTCGACCCGATAATCTTACTGGAGTAGCATTTACGGTTGATTTTCGCGCCAATATCAGTGCTGTTTTGCCATTGGCGGAAATTCTCCAAAGAACCATTACTGAAGCCGGATAAAAATTTTTAAAAATTATTTTTCCATTCTGACGGACAGTCTCAATGTCCCCTGAGATGATCTTGTTGTTGTGATCATCATTGTCGATACCAGCAGCGTGTGGCCACTCATCTCCGATCAGAGTCTGCAGGAGCGTGCCTTGCCGCGTGCCGCCAACGGGACTTCCGGCTTTCTTGAAGCGAAAGTCCTTGTTATGGAACGATTCTTTTGAATACGATAAGGAATCATATTTAGTTCCTGTCTGGCAATAGCTTACATAGATTTTAAGCTCATACGGAACTCCGACGACATTTTTCACGTGCTTCTCTCCGAGTTTCTACGATTTTTGCTCTAACCGATATGACCATCTTGGGAGTTGTCACTGGGACCGGGGGATTACTTCTCTACTTGTCTTCCAGTGTTCCGAGGTGTCAGAAACATCGGGAAGTCATATTAACAAACAATCTTACTACGCCGAGCTTCCTAACTATTTTAGACGATCGCATTCCTATACTTGTGAACCCCATAATTACGGACCTGGGCGATGACGGAGCCACCATTTCTCTCAATATTAAGAGAATTGTCTGCAACTTAGAGAAATGGTCAAAAATGAAGTGATGAATGGAAAAAATAACATGAGCGGCCATCCCATTGGCTCTGTAGGCGCCAGCGCTCACGCGAAGTTTGGACGCTATATTTATTCCCCACCCTGTACGAACAGTTCATGGGATACCAAAATCCGCAACAACAGACGTATGGAAATCAACAATATAACGAGGCACAAGACATGCAACGACATCAGTTCAATCAGAGACAACAAAATTTCCAACATCAGAACCAAGCCGACAGCCAAAGATGGGCACCACCAGCTGAACAACGAGGAGCTGGAGCAAACTTGACTCATTAGAGTCTCGTTTGCAAACAACAATACCGCCTCGATAGAGGCGTAAAAACACAAAAACACAAAAACAAAAAACCCAAAAGACAGAGAGAGAACACAGATAACATAGGAGTAAAATACCATAAGCATATTTAACATTTACCAAATAGTGATACAGTAACTTAAGAAGAGACATGAAAACAGATACGGACCCTACACGAGACAACAAGTTCGCCATCAGTCGTGGCCGGCGGGAGTGTTGCGGACGAGGAGAGTATATAACCCTCTCCACCGCAACTCTTTCCATACTTCTCCATCAAACCAGCCTTAACGACCAGCAAGTACTCTTAACTACAGTTTTCAGATGTTCTCGTTTGAACTCCCGCGCAGTCGCCATTCAGGAGCGTCTTGTGCGTACACACGACTGCACACTCGCGCCTCCGCCCCATTTAGGAGCGTCGACGACTACGGTTGTGCGTCGAGCGATTGGCCTAAACTACTCGCCGAGTTCGCATCACTATATCGTTTACTGTCACCCCCTTTTTCGTTACCCCTTCCTTGTCAGGAACGACTTCGTGTCGCAGCCGGACCAGAGATACGGAATTAACCCGACGCTCTGTCCGACAGACCTTATTGACTTTTGATAATATTTCCAACACTAAATAAACGATTTATTATCTCTCTGCCTTCACTTCGCACTCTTTCCACTCCCCGCTCTGGGAACTCGATTGCAATCTTATTAGAAAACTTTGCAATCTAATACGAACTCGTTTGAAATAGAATTCGCTTCAATTGGATTGCAAAATCTTCTAATTAGATTACAATCACTGCAATTTTTCTAATTAGATTGCAATGTTTTCTCATTATTATAGGGGCACCGCACAGAAATAGGCGCTCTGGTGAGAAACTCTTTTTGCAGTGCAAATTGAGCGACCTCGGGGCCGAGTTTGAAAAGTTAGGCCACATTTTCAGTGGAAAATTACTTCGCGGCCTAGATACAGGGTGGTCCACCGTTACCCGTACAAAATAAAAGTTGGGTAATTCCAAAACTAGAAGTCAGAAAGGCATGAGACTTAACAAAACGTTTACTAAGATGTTTGACAATATTTATAAGCTAATAGTGTTGCACCCGACCTCCTTTCCTAACAATGACAGCCCGAAGACTTCCGAAGTAACAGTTTGCCGCGGCACGCGGGAAGTCCGTGGACAGATTGTCCCCCTACCTGGCAAGGAATTTTTTTTATCACTCCCCTACTTGTCTGGGGTTTAGCCTTTATATTGGCCTGTAAGACCCCAACAACGAATAGTCCAACAAAAAATGGTCCGGCGAGAAATCGGACCATTTTTCCTTCTTGATGAACGCTGCCAAATTGGCCTGGAACCACTGCTGAATGATTTTGGCAGTGTGAGCAGGCGTATTATCCTCCTAGAACACCCAATGTTGTTCTCCGAAGTGTTTGTGAGACCGAAGAACTAGTTTCTTTGTTGAAGCCTCATCTACATAACGTACTTTTCTGATTTTGTCACCATTATCGATGAAAACGCGTTGAGATTGGCATATTCAGCTGATGGGACAAGAAATCATGGCACGGTCCAGATTATGGCCCTACCGTTTTCATACGCGTCTAGTGACGTCCCAGCAAGCCTCTGACTACTTTGAGAATTCAAATTGGCCTTCGCCGGGAACAGTCATTCGTCTGAAAAGGCCATCTTCAAATGGTCGCCATGGCGCGTGCCACTCAACTGGAGTTTCGACATTTGAATCCGTTTCAACTTTTTGGCAGTTGAGATGATAACGGCTTCTGTTCACATATTTCGGTATCAAACTGAGCTTGCATTTTAGAGTGATTTACATTGATATCGGACTCATTTCCATATCATGTGCTATCATTCTCGTGCTTGGATACGGATTTCTCATGATCCGCTCTCTGGTAGCTGTGACCGTCTGAGGAGAGATCATGGTGATTCCTTTTTTGTTTCTGGTATTGCTCTAGAGTGGGTTTAGACCGGAGAAAAGTTAGATTGTATCGTAAACGGATTTGCTTGGGATACCGAGCCGTTTCATGATCGTTTGTCTGCTCACCCCTCCAGTGAACAAGTGTATGATGGGGACGGGGTGCAGACTAATCGGTGCTATTTGGCTGAAACAAATCCGTTTGGTCTGAGACTTGGCCGAATAGTTAAAAACATGATAATATACAAAATTTTGAATTAGGGCCACACCAGAATTGCGTCAGTACCTACGCGCGCCGCGTAAAACTTTTGTACGGGTAACGGTGGACCACCCTGTATTCGGCCAGATTGCGAACAGCGCGCCCTTTCTGTCCGGTGTCCCAATAATAGACTGCAATTTTTTCTTATTATATTGTAATCTAATACGATTTTACTGGAACTTCAATTAAATCTGATTAGATTGCGAAATAGAGCGTTTTCTTATTAGATTGCAAACTCTTCTAATTAGATTGCAATCGAGTTTCCAGAGCCGTTCGCGACAACTGAAAATGCAAAGTTTCCATAACAATTTCGACATGCCTTAAAGTTTGCGCAAAAGTGGCGCGCTTTTGCCGAGTTAGCCTTTTTTGCCCCCTGAAATCTTGGCCCCCGAACAGAGCGCCATTTCAGGCCAGGGCGAGTTACCGGTTTACTGTTGAAAAAGAAAAGGTTCGACATTCGAGTCAGAGTTGGCAGCGAGCCAAGGACACGCCCCCGAAACAGCGTGCGGCAGTTGCAGTGAAAACTGTTTGGGGGGCGTGTCCTTGGCTCGCTGCCAACTCCGATTCGAATTTCGAACCTTTTTTTTCAACAGTAGCTCCTTTGTTGCCCTCTGGGAGTATCGGCCACCTTGCGGTAATGCGATGAATTATTATAGGGGTATCTCACAGAAATGGCGCTCTGTTCGCAATCTGACCGAATTTCTAGACCGCGAAGCAATTTTCCACTGAAAATGTGGCTAATGGGGTTATTCAGGCCGTTTTTTTTTCCTTTTTTGACGTCAAAAAAATTAATTCAGCGTTGTAAAAAACGGAAAACAAACATACGCTGAATAGTAACATAACTTTTCAAACTCGGCCCCGAGGTCACTCAATTTGCACTGCAAAAAGAGTTTCTCAACAGAGCGCCATTTCTGTGAGGTGCCCCTATAATAGAGCTATGACAACCCTTCTACTACTTTCTCTACGAGCAATTCAGAAGCAAACCAGCAATTTATGTCTTTCCCTGGGGGCGGGAGCATTCTCCTTTTCCAAAATGCAAGAGTTAATTTTTTTATAAGTGCACAACATATATTAAAGAGAACGAGGCTACTACAAAAAAAACTTGGGAGGAAATTGGGTTGGTCTCAAATTAAACTGTTGCTTTTCTCTAACTTGATACTTGGAAAAACTAAGTTCCAAAGAAATCTCGGTTACGCTGTAACTCCCCAAGGATTTTATTCAGGCTTGAATCTCCAGCATGCTTCTCTTTTCGGGACTGCGACCTCCCCTTTTTCTTGTTAGCGATATTATTTTCTTTATTTGATTGTTCGCACTTGATTCTGCATCTGTTTTACTAACATTTTTGAGGTTTTCATTCTGTTGCTACTAGAATCGATCTCATAAAAAAATTAATATATTCTTTAAAAAAAGTTTTTATACCTCCAAAGAGATGATTCATGTTCCCAAAGTCCCAAATTCTGAAAGCATTTCCCCGAATTTTGCTTAATTTCCTTTAAAAAAACATTAGGAGACCACGATAAGTACACGAGATTATCTATTTTTCGTGCGGCACTCGAATAATTCTGTCTGAAATTCAATCATGACGCTCAGATATCACTTTTTTGTATCGTTATCAATGGCCTCTAGGATACTGTATTGAAATCCAAAATCTTGAACCTTTTCACATTTGGCGGTCGGGGGAATAGAACACTCCTCCTGCCGTGTACTTCTCATGGTCTTTTTGGCCTTTTTCGGAAAATGCAGCAAAATCACATATATTATTGGGGCACCGGACAGAAAGGGCGCGCTGTTCGCAATCTGGCCGAATTTCTAGGCCGCGAAGTAATTTTCCACTGAAAACGTGGCCCAAATTTTCAAACTCGGCCCCGAGGTCGCTCAATTTGCACTGCAAAAAGAGTTTCTCAACAGAGCGCCATTTCTGTGCGGTGCCCCTATAATATTCTTTTTTAATAAAAGTCTTGTATGTTTTTTTGTTTTTTCTCTGTTTGTCCCTCTCCATTTTCAAATCTAAAACGAAAAGTAGTACTGAAATTCGTTACGACCCCTCGATCATATTATATATCATTATTTGTAGTCGCTAAAAACTATTTAATGTACAGCGTTGGAAATCGCATTCTCAAAACATTTTTGGGCTAATCTCGAATTTCTTTTTCGCCCTAATATCGAATTACAAAAAATTCATCAGCTGACTGACTGAAACATGTGCATATAACCCAAGAGAAAAAACTTTCTTTAAAGATTATGGAATCTTTTCGAAGTGTCTTTTCTGTCCCCACTATGTTGTACCGTACAAATATTATTCTCACTCTCCGGATAAAAGCAATGGCAAAGGAAGTATTTCTTCTTTATGTGATTTTTTGATTTTGAAAGATGTCAGGTGTTATACGACATTTGATTACACACGACATCGAATGGTCTCGACAACCTTTCCGCGCTTTTTTTCGCGAAACAACCCTAATGAATGTTCCCTTAAGTGCAAGAAAAACACTTCAAAAATTAAGTTCTGAATAGTTTTGAAACAAGAAAAATTAGGCTTCAATTCAAATTTGCTCATTTTTCAGGATTTCCGGGCCGGGCCGGGCTCTGGCAATTCGATTTTAATCTAATTAGAAAGTTACTGATCTTAACGCGACCTAATTAGATTCTACTGTTTTTTCTTGGCGCAATCGAGATTTGAGCCAGCAGACGGTTGGCGTGAAACTTGATTTGAGCACATATCAATCTAATTAGAAGATTTATTAATCTAGCTAGACAATTTATTAATCTAATTAGGTGTCATATCAATCTTATTAGGCCGCCGTATAACTCGAGTAGACTGCGATTAGATTAATAACGAAATGCCAGAGCTCACCAAGCCTTTCTCCGTGCGCCAAAAATTCAGATGCGTCCGTTTTTTCCGTTTTCTTTACATCGCTGAATTGGTTTTTTTGACGTAAAAAAAACGAAAAAAAAACGGAAAACATTCATTTTTTCACAGCCTGAATAACCCCATTATGCAAAATTCCATTTCAACCCGGCCCGTTGCAAGCTCAGGCAAATCGTTTCTAATCTAACTAGCTAATTCTCGTTTCTAACTGGACCTAGTTAGATTGCTACAGACTTGTGAATCTAACTAGCTGATTTTGCAATCTAAGCATAATCTAGCTAGGTTTGCCTGAAATTTTAATCTAATTAGATAAATTTTGAATCTAATATCAGTGTTTTTGCAATCTAATTAGCTTCGCCAGTCTAATTAGAAAATTTATCAGTCCAGTTAGAAGAATTTGCAATCTAATCGCAGTAAATAAGCAATCTAATTAGGTCCGGTTAGAAACGCGAATTAGCTAGCTCGATTACAAACGATTTACCTGAGAGTATATTAAAAATTGTTACGGCAGAATTTGTTTCATTACATTATCTTCGAATAGTTTGATCTTGTGCACAAAAATCGCTAAATTCTGTTGAACAATGTAGATAAGCCTTTTTTCTTGTGAAATAGTCGAAAAGCAAGTTTGATTTAATTGAGCTTAACTAGATACACGCTAGATACATCTACCACAACAAAATCCTAATGATGTTTACAAATTTGATTCTATATTTTACGAAATAGATTCCTATGTGATTTTGACAACGTCTCATAGTGATCTCGCTTTCTTCCGGCTAGGCTGGTTTAGCCTGGTCGAACAGGCGATTTCAGGCGCCTGCGCCTGTTAGACCAGCCTACTTCCGGCAAATTGAATATCTGATTCATTTAAGATTTGTTCAAAAGTAGGCGGAGCGATATAATTTTGTAAGTCTGCTGTTTTTCAAATTTCAAGATTTTGAAAAAATTGGACTTTTGATGTACAGTCTCATTTGGGAAATAAAAAAAAACCATCTTTGCCCGAATTTGCCTGAAAATATGTTCAGCAAAATTTTTAGTTTCAGAAGGCCCGGCCCGTTGCAAGACATGTTTTCTAGGTCCCATAGTCAGTGAAACCGTTAGACAAATTTGTTGTGAACTTTTAATTTTCGATAATTTTCTTCCCAGTCTGATGCCAATCCGAATTGTCTTATTTCCAGAGAGAGAGAGAGCGGCCGAACATTCTAAGAACCGGCTAACAACTAATCGACCAGCCTCTCCAGATGCCAGAATGATACGTAATTATGAAGGTACAAGACTTTTGAAACTTGAGCCCGCTGCGCGGGCTGAGCTCGGAATCGGCTTCACCGCTTGTTTGAGAGTTCATTTTTTATTTCTTTATTTTCCTGTTACAAGTAAATATTAGGGGTGCATTTGACTGCAATCGCTCTCTACCGCACACCACGTGAATTCAGTGCTAAATTGGAAAAGGTCGCCGTCGCGGCCGGGTTTTCACGTGGGATTGCGGTAGAGCGCGATTTTAGAAAAATGCCGCCATAATATTACGGGGGCATTTTACTGCAAACGCGCTCTGTTGCAATTTGTCACATATTTTTCGAGAAATGTTTTGAAACGATAATATTGATATTATCGAAAAGACACACTGATAGCATACGTTTCGTGGATACGGAGTTTGAAATATTTGCTCAATTTGTCAAAAAATTCAGGAAAAATGTGACGTTTACAGCGACGGTATATGCACCCAGCGCGTAAAACTTTACGGAAAAAATATGTGAGAAATGGCTCAATTAAACGTTTTGTTTATTGTTTTAAGAACACCTCTGAGAATGCCCCAAGAATAATGCCTCCATGAACACGGTCCTCCCTAAATGCCCCATATTTGGATGCGCCTTGGGAATATGGTCCCGCTACCGAGTCAGCTAGGCCTGCGCAGCGGGCGCAAGACTGGAAGTCTTGTATTCAACATGAAAGCTGAGAAATCTAAATCCTCGTTCAGGTGGATTATTTCGAAGTTACTCTAGATAGAAGTATCGATGAGCCGTATCTGGGTGGGGATCCTATTAAAGGTATCATTGAAATGGTCTGCTCGAAACAGGTTAGAATCAACGGATTAATTGTGAGACTCACAGGAATTGCAGAAACGGGTAAGATTTTGTACAGGTTGAATTTCTTCTTTAGCGCATATCTCTGGCAATTCGATATTGATCTATTAAGAAAGTTACGATCTAATCTCAGCCTAATTAGATTAGGCTGTTTTTTCTTGTCGCTAGGGATCAAAACAGGCGATCTTAGGCGCCTGCGCCTGTTCTGCATCGCTACTTGGCGCAATCGAGAATTGAGCTCGCAAAGGGTTGGCATTAAAACTGATTTGAGCACTTATTAATCTAGCTAGAAGATTTATTAATCTAACTAGAAGATTTATTAATCAAGCTAAAAGATTTATTAATCCAGCTAGAAGATTTATTAATCTAGCTAGACAATTTATTAATCTAATTAGGTGCCATATTAATCTAATTAGGCCGCCGGCGGCGCCGTATAACTCGAGTAGACTACGATTAGATTAATAACGAAATGCCAGAGTATACAAATCGGAATACACGGCGAAGATTTGTGAACATGCTCGGGCACGTTATTATCGCTCCGTATCGCAAACCGTACCCCTTTAGCACGAGAATGAGTCGCTACGCAGCGGCAAAATACTGGCGGGAAATTCAGATCATGTTCGCAAATGTTCGCCGTGGAATGCTCTGTTGAGAATTGGCGAATTTCAATAAATTCAAATGCACAGATGGAAGAGAAACCCACTCGGCCCCAGGCCATGTCGATTTACGGCAGCACCTCTCAGTTTTATTTTGCAATTTTCAATAAAATCTTTGGGTTCCTTATGTAGTTTGTTTGACTTCCGAATGAAAAGATAATACATTGCTGATAAAAAACAGAATTTTCAGACTTGGAGTGAGAACTGAACAAGAAGGGACGCCGTTTAGGTTGCGAAATTACAAGCATAGTAATTATTAGGGAGAGTTTTTTGTTTCTGATAACTGTTCGAAAGTTCACATGTTCATTTCTTAGCTTCTCCGTCACAATCATTTCGTTTAAGAAATGAACATGGGGACGGAGAAACGGAGAAGTAAACAAACAAACAAGCAAACAGAGGGGAATACCCCCAAGACTTATATTAATAAGAATGATAAGAATGATTGTAAAAAAAACTGAGAGGTGCAGCTGTAAATCGACATGGCCAGAGGCCGAGTGGGTTTCTCTTCATTCAAATTCGTGTCCCCGAGCAGTTTTCGCGCGCGAATTCTCAACAGAGCGCATTCACATTAAAATGCCCCGATAGTAGAACTGTTCCGGATTAACGCAACTCTCGCTGTATTTGTTGTCTTTCGGAACAACTATAATCATCATTCTTATTTAATAAAAGTCTTGAGGGGCCACGGCGACTTAAAGTGTAGAAAGGAGTAATACCGTAGTTTTAAGATGTACGGTAACAATCGTTCAACTGCGCAGAGCTCAGTTAAATTTCGGACTGCGAAATCCAACAAATTTCACAGATTTTTTTAAACTTTGGGCGCGACATGAGAATCTAACAAGCATCCCAGCATTGCCTCGGTTCGCGCAGCGGACCCGGTTCAAAAGTCTTGTAAACAAACAGAAAAAAAAATTGACAAACTGACTATTAATAAGAATGATGATAATAGTTGAGACAAAACAATTTCAATCAAACACGTGAGCATGTTCGCAAATGTTCCTCATTGCAAATCGGCAACTCATTTTAAAGGCACTAGCAAGCTGGGCTAGAGTATACCCGCACGACCTATTCTTTTAGGGTGGCGCAACCGTCAGGATGATCTTCCATACGAAAGTCGGCATACATTTATGGATGAGAGAATAGATCTCACGACGTGAGTACTCGGCATCTATGTGCTCATCCGTCATGATTATTTACTAAAAAGCAAACGGAGTCTGTCCATTCACGGGCCGGCAAAGCATACGGAGGAGTGGAAAATGTGAAGCTGTAACTTCTCTCAGAAACCTTACATTTACCTCTGACCTGGAAAAAACCGAAAGTCCTATGTATGAAAAGCCGGGCCGTGCCTTTACTTTCTTTATTACTTTATCCGGTATATTCTATTATGACCCTCCGTACCATTCGGTTTGGCACCATTTTTTTCCGTTTTTTTTGTTGATTTTTTGACATCGCTGAATAGGGAAAAAAAACGGAAAACAATCATTTTTTCATCCCCTGAATAGGCCCATTTGAAAAAAGAGAGGGTTAATGCCGCGTCCAAAGTTTTAAAAAAAGTTGAAGGAAAGGTCTAACAGGCGCCTGAAAAAAACGGGCGCCTGTTTTTTCAGGCTCTCTTGAAGTGACATTTTCCAGAAAAAACAACAAAACAGGCGCCTGAAATCGCATGTTCGACGAGCCTATCTGCGTGACTGCCGGTTTTTTTTAAACTTTGGACGCGGCATAATGGAATTGATATCGTTAATAACAACGCATTTATTCACTTGTGAATGGGGGGTGCGCACCTAGGAAAAAATTAACAGGAAAAGAGAGGAATATAAAGATAGTGGGTGGAGGAGGGAATAATGACTAAAATAACCATTGACCGGCAATAGCCATAGGTCAAGTTGAATACAATATACAGTATGTATATACTAGGGGGATCTTTTCTATGCGTGCCGCAAAAGCCTCAGGAGACAGTCGTTCTGGGAACAATTTGGCCACTCGGTTCAATAGGGCAAGATGGGTATGCAAGAAAGAGTCATGGGGTAGGCCTAGGGAGGAAAGAAGATACGGGTAACGGGGGGAGACGCCGGGTTTGAGGAACAAATTTAGGGAGGGGAAATGGTGTTTATGCTATTATAGGGGCACCGCACAGAAATGGCGCTCTGTTGAGAAACTCTTTTTGCAGTGCAAATTGAGCGACCTCGGGGCCGAGTTTGAAAAGTTAGGCCACATTTTCAGTGGAAAATTACTTCGCGGCCTAGAAATTCGGCCAGATTGCGAACAGCGCGCCCTTTCTGTCCGGTGCCCCAATAATATATTATATATTGTAGAATGTTTTGAGGATAAGAAGTACCCGTCTATGGAGTATGAATTCAAATTAGATTGGCTTAGATTGGCAGAACCTCCCAGTCTCAAGTTTCCCCCCCGGATACCAATCAAATCAGGGCATTCCCTGGGTAAGTGACGAGGAAATTTTGAAGCAGCTCGTCAAAATCAAACCGAACAATACACTAACCCCAGATGAAATTCCGGCCAGATTCCTCAAATTTATATCTCCCTTTATAGCCAGTCCTGTGGCACAACTATGTAATCTCTCGATGATGTCAGGTGCCGTTCCCGCTCAGTGGACAAAATCTATAGTGTTTCCCCTTAAGAAAATTACCAATCCGACTCTACCCGTTCATTTTCGTCCTATTAGTTTAACCTCGGTCATCTGCCGCTCTTACGAAAGGTATCTATTGCGCCATTTACTTCAGCACCTTCAAGAGATACAATTCTGAAGCGATAGCCAGCACGGCTTCCGACCAGGCAGATCCACAACTACATGTGCTTTAGAAGTCATGAATGACTGGACCACACATTTGGAAGAGGGACAACAGGTGGACGTGATCTATTTCGACTTCTGCAAGGCTTTCGATAGAGTACCGCACTCGCTTCTAATAGAGAAGCTAATGATGCTGAATTAGAACGTGAATCTTATTAATTGGATCAAAGCTTACCTAAATAATCGCAGCTACCAAGTTCGAATAAACAACGCACTCTCATCAGTAAGGCCCGCTCCGTGTGGGGTACCACAAGGTGGGGTTCTGTCCCCAGTTCTTTTTGTATTTAAGTCAACGAAATTAGCATGATCCTCCCTCCTCAGATACAATCAAAGCAATGTGCGGACGATCTCAAGATCTACACACACTTCCCCAAGACATCCCCTTCCAAAGATCTCCAAATCGCAATTGACCGTATTTCTGAATGGTCCAAGAAACACAAGCTGTCTCTTAATCTCTCTAAATCAGTTTGTATATCACTAGGTCGAAATCCCTCAATAACCAAATATTATATCGACACAGCTGAGATAAAAAGAGAATCAATATGCAGAGACCTAGGATTTCTGATCTCTTCAAATCTAGATTTTGCTGACCACTGGAAGAAGACCATTCAAAAAGCAAACATAATGACAGCGAACCTTTTCAAGTTTTTTTACTCCCCAAACACACCCCTGATGACCCTTTTATTCAAAACATTCGTACGGCCCATACTTGAATACGGCACTATTGTCACATGTCCTTCTCAAAAAGCTACGATAAGAGCAATAGAACAGGTTCAGAGTAACTTCTCTCGCAAGCTTTGGTTACGGAAAATAGGAGCTTTCGTACCTCGAGATTCGCCAAACTACATAAACGCCAGCGAACGTCGCCGTCAATTTAACCTCGAATCACTAGAAACTCGCCGATCACATTTAGATAAGAAGTTTTTAATCAAATTGTTAGCTAACAAAGTCGACATCAATCCTGATGACTTTTTCCTACGCTTAAACACTACACGGACTAGACGGAGTCACGTTTACCGATGGAAGACTCCAAAATCGAAGCTAAGACACAACTTTTTTACACACAGAGTCTTATCAAAGATGAATCTGGCACAGGCATCTGTTAAATGATCATCTCTTTCCTTTTGCGCGGGCAAGTAGCTGAAGATTCTCCATTTATTCCCCCCAACTCCCCCACATCCCCTCCCCCTTCTTTTTTATCTCCTCTCTCTCTCTTCTCCACGTTAAAATAAACGTAAATAAATAAATATGTGGAAAATCGCATGCTGCATCTTTGGAAGACTCTTCTGCTGAAAAATCTAAAGGGAGACTCTAGTTTGCTAGAAAGGAACGTTGTTGAGGGATGAAAAAGTTCGCAACCGTATTCGAGAATGGGTCTGACGTAAACGTTGAAGAGTTTAAAGTAGAGGCTAGGGTTCGAGGAGCGAAAGGCTTTCATAATTTGTTTGCATTTCAATAGGGCAGTGTTGCTTACTATTGTAACTTGTTTCTCGAATTTTAGCTTCTTACCGATCCAGATGACGAGGTCTTTAACGGAATCTCTCGGTTCGATTTCAATGCCATTCAGGAAATATTTAGTTTTAGGGGTTTTCTTTCCAAAGTGAACAACTGCGTACTTATTTTCTGCTTGTTTCTGTTGCCAGGTTTCGCACCAAGACCCTACCAAGAATGTTGATAAATATCTTATGTTTTCATCTAGAACAATTGCGGATCATTGTAACAACGACTTCGAGTTACAAGAAGGAAAACACTGCATTGAGTTTGAAGGCAAAGTTCCATTAGATGTATTGTCATCTGTTGAAAGAGAAAATCACGGAAGCATCAGATACACATGCACCGCTCTTATGGCGATTCCTGAAGACGGAGATACCGAAGTTGTATCAGGTTAGTTTTCGAAAGGAATAGAATCACGCTTGAAATGACATTTTCCAGAAAAAACGTTTAAAGTGTATTCTTTGTTGAACCTCGATGCACCTTATTTGCATGATAAGTCTCATGTAACTGAGGAAGAAGAGGTATCTCAAAAATATTATAATATCCGTGGCTATCATCTTTTTCAGATCACAGGATGCTGTGGTCGTCGAAAAGGTACAATTACAGCCACAATGCAGATAGAAGAAATAGGTGTAATGCCAGGCCGTGCTTCGAAAATTATTCTAACAGTAGAAAACAAGACGAGAAAAAGGAAAAGATGGATAAGACAAAGGGTATGCTTCATTCGCATGAGAACGTGAGATGAACTCGTAAAATTCCATATTGGCTATCATAAATGTTAACAAAATGGACGTAGAATACAACTTTCTGTTCTTTTTTGTTTCAAAGTCCGTCCGAACGCGGATTTTCATCAGAAAAATAGAGAAAATTGTATCTGCCTCAAAGTTTCAAGGAACAGAACTTCAGTGCGCGAGTTCTGGCCTGACAAATTGCGCTCCGTGTGAGACCCGCCGGCGAACGCATGATACATCTCCGTATTGCGAACCGTACACCTAAACGAATACTGGCGGGAAATTAAAATCGTGCTCAAAAATGTTCACCGTGCTGTTCAGGATAACCACGAATGCGTTCTTCTGTCACTATGTCAGCAGTTGGACTTTGTAGCTGTTAACCGTCATGATCCAATGCTAGTGGACCGGAAGTCGCTGACAATAGCAGTAGAAAGTCATGTACGTTTAAAAAATAGATTTCGAGGATAATCTAGGCGATGAAAATGGTAATTCAGGGTACATGCAAAACAAAAGCAGGAGCAGGTCCACAAACGAAAGAAATAGAATTCATTGTACCTTCTAATCTCCCACCAACGTCAATTCATGCCAATCGCCTTGTGACTGTTTCTTACTTTTTCAAACTCGATTTAGAACATTTTGATTTAGTACTCCCAGTAATTGTAGGCAGTACTAAAACAATCAATGACTAGCTTGCAGATACTTTCAATTTACCGCCCTTGCCCCTCGGTGTTTGAGTACTGAAGCCTAATTTCAAAAATGCTGGTTTGAAATTGCAAACACCAAGAAGCAATAGCGATGAATTTAGTTTATTTACTTTCTAGATTGCAATCTTTCTAATTTAATGGGGTTATTCAGCGTATTATAGGGGCACCGCACAGAAATGGCGCTCTGCTGAGAAACTCTTTGCAGTGCAAATTGAGCGACCTCGGGGCCGAGTTTGAAAAATCAAGCCACATTTTCAGTGGAAAATTACTTCGCGGCCTAGAAATTCGGCCAGATTGCGAACAGCGCGCCCTTTCTGTCCGGTGCCCCTATAATATGTTTGTTTTCGGTTTTTTTTACATCGCTGAATTGAGTTTTTGACGTAAAAAAAACGGGAAAAAACAGCCTGAATAACCCTATAAGTTATATAGCTAGGCAATATTAAAATTTGAGCTTCTTGAATTGTCCATTTTAACGCATGTTATAGGAAATCATTTTCCCCATTTTATCTGAGTAATAAAACGGGTTCCTTGATGATTTTTCCATTGATGCATGAAAGTAAAAATAAAAAACATTCTTTATTGCAGCGTTTCTATCTGACAAGATAAATACATGAAATTTGTAAAAGGTCGTGCTTCTCAAGTCAGTGCAATGTACGCAGAGTATAGAAAATTGAAAAGAAAGCAATAAAAATGTGTTTCTACTGTTGTTGATAATATAAGCGTCCTGCGTCTCTCCCTTGAACGAAGACAAATATAATCTCATTATCAAGTTATCTAATCAATCAATTGGCATTTTAAGGTATATTACAATGACGCTGCAGACGTTAAATCATGGAACCCCAGCCTTACAATTTTCAAGCCAAGCCCCTTCTAGTGCATACATTTTGTAGCGCGTCTTTACAGTTCTAATGGGGCTATTCAGCGTATGTTTGTTTTCCGTTTTTTTCGTTTTTTCACATCGCTGAATTGGATTTTTTGACGTAAAAAACAAAAAAACGGAAAACAATCATTTTTTTTCACAGTCTGAATAGCCCCATAAGCTAATCAGACTCAACGCCATGAATTTGATTCCTCGTATCTTTGTATGCCGCGTCCAAAGTAAAAAAAAACACGCGGAAAGAAAGCAGTTAATTAACGTTAATAGAAATTTCGCAGAAGACCAGGACTCAGGTAAATCATCTGTAATTTAGCTAGCTAATTCGCGTTTCTAACCGGACCTAATTAGATTGCTAATTTACTGCGATTAGATTGCAAATTCTTCTAACTGGACTGATAAATTTTCTAATTAGATTGGCGAAGCTAATTAGATTGCAAAAACACTAATATTAGATTCAACATTTATCTAATTAGATTAAAATTTCGGGCAAACCTAGCTAGATTATGTTTAGATTGCAAAAACAGCTAGCTGGATTCAGAAATCGGTAGCAATCTAACTAGGTCCGGTTAGAAACGAGAATCAGCTAGTTAGATTAGAAACGATTTACCTGAGGACGCGCACAGCTAAACGAATGTCTAACTTTGGAAGAAAAAATGTAAAACTTTGGACGAAATTTGGTTTTTCAGCTAAAAAAATTTAACACATTTTTCCCGTCGAAAACTGATGCAAACGCACTCCATAGAGAATTGGTCTGCGCTTTGGAAGACGGCTGCGCCGTGTCTCAACACTTGTTCAGAAAGCCACCTGACTTTATATTAATTACAACTTTCTGAAACATGGCCCGCTGCGCGTGTTCATTTCTCAATTTCTCCCCATTAGAAACGATAACCCTATTAGAAACGATTTACCTGAGAAGCAGCTTTCAAGCGTTAGCTCTGGCAATTCGATATTTCTCCAATTAGAAAGTTACAATCTAATCTCAACCTAATTCGATCGATTAGGCTGTTTTTTCTTGGCGCCATCGAGATTTGAGCCAACAAAGGTTTGGCGTGAAAATTTATCTGTCTGTGCATTTATTAATCAAGCTAGAAGATTTATTAATCTAGCTAGACAATTTATTTATCTAATTAGGTGTCAATGATACCGTGTCATACTAATTAGACAGCCGTACGATTAATAACGAAATGCCAGAGTGCTGGTCCCAAAAGTCTTGTGGAGTTATAAGAATGATGATTGTTTTTGTTTAATTTGTTTAGCAAACCTGAGTTCTATTATGTCCAAAGTTTAAAGGTTGATCAATAAGTTTCCATCCTTTCGGGTGAATCTCATTGATGCAGGATGCCTCCTTCGGGAGATATGATTTTTTGAAGACACCTGAAAAAGGGGCGATTCTCGAAAAAAAAGAAAAAATACTTATTAATCTAGCTAGAAGATTTATTAATCTAGCTAGAAGATTTATTAATCTAGCTAGAAGATTTATTAATCTAGCTAGAAGATTTATTAATCTAGCTAGACAATGTATTAATCCAATTAGGTGTCATATCAATCTTATTAGGCCGCCGTATAACTCGAGTAGACTACGATTAGATTAATAATGAAATGCCAGAGAAGTTTGGACCCTTTTTTCCCATAACTACTTCGGAATTCGAGATAAAATTACTCTGGCATTTTCGGTATTAATCTAATCGTAGTCTACTCGAGTTATACGGCGGCCTAATTAGATTAATAAATTGTCTAGCTAGATTAATAAGTTCTCAAAATAGATCGTAACTTTCTAATTAGATTAATATCGAATTGCCAGAGTACGTGGAGGATACGTAACAATTATCGATCATAATATAAGGAAAAACGATAAAATTTAGAATTTTTCCAGATTTTGGCTTCAGGCTTCAAAATTAGGATATTTCGGGTGGTTATTGTAGGTGTCCTGTACTAGGGTTGGCAACGGGGCACCCCCTCGCCCCGCGTTACTACAGGCCCCACACGCTCCCGTCCGCCCCCGGGCCCTTAAAGTGTAATTAAAATTCTGTAAAAAATTTAGTAGATTAATGCGTTTACTCACTATCGACGTGCGTTGGGAAAAATTTTTTAAAAAAATTCCTGCTCGCTTTTGGAAAAACCGGTCGGGGGCGAGAGGCACCCCGATGCCAACCCTATCCTCTGGCAATTCGATATTAATCTAATTAGAAAGTTACTGATCTAAGCGCGACCTAATTAGATTCGGCTGTTTTTTCTTGGCGCAATCGAGATTTGAGCCAACAAACGGTTGGCGTGAACCTTGATTTCAGCACTTATTAATCTAGCTAGACAATTCATTAATCTAATTAGGTGTCATATCAATCTTATTAGGCCGCCATTAGATTAATAACGAAATGCCAGAGATCCTGTACTACCTTCAATATAGAAAAATCAGGTGCAACACGTCGGGAACTATTTTTTTTTCGGGTGTCTTAAAAAAATCATATCTCCTGATGGAGGCATTCTTAGTTAATGAGATTCAACCAGGAAGAGTACATTGAGTATGCGCCTCTAGTTTCCTCAAAACCTGGAATTTAAAAAAATTCAACGAGAAAAAATCCGGAAAAGATCGAAACTTATTGATTAACCTAATAGCTGGAAAATGCCTGGTCGTCTTGGATTTGCAATCGATCGCGGAGGAACGTTTACAGATGTTATTGTTTTCAAACCTAACGATGAAGTGGACGTTCTTAAGGTAATATTCTGTAGAGTCGTTTGTCCCCCTGGGGGACTCCCCGAACAGAACCAATGAACTCACATTCGTTTTTTTTTTAATTCCGGTGAAAAAAACCTTATGGGGCTATTCAGCGTATGTTTGTTTTCCGGTTTTTTCGTTTTTTTTCATCGCTGAATTGGGTTTTTTGACGTAAAAAACGGAACAAATAATTTTTTTCACAGCCTGAATAACCCCTTAGGCCAAAGCGAAACGAAATGACCTAACGCTTTATGCAATCGACCGTTGGCGGAAATTCAACTTTTAATTTTCAATGTTTCCGTCATGACCCCGTGTCGAATACCTCTCTGTTATAGGTGCTTTCTGTTGATCCTGCGAACTACCCTGATGCGCCAACAGAAGCTATGCGACAAGTTTTAGAACGGGAAACAGGAAGATCTATTCCACGAGGTGCTCCCCTTCCGACAGGTTCGCTTCTTTGAAAAACGAACATCTCTAAGTTATTCAGAGCTAATTTCGTGGATAAGGATGGGAACTACTGTTGCAACTAACGCACTTTTAGAAAGGAAGGGAGAGCGTATTGGACTGCTGATAACGAAAGGATTCAAAGATCTACTGTTCATCGGAAATCAGTCTCGACCAAACATATTTCAATTCGATATCAGGATACCGGATGTGCTCTATGAAGATGTTATCGAAGTTAATGAACGTGTTCTTATTTTTGATCAAGCTAAGGAGTTAATTACCGACTTGAACAAAGTGAAATCAGCAATAAACGGATGTCAAGTTTTCGTGGAACAAGAGTTGGACGAAGCTGAGCTGGAAAACAGCTTGAAAACGCTGAAACAAAGAGATATCAAGAGTGTTGCCATTCTATTTATACACAGTTTCATGTAAGTGTTCTGGGGTCCACAAGATTAGAAGGGTTTTATTTGTGGAGTTGCTGGCGCTGTGCCCGGCTCTGACACTTACTATTACTAATATAGTCTATTAGGAGCCATCTCACTGCAATCACGCTCTGCGGAGAAACTCTTTTTGCAGTACAAATTTCAATTGCCTCGGGGTCGAGTTTGAAGAAAAATGAAAAAGTTATACATTTTCAGTGAAAAATAAACAAAAATTACTTCGCGGCCAAGAAACGAGCGCGATGGCAGACAAACACCTTCAGAGTTTTGTATTAAGGAAGATAATTTCAGATATCCTTATCACGAAAAAAAGGCGGGTCAAATCGCGAAAAACTGTGGACTCGAATATATTTCTCTTTCTCATCAAGTAATGCCAATGATCAAAGTAGTACCCCGAGGATTCACGGTTTGTGCTGATGCCTATCTCACTCCAAAGATAATGGATTATATTCGTGGCTTCCGTTCCGGCTTCGACAATCTGTCCAACTTGCGTGTCGATTTCATGCAATCGGATGGTGGTTTGTGCGACATGAACACGTGAGTATATACATAGTAAACCATTTCGAACTAAAGTTGATGAATTATTAGATTCCGTGGATCCCGGGCCATTCTTAGCGGGCCAGCAGGTGGCGTTGTTGGTATCGCGAATACTGCCTATTATGAAAGTGATGGAAAGCCTGTTATTGGATTTGACATGGGTGGTACTTCGACAGATGTATGTTTTGTTTTCAATGGGAGTTTTTTCGGCTGATTCGGGGGTGCAATATGCGTCGTTTGCAAACTATTACAATTGCTAGGGTGAATTGAAAGGTTCCATAAAGGGTAGTCTCTCTTCTACAATCTCTTGTACGCAGAAATAGTATCAGACGTTTCTTACTTTAAAAAAGTGTCACGAAATTCGGTCAGTGGAGCAGATTATTTTTCCTGATAGTGAGCAACATTTATGACTTTGATTCAGGTCTGCCGATTCTCCGGCCATCTTGAGCATGTGATGGAAACAACAACTGCTGGAATCACTATTCAGGCACCTCAAGTAAGTTACAGAAAAAACGCTGAATATCATAGTTGCCACCAGGTCATTTCTGACAATTTTTTGACGGATTTTTTAATATTCCTCAGCACTTCACGTTTATGGCAATGTCGCTCTCCAACGTAAAAACCCTTAAAATTTTCGTTTTTTTACATCGGTGAATTGGGTTTTTTGACGTAAAAAAACGAAAAAAAAAACGGAAAAAAAAATCATTTTTTCACAGCCTGAATAACCCCATAAACAATAATTTTAACAGCTCGATATTCGAACAGTGGCTGCTGGAGGAGGCTCAAGGCTGTTCTTCCGAGATGGTCTTCTTGTCGTTGGTCCTGAATCTGCTGGTGCACATCCTGGCCCCGTATGCTATCGAAAAAAAGGGTAATTCGTTCAAATTCAAATAGTACGTGTTACTTTTTCTATCACAGATTTTTGACAGTTACTGATGCAAACGTGGTGCTTGGGAGAATTTTACCTGATTTCTTCCCCAAAATATTCGGTCCAAATTCTGATCAAGAACTGGACAGTAAGGCGTCATATACCGCAATGGCTAAAATTGCAGAAGAAGTCAATGCATTTATGAAAGAAAAGAATAATTCTACCTACAAACAGTTCACAGTAGAAGAGGTCAGTCTCTTTTATCCAGACTTGCAACGGGCCGGCCGGGCCAAAATTGGAAATTTTCCGGCCCGGCCCGGCCCGGCCCAGCCCGGCCCGGCCCGGCCCAGCCCGGCCCGGCCCGGTCGGCCCGGGAGGATGCACTTAAAAACTCAAAGCGAACTAGAACTTCGAAACGAACATAATTTTATAGACTTAAAATTTTATAGACTTAAAAAGGCAATGTTATAGCATAAAAACCTGTTAAAAAATAGAAATTGCTGTTTAAAGTCGCAAAAATTTCACAAAAATTACGAAAATTTTCTCAAGAGTGGGCGGAGCTTTGGCACGCCATTTTAGCAATTTTGCCGCACGCGTTTTCCTCATCCTTCATATTTTTTTTGAGTTCTAACTTCCGGGCCGACGATTTGCTGGCCCGGCCCGGGATTTGGCAAGTCTGCTTTTATCTCTCTCTCTCGTTAAAAAAAGAACTCTTCATATACATCCACACAATTACCCTCACGCATACGCAAGAGGACTGCAATTTAATATAGAAAATGAGAGAATTCTAACTTTAGGTTACGGTCACTACCGTAATACTACAGTAATCCGCTCCAAATTTTCACAGTAATCTCACAATACTCCAAAGGTGTTACCATAAATGTCTGGTCTCGGTCCGGCAATTCTGAAAAATGTGCAAAAATAGGACTGCACCTACAGTAATCCTACAGTACCCTAAACAGTAATTTAAGCGCTTTAACTACATTCTCGACAGCGGAGTTTTTATTGGATAAGAGAAGGAGCCGAATTCATTCATAGTTTTCTCTATTTTTTCTCAGACAACTTGTCTCCCCTCAAACACCTGTTGTTTTTTCTGTCATTTTTGTTGTTGGCTTCTTTCTCATACTCTTCGGAAATTAATTTTAGAAATACACAAGGGACGCACAAACGGAGAGAGAAATGCGCAAATGTTGCTATTTGCCCGAAAAAAGCCATCCGTGCGGGCCGGCCCGGCCCGTGACAACTATGCAAAACCTCAATTCGCTTAGTAAAAAGAAAGATTTCAGGTAGCTCTTGGATTTATCGCGGTAGCAAATGAAGAGATGTGCAGACCGATCAGAACGCTGACAGAAGTACTTTAATCAAGGAGACAGTCATTCTCTTGTAAAAATGTGTTCTTTCAGTCACGCGGGTACAATCCATCTGATCATATTTTAGCATGCTTCGGAGGAGCTGGAGGACAGCATGCCTGTGCTGTCGCAAAAAATTTGGGAATAAGCCAAGTCCGAATTCATAAATACTCGGCACTTCTCTCCGCATATGGCATCGCTCTCGCTGATGTAGTTAATGAGTCTCAGCGCCCTGCCCAGTTAGTCTATAACACAGGTATAGTCAGAAACGTGTCAATTTTTATGTTTTGGATTAGATAACTACTCACTAATACGTGCTCAGTTCGTCACAATGAAAGAAGAATCTTGCGCCCGTCTCTATGAACAAGGATTCTCCGATGACAGAATGGATCATACATTTTTCATGAATATGCGTTACGAAAAAACGGATACTGCGCTAATGATCACCTCTGACATCTACGATGACGAAAGCTTTCACAAATTTGAAAGCGTTTTTCAAGCTGCATATCGTCGCGAATTCGGCTTTGTACTAACGGATAGGAAAATTATCATAGATGATTTGAGAATTCGGTCAACAGGAAAATCTGACTGTCAGAAGGAAATAGCTATTGGCTATGCTGGTGAAAGTCAACAACTGAAACCAGAGCGATTTACACATGTTTACTTCGATAAGGAATTTATGGAATCTGGAGTATACCTGCTCAATAATATGCTAGCTGGACACAAAATCTGCGGCCCTGCGCTGTTAATAGATAAAAACAGCACAATTATCATCGAGCCGAATAATACTGCCACGGTTACAGAAAATGGCAATATAGAACTTGAAATAGGTCATGAGGCAGACAAAAATGAATCAGTTGAGGTCAGTTTTCTTTTTAAATATTTAATGCAGTTCTCTCGGCAAACGATTAATTGCCTACCTTTTTCGACATACCGTTCCACTGTCTCCCCTTCGGTGAAAAAAATTTTCGCGTGCTTTTTTGCGTGCGGCTCTCAGTGTCGATTTACGGGATACGTTTTTTCAACTGAAAACGATGTTTTTCCGAGTTTTTGGGATTATGCACAGTTTTCCTTCAAAACGTTTGCCTCACGTTTGTTCATATGACAGATAGCTACAAAATGATCACAGAGTGCTCGTGCAAAAGTGAAAATTCGAAGAGTAATCTCGTTTTTTAAATTTGGCATGAAAAAACTAACTTTCGGAAATTTTGAGAAAACAGTTGACAGAATCAAAAAACAGTTGCCTCACGATTGTTCAGCAGACCAGCAGACAAAGGCGGTCATTTTGAGCACAGAGACGGCCCATAAAATGCAAAAATGACTAAGAAATTTCAGTTTTTGAAGATCCGGACTTAAATTCACAGAAAATTGTAATAATTCTAGTGAGCAGTACGCTAATTTAAAGTCACAGCTGCCATTAACAATTCTGAAATTCTCTGTTTTACTTCATTTTTCTCATTTTCGGATGAGATTTCGGGTTTTCGGAAAAAATCCAGAAATTTCAGACCTGCTTTTGTTTTCAACGACACTCCGTTTTAATGCGGCGCTCAATTTAGCATTAGCTATTGGGGAGACAGTGGCGCGTTCATTACCTACCTACCAAAAATAAGCTATTTACCTACTATCGGGGAATTTTAATGTGAATGCGCTCTGTTTCAATTGTGATTTCCAGCCCGGCGCCAATTAAAAATAAGAAAAGTTCTTCCAGAATTCAGAGGAAAAAATATTGAAACTCGTTTCGTGCCTGGAAAATTACGCCCGGGAGACTACACAAGGGTTTCTCAATAGAGCGGATTCGTATTAAAATGCTCCGATAGTACCAATTTTCAGATCGTTGCCTATTAATTCCGTAGGTCAAATCTTTGATTTCTGGTCAGCAATAATACAAACAGTCGTGTTTTTTTTTAATTGCACAATATCGGGTCCCGTATATGCATGCACATAATCGGATCCCCGAGGTTAGGGTATTACGGTAGGATGTTAAACCGTATTCTTTGAAAAAAATCGGGGAAGGCTGGATCCTTATTTTTACTCCTGAAGTAATTTTTTTTTTAAGAATTCGGTGGGGCCGCCGATAGTAGGTACAGATTCTATTTTTGGTAGGACCTAGGCAGGTAATGAACGGAACGTCCAAAAAGATAGGCAATGAGCTGGGTATGCAATGAACAAAATGCAGTTTTGGTAGGCAATGACCCTAGTAGGTAATGAACTTTAATAGGCAAAAAACATAGGTAAAGATCAGATATCCGCGGAATCCGCAACCGCATTCCGCAACCGCATTCCGTTCCGCATTCCGCAAAAAAAAAAAATTCCGCACGCCGCAAACGTTAATTTTCACTTCCGCGGATCTCTGGTAAAGATCCTTTGCCAGTTTCTCTCTTACAATCACAAATTTTCAGGCTGATCCTATTCGACTAGCAATATTCAGCAATCGTTTTATGTCCATTGCAGAGCAAATGGGGAGAGTTCTGCAGAGAACCGCAATTTCAACAAACATTAAGGTATAAGTTAAAAATACATCTTACAAGGAATGATCCCGAAATGAAATTTTGTAGTTTTGAATAGTGTGGTATTATAGGGGCACCACACAGAAATGGCGCTTTGTTGAGAAACTCTTTTTGCAGTGCAAATTGAGCGACCTCGGGGCCGAGTTTGAAAAATTAAGCCACGTTTTCAGTGGAAAATTACTTCGCGGCCTAGAAATTCGGTCAGATTGCTAACAGCGCGCCCTTCCTGTCTGGTGCCCCTATAATAGGGGACTGTCGGGTAATATCGGAAATCCAGTTCAGACCCATATTCCCAGGGGGTTCAGTTGTCCTCTACCTCGGTGCCCACTCGGAGTATCGGTCCGTGGCCGTTGACTACAAGTGTGCTCTAGTGTTTTTTGAAGTCCACTCCGCGACACCGTGCGAAAGAGTTTCCTAACAAAGCACTAGGTTGGTCGAACAGGCGTCTGCTTTTCAGGCGCCTGTTTTTTCAACGCGCCGCTGCGTCCCTACGCGTCCCAGAGAAAAACGCTTTAAAAAGATGAATATTTGGAGAAAATTCATCAACAACTAAAAAAATGAACTTTACGCGTAACATAAAATGCACTGTACGCAGAGCCACACCGACGCGCAAAAATGCATACCATTTGGCTGCGTATGTTGCGAAAGCCGCGCCGTGCTGCGTTGAGAAAACAGGCGCCTGGAAATCGCCTGTTCGAACAGCAGCCTACAAAGCACATTTGTAGTGAGTGCCCGCATAATGACAGCTTTAATTTTAGGAACGTCTGGACTTTTCGTGCGCTTTGTTCGCCCCAGATGGGGGTCTTATCGCCAATGCCCCACATATTCCCGTTCATCTTGGTGGAATGCAGTATTCTGTCAAATTTCAAATCGAGCACCGAGGTATAGAGAATATCAAAGACGGCGATGTTTTTCTCGCCAATCACCCCAAAGCTGGCGGATGCCATTTGCCTGATTTTACTGTTATCACACCTGTGAGTTGATACCGATTGAAAAGTATTAATGCGCGTTCAAAGGTTTTTTTCAAAAGTGTACAAAATCCGGTATTTTTCGTTGCAAACCGAGGACATCATGCGGATATTGGAGGCTTGGTTCCCGGAAGTATGCCTCCGAATTCTAGAGATATAAACCAGGTTGTTTCGGAAACTAATTTGTTCATAGCATTTCGCTTGGCAGGAAGGCGCTGCATTTGTATCATTCAAACTCGTTGACGATGGTGTTTTTCAAGAACAGGAACTCATCAAAGCTCTTCAAGCTCCTGGAGATGTTCTTGGTTGCTCACCAGCACGAAATATTAGCGACAATATTGCAGACCTCAATGCGCAAATTGCAGCTAACAGGAAGGTATAATAGAGTATGGTCCGGGTGAATGCGAAATATGAATCTGTTTAGGGAATCGAACTGGTCACAAGTCTCATTGAAGAGTACTCGTTGGAAGTAGTTCATGCATATATGCAGCATATTCAAAACACGGCAGAGCTTTGTGTCCGAGAGATGCTCCGAAAAGTATGGACCCTGTCGATTAGTTTTCAATGTTATCCCTTTTGAAGGTTGCAAGGGATATTTTAAAAACAAAACGTTCGTGTCGCTTAGAAGGGGAAGATTTTATGGATGATGGTACAATCATTAAGTTGACCGTGGATGCAAATCCGGAGACAGTATTATATTCACTCGGATCGCAACACTTTCCATTCCTTCAGGGTAGTGCCGTCTTCGATTTCACTGGGACTGGGCCCGAATCCTTCACGTCTTGTAATGCACCGCGAGCCGTGACGATGTCAGCCATCACATATTGTCTACGTTGTATGGTTGAAAAAGATATCCCTCTGAACAATGGCTGTCTCGCCCCAATAGAAGTAATTATTCCCGAGGGAACAATCTTGTCACCCTCAGAATCCGCTCCTGTCGTAGCTGGAAACGTTCTTACAAGCCAAAGAATATGTGATGTAATCTTCCGTGCTTTTGGAACCGTGGCGGCAAGTCAGGGGTGCATGAATAACCTAGTTTTTGGTAATGACAAATGCGGTTACTATGAGACGATTGCTGGTGGCGCGGGAGCTGGTGATGGCTTTCACGGAAGGAGTGGCGTTCATACTCATATGACGAATACAAGAATAACAGATCCTGAAATTCTCGAAAGTCGTTTTCCCGTGATTCTACGCGAATGGAGGCTGCGAGAAGGATCTGGTGGACAAGGAATGTTTCATGGCGGAGACGGAGTTGTTCGGTCTCTAGAATTCACAAAACCATTAACAATAAGCTTGCTGACAGAAAGACGGTAATACTTGTGAGAAAGCATATGAGTGTATCTACTTTAGTGCCTTCCAACCATATGGTCTCAGAGGTGGAAGCTGCGGAAAACGAGGGCTAAACTTGCTCAGAAGAAAGAACAGAACAGTTAATATAGGATCGAAAGCTACATTTGAAGTATGCATAGGTGTAAGTACTCACTATCATTATTCATGAACTTATTATAGAAGTATTTTACTGCAATCGCGCTTTAGTGAGAAACATTTTTTACAGTGCAAACTGCAAAAATGATCCCAGGCCCAGTTTGAAAAGAAGCCTAAAAGTTCGGCCATTTTTCCAGTGAAAACAACAATACTCAGGAAGAAAAGGCGAAGACGCCGTTCCGGAACGTCGTCACCGGAACAGCCTCGGCGCAAAATGAGCGCAGCCGGCACGGTTCGGCGCAAAATGAGCGTCAATTCGGCACAGGTGCCTTCCAAAAGGCGCCGAAACGCCACCGACGTCTTTTTTCCTGAGTACATTCCTTGAGGTGGAAAAATTAGGCCAGATTAGGAACACAGCGCGTTTGCAGAGAAATGCCGGGCCGGTCCTGGTAAGATAGCACCAAATACTCCATGGAAGACCGCATGGTGCACTCATGATAATTTGCGACGCCCCGCAATTGCGCCTTGTAGCTATAGCCTATATCTGCGTAAATCTGATAATTCCGCTCTGTCACTCTCAACACATAAACGAATGTTCGGGGCTGCGGAATAGCTTGCATGTGGGATGCGATATTGCCAGGCAATTGCGGAGCTAATATCTAGCTGGAAGAGCAGATCGGTTCTATGACATCAGATTAAAACAAGGAGAACTACTATTTTCGGATTGTGAGTCAGCTTTTACATGATATGTACATTTCAGGACGTTCTAAGTATCGCTACACCAGGAGGAGGAGGATATGGTTCACCAAATGGGGAGTGAATAATGCTTCTGTAGACACGTCAATAAAAATTTTGAAAGATGATATTCCGTTTACTTGAATCCACCCGCACGGTCTCCCCAAATGTAAAAAAGGACGTTGGCTAGCTTGGACAGTTCACCAAAGTTTCGGCTGGAATCACAACCTTTGGCGCCATTCTTCACGGGGTTCCAAACGTGTACTGACCTAATTGATTCAGATTTTCGCTCCACGCCAGGAGACGACTAAAATTGCGAAATTTGCGGAAAAAAATAGGGCGTGGCCCTGCTGCGGTTCTGGAAAAATGTGAAATTCTGGAAAATATGCCGATTTGCCTGAAAAAGCGAAGGTTCTAGCATCAGTAGCTATTGGTACAATGTGATGATCAAAGTTCTGCCAAGTTGGTCTTATTGTGTGCGGGAGTAACTTCTCATCCATTTATAAGAATTCTCACGATAAGCAAAGTTGAGTAATCTTTTCAATGAATATTCATATCGCAGAGTAGTCAATGTAAATGCAAATGTATCCAGCGTCGTGAGATATCCTTCATGGACTGAAAGAAACACGTCATTCATTAGACGTGCCTTCAAAATTCCGAAAATATTTTATTTTTGATTTCTCCTAAATATAAGTTGTCAAAAACACATGTTGAAGCGAGCAAGTTTCCATTAGCATAGAAATCATTCGTATTTAATAAACAGCTAACGGAGTCTCAACTTCACGACATTTCCTATTAAAGCCATTTTTACAAGACTTTCAGCATAGTTGCCACGGGCCGGGCCGGGCCGAAATTTCCAAAACTCCGGCCCGGCCCGGCCCGGCCCGGTCGGCCCGGTTCAAAAAGCGGGAATTCAAAATTTGAATTATTGATCGCATGAAGCCATTTTTTGTAGAATTAGGGGTTTTTTGCAAGCATCGAACATTGAAAAAAACAAATGTATTTCTCATAAAAAAAATTCATAATAGCAAAAAAACAAAGAAGAAACACTAAAACTTTAGTTCGAAAAATTTTTTTGTAATAACGAAAAATTTCCGCGAAAAATTTGAATTCCCGCCTTTTTGAACCGGGCCGACCGGGCCGGGCCGGGCCGGCACTTCACCGACCCTGGCCCGGCCCGGCCCGCATGGCCGGCCCGAAATCTGGCAAGTCTGACTTTCAGTCCCGCTGCACCGACAGAGCTGATGATCGGTAGCGGATTCGCCGCTTTTTAGTTCTAGAATCGGATGTAAAAACCGTTCTGCTAGAGTCTGCGTATAATGCAATTTTGTCTTAGAGAGCTGAAAAAAAGCCAATAATGAACTTGCAATTAAATTGTCATTCAGATTCTAGATGATACTGTCACTGCTCATCACTTTGTGCATTCTTTTGTTCAAGCCAACCGATCAAATGGACATTCGCGCCACCTCTGAAAAATGGAGCTCCCCGATGAACGTCATGAAGTGAGTATTCGCAAAATTTCTGCAGAAATGAATTCTGCTCTGAGAAAGCGTTTCCAATCCGAGTTCTGAATCTAATGCCGCGTACAAAGTGAGAAACACGCGGAAATCTAGTAGATTTTGCAGTCAAAGAAAATTAACCCAAAAATATTTTAATATTTTGAAACAAGCCTGATCGCCCCGGCTATGCCGGACTACAGCTGTAGGCTTGCTAGGGTCGCCCTTATGTTATGAACGCAATCCGACCACTCGGCAAAGGCACGCCACTTTTGCGCAAACTTTAAGGATCCTCGCAGATTTTGCGCGAACTTTAAGGCATGTCGAAATTGTTATGGAAACTTTGCATTACTGTTCGCTTTTTTCAGCTTGTTTTTATGCGTTTTGTTGTTTTTTTTTGTTGCTTATCAAATTGAAACTACTTATCTTTTTCCGTATTTCCTCGGTTTGAGCGCATTTCAAGCGAAATTTCAGTTGGATTTCGTTTAGAAGCGAGTGTTATTGAAAATTTGTATGAAATCACTTGAATTCGAGCTACTTCACAATTATTTAAGATGTTTGAACGATTCACATGCTCGTACTTTTGTACTATATCACATTCTTTTCTGGTTCAGATAGAACAGGAACCACTGTCAAGAGAAAAATGGATCCGGACGAAACTATCGACTTCAGTCAAAAAGTGTCCAAGTCATTTGTCTCGAAATGAGACTCGGTGAGTTCCGTTCGAATTAAGACTGTTATATGATTACGTGAGATATGATTCAGAAGAGAAGTGGAACCAGAGTTGAGCGGAATCGATTTTTTGAAAAGGCGGAATTCAATTTTTTTTAGCGGAAGGCGAAAAGACGCGGCATAGACACGGCCGTTACTCCTCCGATTCATGAATCACAAGCGTGTTTCAGTGAGTTAACAGAGAATTTTATAACTCGTAGATAAGAATTTCAGATTTTGAGGATGGTGTCTCCTACATCGCCTGCATTTTCACTTATAACAACATGTCTTTTTTCAGTTATGAACGTGACGAAGACTATACAATCACTGATTTCTAAATGGTACTTGTTTCTGGTTTTTATACTATCTCAATAAAATTGTTTTTTCATGCAGAAATGAAATGGAAATAAACTGAACATTTTTAAGCAGCAGCATTTGGGCAAACTTTTAAAACTGACAGCTTTTTCAAACTTTACGCAGCTTTTGCTTGCCAAATCCGGGGCCGGGCCAGCAAATCGTCGGCCCGGAAGTTAGACCTCAAAAAAAAAATGCAAAAAAAATATGAAGGAAGAGGAAAACGCGTGCGGCAAAATTGCTAAAATGGCGTGCCAAAGTTGCAATCAATCGCTCCGCCCACTCTTGAGAAAATTTTCGTAATTTTTGTGAAAATTTTGCGACTTTAAACAGCAATTTCTATTTTTTTAACAGGTTTTTATGCTATAACATTGCCTTTTTAAGTCTATAAAATTTTAAGTCTATAAAATTATGTTCGTTTCGAAGTTCTAGTTCGCTTTGAATTTTTAGGTGCATCCTCCCGGGCCGACCGGGCCGGGCCGGAAAATTTCCAATTTTGGCCCGGCCCGGCCCGTTGCAAGTCTGCTTAAAACCGCTTCTTCTATCAATATAGCTTCCGAACATCAGTTGTTTCAGGGAGAGTGACGAACTAAAGATATCACATGGAAATCTATTTCGTGAACTACGTAAGAAAGGTTTTCAATCACTGTGACCACTGGAAAATTCAGGATCTTCTTTTCAAACAGCCAGCAAACCGCGTTTTTTCCCTTTCTATAAAGGACTCGGGAAAAAGTAACAAGGACTAATAACAAATGTTCAGTCCTCACTGTTATAAACGTTTGAATGTCACATCTTGTATTTCACATTTCTTAAATATATGTTTTCCTTATTTGTGTCTCAAACCGAATTTTTTAAACACTTTTTCTTAACGATAGCTGATCGAATTTAAACATTCTTATCAGAGCCGAATTTGGACGTGGAGTTTTCTAGTCCCGTATGAAAAACGCTGTTCCGGGAGCGCTTTGCATGAAGTTTTCAGCCTTTTCTCAGGGAGAGAAGTGATGATAGACGAAACACAGTCCCAGAGCTGTTTTTGAAAGCGGTATCTAAATGGTTTTGGCTGCTTCCGACCGGAAATTACAGGATGGAAACAAATATCGTCTTCTCCATGAAAATTTTAACTCATCCGTAAGGATGATAAGTCCTACTCTAATGAATAAGGTAGTGGTTACAATAAAGGAAAAAAATGTTTATCAATATCATGAATTGACCTGTCGAATTGTTATGTTAACCCTACTAGAGTTGAGATAGTTTTGAACGAGTTGATTTTCAAATGAAAATGTCTCCCTCAATCGAACAGGGCCTACACATGGGATAGCATGGTACACAAGGCGTTGTTCTCCATGCATCACTAGGATATCACCATTACGAAGCCAAAGTGGTAACGGTATCTCTGACAAGCTGGTACCTCCTGTTAGGTAAACTGCCGGCTGCCCCAATGACATTGAAATCAATGGCGCAGAGGATCGTTCGGACCTGAAAGTATATAATTTCTGTCATTTGTATCATCATCATTCTTATTTAATCACAAAACTTTTTGAAACCTGGGCGGGCTGCGCGGGCCGAGCTTACGCTCGGAAGCGGCTTGTTTTTTTCTTTCTCATAATGGGGCTATTCAGCGTATGTCTGTTTTTCGTTTTTTTAAATCGCTGGCTCACAGTCAGGCAAATCGTAGCTAGCTGATTTTGCAATCTAAACATAATCTAGCTAGGTTTGGCCGAATTTTTAATCTAATTAGTTAAATTTTGAATCTAATATCAGTGTTTTTGCAATCTAATTAGCTTCGCCAATCTAATTAGAAAAATTTATCAGTAGAGTTAGAAGAATTTGCAATCTAATCGCAGTAAATTAGCAATCTAATTAGGTCCAGTTAGAAACGCGAATTAGCTAGCTAGATTACAAACGATTTACCTGAGGAATTGGGTTTTTTGACGTAAAAAACGAAAAAAAAAATTATTTTTTTCAAAGCCTGAATAACCCCATAACTGTTTGAAAGTTCACGTGCTCATTTCTCAATTTCTCCGGCACAGACAAGTGCTAAATTGCTTCAGCTAACTTTCCTGTCCACATGTGGAGACAATGTTGAGTTTGGCGGATAATAGTTAATTATTGCAGCGTCAGGTCGCATTTGGCCCAGATTTAGGGAGAGAGAAATGAGCTGGAAATGTTAAATCTCTCAATGTGAGCAATACTTATAAAAAGTTCTTACTGTTGCCAGTTCGGTCAACTCATCTGGTAGTTTCCCACCGTGTAATGGATATTTCTTCGTGTTCCAATCATATTCTAATCCAAGTGTTGTCCAGCGTAATTTTTTGTTCAGTAAAGGGACTTCTTTCAATGGATCGTCACTGCAAATTTATAATCATTATTATAGAAGCAGGATCCAACGCTCAAAACGTTTTGTGTCTGTTGAAGTTGAAAAAAAACACGTAAACATAACTTAACTCCCGAAATTTCTTGCACATTACGGGTTTATTCAGCTTTTTTATGTCAAATTTTTTTAAAGAACGAACACCGAACCTTGTGATATCCATTCCATGAAGAGCTAAATTAGTTGTGTTCGGAATTCTAGAATATTTAATGGTACGTGCCAGCCACTCAGCAGAGCATTTCCTCTGCAGTAAGCCTGGTAGAATATATAAACCGGGACGTTCCTTGAAGCAATAGACACGCCACAGAGACGGATGAATGAGGCCTGCAATTATGAGGTTATTCAGCGATGTCAAAAAATGGAAAGAAACAGTGCACGCGTTGCGTTTCATTGTATTAACTTTCCCTCATTTCCGCGTCGCTTCATGTAAGAAAATAGACACTTTAGAAATTAGTGTACACCCGCGCAGGGGGCCAGGTTTCAGAAGTCCTGATTATTTAATAAAAAGCTTACGGGGTCTGTCCGTAACTTTCTTCCTTTCTTTCTTTCTTTCTCCGTTTTACCGGACACGTTTCATTTCTAAAACGAAAACAATTGTGACGGAGAAATTGAGAAATAAACACGTGAACGTTCGAACGGTTATGAGAATCAAAAAAGCGGTGAAGCCGCTTCCAAGCGTGAGCTCGGCCCGTCGCTGGTAAGAAATGACTTTAGCGGAGCATTTTTTACTGTCTATGATGGAAGAAACAACAAAAACTATTTTTTGCACAAACCAAGTTTCTCAGCCGAATTTTCAATTTCCGTAGAAACTTCATCGTTAACGAAAACCAAATTTCCTTCTAACCGAGAACACGACGGGACGTCTGAAGAGACTTAAATCTAGTTCTGCATGAGTAAAAATCATCTTACCTATTACGTCCGAAAAATCTGGACATGGATATCGTTTCTTATACATTTTAAATACTTTTTTAAATTTATTTTCCGTATCGTCTAGGTCTTTCTCGACTTCATCAACGAGAGCGTTATCGTTTTTGTCGCTGCTGACGTTCATCATGGATTTTCTTATATTTTTGTAGAAGATCCAATTTTCCTTTATCGAGTTCACTGTCGTAACTTTCCATGGGCTTCCAAAGGTGCTCAACAACATTAGCCCCGATCACCACACCAACAACAAGAACAAACGACTTTTTTAGTGCTTCTTCAATTGGGAGTCGATAGGGCCACCAGCTTGGGTTCGACGTCATAAAAATTTGAGTCTTGTGAAGTTTGTCTATTTAATTATTTTTCTAAGCTTCAATAGGCGAGATTAACCAGGTCGTGCCAAAACAGCGAAAAATAACGAAGCGGCGGAAAGGGTAAAAGTTGAATTAAAAAAGCGTTTCTTTACGCTTTTTCGCTGTTTTGACACGACCTTGAATTATTTTCCTGAGTGACTGCAAAAAAACATAACAAAAAGACGTAAAAAAAACTTTGAAAACAAGCAAAAAAGTTTTTTTTTTTTTGAAAAAACTCCTCTGGCCTAGGATGTTCGATGAATTCGCCGGCCACAGACATGTTCTACGCAAAAGAAGTTCGTTGGCGCCTTTCTCGACTGCCGCGCGCAAGGAATTTCCTTGAGTGCTCGTCTAGTACGCGTGTAGTAGTCACTGCTCAGACACTGTTCACAGTATCCGTCCGTTCTTTTTGAAGAATATCTTCAAGTTTGTTTCTTTCTGCCGGTATGAGCGAAGACGGCAACATTTCTCAAAAAGTCGAAACACCAATGAAGGACCACGTGAAAGAGGAAATTTTGGTGAGTGAATTCAATTGTTTTACCAAGATTGATGTATTAACTTAAGACGGTTCTCTGATTTCAGGATTTGGTGCCAAAGTTATACAGTCAACATGGAGGCGATCCGAGGCTCTTGGATATCTCTCAGTCAGAGGCCAAATGACGAAATTGTGTATTGATTTTTGTATTACAGTTGTGTGTTAATAAGTCGTCTACCAACTGACTTCCTGGCGGATACTTTTGTCCAATTTACTGACTGCATCAAGAATATGCTTTCTGAGGAGCACAAACTAGATCCTTCGCATTTGAAAAGCGTAAGAAATTTTAACCTTAATTTTACCATCAAGTTGTCGCAATGGAATGCTTCTTGTGATTCTTGAATGTGTTTCACATGTAATAGTTAGAAATCTGGAAAATGATTGAAAGTCACAGGCAATGATATCGGTTCGGAAGTTTTTCTGTTTTCAGGTTGTGCGGATTCCGAAACTTGAACACGATTCTCCTAATCAGGTAAATGTTTTATCCTTTCCTCTCTAGTTTGAGTAAAGTGTAGGGATACTTCACGCAGTAAACACGAGGCCTGTCTATCCTAATTGGGCTCTACCAAAGAAAAGCAGAGAGATGACGGGCAAGAGTGTGTAACCATTACAGAGTAATGCTCTACGTGCACTTCTGTGCTTCACAGAGAAGACTCATAAGTATCGTATGATGGGCCGCAAGAAGGACATTGAGTCGAGCGGAATGAAACTTGAGTCACTGGAAGAATTACCAGCTGAGTTGCTTGAAATGAGCGAAGAAGACATTCATGCACTCGCTGATTTCGAAATAACCAACGACGTCGAAGACGAAGAAGTTGTTGAGGAAGTCGAGGAGAAAGAACGCGAATTCATGGATTCTACCATAGAAAACAGCAACAAACAAGGAGAGACTGAAGACGGGACTAAAAAGGAAGAAGAAAGTGATGATAACAAAGGTTCGCTGTTTCGTTTTGAAAAACGTATTCGAACTGGATAACTGGTGATCGACGTCGTGTTTTCTTTTTCTATGCAATTCTCTTCATCTCGACATCGAGAGTTTGATCAAATGAAGACTGGCGTGTTGATTCCGGGAACAATTGTCATCCTTGTATGGCGAATCTCCGGATACCTCACCTTACGCAATCTCAATCGTAACTCCGTGGATGTTCTGAACCAGAACAGTGCGCTTGAAGCGCGCTACTCACCTTTGAGCCGCCCATTGAATTGTGGAGCTGGTGAAACAGACTTGCCTTAAATAAGAAAGTTATATGAAGATGAGCACAAATACTTTTTTTCGAATGCGCGCGCTTTTAGGAGAAATACCAGGAAATCGCCATCGGCTTTGCCGGTGTCTCCCTACTGGATCAGTTGGAAAAGGTGTCATAAAAAAGTACTATTAGTTATCTCCTCTTGAAACTTAACATGTTTCTACTGTTGAAAAAAAAGGTTTGACATTAGAATTGGTAGCCAGCCAAGGACACTCCCCAAATAGTTTCTGTTGCATCTGCCAAACGCGTGTCCGATTTCGCGAGTCCCATTCTAATGTCGAACCTTTTTTTTCAACAGTACCAAAGAATTTTTATGCCATCCTTAGAGGGTAATAGTGTTTCTACAAGTTTGGCGCAAGTCGATTGACCGGGATTATGGCGGGATGTGATAATAGTCTGCGAACAAACAGGCAGACTACTTTAACCTTAGGGGGTTATTTACCGGGTGTCTGACTTCTCGGTTTTTCGTTTTCATACATCGCTGATTTGAATTTTTCAACGAAAAAAACATGCACTGAATAACCATTACTACGTAGTACGTACTGTAATACTATACCGACTATAATAAAGAAGTGAGCGAAGCTTTAAATCTTCAATGCAAAGATCTACAATCATGTCCTGTGTCTTATTTTTTGAAACAATACCAACGTTATTTAAGTTAATGCTGATGCCGACGAAACTGTTGACAAGAAGATCGAGACTCCAAAGAAGAAAGTTTACGAGGATGAGGATGAGAAAGCTCCGTATGAAATGCATTGGGACGGTGCCCCTGAATTCCAATGGAGACGTAAGAATGAACTTGATAATTGAATATATATTCAATATTTCAGTTTGTGATACTCCTCGAGATGAGAAAAAGCTGATAATTGATAATTTGATGTGGGCGGATCTGAACAACGTGTTCATTTATCGTACTATTCAAAAAGCAACCTCTTGCGATATTAACTTTCCTATGAGATTTGCAGCAGAAGGAACCAAACCGACATATGGGTGATTTTTTACGTCTTCGTGTCAAAAAAGTTTTTTTTTGAAGTTCCAGTAAAATCGTATTAGATTACAATATATTTTTCCTGAATTGCAATCTAATAAGAAAAAATTGCAATCTTATTAGAAAACATTGCAATCTAATTAGAAAAATTGCAGTGATTGTAATCTAATAAGAAGATTTTGCAATCTAATTGAAGCAAATTCTATTTCAAACGAGTTCGTATTAGATTTCAAAGTTTTCTAATTAGATTGCGATCGAGTTCCCAGAGCCATGACTTTTTTGCTCAATGTCATTTGAGTCAACGACTTCCGCATTACTCAATAATTCTTACTGTGAGTGTCAGTCAGAATAAAATAGTTGAAGGGGTTGTATTACAGTCCATCTTATTTTTGCGCAAAACGTGAAGCTTCCAAACAAATTAGTTTACTACTCCTTAAACGAACACCATTTGTTTTAACAGGAAATTGACGCTGTATTTCCCGGGATTCGTTGCGATCATGGATGAAGCGTTGAAGCATTTGATTTACTTTAGAAGTGGAGATGGACGACGAATCAAGGTTTTTCTGCCACAAAGTGAGAAACTTGAATAAGAATACATTTCTGATAGTTTTTTTTATAGCTGCCGGGTCGTTAAAAAGAAAAGAAGAATTTGAAGGCAAACTGGGAAGGCTAATCAAGCCGACCCCGAGAATGATGGAGCTTGTAATCAAAATTCTCCCGGATAACTATACTCCGAACTTGGACGATGCATGCGCTTGGTTCCCGTATCAAGCGGTTATCGAATGTGTTCCAGCCACTGATGAGATGGGGTAATATATTATCGTAATTATTTGTGCTTAACCAACAACTCAGGAAGCCTTGCGCTATTGTAAAGTTCGAAACTGCCGAAGAAGCTGTTGCCGCACACGCTGGAAAGTCGTTTGTGAATATATCTGAAAAAGTACTCAAAACTGATTCCGACGGAAATGAAGTAGAGCAAAATTTTTCAACCAACTGCAATGTGTTTATGAGAGGAGGTTTGTTCGTTTTTTTTTCCTAGTAACACAATTTGACTGTTGTCGCAGCTGCAGCTTTCTATTTGTGTTTTCCGCCCACTGTTTATTCATTGAACCATTGAAAAGTACATAGTTTTTTCCGGTTTTTAATTTGAATCTATGCAATTTCCCACCACTTTCTTTCAGTTGAGGCTCACTTCGGCTCGCTCCTCACATTTTATGATCAAAGGAAGAAAATTCAAGACCAGCGTGCTAATCGTAAGAAGACTGGTAAGTGGTCGTCGTTTTCAAACTACACTGCTCCACATAATCATTGTTCCACTTCGATTTTTCACTGGAACACCCTTTCAGGTCAACTTTTAGAACAGGTTGTCAACATGAAAAGTGTGTCAAATTGAAAGGGTATTCAGGTTATAAAATGAAACAAAAATCTATTCTCATGAAAAAACAACATTTTTAAATTGAAAAGAAAGGCGAGAATGCACTCATAAGTCACTATTTTTGTAACTCGTCAGTAGATTGGAGAGTAAAGCTAAAAGTGTTTCCGATTGATCTGAAAGCCTTGTGAAAATGACCGGAAGTGTGCGAAAGCTTGAAAATTTTCACATTAAAAAAAATAAAAGTTATCACGGTCTCCAGAGCTGAAAATGGGCGCAAGTGCGCCCCGCCCAATAGAGCGATACATTGGCGCGAAATTTGTGTTTTTTGCCAGATTAGCCACGAAAAACCGATAATTTCTCATTTGTCTCTCGATAGACCGATTTTATAGGCTATTACAAATTGTTTAAGCGCAAGAGCGTTAAATTTGGTCAAGTCGCAAATCACATTTATCCGTTTGAAGGTTTTTGGCTAAAACTGCGTGAATTTCAGTTGCTGTTCGGCGCTCAAAATGCTTGTATTTACGTGATTTATCATTCTCAAAACTAATTCTGTCTGAAAACGGTCAAGAAAGCGCAAAATGAGAAGTGTGGTTTTGAGGCGGCTATCGGCGGCAGAGGCGAAAAATGCGCCAAAACGTCATTAATTCTGAGAATTCGTGTGTTTTCATGTCGAACAAACATTTTTCATCGCCTTTGACCACAAAAATCAGAGAAAACCTGCTCAATTCATGAAAACGCTATTTGGCTGAGGCCACGCCCATATTGTCAGCTCTGGAGACCGTGACGTTAGCTAAATGTAAGTGCTTAAAGGTAATACTCTGGTGAAAAGACCGGCAGGGTCAACTATCCGTGGACCAGCTCAAAAAAGACGTGCTCCGTCTCCGGCGAAACGTGCTAACATCAAAGAGGTAACACCTCGTGGATCTGCTCGTGGTGGAGCATCCAGGACCTCTATAAGAGGTGGAGGAATTCATAATCAAAGAAGACCATCATCTCCGAGAGGCGGTAGAGGTGGTCGTCAATCTAGTGGATTGGTTCGTAGTGAGTTTGTTTTTACTTTATTTTTCTTCTTGGCATCATCATCATTTTTACTTAATGAAAAGCTAGTTGACTCTGTCCGTTTCTTTCTTTCTTTGTCCGGTCACTTTCATCCATCCGGCCATGCCCGGCTAGCAGCAAGTCTGAAATGGAGTTTTACTGTGATTTGTGTTTTTTTTCCTACTTAGTCGCATGTTCCTCGACCCTTCATACTCAGAGTATAATACTCTCCGAGTCTCCTATATTTCTGACTCATAAGTTTTTACAGCTACACCGAGGTCAACATATCGCCATGAATCATACTCAACCGCGCAACGAGGGCCAGTCAGAACAGATGCATTCTCAGGCTACGGATAGTAAGTTGATGAATTTACCTAAATGACTCACCTAAATATAATAACAATTTTACCTAAATGACTCACCTAAATATAATAATAATATAATAATAATTGTTTATTTGCGCGACAAGTTTTAGAAATGACAATGTGTGGTCATTCGAGGCTCCAAAGTTTCTCAAAGTGATTGTTTTTGAAAAAGGCGGAGTTAGCGCACTTCTCATGACTCTCAAAAAATGTGTGTTTTCCTCTGTATCAGGCTTTCCCGGAAATGTCCGAGTTTTCGGACTTTCCGTCGGAATTTCGGAATTGAATTTGTCCGTCTCCGATTCCGAGCAATTTTTGATTCCGACAAGACGTCCGATTCCGAGCCACTTCCGAAAAAAAGTGCCAATCGTTTGAGAGAGTCGGGATTTCTCGTTCTCGAGAGTCTCGGCATTCTGCGGTTTTCTAGTGAATTTCACTTTTGAACTGCGAGAGTCTACCCTAACTCTCTCTTATTCCCGTCCACCAGGCTGTGGTCGAATTGCTCCTCATAAATCTCACTTCAAATTAGTTTTTCAACGTTTTTTCAAATGAAGAAGCGCTCTTCGCCTCCGCAAAGAAAAGAGTGACCAAAAGTTTGATTCCTAGAAAGCCTGCTCTGCACAATCCCGGTAATTTTTCTTCGTACAACCTGCTGACCTGACTATTTTAAAATGTCGTTAAATATCTTGCACGCTGAGTTTTCGTGACGGAATAAATTATAAATAGGCATTAAAGAGGCGGTCAACGTAAACAGGAAAGCATTATAAGCTTGATATTACTAGACTTTCTGACTTGGAAATTCTGAGGCCCACACTAGGCAAGATGATTTTTGAAATCAGTATAATTTGCCAAACCTTGAATTATTAGTACTAAAATACCCTTTTCCATTTTGAATTCGAATTCTACGCAATAATACGCGTCCAAAAATAAGTCGGATCATGATTTTTATAGCAAACAGATTTCATCTTGGAATTACCGAACGACAGTAGCGTACGTCTGTAAAAACTCTGGAAATTCGATATTAATCTAATTAGAAAGTTATTATAGGGGCACCGCACAGAAATGACGCTCTGTTGAGAAACTCTTTTTGCAGTGCAAATTGGGCGACCTCGGGGCCGAGTTTGAAAAGTTAGGCCACGTTTTCAGTGGAAAATTACTTCGCGGCCTAGAAATTCGGCCAGATTGCGAACAGCGCGCCCTTTCTGTCCGGTGCCCCTATAATACTGATCTAAACGCGACCTAATTAGATTCGACAGTTTTTTCTTGGCGCAATCGAGATTTGAGCCAGCAGACGGTTGGCGTGAAACTTGATTTGAGCACATTTCAATCTATTTAGAATATTTATTAATCTAGCTAGACAATTTATTAATCTAATTAGGTGTCATATCAATCTTATTAGGCCGCCGTATAACTCGAGTAGACTGCGATTAGATTAATAACGAAATGCCAGAGAAAGGACGAGGCCAAAGTATACTATCTTCACGAATCTTAGAACAGTTTGGGTACTCAATGTACCCAATATCAACCAAATCAAAGTTATGAATTTTTCGCTTTAGTCAAGGCTGGGCAATTGGCCGGCCCGGGCTTTTCGTTGGCCGACCATTGAACTGGACTTTTGAACCACTTGCGATATTCCGATCGGACCCAAACTTTGCAGGCTTCTTTGACTTGGATTGAGGGCCATTGGGACCAAGTTTCAGCCCGATCGGATCGTCAGGTCCCGAGATATGTGGATCATTGGTCGATTTTTTCCAAAAAGCCCGGTAATTTCGGCCAATAATCCACATATCTCGGGACCGGATGATCCGATCGAGCTGAAACTTTTGTAATATTACAGGGACACCGGACAGAAAGGGCGCGCTGTTCGCAATCTGTCCGAATTTCTATACCGCGAAGTAAATTTCCACTGAACACGTGGTCTAACTTTTCAAACTCGGCCCCGAGGTCGCTCAATTTGCACTGCAAAAAGAGTTTCTCAACAGGGTGCCATTTTTGTGCGGTGCCCCTATAAGTTATTCTCGACTCCCCGATTTTTTCACAAAAGGCTTCCAGTTCATTCATTTTCATTCATGATTGGGTATCTCAATTTTACATTTCAGTGCCAATTTCGAGAATCGGTTCAATGAGCGCCCTTCAGTCGATCCTTTCGGACGTCCGGTGTACAACAATACAGGTATTGCGCATTTTTTCTTCTACAAAGTGCTCCAAAACTGGTGATTTTTAGGCGTCAAAACGGCTGATAACACTTTTTCGTGCAGAATTTTTTTGCGTATTGCAGTTTAATTTATGCAAATCGGGTTTCTGAATTTAGCGAAGAAAACTTTCAGAGCGGACAAACACTTGTAAAAAATTTAAAAAATTGTTTTGAGGAAGGGTGCTAAAATTTGCAAAATTTGATAAAAAGTTAGGCAATTCTGTCCATAACAAGGATGAGCGGGAGCGTGTTGAACGGCCAGGTCCGAAAAAGTTCTGGCTAAATGAAATAGTTCGCGAGACGAAGGGGTAGGAGCTTGAGATCACCAAAAGTACGGATGCTTTACCTAAATTTCTGAATGCCCCTTCTCAGGCAAATCGTTTCTAATCTAACTAGCTATTTCTCGTTTCTAACTGGACCTAGTTAGATTGCTACAGACTTCTGGATCTAACTAGCTGATTTTGCAATCTAAACATAATCTAGCTAGGTTTGCCCGAAATTTTAATCTAATTAGATAAATGTTGAATCTAATATTAGTGTTTTTGCAATCTAATTAGCTTCGCCAATCTAATTAGAAAATTTATCAGTCCAGTTAGAAGAATTTGCAATCTAATAGCAGTAAATTAGCAATCTAATTAGGTCCGGTTAAAAACGCGAATTAGCTAGCTAGATTACAAACGATTTACCTGAGTTGTGAAGATGACTGATGCCTCCTCCTTATTATCTCTGAGAGTTCCATTCTCCCAATTCCAAGTTAATTTTTTTTACAGCTTTCACTACTTCATTCCATCGCGATGAATCCAGTTCGCGAAGCTATACCTCATTCCAAGAGTGAGTTTTTCCTCCATTTTTGTTTCCAACATCCCCCGGGCACATTTTTTCTGGCACTGGCGCGCTACCGCAATCCCACGTGAAAACCTGGCCGCGGCCGCGAGCTTTTCCAGTTTAGTACATGGGGAGCGTTAGATAGTGATTGTTGTTAAGTTTGTGCAAAAGCTGTGTAAAGTCTACGCAAGAGTTGCCTAAAATTTGTTTCCCGAACTCGCAACTTTTACGCAGACTTTACGCAGCTTTTGCGCGAATTTTCGAAACTCACAACTTTTGCGCAGACTTGCAGCATCTTTTTCTAATTCAAATGACGCATAATTTGATTCAAAATTACACAAAAAAGATCTGAGTTTCTTTCTGAGAATCGTTCTAGTTAAAAAGGTCATACCTGCTTCAGAAATTTGAATATATTAAGTAGAACTATTGAGACAATTTCAGCCGTCGTCGTTACTAATTGATTATCAACAACACGCAATTCAGTCCAATATGTTACCTCGCCCATAACATGATGCCTCTTGACGTCTCATTTACACTCCACGATCTCGGATTGTGATTGTTTGAATAATACGTTTTTGTTTCTTCTTATATTCACAGCTTCAATCTGTTGAGATATTCTCTGAATGCTCTCTGAATTCATAGTTGCAAGCAACTAACCGCGTCATGTCAATTTCTATCGAGCATTATTTTTCTGGATAGAATGGAAGTTATTCTCTCGCCAGGAATGCCTACAATATCGCTCTGTGTTGACAATATCTAGCTGTGGTTGTGAACCTCCTTTTTACCCTTGGCTGTATTATACAATTTCAATGAAATCGTTCTATTTAATCCTAATATTTTCTGTTGTCTTAACAGTATTCTCTGTTTTTTTATCTTTCGATTAAAGCATTCATTTTTGAATTTAATTCACTTTTTCAGGCATTTTGGTTTTGGGAGTAATGGGGCAACTAGTTGGGAAGCAATGTCCAATGATACTCTTAATGCGGCTATTTCTACAAGTAAGACATTATAATTTTTAAATAGTATACAGTAACAAATCTTGTATCATCATCATCCTTGTATCATCATCCGCAACGGGTTTCACGAAACTCGGAATTTCTATAAAATTCTTGTTGGAATGTGTTCCCCTACTCTATATGAGTACGCTTCCAATTTTTTTTTCAAAAATTTCCGGTACATCCCGAGTTACACCTCTCCAAAGTCGCCCTGTTCTCTCTCAAGTCGGCGGCCGAGGAGGGGCGGAGTCTCGCTAAGTTTGCCGCACGCGTTTTTTGCCCTTGTCTGGTGGACCAAACCAAAGAGTCAACATTTTAAATGAACAGAAACGATGTTCTAAGAAAGCAAAACAACTTTCGAGGTCAAAATTTTCGAACCCGGCACCTTCAGATTGCTCATATGTGAGCACTTTCCCACTGCGCCAGCCAGGCGGGGGCGCGCCGGCCGCCAATGGCGTAGAAAAGCTGGCTGCGCGCGGCCCACTTCTAGGTGTCAAATTAGTGTTTTTGCGCGCTCGAATACAAAACTGTTACACTTTACATAGGGACCGCAACGGGTTTCGCAAAACTCCGAATTTCCATAAAATTTTATTGCCGCATGCGGAACCCCATCATTCCAATGCGCAAGCAAGTTGTCAATGGGGCGCGCTTGCATCCACCGTCGGCTCGGAGTTTCTTTTTTCAATTGAAACCCAGAATTCTTTCGTTTTTCTCTTAATAAACACTCAAATTTTGTTCTTTGCGAACCGTGGGGCGATTGTGTGAGTTAAAAGCATCGATTTAAGCGCGAAACGGAGCAGATTCGTTCAGAATTCACCAAATTGAGGGATTTTGTCGAAAACTACTGAAAAAACGGAGTTTTAACGATCATTTGCCGAATCGAGTTCGAACACTGGCATTCGAATCGTCCAGTCAACAAAGAGTTTATTGCGCATCTTTTAAGCGCTCAACCGTCGAAAAATATACAGAATTGCGATAATTGAGGCAAATTTTCGATTCCAACAGGAAAAAAATTCTGTAATTTTCACATAAAACGCTTCGAAATTGATGACAAAGCAGTTAAAATTTTATTTTTTATTCATTTCTAATCATTATCATAAGTTTTGACACTGATTGGTTCTGAAAAGATGGGAATAATGCAAAAAAAGGGAAAATTGAAATGAGAAACTCTACAACGACGCTCCGAAATTATGCGTTACGCGCCTTGTTTAGCGCACCTGAATTGCGCCAAGGGAATTTTTTATTGGAAGGCTGGGGTTCCGTGCCGCACGCGTTTTTTCTCATTATCTGGTGGACCAAACCAAAGAATCAACATTTTAAATGAACAGAAATGGTTCTAAAAAAGCAAAACAACTTTTGAGGTCAAAAGTTTCGAACCCGAAACCTCAAAATAGCCGAGCGAGCACTCTGCCAGAGTTGAGCGGAATTCCGTCTGCCGTCTTCCGTCTTCCGTCTTCCGTGGATTTTTTTTGTTCCGTCTTCCGGCTGCCGTCTTCCGGGAAAAAAATTATCTTCCGTCTCCCGTCTGCCGTCTTCCGGGAGAAAAATTTTCTTCCGTCTGCCGTCTTCCGGATTTCAAAATTCCATTTCCGCTCAACTCTGCACTCTGCCACTGCGCCAACCGGGCGGAGGCGCGCCCACCGCCAATCGCGTTGAAAACCTCGGTGTGCGCGGCCCCTTATAGCCTAGTTATAGGGGTGAAGTTAGTGCATTTTCGCGCTGAAATTCGAAACATATCTGACTGTAACTTTTTTCGGCGACTTGGAAAATTTTCATGCTAAACGGAATTTTGTCGAGAATTTCACGTAGAATCCGATTCCGTAAAAATTAGCCGCGTGAACGGTACCTGTGACCCTCAAATCCTCGAAAAACTAGAATTTCTACTGAATAGGCTTCACTCAATCGAGCACAAAAATTCTCCTAGGGTGTCTAGAGCTCTGAAAATTTGTATTTGGGTTCTCAGAGAGTGTATCTATAGATTCCGGAAATAAAAAAAAGGTGTCATCGCTGAAAATGTTCCGCTAACTTTTCTGGCAGTTTGAGGATCTGTAAAAAATTTCTGCGACTTGGGAGTCAAAATCTGACTTCAAAAACGGATTCCCCATCCGGCATTTAATTCGGAGGGTACAAAAATTAGGGGGTACAACAGGGTACAAATTATTTTGGGGTACAAAAAGTCGAGGGTACAAAATTTTCGATTCTAGGGTACAAAAATTTACCGATTCAGTAGGCATTGATTAAGGGGTACAACTTTTATGATTTAAGGGTACAAATTTCACGATTTTGGGGTACAACAATTTTTTTCCCATTTTTTCATGGGCATCAATTCAGTGAAAAAGATCGTTCAGTGATGCACACGAAGAGTTTCTAATATTTTCATTGTTTTGTTTTTTAGTGTTCTCTAATTTAATCTCTCTTCTATATAATATATAGACTATATTGATCTCTTTTCTTTATTTATCCTTGTTCATTTCTGCGCTCATTTTTGTTTTTTTTTTAGTCTAGTTTGATTCTTTGTTATTATAGGGGCACCGAACAGAAAGGGCGCTCTATTGAGAAACTTTTTTGCACTGCAAATTGAGTGAGCTCGGGGCCGAGTTTGAAAAGTTAGGCCACGTTTTCAGTGGAAAATTACTTCGCGGACTAGAAATTCGGCCAGATTGCGAACAGAGCGCCCTTTCTATTCTGTGCCCCTATAATATTACTTACAAGTTGATTTGCTGTTTTGGCCCCTTTAAATTCTGCAATTTCACAGCAGAATTTCAGCATCTGATGTTGTGTGTGAAATTTACCCAAGTAAAGATTGTTTCTCGAAATGACACAAAATACTGCATAAAACAAAGCATGGCTACACACGACTGTGTCTCGTGAGCTCTCAAAAATTCAAAACTGGAATGAAAACTTCGAAAATGTGCGTCGTGCAACTTTTGTACCCCAAAATCGTGAAATTTGTACCCTTAAATCATAAAAGTTGTACCCCTTAATCAATGCCTACTGAATCGGTAAATTTTTGTACCCCAGAATCGAAAATTTTGTACCCTCGACTTTTTGTACCCCAAAACCATTTGTACCCTGTTGTACCCCCTAATTTTTGTACCCTCCGAATTAAATGCCTCCCCATCCCTATCGGAATCACTTGAAAATAGGCGCGTGAAGCCATAAACTTGGCCACACAGGCTCTCAGACTGACTTCCATTTTCGTTTTCGCCGTTTTTTGGAAAAACGGTGCGTTTTCACGGGAAACTGAGTTGTTCATTGGATTCAGCATGGTCGATTACATAAAGGAAAACATAACGAGTATGGTACTTGGTCTGGGGACCTCGGTACAGGTCCTCAAACATGAGCGCGCGAAAATAAAGAGAAAATTCGTCCGGCCACGCCCCCTCCTTTGCGCCCCCTAAATACAGACTTGCAACGGGCCGGGCCAAAATTGGAAATTTTCCGGCCCGGCCCGGCCCGGTCGGCCCGGGAGGATGCACCTAAAAATTCAAAGCGAACTATAACTTCGAAACGAACATAATTTTATAGACTTAAAATTTTATAGACTTAAAAAGGCAATGTTATAGCATAAAAACCTGTTAAAAAATAGAAATTGCTGTTTAAAGTCGCAAAATTCTCACAAAAATTACGAAAATTTTCTCAAGAGTGGGCGGAGCCGGCCCGAGCGGGCCGGGCCGGCCCGGGATTTGGCAAGTCTGCCTAAATATAACCCTCTGGGGGGATGTCTGTTTGTCTGTTTATTTCTCCGTTTGTCCGTTCCCAATTTCATTTCTAAAAAGAAAAAGATGTGACGGAGAAATTACAAAATGAACACGGGAAATTATGATTAGCTGTAAGAAATAAATAGGCGGCGAAGCCTATTCCTTGCGTCAGCTCGGGCCACACAGCGGGCCCAGTTTTAAAACGTCTTGTTACCTGATACGTCATTCTTTTTCAGATTTCCTCAGCAGTTTCTTCTGAGTTTGGTCGTTCTATGAATGTGAGCTTCTCGCCAAAATCTATTCATGAACTCGAAGAAGATGGATCTGTCCATGTGAATGTCACGCTGAGTTTTCCGAAGCTGCAATTTGAAATGGAGAACATTGAGAGTTACTATCTGAATGCCGAGTGAGAACTGATTTTTTTTGTCATTCTTCAATGCGTATTTCAGAGCGTACCATCCGGAAACAGCTATTGCTGAATATGACAATGCTCTAAAAATGGAACAGTTTCAGTTAATTGAGCAGTTCTATCAAACAGAAACCGTTCTTACAATAAAAGGAAAACTTATTGGAAAAACTGCAATGAAAATTCGATTGGTTCCCGTTCACACTTGGCAAAGTGATAATGCCTTCAAAGAGATTTACAATCAGAAGAATGTCGAGGATGATTCTTTGCTCGATGTATGGGTTGTACGTTCGGCTGACTCTCGTCGTCTCACTAAGTACTTCGTTCTTTCGGTAGTAATTCTAATATCATTAGCCAACATCATGATGGGATGCGAGGTAAAATCAGATTTTCATTTTACTTTTTACTCACATTATTTTTAGCTCGATATCAACGCGGTACTGACCACATTGAAGAAGCCAGTAGCCCCTGCTATCGGATTATTTGCACAGTTTATCATTATGCCTTTGCTGTCATATCTGATTGCATATGCAATTTTTGTGCCACGTGGATTATACTCGATGGCTCTTGGACTTTTTGTCACGGGGTGCTCTCCTGGAGGAGGAGCTTCGAATTTTTGGACTCTTCTCCTAGACGGAAATCTGAATCTCTCTGTTACAATGACATTCATCTCTACAATTTTCTCATTAATCATGATGCCATCTTGGTTATATTTTTTGGGGCATCCTTTCCTGCAAGGATTTTCGTCTGATGCTGTTATCAAAGTTCCATATGCCAAAATCGCAAGCTCTTTGATAAGCTTAATCCTACCTCTTCTCATTGGAATTGCCATAAAGAAGTGGAAGCCAACATGGGCTGCGAAATCTCGTCGAGTTATGCGTCCATTTGTAATTTTCGTCATGATTTTTGTCGTGATCTTTGGATCACTAACTAATCTATACATGTTCCGGATGTTAACAGCTCCCGCATTGATCGGTGGTTTGGCTCTACCGTGGTGCGGGTTCATGTTTGGCTGCTTTACTGCTTTGCTCACAAAACGATCACCTGAAGATGTCACGGCCATTGCTATAGAAACTGGCATCCAGAACACTGGTATTGCAATTCTTTTGTTGAAAGTGAGTGGACTTTTTAACGTTTTAAGTGTCTTCAGTATGTTTCTCACAAGTACTGACATGACGACTAAAGCAGTATTAATATAATACCGGCTTGGTCGTTAAAAACCTTCTATGGATCATATTCGTTCAGTTACCACTCATTTGAATACACTAGGTTACCTGATACGAGCACTAGAATCACTAATGACCAGATTGCAGGAGTGTCCTTAAGGCGGTGCAATCTAGTCATTTCTGACTTTACCCGGACTGTAACAGGGTGCCATGTCGCTTCAACTGTCTAAATTACTTCTATGGGTCATATTGGTCATACATGTTTAACAGAAAATACAATAAAACGAAGCTTGGATAAACATTTTTAAAAAAATTCCACAGGAGGGGGGGGGGCACTGGTTGGGAAATTTCAATCCGGAAAAATGTTTTGGCTAGGCTGGTCAAACAGGCGATTTCAGGCGTCTGCGCTTATTTTCTCAACGCAGGGACGCAGCGGCGCGTTGAAAAAACAGGCGCCTGTTCGACCAGCCTAGTTTTGGCGTTTCTCAAACATCCCGCACCTATAAAATTGCAGGCTTCCTTCTCACAGCCAGACGCTGATATTGGATCACTCCTTCCAGTTATTGTTGCTGCTTTCACACCAGGTCCCCTTCTTCTTGGTGCTGCTGTTCATTTGAGCTTCAAAGCACTACGCAAACGGAGATTACAGGTTTTAACGAATTCGTTGAATATGTTAATTTGTAATTACAGTCGGACGGTAATGGATTAATGGAAAAACAAGTATTTGAATTGAATGAACCGACGATGGTGGACAATAAGTTGTTCTGTAATTGCGATGATCCGAATCCTGATTATGAGCTTGATGTGGTTATTGCTTCAGAAACATTTTTACGAAGATCAGTATAGCTCGAAATAGATGTACACACTTAATTTTTTATTTGTCCCAACGGCATTAAAAAAATTTTTATTAGAAACCCGGTAGGGAACATTTGTAAGGTCGCTTCAACCCAGCTTATTGTGTTCTTATCTAGAAGCGATTGATGTTAAGTACAGGTATCTTTTAAAATGCGACGAAGTGGCTCTTTTTGAGCTCAAGCTATCCTATGATCTCTCTCAATAAAAGATTACTGCACTCAGTGTAGTACACTGTTCCACATAATCATTGTTCCACTTCGATTTTTCACTGGAACACCCATTCAGGTCAACATTCAGAACAAGCTGTCAACATGAAAAGTGTGTCAAATTGAAAGGGTATTCAGGTTATAACATTTGTTTGAACTTTACGTGACCCCATTTTCTCAATTTCGAAAAACATGGAAAATGGCTTTCTGCACGGTCTCCCACGGCGCGAATGATTTCAATGGGGCGCACTTGCAACAGGCGGGCTGTGTCGATTTACGCGGCGGCCGATTAATTAATTTTCAACGGGAGTTCGTGTTCTTTCCATGTTTTCTGTACAATACACCTATTTCTTGTACGCCTGGAACCTGGATTCGAATAATTAGCGCACTAGCTACGTTTTGGTAACAGAAATCTCACATATCGTTGAGAATTAGCCGAGTTATTTCGATTTGAAGGTTTTGGCCTGGATTTTGAAGTTTTTTGAATAGCTTTCGAAAACTGCTCAAGAAAACTAACCGCAGGAACCTGAATTTTGTGAAGAAAGATTCAGCGAACATTTTTATCGTTCGTTGGGCTCATGAAATGCAAAATGAGCTGAAATGTAAAGGTTTGAAGTTTTGACGAAATGCGAAAAAGACGCTAAAAACATGAAAACTTTAAATTCTGCAAAGAACGGTCTCCAATCTCTAAAATATAGTTTTCTAGACGTTTTCAAGTCAAAAAAAATAAATAAAGATCGTAAACTCGAATTGAACTGCATTTTCAGATCTGCAAATATTCAAAAGTTACAACGACACTCCGCAATTTACGAGCGCACTGTGTTTAGCATTAGCGCCCTGGGAGACCGTGTTCTGGCCAATCCACAAAATCATCGTTCCACTTGGAAAACCAGACTGATTTCGATTGAATACGGCATAAATTGTTGTCGATTAGAAATAAAAAGTGTCTTACGTAGCCAAAAAAAAACATATTCCATTATGAATCCAGAAGACCTAATGACCTAGCGGTCGCCTAGAATCCAGGTAATACTCATGACTGAATTATGACATCTGAACCCCAAATCCCGTTTTTCTTGTCTAAAGTTTCAAAAAAGGATATTCGGAAAGAATTCAAACACATTTGATCACAAAATTACAGTTCGGGACAACAAACTGTCTGTCAATATTTTCCATTGTTCAGCTGACAAGTGTTACCTTTGCGCACATGTAACGCAATCTGTGTTTGTGATAGCGTTCTGAAAAAATGTATCTGTATTTTGCATACCTTTAACACTCTTTTCTCTGTTGACAACATTTCTGTACACTCTCGCTGCCAAGAGAGTTATGCTACACACAAGTGGAATGGAAGTGAATATTCGATTTTTCAGTGCAAAACTCTACAGATAATTTTTTTCAGAATGCTCACAAAAGCACTGATTGAGCTACAAGAGCGCAAAGGGGACACATTGCACCTGAACGCTGCATATTCTCTTATCACAATTTTAAACAAGAAAGTACCGATTTTTTGGTCAAAAATTCAAAATTCAGTTATGGTTTCTTGGCGACCGCTAGGTCATTAGGTCTTCTGGATTCATAATGGAATATGTTTTTTCAGCTTCGTAAAACACTTTGACTCTTTGAACACTTCGAACACTTTGAAACACTAAAACACTTAAAACAATTTGGCGCACCCTCTATATTGGGTCCAAGTTACAGACCAATCGGACTATCGACTCTGTGTTGAATGCTTGCATTCGAAATCGGAAATCCTTCAATTCCTTTTTTTTTCCGAATCCTCTTGGCATGGTTCCATGACGTTTCGAAATCCCAATCGTTCTTTTCCATCGGAGTCCTTTGTCGACGTCCTTATCACTAATCACCGTCTGTAATTAAGTCGGTTTCTTTGAAACTTTCCGCTAAACCGCTTGAAGCTTCCACACCTGCGGTCTTAATTACCGGCGGAGATTAGTGATAAGAATGCCGACAAAGGACTGATGGGAAAGTCGCCTTTACTGGAATTATTACAATGTTCTTGAATTTTTGGGCTCGCAAAATGTTTTTTTCAGTCCGGCTAGGCCCGACGCACTGAGTCACAGCGTGGACGTTTATCATTGGAGCGCACTTGCAGCGCACGCGCGGGAGTTCAAAAATAAGAAATTTTCGGCGAAAATTGCGTTATTCCCCGTATAAAAATTGAACGCCGTAATTTTTTTCGTTTTTGTCACAGGCCATATTGTAGCTGGGAGTTAGACTGTCATTTTGAGCACACACAGAGCCAAATCGGTGCAGCCGTCGTGTTTTCTTGTGCAAACTGTGTAGCGTTGCGAAATAATTGTAAAAGTTTGAGGTTACTTTGAATTGTTTCGCAGATTTATTACGACTGCGACGCTTGAATACTGTTACATAATGGCTAGAGACGCTGTACGGATGAAAATAATCGCAACTCAATGCAAATAGACCGATTTTAAAACTATGCAAGAATAGCGTGAATTTCTGCCTGAAATACATGAAAAGCAGAAGTTTGTCAATATTAGAAGTTGTAGAGATGAAAGAGAGCTTTATCAAACGTAGAAATGATTATGTGCGTGATTGTTACGTCTTTTTGCCGTCAGAAATCTGAAGTGTCGCTGAAAGTGAACTTTGTAGGCAAACTTCCGGCCACAAGGATCGAATTTTAGAATTGTAGAAGTGAAATAACATAGCGATAAAAGAAAACAAAGAATATTTTCAATGAGCTTCATTCAGTAATCAAACAAATTTAGTGTTCCGTTAAAAATTTGTTGCTGGAGATTCCTGGTTTTCAGTTGAATAGTGCTTTTTCCTATTCGCGTGTCCGCCGCAATCCGATAAAATGATGGGGAAAACCTGAAATTATTTATCGGCGAAGAAAATAACTGTTCTTTTTTATTCTAACCGCTCCTCCGTGCCGCTCGGCAATTTCCATCAGCGTCGCGCCTTTCCAACTGCAGAAATTGTTGCAACGAGTCCTGAAAATTCAAAATTGAGTTTTTTGCAACAAATATGTAACGAAAAATTGCGTTTCGACATGTTTTAAAAAATAAAAACGAGAAAAAGATTTTAATTGCGAAACCACAAAATCCAATAACGCGCCAGGTGAGTGCAAGATGCGCCAGCTGTCTCTTTTGGTCTCATGTCCACGCTGTGACTCAGTGCGACGGGTCGGGATGAAAAAATTCGCAAGTAAATATAAATGAATTGAAACATATTCGGGCAGCATTTGATATAGGGCGCTACAACGGATTTGAACTTGAACGGAATAGAAATGTTACGAAATAGAACAGCTAGTTGTTTTTTAGCGTTGGGAATTCTATTTCGTAACAGTTCTATTCCGTTCAAGTTCTAATCCGTTAACAATTGTAGCGCCTGATATACTTCGAGTTGACCACAAGAGTTCGGTAGAGCGCACTTGCACACTCCCACTTGTCTCTATAATTTAGATGTACTTGGTCATTGTGAGCGGATAGAGCCAAGAATTGTTTGAAGCGTTTTCGTTAATTGCGTTTTTCTGCAGTTCTTTCAATGCAATATCAGTCAACCAGCAATTTTGACAAAAATATGGAGCGAGAATATGATCCTTCAGCAAGACCTCCAATGTTCAAGCATCGAAGCCCTTTGTGAGTTGCGCCTCCTCTTCCTAGAAAATGCAAGTTTCTCAGTACAGCTATAAAAGTAGTGGCTCATTGATTCCTTCGGATATGCGATTAATACTGATCGAAGCAGAGTCACGAGTGCTCTTCGATTCCGCCACAGTGATTCCTGTCAAAAATGGTTCTCATCCAGCCGCCAGAACATTATCTGCCTGTGGAGAATTCCAGTTCTTACGACGCAAGAAAGATACTGTCAAGCTGTCACAAATGATTTTCGGAGGAGTTCCGAGTTTGAAAACTTCAGAATCATTCAGAATACACGTGCTTGAGTGAGTACTGTCTTCTACAATAAAATATAGCTTTACGTTTCAGAGATGAAGAACAAATACTTGTCAGCAAAACCTTCAGTATTCCTAAACAAAGTAAATTTGGGGCTGATCATAATTCGTCGGACTCGGACTCACAAAATACAGTCAAGTCATTAGATGGATGGAGAACAAGAGCTTCAAAATCAATAATGACAACTCCGGAAGGATTTAATAGAGTAAGTTGAAAAGTAGAAAAAGCGGATAAAGTAGAAGGCTAGGCCTTCCTTTCGTAAAAAACGGCCGTGCTTAACGTTTGATTAACGTTCGATAGGTTTGATTAATGGGGTTATTCAGGCTGTGAAAAAAATGATTGTTTTCCGATTTTTTCGTTTTTTTACGTCAAAAAATCCAATTCAGCGATGTAAAAAAACGAAAAAAAAACGAAAAACAAACATACGCTGAATAGCCCCATAACGTTCGATAGGTTTCAAAAGTCTGGTAGCCTCATTAGAAAGTAAGAAATAGACGGAGTCTCTTAGTTTTTTAATATGCGAATGATGAGGAAGAAAAGTTCCACTTCAGGTTCGTCATATATCGATTACATTTGGCGACGAAGACAATGATTCGCACTTCGGATCTTCAAGTTCAACAATGAGTTTACCACGAGCCTTTTCTCCGCCTCACAGAATTTCGAAAGCACGTCGGAGGCAGTTAGCTGCCACAACAAGCCTAAGTGAAACATGTAGCCTGAAAGAGTATTTCACATTTTCATACCGTTTCTTCCAGCTTCTGTACCTATCCCTTCTGGATTGAAAGCACGCTCTCGCATGAGTTCCATCAGCTCATCACAAAACGATGAAGATCATCATCTTCTTTCTTTGCAAAGTTTGCGCAACGTGGCTCTTGGAATTCTCATGCCCACCAGACAACGATTTTTCCTAATGCAGGTAATCACTTAAATAAGAATCTTCGTATTTCAAACATACTGCAATTTGTTCAGCATATACCTCTCATCGAATCAGAAATGGCTCGATTTGAAACAAGAATAATAACAGCAGCCGGACATCCGCCTACATTTCTCCGAAACATTGCCAAATGCTGGGAAGAATTGACTGCTATCATTTGTCAGCTCCACAACGCCCCTCGTTTGAAGCACCCTTACTGGTTAGCATTAAACGAAAAATGTCATTTGGACGAAAAAACGTTGGCTTCTGAGTTCTGTGAACAGCTTGCTTTTCTCGTACGGAAATATGATCGAAAGGAGGCAGGATAGTTAGTGAACGGAAGCTATTCACATATCCAATATATAATTTCAGCTTCTTATCGAACTTGGTAACAGCACTATTAATGCATCATATGTCTTGGGTAGCAAGTGTCGCATCTCCGCCACTTGTTAATGCCGACAACAGGCACAAAAATGCAATGTTGTTCGGAATGGTTACACTCTCCGAATTAACATTTCGATAATTATCGTTGCAGACTGCAAAAGAGGGAGCACCAACTATCGGATACAATGCTTCTATGGCCCAGTATCTTGAAATCTCTGGAGCCTGTGGAAATATGCGTTCAGCAAAGCTATGTATTTTGGGAGATGATGTGGAAGTACTGGCGTCTGTTTGTTCTGTCCTCACATTTTTCATAAGGTGTTCTGCTGTTCAGCATATTGGTAATGACACATAAGAAACACAATGTAATCTCTTTCTCCCTCTCAGATAACGATATCATGTGGGAAGTGCCTACTGAACAATCATTTTCGCCAGTTAATGTATCAAATTCCCCTATTTCTTATCCAGAGAGCACCTCTTGTCGAAACGGATGCACGTTAATAAATTCGGGAGATCCTTTCAAGTTCGATGAGACTTCGAGTGTGGCTATGATGAGACGACTGAGAAATAATAGCCAAACGACAGCCACAACTCCCATTCATGCTTCATGTGAAATTGTAGAAAAAACTGCTCAAGTGAGAACATTTTTTCTCTGTTTCAGTATGCTGGGTTCTTATTTAATACATGAGACGGCTGGCGCAGGTTCCGAAAGTTTTTTCAATGATCAGTTTCATATCGGCAATCGGAGAGCATCACGAAATGGAACTGACCGGAATAGAACTGCCACACAATATTCTGTGGCAGTTTTATTCCGGTCAGTTTCATTTCGGGATTCTTTCGAGAACTGACAAGAAGTTTAAGTCGATTATCAATTTCATTCTAAGTTGTCTCTTGTCAATTGTCGGCGCGTTTTTCTTGTGCCTATATTGTATTTGTAAACTTGCAGAGTGCTTCCAATGGGCACGAAAGTATGACTTTTATTGACCGTATTGATTTTCCTTGCTGCCCAACAATCTCATCGACAGATGAGATGTGGATTTCTGGTCCTATTTCCGAAGGTCTAGGTCGAAGTATGTTCGCTGGACCATTAAACCAATATTGTTCGCATTTTGTGATATCCGCGTTGCTGAAAAGTGAAGCAAATCTACCTGACGCCTACTCCAGGTGAGGATGAATCCTTTTAATTAAACTAATTAAAACAAGCCTGACCCCCGGCTACCGCCGGGTTTCAGGCTTGGCTACTCAGGTACAATTTCAAACTTTTCTAGGCGCCACTTAAGAAATTCTTAGAAAAGTTTGAGAATTCCTTGAACAAGTTGTAGAACAGTTTTAGAAAAGTTTTTCTACCTCAGAAAGTTTGAAAAAGTTTTGGAAAAGTTTTTTTACTTCAGAAAGTTTGAAAAAGTCTTAAGTGACGCGAAGATTTGTGAACATGCTCGGGCCTGTTTCTATCGCTCCGTGTCGCAAGCCGTACCCCTTTAGCACGCGGGTGAGTCGCTACGCACCGACAAAATACGGGCGAGAAACTCAAATCATGTTGACAAATGTTCGCCGTGTTTACATATTATAGGGGTTTCTCACAGAAATGGCGCTCTGTTCGCAATCTGGTCGAATTTCTAGGCCGCGAAGTAATTTTCCACTGAAAACGTGGCCTAACTTTTATAACTCGGCCCCGAGGTCACTCAATTTGCACTGGGAAAAGAGTTTCTGAACAGAGCGTCATTTCTGTGAGGTGCCCCTACAATATATATAGAAAATTTATAATTGAAATCGTCTCTGATGGGCTCATTCAGTTTTTACTGTTTTTTCAATAGTTTTTACCCGACTGAATGAGCCCATGACAGTATTTGAACGGACTTGGAATGCAGAAGTACTGCAGAATGTTTGACGAAGTTCGCTGCAATGATTCACCTTGTCATCGATCTGTAACTATTCCGTCGTCCTCACAGTCTTCGTCTTCACTCTGTGATGCTGGAGTACCGGAAAATGTACTAATTGTTGCTGACATTGATGAAATGAATGTGAAAGTTCTGTCATCTGAAGGATCGGACGAGGTGACTTCACCATCTGAATCGGTCGTCGCCATGCTTGAGCAGTTCGTCGGCATTCATGATGCCGTACCGGCAACAGCTGAATTTTTGGTCGGTGTTATAGAAGATTCGCTTGCACACATAGTCGGGAAAAGCTTGACGCTAGTGGAGCTTGTACGCTCAGATCAAACAGTACGTTTTTCAATTGTTTCTTTTTGAATACTTTACGTTCCACATTTAGAAACAGCCTGCATCATTGCAACTGACACCAGATCGAGTACGAACTATTATTGGGTGCGATCATTCGGATCTGAGGCTCATAATCAATGTGGCAGCAGTATATTGGCCTCCAGTGCTTCAATCTGTACTGGGATAGTATTCATACTATCGGGACATTTAATAGTGAATTCGTTTTTTCGATATTCTTTCATTGATAATCCTCGGCTCTGCGTCAAATGAAACATGATGCAACTGCTAAATTTTTCAAAAGTTATTTTCGCGGCTGAAAAATTAAGCAACATAGATAGCCAAGAGGGTTTCTCAACAGAATTTATTAGCACCTCAAAATTCTGGCAATGTCGCTCTACTACAGTCCCTCGTGAGAAAAACCGACCGCGGTTGCGATCTTTTCCAGTTTAATTTAGCAATTAATTCACGTGGAAAGCGGTAGAGCACGATTGCCAGACTTCTGCTGCTGCAATACTTTGAAATGTCCCGGTTGAAACTTCGGTCTTAACATCTACTTCTGATTCATTCTGTTTTTATTGGTCAATATTTTAACTAACCATACTAATTTATTTTCTTTTTCAAAAGCATTCCGAGTGTATCATGTAATCCGGGCTTACTATTAGCAAATGACTTTCAAAAGTGCCTGGAATTTTACTGCGATAATTTGATCGGGCTGAAACGTTAATTGCACGTGGGTCAACAATGCTGGCTTTCTGAATCTTATTTCCCAGGTCTGCGTGTAATTCAAGGTAGTATTTCAAGTATTTCGCGTTGCAGCTCTTTGTTCTATTAAATCATACTTTTCACTGATTGCGGGTAGATTAGCGAGCTCGTGAGAACATTCCTAGAAACTCGCTTTGAACCTCATCAATTTTTCTCGGTTAATAGATTGTCGTTAGAATATTTTCTCTAAATAACTATTTATTTCTGTTTTCATTGTTTCTTGTATACTGTTTACTATTAAAATAAACCTTCGAGAAAGATTATCTGTTTCAATGAGGCTAGCGCTAGACCGAGAGAGAACTGTTCGAATCAACTGTCCGAATCAGAACTGCCCCGAATCATAACTGCCCTGAGCAAACGCGCTCCATCGGGCTCATTGTTTATTCATTTTTGGCAAATACTGAATTACTATAAAATTAAAAGGCAATGTCTGAGAAGTTCAAAAACTGCAGATCACTAAAAATTCAGAATGCTTCAATTTGTCCCATATTATACCCAATGGGTACTTACATAACAGTGATACATCAGACAAGTTTTGGTCCGGCTCCGTGGTCCCTTGTCCGATCACGGTAAAAAAAATAGGTCAAACCTGTAACTAATTTCAAAAAAATGCTAGCGTCTCAGACTCAACGCCATTGGATTCCTCGCATCTTTTTGAGTTTATTTCACAAAAAATTTGGCACCCCTCCTTTATGGAGAAAAAAATTGGTTTGTGACATTTTTCAGAAAATTTATGTTCGCGAACTTGAGAAAAGTGAATTTTCTCAATTTTCAAAGGGGTCTGATATTCGTTGTTTTTGTATACTTTTAGGCATTCTCGATTTTTTTCAAGCATTTCGAAAATTAATTTTTTCTCGAAAATTTTGTCATGACCCCCGGGTCGATGACTTGGTCTAGTTTCTTTTAATTCTCGAAATGCTTCAAAAAAATCGATAATGCCTAAAAGTATACGAAAACAACAAATATCGCGATCAGACCCCTTTGAAAATTGAGAAAACGCACTTTTCTCAAGTTCGCGAACATTTTTCCATGCAAAAGTACTCCAAATTTTGTGAATTTCGTCCTAAAAACCCCTTGATGTCAATCGGGATCGGGGTGAACTTTTTTTTTGCCGACTCGGAAAAGGCGCGCCACTTTTGCGCAAACTTTACGCAGCTTTTGCGCAAAGTTAGCACGGTCTCCCACAGACTTGCCAGATTTCGGGCCGGTAAAGTGCCGGCCCGGGCCGGGCCGGGTCGGTGAAGTGCCGGCCCGGTTCAAAAGGCGGGAATTCAAATTTTCGCGGAAATTTTTTTTTTCGTTATTACAAAAAAAAATTTCGAACTAAAGTTTTAGTGTTTCTTCTTTGTTTTTTTGCTATTATGAATTTTTATGAGAAATACATTTGTTTTTCAATGTTCGATGCTTGCAAAAAACCCCTAATTCTACAAAAAATGGCTTCATGCGATCAATAATTCAAATTTTGAATTCCCGCTTTTTGAACCGGGCCGACCGGGCCGGGCCGGGTCGGGCCGGGCCGGAGTTTTGGAAATTTCGGCCCGGCCCGGCCCGGCCCGTGGCAACTATGGTCTCCCAGGACGCTAATGCTAAACACAGTGCGCTCGTAAATTGCGGAGTGTCGTTGTAACTTTTGAAAATTTGCAGATCTGAAAATGCAGTTCAATTCGAGTTTACTATCTTTATTTATTTCTTTTTGACTTGAAAACGTCTAGAAAACTATATTTTAGAGATTGGAGACCGTTCTTTGCAGAATTTAAAGTTTTCATGTTTTTAGCGTCTTTTTCGCATTTCGTCAAAACTTCAAACCTTTACATTTCAGCTCATTTTGCATTTCATGAGCCCAACGAACGATAAAAATGTTCGCTGAATCTTTCTTCACAAAATTCAGGTTCCTGCGGTTAGTTTTCTTGAGCAGTTTTCGAAAGCTATTCGAAAAACATCAAAATCCAGGCCAAAACCTTCAAATCGAAATAACTCGGCTAATTCTCAACGATATGTGAGATTTCTGTTACCAAAACGTAGCTAGTGCGCTAATTATTCGAATCCAGGTTCCAGGCGTACAAGAAATAGGTGTATTGTACAGAAAACATGGAAAGAACACGAACTCCCGTTGAAAATTAATTAATCGGCCGCCGCGTAAATCGACACAGCCCGCCTGTTGCAAGTGCGGCCCATTGAAATCATTCGCGCCGTGGGAGACCGTGGTCACGGGCCGGCAATTCATACATTGGCCGAGAAAATTTTGCGACTTGCGAAACTTCGGCCACGTGTGTTTTTTCAACACACGAACTGGATTATCTGCTATAAAAGATTCTCTGGCAGTTTTAAGTGATTCATTCGTGTTTTGTCATTGAAGTTAATACATTTATTTACTTTGACTTCTGTTTTTATTAATTTTCACAGGTTTTCCATCGATTTTTTTGTAACATTCGCTAAACATTGAGATTTCCGCTCCGTGACGTCTTCAGAAACCTTACATCGATCGGAGTCCTGGCTCAAATTATCGAATACAATAGTGAGCAACTTTTGGCAAAAAATCAGAGCCCTCTGTGATCAAAATCTCAACTTTTTTTTCGGTTTTTCATAAATTTCCCGAGATATAAGGGTGTGAGGCCGAAAAGGCCGCAATGTTCGCAAAAATTCGGCTTTTCCAGCCTCTAAACTTGGATCAAAGATGTTTCAAGCCAAGTCCAAGAAGCCTGCAAGGTATGGACCCGATCCGGTTATTGCGTGGAGTCAACACTTTCATCAACAAGTCAGAACGCTGATTATCGTCAATTCAGAACGCTGGCATGTGAATGCTCTACATCGAAAGGATATGCGCCGGAAACTCTCCTCTCATATATAATAAAAATTGGAAGACACAATTCTCCACGAATTAATAAATTTAGGGCTAATTACGGCTAAGGGCGCTCCGTTCATGAATTCGCCTCGAGTTCCGCCAGCGTTTCCAACGAATCTCCGCTAATATTTTGATGTCATTCGTAGTTTTCGTTCTTTTATTATATACTTTTAACATTTTTTACACATAGAACGTCTAGAGATACCGAAAAATGTATTTTTGGAAGTGTAACTGCCGAGAAATGAAAAAATCAATTCTAGTCGAAAATGTCTGCAATTACTGTCAAAATCACGTTTTCTTGTATACTTTCGACGTTTCCCTATACTTTCGATGAGATTAGTACATTTTTCCGTCTTTCTTCGGCTTTTTCTGCACTTTCAATAATTTTTTTTAAAAATTAGCCGCATATTTTTGGGTTACGGTATGCAGAATCTGCATACACCGTTGTACGCAAGTCCACAGCAGCGAAATCGCTGGGCTGAGTATTTAATCAACGCATTTTTCTCGGCCACTGTATGAATTGCCGGGCCGTGCGTGGTTAGCGCAGCTTCTGCTGGCTAGTTGCGCAAAAGCCGCGTAAAGTCTGCGCAAAAGCTGTCAGCTTTAAAAGTTTGCCCAAATGCTGCTTAAAAATGTTCTGTGTATTTCCACTTCATTTCTTCATGAAAAAAACAATTTTATTGAGTTAGTATAAAACCAGAAACAAGTACCATTTAGAGATCAGTGATTGTATAGTCTTCGTCACGCGGGAAGTGAAAGGTGGAAGTGACCTTTGGAAATGCGGAGCTATCGCGCTGCGGCCGAACGTATTGCTTCGATAGTAATAAAAAATTATTAGAAGACTTTCGGATTTTTTCTAGACTTTTCGGCTGCGCGGGTGATCATTCCTGTTTCTCATAAAACTAAACCATGCAAGTGTCAATTTTCATTTGCCGATTTGAACAATCAATTAAAAATATCTAGAAAATGATGATACTTCGTATGAAAACCCGTAAATTTAGTCAGAAAGCAATCGAAATCCTAAGTTATCTGTGGAGGTGTTCGTCGAGATCCATTGAGCTGAAATTTAGATTCAACACCGGAAAAAAATTGAAAAAATGTGTGTCTTTTTCCCGTTTTTAATTGAGTTTTTTTCCCGACAGAATGAGCCCATATGAGATTACACATGCCAAAGTTAGAAAAAACATTGAATAACGTTTAAGCAGTTTGTTTGAAGTACAACGCCGTGAATCTGACCTCATTTTCCAGAATGCAATTCCACTCGCAGTTATCTTGGACAGTTGATGCTATAGGAGGTGGAACAAAACATTCGTATGGTGGTGGGGCTTCATACATTTTGGATGGAATTTGATCAACGGGTCGATACATTGCCGCCGGTGAATCGTTCGAGCTAGTTATCACTATAAATGGTTTATATTATTGTGTGGGAAACATTAACTTACTTTGAATTCCTTGATGCATAGGACAACCAGGAATCTTTTTACAAACTATTGCAGTAACTATAACAAACAATGACACAATGAGAACAGTCCCGAATATTATTGGAACAAGATATCTGTAAAAATTATAGAAAATCTTACGAAGAAACTCTTCACTTTTCTCTTTCTATGCCAGCCCACATCTTTAAATCAGACTTGCCAAATCCCGGGCCGGGCCAGCAAATCGTCGGCCCGGCCCGGCCCGGTCGGCCCGGAAGTTAGACCTCAAAAAAAATATGCAAAAAAAATATGAAGGAAGAGGAAAACGCGTGCGGCAAAATTGCTAAAATGGCGTGCCAGAGTTGCAATCAATCGCTCCGCCCACTCTTGAGAAAATTTTCGTAATTTTTGTGAAAATTTTGCGACTTTAAACAGCAATTTCTATTTTTTAACAGGTTTTTATGCTATAACATTGCCTTTTTAAGTCTATAAAATAATGTTCGTTTCGAAGTTCTAGTTCGCTTTGAATTTTTAGGTGCATCCTCCCGGGCCGACCGGGCCGGGCCGGGCCGGAAAATTTCCAATTTTGGCCCGGCCCGGCCCGGCCCGTTGCAAGTCTGCTTTAAATAGTTGCTGTCATTTTTTTTTCTTGTGACCGTTGTCATCTATTTACGAGATTGGATTTTGCGAAAAGACTTCTGCCAATCTGATTTCGTGACGAGAACATAAGAAAGTGGAAGATAACGAGAGAGAGAAAGAGAGAGAGAGAGAGAGAGAGAGCGAGAAAGAGAGAAAGTCAGGGAGGGATGGAAAATATGTAGCATACGAATAATGTAAGATGTCGAGATTTAGAGAGACGAAGCACAAGACATTTTTCGTAAAGTGTTTTTATGATTTGTAGCTCTGTTGAAACTAAACGTCTCATGGGGTTATAAGATTGACTTTTCCACTGACTAAAAAAGGATGGAAAAAGAGCAGTTGTCTTTCAGAAACTGCAGAATAAAACAAAAGCAAATAAAAAGGAATCGCAAAAGAAATTTTAGAGAATGGGTTGTTTCGCTGAACTTAATGGAATAGAGAAGCCAAAAAAATCTTAGAAGGTTGCCCACTATATGGAGACGGAAAATAACATTATTACGGAAAAAGGGAAAAGGCCAAATCTAATTAGCACAAGTTTCTTCGGTCATGTTTCGAATTCATTTTCACGAGAATCAATAGAAGAAGCGAAGAGATAAGCGAAGAACACTATAGAGAAATTTTTTAGAGAAATTACTCATTTCTTTTTTTAATTAAGAAACCCACTCTTTCAAGAAGTTTCTGAGTTCTACATTGGCCAGTTCCTGTTTTTCTTTCTCAAAATCTTCCAGTGAACAACAATACACTCCGTGTTTTTCTTTCAAAAAAGAATTGGTCGGTGGAAGTTTGGAGGTGCAGCAGTGAATAAACGTAGGCTTTGCTTTAAAATCTGGACATGTTTTGTTACGAAGCACACCTGAAAAAAATTAGAATTGAACGAGATAACAGCCTACTTCCCACCTCCTGGTACGGCTGTTGAGGGGCAAACGTGTGCTACTGACGAGCGAAGTGTTAGAAAGAAATAAAATGTTGTAGCGCAATGAATTGATATGTGGTTCCATTGCATATCTATAAAATAATGAGTGCAACGTTCAACAATAATCTATCCAGGGTAAAGGTTCATAAAACGAGAGAATTACTCAATCAAAGCATATATAAGTCTCAATAAGTCAAACCCTCATTTCGTTAAAAATGTTCCACCCGTACTGACACCCGAATAGTTACACCAAGAAAAGAATATGACCATGCAGTGTGGTTGTAGTTGGTGGCAACAAACCCGTTGCTTCTACTACTGGTGAGAATAGACATAGGGGAACTTGTGGAGGGCGCAGACAGAAATGGGCGGGCCCTGCTTCTCCCCAGTCGACGAGAGATTAAGAAGCGCAGTCTTCCGTTTTTTCCTATCGCTGCATTTGTTTTATCTATTTTTATTGCATGGTCAATTTCCATCGAAACCTTCTAGATGAACAATCACCGGTAAACCATGTGACACTGCAGAAATGTACGTTTACGTTGTTCCGTATCAACCCCAAAAAGTCAGATTTTTACAATTTCTTCTCGAATTTTCTAGTTTTTTCAGCAGCAAATTGATTTTATAGATTGTTCAAGTTTTCGATAAGTCAGTTATCTCCGGATTCACACGCTCAGAAATGTTTTCCGATTGTCCATTGATCACTTCTCTGGCAATTTCGTTTTGCATGTTGTCGAAAGTGCGAAAGTTACAACGAGATTTTCGAATGTTGCAATGGAACTCAAAAGTTACAATGAGATTTTCGAATGTTGCAATGAAACTAAAAAGTTACAAGAAGTCTCGCGCATCTTGCATTAACAGTCAAATGTCATAACTCTGGAAACTCGATTGCAATCTAATTAGAAGAGTTTGCAATTTAATAAGAAAAAGCTCTATTTCGCAATCTAATTAGATTTAATTGAAGTTCCAGTAAAATCGTATTAGATTACAATATATTTTTCCTGAATTGCAATCTAATAAGAAAAAATTGCAAACTAATTAGAAAACATTGCAATCTAATTAGAAAAATTGCAGTGATTGTAATCTAATTAGAAGAGTTTGCAATCCGTATAACTCGAGTAGACTACGATTAGATTAATAACGCAATGCTATTTGATCAAAACGTTTCACGTGATTAAGCATTTAAGCACTTTTTGTTTAAATCATGAATTTGCAGAGATACAAAAGCGAAAAGTTGAGAAAAAGATAATAAAACCGGAAAATTCTGAATTTTGCTTACGATAGCTCTAATATTAGAAACCGGTTTTATAAACCCCATAGGAGGTTATTCAGGCTATGAAAAAAATGATTTTTTTTTTCGTTTTTTTACGTCCAAAAATCCAATTCAGCGATGTAAAAAAACGAAAAAAAAACGGAAGACAAACATACGCTGAATAGCCCTATAAAAATTCTACAATTGCAAAAATACTTTCTCACTCTTGAAAGGTCTTTCAATCCCGCAAAGTTCCGATTAATCGAATTCGAGGGTAGCATTTTGGTAGAATTTCATGTGAAGTTGGACAAAAAGTAGATATGGAAGAGAAAAACAGACATGGCAAAGCGGTCCTCCTTGATGTAAGAACGAATGAGAATGCTACACCAATCTCTTATTCATGAAAATGAGTTTTATTGTGCTTTTTATTGGCTCTTTCATATGTCGTGTTCCGGTCCCTCAGCTCGTTGGCCATTTTCGCTTTTTTTTAAATTTTTTCTATCGATAAGATCGTTCGGTTTCTTGAAAAGTTGCAGATTTAAAAAAACGAGAAATGCGTCAGCAGCACTATAAATATAAATTATAGGAACATTTGTTGTTGATAGTCAGTTTTTAGAATGCCATTGTACAAATCGTTGCGAATCCGTTTCTTGTTGAAATTGAATGTTTCTTCCAAACAAGTGACGCGTTTCTTGAAGAATCCACTGGTGTGCTGCAATCATCATTCGCATCATTCTTATCCGGCTCTGGTTAATGAACACACATACCGTGAAAGACTGAATCATCTGTCCTAGTTCATGATCAATATTGAGAATGATGCTATCAAGCCTGATCAATTGTTCATCAACCGATAATAAATCGAGCTGCAATTCATATTGTGTAAATGCATAAATACTTTTCACACCACTCCGTCCTCTTCAAAATCATCGGTACTCTCGCTTAACATTTCTCCTAATCCAGTGGTCTGCAGAAGCCCTCTAGAATGCAGCGTTCGACGAGCTATAAACAGATAAGTTTTCAGCAAGTCGAACGTCTTTTTTACCATTTTCTAACAGTCGTAATCTTTCATCTGGATACTCTTGGAGTAATCTAGTGACATCGTCTTGATGGAGAATGTACACATCTGAGTATCCCACACTTCTCAACGACACACTTCTACGATCCCCTAACAAATTTCCTTTTACATGAACAATCGACAGTTCGCCAAACGTTGATCCTTCGCCAAGCGTATCCACTAATACTTCGCGGTCGTCATCGATGACACTAAGTTTTCCTTTTTTAACTATGAACATTTCTTTTGCTTTTTCGTTTTTCCGGCATAAATAATCGTTTGGGGAATAAACTTGTTGTTTTACTAACATGACAACTTCTTGTAAGAGTCGAGGATCACATTTGTGGAACAACGCCACTTTACTCAACGTTTCCGCGTGCAAGTTTGCTGCTATGCTAGCTTGGAAGCGTGGTGGTAAAACAGAAATTATTTCCTGAAAAATAGAAAAGTACAAGCCTGATACCAACGGACTTGTTGCTGCTTTATTTGTGACCGCTGCCCCCTCTTCGCATTGCCTGGCAATTCGATATTAATCTAATTAGAAAGTTACTGCATCTAAACGCGACCTAATTATTATAGGGGCACCGGACAGAAAGGGCGCGCTGTTCGCAATCTGGCCGAATTTCTAGGCCGCGAAGTAATTTTCCACTGAAAATGTGGCCTAATTTTTCAAACTCGTCCCCGAGGTCGCTCAATTTGCACTGCAAAAAGAGTTTCTCAACAGAGCGCCATTTCTGTTCTGTGCCCCTATAATAGATTCGACTGTTTTTTCTTGGCGCAGTCGAGATTTGAGCCAGCAGACGGTTGGCGTGAAACTTGATTTGAGCACTTATTAATCTAGCTAGAAGATTGATTAATCTAACTAGACAATTTATTAATCTAATTAGGTGTCATATCAATCTTATTAGGCCGCCGTTATTATAGGGGCACCGCACAGAAATGACGCTCTGTTGAGAAACTCTTTTTGCAGTGCAAATTGAGCGACCTCGGGGCCGAGTTTGAAAAGTTAAGCCACGTTTTCAGTGGAAAATTACTTCGTGGTCTAGAAATTCGGCCAGATTGCTAACAGCGCGTTCTTTCTGTCCGGTGCCCCTATAATAGATTATGCCGCGTCCAATGTCTCGGAAGAACTGTAAAAACTGCAGATTTTTCTGTCCAAAGTCGGCCGAAATTTGCGTGAAAAACGGGGGTGCGCACAGCTCAATGAATGTAACCGTACCCCTAAAACTACGGTATTTTTTGAAAATTTGTTAATTTCTTGAGGATATTTGAAAATATTCAAATTTCGTGCGCAAATTTTCAAAAAATATCGTAGTTTTAGGGGTACGGTTACATTCGAGCTGTGCGCACCCCCGTTTTTCACGCAAGTTTCGGCCGACTTTGGACAGAAAAATCTGCGGTTTTTACAGTTTTTCCGAGACATTGGACGCGGCATTAATAACGAAATGTGTGTGTCGCTCGGTTATTTTCACTCACTTTTTCATCGTACAACTGATTATGTGTGTTGAGATAAAGAAAGCAGTTAAGAACTCGCTCTTGTATTGCAGATTGAACTCCTCTGAAAATAGATTATTTGAAAACATCTCCCCCAGCAATTAACTCTGGGCCAATACTCAATGACTTCCAGATTATCAACTTTTTTTTGCTCTATGACCTTATTGCTAACTGACTTCCACATTACTCAATGACACCTATTCCCACAGAGTGGACCATCTATTATGGTGCATTTGCAGAAAATTAAATACTCAGTAGTTAGGTTCATTCCTTACATGACAAAAATGTAGATATCTTATATTTAAAAAACGGATAAAATAAGATACAAACTGATAGTTCGCAATGAGAAGTCTTTGAGTAGAGAATTCATTAAGTTGAAAAACTCAGGCAAATCGTTTCTAATCTAACTAGCTAATTCTCGTTTCTAACCGGACCTAGTCTCCCTCTCTAGCTAGCTGATTTTGCAATCTAAACATAATCTAGCTATTATAGGGGCACCGCACAGAAATGGTGCTCTGTTGAGAAACTCTTTTTGCAGTGCAAATTGAGCGTCCTCGGGGCCGTGTTTGAAAAGTTAGGCCACGTTTTCAGTGGAAAATTACTTCGCCGCCTAGAAATTCGGCCAGATTGCGAACAACGCGCCCTTTCTATCCGGTGCCCCTATAATAGGTTTGCCCTAAATTTTAATCTAATTACATAAATTTTGAATCTAATATCAGTGTTTTTGCAATCTAATTAGCTTCGCCAATCTAATTAGAAAATTTATCAGCCCAGTTAGAAGAGTTTGCAATCTAATTGCAGTAAATTAGCAATCTAATTAGGTCCGGTTAGAAACGCGAATTAGCTATAGCTAGATTACAAACGATTTACCTGAGAAGTCAATAAAAGTCATTGAGAATTATTGCATCCGCAGAAGTCTGCCAATTGCGCTCTGCCGCTCTCCACGTGAATTCAATTCTAAATTGGAAGAGGTCGCGGCCGCGGTCGAGATTTAACGTGGGATTGCTGTAGAGCGACATTGCCAGAATTAATTTTGAGATGCCTTCATATCGGTCCATTGCTGACCTGTATTTCATGTAAAACTTAATACCATCCATCATTTCTCGGAAGTCATTCACATTTTTGCTCATTTGGGTGACAACGTTGCCGACGCCTGAATTTGTGAAATATAAGTAATTCAACCGAATTCGGTTGAATTCATTATAATTAGGTACCGAATGGTAAATTTAAAAAGCGCTATTCTCAAGCAGTACTCAAAACACACTTCCGATAATTGTTGCGAACACAAGAACTCCAATGAGTGTGTCGAATATTTCCAATGCATTTTGAGGACTAGTAGAAGGCCACGGTTGTTGACCACACTTTGTTATTGTTAGTGATGACCAATAAATGGTCATACTGTATTCACGAGAAAAATTTCCCATTGACAACAGAGTGTATCTGGAACTTATAATTCTCATTAATAAAAGAGTAATTCTTATAAATTGATTGCTGCTTTCAGGGCTGGGCAATTGGCTGGCACGGGCTTTTCCTCTGGGAACTCGATCGCAATCTAATTATAAAACTTTGCAATCTAATACGAACTCGTTTGAAATAGAATTTGCTTCAATTAGATTGCAAAATCTTCTAATTAGATTGCAATCACTGTAATTTTTCTAATTAGATTGCAATGTTTTCTAATTAGATTGCAATGTTTTTTAATTAGTTTGCAATTTTTTCTTATTAGTTTGCAATTCAGGAAAAATAAATTTTAATCTAATACGATTTTACTGGAACTTCAATTAAATCTGATTAGATTGCGAAATAGAGCTTTTTCTTATTAGATTGCAAACTCTTCAATTAGATTCCAATCGAGTTTCCAGAGTCGTTGGCCGACCCTTGACGTGGACCTTTGAACCACTTGCAATATTCCGATCGGACTGAAACTTTGCAGGCTTCTTGGACATGGGTTCAAGCATACTGGGACGAAGTTTCAGCCCGATCGGATCATCTGGTACCGAGATATGTGGATCGGATTTTCTTTATTCGCATCAGCGATAAAATTTCATTTTCTTTCCTCTACGCTCCAAGAAAATACGTTTTTCTGCTTCATCACTCGAAAAAGAGCTCATGCTACATGGTTTATTTTCATCAGGACTGTTTTTGCGAATGTTAGTTTACACATCTCCAGAGAACGTGTCTTAATCAAATCGCAATCCGTTTTCCAGAGAATTTCGAATTAGCTTACTTGTTTTCCCAATATTGATACATCTGCTGCATGTACTTTGGCCTCTCTTCTCTCAGATCTAATACACCTTCCGCGTTTTCCGGAAACCAACAGTTTTTGTCAAAATACGTCTGAAGTGTAATTAACTCCTATTATAGGGGCACCGGATAGAAAGGGCGCGCTGTTCGCAATCTGGCAGAATTTCTAGGCCGCGAAGTAATTTTCCACTGAAAACGTGGCCTAACTTTTCAAACTCGGCCCCGAGGTCTCTCAATTTGCACTGCAAAAAGAGATTCTCAACAGAGCGCCATTTCTATAATAGTCACAAATGTGTTGTGAACTTACATCACAAGTAGGAAACCTCGGATCGAAAACCTTATAGTATGAGAATCCGAATGCGTTTGTGTCGTCTTCGGAAAGCCCTTCGAATAAAGAGAAAAGAAAGTAAACACATGCATTCCAGTGGAAAAGAACCGCACAAGACGTTGTTAAAAACAAAATTTTCATGAAGTGAGGGTAGTCAGTCCTTCTTTGTGTTAAAATAACAAACTCATAGAGACGGTATGCTGAAAGTGTTACTGTTTTTACTAATACAGTTGCTTACTGTATGCACCTTTTATCATTCGTATTGCCCTTATTAATGAAATATTCGCATATAGAAACAATAATAAATCTATTGGTGCAAGACATAGTAGATCCATCTTGAATCTACGACTCTGACGATAATTTTTGAAAGTTCTTGTAGTTTGTCTAATTTCGTTGCCTTCGCTCACAAAAGCTGCAATTAAACTCATCATGTAAGTATACGATTGCGCGAGAAACGATTCTCATTCAATATTATTAGTACCACAGATCCGAGAATTCTGCGTTCAAAAGTAAAGAAGTAAACCTGGCTCTCAAAAATTTCGCGCGCCCCTCAAAATTTTTGTATCTTCGATAATTATGATAGGTTTTCGGGGGTGTTTAAGACTCGTGTTGCGTATCCGCGATCAATAATTTTGTCTTGCGAAGATCTCTGGTTCCTAAGCCTCTTCTTAATATTAAATAACAACTCACTCATTCTCGCTCCTACTAAACAGTCCAGTGCGAAGCATATATCAAAAAATATGTTCAAGCATAACCAAAGAGTAAAATATCCCTGTTGTACATCGTCGAATATGAATATTACCATTGCGAACATATTATAAAGTATTCCTGCAGCAACGACACACGTCCAGTAATAGAAAAAAGACGAGTTTTGTTGAACGTAAAAGTAAATGATCCATCTGAAAAGGAATGAAAAATAAGATATATTCTTCACTAGTTACCGTAAATACCGTACTAGAAGTGCATTCCCTTCTATTTATTTTCCAATGTACTAGTTCTCTAGAGTTAACGCTCTCTCAATTTCGCACAATACATTTTTTCGAAAACACTCGTTTTCAGGAAATTCGAGACAGAGAATTCTCTAGACTTGAAACGTCTCTTTTCCGATCCCAGTACCACTCGAAGATCGTACGAATATCGACTGAAAACGGATCAAGCGCGCTATACTCGATGCCCTTCTATTAAAGATGCCCTTCATATAAAAGTGGACTTCTAATACAATATCTAAGGTATTTATATTCGAACCGAAGCTTGTCATGCAGAAAGTCCGTTAACACAGCAGTTCCTGTGGGCCGTTGCTGAAAATTTTCTTGATTCTCAATGATAGCTTTGTGATCATCAGCCGTCGTTTCCTAAACGATTCTGTGGTTGTTAGGGTGACCTTCACGAGACCAACCTCTGCACCGTTTGTAACTGTACGGTCCCTGTCCGGCTCTGATTCTCTTTCATCGTGCTCCATGGCATAAATCCATGAACGAAGCATCTGCAGTATCCAGATTGTGCGAAAATTATACGGGAAACTAAAGAACGAACCATAGCCGTTTTAACAACATCACTGAAAGATTTTGTGTTGTCCGCGTCGTGTTTCCTTTCTTTTTTAGAAAATTCTACACGACCTTTATTCAAATCAAGGCGATTTGTTTTTTCCTTAAAAATGTTGATTTCTGACGCAAAAATATCCATTTTAGGGTTTCCACTTCCATGATGTTCTATGCAAAAGTTGCTTGGACTGGTTCAGAAGTCCAAGGCCACTTGCCTAGCACTGGTACCTTAGGTACTGTAATCAAAATAGAAACAGTTACCTGTGCCACCAGCTGTGGACTTTTTTGGCGTACTGTGGCCCATTTCGAGCTTTGTGTCGGATCAGGACATCGATTAGGGCTTGCAGGTTCGGTTCCTTTAGCCCATGTTGAAACCTCAATTTTTGAACATTTTCATGATATCTTGAAAATCTCCCGTAGCTTTACTTTGTGAAACGTTCCGGGGCCATGAACTGATGAATCTGTTTCTGGCTGTAAAAGACGTTAAATAAATGGACTTGCTGAAGCGTACGAAAAAAAAAGTAAAGTCTGCGTTTCGCGGGAAAAATGGCTTGTTGAAATTGACTCATTGCCTATTTTTCCGCAGGTCAAAAATTAAAACTCACATGTGTTTTAGTACTGATCGAGCGCAGATAACGCAGGCTCCTATCTTTTCTCCCGAGTTTTTTCAATTCATTGTTTTTTGGGGCTTCTTCGAAATTAAAACTTGAAAACATTTGGAATATTCACGAGGAGGCGAACTGCTTGACAGACACGATAGAATGAGTACCCGCGCAATTGTTAATGTGGCCATGACAACGGCGCATACATATTATTAATCCCCTTTCCTTCTTCAAAGTGACATTATAAAAAATAACAAAACCGGCTTTATTGATATGGTAGCTTTGGATCAAGATTCAAATTTTGTTCCATTTCTGTTTATTTTGGCATCCAACTTTTTGCAAGAAGCCTAGGCTATATTACTATACCACTGGCTAGTAGTATAGTAATATTCGTTTCAGGCATTTAATTCGGAGGGTACAAAAATTAGGGGGTACAACAGGGTACAAATGGTTTTGGGGTACAACTTTTATGGTTTTGGGGTACAAAAAGTCGAGGGTACAAAATTTTGATTCTGGGGTACAAAAATTTACCGATTCAGTAGGCATTGATTAAGGGGTACAACTTTTGTGATTTAAGGGTACAAATTTCACGATTTTGGGGTACAACAATTTTTTTCCCATTTTTTCATGGGCATCAATTCAGTGAAAAAGATCGTTCAGTCCGTCTTGATGCACACGAAGAGTTTCTAATATTTTCATTGTTTTGTTTTTTAGTGTTCTCTAATTTAATCTCTCTTCTATATTGATCTCCTCTCTCTGGCGACATTATAACCGAACCCTCTCTGATTGCCGCCGAATTCTCCTCCGTTTTCTCAAAGGCGTTCACCATGCCCTCCGATCCCTTCCCTGCCCTCCCAGCCCCCAAACCCCATCCTATCGCCTTCGACTTCTCCCCATTAAACATAAGTCGCCTAATCGATACTCTCGACCCGAAAATAGGATACTCTAGAGACGTCATAAACTTCTTTATCTTAAAAAATTGTCGTGACTCCATCACAATTCCTCTTTCACTGATATTCATCGAGTCATTCGACAGTGGAATCTTCCCGAACTTTCTCAAATCCTCCACAGTTATTCCAATTCATAAAAAAGGATCCTTTACGGATTCTTCCAATTTCCGACCGATCTCACTGACACATCCGATCTCCAGACTCTTTGAAAAAGTGATGCTCAGCTCTATACGTCTTGAATTCTCAGAAAGAATTTCAAAATTCCAATACGGATTTATGAACAACAGATCGCGCACACTCGCACTACTTGATTCGATATCAAAAATCCAGCAAATAACTGCGAACAGAAACAAGTTTGCTGATGCCCTGTTCTTTGATTTTAAGAAAGCTTTTGACAGTGTCCCGCACAATCTCCTCATCTGCAAACTGAATAACTTCGGCCTTGACACTAAAACATGTGATTGGTTCGCCTCATTTCTAGAAAGTCGCTCATCTGCCGTAAAAATCGATAATTTTATCTCCGACATCTCCTTCCCAGTACTATCAGGCGTTCCCCAAGGAACGGTCACAGGGCCGTTCCTATTCTTGGTCTTTATTAATGATTTGCTAGCCCTTTTCCCCGCCGACGTCCATGTCACCGCGTTCGCTGATGACTTGAAAATTTTCGGAGATAACCCAAAAACGCTTCAAGAAAGTGCAAACATTGTCGCATCATGGTGCGAAACCTGGCAACTAAAGCTAGCAGAAAATAAATCCGCAGTTCTCCACTTTGGAAAGAAAAAACCCCAAAACCAGATATCTCCTGAATGGCATCGAAATCGAATCAAAAGATTCCGTTAAGGACCTCGGCATCTGGATAGATGACAAGCTCAAATTCGATAAGCATATGCTGCATATCACAATAGTTAGCAATACCGCCCTCTTGAAATGCAAACAAATTCTGAAAGCCTTTCGCTCCTCGAACCCCAGTCTCTACTTTAAACTTTTCAACGTTTACGTCAGACCCATTCTCGAGTACGGCTGTGAACTTTTCCATCCCTCATCGACATCCCTCTCCAGCAAATTAGAGTCTCCCCTTAGATTTTTCAGTAGAAGAGTCTTCCAAAGATGTAACATGCGGTTCTCCTCCTATAGCGACCGTCTCAGTCAATCTAATTCAAAATCGATATTCCACAGAAGGGTTCTTCTTATTCTCAGAACATTCCACAACATAATCTCGCACAAATACCATTTCCCCTCCCTAAGCATGTTCGTCAAACCCGGCATCTCCCCCCGTCACCCGTACCTTCTATCCTCCCTTGGCCTACCCCATGACTCTTTCTTACATACCCATCTTGCCCTTTGGAACCGAGTGGCCAAGTTGTTTCCCGAAAGACTGTCCTCTGAGACCTTCGCGGCGCGCATCGAGAAGATCCCCCCTAGCTTTTTGTATTCTAACTGACCTCTGGCTACTGCCGGCCAATGGTCATGTCAAGCCATTGTTCCTTCCCCCACCCACATTCCCCCTCTTTTTCTCTTCTTTCTTTTTTGTTGTAATTTTATTCCTAGGTGGCTGAAGAGAATAAATGTGTTATTATTAAATTCAGAATTTGAAGATACCGCGTGCGGCAAAGTTGGGCCTTCGATCATTGACTCATTCATCATTAACTTTTGTATGACTCGAGGTTGTAGTCGCCAAGATCTCGTGGCCGTGTGTTTTGATTTTGTACACTTCAGCAAAGTACTATTACTTGCACTATACAAAAAATACAAGTTTTATGAAAGACACGCCTTCCAAAATTCACTTGTCTACGTTGTAACTTACAATTTTTAAGTTAGAAATAAACTATTCCATATAATTGAAAACGCCTAAAATTCTAAATTTTGACATAAATACGCAGATGAAGTTGGTGAAGATTCTTATTTTCATTTTTGTTTGGATTGCTCGTTCGACTGGTAAGTTCCACGCAGGGGACTCGTTGCTGATATTAGATTCACAATTAATCTAATTAGATTAACGCTTTCGCACGGTCTCCAGAGCTGACAATATGGGCGTGGCCTCGGCCAAATGGCGTTTTCATGAATTGAGCAAGTTTTCTCTGATTTTTGTGGTCAAAGGCGATGAAAAATGATTGTTCGACATGAAAACACACTAATTCTTAGAATTAATGACGTTTTGGCGCATTTTTCGCGTATTTCGTTTTTTCGCCTTCGCCGCCGATCGCCGCCTAAAAAACCGCACTTCTCATTTTGCGCTTTCTTGACCGTTTTCAGACAGAATTTGTTTTGAGAATGATAAATCACGTAAATACAAGCATTTTGAGCGCTCGAACCGCGAAAACTACCGAAAAGCAACTGAAATTCACGCAGTTTTAGCCAAAAACCTTCAAACGGATAAATGTGATTTGCGACTTGACCAAATTTAATGCTCTTGCGCTTAAAAAATTTGTAATAGCCTATGTATCGCTCTATTGGGCGGGGCGCACTTGCGCCCATTGTCAGCTCTGGAGACCGTGTTTCGATCAAAGTGTTAATCTAATTAGATGACTTATGAATTTAATTAGATGAATTGTGAATATAATATATTTTCTTTGTCAATCTAATCAGACAAATTTTGTTTTGTCAATCTAATTAGAAAATATATCAGTCTAGCTAGAACAATTTTCAATCTAATCGCAGTAAATTAGCAATCTGATTAGGGCCGGTTATAAACGCGAATTATTATAGGCGCACCGCACAGAAATGGCGCTCTGTTGAGAAACTCTTTTTGCAGTGCAAATTGAGCGACCTCGGGGCCGAGTTTGAAAGGTTAGGCCACATTTTCAGTGGAAAATTACTTCGCGGCCTAGAAATTCGGCCAGATTGCGAACAGCGCGCCCTTTCTGTCCGGTGCCCCTATAATAGCTAGCTTGTAACTTTCAAATATCCCCTTTAAAGACCGACTCAATTTTTTGTCTCTACAAAACAGGCAAAATCAACTTTTTCTTTGTCTAGACTTCCTGCCGAACACCTGTTTGGCGGGAATTCTTGCTCGGCAGTGTTGGTGAGAATGTGCGCAAACTTTACGCAATTTCTACTAGAACTTTTATAACATTTTTTAAAGTTAGCGCTAAAATTGTAGAGACCCTTAAAGTCTGCGCAAAAACTGCCTAAAGTTTGCGCTAAAATTGCATCACGTTTTTCAGAATTTCCGCAAACTTTATGGTCCCCCACAATTTTAGCGCAAATCTTAACCCAATTTTTGCGAAAAGTTCTCGTATAAATTCCGTATAAAAATAGTGGACTTCTCTCGAAAAAGTTGTATTTGTTGCTGATAATTTCAGAAGCTGTGCCTCCCAAGTCTAACTCAGATCTCATTTCGTTGGATAATCAGCTGCCAAGCAAGACGAACCACAGGGAAACAGAAAAAGATGGAGTAAACTTCATGCAACCACCTCCTAATGCAAAATTCACAAAAGGATGGTCTCCCACCGAAATACGATTGTCCCAAGATTCCTCTTCAAATGGATATAATGGCAACATCAGAAACAAGGATTCGACGAATGTGGCTAGTTTTCCATGATACTCCCTTGTTATGTCAGAGATGAACGATTAATTTTCAACAAGTTTAAGAAGTTTGAATACTTTTATTTGAAAATTGTGTAGTTGTTTTTTTTTTTAACTTTTTAGGTTTTTATGAAAACTAATCCCCCAGCAACTTATTTTTACATCTGCACCACCTAAACGTTGTTTCAGCTCGGGTTTTAGTTGAGATGTTTAAAAAGTGTGAAGTTGAGAAGTCAACTTTTCCACATACAGTTTGATTGCCTCTATTTATCGTAAGAACTAGTCTACACTCTCAGAGTTTGACCAGAATTTGCTCGTCTGTCTGCAAATATTTCATTGTGAGTGAATGACTAACCTTCGAGATATGTTCATTCAGAACCGTTCGATTTCAAAATGTATAGATCTTTACCAGGTTAGTAAACGGCAATTGCTATCAGAATGAAGATTTAATAACTGAATATAAATTTGACTGTGGGAAATTGTTTAGACGCGACATAAGTTATCGAGTGTTTACTTTTTCAGTGATTCCTAACTACTTTACTAGAAGTCGTGAAGTCATAGCTTCTTAACGAGAAGATACATCAAAAAATGATCAACAACAGAAAGAAAGATATTCTTCTGCCCACCAAGATTGTAGTTGAGCGTTTTTCTTCAATCGTTCACAGGTTATGATTGTTATACTCTGGGAACGCGATCTAATTAAATCACATTGCGATCTAATACTCGAGTTCTACGGCGGCCTAATAAGATTGATATGACACCTAATTAGATTAATAAATTGTCTAGCTAGATTAATAAATCTTCTAATTAGATTGATATGTGCTCAAATCGAGTTTCACGCCAACCGTCTGCTGGCTCAAATCTCGATTGCGCCAAGAAAAAACAGTCGAATCTAATTAGGTCGCGTTTAGATCAGTAACTTTCTAATCAGATTAATATCGAATTGCCAGAGTTCAATTAAATCTGATTAGATTGCGAAATAGAGCTTTTTCTTATTAGATTGGAAACTCTTCTAATTAGATTGCAATCGAGTTTCCAGAGTAATGGAATCAATACCAAATTAATATTATACAGTTCAAGGAGTGGTCCTTCCTTGTTAGGACAGTCTAGAAAGTACATGTATAATAGCAACCAAATCGAAGCATTCGGAACTTTTATTGTCAGACCTTTCTGTCAGAGACGGTCTCTTAATCATCTATTAGTGTAATGCTGTCTCATCCCTCGAAAAGCACGAGAATGATAATATTCTGATGTGAGCATCTTTTTTCTGTTTCAGGCGTCTCCTGTCGATACAACACACATTATTCTCCATCTCACTTTGATTTTCGGTGGATTATTATCTAACACTTGCCTTCATTTTATGTTTTCTGGACGACCCAAATTAGGAACTGCGAGGTGAGGGTATATATTGCCTAAAAATGAGAAAATTTCATATCCTCTGGGAACTCGATCGCAATCTAATTAGAAAACTTTGCAATGTAATACGAAATTGTTTGAAATAGAATTTGCTTCAATTAGATTGCAAAATCTTCTAATTAGATTACAATCACTGCAATTTTTCTAATTAGATTGCAATGTTTTCTAATTAGATTGCAATTTTTTCTTATTAGATTGCAATTCAGGAAAAATATATTATAATCTAATACTCTGGCATTTCGTTATTAATCATAACGGCGGCCTAATAAGATTGATATGACATCTAATTAGATTAATAAATTGTCTAGCTAGATTAATAAATCTTCTAATTAGATTAATAAGTGCTGAAATCAAGTTTCACGCCAACCGTCTGCTGGCTCAAATCTCGATTGCGCCAAGAAAAAACAGTCGAATCTAATTATTATAGGGGCACCGGACAAAAAGGGCGCGCTGTTCGCAATCTGGCCGAATTTCTAGGCCGCGAAGTAATTTTCCACTGAAAACGTGGCCAAACTTTTCAAACTCGGCCCCCAGGTCGCTAAATATGCACTGCAAAAGAGTTTCTCAACAGAGCTCCATTACTGTGCGGTGCCCCTATAATAGGTCGCGTTTAGATCAGTAACTTTCTAATTAGATTAATATCGAATTGCCAGAGTACGATTTTACTGGAATTTCAATTAAATCTGATTAGATTGCGAAATACAGCTTTTTCTTATTAGATTGCAAATTTTTCTGATTAGATTGCAATCGAGTTTCCAGGGCTCTTTTTCAACCGTTTTCTCGCATCAAGTTTTTTGAAGTTTTCATGGCTCGTTTCGAAAAATACCGTAGTTTAGTGGTGTACAGTAACATTCGTTCAGCTGTGCGCGTCCCGTTTTTCTGTATAAGTTTCTGCAATCTTCGGACTCCAAAATCGGCATTTAATTCCGAGGGTACAACAATTTTGGGGCACAACAGGGTACAACCTATTTTAGGGTACAACTTTTTTAATTTTGGGGTACAACTTCCCCGATTTTAGGGAATAATTTCTGTCAAGTATTTTAGGGTACAATAATTTTAGGGTACAACACTTTTAGGGCACAACTAGCACATAATTTCAGAACACAACTTCTTACAATTTTGGGGCACAACAACATGATTTTAGGGTACAACACTTTTTTTTCTCATTTTTTTTTTGTATTTTCTTGCATTTTACTACTACTTATTTCAGATCCGTTCATTTGTGCTCAACTTGTTACTGTCATATGCTTTTTTGCAATAAAAGGTTTTGAATAACCTCACTATTTGGTGAAAACAAAATGTGTGAACTGCCGCAGAAAGCACGAGTCGAAAGACTGGTTCTCTTACAAGAGATGAGTCATTGAAATAAAAAAATCAGCGAAATATTTATATAAAAAGAATATGGGTTTGTAGTAAAATGCAAGAAAATACATAAAAATGAGAAAAAAAAGTGTTGTACCCTAAAATCATGTTGTTGTGCCCCAAAATTGTAAGAAGTTGTGCCCTGAAATTATGTGCTAGTTGTGCCCTAAAAGTGTTGTACCCTAAAATTATTGTACCCTAAAATACTTGACAGAAATTATTTCCTAAAATCGGGGAAGTTGTACCCCAAAATTAAAAAAGTTGTACCCCAAAATAGGTTGTACCCTGTTGTGCCCCAAAATTGTTGTACCCTCGGAATTAAATGCCCCAAAATCCAACAGATTACAGTTTTTTTTTTAAATTTGGACGCGGCATTATGGGCAACGCGTCTTCAATTCTAAAAAAAATAGTTGTCACGAAATAACAAGAAACGAATATGTGAACTTTTTAACGGTTCAAAAGAATTGTAAGAATGATCATTATTGAGAATTCTTATTGATATAACACGACTTTTGAAACCAGGGCCGGCTGCGCGGGGCGAGCAAACGCTCGAAAGAGAATTGTATGCCAATTTTCATTTTTTCCGTGATTATCTGACAAAAACAGTACGTTTCATGGATTTTACGGATTTTACGGCTTCTTGATCAAGAAGTTTCGAAACCGTAAAAAAAATTTTGCGCCCAGCCTTGGACTCATGAGTTGCAAGCCTAATTTCAGGAAATTTTGGCTTGCGTATGAAAACACCGTATGGCAATAGCGATGAATTGAGTCTAAATAATGATGATGATTCTTACCGGGGGTGCCCCTTTGTTTATTTCGGCATTTAATTCCGATTCTAGACCGAACGCGAATCACCTGTGCCACAGGTTAAGTATTCTGTATGATTAGCCACTCTCTCGTCTCTAAAATAGAGATAATTCAGATTTAGATTAATTACTGTTAACTTGATTGTTTTGTGTTGGAATAAAGGTTTGGAATAAGCCACAAGGTTTTGAATAAGCCACAAGGTTTTGAATAAGCCACAAGGTTTTGAATAAGCCACAAAAAAGCTTCTAAACAGTTATGAGAAAGAAACAAGCGGCGAAGCTGCTTGCGAGCGTTATCTCGTACCGCGCAGCTGGCCCCGGTTTCAAAAGTTTTCTAAGAATGATAATGAGCGAGCCAAAAATTATGTAAGGGAGGTAATGAAAATGGGAATGGATGGTGAATTGAAATACGCTTATATAAAAGCCAATGATGGCTTACGGTAATAATTCCAGTTTCTTAAAATTTTAGTTTTGCCTACATTCGAATCATTGGCATGTTCCAGTTGGCATTCTTCATTACGCCCTTTCCATTGAAAATCTTAACAGACAATTATCAAGCGTAACAGTGAACAATACATTCATTTAATTAATCCCCGTAATTTCAGAGGCAGAACTTGGATTGCTGCGAATTTTTTGCCAGTCTTGTTAGCACTGTTTCATTTTGTTATTTCAACTCTCTGCCTTTGCTTTTCATTCCGCCTTCTTCTCTTATTGAACTGCATCAGAGTAGGTTTCGACGTTTCACTGCGATCGCGCTCTATTGAGAAACTCTTTTTGCACTGCAGTGCAATGATCTCGGGGCTGAGCTTGAAAAAATGAATAAGTTCGGTCATTTTTCCAGTGTAAACAAATAAACTTCACGGCGGAAAAACTCAAAAAAAATGATTAGGAATAGAGCGCGATTGCAGAGAATGCTTCTTTTTTCTCTACAACTTGAGATAAATTTCGGACTCTTTAAAAATTTAAAAGTGTTCATACTTATATTTTTTGAAACAGCGGTGCCGACGTTGGAATTCTGTTTCATGGGTGGCATGGCAAAAAATTTTCTGTTTACTTCCCTTTGGAACAATAGTCAACATTCCTCTATGTTTCGAATGGGTCATTGATTACGAACAGTGCATTTACGGGTGAGTTTGCTTCAGAAATCACATTCACGGATATACAACGTTTAGAGACCAATTGTATGCCATTGGGAGGCCACATTTGTCAGAAGCAGCATTACAAAATCATATTCAAACAAATCTGATTCGAACTTTTCCTACAATCATTTTTTGGTGAGAATGATACTCGGCAACTGAATTATAGTATAGGCCTGGTACGAAAAACTCACCGTTTTTCTATTTGATTGATATTTGGCACACTGAGCAATAGCGATGAATTTAGATTTCTTTAAACTTTTGACGCGGCATTAAGACAATCCCTCAAACTCAACGCCATTCAATTCCTCTCATCTTTTTAAGCATTTTTATGTTGACTTCAAAGTTCAAGCTCCACTCCTTCATCTAGAAAGAAAAAAAAAACTACGAAATACCCTAATAGTGAATAGGCACCATCGTCATTTTTTGACCTGTGACCAGACTTTCGTCTTTGAAACTATTCAGCACTAAATATTGTTCACTTTAATAAACAAATATTTTTCAGGCTAGCCGCAATTTGTGCATTAGTGTTCATTACAGCCGAAAAGTGTATTTTACCAAAACTTGGAAGCCCTTATGCTGCAAAGCATATTCTACTAATCTCGAATCTGCAATCGTTACTATTGTCACTAATCCTATCGCACGCAACAATACACCTTATTAAAACTTTCCATATTCTGTATGATTTGGAAATAACAGAGTCAATCAGCGTGAGTCGAATCAGCCAAAAGATAGATTTTTTATCACAAGATCCAGGCAAATTCTGAAGAAAATTAGGTTCTCACTACGAAGTTTTTCACTATTATAGGGGCACCGGACAGAAAGGGCGCGCTGTTCGCAATCTGGCTGAATTTTTAGGCCGCGAAGTAATTTTCACTGAAAACGTGGCCTAACTTTTCAAACTCGGCCCCGAGGTCGCTCAATTTGCACTGCAAAAAGAGTTTCTCAACAGAGCGCCATTTCTGTGCGGTGCCTCTATAATACACGGTCTCCAGAGCTTGCAATGGGTGTAAGCGCGCCCCGCCCAATAGAGCGATACATTGGCGCGAAATTCAAATTTTAACAGCAAAATTTGTGTTTTTTGCCAGATTAGCCACGAAAAACCGATAATTTCTCATTTGTCTCTCTATAGGCCGATTGTATAGACTATTACGAATTTTTTAAGCGCAAAAGCGTCAAATTTGGTCAAGTCGCAAATCACATTTATCCGTTTGAAGGTTTTTGGCTAAAACTGCGTGAATTTCAGTTGGTTTTCGGTAGTTTTCGCGGTTCGAGCGCTCAAAATGCTTGTATTTACGTGATTTATCATTCTGAAAAACCAATTCTGTCTAAAACCGGTCCAGATAGCGGAAAATGAGAAGTGCGGTTTTTAGGCGGCGATCGGCGGCGAAGGCGAAAAAGCAAAGTCCGCGAAAAATGCGCCAAAACGTCATTAATTCTGAGAATTAGTGTGTTTTCATGTCGAACAATTATTTTTCATCGCATTTGACCACAAAAATCAGAGAAAACCTGCTCAATTCATGAAAACGCCATTTGGCCGAGGCCACGCCCATATTGCTCTGGGAACTCGATCGCAATCTAATTAGAACACTTTGCAATCTAATACGAACTCGTTTGAAATAGAATTTGCTTCAATTAGATTACAAAATCGTCTAATTAGATTACAATCACTGCAATTTTTCTAATTAGATTGCAATGTTTTCTAATTAGATTGCAATTTTTTCTTATTAGATTGCAATTCAGGAAAAATATATTGTAATCTAATACGATTTTACTGGAACTTCAATTAAATCTGATTAGATTGCGAAATATAGCTTTTTCTTATTAGATTGCAAACTCTTCTAATTAGATTGCAATCGAGTTTCCAGAGTGTCAGCTCTGGAGACCGTGACTACCAATTTCTCACTATCATTTTTACGTTTTACGTTTGAAATTAAACGTTATAATGAAGCGTGTTCCAGTCAAATTACAGAATCAGATATATGGAATCTCATACGCGCTACCGTTTCCGATCATGCTCATTCTTTCACGAAAGTTCCGTTCACATCTGTTTCATTTGATTAGTAACTTTTTACAAGGGTAAGTATTTACGTATTCACGGTTTATTTTCAAGAACATGCGAAAATTAATTAACATTCCCGTAAAACTATTGCATCAAGAATGCAGCAATTATTCCACAGCCTTAGGGCTTCTGGGCATGAACTTTTGTAAAGTTTTGCTCTACAGTTTTGAGATCACCTCAGGGATACCATTGGAACTTTGATAATTTTAATGAATTTGAGACTGGCAAGACGTCCGAGAATAAGAAAAGGATCAACTTTTCGAAAAGTGACTTCACAAATTGCACGACATATGGCCTTCAGTAAGCTAGAAATGGAAAACTCAGAGCTTGATGATCGAATCTACACAGCAAAGCTGTAAGTCCGACATGAAATCGTTAAATTGTTTTTCAAAACATTTTTATATTTGAAGAATTACGGGGGCGCTGAAGGGTACCAGATGCCGCGTCCAAAGTTGAAAAAAACGCGGATATCTGCTGGATTTTGTAGTCGAAAATTCGCAGAAAACCGGGACACGCATATTATAGGGGCACCGCACAGAAATGGCGCTCTGTTGAGAAACTCTTTTTGCAGTGCTAATTGAGCGACCTCGGGGCCGAGTTTGAAAAGTTAGGCCACGTTCTCAATGGAAAATTACTTCGCGGCCTAGAAATTCGGCCAGATTGCGAACAGCGCGCCCTTTCTATCCGGTGCCCCAATAATAGCTGAACGAATGTTACCGTACACCATAAAACTACGGTATTTTTTTTTAAGTTTTAAAGAATTTTTAAGAATAGGGTTGCAGAACAGGCGCACGGTCTCCAGAGCTTACAATGGGCGCAAGTGCGCCCCGCCCAATAGAGCGATACATTGGCGCGAAATTCAAATTTTAACAGCAAAATTAGTGTTTTTTGCCAGATTAGCGACGAAAAACCGATCATTTCTCATTTGTCTATCGATAGACCGATTTTATAGACTATTACGAATTTCTTAAGCGCAAGAGCGTTAAATTTGGTCAAGTCGCAAATCACATTTAGCCGTTTGAAGGTTTTTGGTTAAAACTGTGTGAATTTCAGTTGCTTTTCGGTAGTTTTCGCGGTTCGAGCGCTCAAAATGTTTGTATTTACGTGATTTATCATTCTCAAAACCAATTCTGTCTGAAAACGGCCAAGAATGCGCAAAATGAGAAGTGCGGTTTTTAGGCGGCGATCGGCGGCGAAGGCGAAAAAGCGAAGTCTGCGAAAAATGCGCCAATACGCTATTAAATCTGAAAATTAGTGTATTTTCATGTCGAACGATCATTTTTCATCGCCTTTGACCACGAAAATCAGAGAAAACCTGCTCAATTCATGAAAACGCCATTTGGCCGAGGCCACGCCCATATTGTCAGCTCTGGAGTTTGCTCAAATCCAGACTGGAGACCGTGGGCGCCTGTTTTCGCCTGCTTTGCAATTTTAACGTGGAAAATGTTTCTGCCTGTTCTGCAACCCTACTTGAGAATATTTGAATATTTTTAAATTTTCCGGGTAAATTTTCAAAAAATACCGTAGTTTTATAGTGTACGGCACGGCGACCAAAAACGTAGAAAGGGGTGTGGCCTAGCGTGTGCACGGTTTATCACCATTTTGGCGCGAAATTCAAAATTTAACCCAATTTTTCATGTTTTTCGTCAAAAATTACCCAAATTTTGTACGATTCACCTCGGCAAAGGCGCGCCACTTTTGCGCAAACTTTACGCAGCTTTTGCGCAAAGTTAGCGCAGCTTCTGCTGGCTAGTTGCGCAAAAGCTGCGTAAAGTCTGCGCACAAGCTGCGTAAAGTCTGCGGAAAAGCTGCGTAAAGTCTGCGGAAAAGCTTGGAAATTTTCCGGCCCGGCCCGGTCGGCCCGGGAGGATGCACCTAAAAATTCAAAGCGAACTAGAACTTCGAAACGAACATAATTTTATAGACTTAAAATTTTATAGACTTAAAAAGGCAATGTTATAGCATAAAAACCTGTTAAAAAAATAGAAATTGCTGTTTAAAGTCGCAAAATTTTCACAAAAATTACGAAAATTTTCTCAAGAGTGGGCGGAGCGATTGATTGCAACTTTGGCACGCCATTTTAGCAATTTTGCCGCACGCGTTTTCCTCTTCCTTCATATTTTTTTTGCATATTTTTTTGAGGTCTAACTTCCGGGCCGACGATTTGCTGGCCCGGCCCCGGATTTGGCAAGCAAAAGCTGCGTAAAGTTTGAAAAAGCTGTCAGTTTTAAAAGTTTGCCCAAATGCTGCTGCTTAAAAATGTTCAGTTTATTTCCATTTCATTTCTGCATGAAAAAACAATTTTATTGAGATAGTATAAAAACCAGAAACAAGTACCATTTAGAGATCAGTGATTGTATAGTCTTCGTCAGTTTTATAACTGAAAAAAGACACGCTGTTATAAGTGAAAATGCAGGCGATGTAGGAGATACCATCCTCGAAATCTTGAATTCTCATCTACGAGTTATAAAATTCTCTGTTAACTCACTGAAACACTCTTCTGATTCATGAATCGGAGGAGTAACGGCCGTGTCTATGCCGCGTCTTTTCGCCTTCCGCCAAAAAAATTGAATTCCGCTTGGCGCTACGCCCCTTTCTACACTTTTGGTCGCCGTATACGGTGACATTCGTTCAGCTGTGAAATAGACTTCCAAACATTCTAATGGGGTTATTCAGGCTGTGAAAAAAAAATGAATTTTTTCCGTTTTTTTCGTTTTTTTACGTCAAAAAACCCAATTCAGCGATGTAAAAAACGGAAAACAAACATACGCTGAATAGCCCCTGTTGTGTATTTACGTGACCTTTTGACGTGGCCTTTGACCTTTTGAGTCTGAGCTTGCTCAAAGAGTCGTCCCTACCGACACAACAACTTTTCCTGATTGCCAGTTGTTATGTCCGTAGGGAGAGGAAGCTCAGACTTCTATTTAGAGAGTTTATTAAGAACTGCCGAGTATCCCCAAAGTGGACTCTCGATTATGAGAACACTCGGTAACCACGTCAAAAGGTCACGTAAATACACAACAGCCCCATAAACAAATTCGAACAACTACACTAATACTTTGCGGAGGAACTAATACTTTGTTTCGCGGACTCTAATTATTCGAATTTCCAATCAATATATAATTTTTTTCAATCTGTTACAGAGGAAACGTACGTAGCCTCCTGCGGGAAGATGTGGTGTATCGAGTTCGTTTTGCTGTTCCACAGCAAACTGTACAAATCATCAGAGAAGAAGAATCAGATGAAGGTTCCTCATTTCGAGACAGCGAATCTCGCGAATGTTTTTAAAATTGCAATAGCATTAATAAAGTGATTTATTCCGTATGAATGACATTGACCACAGTTTATGAAAAGGGAAATTAAACTAGGAAACTGGAGGAAATTCCAGCTACAATTTGAGCAATTAAAAGTTTGCAATGGTTCTTAAATCAAAGTTAAAATTAAAACATATTTCAACTTTAAACAGATGGGAATGCACACCTGTTTCAAGAATACATGAATAAAATCGAATCTTTCAAACTGATTCTGTCTTTTTTGTCAAAATGGAAAAAGAAGTTGCACAGATGTTTCACTATGAGGGAAGAAATAAATTAGAAGTATGATAGATCTTTTACAAAAGTTGCAGATCCTAATTACAATTTCGTTCCATATAGTAATCAAATTGACGTAACTTAGCGCTTCAAATGTTTCGAGAACACGAGGGAAATGATTAATTAAATCAAGACAAGTTTTCATTAACTCTCTTGTACCCTCGAGACATTATGGAATGATGGAAAAACAATAGAAATTATTAGAAAAATTTGAGAAGTTATGATTCTCCTGCATCATGCTTCTTTTTGAATGTAATGAGGCACTGATGTGAGAGAGTATCAATTCGGCACCGTTTCAAGACAAAATACCCTGGCTTGAAGTGATTCAGTAGAACTGAGAAGTGAACATGCCTATTGACACCGGATAAAAATGAGGCATGAAAACGTGAAGTAGGTGAGAATCATGCAAATTTTATTCCGGATGTATCCTTTGCATTTGTTTCCGAAGAATATATCTGTCCACCGGCTCGTAAGCCACCAGCCCCTGGAAAACAGAAAATTGTTCTTATCCTTGAACCCGGAAGGTGTGCTATAATCCAGCACAATCTAGCCTAAGTGAGCTTCACTTAAAGTCATTACTAAACATACCTTTGACACGAAAAGGGAAACAATGTATGACAGCTATGTAAATAGTGATAAACTATGGTTCTCAAAATTACAAACAAGTATTATACGCTGCGTTATATGTCGCACAAACAAAACACATTCAAAGTTCAGCAATCGGCTCGACGGAGTGCAAACTAAACTTTTTTAGATACTTGGCTCTTATAGTTCCTGAAGTTTACAAGCGCATGAGAAAGCAAATTGAAAAAATAATAGTTCCCATGAGGCATGGGGCTATAAACACACGAACTTTTCTGTTGTTCGAGTTCTCGAGCGATCCGTAAACGTCGATAAGATGCCCGTAGTCTGTCTGCTGTCGAAGTTGTTAATGAGTTTGGATGGGAATCATCGTTCACCGATTGGAATGCTTTGACAACCCGAATCTGAAAACTAGACTGCCGTGCAAACTACGAAACGCGTTGATATGAAATTCCAACTTCACCGCGATATATCCGTCGTTTAAACGAAAAGTTACTTATGGTAACCGGCTTAAGAATTTTACTAAGACAATAATCTACCTGAGTCTGTAACCGTGTCAGACCGAGCAACCATAGCACTTGTCCTGGTCTCTTGTCATCTAGTTGGATACCATCAGCCTTCATTGGTAACGTGGATGCCGTGCTGGGAAAATCATATTCTCCGGATAGCATAATTGAAGTTGGCTGCACGTCACCTTTTCCGAAACGGAAAGATTTCGGGAGAATTGAGGACGGTACACAGTTCATAATCTGAAATTGTGATGTTCTACTCTAATACAAAGTGCATGTGCGATTCACAGTCATGAAATCAAAAGCTTCAGGTGCACGCTATGATAAACTTTCATGAACAAACTAACTTGTCCCCAAAGAAGCTCTCCTAAGCCGCAAACAACACAGACGATCCACTGAGTAGTGTCTAGTGGAGATGTGGAAAACCATTGCCCTCCGAACTGAACAATAAGAACTTGCGATATCAATGTTGTTATCCATATTACACAAAATATTGGATTTGTGAAGATGCCCTGGAAGATTTTCTTAATTACTGAAGCAAAAAGTGCCAAACTTTGAAAACGTTTCTTTCTCCGTGAATTTTCCTGGCATTGATTTCGTTTACTAAAGTCATCAAAACAAAAGTGTTGAAAATTATAGTAAAATGAGCACTCGGCGGAGATCCAAGTTGAGCGTTTCTTCCAGAGGGAGTGTTTGGAATAAACTTATCCCCCCAGAACATAATTGCGAACAGAATAGACAACTGATATACCGCGTGCCCAGCAATGTTTTTCACCATTGTTCGTGAAATCAAAGACTTGGTGCGTCCATATGGTTTACGATCCAAAAGATCCTCAGTAGGCATTTCTGTGGCGAGTGCCAGCGAAGCAAGAGTGTCCATAATCAAATTGACCCATAACATTTGAACTGCTTTCAACGGAGAGTCACTGATTGCACACGCTCCTATGAAAGCGATCGTAACAGCGACAACGTTCACTGTCAGTTGGAATTGCAAAAATTTCGCAATCGAATCGTACACATTGCGTCCCCACATCACTGCTTTTACAATGGAAGAGAAGTTATCATCAGTCAAAATAATATCAGAAGCTTCTTTTGCGACGTCGGTACCCGCGATTCCTGTAATTCTAGACAATTAAGAATGATTAAATTTTTACTTTAATTAAATAAACGTTTTTCTTGCACCAATAAATTATTGTCGTTAACTGGACTATGCGATAATTAAAGGACCAGGGAACCCTCAAATTTTTTGATTTTTTTGTGAATTTTTTGTGTCTGTTTGAATTGTCTTTTATTGCCTCAAACACTGGTGAAATGCTGACTAGAGCTCTCAGAAATGCCAATGAACGAAACGGCGTGCAATTGAAGTTGTGGCCGTGGCCTAGGAAACTCCGGTGTGAAAACTCTTCCCTGTGAGCAGTTTGATGCTCTTGCACTCTGTATGGATGCTGATTTGTGTGAATGTTTTGCAACGTATGAAGATTGTGCCGAACGAAAAAAAAATCCGAAAAAGATCACAAGGCCTAGTACTTTTCTGGGCCATGGCCACAACTTTGACTAAGCGCTGTTCCATTCACAGGTATTTCTGATAGTTGGGGCTCGGACAGTGAATGTGGCAATAAGAAGCAATTTAGTCAGACACATAAACTCGGAGAGTTCCCTGGTCCTTTCAATATGTTAAAAAAAATTTTTTTTTGCGTGTTATTTTTCAATTGGCTTATGTGCCATACCTCTTCCACGCAGACTACTGTAACTACCGTAATACCATTCAATTGTTTTAGGTTACTGTATGTACAGTACTTCTAAGATTCTTCACCAGAATCCACTCAATTATAATTTATTAATTACCCTCGCCCATGCGCTAGAGGACTGAAGTTTAACATTAAAAAAGAGAAAATTCTAACTTCAGGTTACGGTAACTACCTCACTACAGTTATACGCACCAAATCTTTTTTAATGGCCTTACACCGCGCAGCGGGTCCAGGTTCCAAAGGGCTTGTGTTTATATACACACGCATAGAACTATTCGTTTAGTGAGAAGAACAGTGAAAACAGTGATTTCGAAAGAAGAATATTCTCACCCATCGCAAATCCTACATCTGCCTTTTTGAGAGCTGGTGCATCATTGGTACCGTCTCCAGTCACAGCAACGACTTCTCTGAAAAGGTTCATGAGTCCGAAAAAGTTCTCAATTTGTTACCGGTTCTTTGTGTTCTTTGAGTCAATGATCCCTTTCACGAGAACGTACTTGTCAGATGGCTGTGCTCGAGCCAGAACTCTTAGTTTTGGCCAAATTTGGTCAAGTTTTTGCTGATTAACTTTTCCATCGGCATCGCGAATACGAGCATTGAAATCTTTTCCTTCTAATGCAAGAAACTCTCCTCCCGGCTGCATAATACCACATTGCGTGGCAATCGATCTTGCCGTATTGATGTTGTCACCAGTTACCATTCTGACTGTTATTCCCGCTTTCTGGCACTTTGCGATAGCAGCAGGAACCTCTGGTCTTACAGGATCCTGGATTCCCATAACCGCAATGACAGTCTGCCCTTCCCGAATACTTTCTTCATCTTCCCAATTGATTTCTCCATCATACTCCTCTTCGAAGGCGAGTTTTTTCATTCCTTTTGGTACTAAATCTTTGAAAGCAAGACCGATAGTACGAAGTCCGTCGGATGCCATTGGTTCAATAACACTCTGGGTCATAGTTCTGATTTCTTCTTGCCCAAATGGTTCAATCTTCCCTTGATTACCAAAAATATGAGAACAGCGGCTGAGTATTATCTCGGAAGCTCCTTTTGCGTACACTCGGTACTTTCTGTCTCCAAGTTCAATAACTGTCATCATGCTCTTTCTTGAACTGTTAAAAGTATAGACCTTGTATAGTTTCTCCTCTGGAAACTGTTTCCTCAAATCTTCGTAACTTCGTCCACTATCTAAAATGAATCCAAGAAGCGAGCATTCCGTTTTATTTCCTATTTGGCCTCGTTGTTCTCCAGGAGTTTTTGGCTCGACGACTGTTGAAGAATAACCACTGTTTATAACGATTCCATTCAAAAGGAAATCTCGAGTTCCAGAATCCATTTCATCGTACTTAGGAACAGAACTTTTGTAGAATTGACCTGAAAACCATTATTACAATAGATTGATCAAAGATGCAACCGTTAATAAACTGCTGGATGCATGTCATTCTATTTGTTGTTAGAGTTCCAGTTTTGTCCGAACAAATAGAAGTAGCATTTCCCATAGTTTCACATGCGTCAAGATGGCGAACCAAGTTGTTGTCTTTCATCATCTGAGAAAAACACTTCCGATTATTCTATTTCACACTAATGGAACTCACCTTTTTCACAGAATAAGTGAGCGCCAAAGTGATTGCTAATGGCAATCCTTCAGGTACAGCGATGACCAAAACCGTTACTCCGATGATAATGAAGTTTACAAAGTACGAAACATCGCTCGCCTAAATTAGTTTACAGTAATATCGGCAAAGGCGGTGAACGCCAGAGACCCGCGGAATCCCTATTCCGCATTGTAAAAGTTTTTTCAGCACGGAATAAAAATTTTGCTTACCAAAGTTCATTGCCTACTAGATCATTGTCTACCAAAATTCTGCATTTCGTTTATTGCCTAACAAGTTCTACCTTTTTGGACATTTCGTTCATTAACTACCTGGGTCTTATGGGGTTATTCAGGCTGTGAAAAAAATGATTTTTTTCCGTTTTTTTTGTTTTTTTACGTCAAAAAATCCAATTCAGCAATGCAAAAAAACGAAAAAAACGGAAAACAAACATACGCTGAATAGCCCCATTACCAATTTTCAGATCTTTGCCTATTTTTTCAAATCTTCGATTTCTGGTCAACAATAATACAATCCCGCTGTCTTTTTTATAATTTGTACAATATCGGATTCCAGATCCGGGTTGCGTTAGGTGCTTAAACCGATTTCTTTGAAAAAAAATTGTGAAAGGCTACTACCGTAATGCCGCGTCCAATGTCTCGGAAAAACCGTAAAAACCGCAGATTTTTCTGTCCAAAGTCGGCCGAAATTTGCGTGAAAAACGGAGGTGCGCACAGCTCAATGAGTGTAACCGTACCCCTAAAACTACGGTATTTTTTGAAAATTTGCGCAAAAAATTTGAATATTTTCAAAAAACCTCAAGAAATTAACAAATTTTCAAAAAATACCGTAGTTTTAGAGGTACGGTTACACTCATTGAGCTGTGCACACCCCCGTTTTTCACGCAAATTTCGGCCGACTTTGGACAGCAAAATCTGCGGTTTTTACGGTTTTTCCGAGACATTGGACGCGGCATAACCTCTGTGATTCGATAATGTGCATATACGGGACCCGGTATTGTGCAAATAAAAAACACTACGGATTTGTATTATCGCTGACCAGAAATCAGAGATTATACCTACGGAATAAATAGGCAATGATCTGAAAATTGGCAGGCAATGAAAGAATTTTCAAAAATTTTGGTAGGCAATGATCTAGTAGGCAATGACCATAGTAGGCAATGAACTTTGGTAGGAAAAAAAGTAGGTAAAGATCGTTTGCCTTTTTTTTTAAAATTCTATGCATTCCGCAAACTGTACTTTTAGAAATCACGATTCAAACAATTTGATAAAGATCTACGATCCCAAAATAAGAGAGGAATTCAAGTACCTCGAACGATTTTCCATCAATAGCGTATTTAGATATACAATGCCTGATAATTAAAATGAGAACGGTTGCTGCGGCAACAACTGATCCAATGTAACCAATTTGAAGCGCCAGATTAGAAAGTTTGGTTTGTAGCACAGATTTGGACAGTCTTCCAACATCTTCTTCTTCGGGAACTGGTATTTCAGCGTCCTTACTGAGTCCATTACAAAGACCGTTTCCGGCAGTAACATGTGATTCACCTATCCAACACAACATTTGAAATTTTACTGAATTTAAATGTACCGTTAGTGAGAGCTGTAGTTTCTTCTCTTTTGTCCTCTTTCTTTTCTTTAGCGGCTCCGAGTAAGCTCATTATAATTCCGGTTTGACTATTCAATCCTACTGCTGTGACTAAGAACCGTCCCGATCCTTCCATTGCATGCGTACCGGAAAGAAGCACGGGATCAAAATCTTCTGATTTCCGAATGAGATCCGATTCGCCGGTGAGGGAAGATTCATCAATTTTCAAATCGTTTGATTGAATTAATATTCCGTCAGCAGGTAGCAGATCACCATACTTCACACGAGCAATGTCTCCAACCACAAGCTCATTCACAACAATGTCGATAGGTTGACCGTTCCGAATAACGGAAAATTTATGTTCAGTCTCGATTTTTGATTGGAGTCCTGTAGAAGAGAAGTGTTCAACTTATTATTCTCAAGTTAAGAAGTACCTCTGAACTGTTTTTCCTTCGTCCAATCGTTGAGAGCTGTAACTAACACAACCACTAGCACAGCAACGAGAATTGCCACTCCTTCAATCCACCCGGCTTCGGATTCAGAAGCATCATTGTCTGTAAATAATCACTACACACTTATCACTTAAAGGAAAAAATTACTTGAATGCTCAGCAGGAGGTTTGTAGAACGAGAGACCAAGTGAAACAATCGCTGCCACAAGTAAAATCACTAGAGTAATGTCTTGCAATGCTTCCCACGCCAATCGGAAAAATGATTTGGAAGATGCAGGAGGAATCTCATTCCTCCCGAAAACATCTCTTCTCTTCTGAAGCTCGTGTTCGCCGTTCGGCAATCCATTTATGGGGTCTGTTTTCAGTTTTTGACATAAACCTTCCACACCACCATATGAATTGTTGACCTGTACTTTGAAAGTATTCTTTTAGATTAATGGTCCAGAATACCTTTTCTAAGGCTTCAGCACCTCTCAGCTCCATTAGGAGCTTGAGTTCGGCGACTGAGCATTCATAATTGTCTGGGGTCGGCATCCTCACTCCAAGCTTAAATTACGTTAATAGCTGCAAGTGAAGTTTGAAAAAACGAGAGCGCAGTAAAAAAGATATAAGTAAAAATATGGGTATGAAGAAAATGGACGTCTCTAATGAGTTCAGAGAATGTTTCGAAACTATTTGTGGCAGTAAGAATTTACAGTGTATGAGAAAGACAGAATTCAATTGTGTGTCTGTCAAACAAATGTATCATACATTGCGGCACGGCAACGACAGGTTATTGTAATTGGACCAGGGCATCGCACTCACCAGCGACGACGACGGAGAACGAATCGAACAGATGCAAAGAGAAACAGGCGACTTGACAATCAAGACGACAAGTACAATGATCATCAGTTGATTACCACTACATGAAATTACTGAATGAACCACTGACAGGTTTACAATTCAATTCTTATTTTCGATTATGAAGACAATAGCAAATTAATTTCGGTATTAGTCGAGGATCAAGGATCACAAAAAAGTACTGTTGATAATATGAAAGCAGGTGATTCCCGTTAAAACAGTAATGAAGTTGTAACTAAGAGGTTGGTGTAGCCAGAAGAGTAAATGTTATAAAATGCTCGGAGAACCGGAAATTGTGTACTTCCGGTATTCAAGACTTTGAAGCAGTTTACTCCGCTGAGAGTAGTCACCACAGTGCGAAAATATAATAAGAATCAAGACAGTTGCTTTGCGTTAAATGTGGTGTCAGCATATCACAGTATTGAAACGAATCTGTTTTTTGTGAGAGACAAAGGTAGATTAGTCTTTTAAACATTACAGGTCTACTCAGAGGATGCCCCCCTCACCATCATCATCATTCTTCATAATTCTTATTTAATAAAAATTTTCACGGATGTGTCTGTGTTTTGCTTGGTTTTTTTTTAGTTTCTCTGTATATTTCATCTGTATTCCCAAAACCATTTTCATTTATGAAACGAACATAGTTGTAGAGAAGAAATTTAAACATAAACACGTGATATTTCAAGAAAGCGGCGAAATCACTATCATGAGTCAATTTGGCCGTGGTTGCAAAATTCTTTCTAGTTATAAACTTATTAATAAAAGGTTGGTTCAAAAGTAATTTGAAAAACAAACAACTGGAAAAACTTAGATGCGTAAAATAAAACAATACTTGAGTCAGTAATTGATATGAGTCTTAAGAAATTTTTTAGAAAAACTATGATAGAAGCTTGAATATAGGCCAATCGTCAAATCTCTATTTCTTTCCTATCTCTCCGTTCATATGATGAATCACTGAGCGCTATATGCTGTGTGCGGCAGGTTTCTCTAACACTCTCGTTACCATGGTGAGTATCTGATTGGAAATGTGTCAGCTTCAACGGAACTTGCGCTATGCAGAACAATTTTTCCACAAAAAAACAAACCAACAACTTTTTCAAATCGGAAACAAATGGAAGTTCGGAAAAATGATTACAAAAATCGCGATTTCATTCAAATTGGGAAATTTGAGAAGACCTACGGTACTACCGTAACCCGGAGCTGGGGCCAAAAACTGTGCACATGGGTCGCCGTATAGCCCCGGTATAGTCCCCGTATATCCTACTCTACAGGCTCTATGTTCCTACCCGTTATGACCATAGCCGAGTATTACATGGAATGGGTTTAATAAAAGGCTTCTATTCAATAAACGTCATCTTTTTAGTAACGGTACAATTACTTGTCTTAACGAAAATGTTAAACAAAACCACAATAACTGGTGAAAATTCTTGTAAAAAGTTGCACTCAGGTCTCTTTTCTGCTCGTGTTGGCTTTCTTTTATACTGTTATTGCGAGACTTGTAACAAATTTGCATAATCTGTTAGTGACGGAATTGGATTGCGTCATCGAATACATGCTGCCGAATTGGCTTAAAAGTATAAAAAAAAATTTTCCAATACAAAAAATTTACAGTGCACGGTCTCCAGAGCTGACAATGGGCGCAAGTGCGCCCCGCCCAATAGAGCGATACATTGGCGCGAAATTCAAATTTTAACAGCAAAATTTGTGTTTTTTGCCAGATTAGCCACGAAAAACCGATACTTTCTCTTTTGTCTTTCGATAGACCGATTGTATAGGCTATTACAATTTTTTTAAGCGCAAGAGCATTAAATTTGGTCAAGTCGCAAATCACATTTATCCGTTTGAAGGTTTTTGGCTAAAACTGCGTGAATTTCAGTTGCTTTTCGGTAGTTTTCGCGGTTCGAGCGCTCAAAATGCTTGTATTTACGTGATTTATCATTCTCAAAACAAATTCTGTCTGAAAACGGTCAAGAAAGCGCAAAATGAGAAGTGCGGTTTTTTAGGCGGCGATCGGCGGCGAAAGCGAAAAAACGAAATCCGCGAAAAATGCGCCAAAACGGGCATTTAATTAGGAGGGTACAAAAATCATGGGGTACAACAGGGTACAAATGGTTTTGGGGTACAACTTTCATGGTTTTGGGGTACAAAAAGTCGAGGGTACAAAATTTTCGATTCTGGGGTACAAAAATTTACCGATTCAGTAGGCATTGATTAAGGGGTACAACTTTTATGATTTAAGGGTACAAATTTCACGATTTTGGGGTACAAAAGTTGCACGACGCACATTTTCGAAGTTTTCATTCTCAGGTAAAATTTCAAACTTTTCTTGGCTCTTCTGAAGACATTCTCAAACTTTCTCAAGACAAAAAACTTTTCCAAGACCTTTTCAAACTTTCTGAAGCACTAAAAACTTTTCTAAGCCTTTCTTAAACTTTTTCAAGAAATTCTCAGACTTTTTCCAGAAATTCTTAAACTTTTCTAAGCAATTCTCAAACTTTTCCAAGAATTTCTTAGGTGGCGCCTGGAAAAGTTTGAAAATAGCTAAGAAAAGTTTGAAATTTTACCTGAGTTCCAGTTTTGAATTTTTGAGAGCTCACGAGACAGTCGTGTGTATTATAGGGGCACCGGACAGAAAGGGCGCGCTATTCGCAATCTGGCAGAATTTCTAGGCCGCCACTGAGTCACAGCGTGGACGTTTATCATTAAAGCGCACTAGCAGCGCACGCGCGGTAGTTCAAAAATAATAAATTTTCGGCGAAAATTGCGTTATTCCCTGTGTAAAAATTGAACGCCGTCATTTTTTCGTTTTTGTCACAGGCTATATTGTAGCTGGGATTTAGACGGTCATTTTGAGCACACACAGAGCCAAATCGGTGCAGCCGTCGTGTTTCCTTGTGCAAAACTGTGTAGCGATGCGAAATAAGTTAAAAAGTTTGAGGTTATTTTGAATTGTTTCGCAGATTTATTACGACAGTGAAGCTTGAATACTGTTATATAATGGATAGAGACGCTGTACGGATGAAAAAAATCGCAACCCAATGCAAATAGACCGATTTTAAAAACCATGAAAGAGTAGCGTGAATTTCTGGCTGAAATACATGAAAATCGAATTTATAATTAATTTGTTCGAACAGTATTGTAGGAAGTACGTAGAGTGTTTGCAGACACGGCACGTTCAAATTTAGGCTTTATTCGGCCTGCGACTTATAGAGGTGATTTTTTCTACTTTGGTATAGAGAAAAGAGTATTTGCATTCTGACAACAAAAAGTGAGTTCTTGGGCGTGACAACACACGCTCGAGTACTTTAAAAAGTAGTACGACGGGTAGCCCACATAATAGCAGGAAACGTTTTTTGCAGAGTAAGTGCCCCGGTGGCTACTTTCTCGATAGATTATTTTCGATGAAAAACTAATCGAGGAAGTGTTATAACCGTTAGAATGCTATACTTGAGAAGATTGGCCTTTTCGATCCTAAGTTCGAATGTAGTGAATACATACTACTTCAATAACAAAACTCAACGAATTTCGCTTTGAACATCACCTATACTCTACTATACGGAATATGATCGAAATCAAAGACAAAAATCAAACACTGATGTTCTAAAATGGAGCTGTGTGGAAGCGCTGAGAATCGTATTCAAACAGAAACACTCAGTTCCTTTTGTTTGGTCTACAGATAAAAGCTTCAACGGGAGCTGGTTGACCACTAACGATGACCATCTCCGGACAAAAGGCGGGAGAACTAGTCGGTTGGTCATTCCGCTGATGCAAATTGATTGTGATTCTATCAAATCAAGAAAAAATAATTGGGCTATATATTGATCTATAGATTGATAATGTTATGACACGACAGATAAATATTAAATTTCTACCCTAAACATTCTGGCGTCCGAATTAGCCGACGTTCGCGGTGTTTTTGCACTATGAATTTTGCTTCGGCGAACAACATGTTAGCTAAAATATCAGGGAATGCTTTCGATTCACTGGATAAGCTTGCAGTGCTACTTGTCGGCAACAGGTGCTTAATATACATATTCCAGGATAATCCTGATCGATATTTCATTCAGAACGTGGCCATGTTCGATGGAATGTTTGAAATTAACAACAGCTCAGCATTCGCAACAATTCGCTGATTTCCTTGGATACGCTCTTTCCCTCAACTCCCGCATCTCGCGATTGATTAATCGAGTACCCCAGATACGTCCAATCGCAGTTCACCTGTGTAATGGGTCTATTGAGAACTCGGAGCGGGTTCTACAATAGGCGCATGATAGACCGATCACGAAAATTTCATGCTCAATCACAGGTGAACTGCGATTGATCTATCGGGTGTACTCGATTAATCAATCGCGAGCATATATTGGTCAATCATACGTCAATCGCGAGCCATATCACTAATTGATAAACCAGCGAGCGGCCGTGTACAATTGATGAATCCGCGAGTCTCGCGGAATGATGCATCATTCGTCAACCATTGATCCCCACGTATAATGCCGCGTCCAATGTCTCGGAAAAACCGTAAAAACCGCAGATTTTGCTGTCCAAAGTCGGCCGAAATTTGCGTGAAAAACGGGGGTGTGCACAGCTCAATGAGTGTAACCGTACCTCTAAAACTACGGTATTTTTTGAAAATTTGTTAATTTCTTGAGGTTTTTTGAAAATATTCAAATTTTTTGCGCAAATTTTCAAAAAATACCGTAGTTTTAGGGGTACGGTTACACTCATTGAGCTGTGCGCACCTCCGTTTTTCACGCAAATTTCGGCCGACTTTGGACAGAAAAATCTGCGGTTTTTACGGTTTTTCCGAGACATTGGACGCGGCATAATTGACCAATCGCGGTTTTTTACCTGTGATACGTTTACCTGTGATAGACCTATCGCGAGCACTTTTTAGGGCAAATGGGCCTATGATAGGCCTATCATATGCGTATTCGGGAATTTTCGCGATAGACGTATTGTAGGCAATTTTTTTTCTATAGCTTTACCGGTACTGTTGAAAAAAAAGTTTCGACATTGGAATCGAAGCTGGCAGCGTGCCAAGGCCCGGCCTCCCAAACGCATATGCTGCGCGGGGTTGTTGCAACATTGCCGCACGCTTTATTGTTCTTCATCTTTGTCTTTATTTTTCGGCTAAAAATCAGCAGAAATTTGGTTTTTCTCATTTTTCACCCGTATTTATTCATTTCAATCGTCTTTTGCTATAAAAAATCAACTTTGAAAACAGATTTATCGATTTTTAGCTTGAATTTTCGAACATTTCTTGATTTTGTGTTTTTCTCCTTTCGATTTCGTTGAATTTGAGAATTTTCAGGATTTCCGCCTACGGAAAAGTCGAACAATTGACATATACACATAAAACCTCAGTTTTGCAATAACTACATTTTTCATAAATGCTTACAAACTTTAAAACAAAACTTAATTTTGCAGAGGACCGTCAGTGACATGTGCAGACGCACAATGGAGTGCAGTATTTGAAGACGCCCACCATATTTTTTTCATCCAACTTTTGTGTTTTATGGTTTTCCATGCTCAAAACTGCACTGTGACTGGATAAATACATATCTTGGTAACCACATTTATAAACAATTTAAACAGAGGGTTCTTGGCCTTGCAAATACAATCAATACCTTTTATTTAAACTCAAATAATTTTTTTGTAAACATTTACATAAATATCACAAATTGTATAAAAAGGGCACATATGTATACTAATCGATGAGACTTTTTCTGGCCAGCTCGCATTCATAGGTTCTACTATTCATATCCCACATTGCATCGTTTACTCTATTACGAATGGTTCGAAACTCTTCAATCATATGATCAACTGCCTTCCTATCGATAGCCCTCCCTGCATAACGACGAAGAATTTCTTCAAATTTGTGTCTAAAAATTTTTCGAATGGTTAGGAAGCGCTTGTCCAAGAAGGCAATAACAGAAGGGAAATTGTACTCGAAGAAATACTCGCTATCCAGACTACGAAATTCGCTGATCGGCTCCCGCAATTCAAAATATGCCTCGAGAGTGGGCGCGGCTACAAGCTCCTCCGCACTAGGCGGCTGTCTATTCTTCGTCCAGTTCCCTGGAGGCGCAAAGCCGAGCACAGCGCGCAGCTCCTCAAGACCAATCATAGCATCAGCTTCTTTGATCAAGAGATGATTGAAAAGGAGCGCTATCCGCCACCTAATTATGTAGCCCGAAAGCTCCTCGTGCTCTTCAGGTGTGATGCAGGAAGCGGACAGCTTGATCAGCTCGTCGTCAATGACGAAGAGTGGAGGAGATAATGTGGACGGCGGCTCATACGCAGATGAGAGGTTGGTTGATGTTGCTGCAGATGTAGAAATGGAAGTACCGATTCTACCTTAAAAGTTTTGTATTTTTAGGCATTTGTTAAGGCCGAAATCAAGACATTTTTATTTGTTACAAGCATACCTGCATGTATATTCCTCCAAATACAGAGACAGATGATGAGTGTAGTCAACATTCCTTTGGCTGGAAATATGTAGCGTACTTAATAATAACACATTTATTCTCTTCAGCCACCTAGGAATAAAATTACAACAAAAAAGAAAGAAGAGAAAAAAAGAGGGGGAATGTGGGTGGGGGAAGGAACAATGGCTTGACATGACCATTGGCCGGCAGTAGCCAGAGGTCAGTTAGAATACAAAAAGCTAGGGGGGATCTTCTCGATGCGCGCCGCGAAGGCCTCAGAGGACAGTCTTTCGGGAAACAACTTGGCCACTCGGTTCCAAAGGGCAAGATGCTAGGCATGGTGGTAAAGTACGTGAATTTTTTTCAGACTAGGTTTCCCAAAGGATATGGAAGAAAATTTTTTTTTTAACTTTCAAAATTTTCTATGACGTCACACGTACGAGCTACGCGTTTGTCGTCAACTACAAATTTGTAGACCTCGTCGAGATGTATCTACACAAATTTTTTCAGAATTCTAGCTTAACGCTAAACACGCTTGCCCCACGTTGCCGTTTTTGAGGTGCTCTTAGCGATGCACAGGTAATTCGAGACTAAAATGCATAAAAAAGTAGACCATCTGGTGAGTAACATATCAAAAATAAAAAAAACTATCCGATTTTTTTTCGAGAAAAAATTCATTGAAGTTTTAGATCATTTCAGACCAAGCCCATATCGGCCACCCGGTTCATGATGGATCAATAATTTGGAAAAAAATGTTTTCAGGTGTAACTCGCCGAGTTCTACAACTTTGTAGTACATCACGAAGCTGTATCTGTTGGATGAAGCACGATAAAAATGTTTTTGTGTTTTCCGGTTATCGATCCACTTTGCAGACGCGCCGGCGATTCGAACACTAATGGCTCAATAATTTTGGAAAAATCAAAAGTGATAGATCTCGACGAGCTCTACAACTTTGTAGTACATCACAAAACTGTAACTGTTGGTCTCAATTTTTAAAAAATGTTTTTGTGTTTTTTGTTTTCTATAGTCGTGTAGCGTTCGAACAGTGATCAATCAATAATTTGGGAAAAATTCAAAATGATAGATCTCGACGAGCTCTACAACTTTGTAATAGATCACAAAGCTGTAACTGTTGATTTAAATTTTTTAAAAATGTTTTTTTATTTACATGTTTTTTAAGTCGTGTTCTGTTTGAGCACTAATGTCTCAATAAATTTGGAAAAATGTTTATTGACAGATTTCTTGAGTTCTACAATTTTTGTAGTATATTGCTAAGCTGTACCTGTTGGTTTAAATTTTAAAAAAATGTTTTTGTGTTTTTTGTTTTCTATAGTCGTGTTGCGTTCAAACAGTAATGAATCAATAATTTTGAAAAAAATCCAAAATGATAGATCTCAACAAGCTCTACAACTTTGTAAAAGATCACAAAGCTGTAACTGTTGATTTAAATTTTTTAAAAATGTTTTTTATTTACATGTTTTCTAAGTCGTGTTCTGTTTGAGCACTAATGCCTCAATAAATTTGGAAAAATGTTTATTGACAGATTTCTTGAGTTCTACAATTTTTGTAGTACATTGCTAAGCTGTAACTGTTCATTTAATTTTTTTTAAAAATGTTTTTGTGTAGTCTTGGTTTTTATATTTCTATAGTTGTGTTCCGCTCGTGTAGTGTCGTTTTTTTTCTTTTTAAGTTGTTTTTTTTTCTTTTTAAGTTTAAGGCTTATTTTTTTCTCTCTCTCTCTTTCTCTCTCTCTCTCTCTCTATCTCCCTCTCTCTCTCTCTCTCTCTCTCTCTTTCTATTTCTCTCTTTCTTTCTCTCTCTCTCTTTCTCTCTCTTTTTTCTCTCTCTTTCTTTCTCTCTCTTTCTTTCTCTCTCTATCTCTTTCTCTCTTTTCTGGCTTTGTCTCACTCTTTCAGAGTGAGACTGTGCTCGAAAAATTAGGGGGACACCCTATCTTTAGTTTTTTGATTGGACGCTCGGCTCGCGAGATATTATCGATCAAAGGGCACATTCGAAAAACTTGAAAACGTCATAACTTTGTTCATTTTCATCCTAACGCGAGCACTCTTCTCCCAGTAGTATACAAAAGGTTGACGCTGGCGCACCTTTTTTGCCCAAATGCGATTTTTGCAGATTTTCAACATTTTAAAAACATTTTTTCATTGAAAATCATACTTAATTCCCCCAAAATGTGTCATTTTTGAAAAATGACCAAAATATGTCTGGCGCACTACTAAGCTTGCTTACGCAAAAGATAAAAAATCAATCAGTCAGCGAGTTGTCAACATTTCTTCTTTGTACATTTAAGTTATTATACCATTCTAATAAATCTCTAACTTTTATTAGTTTCTTTTCTTCACAAATTTTCATTAAAGTTGTGAAATCTTTATCTTTCATGTGTTTATTTTTAACTCAAAATATCTAAAAGCCATAAAAACACAGTAAAAGAAAAATACAGTAAAAGAGCAAAATACAGGCCCTCCGCTGTATCCTCGTTGACTTTCACTTGATCCCCGCATGCAGCCTTTCTCATCGAGATGAATTGATGAAAATATGCCTTCCAGGGCCTCATAGCGCGAATTTTTTTTTGGATAACCCTACAAAAGAAAGGCAAATTATGAAACTGTTTCAAAGATAACAAATTACCAATAGAATATAGCGTTCTAATGTCCGCGGCAACGCAATCCTAGGGGACGTCGGTACAAGTTCAACTTCGGAAAAAACAACTACGAAATCCATCTCGGCATTACACATAACAATTCGTGTTTCAAATTCACTTCCACTTTGGTTGCAAATGATCACTGGCGCATGATTCTAAACAAAAACGAGTGTTTTAGATTATAATTGTAGATACTAAAAAACATACATTAATGGAATTTATATTCCAATTTTGGTGAGGTCCGTGATTATAGCTTACAGCGTGATGTTGCGTAATAACCGTGAAGCATGCCTTGGAATCGGCTTTCTCGTAAAACAGAAAAAGTTCAGGTTCAAGAACAAGATGATCTACTTCTGAAAACAACATAACTTTAAAATACTTATATATTCTTATCGAACTCAATAAAATTATTAAAAGTTCATACCTATTGGAACGTATGCCGGGCCGCAGTTTTGAGCTAAAATATAATAATAAAAAGATTATATGATGTAAATTCACAAGTATCCATCGGTGTTCCTGTTCGTGACGGCATTTTGTCAGAATAAACAAAGAACTGGAATACTGGCCAATTTTTCAGCAGCACAAAAGAGAGTTCCGGAGTGTTGCGACACCTAAATAATTTGAAATGTAATCAGAAATGCTTCAAAATGTGACTTACTCGCATCCTTTCTGCTCCCCTTCATCAACATAATTCAAAGATACAATGGCGTCAGGGGAAAGTAAAAATTGGCTTTTGATCGTACTCTCAGTTACAAAATCACTTGATAAGTCTAACTGAACGATCTTTTCCTGCATCTTGATGTGTATGGTTCTTCCCATTTTGCGAAGAATGTCTGAAAACAAAAATTAATTGTTTTTGAATAATTAAAAAATATGAGAGAAAGTGTTTTTGAATGAGCTATTTGCATATTATTTTCACCCAAAGTTATAAATTTGTATAGATTAAAATTAGAAAAGGTAATAAATAAATACAACCCACATCGATTAAGCTAGTAGTTCATATAAATTCAAGAAATAAAAACAAAAATTGCTCAAAAACAAGTAGAAAATGTATAACTATGAAGCATTAAAAAAATTCTGAACTCTGTAAACATATTCGATTAATTCGAGAGAATGATGTGAAAGAATGTGATGCTGGCAGTTTCTCTCCTTCCTCTGCGTCTCTGCTCAACGCGTCGCTATCATCACCCCTTCCACTCTCTCAGGTAAAATTTCAAACTTTTCTTAGCTATTTTCAAACTTTTCCAGGCGCCACCTAAGAAATTCTTGGAAAAGTCTGAGAATTTCTGGAAAAGTCTGAGAATTTCTGGAAAAAGGCTTAGAAAAGTTTAAGAATTTCTGGAAAAAGTCTGAGATTATCTTGAAAAAGTTTGACGACGGCTCAGAAAATAGTCGGAATTTATTGGAAAACTGGAATTTAAAATGAGAAATGAGAACAGAACGGGAGAATGTAAAAAACAGCCGAGAACACAAAAAAAACAAAAAATAGAAAGATTTCAAACTAAAAATTAAGGGTCCTCTTCTGGCGGGTTTGAACTTGTCATTGCACTTCGTGTGGCATTTTTCATCGCTGTTGGTCGCTAATATGTTTTGGATGACATTTAACAAAAAAAAACTCACTATTAGCTCGGCGCCTTGTCGACCTCCGCGCAGTCCTGTTCGGGCCCGAACCGGTGAATCACCGGTGATTGCGTGCTTCCTTCCTGAAAAACTATTCAAACTTGTCAATTGTGGTCGGAAATTTCATAACAAATTGAAACGAAATACGCATACTTCAGAGTTCATACGAGTGATTACACTAATTTGATAAGAAAACATTCGATCAAAAAATTTACTATAAGTGATAAAAACTTCTTCCGCTCAACTCTGGCAGCAGTATACTCAGAAACTTAGAATAAAAATGGAAGAAAACGCTAACAAACGCTTCGAATGATCAGATCTGAGGGAAGTACTTTATAGACGATAATTATTTTGCTAAACTGTCGCGGACGAGGTGGTGTGGTGTTCGGAAAAGTGAAATATTTGAAAAAGAGCGACTAAGAACAGTGCCGATTCAGTTACTTCATTGTAAGAAATGCAGAAAGCGCAGAAAAAATCGGAATTAGTTAAAAAAAACTGCAGTTTTAGGCTTAGGCTTAGGCTTAGGCTTAGTGCTAGGGAGTGTGAGCCTAGCCTAGGAGTGTGAGCCCTCCTTCGTCTGCACTTCAACCTCCTATTTAAGTGTGTTCATTTTCATCTCAGATGAATTTCACTATTCGTTAAATTTGGATAATGGCATTTTTCAAAGCTGCATTAGATGAAATAGTTTAAAGGGACACACATATAGACACGCTTTTCGTTGCGGGACCCATCTGGGTATACGGTAGTGCGGTGCCTAGTCGCACTCCCCCTCCCCCTTGTCGTTGTTACTGTATTTTCACTTTTGTTCACTTTCATCTCAGATGAATTTCACTATTCGTTAACATTGGATAATGACATTTTTCACAGCTGTACGAGATGAAATAGTTTAAAGGGACATTTATCGACACGCTTTTCGTTGCGGGACCCATCTGGGTATACGGTAGTGCAGTGCCTAGTCGCACTCCCCCTCCCCCTTGTCGTTGTTACTGTATTTTCACTTTTGTTCATTTTCATCTCAGATGATTTTAACTATTCGCAAACATTGAATAATGATATTTTTCAGAGCTGTATAGGATGAAATAGTTTAAAGGGACATTTAACGACACGCTTTTCGTTGCGGGACCCAACTGGGTATACGGTAGTGCCACCAAGGCTCCATTAGGCACTATTGTTGAAGCTCTTCGAGTCTCGGGGGGTGTGAGCCTAGTCGCACCCCCCCCCCGTTGTCGTTGTTACTGTATTTTCACTTTTGTTGTTCATTTTCATCTCAGATGAAAACAACTATTATTCGCCGCTACTATTAGATATAATCTCCATATTTTAGGCCCTGGGGGCTATTTCATCTGAGATGAAAAAAGAGTTATTTTCAGAATGTCCGACGATAGTTTTTCATTCGACGACTTTGAACCAGAAGAAGGTAGCAATCGAATCTTAAAACGTTCCAGAAACGTATCGGTTTCCGCCGAAACGACTCCCAGAAAACGGAAAAGCGTTTGTGAGTATTCTAACAGCCGCTAATGAATTAGAGATTGATGTTCACATTTTTTTAGTCGAACGAGTTTACGGATCTAAAACATCAAACAACACGACTCTCCTCAATGTCGTCAATGACACGTGTAGAATGAGGAGAGAAACGGGAAGACGCGTCGAGAAAGGTTGGGATTCAAGGGTATTGAGAAGCCCAGAAAAGATATATGATCAAAGCATCCATGTGAGTGGTGTTTTATGACAGCAGTTCACAGTT